CTTACAGGCCATCGAAATCGCGTCGATACGAACACCAATAGCCATAAATTATCCCTAATCGAAGAACAATTTCTTAAGCAATCGATTATTTCTATGGATTCACGTGGAGTAGCGCCTAGGCCTAATACCGTACGAGAGATGGCGAATCTTCTACTCGCGAATCGCGGCTCATCAAAAATCCGGAAAGTCGGTCAAAAATGGGTATATAACTATACCCAACGCAACCCAGAGCTTGCTTCACATTTCTCACGCAGATAGGACTCTCAGCGTGCTAAATGCGAGCAGAGATTATCCGCGAGTGGTTTAACTGCATTCAGCGTGTTATTCTTCAATATGGTGTCCTATACGAGCATATCTTTAACTTCGACGAGACAGGCTTCGCGATGGGTCTTACATCAAGCGCAAAAGTTATCACACGACGTGAATACTATGGCAAAAGAGCAGTTCTACAACCAGGGAATCGTGAGTGGGTGACTGTAATCAAGTCGATCGTTGCATCTGGGTGGACGCTTCCACCTTGTGTCATCTGTAAGGAAAAAATCTCATCGAAGGATGGTACAATAATCTCCCAGAAGAATGGCGTTTCGAAGTCTCAGAAAACGGGTGGACAACAGATGAGATAGGCGTTCGATGGCTCAAAAACACCTTATTCCGGCTACAACGAGTCGGATAAAAGGGAAATATCGAACTTTTAGTCCTCGACGGACACGGCAGTCATTTAACAGCACAATTCGATCAAATCTGCGCCCAGAACGATATCATTCCAATCTGTATGCCGCCGCATTCCTCACATCTTTTACAACTCTCGATATCGGGTGTTTTGCAGTCTTACAGCGCTCATATAGCAAGTTAATCGAGAACCAAATCCGTCTCGGAATCAACTATATCGATAAACTCGATTTCCTCGCAGCTTTACCCCCAAGCTCGCGCGGGCACATTTAAATCAGATACAATTCAGAATAGCTTCGCCGCAGCCGGTTTAGCACCGTATAATCCAGAGCGCGTGCTCGAGAAGCTAAATATTCGTCTTACAACAGCTACACCACCGAGTAGCCGATCAAGCGTCTTTACCACAAAAACACCAAAAACCACAACCCAACTACATCGACAAGCATCCTCGATCAAAGCTTTACTAAAAAAAAGGTTCAAAAAGCCCACTGAGTCCTTTAAATCAGCAGATCCACCAAGTTATCAAAGCCTGCGAGATTCAGATGCACTCGACTGCACTCCTGAGATTAAAAATCCAAAAATTTCGCGCCGCAAATGAGAAAGAGAAGCAAAAGCGCACTCGATCAACAAGGAGAATAGCTAATAATGGTGGCCTAACTGTCCAAGAAGTTCAAGAGCTGATTCAGCGGCCAAATCAGCCAAATCAGCCTATTCAACCACCGCCCGAGCAGCTAGTTCTGACCGCTCAGTCAGCTCCAGAGCGCGCTACACGCAGCCAACCAAGATGTGGTGGGTGCAGAGAATATGGGCATAATCAATCAATGTAAAAATAGCTATATTTGAATATATCAAGGCGTCATGGTTGATAAAATAGTTATAATATAGTAGGGTAGTGGTTAGGTGCGGCGCTCGCTTACCGATGACGTTATATGTATTTACTTTTCTACTATTATATATTCACAAATTTAATAAAAGAGTGATAAATATCATTAGTATAAATAATATATAAATACTTAAGATTTACTATATATTTACAGTAGAAACAATAGTTTTATAGATAGAGACAGCATTTTATAGAGCTTTTTTTAGATATACTAAAAGTCTATAAAAAAAGACTTAAATTTTCTATTTTAAGCTTATTTTTCTATACTTTCTAGCTAAATACAATAAAGTCAATGGAAAATTATATTTTATTCTAATTATGAATAAAGGTTAATGGTATTATTCATGAGAATTTCTCTATTAAAAATCTCTTGATAGTTAATTGTATTTATTAATAACTTAACTATATAAGAATAAATGGAAGATCATAAAACTTACATATATAGTTTATTACAAGATTGTTTTATCGTAACAGTTTGCTCTTTAAAAAAAAATTCTAATCGTAGAAACTCGAAATATAATTATGTATAAAATGGATCTAGATAATTCACAAAGTATATTTCTCTTTTTTTTAAATTGTTATTTTACATCTTTTTTTGGAATTGATAGACATCTCAAATTATGTAATACACGCGGTTATATAATACAAAATATCATGTGATCTGTATCTGAAATACTATGACAACTGCATTCCTGATTTTGTTTTCTCTCCTCTTCCTACCACTACTTCCCTCAAAGCAATGGAACCCCCAGTTGAACAAGTTTTTGATAACAAAGAGCTGCTAGTTGCCTCCGTTCATCAGCATACTCTCGCACATGGCTATGCAATCACTATTATCCGATCAACTGCAAATAGACAGGTCTATCTAGGCTGTGATCGAGGTGGGACGTACCATGACCGAGTGGATGCTCCAGAACGAGCAAAACGCTGATTGACAAGCACACGACGGACTAATTGTCCATTCAAACTATATGGGAGAAGGACTTCTGATGATAAGTGGGAGTTAAAGGTCCAAAATCCGGATCACAATCATACAGCTGCTGATAGTTTGATAAGTCATCCTACTGCTCGTACTCTTACAGAGGAACAATGTCAACAGATTCAGGGTCTATCCGAAGTTAACTCAAAACCTCGTGCCTAGCACTGACCTTAGTTTTACCTCGTGATATCTATAATGCACGGAGTGCATTACGAAGACAAAAACTTGGTAATAATACTCCCCTTGAATATCTGCTAAAGATGTTACAGGAAAACTCTTCGAAATATGCTATTAAACAAGATAGTGAAGGCCATATCCTTTTCTTTATGTTTGCACATCCAAAGTCAATTCAATATGCTAACAAATATAATAGGGTATTGTGCTAGATTGCACTTATAAGACGAACCGATATAATATGCCTCTATTCCATATTATTGGCACATTACCATCAAACTCGACGTTTAGTATTGCCTTTGTTTTATGCATAATGAACAGGAAGAAAGCTCTATCTGGGCATTAAGGACCTTTTTCTCATTTATTTAACCCTTTACCTTTCAATCCAGTGCGTTGTACTGATAGAGATCTTGCTTTATTAGGTGCAATTAAAGTTGTTTGTTCTCAATATGCGCATCTACTTTGTATGGCACATTAATAAGAACGTGACACAAAATACAAAGCAGCACTTTACCACAAATAATGAGTATCAGAAGTTCTTACAATCATGGAATAGGCTAGTTTATTCAACTACTGAGGATGACTATAGAGAATAATAATCTCCTAAATAGTCAGGGAGACAGACAGTTTTCCTTGATATCATTTGTTCTCACCTATCTCTTCATCTCATTTAGGGTCCAGCACTACGATTATCGAGTCATAGTAATATATCAAATATACTCTTTACATATTGTCTAATAGTATTTAGATTATAAAGAATGTTTTTTAGAAAGTATATATTATATTCAAAATCCTGAAATTCCCCACATTATAGCTTTTGTCGGGAAATCACACGTGATTACCCCTTGGGAGTGACGGCCGATAGTTCATCCGAAGTTCTAAATACTGAACCTTCCCTATGAGTGGCATCCAATATATTGAAGCCACATTAGATGCATGGCGTTTAATGTATCGAACCACCCCTGTTCGTGCCCCCTTTTCACTTGCAACTTGAGTTTGCGTTATTTCTTCTATGTTCGGTCTATATATATCTACTTAGTGGGAATTCTTAGTTAATACAGTGGATTTATATTAACTATAGGTATCTTTAATTTCATAATAGATTTATAGCTTATAAATCTTTCTAATAAAATATTCAACTTTTGAATGACCTTAAATAGGTTATATAGTTACATACAATAATTCTCAAGATTTCAATACGTAATGAAACAAAGTATAATATATATTCCAGGGATAAGCCTAAGTTAGGATTAGAAAATATATACAGAAGTTTAGATATAATTATAGATTATTATCTGTTGGAATTCAAAGTGGTTTAACACCTGACTTCCAAGGCTGTGATGTAATTCTGATCAGCTCACTGGGACTTAAAACTCAGAAGAGAGTCGGCCCGTGGATAAAGGGAAATACGAGCTTCACCCCGCTTCTTTCTTACTGTGTCTGTCTGCCTGTTTGCTTCTATCTTAGTCTATTTATACAAGATTGATTCCGTTAGTTAGTTAGGCAGATATTCAGTCAGACCCTGAGAGACAGTTTCTCTCAATCTCATCATCTGTTCTCACCCATCTTATCTTTCCACGTCATTTAGGGTCCAGCACATGACTCGCTTTGTCATAGACCCCGAATGCTGACATCATCTATATTTTAAAATATCCTCAGCTTAATTCGTAAATTAATTATATGTCAAGGAAAAAGCCACTGAAATCATTACTGCCTGCCTAGATGCATGGCAGAATCGTGTGCACAACCGAGTCAGAACGAGCGGTCAAACCCCTATGATGGGTATTAGATCCCTCACCTAGAGACCGATACGCTTGAGTTCTTCAAGCGTTACTCTTGTTTTACGAGAATACACGTATCCTACCAAAGTCCCCCTTGCCTACCACCTAGTCACCTGGCGCCAACCAACCTGGCTGTTCTCTCTGCATCATAGTTATATAATGGCCTTTGTATACCAAGTACGTACCAAAGAAATATTATAATATAAGAATATCTACTATAACTCCAAAGTTAAGTGACTTTGTTACTTGATTGAAGATAAAATCCTAGATAGGGGCTTTGGGTGACTATTATAACTAAATCTAGTGGTGAAGGAATGAAAAATTCATTAGTGTAGGAATTCAGAACAGCGTAAAGGGAAATAGAAAAGGAAACAAGAAGATGAGTGACTAAATCTATTCATGTCATGTTCAGCGGCCTCGCGGCCTTGTGGACTGGTATTCTTTCTCGCTCATAAGATGTCCTTAGCACATGCCACCACCCGAATAATTCAAAGCCATCGGAATCATCAACATCCTAGACTCGAGTAAAGAAGTACATGTAGGCTGTTTTCTTCATGCCCTCAATGTCTTCTGACCTCACGACCTTTTCATCATTGAACATCACCCATGAAAGACCACTATCTGAGCCAGGAAGTTCTCTGCGAACAAAAGCCACATAATGCCTAAAAAGCCGTCAGCATTGTCTATTAAAAGGAAATAAAAACAGAAAAGCCTCACCCCGCATGGACAGATGTGCCTTTATGACACACAATAGATCGCAATTGATAGAAAGCCGGTAGTGTGTCATGGCCAGGAGGGCCCTGCTGAGCCAGAGCATCGCTAGTACCGGTGTGGGTTTCAGTTTCAGCATCGAGGTCTTCATCTGGGTGAGTGAAAACCCAATCCAAAGCTCGATTGACATCACCGTCAGTTGCGGCTAAGGCTTTTCGAGCCCGAGCAGCTTCAATACCCATTTCACCCAACTGAGTCACCTTGGCCTCGTCCTGTTCCGTGTCGCCGGTCCGACGAGCTGAGCCCTCTAGGACCAGAGGTTCATCAATGTCTGGATCCTCCATGTGTGCAAAGAGCCAGTTCATGGCAGCCTCTGGATCTGCGTTTCCGGTCGCATAAAGGGCCTTTTCACACCTTGGCGAAGGAAATCCCATGCTCAGAAGCTGATCCATAATACCGGGATTTGCAGTAAACGAGGGCTTTTCTTCAACTTCGGGTAGTAGCTCTTCGTTCTCATCATGTTCCTTGACCAGATAAGGCCCAAAATCGATGGGCTCATCCCCAACAACCACTGGAATGTCTAGCTTTGTGGGAACCCAGTTGATCAGTTCGAAGCGGCGGGCATTGACGGCTAGTTCGTTCGGTAACGTTTTGAAGAGCGAACGTTTAGAAAAGCCGTGATTGCTGGCGCATGCAGGGCAGCTAAGCTCGACAAGCTCTTCCGCAGTGAACATATCAAGACACTCCGTCAGAGTCACAGCCTCAAACTGAGTCTCATTTGACGAAATGCGACGTGCGGGAACCACAACGGAAATATTGTCCTGCTCATCCACTTTGTAGCGAACCCCTTTGCAGTCGAGACATTGAAGTCGCTGCTCCACTTGGAAACGAAAATGCTGGACGGGATTGGCTCGGTCGTCAGACTGTTTCGATAGACTGATCGACTTGAACACATGAAGCAGAAACTCGAAGGCATCCTGTTGCCTCATAGTTGCGAATTCTTCATGACCTTGTCCAATCAGATATTTGAACATAGTCGGGGCCAGCCCTTTCTGATGTGAAACTTCAGGGGCGCCCGGGGATGCAACAACACGCGGATCTGGACGAGAGTAGCGGCCCGAGAGAAGACCGTCTGCCAATTTTCTCAACTGGGTTTCAAGGTCCTGTGCCGGAGCATCAGAAAGAGGCGGTTCAGCAGAAGGGTGAAAGTAGCGCTCCTGGAACCCTTGGGTAGAAAAGATGCACTGTAGGGTACTAGAAAGGTAACAGCTGTTTCCGAGATTGGCGAGACCCGTAAAGCCTGGGCCAAAGATCGGAGATAGCTCCCGCCCATCCTCACTAGTCATGGAAAATTCCCATTGTAGATTGTGCTCGACTTGCATCTCCATCAAACTCTTCTCTGTTTTCTCACGCCCAGCCAAGTAGATACCCCAATGAGCAAGGTGACTGGCAAGTTCCGGGTCTGTGCGTTCTTCATTGCATTTGTAACAATAAATATCAGCTGTGCCTTCAGCAGTGATAGAGCCGAGTTTCACAGCGGCGGCATGAGATGCCGAGTCAGCGTGAGCGAGCGCATGCGAGTTTCCCTGGGTTCCACCGAACTGACTTCGTCCACAGCCGATATTTCCACACTCCAAACAGAGCCAGAGGTTCTCCTTCAGGTTGCAAGCGGAGCATTGGCTTGAATCTTTATTTCATATCAGTATTATTCCAATTCACCAGATTGAGTAGGTAGTTACCTTTGTCGTCTGTGTTCTCGGGTGGTTGTTGTTGAACCAGGCACAGAGTATGCTCACAAGGAACAAACTCCTGTTCCCAAGCCTTCACCTCTTCTCGCTTTGAGAAGGTCATTGCAGTCATAATACCATCAATGACATCAGGGAGCCTGCCGCATGATTTATTCACATCCTGTTGAGAGCATGAGTAGCAGACTACTGATGTCCTGATATCGTAACGATCTTCCTCGGTCTCAGCTGCAATCGCGAGCTTCGATATTTTCGGCGGGGGCTCGTCGCGCTACAGATCACTGAGTTAGAAACAAAATTGTGAATGTTCTTGTAGAGTGCCTGCTTACCTGGACCAGCTTAGGGGTTCTTCGAATATTCATGGCCATTGGGTGGCCAGTACGTTGATAGTGAAGAAGCGCATGATCTCGATCTCCGGCACAGCCACCGTTGAAACAGTGTAGACACACGTTGAGGCCGAGTTCGTCATCCTGGATCCGACGAAGTTAGCCAGAGAACTGCCTGGCGTCAAACAAGGGTGGGAACTCACAATAGAGTCGAAGCACTGAGTGCAATCCTCTCTATAAACGGCCTGAAACGGCCCGGGAGGCTTTAGGTCTAGTTCGGATCGTCAGCAAATCACAGGAATTGACGATGTTCAATCATCTCACCAACCTGGAGCTTCCGAATGGTCGCAAGCCATCTTGCAAGGTTGATGGCGCTGGCACCGTCACTTCGAGCAGATATCGTAGACAAGTAGATAGAAGTGACGAGAGAATTTTGATAAGAGCGAGGATGGGAAAAGGTGCAATTGGAGTCAAAGAGCAATGCTAAGGTGGGCACGAAAAGTGGACGTCTAACAAGGCAGGAGCTACTGGATATCGACGTGGGGCAAATGCTTACTTAATATACGTGGGGTTGGAAGACACCTAGTCACATGACTAACCACTTAACGCGTTGTTTCCTTGGGTCACGCGTCGCGGCCCAGCTACCATTCTCACCTCCCTCCCCCGGCGTTCATCCAGCGGCATATCGTCAGTCACTACTAAAGAAACAACAATCATTGACGATGGCTTTAGATGCAGCGTCTCATGTTACTGTCGGGGCTCTGAGGTGCGTTCTTGAACTTGCTGTTGACATTCTTTCAGTGGAAAGCCAGAGAGCAAAAAAAAAAGCGCTGACCGAGAGCTAACATACCCTCACAGTGCCATATTCGATGGAACGAAGCCTCAGGTCGATCAACCTATTGTTCAATGTGTACAAATCAAGCCGTTGCCTCCTCAACCTGGTCACCAAGAGCGCTACCGAGCGGTTTTCAGTGACATTTCCAACTATGTCCAAACCATGCTTGCCACCCGTAAGTAATACCAATCCCACATACCACTGTCGATAAATGGCCAACTACTAACTACGCGAAAGAGGCCAACCATGTGGTCACCGACGGATCCTTGCGCAAAGGATGTTTCGTTCAACTGAAATCCTTCCAGGCCAACTCGGTTAAGGGTAAAAAGTGAGTCCCTAGTATGCTTGTTGGTCTCTGTTCATTACTAATGGCATTTGAGAATCTTGATTATCCTTGACTTGGAAGTGATCAAGGAGCTAGGCGAGGCAGAAAAGATTGGAGAGCCAAAGCCTTTGGAAATCAAGGCGGATGAAGAGGAAAAGACCCAGCCAACTACAATTTCGAGCAATGGGTTTTACGGCTCGAAGCCCTCCGGCCCGTCGCCTCAACAGCAAAACCGCGCACAGCCGATGCGAGGACCCCAGTCTTCTGCCCACGCATCCATACACCCCATCGAGGCGATTTCCCCGTACAACAACAAATGGACCATTAAGGCTCGTTGCACGAGTAAGTCCAACATCAAAACCTGGCATAACAAGAATGGCGAAGGGAAGCTTTTCAGCGTGAACCTGCTCGACGATAGCGGTGAAATCCGCGCAACTGGTTTTAATGACCAGTGTGATATGCTCTATGACCTTTTCCAGGAAGGCAGTGTGTACTACATCTCCAGCCCTTGTCGGGTGCAGATTGCAAAGAAGCAGTTCACAAACCTCAACAACGACTATGAGCTCACTTTTGAGCGTGATACTTTGGTCGAAAAGGTGAGTGCAGTATCTCTATCCTATGTCATTGCAAAACGACCCAGGAACTAATTCTCAATGACAGGCCGAGAACCAAAATGATGTTCCCCAAATCCGCTTCAATTTCACCACCATCAGCGACTTGCAAACAGTGGAGAAGGACACGACTACCGATGTTATTGGCGTCCTCAAAGAGATTGGAGAACCTTCGCAGATCGTTTCAAAAGGAACCGGCAAGCCTTATGACAAACGAGAGCTCAGCCTGGTCGACAACACCGGATTTTCTGTCCGCCTCACCATCTGGGGAGCAACTGCTGTCAATTTTAACGTCTCCCCGGAATCGGTCGTTGCATTCAAAGGCGTTAAGGTTTCTGACTTCGGCGGGCGCAGCCTTAGCTTGCTCAGTTCAGGGTCAATGACTGTTGACCCGGATATTGGAGAGGCCCATCGCCTCAAGGGATGGTATGATGCACAAGGCAGAACCGAAGTTTTCACCTCTCATGCATCTGTTTCAAATGCCACGAACTCGAACATGAAGTCTGATCGACTTAAGACAGTTGCACAAGTTCGCGAGGAGCAGCTGGGGATGTCTGATCAGGTGGACTACTTCTCTTTGAAAGCTACTGTTGTTTTTATCAAGCAGGATGCCACTTGGTGCTATCCCGCTTGCCTCTCCGAGCGGTGCAACAAAAAGGTGACCGAGTTGGACCCTGGCCAGTGGCGTTGTGAAATGTGCGACAAAACCCACCCTAAACCAGAGTACCGCTACATCATGCCGCTTAGCGTCAGCGATCACACTGGCCAGCTTTGGCTCAGCTGTTTCGACGACACTGGACGGCTTATCATGGGAATGTCGGCGGACGATCTGATGCAGCTTCGTGAGGATGATCCCATCGCGTTCGGCGAAGTATTCCAGGAAGCCAATTGCCGTACCTGGAATTTCCGATGCCGAGCTAAGATTGACACCTTTGGTGATCAGCAACGGTATGTCCATGAAGTCTGTTCTCCATAGTGAATTCATTACTAACAAACCGTATAGAGTTCGATACCAGGTGTCATCCGCATCGGCAATCAATTACTCCGATGAAGCCTCCCGCCTTGCTGATATCATCAGCTCTTACAGCATGGACTAAGTTCCAACAGATGCGCCGACTAGTGAAGTGCGTCTCTCTGATTATTGCCTACGTACTTGATTTCATGCTTTTTCCTCCTGGGTGTTATCCACAGAGCAACCATTACTTATCGTGTTGCAAGTCAACAATCAATTTTCGTATTCTAATACAGTAGCAAAGGCCACTGATCAATTCCAAACCTGCGCACGTTCTATTGTAGCTTAGCTTATGTCAAGCGGTTTTTCCTATGCTGCCCATCTTCATTCCACACCGCCCGACGGCCAGACCGTGTCTCCCGGCGGTGTAAACGGTAAGGCATGGCAATATTTGAAAATTTCCCTTTTTTTTTGGCTCCATATTTCGTGACATTGGAACACACTCCTTTATAATTTTATACCATTGTCACCAGGGAGAATCTAGTTGATATGGGCAAGAGAAACTACAACGCTGAGTCGACAGAGCTGCGGCCTCAGAAGAAACCCAAATCGGACAAGCACTCCAAAGACAAAAAAGACAAGACCATATCAAACCAGGACAATGGCAGCTCATGTACCGATCAGACTGCTTACTCCCAGGCGTCGGCTCTTATGGCTCTTCCCCAGCTCGAAATCGATCAATATCTGTCCGAGAAAGTGATCAAGTTCACTGATCCTGCTACGGACGCACCGGCATTCCGCCCGATAATTTCTTTCGATTACTTGCCCCCGTGCGATGGCGACCTGTATGAACAATTGAAGTCATTCCCCGCGCCGACTCCCATTCAAGCTGCTACCTGGCCATTGCTTTTTGCCGGCCGTGATGTTATTGGTATTGCCGAGACTGGAAGTGGCAAAACCTTAGCTTTTGGCTTGCCATGCCTCAGGAAACTGATAGAGTCCAAGCACAACAAGAAGCCTTGCCAACCAACCGCTGTCATCATTTCTCCTACCAGGGAACTTGCGATGCAGATTTATGACCAACTTGTCAAGTTCGCAAATGTCGCCAAGGCCGGCGTTACGTGCATCTATGGGGGTGTGAAAAAAGATGATCAGCGAGAAGCTCTCAAGAAGGCGGCCATTGTGGTTGCCACCCCTGGTCGGTTGAAGGACCTGCAAAACGACGGCTCAGTTGATCTGGGAAAGGTCAAGTACCTTGTTTTAGATGAGGCCGATCGTATGCTGGACAAGGGATTTGAGCAGGACATCAAGGACATCATCCAGCCCATGCCGGTCTCAAGGAGGCAGACTGTCATGTTCACCGCAACATGGCCTCGCAGCGTTCGTGATCTGGCGTCAACTTTCATGAGCTCCCCGGTCACCGTCACTATCGGCGGCGACCCTTCGGCTGACCCTCGTGCCAACACCAGGATCAAGCAAGACGTCGAGGTCGTGGATCCTCGAGACAAAGAGACCCGGCTCATCCAGATCCTCAATCGGTCGCAGAGGGGCAAGAACCCCGAGAAAGTTCTTGTATTCTGTTTGTACAAGAAAGAAGCCGTTCGAGTGGAGAGACTCATCAATGCCAAAGGCTTCAAGGTCGCAGGAATCCATGGCGATCTGAACCAGTCAGATCGATTCCGAAATCTTGAAGCTTTCAAGACTGGCGCTGCTACCATTCTAGTTGCCACTGACGTGGCGGCTCGGGGTCTTGATATCCCTGCTGTGAAGTTGGTGGTCAATGTCACCTTTCCTTTGACAGTTGAGGACTACGTGCATCGCATTGGGCGAACAGGACGAGCTGGTGCCGAGGGGCACGCCATTACCATGTTTACTGAACAAGACAAAGGATTGTCCGGCGGGTAAGTTTATCTATATAATGTCTACAGGTGTATGTGTATTACCTCAGATCATACTGACTTTGTTAGATTGATCAACGTTCTCAAGGCGGCGAAGCAGGATGTGCCGGAGGAGCTGATGAAGTTCGGTACCACTGTGAAAAAGAAGCAGCACGATGCTTACGGTGCATTTTTCAAAGACATTGGCACAGACAAGAAAGCCACCAAGATTACATTCGATGATTGAGAGTTGGAATCATATGACTAGTCGGCCTTGGGTCCTTTGGCACGGGAGGATGCGATTTGATGAAGAGCCGTCCATTGTTGCATGATATATTTTCTTTCCACATAGATTCTAATGATACTTGTCAGCCAGGTTCGTCAAGAGAGTTAAAAGAATATCGATTTTGTCATACTCACATTATGAGGATGTAAGCCCCGCTAAACGTGATCGCAGGGACAAGGCCCTTATGCAGACAAGACAACCTTTGACGGGCCACAGATGCCATTACACCGAGGACGTAAGTAGCAGGCTGGATTTTCAGATCATTGGCGCCGATACCATCCCCATTTTTGAGGAGGAATGACTGGATGAACCAAACACTCCATCCGGTTCGCACCGTCATGTTCACGATATTTGCCAGAACAAGTCCATAGGCACCCATAGATGCCACTTCTAGGAAAACGTAGGCTGCCATAGCGTAACATGCAGAGAAGGCCCCCATCCAGCCCGCTTGAATGCGAATTTCTCGCGGATCTGCGGCAGAGGATACGAACGCCTCGGTGATTCCGTTAAATGCGAGGAACGGAATATAGTAGCAATACAAGGATAGTAGGTTGCCGACTTTTGGCGAGGTCCATCGATCCCCCCCAAGAGACTCAATATCGTAGGAACCATCATTGGGCCGACAGGGAGAATCAGGGCCGACAAGAGTTGATAAGCACGTAAGAGGCTGACCAAATGGGCCTTGGCCGTGCGAAGTTGATCAACATTGCGCTTTCCTGAACCATCTTGAGTGAGAAGTGCAGAAAATAAATTTCTACTACTTTCCTCCAGTGGCTGGAAGACAATACGTGCAACCAACCCGCCGTAGTTAGATGCCAGAGCATAGATCCCTTGATCCTCGAGACTGGACATGGCTGCAAGCATCATCGAGTCACCCTGGGTGAGGATATGTTTCACCAAGGACTGAAAGAATACACTTGCCGCTAGCGAGGTCAATCGGCGAGAAAATCGGCCCATGACATAGCCTGAAGTGACACTGCGCATGATTAGCTTGCGAGCCCTCATTTTGCGTATTCAAGGACCCCTTACCTGGATGGAATACGTTTAGGTAGAAACGAGCACCGCTGTACCGAAGGGCTTCCAAGCAAAACCCAGGAATAGCCGAAGATGAGAGTGGCAGAGTAGCTCAAGTAGCCCAAAGCAAAGGGCAAAGGACCAACGTCTTGACCAAGCCGAGAGGCATAGAGAAAGGTGAAACATGTCACTAGACTCTTCAGAAAGGCGGCCGGCATTTCTACTGTGGCTCGCTTGTCATACCACATGTTCTGTTGAATGACTGCAAAGAACGGTTCAATCATCAGCTCCACAAGGGATGCAATCCCAGTCACAGTCACGCTAGCAGTGAATAAAGGAGTCGACAGTGCCTCTGCCGGGGCGAAATACCTGTAAAGCATGGTGAATATGGCAGTACAGGGGATGCCGAGGAATAAACTGAGATAAGACACATTGACAACCGATTGAGATGCGAGGGATTGCTTGTCCTGATCGGTCTCTGTGTGCTGGTCGGCTTTGTTACTGGTTGAGGGAGGACCGGAGACCAATGGCTGTCTTTGAATGGCCATACGCATACTTTCCCTGGAGAAGTATAGAATGGTCACTTGATACAGCTCCAGTTGAGCTGCAATTCCAAGCACAACGGGGGACAGCGTGCGCAAGATGAGCTGGTTGGAGGCAAAGGTGAAGATTCTGGACGCCAATTGAATCATGATTAGAAAAGTCGTTCCCGCTGCAGATGACGCGAGCACTTCTCGATGGCCATCGCTGGCGTGGTCCTCCTTGGCATGCGCCATTTCGAAGGGGGATGTGGAAGCGTGTCCGAATGAGGAAGGGAGGTGGCTGCTAATCTCCGAAAAGTTTGGACGCCTGACCGCTCACGCGCTTACGTAGTCTACTCTGGTACATTAACTCGAACACATCCGGGGTCGAACGGAATTTCAAGATAGACACGGGCTAAATTGACAACTTTCGCTATTCATTGATCTACGATTGTACAATGGATACATGGTGTCGCCGGCGACAGCACACAGGGTTCGGAGCTCGGTTTGTAGCCAGCGCAACGTCTTATCGAAATCAGGCTCCGGCACTCTTCGGGAGATCTTACCAGAAGCACAAGCAGTGATGCATTGCCAGACAATTTGGCAGATAAGACCGCATGGGGGTTAAAGGTAGTACCTTAGAACGGGGGAAGGTAAAATGGATAGCCCCCGTTCTTGACCTTGAAGACACTGAGGAGCAAACTATACGTGACAAATAGAACAGCACCCCAGATCAAAACAGCCAGTTGCTGCCCTTTAACATCTTCCATCCGGGGGACTTTCAACGCAAGAGCGATGGTTGCGAAAGAGAGGATGGCGTCTAATATCATGACAGTCAGAACAAGAATGGCTTTGATCGCGATAAGTGATTTCACTTACAAATAGCGGCTACAATCTGGGTTTCCATGCCAAATTGATTCTGGAATCCACCCGCGAAGTAGCTGATTCCACCTTGGCCATCGCCTGCGACATACGGGGCCTTCCGGATATGGTTGAACATCTGTCCACTGGTGAACAACAGAATGGCAATCAGGCTGACGGCGGCCCAAAGATTGCGATTTTGCACAATTGGCAGCACATAAGGAGACAAGACGGTGAAGAGAGTCACAGTGCCCATCAGAATCGTGATCGCGGAGACGATGCGCATGTAATTGACCGGTCGAACCAAAGGAGGTTTGGGCCCTTCGGGCAGGTGACGACCTATCCAGGAATAGAGCTGCTCGGCGCCAATTGGACTGCATTTGAAAAACAGTTAGAGCTCTGATCTCCCATTCAGGGTATGTTATCCCTTACCTGGTAAAGTCATATCTCACGGGCTCAGCATCCAACTTGGCGAATGGCCCAATGGTCGGAGGGAATAGAAGCAGGACGGGAGCGGTTTGTAACATGAGCTATCGGCAGCCACGGCGATCGTCAGCCTTCAAGAAACGATGAATGGTTCCAGCCAAGATACAGATAAGAACATACCTTTTGGAAAACGGCCTTGCCATGATCAAAATCCAATGTTCCAAAGACGACCTTCAAATCATCAAGCTTGGTGCCCTTGTTCCAGCTCCGTGCCATGAGCTCCCATTCCGAGTCAAACTCTCGACACATGATACACCCATATCGTGCATCCAGCGCCGTCAGAAGAACAACGGCATAATAATCTCGCGGAGCTGTCGTCAGCTCCGCAAAAGAAGTACTATCCAGGCCCACAGGTCCGGAGCGAGAGAGAGTTTGATACTTCTCGAATCGGTCCACAGAGGGCTTTGTGGCGAGCACGCCGGAGAGAAGCGAGAAGCACAAAATGAGCGAATTCCAGGGCTTCATGATGGCATGACAAAAAGCTGTGAAAATGAGGTTGCTGGAAGACGAGAGACCAGATAGCTCGGGGTGCAAGGTGGCCCCTTACGTAAGTGCCTTCCCGCCCCAAAGCGGAACCCGCGCGCGCTTCCTCCGCCGCCAAACACTCAACTCGTACATGTCGCACGCAATTGATCATGACGACTACCGCAGAGGCTCCCTCAATCGAGGTATGTCTGCTTCTGTCTCCATTTATATGCCCTAGAGAGGCTCGTCCCGCTGACTTCACTAGTACGAGATGTCCATCAAAACAGCGCGTCTTGAACAAGAATACGAAAAGGCCCTGGCTGATTCCGCACGCCTCCTAGATACCGAGAGGGATCGCGCAAGGCGCATGGAGAATCTGCTTCTCAGATTCGAGTGCGATGCTCTACAATCGCAACTCGATCATACCCGCGAGAATTTGCTTGGAACTAGGGAGACGGAACGGGAAACTCGCCAACAGCTGGACGGGGCGTTTCAGGAAATCGATCGCCTGGATACTCATGCCCAATTATCTTCGAACGAGATTGCGAAGCTGAAGGTGAGTGCTGACCCTCAGTACATGATTTGTGTACTAAAGAGTATTAGGACGAACTCTCGACTTTGAACAACACATCCACCGACTACAGTAGTCTTCTTACGGAGAAGTTCCAGCTGTCCAAGGAGCTTTCCAAACTCCAGATTGAACTTGACCGGCATCGGAACCAAGTCTCATCGTTTCAGACGATGGTGGCTGAAAAACTGGAGCTTGAAAGGCAGCTGAATTCTCTTGAAGTTCAGCTAGAAAATGAGAAGAACGCCCACGAGCGTACACGAGCAAAAAATTCTCTGCAGGCTGCAGAGATAGTTCAACTCTCGGGCCGGATAGAGGACTTGCAAGGGGAACTCACTCGAGAACAGCGAGCGAAGCAGCAGCAAGAACGCGACAGCCGACAGCAAAGTGCAGAGTGGGACTGTCAGAGATCAATCCTCGAGGGAAGAATCGAAACATTGAAGAAACAACTGCGAACGTCCAAAGACACACTACACGAAACCCAGCATCAGAGGCGTAGCAATGTGAAATCCGAGGATGAGGTTACCGAGTCGCGGTCACGGACGGTGCCTCTCCAGCGTCCTGGTCCTGGAGCAGACTATCAAAATGGCGTGACCATTGCCACGCCTGGGGCTGTTCGGGTGCAGGATAAAATTAAAAGGCAGTCGGCCCTACCTGGAGATAAATCAGCCTTTTCCATTACTCCATTCCTCAATCGTACGGGGGCCCCGAGGCACTCCCCGACGAGCTCAGAAGCGGACGAACAGGAATCGCGGCGAGCGATAAATGACCACAGCACGGCAGCCGAAAGGGGCAAAAGAATGGAGGACATTATGGACGAGCGCTCATCGCCCGAGGACCCATCGTGCTCTACCTCTGCGCAGGCTTTTCTCCCAAGAGTTGTGAAAGGCAAACCAAAGGCACGAGAGAGCAAGTCGGCTAGTCGCCCGGCGAAGAAGATACCTTTGGAAGAGATGGACGAGCCTCAAGAGCCTCCAGTGGAGCAAGGTCAAGCCAAACTGAAGAAGCGAAAGCTTGGCACGCAGAGGGAGCGAAAACTGTTCGAAGATGACGAGGAAGATGGAAGTCTCGAGATTAAAAATCCCGGCCGCAAACTTGGCCTTGGTCTCGGGGGCGGGAGAAGTTCAGTGCTTGCGTCCTCGCAGGTGCCTGGGACCTCCGGCGATCGATTGCCTCGCAATCTTGGGTTCGGTGCGCCGGTGGGATTCTCACCACTCAAGAGGGATCGCAAGCGGCTATAGCAGACAAAAGAGCTTGCGGCGTTGGTCTAGATCTCTAGCGTTGGGTGTCTTGTGCGTACTAGTAATAATGCATTGAGCAGCCTAATTTCATTCATTCCCTTGTGCATTTGTAGCCGCATATCTATTGTCGGCTTGTTCTACTTCATTGTTCTGTTCGTATTGTACGGCCGGGGATTTGTCAGAGAGAGTGTTATATGTATAACTATGGGCTAGCTACCTATGCATATTGGTACGTGTTGGGAAGTATGTGGTAGATCGTGTTGATTGATCAAGGATTAGACGGAAAAGGGTACTTATTTAGTGGAGTATTAAAGTCCGCGGGCATTCGTTTCGGGGACAAGTATCGTCCCCGCTGCTTCTCATGTTGCTCCTTCCAATACCTCCGGATAGTCTGCGTTGATGTGGAGCGGTATCATGACCTGTACAAAGTGCTCAGTACGCCAGGTGACAAGTGCAAGGATGGACAACTCCACAATTTTTTGGAATAAACATGCGTGATGTCAATAACCTCTGGGAATTTTTTTATCAATTTGGAAGAAAAGGATGGTATTTCGATCTCCTAGTTGCCAACAAGGTCCAACAATTCTCTTATATATCCGCAGTACATTTGTAGACTCAAAAATCCTACCATCCTAGGCCAACGTACTTTTTTTAAAAATGCATTCCATCAAAGCTCTGTCAGTCTGTTATTTTCTCTTCCCTCCGGTTTGGACCAGGAGTACGAGAGACCGAGCCTGCGGTGTTGGTCGACAAGCCGGAGCGCCCGAATATTGGTCCATCGGGTGGAACCCTGGACTGGTTTTTTGCCGGCAGAACCCCCAATTATATTTCCCGTTGCAAAAAGCTGCCAGACCACCTCCATCCCTAACAATGTTTTCTTTCTCTCGTTTCGTTCCACGACCACGGGAATTCCCTAGCATTGCTCTACCGAACCAAGTTCGATGGTCCTCATCAAAGCGCTGGCAAGCTCGCCAGCACAAGGACCAGTTCACGAGAGAAGCGGCTGTACAGGGGTTGAAAAGCCGAGCGGCCTTTAAACTACTCCAGGTATTCCACCTCAAACGCCTAGTGTCTGTTCCTTGCTGCTCACTAGAACGATCGGCGCAGATTGATGAGAGGTACCGTATCTTTAAACGCGGACAAACGGTAGTCGATTTGGTATGTACCCCTTTTGTTGCATCAAGGATACGTGCTTACTGTAGATCGTACCAGGGATATGCACCTGGGTCTTGGTCACAGGTACGTCCAATATTTCCAGGTGAAAGGATGACATACTACCATATACTAGCACATAAAAGGGTAATGAGCGTATAACTGATTGTTGACTAGGTGGCTGTGAGCCGTACACAACCCAGTGGCCGAGTTCTCGGTGTCGACATCATTCCCGCCCAGCCGCCCAAAGGCGTCTCGACAATACAAGGAAATTTCCTGGCACCTGAAATTCAGGCATATATACAGGAATTTCTGCGCGACCCTAATAGAGGCAGACTGCGCTCTCCTGGCGCCATCGACGGCCCCGGCATGAGTGCTGTGGAGACCGAGCTGCCTGGGAAGGCTTCCGATGCAGATCCACATACTACGGCGAGTGAACGGACGGTAGATGTGGTCCTTAGTGATATGTCCGCCCCCTGGCACCAGACAACTGGCTTTTGGAAAAGGAGTCTAAGTAATCCGTATAACAGGATGATGAACACCAGTGGGAACGCCTTTCGAGATCACGCTGGAAGCATGGTAAGATAATTTCCGCACCCTTTCAAGTCCATGATGGCTCATCGCTGGCTCTGGGGCAGGATCTGTGCAATGCTGCATTGGATTTCAGCTCGAATGTCCTTAGGACCGGGGGACATTTCGTTTGCAAATTCTACCAAGGCGTGGAGGACAAAGACCTAGAAAACCGGCTGAAGAGCCTATTTCAGAAGGTTCAACGGCTGAAGCCCGAGTCTTCTCGCAGTGTGAGCTTCTTGGTTATTAATTTGTGGCTGGGTAATCGACATGAGCTAATGCAGCAGTTCTCCAGGAATCCAAGGAATCATTTTTCATTGGCCTGGATCGGAAACCGTAAAGTCTGGTATCCGGTGTCGGGAATCCAAAAAAGTTCGATTCGCGGCTTGTCGCTAAAAACCTGTTCTAGACAATCTCGGCCTCTTCATTCTCAGAGGTCTCGTCCCACTCTACATCAGCAAGCGACGCCTCCGCCTTTTCATGGACCTGGGACATTCGTTAGGATCTCGAAGAAGTGATCTTGCCTGATTGGAGAGCCTGCGTACCTCTTTAAGTCCGCTTAGCTCCTCCACATATCCGGGCTCATTGAGGGCCCTTCGCACAAAATTCCAGCCCTGATCCTGGTACTCTTTCGTGACTCTTTCCGAACAGGCACTGCAGCATATGTAGCTCTTCCCTGTGACAGCGATGTTCTCAAAAGTGGCGAGGAAACCCCGAATCTGATGCGGCACAAGCCCTAAAGGGTGGTCTCCTCGCTCGTGACTTCGGTTCAAGGGGGCTGGTGCAGTAGCTCCTTGCGGGTGTTGGAGAACCGAAACGAGCAACTCAACTAGGAGTGCGGATGCTATAGCCGCTACCCCTGGGCGGGTAACGGTGCATTGCTGGTCGAGTGTTTGGTCCTTTATCGACTTGTGATGTGGTCAGCCAAACAATTTGCATAAACTCAGATTCAAACTTACGTTAGCCGGCGCCACAACATCATTACAAAAGTAGCAGCCGAGTTCCGCCGCCTCATTTGCGGATGCTGCCACGCCATGGCGCATCACCACAAACGAATCAAATCCCAAGGCGGCGTTCATCACGATCTTTCCAGCTGCCTTGCCCATGACAGTTGGGAGCCAACGAGATTCCCGCGTATCCATGAGGAGGAAGATGGCGTCATGTTCATCAATCAACGCTTGAAGCGCCCCGAAATCTGCTCGTGTTGCATTTTCATCCATAATTGGATGTCCTGCCATGGGTACCGACAGATGATAACCAGCGGTATCAACCCCGGGGTAAATTTCTTTGAGAGCTTGCGATGCTCGGTATGCTTTCGGTGCTCCGCCGTTCAAACAGTCCGAAAAGGTGAACAGCGGCTGCCGGACGGGGTTGGAAAATGAGACATTGCCTTTATCCACGAATGTAATCTTCTTGACCCCCCAACCCTGAAAAATCGTTAGTCATCCTTCTAGGCTGAAAAATGTCCTGCACATACTAAGAGGTTGCGTGCAACGTAGCTTCCTAAAGTACCTGCACCAAGCAGTAGACATTTAGTATTCTTTATCTTCTCCAGATTGAGCGAGGGGCTTATCCGCCACTTCATGAGTTTCAAGTTAAGGTCAACTGATTGATCGGCCAGTCTAAAATTTGATGTTAGGAAATAGAGGATGTTTTGGCAAAATTGCCATGGCGCGGAGCATACCTTGTGGGATCCATATACTCTGTCAAACTGACAGTCCGCCCGGATAATTTCCCTGCTGGGTTACGCTCCCAGCCCGTTATTTTTGGCAGCCGACTCTGGAATTGCTGTTTCGCTGATCCCGGCTTGGACTGAAGTCGCAGAACCATACTGCGACCCTGGTCACGCTTTGAGTGGATGTCACGATATCGCAGAATCTGCACCTCACTAAGGCCCCATCGTTGTCGAACAAGAACCAAGAGATTCCGTAACATCCACCCTGGCGCCTTTTCGTAGTTAGAGGGGTCTGCAACACAAATAAAGCGATCTTTCAACGCAGCGCCGTTAAAGAAGCCATTCTCGTAATCCGATAGCGCAGCTATTCGCCAACTGCTGTCGGTAGAGTTGTTGGACTGTTGTTTCTGTTTACGCGCCAAGAAGAACCCTCGCTGGCGATCGTCAATGCTGTAGCTCCAGGTTTGCACTGCATCAACGAGTGCGCTGCTCTCTTCTGGGTATAGATATTCCCCATGAGGCGCTTCTAATTCCTCGCTTTGGGTGGTCTTGGGTTGGGAATTCGCCGTTTCCATGGGCACCCACGGCGGGTCGGAGTGGATAGCAGGGAATCCAAACCAGTAAGAGAATTTGTATTTCTTCAGGTCAGAAAATGACAGAATCACAAAGGACGACAGCAAGGACGGGCAAGAGTAGATGGTGCCGTCGTTAATGGCATCCCAGATCTGCAGTTTATCATTAGCCCAAAAAATCGGGAAGCAATTCGGTTAAGACCGAGTTTTCGAGACTTGCGTCCTGCCTTACCGTTTTGCCCGCCTGGGTGATCATGTAGGACTTGTCCAAATTGTGGTATTGCTCGATGGTGTTCACATTCTTAATGGTGCCCTCAGCGCGGTAGTAGCCTGCTGGCGCTCTGCCATCCAAATTAGCGCTGGTCGTTTACTCAAAGAGTGGTGAGAGTACTCATGGGCAGTCAGGGCATTCCCATGAACCTGCATTCGGCAAGAACCATTGTCAGGGTCGGTGGAGCGGATCTCATAGAGTCCCAGGACGGGACGGGCGGAGTCATCTAGCTTGTCATGGTTGATCTTAAGTGAGGCTAGCGCCGTGTAAAAGGGCAACTCGATGTCCGAGGCAAACGGAGCATACTGCATTTTGGGCGTAGAGTGTCACCAAGAATATGTGAAACTTCTCAAGGTGAACTCGAGTGTATCGCTCTTTCGTTGGGTGTGCATAGATAGAGACGGAGGGGAAGTGGGGGAGTTGATGTAATCGGCCAGGCGCGAACCACTGGAAAATCAGGCGCCGGCGACGCGTGATCGCGCTGCCTTTCGCTGCGGCACCCTTCTACGCCCACCATTCATTTCGGTCTGCCGCCAACGCGAGAATGCTTATCGGCTTGTGTGGAGGTCAGCAGAACAGTCATGTCGTAATTTCACCTAGACTAACCTCTTTTTTATCAAAGGCATCTGCGCCGGCAAACATGCGATTGCCGAGTATCTGATCCAGCACCAAGGGTTTCAGCTCTTGGAGCTGGCCAGCCAATCGCCTCACCGTATCACCGACCAGCCGGATGACCATCTGCGACTGCAAGCGTCACAAATCGGGAAAAAGGGGAACACGCCGTCGGAGTTCGTGTTTGAGACGGCCGAATCGCTTCTCGATTTTGTCACAAAACGTTGGCAAGAACGCTGGGTGACAACAGATATTGCAGATGGTGCAACGCTTGATCGCTTTATCCTACGGCCTTTCTTCCTTCTTGTGAGCGTTGATGCTCCAGTAAGCTTGCGCTGGAAGCGATTCTCCGACCGGTTCGTGGCCCCCGGCCTCAATGCATCCGGTGGGCTTTAACTTACTTTAAAGGGTGTACCCAGCTGCCGACGAAGACAATTAGATCCGCCCCATCTTGAAAAGTTCGTGCTATGGAACGATCGACACCTCTATGAGAGGGATATCGGACGAGTTTACCTGACCGATCGAGCCCAAGTCCGTCTGTTCAACTCCTCCTCCTCTGTCGAGGAACTCCATTTGTCTCTCCACAAGCTTGATCTGGGAGACGAGCAGCGACTACGACCAAGTTGGGACCAATATTTCATGGAGCTCGCATCTCTCGCAGCCCAAAGAAGCAACTGCATGAAACGTCGCGTTGGATGCGTTCTGGTGCGAGAGCGCCGGGTTATTAGCACAGGATATAACGGAACACCGAGACATCTCACAAATTGCAACGAAGGTGGATGTAAGTCGAAAATCCAATCCGGCAGTGAGTATCACGGAGCTGAAGTGTTCCCTAGGCCCCCGATGCAATCGTGGTGATGGTGGTGGAGTTGGTCTCTCCACCTGTCTCTGCCTCCATGCCGAGGAAAACGCGCTCTTGGAAGCTGGCAGAGAGCGTATTCGAGAGGGCGCAATTCTATATTGTGACACGTAAGCTTTCGATATTCATACCGGCTGCTGTATCGTCTACTCATGATCCTAGGTGTCCGTGCTTGACATGCACCGTGAAGATCACCCAAGTGGGGATTTCCGAAGTCGTTTACTCTCAAAGCTACAACATGGATCAAGCGGTATGAAAACTCCTTGCCCCTCCCAAATGCCATTGAAGCGCCCCCCTAAAGCTTTGTACAAAACTAACCTTCTCATACTCAGAGCGCCGCTATCCTTGAGTCTGCGGGGGTGCGCTTACGACAATTTAATCCAGTAAGCTTACTCTCCCACTCCCAACTGACCCGATATCGGGTGGGGCTACGCTAATCGGACGGAAATGCAGCCGTCGAACGGGCTGATTTACCTACAAGAGTCGAGCAACGCAGCGACTCATTAGCCATAGCAAGTCGAAAAGTAAATTCGGATCCGAAGTACGCCGTACATGAATGATTGCATGAGCCTCCTGTGTCTATTTTGACCATTTATCTGTCCTGTAGTAAATTTCCACGTGTTTGCATTCAGTGGGGAGGCCGCATTTCGAGCCGTCCATTCTGCCCGGCAGAAAAAAGAGTGACTCAGTGGGGTGCCGAATTTTGGAGGGGCTGAACCCGTCTCCCCCAGAACCAATTCGCAATTGCTCACTCCCCCTGTGCACCCAGAATCACTGGTCCAGTAGGCTGCACAGTGTTCCGTCATGCCTACCGTTCACCTTCTCGACTATGTCGCGGGGAACATCCGCTCCTTGGTCAACGCCATCAACCAGGTCGGATATGAGGTGGCATGGGTCAAGACACCCCAGGATGTGAAGAACGCGGATGTATGTGGAATTGAGGACTGCCGCTTTTGGCTTTCGATGGCTTTTGCCCAGGGATGTTGCTAACGGTCCTTATTTAGAAACTGATCCTTCCCGGTGTCGGCCATTTCGGCCATTGTCTCTCCCAACTCGATAAGGGCGGCTTTCTGGGGCCAATTCGAGAACACATCGATGCTGGGAAACCGTTCATGGGCATTTGTGTGGGGTTACAGGCTCTGTTTCAGGGATCGGACGAGGATCCTAATGTCCCAGGCTTGGGCTTGATTCCCATGCGCATCGAAAAGTTCGATGACAGGACCAAGAGCGTGCCACACATCGGATGGAATTCTGCAATGAACACGGGGCCAGTCTCGAAGGAGCAAAGCTTTTATGGATTACGGCCGACTAGCAAATACTACTATGTCCATTCCTATGCGGCTCCCTATAAGCCGGGGGTCCTCGAAGAGGACGGCTGGTCTGTGGCTACGGCAACATATGGCGAGGAGGAATTCATTGGTGCAGTCAGTCGGGGACATATATTTGGCACCCAATTTCATCCGGAGAAGAGTGGAGTTGCAGGCCTGCGAGCCATTCGTGCTTTCTTAAATGGCCATCAATTCCAATTTATTCCGCAGGAGACATTCGCTGGCAAGGAAGATGGTCTGACTCGTCGCGTCATTGCTTGTCTGGATGTGCGAACTAACGACACGGGCGATCTTGTTGTTACCAAGGGTGACCAATACGACGTTCGTGAAAAGGGTGGCGTTGATGCGGGAGGTCAGGTCCGCAATTTGGGGAAACCTGTCGAAATGGCCAGGAAGTATTACGAGCAAGGAGCCGATGAGGTCACCTTCCTGAACATCACTTCCTTCCGGAACTGCCCTCTTGTGGATACTCCCATGCTGGAGATTCTTCGACGGGCTTCAGAGACCGTCTTTGTTCCGTTGACTATTGGCGGAGGCATAAAGGATACAGTCGATACAGATGGCACTCATGTCCCCGCGCTGGACGTGGCAACAATGTACTTCAAGTCTGGTGCAGATAAGGTCAGCATTGGCTCGGATGCTGTATTCGCTGCGGAGGATTACTTCGCAGCTGGGAAGAAACTGAGTGGTCGTACTGCAATCGAGACTATCTCCAACGCATACGGGAAACAAGCGGTGGTGGTCAGCGTTGACCCCAAGCGAGTCTACGTGGATCGACCCGAAGACACCAACCACCACACTCTGAAGACTTTGTACCCTAACGCAGCCGGGCAGAACTTCTGTTGGTACCAATGTACTGTGAAAGGTGGCCGGGAAACTCGCGACATGGATGTGCGCCAACTTGTACAGGCTGTCGAGGCTATGGGAGCTGGCGAAATCCTTTTGAACTGCATTGATAAGGATGGCAGCAACAGCGGCTTTGACTTGGAACTTATTAATGACGTGAAGGCGGCCATCAAAATTCCCGTCATTGCTTCTAGTGGAGCAGGTGTCCCTGGTCATTTCGCTGAGGTCTTCAGCAAAACAACTACTGATGCTGCACTGGGAGCGGGCATGGTAAGTACTACACGATCCACAAGTCGGCGAGAGAGTGAGAGTGCTGACTTCATAAACCAGTTCCACCGTGGCGAATATACCGTGAGCCAGGTCAAAAATCACCTCCAAGCTGAGGGATTCCTTGTGCGCCAATTTGAGGCGGCGATCTGACTTAGTACCTGAAATCTACATTAATCACAGATAGTCCACAAAAAGAGAGTTATTTTATTATGGAGTATGTCTGCTATCTGCATATCTCTATTCAGGGGACATATCTAGATTAGTCGCCTGGGAATAGCTTTATTAGAGGGTGAAAGTGTGCTGAACTTCAACTAATAGGCTAACACATGTAACCACTGAGGCTTAATACAACATCGGAACGCCAGTAGTCTATCGCGAATTTCCAGGGGATCATTTTATTAGGAGATTATGAAAGGATACACTACTATTCTTCAACTCCCTCTTCCCCCCCATCGCCCCGCCACCGGGCGGCTGTAATCAGGTCCCATATCATAGCGAAAATTTCTGGGGTTTCAAACTTACTGCATCAAAAGCACCTTCCCTTTTGCAGCGAGACAGTAGATGACATAATATAGGGCGGTCTCCTCTGCTGACCGCCTCCGAAATATCCTCCCGTCGCCGGTCGCCACCTCACCACACCTCATCTCCTCACCCTGCAGCTCACTACTTCCCCACGTACTCCGACTCGCATGGCAAGAAACTCCCGACAAATGGAAAGCATTTTGGTCACATAACCAGGACATTTTTCAGACCTGTCTCGACACCGATCTTGATTCTTTTGACAGGTTCTCATACGGTGAGGGCGGACAACTGGTCTGACTTCAAGTGAAGGAGGTGGCTCTGTGAATCAAAAAAGGACTGGCTCTCTCATTGTGCCTGTTTCCTTGTCAGCGACAGTTTCTTCTTTTTCACGTTCGACAATTGTATTTCCCATCTGTCTTGAATTATATTCAGTTTGAACTCTCACCTATCCTCATCCAAGAGAGATTCTTTCCCTATCTACCATCCCGAGCATCCCCATTGATAGTACCAGTGACTATCTGACGGTCATTCACCGTTCTGCCCCTAATCTTTTACTCTCCCCCACCTGCGTTCTTTGCCATTCACTCGGCCCCTCGTGCCTGTGCCCACAGGCCACATCCTCCTCCGCTCCCGCCCGTACTTCTGTGTCGGCGGTGCCTCCTAAACCTTCGCCTGGGTCTATTCTCATCTGGAACACAACTGCCTGGTTGCACACGGACACACACAGCTCAATACAATGTCATCGTCTGTTCATTTCAAATTCAAGTCCCAGAAAGAACCCTCACGGGTTACTTTCGATGGCACTGGTATTTCAGTCTTCGAGCTCAAGCGAGAGATCATCAGCCAGAGTAGATTGGGCGACGGGACTGACTTTGAGCTCTCCATTTACAACGAAGACACCGGAGAAGGTATGTCACATGGATGGTCCTCCCCAATTCCTCTAGTCATGCTGACGGTCAATAGAGTACGACGATGATACGACCATTATCCCTCGATCAACCTCCGTCATCGCTCGCCGGTTGCCCGCAGCCCGCCCCGGCAAAGGTGGCGCAGCTCGATATGTCTCTGGAAAGATGCCAGTCAATGCTCGCAACGCCTCGCGAACCGAACCGTCAACCGCTCGTGTTGCGCCTGGAGCTGCTTATGCAGTCAACAACAATGTCCTAGAGCTGAACAATGCACAGACGGAAGAAGAGAAAATCAATGCGCTGTTCAACCTCCAGGCTAGTCAGTGGAAGGAACAGCAGCAAGAGATGGCCAAGTCAGTATTATGCTCCCAGGTTTTATGATGCCCGAAAAGTCCGAACACGGCTAACCTGATCCAGTGCGACCCCGGTCCCATTTGGACGAGGTAGAGGAAAGCCCGTCAATGTCCCCGATCACCCACCTCCCCCGGTTACTTGTGCTATCGCTGTCGGGAAAAAGGTATGTCGATCCCATTTTGTCGACCAACTTCCAGTCAAGCTTACAATCAACCACAGGCCATTGGATCCAGGCGTGCCCAACTAATAACGACCCCAAGTTTGACGGCAAATATCGGGTCAAGCGGTCCACCGGCATCCCGCGGTCTCTTCAAACGAAGGTGGAAAAACCGGAATCGCTGGCTCCCGATGGTTCGAGTGACGATTCGAGGAATACGGGTGTCATGGTCAATGCTGATGGAGATTTCGTCATTGCGAAACCGGACAAGGCAGCCTGGGAATTGTATCAGGAAAAAGCCAAAGCGTCTGCTGCCGCTGCTGCGGAGGCGGCCGCTGCGGAAGAGAGCAAGGCCCTGCAAGCCCGGGGCCTGGAGTGCCCGATTGACAAGAGGATGTTCCTAGAGCCAACGAAAACCCCATGTTGTCAAAGGACATATTGCAATGACTGTATCTCAAATGCCTTGATTGAAAGTGATTTCGTCTGCCCCGGATGTTCCACGGAGGGTGTTCTGCTCGATAACCTTGTCCCAGATGAGGAGGCAGTCGCCAAAATCAAGATCTACGAGGCCGAAAAGTTGGAGGCTAGGAAAGAGAAGGAGAAGCAATCTGCTAGCCAGGATGAGGCCTCGACCAACGGTGCCCCCTATTCCGAGTCAAAAGAGACTGTACCCAAGGAGCAGTCACCTTCCCACCCAGAGACGGATGGTGCATCCACGCAGTCAAGGAAGAGACCCGCCGAAGATGCACCAACTCCGGACTCGGCTGATGCCAGCGCCGAGATTAAGACAAAGAAGCAGCGAAGCGAGAGCCAGCCTGACAATACACCCAGTACCGAGAACAACAATAAAGACAGTCTGGCGGCTACAGCTGTTCCTCCATTCAACCCTCAGTTGCACTTCGGCGGACCCGGCATGATGCCGCCCTTTACGGACCCTGGTTTCGGTAATGAGGCGATGGGCTTCATCAACCCGATGGCTATGGCTAACGGTTTCCCCAATCCCATGGGCCCCGGGTGGAATCCAATGAATATGCCGTTCAATCCGCTTCAGGCCGGCATGTATGGGGACCAGTCCAATGGATTTCCAAATATGTTCAATGGCGATCCTTCTATGTCAATGTTTCCGATGGCTCAAATGACATCAATGCAGAACAGCGGGTTCCCGGGCACCGGAATGAACAATTTTTCCAATCAGCAACGGACCTCATTCGGTGGACCTTATGCACGCGATGAAGACTCGGCATATTTCCGTCAACCGGTGAATCCCCAGCGCCATCAGGCCAGGCATCGACGGGTACGACCCAGCGACTACCGAGAACTTTGAAAGTAGTACAACCGGAATCGAATCGAGCAAGATATTTTGGCGTTCGGGACCTCGGATTCACAATGTACAGACATCCTTATTTTCCTCCTTCCTTACTAGAACAGCGTGACTTCATTCTATCTATCTTTTTTATTTCTTTCCTGCCTTTTTTTTAATCCGTTTATCTTTACGTACTGGTCTCGTCCAGTATTTGGTCTGGATAGGCCACGAGCTTGCATACTCAATCAATATGTATTTTTAGCAGGTTGCCCAACGAATCGAGATTCTCTCAATAGCTAAGGACAGAATTAATATTTTTTTAGGAAAAAAAAAAATATTAAAACGTTCAAAAAATAGCGCGCTAGACTCAAACCTAACACTTCCTCAACAAGCAAGTGATGCTGCTCCATCCAAGTTCACTTTCTCCGACTAGCCCCGTGTTTGATACTAACCAAGCGAATATGACAAAATCATATGCAGCATTCTAATGTCTTTCTAAGTTGAAAGAACTATATACTAGTACTACATTCGAGGCCGTCCAAATAATCAAATCACAAACGAAACAGAAAACAAGAGGGGCTTGAAATCGCAAAGTCGTGCTCAAAGCAAAAGCCCAAGCGCTACACCGACATTGTCAGGTGACCGCACCCGGTGGATCCGTCGAAATTCCCCCCAGACTTCCGTCAATAACCCACATCTCTCTCATCCCTCATTAATGCTCCACGTCCCCGTTATTTTCTTACAGAATCTTCTCGACGACCACGAGTCCAGTTTCACTATGGCGAACTACATGAGTAACCATAGTTGGAGTCATTACAATCATATGTCCCGATTTCTCGACCAAGAATGCACGGCCGCAGCCAGCTGCTACGCCGTTGAGTCGTCGACTTCGAAGGTTCACGGCTTTCACTATTGCACTACGCTGGGTGCCGGTATGTCTTTTCGTTCATTACAGGAAGCTCTGCCTAGTACTAACCTCACCCGGCAGGAGCACAGTGGTGTCCCTGAGGTCCCCTCAGGGTCTAAAAACTCCATATTAAGTCCTCCCCTTGAACGTCCCGCCGCCAGTGTGGAACGGAGTTTGCCCGGGAATAACCGGTCCGAGCAGAAAGGGGAGGCAATGTTCACCATTCCGGAAGAGTGTGAGAGGCTCTTCTGTGACACACTCTCCGCGACTTTCCTTGGTGAGGGGATTGACGCGCGACAGGAGTCACTGGGAATGGGTGCATTTCAAAACCAGCCAAGCCAGATCGAACCTGGACACAGTCGGATCAATAAATGGGTAGAAGTGTGGGACTACTCTGGCGATGCTATCTACCGTGGATTCTTGACGGAGATGAACGGCGAGCGGACATTGTTTGTGTTCTTCGAAGACGATGCACTCGGTCATGTTCTGAAGTCAGGGTACGCCCCAATCTTCTCGCTCTATCACATACATACGTATCGGACTATCGCTGACGGATGTTTCACCAACAGGTTAATCGCACTTTTCGAGCTCGCAGGTATCGACGTTTTTGACTGTTCGCAGATCGTCGCATGCGTCAAACGATCGGAACACACAAACGAAATGGAGCTTGTGCGGAGCCTCGGATGGTGTGGGTTCAGTCTTACCACACTCGAGCCTTGGGCATCCGAAGGCGATTCGGGTCCTTTCTTCAGCACCAAATGGCTCTTCCTGGCTGCCGAAGTATAGCCAAATCCTCCCAAGCAACTCGGCTGCTTGACATTCATGCCTGCTATTATATCTCAGACCTAATATCTGCCATGAACAGGACTTCCAATTATTTATGCAATGCGACGTTTGGACAAACCCATTTTTCCTCATTCCCATTACGGCAGTGTCAGCTTTATCACCAATAGCAAGAATAAGTGTTCATGTATTCTAGGTGCCTTAGTTCGTGTGCTCCTTAATCCTAGGTATTTTTCTCTTGATATTGCTCTTATTTGCTCTTCGCATGGCATGGTAGCTTTATTAGTTTCCACTCCAGGGCGAGGTTTTCCTGTGCCGCAATAGTACAAGAATGGCAACCAAAGGTTTCTTAACTCTAGGAGCGTTTGCTGTTTTCCCCTATACCGAGAAAGCATACCTGTGTTGAAATATTGTGGTCATAGTAAAGATGGTTGTCCTCAAGGTGTATTCCTTTTCACAGTTGGATAAATCAGATAAGTGTGGCGCAAGTCGTTGACTTGTAGGAGCCTGTGTCTTAAACCCATCTCATAGTTTATGTTAGTCTACTATGAAACATAGCACAGCATATTATTATGATAGATGCCATCCTGTGTCTATTCAAATGTCTTCCCAGGGTTGCTCCGTGCCCAGGTCAATTTGAATAAGCTTGATGATAAGATAAGCAGGTGTTCCGCATTTGATTGTATGACGTGGGTAAGAGGAGCTCCAACCCTACCACTTTCCCCTCGTTTCATCCGCAACTCCTTGATCATGTCGAAGGAGCAGGCCAAAAGTACGCCGTTATTTCCACGATTCCTTCTTCCCTCTTCCTCCCACGCAAAAAGCGGAGGGTTCTCCCCAACCCCGAGCTTCCGGGACCACACCGACAAGTACTTGGATGGCCATCTCTCTTACCTCCGCTGCTCTGAGTGTTCAGTACACCTCTGTCTGACGTCTCAAATCATCAGCAAAGGCTTCACGGGTCGTCATGGTCGTGCATATCTTGTATCAGCAGAGCCGGTAGCGAGCGCAGTCTCAGTCAGCCCATCTTCGTCCACCACAATCTCTCTGCCCAATACCATCTTACAGCGTCCGGTACCCCGCCAACTAGTCACGGGAGCACACACAGTGAGCGATGTCGGTTGCGCATTTTGTGGGAGTATTCTGGGATGGAAGTATGTTGCTGCCGAAGAGGAATCGCAACGATACAAGGTGGGCAAGTTTATTCTGGAGACCAAGAAAATCACAACATCCTCGTGCTGGGAGTCCCCACCAGAAGTCAAAGCCCCCACACCAGAGAAGGCCGATTCGCATGAGAATATGCTAGAAAGCCCGGAGCTTGAGTTTGATAGCCAGGATGAAGATGAGTGTGAGGATTTATTCGCTGGTATCTGGAGCCCTGGCCTGGCCAGCCGTCGCAGATGTCGCAAGATGGAACGAAGGCCTGCGATGTTTGGTCTATCATGAGATCGATGTGATTTTCAGCAATTTCGTGGTTGTCCCTCTTTCTATTTTTTTATTTCGCGACAGTATACCCAGTGGCTTCTTAGGTCGCATGCACTTTCCCGCCTTGGTTATAAGGAATGCAATATCAAGGAGCTATATGTTATGAATCGACTTGATGTATTTTAGTGATTGATTTAATAAGACAAATGTAGCTATACCCCTTCCTCGACATCTCAATCACTTTATATTCTGCATGTTGCCTGGTCTTTTGCCGGGCCACCTATCAGATCATCCATCCAATTATCTACCTGGTCATCTACTCAGCCACTTTCATGACCCAGTCGTCTAGTCAACTACTCCCTACACGACGATTCAGGATTCAAGGCAAAGAAAAGGGCTCAGGCCCCGATTATTTATGCACAGAGAGGAAGTTCCCACTATTTCCTCACTTAGGATGGCTGAATGAAATAGTATCAGATACTTTAAGTGTTAAGATGTGGGGGTGGATGTAATAGTACCCCTGATTGATGGCTTGGGAAAAAAAAAGCTTGTGATATAGAAATACCCAGTGGAACGTATGAAAGTTTAGATACGCCAAAAAGTACGGGTAAATATGAAGTGCCACAGAAACGCCGATTAAGCCAAATATCGAAAGCGTGAACATCACGCATCATTCACCCGTGCGCGTTTTGACTCTTCCGCGGAGGCGTCATCTTCCGCAGGGCGTTTGGACGATTGCTGAGAGGGCTGACTGGCAGCAGGCTTTCGTCGAACCAATGATGAGAGATCTGTTGCACTTTTGCTTACGGCGTCGAGGCGGGCTTTTTGATCTGTTGTGGACTGACCAACGATCTGTCCGAGGATGCCTTTCAGCATGGCTTCATTTCCTTGGTCTCCTTGCTCAAGCGAGACTGGGGATTGCCGAAGATCGATCAACTGTGGAGGGTGTTAACAGGCATTCAATGCTCAAAATAATTAAAAACGGGCAAAATGTCTTACTCTTTGCTCCATGTCAGCAATGATCTCCTTGACGTTCGCAATCTTGCGCTTCGCAGCGGTTTCTTTATCTTCGCCCATATCTTTGTCGGTGTCCAACCTTTTCTCCTCTTGAGCCATGCGAACTTTGCAGCTTTCGATGGCGCGCTCCATTTGTGTGGCGGCTTCTGCGCGCATCGTCTCATCCACTGTCTTCGGTTGATCACTGTCTTCCTCGTCTTGCTGCTGTACGGAGGCGAACTCTAGGGCGAGAGACAGCTTGTAATGGCACTCAGCGACGGAAGGATCCTCAAACGGGACAAGAGAGTTTCGGAGATCTAGCGCGGTTCGAAGATCGGAGACAGCATCAGAGAATCTCTCTGCCTCGAGGGAAATTTCTGCCTGAAGGTCGTAGGTGTCGGCAAGTCGTTCTTTGATGTGCTTCAAATGCGCCGGAAGCTCGGTCGACTTGCCCTTGCTAACATTGTTCTCTTCCGCGGCGCTTAACTTTTTGAGATAGAGAACCCGCGCCAGATCCAGAACTTCAAAAGCATTGGCAAAGTCATCCTCCTCTTCATCATCCTCTTCTCCTGCGTCGCCATTTTCCTCTTCTTCCGACTCAGAGTCAACAAAGTTTTCATCGCCAGTGAACTGGAAAAGTGGCTTAGACGGCGTTGCCTCGGAGCGTGCACCTTTACCTTCCGAGGAGCTTTCACCCTTGGCCATGGAGCTTGAGATCGCGGTTTTGATCAAGCCCTCTCCAGCCGAGGCTGGTCCGGTGGAAGTTGCACTTGCTTGACCAGCGTGGCTAGAAAGACCCTGAGGTTGTTCTCCTGCCACCTTGGATCCGAGAACATCGCTTTTGCTGACGGCAACATTGTAGAGAGACTTCCCATAGGCGTAGAGGATATCAGCGTTGTCAGACGATAGCTCGCCATTCAGTTCCGCCTGGAGTTCAGTTGCTTGTGAATAGAGCTCCGAAGCAGAATTGTGGTCTTTAGCTGCATCTTTGGCGGCTGCGCGTTCGATGAGTTCGACCAGCTGGGCACGCTTATCTGGCGAGTCTCCTTTGGAGGCTTGGGGAATCGTGAATTGCTCTGCTTCCGCCATTGTGTAGGTGGGGGAAAAGGTGGGTGTTGGTAGGAAGGGCGGAGTCGAATGCAGATGGTTGACGAAAGACGATCGATAATCGATAAGCAGCGCAGCCCCGTCGCGCTTGCGCGCGTCACGCGTCGCCGCGGACCTTTTCTCACTTCACGATTTGGCGACTCCAGGTAATTCACTTCGTTCTCACAGTCACGCCTCGAGTCAACATTAGTTTGCTGACTCATTAATTCTTTCGCTTTCAGTCTGTCACACAGTTTTTCTAGATACATTCTGCGCCACTGCGCATATACAACATAATGGAGCCGACCTCTACCCCTCGGCATACGGATCGCCTCAAGGCTACTGATCCAATTCCCTCATCTTCTCCGGCATTTGGCACACCAGCTCGGCCCTTCCGCATGCCCAAGACTTATGCACCTCCCACCAAAACATCTATCTTACCTATCCTACTTCCGCCTTCCACACTTCGCCCAGTCGCCTTCCGAACGTTCACTCGCAAGCATAACCTGACTATTTCATCACCGGCACTTCAAATCTTGGCAGTTTTTGTTGGAAAGAATTGTGGATCAGGATGGCGCGAAGAGGGTCTTGCGGAGAAAGTCCTTGATGAGGTTGCAAAAATCTGGAAAAGGGGCCGGGGGAGGTGTCATTGTCGAGGAAGGGAAAGGAGCGTCACTCAAAGCCATTTTGCAGACCCTCGAGGGGAGCATGAGTGGCGGGCGAGTCGTTGCTGGGAAGACAACATCCTCAGATGGGTCCTCGAAGGTGTCCGGTATGGGTGCCGATGTCGGACGCATTGACCTGAACAAAGATCACTCGCAGGGATCTCTTACATCGAGGGCCGCAGGCGCCGAGGAAGACGAATCTCAAATATCCACACATCCTCGCAACTGGCTCAAAGTTATCGAGGCTTTTGACCTCCCTCGCCTGACCTACAATGTCGACAAGAAGTATTTCGAAGCAGTCAAGTCGAAACCGACTCTGTTCCCACCCCCTTCACACAAGACTGCACTTTTCCGAGACAGGTATAATCTGGTGTACCAACGGCTGCTCCGCAACGAATCCTTCCAAAGCTCCTTTAGCATAGCGGGTATTCCTTCGCTCCAACGATCGTCATCGAACATTGCCACTCAACAATCATACAAGTTGACACCAATTGCAAATTTGCTTGGTCGGAGCGGTACATCTCATCTTCTACTGGGCTTGCTCGCAACATCTCCTACTGGCGATCTGTCATTAGTGGACTTGACAGGAACTGTGGCCCTGGATTTGAGCCATGCGAGAATGATTCCAGAAGATGGTGCCTGGTTCGCGCCTGGTATGATTGTGCTTGTTGATGGGATCTATGAAGAAGAGGAGATGGTCAAGGGCTCCATTTTGGGAGGGAATACTGGAGTCGGAGGGGCCATTGGAGGTCATTTTGTCGGCGTGTCCATTTGTGGTCCTCCTTGCGAGAGAAGAGATATCTCGCTCGGGACTGGTAATCGTCAGGGAAGCGGCGAACTCAGCTCAAGTGGTGGGTTTGGCTGGGTGGACTTCTTGGGAATAGGCAGTGAGCGCGCCCAGGGTACTCGCATGAGGAGAATCCAGGAGAAGTGTCTTCAGAGTGAACCAGAAGCCACGGAGGCCACACCACCCCGATTGAAGCTTGCGGTAATGAGTGAAATAAATCTCGACAACATGAGAACATTGGATGCTCTGCGGAAGGTGTTCAGTTCTTATAACGATCTTGCACTCCATGAACGGCCTCAGACTTTTGTTCTTATAGGCAACTTCGTGCAAAGAGCGGTTATAAACGGGGGCGGACGAGCTGGGAGTATCGAGTACAAGGAATATTTTGATTCGCTTGCGGTTGTTCTCTCCGAATTCCCTGCCTTGCTGCAGCACTCGACATTTGTATTCGTTCCCGGCGACAACGACCCTTGGGCCTCAGCTTTTTCAGCAGGTGCAGCTTCTTCAATACCGCGCCAACCGATCCCCGAGCTTTTCACTTCCCGGGTTCGGCGTGCATTTGCAACAGCAAATTCGGAACTCGATAGATCCCAGACGTCTGAGCCGGCAGGCGAGGCGGTGTGGACTTCAAACCCGGCCCGTTTATCATGGTTTGGACCTGTGCATGATATTGCTATCTTCCGGGACGACATTTCTGGACGGTTAAGGCGCAGTGCTATAGACACCAAGGCCGACGAGGATGAATCCGACACTACCATGCACGAGGCCCTTGAGAATGATACAGTCTCGATGGAACCAGAGCCTACGGAGCAGGTAAACGGAAACAGAAATGATGCTGTGTCACCAGCTGCACTCATGGCTCGCAGGCTGGTGAAGTCTGTTCTAGACCAAGGGACAATTTCCCCGTTTCCCTTGACGATGCGGCCTGTTCTCTGGGACCATTCATCTGCTGTTCAGCTATATCCGCTCCCTACTGCCCTGGTTCTGGCCGACTCCGAAGCCACGCCTTTCTGTATGACTTATGAAGGCTGTCATGTCATGAACCCGGGACGCTTGCTTCCGGAGGGTGGCCTACAAAACGTAAGATGGGTTGAGTATGATGTCTTGCGGAATCGGGGCAAAGTGAGAGAGGAGCGGTATTAAAGAGCTCCAACGTGCCAAGGTGACACTAAGCTGCTCTTCGCGATCATTAATACTGTACGCTTTTATATATGATATGAACTGCTTGTACGGAGGGCATGATGTTATGACCTCGAGTCCATAGACAGCGAACCTATAACGGAAGTTTTTTACAATGAAAATTGCAAACCGTGAGATTTACATGCATGTCATATTGAAAATTCTAAGAATACAGTCGTGAAGGGAAGACGGAATAGATGTCTCCCTCAAACATCAAGAAATCCGAAGACTTCAGTACGGGTATGCATTCACGAAGAGAATGAGAAACCATGGAACTAGTCAATCGTGATTACATCCGTATTTCCGGGTGCAGCATTCTGCGGCGATACCTGCTCGGCTTTCGCAACAGATGTCACAGAGGGCTGGTTCATTGTGCCGGGGCGTTGACCATATCCTGGCTGTTCCTGTTTAACGGGCTCGGTCGGACAGGCACTGAGACATTCATGAAGTTTGGTAATAAGGTTTCCTACTTTGTCAATTGAAGACAAAGCACCATCACCAAGACCTTGCCAGCCGTCGCCACGGGAATTATAGACCTGCCCCCGTACTGCGTCATAGACCTTACCACGGCCAGGCGAGCCTGACGGGTTGAAGTCTTCCAGTAACCACACTTTATGCCCTTGTCGCGGCCGAGCAGACAACCGGAATTGTGAATTCTGGGCGTACTGGATTTGAAAGACTGTGGGGCTCCGCACGGTAACCAGTACAATGACGGATGTTGCCTCAGTCGACTTGGTGATTTGATCCAGGCAATGAAGAAGCGGTGAGGTTTCTGCTATAGAGCCAAGGACAGACTCCACACCAGACTCCGAAAATCGCGCATTCAAGGCCACTGTAAGTGCTTCCTGAAGGCGACGATGAGGACTGGGGATGTCGAAGTCAATTCTGAAACGTAGGCTGAAAAGCGGGATGGGGTTGGAGAGGATGCTTGGGATATCAATGTAAGTGGATGGCGAAGGCCCTGTAGTGTCGATGCCGAATTGTGCCGAGAGGTTGTGATCCTGTCCATATGAGAAGGAGATCTGCGACAACGACAAGGACTGTAGTCGCATTCCCTTCTGCATAAGAGACTGGAGAATGTACAGAATGCAGTCAAGCCGTTGGAGGCGCTCAAGGAGGCCGATGAGCACAGATTGGCCAACGGGGGCAAGCAAACGCAGCGAGAAACCTGACCCCTTTTCCTGAACGGCGAGCGAAGGATCCGTCTTGGAGATGAGGGGAAGAAGAGTCTTCGCGGAGAAACGAAGAGAGCCGTAGGCCACTACAACAGTTGAGTGGGTCTGAGCATCGATTCCTTCGAAAGAAAGACGGATGGAATCCCGCACGTAAGATCTCTTTCGCAACACAGGAGGCAGCGCGAGTCGAACGACGGCTGGGATACGTTGTGGCTTGTACTTGAAGACGAGATCTGGAACCTCAAAATTTGGCCCCAGCTTCAATTGCTTCAATGGCGGGTGAAATTGAGCCCCTGGCAAATATGCCAAGCATCGTGCATTGACATAGATTGCCAGCATTCCCGTCAAAGAACGAACCAGCTCCGAGCATGCAGAGTAACTGACCTGCCCTGATGGTATCAATTTATCACTGATAGGATGGACCAGAGATGAACCATCCTTTCTGGTGTATGTAGGCACAGTACGTGCGGGCTCAGTGGTTCGAACTGGGACCAGGTACCATCTATCGCCATCCATACTGCTCGTCGCAGCAACAACCCAGCGTCGATCCCAGTGCCGATGGCCAAGAAGAGAAAAACGTACAGTATTGCTGGGAAAGAGTTGCCGGACGTCGACTCCAAGCCCACTCTGACTGATATTTTCCAGGCCAAGCGGTCTGGTGCCAGACTCAATCTGTTCGACCGCCGAGTGACATCTGAGCCGAGTGACTCGGTAGAACAATTCTTCAACGGCGGACTTATACTGTCCTCGTTCTCGTTCCAAGGTACTGGAAGGCCCGAAGAATGCAATTGCTCCTGTTGACGGCTCAACTGACACTTTGAGAGAACGTGAACGGGTCAACTGAACATCAAGGTAGCAATCTCCTGGCTCCATTGGTGACAAGTGAGCGCGCAATGAGAGCTCTGAGCGGGCGAATAGAAGGTTCTTTTTCAGGGTAAAAAAGGATTGAGTGAGTATATGTGATGCGTGCAAGGCGATAGCACTTCGCAAAATGCACTCCAACGAGAGCACTGTCGGGTCAAAATTGATGCCCTCACTGCTGACCTTTTCGCCATCTCGAATCCAGCGAAGACCGAGGTATGAAACCCTATCATCGCGGTAGCTGTTTTTTCCTCGTTGGACACCAATCTCAAGCCAGCTTTTTTGGCTCGTCCTCGTTGGCCAGTACTGAACGACGAGGATTCGATGGAGAAGCTCGATATGGAGGACATTTGACCACGCGCCCCTCACAAGGTCCACAGCCTGTCTGTGGAGGATACTTATCTTGTTGGTGAGGACCAGGCCGTGGAGGAAATCAAAGCAACCCACCAAGCCCTCGTTACGGAGGACATCGTTGATTTTGGCATCAAGTTGGTTGAATATCCGGCCTTTTGGGATCGGTGATGAAGGTGAAAACAAGAATCGAATATCCACGAAAAAGAACTGCGAAGATTTTGCCTCTTCCGCAACGGAAAGGTCAAGCTCAAATTCTCCAGGAACTGTGAAAGTAACCCGGCCATCGTGAACACGGTAGTTGCGCAAAGAACGGGGCACTTCGTCGTGAAGCACCAGTCGCACGCTGATGATGCGATTAATCTTGTGCAATTTAAGGAGCGTTGACCGCGCAGTCAGCGTTTTCGGTGGCTTGTAGCCAAACTAGAAGATGATTCATTAGCAAAAGAGAACATGCAGAAGACGGGATTGTCGGGGCCAGTAAAACCTACATCTGGCAGAGATGCTATCCGACCTTTCGAGAGAATCTCCAGCGCGGTCTTGAGATCTGGATTGGCCACTTGTGCCCGAACGAGGTCCTGCTTCATTTCTCCCACATATTGAACTGCTGCTGCATATGCTTGATGTCGCGTACGAATGAAATTTTGGATATCGATAAGCCGGCTGACTTCTGAAGCCTGTCGGCTCCACTGGGAAAGAACCAAAAGCTTGATGAATTCGGCTCTCTTCGCATGTGCAAAATCGAGAATCTTTACTTTTTTGTGCAGGTTCTCTGAGGATTGATTCCCTGCGACTTTACCATTGACCATTTGTGCAGATGAAGGGTCGTGGGGCACTTGAATTGCCGCCAGTTCCGCGATCAGTTCCGAGAGGTCATTCCAACATTGCTGCACGGCCCGATTAACAAGTGTCCCAAACGGGAAAAATCCTTGTGTGATATGAGGCAAGTCGAACGGCGCCGAGTCAAGTTGTTCACCATGGCGTACTGGCGCTTTTGATTGTTGGCTCAAAGCATCGGGTTCCCTCCCTACGCCATTCACAAGGGCCGGTCCGTTCGCAGCAACAGGAAGTTGACTCGACTTTTCATTGATTCCATATGAATGGAACGCACCATTGACAGCCTCGTTAGGACTTGGCCTTCGCCCAGATCCCTCGACGTTGACGCTATCCATGACGACGCCGGGCATGTCTAACAGTACCACTTGGTCAGAGCGTGGTGGTTCAGGAACCTTCCCCTCCTGGACCTTCTGCACAGTGCAGAACAAACGACTTGATGTAGCCGTTGCCCCAAGCTCGAATCAGTCGGTGCCGGGAGGAGGAAGGGAAGCTGATGGCGGAGACTTGGAGAGAAAAGCGTTCTCAGCCCAGTGCCATGCGTATCACTGGCCACCGAAGACAATGGCCATGGGCATAATCATGGGAGCCCGGCGCAGAATCAGAGCTCTGAGTGAGGATCGGAAGGGTGAATTCGAATGAGTATCGCCGAGCGAGGACGGCACCTTCGAGGGAGGATTTGAAGCGGGTTGCGCCTGTAATGGTCGGGTGCGCGTGGTTCGCCCGAAACCGAAGAGAGGGAGCCCAGGAGGTCGGAAAGGTCGTCGCAAGAATCGCAGCTCAGCGACGGGACTAGGTTTGGAGGAAATCGAGGGCGCGTGCAGAGAGGGGGCAGGATGTAAGAGATGCAACAGGCGATGGAGTGAATTGTTGAAAGCGCGAAACGCACGTCCCTTGGCGGCGGCCTTAGTGCCTGGTATTGTCAGAGGAGCGTATCCCGCGATCATTGCGGCTGCGGCTTGAGTAGTGGTGACGCGGTAATTACCAGGAATGCTTTCCCCATGACCTCACCATCCAATGCATCTCTTTTCACTGTCGAGCTGAGCTCCCCCAGGAGTAATTCACCAACGCCTGAAGAATGAACCGCGAAGAGGCCAATGGGCCAACTCCTCAGTATCTGGGCGATGACCCTCGGCCCACAAGCAGGAAGGAGCTCGCTGGCTGGTACTGCTATGGCTGGGCTGCCGAGGTGTTTACGGTCTGTGCTATGGGTATCTGATCCTACTGTCTTGACCAACCCCCATTCTGTATGCTCCTCCTCCTGACTGTGATAGGATCCTTTCTTCCGATTACACTTGAGCAGCTGGCACGCGACCGCGGTGTTCTGCTCTCAGATAAGACGACGCCATGTTCGCCAACATGGAGCCCTTCTAGGCAGGCATCTGATGGAGCTGAACCCAGCGTGCGATCCCCAGCAACCGGCCAGTGTATCATCTACTTCCTGGGTGCCGAGATCAATACCGCCAGCTTTGCCTTGTATACGTTTTCAGCGAGCGTCTTGGTTCAAGCCATTCTGATTATTTCCATGTCAGGGGCTGCCGACCATGGATCCTATCGTAAAAGGTTATTGGTCATTTTTGCTTTCACCGGCTCAATAGCAACCATGCTGTTCCTTGCCGTTGTGCCCCGGATTTACCTTCTTGGTGGACTTCTTGCCATCGTGGCGAACACCTGTTTTGGGGCGTCCTTTGTGCTGTTGAATTCCTTTTTGCCGGTTCTGGTGCGCCATCACCCTGCAATCCATGAGAAACTCCAAGAAGAGGGAGGAGAAGCAGACCTGCCACAGAATGGTGCAGTAGCTTCATCGCAACGTCTCTCGGGACCAGCCGCAAGTAGTGGCCGTGCGGGCCTTGATGCCTCGACGCCATTGCTCGAGTCTCGGACAGGGATGGCAGCGGAAACGATGACATCGCTGGAGCTCGATCTCTCCACTCGGATATCATCTTATGGGATCGGTATCGGGTATATTGGAGCCGTGACTTTACAAATGATTTCTATCATTGCGGTAGTGGTGACCAAGCAAACCACCTTCTCACTCCGTCTTGTCTTGTTTTTGATTGGCTTGTGGTGGTTCGCATTCACGATTCCAGCTACTCTATGGCTGCGGACACGCCCTGGACCACCTCTTCTGGGCACTGATGGGAAACCACTTGCGTCGTGGCCCGGGTACCTGGCGTTTGCGTGGAAATCCCTAGGGAAGACCGCGATGCGAGCACGGCGATTGAAAGACATCCTTCTCTTCCTTGCTGCCTGGTTCCTCCTCAGCGACGGCATCGCTACGGTCAGCGGGACCGCAGTGTTATTCGCGAAAACCCAACTGGATATGAAGCCAGCAGCCTTGGGGCTGATCAATGTGATTGTCATGATTGCCGGTGTGTTTGGAGCGTTTTCGTGGAGCTACGTCTCGAGACTACTTCGGCTTCGTGCATCGCAAACCATCATTGCATGCATCATTCTCTTCGAGCTCATACCCATCTACGGCATGCTCGGCTTTGTGCCATCTGTGCAGCGTCTCGGAATTGGTCTCCAGCAGCCTTGGGAAATGTACCCTCTAGGGGCCGTCTACGGACTTGTGATGGGGGGATTGTCTTCGTACTGCCGCAGTTTTTTCGCCGAGCTGATCCCACCTGGTCATGAGACAGCCTTCTATGCTTTATATGCGATCACAGACAAAGGATCCAGTGTATTCGGACCCGCCATTGTGGGTGCCATTGCTGACCGTTACGGGGAAATCCGGCCCGCATTTGTGTTTTTAGCCATCCTGATCTTGCTGCCGTTGCCACTCATGCTGCTTGTGGATGTCGATCGTGGAAAACGAGATGCGCTGGAACTGGGGGCCGAGTTGGATCGCACCACGGAGGTACAATCAAGCTACGGGACCATTGCGGCGGGATTGTTGGAAGATCCATCGCGGGTCGAGGGAACCGCTGGGGCCATGTAGATCATCCTGCAGGGCTAAATGCTCAGTCGATACGGCCCCAAAGGAAATCAGCCTTCCCATCCAGGGTATTCAAATATATTAGTACTATATCCTCCATATGATCATGTAAGCGAGATGAGTTGAGTTGTGGCCAGATCGCCCCATACCTCTCTACCTCGTACAATGCTCCAGTCTGTCCAAGCCACCCCGGGGTTGTTGCACAACAAGCCCGCACCCAATAGACCTGGTGCGCCACCCTATAGTGTTCGTCTAGTGTCCGTAGTATCGCTCCCGTTGGACGAGACGTAACGCACGAGCGTCGCGCGGAATTTCGGGACGTGTCGCCAGAAGCAATACCACTGGCTAGTGGCGATGTACCTGGCGAGCATGTCCAGGGTGCTGGGGATACCTGGGGGAACCTGGGCCCTGGCAGGGGATGCCCACCGCGCCCCGGTACCAGACGGGTACATTGTCCCGCGGGACCCAGGGATCCTCCCCCCTGCGTGGGCGCCCTGCATAGCAACTCTGCAGCTCCACTCTCGCAGCCGCAAAGAACAAACTGTCCTCAACTCCGGCCCCCATATCTGTCGTTCGATAAATACACCTTGGCCTTCTTGTGTTTCTTATATTCCCCAAGCTCGGTTCACTGGGTACGATCTTCCCCTCTCATCGACAAACGCCCTTCTTCCCGGCTGACACGTTCCCCTCTTTTGGTCTCGATAGGTGGTGATTTGAAATCCGGTACTCTACTTTCCTGTTCCATCATCATGCGGTCGTTCGCTCCTCTGGTTCTGAGCCTCTTGGGAGCTTCTGCAGCTGTCTCCGCTGCGGAGCCTGCGGCTGATGCCGCCGACTCCAATGTCATCTCATTGACCAAGGACACCTTCGATGACTTTGTGAAGGAGCACGACTTGGTTCTGGCCGAGTTCTTTGCGCCGTGGTGCGGTCACTGCAAGGCTCTGGCTCCTAAGTATGAGGAGGCTGCCACTGAGCTCAAGAGCAAGAACATCCCTCTGGTGAAGGTGGATTGCACCGAAGAAGAGGACCTGTGCCGCACCTACGACGTCGATGGATACCCGACCCTGAAGGTCTTCCGTGGCGCCGATTCGCACAAGCCCTATGGCGGTGCGCGTCAGACCGACTCGTAAGTTATCCTCTTCCGGGCGGCCTACTGTCGTTCCACACAGTGCGTCCGTGAGATCGCGTGGCCGCTGACCGTGTTTGTTTGTTTGTTTGTTAGGATTGTCTCGTACATGACGAAGCAGTCGATGCCCGCCGTTTCCATCGTCACCGAAGAGAACCTGGAGGAATTTAAGACCCTGGACAAGATTGTTATCATCGGCTACGTTGGCTCGGATGATAAGACCGCCAACAAGAGCTTCACCGCGTTCGCCGAAGCTCAGCGTGACAACTACCTGTTCGCCGCCTCCAACGACGCCGCTCTGGCCAAGGCCGAGGGCGCCAAGCAGCCCTCGATTGTTCTCTACAAGGACTTCGATGAGAAGAAGGCTGTCTACGATGGCAAGCTCGATGAAGAGTCCATCCTGAAGTGGGTTAAGACTGCCAGCACCCCTCTGGTTGGCGAGCTTGGCCCCGAGACCTACTCCAAGTACATGGCGGTACGTGAACAAATTATCCTGAATTGGGGAAGGGAGATGCGAAAACGAACCTCATACTAATGTTGAACAACAGGCAGGTATCCCTCTGGCGTACATCTTCGCCGAGACCGCTGAGGAGCGTGAGAAATTCGCTGAGGACTTCCGCCCCATTGCTGAGAAGCACCGTGGTGACATCAACATCGTGACCCTTGACGCTAAGCTGTTCGGCGCCCACGCCAGCAACCTCAACCTGGAGCCTGAGAAGTTCCCCGCCTTCGCCATCCAGGAGACCACCAAGAACGCCAAGTACCCTTACGATCAGTCTAAGAAGCTTGACGCCAAGGATGTCGGCAAGTTCATCAAGAACGTCCTGGACGGCAAGGTCGACCCCAGCATCAAGTCTGAGCCCATTCCTGAGACCCAAGAGGGCTCTGTCACCGTTGTTGTCGGCCGCAACTACCAGGAGGTTGTCATTGACAACGAGAAGGATGTTCTTGTTGAGTTCTACGCCCCCTGGTGCGGTCACTGCAAGGCGTAAGTGTTTCCCGTGATCAGGCCACTCTTTCTTACCATCGACTAACTGAGCATTCCAGTCTTGCCCCCAAGTACGAGGAGCTCGCTGCTCTGTATGCCGATGTTCCTGAGTTCAAGGAAAAGGTCGTCGTCGCCAAGATTGATGCCACCGCCAACGATGTGCCCGACTCCATCACCGGCTTTCCCACCATCAAGCTTTACCCGGCCGGCAAGAAGGACGAGCCCGTTGAATACCAGGGCTCTCGCACCGTGGAAGATCTTGTTGCCTTCATCAAGGAGAACGGCAAATACGAGGTCGATGGCCTGGCCGAAGGTGCGAAGAAGCCTGAGCAGGGCGGCGATGTCACCTCTTCCGCCTCCCAGGCTGCGGAGACTCCTGCTCCTTCTGAGGAGTCCCACGATGAGCTGTAAGCTCTTGGTGGAATCGAAATTTTATTTTGCAATTATAGTGTCTGTATCACCAATTTGAGATGTTGACTTTCCTTGGTGCCACGCCAATACTTCCTGTTGGTCCGTCATAAATAACTAGTACTGCGTGCTGGCCGTAGGAAATACCAGCCGAATTTGAACTCGAAATACCCACCAATTGATGGCGCATTTTCCTGGTAAAGTTTTTATATAGAGCGCGAAGAGTATTGCAATACGGGGCTCCCATGTACAACCCAAGGTGATGGATCGAATTTAGTCAGCCCTTCTCCACGACGCGTCCGCGGGTCGAGTCGCGTGCGGGCGCGTCGATCACTGCGGCTCGCCATCGCAGGTGCCTCAGCCTAGCCAAGTCACGGCCCCTGGAGTCTATTACCTGGCGAATTCGCTACCTGGTGTATTCGCATCCTCTTGCATGCTCTCACGGTTCCAATTGCCTCGACGCCTTTCTACTTCCGCCATCATGGTTAGCTCGGGCTTAAAACGCAATGCTGATCATCTCTCTGGTGCGGCTGCCGACACCAAGAAACCTAAGGGTGGAAGCATCACCTCGTTCTTTGGAGCTCCCAAGCCGAAAGCTTTGACGACACAAACTGCGAACTCGCCCTCTCGGCTCACCTCGTTCAACAAGGAGAAGTGGGTGGCGTCCCTCACTCCCGAGCAGAGAGACCTGCTGCAATTGGAGATCAATACTCTGGACGACAGCTGGCTTGCCCATCTCAAGGACGAAGTGGTGACCACCGAGTTCCTGAACCTCAAGCGTTTCCTTAAGAAGGAGAAGGACTCCAAGGCCAAGATATTCCCCCCAGAAGAGGACGTCTATTCATGGTAGGACCATCTTCTCAAAACTCTCCTGCTGTATTTTGAAGCTCATGAAAACTTCCTAGGTCCCGACACACCCCTCTGCACAAAGTCAAGGTCGTGATCATTGGTCAGGATCCGTACCACAACGACAACCAAGCTCATGGTTTGGCGTTCTCCGTGCGACCGCCGACCCGAGCCCCGCCGTCCCTGGTGAATATCTACAAGGAGATTCAGAAGGAGTACCCAGATTTCAAGTTGCCGCCCAACAATGGAGGTCTTTTAATTCCATGGGCAGAGCGGGGAGTTCTGATGCTCAACACCTGCCTGACTGTACGGGCGCATCAGGCCAATAGCCACTCGAATAAGGGATGGGAGCGATTTACCCAAAAGGCGATTGATCTTGTTGCGCGAGTGCGCACCAATGGCGTGGTGTTTCTGGCCTGGGGTAATCCTGCTGGGACCCGCGTAGCGAAGGTCAATCGGCAAAAGCACTACGTGTTGCAGTCGAAGCATCCCAGTCCGCTGAGTGCTCACGGAGGCTTTGTAAGTTCATCTATTCCCGTGGGATATTCTCTCTCATTGATGCTTTTTGGATCAAATGAAGAACTGTAATTCCTAGGAATGCGGGCTAATGAGATCTATTCTAGTTTGGAAATGGTCACTTCTTGAAGTGCAATGAATGGCTTGCCTCCCGCTATGGTGATGAAGGGGTTATTGACTGGACTTTGGTGCCGACACCAAAGACGGCCCTGGTGGCCTCTCCTCCCACATCAGACAAGGAAAATTCCTCGACGCTAGCTAATGTGCCCCCGACGACAACAAAGACCTCTGGTACCGATACCAAGTGCACTCTCGAGAAAGAACAAGCAAAGGATGAGTTTGATGATGACGACGCTCTCGAAGCTTTGGTTGAGGCAGAGAAGAGTGATCCACCTCGGGGGACTTATTAATGCTGTGCAGTCCGAACCCAAGGGAGTGCAGGTTAAAGGATCGGATCTGATTTTTGTCTGGTTATTTAAATCTGGGGCTATTTTCACTGTAGCTTAATCGGCGACTTCGGGCGTTTGAAATGTCGGTACCGGATGCACGGGATCTTTGATACTCAATCAAATTCTTGGAATGGAACTTTCATTATCTCCTGTAGGTTCGCGGAAAGTTTTACTCCCAGCTGGAAGCAACTCTGGGCGTTATGGTGCTTATCGTTGAAAGCACAAGATATTATTATGCTTGGGTGAGGCAGTAACCTAGACCAACTCAACAGCCAATTCTTTTCGGGGTGGCATATCTACTCTTCGATCACTTGTCCCCTATCATACCCCCTCTATGACTTCAAATTGAACTTCTCTCGGATGCTTTTTGGGGCGTGTAGGTCAAGTATGGAGCCAGTTCTATTGTTCCCCCCCCACCCCCCATTTGTTTTTTCTTTCCTTCAGTCGGTGTCGCTCTTGGGAACCTGATGTAGAAACAGTGAGGATGTGGTTGGTATGATGTATGATCTGCTATATTTATTTGAGGGTTCGGATCAAAACTCCTGCGTACCTTCAAAGTGTTAGGGTAGTGCTACAACGGGCTCCACTTATCGATAGACGTCAAGAGGCTCCAAGCAAATCCCTTCCAATTGGGACCGCACCCTTCACTTTGAACAGCCTATGGTCCGATGTAAGTTCACCAATGGAGCTCACTTGGCTCGCCGATACCCCTCAGTCGAGGAGTAGGACACGCGCGCTACGAGCGTGTCCCGCCTGTCAACGGCGCAAGGTGGGTGAACGACGACCCGAACATGGCGAGGGGGCGGATCGCTCGAGTTGCAGAGCCAGTGCTGAATGAGCCCCTAGAAACGGTGTCGACACTTGACTGCAAGCGCGGAGCCCCCTGACGAACCAGCTCAGCCGCCGCGAAAAATCAGAGCGCACGCATGGAATGGCGATGCCGGTGATGCGGATCGCCAGCGCTCTCAAATCTCTGGTCCTGCCCCCCGGGCGAGGACGACATCCGAGGAACCAGCATTGTCGTCATTTCCGAGCACAGAGAGATTCGTGGGCGACCTGAACCCGGAAGCCGTGATTCGAGAGAGACTCGATGCTTCGGCACACAGCCCTCTCCGGGATCGGGTTGGACTATGGATCAACTCTTCCGCCCTGCAAGATGATACTGTCAAGCCTGACAGACGGCAGACGACTGGCTCGGAATCTCTGTCTATTTCGGCGCCACACCCGATCCTCGACCGTCAAACAGTCACGTCTATGCTTCAGCAAAGATATGCATCCGCAGTCCAGTCTTGCAATGAACTTCCCGTATCGACACGAGAGAAGCTCACGGCAATATATATCAAGAAGATCCATTCGATCGTGCCGCTCTTAGACATCGAAAGACTGAAAAGCTCACATGCGAACGCATCCTCGTCAGTATTCCTGGATCGAGCTATCTGCCTCGTTGCAGCCAAAGCCCCCTCGGCCAGTCCCTTCCTTCGTCTAGAAGAGGAAGGCCCAGTTCTAAGCTCGCGCCAATTCTGCTCCGAGATCTACAACGGCCTCGCACCAGCAATGGATGCAGAATTAGAGCCAGACCGCGTGACTCGTATCCGGGTGCTGGCCTTGATGTCGCTGCATTGCGAGGGCCATGAAGGAGCCGAGGCTGCGTCCCTACATCTGTGCCAAGCGATACACCAAGCTCAAACGGTGGGTTTGCATCTCGACCGGCCGGGCCGAACATCTGCAGACCCCCTCACCAGACTATTCTGGTGCCTGTGGACACTCGACAAGATGCATGCAAGCATCGGTGGTCGTCCGGTCTTGCTGGCTGATCGTGATATTGGCATTGCCAAATTCGACACGAAGGTGCCGGAGACGCGAGGCGCATTTGCAGTTTGGCTGGCAATTTCGGATTTGCTTGCAACCGTCATCTCCTTCTATCGGCCATCTGCTGGGATCACCAGCGGCTGGGAGGATGGGTTTCCCGCCTTTGAAGATATTGTAGAGGCTAATACTAATGGAGATGTCGATTTTGCGACTTTAGGTATGTTTTACTTTTTCTTTTTCTGTATATCCTGGATGCTTTTCGTCTTCTTTTCCTGGCCACAATTTATTAACAAGACAATGTACATGCAGGCTTTCTAGAACTATATTATCACTGCGTTGCCATCCTGTCCTGCCGTTATAAGCTAACCGAGAGCCTCGATGGGACCCGTGTCTCATCTATCCGACAAGGACTGGCCGCAGTTCGAATTCATTCTATCGTCGCCGTGGAATGTGGCGACCGACTGCCACCTCACCCCATCGTGCCATACGCCATTTCACTATCAATGGGTGTCTCTTACCGACAGCTTCGCTCCAGCAAGCTGATTACACATTTTGATCGGGCCAAAGCCAGCCTCGAAGCATGCTGCACTCTACTTGAGAATCTCAGCCTCTCATGGTACTCCGCAGAGGCCATGGCGCGTTTGGGGCGAAAGGCCTTGCACCAGGTCGACCACGAGCATCACCCACAACCTGCAGACGTACCCCATGCACCGCCCATTGTCCGTGCAGGCCCCGCCGAGGCAGAGCCGGCCGCTTTCTCTACGAACACGCATGATGTTGTTCCGGCCCCAAGGCCCATCGAGATGGATTCGGGCATGCCCTTCGCGGCCCCCGTGCCCCTCATAGGCCCCGAAACCTCGTCGATGGCCAACCCGCTTCCATCAGTGCATGATCACGACCTCGATGCGCCGACGCATGGATTTGCGGATATCGATACGCTCTTTGGGGAGTTCCTCGATCTTTCACTGCCGACGAACTTCTGGGACCCCGTCTTTGCGGAGGACCAGAATAATACTAGCCAGACAGGCACGGATAGTCAAAGGCCCTTAGTGCCGGAATGAATGGACGGTTGAGGCAAGCTTCCAGAGTGTGCAGTCCAACAGAGCGCCGATCGTCATTGAAAACCGGTGCCTTTGTCCCGCCATGGCAGTTCCCACTGGCCCACGGGCTGGCCAGAACACGGTCGGTTCTTGTCGCAGGCCTCGCGCGCCCCTTCGGTGGGGGGGGCCAAATGGCGATCGCCAGTCTGTGAACCGGTTAGGGGGGTTCCTTCAGCCTTGGACTCGTGGTTCCCACTCGTGCACTATTGTCGCTACATGGCACAGTCTGATCGTCAAGCTGGTTTGCGTGGAAAACCCGATCGTGAGTGCCTGGCATTTGTCATTTGTGTCGCGAGGCCGACCCACGGAACCGCGCCAGTGTCATCTTCCCCCTTTGGTGGAGCCTGCAACAAAACGAGACCGCGGAAAAAAAAAAAATAAAAAATAAAAAAAATATAAAATAAAACTACGAGTAAAATAATATAATGAACCACTCTATGACGATGGAAAGCGATTCCACTTTCCTCCTGGCATCTCCGTACTTTTTCCCTTTGTTCCCCAGACGTTTCAAACCGCAAGAACCACGGTTCCTCCCAACAGTTTTCTTAATCTAATTTCCAATTTGGAGGCTCGGCCATTGAAACACGGCGTGTCTCCCCGCCACTCGCGCTCTTTTATCCTCGAGGACCTTTGCTCGTCATGTCTCAATTTGTTGTCCTCGCCTTCCCCTGTCTGTGAATCAGGTATGGGTCCCAAAATGGTGTCGCAAAAAGGGCCTTGCATGTTGATTCATACTCCAGCCATCCCGCTCCCCTCCCCAGCCAACAAACAATCGACCCTCGAGAACCATGAACCACACCCCGAAAGCTCAGCCCCGATTGTGATTTTATACGCGACCGTTCCCCCATGGATGCTGGCATGAACTTTGATTGGCATATTCCGTACCAGCGCTGATCCAGTTTGTCATGAGCGTATACCGAGAAAGGCGGATTTGCAACCCTCGATTTGTTGATGATTATATACTTCATCGAACCGTTCGTGGATCGCCCTCGTGCCGACCTGGAGAATATATCACGCATTGTATTGGAGGAACTCCAGCCTGCGAAGCGCTAGTCTGATGGCAGCCCAAAGTCCGGAAACCGTTACGCCGGTTCCTGGTGCAGTGGCTCGCGAGAAACAGCCGGACTGTTCCACAAGGCCCGTACGGGAATCCAAAATATATCCGAGTCACCCGATCGCTCAGCTTCAAGGTCCCTTTCAAGAATCGATTCTCGAAGCAACCGACAATTCAGCGAACGAGTGGGTGGTGGACATCGACGCACAAACTCGCCGTCGAGACTTACTAGAGAACGATGAATATGAGCGACTTTGCGGTCGAAAATGGCACCAAAGAGCCTCGGAGAAGTAAGCGTTGACCTTTGTTTTCTGGCGACAACCGCATAGAAATTAACATCGGGGGTATAGGTACCATCCATTCTGGAAGCTGGTTTCCCAGATGGTTTTTGGTGTCCATCTACTAGCCAAGCGGTTGGCGAAATCAGACCAAGAAGTCATGAAAATTCTCCAGAGCCATGTGGATGAGCTAGACGGGTTTTTACAGAGAACCACCGAAGACTTCCTTATTATCCACCTGGATGTTCGCACCCGGATTCAATACTTGAGTCTTCCACTTGGCAATCTGGATGTGTTCGATGAGATGTTGGCAGATCGGAATTTCCGCCTGGCCCTGGTGGCCTACAATGACCAGATTGAGCACTCCGTTGACCGGTTTACATTAGCCATTACCGATGCCATCAAAGACCTGAGAAAGGGTAAAGAGGCAATGGCGGCTCTGTGGCATTACCTGCTCCAACTCTCAGATCAAGGCTGCTTCCAGTCAGATAGCCTCAGGGCCTTCTACAAGGCCATGATGGAGAACATGGAGGGTTGGATAATAGCTTTATCAAAACTACGTCGGCGTGGTGCAGCTCTCCAAAAGGCGCTTGGACAACTCGCATTCGCGGTCACCGAGATGCAACGACGGGTTGGCGTAGCGAGTCGGAAAGACCTGGTAAGTCCCATATCACCTAGCCTCACCTAGCACCACCTGGTATCATTTCTATTCATGGTTCTAACTGGATACCAGCGGGCATCCCTCAAATCTGCTCATGGAGTTGGCCGAACCAATTCTGTCAGACAGAGGCTTTTCGCGAAGAGTCCAGCATCCAACAAACCGCTCCCTCGTGATCCATCATTGAAGCCCAAGCTTAGCTCAGCCTCTCGGAAGGTTGCGACGCCTGCTGCCGAAAAGACAGACAATGAACCCGAAAATGAAAAGACTACCAAGAGAGATTCGACCCTGCCGAAGTCCCTCAATCGAGCCAAGTCATGCAGTGCACTGGCGGCACAGGCGCAGGCAGGCACTGATACTGGAACTCCGCCTCCAATGCCAGAACGACTGAGCAGGAAGCTCTCCAAGCCCTTCCTACCAAAACGCTCTGTCAGTGAAAAACTCGATAGTGCGCCGCAAAGACCATCTACAGCGCCAGCCCGAACTCTTAAATCTCGGAGCGCCTCTATCGAGCAACTGAAAACTCTATGGGCCAATGGTCGTCCTCGAACGCAACAAGGAATGGCCAAATCACCCACTCAGTCTCAACAGCAGAACGTGCAGCGACCGTTGAATGGACCCGAGACCATGAAAGATCAGATCTCCCTGTTCCTCAAGACAGACCGAGTGGTCGAGGCCTGGGACACGATTGCTCATAAAGCCAACTGCTGTGGTCAGTCCCTCACAAAGACGAAGGAATGGCCCAGCAGTATATTCCGAGCCAAGTCCTCTGAGAAATTGCACGTGCGTCCCGGAAAGAGATCGGGGTTGTCAGGCGCAGTCCTGGAAAGACAGATGTCATGGGTACAAGAGCCGGAGTTCTTGAACACGTATTCATTCAAACAACGACCTGAGATATCACCTCGGATCCATGTTCTGTCTGTCCAGATGACTTTGGACGAAGAGGTGAATGAAACGCAGAGTCCAGGAGCTGAATCAATCCATGATTTTGGAGGTGATGCCGGTTCGATCATTACAGCCTTGCCAGCTGTACCGCCTCCGACACCTGCATCGATTCCATCTCTTGCTACAGAATACAGACCCGAGACAGTTGAATGTGCTCACTAATCTCCATCTCACCTTCTCTATATCATTCGCGTTGATTCGACGGCCCTCAACCAGCGCATATTCACCTTGAAACCCAAGCGTTTGGGTAAACAACACCAAGCATTTCCCGGAGTTGAAACATGTTTAAAATCTATAACTACTCATTACAGCCTGTATGGCTCAATTCTTATCACAAATCGAATTTTTATGGCTGGCTCCGTCCCAATATACCCAACCACTTCAGCCTCATTTGATCACCGCGAGCTCGATTCAAGCATATAGACTATATGCAATACCATTTCTTTTCTTATGATGGAGAAACAGAGTACCACAATTCACTCGCGTTCATCAGACAGTAGACCTGGTAGAAGGCCAAGATGAGAAGAAATAATAATCTAGCGTTCATTTTCAGACCTTTGCGGCCGAGCCGAAGCCGCATACTCAAGCCCTGGCAAAAGCGCCAAAGTAGTTAAAACGCCCAGAATGAAGCCATAACAAACCATCGACTACTTCATAACACATGAGCCCAAGAAACACACAAAGCCCCGGAAACCCCCGAGAGAAACATAAAAGACAAAGGAAGTATAGATCATTTGCAACGCTTCTCTACGATGCTCGGGCCGTGCTCCTCGTACTCTTTCTTGGAGATCCACATCTGGTGGAAGGTACCCAGACTAGCCAGGATGCTACCACCAATCCAAGAACCGAAACGACGCTCTGCGGTGTTTCCGGGGGCCGAGATGCGCACCCTTGGGCCGGGGAACAGCGCCATGAGCTCGGCGTTGAGTCGTTCGGTAAAGCCGTAGAGTAAGCTCGACGCACCGGTCACGACGACATTGGAGAGCAGGTGAGGGCGAATATCAACATCGACACCACCCAGAGACGCCTTGATGATCTCCGGGAGCGTCTGGGCCTGTGTCGGGGCGGGGACAGGGGAGTCAGGATCGGGAATGGCGGCCTTCGCATCGAACAAGGACTCCACAACACGGAAGCGGTCAACACTGAAGCTCTGGTTGTAGCCGTCAGGGAACTCGAAGGGCCGACCGGGGTAATTACGAGCAGCCTCCTCATTCGGGACACCCGTTGGGCCCGGCGCACTGAGTTTGCCGGGGCCGGGCCAAACCTGAACGACACACTCCTTGAACTCGGAAAGGGTGCGCTCTTCGAGGAGAGCGCGATACGAGGCGTCAGGTGCCTTGTCCGCTGCGAAGGTCTTGTAATTGGCCTGAGGAGGCTGACCGGCTTCGACGGCCGTCTTGGAGCTGATCAGGTAGTGGGGGGTAATGGTGATCGGTTGCGGCGAATTCTTCTTGAACAGGGCGCGGATTTGGGAAGAGATGTAGTCTCCACCCAGCGGAGAATGCTGGACACCTCGCTTGAGGATCATTCCGTCGTGAACTGGGGTAATAGAGATGTTGGAGGCGCCAATATCAATGACGAGGGCGGAGGCTTTGCCGGCAGCGAAACTGCGATTGTTCATCCGTTAGCAACCCGAGGGAGCGTAGTTTTGCATTGCGTTATTAAGGAGTATAGCTTACGATGCCAGGACACCATTGCGCGCCAGGTAGAAAGCAGGGGTGTTCCACTTCTCCATGGCGATCTCAATGGTCTTCTCGCGCGCCTTGGCAGGGTTCCAGCCAGGCTCGGACATCAACAATGGGCTATCGGACAGAGGCTTCTCGTCCGTCTCAACCTCCATCTCTTGTGGAAGCTCGTCGTTGGAGAAGTCGTTCAGACCGTTTTGAAAGGGATTCCCAGGTTTCGAGCCGGTCAGTCGCGAGGTGAAGGAATATTCCCAAACCTTCTCTGCCATATCCCAATCCTCAACAATCCCATCCTTGCCGACCGGGTTGTGGATGGACAGGCCGGGACGCGGGGTGAAAATATCGTCACCGAAGACCAGCTTTTCCTGGCCATCGGCGTTGTATTTGCCGTAGTATGTTGGGATGAGCGACTTGGGAGCGTCTTCGCCAGCGAAGCCAGCGCGAGTGGTCGAATATCCAGGGTCGAGCACAATGGCAGATACCTCATCTATCAGAACAAGTCAGCGGATACTCAAGACTGATATTTTGGGGCCCAATTGGAGGCTCAGGCCCCGTGAAGACGGAAAGGAAATAAGGGTGTCGCATCGCGCAAGGCAACGTACCTCCACCATACTCGGCCGCTTGAGGCGGATTGGAAGGATTCATGGTGAAAGCGCAGGAGTGTGTAGCAATCAAAGGCAATCGGAGAGAACGCGTCGGTCCGGGGTGTCGACAATTCAAGCCGAAACCATGCGCGGAGGCCAAGGGAGGGTTGGGGGAGGAGAGCGGTCTTTTCGGTTCGGGAGCAGCTTTGGCTTTTGGCGGAGAGACGGATTGGATCCGCTTGGCAGATGACCTCACCTCTGCCTCGACTTTCTTTTTGCCTCACTTTATCCCCAACGCACCCTGACACGAGTTCACGATGGACCCCGAAGATGATATCAATCCTGAAGCTCTCTTTCGCCCCGTGAAGCGACGTAAATTTATGCGACGATGGACGGACCGTGACGACGAAGATACCTCCCGCGAAAGAATGCCCGACAACAGTGAAAAGAACCAGCGCGCGCAAGATCCACAGTCCAGCCAACAAGAAGACGATGATTCTACGGAAGTCAGCCAGGTCGTTCGCGGTAGGCGACCCAATCTTGCTCGGAAAGGTGGGATCCGATTCACCGCGACATCGCGATCTGGCAAAGAGGATACGGGTACTCAACAGAACGCGTTGACGCCAGCTGGGGATTCGGAGAAAGAAAAAGGGATGGCTATGTGTGATCGGTTTACGAGTAACTCTGGTCAGGCGGTGGACGTGGACAGGCATATGTACGACTCCCTTCCCCGCGACAGCAACATATCAGTGCGATGTGGACTAATAAGATAAGGATGGCCTACATAGATTCCGAAATGGCCAAACGTTATGGACGTAACCCGCCTCCAGAGAATGAAGAGGAGAAGCAGTCAATCATACAAAAAACCTCGGAAGGACAGTCAATCTCCGGCCAGCCAGAGCGTGAACCAGCTTCACTCGGCAAACTACAAGAGATCGACCTTGGACAGGAAACCAGACTGCGCAACATTGCGCGCACGGAAGCAGCCACTCGGCGACTCGTTGGAGATGAAATCTTGCCGGCTTCTGGTGAACCACAAACCGATCATCCAGACACAGGCGACAAGTCGTGGCGCAATCACAAGCGGCGCACCAGTGCTGATATGGAACGAGACCGACTTGTGGAGGAGGTATTGCGGGAAAGCAAATGTATGTGTAACGAGTTTCAGTGATCATCGTTTCTGCGAAACAGCAACTAATCACAGCTCAATTCACTAGTGGATGTCTATGACGACTTCGAAGACGAGCCACAACCGGACGACCAAGCCGCAGATGACCGGATCGCCGAGCAATTTCGACGTGATTTTATGGATGCCATCCAGTCTCGACGCCGACAACGCACGAATACCAAACCCGTCAACAGCAAAGTGGAGCCGCCGAAGGGGCCCAAATTGGGAGGTAGTCGCAGTGCAAGAGCAGCAATGCGGGACATGCAATCCAAGACGGGACAGAAGTGATCGGATTGCTGTACTGGCTACTCCCTTGCAAGAAGCACTGTCTGGCTAGGCAGGTCACATAGCACACTGCGATTACATTCGTGTACAACCCAATTTCTTTGACCGAAATGATTATCCGAGTCAGATGTATCAATATCATCAACATTAAACGACAGGCTACTTGGTGGAACAGGCCACATGCAGGAATTGAATCGCCCCAGGGCTTTTCTGACAGATCATGGCCCTCGGTGGAATTGTGTCACTAGAATTCTCGAGCTTTAAAATGCGGATCTCACTTGTCTAGGTTGTACAGGCATTGCCTCCAATAGTACCATATGTACCTATGCACTTCGTCTACCAGATGTTGGGGTCGAATCCACACTCAGGTACTTACAACAACGCTTTCAGAATTCTCTATATTTAGGGGCTCCAAGCGACGTTTGAAGTTATATGAGCATCCAGGTCAAGCCATATAAATCACAATACGGGGTTATCATCATATTATTAAGTACCAGGAAAGTTTTAATATCCGCGATGATACCTGACAGGTCGCTTGACTCGATCAGGAAGTTGGCTTCTCAAGCTCGACCCACTGAGCAGTTGTACAGAACTACGCACCGAATAAGAATGTACATATGTACTGCATATATTTTTGGACGATCTGCACAGTGTGATATCACACGACACGCCACATACCGGGCGACTGGATGTCTGCCCACCCTTCACGCTGAGTAGTCTCTGACTAGGGCAGGATCGCCGCCCATCGTGAAACATCTCAGGGCAAGTGTAATAACTATACATAGACCAGCCACAGCGGGTGGACTTCACGCGGTGCTGGCGCTTGGCTATGTCTCAGGTTGATGACGCGGGGGCCACTTATGGCCAGCTGGAGGTGGATTAAAATTTTCTGCTCATCTTACCGGCCTCAATCGTCGGGTCTGTACTAGAGAGAACGGGATGCCAAAGCCTCATGGCGAACAGAAGTTTGGATTCATGATATGTTCAGGTCGCGTGAAAGTTCTCGCCCGGGCCCAGAAAGCCAAGACGAGCGACAGAAATCGAGATCTGTCGCCAGGGAGCTCCACCAGAGCGTCTAGAACGGGGGACACATCCAACGATCGACACGCCTGTGGTGTGGCGAGCCCTCGGCTTCCCACCGTTAGGAATGCTGCGTCAGACCCGCGCAGACGTCCATGGTTGTCCAGGTTTCAGGTCAGGTACCGGTTGAGCTGTCCTCCCGTACCTTGCATCTGGTGGCTGGCAGTGTCGGGGGGATGCCAGGGCTGCTATTCCTGGAAACACGGAGTAGGCCTCCCGCCGAATTGCAGAGGGCATTGTGGCTTGAGCGTGGCGCTGAACTTGGGCCCCTCCAGCACTAGTCCGGCCTAGTGTGACCTTAGTTTTTGGGCATGAGCATCCTGTCGTGCTGTACCGTGGACAGGCACCCGGCCCGCTACAGCTCCACCGTCAACATGGAGAGTTGGGGGGAATCAGCAGAATAGACCGTAAAGGTAGCAACAAAAGTGGTATCGGCTGAACGATCAGCACATTTGGCAGGGTGCAGTAGTGAGTGAAGTCGCAGTGTGTTCGGGTGAGAAAATGAGAAGAAGGGAGGAGTCTAGACTCTGAAACGCGCCGGGACCAATCAGCCCTGTCCTTCAGGGGTAACTTGGGCAAACGCACCTCCTGCCGGTCGAGACTTGCTCGATTCCCGCCTTCCACTCGCTGCCACCTCCACTCTCTCTTCCTTCTGCGAACTCTCACTCTCTTTTTCACTCCTCTCTAATATCTACACTACTCGACTCACTCAACTCGCTCTTTGCAGATCTCTGCGACCCTCTCGTTTTCATTTTCGCTTCTATTTTCTTCTCTCGCAGGTTGATCCTGCCACTCGTTTCGACGCGACCCTCTTCTTGCTCGCTCTCTACGTGCTTGTAAACCGTTCGCCTTCGTTTTCCTTGATGACCCCGTGCCCAGTTGCTCGATCCTGAAATCCTCCCGTGACGCCTAGTGGTTGGATATCGGATTCGAAATGAGGACGCTCATCTGGGCCGTGCTGGGCCTGGGTGTTGTGCCCCAGGCCTTGGCTGCCGATACATTGAGCACCAAAGGATTCAACTTGTGCATGACGGACTCTGACATCAAAGTCCAAAATCTCGATGTCTCCTACACTCGCTCGACCAATGAGGTTGTCTTCGACGTGGCTGGTACCAACGCGAAGAAACAAAAAGTGATCGCAACCCTCACGGTCACTGCCTATGGCAACGAACTTTACTCGAAAACCTTTGACCCTTGTGGATCGGAGATCCATGTGGACCAGCTGTGTCCTGGTGAGTGCAAGCCCCTCGTCTGCCCCTCTCGGCAGCCATAGCAGCCAGATGGTGGATATCTAACTGGATATTCGTCGACAGTTCCCGCAGGAACCTTCTCGGCCTCCGGCAGCTATAATATTCCCGACAACTACGCTAGTCAAATCCCTGCGATCGCTTTCAACATCCCGGATTTGGATGGCCAGGCGAAGATGACCCTGAAGGGTGAGGATGGCAACAATGTCGCCTGTGTGGAGTCTGAACTGTCCAATGGGAAGTCCACCAGCGTTAAGGGTGTTGCGTGGGCATCGGCCGGTATTGCGGCCGGTGCTTTGGCCCTCAGCGGGCTTTCTGCTGTTGGTGCTGCAGGTCACCCGGGTGCATCTTCCTCCAGTCCTGGTTTTGGTGATGTGATGGGCTGGTTCCATTCCATGGCCACTAATGGCATGCTGAGTGTTAGTTACCCGACCGTCTACAGCAGTTTTACGAAGAACTTTGCCTGGAGTACCGGTCTGATCTCATGGGATAATATGCAACATTCGATCGATGATTTCCGCAAAGCCACCGGAGGAAACTTAACTCAGAACAGCTACACCTACCTATACGACGTTTCTTCCTCCACGACTTCATCGTCGAACTCCACAACGACAAAGCGTGGCTTGGATATGGTGCTTCGCGTGGGTGGTGACCTGCTGGTTCGATCGGTCGAGACCTCTCAGTCCGACTCGACCAACAGCTCAAGCAGCAGCAGCAGCAACAGTGGAGACATTAGCTGGGATGACTTGACGTCCGTCAAGGGCTTGGAGAAGGTTGGCAACGAACTCATGATTCCGTCCGCCAATATCTTCATGACCGTTCTTTTGATATTCGCCATCGTCGTTGCCGTCGTCGTTGTCGGCATCCTTCTTGTGAAGGTGATTTTGGAAATTTGGGCGCTCTATGGCAATTTCCCCGCGAAGCTGGCCACTTTCCGCAAAGACTACTGGGGTCTGATGGCCCGCACCATCACCAACATGATTCTTGTCCTGTACAGCATTTGGGTCCTGTACTGTGTTTACCAGCTGAAAAACGGTGACTCTTGGGCGGCCAAACTTTTGGCTGCTGTTACCTTGGCAGTCTTCACAGCAGTCCTTGCTTTTTTCGCATGGCGAATTATCCATATGGCCCGCAAGTATAAGAAGGCCGAGGGTGACACTGCTGCCCTGTACGATAACAAGGAGACCTGGCGCAAGTACAGTCTCTTCTACGATAACTATAAGAAGGATTTCTGGTGGTTGTTTGTGCCAATTATCGTGTACTCGCTGGCCAAGGGCTGTATCATCGCTGGAGCCCAGGGTCATGGTCTGGCACAAAGCGCTGGTCAACTCGTCGTTGAAGCTCTTCTGTTGATCCTTCTGCTGTGGAACCGTCCCTACGTCACCAAGTCGTCCATGGGAATCAACATGACCATTCAAATCGTGCGCGTGCTGTCCGTTGCCTGTGTGCTGGTGTTTGTCGAAGAGTTGGGTCTCTCCCAGACTACCAAGACTGTCACCGGTATCGTGCTGATTGTGATCCAGTCCACTCTGACTGGTGTCCTCGCAATTCTCATTGCAGTCAACGCTATCATCATGTGCATCCGCGAGAACCCCCATGCTAAGAGGAGGAAGGAAGCTGAGAAGGCTGACCGTGATCTCGACGACCTCACTCCTTTGGATGCACGAGAATCTCTCCTCATCGACCACCCGCCGAAGAGGGACTACAACGAGGTCAACAAGTTCAACTTTACCGGTCCCTATGAGCCATACCGCGATCAACCTTACAACCGGCCTGGTTCAAACGGCAGCAGGGAAAACCTGGTTTACGCCGACTACGGCGTGGCTCATGACCGAAGCTCCAGCCAACAATCCCGACACAGTGGTCGACGTAGCCCTTCACTTGAAGGACGCCACCCCACTACCGCCGGCTATGGCATGGCGTACTGATTTCACGACGCTGCCTTCAACTTTTTTCTTGTACTTCCTTTACCCGAGGGGGTTTCTGGCTCCCAGCCGGTATTTTTGTTCTCTGTGTTATTGCTTAGCGTGTTTGAATGGCGGACGGTTTCCTTCATTGTCTTTGGATTTTTTTGTGCCAAAAACACCTCTCTCTCTCTCTCTCTCTCTCTCTCTCTCTCTATATACGTACTCTTGACCTTCTTTCCTTTTTCCCTCGGATCTTCTGACTCCAACTCTCTCATTTACAGCGCATTTGTCGTGTATTCTCTTTGAGCGTTGGTGAAAAACGCGCGTCGGTTTCTTGTACATGCGATAGATTTTGACCATAAAGCAATTTAGTACAACTTTTTCCTCATTCTATTCTGATATATGATAGTAGGTTAATCTATTTACAAAATTTCTGTCTTTGAATGGCCCATATTGGTGTTTAATACCTCGCTATGAATAGGACGTCTTTCATGCCTTTTGACATTCCTAAGCAAGCTACACTGCCGAGGGCATAGAAACATATCAATTGGAAGATCGATAATTCAGAACGGTCGTCGACTTGGAAGAGGCTAAAAAAACCCAAGTCGTGGTCTTAAAAACTCGTGGTTTGCGTTTAGATAGGAGTCTGTGTCGACTATTCAATAAACGTTGACCCTCACACGATATCGACCGGAAACTATGGCATCGCCAAGGATAGCTGTGAGACGGATCTTCTCACCAAGTGCGGCTCTACACTGACTCGTTGCTGGTCTGATTTGAACTGCTTCCCAGAATGAAAAGACTTGCGTCGTCCCGATGACTGCAGCGGAGATCGACGGGCCACTATTCGTTTTGGACACCGCCTCGTTCCAAGTCATCGATGTCACTGTTGACGGTGGCTGCGTCGGCACTTTCAGTCAGATGATAACCTGCAGGACGTGATTGGGTAGCTGCTACTACCACTATATACTGCTCTGTGAACGTAGATCTCATGTTCCGAACCATTTTCACACCTATCACCAGATACAAAGCATTCTACACCTGCAATCCATGGCATATTTCCATTGAAATACTCTGACATGACATGCGAATTATCAAGACAACCACCATGATCTCAACCACGACTGATCATTCTCACTGAGATACTAAACGATAACAAGAAACCCCCAGAAAGCCGCGATCCATTAACCCTGTCCGTGTATGGCATGGAAATCAAAGCGCAATAACCATCAACGCATAAATCTCATGACAATCAGGCCGCCCCCGAGAAAGGTTTCAGTGGTAGCAGGACAAACAGGTAAACCTGAGCCGAGGGGGGAAAGAAGAAAAATAAAAAAAGAATACATCGAGAAAATGATCATCGAGGGAGAAATTGACTTTTCAGCGGGAATAGGGGTGGAAGCCACGGTGACCGCCACGGCCGCCACCTCGGTAGTTCGCACCAGGCTTGCCAGCATTGCGAGGTCCAGTCGGAGCATTGGCTGGAGCCGAGCTTTGAGGCTGCGGAGTAGCACCTGAAGACGAGTTGGTGAGTTGCGCGGAATTATTTTGACTTCGGGAGCGGGACTTACCACGACCCATGCTGCCACCACGGCTCATCCCCTGGGGTCCAGTAGGAATGTTGGGCTGAGGAACTTCATCATACATGCCCTCCCAGGAGGTCGGGCCACCACCCTGCTGATACGGAGAGAAAGAGCGGTTTTCCATGACCCGGCGAGCCTGTTGCTGTTCGTATTTCTGCTGCTCGAAGGCAATCTGCTCCTGGGCATTGTATCCGGGTCCGCCAGCAGCTCCGGCACCCGCCTGGCGGTTGTAGTTGGCATTCATACCCTGAGACTGGGGGTTGGGACTGGCACCGCCGTTTCCACTGCCCTGTCCCTGCATCATAGCCGGGTTCATCATGTTGGGCAGGTTCTGCTGCTGCGATCCAGGGCTTTGCGGGCTCGGACTCATGCTACCAGCCTGCGGCTGGTTTCCACCCATCTGTTGTCGTTGCATCTGTTGCATTTGCTGCATCTGTTGCATCATGGCAGGGTTCATACCACCCATGCCCATACCGCCGCCCATGCCCTGGCCAGCCATGTTCATTTGTTGCTGCATCATGGCAAAGTATTGCTGCATCCGTTGCCAGTACTGAGCCATCATTTGGGGTGTCATACCCCCGGCCATCCCCTGCTGTCCACCCTGTTGCTGAGACGCATCTCCCTGGTTCATGTTCTGGAAGCCGCCATCGCGGCCACGTCGGCCGCCACGATCCTCGTCCCGGAGGTTACCACGAGGCTGAGCTTTCTTCACCTCGATAGGCTTGCCCAGAATTTCAAGAGGACGAGAGAGGGCATTCTCGACGGCCGCCTCACTGTCAAATGTCACGAAACCGAATCCACGGGGGCGACCAGTGTCCTTGTCAATCATCAGGGTGGCATCGACAACCCGGCCGAATTGCATGAAGAATTGCTTGAAGTCTTGCTCAGTGGCCTCTTGACTGACACCGCCGACGAAGATCTTGCTAGTCTTCTCCTGCTCGTCTCGGGGAATAGCACGTTTGGGATCAATCTATTTATTGAAAGATTGGTTAGTCCGATGTCTCCGCTGATGAAGCTTGCTGGGATTCTCACAATTTTGCCATCCAAATAGTGCTCCTTCACCATAACCGTGTTGACAGTCTTGGGGTCCCGGAAAGTCAAGAAACCAAAGCCACGAGAGCGACCAGTAGCACTGTCACGCATGACAGTGCATTCCTGGACCTCGCCAAACTGCGAGAAGTAATCACGAAGAGATTCTAAGATGCCAATTGTTAGATATGATATCAATTTTCCATTCTCTTTGCACGTCACACATACGATCCGTCGTTTCCCAGTTCAACCCGCCAATGAACATTTTTCTAAAACGACTTGTTAGTATTGACCACATGAGAAAGTCACGCTAAGATTGGCCGTCAAGGACGCAAATGGAAGCAATATAAAGACTTTCACAGCAGGAATGCATGAAGGTAAACGTAGAACTCGACTTCGAGTTCGATCAAACAAGATGAGTGGTGCTAAGCTGCTATTCACGAATACAGCTAGTGCAAGACTGCCTGGGGGATCCCGCGAGCAGTGACGGGCAGCAAATGGTAGATGATGTGTCGTACAGAACGTATAAACCCCACAAGGCCCAGTTCTCTCTCCAGACCCGCTTGGTTTACATCAAATGAGCCAGGAGCAAGAATCCTCCTCTTGGCTTGCACGAACACCTCGAGAGATGTGAGCAATGTAGAAGACGGGAGTGCGAAGAAGAGGTTTTTCAGGCGAATAAGTGAATTGTCACTGTCTCTTTCTGTCTTTGATCCCAACCCGGGAGAGGAGAACCTTTGTCCGTCCAATAGAGCAGCCCCAAGCTAGGTAGATATCTTGCTTGAGGCCCCTCACCACCAGACGGCGCTGCTACTTCTTGCTCTGCTCTATCAACGTATATCGACAAGAAGCTATATAGTATCGGCTGTACTATATGTAGGCGCTGGCAACAAGGTTCGAGGAAGAGACCGATCTTTTCTTCAAGATTGAGTCGTGGCTGGCATTTCCTTTTCTGCTCTGCGGTTTTCCATCGAGGAGATTTCAACGAGGTGCCTTCTTCTTCGCTTCATTCTCATCCGCAAAGTGGGTGAAAATGGCTACCACGGAGGTTGAGAGGGGCGAGGTCTGGTATCGTCTTGCAAATTATCGTCTGCATGCCTTTGACCGAACGACCCCATATATTGCGCATGTATCTGAATCTTGCACCTCACTCGCACGGATCGGAAATAGAGCGAGACCTCAAATTCCGCAACCCAAGGCCGTCCCCCAATCGCATAGAGGTTGCATCATTGAAAAGGGCAGTCAAATCCTCATATCTCCAGGTCATACGTGTATCGTGAATTGCAGTAACACCACCCAATCCTCGCGAGCCGTAGTCGAGATTGCATCATGAATAAAAGAATCGAAGTATAACAAAGTACGTCACAGGGGAAAATGATCGAACTTACCCATCTTCTTTGATTCCCGTTCCAGATCCCGATCCTTGAAGTTCCTGATCCACGGGAGGAGCTGCTGCGGGGGCAGCAGGCGTAGCCTCAGAGCCGTTCTGGTAACCCGAATTATTGTTGTGTTGGGGCGCGGAATATGTCGGGTGCGACTCAGTGGCCTGAGGTTCGTAGTTCTGAGCAGCTGGCTCCTCGGTGGGCAGCGCAGGAGTTGCGGTAGCCGCAGGCTCTGCGGGCTTGGGTGCTTCGACTGCGGAAGTAGTGCGGTTTGTTGATTCATCAGCATCGTAGCTGAATGATGATAAAGTAGTCAGTTACACGGTCACAGAGGAAGATTGGAGCGAGCAGCCACGTACAGATCCGCGAAGAGATCCTCCTCGAGATCCTCTGGTTCAGCCATGGTGCCGAAGGGTGTGACGCTCGCGGCTAACGAGGCAATTTAGAGGAGAGTGATATGAAGCTGAGTGGTTAGCGAGAAAGTCGATGAGTTTCGAAGGTTAGTGGAGGGTGCGAATGGGTGGGGATCGAGAGATGAGGAAGTGGTTGAAGGAGGAAGGGAGCAAAGCGGAGAGAAGTGGCTTACATACGCACGGGATTACCTGGTACGTCGCCAGCGACGTCAACAACTATACTCGCGTACACCCCGCCCCGCCCGCATTGATATCCCCAACTTCCTTCCGCACTCCAGCTCGGGCTCGCCATGAGATTCTGAGACTTTCCTGGTTGCTACATGGCCTGGTCGGAGGAGCGCACAACCCCGATTGCTGGACCGCCCCGCACTTGAAACCCGCTGAGATCACAAGTCCACAGTCATGACCAACAAAAAGGGGCAGCAGGTGAGCTTCTTCTTCCCGTCCAAACATTAGGTCGGGGCTGAATTGATGTTAATTTTTCATGTAGGAAATGGTCCAGGTTGGTTCGTATTTTCCCCCTCGCAGCTTCCTTCGCGTTCATACAGCTAACCCGAGCTGCCGGGCCCTCAGACAATTCCGAGTATGTAATGCACGCATGCACCGCCTTGTTTGATCTCATCGTATGACGCATGAAATCAAGCGCTAACGACTCGTTAAGGCGCGCCGAATCCCCATTCTGGGCTGGTCGGTCAGCATCCCTGAACCAAGGACAGTCCAAGATCTATGGGCAGAACACAGTTGTCGGCGCTTCATACTCCCACGCCAACATCATACAGTAGGTCTCAATAGGCGAATCGCCGAGCCTGTATGAGGAATACTCCTGCAAGCATGTACTGACAAGTGCCTTTGCACGACAGAGGCACGTCAGCCCACTCCCGCCCTAGAACGCCTCCTCGATCGTCCTCGACGAATGCGCCGTCCCCCCCATCGTATCTGTCCCATCGGCCCGGAAATGTGGTCGCTTCACCACCTCACAAGAGCTACACCGGAGTCATGAAAGAAGGAATGGACGAATGGAGCCGAGACCCCACCGAGGGTGACGAAGATGATGAAGATGATGAAGATGAGATTGTATATGACGACGACGAAGATGAATTTGGGCTCCCAAGCCTTGCCAGCATGAGACGGAAGAAGTCAGCCCCTTTGAAAGCTAAAAACATGGACCCCGGTGGCACCATGGGAAGTAATACTTCCTCGCTGGGATTCGGACTGGCCGCCAGCAATAGACAAAGGGCGAATAGCTCAGACATCGCCGAGGAACGTGGCACACCTATGTACCCGACCTCACGGAAGGGCGAAGGCAAAATTCTACGTCCCCAATACAAAGACATCTTGCAAGGTCAGTCCAAAAAACCTATCGCGATGTTCACGAATTGTATTGACAAAAGCCAATATAGATCCTGCGAACGCTTTGAATCTGATCAACCACTCTGCACCCCCTACAAACGCTTCGGTGAAGGACCGAGAAATCCATTCAAGCCGCATCACACGAATCAACAAGTTCAAGCGTATCCTGCAGGCAAGCACCGTTTCTTTGAGCGAATTGCGAGACCTGGCGTGGTCTGGAGTCCCCGAAGAAGTTCGGCCAATGACCTGGCAGCTACTCCTGGGCTACCTTCCAACGAATAGCGAAAGGCGCATCTTGACACTGGAAAGAAAACGCAAGGAGTACTTGGACGGAGTCCGGCAGGCTTTTGAACGAGGCAGTGGGGCCGCCGCCGCAGCGAACCCGCCTTCATCATCTTCATCTACCACCGGTCGCGGTAGGGGGCTGGACGAGGCAATCTGGCATCAAATCAGCATCGATGTTCCTCGCACGAGCCCTCATATCCCACTCTACGGCTATGAAGCTACGCAGAGGTCTTTGGAGCGGATCTTATATGTCTGGGCCATTCGACACCCAGCGAGTGGCTATGTCCAGGGTATCAATGATCTGGTCACGCCGTTCTGGCAGGTGTTTCTGGGAGTTTACATCACCGATCTCAACGTGGAAGAAGGCATGGATCCTGGCCAGCTACCTCGAAGTGTTTTGGATGCGGTGGAGGCTGATACCTTTTGGTGTCTGACCAAGCTCCTCGACGGTATACAAGATAACTACATCTACGCCCAACCGGGGATTCATCGCCAAGTGAGAGCACTGCGTGATTTAACGAGACGCATCGATTCCACGCTCGCGAAGCATCTGGAGCAAGAAGGGGTGGAATTTATGCAATTCAGCTTCCGATGGATGAATTGCTTGCTCATGCGGGAAATGAGCATCAAGAATACGATACGAATGTGGGATACTTACATGGTATGTCATACTGTCCTTGCGTTGGACAAGCATGCAGGTACTTACAACCATCCTAGGCCGAGGAGCAGGGCTTCTCACGATTTCACCTTTACGTCTGTGCGGCTTTTTTGGTTAAATGGACGGATCAATTGGTGAAAATGGATTTCCAGGCATGTGTCAAGGCTGTGGCGATATCATCAAATGACTAGTTCTAACTGTTCTACAGGAAGTCATGATGTTTTTGCAGGCATTGCCCACAAAGGGCTGGACCGAGAAAGATATCGAGCTCTTACTGAGCGAAGCATTCATCTGGCAAAGCCTATTCCAAGACTCGAGTGCTCATCTTAGACCGCAAGGCGATGTGCCTCCTGAAAATGGTATCTTTTATTGAAAGTAATCATAATTCATCATTACACTGTGGAATCACTGTTCGGTACCGCAGGAAAGAGACATCTGTCTCAATCAGCTAAAATGGATCCCTTTCTGGTTGAAGGCCCAGAGCAATTTCAAGAAATCGTTCTCATCACACATTCGTGCACGCTTTTCGCCCAGGCTGGTGTCATCTTCCAGGACCTGGCGGACCTTTTCACGGACCAATTCCGCAACCTTACCCTTCTTCTTCCGCGAGGGTGTCTTGATCGCTTGCTGGAGGCGGGCATTGGTCTCCTCTTTAAAGAAATCCGGGACATCATCATCGTCATCCATTTCCATGACTTCGTCCGCCTCGGCTCCCTGTTCTTCTTCGCCCATATCCATGACATCGCCGTCGGCGTCTTCGGTTGGACCGTCCTCCACAGGGATGTCGTGCTGCGCGCACCAAGTTCGGTAGTTTGATTCGAGGATGTTCATAATGCTGGGTGTACCAATAAAACTGGCCCGCAGGGTCTTGTTCTTTCTCACAAAAGCAATGCGCAGTAGCCCATCCCACTCTTCATAGTCGATCTGTGGCCTGGGGACCTTTGGAACCATGCGGATGACGCTCGATTCAACGAGGGGTGGAGGCTTGAAGTTGTTTTTGCCGACCTTCATGATGTGATCGATCTTCGCCCACATCTGAGCGTTGACCGACAGACGACTGTAAAGCTTGTCGCCTGGCTTGGCGAACAGTCGCAGAGCGAATTCACGCTGGAACCTAAATACGAGAACTGTTTGTTAGCATGTATCGAATGGGAAAGAAGTTGGTGTGAAGGCAAAGCGTACATGAGAATGCACGATCGGGGGGCCGGGTTCGTAGCCAGTAGTTTGAATGTAAGAGGGGAGGAAATCTAGAAACGGTTAGACATAGAGCCGTTCCCTCTCAAACGCGCGACCTGTGGAAGACTAACCTGGTATGGGGTATTGCTAATGCACACATCAAAGTATGGCAGCTCAGTCTTCATCACATCACCGAGGATCACTTCGAGACGTTTTTGAGCCGGGGTGCCCTGGAAACGTTTGGTGACTTCGGCCGCCATTCGAGGATCCAATTCCACCGCGATGACCTTCTTTGCTTGATCCAAAATTTTGGCTGTCAAGTTTCCGGTACCAGGACCAATTTCAAGAACAACCTATTGAGCAACGGTTAGTTAGAATGGTCGCTTCAAGGCACCATGAGGGGGAAAAAATTCACTCACATCACTCTGCTTGAGATCAGCTTTGTTGACAATTCTAGGTATCAAACCTTAGCTTTTATTCTCTCCCATTATCAAACAGCAAGACTCACTGCTCCGCAATACCGGGATTCTTCAAGACGTGCTGACCGATATCTGTGTTCATCTTGAAGATACTGTGGGCGGCCTGCGTCTTTGCAGCAGCATCCGAGTGGGCGCTGTTGCGCTTCTTCTTGTTGACTTTGGGCATCTTAAATAGGTAAAAATCAGAGCAAAGTTGAATGAACCCGTCGAATCCGCGACAGCTCTGCAGGCGCGGGCGTTGGGTTCCCAGATGCAACTCAGTTGTCTTTGGTGGGCGACTTTTTTTGCGATAAGATTATCGGTGCCGGGTCTACTTTTCTACGGCAACAGGCCGCCGCCGCCTTCTCTTCTGCCGCGAACTTGTCCGAGCTGTCGCAGTGTGCCCACTGCCAACCATGGCGTCCGGACGCAAGGATTTTCTCAGCCAACAGGCGCCCGAGAATTATGTCGCGGGTCTGGGTCGTGGTGCAACTGGATTCACAACGCGCTCCGACCTGGGTCCAGCGCGCGAAGGCCCCACGCCCGAGCAGATCCAAGCTGCGTTGACGAAACGCGCACAGCAACTCGGAGCTGCTGCGCCCACTGCTTACGGAGACAAGTCTCGGGAGAAGGGTGGTAAGGAAGATAAGGAAGAAGAGAACGATGAGCGCTTCCAGGATCCTGATAATGAGGTGGGCTTATTTGCCTACGGTCAATTTGACCAGGAGGACGACGAGGCGGATCGTATTTACCAGGAAGTGGATGACAAGATGGACAAACGGCGCAAAAAGCGGAGGTGAGTGTAGCTCTTCTTCCAGCTTCATTCGACCAATTTCATTTATTTGGATCTGTTACTGACTGGATTTGTTCGCCGCATACAGGGAAGCCCGTGAGCAAAAAGAACGTGAAGAATACGAACAGAAAAACCCCAAGATTCAACAGCAGTTTGCCGACCTGAAGCGATCATTGGCCGCCGTCAGCGAGGAGGAATGGAACAATCTTCCCGAAGTTGGCGATCTGACGGGCAAAAACCGTCGAGCAAAACAGAATCTCCGCCAGCGATTCTATGCGGTCCCCGACAGCGTCATCGCGGGCGCGCGTGACTCGGCGCAAATGGATACTACGGTCACCGACGATGGTGCTCAACCCGAAGGAGCAGCTGGCGATGAGACCATGATGAACTTCGCCGAGATCGGCGCAGCGCGTGATAAAGTACTGAAAGTCAGACTGGATCAGGCAGCCCAGGGATCGGGGGCAGAAAACAATTCTGGAAGTGCCACAAGTATCGACCCTAAAGGTTATCTCGCCAGTTTGACAGAGTCAGAAATGAAGGCTGGCCAGATCGAAATGGGTGATATCAAACGAGTTCGAGTTCTGCTGGAATCAGTTACCAAAACCAACCCCAAGCACGCCCCGGGGTGGATTGCCCTTGCACGTCTGGAAGAAGTTGCGGGTCGTATTGTTGCGGCAAGAAGTATCATCGCCAAAGGATGCGAGCTCTGTCCGAAGAGCGAAGACAGCTGGCTGGAGAATATTCGTTTGAATGAAGGCCACAATGCCAAAGTCATTGCCGCAAACGCTATTAGAAATAACGACCGCTCGACAAAACTTTGGACTGAGGCCATGAAACTAGAGACGGAACTTCGAGCAAAGAAGAACGTCCTCCGACAGGCTATCCTGCACATCCCTCAATCCGTCGAAATCTGGAAAGAAGCCGTCAACTTGGAGGATGACCCAGCGGATGCACGTCTACTCCTGGGGAAGGCTGTGGAGATGATTCCTTTGTCGGTGGAGCTCTGGCTGGCCCTCGCTCGACTCGAAACGCCGGAGAACGCGCAAAAGGTGCTCAATGCTGCACGCAAGGCTGTTCCTACCAGCCATGAGATTTGGATTGCCGCCGCTCGTCTTCAAGAGCAGATGGGTACATTCGAAAGAGTCAACGTCATGAAGCGTGCCATCCAGTCACTCGCCAAAGAGAACGCAATGTTGAAGCGGGAGGAATGGATTTCCGAAGCAGAACGCTGCGAGGAAGAAGGTGCCGTTCTTACTTGTGGTGCCATCATTCGAGAGACTCTCGGATGGGGCCTGGACGAAGACGACGATCGCAAGGACATCTGGGTGGAAGATGCTAAGTCTAGTATCGCTCGAGGCAAATATGAAACCGCCCGGGCCATCTATGCCTACGCACTACGTATCTTTTACAATCAGAGATCGATCTGGCTTGCTGCGGCCGATTTGGAACGTGTCCATGGTGACAGAGAAGCTCTGTGGCATGTCCTGGAGAAAGCTGTTGAGGCCTGCCCTAAGAGCGAGAAGCTTTGGCTGCAGCTGGCGAGGGAGAAGTGGCATTCCGGAGCAATTGATGAAGCTCGACTAGTTCTTGCTCGTGCGTTCAAACAAAATCCTGACAATGAGGACATCTGGCTTGCTGCCGTCGAGCTCGAAGCCGATGCGAAGGCGACTGACCAAGCTCGTGACCTACTTGCAACCGCTCGCAGTCAAGCTGGGACGGACCGCGTATGGATCAAGAGTGTCGCTTTCGAGCGTCAACATGGAAACGAAAACGATGCACTGGATCTCGTCAACCAAGGTCTGCAACTGTATCCGAAGGCTGACAAGCTCTGGATGATGAAGGGCCAAATCTACGAGGTTCAGAAAAAGTACCCGCAAGCACGCGAGGCATACGGAACCGGCACTCGGGCTTGCCCCAAATCTGTGTCACTCTGGCTTTTGGCCTCACGCCTGGATGAAAAGACTGGTGCTGTCGTTCGTGCTCGTTCGGTTCTTGACCGAGCTCGCCTCGCGGTGCCCAAGAGTGCTGAGCTTTGGACAGAAAGTGTGCGTGTCGAACGCCGCGCAAACAACATTCTACAAGCCAAGAATCTCATGTCGAGAGCATTGCAAGAAGTTCCGGCATCGGGTCTGCTCTGGAGCGAGAGTATTTGGCATCTCGAGCCTCGGGCTCAACGCAAGTCTCGCAGTCTCGAGGCTATCAAGAAAGTTGACAATGATCCCATCTTGTTCATTACAGTGGCGCGAATTTTCTGGGGCGAGCGTCGACTGGATAAGGCCATGACTTGGTTCGAAAAGGCCATTGTCTCGGACAGTGATTACGGCGATGGATGGGCCTGGTACTACAAATTCTTGCTGCAACACGGAACAGAGGTGAGTTCTACATCATATCGGGACATTAACCAGAAATGCGAACCTAACTTTCAAAATCCCAAAGGAAAAACGCTCAGATGTGCTATTCAAGTGCGTTTCAACCGAGCCCAAGCACGGTGAGGTGTGGCAATCGATTGCCAAAGACCCTGTCAATGCGCACAAGTCGACGGAGGATATTTTGAAGCTCGTTGCAGACACTGTTAACTGAGAGAGGGCCATCGAGTGGGCTCTATGAACATGGAAAAGGCGTTTCGGAACGAAGGAGTTTTCAATGGAAGCTATATTTGCTTGCTTCCTACTCTTCTAAGCACTCACAGGCCCTCATACCGACCCTCGCTTCCTGTAAGAGTAATCTCGTTAACGAAAGGGCCGACTGCAAATTAAAACCGGCAAGTTATGAATTTCTACACGTAGAAAAAAGTAACGTAATGAATTGGATTTCATGGGTATCGAACAAGCTTGACGTCGCCACGCCGGGCAGAAGTCATCGCCATCGTATCTGTGCGTGCTTTTTAGTTTTTTGGAGAAGAGGCCAAGGAAAAGAAGAACCAACTCTCAGAACCCAGACTAACGCTGGTGGCTTTGCCTGTGAGTTGGAGAAATGTACTGTACATCGTAAGGTCACGCAGAGATGGCCATATGGAAGGGATAGAGGGAAAAGACAAGGCAAAAAGGAATTCGGAAAAGAAAGCCCCGAAAGATCTTTGAGAGAACTCCAGAACCAGATGCATGAATTGGGCGCCATAGCAACAGCCTCAATAATTCCCAGACGCCGTGATCCTTCAACCGCCCAGACCGAAAGAGGGATTAAGGAAAAAATGAAAATGAAAGATAACGTGTCCTGTGGCAGCGTGTTTTGAAATGAGGGGGCAAAGAAAAGAAGCAGATGGGTATCAAACCTCACGCTGCCATGGACAGACACTCGTCGAGTAAACAGCCCAGTTGCTCTCGATCAGCAGCCGCACCTCCCTCCCAATCCGAAAAGGAATCGTCGATATCATCAATATCCATTTCATCCTCGGCAGGCTTAATTTCGCGAGGCTCACTAACCCCGTTTTCGAGACGATCTTGCTTCTCGGTTTCGAGTTCATCTTCCAGATAGCCACCCATAATCTGATCAATGATCAGAGGCATGTGGCCAAGGACGCCCGAGCCAAGCTCAAGTGTTAGCCGTAGGTCTCTAACGCCAAGGGCTCGTCGCGTACTTGCTTCCCGAGCTTCAACGGGGAGCAGCCCAGTTGCTGTGTCCTTGACGATTTCTCCGCGGGTGAAGGCGAGTTCTTCCCGCTCCAGTTGTTCTCTATAATTGCGCATCATCATACCGTTGATTGTGCCCGACGGACCGTTGGACCGAGTACGAGAGAACACCGCAGATAAAACCTCCTTCACGAATGTTTCCGTCGCAATGGCCATAAATTCAGCACAGGGCAGACCGGCGCCACTGGGGAGTGATTCTTCGTAACACATGGGGACCATGCGGGCATGAATCGATTCCGCGTCGGGGAACTCCCCTGTTTCTGCGGCGAGGGGCTGCGCGTATCGTTTTCGTATTTCCAACTCCCAGTCTGTTCAAAGCGACAAAATTAGTCAGGTACGTCATCAACAGCAGATGGAAAGTTTGCGATGCGACAATACTAGCCCATCATATCGGGGAAGAGATGAGAGGGTCGGCCTTACTGGTCTTGTTTAATCCGCCTGCGCTTGCGGGAACCTGGCTCGGGAGCGTGATCTGTTTTGCGAGATGATATTCCTCCAGTTCGTTCGGTACGACATCATTTGGATCGCGCTGCGATTGCTTTGTTAGTCACGCCTCCAAGGGACCCATTGACCAACCGCCGCGACGGGGTTTGTCCTGCTCAGCGCATACCTCAGGAATCCCCTTAATTCTCCGACGGTCTCTAGGAGGTAATTGCATGACCTCCGTCTTCAGTCTCTGCTCGGCGGCATCACCCGAGACGGGCTTGGACACCGTCGAAGGCTTGTCATTCGCCGAGACCCAATTTGCGACGCCATGATCGGGGAGGTCTCGCGTCAAGTTCCCGATGATCGCGCAGATGAAATTATTGTGTAGATGCTCGGTCTTGGGGTCGGCGCATAGGATACAGTCGACTCGCGACGCGTATTCATTCTGGTTATAATGCCCTAGAATCAAAGAAGCCAGGAGGTCAGCTCAAATCGGGCTCAATTCGTCTCAAATAGCTTGCGAGAAAGAATCTAAGAACAAAGAAGATGGAACTCTCCCAGATCGCAAATCGCAAGACATGCGCGGCGTGGGACATACCTAGTAAGAAGAAGGCAGTGGCTTCCTTGTACTCGGCCCACTTGTCTCCGATGGCGGCCTTCAGGTCCGTGTAGGCATGTTCGAGATCGAGTCGCGGGACGGAAATGAGAGCTCTGGACGACTTGACAGCAGTCGAAGCATTTGGCGCCGCAGTCTTCGCCGGATTTGAGGCCGAGTCCGACCGACTCAAGGCGGCCGGGTCGATCTGCTGCATGGCTGGAGGACTCGCAGGAGCGCGACGAGGCGAGGCCGAAGGGGTTCGGAACTACGCATTCATGAAGGCTCCGGGGACGTGCGAGCGATGGAGGCGAGAGATGAGATGGAATGGGTGTTGGAGATGATGGCTTGATGATGAAAAGGAGTGATGAAAGGGGAGGTTGGAGGTTCCGCCGTGCAGTTCCCCGCCAGAAACGGACGAGTCGCTCCGACTTCAGCTGCAACATCGCCGGCCCGACACACGACGACCGACGACCTGAGAGAATACGCATGAAAACTACAGTGTATATATGTAACTTAGACTGGGCTACTGAATCGGCCCTAGCTCTACGCAAAAAGGGGATAATCTGCTCTCTGCATCACTATATGGGCCTGAGCCCTGTTCAGTGCGCTTCTAACCTAACCTGGTCCATCCTAAGTACCAATTATGCCAGTATATAATCAGATGAGTACCTAGACAAGAGTCAGGTGGTAGATAGGATGCTCAGGTTCACTATGCTAGCTGCACTACATCTTCACTCAGAACGCCAAACAGCTGGCCAATCTCGGCGATAATCTCCGTGATCTCCTGCGACAACTGGCCAGTAACCAGAACTACGACACCGTCAACAACAACATTCCTGGAAGAAATGACCCGGGCTCGGGAAACTTACTGTAGGCATACAGCAGGGCACAGTCTTCGTCGGTGGTCAACCGCGAAGCTTCGTGGTCCTGGCGATATCGATAAATGCGAGCCAGCAGCCTGTCGCGTGCATGCTCGATGCTGGGTAGGACATCGCTCAGCGGATACTCCAGCTTCATAGACGAGGCCATAACTGCCGTGGGGTTAGATAAATTCGTGTCATGAGGTACATATCTTGAAACAGTGAGCACTCACCAGACAGAAGATGGCTGATGCGAGCAGAAAGCTGTTGTCGCTCCACAGCAGTATACCGCAGCAGACAAATCTCGCCTTCGGTGGCCATTTCGGATTTCATCAACTCGAGATTCATCGCATGGAACGCATTGGCCATGCTCCGAGTTCGTCGAATGATATTAGTATAGATACTACCAGCGAAAGCACTTCGCAGCTCAAACTCAGAGCGCGCCGCGGTCAGGAGAGATTCCATGTGAGTGAGAAACCGTTCCAGTTCCAATCGCTCGCGTGCAGTCATGTACACGACAGACCGCCCGTTCTTTTCCATGCACGACAGTGGATCGCGCTTCCAGACGAGACCCAGTCGTAGCCACAGAAGACAAAGACCATCCTTCAATCGTTCTCGTGCGCTGATGGGCCAGATAAGACGGGTGATGATGATGCCCCAGATACAACCAGAGAGCACGGCGACAACTCGGTGAAGCGCAATCTCAGTGATAACGGGCTCGGGACCACCCTCATCCTGGTCCCCATCGGCGACTTCTTTCTGTGAAAGCGAATAGGCGTAGAGCACGGACAAGTTATAAGTGAGCATGATGAATCGACCCATAGGTCCATTGCCTTTGGCAATGGTGATCCATGCGGTCCACGTAGCCATAGCCCACCCCCAAAATGCCAGGCCAAAGACGTTGCCGCTGGTGCTATACCACGCCAGAATGGCACAGACGGCCCCTAGACACGTTCCGAAAAATCGAGCATAGCCCGTTGTGTTCGAGGCGCCGATGGTCATGGAACAGACCAACATGTAGGACAGTAAGCCCCATTCGCCTCGCCAGTGCTGATAAAATGGTCGAGTCGACGGCAGAAAAGCCGGCATCGCATAGAGAGCGGCTCCAGCTCCTACCTTGATTGCATACTTGGTGTCATCACGACGGAAGATTTCAAGGGATTTCCACAGACGGTAGCCCAGTCTTTCTTTGACAGTGGTCTCGGCCGCAGGGCGTTGACGACCTCGTGTGGCGGCATCAATGGGGGCCATGAAAGACGACTCTAATACCAAAATTAGTACATCTCAATCAAACAATCAAGTCGTAGCCACGAGAAAAACGCACCATTTCGGGCCGCACCTGAGTCCTTGAACTCCCAGAACTTGATCCAGCTCCAAGACCGTCCATTGGGCCTTTCCTCGGACTCGAGCTGCAGTTCGTCCAGTATGGCCAGTAGTTGGTGAAGCTGCTCCCCGAATTCCAGCAGGGAGAAACTGAAATGACCACAACTCGCAGACACTTCCTCGAGATCGGCTTCCGCTTCTGGGCTCTTTAACTTCATGGCCTGCGTTTGCTGATAAAGTGATTTAAGGGTTTTCTCCCGTGATTCTCGGTACAGATCGAGAGCACGATCCAGGCTGGTTCGGAGACGACTGTCGACTGAGACCTTATAGGCCGGGGCCGGTCCGAAGGGGATTTCATTGAATATTTCTTTCAATGTAAATGCCAGTGACCGCTATTATTTTTGTCAGTTTCATTACGAGCATCTTCTAAGTCGATGTTACGTACCATTGACGGTCCCAAGTGCGAGATGAAGATCGTGAACACATCTGCTGGCATCAGAGGGTTCTTATCAGTTGCATCGACCTTTGCACCTGAGGCCGGAGAGTTCAAGGTCCCACTCGGTGAGAGATCCTCTTCCGAGCGTTCCTCAATTGGTTCGAGAATGGATCCATCAGGAAACGTCCATGAGCGCTCAAGGGAAGCAAAATAGTCAGGCCGAACACTCCCATGGGAAGAAAAGTTTTCGCTTGATGAACTCGACTCTCGAAGAATGGTTTCTCGGATCAGACTGAACTGCAAGGAGGCGGCACTGCGCAAGCCGCCCATGTTGTGAGTTATATCTTGTACCCAGCGAACCAGGTTCTTCTCCAAACGATACTCCTTCTCGGTACCAGCCACATAATGCTCAAGTTTCGCATCTCGAACCAATTTATCCAACTGGCCATAGGCCTTGCGGTGCTTCGATTCCACCTCAAGGAATTCAGATGATTTGAGTTCCTCCTCGGAGCCACTGAGGAAGCTCCCCGTAATAATCGCCAGCATAACGGCCAAAGTACTTGTGGAAGTCACCAGGTTTGCGCGAAGCTGTTTCCGTGCAGAAATAGGGAATATCAAAAAGGAGACTGCCATGGCCACAACCACACCCATGATCACCATCTTCAAGACCTGGAAAATCTTGTTGAGTGATAGATCGCCATTCTGAACCGCGCCTTCTTTTGTGAGAACAGTGATGGTCGACAGTGCCGTGAGTGAGCAAGCTACATTCACCAACGGATCGCCCAGTCGCTGCTTGGTCCATCCCACAAACCCCAGTCCACCTCCACAAAAGACGATCAAGACCAGCGCATGGCCAAGAACCGGTAGGTCCAGAGTATCCTGGAAGAGGTTCTCGAAGAGCATACTCGAGATCGAGAGAAAAGCCGAGTAGCAGAAAGCCAGCAATGCGCAAATCAGGGCACGAAACATACTTCCTTGGGACCGCGCCGGATGAAAGTACACCGTAACAGTAGCCACCATATGTTTTCCATCCTGTTTCCCAAGGAACTCAGATATTGCCGGAATGAATGTCCCGAGGGAACCGAGTAGGTAGGCTAAACCGCACTTCAAGATCCCAATGCCCGACTCTGATTTCACAAACTCTTGCGCCTGGGATCCTAACTCTTTCGCACGCGCAGAGAACCGCTGGATCATTCCCTCATGGTATGGCTCGAACTCACCCGTGAGTAATCCACGGCGCTCATCGTGAGCATTGTCATCGCCAGCTGCAGCGGCAAGGTTCGTCGGATTGCGCAGACTAACAAGGCCCTTCAGGCGTTGGCCGGTTCGTGGGAGGACAAAGGTCGCCTGTCGCAGCTTGAAGAGTGTCAGCAGGAGTCGCCTCGAGATACCCCAAGCCCTTGTACTTGCAGGCTTCGGGGTTTGTGTGGGAGTTTGCTTCGTTTGCTCAAAAACACACCTTGGGCCGCATTAAGCGGCGAGAGTTGGAGCTCGAGCTCGAGCTACTGGGAGCTCCAGGCGGCGACATCGTCGGGATTTCACGTTAGGAGGACGCGCGGGGACATCTTCTGAGATCTCTTATGGGGGATTCCCTGTTTCCTTTGGCTGCTTGATTTCTGCGCGCAGGTCCCCACGTTTGCTGGCTGACCGTGATTGGAACGGCAGCTGCAGCAGCTGCCACAATGCACACGCGTGGCTACGTCTACGCACTATCGCAATCGCCACGCACCTGGCGACTGGCCCCTGCGGAGCTAAAGATGACCGCCCGGCAGAAAAAATTGCAATTGTATAAAAAGGCGCTGGTCCCCCGACCTCTTTTCTCCTTTTCAAGCGACTCTACGTATGTTCTCCCTCCCCCCAAACAGCTCTCCGGCTGCTCGAACACTGCTGACCATTCCCACAGTTCAAAGAATCACTTTAGAGTAGACGTCCTCTTCTAAGCTCTTTAAAAGAGCCACAGAATCTCCACCCTTGCTGATGACTGCATGTCCTCGATGCCCTAAAGTGAAGCCTTTTTACTCCCGCCTCGACTGCTACACGGTCTAACGACCAGTGTTAATGTCCAGGGAGTGGTGATGATCTTTACCTGGTCTCGGCGTCTGACTTCGGTCGGCTGGTCCTGGTGGGTGTCGAGGAGGTCTGAAAGGTTTAAAACTCATTCTCCTTTGCGTAGGAGATGAGGTGGATGACCAATTTTAGCTAGGATAGTAGTACATGAGCATAAATGCAGCCAATGAGAATACGAAACTTGATACAAAATTCTGGTGTAAAATTTTCTTCTGGGGACTGATGCAGTCCGACACCCGAGCTCCCAGTTGCTAGGCTATATATGCATAAACAAACAAATTGGATCAAACACCCAGGCACCATGTTCATCTCGCCCAAGCTGCCTTCCCTGTCAATCTCTGCTCCCCTGTATTCAGTCTATCGGTACCCTAGGGTAGATACTGGTACATGTTTCCCGAACTATATCAGGCCGCCCATGCGGTCTGTCGATGTAGTTTCCTGCTCAATCACGAGAGCTATTCGCTTATTCTTCAGGATCTATCATCGTTTTTGAAGGAGATTGGTTGAGAACCAGCCAGATAGTACATATATCGTGGTACAGCAGTGATATATTTCTCTTGACTATTAGAATCAAAGTGGATTGTGATGTGTGAAAAGCCAGGAAGGGGAGGTGAGTAATCGCACCAATCAATCAATATATAATATGTGTGTATATCAATCTCGCACAAGTTCCTTCGTGAGCAAGTTCATCTACACTACATTAGTGTAGTAGCCAATTCGAAGTTATTGCAGGCCCTCAACCTTCCACAGCTTCACCGCGGCGTCTGCACCAGCCGTCGCAATCTTTGAACCCCGTCGATCCACGCCACACCATTGACGCCCTCCTTGTGAGCATTCTTGACCTCCAGCTTGTCACCTGGCTTGGCCAAGCTCCACACGAAGACATTGGTGTCCAGGGATCCACTAACCACATTCGAACCGGCTTTGTTCCATGCGAGAGAGGTGATGCGTGCGGTGTGCGCCGTCCAGCGGTCAGTCACCAGACTGCCATCAGCCACCTTGTAGACCACAATGCGGCCCCGTCCATCGCCAACAGCGAGGTTAGATGCATCGGGGGAGAAGGCGAGTTTGGAGACAGGATTGCGAGAAGCCTTGATTTCGGACTGAGGCGACAGGCTGGAGCCGGAGACGCTGCAGATCTGCACGGATCCATCTTCACCACCAACAGCGGCGAGAGCACCATGGGCTGCCACGGTTGTGACGGGGACCTTGCTTTTGTATTCCCCGGTCTTCTTGCCGTCTTGGAAGATTTCAACGGCCCCTGGAGCGCCCACCAGCACTGTGTTGACCCCTGAAGCAACACCCTGAGGCTGCCCGCTGAGCTTGGAGGCGCTGCCGGTGAAAGTCTTTGCGGAAGCATCGATAGAGCGGATGGTATCGTCCCAGCCGACACTGTAAATTCTGCCCGTACCCTCAGATGTCGAAGTCAAACCAGCAATGTAACCGGGGTGGCCCTCGCCCTCGATCTCTCCAGCAAGGCCAGTGGCAACATCCCAGCCGCAGACACGGCCCTCGAAGCTACCAGTCCACAGAGTCTCCTTGCCGTCCAATGTGGACTGGCCCAAGGAAGTGATGGTTTTCTGGTGGCCTTGAACCACTTGACGGGGCTGAGGAGTGCCTTCCACCAAGTAGTTCAGATCTCCGCTCAGTGACAAACTGATGAGCAGATTATCGGTTCTTGCCGGAGGCCAGACGACACCCACTTGGTGGTCGCGAACAGCCATGGCGCCCTCCTCGCCCAGAGCCCAGCTCTGCGTGGCCTTTCCTGCCTCCACATCCCAGATCTTGACAGTTCGGTCGGCGCTAGCAGTGACGAATTTTCGCGAGTCCTTGGACCAAGAAAGGCCAAAGATGCTACCCTTGTGCTCGCCCTCGCCAATCTGGCCCCGAGTCTCACCGGTCTTGCCGTCGTAGAGCCAGATCTTTCGGTCGGCGCCCACACTGGCCAAGGTCGAACCATCGGGGCTGAACTCGACACCGTAGATGTAATTGGTGTGCTTGTCTCCAATTCCAGTGTTGAATTTGAATGGCGCACCGTGGTAGAAGACCAGCTTCTTATCGTCACCGGCGGCGGCAGCACGCAGCGGACGCTGCTGCTTGATGGACACAGAGTTAATCTGCTGCGTGTGGCCGTAGATTTCTCCAACTGTGTTGCCACTGTCCCAGCTGATGCAGTGGCCATAGCGCTGCTTGCCATCACCTACAGCGATGATGCGCTGCGAATCCCCATCCCAGGCCAGGTCGTTGATGCGACCATTGACAATGCTGTATTCGCCCTTGGTGATACCATCCCCAAGACAATCCCACACTCTCACGATACCAGCCGCATCACCACTGGCAACGTAGAATCCCGAAGGGGAGAACCGGGCAACCGTGGTCTGAGCCTTGTGTTCGGTGTATTGTCTCGCGACCGCGGGGTCGTCGATTGAGCGCAAAAAGATGGACTTGTTCGACTGTGATTGGGTGGGTCAGACATGGGTTTCGGAAATTTTGCGTGGGTATGAAGGTGTCGTACAGCATAAGCCAGTCGCTCGCCTTTGGAATCGGACGCAAGCTGAGTGGGCTGGCCACGAGTGGTGGAGGGGCTCGGGGCCCAGATAGATTCTGCGCAAGAGTCAAGTCAAAACGGTCCTGCTATGCTATAAAGAGAGCCTAGCGAAGAATCTGCATACCGTTTGTAATTGACATTGGGAAGGAACGCTGAAGTTGGGAGGAGAGGTGGAGGTAAGTGAAACGGAGGGAAGGTTGTTTATCGACTGACGTACTCGGGGCGGGCCAGAGCAGCTTTGGCGGGGAATCCGTTTCATATCGTCCGCACGGCGCTCCAATTGACCCTTCCATTTGCTCTCCCGGGCTGATGCTACATGAAAAATTGAAACTAGTTGCATTGCGGGAAAAATTCGATTCACTTCGCGCTGGGAGTAATAATACATGAAGATGCCCCCTCCAACCCTCCCGGCGGCGGGTTGGTGGGTGGCTGATTTATACAAGAACGCCATATATCCCCCGTCTCCAGATCATTCCGAGCCCGGAAACAACTGGAATAAATTGTTGCCTTTACCGGTGACGGCTTTCCATCCTCGCCTTGAGTTCACTGGCCAAGATTTCGGGGTGTCGGTGGACGGAGGGCATGAGACCGAGTCCCATGGCTCTGCGGATGGCCTTGGCGATCTTGCGCTGGTTGACGGGTCGCAGACCAGTCTGATCGCGGTGCTTGATGCGGCCCAGAGGAGACACGTACTCGGACATCACGGCGAAGTTCTGTTTGATGGCAATATATCATTAGCGACAATTTCATGTCATTGTGTCACTGTCAAGGAGACAATAGAAACTGAAGATATTCCTGGTGCGAAAAATGCATCTCTTCAGAATACAGGGCGATCGGGGAAAAGATATCTCTGCGCACCTTGTAGAGGCTCATGGGGTTCAAGTTCAAAGCATCGAAGGCATCCCTAGAGGGACTCTTGCGCCTTCCCCATTTCTTCATCTCCGCCGGGCTGAGATCATGCGGCGCGTAAATATCACCAGCCTTCCACTCGCGAGTCTGGAACTTCTCCAATGCGCGGCTCTCGCCCTGTGCTTTCTGATCTTCGAGGAGGCGCAGACGGTTCGGTAACCGACGTCGGGACACTCGGGGGCCTGTGGAATCACCAGAAACTGATTAATAACGGTCCAAAGCACAATTGACACTAGAAAGGCCTAATATGTATGGAATAAAGGGGATGCTGCGACGTACTCTGTGAGGCAGTGGCTCGCTGGGAGGTGAAGGCGCTCATGGCGGCGGTCGAGCTCCAGCGACAAGCCGAAGGCACGGCGCTGGCGACGCTGCGCAGCAGCGAGGACGAAGAAAATAGGTTTAAAGACATTGTGACCCAAGCTCACGTCAATCCCGATCTGCGTTGCGGCTGAGTGGTGGTGATGGACGGTTCGGACGGGGAAATCCAACGGATCTTTTTTCGCGGTGCCAAGACCGCCTGGAGTTCTCCGCGTCGCGAACTTTTGCTTCCGTAGCTCCCTGGACTTCACCTCCTACACCCACCCACACCCCCCTTTTCCGATCGGATAAATTTTGCCTGTCCACCTTTGGACAGAGTTCGCTTATTCTCGAAAATGCAGTCTCACTTGTCGAGACGTGTCTTCCGTGCGATTCTCAACAACGAACCGCTTCATTTCTCGAGATGCCGCCGAACACAACTGCTGCATACTATCTCTCCTGCTCGAGTGCGGCCGTCTCTCCTAAACCTGAATAATGTTTCGCGCCGAACGCTGTTTGCCTTTAATCTCGACCTCAGTTCAGGGGCTGGTCCAGCCGTCTTACCCACCGAGAGGGGCCTGAAGCCGATGAGTGATTTGAAACGTTCGCTTCAGGATAGAAGTAGACCTCCTCCGAACTTCACCCTTGCGAAAGCATTCCAGTCGTTCTTTACTACTAGAGTGGAAGCTCCAGGATCAATCAATCTTTTCGAGGCACGGTTGCTATCCATCACATGGAAGCATATGAAGGCACAGCAAGCTGAGCTCGACGATAAGGAGTGGGACACTATGTTTTCGATTGAAAGCTTGGAAAGAATGCTATATGTGTTCTCTGAGTCAGAAATTCTTCCGGAAGCGCGGGATACTACCCTCAAGGTCGCCCGCTTCGCCTATAATGAGCTTTGCACTGATCATGGATTCGGTGCCAACAGCATCAGCCGACCTGCTCTCCTCATATACATCAACCTCCTGTCAATCAACGGCTGTCCAGAGGAGGCTCGGCATACGATCATAAGATTTGGTGGACAAATGCGTGGGGCAAAGCCGTCTCCTTGGTTGACGGTCTTGAAGGGATTTGCCTTGAAAGACGACAGACGTCAAATGCGTAAAGTTACGCAGGAGCTGGGAGAATATGGCGTGAAATTCGATCAAGAGTCCCAAAAAGAGCTGATTGATATTCTTGTCGCCCAGGGCCTATTCAAGGCGGTCCAGACTGTTTATGAGTGTCCTATCGTCGGCCAACACGAGCCCGCTGTCGCCGCCAAGGTTGCTGCCATCAAGTTTGCAATTCTGAAGTCGGACCTTAAGTGGGCAAAGCCCGTGTTTGAGTCTCTCCCCCACAACACCACCCCTGAAACCGCAGGTATCACTCTGCTATGGGAGGCTGCACAAGGCAATGATGCTACATCCCTCGCCGACATTATCAAGCTTTGGTCTTCAACAAGTCCTCAGCTCAAAGAAGCACTGAAAATCACCGACTTCAATAGTCTCATTGAATATGCCAATGCCGTGCAATGCCCGGAATTGGCTATGGATGTTCAAATGCTGGCTGAGAAATCTGGATTCATTCCAAACGAGCAGACCTATCTGCTTCAACTGGAGTCTGCCGTCAAATCTGGCGACGTGACACGTACTCTGGGAATCCTGGAACACCATGTCGACCCATCCACGCTCACTGGTGATAACCTACCCCTTGCCAACCAACTCATTGTGATGCTTTGTTCCTCGCCGCAAAGAGACACACTCTTCGAGAAAATTTCCGCTCTCCTTGATCCCCTTTTCCAAGAAAATGTGCGTCTGGAACCGCGAACTGTCGCAGAGCTTACTCGCATGCTACTTTATCGCCACGAATTTGATGCTGTCTCCGAGCTCCTTCGCCCGCGTCTGGGAACCTACGATAGTGAAGGGAAGACCTTGATTCGCACCGCCTTCACTGACTTCGTCATGGATCCCAGCCAGGAAGATGACCATGTGTGGGAAATATACGAACTTTTTAAAATGGCATTCCCCGAGGCTGGTGTGAGTATCCGCACGGAGATTATGTCTTCCTTCTTTGAGCGAAACCGAAGCGATCTCGCAGCTTTGGTTTTCGGGCACATGCGCCAGGCTGAAGACTTGACGCGCCGGCCTAAGCCGGATACGTATGCCAGATGTCTCCAGGGCATCGCACGCGCCGCTGATGCGACCAATCTCGAGCTCGTGCATAACATGCTCAAGCTGGATTTGGAAGTTGAAGCCAACACGCGAATCATGAACGGGTTGATGCTGGCATACACAGAATGCGAGATGCCGGAGAAGAGTATGGAGATTTTCAAAGAAATTCTTCGATCCGACGAAGGACCTTCACACAAGACCCTGGCGATTTTTTTCAAGGCATGCGGAAGGCATAGTGATGGCGCCCACGAGGCCATCAAAATGCTCAAGAAGATCAAGAAGCTCGACATCGACCTTGACCGTCGCCTCTATAGCTCGTATATTGAGGCACTGGCTGCTCAGTGTGAGTTTGATTTAGCCACTGAGGCCATTGATAAAATGCAAGCCGAAACCGGGGTGCCTCCCACTAGCACAACGTAAGTTTGCATGAGCTTATTTTATCTACACTATTCATCATACTAACTTGACTTAAGGATTGGTTTGTTCTATAATGCTTCCCCATTCAATTATTGGAAAGACAAGGTCGAGCAGTGGGCGCTCGAGAAATACCCTGATCTGTGGGCGCATTTGTCTGAGACAAACCTCACTGTTCATGACGAGGGCCCGAAATTTGATGGCATCGTCAATGAGACATGGGTATAATCTCGAATATATATATTAGCTGTTAAATCCTTTTTTCTGGATGTATAAGTATATGGAACATAGATCATCTTGAAGACATTGCTGCGGAGAACAGGTAAGGAATTCAATGGGATAGAATCCCGAGCATCTGGTACGATCCCTCGAGGAAGTCGTGTACAAGCGGAATGAGGGAGCTGGTCTACAGTAAGGATGTACACGTGTTGCCTGAAGACTCTTTGCGTAGCCGCAGTGTACCTCCCTTGTTTCGAGCGCCGGGCTCTATTGTTGCTCTTTGTCTGTCGCAAATCACCCTGATACCTATGTCTGTCACAGAGGGATTTCTAATGTCAAGCTCCTTGTTAAACCTCGAATTCCTGCTATGTCTAAAAGTATATAATTGATGAGACCTCACCGCAATGATTTATCCGGACGTTCACGGAAAGAAAGAGTTTCCGGTAAATCCTACCAGAGTCACTTTAATTATACAGGCTACCCTTATCAACTGCGCGATGGCTTTCCGATCCAAGAACGATATTGAGTATTCAAATTGGGACGACCGGCAGCTGGCAGGAGAAGAACGACAGAACTGGATTAGCAATCCTAATACCCCTTCTCCGATCTTAAATCATAATAACCTATCAGAGTATACTTGACACAGCAGGCTGGCGCAGCTATTACATCAAAGGACCACACAATCTCCCAGAAAGAGACACATCTGAAGCAGTCAACCTAGGGCTTCAACTCGGCGCCGTATATCGAACAAGGTATATCTCTTGACTTGAATGAGGGCGAAATTCACGTAGGGTTCGAGAACTGGTGTGAAGCAATTGGACCAGGAACCCTCTTCATGGAGAACATATTCAGGACATATAAACTACCTCCAGTCGTGGCAGCTTCCTACTGGTTGCAAGCGGTTATTGGTATGGGAACTGGTACACCTGAATACCAGGCACTGCTTGCCTCCCGCATTGGAAAGATCATTGTATATATTGTTTTGGGTGCATTTGAGCGTGGAACCAGACGCATTGCGCGAGTTGCTACTTGGTTCATTACGAATCAGCCGGAAGGGAGTACAAGGTTACAGATGCGGTTTAATATTGAGGTCGCTGTATGATATACATGAATCAACTTGCTCCTTGTTTCAACTAATTTTTTAGGGTTTCCCTGCATGCTCTAATCATGAGGCGTTCAAGTACATTGAACAGCGACCTGATTATTTTCCATGTCGTGTATGAATGCGAATTGTGTTTTTCAACATTTACTGTGTTTGTAAAACTGAACTTGTATCCTGGATGTTCATTATTGTTGATGCTTTTCACGGCGAGCAAAGTCTCCATCTGCTGACCTCTCATATGACAGCAGTGTAATATCGGAATTATTTGAATTATTTTTTGAGTTCGGGTCGACATGAGTTTGGGTCAACTACAAGGCAATAAAATTATATGAAAAAGAGTAGACAATCAAAATCAGATCGCTTGATAAATAAACATTTCTGGTGTCATGATATGGTAAAGATGTAGAAACGAAATATCGGCGCTTTCCACGCAGCGAAAGGCTGGGAATGATCGAAAGTTACTAACATGGGTGCAAAAAAATTCGTACTGATATACACGGCTTTGGGAATCCTAACGGAGGCGAACACCTCACCAAATATTCAGACGAAAGGTTGTCTCATATAGTGCTGCTATTGAGGAACGTAGACTCATTCATCCCTAGCTCATAACTCAAGATAAACGGGTGTAATAGAACATGCTCTTCGAAACAGTCAACTGGTAGAAAACGCCACCTGAGAAAATTTATCTCGACGCAGCACACGTCATAATACATGCCAGGAACATCAATCATCATCATCAGAAAATACAATTCGCCCCAATCGCCAAGTTCGGCGTGACCATACACTTTTCTCCGACATGCCTATCGACATATGCTTTCGCAGTCCGAGTATGCTCCTTTATAGTTCTTCCACCGTCTAAGTTCTACCATGTATTTGAACCAGTAGGCCTTCAGCTTGACCTGGAGTGTCGGATGGGCGGATTTATTTTCCACTCCTTTTGCCATGGAATCGTATATGCCGAGGGTACGTTCGATAGCTGGAATCCATGGCTGCTGTTCTAGACGAAATTCGTGAAGAAGGGCTTCCCATACACTCCGTTTTGCTTTCATTTCTCCCTTGACAATGGCAAACAAGTCTGTCTTCGTATACTCTGACTCAACCATCTTCTTGCGTGTCTTCACAGCCGTCTTTCCAAAAAAAGGGCTTGGTAAGTACAGAAGACGATGATTGTTATACACTTAATATAAATCATCTCTTGATGGAACTTACTTCTCAGCATTGCCCGTACCTGTTTTAATCAGAGCGGCAGACTCATCATCAGAAGTAAGGACTTGCGAAGTGACACGTCTTTTACACTGAATGGGATCCTCTACTTCGGGACTCGCCTCGCGCTGTTTGCGTTTCATGTTAGTTTTTCTGGTGAACGGCATGTTAAATCTGGTTGATTTTTTACAAGTTCTCGAAAGTCAATTTTTTTGCGTGATATTTGCACACGATGGTCTTTCTGAAATGTTTATTTCGAGAAAGACGAGTGCTCCCAAGAGCTTTATGTAGTGAAGGGTGGATGTCCAAGCAGAGAACATTAGACGATGAAAGCAATTTGGTGAAAGGGGATTTATGGAGAATCTTAGCCTACCGGAGATCCGGCCTCGAGCTCTTTAAGAAAGGCTCATCGAGAAATTTCATCAGTCCTTTGATTGGCTCCCATGAGGTAGATACCGGTAATTACTAGCAAATGCTAGAAGACGGCGATGTCGATGCACGTCTTTGTTAAATATTGAAGGGCATCACAAATGACTGCGAAAATCATTTGCTTATTCCAGGAGATATTAGTTCGTGTTGAAAATTATAACTTCAGAAATTCTCTGTCATTGATGGAAGTTGATTACCTTGTAGGCACTGGATTGAACTAGGCATCTAGAACAATTGCTATCAAATCCCTGTAGAGCAGATGAGAAACCCTTCTATAGACACAAATAATTGAAGCAAAACATAAGTCTTTATTTTAGTACTAACATTTTAGTACTAATGGTTCTTCAAATAAAAAGAGGCGGGACCTAACCCAACCCAAGAGTCTCGAGGCTATATTCACTTCCTTTGAATAATCCAGGGAACCAAATCTCGAGGGTCCGAAGACAAGCGGAGAGAGGAATTCGACAGACAGACTTGGTGAGCCACCAGTCAGGGTTCCCGGCCATTGGCCTGTTTGTTGGCGTGAGTGGAATGACACGTCTTTGTTGGACAATCAAAGAATTACGTCCTGGCAAATACCCGAACGCCGTTTCTGGCCAACTGGGTATCAAAGAACCAGATACTAGAGAAACGAGAAGTGCTCTAGGCCAGAGTCGTCAAATTGCTTACTGAGCCAGTCGCACAGTTTGCCTGAGGACAAGTGACAAACCTCACCATCAGCTCTTTCTTTGATCAGTAACCATCTGACAACAAGAGACAACTTATATATTGGAATCTGTATAACCACACCTCAGGAATACATGATCTCTAATAAACAAGACCAGAAGGAAAGGGCTCAACTCCATGCATTCAGGCTCTCGCCCTCAAAAGCGAAAAGCACAGCAGTGCCTGACCCGCCCACCGAAGCCGCCCAAGAGAAGGCCGAACCACTATCCCCTCAAACATCTCCGCTCAGTAGCTATGGCAAATATCGAGCGGAAAGAAGAGTGAGAAATTTGCGAAGAACTTCCAGGCACAGCTTCAAGCGCCTGAGGGCAGACCGAAAAATCCAAACTGCAACCCAAGCTTCTCATCAAAGAGACAAATATCAATCTGCCGTCTTCCACGTGGACACACAAATAGCGGAAGACGAAATAGAAGTCCAACAGCTCGAATTTGTACCAAACCGATCACAAGCACTAGAAGAACATTCCAAAAAAAGCAGGCGAACTATCCACATCCTCCGAAAGAACCCCAACGATGACGAAACGCCGTACAACAGACTCTGGAGTAACCTGGATAACTACGAGAGGGTCGATATAGACGCCTACCTGGAGAGATGTCATTCGTGTCATCCGCGTGCTTCGTATGTGGCTTTTGCACAGAAGTAAGCTTAATCCGAGAGTTGGTCATCTTGTCTACGCTTCTTAGGCGTAATATTGACACTAACGATAGGCTGTCCAGTGAGCGATTTGGCAGACGATTTAAATTAGAGTCGGGAGATTCGCTGCTTTTTCCTAGCGGGTTTCCGACCGGGCGGATTGCGAGACGGCCGAAGGAACTGAAGGAGAGGTATCGCATGGTTCCCGAAGTCAGATGAGGAGGGAGAAAAATTAAACTGAACCGAGGTCGGAGGTAAAATGTCTGAGAGCCTGTTTCCACTTCTGTCTGTCAGTCTCGAGCTAGGGTGGTCCTCTTTATTTTCTTTTTCTTTTTTTTTTTCGAAAATTGTTAGTCCATTGTTAGTCCCGGGGATGGGGCGTAATGTCGAAAGAGTCGACCAAGTCATCATAAAATACATTTCTATATATCATATCTTGTCTTCATGTCTCCAAGAGCCCCGGAATTTATGCCTGACCAAGGCGTCTTCCGGAATGGTCCCATCATGCGTACTATTTGAATGACCCTGTCCCACTCCAAACCCATCAATAGGCAGAATCAAGATATCTCCAATGAGCTTTGGCTCAGTTAGCCCGCTGAGATTCCTCAACGAGACAAGTTCCGAATCATAAGACTGCAGATGTCGGAATACAGCATCGGTCCAAGCAGAAGGACCAGTCAATTTCATGACTTCAGATGAAGAAGGGCTGAGCTTAGAGTATGTCGTGTTGCTAGCCAGCCGGAACTCTTCCAGCGCAGAGACAACCCATTCTATCATATAAGTGAAGAGAGGGTGTCCAGGGGTTGTGGCAATAGTCCATTGACAGAACTGCAGGTCAGGATGCACCTCGGCCCAGTTATTTCCATTGAGACGGTCGAACTCAACTCCCACCACGACCCGAACTTCTTTCTGGTACCTTTCAGGGACCCATTTGTCGATCGGCTTAAGATTTTCCGTGTCGATATCTGAATAGATACCTCCTTCTGTTGATAGAATGAGGTATCTTAACAGATCGGATTTCATCCCGGTATTTCGGAGTCCATTGAAGATCCCGAGTAAGACGGGTTGTTCTTTGAAACGATAACGCACAATCGTTTCAGCTCCCTCCTCTCCGACCAAAGTGTATTCGTAGTCCGGGTTGTGTGCTAGCCACGAGACAGCATCGGCAATATTTCCCGGGTCGACATGAAAGGTACTCTTGTTCGCATTTGGCGGCGTGAGATAAATCTGCCATATCTTCCTAGGAAAGGGAGAGTGTCCATATTTGTTGATTGGCCCCGGGATTTTGGTATCTTGGATAGTTGACTGTGAGGTGAGATCGGAGTGTTGATCGAAGAATTGGTGGAATAGGGCGATCATCACCAGGAGCCAGGCAGTCACAAGAAAAGCCACTTTGGCCATCCGATTTCTTGGGTGGGACTGTCGCCAAGCATTATCGAGGAAGATTAAAGTTGATTCAACACAGACTTGCATTTTCTCGCGCTGAGTCCTCAACATTTTGCGGGTTTAAGAAGTGAATCTGAGATGATGTGAGTCTCATGAGAAGACGAGTTTCGCCTATTGTGATCACTCGTGTTGGTTCCGTGTTGGTTTTCTAAAACAGAACTATATCTACGCTGGCTATGCCTGACCCGCATTTGACTATACCTAAGCTTAGAATGGGAAAAGGGTTCACCGTATCTTAGATTCTGTGTCCCCACTATTCAGTTCGACCCAGGATCACATTGGCATAGACGACTTGGACCATACTCGAGTCCATTTGATCCTGAACAAATGCTCTTGCGTGTTCGAGCCAGGTATTTGGTGCTAGACATTCTTTCTTTGAATATGAGTCGAGGGCATTCGATATCGACGTCGCGGTAACTCATAATTCGCAAGGCGCAATAGGGCGCGCTCGTATTCTCACATCATCAATATTTCTTTTGTTGTTTCAGGTGACGCGTATGACTGAAGTGCCTTAAATCGTAACAAGGGCATTCCTTGAGACATAAACCCTTAAGACACCCCACAATGGCCAGGCATCCATCGAGGAGGCAATCGAGAGCAAGTAAAATGTGGTCGGGAAGAATTGCCCCGGTCAAGCGCCCCACTGTAGAACGGGCCCGGACCCTTCCAACGTTCCATTGCAACGACCTATTTTTGGATCACAACGGCAGCCTCGCTATTTTCATAGATTCAAAGGCGAGTTGTGTCGGTGATTCTGTGTCAAATATGAATTCGTAATAGAGACAATAGTATGAAGAGTTGTCCTTATGTGCAAATAAATGATCATGCAAATGCAGTATGTTCAAAAAAGTCACGCTGAACACGCTCAAATCGCCCATCTGAAAGCTCCAAAAAGAACAAATAACAGATGATAATTTTAAAGACTGAATATGCCACTCCGCTTCTTGCCATGCGGATAGACAATCAAAGCGGAAACGAAGAGTCCCACCGAAATGCCAATCGCAGTCTGGATCATTCCATAACCCAGCGAAGTCAACGAACTATTGTTCGTCGCACTTGTCGTCGTATTCGCCGTTCCATTCGCGACCTTCTCAGCGTACTCCAGACCCGAAATAATCGAGCCACTGGAGGCAAGACCCGACGGCACCATCGTGAAGATGCCTGGGATAATCGCGGCGGCGGCATGGCCGTGCCATACCCGGGAATACAGATTCGCCATGAGACCGATTGTGAAAGCGCCGATGGTATTCGCGACCTGATTTGAGCCGAGCACAGTGGTACTGAAGTAATTGGTGATATAACCGCACACCCCCATAAAAACGGTCACGGGGATCTGCTTCCATTTTGCTTGGTTGATGAGAGCAGCGAAAAGACAGAAGAGAGCCACGAAGGGAAAGCGTTGGATGTAGGCATTTCCCCAGACGCTGAGACTGGCGGCGGGACAGGCCGAGTCTGTGGTTGCGTGTCTGTCCATGACGCCGTAGATGGTTGTTCCGACTGTGACGCCATAACCCAGGAAAAGAGAATAGATGATCGTGAAGACCATTCTGATTGAGCCGGCATTCATTTGGTGGGACTGCAGCTCGAGACTACTGCTCAGCACAGCAAAACCGGGAAGAATCATAGCGATGGAAGACTGGGCCAGGGCCGCGAAGCAAAAGACTCGTTCGCCGTTGTGATGGATACTGCCAAATGCGCGGGCGAGGAAGGACGTCAAGATCGCAGCGGAGACTTCGAGCACATTGGAGTAAGTAGCGGAGTTCGGGGCGAGGATGTGTTGCATAAAGCCCACCAAGCACCCAAGGAAGAATATAATTGGGAGGTCGATGGGGCGTGCGCCAAATGAATAGGGGCCCACGGCAACACTGGCAAGGCCAGTGAGGATGACGAGAGTCCAGCGATTATAGCGAGGCTTCCGCTGCATAATCTCATCGAGATCTTGGGTGGCCTGTTCCACATTGATCAGGTCGTGCACAACGTTTTTGTAGACATTGTGAGTCTCCGCGAGACGGGATAGATCCAGACCCTGTATGACACGGATAATCTTCACCTCGGCAGTGCGAGTAAGCGGATCATCGAAAGACATGAACATGCATCCGGGGATATACAAGAATTGAGCCTTGACGTCCAGCACGTTGGAAGTCATCATCATATACTCTTCCAACCGGTGAGTAGGGGCACCGTATTTCATTAAAGCACGACACAGTTGCATGATATACTGCTGGCGGGCAAGAAGAGCTGCGATGTGCACCTTGAGTCTGACATCCTTCGAACTCTGACGCTTTTGTTTCTTGCGTTCCTTGTAGCCCATCGGCGTTGCGGTGCCCTGGGTACCGGGCACACCCACCCGTCCCATATCCATCGATGCCGCAATCAGAGAAGAGGTATAGTGGTGACCACTCTGCTTCTGCGGTTTTCGCATCTTCTTGTTGAGCTGGTCCAGCTTGCTCGGCGTGCTTTCGTTACCGTTTGCATACCATTTAACCTTCTCTTTCTTTCCACCGGGAGTCGCAGTGCCGGGACTGATACCTGTGCCTGTACCTGTGCTTGGACTGGAACCTGTCTCAGCACCTTTGCCTGCAGTATTGACCGCGGTTACACCGGTGCTCGGTGTGCCTGGGGCAGTTGGCGGTAAGGTTTCAGTTTCAGGGTCTGTTTCTGAGCTCGTCGTAGCGACACTTATACGACTCGCAGCCGGCAAGTTATTGGCATAGACCCGAAGTAGATGCGATAATAGACCACCATTGACAGGGGTCGATGCTCCACTCTCCCCGGGGGTGCTCGCACCAGAATGAGGAGTCTGTGCCTCTGGGTGGCGCTTGTAAGTCGGCAATCCCAGCTGCTTGATCAGAAGCTCCGCCTGGGAGTCGTGATCATGGCCCGACAACTTTTCCTCCTCATCATTAGCCATCCGAGCCTGAAAGCTCTTGAGATCGTCTGTTGCCCCATAATTTTCTGGCGAGAAGCTTGCGTCGAGGCCATCTTCACCATGCTCATGCGGCCGACCCAGCGCCTCGGCGATAGTTCCAGCACGCTCGCGAACCCGTCGACTCAATGTCCTCCATCTTTCAGGGATCGACGTCGTGCTGGGCTGTTCACTAACCTCATCCCGAACTTCGAGGCGAGTATCATTCTCCGCAGCATGCTCTTCATTCATAGTATGTTGATGACCCTCATCTTCCATCGCCGTGTCAACAGAAAGATTATGCGGAGAAGAAGGAGTCACCTTCTCTCTCTCAAACGGATCCGACATGGGAAGAACACCGTCCAGGAGTCAACAATTACACCACCGGAGCCAATCGGATAAGTCGGAAAGTGGTCTTGGGGAATTTTTCTGTTCACGAGCCGCGGCCGATGGCGAAAATGTGGGGAAGACGTCGACACCCCCGGGGGTTGTAGAAGGGGTCAGGCGAGACAGACAACGAGCGACAAGGACAAAGAACGACGACGACAATTCTGCAGATGCGGCCTCCACTCACGGCGATTCATATTCCTGGGGAGGCAGCGAGAGGGGGCCCCAGGGGTTTTATGAGGAGAAGCTGTTGACCCACGTCGCTAATGTGGGTTGAAGTCATAGCCGCTAATTTGGTCTGGATCAGGAGCAGAACGCGTCAGTCTCCACTTGGCTCTTCAGAACTGGTCCGGCTGGGCAGTCTGGGCCGGGTTCCTGGCGGAGCCGAGCGACGGCGGAAATGCAGCCGACGCGGAGTTGGCTGGTTGGCGAACGGGAGAAGCGCGGATGTCTGGCGATGCGTTCTGGCGAGGACGCGAAACAAGCTTCGGGGAGAAGCGTACTAAGCGGCGCTAAGGATGCAAATTCATTGCTGGATTTCTCCAGCGGCCCGTCGTGTGTTATTTGCCCGTGGCCTGATCAATGGGGATCGGTGGAGCTGGGCCCTTCATTATTGTGCGATTCCTGTTGTGCTCGACCCACCGGGACCGTTCTGATGTCAGTTGGCTCTCATCCAGAGATGCCACGATGTATACTTGCGTACCTGAGGGTTCCTGCGGGTGCTCAATGCCACCGTCGATCGGGAAGTATATGCCGTTTCCTGTCTAGCTCTGCGTCGGACTCTGGGGTAACCATCGGATGTGGCGAGGTCATTGGCATCTTTATTACGAATTTTCGGGACTAGGAAACTCGCTTGTCTCAAAAAGCACAAGCGACGAAAGGGTGATTGGTCGAATACGCAGGGCTCCAGATGCGCAGAGTCATCTGACCTTACAAGATTTTTAGGTTATGCTTAGGTATACCCAAAATGAGGTGTGGTTCCCCAGCCAAAGGGATCAAAGTACCCAAGAACGGCGTGAATGTATAGAATTATTTCCATCCTCTATCCTTAGCCTTAGTTCAGGTATTTCTAGGTCTTTTGATACCAATTAGACTATACAATATAAACTATTACCCATCGAGATACTCGCTGAGACTTACCTCGGCATTCAGCCCGCCCGTCGCCTCGGTTTGTTTCTCTTTTACCGTTATGGGGTACTACTCATAGTATGCAAGTCAAGCAGCATCGCCACTTCGTCGCCAGGAGAAACACATCCATCGCAGATCGCTATTTTTCCATCCGATAGTTCTGGCCACGTGGCTTCAACCCCTGCTGCTCACTGCAAGGGCTGGTCATCTTGGCGCCGCCAATCCTCAACTCCGCCATCTTCAATCTTGAATCTCCGGCCTCCCGGCCCCACACGCTCCGCGGGGCCCTCGGATCAGCCGTTGAAGGGCGGTGTTTCAGACGATATACTAAAAACATTGAACTATTCTCAAAGCATACAGTGTAGTGAAATGCAGTCGATAATGGGCTCTTCCGCGAAAATAATACCTAGCAATATTCGAACTAGCATAGGTCTCGTGATCAGCTAGATTTGGCTCTATGGGTATCCACCAAGTACGGGGTACACTTGCTGTACAACATAGTTCGTACAGTAATGCGTGCCACTGGGGCTGTGCGGCCGTCTGCCAGCACGCCACGTCTCGGTCTAATTATATAGATCTAGACCGTCCATCCCGCATTTATTGGTATCCTCAATCGAGTTGGGATCACCATCGAAGCAGATGGATAAACGAAAACGTCCTTTTCACCTAAGCGTCAATTCTGCATGATCCTCAGCGCGATACATCTCCCCCATCTTGGCCATAACATCGCCATCCATTTCCCCCTGCGCCATTTGTTCTCCAGTTGCCATGACCGCCAAGCCCCCGCACTCCGCACTGCCCCCCCTCGTCGACATACCACTCGGATAGTCGCCCCTAATTCTCTCAGAACATCTCTCATTCCACAAAACCTCTCAGCAAAACAATGCCGCCATGCCACCAACACCACTCCAACCCCCCGACCACCCCGTCGCCCTCCGCCGCTCCCACCTCCTGGCCGCAGCCCCAGACCGACTGACCCACACCCCGACCACACTCACCGTCACCCGCGAAAACACGCACTCCGGCCGAGACTTCAGCGTCCACCAGCTCCGCAAAGATGAGCCCCTCGATAGTCTCCGCCGCAGCACCCTCCTCTACACCGTCCATGGCCGCTTCTGGTCCAACTCGCAACAACGCGAAATCCGCGACTCGTCCGGTCGACCACTCCTCGAGCTCCGCCGCATCTGGTGGCGCGGGCAGTGGATCCTCAAACGAGCCGGAGGCGTCGGCGATGAACTCCTCTGCGCCGAGATGCGCTGGGGCATTGGCATGAAGATCAGCGTGCGATTCTGCAACGCGCTCGTCGGTCCGCGCGAAGGAATGACTCTCTCACGCGGGGGGCCAAGTTCAGGTGCAGGACCAACTCCAAATCCAGCTCGACCCGGCACATCAGCTGGTTTAACAAGTATCACGCCCAACTCGAGCGCCAGCGCCAGCGCAGAAGCAGCAGCCAATGCGTCGAGATCTCTGAGTACATCCGCATACACGAGACCAGCCCACCGTCGGCGCGCGACAATGAGCACATACCCGCATCCACCACCGAGCGAACGGGACGCACCACCCCCATACAGCGCCACCGTGGCCGAGGGACATCAAACGCACAGCAGCGCCAGCGACAATTCGACCTCCAACCCGAACTCGAGCAGTACATCGCTTTCGTCGACGTCATCCACGGATTCCGACACAAAGTCCCGTAATACGGTACTACCATCATACGAATCTGTCCGACGAATGCGCCGACACAGCAACAATAATAACTCCCACTCACTGCGCGACCTCCTCGACGCAATTGAACCGCCGCGCGAACCGGCCCCTGCGTCCGCAGCCCCGTACCCGACGCAACGGCGGTGGAGCGAAAGCTGCATTGTCGACCCGAAGGTCGAACTGAAGGTCGTGCAACAGAGCGGTACACTTGCAGAGGTGATTATGGGGGATCGGAAGATTATCCACGTGAAGCGGGCACGGGCATTCGATTTGGTGACGCGGGCGAGCGGGACGATGTCGCGGTGGGAAGTTGAGATTGCAGAAGGAGTGGACCTGCTACTGGTGAGCTTTACCTTTTTTTTTTTTATTTTTATTTTTCTTTCTGTAGTATTATTTTGTACTACGGTGTTTGGAGTTGGATATACATACACTGGATCGGTTCCATGGTACATCCACCATATTGTCCTAAAACAGCGCTGATCGGCCACAGGCAGTTTGCATCGTTCTTATCATTGCGGAGTCAGTTCGGCATGACTACCGACGGGCATAGATCTCTAACCACGCACAGCCAAATCATTTTTCCTTTTCGCGGATCGCATTGATTCTTTTAAAGCCGATAATCTGATCGATATTTCCCGGGTTCTGAGGGTACGTACATTTGGTCACATGTATCATATCTCGATTTCACTTCTTTGGCTGCCAGTCCTTACGGGGTTGAGTGGGAGTCACTTCACCTTCCCTATTGGTCTGGCAAGTTTTCTCATATTTTTATGACGGGTCTGTCGGGATAGAGCTGGGCATGTTTCTATTTCTTTTTCTTTTCTTTCTTATCCGGGTATCATCCTAGCCATCATTAGCACGGGTCCCATCACACAAGATACCTATGCCTACGAATCTCTACGCCAATCCAACCAAATCAAATCGAAAGCTCTACCAGAAAGCCAATGCCATTGAAACAAAAACTTTTCCTAAGCCATACATTCGTCAAGCGAACCAGAATCAAACCCTGAGAATAACAGGGACGAGCATCTGATTCTTATTAATTTATACCATTTACCATTTAAGGCATTCCCTTTTCGTGACGGGCATATGAAGATTGAAACAAATCGAGTCGACCTCAAAACAGTCGACGGATGAACATGTGATATCGGAATCATACAACAGAACAAGAAGTCTAGTTTGCTCTAAGACTGGATCTTGGCCAGGCGCTTGCTCATGCTGTGACATTGTTAGAATTGGGTCTGCAGAATAAGGGGAAGGGGGAGCGTACAAGTCAAAGAAGGAGAATTGGCTGGGGTTGTTGCCGTATTCGTACACGAAGCGGCTAGCCAGGTGAGAGCCGAAGATGGCGCGGACGTAACTCTCGGGAACCTAGGGAAATCAAAGTTAGTTACCTGATTTTTTGCTGCATGGAAAAAGTAAAGAACATACCCGCTCCAGAATAGTATCCAGACCAATCTTATCTAGGAGCAGACGAGGTAGAGCGTCGCTCAGAACAGATCTCCTCAGAGCCAGGTTGTTCCACAGCTCAGTCTGCTGCAGCTCCTCGTCAAGTTTAGTGATCGCGACACTGAGGCGGTCAGATAGGACACTGCGCAGGACACCAGTCTGCTCGTGTTCACGCCAGATAGCCTCAAACTCGAGAGTGGCGTTCTCCTTGATGATCTCCTGGACCTGCTTCACGTAGGCCTTGTAGAACTCAGGCACGGTGCCATCCTCGCCGACACACATGTTGGCGACGAAGCTCTGGTCATCGAAGGAGAGAGAGGCCAGGACTTCCAAGGAGGAAGAGGTGACACCACCCTTGTTAGCGGAGGCATCCTTGAAGAGAATGCAGCCGGCCTTCTCAAGACGGAGCTTGGAGTCTTGGGTGATGAACAGGTTGGCACCCTCGACGATGTAAGGGACGATGCACTTGTTGCCGACGATAAGCTTGCCGACGGTGGAGAGATCGATAGACTCGGGACGACCACCGCAGGGGACGAAGACGTCGAACTTCTCAGTGTGGCGGAGGTGGAAGGTGTTACGGAAGATCATTCCGTTGGCAACAACCTCACCGCTGGGCAGCTTGACGTTTTTCTCGTCAACGAGAACACGGTAACCCTCAGGCGAGAGCTTGGTCAGGTCGAACTCGGAGATCATGGCGCGCTTCTTAGCGAGGCGGATCAACTCCTCGTGGTTCAGACCCTGCGGGTCGACGATGACACCAGAGCCATCGACGATACCGGCGTACTTCTCGTTCGCGAGCAGGATCTCGTTGGAGCCCAGATCACCGTCCGGACCACCGGTCTGCAGCTTGTGCATGGTGGACGGGTCGATGCCGAGCTTGCGGTAGATACCCAGGACATACTGGCGGACCGAGAGGGTGGTCATACCGTAGGTATCGTGGGGGATACCGCCGAGCTTGGGGCTCTTACCGGTGAAGAAGGACTTCCACCAGGGGGCGCCACGGCTACGAGCGTGCTCGGTAGCCCAGTCGACCAGCTCAGCGGTGTTCTCGTCAGGGCCCATGAAGAGAATTTCGTCCTTGCCGTGCAAATCAACGATGGGGTCCTTGATACCGGGGCTAACGGGAGGAAGGAGCAGATCCATGATACTGTCGATGTACTTCTCGAAGGCGACCCGCGCCTTGTCCTGGTGGTCGACATCGAGAAGAATGACACCCTTGGCACCGCCTTCAGGGATATCCTTGTTCTTGCGCTGCTGGGTATTGGCCAGGTTGTAGTTTTCGTCGAAGAGCGAGCGGGAGTTGATGCTGTAGGCCTCCTTGTTGCGACTCTTGACGATACGGATACCACCACGGGCAATGTCGCGGAAACGCAGGTGGAAACCGCGGAATTCCGAGGCGATGACCAAGAACATACCGTACAGAGGCTGCGGGTATTCGTGCTCCGGCAAGAAGTCCGGCTTCAAGCGGAAGCTCAGAGCGACCTTGGTCGGGGTGAAGAAGTTGGTCTTGAGGATAGAAGCGTTGAAGACGCGGAAGGAGGTCATGACCATCTCGTCGTGCTCGTTGGCTGCTGAGCTGCGAATCAGCTGCTTCAGCTTGTTGCTGTCAAGAACCTCGTCGACCTGGAGACGCAGGTAGGAGAGAGTGGGCAGGAAGTCATCGCCGGTGGGACCTTGGGTCTGGACGTAGTGGGTGTTGGCGAAGTCCAGGTAGAGCTTGTGGATGAGCTCGGGGTAGCGGTTGATGATCTCAAAGATGTAGTCGGCCGTGAAGGTTTCAGTACGAAGACGCTTCTTGATCTTCGACAGCAGCTCCGCGTGCACGCTGTTGTTGGAGTCCAACAGGGCAGACAGAGAAGTGTATTCCGAGCCCAGACGGTTCAGGAACTGTTGCACGAACACCCATGCGGAGTGAGCGTAAATAGTCTCCTGCAGACTGAGACGACCCGTGGCAAAGTGGCCCTGGAAACGGTTCTGCGGGATGCAGTACAGCAGGGAGATCTCCTTCATGATCTGGTGAATGGCGGCCTCAATGGGCGGGTACTTGGCCGAGATCTCGGGGGAGTCTGAGGGGCGCAGGTAGAGGGAGATGACGGTGATTCCGTTGGAGAAGTGCTCGAGGTACTTGCGCGAACTGGTCAGGCGGTAGTAGTGGTACAGATCCGACAGAGCGCTGAACAGGCCCATGGCGGAGCCCTGACGGTAGGCAATGACAACCCGCTTCTCGCGGCTGCCCTCGATCTCGAACATCTCGATGACGGGACCAGTCCGGCTGACCGCCGTGGAGATGATCTCCTGGTAGACGGCCTTGGTGTTGGGGGTGGCCTTCTGCAGGAAGCGCTTCTCACCGATGATATCGATGTTGGTCTCGTTGGGAGACGGGTTGGGGTTGGCGAACTGACACTTGTACACGAAGTAGCAGCGCAGTTGCTGGCCATTGTCACCGGGGAGGGTGGTGGGCGAGCGGAAGGTCTCGACACGGTAGCTGTTGGCACCCTTGGAGGCATTGATGTACTTCTCATCGATACGCTGCTCGTAGCGGGGGCCGTCCATAGAGGCGACACCGGGCTTGCTGGTATCGATGTAGACGGCGTGGTCCTCGGCCTCCTTATCGAGGCGAATCTCCAGCTGCTTGTCATCGCGCGCATAGGCAGCAACCTTGGCGGCGTAGAGCGAGAGAATATGGGTGACGATGGCGTCCACGGACTCGGTCTGGAAGTAGGTGTCGTCGATGCCGAGCATGTTATAGAACCAGGTGGTCTCGGACTCGATGAAATCGGCGGGGAAGAAGCCCTTCTCTTCCAATTGGTCCATCACTGCGCGTAGAAATGTCAGCACTGTTTTTATAGGGCATGGGAGTCAGTTGGGGACTCACCCTGCTCCATTTGCTTCTTCTTGCCCTCAAAAGTGGCCGCAATGTAGCCGGGGTCCTCCTCAGAGAGGACCCGGTGCGGGGACGGGGTGCCCGGAATGCCCAGGTGGGTGGGCTGCGGCGAGGGTTGCCGCGAGCTGGGCCCCACGACATGATCGAGGTGCTTGTTGTGAGGATAGCGCTGGAAGCCAATGGGGGTGCCGGTGCCGGAGCTCCCGTCCTGGCTGCTGAACAGCTTCGGCGCGGGGCGGGTGGGCAGCAAGGTGCCATTGGAGACCTCCGATTGAGGAGTGGAGGGCAAAGGGGACGACATGATGTGTCTAGTTGGGAATTGAGGGAGGTAAAGAAAGACGCTAGGAAGAAAACTCCAAGGTTAGCACGGAGCTCCCAGCTTGCGGTAGAAGTACAAGGTGCCAAGCAGTCAATCCACCAGGATCCGGAATGCACATGGACCAGCTGATAAGGCGGGCTTCCAAGAATGTCGCAGTGAGTGCTTATCGCAGAGCGCTGCCTGAAATGTCACACGAGGGATGAGAGGTGAAGCTGGCCCAAGCCAATCCGGTCCGGCGGACGCGATGATATCATGCAGCGGACCCGCAAAAGGAGGGGCAAGTACTGCAATGAAGTACTTGTAGAACAAGAAGCGAACTCACCAGCGCCATGGACTATCCCGAGCAGATGGGATCTCAAGATACTCTTTTTCAGGTGGTACCGACGAAAAATCCGGGGAATCGGCGTGGTTAAATACACGCGCGCGCCCTGGAACCTGTCTTGGCCGATGCTAGGCGCAGGCCACGAGCCGTCGGTCTCGAAGCCCTTGATGCGCGACTCCACCAACGCTCATTCCTCGCTGTGACTAAGAGCCGGCGATGGGGAGGGCGCTGATTGGCAGACATCGCCCCTCTTTCCGAGGATAAGACCGAGAGGAAAATCCCGCTGCGTCATGCGGGCCGAAAATAGTCAAGAATTGCCTCAGTGCCTCAGCCACGATTAGGTACACCCTGTACACTGTATACTGGTCTACCGTGGCTGTCTGTGGAACAGACACTGGCAGAATGGGGCCCTTTACTGCCAGTACTACGACGCTGATAACAGTGGCAACTGAGCCACGGCTAACGCAGTGAACAATTAAAAATACCAGAGACATCCCGTGACTCCCGGACAAAGCACCGCCTGGTCACCTGCCCCGACGAGCGCAATGAGGTGATCGTGTCGAAGCCGGTGGAATGCGATGTGTCAAGGCTCCCCATCTAGAACCCCAGCGCACCCCATAAATGCCTCAAAATCCGGGTTTGCCAGCCCCAGCCCTACCACGTTGGTCATGTATCCGGGGGATTTTCGCCATTGGCGGTGATCTGGGACCATTGGGGACCACTGGGGACGAGTCCTGGGGTCCGACGAGAGTTATCGAGGGGTAATAGCCAAGGCTATTACCAGCAGGAAACCCAGCACACCCAGGAAAAATTTTGCCCGGCCCGGTGCCCACCTCCAACCGGAGGGGCGTGACCTCCGGACGGTACCTGGATCGTCGGGGGTGTTGCGGGGTAGCGGCCCCTCATTGAAATCTCTGCACATCCACCGCCATCGTGGTGATGGATGCAGCGGTGTTTGGATGGTTTGGCTTTGGAAGGTCTGGAGTCGGCGGGGCGGTTTACGTGATGGCGGTGGTCCCTCCCAGGCTTCCCAAATTGCTCGGCGACGTTGCGATTGGAAGACACTTCCGATCTGGCGGTGGACCGCCGATGATGAGATAATGCTGGAGCAAAGGATATTCCGACCCGATGGAACACTCCGTTGGGGGATGGGGTTGGTCTGCCAGTCAGCCACTCACGGCTGCCAGAGATCTCGTGGCCCTGTCACAATGGCTCATTGGATTCGCTCATCGCACGTCAGACGCTGCCTGCATCTCGTGGATCTCGTGGATGTGCCGCATCACTAGCACTGGCATTGATGGCATCGGGGAGCGGACCGACATCGACCGGCGGATTTCCCGTTGCCAACAGGTCCAGCTCGTGTCGTGCTCGAACGTGATACGGGAGACTACCATGAGGCGTGAAGATGCGAGAGCCTGGAGGAGACGTGGCCTGTTTCGGGAAAGTGCTCGGCTGACAGTCTCGACCCCTACAATAAACAATGAGGCAGGAAACACGAGCTCGCCATGTTCCAAAGGTCATCGACGCGCAGTAGTGCAGAGAGATATGGCGAACGGGAGTCGAGCCGAGCCAAGAGATACACTACGTCCCTCCATCCCTATCTCGCGGCGATCAGATCTCAGATAGTACGGCGTCCTCCGCACAGGGGCGCCATGGCTCAGCCTACGGATATCCCTGCGGCGAGCCCTCTAGAGCACAGACAGAAGAGAAAACTCGCTTAGGTCGCAGAGTAGAGTTGTATGCCCAACATAACCAGGATCGAGCCCGGAATGCCGGGGGCAAACAGAGCAGCAAACATGGTGCCTAAGGGATGGACCAGGAAAACGGTATCTAGGGCGGCATCGCAATCAACTGCCACGGATGGGCGAGCTTATCTCGCCGCCTGAAGCGAGGAAATAATGCGATCGGGGTTAAGTCGACGTGGCGTAGGAGGTACTGTTGCCAGTGAGTACCTGGCCCAGACACTCCTCAGGTACTCGCTACATCGCTATCTCAACGAGCCGAGACCACCGTGGCAACCGCGCGCACAGTTCACGGGTGCGTTGTACCTGACCAGACCGGATCTGGCTGCAGATGAGTTGTTCTGCAGAACAGGTCACCTCGTTTATTTCTTGCGTGGAGGCGGAGTGATTTGGATTTCTGTTATTTGTGCAGAGTAGATCATTTCCCGGGGTACGCCTACGCCGTAGATCTCCCTGGCAGCGGCAGGTATCATTGTATGGTGTATGATGTACGGTGTACAGTCTAGGAATGTCAAGCCCAAACCGAGAGCAAGACCGACAGATCCAGACCCGTCAGATGGCGATCGAGCAGATCCCGCCCTCCACAGACCGAAATAGAAACCTGAATGATCGAGGGGACGTTTCGGGGAGGAAAATTTGACGGAGACCCGAGAGCCAGGAAATCCGGAGGGCTGGTATGGGGGAGGCATGTTATCCCTTCATCCCCAGACCCAATGCACCGGAGTCAGCGTCTCGAACCAGGCAGGACCAGAAAATACCCCAAGGAAGGGGAGTGCAGGCAGACTATGTGATACCCCTTTCGCTTGGCAGGGACGGGGATCGCTGGCGAATGAGACCGTTGTGACAGGCACAAAGAAAGGGAAGAAACGGTGGACTTGCTCGTTCGGGCAAAACGAAGATCCCCCGTGAATATATTGGATGGAAGGAGGAAGATGGAGTGTTGATCGACGAAGCCACGGCTAAAACATGAATCGGACAGCCACCGCCATTCCCCCATCCCCAGTTACCCCGGGCCAATGCAATAATTAGGCGGTGGTGGGTTTCGCCCCTGGCGTGGTCCACTATGAGTTGTATCGAGTGAGGATTTGTGCCCATGCCCCCCTTTCAGTATCGTCTATACAGTTTGTACTATACTAGGGGAAGCCGGTATAGGCCTAAGCTAAGGGGTAGTAGAGGGCACCGGAGAATCTCCGGCAACGTTGCCCGACAGTCTGGTCGTCGGGCCGTAACCACCTACCTAATGTGATGGGGCGGTATCCAAGAGGATCCTACTCTACATACTAGTATAGTAGTATACTCAGTAAAGGTAACTCCTGATCGCCGCAGAACCTTGGTTCTGATTTCTCCGGGATCATCGAAGGGCTCTAGAAGGAAGTTTACCCAAAACGGGGCGACCAAAAATGGGCGGATCCAATAGCCGTACTGCGCGGAAGCAGAACGGACTCCCGGGCCAGTAGTGAGTGCGACCAGCCGGGCAGTAGTACGACGCTGGCGAGGGTCTGGAAGTACGGAGAAGTGCTGATCCAGCTTTCCCCACACAACCTTGACGCGTCCCGGGAGTCCACCCGCACTTCCGGAATGCCCAGCACCGGCGTGCCCCTGTAATCGGTCAGAGTACTGGGTACTCGCCGTCCTTCCCCAGGTATGTACCGCCCTGAGGAGGTACCAGTGCCAATACTAGGAGAACTAGGGTATTTTCCGATTATTACAGAACCAGTATATCTACGAGCTCCTCGCGCCCCTTAATCGTTTACTTCAATTCACTTTCTTCACCCCATACTACCCCCATACTACTTAAGGGCGGTCTACCTAAGGGTACACACCAAACACACACACCAAGAATATTCCACCAGATCATCTGCAACTCATTTTCGTAACACTATTGCCCATCGGAAAGACTCGCACCCTTCTCCATGTGAGTCTCGACCCCGGAAGCACCCATCCCCGTTACATCATCCAGCTGAGCTCCGATCCGCCGAAGCAGTGCCTCGGGCACTTTCGGAAGATCGCAAGCATTCACTCCAGACCCAAGCTAACGTCAAAATCGCCAACAGCTCCGAGCTTGCTAGTTACAGCCGCGAGATCGATCCGATCTACATTCACTTGAACGCCGTGCCGAGGTCTTTTTTCCCAAGCCTGTCATACAAAACCAGCTCAGCTGCACTTCTCAACTCCCCAACAAACAACTCTACAATCATCCTCTCAAACCACACAGCACACCTCCCAACTCAAACCCTCAACAATTAAAATGGCTGCTATCACCAACACCAAGCCCAGCCTCCCCCCGAACACGGGCAAGTCCCTTGGAAACTTCGAACAGGACATCTCCCGCGCTATCATGGGCTCGTACACCTCGCACCCCAAGCCAGCCAAGCTCTTCGAGACCATGCCGCCCGCCCCGCCTCCCTCGCCCGTCTCCTTTGCCATCGACAGCTACAGCAATGGCAAGACGATGACATCCAAGCACGAGAAGATTTCGGGTCTGTGTCTGGAGTAATTCACTTCTATCACACTCGGCCCTCCACTCTCTAATACCTTCATTCTTTTATCACCGTCAACTTTAACATCGACTACCATAATACGTGCATGCAAGCAACACAGCAAGGCACGATGATTCGAATCCGTTCTAGCGAGCATGGCGTGGTTTCTACTTTCTTTTCTGGGCATAATTCCAGCCTGATCGCCCTTTCTTTCTTTTGCTTTCTGTTCGGGACTCAACTCATAGCGGGATTTACGGGATGCGACCGGTGGATTTGGGTACATAAAAAGTCTGGGGTTTAGGTGTTTAGGGAATTCTTGATAATTTTTTTTCACTATCTTTATTATTAACTATCACTATCAATGGTATTATTTCAAATACATTCGTATACCCTTCTTCAAGGAGTTGGTGATTACTGAAGGTGTAGAATGGTGGCATGATTGTTGAATTGAGTAGTAGAGTATATGAGGCTAGTGACAAAAGTACTACCCTATCCTCTCCCCGACGCAAGGTCAAGTTGATCGCGTGCTTGATGTGCAAAAAAATTACATCAACTCCATGTACACGGTACACCACTCCCAACACATGCAGTGGCAGTGGCAATGCAGCAGGACAGAAGCAGTGTTTGACCCCTTCCTAACCGGTCTACTGGGACAAAAGAAGGGCTAGATCGACCGCATGTGCCTACCCGTCGACCACATCGACGTCACAACCCGGGGAAGATAGGGTTGCACAAGCGTCTTGGTTGAGTAGCTAGAAGCGGGAAGAACACACGGGTTGTTGGATATCGGTTGCACATTGGTTGGATGCGCAGGCCGTCTTTTGAGTCAACTCGAGTCCATCCCTGATGGGTGCGGCAGCGATGGTCATTCCAGCTTGTTTTTTGGGGGCGGAGTGGGAGGGCTTCCTGGAGCTGTGACGTTACCAACACGCCAGAACGATGAATTTTTAACTTAAAATTCAAATCTTGGCCCAAGTTCAGGTCTTCGCATGTGCGATGTGATCGGTCAAATGACTGGACAAGTCTTTGTCCGAGTCGCGGTGGGGCGGACTCCGTGTTTCCGACGCTCATGCTGTGCCGATGGGCCTGGGTTAACCGGTCTTACCGGAGGACCTCTGGTCAGGCTGGGGCATAACGAGTCAAATCGTGGATTTCTTGCATAATATGCGATGTGTTATATGCGTTATGCAGGGTCCAGCGATTCGAATGGTATACCCTAGGGTACGGACATGGTCCTCGGCACAAAGGCACGTGACTCGAAGGCAATGAAATCATAAGAAGCCGAATATCCGTGGATATACGGCAACGGGGAGAGCCCGGGGGCCGGATATACAGCTAATTGTAGTCAATCAACAGCCTCCAGGTCCAAACTATGCTTCCGTAGAAACAGAAGCATCCCCATGATCGACATAGCCGGATCCAAAAGTTCGACCGTCATGTCCCACTTCAACGGCCAGTTCAAGACAGATCACGAATACATCTGTTCTGACGGGTCCTCATCGCAATATGCGCGGAAAAGTTCCTCCAACTGCGCCAGAGCATCCGGGTTACCGTGCGCCGCCAGCTCATTAAGCCGACGAATTTCAGCAACCTGTGCCTCTGTCCGCGCCCACGCCGCCAGCCGCCGAGCAACATTCACATTGCGCTGGTGACTGAACGTCGTCCTGACCGTATCCGTCTCCCCCTTAGCTTGCTTCAGCTCCTGCAACTTGCGAATAAACTGCGCCTGATTCGACAGGTTCGTCGGACGACCGGGCACACTGGAGGGGCCTGTAGTCTGCATTGACGAAGGCACGGATCCATCGTGAACGAATCCGGGAGCCCCCGAAGCTGTGATGCGCGTTTTGCGGCCGAGCAGCTTAACGCTGTTGGCGGCGAGGAGCTCGAATGCCGGGCCCTGGACGAGGGGCGTGGGACAGGCAGGGTCCTTGTCAGGGTCGGTGTCTGGGTGGGAGAAGAGGAGTTCGGTGCCGATCTGATCGGCCCAAGAGCAACTGAACATCTGGTTGAGGTAGGATACGATCGGGTTGCACGTGTGGAGGCCGAGTATTTGGATTCGCTCGCGGCCGACAGAGTTGGTTTCTGCGCTTTCGAGCGGGGTGAAGGCGTCCAGGTCGGGGTCGTCGCCTGCATCGTTTTGGGGAGCCTGATCTTTGTCCTGCGCACCCTGGCGCTGGCGTGGAGGGCGGACGGGACCGTGGTAGGAGGTGAGGTCGAGGTTTAGATAGAACGACTGGAGGTGGTTAGTTGCGTCTCGTGTAGGTGAGGGAAATCATAGGCTAGGCAGGTTCTCACCTCTGTTTCGGTGGGGTCATATTCATACTCCCACTCGTCGTCTGAGTCATCTATAGCCGCCGCCGTGGCCATCGCGTCTGATCTCAATTGCACTTGCAGCTGACAAGGGCGAAAGTGTAGTGCATTCGCATTCAGTTTGGGTCCACCGGCGACAGGCTTGGCGCCGATAAGATGGATGAGTCAGCCCGGCGGTGAACGGAATGCGATGAAGTGGCAAATGATCCCTTAAAACCCTGGAAAGTTTGTTTGTTGATGAGGCGAAAGAGTGATCGAGGGATGCCCTGACCCAGAGATGATAGGGAATTATCAGGGCAATACAGCCAAGGAGAATTTCCGAGTTGAGACAACCCTCCCGTGTCTTGCCCATGTATGCAGAAGTTCTGTATGTACTACTGTACTGTAGAATTGTAGACCCTGTGTGGGCTTATTGCGTGCTTGGATTCTCCCCCTCATTGATCGGTCTCAGCCTTACGCCCCAGAGCCCGTCAAAAGTCAGCACCATCATGTGTTCGTAAGTATCCGACCCTTCCGCTGCATCCTCAGCCTTAGTCTGCTATCTGCGTGGCGATCGCACTCCGGCTGAGCAATCTGCATTTCCGCACGTTCCCGGACGCCCACGCTGACTTGGTCGAGATCCGTCCATTTTGCCTTTTCGACTGACTCGGACTAGTCCACGCTTCTTTTCTCTTTTTCCTCACGATTGCTAAAATCAGTGCCGCTAATGCCGCCTTTATAGGCCATTTCCCCCCTTCCCCCTCCAGCGCTGGCCAATTTCTCATTGTTGCTTTTGACTCTCGTTTCATCTCCACCCATCCAACTATACCCAGCGCCGACCCCCACGGCATGCCGCCCTACAGCCTCGCTGCTGCCTGCACACATTGACCCTCTTCACCTGGCCCCGTCGACTTTTTCTCCATCTCCCTGCTAGTGCTGCCATCTAACTCCAGTCCATGACCAACAACTAGGCCGCGGGTCGACACTGGCAGTCCCTGCCGATTCGCGCCAGCAGATGGGTCGAAAGGCGAAGGCCACCATCGTTGCCTTGTCGACCCTGATCGCCTACGTGACCATCAACAGTCTCATCCGCCTTACCCACCCCCGCGCGTTCGTCTGGTACGAAGAAGACAAGGACGAGCGGTCCTGGATCGCCAGCTCCCGCTCGTGGTTCGATCGCAAGAGCTGCCGCTGGCTGGGCATCTGCGGCGCGGCGCATTTCCAAACGGCCCACGACACCTTCGGCCGTCGCAATCCCGCCAAATGGACCGATCCTAAGAGCCCTGATGATCCTGAGTCCGACCCTCAGCCCTGGAAGTCCTACTGGTTTAGCGGCGGGTCGAATCATTCGTGGGATGCTGAAGAGCGGGCTCGGCGGGAGATCCCCGACTATGTCTTCGACTATGCCCCACTCGTCCATCTTTATTCCGGCGAACAATTCTGGCCCGGCGATATAGCAGAGCATCTCTATCATACCACGCCCGAGCTCAATTACGCGCCAATCAAAGCCCAATGGGACCATATGAACCTGAGCAATCTGGACCAGCTCAATCAGTACCAATGGGGTCGTCCCGTCTTTCTGACCAGCAACGATGACCCCCAATCGCGGCCACCGTGGTTGGAGGGAGAGCGGAATATTCCCCAATCCGATAAGAAACTGGTGAAGGAGGAGGCGTGGGCGGATTGGGATGGTCGAGTGGATGGTCCGATCCCTGGCGATACGGCCGAGGACCGCGCGAAATGGGATGATTTGCGTCGCTTTGGCAATCAAGGCGGTGATAAAGCGTTCAGCTGGACGTCACGTACGAATCGCATACTCAGAACCGAATTGCGCAAGCGCTTTGGTGGCCATCCGATCCAGGTGTCTCTGCTGCAGACCTCAGGTAAAAGCCCGGGTGGCCGGAGCGATGCACCCGCCATCCTGGTCGTGATGGACAAGGGGAACGGAGTGGTCGATGCTTTCTGGTTCTTCTTCTACAGCTTCAATCTCGGCAATACCGTCGTCAATGTCCGGTTCGGTAACCACGTTGGCGACTGGGAGCACTGTCTGATGCGCTTCCACAAAGGTCAACCAAAGGCCCTCTTTTTCAGCGCTCACACTGGCGGCGAAGCGTATCGCTATGAGGCGGTTGAGAAAATCGGACAACGAGTAAGCTAGCCCCGTCACTAGACCCACACTCTAGATTCGTTTTAACACAGGCCTTCCCAGCCCGTCATCTACTCCGCCGAGGGAAGTCATGCCATGTATGCCACGGCCGGGGTGCATGAATACATTCTTCCCTGGGGCCTCCTGCATGACGTGACAGATCGGGGTCCGCTCTGGGACCCCTTACAGAATAAGCAAGCCTACACCTACGACTTCGGCAACGATACTCTCCGCGCCTCAACCGTCAATCCCAAGTCTCCGACGGAATGGTTCTTCTTTCGCGGCCACTGGGGCGACAAGTTTTACCCACTCGGTGATTCACGGCAGTATCGCTTCGCTGGACAGTATCACTATGTGAATGGGCCGCTTGGCCCCCGCTTCAAGCATCTCAACCGCCGCAAAGTCTGCCAGGGACCGGACCGGGCCGCCTGCGTGATCAAGGACTGGATTGGAGAGGATCTACGGATTCCCCGATGGACTTCTTCTGGTCCGGGAGAGTGACTCGACTCTCGATACTGCACGGGTCACACACTCTCAATGAATACCACACGATCCCATGACCTACGACTTACGTACTTTTCCCAACGACCAACATTCTACCTTACGATACCCTCTGATACCACGATATACCCCAATCTCATTACCGAATCTACCCACTCCCACTCCACCATTTCGAAGACTCTGATGCATTACGCCGGGAGTTCAAGATCCAATCTCTCACATATACCACTTTGTTTTGACTTATACCCATGATGTTCCTGCATTTCCAGGAGGACAGGATAGACTTGCCCCGCTCGTCGCGTTCCTTCCTATTGCTTTTGCGTTCCCTACTTCTCAACCTCCAACCCCCTAGGTCCTTCCATGACGGACGGACACGGTTTCGGCTTCTGATGCGATGAGATGCTTTGGTGTTTCTGGTGTGGCTTTTTGGATTTTTCTTTTCTGGCGCTGAATACTACTATTACTGGTCATTTCTTCTGAACGGCGTGATTTGCTTTTTTTCTAGAACACAAATTCTCCAAAAAAAAGAGGTAGCAGGTGGCATAAATCTCATACAATCTTTAGACGTTTACGAACCACCTTGAGATGGGATTGTAAGGTATGGCACTTCTATCCGATGTCTACCAGTCTACCAATTCACATGGACGAGTAGGTTTGAATGTTGAATAAAGTACATTCATTGCGGCGGTCTGCCAAACAAGTATATATGCCTAAATACGCCTAACTATACAATGATGCAAAAATTCCTCTAAATTGCACTTGCAACGCAGGACAAATTCGTCATGGCGAGAAACGCAGAGATTAATCTACCCACGGATCTCCCAGAGTCGCACACGACCCTGCTCATTGCCGACGGCCAATTGCTCCGAGTTCGGCGAGATGGCCACGGAGGAAATCCGGCCCAGAGGTGTGTTGGATGTGGGCCAGTTTCTGTAGACGGTGCAGGTGGGGAGGTGGACTAAGTAGACATGTTAGGAAGATTCTGTGAGAAATAAAACTGTGGGTGGGGGGACATACCAAGTCGCAAAGCATCACGCTTCCACCGACTAGCCATAACCAGCATCTGGCCATCTGGAGCAAAAACAAGATGGCTGATGGGAGTAGTAAGTTGATCCAAAGCCCGAACAGGTTCCGGGTTGCGAGGGATACCCGAATGCGCTGCATCCTTGAACTTGGAAGTAGAGGCATTGGCATACGCAGCAGCCCAATCACGACGATCATAAACGTTGACAACACCACTGGACGAACCAATGGCAACCCAACGATCACCACCAAGCTGCGTGCGGCCGGACCTGCCACCAAGACTGAGAACTGTCGTGCCAACAGCACCAGCATCAAGCCAGCGAGCAATTACCCTCCGAGCCTTGCCATCCCACTCCGACACCTCACCATTCTTAGAAGCGACAGTCATTCCCTCACCGTCAGACCACCAAGCGAAATCAGCGACACCGCCGCGCCCGTCGACACGCACCTGTGCGATCCATTGCGCGGTGCCAGAGTCCAGGACGTTGATAAGACCGCCACCTTTGCGGGAGCTACCAATGAAGCCGATGTATCGGCCGCAGGGGGAAATCTTGAAGTCTTCCATGGATTTCTGCTCGTTGGAGGCGCTGTTCACCTTGTCCACTTTGCCGGAATCCAGGTCCCAGATGTGGAAGTAGCGGCGTCGGCCTGAGGCGAAGATTTTGTTGCCGCTTGGTGGGGCGAAGGATGATGTGTGCAGGGGGGTGCGGCGTATGTGCAAGGAGGTTAGGAGGGGGTTTGCGCTTGCTGCTGAAGGGGAGATGTGGTGGAGGAAGAGGGTTGATGCTGGGCCTGAGGAGAGGAGGAGGGGATAGTGGGGGTGGAAAGTGAGGGAGTCGACGGAGGACTGGAGATAGTATGAACATTAGAGACTTTTCTCGTTTTTCATATAGATGCAGTCTGAGGTGAGAACTTACCGGTTGCGTTTTGCCGACATCCTTCAAACGTTGAATATCCAAGACTTCCTGGCGTAACTTGCGCTTGCCGCCTGATCGGGTATTATCATCGATACGAGTAAGATCTGAAGCATTTTGAAGCAGCTTGGCGAGAGGCTGCATGGACAATTGCTCATCCTCATCAGACTCCATTTCGTCTCCACTCTCAGCATCCGAATCGTCCGAATCCATCTTGCGACGTTTAGCCGCAAGCTCCGGGTTGGCCCATTCAGGAGTAGGGTGCATGTGCTGGAACTGTGTGCGCAGTCGTCGAATGTATTCCTTGCCACTGATCACATCTTCGGACTCGGTCGTGCGCAACTTGCGCAGCTTCGCTTTGCTGGCGAGGGAGACGGCGAGTCGTTCGTCGTCGCTATCGTACCACACTGCAGGGGCGGAGTCCTCCTCATCATCTTCGTCGGAAGGCGTCTCTGGTGACGGGACAATATCGGTAGAAACAGGACCACTGCCCGAGTCAAGGAAGAAGAGCTATAATCCCGCAGTTAGCAATTGCGTCAACAAGAACAGAGAATACAGCTGCGATTGCAGCTCAGAAAGTCCATTTCACATACATCCGAATCAGCCATATTATCCAAATCACCCTCATCATCACTCGCAGCCTCATCCCCCTCATCAGCACCTTCGCTTTCGCTATCAGTGTGCAGAGTAAGTTGCATAGCATCAGCACGCTCTTGCTGGCGCTTAACAGCACCCATGAACCCCTCATCGTCACCAAAAAGCATGCTCTCGAGCTTTCTCTCGGCCTCATCCTTCTCCGGGACATCCTCCTCGTCACTAGAGGTCTCGTCGTCCATATCGATATCCTCGTCTGCGGGACGGGAATGCATTGGCGGATTCTCGAGCGGAGACCGAGTGGTCATCCGCTTGGCCTTTGTTTTCAAGCCGGGCTTGGGCATTGTGGCGATCCCTTCTTTTGTCGAACCGTTGGCCAATTGGGAGATCCCGTCGCAGAATTATTTCCTCCGCTAATTCGGCGTCGGGAGCTTGCCTTTGCGGGATCAGAATATTTTTCGCTTTGATTTTTTGCAGCGCGGGCAGATTTGGGCGGTGAGGTGGGCGGTGTAGATAAAATGTGTTAATGCCTGAGGCATGAAGTGGGTGCTGTCATAACTTGTCACATGATCTTTCGCATCTCTTCTGGATTATACATTAAACAAGCTGAAAATGGCATCGTGTCTGCTTGTATGTAATTACTTTGGGTCCTTGGGTAGATCTCGTGAATTTGTAGGTTTCAGCGCGCTTGAAATATCATCTCTGCGCAAGATGCTATTGTACATGAAATTTAAGAATGATGCTAATCAAATATATATCTTCCAACGAGGAGACACATACAATATAGAGGGGTTTATGTATCACATGGAGAGTTATCGTGATGTGGGACACATAGGTGATCCCAAACACTCTAATTTTGAGGAACAGCAAGCGCTGTACTTAATACAGTCTCCAAAACATAAAACCAATAACAAATCGTTACACATTTATGTTCGTAACAGTGATCTCGATACTAATAAAGCCAAGTTCCGAATGCCGTCAGTCTTATCCATCAGTGTTGAGGTCGCGGGGTAGCATCCGAGTCATTTCCATGATCCTTGTGACTACTGCCCGAGCTGGGAGGCTCATATGGTGGAACTGGAGATTGATCCTCCTCCAAGAGATGGCCCTCGGACTCCTGGACAGATATTGTTGTGTCCCTCGGCTGTGACTTTGCAATAGATGACTTCCTTGATGGGGTATCCTCAACGTCCGTGTCGGAATAGTTCTCGTCAATGCCGTCAAGAAGGGCCTCACGTCGCTCGCTATCGGTCGTCGAGTCATCGGTGGTATCATCTGATGTGTAATTATTGTAGGAAAGAGGCTTCTTGATGAAAATGTCGATGATGTAGTACTGAATGGCATTCATGATTACCGGGAAGAGAAGCATGACGAAGGCAATCTGGATGGCGGTGTTTCCTTCCGTCCATTGTAGAGCCCAGTCACCAAGCTTCACGATGAAGGGCAGCAGCTGAATCAGGAAGAAGACGCAAATTTTCATGCTGATAAGTCCGACGAAGTAGATGATAGATTGCTTAAACCACCAAAATGCCCGTGGTGGCTGGCCATAGTTTCCGGACTCGATTGATTCCGGAGGGTTGGCGAGAGGGGTATATGCGGCGAGGAAGTTGAGGAACCGTAGGACGAGGATAAGAATCGGGATACCGAGAGTAGTCTAAATGTTTGGTTAGCGGTCTCATTTAGTAGACGAGACGGGGGCGATATAAAACTCACGTCGATTCCCAGATTCAGCAAGTAAAAGGAGCAAGGGTTGGGCTTGTACTGCGGCCTGATTTCAAGCTGACCAGCCGAGAACATGGACATGACAAGATTGAGAAGATGCAGCATGGCTGAGCCAAAGACCTGCTTCGAGACATCAAATGCCCACACCTTCAGCGGCCGCTGTGGCCGCTCTCGCCATCGCTTATACACGAGTGATAAGAGCGCTAGTGCTCCAAGAGCTAGTTGAACCAGAAGCGAAAATGGACCGAGGAGTTTACACTCTCCATTATCGTTGCCATCCGAGCCTCCCGAGCTCGCGGGTGTTGCGCCATGGTAGTATAGCATGTGGTCGTTCGAAGGCGATCGCGTTGGATCGGAATGCGACGACTGGGAAGCGGCAGCAACGAGAATCGAGGTTGCTCTCGCTGCCACTAAAAGAGGAGCCGCAGCAGCATCCATAGTCGATGAGAGCTGCGATGAAATTGGTCGTCCGAGTTCGAAGTGGATCGGGGTTTGCGGTGTAGTCAGGGAAATCGAGGTGCGACCCGCGCTAGGAATGCCAGTCGCTTCGTGTAAAGCGGGGAAAGCTGGGCGCCACCAAGCTGGTAAAGGGGCGTTTTCAGCACGTCATCGACGTAATAAACAGAGTGCAGCTATCAGAGAGTCAAGGCCAGTCTTCAGGCGATGCAGGTGCCTAGTATCTTAGGAAGGTGAGAGCAGCGTTGCAGCACAGGCTGGAGGCGGTGTCTCCCCCGCAGCGGGATCGACGCGGCTAATCACTGGTTGCCGCCTATCAAGACCAGCTGATGCGTGGCGCAACAGACAGGGAAGTATGCCGACCGCAGGTATTTGCCGATTGGGAGATAAGCGTCTCTGCTGGTAACTCGGCTTGGGGCTGTTGTCACGGCTTGCCAGGGGATGCTGGGCCTCGGAAAGGAGAGGCAATGATACCTGTGGTAATCCCTTGGCTGGACCCGTTTCTCTGCAGGTAAGTGGAGACCAGTCAGCAGTGACGCAGTGTCAGCCTTACCAGACCCTGATCTCGCCGAACTACAGCTGATATCATGATGACCAGCGGGGACGGAGCATTCAGAGAGAAGCATTAAAAATGAACGGAATACGGAGACGGGAAGTAATGGCAGATGAGTTCGTTGAGTGAAGTGCACTCCAGATTGGGTACTGGCCAGATTTGGTAAAAGCATAGACAAAGAAGGGGATAAAGATAGCAAAAACAAGCCCTCGCTGAGCAGTGCTTCGAAGCGAGCATCTCCTGGATCGATACCAAGGAGGATAAAAAAACCCCATCAAAACCTCGACCATGATAATGTCTCAGAAACGAAAAGAACCCGTAGGAAAGTAATCAGAAAACGCCTAAGAACCCCTCAACCATCCCGGACCTGATAGAGCGGGAGAGCCGTTGCAATACCGTGCACCGCGGGGAAATGCGTGCAGAGGGCATCATGAAAGTCGTCACATCATTCAATCCCGTGTTGTGATTTGAGCTTTTCCAGATTTTCCTGTCTTTCTGCAAGATCCTCCTTCGGGCGAACCATCTTCTCCGGCTGATGGTACAACACTAAAAGAAAGCCAATGTTAGCTGCTGATTTCAAATTTCCATGACACATCTGTTTCCATGTAAATCCTCTGCTGCACGTACCGACTAGGTATCGGTTCTGGAAGTTGAATCCGTTGAGCTTATCGCAGGCCTGCTTGGCATCGTGGACGTCCTCGTAAACCACAAACGCGGTTCCCTTCGTGTTGTTGGCTATACCCTGGCGAACTTGCCTGTGAAATAGGAGAAGAAAGCGATGTTAGCAGACTGAGAAGGTCGATGCAAGAACGAGAAGACAAGGCAATTTGACTTACCGGATAGGCCCAAACTTGCCGAACAGGTCGTACAATTCCTCTGCGGTGACATTGTAGCTAGAAGACGAAAGTCAGCGGATTCTTCTTTCGGGGTTGGCGGGTGATGAAGTCCCGCAAGCGTCACGCGAGTATGTGGTTCGATGCATGACGGCGGAGAAGTGGAGGGATCGTCGGAGGACATACTTGAGGTTCTTCACGAAAAGGATTCTTGAATATGGAAGCTCAGGGTCAGAAAACTTCTTCCACAGAGCCGCAAGGCGCGCGGGCGACTTGCTGGGCTCCATTTTTTTGCGAATCCCGAAACCGGGACCCGGGAGGGGCAAGGAATCGTGTGTACTTACCGATTTGCTTCGGGGGCGAGCTTTCGGCTCATTCTCAGGGCAAAATGTAATGGAGAGTGGATGTGAGGGGTAAATGAAAGCTGGATACCCGGGGTATCGAGGGTGGTGGTTTCGAGGAGGAGAGCGCAAGATGAGAGACGCAGAACGGAAAGAAGCACGAGGTGGGCTTGGCACGCCTGATCCGGCCTAGTTCCTGCCTGAGGCAGACACAATGAGGTAAGCCAAATGACGGCGATGACCATACCGTGACAATATTACGGCACGTGAGTACCCCTCCTCCGTAATTAGTGTACAGGACCGCTGGTCACGCTCTTACCGGCCGTGTTTCAGACAGCTCGGCGACGCTCTCGTCGCAAGTCAAGCTCGAGGCATTCAAGCGGCCTTCTTCTTCAACCACGGCAGACTCAATCGATCGCGGGACGCTTCCCCTTCGGCAATCGCCCGGAATTGATTTTCGCAACACGAAGGCCTGCCGGCGCAAGACAACCTCGGTGGTTGACAAGCTGTCCCGCGTTCCCATACCTTGCGACCTGCTCGACTTTACCCTACCTGCCCTCTCCTTCACGCCCTGCGACCATCCTCCCCTCCGACCCTTCCATTCCCATCGGCTCGCACATTATTGGAATCATCCAGCTCGCAGGAACCAGTTCCTGTTGACTGGATTGCATTCGTTTCTCTGTCGCCCTTGCCCGCGGGCTGCGCGCCGCGACCCTCGGCGCCTTTGTCCTCCCGCCGCTAGACGACCCCCTCAACTGCGACTTGCCTCCGTCGACTCCGAACCACCTCCCCGCTGCGTCGTCAACTAACGTCGACCCGCGCTTGGATTACACCCTGCAGCTTCGACTGCGAACGTCCGTCCGCCAGGAATGACTCTCCATTCCTCCGCGACGGCCACTCGCTAGTCCGTGTGGTCCATGATCCCCGCTTTGCACCCACCAGCGGCAAGCGCATTTCTTCGCAACCCTGACCCTCCCACTCACCTTCTCTCGTGCCCGATATCCTCTAAGTCGGTCGAAATGATTGGCGCGGCCTCTTTCCTGCCTCCTCTGGGGGAGCGCCCACCTCAATACCGCACTCCATCTCCTCCGCGACGCGCCGTGGAGCCCATCACACCCTCCACCGCAGAATTTCGTGCGGCGTGGGCTGAGCGCGGTGTCACTCGGGCTACGAGCCTGGATCGTGATCAGCGCCCATCCAATCATGCTCGGAATGCTGGACCGGATGGCTCTTCTAATAATCGATCGGGTCACGGCCGGTCGAACTCGACCATTGATACTCTTGCGACCATCGCTCTCGCAACGAGCCCAACCTTCGCGCCACTCTCCCATCGCCCACCTTCTCCGGACTCTCGATCGACCGTCCCTCTGTTCCCCCCCCGAATCGAACAACTCCGAACGCCCCGCGAAGCGTCCACGCTCCGAGAGAGACCCCTCACCTTACCTTGCTCGCGTCCAACCGCCTGCTCATTCTCATTCCCATTCTCAACCTCCCTCCCACGCCTACTCCCAGCCTCGCTCACACAATCACTCATACTCCAATGTCTTGCCTCAAGATAGCATGACAACCGACGCTGAGCTCCTCTTGAACTTTGCCCGCCCAACCAATTTTCATCCCGGTAACCACACAAAACGAGTCAGCATCGATGAGTCCTACCACCATTATGGCAACGATGCGTCGCGACATAACCGAGTTGGCTTTGCTACCGAGAGCTATCATGACGGGAAGCCTGCGTATCACATGGAGGACGGACATCCGCCGTCGCGAATGAGGTCTCGTTCTGACGGCTCCGCATTTGTCCCGCGTCCTGTGATTCGCGGCGTACGCCCAACTACGAGCTCAGGCACATTGTCTCCTATTGTATGGGAAGATGAAAATGAAGAAAGCTCATCGGGAGACGCTTCTCGCTACACTGGGTATGGGGATCATATGATTGCCGGCCCCAAAGAGCCTTACACCATGAAGAAAGGCGTGGCATCACTGCCCAAGCTTGAAGAGGAAGAGCCTAATGAGTCAAACCAGACAAGCTGTGGCGCATGTCATATGGTCAGGACACCCATGGAGACCGAGGAGAACGAAGAAGATACCTGGATCAACTGTGATGGATGTAAACAGTGGTTCCATATCGTTTGTGCTGGGTTCAAGAACGACCGAGAAGTCCGCACCGTCGACAAATTCATCTGCCACCCATGTCGACCTGTTTATGGTCAAACAACGTTTGTGCGCAAGTCTTCCCGTGCCCGAACGGCAATAGACTATGCAGGTCTCAACCAAGGTCTTGTGAAAGCCGCCTCCAACTCTCTGGAACACCACTATCTGGAGCCAATCCGCCAAGGAAGAATCAAATTTCTTCCGGAGAACTTTCCTCGTATGAAGCCAGAATTGGTCGTTGCGGAGTATTTTGAGCGCGGCAATGGATGGACCGAGCCTGTCGTGATCCCTGCTTGCTGGAACACTCGCGAGCCTGTCTCTGAAATGGACGCAGGTTTGGATGCTCTCGCTCAGGAGGCGACCACCCAAGAGATGTTTGATGAACTCCTGGAACACCTTGAAGAGCAAGAAGCCGACACGAAAGAGGTCATTGATTGTGGTCAAGATCAGTTGGATATGGTCATCCCTCAGGGCTTGACCGTTCGTGCTGTAGCCGAGCTTTATGGCCCCGAAGAGAGAGTCGAGGTCATCGACGTCAAGTCACAACAGGGCGAGGATAAGCGATGGAACATGCAGAAATGGGCCGATTACTATGAGAGCAACGAACCCGAAAAGCCAGTTCGAAACGTCATTAGCCTTGAAGTGTCTCAGAGCAGACTTGGTCGGCTCATCAAACGACCGAAGATCGTCCGAGACCTGGATTTGCAAGACGCTGTCTGGCCTGAGGAATTGAAGGCAATTGGTGACTACCCCAAAGTTCAGTTCTATTGCCTGATGTCCGTTGCCGACTGCTACACCGATTTCCACATCGATTTTGGTGGTTCCTCGGTCTACTATCACATTCTCAAGGGCAAGAAGACGTTTTTCTTCATCCCGCCTACGGACCGCAATCTAAAAAAATATGAGGAGTGGTGCAACTCACCTGCACAAGACTCGGTTTTTCTTGGCAACCAAACAAAGGAATGCTATCGTGTCGACCTATCCGAAGGAGATACCATGTTAATTCCATCAGGTTGGATCCACGCTGTTTGGACCCCGGAGAACAGCTTGGTCATCGGCGGCAACTTCCTGACTCGGTTGAACTACGGCATGCAAATCAAAATCCTCAACATCGAGAAGGATACGAAAGTTCCCAAGAAGTTCCGGTACCCGTTTTTCCAGAAAATCCAGTGGTACACCGCTATGAGGTATCTGGAGGAAGATCCAGTTCCTCAGAATGTGGTGGATGCTTTCATGCAGGACGAAAATTTCCGATTCCACCGAGACTATCCTGCCTACTACGAATTCGGTGAACTGACGAACCGAGAACCTTTGGGATCACCCTTCTACAATGCCCGATTCTATTCACAAGCGGAGCTGGAGGGGCTGCCGGAGTTGGCTAAGTACCTTCTCCGGACAGCACTCATTGCCAGCTCCTATCTTGTTGATGGAGTGACAAATGAAACACGAAATGCTGTTCGTCGCTCTATTCCCAAGGGAGTCACTGACCCTGTGGATATGATCCGAATTTTCGGAATCTGGGTTGCATGGAAGCGCGGCAACGAGACAGCTGCTCGATGGACTCGACCCGGTGTTATTGAAAGCAACCCCAAAGTCTCTCTCAATGAGAAGAAGCCCGCTGGACGGTCGAGTCGCCGATCGGATCGCCATGCTGACAGCCATCGTACATATGCTGAACGACAAGCTGTACAGCGCCCGGCCGAAGATCTGGCGCCAACTCCCGTTCCACCCGCAAATAATGGTCCGCATATCCCATTCAACAATGCAACCCCAATGCCAGCGAACTACATGCCCGAATATGCGCCGCCTCAAGATTGCATGATCATGAAGCCCCGATCAGCTCCGCGAGGCTCTGGCCTTGGACCGAAGCGTGTTGCGTGCGATGCTTGTCGCCGGCGACGCATCCGATGCCGCCACAAGGATGAGCCTGCCGACCAGCAAATGGGAATCAATGGTTTTGGGTCAGCATCGGGCGTTAGCACTCCGAACTCATTGGCGCAAGATGCTGTTTCCGCATTGAACTCCTTGGCCGCAATTGCTTCTCAGGCCGGCTTCCAGAGCAATGGCATGATCGGTCTTGATGCATTTGATGGCTCAGGGAAGTTCCAGTCAGCAATCATGGGAGCCTCGACTGCTGCCGCCAATAGACTGAATGACCTGAGCCCCGATGGTGCCAACGGCGCGAAAAAGGGACGGAGCAAGGCTTGTGATGATTGTCGGAAGAGCAAGGTAAGTCTAAGCCCACCCCAGTTCCCCTTCAACACAGAAGCTAACTAGCAACAGCGCCGTTGTATCCACGACGAGTATGGCCAGATTGACCCGATCAAGGCCAATGAACGATCTAAGCCTCGTGGCACCGCGTCGGCAAAGCGCCCTCGACCTAACGAAGATGATTCGGCGCCTACTTCATCCAAAAAGACCAAGCAGGAAAGCACATCACCAGTCGTGAACAACGGAAAATTTGGCCCCACCGAAGGCCAAGCGGACACCAAAGACTCAGTCATGCACGCTGTTCCAGCCACATACGACAATGAAGTTGCCAACCATCGTCCCCCAATACCTCGGCAATACGATCAGATCCCTCTGCAATACCATCAGCCCCGCGTGGATGACCAAATTTCCGTGAATCAAACATATGCATCGCCACCGGTCTTCCAAGCGGATCTGGATATGAAGGATTCAAACTCATTGTCCGTTTCATCAAAGCCAACCACTTCCTTGGTGTCCCCGCCTACGTCGCTGGCCGATGAGATGGATGTGGTTCAAGATGGCGAAGCAATGGCCTCTGTCGAAGGCGAAGCTCCCAATGCGCTACACACTCCCAATTCAAGTTCTCGTCATTCATCTCGGCAGCCTCGACATGTTGAGCGATTTGTACCGGAGGCAACGTCAGCTCGTCCGTCCAAACCACCTGGACGTACTGCCCTTCCAACGTCGCGAACTACCCCTGGCCACCAAACGGGTCATCAATCATCAGCCAAGAAACCTTCTTCGCGTCCCTCTTCGTCCCATGCTAAGAAGAGTTCGCCAATGATCGAGAAGCGCTTCGAGCGTCATGCCACAACGTCTCTATCTCCGCATCAGCCGAAGCACGTGAACCACCAAACGGAAGAAGAAGAGCAAAGTTTGCGTCTGATCCGGGAACTTCAAGAGGCAGAATTCGGATTACGACGACGTCGTGGCTAGAAATCTACCCGCTGATGTTCTTCTGCACTTCCGAGAAATTGATTGTGCTGTTTATGACCGAGACGCTGGGATTTGCCTTTCGCCTTTTCTCTCTTGCCTCTTTTCTTCTTCACCCTCGTTCTTTTTCTGATGGCAAATGTTTTTATTAAGGTGTCATCATTTTCGGAGTAAGGCTGGATCTTCGGAGTTGATATTGTGTTCACAGTTTTCCTTATTCTTATTGGCGTTTTCTGAAACCAAGGCGGACGGAGCATATGGATTTCTTTTCAATGTCTGTGTTTGCATGGGGTTTTTATTTGTTACCGAACTCGGTTTTCAACAGTGACTTGCTTGTCGTGAAGTATTTCTTTTGTTTCTTCTAATCCATTTTCCAAATTTCGTTTGGACGTTCTTTTCCATATTTCCTTATTTTCGCACACGACTGCTATTGCTGGTTCTGACAACAGCATCGCTTGTTTTTGCAATTTTGCGCAGGGCGCAAGGTGTATTTTGCGGTTTCAAGTTCTCGTGTACCATCCGCTTCGTTGAATTTGACAATGACCAGCCTCATTCAAAACATTAGATCTGTCGTTATGGAGGGAACCTTAAAGAAGTTAAGGTGTATGAAATAGGACCTGGTCTCAACATATATCTAAAATACAACATTCTAGCTATGGTAACCAAAGCATAGTCTAGTAGATCTACAGCTTTGTAAAAACACCATTGTTCTCTAAAATGGAGAGATGACTCTTGTTGATATCATTTACGGTTTTGCATCTAGAAAAGATTGGGTCAGCAAACGTATAAGTGAGTACTGAATAGAAACCAAAGCTTCCTCCATACCCTGATAGAGACATAGCCAGCTTTTGAAATCTTCTTCCAGCAGCCGAATGGGAAGCTCAACTCCTTTTTGACCGTCATACTGAGAACGGCCTAGCAAAGATCTTCCACTGAAATATGTGTCAACATACCGCCAATCCCCAAATCGGATTCCGAGCAGCAAAGCAATAGTCAGCACCAAGCGACAAAGCCTTGATATCAGTACCCCGTCGGATACCACCATCAACGCCGTGTTGAATTGCCCCAGAGACATCCTCAGCCGTGTATACTGATCACCTTTAGTACAACTTGATACAACGGCAAATATGGAGTGGAAGTCATACCTCCTTTCAGCCAGATATACAGCTTCGTGACACTTCGAATCCACGAAATCTTAGCCTCTCCTCATTCCATGCCTTGCCCGGGTAAACCAGGTTGGCCATATCGGTACCTGGCACGATATTGGGGTACCCCATCCCCTCCGGAATTCCAAAGGAATTCCTGTATTCGTTCAAACGACGACCAAGCATCGGTGCGTCGACAGTGATCATGACGGCTTTATCTCCCGCCTCTGCAAGCTATTAGCACGTGAAGTCGAAAGAAAAGAGAATATCAGAGAACGAAAAAAGATTAGAAAAGATTAGGTAGGGGTATACATACTTTCCGCCCTCACGTTCATGTTCAAATCCAGTGCCATCTTGATCTTCATCGCATATTGCCTAGTGTTTGTGGCGAAGAGCTATACCAAGAAACATGCCGTTGCTGCTCCGCCTCCGCAAGATGCTCCGACTTCTTACCAGAGTCTTTTGGTGCATGCTATGAATCAAAGCGGATTGGCTTTTCGAGAGATCGTAACTACCCCGCTAGAAGAGATGGAACGAGAGTGGTCAATGTACCGCGGGGTGGCTGGAGAGATTCTTTACTGAGGGATTGGTCGATACAGGAACTTCTTGGGTGTATGATGTTGTGCGGTTTTTTGAAAATGGGGATATTATCATGCAGTTTTCTTCAGTAGATAAGGAAACCTCTCGTCGGGATGGGCTTTTTTGAAGTGGAACGAAGGGAAGCAATAGAGGGAAAGCAAATAACATTACGGTCGCTGGGTTAGCTTGGTAAACTTTAATTTGGGATGTGTGCTGTCAATTCAGCCATCCGCAATATCAGCAGAATGACAATGGCTCGAATACGTGAGTTTCCCGAGACCTACAGAATCATGAAAGCCGGGAAGGGTAGAAGGACACGAGACATTTTCTGTATAAGAAACAGCAAACATACTGTGAAGTCTAGAGATGTGGGAGTGCGTTTCCGAAAAGGGTAAATTGAGAAGCCGAGGCGGTGCGGAGACAACATGGGGAAGCCTCTCGCAACTTTGCACCACCCGCATTTCCTCCTCGATAGGCCCTTGATGCTCTCATTTCCCCATGCGATCGGCGAGGGTAAATCCCTATTCTCCTGTGGAATGCTAGCAAGGATGATGTCTCCGACGATCGTCCTGCGCGGGGCTGGCCCACTTCGGATTTCAGTCGCCGAGTACGTCCAATAGCCGCCCGCAAAGCACAAATGCCGAGTCACCGTCATGCAATAACCGCATCAAGCAGAGTCACAAGAGAGCTCGCGATTATTTAATCTGTTCAAGGCTCAATTGAACCCACTGCTGCCGTCTTTTTCTCGATTCCGCATTGTGCCTGGCTACCCTCCGCATCGCCACCTCCAAGCAGAACCCGTGATATACGGACCTGTCAAAGTATAAAACGACACAATGGGCAAACCAGTTGTGCTGCAGCTCGGCGACGACATCCGTTGGAACCATGAATTGCACACCAAGTTCCAGGAGCACTTCGAGATCCGGCGATCATACAGTTTGTCGCGACCGGAGTTTATCCGAGCGCTGAAGGAGAAGAAATTTGGCGATTTCTTTGCTATCTACCGACCATTCTGGAACACCGGTGGTGAGATGGGCAACTGGAATGACGAATTGATTTCGCTGCTGCCGGATTCGTGCAAAGTGTATGCCAGCGCAGGCGCTGGCTTCGACTGGGTGGACACCGCTGCATTGGCGAAGAAAGGTGAGTTCGGGATTCTTCCAAGTAGTTTCTCAGTCTGGAGCTAACATTTATTTCTTGTGAAGGTGTCGTATACTGCAATGCTGCCGCCGCATGCACTGAATCCGTAGCCGATGCCGCCATCTGGCTCATCATCTCGACCTTCCGACTCTTCTCTTGGTCCGCAATGGCTGCCCGCTCGCTGGACCCCTACCAATTCGTCGACGCGAACCGCAACCTCGCCCCTGTCTCCCTCAACCCCAAAGGCCACACGCTTGGTATCATCGGATTTGGACAGATCGGCCGACGCACAGCCGAGAAGGCATTCAAGGCCCTCGACATGAAGATCCTCTACCACGACATTGTCCAGATGCCCCGCCAGCTCGAAGAGGTCTCGCAAGCGACCTATCACAAGAACATGGACACTCTATTGGCTGAGTCAGACTGTGTAGTTGTTGCGACTCCCTTCAGTGGTGAGACGCTTCTGAACGCCTCATTGCTGTCGAAGATGAAGCGTGGTTCGCGGCTGGTGAACATCGCTCGTGGTAAGCTGCTGGACGAGTCTGCCTTGGTGGATGCCTTGAAGAGTGGTCAGCTCTCTGCGGCTGGCTTGGACGTTCACTACGATGAGCCCAATGTCAACAAGGAGCTTGGGAAGATGAAGAATGTGGAGATCATGTCGCACAACGCCGGTGCTTCGTTAGATTCCCATATTGGATTTGAGCGGTTGGGTATGGAGAACATCATCTCCTTCTTGCAGAACGGCAAGGCCATCACTCCTGTCAATGCGCACCTGGTGGCCAAGAACTCTTCCTCGAAACTCTAGATTGGGGTTTGCGGGTTAAATTGATTTAGGTTGCGCCTGTACATATTAACGAATGATGACATAGAACTGTCATGTTTTGCTCTATTTTTGTTGATTTAGGTAGACGAGCTTGCTTCCGGCTGTGTAAGATGTATCCAGCATTCACAAGCTCAGCCTTCCTAGTTATAGACAAATGATGTTCCACCTAAACCTCAAGAAATTGAACTGTGTTCTCATATAACTGGGCCCCGTAGCATGTTGACCCTGATCCAAGCATAGCTCAACTGCTACCAGCATGCGTCGCGTATTTGCAGATGCTCATTATCCCCGATTGAAAACTCCCACCCACCATATAACCCATTTGTAAACCGCCCCTCCGTTTGTCGGAACCCATAGACATTAGTCCACTCCCACGGTAACAACTCATTTTGGGGACAGATGCGGTAGGTTAGCCAGCACAGGGCACTCGTATTCGTCACCAGCTGAATCTGATGTCTCACAACCCTAACAACGGTCCCGGGACCATCCCTTTCTCCAATCGTCATACATAGCCTCGAAATTGGCTGCGACAAAAGACTGATGAGGCGAGACAGTCATTTTCCCATGCGTATACGAAGTATAATTAGGATAGAAGGAGGACGAAATGCGATTGGCCGGCTGTGGCAGTGGGTACGAGTAATTGCCCCCAACAGCGATGACGGTGCTATAGGCTGTAAACCTCGGCCTTAGCCGCAGAGGTGATGTTGACCATGGTAGAATGAAAACGAGAATAAAAGTGGAAGAGCGGGCTGTCTCACCGTTAGATTTGGGGCACTTTTAGCTCTAGATAGGGATTAAACCCGCAATCGAGGCGGTTATGGTGGCTCTTGTCACCACGTTGCGCTGAAGCTTAACCTTGGGAAGGTACCCTGAAGTAAATATAGAGCACCACACGCTAAAGGGCGATGCTTATCTTAGCGCATTTATCCGGCTGAACCGCGATCGGCAAGATCTGCGTCTACCCATGCTAATGTTTTCTTGAGTACGGCCAAGCAGGATATGCGCGGCGTGGTTTTGTGATCTGAGGGCGTTGGGGGTGTCTATATTTGTCCCGGCTGTGTGGGATGGTTGACGTTGACGGGCTGGCAGTGTGTTAGTAACCTAGGTGTCAGACTTCGACCCAAGGTTCTATATGAAGCCCTCCCACGCCTGGCTGAAGTGGCGTTTTTCGAGCTTAAACAACTGTAATCCGAATCACACATAAGATGAATTACAATCAAGAATTCTCTGGGCCTTTGCCATTCTTTAATTATCACATTTGTCAAAATACCTTTTCAAGTGATGCTTTCCAGCAGCAGCCTCCTTCAGAATGCTCGTACAGTGAGCTTTATTCTCTACTTGACATGCCAACAACGGAGAATATGCCAGCCCAAGAACACGATCTGAACAATGAAGACTGGTGTTTGATTCCATCAATGTCAAGCAATTTCGCTTCTGATATGGATAACGGCGTGGAAAGCCATTTTTCCTGGCCATCATTTTCCAGCTTAAATAGCATTCCCGAACCGATTTCACGAGACCAATCGTCATCTCCTGCCTCGCAATTTTCCTCCCAGTCATTCTCACAGACCAAAGACCTATCCCTATTCCGGACACCAACTGGAGATGGGATCTTGCATTGCGCCTATCCAGGATGCACATCAAAAACATTGTTTTATCGAGGCTGCGATCTGCGAAAGCACTACAAGCGGCATCCAAAGCATCTCTTCTGTCGCTATTATGGGTGTCCAAAGTCCATATTGGGAGGGTTCTCAAGTGGAAATGATCTGACTCGTCACGAGGCAAAACACAATCCCAGCGTTGCTTGTCAGTGGCAGGATGCCCTCGACTTTTCAGTCGGAGAGATAAAATGAGGGATCATATTCGGCGAGTCCATCAGAGGAACATGTAGCGAGATTTCATCAACTGGGGAGAGAAACATATTTCTGTTTGCATGTTGCGGAGTATATCATGACTGGACCCTATCGCCAGTCCCTATCACAAATCGCGAGTTACATGTCGTTCGCAAATATTTCGCCGAGCTTCACTAGGTCTGCCCATCTTTTGTCGTTTTCAATCTCAATTTTGCATTCTGGCGTTGCGACTCTCATGTCATCAATGAGATTCGTGCCATAATTGTAGCTCTGGTCACCATTGACAAAAGCAACAAATGCCTCGATCCAATTTTCCATAAGCACTCTCTCCTCGGGAGTCGGGCCATGCATAATTGAAAAGCTAAGAATTATTTAGTACACTGTAGTGAGTGCGGGGAAGCTGAGAGAACACATACTTCCAAAACGGTTTATCCATGGCATGTGCCACGCCAAATGATAGCGGCGCCACTTTCTCCGTGATGAAAGAAAGTCGATAAGCAATGCGATACCTCCAAATGTCACGAATGGGCACACCGTGACTGCTGAGGCAGTTGACTAGCCAGCGTGAAGGAGCTCGAACTTGACCATCAGCAATAATGTTCCCAAACAGTGTGTTCCATTCATTGGGGTTCTGTGTGGTGGGCAATTTATACGATTTTAAGATCCGCTCGGTCGTTTCGGGCGCGTAGTAGTTCGAGACTTGCAAGCGTAATGAGTCGAGATTCGGCTCAGGATTGTTATATGTTGCATAGAGCGTTTCCTCATTCAGAACCTCACCGATAAAGAGTCGTAGCTTCCGCTTCTTGAATTCCTCGGCAAAAGCGCCGCTGTTGTGATACTCGGTAAACCCACTGAAGATAAACAAATTGTCAGTCACAGGGCGGAATGTGTGATTTTTGAGATTCTTTATGGCAGCGATGAGATCCTGGTAGCTGACTTCACGCAATTTATCCAGCTTTGCAGGGCCTGAAAGAACCGGAGACACGTTGAAATATTCACAGAGCTCGTCGAACTGAGGATTCACGTCTGCAAGCATTTTCGGCTGGGCGGGAATGGCGTTTGAGATCATGTAGAATCGATGAAACAGCTGTGTCCCCCGTCGGAAGTCGTAGAGAGCCTGCGCCTGCACTCCGTATGAACCTGCACTCCGGCCGCCCAGTACGATGTTGCCAATATCACCGTTGAAGGCCGCGATGTTTTCATAAACCCACTCCATAGCCATTCGCTGATCCCAGAGGCCGAAGTTCCCTGCGCTCTCGCCGCTACTCTCTTCGAAGAGAGCCTGGCCAGCAAGAAAGCCGAAGACATTGAGGCGGTAGCCGATTCCGACAAAGATCGCATTGAGTTTTCCGGTAGATATCATCTCGGTCGGGTTCATACCGACTTCCTGGAGGGGGTCTCCAAGCTGAAACCAGCCCCCATGGAGCCAAAGCACAACTGGCCATTTTTTTCCTGGATTTGCGGGTTCTTCGACAGGCGTCCAGATATTTAGCAATAAACAATCCTCGCTATATGTTTCGGGGCCAGGATCCTTTTCTGCCCCCGATGCGAAAGCTGCTTGTGGACAAACCGGGCGAAAAAACGTGGCATCGAAGGGAGTTCCGTCTGATTGAGTATAGCTGTGCGTAGCATGCAATGGACGCGGTTTTCTCCAGCGATTTGCGCCGATAGGTGGCTGGGCATAGGGTACCCCTGCATACCGACGAGCCTTGTTGTCGTACTGGATTCCTCGAAGTTTCCCTTTGACGCCTAAGTCAATTTCGTGCGGAGTTTCGTGGTAGGAGATTTGATTGCCCATGGCGGCTGTCAGGATCGGTTGGTCAATGAGTTGAAGTGGGGAGAGGGGGAGATGGTGTCACCAACGTTTATACCCCTCGGTGGGAACCCGCTCCACTTTAGCCCAAGACTTGCTTATCGGCGACCAGATATAGCTCCGGCGATCAGCTTCCAGATCGACGCCCCACACATATTTCCAACTGTAGATCTACATCAATTCAGTAGCAAGACAAGTGAGTATAATTTTTGCACTTGAATTACACTGTTTTCTGATTGCTTGTGTGAAGGGGTCCTTCCTCGACCCACTTGGAGGTTGTGGAAAAGGTACTGATAATGTAGTGAAGGAGGAAATAGAAGTTATGTTCGAAAGCAATATATTTTGGCGACCTACAAGGCAATTTGATGCTTTTGAAAGTATCGAGCCTGTCCTGGTTCCAGTAGTAGTGACAGGACTGCGAGCTCTTAGCCAACTTGAATCGTCTACTTGAAGACCGTTCGAAGAAAAAGCAACATCGCCCGGCACTGGCACGGTTTTTCAAGACGACTTCGAACAATTCGCAAAATGGTGTGCCCTACTTTAGGATTTCCACGCCCGGGAATCGAGTTTCGTCACGTCCTTAACATTGCCCAGCAAAGGAAGGGATTGGAGACTTGCATCGAGATGCTCAACAGCCACACTGGAGACTGGGAATTTAGTAAGATAGCCTGCTGTGAGACTGGTGGTTTTGTTTTTGCCTCGTCATTGGCTTTGCGCATTGACGAACCCTTGGCATTGATTCGGGAACTCGGAAAGCTTCCACCACCTACCGTTTCCATCTCCAAATTGAGTGCGCATATTTCTTCCTCGGATTATGATCACTCGACAGAGAGCTGGATTGTGATAGAGCAGAGTCTGATCCCTACAGATGCTTCAGTGTTGGTCATGGATGACGTTCTCGCGAGCGGAAGAACACTCTACGACATCATTCGCGTACTGCGGAAAGTCGGCATTGGTTTGGAGAACATGTGTGTCGTTGTCGTTGCCAAGTTTCCCTCTCACCGTGGCCGTCAATTCTTCCGCGAACAGGGTCTTGGCGGCGTTCGAATTCGGAGACTTCTGGATTTGATGGTGCGTAGGGAATGAATCGGTGGATCAGATAAGTTTTTTAGTAATTCGCAGAAATTGATCAAATGAGGTTTAACATTCGCTAGCGCACATGAGTGCAGAAATTGTGTCCAAGGTCATTTTTAGTCGATTGAAGAGCCTCGTAACTTTGTACCATGCTGATTATTAAAATGTCTGGCTTGAAGAACAAATTCTTCATGGAACCATGAGTTTCGAGAATGAGCTAAGCTCCGTACGGACGGCTATGGGATGCTCAGAGTTATATTATATTACATTTCAGAAGATAAATAAAGGCCGTGGATTGGACGAAGTGAACCCCTTCTTTTTCATTTTCTCGGTAATCCCTAGACATTCGCGAAAGATATCCACGGCCAATCAAAATCAAAATTGAATAACCAATGAGCCAAGGCAACGTTAAACCCCAGGATATTGTGTGCATTCTGGAATCTCCTGAATGTGGGACTGCAAGTCGACATCACCGAAAACGAAAGCAACAGGTATAAAACGAACGGGTTCAAGCGCCCACGCGGCTGCGGAATTCTTCGTTCTTTCCGCGAGACTTGAAGCATCCCAGCATGCAGCTAGTGACCTGCTTTTCGGCCTTGCCTGGTCCGTGTCTGAACGAGCAGAGGTGCTTGGACTTGACAATGACACCAACTCCATGCGGCTCGAGAACCTCGGCAATGGCCTCTGTAACCTGTTCGGTGAGGTTCGCCTGCGTCTGGAGTCGGTATGCAAGTACCTCGACGATATCGACGAGCTTTCCAAGCTCGATCACGTGGCGAGCAGGCACATAACCAATTTGTACCTGTGTTAGATAATTAGCGAGGCCCGTAGAAAGAAGTAAAAAAAGACTGCGTGGCATGAACGCCTTTCTCTTACCTTGCAAGTGAACGGAATCAAGTGATGCTGACAGAGAGAGATAACTTCGACATCCTTCAGGATGATCATCCCATCACTGCGGTTCTTCTCCGAAACTGCGCCAGCGACCACAGACTCAATGCTTGTCTCATATCCCTTTGTAAGCGCAAGCAAGGCCTTAGCACATCGCTTTGAGGTGCCACGCAAACCTCGTCGGTCGTGATCGCCTAGCTCCTCCAGGATGGCCTTCACATGCTCGGAAACCCTCTTGACTCGCTCCTCATGCTCTTCGTTTTGAGGTACACTCTCGAAGCGAGGGCGGAGGCCGCTGGCCTGCGAGATCCTGGCATGATGAGGCCCACCCATTGTCTGTCGGTCACGCTCAATCTCTTCAGCGATAGCTTCCAGTCGGGGGGTGACAGCCGAGGCTGCTTCGCATGAGTACTTGAGGTTGCCCTTTCTGGCTTGGAGGCGGCGGTAGGTCCTACCATCAGAAGCTGCGCGATTAGGGTCTTCCCAACGGCTCGCGTTGTCAGTTCCACCCTCTCCGAAACGAGCCCGAGGGCGTCGAGTGTTCCCTTCATCGATTGGCTCCGGAGCGTTGGTTGCCGGTGAGTGCTGATGTGAATGAGTATGATTTTCACTTTTGTAAACATCTCTAGAAAACTTACCAGCATAGGTGGAGCGAGTACGGCCAGTTCTACCCTCGGTCTGGCGGTGGCTGTCGATCGAAGCCGCACTGTGCTGAACTCGAGCGCGGTTTACGTAGTGCATCGTGGCAGCCGGCATCTGGTTCGGGGGCAGACGGTCAGAGCCTTGCTGGGCATAATCACGCCCGTCAGTACAGTGCTGGTCAGAATGGCTGCGGGTAGAAGAGTGATCGCTGTGGGGATGGTGGTCATGGTGATGGCGGTCACGGTGATGATGATCGTGGCAGTGATGATCATGGCATCGATGATCAGTACGACGTCCTCGGTCACAATCGGACCACGACGAGGAACGCCGACGCCGCTGGGGGGACCAAAGATAAGACATTTTGAAGGAGATGTGGAACCAGGAAAGGAAGAATCAAATCAAGGGGATAACCGATGTCGAGAGCTGGATTGGGGAAACTTGGGGTGGGCATGACTCCGACACGCGTTGTGGAAGGAGAGATGTTTCCAAAAAGGAAAGAAGAAGTGAGGATATACAGGACCCACGTCACGGCCTCAGGCAGCCGTGCAGCGGCGAGCTTCACGTTTCTGCCCCTTTCCCATTATCACTGCCGCTTTTCAATCATTCCCTTTCTCATTTGCCTACGTTAGGCCCGAAGCAATTGGCTTGCCTTCATTACACCGCTGGGAAGGATTCACAAAGATCAGTATGGCAGTCTCGGGGGATTTGGCGCTGATTCTTATGCAAAAGAACACAAGTTTGCCCTTTCAGACGCCATTGTGAAGCATAATACAAGTCTGGACCCACAAAACCAAGGTAAGCACCGGGATTGAAGACTTGGGGGATACGCACTTTTGAACTCGACCAGCTAACCTTTCTGTTTCCAATTCAGATGCTCTGCACGATAATCTAGTATACTTCCCAGGCTATGTAAGGCTTGAAGAAGACGCCGTTGGAACGCCATTACCATTTTCGGTTACAGCCTGATCCCCTACATTAAGCCGATGGATTTTTAAAGAGGCCGGCCGAGTCCAAGGAAGGATGGACCATGGCCAAGGCCGCATGAGCGGGGTTTTATTGTCCACAGATGCCGAGACAACTGTCTTTGGGTACTATCTTCCATGATTCTCAGTCGCCTCCGTCGTCAAGTTCGCTTAGCAGATGCAGCCACAATGCTTCACACGCGTCCATTGGATTTGCAAGGGCAACTCTACAACTGTCAGGAAGATCCGCAACCCTGGACAAGTTCTTCATTTCCCCTATACAATACCGTGAAATAAATTGCCTTGGCTGAAATAACTCATGAAAATACATTGCTGCAGTTATGGGGCCAATTGTAAAGTCACTAATGGTCAACTTGGACGTTGGCTAGAAGTATATGCGAGCCGGTATGACTGTTGACATCAGCACCTTGGCATGTCAGAGCTTAGCGCTTTCCTTCGCACTCGCCGAACACTAAGCCATCAGCAAGTATGAGCGAACTCGATAATAAACTTTTCAGCGAGCCGGACTGGGGGTATGCCATCTATCACACCACAACGCCGATCTTCCCAGGTACCTCAAGGTCTGAATCAAAAAAGACATTTTTGAAGAGAATACCTTACTCTCTAAGGATATAGAGAAAAGATTCGGGCCAAGCGCCAGTAACTCTCATGGAAGACCCAAATATTCAACGGGGCATTCATCGAGGCTCTTGGCGCTCATTCCAAGGCTTAGGCGGAAACTCAAGACACTTGTGACAACTGAAAAAAGTATCTTGTGTGCAGACATCTTGATGGTGATATCCGATTCGTGAAGTTTCCAGGAGCATTTCCAAATGTGGATGGCTATGAAAAATTTCCCGCGTCAATAAAATAATGGCTAAGCCTCATAGACGCTCCAATGTGTATGGGAAAGGACAATGCAACGAGAACGCACAATATATTGGCATCGACGAATTCTCAATCGAGGAGTGTATTGGGAGCGAATGCAAGGCTACGTGCTATGCTACGTGCTGGCTTAAACCTAGGTTAATACGTAATACACGAGGAAAAGAGAAAGAGGCTAGGAAAGCACTCGAGGGCTGCAGTTTTCGATTTCCGTGCTTAGCGACGTTTCTAAACAACCCTCCACCTCCCCCTCCGCCCCTGAGGTAAATGAGCGTTTGAGCCCAAAAGTCACTAATACTCCGTCGCTTTTTACAGGCCCATCCGGTATTGAACAAAGGAAGCATCGGCTATTGTGTCATAAAGTCGACGAGCAGTAATATTGTCATGTTTGGTCAGCCACTGAAGACGGGAGCAGCCCATCTCCTTTGAAGCCTCTATCACCGCTTGAATCATTCTCCGACCTTGACCTTTTCCTCTCAACGCGGGATCAACGAAAAGATCTAGACACAAGCTGCTTTAGTCGGCCTGAGACGAGATTTCGGTAGGAGATATCCTTCTTGAATAAACATACCATTCAAAAGCATGATCTTCTTCTCGCTCCACGGTGTTTGCTGAGGAAAGAAATGCGCGATCGCAGTCATCTTGCCACTCGCCGACCCAGCTGGCTGCTGACGCATCACGAGAGCATACAGGTCGCTATCTGCATCCAAGATTCGGTCGAAAGTCTTCTTAAATTGCTCCTCGGGTATGTTGGTCTCGTAGAAGTCGATGTAAGCTCTAAATAGAGCAGCCCACTCGTCGAAATCGTCGCGGTTGAGCTTTGTGATCTTGAACTCCTCCAGTGATGCCATTATTGATACTTGGACTTTTGCTGCTTGCTCTTGTGGATGAACGAGAGATGGTTTGTATTTGCCCTGGGGTGACTCGGAGGGTAGGAATGTGTCAGTCAAGGCTTCATCGCCCACTGATCGAAGCGACAGCCTGTGAATAATCCTCGATTGGCCGCCGTCGGGATGCGTGAGATTTTTGATGGTGCTGCAATTAGAGCCCCAAGGCTCCGAAGAGACTTTCTTGAGGAAAAGTGAACATTAAAAAGGTCGAACTATAAATATAAATCTCCTTGTGAGGCATAGATGGATGGCGAGCTTGCTTTGACTCATCGCATACACCTGCCTGATCGGATATACATGGGCACGGGCCACTGTGAAGCATGGCAATGCTGTGCAGACCGAACTGCATGAATATTTCCAACCCCCCTTTACTTCTTCTATCTAACTGAATAAGTAGAAAAGAAAACACCTCAAAAGTAGTCGATAAACTACCTCCACAGAATGAATAAATTATCAATTGAAACTCGGTTAAAGAGCTTTGCTTTGAGATGTCAAAATGGAAGCGTTTCCGCTATATTCCCTGTACCTCTTGTCTTTCCTTTTCTCTTGCTTCCAAATTGAGAAGAAAGCCCCCCCTAATGATATACTACGATCAAAATACCTCAGTACAAAAGTTTGGTATTTGGTCTCTTTCAGTGTCATCAGATGGCCCTGACTCGCTGCTTGTGATCTCGATATTAGTCTGAACATGGACTATGCTCAGTGGTGAAACAGCCGAAACGCCAATCTCATTCAATTTTGGCGACTTTACATTGCAACAGACAGTGTAAGTGTTTGATCCAAAGGGCCTCTAGAACTTTCAACATCGGCTCACACGTATTCTTGTAAGCTGCTCGTGCGGATGAGCTTTGAGCTTTGGTTCTGTGTAGTCTTAATAGTTTGCCGTAGGGAAGTGGCACAAGACACGATTATGACTGGAGGATTATGTCAACTAGATTATGATCAAATATGGAACAGTGCTTTGCAAACTTACCTGTGTCTACTTCCACAAAACTCCAGAAGCAAAGCCAGGCGATATTTATCTCTCGATCATATGTGCTGTCAACGGCGACTCGAATTATAGCAACAATCATTATTATCGTTGCCGAAAATATACTCAGCAAATGATCTGTAGTTGAATTTTATAGTCTCTTGCCGATAATGTATTCGATTCCTCCGAAGCTGCATTTGTATTCGATGCCGCCGACCGACGCGATGTAGACAGCCGCAGTACAAGATACAATGACGAACCACCAGATCCAAAGACTTTTAATCTTGCTGCTAAGTCGATAAAAGAATGTCAAGAACAAAACTTGATGCACCAACAACTAGAGTAGAACAATATCTCCAGCAGAGCGAGCAGTCACATGAACTCGTTGTATCGGGGCAGAAAAGCGGGCTCGAAAGCCTCACGCCCAGCTGTGATCGTATATAGCTCATAGAGAACCTTGCGTTCAACTTGCCAGATTGTTGCTGCTGCGAAGATAATGACCCATGCAAGGATAATGAGGAAGTCATCAATCAGTAGTCGACGGAATAACGTCAACTGGACGAAATGACATTCCAGTAAGTTCCCATAGCACTCCCTGTTCTTGTGAATTTAGTTAAAGTAAAACCCGGTCTGCATAAGTGAAAGAGTGAGACGAACTTTGAAGACAGGTCCCGAGACCCGACTGCTCCGTTCATCGACCAGGTCCGTAGACATTATCTTTGAAAGAAGATCTTGAGATAAAACATCAAGGTGGACTAAGAGATTGTTGATGTATCCCAGTGGGAAATTTTGACATTTCCTTCGATATCATTGTTCATATCGCCATCGACTCCTCTCGCTTAAAAGCTTTTCCCAGTGATTCTATAGGCCAATTCGCAGGAGGCAAAGCAGCCGATTCCCTTAATTAATTGTCAGATTTCCCAGAGTCTGAGCCATATCTACCAGATTAACCATTTACGGAACCGCATGAAAAAAAAGCAGCAGTGCATGATTTCCACGCCACCTTTCATCTTGTAATATGCAGGTCCTCAGTCATCAGATGCTGGCTACCCCTGAGGAATTCTGAAATCGTCCAAGCTGCCGAGATTCAACGCGTTGCCCTATCTCTGTAGCGTTGATATCAATCATAAGCCTCGGTCACTGGCCCCAGCAGCGACTTTGTAGCAAGCGCCGTTAAAAATCATTTTTTCGTCTTGTAATTCCGCATATAAAAGTTTCTAGATATTGTAAAGCAAATTTTCTTTCTCTTCTAGGCAACATTCGAGATCTGAAACTTTGATCTTGTGAATATGTCAGATATTCGATGCTGGTCCTAATGAGACTTTGTAGCCTGTAGAAATAAATCAACCCGAAGGCAAAAAGAAGAATTCTTTGGCCACCCCTGGTACTACTCATAAAGAGCGTGGATAGCTTGCAATGCCATGTGGGTGAGCGCTTTGATTATCAAGAACACGCCATACAAAGGATATTGGATATTTCGCTTCCACATATTCACGGACCTGGATGCTTTTAGGGAGATGGTTCCAAATAGCTCCCACAGACTTCTTCAAACTCCACGACGGTGCATCGCGTCATAATTCAAAAGCCACCCATCGTCAAGACTCGACTCGATTGCAGCCGAAGCCTTAAACATCCCTGAAAGTTTTCTCATTGGCCATATCAAGCGACAAATTGAAAAAGCGTAGCCTCCTCAATACTTTCGACACGATTCACATCCGCATAGCTTGCTTTGATGACATCAACGCGATAATAGCAAACCCCATCATACAGAACGAACATTGAAGGAAGACCATGGGGTATCAAAGAAAGACTTCCATCCGGCTCGGAGCTGTATCCAACTGTATACCACTTCATACAGCGGGGGCACCGACTGGACCTAGTGTGCTGCTTGCATCCTCCATCCAGATACTCGGTGAGACTGTCTTCCATGATGACAGAGAGAAATTTGCCAGTATTTGTGCGTATGCAAATTTTCCCTTTAAGTTCGGAGAGTCGCATCCCTATCCCAAGACTGTACGGCTCGCCCCCGAAAATCAATTTCCCCTCAAACTCAGCCGCATCACCCAGCCAGAGACAATCACCAGTGATTGGATATAGACAAAACCATTTATCCGGATGGTAGAGGTCGATACCATCGGCGGAGATCGGATGGCTGGCATCGATGATTGGGTTCGGGATTGACAGAGGAACAAAGGGCTCGGTATCTTCATCAATACTTCCGTAGGGATCGATTTGAATGTTGACAGCCTCGACAACGCTTTTCTTCCATGTGCCGTCCAGACCGAGATATCCTGATCCATTGTGAATGAAAAATACGTCTCCATTGTATGAAAGATGGCTGGTGAGGGTGGCGACGTATTCACGGTTGTAAATTATCTTCTCATTGTCGTCGGATATATAAAACAGCGAGCCGCGGGCATGGTAATCCTCGTACAGTTCGAATGCATTGTTTTGATAACGAATAGCAAGATATTTTCCAGTTACAAAGAATCGGACTGGTCGGTCAAAGCTTTCATTCTCCATTCTGAATATTTTTAGTCCGCTGAAAAGCTTTCCTATGATGAGATCAGCTTTCTATCCAGCTTGAGCGTGGTGATGTAAAACACCCCGACGATCCTGTCTCCGACCATCTAGACTCTGGCCTGGCAACAGGTCAAGGAAAATAGGACATACCCAGACTCCTATAGCCACAGTCTAATAGTACGCTTGAGTGGTATGCCTGAAGTGTCAGCTCTCTGTCGCGAGAAATATAGAGAAGGGCAGAAAGTTAGAAACCGATGGGGGGCATTATGACGGCTCAGGGTTCCTTGTTTGCTTTGTTTGCATCGCTAGCCAAAACTAATACCGCGTTCTGATTGGCTCCCGCCCTCTGTACGTAAACCACCAGACCTTCGAGTTGAATACAACTTGTCTTTACTCACAATGAGCCTTAGTGATGGCTGCGCCGGATGTCTTTTGAGCTCCTCACTACTACCTATAGACATTTCACGACGGAATTTTTTCGGAAGAAGCAATTTCTGCAACAACAATTTTCATTGATTTTTTCTCAAGACATACGTCAAGTGCGACCTCATTTCACTCAAGCGATGAGTTCCTTCAAAAAAGAAACACAACAATCTTCAGGCATTTGATAGCTCCTAAGCGAGGCTCGACATCAATACCATATTAACGTATTGGGAGCCCCGGTGCCACCATTCATCTAGGGGCCAGTGTAGGTGCAGTTGGAAAGATCAAGAGTGGAGAGTTCGATGGAGTATGGGGGTCCGTCGCCTATTAATCTTGAGCAAATTGGAACCGGAATACATGACATTTTGGGTGCTTACTCAGAGCCAGAGTGTAGGCAACAGCGCAGGAAATGCTCTGCTCAACTTGCTGGGTGCTAGCAACATCGTGGGCAGCGAGCACACTAAGCAGGCTCTGCAGTTGCTTGCTGCTGAGAGACAGTTGGTTGGAGACGCTCGTCACGGGAGCAGCCGAGGCCGCAGCGAGGAGGGAGAAGAGAGCTCCGAATGCCTGGACCTTCATTTTGTTTGGGTTTAAGCTGGAAAGCTTTGAAAGTAGTAGAGCAGGATTGCCGAGTATGTTGGTAGGTGCTTGCTGTGCTCAGTTGCCTGTCGCGACAAAAGAAGTCTCTTGAAGGAAGATCTACCTTTTATATTCTGATGTCGTTCCACCTCACGTGCGTTCGGCCTATTATAATTCTTGGCCTTGTGGTAGCAGTTTCATTTGGAGAATGCGTTGTATAACCCGAGCTACTGAAGGGGATGTTTCAAAGTTCGGAGGCCTTTTGGGACTGCACTATTGAATACGGCGTCAATCTCTCAAATTGGAGGTCTGCGAATAGTATTGCGCTTGAAATTAGAATTATTATGAACCTTCCAACCCGACCGCATAGGACATGTCGCGGCCGAGGACAATTGATTATTTAAGATGGTAGAGCTTATCAACGTGGACGATACGGTTTAATTTTACTTATAAGCTTCTTGTCCTTGTTTGGGTTTCTTGGCGCGGCGAATAATCACTGCCACGTAGACAAAGCTGGATCCAGACCCCGCCTGTGACCATTGAAAAAGGTAAACCGCGAAAGTAGAAAGCAAAAAAAAAAAAAAAAAAAACATACAACAGCAGGGATTCGCATGTGGTCACCCACCATACTACTAACCTGCCGGCGTGTGGCTTAAGTACGGCTGAGCGGACGGGAAGCCCTGTTCTCCACACCCTATGGTCGTATGTATTAGAAACAGCAATGCAAAGGACTGTAAATCAAAATGTAAACGGTTTACCCGCAGCATGCAATATCCCAAACGAATAACTTGCGTGGTCTACGGAAGAAACTTTCGTAAATTATTGAATCGAATTCAGGATTTAAGCATAAAACGAAGAAGTCTCAAATCAAGCAATATATCAATTTTCTTTTTGTAATTTTATCCTTGAGGCAACCTCAGAAGGAGTGACCAAAGTAGGACTAGGCTCGCATGAGATCGCTCTCACTAAACAGCAGTAACAGGACCCACAGTAGGGCATACAAAGTGAAATTCATCAGGTGCCAGTTGACAGGTATTTTCCTCTGGTTGAACTCGATTCGATTAGGGCGTATCTCGAAATGCTTAACAGAGGAAGACTTACGGCAGATCTGCCCAAGGTGAAAAGATTCTAGAGTGCATACGACAGTGATTGCCTGGTTCTTGGAACCATCCGAATCCTTGGCATATTTGGCTAATCTCACAAGCGCATCTCCTCTGAATTGGATCAAGGCGATATTGCGACTCTGGTCGGCCAGGGCCTCCGTGGGCGTGGTAGCCAAACAGGGTAACAAAAGCCCTGTGAAGGGCAGGAAGTGAGATACTGGTTGAAACTTCATTATTTGCTGTTTTGTTTGGCTGGGTAGTATTTCCGAATTTATATGGGATTGGGAATGGTTTTGTCCGATGGCCAGATGGTGAGTACTGTGGATTGACTTTGGATGGCACTTGATGATTTATTGTGCGGGAGTAGGATCATAAGTGGCTGGCTTTTCTCTTTAGTAAATTTGGTCTAGATGTTGTCTCACTATCGAATCTTGTGTTCCGGTAGTATTCCGTCTTAGGTTCGCGCTTCCTCCGCGCAGATGTAACATGTGAGTATGGGACTTAACAAATATACTACATAAGGATTCTTTTATTCGGCGGGGGATTGGTCGGTATGGATGGGGAAAGTGAGAGTTCTATTGGCTAGGTATGTACCTCAAATTAATGGTGTATCACTACCGCACACGGTTAGAGATTACCAGCCAAGCATGGTTCGTGGCCAGACCTCTCATGTCTATGCAACTGTAACCATCTCGACGGGACAGACGTGACCGGTGTTACATAAAAAGGAACATAGAGGCGAGGCAATACAGATTGAATTGTCCCACGCATTCATAAGTGAAGATTTCCACAGAACTGATAATCCGCCGCATATGCTTTAAACTATCTTGGCCGTTTCTAGTTGCATTTTCAAAGTGGCCAGAATGGTCTTCGACCATTTTTGCTCATTATCTAAGCATATTGGACCGTTAGGATGGCTGGAAGAAAGCAGAGAAGTTTCTTCTCGGGGTTTCTCTTCGGATTGCTTTCCATTAGCTAACGTCAACCCTCTCAAGCTCATCGTAAATAGATCTCTTGACATCGTCCACCGCCCACGACATATCAACCGCATTCCTCGCAAGCCGCACCATGTCGACCTTACTAAAACCCCCATATGTATACACCTTCTGCATATTACCATCAATCCAAACGTCATGCATCAGCGTTGGGTCGTCACTATTAATGCAAATTTTCACCCCATTTTCCCACAATCGACGAATCTTGGGAAACAACACTTCGGTCGCCGTTCTCCGATGATAGGCATGGGGACACAACGTCAAACCTATATTCCTATCCCGTAGCCCTTGCCACAGTTCCTCCCGGTCCTCCGCATCTAGCCCATGATCAATGCGCTCCGATCCCCGACCTTCGCACACTCGGAATATTGCCTCGTTCAAGTGGGCATACGTATCCTTCTGTCCGAAGTCGCAGTGCATCGTGATATGTAGACCATCTGCACGGGCTAAATTGAATCCCTCTTCGAAAAGCATCGGTGGTCTTTCGTATGCATTGCTTGCGAGCCCCACAGCATGAAAGAGCCCCTTCCCGCCCTCGACAATCCCAGCAGCCCACGGCCTCGCTTCTCTGTATGCAGCGAGTCCATCCTCAACCGGCTCGTCACGTAGAAAACACAGAACCCAGCGCGATCGAACATTGAATTGCTCTTTCGCGTCATGTTGGGCTCGTAGATAGCCATTCAAGACCGATGGGGCCGGTACGCCGCGACGGGTGTGCGCTTGTATATCGAAGAACGGCTCGGTATAGCGTACATTCATCTCCGTGCAGCGACGGAGATATGCCATAGCTAGGTCGTAGAAGTCATCTTCGGTGCGCAGGACCTCACAGCCTGCAAAATAGGCTTCTAGAAATGTCGGGATGCCAGGTTGTCGCCCATTGAGCTCGGGCCGGTGGTTCAATGTTACGGCGTACGAAGCTTTCAGCTCGTCAAATGTGGAATATGGCAGTGAGACATTGTTTCGGTGAGCCAACTCCCATCGCAAAGTGGGCGTCAAGGTACCTTCGATGTGTACATGAAGCTCCACTTTTGGGAGGTCGGCTATGAATGGAGAAATAGAGAGGCCGTTCATATCGCCGATAAGGTCATTCAGTCATGGGAGATTGTCGCGCACCATGCCGATGGGGGTTTTGATGATGACGGAAACCAGTAGAATAGAGAGAGTATTGGAGGAAAGTGCGAGATTCCTGCGAAACTATACTGCACGCGATCACATGATCAAAGAGGGGGTTGAGTCCGTCCGGCTGTTGGATATATCTTCGCATCGGCAACTTCCGCAAGTCAGGAAGATCGTTGCAAACGCTATCACCATTTCGTCCAAGTCGACCGGAAACTTCCCAAGACATCCCCACTCCGTGAGAAGGTACCATTCAGCATGATTTTCCGCTTCTATCGGGGATGTCGGCGATCGCAACGCACCCAATCATCGACACCATGATTTTCCCCTTTGGCGATGATAACAGGCGGGGGAGTTGGGCCAATCAACAATTGCCGTGGAGATGCGGGGAAATGATAAGAGCGGCATGCCTAATGATGAAAGCAGCCAGTTGAGCAGGTGGCTGGAAAATATGCAACTTCCCCTGGAGTCTCTCTGCTGGTCCAGCAGGGTTTTTTTCCTGGCACCATGGCAGAGTCCAGTGCCGCTGCCGAAGCTGCCGCGCAGCAAGCGACAGAGCACACGTTGGCCAAACGAGTTCTGCGGAAGATCGACCGACGACTAATCCCCCTGCTGTTCGTCACGTACATGCTCAATTTTATGGATAAAACCATCTTGTCTAGTGCATCTGTTTTCGGACTTTCTGAGGACACGGTGAGATTGCGATTACAAGTTGGAGCGAGTGACCCCCGTACTGATTGGGCATTTAGGGTCTTGTAGGTCAGCAGTACAGCTGGGTCTCATCAATCTTCTACTTTGGCTATCTGGGATGGGCATACCCAACGACCCTACTCATTGCTCATCTGCCAGCGGCTAAGTATTTGTCTGCAAATACGCTGCTATGGGGTGCTGTCGTAGCCCTCACGGCAGCATGCACGAATTTCGGGGGTCTGATGACGGTCCGGTTCTTGCTTGGTGTCGCGGAAGCGACCATAACGCCTGCATTCATGTTCATCACGTCTACGTGGTATACGCGCGATGAAATTCCTACCCGGACAGGTCTGTGGTTTGCTGGAAACGTATGTGTTTTCCGATAGCATCAGACTCAAACAGCAAGACTAATCAATTTGCTGCAGAGCTTTGGCGGCATCGTCTCGAGCCTCCTCGCGTATGGGCTGGGCCATGTTAAAGACCAGGTCGGGCCATGGAGGTGGATGTTCATTGTGCTCGGACTCTGGACATTTCTCTGGGGTTTCGCTCTTTTGCTGTTCCTCCCCGACTCCATTTCCAGCGCGAAATTTCTTACGGAGGAAGAACGCCGGATAGCAGCGAATCGGGCGGTCATCGCAGGGACAGGCATGACGGAGAAAACAGCTTGGAAGTGGGAGCAGGTTCTTGAATGCCTGATGGATCCGAAAACATGGTTTATCTTCGGCCTGGAACTATTAACGCAGATTCCTAATGGGGGCACACAGAACTTCGCAAACCTGGTGATCGTCTCGTTTGGCTTCACGAACCTGCAATCGACGCTGATAACCATCCCCTACTCCCTCATCACTGTGGCGACAATTACTGGAACGGGATGGCTTGCGGGTCGCTTCCGTCAGCTCAACTGCTTGCTTGTCGTGGCTGTTGTTATCCCGTGTGTGATCGGAAGTGCAATTATCTATTCAAGAGCTCACATCGTTCTTGGGGTTCAACTGTTCGGATACTTCCTGCTGTCCACTGGACCAGCCGCGATGCCGCTTGCAATGTCGCTCGTCCAAGCCAATTATCGAGGAGTAACCAAGAAGATGACGATGACTGCCCTGTTGTTCTTGGGATACTGCGTTGGGAACATTTCCGGTCCGCAGTTCTTCCTGAGCAGCGAAGCACCCACTTACAACACGGCCTTCCGCACAATCATGATATGTTATGCCTTAACAGTACTGCTGGCGTTGGGATTGCGATTTTACCTGCAATGGAAAAATGCTCGTCGCGCACGCGAGGAGGGATTTGAAGGGAGTGCCGGGAATGCAGGCGCTGTTGGAGGTGGAAAGGTCCTGGATAATGATCGTACTTCGAAAGATGTCGTGGACATGATGAACCAGGTGCAGCTGGTCTCGAACGACTTTGAAGATACCACAGACTGGAAAACATCCGGCTTCAGATACCGCTACTAAGAAGACAACATCGATGGGATTTGGAAGGGATTTGGTCGCTCAACGGGCGGGTTTTGCCGGGATCTGCTCCGTCATCCGACAATCGCCCGGGAGTAATCCTTTATCCTGACTTGTCGTAAAGCTCACTATGCATCGCATGATTTCATGCAGACTCAAATCCCGATACAAATGTACAATTAAGCTTAATCTATACGGCATCTGCATTCTCCTATCTCCACCCCCTTCCCAAATCAAATGCTTGAGGTCGGGATTTGACCGATCGCCCGCAGTCCCCCGACAGCTACATTTAGAATGAAGTTTTCCGAATGGCGTGATTATCTACGAGTTTGCTGACGGGGCCTAGCGGACCCCGTCGATTTCCCCGCTCTGGCCGATATCCTGCAGCCCTGTTACTGTGAGCAACGTTTTGTATGACGTGGATCTGCAACTAGAGCAGATCCCGAGTCTTACTGCTTGACATCGCGCGACTACCTCTCCTCATATCTTCTGTCTTGAATCGCAGAATTTTCTGCAAGTGCCAATACGGAAGACCATACACCGAGCTCGAAATCCCGGTCGGGTGACACGGAAGCACAACATGAGCATGGCAGGGTGGACTTAGCTGAGAGACATTGTCGGTGGTCTGAGAAGATATAAAAAGGGTGTCGAATTCCATGTCAAGTCTTCATCAGCTACTCTCATCCCCGCAAACAATACTTGTTTCGAGCATCCAATCTTCAATCTTCAACATGGCTCCCATTCTCAGGAAGTACAAAGCCGCTGCAGTCAACGCCGAGCCAGGCTGGTTCGACCTGGAGGAATCCGTCCGACGAACCATCCACTGGATCGATGAGGCCGGTAAAGCTGGCTGCAAGCTCATCGCTTTCCCGGAGTTGTGTAAGTTGAAGGCTTTCACATCAACGAGATGCATACTGACACATCCACAGGGATTCCGGGCTACCCCTACTGGGCTTGGAAGGTAAACTACCAAGAAAGCCTTCCTCTCCTCAAGAAATATCGGGAAAACAGTCTCCCCTCCAACTCGGATGAGATGCGCCGCATCCGCGAAGCTGCCCGTGCCAACAAGATCTACGTCTCCCTGGGCTACTCGGAGGTGGACCTCGCCAGCCTGTACACCACGCAAGTGATGATCAACCCTGCCGGCGAGGTAATCAACCACCGACGCAAGATCCGGGCTACGCACGTCGAGCGCCTTGTTTTTGGCGACGGCACCGGCGATACAACCGAGTCGGTCATGGACACCGAAATCGGCCGCGTCGGACACCTGAACTGCTGGGAAAACATGAATCCGTTCATGAAGGCCTACGCCGCGTCCCTGGGAGAACAGGTCCACATCGCTGCTTGGCCTCTGTACCCCGGAAAGGAGACGCTCAAGTACCCTGACCCCTACACGAACATTGCTGAAGCGAACTCGGATGTGAGTATACGGAATGCTCTTCGTTTGCAAAACTTTGATCTGATGACTGACAAGATCGCGCAGCTTGTGACGCCTGCCTATGCTATTGAGACCGGCTCTTTCACTCTTGCTCCTTGGCAGACAATTACCGCAGAGGGAATCAAGCTGAACACCCCGCCTGGAAAGGAGCTTGAGGATCCAAACATCTACAATGGAAATGGACGGATCTTCGGACCGGATGGACAGAATCTTGTGCCTCACCCGTCGAAGGATTTCCAGGGTCTGCTCTATGTTGACGTGAGTATATTTGGGGATTTGGTATCCTGGGTCAAGCTAATATTTTCCAGATCGACCTCGATGAGATCCATCTGACCAAGTCTCTGGCCGACTTTGTAAGTCTTCAAAATAACCCATAAGAAGAAGGGTCAAAAGTATACTGACACAACTTTATAAGGGCGGTCACTACATGCGGCCCGATCTGATCCGCCTCCTCGTCGACACGAAGCGCAAGAACCTGGTTGTCGAGGAGGACCGCGAGAATGGTGGCGTTGTCTACACCCGCACGCTTGACCGCGTCGGCCTTTCTGCTCCTCTGGCTCAGGCTAGCAACGAGACTCCCAGCGAGTAAAGCTGGATGAGCATGTGCAGGCAATGATGAATGTCTAGATGCCTTGATTGGGACTTTTGATTTTCCGACTTCTGCCAATTAGCTCATTTGTATGTAAATCACCACTCATTTTCAATTCAATACGCCGATCTTTTTACAAAGTGCCTGGGATCCTATAGTAGATTCGGAAAAGACTCGAAAATACCAAGAAAAATCAAAGGAGACTAAAAGAGCATGGGTCTTCTCCAGTATTGCCAACTAATCCTGTGTCAATGTCCTTGTGGGCCCGATGTCGCGGATCTTAAGATGGGCAACCAGTTCGTAGCAGACTGCCTGTGAATACAAGCTACTACTCCCGGGCTACACTCTTTGCTGACGGACTGCTGACTTGAATATAGCCGAACAAGAATCGATCGGCTGGGATTCACACTGAAACAGCCAAGGCCCACCGACGAACCCCTCGAAACTAATTTAGGAACAAGCTCCGAGTCGCGCATTCTGTGGGTGACCTAGCGTCATAATTATTCACGCTGCTAAGCCGAGGAAGAATGAAAGCTCAATTTTGAAAGAAAATATATTACCACTATCGAGATCGGGACGAATAACCATGGAAGCGGCAAGCCATCCGCTACACGGCCCGCCCACGGAAGAACCAGGCACGCGCTGGTTCGGCCTCGGCCTTAAAAAGTGGACCGCATACTTAAAAAATGAGCCCTCACAAAACTGAGACGGACAGACATTCTAACAGGACGTTCCGGCATCATCGTCTGACGGGACCGAGGGATTTCATGCAATAAGAATCCTTCGAATCAATAAAAAGGGCAATAGCCCGGTGCGAGTGCAACTCACTAGTCGTTCTTCCCTTGCATTCCAGAGGTTTGTTTTTTTCCAGGACACGGACCCCAACTCTATATCCCTTGATCGGCCCGCTCCATTCTATGCTCATACCCTGGTCTGTTTATCTAAATAACCATTCAACCAGTTTACGTTCGTTCATTTGAATAGCAACCGCGCGAATGCTATTCAATGCCTTCCTTATTTCCCTCGCGCTCCAGGCAAGCCGCGCAGGAGCGGACGCGATCGATCGACGATCTTCCCAACTAAGCCCCCTTGCGGACGGTACATTCGACTACGTGGTTGTTGGCGGTGGTACGGGTGGGATTGTGATCGCGACGCGACTGGCGCAGAAGTCATTCAAGGTCGCTTTGGTTGAAGCGGGCGGTCTTTATGAGATAGAGTCTCTGGCCGAAGTCCCGGCTGCAGATGTACTTCCCGTTGGATCAGACCCTGATACACAGTCTGCCATTGACTGGGGATTTGTCGCGGAGAACCAGCCCGGTGCGAATGGGCGGTCCATTCATTATGCGCGGGGCAAATGTCTCGGTGGATCGTGAGTTGTGTTCATATATTCGAGTGTCAGGTTGAAACTAATACTGAGTGATGCAGGTCTGCGTTGAACTTCATGATCTATCAACGGTATCTCAGCATCGAACTTACTACGCACAACAACATGCACTAATCCATTCCCACAGTCCAACAACCGAGTCCATGCAGCAATGGGCTGGCGCGGTCAACGACAGCAGTTACACATTCGACGCGATTTTCCCTTACTACCAGAAGAGCGTCCAATTTACTCCACCAAACGAGAAGCTCCGCGCCGCGAACGTTTCGGCGAAGTACAACGAAAATGCGTTCGACAAGAACGGCGGCCCACTCCAAGTGTCCTACGCAAACTACGGCATGCCCTTCTCCTCCTGGATGAATCTTGGCATGCAAGCGATCGGCATCGAAGAAACGCAAGACTTCAACAGCGGCAAATTGATGGGCGGACAATACTGCTCATCAACAATAGACCCAGCCAACGAACTTCGCAGCAGTTCGGAAGAATCATTCCTTTCGAAACTCAAACCCTCCAGTTTGACAACGTACTCGAACACGCTCGCAAAGAAAGTCGTTTTCAACAAAGACAAGAAAGCCACTGGCGTGCAGGTGAAGGGGCTTCTGGGAAACACTATCACTCTTCATGCGTCGAAGGAGGTCGTGATTTCCGCCGGTGCTTTCCAGTCGCCGCAAATTCTCATGGTTTCGGGCGTTGGCCCTGCTGATATTCTGGGTGAGCATGATATTGATGTTGTCGCGAACCGACCTGGTGTTGGTCAAAATATGTGGGACCATCCCTTCTTTGCGCCATCGTATCGGGTGAATGTGGATACCTTCACCAAGTTCGCCAATAACCTCATCTACGCTGCGGGGAAGGTGGTGGATGGTCTTCTGATGAAAAGTGGGCCTATCACCAACCCGGTAGCGGACTATCTGGCTTGGGAGAAAATTCCCCAGTCTCTGCGTTCGGCTTTTTCCAAGACGTCTCTGAATGCTTTGTCGCAATTTACCAGCGACTGGCCCGAGGCCGAGGTAAGAGAAACACATATCAAACACTCATAGGCAAATTTCTAAGAAGTTCTTCAGTACATCTCCGGCGCAGGCTACGTCGGCAACCTCTCCGACCTCCTCTCAACCCAACCAAAAGATGGCTACCAGTACGCCTCAATTCTAGGCGTCCTCGTCGCACCTCTCTCCAGAGGCAACATAACCCTAAAGTCCGCTGATACATCCGACCTACCGATCATCAACCCCAACTGGCTCAGCGATCCTGCCGACCAAGAAGTTGCCATTGCCATGTTCAAGCGGCTGCGCGCCGCCTTTCAGAGCGACGCTATGGCACCCGTTGTCATTGGCAAGGAGTACTACCCCGGCGATCTAGTGCAATCAGATGAGGAGATCCTCGAGTTCATCAAGGATAATGTGATGACGCTGTGGCATGCGTCTTGCACTTGTAAGATGGGAACTGCGGATGATTATATGGCTGTTGTTGATTCACAGGCTCGCGTTTTTGGAGTTGAGGGATTGCGTGTTGTTGATGCTAGTGCTTTCCCTTTTTTGCCGCCTGGTCATCCTCAGTCGACAGTTTGTGAGTTTGTCTCTTCTATTAAGCTTTAGGGTGTTTTACTGACAATCGTGTAGATATGCTTGCGGAGAAGATTGCGCAGGATATCATCGACAACGCATGATCTCGAACTGGTTAAAGCCAGCGAGGATCTTCTACTCCATTCCGGGTTCAATTATTTCTTGCCAGACTCTTCGGTCGCTACTTTTGGAACCTGTACTATAACACAGAGTATGGCAAGACTTTTTTATACATAACAGCAACCAAATGTACATTTCGTATATACAACAAATCCAAAAAACTATCGAGCTCTACTCGATAACATCTATCACTTTTGCAGGAATCATAAAACGTATCGGAACCCCTTGTTGTCGATCTCAGTTTGATCCTAAAAGCAGTCAGCACAGTCACCAACACCCAACTCCCATCAAGGCCATACTCACAAGCATGCCATTCTCCACCGCGTCATCATCCGACTCCAAATTCTCAACAGCCTCTCTATCCCGCTTCTTATTCTCCAGGTACATGTACGCGTACAGGACAACAATAGCACCCAGTTTAACAATGTAGCCAACAAGCATCCTGCAAAAGGTCAGCAAATCACCCAACCAAAAGAATCAGGTCCACTCACGCAATATAGGCACTATGATACCCCGGAGCCTCGCTATCCTTAAACGTCTGAGGCCCAATAATATTCCCAACACAATACCCGGTGAAAAGCAGCGCACCGGTAACCTGCTTCTTAGTGTAACCCGCCACATTGGAACTGACAATAATAAGACTCATACTGAATCCCAGACCCTGGAAATAACACAACCAAAGCGCAACAAGTCTCCCCCATTTATTCGAGTCCGGCAAACCGACCAGCAGTCCGGAGCCAATGATGCAGGTGACATTCGCGAAGATGATGCACGCAAGTCGCGAGTGGAACTTGCCGTTGAATTTCGTTGCAACGACGCCGCCGAGTAGTAGTGTTAGGAACTGGACTGCTCCACCGGGGATTTGCAGATACTGCGTGCCGAGGGTGTCGAAGCCGAAGGAGCCGACGATTATTGAGGTGAACTGCATTTGCACATCAGTTCTTGGTTCTTTGGTATTAATTCCTCCAGAAAGATAAATCATACACTCGTAAGCGCAGAGTTGGGCACTTGCGCCCCAATAGCCATAACAAACAACAACCACGTCTTCGGGTCTCGCGCCGCCTGCCAAACCTGATACCACTTAAACTGCTTATTCTTCACGCCCTGCCGATTAACCGCCACGCGCTCGACAGCAATTGCTCTCTCGCGCTCGGTCAGAAATTTCGCCGTCGAGGGAAGGTCGGGGAGGAGCCAGAGTGCGAGGGTACCCGTGACGAGCGAGAAGGCACCGAAGATTAGGAAGACGTACATCCATCTAGGGAGTCCGGTGGAGATGTGGCCGACAGCGTAGCCGATGAGGCTAGATATCTGTCAGCGAGGCCCTCGTTAGTGTGTAGAGGGGAAGAAAACGCACCCTCCAAACATAGTCGCAATACCGTTCGTGCAGTAGTAAGCCTCCAGTCTGAGAGGTTGTTCTTCAGCTGTATACCACATGCTCATGAGCAGGACGAAGCCGGGGTTAACGACTGCCTCGACGAAGCCGAGAAGGAAGCGGTTGATTGCGATTCCCGCGAAGTTGTAGCAGGCTGGTGTGGTCATGAGGAGACCGCCCCAGACTTTTTCAGGGTGTTAGCTTTCATGGAAGTTTGAATGTTCGTGGAGGGAGGATTACCGAAGGTTGTGTAGGCCAGGAACTTGCCGACCGGGAGTTTTTGCAGGGCTAGTCCGATAGGCCATTGGGCGATGAGGTAGCCGAAGTAGAAAATTGAACCTGGAAGGAAGTCAGTGGGAATTTGGAGATGGATGGAGAGGGGGATGTACTCAGCCATGAATAATCTTGTCCGGTAAGTCCGGTTCCTTGTTTGAGACCGTAGACGGAGGCGAAGTTGATGCTGTTTTTGTCGAGGTACTGGGATCATTGAGATGTTAATTTCAGCGCTTCAAGCAATACTTGTGAGGTTTTGGTTGTAGCTTGTGCTGTGCGCGTCCATTTCACCCTCACTCAATTCCAACCTGCACAACCTCTCCAGAAGGACTCACATTGATCAAATAAATCATGAACAAAATCGGAATCAACTGCATGTCAATCTTCCTCAGCGTCCTCTTCTCCTCTTCCGGCGTATACTGCAGACCACGATGCTCGCGATAAAACTCATAATTGACATCGACATCTTCAGCAGCGACGTGCACAGACGCAGCCGTCTCAGCAGTCTTCTCCATGATATCTCCTCGTCTACTTTCCAGGAAAAGCGATCAAGGTGAACGAAAAAGGAAGAAAAGTCAACCGCAGATCGACCTCGATCAAATCTCCTCAGAGCAAAACTAACCCAGGGCAAAACCGGCTCTTATACCTTCACCATGTGGCCAGACCAATCCGACCTGTGTGTGGAGAATGGGCTGCACGCCATGACCCCACATGAGAATGAGATGTCAGGGGAGCAGTGCAGAGGCCATGACATGACATGTCTACTGGCGGCTATGATTCGGGGGAATGCCCCGAAGCCCCGCGCCCGACGATTGAACAGGAAGGTCGTGCAGGAGGCGACTGAATCTGCTGGCATATTTCCAGAAAAGGGGTGTGTAGGGGTTGATCTTGCCGTTCTGGTCGGGGAGAGTTTTGGAATTCGTTTCTAGGTTGGATTCGTTTCTAGGTTGGATGGCGGGTGGAGAGATCACGACATCGATGCGTCGATTGCGTTTTAGGTGTTTGTTGCTGGAGTGGTTCTTGTCGGAGATAGGCCGAGATGTGTTTTATTTTGGGTTAGGAAGTTGCTTGGATTGGAATTTTCCTTTTTTGTGTTCCTGATATTGTGCGGTTTAGTTATCTTGATATTGTATCCAATGGCTTGGTCAAGCTCATGTGGAGGCTCTGCGACTCACTCTGCGGAGACGTGTTACTAAGCAGCCTCGGGGATTAAGCTTAGTTAGTTAAGTTAATTTTGGTAGCTTCTTTCTAATGATGAGGCTGTGAGTGACCAGCTAATTCTTCTATTTACGAGTAGTCTCTTGATTTTACAGAAGATAATGTGCTTTTACATCTGCCAGAGAAAATTCAAAATCGCGCATCGCGCTAGAACGAGTTATATTTAATCCATATTGTCCCATCATATATCATGTATTTTTACCTTTATTGACTTTGACCCGGCATCTAAAGCAGAGTCTTCATGTCATCCATGTTGCGGATACCAGCCAAGTTACCGGCCTTGACACGCTTGAGGGTCAACGCGGCAATCAGGGCGGCACCCACACCGGAACCATCCTCAGCAGCCATGATGGACACCTTGTCCTTCTCATTGGGAGCCCAGTCCAGGATCTCCCGCAGAGCCTGGGCACCTCGGGCCTTGAAGTGAGGGTACTTGGTGAAGACGGAGCCGTCAGCACCGACGTGGCAGGACTCGATGTTCTTCTTCGTGCAGATGGCGGCAACACCGCAGGCCGACAGACGGGCGGCACGGGTACCGATCAACTCAGCCAGACGACGGACCAATTCGAGCTCGGGCTGGGTGGGGTGGATGGAGAGCTCGCGCTGGAACAGATCGGCCGACTCGGACAGGTTCTCGTAGGGGTCTTCTTCGATGCCGGCGAGGAAGGAGGCGTCGAGGATGTAGGGCTTGCGCAGCTTGGAGGTATCCTGACCTTTGAAGATGAGGTCGTCGTGGGAGTCGAGGAGGTCAACGAGGGCCAGACGGAAGATTTCGCCCAGGTACAGACCGGCGGTCATCTTCTCGAAGGCTTGTTGGCCGGGACGCGGGGAGTCGCGGTCAATGATTTCGTCGTATTTGGTCAGGGGGAGGACGACGCGTTCGTTATCGAAGGCGCCGTATTCGCAGTTAATGGCGACGGGCATGTCGGCGGGGAGGTTCATGTGGGCGATCTTGGGGACGGAACCCACGTTCTCCATGTATGCGGCGTTGACGCCGGTGCCGAAGATGCAGCCGATTTTCATGTCACTATCGGTGTATGAGGAGGCGATGAGGGTTCCGGTGGTGTCGTTGATGAGGGCTGCGACTTTAATCGGGAGGCCCTATATAGTCATCATTAGTTGACGCGTCCAACTGTAGGTCAAAGGCAGCATGACATACCCGCTTCTTGAGAATGTTCTCCAGCGGAGGGACGACGTCTTGACCCTCGACGCCGTCGATATCGAATCCCTTGGTCCAGCGCTGCAGGATACCGTGGTCGATGTACTCCTGGGTGGCCGGGTAGGAGAAGGTGAAACCCAGCGGGAGCTTGGAGATGTTCTCATTCTCGTGGTGGGTTTCAATGAATTGCTGCAGGCAGTCGGCAATATACTCCCACAGCTCCTCGGCGGTACCGGTACGCAGCTCCTCGGGCATCTTGTACTTGGACTGGGTGATGTCGAAGGCACCCTTCTGGTCGGTCAGGGTGATTTCGCAAACACGCAGGTTGGTGCCACCCATGTCGAGAGCCAGGAAGGTACCCTGCTCCTCGCCATCGGGGAAGCCCATGACCCAGGTGACGTTCATCGGCTATGCATGTATTCAGTGTTAGTCCTTCCATCCCATCTATTTGTTTCTTTCGGTGCTGTCTTACAATGTTGCCGCCCTCGACGGTCAGACCTACACACAACCCTTGTTAGCGGACGATGCGGTGATGCGACGTGCGACCAGGGGCAACATACCCTTCTCCAGCTCCTTGACGAAGTGGTTGACGATCTGCTTGAGCTTCGCGCGGTCCACAGTGAAGACATCTTCAAAGTCCTTGATGTGTTGCAGCAGATTCTGCGGCAAATCGTGCATGGATCCTGGAATCGCGAGACTCGAGTCAGCATTGCCAGAACGACGATCTCCGCAGACATGCGACAAAAAGAAGCTTACCCTTGCGGGATGGTGGCTGCTTAGGACCGATTCCGACCATTGTGACTGTGTTTGTGAGGGACTGCTGTTTGGTGTTGGAGCAAAGAAAGAAGGGCGGGCACGGATGACGATATGAACGTGGGGCAGCGATCTCCTTGCTTGTTTTGGCTGCGGTGGGCAACCCTCAACCTCCGAAATTACGCCAGACCCGCCCAGCAAAAGGAGGGGCACTCAATGGCGAGAGAATGCCTCAGGAAAATTCAGATGTGCATCAAGCTGTGTTGACGGGCTTCTGACGTGCCTGGTGTCCAGTTTTCTACACTTCTACAGGGCGATTAGGGTGACATCTCTCCGATCGACGGTGGGCCCGCCGTGAATCATGATTAATTGCATCTGCGCCTAACGGGTTTCGTTGCTGTTTGCTGCTGTTTGCTCCAACGAGCGAGCCAGGTGCGGGAAAACATGTCCCAATCCTGTCACGACCGAGTCCTGCTCGTCCGACGTCTCCGGCTTATCCTTGTTGTCGCTGCTCGGCTCACCGAGCCTCTCGCGCACTCGCTGCTGGTAAGCGTCCGTCAGATGCAATGATCGGTCGACTTCCTGGGTCAGACGGTCCACTTCGTCCCGCAGACGGTCGTCCCAGTCTTGCGGCGCATTCTCCTCCGCGCGGGTCGTGGGCTCGGGGTTGGTTGCCTCCCACAGCGCCTCGAGTTCGTCCCCCCAACCCATCGCCTTGGCAAACTTGCGAACACCCGCATCACATTCGCCCAGCAGCATCACATCGTCGGCGCGCGACCCAAATCCGCCCACTTTTTGCATGTTGATTAGCACCCGGGGGACTCGTCGACCAACGTGCTGCGGTAGACTGGCGAATGGCTGGACCATCAAGCTCGTGCCCATCACGATGCACAGATCCGCCTCGGCCACCTGCGGCATGCTGTCAAAGAACGATCGCGGGAGCGCCTCACCAAAGAAGACAATGTCGGGTTTCACGTAACCGCCACAGTCACAGCAGGGCACCTTGCGGGTTCCCACCATCTGCTTCATGAGGTCGTTGGGGTACGGCTTCTTGCACTCGATGCAGCGCTGTGAGGCAAAGCTGCCATGAGCTTCGATGATCTTCTCGCCGGGGACGCCGGCCTGTCGCTCGAGGCAGTCGATGTTCTGGGTAAAGTGCTTGAGGAGCATGCCCTTATCGTAGAGCAATTTGATGAATGAATGGGCGATGGTTGGGCGATAGCGCCCGGGGTAGAGCTCATGCGCCAAGGCATAGAACGGCTTGGGGTTCTGGCGGAAGAAGCCAATGTCAAACACATCCTCGGGCTCTTCCAGGTCGAGGAAGGCCAGATTCGCGTAGAGTCCCGTATCGGGAGATCGGAAATCGGGGATGCCTGCCGACGTGCTGATGCCGGCGCCCACCTGTCAGCGTTAGTTATAAGAACAGTATGACCAGAGGGTGCCCAGAACACCTACCATCAGCACAACGCGGTTGACATCATTCTCTTTAATGTACTTGGCCACTGCCTCGATGCTGCGGCTCTCGAGCACCGGAGGCCCCGAGTCGGTTACCGAGGATTCCTCGTTGCCCATGACACGAGGCTTTTGGTGACGGGGTCTGCGACGGCGTCCGATGATGAAAAGAATGAAAGAGCCCAAGCCCTACTTCATGAAATCGAAAAGAATGTCGAGGATGACGAGGGCGGGGGCGATGGCGGAAAGCAAAGCAGATTGATGGTGGAATATGAAGTGAACAGGGCTGAAGTAGAGTGGGATCACCGGCCGCGGCGATGTTTTTGGTGCTTGCAATCGGGACCGATGCGGCGTTGTCTGTGTTTCTCGCCAAACGAAAAAAAAAAAAGGTATGACACTTGAATCGCACTTGATTTATTTTCTGACAGTTCAAGGTCCTTCACACTGCCATACCTACTTGTAGTATGCTCTGCTGTATAAATTGCTGCTCATTCGGCGATGCCGCGAAAAAAGCGCCGCCGCTCACCGCCCGCAACTGGCGTATTTGGCATCGCCATCAACAACCCCGGACTCTCTCGCGCTTCCTCGGAGTTGCTCGTCCATCCAATGGCCTCCACAATGGCCTCAAATGGCGTCGCCTCGCCGTCGCCACCTCGCGAGCAAGTGGGTTTGACTGAAGATATCTCTCCAAGCTCCGACATCTTCAACGCCAGCTCCGTCGCGGAGATCAAGGCCGCGCTATCCCACTTGCACAGTCAAGAAGCCTCCGTGACCGCCCGTCTCGATGCCCTGGTGTCCTCGCAGAAGGATCTCTCGCGCGAATTGGGCCGCCTCGATCTGATGCGCGCTCATATTGGTACCCAGACCAACACCACCCGATCAGTCAGCCATGGAATGCTCTCCGAAGCCGCCGGCACCGCCGAGCGGATCTCCAGCGCGGTCCGCCGACTCGATCTGGAACAGGCCCGTGTGAAAGCGACACTGGAAGTGGTGGAGCAGGTGGCAGAGCTCAAGGCATGCGCATTGGGCGTGGCGGGATCCATGGGTGCCTCTCAGGACTGGGAGACGGCAGCCAGCTACTTGCACCGGGCGGCGCAGGTACCCCCGGCGGTGGTCAACGGTGCCTTTGCGGCAGAGATGGTGCCCACGGCGGAAGTACCAGACCCGCCAAGTGTCACCCTCGACAATGCGGCCGAGTCCCTTTGTGGGCTGTTCTTGCGCGAGTTCGACAGGGCGGTTAAGGAGAGTGACGGTGCGAAGATCACCCGGTTCTTTAAATTGTTCCCGCTCATTGGCCGGTCTGAGGTTGGACTGGATGTCTATGGTCGCTATGTCTGCCAGGGTGTGGCAGCCCGCGCTCGTGGTAATCTCAATGCGGGTCCTGGATCTGGAGCGAAGGACGGCTTTTTCTACGCCAATGCCTTGACCAAGCTGTTTGAACATATCGCGCAGATTATTGATGGACATGGTGGTCTGGTGGAACGACACTATGGCCCGCGCAAGATGGGTCGTGTCATTGAACGTCTGCAGATCGAGGCCGATGTCCAGGGTGGCATCATCCTGGACACCTGGAGCGACGAGCGTCACGTGGACCGCAAACTTACAGACATCAAGTCTTACGCCTTTACCTTCCTTGTGCAGAGCTTCCTTCCTGCCCAGCGGCCCGGTGCACAGCACTCCAATTCTCCGGCTCCAGGGGCCAATGCAGCGAATGAAGATGAGGGTGTGGATATGAAGGAGATCGATGGCATTCTCAACGAGATGGCAATCATGCTGGGCCGATGGTCCCTCTACTGCCGCTTCCTGGCAGACACATATAACGTGAGTAATAGCCGTCTCGTGTTCAGTACGACTGTATATACTAACATCTTGCAGCCTCCTACGGAAGGCGAAGGGGAAGATGATGATTCCCGCCATATTTTGCCCGAGTTCCTGTCAGACTCGCCCTTGGCACGCAAGATCAATGACAAATTGGTGACTCCATTCAACGCAATGACCACCTTCTTTTTCCGCCGTTCCGTTGAGAAAGCATTCCAACTCGACGAGGTGCCATCAGGCCTGAACCTGAACATGCAAAAGCCGCTCAAGGCCGACCCCCCGCATATCACGTCCGCAGTCGACGACATCATGTACATCGTCAACAAGGTCATCCAACAATCCCTGGCAACCTCCCAAGAAGCTGTCGTAACCAACGTGGTCCCCACGCTCTCCCGCGTCCTCGGCTCCGACTTCATCGGCATGACCCAACGCAAAATGCGCGACGAATGCTACCCCCGCGCAGCAGTACAAGGCACCTCACCACCAGAACAAACAACCATCGCCTTTCTAGTGCAAATGAACAACCTCGACATCGGCATCGACTACATCCGCCGCATCGTCCATAACAACACAGGCACTAAACAACTCCTAGAAAACAAAGACACCCAAGGCAAGGATCTCATAACAGACCACCTCCTCAGCCTCTTCCCCTCCCGAAAATCTGCCCACAAGGTCGCAACCACCCTGCAAACCCTCGCCACCTCCTTCGAAGCAAAGGTCAACGACCTCCTCACCGATGGCATCCAAGTCCTCTTCAACAACGTAATCAAGCACCGCCTTCGCCCAATCCTAGCCGATGCCTTCCGAGACATCGAATACCAGCCCCAACTAGACGACTCCACCGAAGGCATGGACTACGACGAAAATTCTCGCAACAAGGAACTCGTCCGCCCGCGCTTCGCAGCAGGCTGGTCCGAGCTCCTTGTCCCGATAGCCCGCATTCTAACCACCTCCGCCTTCGACCGTCTACTTACTGTGACAATCGCCTACTTCGTCCGACTACTCGAGAAGCGACTCTGGTCCTACCAGGGTCGTATTAATCAGCTCGGCGCCGCGCGTCTGGAGCGCGATGTCTCAGGCCTGATTAGCGCGGCTGTTGATGTTGGGTATGGATCGACTGTTCCGGGCCGGTATAGACACCGGGAATCGTTTGCGCGGTGCGTGCAGATGACGCTGGTTATGAGCATGGATGAGGATGAGTGGGATGAGGTCTTGATGGGTGGGGAGGCAGCGGAGGTTGTTGATAAGTTAAGTCGAGAGGAGAAGGTTCGTGTTAGGGGAATGGTTCGGAGGGGGTAGTTGGCCCTTTCCCTTTAGGGGGTTATACAGTCATGGTAAAGTTTGGATTCGGCATTTGTATATAGCATTGCATCTGCTTAGTCTGCATTTAGCTAGTCGTGTAGAATTTTTTTTATTCTCCGGATTACCAGCCTCGAATTTGGGATCAGGACCTATTTCGAAAATGGGTCTTGTTAGACAGTAATTGCTACGTCCATCATGTCCCCCCTAGTATTTCATAGTTTATGTTCTATGTGATCCTATACATCGTCACTTGCCTGATCATTTACCCAGTCATCTAACTGATCATATACCCAGTTTTTACCCCGTTATTTACCTGGTCACCTCCCTGGATATGAGAGTGAAAACAAATATGAACTGGAAATGAAATGAGACTGAAATATACTTCGTCCAGCGAAAGTCATCTGAATATGTGTTAGCATTCGCTCATCGCCTCCACCTTCACTCAGTACGCCCCTGACAGGTGCGAGCCCCCTGTTCTCTGCTTCTCATCCTTATCGTAATCTCATAGAGCAGGATCTCCAACTTGGCTGTCTTCCGGTTCCATATCTCGTATATGCATTCCCTCGACCCGCCTAGGGTGGTTTTATCGCAATATGGGTATCGGTCCTCCTATGTAACCAGTTTTTGTCAGTATGGCTTGTTCAAGGCTTCTGCTGGGTGGTGAACGGAGAAGAATTACCACGTTATCGAGGATATATTCGCTTGTCTTATGTGTGGTTTCAACGTATGTAATTGCCATGATGATAAGTTGTTCCAGCTTGTGTGGAGTTTGGTTCGGCCTTGTCCAAGAGTTGTGCTTGTAAGGTTGAGAGGTGTGGAATAAGGAAGGTTTGGAAAAGGAAGGTTTTGAAGGGACGGTTGAGACGAGAGGAACATGACATGTACCACTGGAGTTTGATCATAACATCGTGTGCTGTAGAGCCTGGCCGACAGAGAGAAGAAATGGAGGATATAAAAGTCTATCTCATCTTCAAACAACATGTATGTATTCGATCAGATCCTTATGCCCGCTGGTGAACATAGGAGCTGAATGAAAAATCCAAAGAGTGAGACACCCTCACCTCCGTCATCAAACCATGACTATTTTCTTTCACTCATTCTCTTCTTCTTGTACTTTCTTGGAAATCTGTGCGACTCCTTGGCTCCCCGTATTTAAGGGATACCGCTTATTCTGCCTGTGGCACGAAGGAACGGACTGAAAGAAGTGCGACCGTGTATTCTTACTAGTATTTGAAGAAAATTACGTTCTATTCTATACATAATCACTTGCCTGATAATTTACTCAGTCATCTACCTGGTCATCTACCCGATCATCTATCTGGATATGTGAGATCGTTCGAAGCTGGATATTAAGCTTATTAAGCACGGGTTCTGGGTTTATTGGCACTAAGCCGGCTGCTTTAAAGCTATTTTTGATCGTATCCGATTTAAATGCGTCGGTACGAGCTTGTGGGTATGCCGCGAGGAAATCAAGCTTGTCGATATGGTTAATACCGAGCCGCATTTTCTGGTCAACTAAGCTTCCGTATGAGCGTTTAAGAACTGCAAAACACCCGATATCGAGCGGCTGTAAAAGATGCGAGCTATGAGCTGGCATACAGATCGGTATGATCTTATTTTCTGAGCAAAGTTGATCGAATTGTGGTGTTAAATGACTGCCGTGGCCGTCGAGGACTAGTAGTCGATATTGACCGAGTGTACGGGGATTTTTCGATGGAATAAACACTTTTTGAAGCCACCGAAGGTCTATTTCGTCAGTTGTCCACCCGTTTGCGCTAACCTCGAAGCGCCAGTCAGGTGGAAGATTATCAAACCACGACTCTTTATAGACTTTGCCTTTAAAGATAATCGTTGGTGGAAGCGCCCACCCTGAAGCGCTTAATGACTCGATCGCAGTTACCCAGGTGCGATTTCCTGGCTGTAGGACCGATCTTCGACCATAATATTCTGCTCGCATAATGACTCTCGCGGTTGCGGTAAGGCCCATCGCGAAGCCAGTCTCGTCAAAGTTATAGATATCCTCCGATAGGATACCGTATGTAGAGATCGCGGTTTGTACGGTAGTAAACCACCCGCGTAGGACCTTTGGATCTTCCTGTTGTGCGCGCTCGTAATTATATCGCCGTGAAAAGCGAGATTTAATCTCTGGGTGGCGTTTGACAAATTTTGTGACCCAGTTTTGGCCAATCGGTGTAGTGTTGCTTGTACCGCGATGTCGTAGTAATAAATCAGCCATTTCTCGCACTGTAGAGGGTCTAGTTGCCCCACCACCATCGTCCATTGAGAGAATCCATTTTAGGAGTGAGTTCTCTTCGATTTCTGTCAATTTATGGCCATTTGGGCGCGTTTCAGCGCGACTTGTTGTACCGCGGAGCCGACGTGTGAGCGTACTACAGTTGACCTGGAATCGCTCTGCAGCCTGCCGAATCGAGCTAATTTCCTTGTTTTTTATAGCTTGTATGGCCAACGAGATACGACCCTCTTGCTGTATAGCATTTTGGCTTGATCCGACGCGATTTAGAGACATGGTTGTTGGTGGAAGATAGAGGGACGCGTGGAGACGCGATTTTTTGGTTGGGTGGCTCACTCGGCGGTGAATTACGTTAACGTGATATAGACACCTCAAAAGCCAGGCAGAAAGTGTTTGCGCCAACGGGGTGTCTTTGTACCAGCCCCGGATCAATGTATGCTGTCCGTCAAAGAATTCCGTGATCTTCTTCTCTCTAGCAGGTATTCGCTGTCTCAAGAGGACATCCTGGACACTTTTACTCTCCTGGTGGGATACAGGTCGTACCCGAATCTTGCGCGACATCGATACCCGTACCCGCACGGTCATGTTTCTCTCGTCGAGACTCCATCTTGAAGCATTCCGACTATGTAGTCTGGTGTCTGTTTGATTGATTCGCATAATGTAGTACTATAGCCACCCTCATATTCCTGTCATTTTACACTGAATCCGTAGTCATTCATATCAGTCACAATTCCACGGAGACAGCCGTGACAAAGCACCATCTCTCCATATTTCAGAGCCGCAAAATCTCGGGACTGATCCAGAGCAGTTCGAAATATCAATACTGACCTCACCACCTCGTCAAAAGTCACCGGGAGTATAATTAAGCTTATCTGTCACACCTCATGCGGCCTTATCAGCAGGAAACCCGGAGCGCCACCGGTTCTCCAACTACCCCAGATATATGCGGCTTGGCCCACTTAGCTCTTGACGGCTTCATACATGCCGTTATGGAGTACAGGCTAGCTCTGCCATGTGCCTAAAGGATTGTTTGCTATGCTTTGACCCGCAAGTCTAAAGAGCGATGAGCTAGCTCTATGACGTTAGTTGGTGCGTTGTTCACCAGTACAAGCATGTCAATTCATCGATTGGATGTCTGATCTATGTTTTGATTTGCTTCTAGTGTCTTCTTTTGTCTTGTTCCTGGATGCACCAGTGTGGTGCATCGTGGGAGAATATGTTGCTAAGCATGGGTGTTCTACACTGTATATATTTACACTATATGTGACTTCACAATGGTGAGCTGCCCCACCGCAGATAAATTGATTACGAAATTGGTGGATATATATGCGGGACATGGGACATACAACTGCCAGTATTCGCGGCTCCTGAGCAAAATGTTGTGCATTAAGTACAAAATTTACTTCGTGCATTGTCATACTAGGTAGGAGTGTCGCGTGTTCCTGTGAGGCTGCGATAAGGCCAGACCCTCCCGCGGGCGGCGGACCCAGCCCCACGGGAGCGGACCGGTGACCATTACAGGGCACGCGAGTGGTGAATCACGACGCCGACCACCACCACCACCACCACCACCACCACACCAGGCGCTGGCACCGCGATTCCGATGCCTGGTGGCGTCTATTTGAAGTCTTCGAACCACCTGCTTAATTCACTGAAACATTCGGGTAGGCTCCGTGGAAACCGAGAGGGCCCGATATTCGGGGCAGACGCTGGGAAGGCAAAAACGGGAGCCGACCGGGAGAAGTCGGAGCTGCCGGCGGCGAGCAGCTGCGCGGCTTATCTGGCGCCAATCATAGGCCTCGCGAATATCAAAGTGTATCTGGGCGTTAGTCCCGATACGGCCATCCCTTGGCGGCCCACTGGTGGCAATGCTTTATCTGTAGCCAACCAGCGGCGGGCGAGGGTTGGCGGCATTGGTCCAATTGTCTGCAGTCGATAGGACGCAGATAAGCCTGCGATAGAATTTGAGTGCAGCGCGGTGCAGAGAGAGTAAGACTCTTTCGAGTGTATCGTCGCGTGTGATCGCGCTGATAGCTTATCTACGAAGGAAAAGATTAGAAGAGCCGAAGATGATTGTGAAGATTCAAGTATAAGTATAGCAGCTGCACAGTGTTGAACTGCAGAAAAATGGAGTCAATCCCCGGTCTACGCTGCTCCAGAAACGTAGTGGTTCCCCGGGAGGCCCAACGGTTCACTGGCCGATTTACATTAACAAATCGTGTTGGGTACAAGCCACTCGATAGGACATGGGCCCCGGGCTCAGTCCCGTCGCCACTGCCTGCGGCCATCAAAGCCGGCTTCAAGATGGCAAGAAGACTCTGATGTGATTCTAGAATATATACGATTGTCCTGAATTCTTCAATTATTTTTCTATTTCTTTCTTTATTTACGTGTGCCTCCCCCTCTATTTTACCGAAAATCAGTGTGCAGCGCTGCTGGAATACTTACTCACCAAGCTGGGCGCGGTGGGTATCTGCGGATTATCCCATTGCTGCTGTCATAATCTTTTCTCACCAACTGATCCCTCCCAAATTTCGCCTTAACCGCGTCTTCCCCCGGAATTCAAAGTCAAATCGGAATACGAATCTGCACCAGAAACACATTTCTTTTTCTCTTATCACTCCGGGTTGGTCAGCCCACAGATACTTAGGGTATCGCCCGAATTGCCAGGCGTGTCCGATTTCAGGCCGGTGGATCCCCCGTCGATCCGACTTATCTCTAGTTTGGCATCCGCAACGCCTGCCTCAATTCCTTCTTATACCCTGCCTCCCCGTGGCGAACTCTTCTCCACACTCAATTGCCTTCGCGACTGTCCTCCACACTCACCTCCAACTCTCTCACACCCGCGTCGCGACCACACCACCACCACTCCCACACCAACACATTAGCTTAACGGCAGCTCCATTCCACCACTGTCACCTCACCAGCTCCGCCAGCAGCTCCCATCATGTCGGCGTTCAACGGGAAAGCCCCGTACGCCCCCGACTACGCCTCCTACAACTGGATCGGTGCCCCTTCCAACTATGAGCTCTCCACCAACGCCGATATGGGTGGTGATTCCCGTACGTGAAACCGCCAGCAGATCCAGTCGCACAGTCTATCTGCACGCGCCTTGCCCAGATCAGAAAATTAACAAGCAAACACTACAGGCACCGAAAATGTGAACAAATGGTTCCAGCCCGGCGACCAGGCCTACATCATCGTAGCCTCTGCCATGGTCATGGTCATGATCCCCGGTCTGGGCTTCCTGTATTCTGGTCTCGCGCGTCGAAAGTCCGCCCTCAGCATGATCTGGGCCTGTATGGCCTCGTTCTCCGTCGTGACCTTCCAATGGTATTTCTGGGGCTACTCGCTGGCCTTCTCGCCGACCGCAACAAACGGCTACATTGGCAATCTCCGCAACTTTGGTTTGATGAAGACGCTCGCTGATCCCAGTCCTGGCTCGCCTTTGATCCCCGGTCTGCTTTTTGCTTTTTACGAGGTAAGCCTGGCTTTCGCGTGATTTGCTCCCGACCACCCGACTGACACTCATATTAGATGCAATTCTGCGGCGTCACAGCTGCCATCGTTATGGGAGCCGTCGCTGAACGAGGCCGTCTCCTTCCCGCCATGGTCTTCACCTTCATCTGGGCCACAATCGTCTACTGCCCGCTCGCCTGCTGGACCTGGAACGCCAACGGCTGGGCCTACAAATGGGGCGTCATGGATTACGCCGGCGGTGGCCCCGTCGAAATCGGATCCGGATTCACAGCTCTCGCCTACTCAATGGTCCTCGGCCGCCGTCAAGAGCGCATGATGCTCAACTTCCGCCCGCACAACGTCTCCCTCATCCTCCTCGGCACCGTTTTCCTCTGGTTCGGCTGGCTGGGCTTCAACGGCGGCTCGTCCTTCGGCGCTAACATTCGCGCGACCATGGCCTCTTGGAACACCAACCTGACCGCCGCCTTCGCCGCCATCACCTGGGTTTTGCTCGACTGGAGGCTCGCTCGCAAGTGGTCCATGGTCGGCTGGTGCTCTGGCACCATCTCCGGTCTTGTAGCCGCGACCCCGGCCTCGGGCTTCATCTCGCCTTGGGCCAGCGTCATCCTCGGCGTCGTCACCGGCATCGTGTGCAACTACTCCACCAAGATCAAATACTGGATCCGCATCGATGACTCAATGGATGTCCTAGCTGAACACGGCATCGCGGGTATCGTGGGCCTAATCTTCAACGCGCTCTTTGGCGACGACGCAGTCGTCGGGCTCGACGGCGTCAACACCGGCACCGGCGTCGGCGGCTGGGTAATCCACAACTGGAAACAACTCTACATCCAAATCGCCTACATCGTCGCAGCAGCCGCATACTCCTTCGTCATGTCCGCCATCATCGCCTACGCAATCAACGCTATCCCGGGCCTGAACCTTCGTGCCTCAGAGGAAGCCGAGCTCCTCGGCATGGATGACGACCAGCTCGGCGAATTCGCCTACGACTACGTCGAGGTCCGACGCGACTACCTCGCCTGGACACCCCAGCAAAAAGACCAGCTGGAGGACGGCCATCAGATCCCCGCCGCGGAGCGCTACGGCATCGGCGAGCACTCGGAAATGATGCTGGAAGGCCAGCCGCCCATGGGCGAAATCAGCCAGAGCTCGCGCGGCGGCAGTGGCAGCGACATGGGCATGCACGAGTTGAAGATCGCGCCTGCTCCCCGACAGGTTGCTGAGTCTCACCCGGCTGATACGCAGGTGCGGGCGCCCAGTCCCATTGAGGCTCCGGTCGTCTTGCAGCCTGTTGGCGAGAAGGACGTTTGATTGATCTGGATGCTGGCAATCCCTTTCTGACATATCTGAAATACCTCACCTCACTTCACCTCTACTACGACCCGCACCGCCTACACATCCCGCCCATCTCACATTTTGTTCGATATCCCTTGAGCGTGTTTTTCATTGAGAAGCCTGGGGCTTTTCTAATTGTATACCTATCCCTTCAACCTTACCTACACCTATTACCATCACATCACCATCGGTGATCCATTATTGATTACCCGAATTTCTCGCTCGATTATCAAGCAAGGCGTTTTTGTTCACGAAAAATTTCCCTTGGATCGGTTGGGTTATGTATATACGTTTGAATTAAGATGTCTGGTTTGAACCCGTTTTTATTTGGTGCTTGTCCGTAGACTCAAAGTTGTATTTGATATTTCTGTTTTTAAAAAAAAAGAAAAAAAAGGGAAAAAAAGGCACGGATAACTGTTCGAAAACGCTGGTTGTAAGAAATTAAGGGAATTCAATCGCAAATATTGAAAGGCATTGGAGATCGAAGAGAGAAAATGACGTCCAAGTAACCAAAGTGATTGTAGAGGTCACATCTAATCACGTGACTTCAAATTGTACATTCCTTCCCAAGAGATCACGCATCGTTTGTTCTCTCCTTTCGCGATCCCTGTACAGCCTTCAGCTCTGAGCTCTTTTTCATATCTAAAAGCATCAGCCGGTACTTATGAACCTCAGTATTCTGTCGCCGTGTCCTCCTCTTGCGCGACTCAAGCTCATCCAGCGCCATATCATACTTGAGTTGAAGATCACTGAGGTCCTTGGCGGTCTTCTCTTTAAGATCGCTGAAAACCTTGGCAGCCTTGGCAGCCTGGGCCTGAGAATTGACCAGTGCCATGTCATACTTAACTTCAAGATCACTGCGCTCCTTGGCGGCCTTCTCTTTAAAATCATTGAACTCCCTGGCTGCCTTGTACCGAAAATCAAGCAGCTCCATTTCATGTTTATATTGGAGGTCATCGACTTCCTTGGCTGATTTTCTCTGTAGATCTTTCAGGTCGGTTGCTGATTTCTCCTGATGATCTTTTAGGTCGGTTTCCAGATGCTGGCACTTTTCGGTCAAGGTGTGATGTTTTCTCTCCCACTGGCGTAGCGCTTCGTTTTTCTCGAGGATCTCGGAAACGAGGTCTACTACCCCTTGGATATTTCGGAGTGTTGGGCATTTTGGTGGTTTGGGGTTGACTCGGTGTTCGCCATGGACTCCGCAGCCTGAGCATCGGTTCTCCTGCTTGAATGATTTGTTAGCCTTGCTCAGGATTTTGGTTGTGGTGTGTTGGTCTGCTTCAGTGATGCTTACCTGTTCTTCCTGGGTGTGTGAACTCATTCTTGTGGGTACTATCATCTGTGGTTAGGATTGATGCTGATGTTGATGATGGGCGGACGGTTGAAGTGAAAGTGGTGGAGAATATGACGATCGAAGCTGGTAATGACGATCAGGGACGATCGATAGTTGGAAAAAGATGGACCGATGCGATTGACTCGGAGAGATGGATTTTCTGCCTGCATTTTATCAACACCTCGATGATTTCCTTTATTTCGGGCTCGAGTGAGATAATTTGCTCCTCTAGATAACTGGCCTTTTTGTCTCTCGACTTTGACAGGGCATGGTGCAGACCCGGACGGATGTCCCCCAGCGAGTCTGCATTCGGGGCCTTGTTCTCAATCCCAACATCAGTTTCCGCACCTTCTCCCTTCTTCTCCTCTCCTCTCCTCTTCCTTTCCTCTCCACCACCCCTGCACCGGGTGCAGGCCTCTGCCCTCTCAGCCTCGCGGCTCCCAGACTCGCGGCTCCCAGACTCGCGTGGGAAAGTCGGAAGACTCAAACTCGCTTGACTCTGTTCGGTGCGAGAATTGGTTCTTGTAGGTGAGTTGGGGCTCATGGTGATGATCGGAGGGAGTGACCGAATTTGGTGGTGACGACCGTAGGTGATGATAAGTAACGAAGGTAGTGGTGGTGATCCAGGTTGATCAGTAATTGAAGCTTGAGGAGTGTACCGTGATTATAGATTCAGAGGATCCTGAGAGTTGGAGGAAAAAGAAAAGATTCAAGTGAGAAATTTAATTTACAGGCTGTGGACTTTGAAAGAGGTAAGGATTGATAGCCTGACTTTGAACTCCGAATTCATCGATAAATGAAACGAGGAAATAGAACTCAGTCAAAAACCTAAGCATTCAACCAGATCCAAGGTTCTTCAGCTCCGCATTCACACCCCTCAAACTCTGAACTTCCGTCGTGAGACGAACAGCCTCCGTGCTAAGTACCATAAGATCACTCTTCAGGTCTTCAAATCTCCGCTCCCACTCATCAGTGCTATGCGTCTCGAGGTTCGTGAGCATGCGGAAAAGTTTCTCCCGGTTAGGTACGAAATATGTTAACTATGTCAAATTCGATCGTGGGTTATTTCATCAGGCTGGTGGACTCACGAGTTTGCTCGGGGAACCGGGAATCCACGACATCATTGTGAGCTACTTGTAGTGGATGTTGATGGTTGATAGTCAGGTAGTGAAGATAGTGATTTTATCGAAGATTTGGGAGATGTTGGGAGTTGGAGAGGGAAGAAAAGAAGGTCGAGGTGGAAGCTCACTTATAGGCGGAATGTCGGGGCTAGAAAGATGTGAATGTAATCGGTTGGTCAACGCGTGGAAATGACTAACTTCGGAGTCCCAAGCGAAAACGGGGGAGGGCATGGAAAGCAGTGAAAAAGAGAAAACGAGTCACAGTCTCCTATTCTGTTGCGCGTTCTCAAAATGTGAAGATGGTATCAAAGTTGCCAGTGATGCTGAGAGGTGAAGAGAAAGGAAAGGAAATATGACGGGCAGTTTTTTATCTTCAAGTATGTTAACAAGTGTAGAAGTAAAAAATTATGGTATGGATGTGTTTGTTTGTGAAGAAGCCTGGGATATGAGGTACCTCACTCGACCATGGATCAGGTCTTCTGCTTGTTTGGAAATTGATACCACTTTCCTATGCACAATAGCCATGTTAAAGACTTGAGCAGACAGTGGTCGCTCGGGCTATGTCTCTGGAAAAGTCTTGAAGTAGTCGATGGAGGCTCCAAGATATAACGCGTCTTCGTCAACCAAGACCACTTTCGTAATTCAGACAATAGTCTCCCACTGTTGTAGATCTTGAAGTACTGAGATAAATATATGAGGGGATTCTCAGGCTCCCGGTGAAAGATCCCCCAGTGAGAGGAGACGATAATTGTGATTGACATGGCTCGTGAGCTACAATCCGATGAAAGGCCGCCGGTGATAAAGGGGCACTTGCCGGAGTTATCACAACCCGATGGCTGAACTTGGTCATGATAAATTCAGCGAGGGCACATACTTATTTACAACCACATTTGACGATGGGGGCTTGCCACACAATCTTTCCATTATTGAAAGCCTGGCAACATATCATCTACATGGTATTTGTTTTGCCCGCACGTCTCCTCTGCTCACAAGACCATTCCACCACCACCAATTCAACATTGAACAGAGTCTATGCGACAGGAAAGTCCGCGCACATCCACAATACATTTTGAAAGCCAGTCAGGCTTCCCTTCCTCGCCGCCAGTCGCCGAACTGCCTTGTCTTTTGCACCACGGTCAATCATCCACAAGAGAGTCACTATATGTTGTCGAAGTCAACGAGTCCTCACTTTCCACTCGCAAGCTTCCGAGCCGCATACAGTCTCTCGGCTCCAACCAACCATTTCGACGGATATGGCCACTCGTTTCAATAACACAGGCTATACAGAATTGTCCACTGAGCACAAGAACCATATTCACTCCTCAAAGAGCCAAAAGCGGATTGCACATCATTACGATGACCGAGCGACTCTCTCCTTCCACGGGAGGCCCAGACCTACAATACATCACTTGCTCTGTACCTCTTTGGTCAACCAGCTCTTATCCACAAATAAATTCGCCCTGTGGCTCATATGCTCGCTCAAAATCTTTGTCACGATTTTCGGACATTCTTCGCTGTCTAGTACAGCACCCAAAACCATCCCTGGAAGCGCAATCTACGGCCATCCTGGCTACCGGACAGCAGTACTTTCTTTGGCATTTGTGCAGTTATTTGTTAAATGGGAATTCTCAAACTGATTTACAATCATGTTCTCAGTTTGGATACGTGTCTTTGCTGTATCTAGATCGTTCTACAATTCCTTGACAGTCTACAAGAAATGGATTATGTGTTTCTCAGCACTTTCAAGAATCTTCAAATCAAAGAGAATTGCAACTCCGGATCTCTGCATAAAGCTAGACTGTTGACACGTCAAAAAAATGAAAAATTTCCACCGACTCGCGGTAAAGAAAAATAACTATAGGAGGGTGCGACTGTGTCAAAAGAAAGAAGGGCAGACTCGTGAAATGAGAAAGGTTGGTGCCGAGTGGTAAAGGAAATAACAAGACGAGCCTGTGTCGGAAAATAGGAGGGACGGTTTCGAGAAAATCAGAGGGGTGAGTTTCGAGCGGTGCAGACATGCACGCGAGTGGAAATGAGCATACGAGGCATGCTGGTGTCGAAAGAAGAGAAGCAAAGTGTCGAGAATATGAGAAATGTGGGTGTCGAGAGGTGTAGACTTGCACGAGAGATAAACAGAGCCGACAAGGTGGAAGGGGAGAAAGAAGGTGCGACTTACCTCTTCAGCTGGGCAAGCTCTTCCTTGAGCTTTGCGTTTCCCTCCTTGTACCGATCGAGCTCCTCCTCAAGCTGAACGTGTTTGTCTACCCGACGTCGAACATCCTTGGAGTGGCCGTTGATGCCATTGCCAGGGTCTTCTCGATCCCGTGAAAGTGCTTGGCGAACTCTCAGACTCTCCACGGCATTGTCCCTCTCGGCAAGGAGTAAACGAACCTGCTCCTGCAGTGCACCGATCTCCTTCGCCATTCTCTCGATGGTGTCAGGCCGCCCTCTGAGTGCGTCACTCAATTGATAGTTCTCGACCAGGACCTGGCGGAGGATCTCCTTGGCCTCTCTTAGCATTTGGAGGGGGCACAACATGCTGGCCTCGGTACGGCCACAGTCCTGACAGACCTGGCTTTGCTGACTTACCGGGTTCGTTTGGCTTGTACGTCTTTTGATGATGGTACTGAGGTGGTGATGATTTTCGTGGTGCTAGTGGTGAAAGCGGAGGTGGCAGAAGGGTTGAGAAGAGGAAAGCGGGAGCAGACGAAATTCAGAGGCACTGATGGCGCGGCGCAGGCACTCACCGTGCATGTCTTTCTAGTCACATGAGCAGATGAGCTCCTACCCATACCCCTCTACTCTATAGGGTGCAGTGCAATTTACCATAGTAATAGTCTGGCCGTAAGTAAATCGCCTACTGAACAACTACAGGCAATAATGGCTTCTCGAATGGAACAAAGTTAACGGAATCCAGGGTACAATATCCCTCTGCATTACAAAGGCTGCTACATTGTGAAAAAGATTTTGCCTACTCCGGACAGAAATGTGAAAGAAGAGTAAACGAAAACGGAAGGCAAGCAGAGAAGAAAAAAGAGATAGCAGAACGAAAACAGAGGACGAGGAGAGAGAAAACAAAGAACAAGCAGAGAGAATCCAGAGGGCATGATTACCCAAGTAGCCGAGGGAAACCGATTTCCTTACGACCGTGGCGAGCCTTGGGTGGAAGGGACCCGAAAAAGAAGCTCAGTTCTCGAGCTCTTCAATCTTCCTCTTGAGCTCCTCGTTCTCGGCTTTCTCCAGAGCGAGCTGCTGGTTGAGCTCGTCAACCTGGACCTTCAGGTCATCGGCCTGGGTCTTCAGGCCGCGCTTCTCCCTGTTCAGGTCGCCAATAGCCTCGAGGGCCAGAGTGCCCCGAACTTCGGTGCGCTGCTTGAGAGCGCGGTGTCGGCGAAGGGCCTCCTCCTTCTCGCGCAGGAAACGGTCCACCTTATCCTGCATACGAGTCATGAGGTACTCGTACTCGGCCACGCGCGCCGTCAGCTCATCAACCTTGCGCTCAGCAGCCTTCTTGTCTTCGATGACTCTATCAAAGACATTGCTGGCACGCTGCTGGACGGCGACGGGGCACTCATCGTCAATGTCGTGGTGGTCAGTGCCGGCGCATTGGCTGCAGCGCGACTGCAGAACCTCGTTATTAGCGGCCATTCTGCGCGCCGCGACTCTCGCGATCATGTAGGTAAGTGGACTCACCGGTCGGTCTGGCGGGACGTAGTCACGGTCCATTTTGACTGTTTTTAGTCGAGGTGGAACGGCGTGCGATCGTTGGTGTGGTTGTGGTGAGGGGTCTCAGCGTGGTGACTGTGCGAGGGGTTGCAGAAGGAAAATAGAAAGTCAGAGAATAGGTGAAATATATAGGCTGGCGACAAGACGGCCGCTGTATACTGGAGGAAGGTGCGACCAGCGTGCCTGCCTATCCCAGCAGATCACGGGACCCTTCTCCAAGACCCTCCTCTACTGGATCTATACCCCTGAGGTCCTTTGAACGATGATTTCTGCAACTCATATCCCCAGAATTATTTTGAATCACCATCGCTGAGAGCTATATCCTCCGCGGCTTTAAGCCAGCATCACTGCAACCCACTTCCCTCAGGTCCAGCCATCCCCCATGGCTCTGCTCATGATTTGAAACCATACAGATCCGAGCACAAGGCCGAGAATTCCATTCCCTCCGACCGATTGCATATCAAACGTTCTGGATATTTCATCTTCGCCATTTACCCGTTGCACTCGAATCGACCGCTGTGGAGGATATACTACAACGTCCGAGCTTATTGCGTACGCCAAGACTGCGCTGTCAATAAACTATCAGCCCTACGCATGGACGATCAGGAACACAGCCTGCACAACACTTCCCGGCATCTGACTGGTTCCCAGCTAGCTCCCCCTGTTCTCGACATCACCTATGGAGTACAAATATGCGACTTTTTACATTCCGGAAAAGTCCACGCGACACTACCAAAACGTTGCAACCGCGTGGCAGCTTGCGGCAAAGATCGGCGCTCGACAAGGCACTTAAATTGTGGAACAATTATAACCCGAAATTAAATGGAGTGGGACGCGACACGGATTGAAAGATGCCTCCGCGACCTTGAATACCCTCAATTGCAATCCTTCTGCTGTTGCATCCCCTGCTAGAAGCGCGTGGCCGATATCCCTACAAAAGCAGCGAAACAAGGGAGCGCGGATCAACACCAGACATCTCGTAGGACTTCCAGTGATCTCTGAGATAAGATCCCTCATTCAACCCGTCAACATGAAGGGCCTCATCGGAGCAACAGCGACGCTCGTTGCAGCCGCCAACAGCGCAACTGCAACCGGCACCTCTTCCGCCTCAGCATCAGGCCCAACTGGCAGCAGCTACGCGTCGGGCTTCGACATGACCCGAAGCTGGGCCAACCTGAGCCCCTACAAGGACGCAGGTAGCTTCGGAGTGTCCAAGGGCGTCCCGCAAGGCTGCGAGCTGTCGCAAGTCCACGTTCTGCACCGTCATGCGGAGCGGTTTCCGACGAACTATCCTCTTGATGGTGCGGGCATGGAGGACTTTGCGGCCAAGTTGAGCAACTACAGCAAGACACATGTTGGGAAGAAGGTCGCGACGGGTCCATTGGAGTTCCTCAATAACTGGGAATATGTTATTGGTGAGGATACTCTTATGGAATCGGGTGCTGCGACGGAGGCGACATCCGGTGCGCATTTCTGGATCAAGTATGGGCGTCTGCTGTATCGGCCTGATCGAGATAATGTTGCCGCTTGGAATGAGTCGTTGAATGTTTGGCCTAATGGTACTGAGCGGGCGAAGCCTGTTTTCCGGACTACCTCCCAGGATCGGATTTTGGAGAGTGCTCGGTGGTGGCTCAGTAAGTTAACTACGAGTGGCCGGTTATATGGTGAACTTTGGGGATTTCTAACAGTGACTAGGCGGATTCTTTGGCAACAAGGGTGCCAACAACTCCTATGATCAGTATGATCTGGTCGTCATCCCAGAGATTGACCCATTTAACAACACCCTGGCTTCCTACGATTCCTGCCCAGGCGACATGACCGAAGGGTGAGCTGCAACTCCCTCCCTCTCCTTCAACACACACTAAACATCACAAAAACAGCGACAACGCCGCCGAAGGCTTCATCGCCCACTACACAAAAGATGCCCGCGCACGTCTCTCGCAGTACTTCCCCCAAGACTTCAACCTAACTGCGATGGACGTACTTGCAATGCAAAACCTCTGCGTCTACGAATACACCAGCCTAGCAGGCTCAAGTTTCTGCAGCCTCTTCACCGAGCAAGAATGGAAAGACTTCGCCTACAACATCGACATTCAATACTACGGTGACTACGCCTACGGCTCACCAACCGGTCGCGCCCAAGGAATCGGCTACGTCCTCGAACTCGCCGCGCGCCTGCAACACAAACTGATCACAACCAGCGACACAAGCATCAACTACACCTACGACAACAACGAAGCCCAATTCCCCTTCGCGCAGCCCTTCTACATGGACATGTCGCACGATGACATCATCCTCTCCGTAATTAACGCCCTCGGCCTTGAATATTTCAAGTTCGGACCCAATGGCCTGCCCGCCGACGTGCCCCATGCTCCTTCGAACCGCACATTTGCCCTAAGCGACATGACCCCGTTCGGCGCGCGATTCATGTCGGAGGTCTGGTCTTGCCCTGCTAATGCTGATCTTGAGAATTTGGATCCTGTGCTGTATAAGAACCCAGTTTTGGAGGGACGGAATACGACTAACTTTATCCGATTTGTGCTAAATGGGGCGCCGCTACCTACAAAGGGTTTGCCTGGTTGTGACGGGGCGAAAAATGGCTTCTGTCCTGTTGAGCGGTTCCTTAGGGCTGTGCCGACGTTGAAGAAGCAGGCGGAGTATCAGCATGCTTGCTTTGGGAAGTATCCTACCGGTCATCAGGTTTCTGATGGTGTTCCCAGCTCTTGATTGATCGGCTGTGAAGAATGATGACGTCGGGTGCGCTGCTTGCTGATCTGTGTGGATGCGGTGTTGCCTTGATGCTTTTTGGTAGAGCTTGTACTGTACAACTAGTCATCTATAGTGAATTGGAAAGAAGGTCGAGAGAACTCGATTTTATTGATTGTTCTCGAACATAAATAGACTGGTACAAGGTCCAAAGGAAAAACAACATGGGACAAGCATCCTTCCATAGGATACATATTTAGCGCTTCTTGATGCTAACATCAATGTTGCCAATGAACCAAACGGCAACGAAAACAGAAAGCAGACCACCGAAGAAGGTGAGCGGCTTGCGCAGGGCATCCATGAAGGAGTGGTCGTAAGTAACAATCAGCTGCGCATCCCGGGCTTCGTCGGTGATGCTGTCAACCTCCAGGGTCAACGTGGTCCGACCAAGTGTATCCATGTAAGTCTTGAGGGAAGACAGTCTAGCATGGATCTGGTTGGCGCCGGGGAGACCATTGCTGGCGATGCCCTCGACAGTCTGGAAGCGGACATTGTGGGCACCCTCAGGGAGAATGACGCGCACAACAACACGCTCATACTGGACACCCTCGTCGGACTTTGGACCCTGAATGAACGGCACCTTGAGGACCCAGGAGTCTTGGCCCGCGGCCTGACGGAGGAATGCGGACAGGTCGTTGTTCCAGCCCACCTTGAAGCTGTAGTTCCAGCCTCCGAAGATCGGGTAGCGGGGCTTCAGCTCCAGCAGACCGTTGGACTTGCCATTACCGGGACGGTACCGGCTGGTCGAGACGTTGCCGATATCATCGATGAAGTACGGGTCGACGGAACCGGGCTTCAGGGGGTACGTGATCTCGCGAACGGCGGATGTGGGAGCACGCTGGTAGCTGGAGAAAGTCCAGTCGACGCGCGAGAACTGGCTAGAGAGCTCGGAGCCATTATTTCGGAGCCAGTAGCGGTCCTCGGTGGCGAGGTTGCCGCCCCAGTGCGAGACCTCCAGGTCGCGTTCCAGCAGGTTGACGGTCACGACGGGGTTGGTGAATTCGTAGCGCACGGTGATGGGGTACTCGGTACCCGGGGAGACCTTGGCTGTGTCGTAGGGACCATAGGTGTACGTGGCGCCCTTGCGCTCGGGGTCGGCGCCGGATTTTAGGTCCGAGGTTGTGGTGTACTCGGGCACATTGGTGCTGGGGAACTTAACCTTGGTCTTCTGAGTGATGGTTTGGTAGGCGGAGGGCGTGTAGGCGGAGAAGGTGTAGGTGAGGTATTGCTTGTCGTTCTGCTGGATGAATGCAGGGCGCGGGCTCAGCGAGTTCAGAACGGCGTAGGAGATGCCCAGGGTAATTTGTGATTTCGGCGCCAAGGGCTCGGGGAAGTGAGCGATGAAGTACTGTTGTCCACTGTTGAATTGAGAGGGTTAACGACAGTCCTGCCAGGCCTGCCAGACATGCCATGTCTGCGGCCATCCGACAGCCATTGGCGCATCCAATTGCGACTCACCCAACGGAAACAGCTTCAGTGGTGTCCACCACGAATCGGCCCTTATCAGCGGCCTTCTTATCCCGAACTTCGAAGCCTCCAACACGCTCAAACACCTCGTCGGGGAAAGGAATGTAGTAGTCGGACTGCGGTTGCTTGTCGACATTCTCCACGACCACATTGATGGTCTCGCGCACATATCCCTTCTCCAAATTGGTGTTCCGAACCAGATTGGTGTTCTTGAAGACCTGCGGGGGCTTAAAGTCGGCTGGGAGGGCCAGTCGAGATGGAGTGGTGAGGTTGGTCGCGGCGGCCAGGCTGGACGTGACCAGGCCGAGCACTGTGGCAGTGATAAACCTCATGGTGCCTGAGGGGGATCACGCCGGAGAAGTCAATTCTCCGAACTGTCACTGTCGAGTCAAGAGGGGGAATAGTGATGGGGTTTGTCGTGCGTAGAGAAGCTGATGAGGTGTCCCCAATGTATACGCAATACGGCGGGCGCGGCGGCCACGGCGCGCACCTCCGTGCTTATCGATAACGGATCTCCTCATTTCGTCCGGTCTAAACCTAGGAAGCTACTCCTCTCGACCTCCGCAGGAAAGACCGCAGAAGACAGCGCCATGTTGGCCAGAGCTGCTCTTCGCTCGTCGATTTGGAGACGAGCTCCTCTGCCTCGTGCTCGGCAGCTTCATGATCTGCAGAAACATCCACAGAGCCGGTTCTTGAAGGTATCGGAAGAGGTACGCGATGCGGTTGCAACAGGAAAGCCGGTGGTCGCATTGGAGACGACCATCTATACTCATGGTGGGTACTAGCTGTTTATCCCTACTCTACTGTATTTTCTATGCGAGTAGTGAGCTGATCGGACCAGGTTTCCCGTACCCGGACAACATTGCTCTCGCCTCTCTGTTAGAGTCGGTTGTCCGACTCAATGGCGGTGTCCCTGCCACCATAGGCATTCTCGGTGGTGTCGCCAAAGTTGGAATGAGTGCAGAAGAAATCATAGAGTTGGCCTCGACAGCGGAAAGCAAATCCGCCTTGAAAGTTTCGCGCAGAGATCTGGGATACATCTGTGGCATGGTACGTTTCCCCGCACTTTCACTAGAGGCTGCAGAAGGGAGCGTTAAGTCTCACATTCTACTAGGGCATGACAGGAAAGCACATCCACGGTGGCACAACGATTTCTGGGACGATGATTTTGTCCGAACTTGCAGGGATTAGAATCTTCGGGACTGGTGGTCTAGGTAATTCAATTTTTCTACGCCTTTTTCAAGTTCAACGCTGACTTTTTCTAGGTGGTGTCCACCGTGGAGGGAGAACTCCATGGATATATCTGGTTCGTGATTAAGTAAACCATTTATTCATTTTTTTTTTTTTTTTAACTGCATAGGATATAGCTGACATGCCTCAATTCAGCCGATCTCACCGAGCTGGGACGAACACCCGTCACGGTCATCAGCTCCGGATGCAAGAGCTTCCTCGACATCCCGCGCACTCTCGAATATCTCGAGACCGAGGGCGTTTGTGTAGGCACATTTGCCGATGGCCGCGATGGCGCCGTCGACTTCCCTGCCTTCTTCACTCGCGACAGCGGCGTGCGCAGCCCCCGGGTGATTCAGAATGAAGCCGAGGCCGCCGCTATCGTCTGTATGTTTCACACCAACCCCATAATCAAGAAACTGAAGACGCTAACTCCCTGTAGACGCGCAATCCAAGCTCCCAGTGCATTCGGGCATTCATTTCGCCAACCCCGTCCCTCACGAGGCTTCCGTCGCCAAGGCCGAGATGGACCGCATCATTGAAGAAGCCGTTCGTCTCGCCGACGTAGAAGGCTACAATGGCAGCGATAACACCCCCTTTGTGCTAGCCAAAATCAAGGAGCTGAGCGGTGGAAAGAGCGTGATCGCCAACCGTGCCTTGATTGAATCCAACGTCAAGCGCGCCACGCAGGTCGCCGTGGAACTGGCCAAGCTGGAAGACCTTGACCGGGGCTCGTCGGGGTGAGTGGGGTGTTTCTTAGATACAGAATACACTTTATACTAAGTCCGAAGCTCTTCCTGCGTATAGACCTATGCCCGTGTTCACGAAATCTGAGCAGACCTCGGCCTCAACCTCTCCAATTCTCGAGCCTGTCACTGAATCTGTCAAACCACCACAAAAGGCCGACGTCCTCGTCGCCGGATCTCTCGCCATTGATCTTTCTTGTGACTACACACCCTTCGGCTCCGAACGCGTCCAAGTCGCACCACTTCCCCACACATCCAACCCAGCCGTCATCAGCCAAAGCCTCGGCGGCGTAGGCCACAACGTCGCCCTCGCAGCCAGCTATATCGGCAGCGAGGTCCTGTTCTGCAGTGCGGTAGCTGACGACCTCAGCGGACGAGCAGCTCTGGCAACACTAGAAGCAGAAGGTCTCAAAAGCGACGGAATCAAAGTCCTCCCACCAACAATCGGCGCCCGAACAGCTCAATACGTCGCCATCAATGACGCAAAGAAAGACCTTCTCGTCGCAATGGCAGACATGGGCATCGTCGAGCTCTCAGAACAACAACTCGACTTCGACGGCTTCTGGGATCCACTACTCGAACGCACAAAGCCGAAATGGGTCGTCGTCGACGCAAACTGGCGTGCCGACGTCATCACGAAATGGTCCACGCTCGCCCGCAAACATGGCGCACGCGTCGCCTTTGAGCCTGTCTCGACGGCGAAATCCCGCCGGCTCTTTGGTCGCGATGCAACGGGCGTAGGCGCGGCCATTGGACCCGGTCAGACTATTCCCAACCACGCCGTAAGCCTCGCCTGTCCGAATCGTCTCGAGTTGGCTGCTATGTACGCCACGGCACGAGAAACACTCCTCTTCGACTCCCCCGGATGGTGGGCCATCGTCGACTCAATGGGTTTATCACCGACCGGTTCTCGAGAACGTCTGGTCGCAGCAACATCTGCTGCCCTCGTTGACGAAGGTCTGCCGCAGCAGTCTATCCAACTTCTCCCCTTCATCCCTTGCCTGATTACCAAGCTAGGCGATGCAGGCGCTCTACTCACCCAGCTTTTGCCGCCGGGTGACCCACGCCTGATGGATCCCGAGTCTGCGCCGTATATACTTGCGCGGTCATCCCCGTCAGCCGATGCTCCTTTTGGCGGTGTATATATGCGCCTGTTCCCACCTGCTGCGACGTTGGCGCCGCAGGATGTGGTTAGCGTTAATGGGGCCGGGGATACCCTACTCGGTGTTGTTGTTGCTGGACTTTCGAAGGGGGGTCTGCGGCGCGCATTGAGGATATTCTTCCTGTGGCGCAGGAGGCGAGTCGGAGGACATTGACTTGCGCTGGGGGTGTGAGTAAGGAGCTTGTTGAGATGCGGTCGAAGTTGCAGTTTTAGACCTGCCTCCTACCCGCCGTGGTAAATGTACTGTTTAAATCGGACAGGGCATATTTAGATCATTGTCTTTGGTCTCATGGTACTGCATTGGACAATGTAATTGAGCAGGCCATCATGGAGCTATATATTACAGTTTTTGCGTCAGATTCTTGATATCCAAGCAAGCATAGCGCTCAGAATTCATTCAGTTCTATTCAATTCCACCCAATCTGCGTTTATCTGCACCCTATTGCACTCCACTCATTTTCGGCACAAGTGCCGGATCCAAAATCCCAGCTTGCACAAGCACATCCGCCTGATCCCAGTACAAGCTCTGATTCACAATCTTGTCCGCGCAAAAGCTCGCTACAACAACAATAACAACCTTGATCTCTCTCAACGTGGGTGAAACACCAGGTAACAACCACGGAACTTCAGCCGTGTGAACGAACGAAAACGAAATCTCATCCACAATCCGGTCCGCACCTACTGTCCTTGACAATAAACGGACCTGCTGATTCGCTGGGCCAGCGGGGATAAAGACGTGCGAGAAGAAGGACCTCAGGGAATCGATCCCAGCTCCTGTATCCGTCAGCATATTCGAATATTCAAAGGCAAAGAAAGGAAAAACATACCCCCCGCCTTTGTAGGAGCACACTCAACACTCGGCTCATGCCCATGCTCCCCACCATCCAGCGCATACTCACCACCAGAAACAAGCCCCAAAATAGACCCCTTATTCACACTCCCATTATCATGCCCATTCTTCCTAATCTCGACCTCCTCGAGCAGCGCCCCCCAATACTCCTCCCAAACCGTCTCAATATCCACAACAGCCCAATTCGAGCCAACCCCAAATGCCCGCCGCAGACATCCGAGTACCCGACTCCAAGCGAGACTTTCACAAACCTCATTCCGACCCTCCCCCTCCCCTCGGAACCCCTGGCTATCCTTCCTCACGCACGCGAACTCCGGCTCTGCGAACCGGAATCCCGCATCGGGATAGTTGTACAAGTAGCACCGATGCCGCTTCTTGTACGTCACATCGCCCTCAGACGAGGATATCGTAATCCAGGGCCATATGGTGCTTTTATCGGCTTTGTTGCCTGGGATGTGAATCTGGATTGGGAGGTACGTTGTCTCAGGACCTGGTTCGAAGATCGCCGACGTATCGCAGCAGGCAGGGATACATTCTTCTGTGCAGTTGCCCGGGGGCAGGTCACTTGTGGATGTTAGTGGGTAGTACGCTATCAGCGCGCAGAGTCGCGGGAATGGGTTCGTGTTGCTTGTGGCTAGGTGGTGCGAGGCGAGAAGGTAGTAGGCTGGTCTGTTGTATGCTGTTTAGTTCACCATTAGCACTCACCCCCAAAAGGTCTCTCCTATATCATAGGGCTGTGGAAAGCTACTAGCAGTTTTACATACCAACAATAGCATATCTCTCCCCTGCCTCAAGCTCATCCTCGCGCTCATGAACCACAAAATCCAAATGCTTGCGATCGCGCTCGGGGTCGCCGGTACAACTAAACGAGAGGTACTCGACGTCAAAGCCCTCCGCCTGATAGCGGTGAATAATCCGGTGGTCGAACTCGGGTGTATCGGATATCAGAAGCAGGTGTTTGGGTGCTGGTTCTTCGGCGGGTGCGCGGCGGGTGCGTTTATTTGAGCTTACGCTCAGTGAGCGGCGGAGTCGGCCGTGGGAGGTTGAGCGTGCAACTCTGGGTTTTTGGGTAGAGCTTGTTGCTCTCCTTGTTAGGCGTTGGAAGACGTTTACCATTTCGCGAAGTTGAGGTGAAGGGTACCCTAGTATGTATGACCTTAAGGTATTGGTGAGAGGAGAGTGCTGCGTTTGAAATAGGGAAACTGGTCGTTTGTGAAAGTCTTGCGGTTGAATTTCTTGGATTACATACGACAAGAGATCAATTCGATTGCCTGGGATGCCAATGGGATGCCAATGCTTGGTTTCTTGGGTGACGTCGACGAGTCGGCGATAAGATACACTTTGGGTGGGATGTTACATCCAGGGACCAACCACTACAACATTGCGAATATACATTGTATGTATAGCACAGTTCAATTCTCTAAAAAATTTCCAATATAATCACATCTTATCTATCGCAAAACGCTCACATGCAACACTTCACCGTCAGTGCAATGCATTCTAAAACGAAACCAACCACTCCCTCGACTCATTAACACCCTCCACCGCCGTCCCATCATCAACAAGATACCTCAAATACGCCTCACGCAAAAGAGACTGCCTGGCAACCTCACAATCAACCCGAATATCCTCAATCAGCGCATCCATCGAGACATAGTCATATTCCGGTCGGATATATCCGAGAATCAGGAGATTGAGCTTCGTCCCGTAGAAATCGGGCAGTCGGTTGAATTTTGGTTGTGCGGTGGCTGTTGGAGAGGGTTTTGTTGTTGGGGGCATTACGTGGATTTCCTACCCCATTACATCAAATTAATAAGATATTCAAGCTGGTTTGGGGTGACTGCAGGGTTGACTCACCACCGAGCGCACGGTATTCTTATAGAAGGGGTTATACCCGATACTTAGGACAGCAGGGAGAATCGTATTCCAATCCCCGCCTTCTTGAGGACCATTCCCCTGCGCTTCCAACGGGGCAATCGCGACAACGCCGTAGTACACGCCCGTCTGGAGGTCGGGGTATTTCTCCGAGAGGTCGTCGGCGGGGATATTCGCTGTCGGGATTCCTAGCTAGACGGTGTCAGCACTGCACACAATTGCGCCTCAAGTGATAGCCTCCAGTGGATCTGTTCTCATACATCCTTACTCCCCCGTCCAAACCCCTTAATAACTGGCCCCGAAAGACGGACAGGGAACGGAGGTTCCGGACCATTGTCCGGGCCGGCGACGGGGTCGCGTGGTTTGTCGGGGCGCATTTTCAGCTCTCCACTGCCCTAGGATATGGTCACCAGGTTGTCCAGTGTCTGAGGTATTGTTCAGGGCGATCAGGTCGAGGCGAGGTGCGCAATGCGGGTGAGTGGGTGATCGGTGGGCTCCGGTGATCTGCTGTGGCGCGCGTGGGTATACTGTTTGGAGAGATGGTGCGCCGCGGGAAAGAGGTTGGGTGATTAAGGGTTCCCTGGGCTCGAATCTGTGGGAGGTGCAATTGCGTGGAATCGAAGTCTCCAGCAATAATGGATTTGGCCGAGGAAGACAACGATGAGCAATCAATTCGATGGCGGGGCCGATAAGCCGGGTGTGATTTATGCCTCAGGCACAAATATATGGTTCAGGCAGGTCGGGCTCGCGTGATCGGGTCAAGTAAGCTTATCGGAGCTACTGGAGATTTTGCCTATTTCTGGGGGTACCGAGGTATAAATTTTATAAGTGAGATGTACGCTGGTCGTAAGTTTATCTACGTAGTAAAGTACGGAATCCGATCAGAAAATTGCATTATCCAAGTCAATGCCGAATAGAGTAATCAAACAAAAAACAATCCCAGCCCAAGATATCATTTTTAGTCCTTTTAAGCGCCCACCAGAATATCAACGGAGCCCCACCGAATCGATGGCCGGGTCCCAAAACACCAGATATATGTACGGACAAGAGGCAACAAGAACAGGGGAATCGTACAGGTTCCAACCCAAAAGAATATATACCGAACGGCCGTCAAGCATGAACATAAATCAAAACGAAATGACAATAGAAAGGTGAGAAAGGTGAGGAAGAGGCTGAGGAGCTCGGCCAGGTATGATCATACGTCGCGTAAGCATCAACGGTGAGCAAGATCAAGGGGGTCGAATCAGATGCATGGGAGGAACTGCCAGGATTGAAGTGTTAGTAGGGTTATAGGGTACGTGCTGGAAAGGTCACTCACGTTCATAACAATCAGCATCGGGATATCGAAAACATCTCGCTTCACTGTCCAGCAGTACGCGCACTCGACCTTCCCATCCTTAAACCCCAGCTGATTCATCCCCGCCTCACCAGCAATACCCCCTTCCTCAAATGAGTATTCCACTTTCCATCATCCGACTGCGCAGCCTCCATATCATCCTTCGTCTTATACTTCAACAACTTACAGCGCGTCATCACGCTACCGCGCGAATCACCAAACGCCAACCGCGCAAAGTCCTCATAAAACTCAACGACGCTGTCATCGTCCAGCAACTCTGCGAGAAAAACAGGCTGCGGCCGCCCGCCGGGGTTATTCTCGAGCACGGAGCTGCGCGGCGTGAAACTGCCACGGGAGGTGGTGCCGGAGGCGGGGGCTGAGGTTCCGCCCGTGTTGACGTTGAGGTTTGCTTCGTTGCCTAGTAGCACGTCTTTTTTCCAGCCGGTTAGGATGCTGAATTCTTTGCCGACGGCTGCGATTTCGCCTGTGCGTCGACAGACGATTGTGGGTGTGCCACAGGCGTTGATGAAATCTTCGTATTCCCATAGTGTGCGCTGGAAGCATTTTTCCATAAAGATCAGGTCGTCTCGATTGAGGGTCTTCGTTGTCGCGATGAAGGACGGTCGAATTGAGGCCAGGGCCTTGGCGATGCGGACGGTCTTTTGCGGGGAGAATCGTCGTTGGATGAACGCCGTGAGATTGTGGAATCCACTCGTATACGCATAAGGCTCCTTGACGCTCTCGTAGATCGAAGACGGGTTCCGATGGCGTCGCTTTGGTCCAATCTGCAGCGTCTGGTGCTTCAAGCTCGGCGTCGTTATCAACGGACGCTGACCATTCGGCGCTAGGCTGTTCGACTTGGTCACGCTGTTGAACGAGGGATCCTCGAAGCCGGATGTCGTCACATGCGGACTGGTTGCTGCGCCCGGGCTTGCGAAGCTTGCAGGACCGCTCTCGATCGCAAACGCATGTGGAGGATCTGCTTTCATATGGCCGGGCAACATGCCATTTTGACCATACACCCCGCCGACGTTCACATGCGGCTGACCCGGGGCCTGTCCGGTCGGCCACTCGTTCAGTAATGGATCCCCAAACATGAACGGCTGCTGATTCCCCGGACTTTCTCCAAACCCAGGAGCTGGCGTGGAGAACTGCGCAGACCCACTGCGGCCGATCGACCCTCGCTGCGTCGCCGAGTCGCTGGGTGAGTCGCCTGCGCCGGTGGCCATGTGACCGAGCATGCCAAACTCCAACGCGCCATAGCGGTTCTCGAAATTCATGCTTGATAGATCGAAGTTGAAGAGGGCGGGGTCACTGGGATCGAAAAAGGGACCCGCAAAAGGATTCTGGGGATTGCTGGTATCGCCCGAGATCGCCGTGCTGGGCGTGGGCTGCTGGTTGACGGCGGACGATAAGCTCGGATTGCGACCATTGGTGCTGGTCTTGAGATTGAAGGTGGGCGAGACGGGGGATTGGGTGGTGAAGGGGCTCTGGCTCAGGGTCGAATCCTGATACATGTAAGAACCGGGTTGCGGCTGCGGCTGTGGCTGGGGCGTGGGGTAGAAACTGCCGGTGTTGTTGGTCGGCTGTTGCTGCTGGTTCCCCGCGCTGGGGCTGGGGCCATTTCTGGACACCGGGAGAGAATTGCGCAGGCCATTGTTGGCGTTGTTGTTGTAGAAGTTCCCACCAACGCCGGGCATCAGTGCTCCGTCTGGGGCATCGTGGAGATACTTCGCTTTCTTGCGCACGCCGTCGTGGCAGGCATCCTGTAACCCACGTTTGATGCACCGTTGACATGGACGTTCATCGCCTAAATGATAGGATTAGCTCGGTTCTCCACCCTTGCTGGCTGCCCAGATAAGGCACAGTAAGCAATCGCTGTCGTGGTCAATGCATACCGCAAGTCAAATGCGCTCGCTGACAGGCAAAGCACGCCCGCCGCGCCTTCTTCCGGCGCGGTCGCGAGGGGTCCTTGGCGCTAGTCGACTTGCGCCCATTCTCCTTCGCCTCGCCATTCGTATTATCCCGACCAGAGCCCATGGTCTCCGAATGCTCCGTGATATCGGCAGAGTCGCGATCCTCCTCCGCGGCCGGAGAGCCGTTCTTGGCGTCCACGTTCATTTCGTCATGTATCCCTCACCAAGGGAGAGACAGAGATTTGCCCGAACACGCGATCCTACTGTACTGAAAGCCGTGAAAGAGGCACCCTTCTAAGTTCGCACTCGAAATCGCAGGCCGGCTGGCATGCAGGACCGCGCACCTTGGATCTTCTCGGCGAAACGGGGTATCCACGTGTGCAGCGCACAGCTGCGACGATCTGCGACGGGACAAATCGGTCGCAAAGGGACGACAGTAGCGCTTCGAGCTCCTACGTATGAAATCCACCGATTTTTTTGAGCGCGGGTTTCCCGAGGCTAGGAGAGCGATCGCTGCAGGAACCTATAGCCACGCGTGCGCGACTAGTACCGGCGGGGAAACGGAAGACACGAGTTGGGGCGAGTGACGGGTAAAACGGAGGACAATCGAGTCGACGGTCGGGCGAGCGAGAGCGAGACGCATTGAAGGAAGTCGAAAGAAGCGACGAGCAGTTGAGGGTATCGCGACAGGCGAGGAGAGGAAAATGCCGCAACGGTTCGGGCGCAGCTGAGTTCGGGAGTGGAGTGGCGGCAGACCTGTTCGGCTGCGGGGAAGGCGGGAATGAAGGAGGCGACGTGTGGAAAGCCGCCGTGCGATCAGGTAGAGAACTAAGCGTATAGACGAACGCTTTTGGTGGGTGGAGGCGTGGCGGTTCTTGTGGGAAACGAGAGGGCGATGTGCCCGTGGGTGTTGGATCGGGATGTTCCCGTGACTGTGAGGTCTAAGCAATTCCAGGCAGACAGGACTCCAACCGGGCCGATTGCTGTGCAGACTGGGCTCGCGTGCGAGGGGAAGTTGCTTTTTTTTATTTTTTATTTTCTAAATTTATTTCTCCAATTTTTCGTCAGCCATGTTGAGGGGTTCGAGGTAGAATCTGTCACTTCCTCTGCCACAAGTCAACCGGTCATAGCAATCAAATGCAGGCCTGATATACTTCGTAAGACGGGGCCGTGTTACTTTTTTTTACCTAATTAAAACGAGAATTCTGCTGGAGGTCTGCGACAATATCTCTTGATATTATTCATATTATTCTGCGTGTTATTTCTTAATACTCTTTGCCTCATGACTTCAAGTATAGTCTCTACTGTATTTCACATGCTGACGTTTTGACCACCGACGACTGGCGGCATTTGACGTATTGGACAATACCCGCGGGACGCGGGCGTGTCACGTTGGTTGCAGCCCGCAGCCGCCGAATCGGGTTCCGGGCGGGTATCGGTACCGTCACGGAAGATCGTACAGCCTGCACGTGTGGAGGAAAACAATCCCATTCTGCGGGTTTACCTGCTTCTTCTGATCGCAGCAGTTTCCCCTATGTCAACGGTGCCTGACCTGCCTGACCTGCCTGAACTACAGTCCCCGCACGCCCCCAAAGAAAAAGTGTCCCCGGAGCCGCCCTCCGGTTCCGACTTATTCCGAGGCAATTGGATAGCCTGTGTGCCTCGGTTAGCTGAGCCGGACGCGCTCACTGAGTAATCCTCATTCTGCAGACGGCTGGACGGGGGAGACTGCAGGGTGAAATCACACATGCTGGCTCGTATTGATTCTTGGAAACTGGGCTGACGAGGCTGCTCGGAGAATTGAAGTCCGGGCTAGATGGACCAGTGCCGAGTGGGGCTTTCTGATCTACTCGCGAGAATGTACAGCCGATCTAGACAGGACGCGCTGAATAATACATAGCCGCGAAAGAGAAAAGAGAAAAATACAACTCTAAAAAAAATGACAGGAAAAAAAGTGAAAGATATGAAAACTGGCTCGGATTCGGCTTTTTGTTATGCATTCCAAACCCAGCTATACGTAGGACAGACCTGGCTTGTTGGGCCCTCCTGTCGAGGGCCGGTCACCACGTCCCCATCTCATCACTGGAGGAGCGATGCCTGGGCCAGCTACCTCGTCACCAGACCGCAGCGAGTTGGGAGAGCTTTGAGCTGCACCCACACGCAAGTACAAGCTGCAAGTGTCCCTGGAACGGCAGCATCGGCTGCCCAACCACCTCAAATTAGAATCTGATTTGGATCTGGAGCATATGATCTGTGCAGGACGAATGGCACCTGTTCACCGAAAGCTTGACGGGCTCACATCTGCGACGTAGCGAAACGACTGTGCTTGCGGATCCGACTACCGTACCGAAAGAAGATGTATCTGCTGCTTGTCAGTACAGGACACATTCAGAGCTGATTGCGCTGAGCTGGCACGCAGCTGGCCTGTGAAGACACCCCTGATCGACCTCGCGAGATTGCCAATGCAGGGGAAAGGAGGCTGAGGCCAAAGCGCGAGGGAATCAAAAGGACCCAAAAACAGACATATACTACGAGTTGCGACTTACGGAAATGGAAGCATGGCCAGGGTCAGGAACGCCAGCAACGAGGTCGCCCAATGATAGTTGAGGTTATTATACACTGCGCGACCGTTAGCATCAAGTCCTCGACGCAATCCATCTTCCACAAGTCGATCCCACGGGCAGCAGCATCCGAGCTCCAGTGCTCACGGTGCAGGGGAAACGGCCGGGCTTGGGCTGGCTTGTCCAACCTGCCAGATGCATGCGAGGCACAGACCTTCACCCTAGTCGGGCCAGCGGAAATAGGCCTGAACTCAGAACAAACACTTACTTTGGATTCCAAAGAGAGGGAAGATGCCGCCGAAGCTGGAGCGCATGAACGAGTTGGCGGCGAGGGCACTGGCCGAGTAAGTGGGATACGCGTCGACGAGGAATGTGAAGATTCCCGAGTAGACCAGGATGGTCCTTGAGGGAAGATGAGACATCAGTACAAGCAACAGCAGCCGCAGCCCCAGATTCGGATTCCACGTCCGGCGGGGGTGAGGGGGGAAGGTGAAACCTACCCTGCACCGAAGAGGGCGCTGCCAATGATGGGTGCGATCCAGTGGACATCTGAGTAGATCGTCCAAGCGAAGATGAACAGGCCGATCGTAACCAGGGGTCCGCCCAGGATTGCTTTTTATCAGTATGGTCAGATCCCACGATCCATCTACCTGAAACGTACGGTAGAACTTACCTGGAGGCAGACGCCATTCGGGCTGGAACTCTTCAGCGTGGTCGCCCTGTTGATGGTTTCGTTCGAGGCGCATGTAGTTGCGGCGCCAGAGCGGGTCTGAGAGGATGGCCATGACCATTCCTACGAAGAGGCCGAGGAAGCATAGGCCGCGTTGCCAGAGGATGAAGCCGTATACATTCTCGAAGACGAGTTGGAAGGCGCCGAAGAAGAGGTAGAGGATTCCTAGCAGGATGGCGGAGAATATGCAGAGGTTGAGGCACATGGGTTCTAGTGTGAGGAGAAGGATAGGTCGGTACATGGATCGGAGGACTGTTTGCGCGACGGAGAGTTGCAGTTTCTCGATTGGGGCTTGCCAACGCTCGTCGTCGGTTTCTTTGCGGAGGTTTTGTGCTTTGCGGCGGAGGAGACTGGGTCAGGTTAGTACTTGTAGAAAGGAGTCCGGGCATTCGTAAGTCAGTCACGTACACTGGATGATACGTCTCCGGCACGAGGAAGACCATACAAATGAGCAAGACACCCGTCCAGATCAGCAGAACATAAAACGTCCAGCGCCAACTTGTAAAGTCATTAATAAACCCGCCGACCCTAGTCAAACACGTCAGTTTCCGCGCAAACCTTGGAACATAATGGATTCTCGAACATACAAAGGACCAACCTCAGGACCAATAAACGGACTCGCGGTGTAGAGCATCATCGGAAAAGCAAGTTCGTGGCGATCAAACATATCACCCACGGTCCCGCCCGCGACACTGAGGAAAGCTGCTCCAGAAAGGCCATTGAAGAAGCGGCACACGAGCATGGTCTGGATGTTCTTCGCCACGGCGCAGGGGATCAGCCAGATGAGGAAGAGGGAGAATGATACTAGGTATATTTTTCTCCGGCCGAAGAACTATTCAGTGTAAGTTTCTTATTTATCTGATAGATTCATTGGCATACCTCTGACAATGGACTGAGGAAGAGAGGTCCAATTCCTAAGAAAGCATTAGACGGTACCTTTTAGAATCAATTCACCAAAAAAACTCACCAAGACCCCAAATAAAAAATGACAATCCCAGCGTCGCAACCTCCCTCGAACAATTAAACTCCTTCATCAACTGGTCATACGTGACGGTATACATCGACGAAGTACAAGTCCTGCAAAACCATCATCAGGCGAATCCCACACAATCCAATGTCAAAAGAAGAATACCCACACACAAAGCGATCCCAACGAAACAATAATTGTAATCATCCACCTCCGCGCCTTACTCATATTCCTCGGATTCAACGTATCCCCATCATTCCAACCAACCGTAAACCCATCCTCGGCCACGGCCACGCCCCCCTCGGCACGATCATCGTCATCACGCCCACCACCGATACTCGTTCCATCATTCAGCGACCAGCAGCGCTCCAGGGATCTCCGGGAACTCGGGCGCTCGTGTGAATTGGGATTGGAAGCGTGGGAACGCATCTTCTGGAACGGTTCATGGCGTCGGTCTTCATTTTCCGTCGGACACGTAATCGGCGCAAAGGCCGTGTCTTCTTTCTCGCTCCGGGCGAGGTCCAGCTCGCTGGTGCTGGAGGTTTTTTCGTCGGTCATACCGCGTATCGCTTCTACTTCCACTTTTGCAGGCAATGGGTATTTTGAAGTTCAGCTTGGTTGTTTTGCGGGATGATCAAGCTGTTCGGCTTGTCCGAGCGGAGCTTGGGCCGAGTCAAATCCACTAACGGCGTTACTTTAGCCGTGCTCGTTTCGCTGGTTGGATCTCGGTGGCGTTGGCGTGTGTTTGTGCTTTGCTTTTCCCTGTGCCAGTGTATGGGATTCAAAAGTTATTGGGAGAGTTCGAGTATAATGATTGAGTATTAGTCGAACGATATGACTCCTTTTGCCAGTCTAAATCGGCACGAAGACAAGCTTTGTTAATCGGCCTAGCTTAAGCCGAGCTGATTAATCACGCGACGAGCGATGCTAACGTAACCCGTAAGCGAGTGGATCATGTAAGCCAGCGGATCACTTACCCAACTACCCAGCCACGAAAATATATATAAAATAACCACCAACCAATATATTCAATTAACACTGTTCACACACTAATTAGGGCACCTAGTTCTCTTATGCCCTATATTCCAACAATTTGAACACCTCGGCGGCGCTCTCTGATTGGCCGAATTCGCTACCGCAGCCGCCGCCGTATTGTCTATGATCTCTGCTTCAACACCATTTGCCTCCTTCTCAATACGCTCCTGAGCCTCACCAACAGTCATCCCACCATTATTAGCTATTCGCCGATTTGGTAATGCCCTTTTTCGCTTTTGGTGGGCATTTTCAGCGCGTAACCGCTCATTCTCATTGCTTACTAGAGCAACCTGATGAATTGCTTGTTCAGCGCCCTTGATTAGCTGCTGTAACGCAATCTTAGCAGGACTTGGGGGCGTATATGAGCGTTGCCGTAGTAGTGTTTTGATTGAAGAAGCCTGCCGTCGGATATCAACTGGATGAATTGGCGTGTGAGGTATGAAATCGCGGCTACTATCACTACCACGGCTGGTTGGAGGGGTTGGTGTTCGAAGCTGAATATCAAGAATATTAAGCACTCGCTGTGGCTGATATGGTATAAGTCCTGCAGCGGCGAAGCTATTTGATATCGTAGCTGGTTTATATACCTCTGTACGCGTCTGAGGATATGAGGCCAGAAAATCAAGCTTATCAATATGATTAACGCCATTTCGCATCTTAGCCTGAACGTGTTGTCCGTATAGCCGTTTCAAAACAGCAAAACAGCCAATATCGAGAGGTTGAAGTAAATGAGAAGAGTGCGGAGGCATACAGATTGGAATAATCTGGTTTTGCTGGCAAATATCGTCGAATTGAGGTGTAACATGGCTTCCGTGGCCATCCATCACTAATAGCCGCCATACCCCATGTCGACAGTTGGTAGTATGCGGAATAAAGTGTTTTTCAAGCCAAGCAAGACCAATTTGATCCGTAGTCCAGCCATTTGCACTAACTTCAAAGCGCCAGTCTCTTGGCGGAGTAGTAAACCACGCTGAGTTGAAGTTTTTGCCTTTAAAGATAATAGTCGGCGGGAGAACATTAGATCGGTTAATACACTCGATCGCTGTAACCCACTCTCGATTACCTGGCTGCATAAGCTTCCTTTTGCCGTAGTATTCAGCACGTGTGACTACACGTGAAGTGCTTGCTAGGCCCATTGCGAAGCCAGTTTCGTCAAAATTCCAGATATCATTCTCATGAATACCATATTGAATAATGACCTGTCGGAATCGATCAAACCACTCTTGTATAATCTTCGGATCCTCACATAACGCGCGTTTGTAGTCATATCGACGTGAAAAGCGTGTTTTGAGCTCAGGGCAGCGTTGGATATAGTTATATACCCATTTACTACCAACCGACTGAGGCGTGCGTTCTCCACGTTTTAAGAGCAGTATATTGGCCATTTCTCGCACCATATCTTGCCTAGGCGCAACACCACGTGAATCCAGCGAAATTATCCATTTTTGAAGCGATTCCTCTTCCAATTGGGTTAATTTGTGGTTGTTGGCGCGTGTGGTAGAGCGAAACGCGCCTCCTTTCATACGGCGTTGTAGTGTGGTATATGGAACGTCGAATTGCTTCGCTGCTTCGCGAATAGAAGTAATTTCGTCATTTTTGAGAGCTTGTATAGCAAGTAGGATTCGGCCTTCCTGCTCAGTCGAATTTTGTTGAGATTGAGTGCGAATTGGTGGCATGGTATGTGGTTGAATAGGACGCGTTGCAGAACGCGGTCGGAAATTGGGCGGGTGATCCGCTCGCTTACATGATCCACTCGCTTACGGGTTACGTTAACATTTGATTTCGTATCCACTTTGGTACTTTTCGCTGATATCATACGGTCACGGAGTCTCCACTTCAATGGGATTGTCTACGCAGCAACATCTGGCGTGAATTATGTAAGAAATAACGGGGTAGATGAATGAGAGTATCTACACTCCGTTATCTACGGCCTGCTTACCTTTTTTTTTTATTTCTGCGGTTCGCTGAATCATTTTAGTCGTCATTAGAGTACCTAAGGCACCTAAAGTTCAGATATGGCTATCAGATTGTAGCAGACGAGTGCGGTGTGGAGTTTATGTGAGCTATGTGACGCATCGGAGAAAATAAGCAAATTGGCTTCACGTTTATTTGATCTTGAGTAATCTTCCGATCCGTTGTTTAGTTGGCTCAAGAGCGTTGCACGTGTACAGGCTGCAGGTCATACTGGTATAAGGCGGCCAGTAATAGATCGTATGCATGGCAGCGCGGGATTCGGAGCGCAATCTTGGTTCGATATGTAGAAATAGGTAGGCCTTCACGCTTAATGTCTTATAAAATTCGAGGCTTCGACTTATACATTATCATTAGGCACAATTTACAGAGAACACTGTAGATAAAGCAACACATGAATCGATTGGTATGTTCAATTAACTACGTTGCTAGCACTACTAACCCATGTAACCTCTCACTCCGAAGCAACAAACTGTCCATCAAGAACACCTCGTAAAAACATAAAACAACCATTCTCCAATCCATAACTCCTGACAGCGCAAAAGTAAACGCTATCCCAGACCAATTATCGGATCTTCCAGAAACCCAAGAACCATCCCAAACTCAGCTATACACGAATGGAATTTTGACGCCCGGTATTTCCCAGTGATGAAAAAAAGCAAGTCATCTACAGAACTTGGGCCAGCTGGCTGGCGGCGGTAGCGCTCTCCTCGGCCCAGGAGCCCCAGAGGTTCTGCTTGCCGCGGATCTTCAGGGGTGCACCGATGGCCTTGTTGCTCTGCTCGACCTTGACAGCATCCTTGGTGGCTAGCACCAAGGTTTCGAAGAACATCTTGGTGGCGTCGGCCTTGGTGGAGCGCTGCTCGGGGAGGAGGTCCTGGAACAGAACGCTCTTCCTCTGCTCGGAGTCACCGAGGCGCTCGCGCAGGATGTGGACGGCGTGCTTGGTGCCCATGGAGACGGGCTCATTGTCAACGGGGCGAATGGTGTCATCCAGGTCTTCGAGGGGTGCGTTCATCCCGTCATCAGAGTCCAGGTTCAGGTCGTCATTGCCAGCGTCACCGGGAAAGTCAATCTCGGAGTGCTGGTTCATGGTGGTGCCGAGGGCGATACCCTCATCCTCGGGCACAATAGCCTCCTCATCACCAAGTTCCAGAGCGGGAACGTCGGCGCCGGGAACCTCCATGTCAGAGATACCGCTGTCGCGCTTGCGCTTGAGCTCACCAGCCTTCTTGACGGAGTCCAGAGACAACAGTCCACGCAGCTCGGGAGCCCAGGCACGGCCGCGCTCCTCGCCAAAGATGCTAGACACAAAGTCACCGTTCTTCTGGCGAGTCATGAGGGTGAGCAGAACAGGGTCGCGGGGAAGAAGAGTCGATGGATTCATGATGGCAGAGCGGTCGTTCTGCATCGCCTTGATCTCAGTGGTCGAGAAGTGGGTTTTTTGGTCCATGGGAATGAAGTTGACCACCTTTTGGCGCTTGGAGCGAGGGCCTTGAGCATTCATGTCAATAGCAGAGGCTTCACGGTTGTACTCCTCCTCGAGCTGATGCATTTGAACAGAGCCGGCATCGGAAAGGGGGCTTTCCGTGTCACGAACACGGTTGTCACCGGCGCGAGGGGTCTCGCCATCAAGGTCACCATGGCCGAATTCCATTCCACCGTCCGGAAGCAGATTATCAATGTTGTCGTGGGCATCAGTGCCCATGTCCATCTGATCCAGAGGAGCGTCGTCGTCGCCAATGTCGAGATCGAGGTCGTTATCAATCAGTTTACCAGAGTCGCTAATGTAATCATCTTCCAGAGGACGGGCCGGGGGGCATCACGACCAACTTCCATGGAGCGGTCAAGGCCAAGAGGGATTTCGTCTTCACCCAGGTCCAGGTCAACGAGAGTGTGATCCTCGAGGCGAGCCGGCTCTTGGGAGACGGAGCGGCGGTAACTGTTGTCGGGGAGAAGCTGGCTGCTGCCGAAATCCATTGGAGCGGGACGCTTGCCGTCGGTCTCCATGCTGAGGTTTTGGGGGAATAAAAGCGATGTATCAAGATTGGTGAACAGGTCCGACTCGGTCAGCACATCAGGGAGTGTAATACCACCCGGCGCGACAACAGTGGATGTCAGATCATTATTGTTGGTAAGACGGAATGCCTGCATACGATTAAATTAGCATCAATGTTTAACGAGTGAATGTCGCGTGGGCATCAGTGAATACGCACCATTTTGATTTTCATGAGGGCCTCGTTACAATCGTCGAGCAGGTAACGCGCTTTACGGCTGTAAATACGCACAACTCCCAGCAGCAGCTGACCACTCAGTCGCAAAGCCATGGGGGCTTGGCCTTGGTCAACAATGGCGCTGACACTCCCCTCAATGTCGGATTGGAGGATATGCGACTTGGACAATTTGCGCTCGATGTTGGCCGACAGCCAGACGCGGGCCAGTGGCCCCGTCTTTGACAGAAGAGTCTCAGAGTAGAACATGACGCGTGCTGTAAAAGGTGAATATGATATAACGACGGGTCCTATCCAAGTGATGTACAGGCAACACCCGCCCGGCGCGGGGTGAAGCGTGGCAGGGGTTGACGCGCTGAGGACCGGGAAAACAACAGACGGTGGCGATGTCTATCACGGGCAAGATTCGGTCGCAGGCGAAAGGGACGAGGGGATGCGACTAAAAAAAGTACAAATAAAAATGGACGAGACAAAGGCGCGTTCAAGTCACGTCTTTGAGGCGCGAGGGATGGGACAACGGGAGTTGCGCGTCGATGGGAACTTAGGCATCGAACTTCCCAGTCAGGTGCCGGCTGGAATGAAATAGAGGGGGCTGGGAAACCACGGGAATGCTGAGTCATCGCTTATGTTAACGTAACCCGTAAGCGAGTGGATCATGTAAGCCAGCGGATCACTTACCCAACTACCCAGCCACGAAAATATATATAAAATAACCACCAACCAATATATTCAATTAACACTGTTCACACACTAATTAGGGCACCTAGTTCTCTTATGCCCTATATTCCAACAATTTGAACACCTCGGCGGCGCTCTCTGATTGGCCGAATTCGCTACCGCAGCCGCCGCCGTATTGTCTATGATCTCTGCTTCAACACCATTTGCCTCCTTCTCAATACGCTCCTGAGCCTCACCAACAGTCATCCCACCATTATTAGCTATTCGCCGATTTGGTAATGCCCTTTTTCGCTTTTGGTGGGCATTTTCAGCGCGTAACCGCTCATTCTCATTGCTTACTAGAGCAACCTGATGAATTGCTTGTTCAGCGCCCTTGATTAGCTGCTGTAACGCAATCTTAGCAGGACTTGGGGGCGTATATGAGCGTTGCCGTAGTAGTGTTTTGATTGAAGAAGCCTGCCGTCGGATATCAACTGGATGAATTGGCGTGTGAGGTATGAAATCGCGGCTACTATCACTACCACGGCTGGTTGGAGGGGTTGGTGTTCGAAGCTGAATATCAAGAATATTAAGCACTCGCTGTGGCTGATATGGTATAAGTCCTGCAGCGGCGAAGCTATTTGATATCGTAGCTGGTTTATATACCTCTGTACGCGTCTGAGGATATGAGGCCAGAAAATCAAGCTTATCAATATGATTAACGCCATTTCGCATCTTAGCCTGAACGTGTTGTCCGTATAGCCGTTTCAAAACAGCAAAACAGCCAATATCGAGAGGTTGAAGTAAATGAGAAGAGTGCGGAGGCATACAGATTGGAATAATCTGGTTTTGCTGGCAAATATCGTCGAATTGAGGTGTAACATGGCTTCCGTGGCCATCCATCACTAATAGCCGCCATACCCCATGTCGACAGTTGGTAGTATGCGGAATAAAGTGTTTTTCAAGCCAAGCAAGACCAATTTGATCCGTAGTCCAGCCATTTGCACTAACTTCAAAGCGCCAGTCTCTTGGCGGAGTAGTAAACCACGCTGAGTTGAAGTTTTTGCCTTTAAAGATAATAGTCGGCGGGAGAACATTAGATCGGTTAATACACTCGATCGCTGTAACCCACTCTCGATTACCTGGCTGCATAAGCTTCCTTTTGCCGTAGTATTCAGCACGTGTGACTACACGTGAAGTGCTTGCTAGGCCCATTGCGAAGCCAGTTTCGTCAAAATTCCAGATATCATTCTCATGAATACCATATTGAATAATGACCTGTCGGAATCGATCAAACCACTCTTGTATAATCTTCGGATCCTCACATAACGCGCGTTTGTAGTCATATCGACGTGAAAAGCGTGTTTTGAGCTCAGGGCAGCGTTGGATATAGTTATATACCCATTTACTACCAACCGACTGAGGCGTGCGTTCTCCACGTTTTAAGAGCAGTATATTGGCCATTTCTCGCACCATATCTTGCCTAGGCGCAACACCACGTGAATCCAGCGAAATTATCCATTTTTGAAGCGATTCCTCTTCCAATTGGGTTAATTTGTGGTTGTTGGCGCGTGTGGTAGAGCGAAACGCGCCTCCTTTCATACGGCGTTGTAGTGTGGTATATGGAACGTCGAATTGCTTCGCTGCTTCGCGAATAGAAGTAATTTCGTCATTTTTGAGAGCTTGTATAGCAAGTAGGATTCGGCCTTCCTGCTCAGTCGAATTTTGTTGAGATTGAGTGCGAATTGGTGGCATGGTATGTGGTTGAATAGGACGCGTTGCAGAACGCGGTCGGAAATTGGGCGGGTGATCCGCTCGCTTACATGATCCACTCGCTTACGGGTTACGTTATCTCAACAAAACGATAGTTATGCTTAGGGGGTCCATGCAAATCAAAGAACAAGCAAATCGATACAATTGGCTCGAGAAATCGTGATAAACAAGAACTAGTTAACAGTATTCTTTTGATGTACAGTGTAGATCAGTTGAATTGAGGGAAATTGTGTCGCGAAATTCAACGAATGCCACATAGAAGTACCAGGTTTACAGCATACAACAGCCATCACGTCCATGACATGACCTGAAATGATTTATTTTCCAAAAGCCTCCTGAATACACCCTTCGTAGATTTTTCGATTCAAATATTTTATTTCCGATCCATCAATGCTACCATAGTTTATATGTATAGGGACAACTCAGCTGTCAATATACACGATCTGCTTGGAATGATGCTAAAATACGAACTCTCTAATATGGAATTAAGAAGATTTCTTTACTAACCTTGCAAATAAAAGTCGAAGATACAAAAATTTAGGCGCTGTACCACTTCGGAACTCCTGGGTCGGGCTGGTCGAGACTCCAGTATCAGCCTGCCTAATGCGGCTCGGATCAACCTCTCCGCCGTCACTAGCTCCTTTTGGCAAAGCATCATCACTCCTTCCAAGCGCATTCGACCGCTATTCCAGTCCGCGCGTCTGAGATTTTGCCCCTGTTCCCTGTTTTTCTCGGGTTCTTTCTTCTCGTCTACCGACGGCCTTTTCATTCTTGCATTGCGCGGCTCCCTTACTCCCCTCTTGTCCTCTGCGAACCCCATCCACCTGGGACGTTGCTGCCAGATCGCATCGTCAAGAACGTGGCCCTTCGACAACAAATTCCCGATCTAGACGGGATGAGCCTCGCTCTGAACTAAGCCCGACGTGTCGTTTTCCTTTCGCTTCTTTCCCACGTTCTGTCCGCCAAGGCATGAGAGATGTCAAGGTCGACGACACCTGCGTTACCTCTGCATAATGCACCCAGCTTTGAGTCTCCGCGGCCCGCATCTACCAACCCCCTAGGTGGCCGACCAGATGCGCCCTCTTCGGTAAGCCTCTCGACCGATGTTTCCCATGGCTGTCATGTTATTTTAGCCCTCGAAGCCAAGGCGTCCGTTGAAGCCACCTCTCCGCTAACCCCCGGATCTGCACTCCCAGGCTTCCACCTCCACATATTCGTGGCTCGAACCCCACGAAACGGCTGAACGACTTCATACCTCCCTCTTACATGGTCTGACACCCGCGGAAGCTGAAATTCGCCTGGCTCGTGATGGACCCAACGAATTGCCTCATGAAGAGCCGGAACCCCTCTGGCTGCGATTCTTCAAGCAATTCAAGGAAACTCTCATTCTGCTCCTGCTGGGCTCGGCCGGGATTTCGTTCGTGATGGGCAACTATGACGATGCCATCAGTATCACGCTTGCAGTCACAATCGTTGTAACGGTCGGCTTCGTTCAGGAGTACCGGTCGGAGAAGTCGCTGGAGGCACTGAACCGACTCGTACCTCACTATGCCCACCTCATTCGCGATCTTCCATCAGCTGCTGGAAAGGAAAACACCGCACTGGGAGACTCTGGCTCGGAATCAGAGGGATTGAGGAGCAAGAGCCCTGGCGCGGCGGCCGCTGCGTTGAAGGCCTCGACAACGGTCCCCGCAACGGACTTGGTACCAGGCGACCTAGTTCTGTTCTCTACAGGCGACCGTATCCCCGCTGACATCCGCATCACGAACGCCACCGACCTTTCTATCGATGAATCCAACTTGACCGGCGAAAATGAGCCCGTGGTCAAGTTTAGCGCCGCTCTCCGCAGTACACTCGGTGGATCTCTTGCCGCTCCTAGCTCCTTCAAACCTCCCCGTTCGCCATTCTACGATGCTCCTGCGACTGGTGCCGTTGGTGCAGACATCCGCCTCAATGAGCAGCACAACATTGCTTTTATGGGTACTCTTGTTCGCTCAGGCTATGGCCAGGGGATTGTGATTTCAACTGGCGCAAAGACCGAGTTTGGAAGTATCTCGGCCTCGCTTCAGGAGATTGAGAGCCCACGAACTCCCCTGCAACTGTCTATGGATCGACTTGGTCAGGAATTGAGTTACATCTCGTTCGGTGTCATTGGTTTGATCGTCGTCATTGGGCTGCTTCAAGGTCGTAAGCTGCTTGAGATGTTCACAATCGGTGTTTCACTCGCCGTGGCTGCCATTCCCGAAGGTCTCCCCATCATTGTTACTGTTACTCTGGCTCTGGGTGTATTGCGCATGGCCAAGAGAGGGGCTATCATGCGACGACTTCCTAGCGTCGAAACCCTCGGTTCCGTCAATGTTGTCTGCAGTGACAAGACAGGAACACTTACACTGAACCATATGACGGTGACAAAGATGTGGCACTTTGACTCTACTGAACCATTTGAAGTCCAACGGGATATGACCTCCGTCCTCTCGCCTGGTCCTGCTGCTCAAACCATTCTGCGAGTTGGTAATATTGCAAACAATGCTCGGCTCTCCCGTATCCACGCCAACTCTCCCGCAAGTGCCTCGTCTGCGGCCGTTCTTTCTTCTACCGTTGACCGAAACTCGAGCGCCGTGAAAAGCCGTTGGGTTGGACAGCCGACCGATGTCGCCATTCTCGATTTGCTGGATATCCTGGGCGAGGACGATGTCCGTGATCGCATCAAAGCTCGCGTTTCCGAGACACCGTTTAGCTCGGAGCGCAAGTGGATGGGTGTGATCATTGGTAGTGGCAGCTCCGGCGATTCAGATGTTGCATACATCAAGGGTGCCGTCGAACAGGTTCTGGCTCGCACAGATACCTATCTGACCAAGGACGGTCGTGAAGTCATCCTGGATGAACCTCGCCGTAACACTATTCGCGAAGCTGCTGAGCACATGGCCAGCGAGGGCCTGCGAGTTCTTGCTTTTGCTAGCGGCTCGGTTCGGGACACATCCCGGGGCATGAGGGGATTCAACAGCCGGTCCAATACCCCCAGAGGCAGCCCTGCTGATGATGACGACCGCTACAACGGATTGGTGTTTGCCGGTCTTGTTGGCATGAACGACCCTCCTCGTCGGGATGTCCACAAATCGATCCGCCGTTTGATGTCAGGTGGTGTCCGAGTTATCATGATTACCGGTGACGCGGAAACCACTGCAGTGGCTATCGCTAAGAAACTTGGAATTCCCGTCAATGAGTCTGGCGGTGCACGATCTGTTCTCCGCGGTGATGAACTCGACCACATGACCACAGGCGAGCTGGCCCAGGCGATTGCTACCACTTCCATCTTCGCCCGAACTAGCCCCGATCACAAGATGAAAATTGTACGCGCGCTTCAGTCCCGTGGCGATGTGGTTGCCATGACTGGTGACGGAGTCAATGATGCCCCCGCTCTAAAGAAGGCCGATATTGGCATTTCAATGGGCAAGCTTGGCACGGATGTTGCCAAGGAGGCTGCGGACATGATTCTCACGGATGACGACTTTTCAACTATTCTGCGTGCCATTGAGCAAGGCAAGGGCATTTTCTACAATATTCAAAACTTCATCACCTTCCAGTTGAGCACCAGTGTCGCTGCCCTCAGTCTGGTCCTGCTTAGCACTACCCTCGGCTTCAAGAATCCACTCAATGCCATGCAGATTCTGTGGATCAGTAGGTTCCACCCTTTAATTTAACACTCTTCATCCCTCCTAACCACAGTCAGACATTCTCATGGACGGACCCCCGCCCAATCTCTCGGTGTCGAACCCGTCGACCCAACAATCATGAACCGTCCCCCACGCCCCAAGACCGCGCGGGTCCTCACGAAACCTCTCATTCAGCGAGTCCTCACTTCCGCCATGGTCATCATGCTAGGCACACTCGCCATCTACATCCACGAAATGGGCGACATCGACGACGGCCAGCCCATCGGCAAGCGCTCCCGCGTCGTAACCGCCCATGACACAACCATGACATTCACCTGCTTCGTCCTTTTTGACATGTTCAACGCCCTTACCTGCCGCAGCGAAGGAAAATCCGTCCTGCGCGGCGAAATCTCCCTCCTCGGCAACAAGATGTTCAACTACGCCGTTCTCGGCTCGCTGGCCGGGCAAGCCTGCGTCATCTATTTGCCTTTCCTCCAGCGCATCTTCCAGACCGAGCCGCTGAGCTTCGGATCGCTCTTCAAGCTGATCTGCCTTGCCAGCTCCGTGTTCTGGGTCGATGAGGGACGTAAGTACATGCATGCGCTCCAGCGTCGACGCGGCCTGGGCGTTGGATATAGTGCCAATGTCTGATATCCTTGCGCACTCTGCTTTGAATGGATATTGTGAACTTGTAACCTATTTGATCGGATTGATATCCCCATACATAATAGAGCCGTTTTGTCTGCAGCAGTATCTGCATGACTGTAAACGCACAGCGTGTAAATGAAGTCTTAATGCAACGTGATTCCGATGATCCTCCTGTGTGAAAATACCTGTAGTGTAGACAAGTTCCCGGCGCTTGGCCGGTGGCAGCCCGGTATTCTATCCTAGAGTACTTTCAGCGACACTGCTTGAAGCAAGGGGTAAGGTCCTCAACACCACTGAAGAAAAACGAGGCAGCAAAAAAAATCCAACTCAAATCACGAAAAAAACAACAAAAAAGTTTGACCGACGCAGGGGTCGAACCTGCAATCTCTTGATTCGTAGTCAAGCGCCTTGCCATTGGGCCAGCCGGCCAGATTGTTGAAGAAATGCTGCAGATTTTGCAATAAGTGTGGAGCCATTGTGGGGTAGGGCTGCAGCGCGGAGCGTGGCGGATTTGGGTTCCGCGATGGGACGGAAGAGTGCTCTCGGTGGGTGGAATTGCCAACGATATGGTTTATTCGTGTTGTGGTGTCTTTAAATGGCTTGAAACGAGATTGGAGGCCTTCTGGTTAATTTCGTGTCGTTTAGGAGGTGGTTTTTCGTTGTTTGGTCTTGGGTTGGTATTCGTCTGATCAATGTCGTCCGAAATATATATCAGATGAAAAGTCCAAATCTGCTTCCGTATACATATACCTTTCCTAAATGCTGCATCATAGCACTACGTTCTTCGAGATTTGGATTCCAGTATATCCGAAGTGAGTTTAGCTCGCGAGATTTATTATCTGAAATGCACAAATAATATCAGGGCTAATCTTATTTCACTTGCTCACCAGAAGCAGGGACCTGTCCCTCCCATTGCGCCTTTGTTGAGTTGAAGAGCACATCATCTGTTAACATGTCCCACCCAAGAAGAGCCAAGCATTTACCAGTAATGACGGCTTCCACATGTGCCTCGTCTGTTCCCGCGCTGGCAGTAAATGACGGGTGGTGAGGGTAAGCGCCGGGGGGAGTTGGGATGCCGAACATTGAGTGGAGCGTCGGGACGGCATAGCTGACATTACCTGGAGAAATGTCAATAGATCAAGCCATGAAAAGGGCAAATATAGACATACCAGCATCAGTAGAGCCAGTCAGAACCTTCTCATATTTCTTTTCGCACGTCCGGCCAAGTTCCTGCATGTGCAGGGTATACCTCTCGCACAAGGTATCATTCAGTACGATATCGGTGTAAAGCTCCTTCCTATAACATCGTTAGTGACCAAAACTTTCGACGTCAAAAGATAGCAGCATTAAAAACACACTCCTCAATTTTAACTTCGCACCCCGTTGTCACAGCAGAACCCTCAAAACACCTCCGCACCCGCGCAATCAACTTTGCAAGACCCTCCAGACTGGGACTGCGAATCTGCCAGTAAGACTTCGTATACGCGGGAATGATATTCGCGACGGTAGGGACATCCAAGAACGCGCCGTGGATCCGCTCATCAGGCATAATCTGTTGTCGGAGAGTCGAAACACCATTGTAAGCCCCGACCAACGCGTCGAGGGCGTTCACGCCCTCCCACGGATTTCCGCCTGCATGTGCATTCTTTCCGAAATACTCCACGTAGAGCTCTTTGCGGGCATTCATTAGGATACCGGCGACGCCGTCGATTGGCTTTCCGGTGATATTCTTCGGGCCGCCGTGTCTGGAATTGAATCAGCACATACAGTTAACTGGATAGACTGTAAGGGGATCATACGCCATCAGTGAGACATCAACCTCCCTATATGCCCCCGCATCAATCAGCTTCGCCTTCCCACCACCATTTTCCTCAGCAGGTGTCCCGAGCAACTGGATCCGACCACCGATACCATATTCTTCCCGCAGACTAGCAAGCGCCAAGAATGCAGTGATACTAGCCGTCGCAATGAGATTGTGTCCGCACGCATGTCCGATACCCGGGAGAGCGTCATATTCCGCATTGAAATTCACAAGTCGTCCCTCCGTACCGCTGATACATTCGAAGGCGGTGTCGAGACCGTAAGCATGTCGGGTAACCGTGAAACCCTCGCTCTCGAGAAAGTCACAGATGTTATCGTGGGCTTCGTGTTCCTCGTAGGCGAGTTCCGGGTTGGACCAGATCTGGATTTCGTGAGATGGAGTCTACCGAGTACATTTCCGGCTCCAGACTCACAGCGTGATTTAAATCGCGGAGACCCTTAGCGACCTTTTCAAGGGCATTGTCCATTGCCCTGCGGACTTCTTCCGGGGGTATCGGGGCTGTTTTAATTGCCATATTGCCTGTTGTACCACACCGTAGTACGCAGAATCTTAATTGGAAGAGAATCATCGAGTGAAAGCCGCCACAGCCATCTTATTTATACCGCCAGGCGAACAGCCCCGCTCCCCAGAGTTACTCGACAAAGAAAGTCGTATGTAACACTGCTACCCCCGGTGTGGGGTAAACACGAGTATCTGATCGCCTGCGATCCTGGGTTATGCGCATATCGCAGCGATAATGCAGGGTCTGGAGCCGGATGATGGGGCGAGGGTGAGGGGCTGTCGACTATCGTCGTTACGATAGGTAGATAACCGATCGCATTCTTGAAAGTGGTTGGAGTGGCTTGGTGATTGCCGACATGCCCAATGGAATGTTTCCGCTCGCTCGCCAATCTGTCGGCAATATTTGTAGGTCCGAGCCGCTGCTGCCGAGCTGGTCATCTTGTTAACCTAGGTTGTTCTTCCCGCGGAAAACCGGTTGAAAAGACAAGAGGGCGCATGCAACAAGTTCATTGTCGTATTTGGATGGATGTTGGACTATTGGAATGACTTATTGGGGATCGTGGGGATTATCTCGTGATGGCTTGGCGGGTTTGCAAGTTGAGCAAACAACAGAGTCATCTTGTAGCTAAAGAGATAGATTGCTCTAGCGCTGGCTTTTTAGAAGAACCACATCGTTTTAAGGTGGTTGTCTCTTCCTATCGTAGTAATCTGGAGATTCTAGCAGTCCTTCCAGTTGTGATCAACGACAGGCACCGGTGCTTTTCGTCCCATAACCAGATCCCCACACCCCAATGGCCCATAAAAATTCCTCCAGGGCTGGATTCCTTTGAGAAAGTCTCAATCATATAGCATAGTTTAGCTTGGATGCCTGAAAAAATATAGATTTGTGTCAACCTGATATCACTAAAAGGAAGGCAAGAGGAGTAAGTCGCCAACTTAGACCACCAAGACCCCCAGGAAGACCCCGGGAAATGGCGTGACAGACGAATAAGACTGGCCCAAAGCGCTGGGCAAAAATTTTAGCATAAATCTGCAAGGCACAATTCCACAATCCCACACGTTCGTTTCTTCGTGAAGAGCGAGTCAAAAAATTGATAGTCTCGGGTGGCCCATATGACATCATGTAGAAGAATGCTCTCCACACCTCCGAGACAAAGGATTCCTCGGCCGCTGCACTTGCATAACCGTTATACTAATTACTCTTCGGATATGAGAGATGTGGTTTGTCCAGTCTCATTTCTAACTGCACTAACCATCTGTACAGCAGGCCGAGAAAGCACCAGACAGTCGATGCCCATGATATTCAGTAGATTCGCAAGCCGTCGATCAACCAAGACGCAAAGGCAAGCCACACCCGAACGTGAATCCACTTCGGAAGTACGGAGTAAAAGAAAAGGCACACGACACGAGCGGAATCAAAGTTGAACAAATTTCGTTAGCGAACCGGTTTGAAACCATCTCCATAAAACCCGCATCAGCAAGGAATCGCTGGCAAGGATGAGCGTGCGCCCCACAAAAACCGCAAGGGAAGGTGGAGCCATGCAGCGCGCCGGAGAAGTTAATTGGCACTCCGAAACGATTGCCACTTGATCCCGACCGGCTTCCCGAAGGAGTAGTTCAAAGAAGCCGGGCCAAACTAATTGGCTTTCGGCATGCCGAGTCGGATTATAATCGGGGCTACCAGACTCTGGAGGCCCCCAAACAAGTTCCAGAATGTAAGGACTCTCTCCGAGAAGGCGAGAGAGAGAAAAAGGGAACCGAGCGGTTCCGAGGCCTTTTTATTATTTTTTTCCTCCCCCGCTAGCTTGGACCTGACGTCTGATACAAAATTTGGACGAAATGGCTCAACAAGTGAGCAGCGGTAACTCAATCCATGAGGTCGGGCAGTCTCAGGCTCAGCCTCACAAGGTGACTGAGCCTGTTGCTGCGCAGCAGTCGAATTCTAGCCCGGGCTTACTGGGAAAGTCAGTTGCTCATGACGAATGTCATTTCATCTGAATTTGACGCTGACCTCTCCCCAGATTCAAGGGGCTTTTTTCCTCCGATGTTCGTGATGAGGTCCACAATTATAAGGATATCGAGATTCACACCTGGAATGGCCCCGATGATCCCGATAACCCTTTCAACTGGGAGATGAAATACAAGTGGCTCCTTACCCTCACTGTCTGCTTCATGTAAGATCCTCTCCCTGTTGCCGAACCATCAGCGCCAATTGACAAACCCCAGCTCCATCTTGACAGGTCTTCCGGCAGGAACATACGGCTCTGGAAATGACTGGATGGAAACCGAGTTTAATGTTCAAAATTCGCCATTCCCCAACCTTTACTGGGCGACCACGTCCTGGAACATGGGCGCTGCCTTTTGGCCGTTGATCTTCGTCCCACTTACTGAATCGTCTGGCCGAATGCCTGGTTACTTTGTGGCCTATATCATTCTGGTGATCTCGCTGTTTCCCTCCGCGTTTGCGAAGAACTTTGCGACGCTGGTTGTGACTCGGTTTTTTGGTGGCGGTGCTTCGTCAGTGTCTATCAACATTGTCGGAGGAAGTATTAGTGATGTCTGGTTTGGCGAGAAGGCCCGCAGTGTGCCTATGTCCATTTTCGGATTCACTAGTGTTGTTGGCATTGCGCTTGGTCCGTTTATTGGCTCTGCGATCGTGCAGATTCCTCGAAGTGAGCCTTGGAGATGGTGAGTTTGTCTTTCCCCTGCTGCTCCTTCTGTGATAGAAAAAGCTTACCAGACTTGCCATGAAGGATTTTCTACATCCAGATCATCTACAACGCAGCTCTGATCCCAGTCTTCTGGTTCATCCTCCGTGAGACCCGACCGGACGTCATCCTCAAAGCGCGCGCCCGCAAGCTGCGCAAGGAAACCGGACGACCCATATACGCCGCCGCAGAGATCGACGCACCTAACAAGCTCTCCCTGCTAAAGATCTCCTTCCAACGCCCAACCCGCATGTTGACCTCGGAACCCGTCGTAATCTTCTTCACGCTCTGGATCAGTTTCGCCTGGGGAATTCTGTACCTGTTCTTCTCCAGCGTGGTGCAAACCTACTCGACAAACTACCACTGGAGCACGCTGGCAACCGGCCTCGTGCAACTAGCCATCTCCGTTGGCGCCGTCATCGGCACAATCATCAACCCCATCCAGGACTGGTTCTACTTCCGCTCCGCAAAACGCAACACCGAGAAGCCGGGCCGCGCGATCCCCGAAGCGCGACTGTACACTGCCATTCCGGGAAGCTTGCTTTTCGCGGCTGGTCTGTTCTGGTACGGATGGGCTAGCCAGCCTGATGTGCACTGGATTGTCCCGACGATCGGTATTACGGCCGCAGGTATTGGAATCTATTCCATTTACATGGCTGTTGTGAACTACCTGACTGATGCGTATGAGCGGTATGCTGCGTCTGCGCTCTCGGCTGCCTCGCTGGGCCGGAACTCATTTGGCGCTTTCTTGCCGCTGGCTTCGCCTCAGCTGTTCAGCAACCTTGGTTTTGGCTGGGCTGGTACGCTGCTTGGTTTTATTGGAATTGCTTTGTCGGTTGTGCCGGTTGTGTTGGTCTGGAAGGGTCCTCAGATTCGGGCGAGGAGTACTTTCATGCGTGAGGCTATGTGGGAGCCTGAGGAGAAGGTCGAGATTGATCAGTCTGGTAAGAATGAGATGGGACCGTGTGCCGAGGGCGCCGAGGGCGTTGTGTAAGGGATACCCTGCTGCTGATGTCTTGACTGGTACTGTCGACTTTGGAATACTTTGATAGTGTATGTCTTGTGTATATAGAGACCTGCTTTATTTTCACGGAGAATTGGTTGCAAAAATTGAATGTTTTTATCCGTTATGAAAACATCGTGTATGGACCGTTCTGCAACGGGCTTATATTTGAATTAAATACAGTTTGCTTGGTTGTTGCCGTGGATAAAACAAGAGACTTAGCTCAGAAGAATGAGGAGAGATACAATACCTATAACCCATGGGAGCCCCGTAATTGTCTTCGCGGCAGCATTAGAGTGAGGGAAGGTCTCAGTTGACGTGTGACCCGACTGCGTCGACGAGGATCCGGGGGTCTTGCAAGTCGTAGTCATTGTGGCGGTAGTGAAAGAGGTACTCTGACTTGTTGGACTCGGGCATGGAGTAGAGGAGGTTGTCTGGCTGGACGAGCAGGAAGTAGAAGAAGTACCAGCCGAACTCTCAGGAGTAGGCACCACCAGGCCCACAGTGGTAGTAGAGCCACTGGTAAATGTGCTAAACCCAACCCGCGGACAGCTCACCGTGTGCGAGGACCAGGTAATTGTCGTCAAAGGAACCTCCGGAGTCGGCGGGATCGTTGTAGTCTGGACAGAGACAGGTAGAGTCGTAAAAGGCACGACTCTGGTCTGGGCAGGCGGGCCATTTGAAGACGTACCACTCGGGACAAGATCGATGATGGCAGGGTTCTTCGGGACGTACGGAGCGCAAATGCCCGCGAAGTAGGAGAGTGCGGATTCTTTCTCTTTCTCAGAAGTGCCCCAGGCGTGAATGCAGGACTGGACCTTGCCCGTAAATTCCGACGAGGGACAGAAGCAGGCGGCGTCGCCGTTGGAATCACATTTGGGGATCGAGAGCCATGTATTGATGCATTTAGGAACCAACTTGGGACACTGGGGAGGGGGGACGACGGGAGAGCTGGGGAGAGCAGGAGTCACGGTGCTGATGGGTTGCGCAGTTGTTGTGACCTCGTGAGGCCCCGAAGGGTACACGGTGGTTGACCCGACGAGGGTCGATGTGACGATGCCGTTCGAATGAGCCGGGCAGGAGGTAGCACTGGGCGGGCATTTGGTCACGGTAATGGTCGAGGTTGTCCACACGGTGAATGTGCTTTCGTGGACTTCGCTATGCGGGGGGCCTTCCACAGTAGGAGTAACCTGCTGGATTTCACTGGTAGGCGGAGGAGTGTGAAGGACGGGGGTTGACGGGATCTCCAGAATGGTAGACGAGTGAGTGGCCAGATGAGGAGGGATAGTGGCCACGCTCGAACTCGGATTAGGCTGGGGAGGAGACTTGGGTCCGCCAGAGCAGTCAAAGTTGATCTCGTGAATGTTGAAATCACACTCGCCGAACTTGCTCTCTTCAGGAAGCATGAACTTGACCGAAACAGCACCACCACACTGGTCATTGCTGACATCGTGTCCCTCGGGGGTGCTGAAAGCTATCTGGCGACAAGAAGACCCATCGGCCAGCTCGTAGGTGATGAGGACATCGGTTTTCCTAGACGTCGAGAGGTGGAACTTTCGGACGGAGAAGGGAGCGTCGACGGCGTCCATCTGAAGTGTGTACCCATCATCGCGGTTCAGTTTTCCCATGATGCATTTTCCCTTTTTTGAGAAGTGAGTATTTGTATTCGATCTCATGTTGAACTGACTATGCTTACACCAGATGAATTGCAGGCATTTTTCGGAGAAAATCCCGTAAACCTGAAGCCTTCAAAGGTCCAGTTGTCGCCATTTGCCAACTCAGACCAGTCAAAGCCGGTCTTTTGGGACTCGAGACATTGGTTGTCCGTATTTTCTGGGCTGGGATAGCAAGTGTCCGTTCCCCACCACTGCAGAACATGGTTTAGAATCAACACTATAATTGCAAGGCGGAGGCTGAATACTCACAAGGCCCTGAGGATGAGCGGCTGCAAGGGCAGCAAAGGTGGAAATTGAAACGAGAGAAACCCCCTTCATGACGATAATTACGAACAATTAAATAAGGAGCGTGTCTGAAACGAGAGTTGCGAGGATTAATGAGAGACAGCAATGGCCCTCGAAACGAAATTTAAAAAAGGCGAAATGGCGTGAATTGTCGACTGAATTGGCGATGGCGTATAATCTACGAGATGAAGGAAAACCCTGGCATTTTAAGCCTCGAAATTTGATGTACTAGAGGTCTAGAGCTACCAGGTTTTAATGTTTACTATCAACAAGCACTATGGAATGTAGTGAGTGAGAAGAATCAAAAGTGAATCCCTGTAGCAAATGGCACAACTTGCTTGTGTAGACCCAATCGGCAAAATTGGCCTTTCCGGAGATTTATAGCCCAAATATGCGAATGCAGTATCTGTGGCGTTTCTTTGAAGGGGTAGGCACGGAAGTCGGAATGCGGGATGGAAAAAGTCAAAACCAAGGTTCTGCAAGGGATGTCACACTTGTGGTTCTGAAGCCGAGCGAAACACAGCACTTTCTAAATGTTTGCCTTGGGCAAGAAAAGAAAGTAGGCAGAGCTGGTACTAATATATCCCCAGATTTTGTCTCAGCTTGAGATAAGATTTAAAAGCGCAAACATGAGAAAGCATACTCGTTCCGTTCAAAGCCAGCCGAAAACCAAAACAGCTCTCTAGGAGCAGGCTTGAGATCGCTTTGAAAGGTCGTCACTGAGCTAGACCAGTTAACCGGGATTTGACTCAGCAGTCATAGGCTAGGGCTCTCACAATGTACTCTAGGTAGTCTAGAGCGGCGCTTATTATTGGCGGCCATGACATTCCGAGTGTGTGATCACGTACGCGACCTCAGTGATTACTACTAGGTAGTAGGTGCGAAAGAATGAAGAAACCTGATGGCCTCGGGAACCCCCAGATTCCACGGCACAAAAGACCCAAATTTGCCACCGTACTCGCTCGCAGGTCTTTGCCGCTGGGTGTTTCCTGCCGAAAAGCAGCATAAAAGGCGGTATGTTGCTTTTGTTTACAACATGATTGCCCAAAGCCTGGAGTTCAAAATGAACCGGTTCGAAGCACGCGAAAATGGCGCCCAAACATGAATTTTGACACCAAGTAGGAATTCGAAGGTCACAGTTATATCAGGAGCAATGCCGGGCCTCGTGGATTTTCAGAAAGAGGAGGTCCAGAGGTATAATCCGTGGTGAAGGATGGAACTCTATTGTGTGAGAATGAGAAACATCTTTATTCACTCTGTTCCGTATTGGAGAGTTTGCGGGGTAAGCTTGGACCTTTCGACCTAACTGAACAATTGAAACTGGAAGCTTGTTTTGTGCTGGTAGATGTGACGTACCAGGGTCATAGCAAGTATTTCAGATATCAAACACAATAAACACACCAGTTTTCCACTTCTGTTTTGCCAGAAGTAGCATTTGAGGTTCGCCGGTATGTCCTAGTCAATCGTTGCCTTTGAGGATCTTGAGAGCGACTAGGTATGTGTCCACTAAAGCAGACCAAGCTTGCTCCCAAGGTGCATTATTGTCCGAGATGTTGACGAGTACTCTACGAGGCCTTTGCTCCAGCGCCATCCTGGGTATCGTCAGTGTAATTCACGCCCCTCAAAAAAGCAGAATCGTATTCTGCTTCGTGTTCGATCTCAGGCTCTTTGAATAGCTGTTTGGCAATCTTCCGCTTAGAGCATTGCTTATTTCTTCCCCTAGGCTCTCAACAGATTCATGGTACGCGACACACCAAATGCCTGGAGGCGCATAGTCACGTAGGCCGAGGTCTTCAAACAATGCAGAACATTTCTGCCGGCACTGAGCCGCGCCTGTACCTCTCGAGGAGACACAACCAGGCCAATCGCCCAATGGGTAGAATGGGCTTCGCTTAAGCGTCTCCAGATCGCCCTCTACCTCGCGATGTATATGAATGGCAACCGAAGACATGCTCGACGAGTGAGCCTGGTGTCCGCAGACTAGAAGACTGAAATAAACAGTCCTCGTCAATCGCTGCCGACGCCCTCCCAAGGAGGACTCAGAAAGGGACCGACCATGATCAACACAAGGTGCTGCATGATTTGCTCGTGGATATGCTAGTTACTCCCCTGTTAGTACTTCGACAAGGGCCCCCGCGTTGCAAATGTGAATGTATGGGACAGTGTCGGTTAGCTCGAGGGCACGAAGTCTGTAGATGGAAATTGTTAGTAAAGTAAGAGCCTCCAAGTAGGCTTGTGATCGCGTAAGTGCACTAATAACTATAAAGTCGACCGATATTCTTGTTTAGTTCTAGACCCCCGTAAAGGCAATCGCACACTTTTCCAAGACGCCTCTCACTAGTCTGTCCACCGTAGTATCCAGCGCCTTATCCAGCAATGACGAGATTGTTCCAATAACTGTTGCACACTGCGACAGCGATGATGGTAACTATTTCCTGGACGGCCCATGTTGCCAGTGCGATTCGTGTTTTCGACATCCAGAGTCGAGGATGGCCAGCGGGGAGGGTCCAGGTGTAGGCGCGGAGAAAGGGGGATACCAGATCGTTGGGATGCGCGGGGATGCGCGGGTGTCGGTGAAGCAGGAAGTCTGGTAGCATACGCGTAGTGCGATTCATTTACGAGCCCCAAGATATCCATAGGTGTGGTGACATGGCGCTCTCATAAATGGGCTATGAGAGGGCGGGCATAGATGTGTAGCAAATGGATGGTCGGAGAATGGAATGGCCAGAACCATGGAACAGTACTATTATTAGTATCATATTTTTTTGCTTTTTCCTGAATACTTTCAGCTTGTATCTTTACAGGACGAGGGGTAAAGAGGGTCTGAGGTGTGGTGTCGGCGTGGACAGGATTTGAAAGCAGATCGTTCTTGAAACTTGAACTGTGAGGATTTGTACATAGATGTCTCGCATCTTTGATGCAAAATGGCCGCCTGATTTCCCGCCCCATTACGCAAAATCCCCGTGCCTGCCTCTCGTGTACACTTGTAACAATTTGCTGTTCCTCGTATTAGGCGCCCTTTCCCCTGATGGCTAGCAAGAAAGGCAATCGGTCCATTTGAGAAGACACGTACCAGCGCCTTGCCCGTATCGGAAGGAGCCGAGGTACCTTCGGGTCCCTTCCCTTATCGATCTGCTAGTCCGTGAGGCTCTTGCAGGGGGTGGGGGTGCGTGGCGATTGAGTTTCACCACGACGATTAGCTCTCAATCGAACTCCCTCGCCACCACGGTTTCAGCTGTGGAGCTTGCTAGGCACATGGGGGACTCGCGTCCACCGCCCCCAAGGAATGACGAATCCCCGCAGATCAGTCCTGGTCAGCCTCCGACTCTGGGGTTTGCGATTGCAGGTATGCGCTAAGAACCGATGACTGAAAAGGCAGGTGGGCACACTGAGCGGGTATGCCACCCACACTCTGCAGGGTCTTTTTACTGCGGAATGAAGAGGGACAGGCGCTCGACCCTGGCTCCAGCTTTCAAGGCTTCAAGTTATTGTATCTAGTGACCACTAACATTTCAGGAATGGCACTGCCGTCGATATTGGGCCCTCTTGTTGTGACATAGTTACATATCTTATTCCTCGAACTCCCGGAAATGCGTTCTGACTGCCGCGTTTTCTGCCCCTGCGAACAGATCATCCAACGCCATTCTCGATCCAGAAACGTCATCCGGGAAAGTTTGACATTTGGTTGACGGCTCTAAGTTTCGTCTCACTCGCACGTGGCTGAATCTGCCTAGCGTGCGTGCGGGAAGGAAGAACGTGTCGGATGCAGGAACGGCCGGTAAACCCCATGGGCGATTCCCCAGTCGGTACGCCCCAGCCTATGCAGTTACCATAAATGGCTAACGGTATTCGGTGGTTACCGAACGGGGAGCAAGGGACGGGCCGTTCTTTTTTTACTTAGGTAAAGTCAGGATGGCATCATGCGCGCTAGCAACCCATCAGACTGCTTAACTGTGCAGGTCACCTTCCCGTATGGGATATAACAAGAGACATCCTCGGAATCTCAGCGACAGTTTGCGTTGGAACCTTTGACTACGCCTCCCCGAGTTTTCAGTATTCCCCTTGTCTTTCATGTTTCGTGATATCCACTTTCCACGCTAGTGCAACTACAATGGGGGTGGGCCCCTCAGGACAGGCTCAGCCCCACCAAATCAAGCCGGATCCGCGTACAACTGGGGTGATCAGGGTGCTTCCGGTCGTGCATATGCCGGGCAACTTACTAGGATGTAATGCTAGGGAAACATCTTTTTACAAGTGCCGATAGCGAGCTTTCTCTTCAGAGTTTGCTGGCTGATTTCCCACTCCCTAAATCGATACAAATTTCATAAATTTCCATACTGTCCCACAAAGTGTCCGTGCTTTCCTCGTTGACATGGCGAGTCTCCCTAGGAAAAGCCTCGGCCATGATCACTCCTGAGGTCTCTTCAACTCCTTGGGTGTAAGGCGTCGGAGAACCTTTAAGAGGGCACTGGGGACTACTTGCTCCCTTTTCTTTCCACCTCAACCCGATAGCCTGTTGGCCTCCACGACTCACACATACTACGACTCCACAACGGTACTCGATCTGTGTCTAGGCCCAAAGAGCAACACAATGCCCCAGGACCAGAGCCTGCAAGCCTCTCAACCTTCGCTCTTCATAGAGCCCACAACCCCTATGATGGAGCAATTTTCTTTTCCAGCATACGATATCAGCCTTTTCGAATTGTTCCCTGGGATCCAACTGGTTCCAACAACCCATGAACCCAACGACTTGCCCTGTTTTACGGATGGGAGCTTTTTACCAGCGATGGAAGGGGCATACACGACAGACCCCAAGTCAACCGCATTGCGATCTGATGAATCCAGTCCAGGTTCTTCTTCGGACGATGCTTCCGATAAAGTCACGACTCATCGCTCGTACTCAAACAATCATCCCAAATCCACACAGACCAGGTAAATGCTTGCTCGCATATAACCGTTCTGTTACTACACGAGAAAGAATGCCGATGATAACATGATACTCAGAGATGTCAAGGAGAAGCCATTTGGTTGCCCACAGGAGCACTGTACTTCTCGCTTTACGCGAAGAAGTGAGCAAACCCGGCATATTCAATCGGTTCATCGTTCCGAAGTATTCATGTGTGCCTACTGTGGCCATTCCAGCAACCGGAGGGACAACCTCCGAATGCATGAACGAAAGCATGAGCAGTCTATTCCCGCCACCCATTCGTTCCCTTGACCCAATGATGACTCTACGCGGTGCGTACGCTTCATACGACGATTTTATGTCATAATGCATTCATGATACAGCGATATATTGAGGGATGAGTTAAACTCACACCTAGGGCAAAGACAATTGATGTTCAATGTGGTGTTTTTTTTTTTTGCGATGGATACGTGGCAATGCATGAGTTTATAGTGGGCGCTATTTTGTTATTCTGGTATCGATGGCTTGTACGGCCTCCTGAGATAGCTGGGAAAGTCCAGAGCTGAAGTACAAATTCTCTTTGACAAGGCTCCACAATATGGGTGCACAGGCACAGTCATTCCGCTTTATAGAAATCTCATTAATCAACAGGGCAGGATTTCGAAAACTGCATGTAGTTGAAAATAGGGTTCGGGCTTCCCACAAAGCCAGATTGCGCGTCTTCTAGACGTATGGACGACTGGGATAGTGATATAGATCAATCTGCTGAAAACCTCATTTAGCTGAAACATAAAACCAGACGAAAATATCAGATGAAGGGAAGGATTGAGCTTAAATTTAAAAGATCAAAAACATATAACAGCTGGGCTCGAGGTGCCAAGTTGGACTTAAAGTTGTGACTTCAGATTCTGTGCTACATAGCGGAAAAATATGTCACGTGTTGTTTTTGTTTATAGATCATCTACTCTTCCCCCTCTCTTCCACATTTTAACGCTGAATTTGATCTCTTCACCAATATGAACGGAAACCCTATGATACTACAGCCAGATGGCATATCTTCAATTATCGATTTTGGCTCAATTGGATTGATATGCCAAGTCTCCGTGCACGAAGCACAATTCTCCAAAGCCCCGAAGCGACACGGTGTCCACGGATGCAGTGAACAGATAGTTCAAGACACACTCCACGGAGAAGCCTCCTCACATGCATGCATCGACTGGGAAAAGGCGATCTACGAATCGCTCCCGAAACATCCGAATATCCTAGATTGCCTCTCAATTGACCATAATGGTCTCCATTTTCCATATATGTGACTTGGCAACCTTCGTGACTATCTAAAGACCCGACAGCCCGTGAAAACCAGCATCGACAACGCTGGATCCAGACAGCCGTAGGGTCTGTGTCTCTTGTTCACCAATATAGTAGTGTGCATGCCGATATTCGCGCCCGAAGCTTTCTTGCGGCGGATGACATGTTTTTTTTAAACTATGCGATTTCTCTGGCTCTGGACTTGGTGACCAATCTTCCCTCGTCTCGGAGGAAGGCCACTGTACCCTTTCTTTTGGGTTAACTCGGTCGTTCACCACGGAAATCTTTGCGCTTGGTTGCTTAATGTTTGAGATCGCCACAAGGTCCCGACCATATGATTACATTGAGGGCTACGAGAAAATTCAGCATCGCTACTCTACTGGAAGATTTCCTGACCTCGACGATGCCATGGAGGCAGCGATAATTCATAGATGCTGGACACAGCAATACACCGATGTTAACGAGTAGGCCTCGGCACAGAACCGCGTAGAACTGGAACCGCTGGGCGGTTCTGAGATTTTTGGAACCGCACTGCGGCAATTTCGCGGTTCGGACCAGGGGTTCTACGAACAGGACAAACATAGAAAACTCCGTGATATGCATATTTTATGTAGAATCTGGCTGTATTTTTGCGTAAATTGTGTACAGCTTAGATCTTAGATTGAATATAGAGGTAAATACGGCAGGAGAACATTAAGTAAAAATAACGACAAGAGCTTTTCTTTTTTTAATTTCAGCATTTGCAAGGTTTTTCATATATAAAGCCTTCATCTCGCCTTAAACGCTTTGGCTGCCGCCCAGATGAGCGCCTCTGGGTACTACTCTCTGCTTCTAAATGCTTATTATCAGGCAAAGGGATCTCATCCTCTTCATCCAATTCAATCAGGGGCCTGTGCTTCCCTGTATGGGCCGGTCTTTTCCCAAGCGACCACTGACTGCGTGGTTGGGGAGCTTCAGGTAGTACTAGAGATTCATTCTCACCCTCATCTTCCTCACCATCACTGATCGGATCGAATTCATCCTGTACTTTCCGAGCCCCCTGTGCCTTCCGAGAATCCGTTTCCCCTCGCTGCTTGTATATCCTGTGTAGTAAGATACTCATCCATTAGGGAAACTTGTTCAGATTCGAGATCGAACGTAGTTGTACACATGAACAACATGAGCTCTTTGATGGTGTTAGGTTTCAGCGAGCCTCGGCGGTAATGACAGATATCACGAGTAGAGTTGAATAACCGCTCAAAACCAGAACCGCTAGCAGGTGTGAGAATGTCTTGTGCTAGGCTTGCAAGGATAGGTATTCATGCTGATGATCCTTCCAGTAGATCCACGGGTTCACTAGCTGAGTGCCTATAGAGATTAAGGCCAGTATAAGAGATATAAGAGCTTAGGGAGTATAGCTGACTGCTTCCAAGATAGCGCGAAAGCTCGTCATGAGCACCAGCTGGGTAGCACCTGGGCATCACTTTGTGGTTGACTGTTGTTCGGGAGATGATTAACATTTTATGCACATAACTAGTTAACTAATATTTACTCCGTCAGCGTAATCCACGAGAGAACGACCCACCCAAAAAGCCATGTTATATGCGACAGTTACTTACCGTCCACCTTGAGCTTACGATTAGGCTTCCCGTGGTAGTGTTCTTACACGGACGGCACGAGTACCGCCAACATCTCGTCACCTAAAGACTTTCCGCTTACACCCGCGAACCACGGTCAAATCCTACGGGTGGCAATGGATGATTGTCCAAAGATTGTCCAAATCTTATGGATGCTTTCTAGCGCCGGATTTACCGGCCTTAGCTAATCTCCGCGTCATAACTAGTTAACTATCTAACTATAAGGATTTATATTGACCCGCAAGAGAAATTCGATTGGGTAAGAGATAGCAACCTCGCCCTTTCGGTTTGGTGCCTCGCCCTTTCGGTTTGGTGGAATACCGCGAACCGTCCAGTTCTTCACATTCTCTCGGGCTCCGAACCAAATCTCCGCTATCTGAACCGTCCTCTCCCACCTATTTGAAAAGAGTAACAAAATTGCCGACTCGGTAGCTTGGAAGCAACCTTGATCTCTACAGCTTCCTTTCCCCGAGAGCCTCCGGTTTATACACAGATATAATTTACCATGATGGCCGCGAGCAGCACGATGCGTGCATGGATACATAAATCCCGCAACCTGCCGCTAGAGAAGGGGATGGAGCTGGTGGAGGAGTACCCTCGTCCCGCAGACTCTCTTATGCCCAAAGAGATCCTCGTCCGAGTCAAGTGCGTGGGCATCAATCCAGCAGACCCTCTCTTCGCCGAGATGTCCTGGCCAGGAAAAGCCATGATCAAGCAAACTCCACTGCCTGGCATGGACTTTAGCGGGGAAGTCGTGTCGACCGGACGCAGCGTTACTGCCATGCGCCCAGGCGACCGCGTTTTTGGTAGAGTGGACACGCCTAAAAGTGTACCTGGCACAATGGCGGAGTTGACGAGAGCTGAGTTAGAGGGATGTGTGCTGATGCCACCAGGCATGGACTTCGAGCAAGCTGCAGGTATTGGGACAGCGGCCATCACTGCTTATGAGACCCTTGTTTTGAACTGCAAATCGGGCGATTCGGTCTTTATCAATGGAGGCACAGGTGGTGTCGGAACATTTGCTATTCAGTTTGCCAAAGCCCATGGATGTCACGTAACAGTGTCGTGCTCAACAACCAAATTGGGTCTCTGTAAAGAGCTTGGAGCCGACGATGTGATTGACTACAGGACTCAGGACGTGGTATCAACATTGAAAGGAAAAGGGAGGGTTTTCGATTTGGTTGTCGACTACGCACATCGCGAGGAAACCAACCTATACCGAGCCTCAATTGATTTTATCAAGGAGGGTGGCAAGTTTGTCATGATCCCAGGCGGTGTGACGGGCAGAACGATGCAGACGATCACCAGGAACATGCTTTGCCCATCCATACTAGGTGGTGGGCGGGCTAAGTTCGAGGTTTATTTCGCAAAGAGCAATCGGGCTGGATTCGAGCAGATCGCCGAGTGGATGGCTGCCGGCAAGGTTCGGACGGTGATAGATACGGTGTTCGAATTCGAAGACATGCCCAAGGCGATTGAGAAGATCAAGTCGGGAACGGCTACGGGAAAGATCGTTGTTCGTGTTTAACCTACGTTGCTGCATTTTACTCTTGTGAATTGTACTTAATCTATCCTTTAATATGTCTGAGCCATTATGTATCAACAAATAAGTCTCTAATCATCTTCCAAAGCAGCATTTTTCCCTCAGCATTCAGTTAGGCATTGTTAACAGTAAACTCCACTGATGCCGCACTGAATGATACATTAATATCATCATGGACAACGTGAGAGGATTGGTCCAGGTCGACGTTGCCCAGATTCTTGGCTAGCCAAGATCTGACAATCGACACTATTGTCGGGGGTGTAGGGGATTCCCCCCTCTGTATGGGGTGAGCTTCGCATGCGCCCTTGATCGAATCGTAAAGTTGTCACTAAGGACTTTCCAAGCGCGCCCCGCATGTCTACATAAGGGCCGCCTCTTCAGATCCTGGAAAATGTGAACGTATGCCGGGAAGGGCAAATGGAAGTCAAGTAGCCAAATATATCTCCTTGTAAGAGGAGAAGACATGAATTTTGTGTCGCTTTCAAGCCTGCGCATCGCTAAACAAATACCGGTATCACGCTGATCGTCTGTCGGACAGGTAGTCGAATACCTTGAATGATGTTCCATGAGAAGGAACTCAGCCAGGTATCCACGCGCCATCCATGTTGCCATGAATTGAAAAGGGATTTCCAGATGAGTAAACTTGAGATATTTTTCTTCCATCATTCGCTCAAGCGAAGTGAGGTCTCCGAAATCATCCTCAGAGGTCTGTTTGGACTAAGTCAAGAGAGCTTTCAGAACTAGGTAGGTGAAATCCAGGTGGAAGGCAGAATGTCGGACAAAATCTGCTACCTCGCTTCGAACAACAACAAAGAGTGCCTCCGTTAACGGAGTCTGGTCTGCCGTCAGAGCTCCCACTTCTGGCCGAAGATCAATATCGTTTCACGTTCCGGGGGTCTTGGTATCCCATAGGGAGTGAGGAGCGTAGAGCGGTGGTCAGCGGCCATCTCTCCGATGCGCGAGTCAAAGAGCACTAGCGACCACCAAAGCCTCCTGCGCATCTCAGCCTCAGAAGGCGGATGTTACAACACTGTGACTTGCTGTGGATGCCCACGCGCTGCGCTATACGGACCGCGATACCAAGCATAGATGACTAGGAACGTGGGTCCATATACGGCCTAACTGAGATCTGAGAGAGTCAGATAACGGTACGAGTTGGTCCCCCAAGCATACAGAAAAAGAATGCAATGAGGCAGTTGCGATCATCTGATCTCAGGAACCCACAGTTCACTAGGGCTTGCTGGCAGGCAGACTGACATTTCGCAAGAAGAGATTGCTTGGGTGCGTCAAATAGGACTTCGCATTCACCCGAAGGGAGGGATAAAACGGCCACACAGTAAATGCCCAAACATAAGAGCTTCCAAACTTGAATCGACGGTTTTCAGACCACTGACGGCGTCAACAACCTGGCTTTGTAAGGTCTGGGTATGGGTGACTTTGAGCAACGGGTCGACATTGTCTAGGTAAATCTGCCACAGCCGAAATATCTGTGCAGGTTCAGGTTGCTGAAAAGATAGGTCGACGGTTTCCTGGCAGATGCCAAAAATGGGATCAACGTTTCCATAGGCATGGTCCCATGCCTACTTTACCAAGTTTTCGTCCGTATAATCAGACGTGTTGTCACTATTATCAGGCCCGGGGGACTATTTTAGCATAAGTCTGGGCCCGTATGGGAGGGACCTGAGAGAATAGCAAGAGCATACCGCATGATGTATAGCACACCAGATATCTCTGCAGGAGTGTCCATTAGTCAGTTCAGACAATCCCAATGGGGAAGTGGGTGGTGTACTTTGCCTCAGGAGCCGTGTCCGACTTGGCAACGACCGGAGAAGACGACCGTCTTGCTTCTCTGTCGCTGGGTGGCTCAATTTGCAAGGTGCGTTCGGACGCTTGGGCGGAGATATTATAGTCGTCAGTCGAGTCTCCGTGGAGCGGAGAGAAATATATATGGTTCTCCCTAAGGAGATGTTCGTACTCAAGCAGCCGTTCTAGCAGTTCCTTGTCCGGAAACCTACGCTTCCGGCGACGAGGGAGCTGATCGGATGGTATACACCGCACCTGCGACTTGAGACACTTTGCACAAGGAACGTTGCGGTCACACCTGACCTTACGCCGCTGACACGGAACACAGGCAAACATGCGCGACAGAGGCTCTGTAGGATGTAAGCCCGGCCGAGCGCCCGGTGCAGACATATTGCAAGACCAGGTTTGCCCTCGGCCAAGTGTAAATCTATAGTAGATAAGTGGAAAAGAGGTTCGATGGACGTTATCGACGTTTGGACTTGGTGTCGGACTTAGGGATATTGGTATCGACTAGTACTCCTAAGGGCGAATTGTACCATTTCAGCGATTGATTGATTGACTGAAGAACTATCTGTCGGCTCCCGTTCAGAATGCCATCTATTCAGGGGTTTTTAGTGTGTTACAGCGCTGCTTTTTCCGAGAATACCCCGATTACCATATAAAACAGGTAGGAGAAAATTGGGTATCTGCTGAATCAATCTATTCCTGATTGTAATATCACTCTCTCCGATCGACATTTATCTCAAAATTTGCCCCGAAAACGGTAATGGCAGAGCGACAAGCGAATGTTATCGAATCATAACTTGGAAGTATAGAGCCAAGTATGCGTAGTTCATAGAGAAGAAGACTAATCACTAAGTACAAGTAAGCCAAGCCACGGTAGCTGGAGAACCGTTGGAGATGCGAAGGTTGCGGAGGGGAAAATCTGCGAGAACCCGCCAGGCATCTTGGCGCTTCTGACTTGGTGGGAAAAAAAAGCAAAAACTTCATATTTAATGACTGATGTTTAATATACCAGCCATTTGAGTCAATAATTGCCTGCACCCGCTGTTACGGTGGTTAGATTGGTTTAAAAACGATAATAATGGTATGGAACGCGACCCCGCGACTACGCGACTACCTTCACACCATGATAGGAAGGCGGAGGTGCTTGGGGTCAAGGGGGTGGTAGCGGACTTTTGTGGTGCCACTGTACGTCTTATCATTTGTATGCTGGGACGGGTGCTGTGGTATTCACACTAGCATTATTCATGGATATTATTCGGAAAGCAGAAATCTTCCTACAGTAACTCATCAGGCACAACACGAATGGCTGCTAGTGCTTCCGCCTTTCCCGCAACGCCTCTGAGCCCTGTTGGCGGAGAGGCGCTCCGCAGGCTCATTTCTAGCGTCTTCGAAGTCGTAGTCACGGGGGTATCATGGGTATCAGGTTCAACAATCGACCTGCCGGTCAAAAATTAGTATACCGGTGGCATGTTGGGCCAATCTATTTAGGAGTTTATCGTCATTGAAGAAGCCAGTAAGTTTTACAAATCATCGCTCTCGCTCAGCGATGCTTGGACTTCATTCCTATTCCTCTCATCTTCTGAGCGCTCGCCTGGGAGAACAATAGCGCGATCAAGCTTGTAAGGCAATCCACGATGACGACCTCTGATCATCATCACACAAATAACGAGCTTGCTGAAAATTGTGAACTCCCCAGAAAGAGATGTTGAGACGGTCGGGTAGCCTAGACTGAGTCCCACGTTGCCGCTACAGAAGAGTTAGCTAGGTTGAGAAGTCGTAGATTAAGCTGTGATACTCACTATGCTGAAACGACTTCGAACAACACGGAGAACACAGAGAAGGCCTAAAGTTGTTAATTCTGCCATCACCAAATTGGTTACTGCGCACTCACTGGAATAGATGTATCCGCAATCTTGCCGGCTTCAGCAACGCAGATACAGAAGCATCCGAGAAATATGTACCACAAGTCAAAGCTTAATTGGTTCTGAATGTGGTTGAGGATGTATGACCGACCATCACTTTCGTCAATGCTTTTCTCCGATCCATAAATACCCAGCGTCTTTTCCTCATAGACATTGGAGGCTCTGATGCTAATTGCGATGGGAAAGATGGCAATATACATCATGACGACTAAGCTAAACTGCACGGCTGGGCTAACATCAGCTAAGTTAAAAGTCGATGTCCCCGTATGGCGCGCTGAGGCGGCTTGGAAAATAGCAGCTAGGACTCGCGGGCCAGGTGCCAGATTATTCACAGCCGGATTATTCAAGTCCAGCACGATGATAAGAAGGACATCAACCGAGTTCATAATGAACAGGATTCCGAAGAGTGTCCATGTTGGCTTGCTCGGAAATAGTAGGGTGTAGCATCGTCGAGGGTGATCGAGCAGAAACCTAAGTGGATCTTTGAGCGATGATTCCTCTGGGCAAACCTTGTACATAAACCAGATGATCAGTCGGAGCAAGCATGGATAGCAGGTATTCCCAGCGAATGCAAGGAAACTCATGAGGAGCATTGGAAATGTCGCATCCTGGAAGGAGATCATCGAATCCGGTGTCAAGGTAAATCCGAGGTTGTCGATCATAGTTTGAGAGGCGTAGAAACCCCTGTCAGATAAAGGGAATAAGCTATTATATTACCTACACGAATACGAGGTCTACTTACCACCAAACGCTGCCCTGGCCACATTCAGCAAGGTAGTCACGATATTTCGGATCGGCTTGTAGAATCCATCCCACCAGAGAGATCGCACCAAACATATGCAGACCGAAGAAATATCCGATGACAATCTTTAGCAAAAGCCTCAAGCTCCGGTATTCAATGCCACCGAGCATTTCCCGGTCTTCGACGGAGAAATTGTGAAATTGAGAGTTCCGGCCGACCCTAGCGTGGGAGGAGATTTTTGGTAGGTAAAGTTGCTTCTCGTTGTTCTGTGTCACTGTGTGGCCCTTTTCCTCATAGCTAGGAGAGTTTCCCAGAACGAAAACAGAGGTGATCACCCGCTCGAGAGTGCGAGTACGTGAATGCAGGCTTCGGGTAGACAGTCGATGACGTAGATTCCTCTCGGGTTGTCCTTTTATTGTACAGTTCAGTGATTATCTCGAAACTAGTGGTATCTGCCACAAAGTGGAGATCTCACCTTCATCTTCGTAGTCAATTCCGTCATTGATTTCGGAGAAAGAGGCACCTGAAAGCCATTCGTTAGAAAGCGGCAAAGCCAGGTCTTGATTTAATATACCTTTATCCCTTCTCCAAGGAGGTGGTATATACAGAGCGTTGGCATTCCCAGCAGCAGACAAATTGGGCTCCGCGAATCGAATAGATTGCTTTCCCGCAGTTAGATTTGGGTCCAGGGCATCATCAGCTGTACAGTGTCCCGACTCCTGAAAAACTCTGATGTATATGTCAGTATCTGTCTTGCCATGCCATTCTGCTTCGTGGTGTCGAAACCAACCCCGACGACAATTTTTCAGCCCCAGCAGAATTGTTGGCCTCGGCCACGTTGTCCATCGCCCGATTTGTAGATCCATCGGTTGGAGCCTCACGAACGGAGGAGTTCAGATCCAGCATGTGTCCGAGTTGTGCTTCTGAATCCTGACCTGGAATGTTCTTCGGCTTCAACAGATGCGGTGCTGTGTTTGGAAAGTCAGCCATCGATCAATAGACTGGTACGAAGTCGCCCCTCACCTATCGCTTTTAGATGCTTTTCAAACCATTTAACCCGAAAGACGACGACGATTATGTTGATGAAGCCCAGATTTCCCAGAATCGGAATGAGGTAGATGTAAACTTGTTGGTAGGTCTTCAACTCTTTGACGTCGACCCTTCACCCAATGTTGTTTAGCAGCCTAGGAAAGTCTGGGGGTAAGCAAAGGTGAGGACTCACGTGTTCAGACCTGACTCTGTTGAAGCGCTGGCGCCAAAAAAATAAGCATCGATTGCCTTGAGGTTGCCATAGGGGTAAATGATAACTAGGCTCAGAATGCTGAGAGTGATAATCCACGCGTCTACCAGAAGCTGTTAGCGGGGGAAATGTCGTACAGACTCTGCACGTACAATGCAGGGAGAGGAAGTTTATAGGTGGCTTCCACATGGCGCAAAAATCGAGAACTTCTGTCAAGGGGGAAGAATTTGAGGGATCCTGCGAAAATCAATATATAGCTGAGCCTTATCTGTATGCCAAAACAATTGCCGCATTCAACATCGAGCGGGACTATGTAACTCTTTGTGCGAGCGACTTAATTGGACATATCACGTCGCGGGTTGAGCCCCACTGCTTGCAGCTTCAGGGTCATCTTCTCCACTATTATCAGTGCCACCTTCCAAATACGCTCTGGCAATCCTTTCACAGCCTAGCGCTTACGTCAAATTCGTACAGCGAAATCTAAGCTCAGGTGGCAATCGCGCTACACACAAGTTGCGAAGACTACGCATTGTGGCCATCGGGCCGATACTATGCGGAATAGTATTGGGTAAATAGCTTTGTCGCACAGGCTGTTTACTGCTAATATTCACACGTACTCCACGGTGTTTCTACGATTGAGCGAATTAAATCATCCACTGATAACAGCACAGTCCTTTTACGTTTAAATTCATTTGTTTCGCGTGACTGTCTGTCCGTCGATGCCAAGCACGAACTTCCCGCTCCGAGACTTCCTATGTATGGCCCAGGGAAATCCCGCATACCATAAATCACTACAGCAGTTAACGGTATATTAACTTTTTCTTTTTCCAGAAAAACGAGGACGCTTTTCTTTTCTTTTCCGGTAATTAACAACAGGAGATGTCGGAGGCTTCAAATGGACCCACTACTTCTTCTGCCGTCATAGCTGTTATCTGTGTTGTGTTGGTCGTCGGGTTGTGGTAAGTATTTGCGGTAAGTATTTGCTAAATGATCTACCAGCCCGCATCGCTAAACACGCTTTCTGGCATAAATAGTATCGCGGGCTTTGCTCAATGGTTTTGTCGCCATAGAGGACAATCATGATCGTCTACACGAGATCATCCCGTGTTGCCAAGATCCAGGTTCATTCAGCCGCTGCCAGGTGAGGTACAAAAGCAGCCTCAGCTGCTGCCAACCGAGGATGGTCTCAACATATTCCTACCAATAACGGACTTCAAAACGTGGAAAAGTCATCAACTACTCTCAAGGCACTGCTTCAACATCAAATAATCCTGTGATATAAGACTTTGCTAATGGTTGGAAAAGAGCGAACTCGACCAAGCCTGCGACTCAGGATGTCCTGACCACCATATCCACTTTCGATGTCCCTGCTCTGCTCCTATCTATCTCTCCAGCTGAAGATCCGGTGCATTTATCACCATTTAAAGGTGCTCTTGCTGAAATCCGAATGTCAGTTCCTGACGAATATCTGACAAGGGAGTCGCGCCTCAAGTCGTCCCAACCGCCGGATGACATTGAAACGTATCTCCCAGCTGCACAGCAAAAGACAACCCAATCAGCCTCAGATATCATGTTTTCGAACTATGTTTGCGCCATATGCTTGAGTATTATCGAAGATGGAGTTCAAGTGCGCAGTCTTCCCTGTGGTCATATTTTCCATGTTGATTGCGTGGACAAATGGCTACTCTGGCGCCGGCCATGCTGCCCAGTATGCAAGGCGTCCTACCAGAAAAACCTATGAGTGGTGTAGAAAATATATCAATCGTTCCCTACTTATGTATAAATAAGCGCATTATTTTCCTTACAATTAGAGGGGGCATGCCTAAGGCTACCTTCTGGATCACGTATGTGAACTTTTTCCAATACAGATCTTCAATATCGAGATCTGCGTTTTAGAAATAACCTCTTGTACTTGTTCTCTAGTTCCGATCTTCTCAACACACTAGTCAACTGGTTAAATGAGTGAGCTAGCCAGTGAACAGTGAAAGAGTCCATTCAAACTATCTGGGCTAGCTAGAGAGAAGGAAGGAAGAGAAGAAGGCCGAGTGGGTGGAGAAGTGAGTGGAGTGGGCGGTGGTGGGACCCACCGCCCTAGACACACCACTGCCTACCATTTTCTCAAGCAAAAACAAAACACGCGCGTAGCAATCAGGAAATAGCGAGAAACTCAAATGTAGGGGTCAGGTCGGGGAGGTATAAGAAGGTGTATTTTATAACTAGCTATCCGGCCACCGTATACTGCCGGCTATGTCACCTAGCACGGTTGGCACCCATGTAGTAGGGGGAGGGGGTCTCCTCACTACACTATTTAGTTAGCTCAAATTGCCTATTATGCGTGGGAATTCATAGTTAAGAATCCAATTGGTCACTGCATCGTACTAGACTTTCGGCTTTGTGCCTTGTCGACAGCTATGAGCTGGGTTTGTCGAAGCAGTTCGAGCTATCCAACCCGAATCCGAAAGGTCTGACAGTACCAGCATGATTTCCTCTTCTGCTCCCTCTGTTCCCAATCCAGCTTCGTCTCAGCACCCTTTCAATTCGCCAGTGCTTGTCATGGTATCGGAATCAGCTGGTCTCGGTTGACTACTTCGGGTCATCCTGCAGTCTCTTCGACCCGCCGTTTTGGTATAGTCAATTGCGGCAATACTTCGCCCAAAGAAAACTGTTTTGGATGACGAGTCTAGCAGTTTTCCGCCACGACTGCTCGACCACAGGGGTTGACCTTCTGCGGACAGATTTGACGCCCACCTTGCCTCCAAAGCTGATCTGATGCGTTTCGTTGTGATCCTGCCTGCCCTACGCGTTTGTATATTCCCGGTCGTGTCGATTCAACGGATATTTCGAAAGAACCGGAAAGTAATTCATTGGGTTCAAATGGGACCGTAGGGCTTCCACCAAGATAATTCTTTGAGAGCATCCGCCTCGCTGGGGGTGGTGCCACATCTCGACGCTTCAAACAAAGGACTCGGCAGTGTCTTGTTCCAGCTTCATGAACATTCTCCAAGAACCAGGTCCACGGCGGCCACACAGCATTCTGAGAAGGCAATAGACTTCATGTCCCTCGCACTCACTTGTTTTTCCACTCCAGTTTCTCTTCCGCGATCCACGTTATGATCTGGATACTTATTTTAAATGACAAAGAATTTCTCATTGAACCCCAAGGAATGCCAAGGAAACACCTCAACGTCGGCATCCCAACTCTGTTTTTCGCATGCTTCCTTTCTATTTCTTTTTTTCGTCATCTTGGCCGTGTTGAAAGGATAGTCTTGTTCCAGTATTAATCGTTCGAGTTCGAGTTCCTCTATCGTTGTCGATTTATCGCCAACTGTTTGTTACGACTGACATTACATTCTCATGTCGCTGGATCAGGTTCCTTTGCGGGAATTCCGCAGAGTTGACGACTCCGTTGAAAAATTCTGCTCTAAATCGGCTGGCTAGAGCATTTCGATTTTGGTCTGTTCAATTTATGCTGCCTCACACCTCACTCTTCGAAATGCCCTGCAACATGATGCGCCACCGCAGCTTCATCGCCCTCGAATGTGGCGCACACAGGACATGACACGGATGCTGCTTTCATTTGCCCGGCAGCGGCTGTGCTTATAATACCCTCATCCGTCTTGTCCCCATTCTGACGGGAATGAGTCTTTTCACCGCGCTTCTTTCCTTTTGCAGGGCGGATATACATATCTAGCCCAAGGGGTTCTGAAGAAGGCTCTTCCGGGCCATCAAGACGCATATCGCGCGCGGCAAAGCGATTGAGTCTTCCACTCCAATCGCCTCCTTCTGCTCGTAGTTGCATACCTCCACCATCTCCAATGCTTCCTCCCCTTTCGCCAACTTCCTTCTGTGATGGCTCGTCGCTGCTCCGTAGACTCTGCACTCTTCCGACGCGCCCATCAGTCAAACGCACTTTGACGCCGCGTGGATGGTCTCCGCGCGTAAGCACTTCGCCGACTGTGCCTGACACTGTGCGCCCTGTGGGCTGGTCGGCCTTGAGGACGATTTTGACGGCTGTGCCAGGGTTGATAGATCTTGAAGGGGGCACGTGGGGATGGGAGGGGCGGGAGCCGCCGCGCCCGTGATGTGGCCTTTGGCGATTCATTTTATTTCTGCAGGTTTCTTTTCTCGATGGAGAGGAGCTACAAGAGGGAGAACAGGATCGTTAGCATCACGTGACAGATTTAACGTAATCCACTACCGAGCGGGCAACCATCCCACAACTACGTTTTCAAAAGTAGATAAAACCACCAAAACACCATTAATTCAAAAATTACTTATTAGGGCAACGGGTTATAATATGTCCAATCTGCCTGCATGCGCTACATGTAGGAGGTGCAAGCTTCGCTGCATAAATAGGTGGTTGAACCTGATCAACCGGAGTAGGCGGGGGCTGTTCAGCACGTTCAACTGGCTGCACTGGCTACGCTGGTGGCGGTAGGCCCTCGCCGACCTTAACACCCTGTGCACAGCGAAATAATCGATTCGTTTGTGCTCGTTTTTTGCCCTTTTTTCACATGTAGTGCACGTAAATCAGCGTTTTTTCTGCGCTAGTAGCGCTGCGATATGTAATGTGTGAAAGTGGCTCTTAATCAGTTGATCGAGCGAGCAATTCGTGCGACAAGCGGGGCTTCTTGATTGATTCCTAAAAATCCTTTTATATAAGCAGTCCGTTTTTGTAGTTGTTTGACGGTTTTTGGTGTTTTTGGGCTGAATATGCTTGATCGGCTGGTAAGGCGGCTGGGTGGTGGTGTAGGTGTTCGGAGTGATATTTTGAGTTTTGATAATATATGTTCAAGATCAAGTGGAAGTAGACCTGCTGCTGAGAAACTTTTTTGAATAGTCTCTCGTTTAAATGTATCCCGATGTGCCTGAGGATATTCTGCTAGGAAATCTAGTTTGTTGATGTGATTATATCCTAGTTAACCTAGCCCAGCTTGATTAGTAATTAGGCGACTATAGGCACGTTTAAGAACAGCGAAATAGCTAATATCTATAGGTTGAATAATAGGAGATGAATGTGCTGGCATGCAGACTGGAATAATCGAATTTTCCGCACATAGTCGATCAAATTGAGGCGTGAGATGGCTACTATGGTCATCAAGAATCAGAAGGCAATATTTCCCTTTAGATCCGATTTAATCTGAATGGGATGAATAGTTTTTCAAGCCATCTGATGCTAATTTCATCTGAATTCCAGCCATTTATAGTGACTTCAATTCGCCAGTCTTTTAGAAGCCCATCAAACCAACTTATGTTGTTGTTTTTAGCTTTGAAGATTATGCAGGGTGGAAGAGCAAAACAAGCCGCATTGATTGACTGAATAAAGGTCACTATGGAGGCTACTTTTCGTCGGGTCGAGCTCTTGTTCTTATCCTCGGGCTCCGGATCAGGCTCGCGGAGGAAAGCGTTCCAGTCAACGATTGCTACTGCTGCTACCTTCTTCGGATTTTTCTTTTCTGAGGATATGGCTGATGATGATAGTGTCTGAAAGTGTGTGAACGAATATGTGGTTGGAGGCTTAGCTGGAGGGCATCGACGGGCGACCCGCCCATGCTCGGGTTTATAAAGGCCTCCTCTGGGCTCACGATGGAGCCGCCGTAATGTAGGTGCAGATGCCAGCCAGGACTGGCGTGTTATGACGCCATACTAGGTGGAAATTGCGTGAACGATGAATAAGCCGATCCCGAATGGTCCAAGTGGTATTTGACCACTTCCTCAGTTCGTCAAAAAACAATGAAGAGCAAGGCGTCGCTCACATAATCATGTCGAGACTATTAATTCAATTAAGAACGGCAATGTGCACATTGATTATCTCTATTTGTGTGGAAGTATGTTGACTGAGAAAAAGTTCGAGTACCTGAGAAAAGTACCGGAGAGCGATTTACTGGGAGCAGAGACACTGCAAACACCTCAAACAGCATTGAAACTGACCACCGGTTGACTCGTCAATTACGGGGACTAGTCATGTGATGCGAAGTGCATGAGGCAATCAGACCAACCTTCCTCGACAAGTGTCTACACTCATTCCCTGGCTATCGCCCTAGCCGAACAGCTCACATATGCACCATGGCTATTCATAGTTATCCTGTGATAATACGACCAAAGGTTGCTACTCGAATCATTTCATCTGGGACCTCTGGAATCGTGTGCCCGAACAGTCACGATCCAGAGCAAGTAATCAAAGCTCCTCCTTTCAGATTCAAGCTTGATGACTGCAATTAAGATGTCACAGAAAATGCCTGTTATGATAGGAGTTTCTCGATCATGTTTTGAGATCGAAAAGATGACCTACACCCTTCTTCCGAAGCATCCAAACATTCTCAACTGCATTGAATCACGGACAAAGGCATCCACTTTCCTTATATGCGACTCGGCAACCTACGCGAAGATCTCCAACAGCATAATCAAAAAGTTCAAAGCACAATACGAAAACAGTGGATCGAAATGGCCATTGATGCTATTGCCCTAGTCCATACTCGCAATATTGTCTACGCTGACATCAACGCATACAATTTTCTCATCGCCTATGATCTGTCGATAATGCTTTGTGACTTTGGCGGTTCCGAGATTAATGGGGAAGAACTCCTGGTACGAGCGGAAGTTCGATACAACCTAAAACGTCGGGTCCTGGTTCTATTACGAAGGATATCTTTGCACTCGGATGTCTTATGTATGAGATCATAACTGGTCGGCGCCCCTACGACGAAATCTCGGATAGCGACGTTCAAGAGGTTGAAGATCGCTACTATGCTGGGATATTTCCGTGTATGTCTGGTCTTCCTTGCCGAGTGATTATACACAAATGCTGGACTTGTTAATACACGGATGTCGGCCAGATCAAACAAGATCTGCAGAGCAGAGAGGAAGTTGATCAGTTGATTTTGCCAAATTGTACGATTCCAGCGTAACGAACGTGGGCTCTCAAGTCGATGAATTCGCTATCGCTTGTTACATCGACCGCTTATGCTGTCACGATCATCTGGTAGAATCCAAAACGTAGTTATTGGAGGCTTCTGCCCTCAATTAGTGGTATGCTGGTAGAAAATTGGCCAATTTGATGATTTTTGTCGATGTAGTCATCTGTATCTCATTCTCGGTACTAGCGTCCAAGTAATGCCTTAGCATAAGCAGTGAAACCACTCGTTTTGCAAACGTCTTAGTTTATCATCAGCGACCTCGGTACGACGGTACCTAGGAAAGGTACAAATAATTATCAATCAATAAACCAATGAACCTACCCACCGGAGCCATATCCTCGCACCCAGATACCACTAACACCCAGCTTCCAAGATCCCCAAAAGGTCTACAACATCCCCGAAACAGACCAGCTCCCTAACACTCAACTTGATAATCATCCCATACCACCACACCATCCACCAAAACCCTACAAAATACATTATTCAGATGGAACCCACCACATCCACCGCCAATACCCATAGCTGGTACCTATAGCTAGCTCGGCTGATGGAAGGAACCCATCGAGCCGCGGTGGAGAAGTGGAGCCCGAGCCCAGCGGTTCGGCCGAGCTGGAGCGCGTTCGCGTGTCTATCATTTAATTTTGTTTTGAGGGCGAGATACGAACTTCGATCTTTGTATACATCACAGGGGATAGTGCCGAGCTATTTTTTTTAATCCTATATTTAATTGTTGGTCATTTCGCATTCGATGGGTGCATGCCGTGTCCTGGCATAGGCTAGACGAGGTCAGTATCAAAGACAACATTCTGGATATCGTCAGATGCCTGAATTTTAAGTATGGAATGAATGTGGGAAACAACGTGAGCACCTGCATGAGCCTGCAGGATCGCTTGCCTCCACCGTCGACGTCCCGAGATAACGGTTCGCAGTTTCGCGCGGACTACCTACTAAACCAAGCGGGACCGTAAGCGCCGGTGGAGATATCCACTGGGACATTCTTGGGATGGTCTGCAGAGAATTCTGCAGAAGCCGGTGTTTCAAGCAGCAAACAACTTAAAATAAGCTCGCCGGTGTGCACTACCCAACAGGAAGGGCAAAAAATAAAATGACTGGGCAGTGTTTGGGAATGTTATCATCAAACCGAATTCGGCAAAGCACGTGGTACCAGCACAAACTTTCGGCGATTCCGTCGTGCCCCCGTCAGCCGTTCCGTCCGAAGTCAACTCCAGTCCAGTCAGCCATGCCAGTGCTCTGTAGGGTGTGGCAGACAGGCAGTAATTTCGCGAGCGTTGATCTTACCCTTCTGGCCGTGTGCGTACCCGCTTCACCCACGTACCAAAGTTTGTCGTGGGGCTGCTGAAACGGGTTATGTTTTCTAAGAAGATAACGTCAAGTGGGTCCAGACTAGAAGGAATCGGACTACGCTACGCTAAGGCAAAGTATGGAAGGAAGTTCTCGAATATTTTAGCGAGATAAGTGCAGTGCATTCATCGAAGGGTATATGGACATCATCATATTAAAGCTTATAAGGTACATCAATGGGTATAAAATCCAGTCACATTACTGTCAAATTAATATGTAACAGGTCTCGTCTCGTATTCCGTAACCAGCGTCCGAGCCAGCTCATCTACTTCACTTCGAAAGTAGATTAAACCATATTGACGGGGTCGTTGAGGGTAGTCTCCGAATCAGCCGAAAGACGACGGTGGTTGCGGACGAACTTCGGCCAAGTATTAGTGAGAACGAGATACTTGATACTCTTCTCAGCTTCGTCGAAGATCGTCGCGCAGAACTCCTCCGGAATATCGCCCCAGTACAGCACACGCTCGCGGATGGAAGACATGGAGCTTGCGGCGCCCTTCTCGGAAAATTCGGATTTGGCCGGCGAGGGCAGGTCGAAGGTAAACTTGTCGAACGGGGAGACGGGGTCGACTTCGCGCTCTTCGCCATAGAGGATGGACGTCGGCTTCTCGAAGACGGATTCCAGGTGCTTGAGGTCGTGGCCAGAGATGTTGAGTGGGAACTCGGCATGATGCACGCTGATGAACTCGGCATAAATGTGCAGGGCGCGGTTGAAGTGCTCACGCAACAAGTCGCGGAGGTTGTCGTCCTTGGCACCGGGGCCGTCGAGAATGGCTTGTGGGAGGCTGTTCTTCCATTCGGCGATGCTGGTCAGGAAGGCGATGTTCTCGCCGGAGAAGTCGTTGAGCGCGGAGAATTTCTGGAGCGGGTCGGGGTTGCGCTCCAGGACATACTCCAGGGCGCCCATGGTCAGGATCGAGTCGCGGGAAGAGCTGTTGTCGCTCTTGACCGAGCCCTTGGTGGACCAACCGACGGAGAGCATGGAGTCGACCATGGTCGAGGTCGTGTTCATGGACTTCTCCTCGGAGTTGCTACCCTTGACCTTCTTCTCCCAGTTGGCGATGGCGTCGAGGGTCTCCTGGCGGAGGGACTGGTGGCGGACGACTTCCCAGCAGGGAAGGAAGACGGTAAAGACTTCAATAGCGATGATAGAGATTGCAATCCACTGAGGTGGCAGCCAGTATTGGTTGACGACCTCGAAAGCGGGGACATAGAGAGCGATAAGCCACATGGGGGTGGCGTGGAGGTTGGAAAGACAGCATCCAATGGTCTGCAGTCTCCAGCCCTGGGTATCGTGGATGTCGCGAGACTTCCACAGAATAACCGGGGCAACGACCCAAGCCCAGAAGAACTGTAGCACAACGCCGGGCCACCATTCCCATCCGCGTCCCATCTCCGCCTTCTGTGCCATCTCAGAGCCAGTCACCTCAGTGCCGGGAATACCCCAGGAGCTGTGGTACTTGCGCGAGATGACCCACATCAGCACGGTGAGGGAGATCTGAAGGAGCATGCCGGCGCCAACAAGGATGAGAATGCGGGTGTTGTAGGCGAGGTTCTGGAAGCGGGTGAGCAGGCTGCCCTTGCCCTTGGGCTCGGGAGACGAGCTGAGCAGCCGCTTGCCGCCATCGACGTATTTCTTCTGGAGCTTGGCGACGTGGAGGAAGCGAGAGTTGGAGGCGTGGAATAGGGAAATGCCGCATGGCAGGTAGAGACCCATAATCCAGAACTCGGCGTCACCGGGTGCGAGCGCACCGTACATGAGACCGAGCTGGACGAGGATCCAGTAAATGTGCAGTAAAACGACAGCAGAGAGCGAAAGGCCGAGACCACGAATTCGGAGAATAGGCGAGTTGCGGCGGCGGATGAGGAACCACATACCCAGTCCCACGGCGGTGGTCCAGACGACGGTCCAGACAGCCCACCAAATCGTGACCGGGTTAATGGCCAGCTCCGCCTTGGAGTCGGCTTGGACGTTGAGTTCCGAGCCCATGATGGTTCGGGGGGTGGTGCTTGACGAAGCTAAAGGAATGTGGTGAAGTTGGATAGCTCAACAAACATCAAGTCCGGCAAGAGCGGGATCTGGGGGCGCGTTGTTATAAGACGGGCTCGGACCCAGCACCACAATCAAAAACAAGAATCGTCAGGCTCGTCAGGGCCACCGGCCGTGTGGGCGGGCACAGCGGCCGGCGCCGAATTACATCGCCCTTGTGGTTACAGTTGCTGGTCGAGGCGAAATTTCCCCTGTAGATCGTACCAAGATGAGGAAGGGGAAAGGTGGAGCACTTAAACCCGATCTAGGGCGGAATGGAGACGGGATTTGGAATTGGGGCTGGGTCTTATGCAGGTACGAACCACTCATCTCGATTTGCGATCGATCCCATCTGGAAACTATTGAATTCAGATTTTGGCCCGGTGTGGGAGGTGGTGTTGGTCACCACACACCATGGGTCTGCAGCCACGGCACTCTTCTCCAATTGCACATATCACATTCTGCAGGATCTAGCCATCCAGAATCCGTATAGATATACGAGTGTATCTAATTCGAAGTCGAATCGGCATTGCCTCGTATATTGCAAATTGAAGTCTTCTCCAGGTGATCGTTCGAATATTGCGAATAATTATGGTGACGATGCTGACCCAACCTGAGGCGACGTCAATTCATCCGTCGGGGATCATATCCAGAGGTAAACTCACAGCCGAAGCTAGCGACGTCGCGGTATCGCGTGTCGCGTCATGAATGACCTCCGGCGTGTAGGGTACTCACTGGCAGAGTGAAGGCTATGGAGAGATGACGCGACCACGGTCTCTGACGAGGGAGATCCCGTCCGGTGGGCCGCCCTCAATAGTGTGCCATCCTACTAAACCACCTTGGGACTAGCTCACCTTGGCACTGGGGCCGCAAAATCAGGATCGGTCCCGGTTCCTGGTTCAAATTCCCCATTTATGCGTTCTTTGTTCAGAATAAGCACAATTGAGCCGGATCCGGCGGGATACTACTGATTGTGTAGTGGAGAGGGGTTGAGCAGTGACATCTTCAATGCAATTGAGCCGGCAGGGCTGGACGTGGACACTGGCAAGTGGACCGCGCAGATCCTGTAATCTCGGGGTCTCTGAGAACCGGTGTTGATTGCGCGAACTCCAAAGAGTAAGTGCCTACAACCTTTTCTGATACACTTCTGACTGACAGCAGTAGGCCAGGGAGTCGGTCTTACTTTTCGAGTAATATCAGATCAGGATTCGTACTATTGACATCCTTCCCCTTGGCACCCTGCAGATACAATAGGTGGGGGAGAGACAAGGACCAAAATTTCGGCAAATGGCAGCCCCCGGATTCCGGGAATAGAGATGCTGGGTACATATGCAGGTACATCGTTAGGCTTGGTACCTTTGCCTCTCAGGGTGGTGGGTGGTGGAAAAGGGCGCGTGATGGCCCCTCGCGCATGTCCCGAAAACTTGGTTGATCTTCGACAATGGCCAGTGCTGGATCGATGCAGAAATGTGGATTCCATGATGCAGACAGTCGATCGATGAGCTTGAGCAAAAACAAAGCACGCATAGCCTCTACCAAGCGTGCCAGTCATGCTAGGTTAAGCTGTGTAACTCAAGCCAGCCGTAGCAACTAACTCTAAAATTCAATACTGCCATCACCCCAGGATCCATCCGGTGGTCCGGACTCGCCGGGCTAGCACCCGGTCTTAGCCCTGGCCAAAGCTGGGCGACCAGAGAGGTTCGGCCACTTACCGAAAATTGGGCAAGACGAACCCGGGTCGACCGACGACTTCCCTGAAGTAACTAGCCCCTCGCGACTTTGGGTCGCGTTGAACTATTGCTTCTCGGCCGCACCAGCAAGTGAAGCGGCCAAAAGGAAATCCTGTCACCCCTCATCTTCTGAGTATCTCCAAGAGGAAAGAGGCAACCGGATGAGCGACTAGTGCCTACCAACAGCTATCTGATTTATCATGCCGCCCTTACTGGCACGGAGTCCTAGATGGTCCGTCCTGGCGAATCATGCAAGCAGTCTATCCAGAGAAACCCCCTCATCGAGTCCCGGAACTCGTCCCAACTACTAGCACTTACCCCCAAGCACCAATGTCTCTCTCAGACATTCTCGCATTTTGGGAAGGAGCCAGTGATTATCTTCCGGCGTAAACAGCGCATCGAGTCAACTACCAACATCCGGGCGTCGAGGAGCACCGGACACGTCCCTGACGGCAACCGCCGCAGAACACGTCAATAGCGATCAGGAAAGGTTGCTGCTAGTCGGATCGCCACATCCCGCATCCGAAGAAAAGTATGCGACGAGAAAGCCAGCATGCCCAAGCGGACCGCTTCATCGACGATACCAGCGCGCCTTGCCCGAACCAGACGATACATCGCAGCCGCCATAGTTGTGAACAATAACTCCCTTGATAATCGGCGCTTCTCTCGGGCGGCACAGTTGATCGCCGCGCAGAATTTGCTCAGTGCGCTCCAATCCTGAGTCAGGTTGTCGTCTGTGCTTGGGCATGCGGCCGGTGAGGCTGCCCCTGATGACGTGGTGATCGGCGTTGGGCTTTGGTCGCAGGGTATCAAGGGCTCGAGGGGGTGTTGAATAAGACGGGCCGGATGTCGTAGCTTATGGCTATTGACAAGCCGCATCTATTTGATACCTAGTGTCTGTACCATTTGATCATGAGGAAGGCTAACTCGTAATGTACGCAAGGGATGGCATGTCCCGGGTTGTCGGGATGCTTATTTCACTAGTTCCAACATGAGCTTGGTGTTGTGTACGAAGGCGAAAATCCCGCCTTTGAGTGTGACCATTTGGCGGGGACCATTCAAATGGTGTTGAGCGGATGTGAGGTCGCTGGTGAGGTGTGCGTGTGTGCATGTGTGGCGAGGTATAGTACGATTAGGATAGTCGAGTCCCAGGTTTCGAGCTCTGTTCTTGGCCGGAGAGCCGTTGCGGAGGAAGCTGAGGGTTTCCGGATCATTTCTCTTTTTGCTGATGCAGAGGCACCTGCAGAGGGGGTGCGATTGTTGATGAGTGATGCGTAAGTTTGACAGAGAAGACGACGGCGTGCATGTATGCCGCGTTGTAGGTGAGTTGGTCAAAACCAGAGGGTGTCTATTTTCGAACGTTTGTGAAAATCGATGCAGTCGACTAGGGGGTACATGGCTTATTGCGCGATGAATGAAGGAGACTTTCGTTCGTCAGCAATGTCGGTCAAACTCGATTATGTTGTGGCGGGTGATGCGGATATATATCACACTTGGGAGGCTTACACCTGAACACATCCTGCAACAAGGCGGGTCAACCGGGGCCGCAAACCGTGTAAAAGAAAGCTCGCTCCCGACTTTATTCGGAATCGAAGGATACTGCATTTTGGACACAATATCCGGAGATTCTCGCTGAGCTGTACTGGAGCCGAGATCTCAAGACGTCTTTGTTTTGGCCGCATTCCGAATCTTGCCGCGATTCTTCCCCAGCATCACGTACTACCTAGTGAGCTTGCGCTTATCCGGCTCAGCTTTCTGCAGTCCATCTGTGAAAATGAATGGTTTTTCATCTAATTTTCAAGTGTCAGGCCATAGCCACGTCGTGATATCCACTAGGGTATGGTCCTACCTTTCCTGTTATCTGTGGGAGGATCTATTGTTCCTATGGGATGGTGGCTAGTCTGGACATAAAGTCGGCTAATTCCAAGCGCGAATGTCGTCCTCGATACAAGTCCAATTACGCGGAATTGTTTTCCATTCGGTTGGTGAACCACCAGGATCTCTGACACCGTCGAGGCGGTGGAAGAGTGCACAAATGTGATGATGCCTCGGCCTCGGAATGGCGCCTGGACTGCTGAATTCGGCCACGCTAACCCGGCAGATTGTTGCCCTCCTTTAGATTTAGCGTGTTTTTCACCTCCCTGATTGGTTTTATCAACAAACGGATGGGGTCGACGGTGCTTAACCGGTGCTTTAACGCTGGGTTGCTAAATCCGAAGTACAAGATCCAGACGCTTGCAATGTTGTTTCCTGCGTGTCCGGCATTAAATCCTTCATCAGGTGGTTTGTTAGGCCGATCCTAACTCCGCTATAAATGTATGGTTCGTGAGGTCTTCCTACTTACCTACAACGAAATTATCTGTGGTCTACCGCTCACCTGACTTCAGCGCAAGTACAGCTCGTCCAAGCCGCATCCCCCAAAGAGCTACCGCCTCTAACCATCCCCTTCTTCCCCAACCAATTCATCAAAAACCAGTCCTGCTCCAGATCTCACAGAAAAGGTTGCCATCGTGACAGGCTCTAACACAGGCCTCGGACTAGAATGTGTGAGACAACTACTCTCCCGCAAACTGACACGGGTAATCATCTCCGTGCGCTCCGTGAACAAAGGCGAAGATGCAGCCGCCAAATTACGCGAGATATTTCCCACGGCCACGATCAACATTTGGCCACTGGATATGGCTTCCTACGACTCAGTTAAAGTCTTTGTCATGAAAGATGAAAACCTTCCCCGTATCGATATTGCAATTTTGAATGCCGGCATGACGAATTCGATGTTCAAGATCTTGCCTGGTACAGGTCACGAGGAGACGATGCAGGTTAATTACCTCTCCACAATGCTGCTATCCATTCTGCTTCTCCCCGTGCTGAAGGGGAAATTGCCTGACGGGCCGGGAAGGTTGACGATCGCTACGACGATGCTCTCGCTTACTGCGAAGTTCGCGCAGAGGAATGAGGTGCCTCTCGTTGCTGCTTTTGATGATGAGAAATTCTTCGACCAAGTGGATTTGTACCCGACGTCGAAGTTTCTGGGACAGGTTTTCCTGGTGGAAGTTGACGGACTTGGTGAAGGCCGATGATGTGATTGTGAATATGGTCGAGCCGGGGTTTATCAAGGGGACGGAGCTGCAGCGGGATATCCCGACTGCGGCGAAGCTTGCCTTGAGTTTTCTCAAGGCGACGACGGCAAGGAGCATTGAGGAGGGGGCGTCGACTTATCTTGATGCAGCGATTGCTAAGAAGGAGTCACATGGGTGTACTTTGATGAATTCGGTGATTGTACCATGAGTATACTGACCTCAATGTTGATTAGAGCGTCTGCTGACTATATACCAGATACCCTTCCTTGAACTATACAGAAGAGGGGGAGAAGATTCGAGAGAGGCTTTAGGAGGAAACAATGGAGGAGTTCAAGTTTGCCGACGCGGAGGAGATTTTGCAATCCTTGTCAAAGGGAGATCGGTGAGGGTAAATAGAAGCCATCTCGCTCATGTTTACACACTGTTACATTCCAACCCTCTTTTCACGCTTAACGCAAGACGATTGCTCCACAGAAATCACACTCGACCTGTCTATTCCCTTGTCTAAGCAGGATATTGGTGCTAGGGTAAGGTATGTCGTCTTGCGTGAACAGCCCCCACAATCGTACTTTTGATTTAGCGGGGGGATCGCCGCCCCCAACCCTCAACTTTTCCCCTCAGATCACCACCACCACTCAACTTAGCTATGGGCTACAACGGCAAACCAAGCCAAGGCTGCGAGACCTGTCGCAAGCGCAAAATCGGCTGCGACAAGCTCACCCCAAGCTGCACGCAATGCAATCGAAGCGGCCGCCCCTGCCCTGGGTACAGGGACCCGCTGTCGCTGCACTTCCGGGACGTGACAGAGCAAGTGATGCGGAAAGAGCAAGCGCGCACATCAGAGACGCCCGAGTCGTCGTCGTCGTCGTCGGAGCACAGTCCTGACACTAGCACAAACACAATCGTTCGCAGGCGAGCTGGATCTCGAAAGACCCACGCGTCAGCGCGATTATCTCGCAACGCTTCCCTAATCGAGACGGGTGCCGGGGCTGACCCACCTCCCCGGGCCGATGTGGACATGGACCAGGACACGGTACATAATTTCGTGTACTACCCATTCGTAACTGGGCCGTTGGTTCGACCGACGAAAGAGGAGGCTGTTTGCTATTTCCTGCACGCGCATGACTTTCCCGGGAGTCCGTTTATCACGCGAAATGTCACGACCCTTATTTCGGCGAGGAAGTCGCTCGGCCAGAGGGCACTGGAGAGTGGGATTGCGGCTGCTTCGTTGGCGTTAATGTCACGGGCGCGCGATGTGCATGCCCTGAGGTATACTGCTTGTCAGGAGTATGTGACTGCGTTGAAGCTGGTTAATCGTACGCTGGCTGATCCGAAGGAGGCGAAGACGGATCAGGCTTTGGCGGCTGTTACTATGTTGGCGCTATATGAGGTAAGAGGATCTGAGATTTATAAAGGGTCGAGACTGACTTTGACAGTTGATCTCGGCGAGGAGACCGCGGGGACTGGATGGATGGAAGAATCATAGTCGGGGAGTTGCGGCCTTGCTGGAGATTCGAGGGGTTAAGCTGCTAAAATCTGTTATCGGATTGGAGCTGTACAGACATACGAGACACCAGATGGTTCGTTTCTACCACATGTCGGGGGTGCTTATGATACTAACAAATGACAGCTTCTCGATTGCTTCCAGAACAACACACGAGTCCCCCAAGTACTAGAAGAAGGCGCAAAACTCTCTATGATCCTCCAACCAGACGGACATCTAGGCGACAAAATGTTTCTCATCTGGTGCAGCATGTCGCACCTCCGTGCCGACATCCAAGAACAAGCAATAACAGACCCAAACAAGATCCTAGCCAAAGCATATACTATCGAACAAGACCTCAACACCTGGTTCGCCAACCTCCCACCCTCATTCTCCTACACCACGCACATCGTCCCACCAAACAGCTACACAATCAAACAAAAATGTCGCGGCATAACCCCTTATAACAACAAGTACCATATCTACAACGCCTTCTGGATAAGCGAACTCTACAACCAATACCGGTGCATGCGCATCCTCGTCAGCGAAATCATCTTCTCGCATCTCCAAAAACTCCCCTCACCCACTGCGTCGTGCAGAGAACACGAACACCGGGCCCTAATCTCGCATTTCAGCGACGAGATTTGCCACAGCATCCCCTTCAGCCTTGGCGCCTGCAACTCAGAAACTCCACCGGAAGTGCGCGCAGTCCCACCGGAGAACTATATAGCGGGTCTCCTGCTGATCTGGCCGTTGTATTTGGCAGGGGCAGCCGAGCAGCTGAGTCATCCGCGTCGACGGTGGGTGCTGCATGCTGCGAGAGTTATTGGGCATTCGATGGGGGTGGAGCTGGGGTTGAGGATTATGGATATTTTGAATGTTGCGCCTTGTATTCTTGATGAGGAGGAGATTTGGTCGGATGAGATTTCGGTTAAGTATGTTAAAGAGGGGGATGGGGTTGATTGTGCAGGGTGATTGTTAATTTGCAATTTGGTTTCCTTTTCATGTGAGATATTTCGGGTGCTATTCAGTTTTTGGAGGTTCCTTTACACTACACTGAAGGTTGGACTTGATAATTGATTGGGAAAAGATACTGTGTCTCGGCGGATGTCTTGTTGCCTCGAAAGACAACACCGATCCAGCAATGAGCGAGGCGGATTGATTGAAATTTGGGTCATGTTTGCTATATACTAGCACAAATTAATCGGACGGTGGAGCCTTTTCGATCAAAACAGAAACAGCAGTGTCAAAGACTGTACATATCAAAATACAGCTGGCAGGTACTTCAGATGCCGAATCTTATCATATCACCCCGCATCTGGCGGCCTCGGCCGACGACCGATAACCCCAACCCCCAACTACCGTCCCCATTCATCCTCTTCCAAGAACAACTGCCGAGGAAATATTGCTCTCACACATAGCATCCAAGCTCCATTACAGCTGAATCGCCATGACAGCCAAAACAGAAAGCAGCAATTTCTATCCACAGCCCGCAACCGGGTCCTCCCGCCCATTCTGGCGAACAACACCGCACGCACTCGACAACCACCGCACAACCGAAAACCTACCCTCCGAAACCGACATCCTGATTATCGGCGGTGGCTACGCCGGCGCCTCAACCGCGTATCATCTTTTCCAGGAAGGTAGCGCGCCGCGGGTGGTGCTGCTCGAGGCTCGGGAGTTGTGCTCCGGCGCGACGGGTAGGAACGGTAAGTTCGATCCCATCTAAGGCTCAGTTTGATCAGATCTGACATCTCTAGGTGGCCATTTGAGACCGGATCTATACGCAATCACGTCCAAATACGCCGAGCGCTATGGTCTCGAAGCTGCCGTGGAAGTCGTCCGATTCGAGATGTCGCATCTGAAAGAGATCGCGAATCTGGTCGAGAAGGAAAACATCGACTGTGAATTCACGCTCGCCCGCTCATTGGACATCTACATGGATGAGGACGAGCTAGCGAAGCGCAAGGAATTCGTCGACTATCTCCGTGTCCAGGGTCTCGACTTCATGGATGATGTCAAGTACATGTCTGAACAGGAAGTGCAAGAAGTAAGCACCCACCCATTCACTCCGTTATGAAAATACTAAAAAGAAAAACAGAAAGCCCATGTCCGCAACGCAAAAGGCGGCTTCAGCTTCTCAGCCGGCCACCTCTGGCCCTACAAACTAATAACCCAACTCATCACCATCGCCCTATCCCACGGCCTAAACCTCCAAACACACACGCAGGTCCTGGAAATCGGATCAACCCGCAAGAACGGCCTCTGGCCCGTAACAACAAACCGCGGCACAATTAACGCACAAAAAATAATTCTCGCGACAAACGCATTTACCAAAGCGTTGGCACCCGAGTACTCTCAAGCGATAATCCCGTGCAAAGGTCTCTGCACGCAGATTGAAGCGGCCCCCGGAAAACCGTTCCAGAGGCTACCGGAGACGTATGCTATTCGTCACGGGCCGGGTGCGTTCATTTACCAGATCTCCCGCAAAGATGGGTCGATCATTGTTGGAGGTGCGCAGTATCGGTACAAGGATGATTTGGGGGTTTGGTATGATAACTCGGATGATGGGTCTTTGATTCCGCAGGTCGAAGGGTATTTTGATGGATATATGCAGCGGACATTCTTTGGATGGGAGGATAGTGGGGCGGTGGTTAAGCATAAGTGGACTGGTGGTATGTTTTTTCTTGTTGAAAGTTCTGTTTTGTTGGTGGATGGGTGCTAACTTGTGGTTTTAGTTATGGGGTATAGTGCTGACTCGTTGCCGCATGTTGGAGAGGTCCCTGAGAAGCCCGGGCAGTTTATTGCGGCTGGTTTCAATGGGCATGGGATGCCGGTGGTTTTTCTTTCTGCGAAGGGGGTGGCGAAGATGGCGTTGAAGAGGGTTTCGTTCAAGGAGACGGGTTTGCCTAGGTTGTTTGAGACTTCGATTGAGAGGCTAGATCCGATTTATAATGATATTTTTGGGTGACGGGAGTGGATTATCGAAATGGTTTGGTTTAAGAGAATGAGAATTTCTGTCAATGTATTTCCATGATGGCACTAAGAAATGCACACTGTAGGAAAGAAACATGCAAGCGACTAGCGTACATAGCCACACAAACCACCGAACACTTTCCCCACAAGACAAGCAGTATATTATACAAATTCCTGAAAGGGCAAACATGTATACCAAGCGCCAACACCCAGTTCCTTCGTATCCCACGCCCAGAAAGCAACTGACTCATTCTGGTTCGTCGTTGAAGAAACTCGGGACTCGGTAGTATACGTGCCTGAAGTACCTGCTGAAAGGTTGTTTCGAATATGCTAGCGAGGAGATTATTGTTCGGGTCGTCGAGGTTTTTGCATTTTCACACGAAGCCGGCGGCGGGCGTAACGACGGAGAGGGCTGAATGAGGGTACAAGGGCGTTGTCGTGTTGCTGGGAGGAAGGTAAGTTGCTGGATGGTAAGCAACTAGATGGTCAGTCGGTGGTTTCAGGGGTTGCTAACTCTAGTTGCCAACCACGTAGTTCAATGTGCCTGCGTGGTTAGCAACTAGAGTTAGTAGATAGAGTTAGCAACAAGAGTTAGCAACTAGAGGGTTAGCGACTAGAGGGTTAGCGACTGGAGGAAGATTAGCAAAACTGGAGGAAGATTAGCGACTGGAGAAAGGTTAGCGACTGGAGGAAGGTTAGCGACTGGAGGATAGTTAGCGACTGGAGGATGGTTAGCGACTGGAGGATGGTTAGTCGGAGAATTCGGGGGAGATGAAGAAGGGAAGTTCAGGATGGAGGGGAAAATGCAATTTATGCCTGGGAACCGAATGAGACGTCGCGCCTTCCTCGTTGTATGAAAGTGGGTCCGAAACCGCGTTCTGGTTGGTTTCCACTCGGAGCTCCCCATTGATACCTGGATTCGCTGGCCGCCATCATTACCCGAGAAGGAAGCCACGAGTTAAATTTCAAGGATACATTGTTTTACTGAGTGATCCCTTCGAGTGCGTAGGGGAGTCGTTTAGACCATAGTTGCCTCCCATCAACTCGGAGGTTCCTGTCAAAGCGTGGTCTGCCCGAGGCATCCAGGAACCCGCCGTTTGCTGCGCATCCCAAAACGGACTAGCGTAGTTTGTGACTGGAGGTATAAATATCGCCTGCCGGTTGAATTTCTTCCCCTTCTTTCTTTTCTCTCCATCCTGGTGCTAGGGCGTTACGTGTGCTTATGAGGAGAGATCCGAGGCCACGTTATTGCTAGTTGCAAACTACCATTCTTGACTGCTTCAGTTGGTCTTCGGATCGGCTGGGAATTTTTGGAAACTCCCTGCTCCATGCTTCATCGAGTTGGTCTTTTCATTACTGTGCTGCCCATGCGGCGGCCTGTAGAGAAGAGATGTGCGTTCGTCACGGAGGCCATGGTCTATCGGGATGTGGACTCGCAAAACCTAGATAGAGTAGTCTTGCAACTGACGATCGGCTGCAGCCTCTGCGTTGTCTAGAGCCTGTATGTAGGTGACCGGCTTCCCCGTGGAGATATTCTGTGGCTGAAAGGCGTTCGCTCAGATGCCAACGCGACAACGAAAGAACGCGATCTCGTCAGCTCGGGGTAGGACAGTTCGTGGCCCTGCCAGCGGCTGCAGTAGAAGTAGAGTATCTTTGTGATCCAGCGAGACAGCTCGTGGCATGCGATACAAACTACCCTAGCTCGATGTGGTCTCGTTCACAGGCTGGGCGAGGCGCACTTCTCATGGGGGAGCGAGACTTCATCTAGGGGACTTCTCGAGGTCAAGTACCGTCAATTGATGGAGCATATTTTCACCCTTCATTTTACCGTTCTCACTTTCATTAAAGCAGGCCTGCATGGCTGCAAGCCAAGATAATCGTTCTACTACGTCCCGGGATCGGAATCCTCGCCGTGGCCCGATTAGGCAAAGCATCGCAAGGTGCCGCATTTGCGCCCTCATCGGCATCACCATTTTCGCAACCAAGGATACTACATAAGACCACGATTGGGAATTTCATGCGATTTATGAGAGATCCTTGGCTACTTCAGATTACACTACTGGGTGACCCGTTGATTAGAAGAGCGCAAGCTGTATCGAAAATTGCTGGATAAGAATAAGTGAAGACCATCCAACTCTGCAGTTCAAGAAAAACCACGCGGACTCGAGAGAATCCAAGACTCGAAACCAGTAGAGAAACAGACAACGAGAACCAAACAAGCAAGGGAGTGTAAAAACAAAACTCCTACAGTATGCAAACCCGATGTATCAACGAAACAAATGGCACAAATTGACAACAGAACAGATAGAGACCCTCGAAACCAAGAATATCTCAACACAGAGAAAGACTCTCAATTGAAGCTCAAGTGCCAGGCTGATCCTCAGACAGAATGCACCTCCTGCTTGGCATCAAGTCCTTCATCATTTCCACCAATATCACTCGGTCGCCCACGACCCCGACCACCACTAGGCTGGCACATCTTCCACTTGCCCTTCGCCTTACACTTCCCAGAGCAACACTCATTATTCTTCGAACAGAAAGCAAGGTGCTCCCGACATGTCTGATGCGGCTTCACAAGACAATACTTGAAGCTGGGCCCATCATGAATCCAATGCTGACACAGATGCGGCTTGCGACAATCAGCCTGTGAGTCGCAGCCAGGATAACAAGCCTTCGCGATGCAACGATATCCCCAATCACAGTCATTATTCACCTTGCAAGAGTCAGGGTAAGGCGGCGCGAAAGGTTCAAGCGTGGGGATGTTCTCTTCCATGGATTCGGTCTCGGTGGATCTCGCGACTCGGAGGATCTCAGCGCCCGGGGCGGAGGTGTGGGGGATTGATTTTGTTTCGTTCTTTGGAACTTCCATGGTGCGCTCTTTGCTTGAGTAGTAGACTGACGTGACGATGGTGAAGGCGATGAGGGCGAGGATGGAGATGGCGGTGAGGATCTTGTAGATTCGTACTTTTCTTTCTTCTTTGGCGTTGGCTGCCATCTCTTCGCGGGTGGGAATCTCCAGCTTTGGCGTTGTTGGGGGGATGTTGATTGTTGCGTCCGTGTAGTGGTTGCTAGAGTTAGAGTGGTTTCCGAAGCACGGCGCTGTGTTTCTTTTTTAATTTCATGGGCGAGGCTTGGGGTGTGGAAGCGGAGCAGAACAGACCATCTGGAGCCCGAGCAACTCGATCGAAGCGAGGGTACTTGGGGAAGTCAGGGATCGGAGGCAGTGTGGGACGGTCTGGGGCCGACATTGTTGATGTATGCTTGTTGGATGTGGGACGTCGAGGCAGGATTTTGGGGCGAGATCAACTTTGGATCAGGCTATGATTAAGAGTCGAGCCCTGACTGAGTTCTCGGAGTAGATGGAAGTGTATGGATGGAGTGGTGAAGAGGAGGAGAAGGAAGGAAAGAAGGCGGCGGACGAGACTTATTTGAGTGCTCTGCGATGGTGAGTCCCTGGTTCAGAAAGATACCAGACTAGAACGGGGAAGAACTTACCCTGCTCGAGAGAGCAGGGACAAACTGAGCCGGAATGACATAGCCTTCCATTCTGGGCGCGGCAGATCATCGTGATGTGTTGAGTCACTCCCGGAGACACTGAGACACTGACAGCTGGTAGGGGTTCGTCGAGAAAAGAGAAGTAGGAGGCAAGTTGAGCCCGTGGCCTTACAAAACAGGGAGACACGTGCTTAAATCCGAGCGTACCTTGTTGTCGGAAGGAGAGCGCCGCTGCCTGCAGAGCGTGTTATTTACTGTGACACTACATATTTAACAGCCTCCCACACCCCCAAATAACTCGTCAAGTCTTTAAAGCCAGGGCAGTTTGTAGAAGATAGGCTGCACAATCGTATACTCAACTTTCAGCATAGTTTTCCTCTTAAGTGTGACCCCAACAACAAGGTTGTTCTCTGTGCTAGCAGAGGGGCACCCATCTCTTTTTACGTTGTTTTTCCTTTTGAAACATTTTGATTTTTAATTCCTTCTGGCAAGCCCATGTCAGTCCTACATAGATATTATGGGGAGACAATTCTGTATGTCATTCAAAAAGTATACTGGTACTGCGGCAACAAAGCAAGAGAGCGATACTCTCAGAAAACCTGACCAATGTCCAACGCACCCGAGAGAATTTTAACAGGCGTGAGGAGTTATGTATTTACAGAGGTTTGTTCAATACACCAAGCCATGCTGCGACAAAAAAAGGACCGCCGGCAATGCGAATAAGCCAAAATCTCGACTGGATGAGAAACCAAATGAGCCAAGTCTATTCCCTCGCAACAAAACGCAGCATCATGACTCAAAAACACAACATACAACTCTGTCATCGGCATCTCCTCGCCCTTCTATGACTCGTTTTTAGTTGTAGGAGCATCAGGGATAAAAGCGTGGTGTATAACCAGACCAACGCAAGATCAGATATATCCATTGGCTCCCAAGTAAAAGACGACTGGGACAAAGATGCACGCACCGATAGCTAATAAAAGCAGTAACCAACAATAGTTGTGCCAAAGAAAATTGATCAAGGCACCAAACCAGCGAGATGCAGGTTTCTTGCGGCGCGCCCGGTCTTGTGAAATGGCTTCGGCAACCGCCTCGGGATTGTAAATTCTGTAGCCGGACGCGGCGACGTGGTTGTGGAGCTGTGTCATGACTTCGTCCACCGGGTCGGAATCTAAAATTGTGAAGTTGGACAGGCCGGTGGCTGGTGGCAAGGGTATCATCTCGAGATCGGTGTATGTTGGTGGTAATTGTCCTGCCGGTGTGTAGGACGGTGGAGGTACGCTCGGTAGCTCTGGGGAGATCTCAGGACGAGGGACTCGCGAAGGAGAATTGGTTGGCTTTGGCTGTTCATTTCTGCTGGGGCTGAGCCATGGTGCAAGGCTCTCTGTTTCGTCCATCCGGCCAAGTAATAGACGAAATGGCGCCGAGCCACGCGTATGACGAAACGACCAGATGGATGCGAGAAACGAGCGGAAATTCTGGAGGCGATCGAAGAGAACCAGCTATCGCGAATGATCACTGGAGCTGCGAAGTTGGATTCCCAGTATGCAGGAGGGATATTGAAAGCTGATGGAACACTTTGCGGTTGAGGCGAAGAGAGGGCCGGGGAGTTTTCGAGTTGGGAAGGAGCTCGTCCAGCGATCTCCGCAGCCATGTCGTGCACGCTGCCCTCAGATAGCTACAGCAAACCGCTTTCTGCTCCTTCGACTGCCTCTAGCGCTTCTTCGATTGAGGTGGTGGTCGAATTCGCAGCGATGCACACTCTTCTTCTTCGCGACATTGTTGCTCGTACTTGCGATGCAACCCGTGATTGGCTTGTCCTTCGGCGAATCCACCGTGCGGCCACCGCCAACTGCGCTCTTCCTTTTTCACGCCACGCGACGATGGCTCGATGGTCGCCATCTACATAGTCGGGCTATGTTGTGGTCGCCATGTCTCAATTGATGTATCTCGGAATCTCGCGGACCGACATGACCACTCAGGCCTGCGATTAGGCTGCGGCAGCATCCGCAAAAATCCAAATCCGCTCCGCATCCGCTCCGCAGATTGCGGATATGGATACGATTCTGACATCCAACTATCCGCGCGGATTGGATGCGGATTTAAGCCTTAAAAAGTTGGATATCCGCGGATATCCAGCGGATTCGAAAACAGTACAAACATGCCAAGTCTGGTGATCTGGTTTGGCATGCACATCTTATGCGGATTTCAAGGTAATATTATGTACCACTAGTGTTACATTTTGTCGAATAAATTACATGGTCACGATACAGAAATTATTTCTAATAACATATCAAACCAGTTCACTGTTCAACTGCTTCATTCAGTGCATTATATAGTTATACTATGGCTTGCCAATTTCGAATCCGTCTGGTAGCCGTGGCTTCTTCCGAATCCTTCCTGTCCGGGTCTGTATACCATCGAATACTGTTTCCTCCAGCAGGGTGCTATCATCTAGATCTAAACTATCCACAGGCCGCTTTGAGGAGTGAGGGATCGCCAGTTCATCTATATCATTGTCGGAATCCTCCTCTTGTAATTCCTCTTGGCATCCTTCCTCTTCATTGTCACTAATCGGTTCCATGAACTCAAGTGATAGTGGAGATAGACGGCTCTGATCAAGCATAGCAGCTTCGCCAGATGAGAGATACTCCTTGATCATCTCGATCTCCGCCTGTTTCAGCTCAAATTTAGAGGAAAAGTGATGGAGCATCAGACCCTTATTGTGTCTGGCTTCAGCTGCCCACGGCGATAATGACAGATATCGCGAGCACAATTGAATAAACGCTCTACTCCTGCTCCACTAGCAGGAATCGAGAGAATATCTCGTGCTATTCTGGCAAGCACTGGGAATTCCTGCTCATGTTCTTTCCAGTAAACACGTGGATTTCCCTTACTGAGCCCTAACGTTTTTATTAGATACAGTAGACGGATTAAATAAATAAGATGCTCACCTTTCGATAGATATCGCGTAACCTCATCTTGCCGGCCATCAAATTCATCAGTAGGGAGTGTGGTTTGTTGCGAGTCACAAAGCATTGCAAGCTCTTCATCCTCTATATCATCAATCTTCTCTGAGGTATCTGATTGGTGAGCTTCCCTCTGAGCTTGTTTCTGATAAGTTATAAACTCGTTTCGAAACGAATCTTGATACTGCTTCATAAAATCAACATCACCATCTCTCCAATCCTTAGTATCAAAGTATCGTAGCTTCTTTGATGGGTACAGGATTGTTGCTAATGCACAGGTTGTACCATATGCACTATTGTCGGTTCCACTGTAATATTTAGAGAGCTTTTTCTGTGCCAGCTGAAGTGCCCGAAGCATGCTTTTCTTCCAGCGTACACGCTTATATCTTAAGTTCTTCTCAGCCTCTTCAAGGTGGGTAAAGAGTCTGTTATAGATGCTCAAGATATGGTGTACTGTGCAATCCCTAGTCTTTGATAAGACATTGGTGAAGTCAAAGAAAGGCTTGGTAATCAACAGAAGATACTCAACCTGGCGCCATTCCTCATTATTAAGCTTAAACTGAGCATATTGATTTGTAGTGCAATACTCATCAAAGCAAGATTGAAGCTTTCGCGCACGGTTAAGCATCAAGAAAGTTGAATTCCAGCGTGTGCGCACATCTTGAATTGGAACTATCTTTAGCTCCTTTTTTTGTAGCCCTAGGAATGCCTCACGGCGCTGTGGGCTTGCATTGATAAATACTGCAAATCCTCGGACCTGTAGTAGCGATTAGTTGAATTTTTTATCAAAAGGGTATAGAATCAAAGAAACCTTTTTAAGTGTATTCACGATTGAGCGGGTGGAACACTTCGTCTGGAGCTCCAAATTTTGCTTACTTGACCATTCTGATTCGGCTTCATCATTCTCGGGTACGGCCTTCAGCTTTCCAAGGAGCTCTTGTAAACAGAGCTGAATCACATGAGCAATACAGGGTACTCGAAAGATTGAGGTCCCAGATTGAAGAAGGGACTGGACTGTCTCCTGGATACCAATCATCATGGTATTGTTGTTTGTAGCATTATCAGTTGTGATTGACAATACTCGATCGGAAATCTTGTGGTGTTGTAGAATCTGGATAACAGTATTACTCAGATTACTACCAGTGTGAGATCCATAGAGATGCTCAAACCCAAGTAGCACTTCCTGATAGTTCCAATCTTGATCAATGAAATAACCAGTGATTGCCATGAATGCTTGGTTAAATGGAGATGTCCAGCAATCAAGTGCAATTGAGATTCGGCATCCATCTGGGAGTTTATTGAGTATCTCTCGCTGCTGGGCTTCTACCGATGTATCAAGAAGTCGCCGTATTGTCCGAGCAGAGGGAATATTGAGCTTTGAGTCTGCAAGCCGAGCGTAGTCAAGAAGACTTCTGAAACTAGCATGCTCGATGATCCGAAATGGAAGGCGGGCAGTAGTTATAAATCCAAGAATCTTTTGTTGAAAGGTAGACTGATCGAACGAAGATATCTGTGTATGCGGCTAAAAATATATAAAATGTAAGTAAGGCTTCCTAGCTCAGAGGGCCTAGCTCAGAGGGAACGACAGACCATATTCTGTAGAAGCTGATCAATGCCCTGTTTCTTCGAGCCCGAAGGCTTCGCACATGTAATACTTTTCATATGTATCTTCATCGGAGACGTCCCTGCTCGACGATGACTTGGATGAACAAGAACAGCCTGGCAGCGCCTACACATCACCTTAGGCTCACCAGTCTTCTCATGTGCAACTTGATCAAAGCAGTCCCAAACATTAGATGTCTTTTGCTTGCTTTGCCATTGGATTGACTTCTGTAAGTCCTCCTTCTCACCAAATTCTGTCTTTAGCCACCACTCAACGAATCCTTTCCGGGAACTCTCCATATCAGGGTCGGTTAGGTTGTCGTTAAAAAGGATCCAATGCTTTTGGAGATGCTTGCCGACACGTTGAAGTGATTCCGGTGCGCGAACAGTATAACGGTGTCGTATAGGAGGGAGAGAGTAATCAGAAAAGGGGGTTGTACGACCTGCTTGGCTTGGGAAGTCAAGGAAGTCGTCCGATTGCAGGATATCTGGATCAATAAAAGTCTCAGCATATTGAGATGCTGGATATTGACTATCTGAATGCTGAGATCGAGACATAGTGGTAAGGGAAGAGCAGAGGTAAAGTGTATAGTAACAAGAGAAATAAGAAAGACAGAATTCGAATACTTACCGAAGTAACTGTGCTAGAAAGATTGGGGGGTGCTCAAGTATTAGGTGTAGCTTGCGCGACCGCGACTTAGGCGTGACTAGAATATGAAACGTCGATATATCATATTCCCCACTTAAGTATAGGGAATAGCCAATAACATAGTCTAGTGGAGGATTATAACTAGATCTCTGATTGGATAAGAAGATTCGAGTGGGTACTAAATTGGATACTTGTTGGATATCTGTGGATATCCGTTGGACATCCAATAATTATCCAACTGATATCCGCATAAGAGCGAATTCAAAATCACAAAGTCCAACAATTCTCATAAACATGCTATGTTTTCACTCTATCTTTATATTATAATGTACTGATTAAATAGTAATTACTAATTCCTTAACCTTTGAAGATTTTATATTCAGGAAGATTTAGTTAGATTACAGCATTTCAAACGTTTTCATCTTTTAATATTATTCTTCCATTGAATCCACTCTTAACTTTCATACACCAAAATATATATTTTCAACCGCAGCCAAAATAACGAGAACCACCACATTAATAAATCAAAATTACCACTACCCACTACATCCCTCAGGAATTAAATTATCACACATGGCCAACAGAATAGTATCTCTTCTCAAATTCAATCCTATTTCATATTATTTCAAATAGTAGATCACATATAAGATAGTAATTCTACCACAAATAACCATAACATACTGATACATCTGTAATGTGACGGGAAGAGAGTGCTTGGTCAGCTGTATAAGGGTCACGTAAGGTGCCAAAATAAGGTAAATTAGCGAATTTTATGCTAGTGCGGATAATTGTTGGATTTTGCGGACATCCAACGGATGTCCGCGGATATCCAACATTTGGATGCGGATGTCCAAGTAGTATCCAACATCCGCAATCTGCGGATGCGGATATGACTTTGACATCCAACGGAGCGGATTTGCCGCAGTCTACCTGCGATACATGTCGAAAACGCAAAGTCAAATTCCATCTGCCCGCGCAGTCCATTCAGGCCCTGCCCCGATTCCAGCGCTGCGGGAAATTGAATATCTCTTGTACATTTGAGTCACCGACAAAGACGCACGGTCCAAAGAAGCAGTACGACCAGACCATCTTTTCCTATCGTGGGTGAAAACTGACATAGACAAGATCGGCAACAAGGGCGGAATCGCGACACTCCGACATCCAGTACAGGACCAATGATCTTTGCAGTCGGGATCTGTTCAACATGATGATGCAGGACTACCTCGAGCACCTCTACCCCTTGGATCCCATTGTGCACCGGCCGTCCTTCCAGTACAGATGAATGGATGAATTCATTTATCCTAACCCCTTGCAATGCAAAGTTGCCCTGGATTGAAGTGCAAGTGTGATGCTCATATTCTAACCCTGCGAGTATGCGCAGCTATTTGTAGTCACAGTAGATGCATTCTCTATGGCACCACGGTGGGCCCATGCCGCTCTTTGTCCACTGCTCTCTCGAAGATAAGAATTTCTCTACTCATAGGAAAAAAGAAGGTGGGAACTCGTTTCATAACGTGTCAGGGTTTCATAACGAGTCAGGTCTGCTTGAAGACAACGAAAATGAGATAAACCAAACACTGTCGATAGGAGCAATGCGTGACACAACCAAGTCGAGATTCCATTTAAATATGAAATCGCCGGGGGCTCAAACTAGTGAATATTCGTTCGCCTGTGCAGCAATATACACATTTCCAGGATTTATTGGATACAAAAGGATATATTCTCCCGAGATTCCATTAAACATTTCAGCAACTGTGAGCTGCAGCAGGTTTATCTTGTGTGTTCGCGCACGTTTGCCCGTCCCCAGTTCCAACAACGACACAATGTGGTTGGAATGTGAGATCACCGAAGGAAATACACTTCCAGGGGTTCACATTGTAATTTCTGAAATTACCATTTCCCGGCTCACACGATCCGCTTTCAAATACCGTCATACAACCGTAACCTTGATCAGAACCGTCAGGTTTCCCCCAAACCGAGCCGTATGGTCCGTCATTAGAGGCCGCATTACACGATTTTGTGTCGTGGTTGCGGTCGCCCTGTTTTGTTTCGGAGCAGTCTGAAGAAGTATACAACTCAACGCCAACCTCGTACGTGTTGCGTTTTGCGAGACCAAAGACTCTGTTGTTTCAGCGGGTAAAATATTAGGGCGCCTGCTTTCAATGGTAAGAATAGGGGTATCTACTGACTTGTCGCCCTGAAGAACAGCTGCGTAAGCAGTATGGGTTGCTAATAAGATAATCGGAATGTATGATTTCATTTTTTCAAACAATGAGTGAATATGTCGGGGGAGAACTTGACTGTGCTGTATAGTGGTTCATTGTAGTTACATTTTGAGGAGTCGGCGGAGTTGAACTATCTTTAAATAAGCCCGTATCCAGTCGCACTCATTGTGCGTACATACGACCTGACTGCTTGGTGCTATTTTAGAAACACTCTCCTTTCCTTAGCAAGGGCCTTTGGCGCCAAGGTTATAGGGGCCAAGCAAGGCTGTGGGGGCTGAGGAAGGCTGTGGGGACCAAGGAAGGTTGTCGGGGGCCAAGGTTGTCGGGGCCAAGGAGGGCTTTTGGGGCTATAGGGGCCAAGGTTGTCGGGGCCAAGGAGGATTTTAGGGGCTATAGGGTCCAAGGAAGATTGTAGGAGTCAAGATAGTTTTTAGGGCCAAGACTGCGGAACGTCCCGTTTTCCGAGTCTAGCCGAACCTTTAGATCACTCATGATCGAACGTAGTATTCTGATCCTTAGAAATAGAACCTCCATCATATGAATTTGGCCCCTTGGCAAAGACACCCGGAATAAGCACTATTCAGGATACTGCCTCATAATCCTATTTATAGGAAACGGAGGCAAAGGTGACATCGCAACTGATCATTCAATGTCTCAAACACGAGGCAATGGGTTTTGAGGTTTCAAGTGTTTGGTAATATGAGTCGGTGGAATATAAATCACTGGCAGTCCCTCCAGAATCCATACCAATCACCGTCCATTGCAAAACATCTACGTTACCAGCTTCAAGATATTCGCGCAAAATGCGTCTTACCATCGCTGCAACCCTCGTCGCTCTATCTTCTGCCGCGTTCGGCTGGGATATTACAGTATACAAGGACCTTTTTTGTAACGAGAATGATGTCGGCAATTTTGAATACGTTCGTTTCTCCCTGGAATTTTCAGCAGTGGATTACAGATAAAGTTTACGGATGAACTGATACCTATTAGTACATATTCGAGGGAGAGGGTGACATGCCGTATTGCGCTGGCATATCAGCGAAAGACTTTCCAGATGGTGTGACATGCACCCACTACTACGAAGGAGGAGCTAAGAATGATGCCTGCAACGGCCAGTTCGATAAGGGCATGTCCCTCAACGTCAGAAGGGGAAGAGTGACGTTCTATACCGTGTATGACGATGACTCTGCTCAGCCAGATGATAAAAGATGCCCTGCTGGTGACGGCCTTTTGGATGGGTTTCCGAACGACTCGGGTAGCGTTGGCTTCACCCCTACCACGCCTGGTGGATGTGTGAACATGGATAAAAAAAATGATTACCACTATCCCGGAGTGATGGGGTTCTGGGCGTTGGAAGGCCCCCCGGTCGGTAACTGAAAAGAGAACCAACCAACTTAGCCGCGCCGTAGGCACTTCAATGCCTGCAAAGATATTTTATGTATAAACGCGTGCGCCAGGCAACCAGGATGTCTAAGAAAGTGGAGCAGTGTCTTGAGCTTACTCGCTTCAAATGTTTATATAAATTGGATGCCATTAGAATCCCCGATCATCGGGTACTGCGGCATTTTCATTACTTCCTGATCCTCCAGAGGGGTATATGACTTACCCCTCATATACCCCGTAACTTCCACTCTTTTACTTCCTCGGTCAATTCAAATCGTCTCAATTCACTCGGATGGTTCTCCATCTATCTAAATCCCCACTATATGCATAATAGATATTACTGTATTGAACTTGCTCAGCATTTGATATCAGACCAAACTTAATGTATTGATGATATTGAAGAAAGAAATGGAAGACAGGGAATCCGAGGGGATTGAAATACCTCTTCAAATCTCCGATATCGATGGTTGAATCGTCAGTGTGGAACTGCATAGCTCCTCTATCGCTCTGTTTAGCACTTCTCAATCTCCTCCTCCTCCTTCTCCTCCTCCTATTCCCATGAAGGAAAAAGCAAAGCAAATTTCGCTAGATGATAGTGTCGTACGTTTACAGTGTGTCTCGAAACTGGCGCGACCACCCCTACTCTCTAACTAGTGTAGTGGGGAGACCCCCCTCCCCTACTAAATGGCTGCCATCTAAGCTATGTTATGTAGCCGGCCGTATACGGTGGCCATCTAGCTAGTTCTCGAATACACCTTCTTACGCCTCCCCGACCTGAAATTTGCTTCCTTTCAGGATGTGAACCCCGCATTTATGAGTTCATCAGGACGTTCGAAAACACATGTAAAATTTGCATGTGAGCACAATCTATGAGACTAATCAATTCCGTGTCTACCTCTGTGCTATTGATGTATATGGGAAAGTCCTTCCGACTACACAACCTCAGTGAGGATAAGAATACCCATCCTACTTGAATCCAAATACGACAAACACCAGACTAGTTTTGTAGATACAGGTCTCGATAGTAAGTGTTTGTAACTAAAACCCGCAAGACTTTCTCCTTTCGCAGAGCGCTTCGTGGCCAAAGAAAGACCTGTACCTCCTACACAATTGTCCTTAGATACTGCTCAGCTCCCCGAGATGTGCTGACTACCTGCTCTGGTATCTCCGGCACCAGGCCGCCGGTCATAGAAGTAAACGGATCGATGCCTTCCTCTGCTAACGGCGATGGCAACGGGAAGCAGTCACGGGGCCCAGAAGGTTTCACTGAAGTAGGAGAAGTGGAGTAAGTCTGGTCAAGTGGACTGGTTTGTAAAGTTTCGATTTGTTGACTTGACTCATGGCTGCTTCGAAGTCCAAATGTCTTTTGTAAGATAGGACAGGTTCGAGCAGCGACAATGCGGAAGGAGGGGATGCATGCGATGAGGATGGCAACGCAAACCTCGACGGATGACCAGTTCAAGGCCTCGACAAGGGCCCCTGGCAAAAATTAGTCAAGGAATAGAGGGAGGAAAGACGCAAGGACAAGGAAAGCTAACAAGTAAAATCAATGTTAAAATGCCGTATATAGGTGATGCGAATAATACTCGTCACACAAACCCTGTATCAAAATTAGAGCAGATCCCACAGAGAAGCAAAGAAGAAAGTATGTCGAAAATGACTCACAGCAATCCCAAACCGAACATCAATACCAGGCCAGCCTTTGAACCAACAGGCATTTGAAGCCGTAGCACATGTGGGATAGGTAAAAGAAAAAGAACTGCGTCAGTAGCCAGCCTGGTAGCGAAGGAGATGAAGTAGAAAACATAGAGATCAATACAGCTGCCCGCTACTGTTGTAGGGTGAAACAGCTTGCTAACTGGCGAACATTGAAAAATGATAACAAATAATTCTTCGATAAGTTGGCAGCTCACGATCACAATGACCAAGTAGTATAGCCACCGTAACTTGGTAATTGAAAATACCTTAAGATATAAAAGACAGATAGAGACCTTTATCGATGCCAAGGAGATGAGATACGAGACTGCGGCGAGGAAGTCAATCTAAATAGTATTTGTCAGCGATGGAATGGACTATGCGGGCTCAATTTGATTTTATACCTTCAATAAATTAGTCACCGTCTCCGTGTCGGCCTCAATAAGTGCAAAGTGTCTTCCATAGCCGTAGCGAGTCACTGCAAAGCGATTAGATACCTCGAAGTCTGAAATAGGAAATTCATAACTCACTCCACATGGAGGTAAAACATAACACGAAGGCAAAAATCTAGTTCATTATCGCCAACAGCCACGTTAACAGGGTCCGGTATGAGTATTCGTCACTTTGCTGGCAATTCCTTACCCAGCTTAATAGTAAAAGGCCTGGAACATGGATGATGAGCCTAAGGAGATCAGACCCCGTTTCAATACCGGCGCCACGTACCGTCATCGACATCAAAACGATGTGTGTATATTTGGGCTATCACCCGAACACAAGTGCCAGCAGTAGCCACCGAAAGACTGACCGTGTTGCAGCTGATGACACTTGCCACTTTCGAATCCTCTAGGGAGATCGAAGGTAAAGTATTTCGTTGCATTTTATCATCTACCAGCGCTGCGCCTATTCAAAAATGTACGTTTGAATAGTGGTTGACTTGCTGGCGATGTTTGCCTTTTCGCGGCTTGGCGAAGCAATACCGTGGAGTGGTGGCATGGAGCACTGCGATGAGCGCTCCCGGGTATTTGAACTGAGGAGTCAGGTTGCTCCTGGAGCCTCGATGTATTGGCAACGGTCAGATAAGCTAGCTGTTCGTCATAAGGTAAGCACCCGTATATAGCGCGACAAGATCAGGATTGTAACTGCGCATTATTCAAGTTGAAGAAGCTCATGAAGTGATGAAGTGTAAAAGGTGAGTCCATTTTCTCCTCGGGATTTAGTTCCGCCGTGAGTTCGTGACATGGACTCTCAAGGGGCGAATCCCCCGCATTAAGTTTTCCTCCTTCCGAAGACACGGGCGGGGGTTTCGAGGGTCGTCGCGTCAGTGGCGGGCTATAGATCTGGACCGTCATGGCCTAGGCCGGTGACAAACCCATTTGCAGATAGTTCGTGGATGGATGAGTTAACCAGGTGCAGATAGTAACAGAGGAAGACGGCATACATGGTAGTGTGAGATCAATATGATGAATGGGAGGTTCTGCCAAAACTTCTGCCTTTTACTTCGCATTGCATGACTGCCGAGCTCTTCCCACTTCCGCCATTCCGACCTCGTCCGAGCGCCAATATATCGCCAACACTTTGGTGAATAACATTCAATGCATCAGGGACGGTTGTTATGTCCAACCCAGGAGGTACTGTGTTCCAAATACTAATGAACGGCCACTGTAGGTGGAGAACAGAGTGGGGAGAGCCCATTACATAGATTTGGTTGGACTAACCTTTACCGCTTTGCTACACCGCTTACCTATATTATCTATCCATGACCCGCTGTACCCGCAAAATTGCTCCATTCGCGCCCACTAATATGCCACGTGGTTCAAAGTAAAGAGCTAGACGTCGAGCGTATATGCCTGCTCAAATTTACACTCAAATGGAGTGCACGACGTATGCAGAAGTACCGGTTTCCTGAGATCCCTCTGTCAACTATCTCATATACCCTGACTATGGAAAGAAAGCGAATTAATAGCGCGTCTTTGCCTCGCTCTGGTCAGCCACGACAGCTTATGGAAGAGGACCGAGATCGGGTGTATGATACTATCCAAAACAACCCTTCCATTACACATTAAGATCTTCTAAGCGAGGTCGATTATAAGGTCAAAATCTCATCGATCTGGCGGTTGGCGCATGAAATGGGTCTTCGGAAGTGGCGCAAGATGGATCGACCCAGGCAATTTAAACGATTTATGTGGTGAAGAGACATATCCATTCTGCTCAAGCTCAAATTCAATCGTGGAATCTTAGACGATTGTAGGACTGGGCGACTGCCGAGTGATATCAAGACCTGAAGAGAATGCATCTGATTAGCTCTCAAAATGTGACATCGAGTGAGGTCGGCACGTGTATCATCACAGACTACATCTGCTTTGCGACTTTTCGCTGTGTTGTCGTTGGGCTTCATCGTCCTCTTATAAGAGACGCTGACCCATTCTATCGTGTACTGTATTTGCCATCTTTGGGATCTCAGAAACAGATCGTACATACAAGCGCCGAAGTTCTCTCGGAACGTACACATATCGTACGAGGTACTTGATTTTCGCGGTTGGAGATTTTCCAATCCCTGGGTTCTATTTGGATTATTTTGCGGCGGTTTATTTTCATAATATTGCTTTGGCTTGGCCTAATGATCTCTTGAGATCTTTTCTAGTTTGATGATCCACTGCGCCATGAACTGATTTTAGGGCCCCTTCATTGAAAGTAAACTTCTTGATCTCTCCCTTCAAGGATTTTCCTCTGGGAAGCTAAATACTTGCAGTATGCTGGCTGCTTGTGGCCTCCTTGCCACATCCGAAGCCAGACAGTCTAATTTTCTTGGCAGTGACAGCGAGGCACGTATGAAACTCACCGGCCCGTAGAAAGGGCGCTAGCAGCAGCCTCACGTCGTTCCTTGATCTTGAGGGATTAGTGGAGGAAAAATGAGAAATCAATGTGGCGAACCGAAATAATAAGTGACCTCATGATCAGCTAGTAGACATAAATATTTGAAGTTATCTCTAGTCTTGCGCTCTCCCCACTATCACAGTGGCTATACCAGGCTGTGCAGGTCGTGACTGCGCCACATCTTCAGTCTTACTTTCGATCTGATCTAGTTTCATCCGATAGGTACCTATGATACTCTGGATTAAGGGCACTGGTGTAAAAAATACTTCTTTTCTTTTGCTTTCTCGCCTTTCCTGTCATCGCACTGCACTTCCGTCGGATAGCGCGATGTGAACTAAACAGTACTTTTCCCTTCAAAATATGTCGCACTTGACTCACTCGTCTCTACTACAAAAGTGAGAACCCCTTACTAATAACTCCAGCCCCAATTACCCCTTCCCAACCTGATTGGGGTCCCTCATAGCAGGCATGACAAACCACGTGCGCCCGCATGAACCGCGCCGCATAAATCGAGCAACCGCTTAGGTCAGTCCGACCCACCCCGTCCCTCTTCAACGTGGGGCTGAAGCACCGTGGGTGCACTGTCGGCTCTCTACCTTAGGGTCCTACAATACAGTGTAAGCACAGGTCATACTCGATCAGAGGACTCGCGAAATGCCTCTCCCGGGCAAACGAATCATCCTCTGCCTGGACGGTACCTGGGTCAACAGCGACAAAGGGTACAACAGGCCGACGCTGGACCAGCCGAACGCCACGCTGCAGGTGCCATCGAACGTGACGCGTCTTTATCGGTCGCTCAAGAAGCGCGATCTCGATGGGACAGGCCAGGTGCTGTACTACCAGCCGGGGGTGGGTAGTACCGGGGGCATCGCTGATACCATTGCTGGGGGTGTGTTTGGAGCTGGGGTTTCGGAGGTGGGTCGTACTCTCAGCATACAAGAGGTCCAAGCTGATGTTGGTGTTTGGCCAGAATATGCGCGAGGCGTATAGCTTTGTTGCGGCGAATTATGAGGCTGGTGACGAGATTATTCTTGTGGGCTTCTCGCGTGGTGCGTTTACTGCGCGTGGCGTTGCGGTATGTACACTGACGTCTGAAGGTGGGTTGTGGAATGTGTGGAAACTGATCGGATTACAGGGTTTGATATCAGAGATCGGGCTGCTCAATTCCAAGGGCATGGAAGTCTTTTATCCCATATTTAAGGATGTTCAGAACTTGCGCAATCCGCATTACAAAGACAAGTTTCCTACTGTGCCGTTTCCCAACAAGCCGATACCGCCGGACCGCGGGAAGGAATATCGACGGCGACTTGAAGAGGTATGCATAGTATGCATACATCCAGTATTTACCTCTGCGCTTTACTGACTCATCCATAGGGTGGGTTCACTCGACTGTACGATCCGGACGGATACAAAATCACAATCCGCTGCGTCGCCGTCTGGGACACAGTCGGCAGTCTAGGTGAGCCTATATCCCAATTTCCTCGATCAGAGATTCAGCAAAACTAACAATTTATCAGGAATCCCCGACATAAGCCTAACAAACAAACTCGAAATCCCGCGCTCAACGAAAGAATAAGTCCCCCACTCCCCGCCCCCCAGTATCTTCACTAACAACCCCCAACATGCAGATTCTACGACACCCACCTAACAAACGACATCCAATACGCCTTCCAAGCCCTAGCACTCGACGAAGACCGGGCTTCATTCTCCCCCGCAATCTGGGAACGCCCCCCAAACGTCCTCACCGACCTCCGCCAAGTCTGGTTCCCAGGCGCCCACTCGAATATCGGCGGCGGGCTACCGGACCAAGAACTCGCAAACGTAACCATGGCCTGGATGATGGACCAGCTCTCCTCAATAGGCGTGTCCTTTGAAGAAGACACGATATATCGAATGTTCAAAGAAAGCGTGCAGTACTACTACAACTGCGGCCAAGCCTCGAAACCGCGACCCGATAGTCCGGACCGGAAACGACATACCCAATGGGCTCTGGACTCTATCGTCGAGGACCATGCCCCCGTTCGACCCTGGGCGCTCGGCGAGATTGTCCAGCCTGAGACGGGGCTGTATAAGCTAGCCGGTAAAACGACCCGTACACCGGGGATGTACCACGCCGTGGATCGGGAGACGGGGGCGAGCACGCCATATTTTCTTCGCGATACGAATGAGCGCATTCATCGGAGTGTGCGGATCAGGCTTTCGCTTGAGGGGTTGGGGTATGATGATCGGGGTTTGTATAAGTGTCGGGCGTTGCTACGGAAGGGGCCGTGGGATTTGAGGAGGATACGGTATGTGGTCCGGTTGAAGAGGGAGGTTGTTAATGAGATTGGTGTGCTAGAGGAGGTTATGCAGGAGCGCGAGGAGGAGGGTTGGGGGTGGATGTTTGAGGGGGATGAGAGGGATGCGCCGCCGAATACGCTTTTGATGGAGGAAGAGCTGGGGAGGTTTGAGAATGAGCTTTTGAGGTTGAATAAAGGTTTGTTTATATGATCCTGGGTATAGATTTGGGCTAATGTTGATGTCTTGTGCCAGGTCGGTCGTTTTATCGGGATCTTCTCGCGGATTGCAGAGGGCGATAGCACCATCACCAGCATCGAATGTAGACCGGCGATATGATTATATGTACCATCAAAAACAAAGCACAAAGTTAAGCAATTCATTATACTAGGTCCAACACATCCAACTCAGTATATACAGCTTCCAGCTCAAATCGGCTCATCCCTGGGCTCAACCAACATCTCATTAACAGAAACATACTCCGGCTGAACAAGTGCATGAACTATAGAATTAGCAATATCACTCGGATCCAAAATCTTCGCACCAGACGGCTCCCCAAACTTCTTCACAGCCTCCGCATCAGTGCTCATATTCAGCAACGGGGTCGACGTATTTCCCGGCTGAATACTTGTAACCCTCAACCCCTGTCCCGCCGTCTCAAGACGGAGTGCCTGGAGCGTCGCCTCGACGAAGAATTTGCTCGCGCTGTAAACACCCAGACCGGGGAAGACCTTCCTGCCTGCGTCGGAGGAGATGGCGACGATGTGGCCTTTGCCGCGGGAGAGCATGCCGGGGACTGTGGAGGCGAGGGCGTTGAGGAGGCCTTTGCAGTTTACGTCGACTGTTTGCTCCCATTCGTGTGTTTGGGTGTTTGCCATCATTGTGAAGTACATGACGCCTGCGCAGGCGACAAGGATGTCGACGTTACCCAGTTCTTCGCTTGCGGCGCTGACTAGGGCTTCGGTTTGGGATTTGTTGGTAACGTCCGTGGACCGGATGATGCATTTCACGCCGTGGGTTTCGACCTTCCGCTTCACTAATTCCAGAGCGTCGAGACGGCGGGCGCCGAGAGCGACAGATGCGCCCTGTTTGGCGAGTGCGCAGGCGACGGCTGCGCCGATTCCGGACGAGGCTCCAGTAACAACTGCAACCTTACCGCTCAATGGGCCCTTGGTTGTGGGCTGGGTGAGGCGGTTGAGGGCTTGTTGACGTGAAGGAGGACGAGGAAGCCAGCCTCGAGCAAACCAGTGGCGGGCATAGGTTTCGAGGAGGATACTGTCGACCTTGGGACGCTCGACGGCTTCGCGGAATGGTCTTGTCAGTGAGTTATCAAGAACAACAATGCCGCGTAGGAACTCGACAGTTGGCATGCCACTGCGTAGGATGTCGACTGTGAAGGCGCCGTCGCCGCCCTTAGAGGTACCTCGCTTCTCGAGCCAGAGGGCGACCCATTCTTCCCAGGGCAAAGATTCTGTGGGATATCCCAGTTCCTTCAAGTTTTCGAAGACGGAGCGGGTGTTGACCGGGCTGGGGTCGCCGAGATGGAAGACTATTTGGTCGGCTGCAGACTCGGTTTGTGTGGCGAGGTGGATGATCGATTTACTGACGAAATCGACGGGGGTCATCTCTGCGCGCCAGCCATCGACGTCTGGTGCGTATCCGAGACGGATGGACTCGACCAGCAGTGCCGTCAAAAGATCCCAGGCGTTGGCAGAGCCTGTCAGACTGTGGCCGCTGATTGTACCGCAGCGGTGGATTTTCACAGGCAGACCACGCTCGCCGGCCTTGAGGACAAGCTGCTCTGCAACCCACTTGGTCTGACCGTAGCCATCCAGCAGCTTGGTCGGGACGTCTGCAACATCTAGCATGGCATTCTCGGGCCAACCCTTCTCGCCAGACGGTGGAAGAACACCGTTTGTCGAGACATACTGCACGGTCGCACCGGCCTTGGAGGCGAGACGCAGGACTTCCCTTGTTCCACCGACGTTGGCGGCACGAAGGGCAGCATAGGGATAGACCAGGTTGACAGTTGCAGCTGCGTGCACAATGACCTGAACACGGGCCACGATGTCGTCGAATGCTTCAGGCGACAGACCAAATTGCGGGCGGGACAGATTACCGGGGAGGACTTCAACGCGCTCCATGATAGTATCGCGCCAGAGACCCAAGTCGAGGAGGTTGCGGCGAATACGCGCAACACCACCGGCCTGGTCGTCGACTTCGGGGTCATTGAATCGCACCAGACAGATGATCTTGGCCGAGGTATTCTCCAGCAGGTCATGCAGCAGGAACGCACCCAGGAAACCAGTCACACCCGTCAAGAGAACAGTATCGGCGGAGGCAACAGACTTGATGGTCGTGTTGGCAGGCGGCTTGATATCGTCGTCAAGAGTGGAATCTGCGAGCAGGAAGCCTGGAAGGTCGGCCTGTACAGCTGCAGTATGTCCATCTCGCACCGCACGCACCGTCTCCAGGTGGCCAGAAAGAGTGGTGTCTTCAGCAAGACGAGGAATGGGAATGCGGAAGCCGAAGTGTCGAGTGAGGCGGGACGCCAAGTCGGCCAGCGACAACGAGTGACCGCCCAGATCGAAGAAGTTGTCTTCCGGCTTCAGCAACGTCTTTGAAGTCTTCAGCACATTCGCCCAGATGGCTGCAATATCGTTGATGCCGATCGGATCCTTGTCCAGTGTCTTCTCGCTGCCACTGGGGCTAGCACTACGAGGCGGCGGGAGGCTCTTGAGGTCAACTTTCCCAGACACATCATGGGTAGGCAGCTCCTTCAGCTCAACCCACAAGGCCGGAATCATATAATGAGCGAGATAAGGCTCGAGAATCCGACGAGCCGCGGGGCTGTGACCAGACTCGTTGATCTCGACAGCCGGCCGGTTCTCAGACGGTTCATCCGCAACTATATACGCCACCAGCTGCTTCTCCAGGCCCTCGCCATGCGCCGTCACAGCACAGTGGCTGACAGCCAGATACTGCGAGATGTCGCTCTCGACCTTGGCCGGCACGACGGAGTATCCACGCAGCTTGATCATCGCGCCCACGCGACCAGTGATCTCCAACAGGCCAGACGGCAGTCGCTTGGCCAGGTCGCCAGTTCGATACATGCGGGCGCCAGGGTTCGAGTCGAACTTATTCGGGGTGAAGGCCTTGGCCGTGGTCTCGGGAAGATTGAGATATTCCCTCGCCAACAGCTCGCCTCCGATGAAGAGCTCGCCAGCAGTTCCGACGCCGACGTCCTCGCCATTCTCGTCGACAATATATGTATGGGCTGGGTCCAACGGGGGTCCCACGGGGCAGTAGATGGATTCTGGATCGACAATCTGACGGATATCTCCACATGCGATCTCGTGGGTCTCGCAGGCGCTATAGCAGTTCAGCAACCGGGTCGCGGGGAGCGCCTTGATCGCGCGACGGGCCAGATCGGTCGTGACGACCTCGCCGTTCAGCCAGAGGGACTGAAGATCCGGCAGACGGGATGCAATGTTCGGGTATCGCGCGAGAACCGTCGCCAGCAGTGTGGGTGTCATGAGGGTTTCGGTGATCTTCTTCGATGCAAGTAGATCCACCAGGGCAGCGGGATCATAGCTGGCCTCATCCGGGACGGCGACGACGGTCGCACCGCGCAGGAGAGGTCGCAGCATTTCCCAGATGAAAAAGACATTGCACGCGACCCGATCTCCGGGCTGCAGGTCCTGCACGCCGAAGCGGAGGTTGTACGATAGGACGGGCGCCCGCTGCGGGTTCGCGATGCCCTTTGGCTTGCCCGTCGTACCAGAGGAATACGAGACGAATGCCAGACGGTCGAGATCGTTCTCTGCGGGTAGGGGGCTGCCTCTTTGGCGTGGCCGTTCAGGTCGGCGGCGGGCTGGTCGAGGGCAATGAGCGGGCACTGGGCCTGGACTTTATGCGCCTCGGCCCCAATGGTGATCACCACGGCGGGCTTTGCGTCGTCGATGACATCGGCCAGCAGACCGGGCGGGTATGCGAGCTCGAGGACGAGGAAAGCACCGCCGGCGCGCAGGGCTGCCAGACAGGCGATCACATAGCCGGCGCTGCGAGGCAGGAGCACGCCAACCAGCGAGTCGCGACTGACGCCGTAGAGCCGCAGACGGGCTGCAAGCGAGTCGACCTCGCGATTGAGCTCGCCATATGTATAGCTTGTGGTGTGATCTTCTAGCGCAACGGCATTGGGTGTCGCGTGCGCCTGCTGGGCGAACAGAGTGGGTAGGTCCTTGTCGATGTCGATGATCATTTTTAAATCAACTGTCGAAAAGATCAAGATGAACCCGGAGACAAGTTTATTTCGTCGTTGGCGATGTGCCGGTATGTGCTGGTCAAAATGAGGTTTTGCAGGAGTATACAAAATTAGGTGTCTGCAATGTCCAAGACGCAAAAATATAAACGCAGACGAAATGGCGGCCGCGTGCAGCTCAAAGGTACGTCCTCTCTCCCTTGCTACTTGCTAGCACGACCACCGCCGCATCCGCATTAATTCTGTTGAGCACGACCACCAAAGCAGCAAGGATGGAGCCTAAACATTGCGCCTAACTACATCGTCGCTAGTGAGCTTTGACTGGAATGTCCACACTGGCGCAGCTCCGGGGTCCATTCGAGGGACCATGGAACCCTCGACGAAAAGGAGAGTTAATCGCGTTATCGGAGCCAATCTACGCCGCTAACGCTGCCAGCTGCCAAGTGCGCAGGCCACGATCGCTGCGATCCATGCATGGCCAGAACCGGGTTGGTGCATGCCCGCACTACTAGCACAAAGTGAGTCTGAGGGTTGATTTTCATATGTCATTTCGATGACTCGTGGTGACGCTGACCGGCCCGAACAGGTATTTTGTTCCCTGACAGCTTCTCCATGATGTTCCACGGTGCTCCATAATTCCACTCCATGAATTCCCCGTGGACCCGCCCCACTTGCGAGGGGAATTCGCATGTGAAAGTCTCGCGATTCCCAACAATAATCCGGCCCCATATTATTAACGCCAGGGACAGCTGTGAATGGAGTATTGCCGACGAGGTGCCGATATAGCCTGGTCAGAGGACAGGTGTACAATACAGACCTCACAGCAACTTGTATCTTGGGTCGAGGAGGTCGGAAGAGAGAAATACGAGATTGAAAAGTGGAGAACGTGGGATGGATTGCTGACGACAGATAAACATTGGACATAATCCAGAGCACGTCAACTTGGGAGAAAAAGAAAAGAAAGAGAGAAAAAAAGCAAAAAATGTAGAAAAAAAGCCCTCATACATTCAAAATACGGAGACACTGGACATCTGTGGATAATTCCACCATCACTCCATATCCGATATGAAATGTCGTCCCTCTCCTCCAGCATCCAAATTCACATAAACACCGGTGCCCCCTTGGGATTCGGACCGATCAGATGTGGCATCGGCAATATGTGACGAATCGTCATATCTGCTGCAGGAAGCCAGTCAATCAGTTCTTGCCGATCATCACTAACAAAAATTTTCTTCCTCTGATCCGGAGCCGTAGCAGTATACAGCATAGCACGCAGCAGGGGACCCATCAATCTGGTACTGGTACCAGCAGCCCGCCCTGGCAAAACAAAAACATCAATCGGCGTCCAGCCAAATAACGTGTGTCCGACGATTTTCAGCGAAGCCTCCAATTTGAATACAGGACCATGAATTGGGCCAGTGATCTGATGCGTGGTCATTCTGCCCATGACCAGGTTGGGGGGAATGGTGGCTGGTCGAGGGGGTGGGAGTAAGTCCAGTATGTCTTGCTCATAGAGCACCATGATTGATGCGCCGGTGTCGTCCAACATCTTTAGTTTTTTGATCGGGTGGCCGACGCCGAATCGGAATGAAAGGTTCAGCTATTTGAGGAGGGTTTACATTCTGTGCTGTGTCCTTTGCGGGAGAGCATCTTACCTCGTACGTATTGTTCCAATAGTCGGGCGACAGCGAGAACTTGGCTTTGGTCATTCCACCTTGGGGAGGATAGTTCTAAAACATCGAGTTAATCCTCATGCAGGTTCACAGTGATTATATGCGAGTGTATCTCACTCCTTCAACCCAGATAGCAATATCTTTCGCATACTTCCACTTGATCTGATCAAATTCATCCCAATTGAACAGGCGAGGCTGGGAAATCTGTCGGTCTTTCACCCAGTACGTGACCAGCCCAGGATTCCAGTCCAGCTTCTTAGTTCTGTAGGCCATCATGAGAGCTCGGACGGTTTGTCGCTGATCATACGGATCTTCTTTCTGAAGGTCCTCTTCCATCGACTTTAGGCAGTTGATGCGTTGGATGACATCCCAGCTTAGACCAGCAGGCTCGATGGCGATGCGGATGCTAGAGAAATTGACTCGATCAGCAAGGAATGAAAAAATTACTTGAAAGAAATGCAACTTACTCCCGTTTCTCTTTATCATCCTCCAACTGCTTCAACTTCGCCTGAAACCGCGAGACAAGGATATTGTCCTCAATCCGCTCCTTGCACCTCTTAATCTGAGCATCAAAATCGCTTTTTATCCGACATCAGCATCATCCCCTCCCTACCACCATGTAGTAAACATACTCATCACTAAGATCGGGCTCCGACTCCGTCCAATCATCCGGAATCTGCCCCATATCATCCAAAGAATGAGGCCCTTTATGCTGCCATCGCTTATGGCGCGCATTCTTCCTAGGTTTCTCGGGGAGCTTGATCTTTCCAACGTACGACACCTCCAGGTCCAGTGGTTTGTTGGCGTTTTTAGAGGCGGAGAGGGTTTGGCTGGAGGGACTTGTTCGCCATTTTCCTTCTTCGGTCAGTCGTCTTTTGAGACGGACGATCTCGATTTCTTCTTCGGCAGGAGCTTTGGATTTGGCTTTGCCCTTGGTTGTGGTCTTAGTTCGTCTGCCCTTGTCTGCATTATCGTATTCGGCGGGGTTTTTCTTTTTCTTGATTGTGCGTTTGGGTGGCATTTTGGATTGGTGGGGGTGAGATAGAAGATAGCATAGGAGCTGAAACTTGTTTGATCTGCAATGATTAATAATTGCTGTGGAAAGGGGTATTTCAGTCCGGGGGAAAGGCGAGTGAATCGAGGGTATGTGGTGAATGCTTTCTTAAACAAGTCTTCGAACAAAGGGAGACACTCTGGGAGCAGCCGCTAGGACCACAACTTCTAACATTTTCTCAAAGGAAGCTTAAACTCAAAGATAAATATCAAAGGGATACTTAATAATCGAGTGGGTTTGCAGGGTGCCTCTCATAGTCGAGTTTGAAAGAAATCAACCTCTTTGACCACCCGGCGAGGCCCAAGCCACTCGCAGCCGCCTCCAATATCGAAACCATGGCCTTGTGAACACATGTGGAATAAAGAGACGTTTGCTTCAATGAAATCATATCTTTATAGCATTTTGCAAGCATATATCCCAGCCTTCCTGGAAGGAATTGATCCAGTAAACCAGGTCTACTCTTTAGCCTCCCCAACATTCAGCCTCTTAACAGCTTCATCAAGTCCACCATCAATATCAATAATGCCAGTCCCAATATCTTCCAATCTCAAATCCATATTTCCTTCCTCCCCAAGATTATCTTCGCAACGCATCCACTGAACCACGAATCTCGCCTTCTGCGAGTCCCACAGCCCGTCCCTAGCCGCAAACATCGATTGCTCCATCAGTGAAAGGGACCGTTGCAAGAGATTCGGATCTCGAGTCTTTAGACACACGAAATAAAGCATCGCAATCAAGTTCGTTGAAACTGTGAATCCCCGAGAAGCAGATTGACTCGATGACCCCGACATGAGCGATTTTATTTGGTCAAGCGCGAGGTCGAATTTGTAACATGCTTCCAAGGGGAAGTTCTCATCTGATGGGATTATGATATTTTCCAATAAGACGCCGTGGCATATCAGTCCCTGTGTATGCAACAAAGTAATTCTCTGTCGACCATTCGTCCCAAGAACCTGATCATTCTGCGACAAGAATCTCTGTGCGGCCGTTTCGAATCTTCGGTATTCGCCATCCAGTCGTAATCTCTCAGCCGCAATATTCGGCGGAAGCCGATCAATCGGCGTCCCCTTCCAACACAAACTTTGCATAAGATGGTGCAATTTCCAATTCTGCAGCGTTATTAGTGCCTCGTCAACCTCATTGATACTCCCAAATCCATCCGGAACAACGTGCGAAACGCCGCTAATCTGATCCGGCGACGCGAGACAGAGAACCTGAAATCGTTCTGGTGAGAAAATACTCGCATGCACATCAAGATGCGCGAATATCCGGCGTAGCTGCGGATAAATAGGATCCATCCTCGCAAGCAAACCTGCATCACTAACCCAGAAGCACTTCAACAACTCCAGTCCCCGATCAAGATGCCAAATAGCTTGCCTCGTATTTCCGACCAGGCATTCAAAAACGTAAAAAATAAGACTACATATCAACGCCGGGACAGGCGACGCTCGTGGATCAGACAGGTAGCTCAAGAGCTGTTTATGCGACTTTGCCATTAACCGGATACTCCGCGGCGAGTGGCCCAGTTGATCGGATCCGACGACCAGGTACTCGCGGTACAGCGAGCTCAGCGCGATGAGGGAGTTCCGGATTACGGGCTGGTACTGGCTCTGTTGAAGGATGAGATCGGACCACAAGGTTGAGTCTGAGAAGCGGGATAGACAGTGTGCTGCTTCGCTGCAGTAGAAATGGAGGAGTTCGCGGTCTGTTCGGGAGCCTGGGACTTTGAAGGGGATGCTGTAGATTTGGATGCTGGATTTTTGAATTGCCCCGGTTGGTGGCGCGTAGCCTGGGCATATCCTTCCTGTTGTTTTACAGCGGTGGCAGGTTGGGCGTGTTTCGTCGCATTTTACACGGCGGATTCTGTGGATGTCAGTGTCTTTTGTCAAGGGTTGGGGTCCGGTCTTCGTACTTGCAGGTGGCGCATCCTGTTCGGACTTTGGGTGTGCTTTTGCGGGATCTGATGTTGAGTGACATTGCAAGGCTCTTTGGTTTCGTGGAGTGGACAGAGAGGGTTAATGAAGGTTAAAGGTGAGGACAAGGCTGCGACATAGACAGGTGGGGGCCAAGTCTGGATTGGTTGAAGAACTACTAGAAAAAGCGATGATGACGCTGAGCCTAATTTGTACCTGCTTATACCTTTCCCGTCCATGATAGTTGTTGGAAATGATTGTACAGCACCTGTGAGGCTTCAAAAATGCCCTGGCTATCGATCAGTGCTCAATGGTGTTGTGCTAGTTTGACTCCCACGCAGTCGCCCACTAGTACGTACCAATAGCTCCCCACTACACTATTTGGGCTAACTATCCTATTTTTGACTCTGCGTGGTCTAGCCCTTTTCAGGAGGTTATAATCACCTGCCAATGGTTTTTCCTCGTCAGGGGAAACGACAGGGGCAACTCCATCTGAATTCCCCTCAAAATTACCCTCTTCTGTCAACACCAGTAACAACTGGAAAGATACTTGAGCCTTGGATAGGATTTCATTATGAAGATAGTTGTACATCACATTTGATGGATCACTTAAAACGAATGGAAGACTCGTCGAGTCGAATAAGTAGAAGTATAACAACTATAAATCTCCAGTTTAAAAGTTGACAAAGGTCATAAAGACCGCTGCCACAATTCCAACCCAGACCCCTTTCTGCATATTATTGGTTCCATCAGAGCTCAGAGTGGAGTTAGTGTCATTGCCAGTGCCATTGCTGCTCATAGTAGCATTCAGGTCAAAGGGTCTGGTCTCAATGCCCGGAGTTATCGGAAGCAGTGCTGTTCAAATCAAGCTTCTTCGAGAACCTCATCTCATTGTTGCCGAAATCAAACACGGCAATAACATTCTTTAGGAATGGAACACCAATAATGTTCAGCGTCAAGCCCTCAATCGAAATGCTTTCAGACGACGCAAGACTCGAAACACAAGTCTCATTCGAAATCCGGTAGATCAGATCCTCTCCATTGTGGAAGAATGTCTGATTTCCAATTTTCAATCCAAACTCCGGAGCTAGGGCATCACACTCGACAACATATGCCTGGGTCTTATTGTTGTAAATTGCCGGCGGGGAGAACATCGCGTTGACAGGCTCCACAATGGCGGCGGGCAGGTATTGCATGTAGTTTCCAGAGTCGACAAAAGCTTGAAATGAGGTCTCGTTCGCAGCCATGTTACCCGCGGACGAGCCGTACGATGCACCGCTAACTGTTGTAGCCCAGTACGATCGAACCTTTTCACCGGATGTGAAGGCAACCGGTAGATCCTCGAGGATTTCCACAGGGACACTGCTAAACCCCTCGCTGTGCGCGACAGGCGGAAGACCGCCGAGAGTCAGGTATCCTCCGAAAGAAGTAGGTTCATTCTGGGGCGTATGCGCCAATGCCAAACTGAAGTATGGCTCGATAAAGCCCTCCTTATGCATCGTGAAGAGAACAGGGTCGTACGGCAGTCTTTCGTACCAGTATGTCTGGTTGGAAGTGTGGTTTGCCGGGTGCGCTGACGTGATGGAGGGATATGCCAAACCCAGCAGTCCACTATTGACTCCGTCGCCCATGGGGTTCGAGACATTCACAATGCCGACCTTCTGGTCTCCGACCGAGATCCCGCCCAGGGAGACATTCTCGTACGCCATTTCGCCGCTTGCGATGCCGTCGCCGTACTTGATGCCGAAAATTTCGTCCGAGATGGAGCGGTGGGTTTCCGAGATGGTGTAGGTCTTGTTCGAGTAACGGCAGCCTTCTTCGGGAATTATCATGTTGTCCAGCGAGTTGATGCAGGTGTATCCGGTCTTCATGACATAGGTATCGCTGCTTCCGGTGTCGACGAGGAGATCGAAGGTTTGGTCGCCGATGGTGATGGGAACGTCGAAGACGGTTCCGTAGCCCGTTGCTGTTAGATTTGCGGTGAAGCTGGAGTTGCCTGCCTCAGCGGTCGCCAGCATGGTGGCCCCGATGATGAAGGGTTTAGGGAGATGCATGATGAGCTGCAATAGATCAAGATGTTGAATGTGTTGATTTTGTTCTGCGCCATGTTCAGGTATTTATATCACATCTCATCGCATCTCGGTGCTGGGGTCTAATTATTACATGTTCACATTCGACCAATGCGACTGAGTCTCCGTAGTACATTGACGATCAAGAGGCATTCGTAACCCTTGATCCTTCGCATACTGAGCTCGATCGTATATTCCATGGTCACATATTTTTAGCTTGGTCACCTTGGCAGTCGTTGTGTATACTACACGGTGAATAAGACCATGTGGGTTCGTTCACGAGGCTGGGCCCAGCAGCCTTGCACGGCTCGTATATTTTAGCTCGTCTCACACATGCACCAATGTGCTTGACTTGACCTGATGAGATTTTACGAAAGGGCAAGCCTTGTCTTGATCTAGGCCAATATCCCTCGTTATAATTGCTTTACTTCACACTCGATACAGTTTCATGACATGGGGACGGACGACGAAATCGCGCCGATAGGCGTTGTATGTACTGGGGTTGCCTGCTGCTGAGCCACATTACTACGCAAGCCCGTTGAAAGAGAACAAGGGGTCGAGGAGATCAAACTCCTAAACAGCTCTGTAAGCGGGGTTTAAGGATTCTGTCAAACTGAGACTTACGTCTTGGTTTGGTGTTCGTAGAAATGATTTTCGTCGAGCCATACATCTGATACTTACTGGAGTACGTCACTCAGCAGCACTTCTGCAGTCGCCAAGGCCCAGCCTGTAACTTTGGATTTGACTTAAAAATAGGCAAAAGCAGATTTGGAATTGTATTTTGACGCGAGTCCCAAACATTACCCAAGTTTATCGAGAGTAAAGGGAAGTCTCCGCGGGACACGCAGGTCCCAAGGACGACTACCCCACACCCGCTACGTACGCACCCTTCTTGGTATCTACGTACTCCGAAGGGGCCAATCGATCCATGCAGTCCATATCCAAATCCAAATACTCCCCACCCACCAATCAAGTAAATTCTTCCGAACCCTTGCTTTGAAAACAAAGTCATATGGCCTATGTATAGAGTCACGTGGCATATGCCGTGACTCACATCTCACCGCCTTTGTGCATGCGTATAAATATCTTCTGCCTCCCGCGCCCTTCGTCTTCTTTCTTTTCTTCTTTAGCTCTCTTTGCCTTTTGGCTTAGATCAAGTGTAGTATCTGTTCTTTTCAGTTTAATCTCTGAAAGTCTTCTCCGGAAGACATCAATGATTATTCCAATTTTTGTACCTCGCGACCTGCCCTCTGTGCTCTGCACATGTCTCGTCGCACAGTGTCATCGGGCTTACACTACCTCCGATTGACGCGACCCCTTTTTTCATCAACTGGTCGGCTTGTCTGGTCGTTTGAAGAAGAATGAGCTGTGTAAAGTGGTGATGGTTTGTTGACCTACCAATCGAGCCTGGAAGTGGATGTCATTCGTAACAGGTCAGCTCCTTGAGGCAACTGCAAGGGGCCATGATCTGCCCTGGTCAACATGAACATCAGGCCTTGCTTGATGCAGGCACACTCGCTAGGGAAGAACGTAGTAACTCTTGTCGAATTACCATTCGTTATGATGTTAAGGCGCTCTGTCGACTCAGTTTTGTTGAGGGATGCACTCGGTTTCTACATTGAGAGTGAGATTCAGTTACGTCCATGAATATTCCACTCTACGCTTTGTATAATTTTCCAGATTGATTAATAGAACAGCAAACCCGTTATTTAAGATCGCGAGAATCAAAGTATAGAATACATGTTTATTTCTTCAAGCAGGTAGCTGACCCCGAACAGAACTTGGAAAAATCAAGGCCATAACACCACCTCACGCCTCAGCGCCCATCCATGTCAACATGCTCAATAGTTGTCCGTAGGATTCTTCGAAAGGCATCACAGGTTGTGGCCCAGGACGTGGAAAGAAAATATAAAAGACATAACGCCGGGCGCCTTGCATATGTACCAAACCTAACGCCAAGATCGTGATCTAGCTCACTCCTCGAACTTGCGCTTCACGCCATTACCGTTCGTCGGTGGCATGCGGGCTGAAGATGCACCAGCCTGGCGCCTTTTCCAGGCAGTCTTGACACTTGGAGCGATGCGGATGAGGTCTTCTTCAGTGATGCGATCCTCAATACTCTCAAGCACCTTCTCCACCGTCGAGATGTGATTGGCATCCATTTTATCGTCGCGCAGGCGATGGAATCGCCAGCGGGATTGCGCGTCCTTGAAGCACTCAACAATAGTGTCGTCTAGCGGGATACGCATGGCTTTCAGATCTTCCCACTCGGTTGGCGTAATGTACATCTCGTCGAAATAGCGATACTCGCCTGCGTTCAGCATGACGAAGAGATGGCAGATGGGAATGGCGTCGTAGTCAAGATAGGGCTCAGTTATCCCTTCCGCCTCGTCATCGGTATCAGGTTCAAGGGTGGGGAACTCGAGGCGCATGCGGAAATCAATTGTGTTCTCGGCTGGAGGCTTCCATTTAAGGATATGCTCATCTGTGCCGATTTTGTAGGGGGTGCTGCGGCAGGTGAAGATAAGGCCATCATTGCCATGGATGCGCTTCACCTTGGGTAGAATTTCGCGAAACATCATCTCGATTCCGTAGCTGAATTGGGTTTCTTTATCCTCGACGACGAAAGGGCGGTGTTCTTTTTCCTCGGGAAACTTGTCGTACATCTTGTTATAAGGCTTGAGCACGTGCTCTTTGAAGTAAGCAAGACGCTTGTCCAAGGTTCGGTGCATCAGGCTCTGTCCATCCAGCACAAGACAGTCAAAGACCAGGAACTTGAGCTGCTGTGTTCCATCCTCGTAGGTATCGTTGACCAGTTCACCGTCGACCAGAGTATCAACGTGGAAAGACCGGAAACTTTCGTCATTCGGCATGGGAAAATGCAAGCCTTGCACGAAGCGGTAGTCGTTCTTGCGATCAATCAGGTAGTGAATTTCGGGCTGGTCGGAGTCGGGATCTCCGCGCGCGAAATACATTAAGCACCGAATGCCGTCTGTTTTTTCGCAGACATAATAATCTTGTTTCTGGAGCTCGTCCAGGTGTTTTGATGAGAAACTGACGGGCTGCGCGCCGGGGAAGTTGAGGTTGCTGCGGCCGAGCAGTTGCGAGACTTCACGGCGAAAGGTGTCTGCTAGATCGGGTTCGGCTTTGATGCCGATTTCATCGAGGTCAGGGACGGAATGGCTCATTTTGGCGGCGATCGACGGTATATATGGGGTCGAAGGAGGTTTCGAGTGTGCGACTGGTACCTCGAGGCGCTCGAGGCCTTTGCGAGAGCTGCTGAGAGAATGCAGGTGGGAGAGTGTTTGAGAGCTCTGCGTAAAATGGCACAGGTTAGAGTCGGTAGCGAAGGATGCATGCCCACTCGTAGAGTACCTACGTTGCGGTGGTAGTCGATATTAGGCGAAAGAATGCGAAAGCGAGCTCGAAGCGAGCGTCAGCAGCTCGCGATCATGGCGGAGGTGGAGGTTCGCGACAAAGAATGGCCGCGCTGGTCGAGCTGGCCGGATCCGCTTAGGTAATCAGCCAACAGCCCGCAGACAACATTTGGGACACTCCAATTCAGCAGCATCTGCTTGCATTGCTTTCCTCCAGTGTCAGACACGGTGCTGGACAATATGGCAAAAGCTTCAGACAACCCAAAGGCTGTCCCTGAGGCGCTTATCGCCAAATTCCAAGTCGACAGACTGCTCAAACAAGGTATCCCCGCATCGTCCAACTACCCGCGATTCAAACAGCTAAAAGCCATGGCGTGCAGACCAGCAAGGCCGACGTATCACCCTCCTCGGAACAATTGACGGCCAACAAGGAATTCTCACTGCCGAGCGCGCCGCTTTCGCAACCGAATCCCTCGGAGTCCTGCGTGCATTCCATGCCGCCGTCACAAGGATCAAGAACCTAGGCGATAACGACATTTACAGATGGTACCTCGCCTCCTCGAATGGAGCTAGCCAGGCGTCGGACGAGGCTCAGCACGACCTCAAGTTGAACCTCATCTGGCCCTGTACTGAACAACACATCAAGAAATACTCGGATCAACAAGTTCGCATGGTCACCGAAACCCCGGCAATTTACAAGGACCACGTGCGGCCATTTATGCAGGCTAAACGTGAGGAAGGGCGTCTCAACTGGGTGTTTAATATCTTGGAAGGCCGGACCGAGCAAGAGGATGTCATTATGCGGGACGACGGGCACGGCCCAGAAGACGCATTTCTCATGTTGCCGGATCTCAATTGGGATCGAAAGACCATGAGCTCGCTACATTTGCTTGCTTTGTTACACCGACGGGATATTTGGAGTCTGAGGGATTTGCGAAAGAGTCATATTCCTTGGCTGCGGTATCTGCGACAGCGGGTTTTGGAGGCGACGGTGTCGATGTACCCGGATCTGGAGCAAGATCAGTTGAAGCTCTATGTGCATTGTAGGTGTTTCAATCCGGTGTGTCTTGGCTTGGTACTTTGATTGGAAGAGCTAATTCATGACTGCAGATCAACCCACGTATTATCACTTCCACATTCATGTTGTCAATGTGATGCTGGAAGCTGGTGCTACGCAGGCCACTGGAAAGGCCTTTGGATTGGAAAACCTCATTTCTCAACTTGAGACTATGTCTGGTGGTGACGATGCGAGCTTGGCCGATGTCGACTTAACTTACTACCTGGGCGAAGCAAGTGAGTTATGGACGGACATTTTTGCCCCATTGAAGCAGGATGCTCAGCCAAAGACGCTTTGAACATCTGGGCTTCTTTGGGCGGGAAATTTTATGAGAAATGATACCGATGGAATGAAAAAAACTGTCATTGTTGTCTTTGGATTGCCTGATTCTGAGCCGCGATAAAGATCGATGTGTGCCCAGGTGCTTAATACTGAAGGGTACCTCACCCCGATGGATGTATATCTCTGACAGGTATGACGTAGTTGCATAACCATCCTTCTTATGGCTACCCTACCTCGAGACGGAATACACAGTAGATGAGCAGTGGAAAGATAGTTAAAATTTAGTGGTATCAAAACTTAAATGTTCATTTCATCTCCTTGGCCTCGGAATTTGGTGCAGTCTTGGTAATCGGAGCTGGTGTGGAGAAAGCGCCGCCGATAACAAACTCAACCCCGCAACATTCAACTCCAACTCTTCCTCTTCCTCTTCCATCCACTCCAACCAACTTGAACTCTCCAATTACTATCAGTCGAACGAAAGCAACCACACTGGTGCAACCCGCAAAATGAGCGACAACCCGGACGTCCCCAACACGCAAAAGGCCTTTGTGCCCCTCGGTAGATGCCCTCACAACCCCTCGCAACCAAACACAACTAACGCCTCAAACAGAAAACAATCCCGAAGTCATGAGCCACTTAGTCCACCAACTGGGCCTCCCAGCAAACATCGGCTTCACAGACGTCTTCTCAATCGACGAGCCGGACCTCCTCGCCTTCGTCCCCCGCCCCTCCCACGCCCTCCTCCTCGTCTTCCCCGTCTCAGGCACCTACGAATCCTCCCGCCAAGCCGAAGATAGCACAATCCCCGAATACACGGGCTCCGGCCCCAGCGAACCAGTGACATGGTTCAAGCAAACCATCCGCAACGCCTGCGGCCTTATCGGCTTACTGCACGCCGTCTCCAACGGCGAAAGTCGCAAACATATCATCCCGGGCTCAGACCTCGACACTCTGCTTAAGCAGGCAGAGAACTTGGCACCGGTGGGCCGGGCTGATTTGCTGTACGAGAGCAAGGCACTGGAATCTGCACATGCAGACGCGGCGAAATTGGGTGATACCGCGGCGCCGGGGGCGGAGGATAGTGTTGATTTGCATTTTGTTGCGTTTGTCAAGGGGGATGATGGGACTTTGTGGGAGCTTGATGGGCGTCGGAAGGGTCCGCTTGCTAGGGGGAAGTTGGGGCCTGATGAGGATGCGTTGAGTGAGACTGCACTTGGACTTGGTGCGAGGCGGTTCTTAAAGGTGGAAGCTGAGGGTGGGAACCCGGATTTGCGGTTTAGTCTTGTGAGCTTGGGCCCCCTTTTTGATTAAGGGTCTTTTTTTCCCCTCTCTTTTGTTCTCGATGCCATGATATTTCGTTACATTGGTATAGGGAAGGTTATAGTTGGCGTTGATGGTCGTTATGTGGTGCAGCTCTGGTAGAGCTCAGAGACTCCAAACCTCAGGTGCTCGAATACCGAGTCAAGTATCAATGAGGAGATGATTCGGGAAGCTCTCTTGTGTATTACCCAACATTCTGATGTGAGTCTCCCTTGCCACTAGACCAGGCGAGTTGCAGCCAATGTGATGGAATGGCCTTTTCATCATTACGACCTGCTTGAATAGCATTCCCGAATGGGTTTCTCCGGGGCTTCCACCGGTCTTGAAAAGTTATCTTGGCAGTGATACATCAGTGTAGTATCAAAAGAATACCTATTTAAAAGTCATTCTTCTATCCCTATCTCATCAATAATCAGTTCCATGGGCTTTGCGTAAATTATGCCTTTGCAAATGCAATCAGTCCCGAGTCGGGTTATTGGCGCTTGGTGTAAAATTGCCCTGTCCTCACCGGCACTACCATTACAAGGGCCCGGGGGGACGCTTGTAGAAAACGCTCCCGCCGCTCAAAGACTCGAGCACTCACAACCTGCACCACGCTAATGCCCCCAAACAAGCAGCACAATCGCCAGCGGGCTCATTATAGAAAAGCAGTAAATCCAAATGATGCGTTCTGAAAGGCCACACTGCGACCCAGATATTCAGTTGCGAACCCAACTTGCATTGCAGTCAGAACGAGGGCAATATACACCGTCGGGGCCGTGATAGGAGCCATGTTCTCTTGAAACAGCTCCACAGGAGACCTGTATTCGCCTCGAAAGCCCCACAGTACGTTCCCGTAGCAGACGGCGAACACCTTGTTGAGGCGTAATAGTCTTAAGTCGCCAAAATGTTACCTAAAAGGAATGTATCTGGCACAATCGGACCGATTCAATAAAAACTGCTGAACGATGCTTCGCCAGACTTTCCAAGTAATCTGTGTAGGGAGCAAAGAATATTTTCGAGCAATGACGAAATCACTCTCGTGACGACTCAGATGTAGGGACGAATACAAGAACCTGAGGGCATATGCGAATGGCCTTTTGTGTCGACATCTTGCCCCTTGTACCCGAGCACCGTCACAGGTTTCGTTGCAGATTAAATAGGCCGGCCAAAACCCAGAGCCTACAAGGTAGGGGAAGGGGGGAGAGGCTTCATGTGGATGCGGCGACGATTTTTTTCATACTAAATACTGTAGTGGGGAGACCCCCTCCCCCTACTACATGGGCGCCATCCAGACTATGTGACATAGCCGGCAGTATGCAGTGGCCGGATAGCTAGTTCCAGAATACACCTTCTTACACCTCCCCGAACTGACCCTACATTTGGGATTCTCGCTATTTCCTGATTGCTACGCGTGTGTTTTGTGGTGGTTTTTCTGCTGAATCGACCCGCACGTCTCAGCGCGTGCTGCCATCGAGCGTTCCCCTCTTCAATACATATCGATATTTTCATCCAGTACGATCCCAAATGAGGATGCAATCACAGCATGCAGCGGCTGCCTTCGGGTTGGATCGCTGGCGTATCAGAGATACTCCCGGATTTGGTTAAGTCGGCCTACTGACAGGTCTGTATCGAGAAAGGGGAAGACATCGTGGGCAGGATTTTGGAGACCCAAATCGTCCCTATAGCAAGCTGCTAATAGCAGGTTGTGCAGATTTTGGAGACCCAAATCGTCCCTATAGCAAGCTGCTAATAGCAGGTTGTGCAGATTTTGGAATGACGGGGAGATCAAAAGGTTCCAGCTCGAAGGGTGGCTTGCGCCGGGCTCTTGGGATTGACGTTTGACATGGACAGGGGGCCCATCTTCTGAGATAGATGGAGACGGTGCTTCATTATGGGATTGTGATCCGGGAGTTGCAAGCCCAGGAGGCGGGGCTTCGCTGTCACTGTTGGGCATGAGGAGAGCTGAACTTGAAGATTTGGGTAGTGACACGAGAGAGGTAAAGTGGAAACCGGGTTTCAACTTGAGATGCGGCTTCTCCTACCACGCGAGGCACAGGCACGTGGAGGCGGAGCAGGAAAAAGCAAAAGAGCGAAACGCACAAAGTAAGATAGTATGAGAGCATCGCATTAAGAGCTTTAGCGTTCATTATTATTATGACTATCGGCACGACGACAACAAATCTAATCTAAATCTATTTTGGTTGCCAACCACATCAACTTTTCACCACCTCCTGAACCGGCGTAACAGTCCTCGTCTCGGGTCCATTCTCAACAAATGAGCTCTTTTCAGTTCCTGAATTTCCAACCTCCCGCTCCGACTCGGTATCCGGCACACCACCCTGCGTCCCAATCGTCAAGAAAGGAACCATAAACAACGAAATACCCGCTGCAGCAGCGGCGAACCAGAACGTCGCCAGATAAGGACGGATAGCCGGGGTGGAAGCGGTCATTTGGTGAGCGACCGCACTATTGACGGACGTCGCGATGCCGAGACCGAGGTTGTTGCAGAGTTTGCTGACGGTGTTGAAGATGCCGCCGGCGATGGATTGTTGGGAAGGCGGGAGGGAGGACATCACGTACATCTGTGAAGATTAGTATCTGAATATCATGTGGAAGGGGAGTAGAGTGACGTACGTTCGTTACATTGAACTGAATATCCGCGCCCACGACGACGAGGACAAGTGCGGGGAAGATGTAGGCCCAGTAGATCGCGTCTTCTTTCATGAAGCTTAGGATCAGGAAAGAGGCTGTGTACGCCAAGGCGCCGATGCCAGTGAGGAGCTTGTTGCTGACGCGGTGCAGGACTAACCCGCAGACCACGTTCACTAGGACACCGCTGACAACCATGGGGAGTAGTCTGACCGTGATATCGAGTGCTGTGAGATTCTTCACTTCCTGCAGATAGAGCGAGAGGAAGAATGTGACGGCCGAGAAGCCCATGAAACCGAGACAGAAGGTCGCCATAAGCTGGATTCGTGGTTGGTATGGAACTGTAAGGAGGGAGGGCTGGCACATACAATTGAAAAGTTTCGGTCCTTCCATACCCACAGAGGCATCAATGCGTGTTCGGCGATTGATTGCCAGTAGATAAAGACACCCAGAAGAATGAAACCGACGATGAAAAGGCCGAGGACGTATCCCGTTCGCCAGCCATCAGGCGCATCACCAGCCAACCTAGTAGAACATATCAGCAACAATCCCACACCTAAAGTAGAAACGGGAAACGAGCTGGGGAACTCACGAAAGCGAACTCGAAAAAAAGCAAACCCCACAATAACAAGCGCAGTCCCAACCAAATCAAATTTTCGAACCGCCTCCATACTAACCGGGGTCCTCGCAAACCCATCAGCAGGTACGGTCCAAACCGTTAACGCGGTAAAGATCGCATAAACAACGGCGAGTGCCCAAAATGACGCACGCCAATTATACTCATGGCTCGCGACGCCGGAGATAATCATACCCCCAACAAAGCCGAGCGGATTCCCGGCGCTGAAGCAGGCGAAGGCGCGATTCTTTCGTTTGGAGGGCTTCTCGTAGACGGCGCCGAGGGCGCCGACGGCGGGCGGAACGACAGCTGCGGCAAATAGGCCCAGGATTCCGGAGAAGACGTCCATGTAGATTGCGTTTGTGGCGAAGCCGGCGACTAGTAGTGAGAGAGTGAAGCCTGCCATGCCGAGGATGAAGAGGGACTTGCGGCCGAACATGTCGGCTAGTTTTCCGAATGTTAGGAGGAAGGCGCCGCTGCTTAGACTGGTGGTTGTTAGATTATTTCTTGGGAATGGGGGACCATTCAATTGGAGGAAAGAGTGCACGTACGAAGCTCCGGCATTAATCCAGGTAATCTCGGCGGAATTCATGTGCAGGTCTTTTCCAATGGATGCAGTTACGCCGACGATACATCCTTGGAAAAAGGATTGTTGGCCGATAGCCATTGTAGCCGTCAAAACGAAAAGACACTCCTGCAACGTGGACCTGAAGCATTTCGGGCGTTGCGCATACAGCGGCTCAACCGCTCCGCACTCGGTACCCTTTTCCGGGTCATGGTTGTGTCGATGGTCAATTGCGTCTGGCAGGTTGGTAGATGCCAGAGCTGGCATAGGTACAGCCGGGTCAACCGGTGCAGACATGTTAGACCTTTAATTAAAGGTCAAGCTGCGATCGCAGGGCGGAAATAAACGCAGCTCTGGTGGGGAGTGTGGAGGACGGAAAAGCCGAATTGGAGAGAGCGGATCTGATTGCGAGAGGCTAAATATTTAGCCCCGACAGAGATCTCGGAGATAAGTGCCTGTCGTAGTTGGCGAGAAAATTATCCAAATGGCTGCGAGGATGTAGCCAGTTGATATGAGAATGTTTTTCTGGGGATGTCGAGGCAGAAGTAGGTTACTTGCCGAATTGTGCGACATCGAGATATTTTGAAGTGTCTCGATTTCACCGCTGCAAATCGGCCTTTGTCAGCCGCGGGCGAATTCCGCAGATATTTACCTAACGGCCCCCAAGTGCTGACCGATTAAATAGAGCACTAGTGTATCGTCGGTCTTCGGGGCAAGCTCTTCACCGTAATAAATTACCGAAGGCGCGAAGTGAGTCACTAGACAGGATTGCCTGAGATCTTGGTTAACCTTGTTCAATCGAGATGTTGTACTAGCCCGACGACACTTCGACTTACCTACAGCACTAAACTATTGTCGGCCTTCGGTCAAAGCAATGCATCGTAATAGATTACCATAGGCGCGAGTTGAGTCACTAGATAAGATCGCCCGTAGGATCTAGATTAACGTTCGATCGAGATCAGTTGTACTAGTCCGATCCACACCATCGAGCTGTACAAGTTGGACTGCTCTCACTTTCTACTTCGACAACGGGTACCTCCACAAGGAAATCGTACTTACCAGGACATAGAGCTACCGAGGTAGATCTCACAAATACAATTCTCATCATTATCCAATCATTACCCAATCAATCCTCGCTCTCAACCCACCAATCCTCCATATTAAACTTAATAGCTTGATCACCACAAGCCCACCATCCCGCCGTCAAATTCCGCGCAAACATCTCCAACGCAGAATACCCGCATCCACCACCAGCGAAAAAGACTTTCTCGAAAAGCTCTCTCAAATTTGGCTTGCGGGAATGGACGTCCGGTACTGCGACGATGACTCGTCTAGTCACATCCACCTTCTGCATGTCACGCCATTTTAGCCCAGAACAAAAGAAGAGTCGTACCTCAGGTACTAGAATTTACTCACATTCCTCGAACTCCGCCGCCCAACCATCAAAATCTCATACGGCTTCTTCACAATCCCATCTAACGGATAAACAGGCCGTCCGTCCGCCGTCACCTTAACCCAGACCCATTCCTCAACCAACTTAAAACCAGCACTGGTAAACATCTCGTGCGCCGCCACTCTCGCTTTATACGAGTTTGTGACCCAGATTGCGGCGATGGTCTCATCGTGCATGCCGCCTGCATTATGGGCGTTCATGGAGTCGGCGTCGACTTCCCGCGAGGCGTTTGGCGGGTACGAGTAATCCCGGAGCACGGCGCCGAGGCTTGAGATCAGATCTGACATCTGGAAATCTGTATCGTAGTCTTTGTTTCGTCGGACGGATTTATTGGGCCAGGGAGGGTCGGCGAGGATGAGGTTGAATTTCTTTTGTTTGGGGAGTGGTGGGATGGGGTGTTTTCCTGTACCTTGCAGTTGGTTCCGGTGTGAGGTCTTTAAGGGCAGTAGGCCTTGGACGAATGCTGCTTCAGGTGGGATTCTGTATTCCTCATATACGACAGAGCCCTGCTCTGTCGTTCTCTTGGGAATACCAATCACAGTCGATTCCGGCGAGGGATTCTTCACGAGGGTGTTCAGGGCGCAGGTGGAGGAGAAAAGATTTGGAGTACTTGGTGAGAGAATACATGGTGGCTCGCCCTGGGTCATTTGGCCGCATTTTCCATTGTGCAGTTCACATTCAACCCAGTCCTTGTCTCTGCGCTGCATGTGGTCATCCAGAAGATGTCTAGGATGAAACCATTTGGTGACTGCACCTGAGTGGAAGGCAAAGGCGAGCTCGCCTAGTGCTCTCTGTACAGCTGGCGCAATGACATTTTCATGGAAATTTGTCTCGGACTCTGGGGTGTTTGCTAGCAGTTTGTTCCGCTTGGCGTCTGTTGTTGGCTCGAGGGATCCCCACGGTGTTGTTAGCGGGGATGTTGAGAGAAGAGTTCTTTTTTCTTGTTTCCATGGGCAGATGTGATGAGTGGTTGGTGGTGTTGCATCTGCAGGGTGCTGAGCTCCTGTGCTTGGGCGATTGATGTGGGGATGTCGATGATGAAGAGTGATTGTGAAGGGTTTTGGAAGAGGATGGCTGTCCTGTCTTCTTCGGTACTCATTTTAACCAGCAAGTGACCTACTCGACGATCGCGTGGCCTGTGGGTTGGGAGTTGGTGGTGATGTTTGGGAGCGGGAGGGTTGAAGTTGTTGCTGCGGTGTTTTACCCGTCGACGTGCGGCGGTGTTGACCTCGAAACGGACACACCCGCCAGGCTTCACACCGCAGCCTAGGAACTACTAGCAGTAGTGTGCATAATTCCCTACGATGGATACAAAGGCATTGAACCTTTTTCTTTACCCTAAGGTATGCTACTGATGATACACGCTAAATTTATCCATTGGAACCACGCCGTAGTGCAGTCTCGCTGTCAAATGTAGGTTTCTCGAAGATCAAAGATAAGGGCTTGATACATGGATCATTCGAGATCGAGGAGAAAACCAAAAAAAGAAAACGCTCGGCTCCATGAAGAAAGCATCAGATGTTGTGGTCCACACTACCCGTTTTTTTTTGCATTCCATTGCATGCTCCCCCTAGAATCTCCATACCGAAGATCCCCATCTCTCCCATCCCAACCTGCCAGCGAGCCAGCGTCCAGCCAGGAAGAGAAAATGAGAGTTAGAGATAGGTAGGAATCTCATCCATAGCAAAAAACCCGCTGAAATCTCCATGATAGAATGGCCGCAGAAAAAGATAAAAATAAAAAATAAAAAAAATAAAAAAAGTGAACGGAAATGGATTTATACATGATGATGAAAGCGGTCTGAAAATTTCAATTAAAATCATACGCGGGTCGATTCAGCGCTGCAGAGCTTATCATCAGTATCTTGCCTTGAACTTGCCAACCTAGTAGTCATAGAAACTCACCCGTCCACGTCGGCCTCCACCAGACTGCCCCTGCACGGCCTGTGCCTGAGTGTAGTACTGGGGAGGATATTGGTACATCTGGGCTGGGTTGACCACCGGGCTGAACTGCTGCTGAGGGTAGTTCGACTGGCCCAGCATGGGTCCAGGGCTCATTTGGCCCGGGGCAGCGGAGAGAGGGGTCTGCTGAGTCTGCAACGAGCGCAGGTTTTCAACGGAAGGCGAGCCGCCAGGGTATCCGTAGTTGGCGCCGGGCATACCGGGGTACATGCCGGCGGCAGAGACGCCGCGAGCCTGAGCTGCCAGGTAGTTCTGGTACTGCAATTGTTGCTGAGAAAGCGGGGCGCTAGAGTCCTGGGGGAAGCCAACGCCATTGACGCCGCCGAGTCCGTTCAGAGGGTTGCCGAATCCATTGAGTCCATTGCTGCCATACGGGTCGAGAGGGGGGTTGTTCTGATCAGCAGAGATAGGGCGCGAGCTGTCCTGGCCAAGCATAGCTGACGGGAACTGTCCGCTGTACTGTCGCTCCATGGGAGGCTGCGAGGGGAAGTTGACACTTCCGTGACGAGAGGATTGACGGTGGGACTTTTCGGGAGTGGAAGAGTGGCTGGCGCCATGGTCGCGGCTGTGGTGGTGGTCACGTCCAGCGCCACGCGAAGATAGACCGACTTCATCCATGAGACGCTTGTATCCCTGGCTGGGGGAGGCCTTGAGTTTGGTGAGAACCTTGGAGACGTTCTTCACCACCTCCGCGCGCATTGACTCGTCGAAGAAGGGAGTGGTCAAGACCTTGAAGATCAAAGTAGCGCCAGAAGTCTGGTCAGACAGAATCTTCTCCAGAACCTCATCGCCTGGGCTGAAGAAGAGAGCCTTTAGAACGATGTCCCGAGCCTCGGCCTCGTTGCGCTGATTGATGACCTTGAGCACTGTAAGGTAGGCGACCTTGTGAGTGCACAGGTGCACAAGGTGGGGGACAAGTCGGGGGGCGAGAACGGTGCGACGGCGGGGGAATGTGCAAGTGTCGAGGAACCAGGTAAGGAGAAGAGCGCCGTTGGCGTTGGTAGCGAGCTGAACGCTGTGAAGGGCGATAGCGGCAGCAAGCGCTCTCTGCTGGTCCTTGGAGGCATGGTGGCTCTCGAGACAGGCCCGCATGGCACGAGCTCCAAAGCGGCCCTGAGCAACCTCCCACATACGGCTCAGCATGGTCTCGAAAATGAAGTCGTTGTAGGGAGCACCGAAGCGCAAGCAGCACTGTAGAACGTAGTTGCCATACTGGTCAAGGAACAACGGAACAGTGTAAGGTCGGAGGGCATCCACGATCATCTGCATCTGAGCAGGGGTCTTGGCAACATCGATGATCTTTTGCGCAGCCCAGGTACCGTTCTTGTGAACGCCAATCTCGGCAAGATGGGGAGCAATGTGCGTCAGCATCTGCTCCTTGGTAGACTCCGAGCAGAACTCGAACAGCTTCTGCACGACGGTGTTACCCAGGTAGTCCGAGGAGAGCTCAGCGATCTCGGGGAGCATAGAGCCAGCAGTTTCCTCGATCTCTGAAATGGGGCAAGCGCCATTGTCAATTCGCTTGCGAATATCACGCAGGCGAGGCGCATCGAACATTCGTGTCTGGCTGGGCTCCTGAACAGGAGGGATCTCATCTTCGAACGCGTCATATTCAATCGCATTCTGGATGCTGTTGGTGATGTTATGCAAGTCCTCGTCGCTAGCTGCAAAGTCCCGGACGATGTCCACCATCTCGGGCAACAGGTCGGGAAGATCGGGAATGACCGGCGCAGCACCCAGGTTGTTCGTCTGGTCAATGTTGTCGGCGCCCACGTTGGATTTGAAAGTCGGATCGGGAGTGGGGGAGGACTGGATACCATTGGCACCGGGAGTGCCAGTGGCAGAAACGCCAGGGACCTTGGCGTAACCAATTCGTACAGGGCCGGCGCCTGGGAAGATCTCCTTACCGTTGAGCAACGACTTGGCTTGAACGGCGGCCTCAATGTTCACGAAGTTCACAAATCCACAGTTCTTGTGAGTCAGGACTCGGGTGGACTCGATCTTGCCGTAAACACCGAAGATTGCCTCGAGGGATGTCACGGTTGTTGACACAGGAATGCTCCCAATCCACAGAGCACGAGTCGGTCCGTCCTGGTTGTTCTCGTCGGCCATCTCACCACCAGGTCGCACACCCACGGCAGCTCCACCGGCCCCAAGACGCATCATTTGGACCGCATCCGCAAGTTCGTCGTACTCGCCATTCTCCGAGATAGGCAGGTCAGCCGCACTGAAGCTGTTGTCACCGAGACGGGAGGGAGTGGCGAGGTAGTTTCGAATGGAGGATCGCTGGGGAGGAGCCTCCAGGATACCGGCGGTGCGCGCGCGAGGTCGGCTCACGTTAGCGTGATTGGCAAAGGCCTGAACGGCCAAGTTGTGCTGGTGAATTTGGGCTTGGGTGGCGGCGAGTTGAGCAGCCGTTGCAGCGGCCGAGGGAGTTAGGGTTCCCGAAGGAAGTTGAGAGTAACGGCTCTCGTATTCCAGATCCTCGTCATCGGCGTACTTTTCCTTAGCATTCACGGAATAAGAGCGGAATCGATTATTGTTATTCTTCATCATCGCCAGCTCAGCCAGGAGTGGCGGCAGAGCAGATGCTTGCTGCTGCTGTTGCTGTTGCAAAAGTGCCTCCATCGAGGGCCGTGCAAGAGTCGCCCTCGCCTGCTGGGGAGTCTCCGCAAGACCCAAGTAGTCCAGTGTCTTCACGTCGGAGTCGGCCAAACCGTCGCGCGAGAAGGATGACTGGCTCGGGGAAGTCGGGCCCTCGGAGGATCGAATGCTCGTGAGTGTAGTGGCTCTCTCGCGACCAGTAGACCAGTTGGTAGAGAACAAAGACGGGCCGAACGGTCCACCACCGCCCAGCAGACTGCTCCGTTGGGGCATCGAGCCAGCTCGAAGACGTGAAATCATAGCCGGGTTGGGAGCGCCGGCGGAGGTCGCAACCTTTACACCCGAGTCGATGCCAGAGACACCGGGGGGTCGGAAAGGGCTGGTTGAGGGCGTCGTACGAGATGTCTGCGACATGAACGGCTGCTCGAGATCCATCTCGTTGAGGGTGGTCATAGGGGGGAATCGGGAGGGCACGGTGCCAGCTCGGGCTCGACGGCCAGAGCCAGACATGGGGCCACTGGTGGTCGGAATCAGGTCGGGAAAGCTGTCCTGGCTGGGCGACTCGGGGATATTCTCGCGAAGCGGGGTGGAGTGCCCACTGGTGGGCGGACCCCAGATGCTGGGGGAGACACCTTCCTGTGCCTGGATCTCACGAGCTCTGTACGAGTCAGATGTTAGCGCACTTTCACTTTCATTTCTGGGCCAAAAAGCAACTTACCGCTTCGGGTAAAGGCGAGTTCCCAGCTCGTGGGAAGGGGATCCAGCCCCAAGCCTCGCAGAACCGATCGATCCTGCAGGTCCGAATGGCGATTTGGAGGGTCCAGTCGAAGGCAGGTCGCTGGGAGAACTCCGCCCTGTCGACGACCCCGACAAGGGCTGGGAGGTGGCGATGTAGTTGTAGCTCATCTGGCTCTCGGGGCGCGAAACCGGTAGCATTGCGGGATTGTGTGCTTTCGCCTCTCGGGAGAAGGCAGCTCTGTATGTCCGTTCCGCTCTCTCGCCCGTGCGCAGATATCTGAAGGAGGGATGCTGAGTCTGTCACTCAAATATGAAGTGTCTAGTGCTTAGAGGCGGCGGTTCGTCGTAACCATAAGGTGGATGTGAGAATCGAAGAGGTGGGTGGCAGGAAGCAAAAAAGGACTTAAATCCTCAAGAGTATTTAAGTGGATCCTGTAAGTGATGGAAAAAAGGTCGAGGTCAGTGACTGATGGATCAAGTGAAGGCGGAGGATGTTTGTGTTCACTTCGGGAGAGTCCCGGAGCCGCGCAGAAACGGGGGGAGGGGTTGACAAAGCGCTGCCACTCAGGTGGTTGTGGGGAGGAAAAAGTGAGGCGAAGGTCGCAAAGTGACCTACCAGAGAAGAATCGACTGTAATCGCGCGAGGTGAATCTGAGGGAACGATGACCTCCGATGCGTGTGCCCCGAGGCGATGGCAGTCCAGCGGGCTCGAATCAGCGTTGCTGTTGCTTTAGGCGTTCGCTTTCTTCGCAATCTCTCGTCGTCGACGGGGCGCTTTAGGAAAAGAGATGCATAAGAATGAGAGCAGTCCCAGCACGCGAAGGAGTGTCGAGTGAGGACTGGTACGAGGCGAGCGAAAGGATGATCAACGGGTGGTCCGAAGGGATCGAGGTGGCTGGAGTGCCAGTTAGTTTGCGCTGCGGGAAAGAGGCGAAGGAACCAGAGAAACAGGCCCCCGGGGGATGGAAGAAGGACGGACCGAGGAGACTCGCACGGAAGAATTCACGGAAAGAAGAAAAGAGAAGTCGAAGAGAAGTGAGGACGAAGTCAAGGGGAGAAGGGCAGGGTGGAAAGAAGGAGAAGATGTTGGGAGCTGGCCGGATGTCGAGGAAGTTGGCTGTGGTTGGTGGAGAGGACTCCTCTTCAGCTTCAAAATTCCCACAATCCAATTGTCGCGGGTCTCGCTGGCCGGTGTCTACGAAATTCAAGCTCTACAGTCCTGACAGATTTTACGGAGGGCAGCGTGGGTTCTACCAGCTGAACTGTCCTACGGCCTGTGTTGTTTTTACATATACACCACCCGTCAGGTTCGTTCGGGAGTCGGCAGGGCCGCCGGTGGATTGACACTGCCCCATCGATGTCATGGCCCCGGAAACCCAACGATTAAATTCGAGTTTCCTGGAGACGGGAGAGGCTAGCACGACTCGAGCATCAGACACTTGCTTTTGTAGGCGTAGAGAGCAAATTAGCACTAGCAGACCCCCAGCATTCCGCACACAATCCGGTTAAAGTCTCCCCTGTCATGGACAAAGGCGTGTTTTTAGCATGCTTGGTGAACTCCCAGACGTGGGCACGCAGCGACAGCCACGAAGACCGCGAAAGCCCCGCATTCCGACTGCGTCATGCCTCATAACGTCTCGAGTCCAGAATAACAAGTCAAAGCAGTCCATGGCCCCGATTGAAACCCTCCAAATACGATGCAAATACACAGCCAGTGCCTGGGACGGGAGGTGATGCAATGTTTGAAATGCAAGGGACCAGGCCGTCGTGATGTTCCGGGACCGTGCCGAGATACTGTTTTTCTGGGTGTTGCACGCAAGGGATGGGTCAGGTACGTGTCCTCGTCCTTGTCTGGATGGGTGCGCTGGCTGGGTCAATACAATTGTAGGGTGAGATCATCTCGGATATGTTGCGAGGTCAATGCTCAGCCAGCCTATAGACACCGTTGATACCGCTGAGTTTGCATTTAACGCAGTGCTTGCGAGATCTCGTGGGCCGTACAGGGTCCGCCAAGGTCCGGGGAGCATTCTCGGCTTGGTGGGCGGGACGGTCGGAGGTCTGCCAGGCACCACAGTGTGCCTGGCGGCTTCATGAGGGCCGAACAGGCCAGTCTGAAAACAGATGACTGTAGAGGCAGCATCCAGGTGAGATGCAGATGCAGATGCAAGTATTATCCTGGCCAAGCGTAGCGAAGTGCCTAGCGCCAACTGAAAGTTGACCGGGAAGCATGATTTTTCTGCCTGAGGCAGGAAGGCACCCGCCACGGCCGCAGGCCACACGCCATGGCCGCTCGGCGGTCGCGCCTTGCCGCGAATCTTCAACTCCCAGGCCGCAACGCGTTCCAGTCGTTGGGGCATCTCGTGGACCTGCACCCTTTCCCACATTCAACACCTATTCCCAGCAGCCACGTTTCGCTGGAGACTCTCGATTTAAACGAACCGAAGCACAACCGAGCTGGTATCGATCATCGACACAACTGTGAACCATGGCCGACCCGATGGAGACGGAGCCCTCGTCGGGGCTCCCGTCCTCCCCAGAAGAAGAGGAGGAGCTGGAAGAGCAAGAGGCACAGTTCGAGACTCTGATTTCAGGGCGTGAGAAACGAAGCACCGCCGGACGACACATGGCAGCTCTGCTCGATGCGGCTCACGACGACGACCTTGCGCTGCTCTTTGAGGAAGTGGAAGATGATAACGAGTTTGAGAACGAAGAAGCAGAGGACGAAGACATGGGACTCGACTCATCCTCCGATGATGACGATGACGACCAAGGCCCGAATGCGCAGAATGACTACGAGGGCGAAAAGCAGCTACAAAAGGAAGAGCGCAAGAAGCGACGCGCGCAGACCGACCTTCGATTCCAAATGCTTCAAAAGAGAGTCAAGATCAATCCGATGGTGTCCTCTTCCTCCGCCGTACCCGCGCCCCGTCCGAAAAAGAAGTCTGAGCGAATTTCCTGGATCCCGACAGTCGAAGATGGGCCTGTACGATCATCTTCGCGCCGGCAGACGATGGTCAACAAGGAAATGACGCACGCTCGTCTCAAGGACAGTCAGGAGAAGCGTATCCGGATCATCGCGACTATGAAGGAGGCCGAGGAGCGAAAGGCCCATTTGAAGCCAAAGAAAATGACCCAGGAGGACCGTCTGGCCGAAGCTGAGCGAGTTGAACGGCTCAACAGCAAGAGTTTGAATCGCTGGGAGCGGACAGAAAAGAAGAAAGCGGAGGAACGAAAGGCCAGGATCGAGGCATTGCAGAATCGTCAACTGGAGGGCCCTGTCATTTCCTACTGGAGTGGGCTGGCTACATGGACGAATGGTCGTCTTACACGCGTGGGCAAGGTTGATATCGAGGTCAAGCCGGAGAAGGCTGAGAAGAAGAAAAAGAAGCTGGAGAAGGATGAGAAGGCCAGCGAATCGCAAGACGCACCGAGTACAGCACCAGCAGAGCCAGGCCAGCCAACTCCCGCGCAACCAGGAGATACGACTGTGTCTGTGCCCACACAACCTGCGGATGTCAATACTCAGGCAGGAGATTTTCCCGCTCCAGCACAAGCAGAGTCGGGCGTAACTACACAATCTGAGACTACGCCTGCGCAATCACAACCACAACCGCAAGCTGAGGACGATGCGTCTGCCCCGACAAATCCTGTTCACGCCCAACCCGAAGCTCAACCCGCCTCGACTCTCCTCCCTGATCATAAGACTTCATCTGATGGGCAAATTCCAGCGGCGACCGCGGATGTCGAAATGAAATCGCCAACAGCAGTCCTTGCTGACAAGGACAATGAGATAGGCCAATCGGGGGTGAACAGAACACCGGGAAAATACCCGGTGCCAGTCGTAGAGATCCCCATCTCGCGATCAGCTCAAACCTCTCCGAGCAAGGCGTCGCCGACCAAAAGCCCCGCAGCGCAATCTGAAGAGAAGGCCCAAGCTATGGAGATTGACCAACCGGCAACCCCAGCCGAGCCACCAGCCGATGCAGCAGCCGATACGATCCAGGCCGAAGCACCAACACAAACACCAACACCGCAGTCATCGGCAGGCGATCAAGCCAACGTGCCGGCCGCCACCGGTAGTGCTACCCAAGTGGCTGCAGGGGAAGCGCCTCAGGCGAGCATCAAATCGCCAACTACGGACGCGCCGTCGGAGCACGTTACACATCCCCCCGCCGTGACGACAGAGCCATTGGACCCTAAGGCCCCTTTGGCATCGTCGACCGATGCTGCACCTGCACCCGCACCCCTGCACGCCACGCCCGCGCCCGCGCCGGCAGCAGCCACGATCCAGGATCCTACCCTCCCATCACAGACCCAATCACTTGATGTGAATGAGGGACCAGCCCTCCCGCCACCCCCACCAGTGATTGAGCACACGGGGCGCAACCTGACGATCCTAGAGAATTTCGACGAGAAGACAGCGCAGAGCAAAAAGTACAGCATGTACTTTAACGCGAAAAAGCCACCGCGTCTTACGAGTGAGTGTGAATTCCAATTCGAGGAAGACAGCGAAGACAGCTCTTCCGAGCAGAAGACGTCTTCACAAGAATCCCAATCCGAGTCCGATACTGACAATGAAAACAAAGAAATCTCATCATCTCTATGTGTCATCACCTCACTCCCTTCCCGCTACCGCGACCCCGAAACCCACCTCCCCTACGCTAATTCCTACGCTTACAAACAGATCCGCAAGATGCTGTCGCAGGGGTACACCTGGAGCTCCATGCTGGGCTGCTTTGTCGGCGCGGTGGATACCGCTGCCCGCGGTGTGCCGGATCGCTTTGTCGGTAAGCATATCAGTGGTCTGACAGTCAAGCGCGAGGAGGAGAAGAAGGACGACAAGGCGGATGGTGCGACTGGAGCTGGCACGACGGCCGAGCCGATGGAGGTTGATGGTTGAGCCAGCCCCGATTAAGATGAGAAATGTACGATAGCAATAGCTGAAGTTCAATTGATACCCACCACTGCATTGCAGGAAATCCAATCCAAACACTCTACCCAAATAGGCTCGAGTCCAAACATCATCTTCTCCACATTGAGTCATTGACTACCCCAGCACTCCACTACTACCAGCCTGGGCATAATTATGGTATGTAGAGGTCTGGATGATGTCAGTCGCAAGGTAAACGTCAGGGACGGCCGAGTCGAGCCGGGGATTGAGGCGGAAGGCGACGGGAGTTAAAGCATTTTTACTCTTTCACTTACCCTACCTCCACGCATAGGGTATTAGAGTTATGATTTGAATTCGGTTACCGTGGAGAGTAATGTCTCGTCTGACGTGGATCTATCCTCATGACAGAGTTTTCCGCTGTCAACACCCCCCACCATACTTCCTGTAGGGTAACACAATGGTCAGGATCATGATCGCCATTGTTCTGTTTCTATTCACGTCTTCTCCACCTCTGATCTTCAGGGAGTCTTTGATCCACACTCCCGGAATAAAAAATAAAAGTCCGTCCTTAGTAACGCCAGGCGTCACCAATTACCCCATCGATTACTCCCTTAGTATTAGTATCGATGCCAACGATCTAGACCTCCGCGTAGACTGGAGTCTTCCCCATCGACCCGAAACAGATCAACGGCTGATCGACGACTACGTTCGAGAATTTTTCACCTTACGTAGTGTGACCTGAGTATGGGGACATCCCCACCGCGCTTTACGGCATCTGCTACGTCAGGTGTCTAGACCTCACACATAGGTTTTTTTTTTTTTCTAGGCGGATTCTAGACCTGCTGCACCTACATAAGTACTACACACCCCTGGACCTACTAGCAGCGTAGCGGTAGTTAAATCCAACCTATGAGCCACGGCCAGCAAGGAAGTTGGAAGAATAAAGAATTAACGCGCTAGCCCCTGATCAAAACACAGCCAGAAGCCCGTAGGAAACACTCGCACGGCCATCGACGTGTCAAGGATGTGTCACGGGGTGGAGCAGGTCCACAAGACGTGCTCGAGCACCGCGGGTTCGAGAACGTCAATCTGGGTAGGGCTTTGTTCCTTCCAGCGGACAATGTGGCGTCATTTTTGTAATTTCGCTCATCGCACATAATAATGTTTCTGTGTATTAGGCCATCGTTGGCGTGATTTAAAAAGTACCCTAATAACATCCTTATAGGGTAGTAGTATGCCCTACTAGTAGGGACAAAATGATCACGCCAGATCCGACGCTCCGCTAGCGTGCTACAAACTTGGCAGGGAGCTGGGCTGCAGAATCGAATCTGAGCGTCGGGCACGGTCCTACCTGCGATAACACCATACCTACACTACCCTACACTACCCTACACAACCCTACACAACCCTACACATTTACACAGTAGTCAAGGCCTACGTAAGTTAGTCGATCGAATTGTAGAATTTACTATAGAGAATATCACAAAAATTAAAGATTAAATGTGGCAACTTCAGATCTAGAATACCCTAATTATAGAAGGGATGGTGAGTCAAGCCGGATAAAGTAAGCGGGCAGGTGGGGGAGTCGCGGATCCGGAAGTCTAGACTCTCCCCTCCCTCCACTAAGGTAGTAGGAGGGTACGCGTCGGCCTCGACACCACCTACCCGAGGGTATATAATTCTTTCACCTCCTCTTTGGATCGCACTAAATCACCTTTATCTGAGCTACTTCAATCTCCAGGTATGTGACCCTGCTAAACACCCTAGCCTGGGGGTGGCCCTGCTCTAGGCTATCTAGGGTATTCTCGGACCCCCCGACTTCTTATCTCTCCCCACTCACAGCCCGTGATAACCTCACCACCCACCCCGAATCGTGACACCGCTGACCACTTATCAGCACCCTTTCTCCAAGCATCTGGGGTACATATCCCTCGTTCACCTCCGCAAGGGCTCGAAAAATAAACATCGTGAATTCCAGTCGTCGATCTCGCGTGCTCGCAGGGTTGCGCGCTAGCTCCACACATCTGAAGGCCTTGATTAAAGGACCCTATCTGGCTGAGATAAGAGTGAGGCATTTCTGAAGCCAACGGCTTCACCGCCATCGCAATGACTCAATCCACCCACCGTCGTTCTCATTCCTCCTCCCATCCCTCCAAACCTCGCTCGCCTAAGTCCTCGCGTCCCGTCCTGCACCGCCGAGGCGCCTCCAGCGTGAACGTCTCCATCTCCAAGCTCGGCTCCGGCTCGCACTCGACTTCCACGAGGTCAACCGACGAGACCGATTTCGACATGGCCAGCTTCCTCAACTTCTGGTAAGACATTCTCCTCGGTCTCTCAGCCTTATCTCTGCTCTCGCCCCTGCAGGGTCCTTCCTGGGTCCTTGCATGCCGGCTGCCGTCATCCGCCCTCTTATCTTGATCTATATTTATCCTTGCCACTTTGTTCGAAAATCAACATATAAGAACCCAGCTAACACCTCCCAGCGCCATGTGCGAAAGACAAATCACCGTCCCGAACGACACCCTCCTTTACTGCAGTGAAAGGTATTCAATTCCTCCACTCCTCAACTTAATCAAATCATTTCATACTGACTCACTGAATAGCTGCCGCCGCAAAGACTCCTGCAAACCCCTCTCCGCCTCAATGCCCTCCATGACCAACATGTCCACCGCCACAACCACACCTCCGTCCTCACCCCCTCTCTCCCCCCGAACAATCGTCGCTCCCCTGACCCCCACCCGCCTGGGCACCTCCAGCAGGATATCCGCCGAACCCAGCCAAACCGGCACAGATCTGGACCCCACCGAATGGAAGCCGGTAATAAACACCGCACCCACCGACGCCTGGAACTACCTCTCGCAATTCCACGGCGGCGCCCCAATCCACCGACGCAGCACCTCCAACCGGAGCACTTCCAGCCTGCCCGCCCTCGTCGGCGGCACTGGCAACGCCGGTGAGCGTGAGCGCGGCACCCCCTCCCTCGCCTCCTCCGTCTCCAGCATCGCCTCAGACTACCTGGGCATGTACGAGCGCCGCCCGCTCCCACCGCGACACAACCCGTCCTTCAGCATCTCCAGCAGCGCCGCGAAAAAAGGGTGTGGGCCTGGTGATGCCGCATGTTGCGTCGACGCCGGATATTGTGGTTGAGCTTGCGGATTCCGGGTCCATTTTTCCGGCGTCCTCGGCTGTTTGGGAGGATTTCGCTGAGGAGAAGAGTCCTGCGCCGATTACCATGGCTTGCGCTAGCGGCCGGTCCGCTGTGCGTGGTTGATTTCTTTACATTTACCTTGGCCTACCTGGCGGTAGGTGGGTTTTTAGAGCTTGCTTGATTCGATTCGATTGGATTTACCCTCCAGTAGCGGGAGGCATGATGGATTGCTGGTTTCCCTAAGCTTTTAATTTCACATAAAATGATGGATTAATTTCATACCGAACATGAGAGTTGACTCCACTGATTCGACCCTGCTTAAATCCTATATGAAAGTAATTGTAAATTGTTTTCAGCCGTTGATTTTAGCGTAAGCCTTATCTAAGCTGAAGCAAGTTTGTCGGCTGCCATATTCTCCACGATCGTGACTACCCTAACATTCGGCTTGAGGTTCAGCTCTACATCGCTACCACCGGCCCGGTCGGCCAGGTACCTACCCGGTAGTGTGATATTTTTAGTTTGGTTCACCTGTGTCTCAGACAATGTGTCTAATACCTTAAGGTAAGGTTGTTTAATTCTTATCATATCTAATGTAAAAATAAAATCGACCCTGGCAGCATACATATTGTTTTGAATAATAATCTCACATTCTACTACACCTTATCGCAATGCTCTGCAATGCATATATCACTTATTTCTTTCAGTAGCCCACCAAAACACCACCACCACAATTGTTAACGTTATCTCTTTGTTCATTCAAAGTAAAATCCAACTAAAATAAAACACGATGCAGCTGAAAAAGGGGGAGAGACCCTTAAAAAATGGGTATGGACCAAAAAAAAAAAAAGTAAAGGCCCAAACCGGGATTTGAACCCGGGACCTCGCCGAGTTGAGATATTTCGTTAGAAATGTCGACCCAAACGGCGAATCATACGACTAGACCATTCGGGCTTTTATTCACTTTATTCCGGGGTGAGATCATTATCAATGATGAGAAGGTGCGCGTTCGTCCTGATTTGGTTTGGGTATTCGGTGTTCAGCGGTCGGCGCTGAATTGCGATCGCAGTTGTGGTATTATTTTTTAATTTTTCAGTTCTTGACATTATTATCTGAAAATTGATTTCGGCCTAAATTACAGTGGCAATGGCTGCCTGTTCTTCTTAAATGGGGTCCGGTCGGCGCTGTTGAGGGTGTACTTGCGATCGCTAAATCGGGTACTATTTTTTATTCTTTTGTTCATAAAAAGAATAATTTATTTAATAATTTAAGAAGGTTTAATATTCCCAAGCCCTCCTGTCGTCTAAAATCAAGATGAGAACACTCGTTTCGTAAGTGGTTCAACAAAATCAAAGGTAATCGCCCGGCCCACTTGTTCAAGTAGGAAATACTACACTAGTGTACATTTTGCCATCGAGCGAATCATGTAGTACTGCTAGCATTTGGCAGGCCTTCATTGCATGGAGCAGATCTCTGCTACATGCGCCTGAAGCGCCTCAGCCTCTCCATGCCGATTCTGTGCCGAGTATATATACCCCAGTTCCTCCATGCAAGCTACTGTATGAGGATGACACGGCCCCAGCCCTCTGCATGCATACAACACTCGCAGCTGCAGCTCCTCAGCCTCATCCCATCGACACTGATTCGCGTATATGCAGGCGAGATTATCCATCTGTCGCACAATATCCGGGTGCTCTGGCCCAAGCACTCGTATATCCAGCGTCAGCGTCTGCAGTCCCTTAGCTTCGGCCCATCGATCCTGTCCTGAATACGTGCAAGACAAATCGTCCATGCTGGTTATTGTCTCGGGGTCATGTGGCACCAGATCTCGCTTGCACCCATCCAATACTTGGACTCGTAATTCCTCGGCTTTGTCCCACCGGCTTAGTTTTGTGTATGTGTACGCCAGATTTCTCATACATCTTCGAATTTTTCTGCGTCCGAGGTAAAGGGTCTGCTGTGCATCTCTGGAATTTTTGTCTGATGTGATTCGACAGCGGCCCATCGATTCTGCGACATGGTGCGACCCAGATGCTCCATGCTCGTTGTATGGAGGTGATCTGTCCCGAATATTTGCTTTCGCGCATCCAGCACTTGCGTCCGTATGGCCTCGGCTTCATCCCATAGCTCCTGTCTCGAGTACGTCAATCCCAAATCTTCCATAAATTTCATAATAATTGGGTGGTCTGCCGCAAGGACCTGCCTGCTAGTCTCTATCGCCTGCATCTCCTTCTTCTTCTGCGAGACGGCCTTGTCCGGCGTAGATCAGAGCCATGTTTTTCATGCTGGGCAACGTGTCCTGGTGATGGAGGCCTAGGACCTCCTTGCTCGTTTCCAACACCTGCGCCTCTATCACTTCTGCCTCATCATACAAGCCCTCGCGGATATATGTCACGGCCAAGTTGTTCATGCTGACCAGCGTTTCCGGGTGCTTGGAGCCAAAAACCTCCTTATGGGTTGCCGTGACCTAGAGCAGGAGCTCTCTCGCTTCCTTGAACCGGCGCTGTTGTCCGTACATAATTGCCAGGATAGACATGGTGCTCACTGTATCCGGATACGTTGGTCCATGGACTTGTCTGTTCGCTTCCAAGACCTTCAACGTCAGCTCTACGGCTTCCGTCGACCCAGATCCCATTTTATAAAAGCCAACTTCACAATGCTTGTTGGAACATGAAAATGCTCCAATTCCAGCATCTTATTGTAGGCCTGTACAGCCGGCATTTCTAGCTCCTCGGCCTCTTTATTCTGGCCTAGGAGCAGGTATGTCGAGGATAGAACCGCCATGCAGGTCAATGTATCATGGTGCGTCGGTCCCAAGACCTGTCTATTGGCTTTGATAACTTGCACCAAGATCTCTTCTGCTTCCTTCCACTGTCCACAAGTATTATAAGCCACCCCTAGCATCCCAGTACTGAGGAGCGTGGCTTCATGTCTTGGACCAAGGATTTGCTCCTCGTCGCAGCCGCGAGGCCGGCCATCCTTTTCGTCGCGCGAGAGTACCTCGTGATATTCGTGTACCGCGCCGCATTGTGGAGTATGGATGCCCATTTCAGCAATGCGGACTCGGCATTCGGCCTTTGGCTGGTCATATGCTGGACATGGGGGAAAAGGACGCGACAAATCGGCCAGGTGCGATAGGTTCCTTCCGGGAAATGGGAATTGAGGCATTGAATGAAGCGCGTGTTCCAGTATTCGAACTGTTCTTGCGCTTTGAGCCATTCTTGCAAGGCTAGTTGAAAGAGTCGGTGCATTTCAAAGTCCGTTCCGCTGGTTCCGTTCGATATGAGTGAGTAGTTTGTCAATATGAAGATATCATCTTCGAATCTGTCGTCATTTTCCTTCGTTTGGTCTTTTAGAACGAAATCTGGAATCCCTTGGCGATCGAAAAAGCTCATGAGAGCCAGCAAGTCTGCGACTGATGGCCTTGTTTGTCGGAGATGGTCGAATGAAATTTGCCATGTGAGAAATATTGCATTAACCGCATCCTTGTCGTGGCGGAGCTGACCCCCTTCATGACGGAGAAGACCGATCTTTTTGTGATCGCTTTTCTCAAATCCATTCTAGATATTGAGAGACTGAAGTTCGAGGTGCATGCTGCTTGATATAAGCTGCTGCCTGTACAATTACAAGTGGCATAGAGTCTAGCGCGGCGATGAGTCGATGGACCTCTTTTTCTTCGGATGGCATGCCGAGTTTCTTCTCGAATAGCGCCACGCCGTCAGTTTGGTCCATTGGTTGGATTTGAATGATGTCTTCGGCTTCTACCAGAGAAATCGCGACATTTTTGCTTCGGCTTGTTATTAAGATCGATCCGGGTAAGTTTTGAGTGAAGTATTCCCAGATTGTACGTTCTAGCATGCCATGTCCTTTGGTCTGTCTGGCCGGTGGGACCTGATGCAGGAACTGGTCGTCATCCAGGTTGTCGAGAATAAGAATCCAGTCACCATTTTTCTCATCGAGAAGCCAGTCACGAAAAAACCGATAGATATTCGATCTTTGGTCCTGTCGGCCGGGAATCTTCACCCCATCAGCGATATCCCGACAACTCTGCTCGAAGCGCGTCGCGTTGCTCACGTGGATCTAAAAAATCCATGTCTTTGGCGACTGCTCTTGGACACGGTAAGTATACTCGATGGCGAGTTGGGACTTGCTTCAATATGTTAGCAGCGAAGAGGTCGGGCTGCCATTTGAAAAACCCACCCAACACCACCGAGGCCGACGAGCGCCAGCCTTGATCCTGGGATCGAAGCCTTGCGAATTTGGTTGAGCAGTGTTCGGCGCTCGACAAAGTCTCCATCGCGCTTGAATGGGACTGTTGATAATGGGCTGGGTGGTGTTTCGTCTGGTTGGCCTGGAGAAGCAGCGGTTAGTCAGGTCTCGGGCCCGCCTGCTGTTCCCGACATACGTGCTGCTAGATGGAAGACTGGGTTGATTGAGCCGTAATTGTACCCCACCTGGAGGCTGTGGTTGTGGTCACCGAAGGTAATCGGCTCCATGATTGATAGCTCTATGCTGCTAGAATTTTTGCGATAAGGCTTGTTGACTGTCAGCTAAGGGGCTGTTGTCTATCAGGTGATCTTGGTGGCCCCATCTGCACTATATTGGGCTGCTTGCTAGAATCACTAGCAGCTGTTGAAATTACTGTGCTAAAACCAGAAGACACTGTGAAAAGGCAATTTTCAGATTGAGATGTATTTTGTTGAAATTGACTAGCCGGATCCCGGTATCCCAGATTTGAGCCTCTGTGCTTCTGAGTGAGAGATCTATACCGGTACATCACGATAGATCGAAGCTGATGAATTCATCCCAAGGGTAAGTCTTCGGAAAACTAAAACGCGTCTTTATTGTCTACTTCAGCTATTCTCAACCCACGCTGCATCAAATACTGCATGATATCAAAATTCCCCAGCCGAATAGCATAGTGAAGAGCAGGCCGGCCATTAGGAAAGTAAAGTGAAGTATCAGTTCCCAAGTCGAGCAGCAATTGCACAATATCCAGCGACCCCTGCGCAGTCGCAAGATGTAGAGACCCGCTGTTTGTCAAATCCCCAGATCTAGGCTTCAGCTCTGCAAGCAATTTCTCCATCCCTAGGAGCACCGCATCAACCAGTTCCTCCATAGACGACTCGTCTGCAAAATCGCGCTGGATAGTGCATATCGCCAGAAGAACAAACTGAATTTCGATCCACGGTCTTGCGCAGCCTTGCCTAAGGCCATTTTATCCCACTTCTTACTCTGATGGAGTTCAAAATTCAAGAAATAATTCAATACCAAGTTATGAACTCAACAATCCGAATCCCAGTTCCAAAATCCTAACCTAATTTTCATTAAAGCAGTATATAAACCCGACAAAACCACACTAAAGAAACGAAATTTAGCTCGCTCAAGCTAAATCAACCTAAAGACCCCCTGAGAAAAATATCAAAATACCCCAAGAACTCCAACCTGATCCCAGCCCGAACCCCTTAGAAGTTCTCAGGAGTAAAGCAGCACATATAGCACCCCTCACTTTTGAGCACGGGCGAAGCCTATACAACCATTAGCAACTAATCCTCAGACCTCAAAACGTCTTTCGAGAAAAAGATAAACTCACATAAGGCTTCGAGCAACTAGCCTCCTCCTCAGAAGGATAACACTGCCCCATACAGAAAGAATTACCCACATCCGCACCAAAGCTCTTTTGTGGCTGCACGGGAGCAACATTCGTTCCGGGAGCCATGGGGGCAACAGGCGCAATATCCTTGTCGCTCCCGACAGGTGCCTCTCCGCCGGCGCCAGGACCAAGCTGGTAGTTACTGCTCTGCTGTGCCGGTGCGTTTCCTTCAGGTTTATCAGCCTGTAGTAGCTGGGGAGCCTCCGCGGAGGGGGGCACGCTCATTCCGCCGGCTGGAATGCCGATGTTTCCGTTCGGCACGATGGCGGAGGCGTGGTGCGCGGAAGGTGCCTGGGCACCGTGGTGGGCTGAAGGCTTAGGCGCGGCATGCAGGGCGTGACTGAAGCGCGGTGTCGGGGTAGGCGTCACCATTGGCATGTACGAAGGAGCCATGTATGAAGAGGGCGTGGCGTGTGCATGCGAGTGAGGCTTGACGTGATGATGCTTGATGGCTGGGTGCGAGGCCTTGGGGGCGAATATGTCTGAGGCGTAGGGGCGGCTGGAGGCCATGGGCATGATGGAGTGCTTTGCGCCGGAAGCCATGGCGACCATTGTCGAGGGGGTGGCGTGGGCCATCGGCTTAGGGGTTTGAGCGTGTTGCTGGTGTTGTTGGTGGTGGTCTTGGTTGATTGGGCGCCATTTGCCGGGTCCTTCGAAGCCGTAGGCGTGGGCGACCTGTGGCACGAAGGATTGCACGAATTGGGCGCTTGTGCCCGCTGCGAGCAGGGTGGTGAGGAGGGTGATGTGCATTTTTGCCGGCGAGTCGGTTGGTGTCGGGTGTCGAGGTTGTCGAGGTTGTCGAGGTGGGAGGTCCTGTCTATATGTGTGGGATGAATTGGCTTTTAGGTGTCAAGGGGTTGGTTTGTTTTGGTGGTTATCGTTGCATACTTGGACGCGTTGGAATGTTGTTCGTATACTCTAGGAAAGCTTCGGATGGATACTCTCGTCGACTTTAGCAGATTAATTCATCTCAATTTCGATTACAACAAGGATGACATCGCATTTGATGATTTTTATTATACTGGATGGCTTTTATTGAAGATATTTGTAGTGTTTATTATGGAAGTGAGGTTGCGACCTGATATGCGTACGAAGCGGCGAATTCTCCCTACATACCGCGCCGAACTGACAATCATCAGCCACCCAAGCACCGATTAACTACTACCCTATTTCAAGTCATCTGACTACCAGCTGATGATTTTCAAGGGATAGTATAATCAATCGCTAATTCGGTAAATCAAAGTATACCCCAATAGAGTCATATCTTAAAAAAAAAAAAAAAAAAAAAAAAAAATTGGAACCCATAAAGCGTAGTAACCCCCGACATAGAGCCCACACTGTAGTTCAGCAACAGCCCACCTGCAAGACGATCTGCTAAACTACAGCAAAGGCTCTAAGACCCTACTGAATTCCTAAGATCCGCAGCGCTTGATTCTAAGATGAAACAGAAATTACCTACTGTAGGTAGGGCGCGGGGCGAAAGGGAGGCGCTGCCAAGCATACCGTGCGTCAAGCACTGCGCAGGCTGAGCCAATATCATTGTATCTACTAGTACAGTAGATAAGTTTCAGCAAGGTAGTCAAACATCAATCTACACCACAGCAAAGGAGTGAATTCCAGCATTGGAACAGATAGAGCTAGCTTCAGTTATATGCTGACATACTACTGGATAACATGCGATCATTGCGTCACCGTAAATAATTTCCACCACGTAGAATGACGCTCTACACTGGGAGATGGAAACTGTACCTACGGAGAAGAAAGGAGGTAATTAAGGAAAGGCGGACATTTAAGAACCTGATAATTCAAAGGGTAGACGGAAAGATTCCTCGTGTCTTGAGTAATACCTACGTCTATCTAAGGGCGGGTAGCTAGATTACGTAGCTTGATCAGCTGCTCTCTGTGGCGAATACTGCCTTCAAATGATTTGGCGTTGCGGGTTGATCAGCTGCGCAGAAATGGTTTGCAGCCTCTTACCCGCTCTACGCGTCAGTGATATCTGTTCGCGATAATCAATTTTTCTTCTTTCTCCCCAAGGGTTGTGCCAGTGCTTCAGATACTAAGGGCTAATGGAGCTGGTCCGTCTGCTTCCTTACAACCGCAACTCATTCCGGATGTTTCGCCGGCGGAATTGCTGGCAGGTATCGGTGCTGGAAGTGAATTGGATAGATGTACCGAACCTGCTTTCTGTCTGCTTGCTTGGGACAGCCCGCCTCTTTTGGGTGGGGCGCAGGCAGGTGGAGCCGTGCTCCAGTAACCTCGCCAGGAACCTATTTCCTTCATGACGGGTAGCCCCATTGGCGCTACAGGGAGGAAAGATAGGCTTTTCCCTTCTATCCCGCGCCCTTTGACGGGCAGCGGCTTCTTTCTCTGACTGACAAGATGGACGGTGCCGACGAAGCACGGCGTTCACGGCACTTCGCCTGGACAGATGATCATCGTCCTGTTTTCACATCTCGAATACTTTTTGGCTTTTGCGAGGATCCGCTTCTCGGTTTGTCTCGGAGAGTATGCTAGATGGAGGTTGGACAGTCGGATCGATGGTGTGGGAGCGGAATCATGACAAGACTCAACAACGACTCACGCAGCATCATCATCATCACCACCTTCATCTCATCGGATTCCGGCTGCTGAGCATGATGTCTGATCAGCAGTGACGAACAGTTGCATGCCATCTGGACGAGTTTTCACGGACTCATCCTGATGACTGCTGTGGCAACCAAGATGATCAGACGCGTCTTTCCCAGCCGGCCTGTGGATGGACCACATCTAACACGGAAAAATCAGAATTCGTTTCCAAGTAGGAGCGAGAGACGAGTGGCCGGGGGTGGAACCCGGAGATGATGGACAAGCTCATCTTCCACGAGTTCCGGATTGCACAACAGTCAACGCACTAGCCGGGTTCCATGGAGGAGGACCACATCCTAACACTAACGCCAGAAACCGGACTAGGATGGACGATGCCTTCGATACCGATGATCGAAGTCAGTCACGATGCCTTGAATGATGACACCAGTCCCCCGTCGATGCCGTCAACCACGCTGCCCCTAAGCTCACAGCGACCCTGATCCAGGTACACACCACACCGGCGACACCCACACGCCTTCATTGGCCGAGCACCGCTCTCAGCACCTATGACAATCGCCACTGCCATGACCAACAGTACTGCGGATGATTGTAGCCCATGAAGCTCCAGAACGGAACAGTCATGGCACTGGCGGAGGGTTGAGTTGGGTGGCTGCTGTTGTCGATTTCATGGCGGGTGCAATTCCTCGGCATTAGTTCGTACAAGACGGCTCACACCACGGCTGCTAAACATCATGGAAGTAGGAGAACGGGAAACGAAGCTGATTGATAACATGGACAAGGATGTCGGAGGACAAACGGAAGTGAAATGGCCGATCGTGCTGGACTTGGCTTCATTTGGAGCCCCATGTTGCTTATGTGGGCCGTTCGTGGCAGATGTGTACAGCCCGACATTGACTGGTATAGTTCGACATCTTCCAAAACCAGATCACCCAGCATTTGGCAAATAACGTGCAATCGGGTGTGGGACCGTTCGATAACATGCGCAAGACTGTTGGGGGGAAATCGGGTGGAATGGCTGGTAACTCGACCCATGTGCTGCATGTGCGAAAGCTGACTTCAACTCCAGTTGCTCGACAGGTGCCTGGCCTGAACTCCGCTTCCATGTTTGCATAAACGTTGCACGGGGCGCTGTGGGTGCTGCAATGGTGCATCATAACTAAGATGCCATAAACCCGAGATAGGCCTGTTAGGGTTTGGGCCGGGTGTATTTTCCGGTACCCGACGACGACATACCCAAGACACGACAATGAACCATATACGCCAGCGATGGCTGCATATCCTCGTTTTATTGGTCGTCCCAGAGATATCGACATTGTTGCGCCTTTTTGTCCATGCGTCTGGTATCGAGAGTCGACCAACGCCCGCGGTGTGACCTGTCTGTTCTGTCCCAGAAGTATCTTGCAATGCTCTGTTCTGCGAGCGCAATTTTCTCCAATTCCTTCATGGTATTGCTGCGCTTTTGTCGATGTTTCTGACTTGGGGGACACTCGCGAGGACTCGAGGTACTTGACGCGCCTAACCTTGCCCCATGAGGATCTTGCGTGCACCATGCTGTGATGGGGGTCTTGCTGCATGGCATTCCCTTACGGTATGGCTGTATCGCAGTCGATGCCCTTCGCTGCCATAAACGTGGTCATTGTATGTGGCGATGGCTGCATTTGCCATTTGCTTTGCTTTGCTTCTGGAGGATCTCTCAAGTCTCTCCCAACGATGAAGATTCGCGGTGGAAGAGAATCTCATTTCTATCGTCCGTCAGGGATCCCCATCGTTGAGACGACTCTGCTGAGTCCTCTCGAAGTACTCCTCAGGACCTTGGGTAATTCTTTCTTGGTTTGGGATGCTCGTTGCGATGGGAAAAGAAAGGGCTAACGACGTGATTAATCGGCGTTGAGGGGGCGGCATGGAGGGACGGACGAGCTTCAAAGATTAGTATTCGAGGAAAGTATGAGATTGAATTGCGACGGAGGGAAAACAGGCTTTCGTGGCTGGTGGTCGTGTTGGACGTGATGGAGGTGATGGTTCTGTAGGGAGGAGCGTGTTAACAACAGCCAGCAGATTTCCGGGGAGAGGGAGAGGCACCTTTATGTGAGCCATCGACGATGACATCTCTCCTTCAACCTCCTCGTCTATCATCTTCCTCGCGTCTCTGTCCTCGGTCAAGCAACCTGCATCGATGGTCTGGCTGAATAAAGGTGGTGAAGAACGTCAAATTCCGGCACTGGTCTGGCCGCCCAAACTCCTAGGACCTCGGGCGACTCTAGTGTCCTGTCCACCACGACCACCATCATCCATCAACTTGGAGCCACATGAGCGACGATATAGGGGTGATGCATCAGGGCAAGTATTCTGCATCCGAAAAAGCAGTACCCAAAAAATGAAAATGGGAGACGGCTAAGCCGGTGATGCTTCGCGAGCCCGGAAAGATGGATGGATAGAGACACCGACGATTGGCCGGCACTTTTATCCGGCACAAACGAATTCGCTACGATTAGTGAAGAGTCAAATAAAAATGGGCAAGATGGAGCCCATCGCAAAACACACGGACATGCCCCAGCTGCGATTGCCACGATGCGAAGAAAAATTAAAGGCCGCTGCGGTCGAAGATGACATCGCCATGGGCGCCTCCGCGGCTGGCTCAGGGCGTGTTTTACTGGGAATAGTTCAGAGCGGCAATGCATGGTTTAAAATGTCCCGCTTTCTCCGTCTTCTCCTTCTACCCACCCCGCGCCGACTGGATTTCCTGACGAACTGCGTCCCGTCCCATCGAGTTGGTTTGATCGTCGCGTCGACCCGGTTTTCAGATAGTCAAGTATGGCCGACCGCTCTCCTTCCACCTCCCTCTGCCCCTGCTCCACACCGTCGCCGCCCTCGCCATTTATAGTCCCTGCTTTATGCTATATATCTTTCCATCTGCCTCTTTTTATTCGTCCTCTTTGCATTTTCATCTTTTCCATCCTGATGCTGCTCGACTCGTCGAATACTAATAGACAGAATCAACAGTTCGGTCAATCCGAGGACTCTGCCCTAACAGCCTTGCCACGGCCTGAAAATCTTCAACCGTACTCATATCGTGACTTTGATCGTGACCTTTTCTTCAGGACTTGGTGACTTGCATTTGACACTCGAAAGTATCGATTGATCGCGTTGACGAAATGGCTTCTCAAAACCCCGCCCAGGGATTTGGCGGCAAGGCCCCGCCCAGCAGTTCCAGGTAGGTCGACTGTCCTCTGCGCTGCCTCTTTCTCGGCGTTCATCCTTTTGTATCGCGCTTCTCGTCTGAATCTCTAGAGGCTAAGACGAGGACGACAGCGAGACGACAGCTGACGACGTCGATGAAAACAAAAACCCACGTCCATCCCCAACGGACGCCTGCTGACTCTCAACAGTTCGAATCCAGCCTCGCAGGCAACCCGCGACAAGGAGTTCTACTCCTCGTTCCTGCAGAAGCTGCTGGACGTCATCGGGCAAGCCGACGATGCCACAGTGAACCACGTCGTCACTACCGTTCGCTCGGGCGCCTCGCATGACCAGATCCTCGCGCTCGTCAACGATCTCTCGAAGCGTGGGAAGGGCACGTAACCAGCCCTTTCCCCTCCAATTCGAATAAACGCCGCCTCAAAGGATATTCGCCTTCAAACCCCAAAAAAAAGACCCCGGAAGCGGACGAGAAGGGAGCGGTTGCCCGAAATCCCTGATATGTTACCAGAAGCACGGACGACGTGCGACAGTGCTTCTGGCTACCATCGGCGAGGATCGTGGCGGGGAGGGGGTTGGTTCCCGGGGTCCTGGCGAAAAAGGTTGAAGGTGGCAAGACGAGATAGCTCATGTCGTTTTATCTCTTAGCAATGCTCCATTATGCGCCTTGGTTCATCGATCTTGAAAGTTAAGACACGAGTGCTAGACACACGTAAAGTGTGGCGACATGGACGTCGACGCCATAGCAGATGCAACGTTTTAAAAGACCGACGCGACCTTAAAACTTTTTGAATATTCGAGCATGTTGCTGACGCTGTCATGGTTAGATAAGCTGATTGCAGTGTTCAAAGCCGTAGGGCGACTGCGGAGAAATTCGCCTCCTGATATCATCTCGAGTTTGACCCTGGCGAACCATCAGATTTATGGACCTTCGCCCGTGGATGCAGTATGACGTTGGTCTGTCCCGGTACCTAGGGTACGAGGAAGGTATGACGGAACCGAACCACTGGCTGTTGGAACCATTGGCTGTTGGAACCACTGGCTGTGGGAACCACTGGCTGTGGGAACCACTGGCTGTGGGAACCACTGGCTGTGAACGAGGACGAGATGTAATCAAGATGACTGTGTCGATGATTCAGCAGTGTGCAGAGGCGTTGCAATATGAACAGGCGATACTAATCACCTCAGCTGTTGTCCAGTCAAAAGTCATAGGAGGTATGGGGTTAATCTGGACCCAGCTGATCGATAATGGAGACGGCAGAAGAGAAAAAAGGACCAATGTGGATGCGAAAGGAAAAAGGAACCAGGCCGGATCGACGAGAGTCCGCTAGTCACGCCCCTGCAATGCAGACTAGCCCTTAACAGAACGAAACGTCCCGACTTCGTGAAGGCAGGCTCAGATAAAGCTGGATGTCTCCGACAAAACCTGCGGATCTCGGACGAGATCTCAGACGATGATGAAGACAGATTGTCCCAGCAGGGAAAGTTTGTTCGTGCTCGAACCCAAACAGCGGAATGGGTACGACTGGTGGGCTTCTCGGATTCTATCTCCGGACCGTCTGGTGCAATAATATCACCCCAGTGGAGCTTGCACCAGGCATGTCCCATTGGTCCCCTGCGAACAGACGGTCTCGCGCTCTGCGTGCTTCTTCCTGGGGATGGGATCAAGCACTGCAGATGGGATGCCATCCTCCACAGGATGGGGAGAGCAAGAGACTGCGAGACGATCTGCTTTGACGCACGGTATCCAACGACAACCCCAGTTTCTGCCGACGCGGCAGAGTCAGGACAGGCCGCTGAATCTCATCCCAACGGAACGCTCATCAAGACAGGACTTACCCATCAGCTTCTCTACTCGGGTTCTCTGCTCAGTTTCTCTGCTCAGCTACGCTAGTAACGACGACTATCATGTCTACCCCCCTACCATCTCACGAGACGCATGATGAACCAAGCAACGGCCGGGTTGGAAATGAGTCTGACAGGGGGGACTGGCTGTGTCCGCAATCCCGGAGACCTGGTTCTCGGGAGGGCTTCACGTGTCTAGGTCGGTGGTGGACCGGATGGATGGTTTGACTGGACCAGGCAGAGCCTTCATGCGAGTGATGACTTGAGCTTATTCTAGGGATGGTTGTTGGGGATGGACAACGCGAGGCTGGGACTGCCAGGGCAGAGTTTTACAAGGTTGACGCCTGGTCTCCCTACGTTGACAGCTGAAACAGACAAGAACACAGACGCCAGCATTGACGATACTCCCGAACAACCTATCCAAAGGACGAGGCTCAGCAAGAGACACGAACGCGAGACCGAGACTACCACCGCAGATTGACACCTGATTGACAGCAGGCATCCCTTCGTTGGCAGCAGATACGGACACGGACACCGGAGACGCAAGCATTGACGGCACGCCCGAGAAATCCGACCAAGGGATCAGAATCAAGAATCAGCAAGTCACGAATACCGCGAGTTGGCAGCGAAAAGCCGAGCACTACATCTATCCATGGTGGTATATTCTACAACGGACCCCATATCATTCGATCTTCAGTGCTGAGTGTACAAGCGACCCAGCGAGTGTTTTTTATCGGAATACTGGGATACAATTATACACCGACCTCTCAACAATCCGCCGCCTTCGATTCAGCAAACTCACAAGTTACGACATCTTATGGTACCCCCTCGGTATTGGTGTATTGGACATGGATAAACAGTGCTATGCATGGATGTAAAGGGTTTGGGAATTCACTTTCCTAGCAGAGGCACGGGCTCACAGCTCACGTCTGGTCGAGGATCTGGATTTCGAACCCTTTTACGTGTGCATACATACGTGTCACTGTTTGGATGCTTTGAGAAGATCTGGTGTCCTGTTTCTGGTCCTCGGGTTAATATTCAGGTGTGCCGGTTTGTGTGGTCGTGCATCGAGATTGATATTGGGTCGTGGGCTGGACTGCACGCTTAATTTTAGTGTACGTTGTAGGAATATCGTACTGATTTGGTTTACAAGTATGGTATATTAGGGATTTATCAAGTTTAAATGCTATAGATCGTAGGAGGCACCTCGAGGTCCAACAGGACGGACGGTACATGCAGCCTGCATGATCAATCAATGACCATAGCACAACGTCATGACAACTTGAAAGTAGCAGACTAAAGAACCAACTACTAGATACTACTACATCCGCATTATAAGATTTAAATACCAAAAATTGGTCTTTAGAAGACACTCATATGATCCATCGAATATAATTCCTCATAAATGCATTTTAACTCATAGGTCTCCTTTTTATGACATCTAACATTACGCCGTTTACGGGGTGCAACGGCCAGTGAAGCGCGGGTACAGCGAGCAATCACGAACAGTGTACCGGGCACACAGCCAAGCAAGGAATCGCTCGAGACCGAGGCCGTATCCGCCGTGCGGGGAGGTTCCGTACCTTTTTGTTTCATATATATTAGCAGATATTCAAAGATCCCCGGTAGGGGCTGGGGGTGTTGAAGGAACTTACTTGCGCTGGTCGGTGTACCAGTAGTACGGGCTGGGATCCATGCCCTCACGCTTATACGCGGTCATGAGCTCATCCCAGTCGTCCATACGCATCGAACCACCGACAATTTCACCGACGCCGGGCATGAGGACGTCGACGCTTTCAGTGACGCGCCGGTCAGAGTCGTCCTTCTTCATGTAGAAGGCCTTGATCTCGGCGGGGAAGTGGGTGAGGAAGATGGGTTGGTTGATGATATCGGTCATCTTGCGCTCGGCAGCCTCAGCAATGTCATCGCCGAACTTGTGCGGCTCGCCTTCTTCGTTGGGGATGTTGTGTTCGACCAGCCAGTCGATGGCGTCGGAGTACTTCATACGGCGGAAGGGACGGGTCGGCTTCTTGAAGTCCGGGTTCAGCTTGTTGATGTAGCCGGCGATCTCGGGCTCGGCGAAGATGTTGTCGATGACGCGGCAGATCACTTCTTCGATGTGGTCGAGGAGGTCCGCGAAGGTGATGAAGTCCAGCTCGGCTTCGATGTGCGTGTACTCGGACAGGTGGCGGCGGGTGAGGGACTTCTCGGCGCGGAAGGATGGGCACACGCAGAAGACGTCGCCCATGGACGGCAGGCAGGTTTCCAGGTAGAGCTGCGAGGATTGGGTCAGGTAGGCGTTTTGCCCGTAGTAGTCGAAGCCGAATAGGGTGCTGCCGCCCTCGACTTGGGTTTGCACCATTGCCGGAGGAGTCACTTCCAGCAGACGGTTCTCCTCAAAGGCCTTGCGGAAGGCGCGCAGGGTCGCGGCGCGCACCTTCATGACGGCGGACGAGGTCTCACCGCGCAGCACGAGGTGGCGGTTGTCGAGCAGGGTATGGGGATCAGCGTCCTTGGCCACGCGGGTGGTGATGGCCTCCTTGTCACCGGCGGCACGGCCGATGATGGTGAAGAAGTCGGCATGCAGTTCACGGTCGTTGGGAGCGTGAGCGCCGGCGGGGACGGCGCGCATCTCACCGTGGATGGACATGGAGGTCTCGAGGGTGAGGGTCATGATATCGTAGGTCTTGACCAGGTCGCCGGTCAGAATGCACTGCATGTATCCGTAACCATCGGTAAGAGTAATAAAAACAACGCCCTTCTGCGCACGCATACGGTGCACACGACCCAGGACGCGGACCCGCGTACCGGGGACATCAGAGTCGGCAGGGCGTGGCTTCACGATGGCGGGATCGACGACGTCCAGACGAATGCGGACGGGGGCGGGCAGCGAGGTGTCCTCCTTGATGATGACCTTCTTTGCCTCGTCCAGGACCTTCTGGCGGTTATCGGCCTCGGCCTTCTCGCGGATGGCCAGCTCTTGCTCCTTGGCGGCCTTCTTCTTGCGCTGCTCCCACAGGTTGGTGGCCTTCTTCATGGCGGACTTGGTCGCGGCCTTCCACTCCAGCTTGGCCGCGGGGTCGACATTGTCGCCGGGGGCATCGGTCTGCGACTTGCGGGTGAGGTACTCGATACCCTCGGTGGTGGGCGCGTGCTGCACGAAGGCGTGGACGAGAGTCTTGTAGGGAGCGGACTCGGTGCCAGTGGCGGTGGTGTCGTCCCGGCCGACGTCCTCGTCGATGTAAATGGAGAGCGCCATTGCATACAATGTGTCAATTGAGCACAGTGATCGAGGGGGAGGGCTGGAGGGGCGCGGAATTCTGCGTGGACGCAATTTAAATTAGTTCGCCGCACGTCTTGCATGTGAGTCATCTCGCAGGAAGGAGTGGGAGATAAGAGTGTTCAGCGCATATGCACTGCGCCGGTTCAATTGCGATGATTCTGACAAGAACATACCTATGGTACCCTGACCCAAAGTGCGCGAGATAATTGTCGTAGTGTCAAGCCGCGGGAATCGCACAGAGCGAAGAGGAAGTGGAGGGGTAAATTTCCGTTCCCCACGGTTGCCTGAGGCAGCGACGGGAGGTTGTTGCGATGACTACCATGCCTTAAGGTAATGATGATTCGATGAAAACCCTAGGGTAGATTAAGTATCCAGTGAGGTGATGCCATACGAAATTCGAATGATTCAAAATGACCTGTATATTTATTGTGAGATATATCCGAGGTGCGCTGGTGTGTATTGCCTGCACTAGTTAGTTATATATTTTGGCTGACCAAATTGATCAGAATAAATGATTCATCCGATCATACTCCATGTACTTATCCATTATGATATGATCACATCAACTATTACCACCCATATACATACATCGTGTATCGTGCTCGTGCTCTCCTCATGCTGACTACTACTGGGATGTCACGGGTTGTGCCTGATCTCCCCAGGTTCGGATTGGCGGGGCTGTTCCAGTTCTGCAGGAGCCACGGAACTTTGTTTACCACTCCAACATCAACAAATCTTCTACGATTTAGCTGGGCTAATAGTAAAATATCTTATTATAATGCCTTAATTTTTATTCTCTATTAAACCTTAATACCGCAACACTGAATACTTACAGGTGAATACTCTCAGCTTCTCGACAAAGTGGATCGCCACGTAAAACTCCAGTGGAACGGCGGTTCCTGGTTGCCGGGCCCCTTAAGGGTGAACGAACTCCTTTTCGCGGAACCCCTTTTACCATCCTTGCTCCTGCTGGCCTGGTCCTTGCCGTTCATTCTTTCTTCATTCCTTCTCCGAACCTCGTCGCTCTCTTTTTTTGTTCGTGTTGTGTCTGGTAAGCCGCCCTTCTCCACATCTCATCTCTCATCGCTCTTCCCTCTTCCGCCATCCCCCTTTCTCTTCATCTTCAGCCTTGTCCCCTTTCGGCTCATCCTTTCCACTTATCCCTTTTCAGCTAATGTCGTTTCTGTCTGGATAGTCTCTTTTCTTCTTCGGCTCCGCACCTTTTCTTTTGCAGGATCCCCGTATATATCTGACATTCCCCAAAACGAAAAAAAAAAAAAAAGGTGCGATGACCCCCCTCGTCTCGCGCCCTCCCGAGGCACATTCCAATCAATTAACCTTTGGCGCCTTTTCAGACACGTCTCCAGTCGCTTCGTTTCCCCCCGACGGAGTCCCGTTTCCTCTTCTCCTCTCGTGTTCCTTCCCCTGGTTGTCGTTGCGGAAAGAGGTGGTCCCCTGAATGGTGATCTGATATACCCGTCGTGACCGCATCCCGGCTCCCCCAGATCTTTCTTCCACCCCCTGGACCAACACGCTCAAGAAGAAAGACAAAGAAGCTTCCCCCTTGGTTTGCCCTGGCTTGGTGTCTCCCACACGGGACGATTCCGATTTCCCTCGTGAGCGTTTCATCTCGCCATGCAAACCTCGGATGCGTCCAGCATCCCGAACAGTTCGCGTTTGATACCTCCTGGCTCCAAATACCTCAACGGCGACACGGGCTTTTCCCACGGCGCGTATAATTCCAACCATCCCAATCAAGGCTTCTCCAATCGAAACGGTCGTCGCGCCAATATCCCCTCGATCAACACCGCTGCCGCCGGTCAAACCGCCGACATGGCCTCCGGTGCCGGCTTCGATATGAACTACACTCCCCTCCTCCCGTCGCAGCTGCTCGTTGGCAGTCCCTTTCAACCCGGAACCCCGTCGGCCTTTGCCTCTCCCCAGTTTGCCAACTTCGGCGGCTTCCCGCAAGCCAATGCCAATGGACACGCGCAGAACTCCCAGAACCATCAGCTCGGCAGCCCGACCCAGGGCATGCAGAACCCCGGAATGTTCCCGGGAATGATACAGACGGATGGGTTGGGCGCGTCGCACCTGCTGGGCCCCCAGTCTCCCATCAACGGAATGGGCGGCCTCGGCAACGCGGCTTTGGGCAGCCCGGCGGCCTCAGTGACACCCGGAATGTTGTCGGGCACCAGTCGCACAGTCTATCTGGGGAATATCCCGGCTGAAACGAGCGCCGAGGAAATTCTGAACCATGTGCGCAGTGGCCAGATCGAGTCGGTGCGCCTGCTCCCCGATAAGAACTGCGCCTTCATCTCCTTTCTCGACAGCAGCTCCGCCACCCACTTCCACTCCGATGCCATCTTGAAGAAGCTGGCCATCAAGGGCAATGATATCAAGGTCGGCTGGGGCAAGCCCTCGCAGGTGCCGACCTCCGTGGCGCTCGCGGTCCAACAGTCCGGGGCGTCGCGCAATGTTTACCTGGGTAACCTGCCGGAAGAGACCGCCGAGGATAACCTGCGCGAAGAGCTCGGCAAGTTCGGCGCTATTGACACTGTCAAGATTGTGAAGGAAAAAGCCATTGGATTCGTGCACTTCCTGTCGATCAGCAACGCCATGAAGGCCGTTACCCAAATGCCCCAGGAGGCTCAATGGCAGGCCCCCAAGCGCGTCTTTTATGGTAAGGACCGATGCGCATACGTGTCCAAGACGCAGCAGCAGAATGCCGCCCAGTTCTTGGGTATCGCGCCGGGCTATGCTCATGTTCTGAACTCGGCCGATCGCGATTTGATCTCCAACGCGCTGGCTCAACAGTCGGTCGCGGCGGCCGCCGTTGCGACCACTGCTGGCGGTGTCAACAATCTGGGCAACCGCACCATCTACCTTGGAAACATCCACCCCGAAACCACCATCGAGGAGATCTGCAACGTCGTGCGCGGCGGCCTTTTGCACCACATCCGCTATATCCCCGACAAGCACATTTGCTTCGTGACCTTCATCGACCCGACCTCCGCCGCCTCCTTCTATGCTCTGAGCAACCTGCAGGGCCTGATGATCCACAATCGACGATTGAAGATCGGCTGGGGAAAGCACTCTGGTCCTCTCCCGCCGGCCATTGCACTGGCTGTCAGCGGTGGCGCTTCCCGAAACGTTTACATTGGAAACTTGGACGAGGCTTGGGCCGAGGAGCGTCTGCGTCAGGACTTCTCGGAGTATGGCGAGATTGAGTTGGTGAACACCCTACGCGAGAAGAGCTGCGCGTTTGTCAACTTCACGAACATTGCCAACGCCATCAAGGCGATCGAAGGCATGCGCAACCGTGAGGAGTACCGCCGATTCAAGATCAATTTCGGCAAGGATCGTTGCGGTAACCCGCCGCGCCAGGCCGGTAACCACTCCAACTCCCAGCAGGGTCGCAACGGCCAGGGCTTGGAAGGACCCCAGTCGCCTACACCCGCCATCAATGGATTCCAACAGCCCCTCAGCCAGTCCGGCTCTCAGTCAAGCCCGACTCGCCCTGCCCTGTCGCCCGCCCCTGGCTCCACTGGATCACAGAACGGACAGCAGCGTCACCCGCTGCAAACCGTGTCTTCTCCCTCGGGTGTGCTGAACGTGGGTTCGAACAACCCACTGACCATGTACCTGAACCAGATGTCCGCGCAACAGTCGCAGGACCAGGAGAACAGTCTCCGCGACCCAATGGCCCTGACTGGCCTGCAAGCTCAGTCCCAGGCACCGCAACAGTCTCTCTATAACGGCACTACCACCGGCGAGCTTTCCAATGGAAACATTGACGCTCCGCTTCACCAACACAAGTCCTCTGCCAACGGCTACCTGAGTGTCGGCTCTGGCAATTCTGGTCCTGGCCATCACTCTACCGCCAGTACCAGCAACCTGAGCGTGCCCCGTGCCTCGCACTCTCGCGCTGTTAGCCTGCCATCATTCTCGCAGGAGCCTTTCGGCCCCGTCTCCGGCCAGAGCGGTCACATCCGCACCGGTACCACCCATCAGCCCCAGAGCAGCTTCTCGAGCTTCTCGTCTGCCCTCGGTGGATTGAACCACTCGGGCTTTGGACTTGCCATTCAAAACGAGAACTCCCTGCCTGGCTGGGCCGAAGAGGAGATCGGAGCTAAATAAAGCTGCATCCCTGCATCATTTGGAAGATGCATAATTCCGACTCATTACCCTTGGTGAACCCATCTAATGGCATTTACTCCCTTCTCTTTTTTCTTTTACTTTTTACACATAGTTCATTTTGATTGTGACGCCATCTCTGCATTTGACTTCTTTTCTTGTATTGGTCTTAATATCTTGATTTTTTCTGACTTTCGACATTCACTTCTGACCCCCTTTTCTTTTTCTGTTTTTCTCGATGTTTTGACTCTTTGCTTTGTCCGAACATGTTTCCTTCACCGACGATGACCTTCTACTCCCTTTAATCCGCTTCTCTTTACCACTTTGTATTGCTAGCTGGCTATGGTTTTTATTCTCTTTTTGACTTTCGACCGATTTCTATCGAGGCAAGGGTGGCTTTTTGTCTTTTTATTCTTTCCCCCTTCTGGAGAGCTTGCACCTCTCGAGCATTTCTGAGGTTGTGTAGGTCTCCTCTGCCTTCAGGTGTCGGCCTTTCTTTTTTGATATGGATTTAAACGTCTGCCGTTGGGCAGGTTGCATCGGGTGTTACGATCCAGTGAAAAATACCCAGTCTCTTGCTCGCTGGCCCGTTGGCTTGGGCGGTTGAGCTGCAGATGTGTAATTACATAGTGGAGAGTTCCCGGGGAAGAATGAAATGAGTCGACGCAATGGTGGTTTTTTAGTGTGCTGATGTGTCTGGAATAACAATAACAAAGTTATAATGCGACAAGATGTCTTCGAACTTGAAAGTGTAGGAGAATAATGAGGTAGCTGTAGAAGTGCTCGAACGGCTCATGTCGTGAAAGCACGTGACCATATGGACATTTCTGACTCAGCAGCCGCACCCTAATCTTCCCACCTGGGAAGGTGAATCTTCACTGCATCATTCACCTTGCGTTCCATTCCCACAAACGCCATCCTCGTCACTTTCACGATGGCGCTTCCACCGGAACAGATCAACATTAAGCGGCGTCGTGAAGAGGAGCCCGTCGAGACGCTGTGTACGTCTTCCTGCACTTTTTCCCTGTGTTGTTTTTCACCCCATGATCTACACCCCACCAAGATCTGACCATGCATCAAATGCCATCGGTATTCGACGCTCAGCCAGTGTCCCTTACCCTGCACGCTATATCTTAATCTCTTCGACGTTCGCATCCTGTCATGACAGATCAACTAACAAATTTTCAGACATCCAATCCGCGCTCCATCAAACCAAGCGCCGTTTCACGGACTACGTTTTCCAGCGAGTCCCAATCAAGGCGGGCGATGGAGATGCACCGACTGATGCTGGTGCACCAACCACTGCTGCTGCCCAGAGACTCTTGCGCAGCCCTCGCTCTGTGAGCAGCCTGCATGTGAACCGACGTGCTCCCCAGCAGAGCACCACTCCTACTCCTGGCATCACGTCCAGCGGTGTTCCGCTCGTGCGCAGAACATCTCCTGGCGCCGAACTTCGTGATGCACAGCGCCGAGCTGCTGCACTGAAGGAGGCCGATGAAAAGCGTAAGCAGGCTTTGCAGCCTTCGCCTCTCCAGCCTTCGCCCGCACAGTCTACCCCACAGGATGAACGCCGTACGCCTGCAACTGGTACTTCTGGATCTGGTGCTTCGTCTAGCCGAGATTCTGCCATCCGCCGCTTCCAAATCTCCAAGGCTAACAGCCCTGCACTCCGAGCTGCCGGCGGTGGCATTCAGAAGCGTCGACCCGGTGCCCCGCCCGGCGTTGCTGTTCTCGTTGAGCAGCTGCAGCGTAACCATTCGCGGAAGGCATCTATGGTTGACGACTTGGTTTGCCAGGCTGAACTCGATGACTATGTGAATGTGACTCCGCCCTCGGAGCCGGCCAAGCCACGCAAGCGACCCGTCGTCAACCAGGCCGAGAAGAAATGGAGAGAAGAGCGCAAGAAGGAGATTGCCGCTGCTAAGCAGCACATATCCGAGGGGCTTGAAAATACCGCGAAGTCGCACCAGAGCACCTGGGAGGAGGAGTCTGACCGGCTGGCAAAGGAGTTTGAATCGATTGCGCTGGAGATCGAGAATGGCATGGAACTCGATCCCAGCAATGGAGGAGATGCCCTGCCTGGCCACGAAGATGCTCCCGCCAAATCTTCTTACTCGCGATTCTCACAGCCAGCCTCCTTGAAGTATCAACCGCGCTTCCCGAACAAGCTTCGCGCGCGGGCTTCGGACTCGAACCAACCCCCTGCTCCCGAAGATCCCACGGAAACGGATGGCGCCGATACCCAGGCTGTGGATGACAATGATGGAGACTTCGTCTACGATGTCTACATTCGACGACCGCTGACGGATAATGACAAGCTTACGAACCCGTTAGCTGAATTCGAGTCGGACAAGCAGCTGAAGGAACTCGAAGCAGCTGCCAATGCTGGCGTGGGTGTCATCGTGATCACGGAGGAGGATGAGGAATACTGGGACCATTTCATCGAAGATGATGAAGAGGAATGGGACAGTGAGGACGCGGACTCGAATGGTGAGTTTCAACCGGACCTCCTTGCCAATCCCGGCTTTTACGTTCCCTCCAACCCTTATTTCCTTCTTGCTGCCCTGATTGGCTCAAGCATTGCAAATACCCTTAGCTTGGACCGTCTTCCCACTCGAAACGAGACAGAGCCATTGGAAGAAGGATGGGACAATACTGATGCGCCTGTAGCTGAGAACAATCCGGCCAATGATTATCCAGAGGAAGAATTCTCGACTGGCGACGAGGAGGACGATCCTACCTCCTTCTTCGGCAGACGTCACATCGCGTCCGACGACGAGGAATTCGACATTGACGACTCCGACATCGAGGGTGGCGCCCGGCTCGGATCTACTACCCACACTGGCTATGGTGGATATCTGTTCTTTGGTCGATCCCCGACCGACCGACACGTGGATTCGGACGACGAGAGCGTCTGATAGGAGCGACTTTTTTCATGGTCTGACAAAAACCGGATTGATTCAAACATGACTTGGACAGACAGACCGGACAGGTCTTCGTTGGGGTGGCTGGTTGCGATGGTGTGCCAGATGCAGATAGCCGTGAGTTTTGATCCATTGCAACCCTGTATTATCCTTTCCCTCCCCTTATGTTGGTTCTAACGCAGATCGTAATTGGCTAGCTTTCAGTCGTGTTCTTCTGCAGGCGCCGTGGCTTTGGTCTTGGGTCAATATCCTCTCAACGACCAAAGCCCGGTATGACGCCAAGGATAGACGTAGGCCCTTGGAAAGAAGAAATCCCTGCGACGCCAACTGCCAGTTGCCAGTGGCTCTGACGTGTCGATCTGGAATGATTCCGACTAAGCCCTCCAAAACTTTTCCTCTTTCCGCTCCTCGCCCGAGGTCATCCGGCCCACCATCGCATCACAAATGCCCGCTTTGGCTACTCTGCTTGCGATCGTCGGAAGTTTCCTTAGCCTCGGAAAAGGATCGTGGGCTTAACAGCCACTCATGCCACGTGGGGGGCTGATGCGGGGTTGTCGTTGGAATACGTAAAGTGTAGGGGTAGGATAGGCAGTCGGGTATTGTCGGTGCTGACGATGCTTGTCTGCCATGAAGAATCCTCCTGGAAGTTTGGGAAGGATGAGTGGTGGAAAGTATTTTGCCGTGACGACTCGAAAAGGCAGTTCACTACAAATTTCTCCATAGCCAGAGCCTACAATCTCCAACTCAGGTGCTCCTGTCAGGAGCTACCTCCAGTACACTGTGTATGGGTAGGGAGGGTCTGCTGATAGAGTATGAATGATATCAGCAAACTCAAACCCGGAAGTAGGAACTAAATGCCGATACTATATTTGCTAGTCGTAACTACCGACCGAACCTAATCCCATCAGCACAGCACTTTATTGCTCATTCGTATAAATCTCTTTCAGGAAGGAGACTCATATCCCAGATCCATCGCTTGCGCGGGATTGGTCGGATCTTGCGACCGATCGGTCGTCCTGCAGCGCTGAAACAGTTTGCTATGCATGCAGGCTGTGCTGATCTCTGTTGGAATGTCGTTGCATCGCACTGTGAGGAAGGTCGAGACGGACCGGATACTGGATCGGATGTATGTAGTATTGGCTTTGGGTGGGTTGGATGCATGTTTGCTTGAGTACCAACCCTACCTTAAGGCAGTAGTAGGTATTGGTAGACGAATAATATGATTGTTTCGTGTTGGTGTAATTCGTATCACTACATGTATTGTTAAGCCTCGCCTAGAATAGCCTCAGCCAAGGCGCGTACTGCACCAGTGTGTAGTGTGTTCAGACAAGTCTGAGACATGTCTGCTGTATACTTCAGAATTGGATCAAAAATGGATCTCCCTCAAAATACTGTGCCTAGAGTCGGTCTCAGGGTAAGTACTCGTTTTGCATAAACTTCTCAACCCCGTCCTCACCGGCAGAATCCTACACAGTCAGGTTAACTAACATCATATCCCAAATCACCCGCCATCTAACGCTCAAGATGAACCAGGCTTTGTATAAATCAGTGTAGACACTTCAGTAGGAGTAGCACCAAACACCGAGCTCCACTGTGACGGAGGTTTACTGCAGGTGACTCAGCTGAAGAAAATCCCCTCTCCGTGCCCGCGTTCTCCGTCCCGCGGTGGATTACGGAGGAAGACGGGCGCATCCGTGGATATCGAGTCAATAATTGCCCCCACCGTGGCCAGATTGCGAGTGTTCAGGGCAGGGTAAAATTAGCGATCTTGGGTTCGGTATACATTTAGATTCTTCCCTCAACACAATTCTCTCCCTGGGTGAGTTCTATCCAAGACAACTGGTGAGGAGCCACTCTAGCCCCTCAAATACTGCAGGTTTAGTCTGGCACTCGACGGCAGCCAGGCGGGTCTCGTCGTTAGTTGCTCTAGTCTCGATGGACGGCGGGTCTGAGGAGTACTGTGAGGCTCTGCTGGTTTCAGGTATTGTGTTACGCGGGTTTTGGTGATACAGTACGTGTAACTAAGTATCGGATACCAGAATACTCAGCAGTGCCGTCGTCGTCGTCGTCGTCGTTGTTGTTGCAAACAAAATGAGGTGTTTAGTAGTATACTAACGTTGGATATTCTACTTGCTGATAGTTGTCTTAGCCCAGAAATAGACCTACCCTAAGATAGTAGAGTCGTCACCGACTCGGAGACGAGGCTGATTACAAAGCGTAACCGTACCATACTTGGTATTAAGGAATGCCAGCCTTGTCGCGATACCGCTAATCGCCGGGGCTTCAGGAAAGTTCAACCAAGCGCATAGCCGACTCCTCGTATCTTTTCGATATCCACTAAAGATGTCGTCAGGCGGCCCACGGCGATCAACAAGAGATCGTCTCAAACAGAGTATCGTGGATCCATTGCGTGCCGGAGATCACCGAGGAGGTCTGGATTGAGGTGGGCCAGACAGTGCCCGTGGAACAACTGACAAAGGAGAGTATCGGGGGACGAACCAGCAAACCAGCCCTGCAAAAGGGTCAACGGACGCAGGTATCCTAGGGTAGGAAAGAATTCTGGTGACGGGACGAGCTCGTATTACTGTGGAGCTGCCGAAAGACATCGGCCGCGGAGATACTGACGGTCCGTGAAGAACCTGTAGGATCACCAGCGACTACACCTTCACGCAGGCAGTGCCAGGCCAGCCATAATGCGACCTCATATCGCATCGTCCTCAGACCCCCAAGAGTACATGTACGATGGCAGGTGCAAGGATGCGCAGCGCAGCCCGTGCTAGCCCGACGCTAATGCCCCCTACCGACCCGGGTGACGGGCTCGCGGTGTGATGGTTGAAGCATTAGTCCCGTCGGAGTTGTCGTCAGTGCCTGTGTCCGCAGTGATTGGATTGTCGAGCAGAACTTATCCAACGTCTGGTCTGCATCGATCCCAACGTTTTGCCCGTGCATGGGCGGTCGATTCATTTTCAGAGTCGGAGATAAACTCGACTCCTTCCACTGTGAGCGAGCTCGCTCTTGCCACGCGAGTGCTTGGCGAGTGCTTCGCGATATCCGAGGCAGACGTCCGACTTGGTCCAATTCACCAGCAAAAAAAGGCATCTCCGATCGGGGTTGCATTATTGAAGGAAGGCCGTTGCGACTATCGGAATTCGGGGATAAGACTGTGCCTTACTCGACCGAGAGTACCACCTTGCAGAGAAGGAGGAGTGCAATGAAAAACCAACACAAAACTCTCGATATCATTCGTGCTGGCACGCCACGATTATCAGCGGCCGCGTCGAATCAGATCCACCCCAGGTTGGAGAAGGACTCCGTGCAATTATCATCCTGCAGTCTTCCCACTTGATGCACTTGCAGACACGCAGACCTTGCCGGCCTTTGAATCAGGCCGCGATGGATATTCCGGGCAGTACAGTGTACTGTACTCTGGAGGTACTGCACGCTGTAATGTCTGTGCTAGTGTAGGCTTCAAAATTAGCCTGCAGAACCTGACCGGATCGCCGTTTCACGACCTTCCCGTCATTCACCGTTTCACCAGTCCCTGATCAGCTCAACCCACCACTATTGCAGATCGTCGATACTTCTTACAGTGGATGGATATGCCACGGTGTATGAGAAAATTTACACTATCTGGAGTATGAGCACGTATTACTATCTTACTCTGGAATCGTGCCACGAGGTTTTGTGTATTGGCAGGGAATGCAGCGCAGGATATTGTATGGGCCCAATCCAACACCGACCAGTTTGCAGAAATAGAAACCCCTTAGCAAGCCTACGCTGCTTGCGCGCGGAGAGATACCATTCGAACACGGAATCCCGGAATCCTTCGACGCCTCCGCCCCGCCATCGAGGCCACGATCAGGAGATTGCCAATTTGGCAGAAAGAGCGAGCTGGAGGCCCGAGTGCCTGTGCTTTTGTCGCTGTGGGTTTGCTTTTCTAATTCCCCGCTAGGTCCTCACGAGGCTGTCTCCATCAGAAGTCGGGAGGCATTTCTCCGCTGCTACTAAGCACCAAGTTCCGACGAATGTAGAGTGTGCAGTGATGTTCCTACCGAGGTCGACCCGCCTCATAAATTACATCCACATCCGCAAATTGTGGCAGGCGGTTAGTGGGGCCAGCAGCGAGGCGATCATGGTTCATCTGACACCAAAAGCAATATTTTGTTTTTCTCTTCTCTGGGAGTAAATGTATCACCGCATCCGAAATATTTTGCGAGTGCCTCGCAAAGGCAAAAAAAAGCCAGCGATGCATGCCACAACATCACAATGCTGTACAACCTCTTTGCTTTTTCTTCACGCCTCCCTCCACTGTCAGGAAGTACGTATCTCCACACCCCAACCTTCTTCATGATCAGCAGAACCCAGAACGCGTCCACTCACGCCCCATGACGATCACCGCGACAATCGTGTGGATAATCCTGCAGACACTGTAAAGGGAAGACTCTGGCTGTGATCTAAGCTCCCCGGAGGACATTTCCACCGAATCCACATTCCGAGTGCCGCGCCCCCCGGTGTTTTTCCTTAGTGTATGCTAGTCGTGTTCCCCGTAATCGAGGCTCCATCGTGCTAAGGAGCAAGAGCCGAGGAGCTTACCGATATCTTGCTAACACTGACCTTGCTAAATTTAATCATTTGCGCTTTGACAGCCTGCTTTGGGTAGGAGTCCTAAGCGCTAGACTTTGACTAGACTGATTTCACTACCGTGCTACCCACTTGTCATTTCTCGCTGAAGTCTACTTTATAGGGTTGATTTGCGTTACTATTGCCGAATAAACGCCGGATATTAAACTTGCGGTGGTTCCATCCCACGAGGCTTCGCCTCAAGTGTCTCTCTTAACGGCATGTGTCACCGACCGTGGCAATTACAATAGATAGATGGCACCTTTGATGGGAAGCTGAATCTAAGACATACCCACACGGATGTGGTTCGACTGTTTTTACAGCAAGTGAAAATGATCCAAGCTGACTTCGCCACGTCCTGAAGAAGATCCGCCGCGGCCTCCAATGGCGCGCGTCGGAATTGCGAAATCACATCGGATGAGATCCTGGTGATTGCTCCGATGATTTTGGCCGAGCATCCACCCCAGGTGGAACGTGCGCAATACTGTCGAAGGGGGTAATTTGAAATTCAGCAGCCTTGCGTTTTTTTCAGCGGTACCAAGCCGTATCCAGCCGTATGCTCCGGTATTGAACCCGAAGAATGGAAGAGGTCGCGATTGGAGGGTGGGGGGCAATTTCTTCCTCCCCATACAACATACACATTACCCAGTTTAGAACGGATTGACGTGGAGAACCATAGGCAAGACGTCATCTACAGACGGTGTAGTTGAATACTGTGAAGACCGTGTCGATCGTGATACGTTTCTGATATCACACCTCTGGCCAAGCAAGCAAGGCTCGCGAAAGTTTCCGGGCGCCGCGCTCATTCGCCGCTTCGCTTACTCCTTTCTTTGATTGCCGTTGCTTTGCGGTGATCTTTCTAGAATCGTCTTGATAACGGCTTGTATGTCGCTGTCATTTCGTCATGAGCAACGGTTGAACCAACCCCGAAGGTTAAGAGTCTTTTCATGGCCATTTCAAGATTTAGGTGAACTGGACAGGTACTGGCGGGTGGTTCCTACAGTACCATATCACTACTGTACAAGTTAGGATGACGTTACCTTTATAGTATGTTGTACCCAAGTAGCTATCCTCAGTATTCATGTGTATTTACTATAATTTCGTCCAGTTCAGCTCCCGCTTACACAACCCACTTACACAACTCACTTACACTGTACTTTAGAGTTAGCACTCCTTACGATACTTCACTGCACCTACAGTGTCATTCTTCAGACTGGCCACCTACCTGCACCACCCAGCAGATCATTATTCTGCACACCTACTATAGAAAGTAAATAGTTTACCCCAGCACCGATCTCGCACACGACACACAGTCGGACGGCCGCCCCTACTCCGGAGTGAGCAGGAAGTGCGAAATGGAGTCCCGCCCGGTGGAGATCGTCCTGCACAGCGCTTTTTAGCTCGAATATTCTTACTTGCGTACAGCAGCGTACTGTGTAATGAAAATACCATCCCTCTTCCCACCTCAGGAAAGTACATAAGTAAATACGGTAGTGTAAGTGTATGAAGGGTCTGTTCTGCACAACCATGCGGCTGAAGATTCACAGCGCGTTCTCGGGCCCGCCATTCGGCCGGTTATGGGCCCACTTTCGCTGATAGACTGAATAGGTTAGAATTGCGAGCTGTGCATAACCCATTGCTCAGAGTTATTTGACTGTACCATGAATACGAGGACACTGCCCTAACACAATAAAATGTCGCATTACGGGTGACCAAAATTCGAGTCGCTTGACTGACTTTCAATGCACAGTTTAGGGATTGCACTCAGTGGTAGAAGAGACAACTGCGAAGCTCACCCTCAAGTGTAATTTCGTACCTTACCATACACCACGGCTGCTGGCCCAAGCTCCCGCGCTTACGGCTTCAACGGCCACGCGTACCGATCTGACAGTTCGGCGCAGTTCGGGGCAAATTTAGGGTTTGCCAACCAATTCCATGCAGGTTTTCGAACAAAGAATACCGCCCCAAGGCATGCCATGTTCCACGGTTGACGCTGGACATTTCCCCTGCCTGACCTGACCGGGCCCATTCCTAGTCCTAGTACTAAGATCATGTCGTTCTGAAACCCCTGTCGTACCCCGGTCTCGACCATGATAATCGCGCCCCCTCAAAGTGGTGAAGTGCAGAGAGAAGAGGGGGATGCGCGACTCGGCTGCTCGAGTCCAGTGTACTATTCTGGCGTAGCGGTCGGCGGACCCATTTGGTAGAAGAGGAATGACTGCGCAACAATTTGGACAGGGGTTGATGCAGGATTGATGACGAGTCATCTGTTCGCCGAGGCTCGTGGTCGCTTTACGAGCAGCCTCACCTACAGGGGAGATTCCTACTGCTCAGGGACTACTTAGAGGAGTAAGTGTGGTGCTGCGAAAAGTAGTACCTCGCCTACAGCGTCGTATTCGTAGGCCTCCCGCGGCGCAGGCGTCGGCATCCTAGCGGGCTCTCGTGAAGCACCGAGGACATAGGTACCACCACCAGTAGAGGGTAGTTCTCCGTACCTGAGTTCGCTAGGACTGTCGGATCGACCAGAGTCGTCGGTACCGGGCTTGGTGCGGCGGCTATCGCTAGCACTTTCTAGCAGACAGACGACGCGTGAAGGGATGGATCGGTCCATTCCTTACCGGCAGGTGGCATAATGATCGAATTTCCAAATCCTGTTCGGGATCGGCCAGACGGGACCGATTCGACAGGTTCATCTTTTATCACCAGGGCCTATAGGCGTTCATTGAGTTGTATTCTAGTGTATCGAAGAAAGGGGCGTTCGATCTGCAGGAATTCGACACATCGCAGAAATTTGGTCCATCACGGAAAATGCATGGGGCGGCATGCTGTGATTGGGGCAGCCTCGAAATCCTGTGGAAAAATATTGATTGAGCGCCCACGTTCGACCCTGGTCATCTGCCGATGAGTGGCTGATCGTTCCTGCACGACATGACTCGCGCGCTCTCCGCCGCCAGTGGTTGCGCCCTTGTGCCGGTGGTTATGGGAAATGCGAGTGGCTGGTTTTTTCGCCGCTCGAACCGGAGACAACAGTAGAGTCGGGTTTTGGCGCACGATGCACCTGCTGGAGGCCGAGGGACAGGGGCGTATTCTGCGTACAGGAAAACCCCTGGAAATGTAATATCCACGGAGATGCCACGGAGGCGCGGGCTTCACGTGATTCACTCTGTCTGCGGCTACGCGACGAAGACTGGTAGATGATGTGACATGATTGGCATGGCAGGTAGGAAATTGGAAGTGGGCCGGCGGGTTAGCCCCGGGGGCCATGTTGATCGGATCTGCACTGACAAAAAGACGGAGGAGAAGGATCGCTGAAAATGCCTCGGGCGAGCTGCGAATGTGGACTCTGCGCTGCGAGACAAAGTGCGGTACAGCTGTCGGCTGTAGGGTCTCCTGTACCTCTGTGGGAGAAGAAAAGGAGGGAGGGAGCGGGCCCTCGTTGCCACCATGTAGCTAGCAGATGGTGCAGTTCGTCTTCTAGAACAGCGCGGTTATCGTGAGACACGGACCTGCGACCCGTTGGTCCAGGCCGAGATGATCATGATCGTACTTTTGCTGCAGTTGTCCATGCCTGGGTAGTTCCTCATTCACTTCCAGTCAGAGTAAGTAGTAATGAAGAGGTGTGGTCAGTCCTACTGTAGAGTCACGCGTCTGACTACTCCGCTGACTACTCACTGAGAGTTCCTCCCGTGAAGAAAATCTCACCGTTGCCAGCCTTGCTGATCTTGCTTGACATCACGCGCACGACTCCTACTCCATTCGAGAAAGCTCGAGGTGGAGAACCAACAGCGCTTGCATCCTCGAGTGGAGGAGTGGAGAAGCACGGTGTGAAAGAGAGCCGAGCACGTACCGGCGCCAAGTGGGCAAGGGGACATTCGCTCGACGTTTTCCCCAAAGCGCAGCATCCCCGCGTTGGTCGGGCAGGACCATGGTTCGCTCTATCTCAGAGTCCACTTGGTGAAACAATTCATATGCGCTCGGTGGCTCCGAGATCTCGAGGAAAGTGGACTCGAGAAGATTCGGCATCCAAGTTTTGGCAATGAGCTCTCCTGAAGACACCCTCCGTGTCCCGGATGGACTTGACATTGACCGCAGTCAAGTATGTCTGAGAATACTCGCAAGCAAGTTTCTCGCCAAATTGAGCTGCATTAGCCCCTTCCTCCCATTCGCCCGCCCGTCCCAGTGCCATGGCGGGTGTCGCAACAGGTGACGGTCGCTCTCGCCAATAGACGCCGCGCGTTAACTGTTGGTTTTTGCTGCTTGTACTTGCTTCTGCCAAGTGCTTGCTTTTGCTGCACTCTGGCCATCCCACTTGCGACTCTTGGCTAGTCAGATCACATCCGGCAACGTCAACCCACTTTTATGAAGAATGCCACCTTCACTGCCACCCCTCTTCGACAGCAGCTGGATATTGCCAGTGGATTGACACCAAAACAGAAAATGCACGCGAGAGCCGGTGGACTCCTGATTCTGTATGATTATCTCGAGCGGGTGCGCGGATTGGCCCAACCTCTGCTTGGCCCCCGGTGGAGGCTTGCGTGCGCTTGCAGGCGAAGTCAGAATCCGCATTACTCTCGAGCGTCTTCACGACTAGTTTCCCGTAGGGGAGCTAGCTGGAGGGTACGCTGTACGGGGTATTCAGGCTGATCCACAATTTGTCATGCCCGTATTGTATTGTTGGTTCCCCGCATGTATTAAATCAAAATGACCGAGGATCGGCCTGGAAGAGTGTGTCATTGCGCGCAGTTCCACTATTGCCGCGTCTTGAGACAAAGAGCTCGTAAATATTTAGAAACTAAAAAAATAAAAAAAAAATTATAATTAATATTTTTATCACTAGGGAAGATTTGATGGAAAATCAGCCGATCATAAATTACCCGATCCAAAAACCAAAATACAAATACTCTCCTTAGTGAGCATGGAGTAGGTACACCACGCCCCCTGGTACAGTGTGTAGACGCAGACTCACCGATCGCCACTTTGATATCAATTCCCTCGAATCGCGATCAGTGCTACTAGTAGGTCGAGAGAGGGGTGGCGAGAAGAAGTAAAAATAAAAGGAATAATAAAAAAATGGATTTCACCGGCCCATCTGCTCGACCCTAGTCTAGTCTCTGGGGGTGGAACCTGCCCACCCTCCCAATTTTCCCCTTGGCCCAACGAGCCTTGTGCTGTATCCGCGGTACACTATGTACAAGGGGGGCCAAAGGAACAACCAGCCCGACCCGGGTCTTCGGTACGCTGCACCCAACAGTGCTGTTAGCCTCTGCCTATTTTTTGATTCCCTCTTAAGCCCGCGTCTTCCAGTGATCTCCGCGATTTCTTCGATCTATGTTTCTGACAGTAGATCTATACCACCACAACACACCACCCACAGCAAAGCAGAGCAAACGCAAAGCAAAGCAAAATAAAACACAACACTTGCACCACACTACACATAGACCACTGGCTGTCATTGCATTGCGCTGTCTTGCAAGGTGTGACGTCTGCGACAACTGCAACGGTCCGCAGACGAAACAGTTTCACGATATCCACGATCTATAAACCCGCAACAATTCAGAAACACAACCCAACCAGCCCACTGGCACTGCCAGTATAAGCACACCACGACCACCACAAGACAAACAAAAGAAAACAAAAATGGACGACTATCCCGCCAAACGCCAAAGCAGAATGAAAATCGACTCCCTGCTGAACCCCGACTCGGGGGCCGACAGCCACGCCTACTCCCACGCGAGCATGTCGCACGGCTACCAGCACTCCCCCGGCTACCCGCCCTCGCCCGGAAACCATCAATATTTCAATGGCTACCGGTACAACTACCACGACACCTCGCCGTCCTCGACGGCCACGACGCACAGCAGCGCCTCAGGCCCGGCCCCAGGCTCGCACATGTTCCTGTCCTACCGGCCTTCATTCACGTCCACACAGGGGGAGTCGGTGCCCTCGAGCCCGGATCCTTACCACCCGCGTGAACGGTACGACTCTGTCTCGAGCACTTCGTCGAATAACGGCGCCGATCGACGACGGCCGCCCCGGCCCAAGTACGAGGAGGAGGAAATGTATTTTATTTGGTACCACCGTGTTGACCTGTGTCAGGAGTGGAAGGAGGTGCGCGAGAGCTTTAATAGGCAGTTTCCTTCGCGCCAGCGTCGCGGTTTTCAGGGCATCCAGTGCAAGTTTTATCGCTTTATTAAGGAGAAGAAGTGTCCGACTCTCCGGGAGCAACGGCGGATGCGTGATGGGGAGTTCCTTCGTGAGGGTGCCGCACTGGGCCCGGACTCGGGGGCACCGCGGTTTGGCGTTATTGAGTGGGCGAATGTGTGGTATCCGTGGATGAGGGAGGATCGGGAGACGGCGTTGCAGAGGCAGCGTCTTGCTGCTGCAGCGACTTGAACACAGAGGTGGCTACTTTCTTTTTTTTTTTTTTTTTTTGCGAGGGTTGGAGTTTTTGCTTTGGGGAGGCTATTCGTCTTTTTTGTTAAGATACCTCATGGGCGTTCATTTCTGGCGTTTTATACTCATGACCACCATGGGCGAATTTGTCTCTTTTATCATGATACAGCAGGCCATTCAATAGCCTCTCTCTTTTCTTTTCTTTTCTTCCTTTTCTTTTTTTCATTTTTTTTTAATGGCTTTGCCTGAGCTTCTTCAGTGTGTTGGTACGACTACTCGACAGTGGACAGAACAGTTAACAGCCAATGACAGATCCAACGTAATTAACATTCCTCGATGCAAGCCGTCAGCCTTCACCGACACTCCAAATACCCGTGCTATATTTGCATCAGCCCCTCCTGTTCTCGAGTTAGCCAACTGTACGATGCGATACAGGTCCTGCCAAACTAGCCCGGATTCGAAACTAACACTTCACATGTTAGTGAACTAAACACACAGCCTTGCAGCCTTGTCGCTGATGAATTCGCAATATATGATACATACATTGCAGTAGGGGACTTGGCCATATCGGTGCTATCACGGCTGAGTCGAGTATCCACAGACTTAGAATATTTAAGGTATTGACATTGTGCTAGACTATGAACGGCCTCAGATTCATAATCGACTTCTCAGTATATGTGACTCGAAGCTGAAAAAAAAGCCAGTCTTGCCATGGCACCCATGAAACAAAAAAGGCAACCCAACCATTTCCATATTCTCTCTAGAGTAGGCTGTGCCACGCAACCCTGAATCTCCACCAACTACCGAAGCTCCAGACCAGGCGCTCCAGTAACAAGTAACGTCGAGTGGCAATCTTCACTATCTCCACTGATACCTCACAGCCACCTCCCCGCCCGATCGGGCTGATCTAGCTGGGGCCCGGTCCGGATTCTGGGCCCCCAATGCACATTTCGAGAAAGGAGTTGCGAGAGCTGCGACCTTGTTCAACTCTCCCTGCCGTTCTCCGTTCTTTTCTGGCCAAGCATCTGACGACCCGGATCTGGAAGGGATCGGAGAGTGGGTTGAGCGATCCTCCAAGTAGTGTTCCCGGGCAGATTTCTTATTTTAGTCAAAGGATTCGGCGAGGATCGAGGTTGTTTTTATCCTTAAGGTAGTATGGTCAGGGTGAATAATCCGTAATAACGATGTACTTATTCTACTAAGTAGTAGAGTAGGTCTAACAATGACATTATGCAGCTACGAAGTATGAGGTATTGCTGGTCAAACCATAAAAATGTGTCATTCGTCACGTACCTCATGATCATCTGTACTATACTAGTCATCCATGAACAGTAGAGCTGACAAAAGACGACTCACCACCCGCGTCGCACTTCTAACCTAATCGGACTAGCCTAACATCGGACTAGTCCCCGTATTCTTCACACCTTCAACGTGATTCTGCCCGCCAAGATCTCGCACTTGAGTACTGCTCGCAAACTACACCACAACCATCGCCACTGCCGAAGTGAGTACATCCCATAGCCACCTGGATTTCCTACCTCCTGAGAGGGTCATAGTGTTGCAGAAGTGGACTCTTACGACACGGTCGGGTCCTACTAGTAGGTACATGGACACCCGTGCCGTCTTAAGAATTCAAACGCCGGTACCAATTCCTGAATCCTTACCTAGGCACGTAACGGTGAGCACGTAATCAACCTATACTTGCCCAAGTGGGCTACACTTCAGGATCTGGAGGTACCGCCGGATCTCGAATTGAGCGACCCCTAAGGAGTGACCCTTCAAGTCATAGTTTGTCATAGTCGGTCGGTCGTAATATACAGTGGAGCAGGATTACGAATACAAGGCATTGACCTGCGATCGTCGTTTTTCGGGGGTCTTGCAACTTTGACTTCCGCGAATCGGCTTGGTTTTATTCGGCTTTAATCATGCCGTGCAAAAAATATTTTGCACGGCATGACCTTTTTTAGGCGTGCAGGTCGATGAGTTGATCAGCTTCCTGTGCGAGTTGTACCTAGATATTTCATCACATCCTAGCGTCAGTGGCCCGAACTCGTGAGAACACTCGGCCTGGGTATCTGTGCCGTGCTGGAGAGATAGTGTGGGCGAAAAAGAGAAAAACGGTTCGCCGTCATCTCCAATTGGGGGCCTGTACGAGCTCTAAGGCATCCACGGTCCGACAGTAAAATTATGTTACTTACCTCCTGCAGAATTCTTCACCTCGTATACTCGGCCAATGAGCAGAGAGTAGGGAAATCCACACCCGAAAAGAGTATCATGGCACGACGAAATCATCTTCACCCATACCGTCAGGGTTTGGGTTTGGGTTTGGGGTTGGGTTTGAAGAAACAGATCTCGTAGCACCGTCTTACAATACCCTACCTTAGGTACCTCCTTCGGACAGTGATACCGGGTAATCCGAAAGACATCCATTTTCGGCCGTAAGCACAACCCAAGGTTTGTTCCCGAAACTCAGTACCCAAAACACTGCCAACACCAGTGTGTATCTTGGACGCAGTAATACAATGGTGTACCTGCCCGGTTCGTATATTCATCGAAAAGCACAGTCAGCTCTACCGTTATCATTGACCATAGTAGTACCTACTTTACCTTAGTAGGGATAGTGTAGGGTACAGTGTAAAAACGGCAAAGGATCCAACCCGGTGGCTTGACAACTGTACTAGGGAAAGCCGGCTCGCACGTACTGTGGCACTGACTGGGGCGTTCTGTGTTTTCTGGCTTGTAGTGACTGGGGTTGTGGAACATATGCCGATTCTGTCTCCTACTTGTTTCGGAATAGTGCTGATGCCGATTATCTTCAGGAACCTAAATCTGATGAGAACATATCCGGGCTCATGAGGAAATAATTCGCGACCACTTCGGTGATTCGGAGATATTTATGTGGGCACTAGTTGTGCTAGTAGCTGTATTTGAGGGTTTGGTTAGGTTGGACTTGGCGAGCGTTGAGGACAATGGGCTTTGAGTCGTGGCTTGCGGGCTATTTCTGGATCGTAATCCGGCCGAATGGTTTTGTGCATTTTGGCCGGGATTTGACTGAGGAAGGTATGAGAGCTTAATACAGCGTTAGCTAGAGCTAGAGTTGCTCCTTGGCAAGCGGAAAATTTGGCCGTTGATCCGAAAGGACTGACAGCTGACATCTGTGTTGGTTTAAGTGGTTACCGCGGGCCGATAGTTCGTTGCTGATTTGAAGCTTGAGGGCGTGAAATCGAAGGAATGGGGGTATGTCTAGCATCTTGACCGAAAAAAGTATCAAGAGGAATGGCAGAAATTCTAGAGCTTGTTAGCAGTTCCAAGTTCAAGGTAGAGATGAAACGGATACAAAGAGCGCATTCGTCGTGGAACAATATCTAATGATATGAAGCTTGGGGAATAATGAAATCGGTGCCTGCCAGCGCACCTTCACCAACAATGCGGTATGGGTATACTGGCAGCCACGCATGCTGGCTTGAGCTCTTTCGATTGTGATCTTGGCAGTAGCAAGAACAGACACTTGAGATGAGAGGACGCTCGATTTCTTGCGAGTCAAGGGACATTCCATAATTCCAACAACAAAAAAGCGAAGAAGCTGGAATTGATTTGAGAAATAAGAGATTGTCCTCGGTCGTCTCCTTGGTGAGGCTGCCGACATGGCCATGAAAATTCATCCACTTCCCCGAATAGGAGAGTTTCGAAGGACTCGTCATAAATATCGTTCAGGACATAGCGCCCTTGATTGCCGCGAAGAGTCGTGGATTGCAAGGGAGTATACCGGGTCAACTTCGACACGATCGCAGGGTCATTTTCATACAGCTTCACAGTCGTCAGCTTGAGCGTCATGCTGATCTGGTACAAACGCGGTATGAAGAGACGCAGGTTTGGCGAGAGAAAGGGTTCCAGGACCATCATCTCCACTCAGAACCTGTATGCTAATCTCAGAGCTCGACTATGTCTGCGTGTTGGTCCAGCACCTGAGACCAGAGAGGTACCAGAGATCCTCGTTGTTGTTAGACATGTACTCCGCCATTATGGCCATGGATCCAGCCTCAGACTCCGTCATATGCGAGCCAGTGTCGGAAGTGCTGGGCACCAGCTTCACCGTTGAGGCCATACGTTGAGCTCTGGCTGACGATGTCTTCGTCGGAGTGGGGGTAGCGGGGGCATTGGATACGGTATCAGCGGCGCTTTCAGCCTTACCACCTGGAGTAGCAGGGGTATAAACCCTCTGCCTGCGCTTGCGAACCTTTACAGGCGTCACTCTCCTGGATGTGTCAGTGGCTACAGAAGGTGCTCTGGAAGGTGACGACGTGCTACGAATCTCCCCGGGTTCTACGCGGGCACCGGTTTTCGGTGGTCTGGTAGCACCATCTGCCACCATCTGGCGTATGTCGCCGCCACCACCGCTACCTGAGAGCCTGACGAAGATAGAGACGCTTCTGTTGGGGATCGCTGCTTCGGCGGTGCTTCCTCGAACAAGCTTAGCCCATCCATTGCAGTCTTATCTTCGTTGAAGATGACAATGGCGCAGAAGTGGATTGGATGGTTCGAGTAGATGAGAAGCGAGCACATGTTTAACCTAGGTCTTTGTAGTTCTTGAGCAACTCCACTGGAAAGCTTCTTGTTGAATTAGGCTTCCGTGTTCTCCTGGAATAGGGATGGGGAGTTGTCCCATACATAGGAAATGTCCCAGATTGTCGTTCGTGTTCACGTGGGGTTTCGTCGTTGGTTCGTCGGCGCGAGTGTTGCTGGCTTGATCTTGACTTGCGTGTGCTCAACACAAGTTTCGCCTCTTCTTTTGTGGTTCGAGAGCCCAGGTATAACCTTGATCTTCGGCCGCACATCTGTATTGAACCCAGTTATAAGTAAATTTTTAATACAAGTGTCACCTATTCATGCTCTTGCTGTGCTACGCCTGGGTGATGCGCAGTGAGAGAGGAAACTAGTAGACCTATAGAAATCGCCTCTTTGCAGATTATCGATTAGAATAGGTGTAGATTCCTAAGCACTCTCCTCCTATCAGGGATTCCCCTATCGAGCTCCATGATCTAGTGTACCTATATGCTATTATTATCTTAGCGCTCTTGACAGGCTGGGGTGTTATTATAGGGATAGCTGACTAGTCTTGCTACTGAAGCGTTGCTGAGGGTTCGATTAAATGTCGCGGATATGCTTAGAGATACTATTATACCATTCGAGTGGATGGAAGTGGAGATGGCCTGTTCGTAAGAAAATAGCTACAGGTTGATCGAATAGCCATAGTTTGCTCGCAGGGATATAGGTCAAACTCGCGATGGCAGTGCTATCAGGTGCCAGGATGACGTCCTTGTCCATATCCCAGCAGAATCCTCTCTCCTTGATTGTACCGAGGGAAACGAGGTTCGTGTGGAAGCCAGGGCAGTAAACTGCATCGATCATGGTCAAATTAATTGGGCTTCCGCTGACCGGGTCTGCAACCTGCATGACAGCATTTCCGATGCCTTCAACCTTAGAATAGGTATCTCGGGTTTTGACAGTGGTGGAGATAGGTTGGAACATGGTAAACAGGTCACGGCGGTTACAGACATGGTAGGAGGAGGCACAGTCAAGAGTCCAACGGCTTTTCAACAGGTCACCGGCAGTGGTGCTATTTGCCGTGCTTTTTGAGATGATGATCGTGTCTGGGAAGCGAATGCCGACTGTGTTCATGGCCCACCCGAGGCTTGATGCCATGGTGGTAGCGATTGTGCTGTTCGCCGAGGGCTGTACTGTAGCGGGCTTCTCCTGCGGGTTGTTGGCATTGTGTTCCTTGATCTTTTGATCAATCCATTCCTTCCACTTTGGCTCGGCATTGAATTTCTCCTCGATTCTCCTCCTTGTTTCTTCACGGAGAGCCCAGTTCTGCGGGCGAATAGCCTTGTTAAGGGCGTAGCAAGTCTGTGGCTTGTGCCTCCGGTTGCCGCAGGGGCACCAACGGTCCTTAAAGGCTCTTTTCCGAGGCTGTTGTTGTTGATTCTGCGAGGGATCTTGCTGCTGCTGGCCAAGCTCGTTGCCAGCTTCATCAAAGCCATGAAACGTGGAGAATGCTCCACGGGATAGGTTTGCCAACGGCTTTGGCTTCCGCTCAGCGTAACAGCCACGGAAATTCTCCACAAGGTCTCGGACTTCCCAGGTTTTTGTCTTCTGCATAACGATCTCTTGGAAGCGCATCTCGTGCCATACAGGCAGGAGATCGGAGGTTGCAATCAGGAAGTCTCGTTGGGCATCGTCGGTGTGGAGCTTGAGAGTTACGGCTTGTTGCCAGAGATCGAGCCAACTATCAAGCCATTTGTTAATATCCACGCCTCTCTTTGGCGGTTGTGATGTCATTATCTTCCACAATCGCCGGATTTCCTCCTCATGCGCTCCGGCGATTAGCACATTAAATAGTCAGATTGCCCTGGACTTTTTATAAGTTGAATGGAGTTGAGTTGTTGGAGGAGGGAGAGAGAGAGAGAAGTAGCAGTAGTAGTGTTCATTAGGGTTCGGGCAGAACCAATGTGGCAGAACATTGCGACCCTTATTCTAATGCATCTAGATACATCTAGATGCATGTTGGGCACTCTGCACCAGTAACGACCTCCTTGTCCGCGGGCCTCCCAGGGGTATAGTGGAACGTGCTAAGGGGGAGGGGGGGAAATAATGACATGAAAATGGAGGCCCCTAGAATCATACCATGAAAATGACAAATCCCGGTCACCGGCAGGAAGAGAGAGAGCGTGATAAAATTAATCGCCACGAGCTCGTCGCTCGGTCTTGTATAAAGTATATTGCGTACAGGAGTATGGCCAGGTTCAGGAATTGCTGACAGGAGGTATGCGAAAGGGGAATATAACGGCGATACAGAAGGGAACTAGAGATGAGGGATAATCTATTTAGATCTCAGTTAGCAATCATTCAGATTGACCTCATCGGCTCCGTATAAACCAGGCCCGCAAACTTGCCAATTAGTAAACGTGTACTGGAGGGGGATGTTAGAAAAACGACCGCCTACAAACGCTCCCCATAGAAAGAAAAAAACGCAAATAGTGAAAATGATCCTTTTAAATGGCTACCAGTAAAAAAATCACATCAGCACCACCGAAGGATCGGCGAACTTACTCAAGGTTCCTAGCAAAAGAAAGGATCCGTTGCCCCGGGACACAAACAACAAACAAGCCGCTGACCGGCACGACGATGAGACATCAGGGACAGGAGTCCCTGGTTCAACGTTAGTACATATTTAAATCAAACAAAAAAAAAAAAGACAAGAACAAGCCCTGGGAAAACTCACCTAACATCCCACACGCACGGCAGGGCATTGCTCGAAACCGAAAAGAAGCAAAACACCGGGGCAACACAGAGATCAACCGAAGGAAAGGTGACAGTGTCCTTAATCAGATTTCAATTAGTAGAAGTTCTAATTGAACTTTGATTAGTGCCCAATCTTACCTTATCCTTCTTACCAGTCAGGGCCAGATTAGTTCTGACCCTGGCCCTGGCCCAGGTTCTTCCGAAAGGCCGGAGTTCCAAGGTCCTGGAGGGAAGCACGCAGGACATTGAAGTTCGCCATGAACTCCGTGGAAGAGCCGAGTCTTGGCTCAGACTGGGTAGGGGTGGAGGCAGCACGCTCTTCCTGCTCGGGGGAGGTCTTGGCCTCGGGGGGCGAATGGAAAGAGTCCGAGGAATAGTCAGTGACCGAGTACTCGGGCTCGGCAGGGACGAGGGAGTTACCATGAGCGGTGTATTGGCCAGCGTCATCGTGGAAGCGGCCAGAGACACGAGAGAAGGTATCACCTTGCTCAGCAGAGTCGGTCGCGGTGTTAGGAGCTTCGTGGTCTCCATCCTGGCTGAACTGGGCAGAGGAACCAGACTCAGCGTCATTGTCGGCGGTGTACTTGTCCTTCAGAGTGAAGGAGAAACCGGAGCTAGCCTCATCGTTGGCGTGACGGTCCACAAACGAGTCGAAGTAGTCAGAACGGGCCTCGGAGCCAACAACCTGGATGTTGCCCTGCATGAAGACATCAGAGCTGAAGTCGCCTTGGGTAGTCTCGTCCTGGACATCGGGAGGGTTCTATACAGATTAATCGTCAGCAATGATCCAAATCGGTGTTTTCACCATAAGTTAAACGAGAGAAATAACTCACCTTGACAACAGGGCCACCCAGGGATCGCTGCTGAAAATACTGCATAGCAGACAGGACCGAATCCTTTCCAGAGGCCATGAAGTCCTTAGGCGAAGCAATACCCTTGTAAGCAAGAGTAAGACGGACGGACGCAGCGACCGTGCCAGGAGCACTCACCTGGAGTTGATTGTCCGAGCCATTATCATCATCGACAGGAGTATCAGCGAGAGTGTCGACAGTCACGGTAAGAGCCTGGGCATCCTCGGTAGAGGTACTACGCTTGGGCGTGTAGATGATAGTGCTCACATGGCGGACATCAGCATCATCGGTCGCGCTTTCGATAACGGCACCATCACGACGAGCTTCCTCCTTGGCGTAGTGCAAAGCCTATTTATGAAATGAATTAGCAAATATTCATAACAATTGTCGGGATGAGGTTTGTTGTCACAAGACATGACAAGACATGACAAGGTCATGGAGGATAGGTGGGATGTCCCGTCCTCGATGGACAAGCGACTCGAGAACACACCTGGTAGCGAAGGGAGTTGAACAAAACCGAGAAGTACTTAGGCATCTCGACGCGTTGATCCTTGTTGACAGACTGATCCACGCCGGATTTGAAGACCATTTCATGCGTTTCCTTGATAAGATTGTAAATGATCTTGCCCAGTTCACGGAGGGCGCGCTCTCGTGCAGCTGTAGCATCGGCCATGGTGGCTTCCGAGACCTGCAGGGCCGGCAGAGAGTCCATGGTGATAGAGAACGATGAAAACTAATGAAATGGGATTGGAAAATATGAGGTTGGGAATGGGAGTTGGGAGTGCGAAAGAGGATGAGGAAAAAGAAGACGAGGATGGAGGGGGTGGGAGAAGTAGTGGGCGCCTGGACCACAACAAACTCGATTAGTCGTTATAGCGACTAAGCGCGAGTACATGCAAAAGTATCTATTCGTTTCCGTGCAATTCCAGGCCGCTCCTTCCTAAAAAGAAAACCACCCTTCACACCTGCCGAAAAGGATAAGCCGCACCGAAGAATGCCTTACGGTTCCCAGAGGCACATGCAGCGCCAGTTGTGTGGCCATGAACAAAGATCTCATGCAGAATTATCCGTGGATACACGCTGTATGGTACAACAGGATAATTCTACTTGATCTAGAGAACCAATGGAAGCATCATTGCAGACACACGTGAAGCAACAGCTCCATTGATACGGCTTTGGAAGTTGTCAATGTATTCATGTCCTACTTGTGATCTTTCACAGCACCTGCAAAGCACAGAAACCACAACAGTGTGCTTTTTAGTTGTTTTATCCGCAAATTGTAAATCAATTCCTTGTGCCTGGCTTGATTGCTTACTGGCATGAACTGCCCAAACCGTCCCAGGTCTTTGTTGTATTCTTGGCAGGGCCACCTGACCATTGAGCTACAGGGCCGACGAAAATGGCTTCCTTTCTCTTCACATATTCACAAAATCTTCTGATTGTATGCTCAGACCATTTCGAAGTACTCGAGTGGTCCTCTTATAGTCCGTTTGATAGGGCTGACACAGACTAACGCTTTTAGGTATAGTGAGCCACCTCAACTCTCTAGATCAATATTTTCAAATCTCTCATCCAGGAGACATCAGCAATACAAATATACATTTAATTCGCTTATATTCATATGCGATCATGAATTAATATGGTACAGGAATATCTTCAAATCCCTTCTGGCCCGGCTTGCGGTCTTCCACAATAACCTGCAAGCCACGACGACCGCAAAACCCATCATTTCCAGCAATCCGATCGACCGTCTGGAAAGATCCGCTTCCATTTCCTCCGCCATCAGGAACCCAAACCGTCTCCTGGACACTTTGGCCCGGGCCCTCGGTTCGACGGGGGTTGTGCCAGGGCAAGCCGACGAGGTAGTTTCCGAGCCGATGGATGAAGGAAAATAACTTCTCGAATCGCCTCGTTACGCCTAACCAAGAAAGTGTCCGGCTATCATACGCAACCCGCACGTACGGATTCATGTAGATTCCCGTATCGACAATCTTGTCCACGTCCATTTGTGGGTCCTGGATGTCCGCGTGGATTAGACAACATTCCGACGCCTCCCAGAATAGATCCGGTCCAGAGCGGAATCGGACTGGGGATGTACTTGTTGGCATTGGGGTTTGGAAGTACTTTGCGTCGAACGCTACCATCCCGCCCCAGCAGCTCCTTACGCGTACCGCATCCTTGCCTGCTAGCACATCGTGCCGACTCTCTGCTCGCCCGGAGCTGGAAAACCACGGGAAGAATGGGAGGCCCATGCTGTAGCCCTGCAAGTCGCGGGTTGCATATGTATCGTAGAATTTGAAGGGGTTGTCGAAGTCGACTGCACAGGCGGCGCGATACTGCGCCTTACCCGAGTCGTCGGCGTTCGTCGAGAAGAGTAATTGCAGCGCATCCACGGGGTCGAAGAGGATATCATTCAAATAGAGGAGTTTATCGTAGTGGGTATCGGGATTCTCTTCCAGTGGTTGTAGCGCCTTATTGCGTACCTGCGCGAGGTATTCGATGCGCTTCACGCGTTGCTCGCCGCCCGGTATCGTTACACTGTGCATGCTCTTGAAATCAAGATGTTCTTCGAAGACGACACGCTTGGGCGATGTGATTCGCTGTTCCAGTTCTCGTAGCGCGGACTCTCCCTCCTCACCGCTGTCGTTCTCGTAGATGCTCACGAATACATTGTCGGGTCCGATCAAGTCGACCAAGTCTAGCAATTGCGCGCCCCATTGGCCTCGTGCGAGATTTCCGTCGCGATCGTACAGACTTGCTGCGATGAAGACCTTCTCGTGTCGTGGGTTGCCTCGTCCGGGATCTGAGGTTCCCTTTACGGATTGTTGGAGATCTGCGTAATGGGTTGGAGGTCTGGTGTAGGAGGGTCGGAAGATAGAGGTAAGTATAACGAGAGCGAGGATTATTCCGAATACGACATGGATGTAGCAGAATCGGCGGCGAGGGAAGCAGCGGCGCGCGCAGGTTGGTCGTGTTGTGCTGGCGAAGATTGGTCGGCTGTTGGTCTTTAGGCGGCGGTAGCCGGATGAAGAGAAAACGGAAGTGAGGCGGGTGAATAGTGACGGGCGCGCATGGATTCGAAAAGTGGAAGGGGTCTGGGATTCGAAATCGGCGTCGTCGAGGTTGAAGGTTCCTTCAGAGTCGAGTGATGAGCGCGATGCGAGCTCGTACTCGTCCGGATGGAGGAGGCGGGAGGACATGACGGGCGCGATCGAGCGATCGAGCGGGTCGGAATGGATCTAGTTGAGCTCATAGTCGGACATTTCTGTACTGTGAGGGTCCCTCGACGAGGTATGTTGGTATATGCCAGACGTACTGGCAGGCCTCATGTTCATGTCCAAACGAGGTTAGCCCCTGTCAATCTACATCCCGTTATGTCATCGATGTCACATGACGGAAACATGAGATCGAGTCAGAATTGAACAGAATATTGATGAGGGGAGCTGGAGATAACAATTCCAGTAGTTTACGCATATCCTGTGGGTATCCTACAGTAGAGGAGCTTTTTGAGGAAGGTGCCCTTCATGGCGTGTGGAGCAAGACCGCGGTGACCTACCAAGTTATCCTCAGGCAGTCGAGGTATGCAGTAGAGGTACCTTCACCACACCACTTACAACTCAGCAGTTCCCTATCTGCTTTTGGTGTATATCCGATAGGTAGAATTTGTCCCGCAATGTCACCCTAGATGACCGTCATTGAAACAGACGCAGCATCCAGAGTATAGTCCCCACATTCTGCGGGCATTCATCCGACGTCTTGCATCCTCCAGGCCAAGACGAAGACCACTTCCCAACCAGTTCAACAGATCCGACATGCAACTAGCTCTAGCAGTCATTTGCCGGTGACATCCGGAAAAAGTACCACCCGCAACCAACCAACGGCAAAAGCCGATAAGTCGCAGGGTTGTCCGTGTGAGTGACGTAACGGCCCAAGTGTAGAGCCGAGTCCGCCTTCCATATCCGGGGTAGCTTAGCTTTCCCTTTTCACCTACCTGCTACGGTAATTCCTCTTGCCCCAGATATCCTCTACTTGTAAAACTCATGCCACTCTCACCAGTCTGACTCAACCCCCTTACAAAGGTCAAGGCAACAGATATAAACTCGAACCCCCGCATCGCCATCCCAACCCCGCATTGCACCAATTCAACCACCATGACCCAATTCCAATTCGCAAACTCCGACGACCCCGTCCCAGGCAACGGCAACCCACCCGCCGAATTCACCATCAAAGCCAAACCCGGCCGAGACCTCTGGTCCAAGCCCCCTCCCCACCGAGGTCTTCAGCGCTCCCATCCTCTACAAGCCCGTCGCGCTGTCAGCCTTCAAGCGGGCACGCGTCGCCTTCAACGCGCAATGGACACACAGATACGACCAAGGCGGTCTCCTCTTTGTCCTGAACTACCGCGACGGCTCCCGCAAATGGCTCAAGGCGGGCATCGAGCTTACGCACGGTAAGCCGCATCTCAGCGCCGTCACGAAGGATCGCTATGCGGATTGGAGTCTTCTTCCTGTTCCGTCGGGTGGGAATGCGGCGACGCTAGAGATGGTGCGCGAGGCGGATAATAGTCTCTGGGTGTATTTGGTGGAGGGGGTGTCGAAGTCACCGATTCGGGAGGTGACGTGGGTATTTGAGGAAAAGGAGGTGACCGAGTGTTGGGTTGGTGTTTTTGCGGCCAGGCCTGGGAATGAGGGGGGTGAGTTGGAGGTGAATTTTGGTCATTTGATTGTTGAGTAGGTCTGTGCTATCATTCTGCCAGTGGATTGGAAGTCGAGGTGGATCTCAGTATAAAAGTCTTCGTCTCATCTGGATATGAATGTCATTGTCGGTCTATATTTAGGTATCACGAATGAGGATAATACTACACCGGGGCCTTGGGGTAGGATAGAGGCTCGCACAAGATTCTATGCCGATTAATAGTGTGACTCAGGACAATACTTTGTCCTAAGGCAGGGGAGCCAAGAGATGCAGGACTTGCAAGACGATTGACTCTGCAAATCACCGCGCTTGTGGTGGTGATGGCACGGGCCACGATCACAGGGCAGTCGAGTTGACGTGCAGACCTTATCGCGATCTTCATGCGGACGCAATCCGAGTGGATCGTAGTATACTCCTCGCAGTACTTTGTTTTGTCACTTGCGACTACAATTGTATATACTCTGTAGTACCTAAGTGCTCGAGTACTGTACAATGTTGAAAGTATTGAACCAAATTCAACTACCACGTGCGGCATCATGAGACAGCGTCACACCGCACTCTGCAGGGGCATCGACATTATTTCTATACACCTGTGCGCTTTGCACTACACCAAGATTATCAGAGGATATCAGGTCAGTATCGAGATCTTCAATGTCCGAATACATCCCGGTCTTAACACGCTATACTAAGCCCCCACTTGCTGCGCCGCGACCGGGGAATGCACCGGCGGTTCCAACCGACGAACCAACACCGCCGCCAGCATCTTATCGATCAATCATATCTGATGCCGAGCCTCTTTTCCGGTTACCTCCTGACTCATTTCCTTGCGAGTCAGCCCACTCAACTTGGAGGACACCTTGCGCAGGAGTAAAGGCTACTCGCTTCCGAGGATCCGACAATCACCCCACCGTGTGCCTGACATCTTGCCACACTCCACTTGTCCCTCGTCAGCCCCGATCTTTTTCAGAATCTGTCTTCACGACGGCGACACGACCAGAGTGCGAGAGTGCGCAGACGCCTGCATATACCATCTCCTTACATGGTACATATGGATTCGATAGCAGGGAATCGGCCCACCTGAATCGTCCTCGTGCATGAGCTGCTTCGAAATGCTGGCGAGTTCGGACCGCGCCTGACCACTCGTCCTCTGCCACCCCCATCGACGTGCATAAGTGCGACCGACGATCGTGCGGCGTTCCATCAGCCCTTCCTTCATGTCCTGCTCGGCCACTCCCCTTACACTTGGCCGCTCCCTGCCTGTCTGCATTTTGTCAACTACCGTGACAACTGGGCGGATCTATCCTTCACTCCCCCTCCCCACCTTTCGGACTTGGTCCTGCTGAATTGAAGGTCTAGCTGGGAGGGTCCGCTGGAGACCCTGCTCCTTCGAGCATAGCCCTCACCTGCCATTTATTCGACTACCGCGTTTGCCTATTGTTATTGTCTATTTCGGACGAACAGCGCCCCATCTTTTTTCGTCTTGAGGTATTTTCTTTTTCATTCTGTCCCCTGATCGTCCCGCCGATTTGCTGGTCGCATGCTTTTTTGCGTGTTTACTTTTGCTTGCTGCATCGGCCTGCGATCCTGACTGGCTCGGGTTCAGCTCGCCCCAGGGGAGCCCACCAGGCGCGCTGCCTGCGCTGTCCCCTCGGTGCCTAAGTGGTGTTGGGTTGGTCGTGACTCCAGCCGGATTTCCTCTCCCTTTTTTCGGCCAGGGTTTCGAATAGTATTTGACAAGAACTCCCCGTCGTGGTCACGCCGATGTTGCATGAACACTTCGATGATTTTCTGGTCTACTCTTCAAGATCGCCTACCGTCTACATGCTCTGCCCGCCAACCTCGGCTGCCACCTGATTATATGGAATACCTCCGCTGCGCCCAACTCGTGATCGCATAAGCAGAGGAATACTCACGTCGTGTTTCTTGTAGCGATTGTGTCTTTCCCCGCGGCAATGCCTCTTATCGACCCTCGTACCGGTCCATCCTACGGCGCTATCGACCATGGAGAGAATAGCAGAGACTACGAGCAGGATCGGTTGTTAAGGGATGAATACGAAACAGAAGAGGAAGAGAGCGAGATCTCATCGCTGGGTGAGGCTCAGGAAGGTGTTCGCAAGATCGAGGCGATCAATATGACCTGGACGACCCGCTCGTTGATGATTGCCTACGTCAGGTTCGTGTGGCTTGCATTTGCAGCATCCCACCATCCGATGATGAACCCCCGCTAATTTGGCTTAAAGTATATTCCTCATGGCATTCTGTACTTCGCTCGAGAGCCAGACTGTCATGTCCCTGTCAGCCTATGCGACTAGTGCATTCAGCAAGCATTCGTTGATTTCCACTGTGCTGGTGGTTCAGAATGTGGTTAATGGTAAGTGTGGAAATAAGATAAATTCCGTGCTACTAGTAGCTCGGATGGAAAACAGTAACACTCTGATGAATGGTCTGGCTAATTAATCGTCCAGCCGTGATTAAACCGCCCATGGCCAAGGTCGCCGATGTCTTCGGTCGCTTCGAGGCGTTCTGTGTGAGTATTCTGATCTACATCCTCGGGTACATTCAAATGGCCGCCTCGACCAATGTGCAATCCTACGCCTCCGCCCAAATCTTCTACTCGGCTGGCTCGACCGGACTCCAGATCCTGCAGCAAGTCTTCATTGCCGATAGCAGCGACCTGCTGAATCGTGCGTTTCTGGCCGTCCTCCCCGAATTCCCGTTCTTGGTCACTGTCTGGCTGGGACCGACGATTGCCGGAGCGGTGCTTCGCTCGTCATCCTGGCGATGGGGCTATGGCATGTGGGCGATTATCTTGCCCGCGGCCTTCCTGCCTCTGGCACTTTCGTTGCTTTTGAATCAGCGGAAGGCGCGTCGACTCAACCTGATCAAGGCGTCGAAGAAGATGAAGCGCAGACGCAGTTTTTTTGCCATCATCCGTCGCACCTGGTATGATCTGGATGTCGGTGGTCTCACACTGCTCTCTGCGGCCGTCACTTTGATCCTGGTACCTCTCACCCTTGCGGCGAACGCCAAAAACGGCTGGAAGAATACTAGCATCATTGTGATGATCGTTGTGGGTGTCGTGTGTCTGTGCTTCATGCCATTCTATGAAACCTCGAAGAAGCTGGCACCCAAACCACTTCTCTCTCTGCACCTCCTGAAACAGCGAACTGCGCTCGCAGGCTGTGCTCTGGCTTTTTGGTATTTCAGTATGTTTCTCTTCCATCCACATTCACCCACGATACTAACCCCAACAGTGGCATTCTACTTCTCCGTTCAACCATACCTCTACTCCTACCTTCAAGTCGTGCAAAACTACGACGTCGCCACCGCAGGCCGAGTAACCCAAACCTTCGCCTTCACCTCCACCATCGCCGCCTTCAGCGTCTCCCTCCTGATAAAGTACACCCGCCGCTATCGCATCTTCATCACAATCGGTTGCGTCATCTACATAACCGGCCTGGCCCTCATGCTCCTCTGCCGCAAAGAAAACGCTTCCCACCTGCAAGTCCTCGGCACCCAAATCCTCGTCGGCTGCGGCGGAGGCCTCCTCAACGTCCCCGTCCAACTAGGCGTCCAAGCCTCCGCAAGTCACCAAGAAGTTGCAGCCGCAACAGCCATGTTCCTCACCTCCATGGAAATGGGCGGGGCCGTCGGTGCCGCCATCTCCGGCGCCGTCTGGACCCATTCCATCCCGCAGAAGTTGCTCAAGTACCTCCCCGAGGAAACAAAGTCTCAGGCCGCGGAGATTTTCGGCTCCCTCGCCAAAGCCCTAGAGTACCCGATGGGCTCGCCGACTCGCATTGCCATCAACCGCTCCTACCAGGAGACGATGAATCGGCTTCTGACGCTTGCGCTGATCGTGACGCTGCCGCTCATCCCGCTCAGTCTGGTTATGGAGAATTATAAACTGGATAAGGTAAGAGAACCTGACCCGAATCGAAACGAGGAGTTGGAACCTAACGGAATGCAGATGAGTCCGAATAGCCATGATGGCGAGGATGAGTTGCTTGTGCGGCCTAAGGATTCGCATAAGCGGACGAACTGATTTTGCATTGAATATGCCCATCTCCCTCCCTTTTTTCTTCCAACCCACTCTCCTGCCATCTACCTGCATTTTATCCTTCTGCTTGCAGATTTGCATTTTGCACATGCTGAGCGGAATAACGACTGTACGAACCTGCCTGTGATATCTTACGCCTTCATCTCCTGCATCTGAGATCTAGCCGGCGTTTTTTTTCTTTTTTCGGTTTTTATCTACATTTCCCCCTGGGTTTGTGCTTCATGTTACATTGGCGTTGTAGACACCTACCAATTCCCAGAATGTACACCTGGTTTTATAGACGTGAATAAAATGAGTTGAACCGTATACTTCCGATTACCATTTATCGTGAACCTCGGTATGGCCCTTGCCCAGACTGATGCAGACGAAATTTGACAAGATATTTTTATCCTAATCCTAGAAGCCACTGCATCCTGCGCCATCCCGCTAAAGACGGGTGAGACTGAGCTGGCAGCGTCGAGACCAATATTCCGACGCCGTCGGGTTGCCGTGCAGCCAGTGCACCAAGACATTGAGGTGTTCTATTTATCATCTTATCATAGATGGACCTCTCAATAGCAAGCAGTACTTCATCTACATACTACTACTGTAAGCCGACCGTACTTCTTGAACGAATAGCAGAATTTAGCTGGTCGCGCACTTCCGTGGCATGCGTGGCATTTCAACCCCGGCCGACAAAGTACCGTACATACTGCTTTGCTGGATCCTCTCCAGGAGTTCACGCGCTACTTTTTTCTCTGCAAACTTCACCTCGAACAACTGGGATAAGGACGATGTTGCAACGTCATCATGGCACCGATTCAATCAGTTGGCCTGTCTGCCACTTCTACTACAGACAGTGTGTTGTACCTAATCATAATTCATGTATCGCTGCCTAAGCTCATAAACACAACTTAACTAATCTCGAACACCCCAGGACTAATTCAAATCCTGCCCCTGCCACGTCCATCTCAAACTACCTACATACCTTTGGTGTGTTGACAGGTCATACTTCACAGCCTTTATAATCGCTAGTCTGTTTGAACGATGTACCTCCCTCCCCCTTTCAACGACTCTCATTACAACACTTGCGAAGCTGAGTTTAACTAGATCGAAAATAGACTAGCTTTAATACTGGTGGTAGCCTCATCCCGCCTCATTCTCCGCCTCGCTGCGAACTTACTACGACCTCGTTTTTTACTCCCCTAGAGTAGTATGAAGTAATCACCCCCCTGGATTGGCGCTGCAGGTACCTGCATAATCGCTGCATGCACGCATACCAGACATGCCCCGTTGGAGCCCCGTGGAAATGGATCGGGCCGTGCCAAGGGCTTATCGACAGCCTCAGATTCGCAACGGTCCTACAGTACCCTAGGGTATCTACTTGTCAGTGGTGAGTACCTGTACCAAAGACATCGGGTACCGGACGTACAGACTCAGGTACCGGTACCAGTGCCGTGTCAAAGTGGACCTTCCCTCCTAGCTCTCCTAGGGTAGGTACATCGCGACATCTTCGCAGCTAGCAGTGAGGCTTGAGTAGTGCCGTCCAGTCTAGGGGCAGATTGTATTAATTGAGTGATCTTGTACGCTGTCTTTCTAGCTGTATTGGGATCTCGGAGTCCGGGGTGAAACACCCGCGAAATATAGGGGGCGTCTTGGTGTGTGCGTCTAGACGGGGCGACCCGCCTCACCCCCTCCTTTCTTCTTTCGCAATTTTGAGGCGTCGGGTTGTTATTGACAGAGGCGATGGGATTACTAGAGGCAGTCTGTTAGTTATACCAAGGCTTCTTGAGCGACCTACTCGTAGAGGAAAGAATGAGCGGATTAGCCTCATTGATGGCTGAGAGGCATTGGTAATGGAATTACCAGTTTTGATCTATACATTTGAGAAAGCTCCAAGGATATGGATCCGGTCTGGCGAAAGCTTCCACCCTAGTATACGGGTATCATCACCCTCTCACTGCCTCTTTGAAGTACCTTCTGAGCTCTCGCGACGGCTGGTACCTAGATTAGGTAACTCTTGTACGTGCCTCAGGTATAGCAACGGCACGGCTTTGTGTCTTTGTCCCGGCCTAATGGCCGGTGGGATGCGATGTTTGCCCCGGCCTGAATGAAAGCCCACTCGAGAATAACGGTGAAGTGTGTCATGACCCAAATTGTGGATCGCGCGCTTAGCCGACGCGGTTGGCCGTCACCGTTCGGGTTGACTGCTGTGTCGATAATCACGAGGAGCAGTGCAAAAAAGAGAGAGAGTAAAAGAGTAAAGTAAAGAGGCCAGGCACGCAGTCCGAATGAGGGGTGGTGCTGGCCCTGGCTGGCCTCGGATCAGGTAGATGTAGATGTGATAATGCAGTGTGGGTGCAGCCGTCTAGACTCGCGGGTGCCCCCAGCAATCCCCGTGCAGTCTGGACCACAGCTCTTCCTCCCTTTTTGTCTCCCACAGTCCGCCTTTTCTTCCTCCCCCAACTACCTCCATCTCTTTTCCACATCTGCTTCCGTCGTCAGAATCATGGTTGTCGCTACCATCAAGTTTGTCGCCCCTGTTCCCTCTGTACCCCTCTCCTTGCTAACTCCAGCACAGGTGTGTCGTGGTGGGGGACGGTGCAGTGGGCAAGACCTGTCTGCTCATCTCGTACACTACCAACAAGTTCCCCTCGGAATACGTGCCCACTGTGTTCGACAACTATGCCGTGACAGTCATGTGAGTCGCTTTCCACCCTGCGCCGCTCGCGGTCCGCGGTCGCTATGCCATATCCCCCCCTCAAGCTGAGCAGCAACCGCCCGGCTCGGGGAGCGGAGGCTTTCTCGGCGGCCAACGCCACCAGCACCGACAAGGGGAGAAAAAAAAAAAAAAAAAAAGAACATCTGCTAATATCGTCTTTCGTTTCGCAGGATCGGCGATGAACCCTACACCCTCGGACTGTTCGATACCGCCGGTCAGGAAGATTACGACCGTCTGCGCCCGCTGTCCTACCCTCAGACCGACGTTTTCCTCGTTTGTTTCTCCGTCACCTCCCCCGCCTCCTTCGAGAACGTCCGTGAGAAATGGTTCCCCGAGGTCCACCACCACTGCCCCGGCGTTCCGTGCCTCATTGTCGGCACCCAGACCGATCTGCGCGATGACCCCGGTGTGCGCGATAAGCTCGCTCGCCAAAAGATGCAACCCATCCGCAAGGAGGACGGTGACCGTATGGCCAAGGAACTCGGCGCTGTCAAGTACGTCGAATGTTCCGCTCTGACGCAGTACAAGCTCAAAGATGTCTTTGACGAGGTATGTGTTTATATGACTCCTGTGCTTTTCGTTTCCCGCGTCCCTACACCCCCTGATCGAAAAAGCTCGGACTGCTTCCGATCTTGGTCTCCCCCGCCAGCTGTACACCGCTAACTCACCTCTCACCGAAAAGGCTATCGTTGCCGCCCTCGAGCCGGCTCCCAAGAAGAAATCGCGTGGCTGCCGTCTGCTTTAATCGCGCTCCGATGGATTTCTTTTGATCTGCAGGTTAGTTTTGTTCTCCCGCTCTACGCATGTTTTATTTTCGGGGAGGGGGGCAAAATGGCAACTAACATGGTCCTCGTTATGTTTCTAAGATACGACGGAATGAACCCTATTTGTTTTGCTTTCTTTCTGAGGGGAAGGTAAGCCCAGCTACCTGACTGGGTGATTTTGCTTTTTTTATGGGATATCCACATGCAGCGAGAAAAGAAAGGAATTGTTTACGAACCAGCGTTGCTATCTAAGCATTTCACTCTTCCCGGTGCTTTGCTGAGTTCCATACACCCCAAAGTTCTGGAGCTCTATCTGGCGATGGCGAAGCTGCAAATACACAGTAGAGCCGGAGCGAGAGCTTTCTCTCCGCCTTACTTTGGTACAGCTCTGCTCATTCCTTCCGAGTACTCGTGCCCAGATATCCCTGAAAGGCAACAACACTCAGTCTCCGCCCCGGCGAGGCCTTCCCTTTGTTTACTTTTTTCGTTTTAGCTTCGCCCGGCCGCGTCCACTGCCTGCGGATCCCTTTGTTCTCCCCTTTTACTTCAAGTTACCATCCCCCCAATCCTCTCCTTACGATAGCGCCTCATCCTCCTACCATTCTCCCGCATTTCTTTCCACCTTCCCTTTTCATCGTCTCTCGGCGTTGGACGTCTGGGCGTCGTTTTGGCTATGATTTCCGTCCTGATCCCCCCACCCTGTGCTTGCACTTGTGTGTTTACTTGTGCAAGTCCCGCCCTTTGAATGATTTCTATCCTCCTCACGGTGCTTTCGACTGGTTTGTCCGTCGACCTGCTGGTTATTACCACGGGGTGCTGGCGATGTGCATGCGCCTTCTCTATATTTCTACTGTGCTCGCGATCAGCTCTAAGATACAAGCATTTCGTTCAGTTTTGTTTCCCCCATGCGCAGCTCTGTTTATTGGTGAGCTTGTTGTATATGCTGGTTCTTAGAATGCTGACAGGGTTTCTTGATGATATTGGTCATTTTGTAATCAAATATTGAAATTGAGGTTGTATGGCCTTACCTAGGAAGAGTATTGTTCTGTAATTGTTTTGGTCTTTTCATTGCATGGTAGCAGGGGTAGGTCAGCACTGCCGTGAATTGGATTAGTCAACCTAAACCAATGAAGGAAAGCTCCATAGTGTCTGATCACACTACACTTTGGAGTATTACTGTTCAGAAATTGAGTATCATTGCATTCATTCATTCTTATCTTCATCTATCATCACATACTACAATCATATCTCATAGTTTGATACATCATCTAGAGCTCATCCCGAGAAACATCGGCAGACTCCGTCTCGCCAACAGAAGCATCCTCGTAGAGGTTACCATACCAACCACCCAGATCCTCCTTAACACCTGACTTGACCATGCTAGTAATAATCTCAAAAGCAACCTGAGCAGCCGCAAGCGCAGTAGTCTCGCCCTTGTTATCATAGGCAGGCGAAACCTCCACAATATCCGCACCAACCAGGTTCAGCTTCTCAAGACCGCGCAGAATACGGATGAACTCGCGCGTAGTCCAGCCGCCAGGCTCAGGGGTTCCAGTTCCGGGGGCAGTCGAGGGATCCAGGACATCAATATCAACGGACAGGTAAACCGGCTGCTCGGGGTCCAGACCAGTACGCTGGATGATAGTCTCCACAACGCCCATAGGACCAAGGTCATCGATATCATCCGCATGGATGCGAATAAAGCCCTGCTCCGGTCCGGGGTTGGTATAATCGCCCGCATCCACGCCGGTCAGACGGGTGCGCAGACCTGCGTGCGCGGAGGTCGAGTTGCAAATCAAGCCCTCGCGACTGGCCTTGTGGAAGAACGAGCCGTGGTTGAACTGCGTCTGCTCGCTCTGCCAGTACGCGGAGTACCGTACGGGATTCCAGGTGTCGAGGTGCGCGTCGAAGTGCAGCACCGTAATCGGCTTCTGGTAGATCTGGTGCAGGGCGCGCAGGGCCGGCAGCGCAACGCTGTGGTCGCCGCCCAGTGTGACGAGCTTCGGGTGCCCGGTTCCAATGCTGTCGCCGCCTTTCGGGGCCTTGTTCACGACCTTCCGTGAGCCCAGCTCCAGGAAGGCTTCGTACATTTGCCGCTCCGCGAGCCCGTTATCGAAGGGCGTGATGGGGATGTCGCCGCAGTCGGTGATCTTAGCCCACGATTTGTAGGGGTTGATGCCAGCGCGCGTGTTGAAGGATGTACCGGACATCTGGCGGGCGCTGGCGGCGCGGATGGCGCGGGGTCCGAAGCGGGCGCCTTTTCTTTCATTAGTTTGACTCTCTGCGAGCTGGAGAGAGTGGTGGTTGTCTTACCGGGTCGGTAGCTGACGGCTGTGTCGAATGGCGCGCCAATGACGGCGATATCATAGTTCTCGCTCGGCTCGATAAGACACTTGACCGGCTTAAGGTGGGCGAAGCTAGCAATGCCAGAGAAGGACCACTGCAATTATTAGTATTGAGTATTTCAAGCTGTAGCTGTCAAGGGTCAATGTACCTCTTGGTCCCACTTCTTCAGCAGTTCCTCGCGCTCATGCTCGGGAACGACCTCGGTATCGCCGTGGTGCGCGCAAGAGACAGCGCCACCAGCCAGCGCCAGCAGGCCGACAAGAGACTTGGTCCAGGCGGGCATTGTGAAGCTCTAGAGATGCGAGAGCAATTGCTGAAGACGAGGAGAAGACGTCGCCACTGGTTATATATGCATGCTCGGCGTGGCTCGCAGCTTCTCCGCCGAACTTCCTAATCAGCGGCGGTTGAAAGGGAAAGACGAACAGACGGGCCCCGCCTGGATCCGCCATCCCGTCGTGCAGACCTTCCCTTCTTGGCCACTCTCCTTCTCGACTCTGCTTGCACCAACCTCACAGCGAGAGTATTTGCTAGACACCTGAGCTCTACGATGCCATGCGTCGCGTTGTCGTGACGGGTTTGGGCGCGGTCACGCCACTGGGCGTTGGTATGTCTTCCTATGCTGCTCTCCTCTACCTAGACACAGCTTCACCACCAACCCCATCGCGTCGCGACATCTCCCTTCTCTCCATGGATCATTGTCCGAGGGCCCCCGATAGAACTATTGCGCCCGCGCGACCGGAGCACGCACCGCAACCCCAGACTGCGGGCTGGGCTGGTTTGCTGCTGAAAAATTATCGGGGATGCTCCACTTCGCCGGAAAGGGAAGGTCATGTCAGCCAATGACGGCAAGCGCGATCGCGGGTGTTGATCTATAGAGAAGTCGGAATGGAGATGGAGATGGAGATGCCGAGAGAAGCACCGGACATCAACGGAGACGGCGATCGTGGTGGTGGATACTAGTATGGTGGATGCGGAGTCGCCTGTGGCTAACTGTTTCGGATGCAGGTCTTCGTCGGACATGGAAGCGTTTACTCGACGGTCACTGTGGAATCGTGAATGTTAATCATCGTGATGCCCGCTTCAAGGAGGTGCCTTGTCAGATTGCCGCTGTTGTGCCGCAGGGAAGTCGCAAAGATGGTGGCTGGACAGCATCGGAGTGGTTGAGTCGTGGGGTAGGTGTGGTCTGATCTGTCTCTTCGTTTTGGCATTCCCTACTAATGTCGGTCTTTAGGATGAGCGCAAAATGGCTATGTTTGCACAGTATGCCATGGCGGCTACAGAGGAGGCTTTGGAAGATGCGGGGTGGAAGCCCGAGCCTTTTGAGCAGAGGGAAGCGACGGTATGACTATATCGGATGAATTGCAGCTGATCTAGGATGAGAATATGGGCTGACGTTGTCAAAGGGTGTCTGTCTCGGCTCTGGTATTGGAAACTTCGATGAGATTTATGACACTGTGGTCGCATACGATAAAGGGGTGAGTTTGATCTGTTGACGTTCAATGGAGCATTGCTGACCACGTTCTTGCTGCAGGGCTATAAGAAAGTCAACCCACTTTTCGTACCCAAACTGTTGATCAACCTTGGCGCGGGCCATATCTCCATGAAGTATGGATTCATGGTACGTTTGTTGTTACTCGACAATTGGTTCATCACTGACTCTATCCTCAGGGTCCAAACCATGCCGCCACAACAGCTTGCACAACTGGCGCCCACTCTGTCGGCGATGCAGCCCGCTTCATTGCCTGCGGCGATGCCGACGTAATGGTCGCCGGCGGCGCCGAGTCCTGTATACATCCATTAGCCATTGGTGGCTTTGCCCGGGCTCGAAGTCTGGCCACCGACTTCAACGATAATCCCGCAAAGGCTTCCAGGCCATTCGATGCAGACCGTAAAGGCTTCGTCGTTGGTGAAGGTGCAGCAGTCCTCGTCCTCGAAGTAAGTCACCCTCCTTTTTTGTCAGCTTTCCTATGCACTGATTGGTATTTTATAGGAACTTGAGCATGCCCGCTCTCGAGGCGCCCATATCTACGCCGAAATCAAGGGCTATGGCTGTTCTAGTGACTCGCATCACATGACTGCACCCAAGGAGAACGGCGAAGGCGCCTTCATGGCCATGAAAAAGGCTCTCAAGCAAGCACAGATCACGCCCGCGTCGGTGGACTATGTCAATGCGCACGCGACCTCCACGATTGTCGGCGATGCTGCGGAAAATGCAGCCATCAAGTCACTTCTTCTTGGGCCTGACGGTAAGAAGGAGGCGCAAGATGTCAATATCAGCAGTACCAAGGGTGCTGTGGGACATCTTCTTGGTGGTGCGGGTGCTATTGAAGCTGCTTTTAGTGTTCTTGCTATTCAAGATGTGAGTCACTTTCCCTGTTTTACCTTGGTTGTGAGATTCCCGCTAACTTTTTTAGAATGTTATGCCACCGACTATTAATTTGAATCGTTTGGCGGATGGCTTCGACTGCAACTATGCCGCGAATGAGGCGCAATCCAGAAAGATCGATGTTGTTTTGACGAATAGTTTTGGCTTTGGCGGGACGAATAGTAGCTTGTGCTTTGCTCGGCATGAGAAATAGAATGGTTAGTGTATGATATGTAATAGTACCGATGCCGTGAATTACTACTTTGCTTTCCTTGGGTTGTTTCCAAGTGCCTTAGACTAAAAGGACGTAGCACCAGATGCATCAGTATGTAATGCTGGTCGTATGTGAACACTTGTGAACTAGCCAAATCACATATATATTAAACGTCCTCTACTACAGTCTGGTGCAGGTACACCTGCAAACATTTAACTAGAATGAGTCCAAGGCTCTCCACAATCAGCGATTAAACAGCTAGCAGAAAATAAAAAAAAACTAGACATTTTCAATTTCAACTCTTACATGCATCTCAAAAACATAAGATACCATGTGAAGTTCCGCACTGATAAGTCCAGTCGAAATAACATTTGCGAAGCACGTGACCCACCCCAAATGCGGAGCCGCAGCCCGACCGTCCTCTCCGGATCTCGATGTGAACGCAGCCGTGGGATCCACGATACCAGACTCCACACCACCACCAGAAATCTGCAGAGGGTGAGAGAACAAGACTCGACGACTCAGGGCATCTACGAAATCGCCCTCATCATGGCGACCAACGGCGACTCAAGTCGAGGTAAGTGCGCCATGCACCCGACCCTTATGGCGCGAACAAGGAAACACCGCGCTCGTCCTCAAGGCAAACAATTTACACCAGATGGATTGCTTAACCTCTTTTTCCCTCTTCAACAGTATCGGGGAGCTTGGTCGATGCCTCGGGCTACAAGTTCTCGGAGAAGGATACCAAACCCGGCAAGATGAAGGTTAAGAAGACGTCCAAGGCGTCGACGAAGAAGAAGGCCGATGGTAGGACTACGAGTACCTTGAGATGATTCAGATCCTCTTGTGAATGGGACATGTGACTAACGTAGTGTTTCCAGATAACAAGGATGGACCCCTCGACACCTCGCCCGCGTCCTCGCCGCTCCCGAAATTGGACCCTAAACTCGCGGCTTTCTTCCCAACTGGCAAGCCGCGCGAGTATGATCTTCTCGAAACTGTTATCTGCAAACACTGCAAGCGTCCGACCCTGAAAGCTACCGCCGTCGAGCACATCCGCGGCTGTCTGAAAGCCAAGCAAGAGAAGGCGCGCAAGAAAAAAGAGGCGCGTGATGCGGCGAATCGGGCTAAGGCTGGTGATGCGGGTGACGACGATAAGGATGGAGGCGATGATGCGATGAAGGGCCAGAAGAGCGCGAAGAAGAGTGCTGTTAAGGGCACGGATGATACGAAGAAGGGCAAGAAGCGCAAGGCTGATGAGGATGATACTAAGCCGACCAAGAAGAAAAAGAAGGATGAACCCAAGGCAAAGACAGCCAAGCCTAAGGGTCCTGTTGATGTTGAGAAGCAGTGTGGTGTGACATTGCCAAATGGTGCGCAGTGTGCCCGGTCCCTGACGTGCAAATCCCATAGTATGGGTGCAAAACGTTCGGTACCGGGCCGGTCATTGCCATACGATATGCTGCTTCAGCAATATCAGAAGAAGAATCAGGCACGCCAGCAGAGTAAGTTAACGAACCCAAGTTTCATCCTTGCTATGAGGCAAAGATGAATTATTAACCCGATATGTTTACAGAGGCTGCTATCGACGCCAACGCCCCTCTGCAAGAGGATCTTGAAACGAACGGCCCCGTTGACTCGGATGAAGAAAGAGATTCTGTCATGGCGGCCATTGCTCGATCCACGCCAAAACCACTGGCCGAACACACACTAATCACCTCGAAGTCGAAGTACAAGTATGTCCGGATCAAGGAGCAAATGCTGCACGCCATCGGCGGACGAGGCGGCGGTTCCCTCTTCTCTACCGACGACAGCCAACCTTCCTCTCTTTTCGGCGGTAACCTCTTCCAACCATTCGATCCTACTGTGGATGGTTCTTCGTCTCCGATTGTTCCAGCCATGGACCCCAACGATCAAACACAAGCTGCTCGTAAGACGCCCGTGGCGGCCACTTGAATACCCTTAGGTCCTGGCAGGCTCGTGATGATTTATGATTCTTTCTCGGTTCTCGGTTTTCTGGTGCAATGGACATGGTCATTGGCGTTGAGGTGCTGGCTCCCTTCTTTCTTGCACACTTTTGTTTTACCCCCTGGATTGGGTGTGCGACAGGCTGGTTCTGTTTGATTCGGTGATGACATGATACCCCGGCTGGCGTGACTACGCTTTGAGTAGTTCGCGAGTTGCTTTAGTGGAATTTACTCTTTCCCCTCATAGTCAGGTTCTTTACCTATGTAAGGTGTGAAAATGGGCATGAACATGCGTAGCTGCCCTACGCTCTTCAACAGACAACATTTTCAGGATCTGTTATCAGGGTATGCGTATTCAATCAATGAGGTGGATAGGTTATTTATCCGTTAACTAAACCATCAGGGTATTATTCTCAACCTCCAACTTCTCGGAATCCTCGAGTCTCCAATCCAGTGACCTACCTACTCGTAGATTATTTCTTCCCATTCACAGCAGCCGGCGTCCCATGTATCTAATGAAAATCGTCAGAACCTGACCCCACAGCGTTGAAAACGAAACATACCGTCTCAGCAAACTTAATCCACTCCTCCAAACCCTTAACATAAGCATCATCCGCCGCAGGAATATGCTCATGTCCCCAAACCACCACCTCATCAAACGTCCCCTGGACTTCAAGAACCTTAACCGGTTCCTCCGGCTGGACTTCAACGAGTTCTTCGTTCTTATCGATCGTTTGCGAAGAGGGGAGAATGCGATCTGTTGGTGTTGCAATTACACCTGTGCCATGTATACCATTAGATCTGATCAGTCCCACGGTGTGTTCTATGTTGCTGGGATCGTACGTACCCTGGTATCCATCCGGAATGGCGACGCGTCGGCCGCGCAGTTTCCGGCCGCGGAAGTGCGATGTTTCGATTTTGTCTGCGCCGTGAGTATGGTTCGGGACAACGTGCGTAGTGAAGGTGTTGAGGGTGTCCTACCTTGCTCGTCTGACTTGGGGGCCCAGAATCGGTTTGCGGACTCGATGGGGCCGTCGTGGTGGATTCGGCAGGGGAGGATGTTGGGCGTGTATTTTGTGCCGTTCTCTTCTGATTGTGTACTTGGCATTGTGCCTTGGAAGGCGTACAGGCCTGGCATTGTTTCGAGAGATGTTGCTGGAGTGGTCCTGGGGGTGTGTTTGGAGATAGCTGGGAGCCTTGTACTCCGTCTATTTGGTGCAATTATTCGTGAACAACAAGCAATCAAGTGAGTGGGAGCTGTTCTTGCGATTTGTGGCGACACTGTGGTGGTTGCTGAGTCTGCGGTGTTGAGGTCGGCGCGTCGCGTGCCGCGTTAAGTGGGATTGGGCGGAGAACGGAGGGCTGCATTTCGAGTATGCTCTACATGGTACAATTGCAGACAGCACTTACTGTTAGAATAGCAACAACAATTAGGCTCGCATGATACAGATTTCTGCTACGATTAAAGATTCAAAAAATCATCATGTTGATTGTTTGATGGTAGGTGGCACATTCAAATACATTTCTCGAACTCCATACAAATCGGGGTATTGAAAGCATTTCAAAAACACAGTCTCAGATCTCACCAACAGCGTGAAAAAAGCATCTCAACAGACACGGCCTCGGATCTCACCGAAGCGCAAGCGCGAGGATCAACGCTTCTTATTCTTCTTCTTCTTGTTCTTCGATCCATTTCCCTTGTCCTTGTTCTCGACAATGTTCCGAACAGGCCACTTCTTCGCATGTTCTCGCTCAAACCCGTCCTTGTCACGACGATACAAAGCCATAGTCGCACGAGCATCCTCAACACTAGAGTGCGCTCCATCCTGGATCTTCAGACCCAAGAAATACTCCGCAAGCACCTTGAGGCGCGGGGACCATCCACCAGCAATCTTCCGGTATTCAGGGTGTTTGCTTGTATCGCGAATATCGCGCTTCGGGTGTCCGATCATAAGAGCATCCAGATCATTGCTCACAGCATGACCGACCAATATCCGTCCATCCATGATCTTGGATACTTCTTTCTGGACGTCTTCGAGGCTTCGTGCTTCGACCATGTGTTTGGGTGCGATGCCGCTGACGTGCGTACGCCAATCCGTGACCATTTCTTTGGGGCGGACGTAGGAGTCATAGACTTGTTCACCGTTGAAGTTGACAATACTAACTCGAGCGAGCACGGAGTCGTTATCGGGATTCGGGCCGACGCCAACCATCTCACAATCCATGGCGATGTATTTGCCAACCTCGGCACTGAATGGCGTCGTGTTGGTAACGTGGAAACAGCTATGAGATCAACTGGAATTAGACGTACCTCTTCGAGAGACCCTCGTTTTCCTTTGCTTTGGCTGTCTCGGTCGTAGTCTGCGCCGAAACACCGGCGCTAGACTTCAGCCGCAGAGTATTTGAGGCTGGATCGGCCTCCGTTCCGTCTGCCAATCCGTCGGCCATTCCCTTCCGTCTGGGTGCTGGTTTTGTGTTTCGGGACTTCGACTGGTCCTTTTGTGTGGTCTTCGTTTTCTTGACTTTCTCGTGTCCGGAATCGCGGTCCGCAGCCTTGCGTTTCGAGGTTGGTTTCGAAGCCGAGGTAGAGGTCGAGTCACTTCCTGTCTTGAGTGTCGCCTGTAACTTTTTCCAGTTGCTGGAAAGGCCTTTTTTGTCCATTACCGGATGCAAATGTCCTTGAGGAACCAGGACAATGCGTAGAACGAGCGTACTGGGAAGGATGAGGATGGCACTCACCTTTTTTTTGTCGGCAGAAAAGGTGGCTAGACAGACGTAGACAGACCGCCTTCTATGATAAGGAATTTTGGGTGGGGGCCGGACATCGGCACTCGGAGAATTTGCTTAACTGTGATCTATGCTTGTTTACTGACATCCCAGGGCTACGATAGCACTTTGAATGCTGAAGGTCCTGATATAATTGTGAAATTGTGAATCTCTCTATTTGTCCAGAAACAATATGTCGAGCGCTGATATTTTGCCCATAAATGTATGTCCAATCATCCATGTACGCCGTTTTGATAGTAACGAAAACCAAAAGATTAATCTTACTCGTAGCCAGTCTTGAAGTCCTTGGCCATCCACTTCTCGGTCACCTTTCTCTTCGCCTTGCGAGCTTGTGTCACGGGCTTTCGGGACTCGAGCTTGCCCTGCACGATCAAAGTACGGAAGCGGTCATCCAGAAGGTTACCCTCGGGCTTGAGCAGTCGAAGAGAATCCTGTAGCTCATCGGGAAGAACAAGTTCCAGCGGCTTCTCAGGGGCACTGTTACAATTGTTAGAAGTTGCTCCAAAACAGTATTTGAGTGTACGTACGCATTTTTGCCTCCAAAAGGCTTCCGTCGGAGCTTGGTTTCATCACCCTCCTCGTCGTCATCGGCATCCGATTCTTGCGCACCATACAGCTCGCGCTGCTTGGCCAGTTCCGTGAGCTCCTCCACTCGCCCCATCTGGGAGTTCTTCTTGGCCTGCTGAGCCTCCCACTTAGCCTGTCTTTCGGCTTCCTTTCTCCGCTTGATCTTGTTGCGTTGAGACTTGGTCTTTCGTTCGGGACGTTTCTTGTTAAGCCACTCGGGTTTCTCGTATTCACTCTCGAAGCCCTCCCAAGCGCTCTCGTCATCAGACTTGATTTCACCATCGTCATCCTCAGCCTCGGCGATAAGGCGTTGCCTCTCTTCTTCCTTCTTCACTTCTTCCAGCCGCTTCTTCTCCGCCTCAACTGCCTCCTGTCCATGTGTCTGAAGTAGTTGATCCCATTCCTCGAACACGGGGTTATAACTGGTTCCCGCATGGGGTGTGCGCACCGACGGGATGGTTTTTCCGTTGGCAGCAAGCGAGATAGGAGCGTGCTTCAAGGTCTCCGGGGCGACCTTAGGCTTAGGCTTCGGCAAGAAGTTGAATTGAGGGTCTTCAATCACGGCGGTTTCGTTGGCATCGTCCGCCCAGGGGTCGTAGAGTTCACTGTTGCCCTTCTTGCTAATATTGGCGTCCCTGGCTACCTGCTTCAGGCGCAGCATTTCCTTATTGGAGACCCAATCCTTCTTCGGCTTCTTGGTCTTGGGCTCGATAACCCCATCGGTGACGTTTGCGTTACTACGCTTGCGAGAGTCGATTGCGGGAATGGCAGATCGTTGGGCGATGATCTCGTCGGCCTTGAGCTGCTTGTGTTTCTTCGCGATGGCCTTGCGCACATCCTCGGCGCCAGTCTTATCGAAGGTAAAAAGCTCACCAGATGGCTTCTCAGCAATGACGCCACTATTGGAAAAAAATCAGAAAAAGAACGGAGATATTTAGTAGAACAGCCCGAGCGCAAACATACCCTTTAATCTCTTCATCTTTCAGCAGGCGCAGGCCCTCCTGCACCTCTGTAACATCGACATTCTTGCGCCAGGCCTTCTTACCCTTACGGGAAGGCTGTTTGAATTGCTGAGGGCATCCACCTTGGTCGACATGGTTGATGATCTGTCGTCAAGCCTTATCTTTTTTTTTTCCAAACCAAAAAAAAGTCAACGGGATCCGCTTACCTAACGCGGGGGCGGCCGGGCGGGCGGTGAAGGCACTTGGACTTGCCGAACTCGCTTTTCTTCCACTTGAAGCTCCACCACTGCGCGTCAAGTCGTGTCCGGGGCGCTCTTTCTATCTGCCCGAGACTCACCTCTTGATTTCATCTATTTACAGGGTCGATCAGACGTCTGATCCTATCGTGTGCCATGCCTGTCGTCAAGGGAGGTGTCTGGTAAGTTTTACCGTTCAAGTCCGACGTGAGAAGTGATCAGAGACCAACACTTATGCACAGGACCAATATCGAGGACGAAGTCCTTCGGGCGGCCGTAAGTTATCTGCGAAATAAAGGGAGTTGAATCCGCGATTGATGCAAGTACTTACTCGACAAAAGGTATCGAAATACGGTCTCAACCAGTGGGCCCGAGTTTCCTCTCTTCTCGCTCGAAAGACGCCGAAACAATGCAAAGCGCGCTGGATTGAATGGTTGGACCCGGGCATTCGCAAAGTCGAATGGTCGCGTGAGGAGGATGAGAAACTTCTGCACCTGGCCAAGTTGATGCCTACGCAATGGCGCACCATCGCCCCTATCGTCGGTCGCACCGCCACACAGTGTCTTGAACGTTATCAGAAACTTTTGGACGAGGCCGAAGCCCGCGAGGACGATGAATTGGGACTGGGAGGCCCTGAAGGTGGAGAGGCCGCGGCCCCCAGTGCCGACGATGTGCGACGTCTGCGCCCCGGCGAGCTGGACCCCGACCCCGAGTCCAAGCCCGCGCGCCCCGATACAGTCGATTTGGACGAGGATGAAAAGGAAATGTTGAGCGAAGCTCGTGCGCGTCTTGCCAACACACAGGGTAAGAAGGCGAAGCGCAAGGCCCGTGAGCGTCAACTAGAGGAGTCGCGCCGCTTGGCTGTTCTACAAAAGCGTCGCGAGCTCAAGCATGCCGGTATCAACGTCAAGGTGGTTACCCGAAAGCCGGGTCAGATGGACTACAATGCCGATATCCCGTTTGAGAAACCCGCCGCGCCCGGGTTCCACGATACGACCCAAGAGGAAGCCCGTAACGAACGCCAGCGAGAAAATTTCGACCCCCGCAAGCAGCAGCTAGCGAACAAGAGAAAGGGCGACCAAGACGACGATAATGAACGCAAGAAACAGAAGAACGATAAGAACAGCAATTCGGCTGCTTTCGCGGCTGCAGCGCGCGCTGGCCAAATGCAAAAGATTCGGGAGGCAGAGCAGAGGAGCCATCGACGAGCTCTGAACTTGCCAGCGCCGCAGGTTGGCGAAGGCGAAATGGAGGATATTATCAAGCTGAGCTCTGCTCAAGAAAAGGCCGCCCAAATGAGTGGCGAGGATGATTACACCCGTGCTCTTATGGGTAATTACGGAGCCATGGTGGGAGGAACCCCCATCAGAACGCCCCGAGCTGCCCCCGAGGAGGATCATATTGCCAATGAGATCAAGAATATTCGGGCTTTGACCGAAACCCAGTCGTCTCTGCTTGGAGGCCACAACACTCCTCTTCATGAGGGTGGCTCTTCCACCGGCTTTGATGGAATTGCTCCTCGTCGACAAGATATCGTCACTCCTAACCCCATGGCTACACCTTTCCGACAGGGCAGTGCCGTTGGTGCTACTCCTATGCAGGGCGGAAGCGGGCCTGGTGCCACGCCGCTACGAACACCACGACGAGACCATTTCGCCCTGAACCGTGATGGACCCCAGCCGGTTGGAAGTACCCCGCGTGATATCAAGATGCATGAGAATAACATGCGCACGGAAATGCGCAGCAGGCTTGGCTTCCTCCCCAAGCCCAAGGAGACCGAGTGGGAGCTGGAAGAGCTGCCTTCTGAGTCCACTGAGCCTAAAGCTGCTGTCGAATGGACCGAGGAAGATGCGGCTGAGAGGGATCGTCGTGAGCGTGAGGCGCGTGAGAAGGCCGCACAAGCAGAATTCAAGCGTCAGTCGCAGGCCTATCAGCGGGGTTTGCCTCGGCCAGCCGTTCTCGATCTGAATGCTTTGATGGAGCGGGCCTCCCACGTCGTCGATCCGGTCGAGGCGCTTATAGCCAAGGAAGCCGCTACCATCATTGCTCACGACTCGCGCAAATATCCTGTGCCCGGCGCCAAGGTCGAGGGCAAGGCACCCCAGTTGGATCGTGTTGACGACCAGTATGTGGCGGCTGCGCGGGCTGCTGTTGCTGCCGAGGTGGCATCTGCCGAAATGCAACAGCAGCAAAAGAACTGGCAAGAACAGTTTGACAATGTGTGGTCATCATCCCGTGCCCAATCTCTACCCGGCCTCGAGAACTATGACGATGAAGAGGAGCAGGATGCATTCCAAGAAGAGCAGCGCATGATTGCTGCCTTTGATAACGTCCAAAGCTCTCTCCTTGCCACCGCCGAGAGAGGGAACAAGCTCGAAAAGAAGCTGTCGCTGCACTACGGTGGATACCAGAACCGTGCCAAGATGCTGCGTTCCAAGATCCTGGAAGCCAGCGCCAACTTGCCCAAGGCTCAAGATGACCTTGATGCATTCCGCACGCTACAGATCTCTGAGGAGGCTGCTGTATCGAGCCGACTTGAGCGACTGCGAGAGAATGTTACCTCGGTCATGCGTCGTGAACGTGAGGCACAGGAGTTGTACAAGAGCCAGAAGGACGAGTTGGATGAGCTTGTTGCCGGGACAGCGACGATTAACGGCTGGCATTAAGCTGCTTGCTGATCTGCGTTGTATTTTTTTGCTATCTTTTGGCTGATCATGACCCATTACCCGCTTCAGTTGTATCATTAGGAAGGTTTGCCTATTTGCGTCATAAATGCAAATCTATTCGGAGTTCAAAATGGCATTTATCATTTGATGCTTTAATCGTTAACCTTGTATTTCTCAGACCCCATTCAAGCATGCCAATTGTTAGCAAATACAAATGTTTCAAGCTCTTGATATGCGGACTCGAGGTCGTCGTTGACGATGATCTTGTCATGAACTCCAGGGCAAGTCGTGTATTGAATCTTTGCCCTTGCCCAGACTAGCCTTTTTTGAATGGCGGATTCAGAATCTTAGTAGCAGTGGATACAGACTACCTGATGCCATAATTTCGAGTCAGTATCCAATAGACAATAGGCGATGGCAGGCTGCTTGGTAGTGAAATGCGGATATAGTTACTTCGGCCGCAGAGTGAATGGTCGTGGGCGGTCAGGCCAAGTACGAGAAGAACTGCCGCCCTCCGCTGCTTCCGCCTTCATCACGCTTCATCGCGCTACCCTTCTATCGCGCATCGCATCGCGTCCATCGCTTTTCATCCCGGCGTCTGAAGCATCGCTTCTGCACGCAGCTGTTCAATATGGGCGTCCGAGATTCCCACGGTGAGGCGACGGGGACGCCCGACCCCGTCGAGAAGGGGTTCGCTACCCTCAACACCATCCGGTGAGTCCAATATCGATCGCAATGGTTTAAAAACCATTTCATTTGTGGCTTTGAGTCGCTTTTTATCGGTCGCATTTGCTAACCCAGTCGATAGGATCGGTGTGAAGGCCATGGTGCAGAAGGTTCGCCCCCCAGCGCAGACTCTGGTGGCCATCACGTGATATCATACTAACGTCCATTTTAGGATGGAGAACTACGCAAGGCGGAGATTCTTTCGATCAGACAGCGCAAGGACGGGCCTTCGTTCTAGTATGTTCACATCATATCTCCTGGACCAAGGGAGCCTTGCATGCTAATATGAATATCTAGTGTGCACTATGTCGACTTCAACAAGCGTCTTGATGGTATGTCAGCACCAAATCAGCAGATGGCGCAGCCGAAATGCTAACATATCATTCTAGAATGGGTTGCATCTTCGCGAATTGACTTGACCCAAGAGGTCGAGTGGCCCCAACCAGAAAAGACCGACAAGAAGAAGGCCGCCTCCACCAACAAGGCGCCTAGCAAGAACCCCAAGCAACAACGCGTTGGCGCTGATAGTCGCGAGCAGTCCGGCACCCCGGACGCTCTGGGCGGCAAGAACATGAATGTCGGCAAAGCTTCACGACCCTCCAAAGCCGGCGGTAAAGAGAACCAGGATATCCCGACCCCGGGTGATATCTTCGGGTCCGAGGCCGTCTCCGCTGATGGCACGCCCAGGGCCGGCGACTCAGAAGATGTGGAAATGACCGATGCCCAGGATGAGAAGATCCCCAACGAAGATGAAGTGAAGACCGTCTCGGGTGAGGTCATTACCCGTGAGGAGGAAATCGAGCGTCTCCGTACAAGCGGCAGTATGACCCAGAACCCAACTGAGATTCACCGAGTGCGAAACTTGACCCGTCTTCAAATGGGAAAGTTTGACGTCGAACCGTGGTACTTCTCACCGTACCCTGATTCCTTCTCAGACGTGGATCTGGTCTACATCGACGAATTCTGCCTGAGCTACTTCGATAACAAGCGTGCTTTCGAGCGTCACCGCGCAAAGTGCACGCTGGTTCACCCGCCCGGCAACGAAATCTACCGCGATGAGCACATATCTTTCTTCGAGGTCGATGGACGTCGCCAGCGGACCTGGTGCCGAAACCTTTGCTTGCTTAGCAAGCTGTTTCTCGACCATAAGACCCTCTACTATGATGTCGACCCTTTCCTTTTCTACTGCATGTGCACTCGCGATGAGACCGGCTGCCACCTTGTCGGCTATTTCTCTAAGGAGAAGGACTCCGCCGAGGGTTACAACCTGGCTTGTATCCTGACGTTACCGCAATACCAGCGTCGTGGGTTCGGCCGTCTGCTCATTTCTTTCAGCTATGAGCTGAGCAAGCGTGAAGGCAAGCTCGGCTCGCCTGAGAAGCCGCTTAGTGATCTGGGTCTCCTTGGTTATCGACAGTACTGGCGTGAGACACTTGTCGAGCTGCTGATGGAGCCAAACCGAGAGGCCATGAGTGAGAATGAGTTGGCAGTCTTGACCGCCATGACTGAGAAGGATGTCCACGAGACACTGGTTGTCTTCAATATGCTCCGATATCACGTATGTTACCCCCTAGCTAACCCCGTGCTAACTACTGGTGGTATTTGCTAACTTCCATTACAGAAAGGAAACTGGGTTATTGTTCTTACGGACTACGTTGTTTCCGAGCACAACAAGCGTCTTCAGAAGGAGAAGGTTAAGGGTGCGCGCAAGATCGACCCGACCCTTCTGCAGTGGAAGCCACCGGTCTTCACGGCTTCTAGCCGTACTTGGAACTGGTAGAGAGGATTTGGCATCTTGACCGATCTGGTTCTTTCGGAGTTGTGTCTCGAGTGATATTTAGGTGGGCTGGATAGAGACGTCAAGTTATGGTGATTTCGTGGCGTATGTGCTTTGTTACGTGCGGTGTTTGGAATCGGAATTTTTGGGGCGTGGTGTTCTGGATGGGATGTCTTCGGATTTACTTGATACCTCTATTCTATTATTACTGTACACTAAATTATTTTACATTTTCTTCAAAAGACATTCAAAAGACATTCAAAATTTCCCAGCCGCACTTCATTTCAGTCCTCAAGCTACTCTGCGCGTGTCTATGGTGGAGGAGGCTGGCCCGTCCAGGGCCTATATCTTCTTAACTCGACTCGAGTCTGACTTGAGAATTCCTTTATTGGATTTTCCAGCTCGCATGGAACGAGCTGCAGTGGTTATCTCAACATCTGTACTTGGATGCTCACTTGACCTGTGTCTTAGTCACATTACTATATTCAGCGGCAGTACAGGATGCTCATAAAAACCGATAGAGAGATACGAACTTCATAATAATCAAAAAATGGATTAGTGAGGACTTTCAGGAAGAAATTTTTAACCACACGAGGCGTATTCGCGAAGGAAAAGCACTTGGTCAAATAAACAAGGATAAAAGCGATCTGAAATTTACCCAGCAGAGCTTTTTACCCAGCCAAAACTTCGAATATGAGCCGCCTGAATGCCTTTCAGAACCCCTGGGTTTTGATATCAATCTGAAAACGCCTGCTGTCAAGCGACCTGTCGATGAGCTGAGAACCAATCCATCTCATCGCGGTTATCCTAGCCGAAGTCTTGACGTCGTTGGCTCACAGATGCCAGACTATGGAAAAGTGGTTCTGTATAAACGAAACGCTACCGTTGATGAGAGCCAAGATGTCCAATTCTCATGGAGGTAAGTTTTCGCAAAGCTGGACAACTTACATCGGACTGACCCATTGGCCATCACTATCAGCCACATGCAGGCTGAGACAAGAAGCTTCGACGACTTCATGGTAACTCAAACACTCGAGAATAACGATCAATGTTGCTGATTTTTGACTTTATATAGCGATTTGCGTCCAACGTGCCGAACTTGGCCGACGAAGACAGAGCTCTGGTGGTGTCTTTGCTCAAACGAGTGTAACCAAAAACGACAAATATCAGTCACGTTGCGTAGGTTTGGACTCCACTGTGATAGATAAGATGACGAGTGAGAAGTCTGCTATCTTTGTCGAGTTTCCTTTCTTCTCCGTGCAGGAGAGCAACGATGCCGCGAAATCTCGCTACAGGACTGAAAGGGCCACGCGCAGCTTCATCCAATCTTTTTATCAGATGGACTCTACTCAAAAGCAAGTCAGAATGGTCCCCGTATCAGCTTGAGCTTCCCTCCAGTCTTTACTTGGCCGGTCGGGAAAAAGCACCACCTGAAGAGAGTACAGGTTCTAACCTGAGCGGCCATTTCCACAAACCCAATGATGGCCATTCCAAACCAAAAAAGAATACTCAAATGGACTAGGGAATGTTGTGGACGAGGAGGAAAAACAATTGATGATGTGTCTTCGCACATAGATACACAGCTCCTCAGGACTGGCAGTAAGGAACGTCGGTAGCTCTACAAAGACGCGCCCACGAATTCTTATTTTGATTTGGATGCAGTCATAAAGAAAAAAATATTCGATCTCGCTTCCTACTTTCATCGCCACAGAAGGACATGTCGAAAATAGTGTGAAGGATCCACCGTGGGAAGCAGACCTCAAAGAGGTCTTTTGTACCTTGTGTCGTCTTTTCAACTTCTTTATCCCTCTTGAATACCCTTGCAATGTTGGTCAGAAGTTTTGGGGAGCGGTTCAGGATCTCATAGAGGTATGTTGTCAAATCACCCCTGGTACAAACAGCTTCTAATACCGAAGAACTCAGAACATACCTCGGATGTGCGAAATATCCGCCATGCAGGAAATGACCAAGCGATCACGTCGGTTCCGCATGGTGAAGTCCTTCTTTGTGGCCGATCTAAGTCATCCGAAGTACGCAGACGTTCGAGCAGGGACTGATCTGGAGCTACTCATCCAGTACCCCGACGAGTGCGCAACGTGCAAGACTCAGATGGCATACTCCTCGCAATCAGATGCTTGCGATCATTTATTTACACATCATCTTCAGGCTTCTCCTGAGCAGCGTGCCGCTATAAGCTCCCAGTCGCAGTGGGTCATGGACGTTGGCCAGTATTTTGTTGAGATGGGCTACGACGAAGCACTGAATATAGAATGAGGGCCTGCTAGACAAATCGACCTTAATGAATTGGCAGAACTTTGACTTGACTGTGTTGTGTTGAACTGTCTACATGCCATTCTGGGGGTATTTATTCCTGAACGGGCGGCAAGCCCCTGACAGTAGTAAATCCCTCATAATCGGTCTCGACCAGGGTCCTTCCATAAAGATCTCCCGAATGTAGAATATAATGGTGGCAAGAGCGCTTGAAGCGCATATCAAGCTCAGTGCCTCCGGTTTCCCTGGACAGGCATGCCAACAGAGATTGGGAATGAGGCAACAATTCGGTGCCTTATACTGGAACCTCAACATATTTGACGTTCATTTGTCGACGAGCGGGCCAGAATATTCTTTCCTGGCTTAGAGAGTACTTGACCATACTGGAGAAGTTGGCTGTTCAGATTCAACATGCAGTGTCCGAGAATGACGAATTAGACAGAGACACCTATCGGATCCCCTCGAGTCTGGTTGAAGGCTTCCAGCATCTTTTAATGATGCTCGTGACGACCGCGAGCCTGTCAAAGTCTGCACTGCGGAACCGAGAAACTTATGCTGATCCTGATCCTGTGTCGACATTTCTCCAACCCTACGAATCAAACCGGGTCGGTGCATACGGCTCAGTCTGAGATATTTCTAAAGAGTGCGATTGTAGAGATCGTTCTCATGGCTATACTGACGACAGAACTGATGTCGTGGCCTATGAAGCCGTAGGGCCTGGCTTGGCTCTAGCTCTGGTCATGGGAAACATCCAGTCAAGTGACTCGAGAAACAACACTGTGGACTTGCTCGATATCTATCGAGAGTCTATCAGATGTCTCGCGAGTCCATACAGTTGCCTACTCGGGCACTGATATCTAGATTCATTGTCGCTGATACAAACGATTATAGCAATTCAAAGTCATTCAGCACCCGCAGCAGCGCTTATTGCGAGATATTTATCTCGTCAAAGAGAAGCTAGATATCAATTCCAAGATATTCGCCAATAGAGGCGGGTTGAGACGATTTCGGGACTAAAATGAAAAGTAAAATTAAAAAGGATAGAAGGAATTGTCTTGGTAGATGGGTTTCTGGCCCAGCATAGCCACCAGCCGAGGAGTCATCAAGGGGATTTTCGTTGTTTGAGCAATTTTGGACCTCGAGCCGGGCACTCACTTGGACGGGCAGAAAAAATAGGAGTGTCTACTGTTTCCCTTCTTCCCGTTCCTCTGTATCACCCGCATGCGCATTGTTCTCTTCTACATCCGAATCCCGGCCATTTCCTCTCTGCCAAACTTTGACTCATCTTCAATTCTCCATTCTTCAGCACCGAATGGATGATAACAACTTGATGAATGCCTCTCATCCAACCAACTTTTCCATCCCAGGCAGCCTGGCAGGACAAAAGTCATTCTATTGCCGCTCTGCTAAGTGGTAGAACCACTTTAACTACTCAGTTCCGTCAAGTGGCCCACCCAGTCAAGGATAGCACGTCTTCAGATCAAACATCTAGCGTCTATCGTGAACAACCTTCAAGATGAAGTCCCTCAGGCCAATCTTTTCTATGTCTCATTGAGGGAGCCAAGAACACAGTTATACGACAACGGTGATAATGCGAACAGTCCAGTTAGTACAACTGCCGAGAGCGTCACTGACTCCACAGTCAAGACAAGCCCACGACTCCTCGACCGCTGGCTCGACGCAGCCGTAAGATTCGCCGGATCAGACCCCATGTTCCTATTCCTCGTCACAGGACTGCATTTGATACGGCAATTCGGGTATTTGGGTGGCTGCAATCTCGGACGTCCAGGCTATCCTATGCTACATCTTCGACTCGCTCATGCGCCAGCTCCTTCGTGCATACTCCGAGTTCCAGGTAGCCATGGCTTGTTTCCAATCCCGCTTCGCTAGCTAGGGACGCATGCTTCGCCAAGTGAAGGAGTAGCTGGGTCCGGATTGAATCGCTCGTGTGTCTGAACTGTGCATGAATGAGACCCTGCCTCCGTTCGATCGAGGACTGCGTGCCCAAGGCCCTTTTGCTCGAGTCAGTATTTTTTCGGCGAAGATTTTCGGACATGTCGCTCCTGTTGGTCTATTCTAGATTGGTGTTTTCGTGTGGTTGGAGTTTGGGCGTAAGTGAGTCTGGTCGAGTCGGTGGCAACTGTATACCAATTATGCGACATCTGCGTTGATGACTCTTGTCTTTGCTTTCTTGGCTTGTCTGCGTGAGTGCTATTGTACTTATACGAATATCTGCACGGACGTCATTTTCAAGTTGGACGCAACGCTTGAGGGAGAGCTCCGTCGACTCAGCAAGGATTCAATTCCATATAAAACGGAGGATATCATGCCTCCCAAGGGTAACTCCAGGTAGCGATCTTCTACTATGGAGATGTTATCGGTACACTCGCGAGTATCATCTTCCTTGTGATTGTCATCATCACCTGGGTGGCCGTCGGTCCAGTTTTCGAGTTCAACAACCCCTGGTGGCTTCCCATCGGCACTTATGCTGGGCTGGTTGGTCTGTTCGATAGTTTTGTGCTGCGCAATATTCAGAGCAAGGTCAGCGAATACACTAACGAGCAAATCCGGGCTCTGGAAAAGCATGATATGGCATTGTATTATGGACTGTTGATGCCGATTCCGTATGGTCGACTGAAGGCTCCCTCGCTGAGCCAGCGCATTTCACGCTACATCAACACCCTCAGTTCGCACTTGTTTAGGGTTGTTTCCGGGGTTTCTCTCACTATAGGATGCATTGTGGCTTCTAGTGCGACGCGTTGGAGCTTGACAGGTCAGCTGGTCTCCAATGTTCCACCTAGTATTATCGGGACGTTCTTTATGATCATTTTGATTACTGGTCACAATTATGCCGAGAAGAAAATGCGTGTTTGACATTACGGATATTTACTATCGACGACAGCGTCTTTTGTCATTCGTCGGTCATGCAAGTGTCATTGAGACTGGAGAGGCTGTTGAGTTGATGTGGAAGTTGAACAAATCGAAGAGGATGAGAATGCTAGGTGAATGCCAATGCTGAGGACAGCTGTGATTAGGAGGCTAGAGGCTAGTCGGTCAAAACCAGAAAATTCGTTGATGTTGAATCTGTAAACAAATATGAACGAGTGTAAGCAGCATGCCTCTAGGGCAACTTGGGGTGCTGCGAAGAGATTAAAGCACTGAATTGATTCGGAAGGTAGGTCTACATGACAAGCTTATAACGAAAACGTAAATCTTCCTACAATTTACCAAGAAAGTGAAACGTATTCAAGTTGCATACTTGATATTGGCTGAGGGAGCACTATCATAAATCCGGCAAACCTAGGCCTGCGCCGCCATCATGTAAATGGCATGCCAGTAAAATGCCTGGTGGCAAGAGAGCTTGCGCCGTAAATGAAAATTAACACGCAGACGGATTAGACTCGCATCATCTGATTCATGGCATGAAGGTGGAAACCAGTAACAATTTCCACGACAGGAACGCCTCGAAATCAGCATAGTGTCTTGGTGCGAAACCATCCTCATTGAAAACCATTTCAAAAAGCAGAACCACCCTCATTGCTCATGTTGCAGCGCGCACAGCTGTGGCGGCAGGTAAAAAGACAGAAAAAAAGTACATAACACGAAGAAAGCGTTGCGGTGATGAAGGGTGGGGGAAAGGTAGAGAGGTAGAGAGATTAAGGTGGAATGAAATGTGTCTGATGCTCTCCATCACTCACACAAGTGCCTTTGGTTTGACAGTTGAAAAAAGAGGATGGGGCAGATCACAAATGATGTAGGAAATTGATCCGATGACTAAGCCATCTTCCATAAAATTGCTGACCGGAGACCAGAAAACCGAAATAACGAGCACATCCAGAAATTGCCATCACGAAAGAATGACCGCAAGGCCTTCCCTTCAGTTGGAAGGGCTGACCTTTCGCGGACCCCAGTTTGCGTTGCGTGACTGGTGACGGTGGGAGGATGGGGCACTGCCCTGCTGAGGAGAAGGTTTCTTGGACGGAGCATTGTTGCCAGAAATGTCACGCGGCTTGGGACCACGACGAGACTTGTTGTAGCCGGAGGAAGAACGTTGCTGGCGCGGTACCTGAGCCTTCTTGGGAAGGCTAACAGTCTTCACTTCAGTGGAACCGGGAAGGCGAATCAAAACCTGAAGGTGGCCAGTATGATCCCTGTCGCTTGGTCCAAACTGGTAGGGATAGGCAGTTTGGAATTGCAACTTCCCATACTTTGGGCGGATTGGAGCCTGCGAAGGCGCGGGAGCTGAACGCCAGGCGGCAGGCGGAGCCATATTGGGAACACGGACAGGAGGCTGAGAGCCTGGCTCACGATCTTCGAAAATTTCATCCTGCTCATCGACTTGGCGAACGGCCAAGTCTCCGTCTCCGCTCTGGGAGCCAATGTCCTTGCTTGGGAAAGAGACAGAGACAGGCACAGCCGTAGCAGGGCGCTGCACATCGAGAGGTTCCTTCGTAGCGGAGGTGACTGCTAGAGAGCTCTTCTTCTCCGGAGGAGTCTTCTTACCGAACAGACCGTTGATCTTCTCCTGCCACGAAATCGCACCTGCGGGTGCCGGGACGCCACGCGGGGGTGCAGCTGCCATCGACGCGAAGGTGGGTGGAGGGACAGGAGGTCCATGGGCCTTAGCCTTGGCAGCCTGGGGAAGCTTGACGACCGGCTTGGGGTTCGGAAGGTGCACGTGAGGGCGACCAGAACGACCGCCGTACACAGGGTGGCTCGACTCCTCGGGAGGAGGAGGGGAGGGGCTTCGTGAGTGTTCAACCTTGGCAGAAGCCTTGCGCTTTGGCTGTTCGGTGGCGTGAGGGAAGAATCGCGAGCTGCGTACAGGGACACTAGCAAGAGGGCGGCCGTTATCCGTAAAGGGGAGGCCATCAGCGACAGCATCAAGCCCAGTCAGCGGGTTAGAGGGTGAAGCATTGTTGTTAAGCTTCTTCTCTTCCACATCGTCCCGCTTGACCCGTCCCTCGGGCAAAGGCTTAGGCTTCTTCCAGGAGGAAGTGGCCTCCAATGGGGCCGAGCGTTGGTCATCCTGGCGCGCCTTTTCAAAGTCGATGCGCCTCTGCTTCCCCTCTTCGATTTCCTTTTCGCGGGAAAGTGCATGGAAGCTGCCCCAGGTGCCCACTGTGCGCTGCAAGGCAGCCGGAATCGGGAACGAAATGCCCGTACGAGAGCCGGGAGGTGCAATGGGACCCGGACGGCCGATGGGGCTCAGAGGTTCGTACGCAGGGAGGGTGGTCTCGGGGGATGGCAGAGAAGGGAGGGCCGTGGCCTCCTGGGGCCCCGATAAAGTCTGAGCAGACATTGCTGGCTGGTCCAGACCCAGGCTGCTTCGTAAAGGCAGTTCTCGTGGAGGGAATCCTCCAAGGGCTTGATCGAAGATACCGTTACCGAGAGTGCGATCGCTACTCAGCGGCTTCCAGGGGTTTTTGACTGAAGGCGAGGTCGCAGCGAGGTTGGCGTTAGTGGACCAGGGTGGATAGGAGCTGGCGGTGTTCAAGCCTCCACGCCACTGGTCGGCGTGTTCAGGCACACTCGACTCTTGTGGGGGACTTTGATCTGAAGATTGAGGTTGCGTCTGGTGTGGAGGAAGAGGTTGCGGAAGTTGAGTTGGGTTGGAAGGCGGGGGTGGACAGGTTCACGTTTTATGTCGCGGGGAGAAGTGGTCTGGCGGGAGTGAATGGCGGGCGGCTTGGACGCGTGCTTCTCGGCGCCACGGTCCCGCTCGCTGGCATTCACTGGTTTCTTGATCGAATCGGGAGGGTGAATCTTGATCAAGCCATATTGTGTGGTCTCGCCGCTGGGTTCAGGGACGGGGGGTTTGGGGGGTGAATTCACTGGCGCATTCACTGAAGCCGAAGCTGTGGGTGGGGCCTTGCGGGATTCACTGTCCTTGCGCGGCTTGTCCGGGGGTGGGCCCAACGCCGCCAGTTTCTGCCGGATGCGCTCCTCCTTCGCTTGTCTCTCCTGCTCTTCCTGCTCCAAGCGCCGCTGCCGGGCCAGCATGCGCGTCTCCTTCATGATCCGCTCCTGGAGCGCAACTGGGTCTTCCTGTGGCGCCTCAGGGACCGCCGCAGATGGATTCTCAGCTGCCACACTGCCCCCAACACTCGCAGCCGGAGAAGCTTGAATAGGCGCGCTAGGATGATGTCTTGGGGTCGCATCGTAGTGATGACCGTAGTCACGTTCCATCAGAGCAGGGTCTACCATACCATTCGACAGAGAACCTCGCCGAGCCTCGAAGTGCCGGGGAGGTCCATCCACACGGCCAAACGACGGGCGACGCCCATATCCTCCACTACCACCACTTACATTAGATGATGTACGACGGCGATTCCAACCCATGCCCTCCTGGTGATGCCGGTGGGTCTGGAAAGCGGCAGAGGGCTCTGCCGGTCCATTCATATCCTGACCAGACCGCTGCAGCACAGCCGGAGCTCGAGGGCCCTGATCATGCCGCCATGATGGTCGTCGGTTATCCGGCACCGGTTCATACCGGCCGGAACGTGAGTTGAACAGCTCACGCGGCGCACCCGGCGGGGAATCCCGCCATTGACGATTGAAATCGTCGGCGGCGATTTCTTGAGGAGGCAACGATGCATGATAATGGTCGTCCCGGTGCTGATAGTGAGGGGGAACGCGCGAGGGAGGTAGGGGGTGAGCTGTCTGATTGACTGGCGAGACTCTCTCCACTGGAGGCAGAGCTGCCCATGGTGATTTAGCCGGGGGAGGTGCAGGGCTTGTAGATCCAGAAGGGACTCTGTCGTTAGATGAGATACTAGCACCCTTGGCCTTGCGCTCAGCGTTGCCTCCGAGTCGAAGTACAGTCGGATTCGGTCCAACCGATGTTGTAGGCTTGGGGGCTGCGATCTTGACGGGGTCCTTTGCGGTGATAGTATCAGGTGTTGCATCTTGCTTCGGCTCTTCCTGGATATTCTCTGGGGGAGGCGCATTGTCATTGTGAGTGAGAGTGACCTTCGTTCCATCGGTCCACTCAATGGTCTCCGGAGCCCAATCATCCTCGTCATCATCAATATCAGCCCATTTGGCTTCCGAGCCGCCGCCGCCGTCTTCTTGGATCCGAGATGTCATGTGGATACCATATTGCTGCTTTAGCTCTTCATCGGTGAGGTGCTTCGTCGGAGTTGGCTGGACGGCTAAATCATAAAGAAGGTTATTTAAGCCAATTAGGACTTCGTAGTTGCGACAAAACTTACGTCTGTTTTTGTTCCAGACCTGGTTCGGATCTGGCCCCGTTCCTCCCGGTTTCGCAGTGTTGGATCCGGACTTTGACAGAGAGTTACCAGGTGTGGTCTTCGCTACCAATCGTGGCCTAGAGCTTGGTTGCGGTGTTCCGAGGGGAGTAGTCGAAGTAGAGGGAACTACGATCGTATTAGTTATCAAATTCAGAACAGCACTCGCTTTCACTCTTTTTTGCCTACCTTTCTCTGGAGCCTTAGGTGGCGCAGCAGCTCCGGGAGCCTTTGGTACGGCAAATTTGGCAAAGGAAACGGGTTTGAAGGTAGCAGGTTTCTTGACGGAGCCGGTACGAGTGTGGTGTCTTCCATCTGTTCGGCTGGCATCTGACTCCGAACCACCTTGTGAAGCTGTATCGTCCCCAGCATCCGAAGCTGATCCCCCTCCGTTCAGTTCGAGTGCTCTAGACGCAACCAATCCTGCCCCGATATTCTCGCTCTGAGGGTCGGGCGTGCATCTCGTGTCGTGGTTCGATTGCGGATCTGTTGAAGATTGTGTAGTCAGGTTCGTCGCGATATGCTTGGTCTCCCCCTCGTCCCCTCCAGCAGTGAACTTGTCGTTGGTGCTCGCAGGAACGTCGGAAGGCGAAGGCTCGCCGCCCGACAGGGACTGATCTACCACATCGCGGCTGCTCTGCTCTGCCATAACAATTTTTGAGTCTGTAGCGGACATCGAATGTGACGTCGGTCAGAACTGCGCTTGAAGAAATCTAGTTGGATGAAATCGAGCGAGACGTGAGCGGGCAGCCGCCAGGTCACGCTCGCATAGTATCGGGGAAGAAACTGGCGATAGCGTACCTATGGTCAGGTCTCAAGAATCGCCGCGGTAGAACTGCTCGCTGGACTGGTTGCACCCTCAAAGATCGGGATTTCACAACCAGGGAAGGGGAAGTTGGGCGGCCAACCTCCAGGAGCTGAGAACGCCGGGTAATCGTGTTTCGGAGAGCGGGCGGAATCGAAAGGCGCGCGAGGAAAACCGCCAGGAACTCCCGGGATAGGAAGGAGGGTGATAGGGATGTGGTCGGGAGAAAGAGGGGTGTTGATGGGGAAGGTTGGCTGCGTTGTCGATGGTTCTCGGGTTTGAAGCTGAGTGTTGGCTGTTTTCGGTTAGTGCCATCCGGGCAAGTGAGAGGTTTCGCAGTGGCCGCCCACGACAATTTAGGCAGGAACCAGGCAACGAAAGCGGTATTTATAACGACAGTAGACTTAGTAGTGCCTGAGAAACTCTCACACAATGTTTCCTTTGCGCCGTGCGACAGGGGACAAAAAGCCCACTATTTACGAGTATGTGTGGTATGATTTGAGCTGGTGCGGCGGTTTCCTCCCGGCGCCCTAGCATCATTACCTCCCTCTACTTTTAAATACTACAATTATAGATCGGATCCCTGCCACTAAAGATGGGAAACAGACCGGGTAAATGGGAAAATAAAACTATTATAATGAGACAAAATGAGATTCCAGGATGGCTCTCTAATTCCTACACTGCCTTGCTCTGGGTCAGAGGATGCAGTATGTACATCAGTCCTCCTCCCATGATTGAATCAAAAGAAATCAGTTTAGTGAGGGTGGTTCTTGTGGTGACCTGTAGTAACACTTCGTTAGCGTGTGGAACAGGCCGAGCAACAGACTGGATAAGGCGAAGCCTCGCGCGAAACTTACGGAGGTGGAAGTAGTACTCCATGCTGTAGCCGAGGATTAGGATACCAGCGATGGCGTGGACGATGGCTGTTCCAGTCAGATTATGTCACTCTACTTATCTCAACCAATATATTAAAACTTACGGACGCCGGAGTTCTGGTCGAAGTAGCGGGCCTTGTAGCGACCGAGGATGCCGGTGGGCTTGACCTGGGGAGCAGGGCCACGGGGGAGACCGGCGTAAAAGTTCACGACGCGCTCCATGCGGGCAGCATCCTGGGCAGCACCAATGGCCTTCACAAATATGTTAGCCGTTGTCCGGGGAGCAAAGAGTGATGTATATGGCTTTTAGTCGGCACGAAAAAGCCTTCGGGAAGGGACGGGGCCGAGAGGGGTGCGAGGTGCATTCGAGGAAAGAAGGGCATTCAGGGAACTCACGTTGGGGGAGGCGATCTAGGATGTCAATTAGTATCATGAAACAAAGGCACGACGGTCATTTTGGGTATCAATTCGAGGGTATCGTACCTTGGGAGGGATCAGGGTCGACAGACCACGGCGGACGATGTAGCTCATCTTGTCGGGACTAGAAGGAGTCAGAAGCAGGTCGCAATGAACGCAGGTGCGAAAGAGAGCAAGAGCGTGATCGGGAGAAACATACGGCGATTCGCAGCGCAAGTGAACCGGGGATTGATGATGCAGAGGGGAGAGAACTTGCGTACGTTCGGGAAGCGGGTGGTCGGAATGGCCTGCTGCCAAGCCGCGCTAGTCCCTTTTCGGATGTGCCGTGACCTGCACTTCGATCCGCGCAAGGCCTCCTCGACCATCTGCTGCGTTGTCGACCTCATTCTTCTCCCAACTCCCCCTCCGTCCAGAATGTCGCTTCTCCGAGTTGGCGGCGTCGCTCGCCTTCGCGCCGCCCGGTTGGCTGCCCCCCTCAATGCCCGCTTTGTTTCCAACCCCGCCGACCAGGTCAAGACCAGCCCGGCCGATGCTCCCACCGACACCCACAAGGGCAGCTCCTTGATCAACAAGCAGAGCCCTGCTCAGTCTCTGGCTCGTCACCAGCCCGATTATGAGGCTACTATCGACCACGGCACCTCGTACGTTCTCCCCGCCATCAATGCCGTGCGCAAAACCCTTTCGCTAATCGCCATATCTCTTTTTCACAGATCATTCTCCCCGGTCCCCAAGCGTGTGATGGATGGCAGTGAGCCCGGCACTACTCTTCCCGCCGCTGTTTTGTCTGGTGCTCCCACTGACCTTCAGGCCCGCACGGTCCGGTATGCAGTTTTCTCGAGTTTCCCCGATCGATAGACCACAAGCTAACGAGATATATAGCATCTACCGCCCCGCGAAGCCCGCCTCTCAGTCCGGCACCTGGCACTCTCACCACTGGCGTATGGACTGGGACATCCTGCAGAAGGGCCACCGTTGGGAGAACCCGCTGATGGGATGGCAGTCGTCCGCCGACGGCATGCAGGGCACCAACATTAAGTTCAAGTCCAAGGAGGATGCCATTGCTTTCGCCCAGAAGCAGGGCTACGAGTACTTCGTTCAGGAGCCAAATGAGCGCCGCTTTGTGCCTAAGGCTTACGCGAACAACTTCCTTCACGAGCACAGGAAGCTCAAGCACATCAAAACCAAATGATTGTGCTGTCTGTGTATTATGTACATATTTTTTGCGGTTTTCCTTTTCTCGATCAAAATCAGACCCATTTCAACGATTTCATTATCTCTGCTCAATTCTGCCGCGGAAACGTTCCTTTTGGCGGTAGTTCGGTGGTGTTGTTCTTAGTGACAGCCTGGGACTCGGTTTCATGCTCTTTGGACATCGTCCTCGGTTACTTACGAAGGCAGGAAGAAAAATTCGGTCGGTGATATGTCAAGGCTTGCATCAAAACAATTATTTGCATGCATTCTCCCGGGACCTTACGTTCATTGCTAGGCCTGTCGATCAAGTAGATATCGGTCTTGTGGCAGTGAAGAAGAAATATATGACTAATCCACACCCACCACCTTTTTTATATTCAAAACCACTGGAAGCTTGTTACAAAAAAAGGGAAATCAAAACGCCACGTGCTGGTCGATACGATATGTCGTTATGCAAAACCGCAAAGTTATAGAAGCACTGGATGCACCTAATAGACTTTCCCCACACTCGACACCCAAGGTGCCGGGATGGGGTCGATGATGCGCTCACCACTCTAGCAGCCTATAACAAGACAGTCGCCTTGGAAAGTTCCCATTATGCATTGTGAAGCTCCTCGCAATGACATAGCTGTTCCATTGTTCCCCGCTGTGGTCGAGCATATATTTAAGGGTATGATCTCCGCCGCCCGGCTAGCATTCTACCATCACAGCCGGAATATCGCCCTGCATAACTTCATCCTATCGAACGAGTAACCTTTATCGAGTGGACACAACAGACATCATGTCCGACCGTGAGTTACTTCTTCCACAAGATTTGTCTTCCTTTTCTTCCATCCTATCCTGCGAAACTGACTATCTGCAGAAAGCAAGGCTCAACCTCCCCATGAACATGAGGGCTTTTTCGAGCGAATCCTCCACCACCATATGGGTCAGCAGACCGAGGAGAAGATGAAAGATCACCATGAAGACCACGACGAGGACGAGAATAATACTGCGAAGCAGGAAATGAACAATAAAGGGGAGATGGATAAGATGAAGGACTACTTGCATGAAGATGAGGAGCTGGAAGAAAACGGTCAGACCTATGCTGGCTTGATGTAAACTGTGTCATACGATTGCTAGATAAAATTGAAATGAATGAATGCTTGATCTTGAATATTGAGTACCCGAAGCTGTCGTATCACATTGGTACCTATATGTATTTGCGTTGATCAGCTCAACACGATTTTCGGATGTGCCGGATCGAATGCGAGGGCGCTTGGAGTTAATTGACCAGCCACTTAAATGTTCATGATAAAAAACCGCTACATAAATATCGGACCAAATGAGAAGCTTACCTTTTGAAAAGAGAGAAAATCTCGGGGCTCCTACATTGGACAATGAGCTCACTCATTCGTAGGTCCTTGGGGAGGTGAGTAGGTGTGACGTAATATTAGGACTATAGTAACTAACTAGAAACGCGAAAGGAAAATCAACAAAAGATACTTTCGATGATCATGACCTCAATTACCTTGGAGATTCTCAGAAATTTCAAGAACGTACAACTCGCCGCTCGTGTTAAAGCTCCCAGGAAAACCCAGCCTTCGTCCTGTCAGAACAGTATTATACACTGGCCGAAGGTAAGCAATGCCTCTTCGACGGAAGAAACACCTCACTTAACTGCAACAGGCTGTCCTTTCGCAAGCAGCAGCAACGACGTTTCATTGCGAAATAACCAAGGCGGCACTCTCGGTCTACTCCAGGACACCCAACTACTAGAGACAATTGCTCATTTCTCTCGCAAGAGAATCCCGGAGAGGCGCGCGTGGATTATATGAGCAAGAATTACCTGATAAACTGACAGTAAAATATAAGAGTGGTCCATGCAAAAGCAACAGGGTGAGTGTATCCGCAACGGCTTGAGACAATTGTTGACGAGAATACCAGGGCTTACGGAGAGTTCGAAGCAAGGGCCGATTGCTCAGATATCATACGTGCCAGCTTCCTCAACAAGGCTGGCAAAAAGTTTCCTGTCCTCCTTCGCGTTTCGCTTGTTGCCGGTGAATCTGGCGCCGCGGACACGTCTCGGGATGTTCATGGTTGGGCTATGGAACTCTATACCGATGACGGGAATCTGGATTTGGTGTTTGACAATAATGTAAGGGAGAGGAAAAGCTGGACTGAGGCTTTTGCTTACGTCCATGTAGCGTGTTTTCTTCATCCGCGATCCGATCAAGTTTCCCTCGATGAACCGGTCGCACAAGACGCATCCGGCGACTCATTTGCAGGATTGGAATATGGTAAGTGAAGTCGGCCTGGAATGAAACAGATAAACTGACGAGCGTAGTTTTGGGAGTATGAAGACCAATTACATTCTCAAGGGCTGTTCTAACATGATTAAGCTTCCATACTGGCAACCCAGAAAGAATTCATGAACTTATACAGCTGTTCAGTGACTGGGAACTCCACAATCGGTTCGACATCTCAATGGTTATAGTGGACACACATTCAAGTTCACCAAGAATGTCAGAAATAATAAATTGACTTCCGGTCATTCCATCCCAAGAATAACCGATGTGGGTGCAAATAGGACGGAACATTCAAGTACATCAAAGTTCACATCAAAACTCGACAAGGTATCAAAAACTTCACCAGAGAAGAAGCGACCATGATGGCTGGAGAGAACCCAAATCATATTATCAATGATCTCTACCACGCTAATAATAGGAAAGATTACCCGGTGAGGGATGTCTATGTTCAAGTCATGGATCCCTCAGAGGCAGAAAATTATCGATGGAATACTTCGACATGACGAGAGTTGGGCCACATGGGGACTTTCCCCCGAGAAATATTGGAAAACTGAGAAAACTGACAATCAATCGTAATGTACGATCCTCTATGATTGTGGCTTTTTAGAGTGGAAGTCGGATTGTGACAACCCCGAAACTAGTTCACCGATATCGAGTATGCGGCATTTTCTCCGTCTACGATGGTGCCAGGATGGGCAGCATCGGCCGATGCAGGTCCGTCTTATTCCTTTAATCATATCATGCTTTTAATTTATCATCTAACCTACTCGCAGTTTTGCAAGCATGCTTTTACGCCTATCCCGATGCAGCCCGCTATCATATCGGGGTCAACTATGAATAATCCCTACAAATGCCGCCAAAGCCCCCGTATATTGTCCGTTCCAACGAGACGCAAAGATGAGATTTGATGAAAACTACGGTTCAGATCCTAATTATGTCTGACCATCGCCCCACTCGCTCAAATACTACCAGGACTCCAAATTCGTCCAGGCTAGTTCGTTGAGTCAGATCACGAAAATGAGAAATGGGTTGGAGAAGTGGTATGTTGTACGAGCCACATCTGTGCCGAAGATTTTGTACAACCGGCCGCACTCTGGAAGATCATTGGACGGGATCCAGGACATCAGGACAGACTGATTGGAAATCTTGCTTCGACCATCAAAGGCGTCGACTCAACGCAATTGCGCGAGAGGTATATGTAAGTCGCCTCGTTACCCCAGTATACCCATAAATTTCAGAAATTTCGGAATGGTAAGCTGACTCTGCTTAGCTCTGTTTTCTTGTGTTAATCAAGATCTTGGCGCGCGACTTGAAAGAACGACGGAGGCCATTCAGAAGTCATAATGTGGGGTTCTTTCTTTGTCGATAAGTTCTTTGTTGAAATTGAATACTTTTTTTTGCCTCAAGTTCGAATCCCAAAGAAGGATTGTCTCGTATAACACGGTACCGTAGGATGTCCTAGGGTAGGATGTAGAGAGAGGATGGTGCTAAGCCCCATTTGATAGGTTGCGCGGATCAACACAAGCCGAATCGGCACAGGCACAGATTGAGCCCCGCCACCCCACCCTAAAAATCGATGATAAGATCATCGCCAACTTTTCCAATCCACCATTCCCTCCATTCCCTTTGTCCCTTTTGATACCCAACATGGCGCCCGAAGCCACCGAGGACCACGGCGTCGACCAGACCGTCCTGGCCCTTCGCAAGGTCCTCGTCTCCGAGGCCGAGCCTCTCGCTCGCCGATTCCGCGCTCTCTTCTCCCTTAAGCACCTGGCTTGCCTGCAGCCTCCTACCGAACAGACCCTCCCCGCGATCCAGGCGATCGCCGCTGGTTTCGTGTCGCGCTCGGCGCTGCTGAAGCACGAGCTTGCCTACTGCCTGGGTCAGACTCTGAACCGCGACTCTGTTTCGTACCTGCAGCAAGTCGTGAAGGATGTTGACGAGGATGCGATGTGCCGCCATGAGGCCGCTGAGGCCCTCGGCGCCCTGGGATATGATGACAGCTTGGACCTGCTGAAGAAGCTGCGTGATGATAAGAATGAGTTGGAGATTATTCGGGAGACTTGCGACATCGCTGTCGACCGTATCATTTGGGAGAACTCCGAGGAGAGGAAGGCTGAGAAGTTGAAACCTAGGTATGATTTACACCTTGAAACATAATTTTGGAGTTGGGATGGAGTTTACTAATGTATTTTTGTTCGATTGTGCAGTGACTTCACCTCCATTGACCCTGCTCCCCCTATGCCCCTGCAGGCCAGCGAGCCCTCCATTCCCGACCTCGAGAAGACCCTGCTCGATACCAAGCTTCCTCTCTTTCAAAGATACCGGGCTATGTTCGGTCTCCGCGACCTCGCCTCTCCCCCTGACCTCCCCACCGCCGTCGGCGCCATCAACGCGCTTGCCAAGGGTCTGAACGACCCCTCTGCCCTGTTCCGTCACGAGATCGCCTTCGTCTTTGGTCAACTCTGCCACCCCGCCTCTATCCCCTGCCTTACAACCTGCCTGAGCAACATTCAAGAGGAAGGTATGGTGCGTCACGAGGCCGCCGAGGCTCTGGGCAGCCTGGGCGACGAGGAGGGCGTGGAAGAGACCCTCAAGAAGTTCTTGAACGACCCCGAGCAGGTTGTGCGCGACAGTGTCATTGTGGCCCTCGATATGGCCGAGTTTGAGAAGAACGGAGAGGTTGAATACGCATTGATTCCGGACGGAGCTGCCACCCCGGTTTCCGCGGCATGAAGGATGATCTTGAATGAATTGATGAATTGGAAAAAAGTTCGTAACGTCGTTATTTGATACTCTCTGTTATACAACCCAATAGACCCTTGTCCCATACTTGCACACCCTTCCCTTTTTGCTTTTGCTCTAGCTTTTTCGATCAGTTGTTCATTGTTTCCCTGTGGTCAAAAGTAAAAGTAGTGGTTAGGAGGGTTTTATGGAGCTCTGGTAAGGAGTAAAGTTGATAGTAGAGTTGATAACGTACTTGTGACCGCAGACGCAACGAAGGAATACCGTACTACCTTCATCGGCACTGCGCAGCTGGACGGTAGTGAAGAACATCTCTTTGCGACCGCACTTTTCGCATGTGTGGTTCGTGACAGCCTCGGTCTTCCGATCTTCGGCGGAGAGGGTCTGAACCGCAGAGCGCTTGGATCTCAGTGCGGACGGGAAGGCGGAGGGCTTGGATTCGGAGACAATGGTTTGCGGAGTAGTGTCTGTAAAAGTATTAGAGAAAATTCTGGAAGAGGAGAATTCCAGTGTCTGTTCAGCCACTGACCTTTGTTGCGAGTACCGCAGACATCGCAGTGTAGAATCGCATCGGCGTCTCCAGTGGACTCGCGAAGCAGATTGCCGCAATCCGTGCAGAAAATGAGAGATCCGATGGCCGACATGGTGATAGTGAAGAGTCAGGAACAGCAGCAGGAACCCGGGCTCTCTTGAATGGAATTATTCGCGATTGACGGCAAAGTCTTGAAATTCATCGGAGGCTTTTTTTTGGTCGCACGGGCCACTCGCGATACCCGTGCAGGCGGTCGGACGCGGCAGATCCCGATGAAATGATGAACGAATATGGTCATCGTGAGCTCTCCTGTCTCCGAGAATCCACTCGTTCGCAGGAAATCCGCCCCGTGAAGCATGTCGTAGATGCTCTCAACGCACCTGCCATGTCGCTGCGTCGAGCAGGCCTCTCCTCCCCACATTAGCGCCCTCCCTATTCGCCAATAACCATCACAGCGCCATCATGGATCAGAATGGACACCCGAGTGTCCAGGTCGTCATCAACGCCCATTCGCAGTCGCACGCGGGCTACGGGTCCAACGGGGCCAACATGCCCTTCCAGCAAGCTCAGTCCCGTCCGCTTTCAGTAGACGAGGCGTTGCAGTACTCCTCCATGTCTAGCGCGCCGGTATTTGGTCTAGGTCAGTTCTGTGAAAGAGAAAGCCGCTAAGTTTGAAAGAAACTCCTACTAATGCGGATTTTGAGGATTTTAGACTGTGTAATTCGCCCTGACGTCGGCCGACCCTCTACTACCACCTCCATCAACCATGTGCTTCAAGCTGGCCGGAATACCCTGAGTGAACTGGATGAGGAGATACAGTCTGGACAGGACGAGTCGAACCACCTCGAGACCTCTCGTGAATATCTTCAACAATTGCTGGATGGGGACCAGTTGACAGAATTGTAAGTTTCTTCACAGTCCATGGACGGTTCATAAACGGTTCATGGACAATCTCCTTTTCCTATGCATTTGCATATTCCAATCATTTCCACTCTACACCAATTCCATTTTGTGCTCATTTCTATCTGGTGACCATCTTCATTTGGTGACCGCTTTCCATTTGGTGACCGTTTTGCAACGGTTGTTCAACCGCATTTCGTTGTTCAACCATAGTTCATGGACAACCATATTTCGTTGACAACCTTTTTTGTTTGACGACCATATTCCATTTTGCAACCATTTTTCGCTCTGAAACCGTCTTGCAACCGTTCTCCACTCCGCAACGTTTTCCATTTGGTAACCGTAACCCAACGGTCATACTACGGTATCCATTTGGAAAACGTATCCACGCGCAAAACACATCCGTCTTCATGACAGTATTCATTGCAAAATGGTATTCATTCCAATACGTATTCAGCTGACTCTGGACCCCGCCTCACAGCAAATTCAAGCTACCTTCCGCTCTTTCTCGGAACAACTCCCATACCAGCACCCCCGATGGCAAGCCCGCAACCCATACTGGACTCGGCCCGTTCGCCCAGATGATGCTGAACACCACGGATATTGCATTCAGATGTGAGTCTCAAGAGGCGCTTGGCCTGATCGACCGGCCCTACTGACTGTTTACAGACCCGGAAGTTGCCTCGACCAATGTCAAAGCCGAGAAGAGAGACGTCCCCAAGAAGGCCCCAACTGATCACCACCACCAAACACCTTCTCAGATTCCTTCGAAGCCCTCGTCTGTTATCACCCAAACTTCAAGTCAGATCTCAGTTGTGGTCCCCGTGAAGCCAACAACCGTCAAACCTGGAAATCAAGCCGCCGTGAAGCAAAAACGCAGCGTGGACAGCGAGATGACAGCTATCCGCCTTAAAGATCAGAAGGCTGAGGCAGACGACGCGCTCATGAAACTGCAAGATCTCTTACTCGAAATATTTGAAATCGAAGACCAGATTGATCCTGACATGACGATTGATCCAACCCGACCGAACCCTACCTTTGTCAACGCCCGATCCTTAGAAATTACCGGCATGATATTGTCTTCCGATGCTCACACTCGCCTCCAAAAGGCTATTCGGAAGGTAGCTGGCTTTGATCGGCTGCCCGACATTCCCTCAGACTACCTAAACCGTGTACAAAAGCTGTGCGAGAAACCAATTATTGCCGCGCAGGCTCCGGATCTGAGCCTCAACGACTCCTTAAACGAATCTGAATCCCAGGACTGGATCAGCAGGGTTGATGATGTGCTGAATGCCATGCTTGCAATTGGTACTCTCCTCCAGACAATGTCGGGACGCCAAACGGAACGTGATCTTTGTCCCGAGGATTTGATCGAGGCTATTCCAAATGTGTTGAATCAAGCCTTCGACAACTGCATTATCCCCGCAGTGGAAGCGCGCTCTAATGGGAAAGATTCCGAACGCTTCTCTTTCTTCGCCAGCCAGAAACGGATCATTGGTAGTCTGATCAATCAGAGCAAGAAAGTCCTCACCCTGTTTGCCGACTTTTTGTCTCGTATTGAAGTCTCGGAAGGGACCATCACGTCGGCTGAGTTCTTTGCAGCGAAGTTGATTTTTGTGGAAAATGCGCATAATGACAACCAATCTGCTGTCGGCTATCAAAAGTACGAACCTGCACGTCGCGGCGCAATGGACGTGCTGGCAAAAATTTTCTCCAAATACCCTGATCAGCGTCCATTCATCTTGGACGAAATTTTGGTCTCGTTGGAAAAGCTTCCCTCCACGCGTCAAAGCGCTAGGCAATTCAAGCTTGCCGATGGCAAGAACATCCAGCTTCTCACAGCCCTGGTCCTTCAACTCGTGCAAACTACTGCTCTGGAAGTACCACGAGCGTCGAAGGCCAAGCGCCGCCTTCAAGCGCAAGGCCATGGCGAAGACGAAGACGAAGCCATGACTGACGGCAATGGAACCAAAAGGGATGATTCCGAGGACGAGCAAGAACTGGACGAATCTTTGGAGCGTTTGGCCACAAAGGCCAATCGCCTGTATGATAACGCGTCTCGCAGCGCGCAATACATTGTCAAATTCATCGTTCAGCGCGCCATGACATCCACAAAGAGTGGTGACCAACCATACCGCAACATCCTTGACCTCTTCACCGAAGATTTGATCAATGTACTCGGATCGACAGACTGGCCTGCTGCTGAGCTTTTGCTTCGAATCATGGCATCACACATGGTTAACATCGCGGATCAAGAAAAGAGCCCGGCCACCGCGAAGAGCATGGCTCTGGAACTTCTGGGCTGGATGGGATCTGCAATTTCTGATCTCATCGCCACGGCGCAACATATGCTTCCGGCTTTGGAGGATGGTGACGCTGATATAACCGACTACCTCAAACAGCAGTTTGACGATTTTACATCCCGAGCTCTCCACCCACAAGATCTCGTTGCTCCCAACGGTCCGTATCGTATGGCTTTGGAGTATCTGTCGCACGACAAGAATTCGGACAATTGGCAGTTAGCGAGCGCACGAGGCTTTTATCTAGCCACATGGGCCAAAACCGTTTGCTCCCTATACTACAATGCCGAGGACAAGGAAGAAATGGCCCATGACGACATGACCGATGACTTGGTGGTTCTCCTTTCAAAGTCATTTCACGATTCCCGCTGGTTGGAAACCCACCGCCAGTTCGATTCAATCTCGAACGTTCACGGCAGATTCGCGTACATCTTGACTGTCTTGAACTCGAGTTTTGGTAAAGCCTTTAATACGATACTCAAAGTGCTTTTGAACTCTATTGCCAGCGATCAAGCAAAGGTTCGAACCCGCAGCTTGAAGAGTGTAATCTACATGCTTGAGAAAGATCCAAACCTTCTTGACCGCGATGCTTCGGTCATGCGAGTTATTCTCCGATGCACAACAGACGCCTCTCCAATGGTCCGAGACTCGGCCCTTTCGTTGATTGCGAAGTGTATCGGTCTCAAGCCGAAGCTTGAAGAGGACGGATGTAGAAGTATCCTCGCATGTGCAGCTGACCCTACTGCTGGTGTTCGGAAGCGTTGCATTAGTCTGCTAAAGGAAATTTACCACAAAACGTCTCGACATGAATTGAAATTGGCAATTCTGGACAGTTTCCTACAACGCACAGGAGATCACGAAGAGAGCGTTGCGACTTTGGCACGTCAGACATTCGAGGAAATTTGGCTTGTTCCTTTCCACGAATCCATCGAGTCTACCTCGGATGGACCCAAACTCAAGATGGCTCTTGGCGAGCAAGTTGGCTTGATTGTCAGTCTCGTTCAGCGCAGCGATGCCGCTCTCGATTCTCTTAGCACTTGCCTGAAAGCTGTGTTGTCAGACAAGTCGAAGTCGGCATCTTTGAACTTCAAGGTCTGCAAGTCCATGGTGGCCATTATGTTCCAAAGACTCGTCGAAGATGCAGATGCCTCGGGAAAAGATTTCCAGCAAGCTCTTCTCCAGACGATAACCGTTTTTTCTAAGGCAAATGCAAGACTGTTCAGTCCCGACCAGTTGGAAGCTCTGCACCCCTATATTGGTCACCTTGCTACTGCGGATGATCTGTTCATATTCCGCTCAGTTGTCGTCATTTATCGCTGTGTCCTGCCACATCTTTCTTCCGCGCACAATACACTCCTCAAGGAAGTACAGAACGACCTCTTCAAGAGTGTAGCCAAGCTTGCACGAGCCGAATTGAATGAAGTCATGGCCTGTTTGTGGACAATCAATAGTGTTTTGCAGAATACAGACCGACTGGTCAAGCTTACGGTGTCTGTGCTCAAACCGCTACAGCAATACAAAGCCTTGAAGGACTTGGGAGCAGAATCGAATGCCTCTGTGCTTGCTCGTGCAAAGAGTTACATCCGAATTGCTGGTTGTGTTGGTCGACACTGCGATCTCGAGAAATACTTTCCTCATTTCAAGAGCTCGTTCCCCACCTGGTCCGGCAGCACCGTGGCCGATTTGATGGTGGACTCCATCTTACCTTTTACATCCTTCAATCAGCCATTTGATCTGCGAGTCATGGGTCTAGAAAGCTTGGGATCAATTTGCCAATCTTGGCCCGGCCAGTTCGGCCGAGATCCTACGCGAAAAACATTTGCTCAAGTCTTCAAGGAGGATGCACCGGGTCTGCAGAATATTGTGCTACGCTCATTCGCAGACTTCTTTTCCATCCACGAAGGAAGAGCCGAGAAGGCAGTTATGCCGACTGCCGAGGCTGCTGCTCAGGAGGATTCTACTCGGCTGGGGGGCTCGCTTAGGGCCAGCGATAATGACGGAGCCGCAGCATTGATCGCTCAGCACTTCTTAAAGAACATGCTTAAAGTGGCGCAATCGCGCCAAGACACATATTCGCTTACAGCTATCGAGCTGATTGCGTCTATCAACCGACAGGGACTTGTCCATCCCAAAGAGTGCGCAGGTGTTCTGGTCTCTCTGGAGACCTCAACTGTGCCGGCAATCGCCAAGGTCGCCTACGATACCCATAAGATGCTCCATTCGCAATTCGAGTCCATGTTCGAACGAGAATACATGCGAGCTATCCAGGAAGCTTTCTACTACCAGCGTGATGTGGTTGGCGACTCTAACGGCGCAAGTGCTCGACCGTACGTGGCCAAGTTGGCACCATTGTTTGAAATCGTCAAGATCAGTAACAGCAAGTATCAAAAGAAGTTCTTATCGAGCCTGGCATTAAAGGTCAATTTCGAGCTTAAGGAGCTCGACCCATCCGGAGACCCGCCAGAGCATCTGCTCTTGGCTCGGTTTATTTCTCAGAACTTGGCATTCTTCGAGTACAATCAGTTGGCTGAATTGGTTCCCACTATCACTGCTATGGAACGCATCGTTTCATCGACAGGTACCGTTGTCGCTCATGCCATTGAGGTGGATATTTTCCCAAGCCCAATTGGTCCGCCCGTGATCGACACACCGACTGGAATGATGGGACTTCCCACGGAGATGGCGATGCAAACCAGCATGCCACAACAAGTCGATCCGACTACCCTGCGATTACTCGCTACGGCCGCTGCATCCCTCTCGATGCTTTGGGAGGCACGAACTTACCTGCGACGTCTGTACAACGTCAATTCTCAAACTAAGGACAAGGACGGAAAGGCGGCCGCCAAGGAGCTCAACAAGGCCGCGTCCAAGTCTCATGGCGTTACCGGCGACAAATTCTGGGAAGCCATCGCGAGAAACATGGCTGCTCTCAGCAGCCAAGGTGCTATGGTTGCTAAGTGTCGAGAATTCTCAACCCTCCTCGCCATAGATGAGGAGTTCAAGGTCGACCGAGGCGATGATATTGAAGGGGATAGTCTTGATGCTATCGGCGAGGCTGATGAAATGATGACTGGCCCTGATAGTACCCGTCCACCGAAGCGCAAGAGCTCAGTTTCGAGCACGGGCGTTAACAAAAAATCTAAGAGCCGGAAGTCTTCCATTGGCAAGAAAAGGTTCAGTAATGAGCCTGATGAGGCATGGGACTGATGGACTGTCCCATGTGTTTTGCGTATGATGATCATCTTTTTCTTTCTTGGGCTTTTCCTCCACCATTTTCTTTTTCCCATGATTTCTTTATCATTCAGCATTTCAGGAGTCACCATCATGTTTTACGCGATGTTATGCACGAGGCGATCTATGTTAAGACCGGGGACTGAGAGTACCTTTTGTTCTATTTTATGCATCATGCGGCGGGGCTGGGGAGTTATTTTCTTCTTTGGAGCCACCAGGCCGGTTTCCTCGGGCTCGCAATATTCATGTCTATTAGTACATAATAGAATTCAATTCATGTCACAATATTGTTCTACTGTATTGATCTGGTCTCGCCGAACCCGCTTAGGGCTGTTTTCGGGTGTGCCGGTTTCCGTGCCACGTGATCTGTAAATGACGTCGGCAACTGCGCTGGCGCCGCAATGTCCGCGAGTGTCCCTGGCGCCAGTTCCTCCTCCCAAAGTTTTCAAGTTGAGCACAAAAGCCTTCGTTGCATTCTTTCTCTTACGGTCGTTTTTTTCGCCTGCACAGGGTGGGCCGTCGATCTGCTTTGTTTTCCTTGGCAACCGTTGATCTGCGCTCTTCCCCAGCTGTACTGCAGTCCGCCTAGTACTCAGTATGAGCGTAGCGTTGCTTCGGAGTCGTCCAGAAGGCTCCACGCTGAGGGCAATTGGGCGCTTTCAAGCTCCATTGCACGCGCCCCGGACGCCATTGACTGCTAAAATTCCTGTCTTGCCTCACTCGCGTTCCTTGCACACCACCTACCGACGTCCACTGCAACGACGTGCCTCCGGTCCCGTACCGAATGTCGCGTTCCCGATCCGCTTCAAGTCCGACGATGTGGCGACAGCTGCTGCTCCCGCAACTCGTTCCAATACTTTTCGGGTGTTGGCGAAGATTTTCTCTTACTGTGGTTTCTTCGTCGTCGCCTCTGGTGTTATTGTCGCCGCATTCTTCGTCTACGACGCCAGTACATACCGCGAAACTCCCACTGCGGAGGATATCCCTGTCTCTGAGCTAGCTCTCAATCCACGCCATGGTGGTCCCAAGAACCTTCCCATTGCCGATTTCCTTGTGGGTGACTATGACTCCGAGTCAATGCTGGAACAGAAGGATAAGCCTCGTCTGGTGATCTTGGGAACTGGTTGGGGTAGCATTGCGCTGCTCAAGAACCTGAACCCTGGTGATTATCATGTTACTGTTGTTTCCCCGACCAACTACTTTCTGTTTACGCCCATGCTGCCTTCCGCCACAGTCGGTACTCTGGGCCTTCGCTCTCTTGTTGAACCCGTGCGCCGCATTATCGAACGTGTCAATGGCCATTTCTTGAAGGCCTCTGCGACAGATGTCGACTTCTCACAGAAGTTGGTTGAGGTCTCGCAGGTTGATCATGATGGTAACAAGAAGAACTTCTATCTGCCGTATGACAAGCTTGTCGTTGGCGTCGGTTGCGTGACGAACCCGCACGGCGTCAAGGGATTGGAGAACTGCAACTTCTTGAAGACCATTGATGATGCGCGCCAGATTAAGAACAAGGTTTTGGAGAACATGGAGTTGGCTTGTCTGCCTACCACTACTGACGAGGAGCGCCGTCGTCTGCTTTCCTTCGTTGTTTGTGGTGGTGGACCGACTGGTGTCGAGTTCGCTGCTGAGCTGTTTGACTTGCTAAACGAGGACCTCCTTTACTCTTTCCCGCGCATCGTCCGGAATGAGATCTCCGTCCATATCATCCAGAGCCGAACCCACATCTTGAACACTTACGATGAGGCCCTCTCCAAGTACGCCGAAAGCCGCTTTGCTCGCGACGGCGTCGAGGTCCTGACCAATGCCCGCGTCAAGGAAGTGCAAAAGGACAAGGTCATGTTCAGCCAGGTCGAAGATGGAAAGACTGTTATCAAGGAGATCCCCACCGGATTCTGCTTGTGGTCTACTGGTGTCTGTAAGTGATATAGAATGCTCCCAGCGCTCTGGATTGAACTAATTCGTTTGCAGCCCGCGCTGAAATCGCCGAAACTCTCTCCAACAAGCTGGAAGGTCAGAACAACAAGCACGCCCTCGAGACTGATTCCCACCTCCGTGTAATCGGTGCGCCTCTCGGCGACGTCTACGCCATCGGTGACTGCTCCACGGTTCAAAACAACGTCGCCGAAAACATCATCCGTTTCCTCCGTACCATTGCTTGGGAGAAGGGTCGTGATCCTGAGAAGGTTCACCTCACCTTCTCCGAATGGCGCGATGTCGCCAACAGGGTGAAGAAGCGCTTTCCTCAAGCCTCCAACCATCTCCGCCGTCTTGACCGTCTCTTCGAACAATACGACAAGGACCACTCCGGTACTCTCGACTACGGCGAGCTTTCCGAGCTCCTCCACCAGATCGATACCAAGCTTACTTCTCTTCCCGCCACCGCCCAACGCGCTAACCAGCAGGGTGTGTACCTGGGCCGCAAGTTGACCAAGATTGCCGCGTCCCTGCCGGGCCTGAAAGCTAACCAGATTGATTACGGTGACCTTGACGAGGCAGTCTACCGTGCTTTCAAGTACAAGCATCTCGGCAGTCTGGCGTACATCAGTAACGCGGCCATCTTTGATTTCGGTGGCATGAGCTTCAGCGGCGGTGTCATTGCCATGTACCTCTGGCGCAGTATTTACTTCGCCGAGAGTGTCAGCTTCCGAACTCGCTGTATGTTGGCCATGGATTGGGCCAAGCGAGCTCTATTTGGAAGAGGTATGATCGTTCCCCTTGGGTTGACTTGATGAAATAAGATGACTCTAACGTTTTGCCAGATCTCATGAGCTTCTAGATTCATTTGGATTTTGCGCCATTTCGAGTACTTTCGTCTGGGGCGTGAACGTTGTTCTTTCTTTCTCATCTTTGCTGGCTCAAGGGGTGATCTCGGATTTACCTTGTATCTCGCATCTACGGACTGAGCGACGAATGGTGGATTTTTTCCAAGTTCCTGGTTAGTCTTTGTGGTCACATTATGTTCATATGTACACATCAGCATTTCATGTCTCTTTCTAGTATGCATGCCTCGTTGTATCTAATGGCTGGATATATTCTGGCTTCTGCGGAAATTATGTTGATACTACCATGATACATATTCGATATGCCAACGTCTTCGGAGCAGTACGACAATATATCGAGGTCAGCATCAATTGATTCGTAACACTAGCTGTTGCAATGAATAAACATATATTTCAAGTTGAATGATACCACGTGAGACGTATTAGTGGCTCGCAATAATGAGGCACCTCACATGCTTTTCACGCACACTGGTGCAGTGAGAGTGACTGCGCCTCGGCATACCGTGCTGTATCACAGTAGTGCACCTACTACCCGTCACCTTGGCACAGCATTAACGAGGACGCATCTTTTGAAAACCAATAGGCGTCATGCGTAAGGTGGAGAAATACACTAGCGAACGGCCATATACTTATACGAAAGATTAAATGCAGAAGAAATTTCGAGACAGATGAACTGCGCGTAAGAATAATATTGTGTGCACAGCAGTGCGACGAATTTACCTGTATCTGGACTGGTAGACCAACTTCCAAAGAACTCCGCCAGGAAGAGAAATAGATGGAAAAATACACCGAAGCGCCATCGCTAAGCAATCAAAAACAAAAGCCGGATGATGAGTGGTTAGAAACGGGGAAGAATTTCCCCGAACAAAGGCAGGCCGAAGCCGATCACGCCAGACTAGATCTTGGTTTTCAAGACATCATGGAGTCGACATCGCCGTTGTTGGTCATGACTATGTCGCCGTTTCCGTTGGTGGATCCGTTGACGTGGTTATTGTTACGGGAATGGGTGCTGTCGTGAGTTTCGCTGAGCAGGCCGATGTCCAGTTTATCAGGAATATCCTTCTTGGCCTCGCGGGCCTTGTTCTCGGCAAAGGCCCGAGTCTTCACCAAGTGTCGGAGTCGCGCCTCTTTACGGGCGCCCTGGTGCTCCAGGATAGCTTCGTTCACACGAGCAGCGATTTCTTTACGGAGGCCTGGGTCTAGGAGGGTGGCTAGGCCGGGGACCAGTTGGTCCTTGGGGAAAATCAGAAGCGAGAGGGTTCGCTCCATGTCCTCGAGGAACTGTGGGTTGGTAGGGGCTCGCGGGGCGAGTTGCAGTGTCGCGAACTCCAAGGCTGGCTTGATATCGCCATTGGGAACCGAGGTGCACGTACGAATGAGCTCGATCAGCTGCAGACGCAGCAGCGCGAAGTGCAAGGATTGGTTCTGGTCCAATATCTGGTTTATCTCGTTAGCCTTGCACTGAGAAAGGTGTTGTGTGCGTTGGTAATGTGAGATGAGTGATTGCTGATCATACTGAGGACTGAAGATGTTTGTTTTTCCGCAACTCCCCGGAGGGTATGTAGGAGTGGTGCATGAAACTGATATAATCATAGCAAGAGGGGAGGTGTGATGATGATGGTGCTGATGCAAAGAAGGATTGCTTACCTCTGGGTTCAGCTCATTAAGCTTCTCGATCGCCAACTTGATATCGCCCGAATAAATGGCACTCCGTATCTCAACCCGTTCGTGAATCGATTCCAGATCCGTCTTGAGTTGGATGTTGGCTTCCGCTGCAAATCTCTTTGCGGCACCGGGGTATCCGTTGGTGATGAGGTAGTCCATAACCAGATGATTGATATCACTGCGAATTGCTATTAGCAACTATGCGCCAAAGTATGTGTGAAATGATACGAAGATCAAATGAGGGCAATTGTTTCAGATAGACAAGTTAACATGTTCTCTTCAGTTTTTTTCAGAGAGATTCCCAACTTGATTTTCAAGATGCATCATGCAACAGGGTAGGTTCGGCAGAGCCGATGGGCGGTAGGGCCGATGGGGAGGAGGGCGACTCACGTCTTGGTTGTCTTGACCTCGTCAACCTTGCGCTCGAACTGGTTCCATACCGGCGTCGCGGTAGAGGGAGTACGAGACATCTGTGAGGTGTTAGAAAAATGAGTAACCACGGGTGAGAACACCCCGGGCATCATACAATGTTAGCAGACATGCTGAGGATAGCTGCTGCGATGTGGAAGCTATCCGTAAAGCTCAAAGGCAGCCCGGGAGACGACGGCCATGGAGGAAAGGCTGAACGCTGGGGTGGGAGAATGCCCTGAAGAGATGGGAAGAGAAGAAGATGGGAGAGCTGCGGGAGAAAGAAAATGACTTAAGCGATTATGTCAGCCGCAAGCGAAACGGGTCCGCGCTAAGCCCGATCGATCGCCGCGATGGAGGCCGACTCGACCCTCAACTCTTCGAGTTAAGACATTCGCCTCGGTCAACGTTCCGCCGGTGGTGTATGAAGGGGCCATGGAGTCTGTCTCTCCCTTTCAGTCGCTGACCCCGGAGGTCAACTACTCGCCGCCATGGCAGGACCTGAGCATCATCGGTATCGCTGGGAGCTCCGGCTCCGGCAAATCCTCGGTGGCTACCGAGATCGTCAAATCGTTGAACTTGCCCTGGGTGGTGATTCTCTCGATTGTATGATTCGCAGACTCTATATATATGCTCTCTGGCTGTGTGATATTCGGATTCTAACATACGGTCGGCTTAGGATTCATTCTACAAGTCGTTGAGTCCCGAGGAACATCGCAAGGCGCATGCGAATGAATATGATTTCGACTGCCCGGAATCAATTGATTTTGATATCTTGGTGGAAACTTTGCGGGACTTGAAGAAAGGGTAGGTTTGCGTGGTTGAGCGTTTCGCCCCAGTCGACCTGACCGGAATACGTTATCAGCAAGAAAGCCCACATCCCGGTCTATTCGTTCGCCGAGCACCAGCGTCAACCACAGACGCAGACCCTCTACTCGCCTCGAGTGCTGGTTCTCGATGGTATCCTGGCCCTTCATGATCCCCGCGTTGTCGATCTTCTGGATGTGAAGGTATGGTTTCATGCTCCACCCCACGTGCGTATCTGGGCTAATCCTGCATAGATTTTTGTTGAGGCGGACATGGATGTTTGCCTCGGCCGTCGCAGTAGGTGGCCTGACTTCTAGAAATCTGGTGGTCCTCGCTAAACAGAATCAATTCAGTTCTCCGTGATGTTCGTGAAAGAGGACGTGACATCGAAGGCATCATCAAGCAATGGTTTGCTTACGTGAAGCCATCGTACAACAAATATGTGGAGCCTCAACGGCGCATCTCTGGTATAAATGAATTTCCTTTATCCGCTAACTCTGCCAGGTCTAATTGAATCTCCAGATATCATTATCCCCCGCGGAATCGAGAACTTGACTGCTATCGGTAGGTGATCTCGTGACTACACTTATCCAATTTTTGACACTAATCTATCCAGACATGGTGTCCAAGCACATCCAACGAAAGCTTCAGGAGAAGTCAGAGAAGCACACTGAGGAACTCCGCAAGCTTGGTCTGATCGCAGCCAAGGTGGAGCTGCCGCCAAATGTGCATGTGCTGCCCTCCACGCCTCAGTTTCTAGGCATGAACACTATTCTACAGAATCCCGATACTCAGCAAGATGATTTCGTGTTTTATTTCGACCGACTTGCCTCAATCCTGATTGAGAAGTACGATTTTTTCTGCATTATTTGTCAAAACATGCTAACCTGAACTTCCATAGGGCCCTCGACATGTCGACGTATGTTCCAACCGCCGTGGAGACTCCTCAAGGCAATAAATACCTGGGTCTAAACCAAAATGGCACCGTTTCCGCTGTCGCGATACTCCGTGGTGGCTCCTGCCTAGAAACAGCCCTGAAACGAACCATCCCCGATTGCATTACCGGCCGACTCTTGATCCAGACAGACGAGAGCAGCGCAGAGCCGGAGCTCCACTACTTGAAAGTACAACAGGGTATTGAGGAACACTCTATGGTGATGCTTCTGGATCCCCAGATGACTAGCGGCGGAGCAGCTCTGATGGCTGTGCGAGTGTTGATCGATCATGGCGTGCGACAGGAACGCATTGTCTTCGTGACTTGTGCTGCAGGAGAAACTGGGTTGAAGCGATTGACAGCGGTTTACCCCAAGATCCAGGTCGTCGTTGGTCGGATTGAGAATGAAGGCGAGCCGCGGTGGATGGAGCGACGCTATTTTGGCTGCTAGTTAGCCCTTACGATAGAGATCATGGTGTCCAGGCTACGAAGTACATATACGAATGCTGCATATACTATTTCCGTGTTGAGAAACCAGGATCCCTTTAAGTCAGTAGTAGGACTATTCGAAGGTATGTTGCACACTTAAGTAAGATACGATAGAATGTGTTTCGGTCAAGTAGTCGGAGGTATGAATATCAAATGTTCCGAAAATGCTGCTGATTACATTCTATATTTATTCACTGTCGTAAATTGCATTTCTCGACCCCAAGTGTAGGTTTTCTACGTGGAGAACGCCTGGCAGACAGAGGTGGGACAGAAGCTTGTTGCGGATAAACTCCACGAGGTACCCCTGGCCGGCGCGTCGACCAAAAAATCATCAGCAACGCTAGACATCTATCCCGCGGAGACTCAAGAAGCGAGACTCTTATTACCTGATCCAAGAGCTTGCGATAGAGGGTCATGTTAGTACAGGATCGATGTGATTCCGATGGGGGTCACCCTCTGAAATTGAGCTCGCGTCGAGGGGGTAGCCGGTTCTCTTGCACATCTGCAACGACCCGTCCCAAGGCCAAACCCTCGAAAAAGTCTGCTAGATTCAGAGGCCATTATTGCCCCCCAAAACGGCTTCAAAATATTGGGGTGACAGTCAAACAGAGTAAATGCATCCGCAAGTATTGCAGTATGTTTCAAATAGCCATAGGTGCCTGTGGCTTGCTACAGCCCATCTGGCATTCGTTGAAGGTATGCTTGGCAACGTATACAAAAATGTATGGCAGCTCGGATAGGACATAGATCGGCAGTTTTGGATCAAGATATCGAGGTGCTACGCGCTGTGAATGGCAAATATCTACAAGGTTTTTTCAAGTGGCATTTATGCTGGGTTTTAACATGAAATTACCCTCGTTTCCAGCCATTTCATGCCTGTAATCCATGAGTGAGTCCCTCAAGCCCATGTACCTTTCAGAGCTATACGTATTCTGCCAAAGCGGTGACTCCTGCCAAGGCCACTTACTATTGGTTACCACTCAGAGCGTGATGCCGCCCCAGCCAATAGGAACGCGCCCGCGATTGCTCAGCATAAGAAGGCACATCTGCACTCACTTCATTTCTTCCCTTCGCAACTCTCAGCTTCTTCAACACCATCTCATCTCACCAACCCACATCGACTTGACCGCCTTCCGTCATGTGACCCATGCTACTACCACATCCTACCTTGGTCCTTCATCCTTCATCACATGTCTTCACTAAATGTCCTCGACACTTACCTGCCCTTGGGTCATGACTTGTATGCTTGGCTACATATAATCACTATTTGCCTTCACCACTTGTATTGCTCATGAGTACTCTCAATCTTGTTTGGTATATCCTTGGAGTTCCCCCTCTTTCGATCTTCGTTCCTTGCTGACATGCCCTTCACAGATCTCATGAATTGTCGAGACCTTCACGGGTCTTGACCCTCTTATTTCTTCACCACATACCAACATCATGTTGAGCCATTCGTTGCTTCACACCCACACCGGCCTTCACGAAGACACGTTGCCGTGGCTCATGTTGATGTTCATACAGCTTCATGAAGTTCCCTCATGACAAGTTAAGACATCCATCATCTGGCTTTACCACTGTCTTTGTCAGCGCCTCACCTTGCGCTTCGTTATCATGGCGACCTCCATCATCGCTTGTGGTCTTCATTCTCTTCCGACGTCCATCCTTGTCCATGACATTTCATCAACCTTGCTCTTTTCACCTTTTACCACTCTTTTGAAAGGTATATGTGGTCCATTGATGCCTTACTTCCCGGCCTCGAAACAATTGTCTAGGATACACTGCTAATATCCACACAGCTCTTTTTCGGGACTTCGATTCCCCACTCAAGTCCTTGCCTCGTGTCGGTTTTCCGCAATTCATTACGACATCCGACCGACCGATTTGAATCATTCTTTACATTTGCAACTCATCATCCACAACATCATCCACAACAACATCCACAACAACATCCACAACAACATCCACAACATCATCCACAACATCATCCACAACATCATCCACAACATCATCCACAACAACATCCACAACATCATCCACAACAACATCCACAACATCATCCACAACATCATCCACAACATCATCCACAACATCATCCACAACATCATCCACAACATCATCCACAACATCATCCACAACATCATCCACAACATCATCCACAACATCATCCACAACATCATCCACAACATCATCCACAACAACATCAACCACCAAACATGTTTCAAGTCCAAAAAAAGATCAACAATATTTGCCGGCTTCCGGGGATAATCTGAAGAGTAATACACTCAAGCTCTCAAATCCTTGCTCTTGAACCTTGCTGACAAGAATACAGGTTATGTCGAGGCGTTCAGTCTTTAATATGAACTACCTCTCATTTTGTTTCTGCATGCCCAGATCATATTGGACCGCGCGGTTCATACGGCCATTCACAACCTGTCTTCGCCCCTTCGCTTATGCAACACCGCTTCAATCACGTTCGACAAGATGCTGATTTTACCACCTGTCTTAACTACTTCGTTTTCGCGACGCCTTTCCGACTGCACCTTGACAAGATGCTCTGCATTTGCTTCGAGACAACACCACTACACGAGACGTTCCACCTCCTATCGAAAATCCTGCCCCGGTACCAACACAGATCGCCTGAGACAACCTTGAACTACTGAACAGCCAGGAACACCATTGATTTGGGTGCAGTTACCTTCGGGTATTTTTTTATTCTGCGGTGAGGTAGCGGGCCTTCGAAGTCTCTCATCAGGTTGGTACCAGCTAAGCTTCCCTTCGCGGTCTGTGACTTCACTGTTGCAGACTGGTTGGTAACCCCCTCTGGGGGAGTGGTTTGAAGCTTGCCGTAAATCCTGCTCTCAGAGACCCGGAGATCGCCTGCTACTGGCGCGAGCCCAACGTATGGACCTCTTCCTGTCTATCAGTATTATAGTGATGTCTCTGCCTTTTGTGTTGTCCACCGTCTGCCAGTGGATTACCGAACGTCTCGCGTGTATACGTCGACATTGCCTCGACCGAAAAATATCGACAACGTCCATCTACTGTCCACAATGTCTTTTGTCTCCTGTTTTCACTTCCAATTGGCACCTTCAGTATGGGGCTCTTTCTGGTTTAAAGGCATGAGGGAGATGTTTCTGGCTTCTAGGAGGTTCACTTTCTAGGGCGTCGACGACCTGGGGGTTTGTCCATACATATGACCGCGCGGGCTTCAATCATTCATTCCTTCGGGGTATGCAGCATCGTGTTTAATCAATTGACTCTTTACACCTCCAAGTATCTTCAACTGTAAAATTGTAATCGAAGAGACTAAATATTCCCGGGGCATGTATGAGCATTAAGGGCCTTGTGCCAATTGTACCTTAGGGTAAGACTCTAATAGAAGAACGTAAATGCCAGTGATTTCAAATGCATGGATGAGGATTCCGGGCCTTGCAATCAAGTCGATTCCATTCTATTCAATCCACACTCATGGAACAAAACAGCGATTTCCAATGTGTTCAAGCAAACAATCAGACCAGGCTTATTGGTCGACCGGTTCTGGTACCTTCAGCGGAGGTGATACAGTTCGACCGCCCGCCCTTACCGTTTTGAGCGACGCTGCACGTGCATCACCGCCTCAAAACATAGGACCGGCAGAAAAAAGAAATTTGTCCGCGCCGCAGTTCCTCCATCGACACACTTTATTGCATCTTTGAATCACAGTTCCCTTTGGCCTCAGTGTACTGTTACTCTACGGGCGCAGAACACAATGGCAGGCCAAGACAAGAAAAAGTCAAGGAAGGCCGGTGGCGCGAAAGGTGCCAAAGGCGAAGCCGGTCCGGTGATCAGTATGTACTACGCCGGCTTGCTCTCACCGTGCGGAAAATCGTGGGAAAAGAATGACAGTCGCTAATTAATTGATATTCATAGCCGATCCGCGATTCTCCAACATTCAAACCGATCCTCGCTATCGTCTCCCGAGCAAGCGCCAGACCCATGTCAAACTTGATAAGCGCTTTGCGCACATGCTCGATGATAAGGATTTCTCCTCCAACGCTGCTGTGGACCGATACGGACGGAAACTGGCCCGCGACGATACCAAGAAACAGCTGAAGAAGTTCTATCGATTGGACGAGGATGATGAGGAGGAGGACGACGATGTCGCAGACGATGTCAGTATCGACGACGACGATGAAGTGCAAAAGGAACTGAAGCGGGTTGAAGGACGCGCTTACGACCCTGCCCGTGACGGTGGCTTCTCCGAATCTTCGTCTGAAGAGGAAAGCTCCAGCGAAGAAGAAGAAGACGACGAGGTGGAGAACGAGGACGACGAGGTCGAATTCCCCGATAAGCAGCAGGCCAACGTGCCCCTCGGAGAAGTCACCAACCGCATTGCTGTCGTCAACCTGGACTGGGACAACATTCGTGCCGAGGATCTGATGGCCGTGTTCTCGAGCTTTGCCCCGACGGGAGGCCGTGTGCTCAAGGTCGTAGTTTACCCTAGTGAATTTGGAAAGGAGCGAATGGAGAAGGAAGAGATTGAGGGTCCGCCACGAGAGATCTTTGCAACCAAGCAGGGCGAGGAGGAGGACGACGAGGAACTCGACTCTGACGAGGAAGAGGAGCAAATCAAGAAATCTATGCTCAAGAGCGATGAGGGAGAAGAGTTCAACTCGACACAATTGCGTCGCTACCAGCTCGAGAGGCTCCGTTACTACTACGCAATCCTTGAATTCTCTACCAAGGAAGTGGCGAAGCATGTCTATGACCTCGTGGACGGTGCCGAGTATCTTTCTAGCGCCAATTTCTTCGACCTTCGTTTCGTGCCCGATGATACCGACTTCGATGACGACAAGCCCCGAGACCAATGTTCACGGATCCCCGACGGTTACAAACCTAGTGATTTCGTCACTGATGCTCTTCAGCACAGCAAAGTCAAGTTGACTTGGGACGCGGATGACAAGTCTCGCAAGGAAGCCCAGGCTCGTGCATTCCGTGGCTCGCGGAAGGATATCGACGAAAATGACCTAAAGGCGTACCTTGGCAGCGACAGCTCGGATAGCGAAGATGAAGATGACGAAGACGGTGGTGTGGAAGTTGTCGACAACACAACTAACGAAGGCACGTCTAGCAAACTCTCGAAACGGGAGGCTGAGAGACAGCGGATGCGGGCATTGCTGGGTCTCAGCACTGAGCCTACAAAGTCCAAATCGGTTGGGCCAGTCGGTGAGATGGAAGTGACATTTACATCGGGTCTGGCTGGTGGCCACGGCAAGGACACTATCTTTGAGAACGAGCCGGAGATCGAAGAGAGCACAATCGACAAATATGTGCGGAAGGAGCGTGAGCGCAAGAAGCGGAGAAAGGAGAAATTGAAGGCTAAGCGCGGCGATGACAATGCCGAGGAAGCCGAGGGGGCTTCAGATAATGACGACCAGGCGCCTGCTACGACCGAGGCACCGCAAGATGCGGAGGAGGACCTGGGCTTTAATGATCCGTTCTTCGATGAACCTAGTGGCAAGGCCGAATCGGCAGCACGTCGCAAGGAGGACAAACGCAAGAAGCGCGAGGAACGTGCTGCTGAAGAAGCTGCCTCCGCTGCTCAACGAGCCGAGCTGGAGCTTCTCATGGTGGACGACAAGAAGGCAAATATCAAGCACTTCGACATGAATGAGATTGAAAAGGCTGAGAAGCAGGCCAAGCGGAAGAAGGGCAAGGGCAAGGCTAAGGCTAAGGAAGCTGCCGCCGCAGTGGCTGCCGATGAATTCAATGTCGACGTCCAAGATCCTCGATTTGCTCGTCTGTACGAGAGCCACGAGTTTGCCATTGATCCTACCAATCCTCGGTTCAAGGCTACTTCCGGTATGAAGGCCCTGTTGGATGAAGGTCGTAAGCGCCGACGCACCCGAGATGACGGTGAGGCCGAGGCAGCAACTGAGCGCCAGGATAGCTCGAAGAAGCAGAAGAAGGCATCGAAGGAAGCAGGGTCTGAGGACCTCAAGCGGTTGGTGGACAAGGTCAAGCGGCAGTCAAAAGCATAAAGCAGACGCTCTGGTTGGAGCTCTGATGTTTAGATACAGGTTGGACAGATGACATATCACATAACACAGCGATTGATCCAGCATATCACACACGCGTAGCCAGGTATCAGACATGTAGCGCGCTTTCACCGAGTCGAGCCGGCGTAACCAGCGATGCGGTGTCACTGTGAGGCTGAGATCATGTGGCATACCCGTTGTCGCTACTCACCGCCCTTTCCATCCACTCCACCCTTCCTCTCCAACTCCCCACTCCATTGAAGAACTGCGTCGTCGCTGCTTCGTTTCTTTTTGACTCTTTTTCTCTCTGTTCACTGTGGGGTGCCCCCGCCAATTGTCTCCGACTTGCCTGTTGTACCCGCCCCACTGCTGCAGCTCATCCCACTTTCCAGTCACTGCTCTTCCATTTCTCCCCTCCCCCAGCCGCCTCTCCAGACTCTCGCCCCTCCGTCCGTCGATGATGGTAGCTGCCCGGTGGAATTAAGCAATGGGTACATGCAGTCTAGTCCCATACTAGCTGTCTGATACCCATCGTTACACTGCGTTCCTCGAACGGACCGTTTCTCTACACTTCCCGAGTACTTTCCCTGACGGCGGGTATCCCCCCTCGCCGTGGACTCCGACCATGTTGGGCCGACTTTTAAGCACCGCTGCGTCGAGCCTGAACCCGACCGCATATTCCTCTCGAAATCATGGTGCCCCTCTCGAATCGGTGACCGAAGAGGAACACACTTCCGGCCTTCTCTTCCCTGATGCCAGCCTCCTCCGCCGTTCGAACACCCATGCATATCCCTTACAGACGACCTTTCACTCTCCTAATGCGTCCACCGCTGGCGCCTATGATGACCGTGGGGGCATGGAATTGGACGCTATCAAAGACTTCCGGGTGATTGTGGCACAGAATGCGCTGGGTGACCGGGATGCCTGCGTTTTGTTGGACACACGTGCCTCCTCCGATTCACCCCCAACGGGTCTCGGCATTGACTCGCAGGGCCTCGAACAAACCAGGGCCCGGCATGCTCGTGCTGTATCCAGCCTATCTCGTGGCTCCCGTCGAAACTTCCTCACACAATCCTCCGTTGTCGAATCGAGCCCCCTTTCCTCCGCCGCCGATGCACGACGCTCATCAACTGCGAGCGCCGGCGCCTTCTCTCGTGCTCGAGGCCGCAGCTCCACGTTTGGTCTCACGGGGAATGACCCCGGTAACTCCCGACATAGTACCGACTCAAATGATACAGGCTTGCTCAACTGTATCTTCGGCAGTAGCGCATTTAGCTACCGGGGCTCATCTACAAAAATGCATATCATCTCCGCCGATGAAGATCCTGGGACCGCTGCAAGCATGCCACCTGCATCGCGCAGCCCTATTGCTCGTGCATACTCTACTGGAGGAGGACCGTCGGAAATCATGGGTGCAGCTCGTGGTCCGGATGGCAAACCACCAGCCAAAGTAACTATTCTGCTGACCCGCATGTTCAGCGTCAACATGCCGGAGGGAGCGGATGCTTCTGCTGACCGACAAGATTATGCCAATGCCATCTACCAAGAGTCTCTGCCGGAGATGGGCTTTCCTTTCCCGGACGTGTCGAAACGCAAGAAGATCAAGGAGAAAAAGACACCGATGTATGCGGTTGCCATCACGATTCAGATTCCCTTGCTAGCACGCAGTGCAAATCGGCCAGTGTCTCGATTTAGTACTCGTGGTCCTGACTCTCCTCGAGTTGGGCTCTCTAGCTCTCTGGACTCAGATTTCCGTTGGCCAGGAGGGCTTTTTGACGATAGCTTATCAGCTGCTTCTCCTCCAGCAAGTCTGGATGAGCGTTTGGACTTGCTGGTGGACCACTGGGATGTCATTACCAGGACCTTGTCTCACCTCGAAAGGCTCGCTCGGAATGAAATTCTCTTCCTATTAAGAAAAGTGGACTCCCTCTCTGGACCGCACCCGAAGCCTGCGAAACCACCCAACATGCAGCGCACCAATCAAACAATCGTCCATCTACCCGCAAACATTCTTTCAGTCAATTCCAAACTCAAGGAAGAGGCTCTTCGCAGCACTCGTCGTATCAGCTTGGCGCTCCAGACACCTTACGTCGTCACTGGCCAAAGTCGCTGGGGCGTTTGGCGAGAGGAGGGCCGTTCCATCGTCCGCGGCCTCGGCGACAAAGAATCCAATTTCTTCTTCTTGGTGCTTCTAACTGCATTCCTGGGCAACCACACAGAATGGCTTAATGCCCTTGGACCGGAGTGGTACCGGCGACGCCATAACCAGCAGCAAAAGGCACAACAGGACTCCGAACCCATTCTCACCCACCGAACCGTGGTGGTCTGTCCGGACAAGATGACAGCTCGTCGTCTGATTTTCCTCCTCTCTGCATTCCTTCCCTCCAAGCAGCGCCTCGAACCGTTGCCCTCTCCACTCCGTCCTGGTACCTCGGCATCTATGCGTGCCATCTCCCAAAGCCCACCTGCTGTGCCCGTTTTGCGTCAAGAATCTCTTCGCCGGGCAATCGAGCGACGCACACGAGCTCAACGAGGCTTTCCTGCAAGCAGCGAGAGCGATAGCCACCGACGTTCAGTCAGTGTCTCATCATCCCAAGAGGCTGCTCAGCGATCGACCGAGGGACTTGACATTAATCCACCCGCACATAATACGTCTGCCCGCAGGGGCTCAGATGCTCGATCGATTCGGACATTGGGGCCTAACCCCCAGGCTAGAGACCCGCGCGCTCAAAACACCAGTGGGGCAACTACCTCAATGACGACCCAAAGCAGTACCGTCCCTGTTCCTCATTTTACTTCACAGCAGAGTCGTACCGCGCAGGGAGGCCCTGACCGTGGTGGAGTGGAGGCCAATGATAGCCTGGCATCGGAGAACTTGCTGAAGAACCTGCAACGAAGCAACAGCTCTGCGATGAGCTCGAATGGTAGCCTTCCATCCGCCGGGGCCCGTTGGGGCGGACTTTTCTCTGGTCTATGGAGCTCCCGACAAGACTCGTCTACCGATGGCACCGATTACTACTCCCCATCTGAAGCTCGCAAGAGGTCTGTCTCAACAGTCGCCGGCCCTATGACTCGAGGCCCGCCCACGTTAGGTCAGATGGTCAAAGAAGTCACCGAGGACGAACCAGAACCTCGCCCTGAAACCAGGCCCAGTGGAAATATCTCGATCCCAACAGCTGCATCCCATGGATCTGAAGATGATTCCCCGGAGCCGTCATCTCTCACAAGTCAAGTCCGCGAGTCTCCACTGAAACTTTCCGTACGAGCCGAAGAGGGCGTAATAGACGTCGATCTTCCGCTCCCTGGATTTTTGTCCCTCTCCTCCTCTGGCGATTCCACCATTGCTTCACCTAAGAAAACCCGAACATCCGTGACCAGTGTCGATGCTATTGCTTCTACGCACAGTAGCGGCTCTGGCTTCCACAACGCCATGAAAGAGACGAGCGACGGCCCCAGTTCCCACGTGGCTGGTTGGCTAAAACTTTTCCATGAAGATTTTTCGCTGCAAGCCGTTCGACCTTATTCTTCTTTAGAAGCAGACATCAAACGTGCTATGCAAGCCGAACCCTCCCCATACATTCCATCAACTCCTGATGCAGATGGTTCTGAGCGATGGGTTGATGTCGCAACTACCCTGATTGCGGACACTCGCTCATCCTCTGTTAAGCGGGTTCGTCTCAGACGCAAGATTATTGTGGGCCGCCACTACGCAACAAGCCACACTCCTCCATCGCCAGCCAGTGGCCTCAACCAAAGCAATGGCCGTTCTCCCGCGTCCCAGTTCACTAGCATGTTCGGCTACAGCAAGTCACCCGAGAACCCCGTTGTCGATGGACTAGATCCCAACTATGTTGAAGAACGATTCATCGAAGAGCCTGTGATGGACCTTGATGGTATCCTTGTGGATGCCGTTGAACGTGTCCTCGGCCAGAGCGGATATTCCTCACTGGCACACTCCCGTGCACCGTCGCCCTCGCGCACCCGACGAGGTGATGATACAGGCCAAACTACTCCCCGCGGGGAGGATCCACCTCCAGTCGAAGTTCCTCGTGCCGAGTGCCGCAAGATGGTTCTCGGCGCTCTGGAAGAAGTGGTTCGCATCGTCACTGCTGAACACTGTCGTGAAGACGTGGATGCCGGGCTAGGGCTTGCTGATCGTGAGCGGCGGCGCGCCATGGCAGGTGCTGACAACACCTTGCGTGAGGGAATTCGGAAGTGGCTCCTCGATGTTGAGGAAGCCTGGTGATCATATCTATCCCGATACGGGCCTATCCAATCTCCGCCTACGTTTGGCGTTCATGATATGCCATTCATCCACCCCTAATTTTCCTATTGCCAATTGCAGCATACATTATTCTTACGGGCTGCCTGCATTACTGCTTTTTTTGACCATGATACCCAACTCTTTGTTGCTGCCTCAAGTATATCCTTGATAGGCATTGAATTTCAAACTTGATATTAGCATACTTTCACCAATTGCGTTGCACAAAACAAAACTGTCAAAAAAAATTGTTCAAGTAGATGGTCCACTAATTTAGATGCATCAAGACTGCCTCGTGCCCTTCGACGCTGACGCTATTCCCATCCGCAGCTGGAGTAATCCGAATTGTCTTCAATACCTCGCCCGTCTGCGCTGGATCCACGACCTCGACCAGCGTCTCACCTCCCAATTTTCCATTCACCAGCAGTTCAATACCTTTCAACGCGGGATCTTCGGGCGCCTTCAATGAGTGATTCATGATCGTGACTGTACCCGGCCGAACAAGAATAGGCAACGTATCAAACCCATGAGTTTCGGTGTACCACCTCCCACCCTCATAGATCTTCGCGTAATCAAACCAGCTCACCCAATTGCCGGCGTTCTCATCTTCAACCTGCGGTACGTAGAAGGTAACCTCGCCCTCCTCGCAGAAAACAGGTGCAACCATCAAATTTGACCCAAACATATACTGCGTATCAACAGCATACGTATTCAAGTCCTTCGGAAACTCAAGGAAAAGCGCCCTCATAAGCGGAACACCTTCCCTATGTCCCCTTAATGCCTCTTGCAAAATATAAGGTGTAAGCAAAATCTTCCTCTTCACACAATCCCGCAACACATCTGAACAATCCTCCCCATAGATCCAGGGAACACGGAAAGAGCTAGACCCATGCAATCGCGAATGAGAAGATAACAATCCAAACTGCACCCAGCGCTTATACAACGCTGGCGGCGGCGTTCCTTCAAACCCGCCGATATCAGAGGCCCAGAATATGTACCCGCTAAGCATTAGGCTTAGTCCGCCGCGCAGAGACTCGGCCATGGCCTCGAAGGTGCTTTCGCAGTCGCCGCCCCAGTGGACCGGGAATTGTTGACCACCTGGTGCGGTGCTGCGCGCGAAGAGGATTCCTTGGCTTTTGCCGACGCGTGCATTGAGCGCGTTGTAGGCGACGCGGTTGTAGAGGAGGGCGTAGTAATTGTGCATTCTGGCTGGGTCGGAGCCGTCGTGGTATTTTACTCCCTTGATTGGGATTCTCTCGGCGAAGTCGGTTTTGAAGCTGTCGATTCCCATGTCCATTAGTCGCTCTAGATGGCTGGTGTACCAGGTGCATGCGGCGGGGTTGGTAAAGTCCACGACGGCCATGCCGGCTTGCCAGAAGTCCCATTGCCAGACGGAGTCGTCTGTTCGCTGTTTATTTTCATGATTAGTCTGAAGTAGGTGAAGCGGTGGACGGCGGTTCATACCTTGATAAAGTATCCGTTCTTCTTTCCTTCCTCGAAGAGCGGAGACGCTTGTCCGACATATGGATTGATCCAGACGCTGAGGCGTAGCCCACGGTCTTTCAGTCTCTTGAGATACCCCAGTGCATCAGGGAACATTTCCTCATCAAACTCGAGGTCACACCATTGATACGACTTCATCCAGAAACAATCAAAATGAAAAACACCCAGCGGAAGATCCCGCTGTTCAAACCCATCCAAGAATCCAGTGACAGTCTGCTCATCATAGTTCGTCGTAAAGCTTGTCGTAAGCCAAAGATTGTAACTCCAAGCCGGGACGAGAGCCGGCTTGCCAGTCAAAGAAGTGTACCGTCTCAAGACGTCTTTCGGCGTCTCGCCAAAAACGACAAAGTACTCGATCTCCTCGCCCGGAACAGAGATGTTGACTCTGGTCGTGCGCTCGGATTGCACTTCCAGACTCACCCTTCCGGGGTGGTTGATGAAGACGCCGTATCCCTTGGACGAGATATAGAATGGGATATTTTTGTATGCCAGCTCGGAACTGGTGCCTCCATCCTCGTTCCAGATATCGACTGTTTGTCCGTTTTTGGCGAGAGGGCCGAATCGCTCGCCGAGGCCGTAGACTTTTTCGCCGACGCCGACGTCGAGCTCTGCGAGCATGTATCCCTGTCTTTCGGCGTAGATACCGTCTGCAGTGTTGTATTTTTCGCTGCGGGTGTCGCGAACATACCCAATTGAGCGCCAGGAATGACCGGTGAGCTTTTTATTTTCTGAACTACGGAAGACGAAATCAAGTTCGTTGAGTGCTGTATTAATGGTCAATGATAGAGGTCCGCTGGCGTAGGAGAGTTTTTTGGTGCCTCGATCCAGAGTGATTTTGGCGTGTCCAGTTTCTTGGTTGATTGTGTAATGGGGACCATTGTCCACCTGTCCAGCCCTAATGTTGGTTAGTATGCACTGTTTATGTATATTTGGTGTTTTCAAGATCGATAAGCGCATACCAATGCACAAGTTTCACGCCAATAACACCCTCTTGTGGGGACGTGACCTTGGCGGAGATCGTAGCTACAATGAACAGCTTAGTTGTCTGACATTGCAGTGAAATTACGGATTCTCGAGGGCTCACGCGAGTTAAGAGTGTCACCACGATGTCTCTGGAGCTTGTTCAAGAGCAGATCAACAGTCTCCTGCTGAACCCGCATTCTTTCGACATTGCTCATCCACTCGATACTAACGCCCTCCTAAGTAGCACAATTAGCATAGCGAGCGACCAGAACCCCGATAAAGAAGACAAACAAACCTGCAGACACCACATTCCCTCTGTGAACTTCATCTTGACTCAACTCTATCAGCGTATCGCGAAACTGGCCAAAGCCCCGCAGCGTGCGGGGAAATCGAGCTCAGGAAATTCGCTGTCAGAGGAAATGGTATTCAAGATATGAAAAGGACAGCAAGCCATTTTCAAGTCCCTCAGTCCCCTCTCACGAAACCACTTTCGACACGGAGCCGTTTCCGACATCACCAGATCGTGGGTCTGCAAGCTGCGTTGAGCGGGGCTGGTCTACCCACTTTGTTGGACGAGTGTACCTATGACAAGGATTGGATGCGGCGATGGCAGGGATTTTTGAGCTTGCACCAACCAGTTGTGCTCATGCGGGTCTCGGCTGAATTGGGTGTTTTGGCTAAATCCGAGTACGTCGAAGAGTGGGCTAGCCGTGGCGGGAGAGGTGGCTGACGGAACGACAGCTTACCAGAAGGCACACGTAGCAGGCGGATTGCGAAGACTTCAGACCAACGAACGGTGCAACTGCATCAGAGTTGCACATACCTTTTGGAAGCTAAGCAATTTCATATATCAGTCGTGTTCTCGGAATAGGATATTAGTCTCACAACTCGTCCATGGGCAAAGTTAACGAAACACGATAGTGGGTTCATCCAATGGACCCCAGTGCATGTATGCAAAGGGGTATAGAGTATATAGTTGTTTGAGAGGTGATAGCCCGGTAATTCTTCATTGAAACATATTCGCATACATTATAGCAACAACAAGAAGCGTACAGGGTATTCGTAACATCGAAAAAGCCATCGCCGGAGGGCGTCCGAGAGATAAGGCATGGGGGGAATCAAAAGGAGCTCGCGAACCTAACCCTAAATTAGAGGACGCAGAGTCCCACTCCGCGGACTGCGAGTATAACTCAAACTTTCCCCACGCGCTCTCGAACGCACAAGCTCTGGCGACCGCAGCCCCTCCCTCGACTCGCGATTCTCGTTCGTAACCCGCGACGGCAGTCCAGGCGGAGGCGAGATATGATGGCTCACCACACTAGCAGGCAATTCCAACGAAGGAATAGATGTATCCATCAGGTGATGGCCAGTAGCAGGCTCGACCTTCGTCGAAGCAGGACGCAGGTGCGATTCGTTGTAGAATTGTTCTAACTGAACCGAATCGTTGCAGAATTCCAGCAGGCCGTTGAGGATGTGTTCCGGTGCTCGGTAGAGATTCGCCGAGTCAATATTTGCTGGACCTGATATTGGGCTGCCGACGTCTGAGTGCAATGGGCGGATGAGGGGTGAGAGTCGGGGCGAGATTGGGTCGTGGGAGCCTGTTCGACCGCGGAAGTCGGTGCGGGTGTGGTGCTCGTGTCGGGCGTCGCGGCTTGCGCTGCCGCGAGTGCTGACAAGTCGGTTTGCGAGCAGGAGGAAGTCGCCTTCGTCGGTTATCTGGGCAAGGAGACTGCCTGTTCGGTGGATGAATTGCGGGTATTTATAGTCGGGTTTGCCCCAGGAGAAGGAGACTTCCACGTCTGCGGGGAAGGCGGTGCAGGCTTCGAAGTCGAGGACGAAGTCGAACTTGCGTAGGATGCATTTCTGGTAGTACAAGTGGTCGGGTGGGCCTGGTTGGGCGAATGAGGCGCTGTTGAAGACTGTGTGCAGGGGTCCTTTTGGTGGTGGTGTTTTCAGTTTTATTCTGTATGGCTTGCGGAAGGGTTGTGTTCGGTCGATTGCGCAGGCTTCGGCGATGGGAACTTGGACTAGCTTCAACCCGAACTTTTCGGCTGTCGAGGCCCACGAATGGACAGCGTCTTCGATGAGTTTTGGGGTTGTGTTCATCCAGCTGAGTTCGATGTGGAAGCAGTTCTCTGGATTGTGCAGGCGGTCATAGTGCAGGTCGATCACCTCAGCGCGATTCGATCGTTTTCGAACGTCCACATCGTACTTCAGAGACTTTGAAAGCATGATAGCAACCTTGTTCTTGGCCTTGGATGGAGTTGTTGGTGTTTGAGGAACACGATCATCGATACTGTCAGAGCGAGTGCGAAGACTTGAAGGTGAGTCTTTCACATTCCCAATGGCAGGCGTTGACGGGGTCGATTTGTCTACCCGAAGCTGAGGGAACCAGCTGCCGCCCCGGGATTCCGGACGTGTGAGACGATACTCGGCTGAGATTTGATAGAAGTAATTGCCGTCACGGAAATTGTGCCGCCTCTCGACGTGTTGGAACAACTCGTGCTTCATCAGCTCGTTGCCAAATTCAACAGCCTCGTCACGGGTATCAATATCTTTGAAGTTTTGCAGGAGCCAGGTGGTAAATTCCACACCAATGAAACAATTGTAGTGCAGTCTCCAATGCCAACGTCGATCCATCAGTCGCACTCCCTTCTCGCCCTGAATCCTTTGTGCTAGCGAGGAGAGATTCAGACTGGATCTCTCCAACAGCTCGGATTCCGGCAGAAGCTGAGCAGGCGGGTTATCGAGTCCAGGATCGGTAAGTAGAACCCGGTCCAGTTCGGCCGCGACAACCTCGGAAGGGTTACGCGTTTGATACATGATGTTGAGTGGATTTTGGTCTCTTTTCTTGGCTGATGACTCGAATCGCTTTTCTTCTGGTGACACGTATTTGTGCTTTTGCCAGAGAGACGTCAACTGGCTGATACCAAGCAAGTGGATTTCTTCCTCATTGTCCTCGTTGAACGATTGGAGGTGACGTCGGGAATTGGGATGCAGTTGCATGGGAATCAAGACGTAGCGAACTCGCCAGAAGTGCAGTTGTTGCGCTGGATTATGCAGGTAGTCGCGATGACCAGCTACATAGTTGTCTGCGTAGTTCCAGTTGTACTCTTCCGCAGTCGGATCCAACTTGATGTCTTTGATCTCATACTCTGGGCTCAAGATTGTTCTCATAGCCGGCTGGTACAATGTGAAGTTAGATCTTCTTGGCATGTGGAGTGCGGCAGACGTCTGATGTGTGAAGCGCGTGACCTCGATTTCTCCGCCCTGAATGCAGATGAGACGGTGGATGGCGCTGCCCTTGGACAGGAAAACAGTCACTCCGTCGCGTTCAAGACCTCGGGTGTCGAAGACGTTTAACGACTCCAGCGCTGGCTGTGAGGTAACTTCGGCCACATTCTTCCCAATAATTATCTGGAAGCCATGAGACAGTCGCAAAGATATCATCTCACGTAGCAGTATCCCTCGCGTCTTTGGTGCTTCGCATCCGTCCGCATCGTCATTGGGGAAAACGCGGTACGGGGTTTGCAGGTAGTCTGAAGCGAGTTCGCCCACTGTTGGGAATTCTTCAGTGGTCAAGGGAAGCACCGCAGGTGACTTCAAACTCTTCCACTTCACCACAGCGACATGAGGAGGACGAGGATATGCATGCTGCCAGCGGCCGAACCAACTGGTATTGCGCAACACATCCTTTGGGGTGTTGCACGGGTTGACAGATCGAACCCAGGGAGCCAAGGCTTTGCTTGGAGATCCCTTCGCGGATACATCGCGTGAGCCGTGGTTGATCGTGATTTCTGGCTTTTGCTCATGAGATCGAGCCTGTCCTTCCTCGCGACCGCCTTCGTCAAATGGATTGTCTGTCCCAGCTGCTTCGGTTCGTCTGTGCCCCTGCTTACCCGAAGATTCGGACGGTTTCTTAGGAGGAGCCCTGATGGAGATTGGCTTGGAAGGAGTAAGGCGACCCTCACGTAAGTCTTTGGGAGGAGTGGTTGGCCGAGATGACGAGACCTCCATAATTGTTGGCGTAGGGGTGGTTTCTGAAGGGCTCAGAGACGCGATACTTTTCGTGTCGGAAAAGGTGCTCCCAGGGTGTCTTTGATTTGACATGGGTAGTGCATTGGCGTGTTCAACATGGATTCCAGTGCTTGCTTGTGCTTTGGAGGGTGCAGTACTCAACCCTCGAAGGGCAAAACTGATTGTTCTGGAAATCCTCGAGGACTTCGGTGCGATCAACGGTTTCAGCGCCGGCTTTTGAGGCGATGAACTGCCATTCGAAGAGAGAGGGCTTTTGGGCGTGACCATAACCGAGGTGTCAATCCGTCGAGGGCCAGCTCGCATCGCTGGATTTGTCTCGAGAATATTGTTGTCTTTGTCCCGAAGACGAGAGATGGATCGAGCAGACATGCGTTCATGGGCTCCAGCAGCTTGAACTTCCGGTTCACTTAGGCGCTTATTCTTGGGTCTTTGGTTCCGACGCTGCTTGGGAGTTGCCACAAAGACACCATCGTCGTACTGATCCATCCATTTCATGGCTGACTTGCGTGGCTTTTGTTGGGATCTCGTTCGAAGTTCGCTTTGGTCTTCGATATTCTCGAGGAACGACCTCGGCCGGAGACTATCGCTATATTCAACCTTCAAAGAGGACTGCGCAAATCGAGCTTTGAGTGGCCCGCGAGAGATGAGGCTATTTTCTGGCCAGGACGCTCGTGGTCTCGTCATGTCACGGCCCTCCAGAAGATAAGGAATAGAGATATTTGACTGTTCGCTCTCCATGACTCCCATCATCTGTATCTCGTACATCCGAACGCGTGGTGTGAATGCTTTGGATGGTCTAGTAACAGTCAATGGAATTGGTGCATTTGGGTCGTTCTTCAAGATTCGTCGAGCTTCTCGGTAGGTTTCCGGGTTCCAATATGAGATATCGAGCCAGTGAGGAATGCCGTAATTCCAATCGTTGGCGCAAGGGGCTCCTCTTTCACGCAGTCTCGTTGCAGACAAGTACGAGCTCGGTGAGAGGTATGATGATCTGCTCACAAGACTGGAGATGGAATGGTGTATTTCCGGTGACATATTGCCCTTGGAGGTATCACTCGCGCCAGCGGTTGACGTCGACGGTCGCTGCACCGGTTCTCGATACTTGAAAAGAGGTACCGAGTGAAGGGGCATCGGACTGAGACAGACGAGATCGATGGCAATTCCACGGTTTGCCAACGCTTCCGTTGTAGAAGCCAATGACTCATAGGATACCTCAAATACACCGCTGCCTGGGGTGATGACAATGATGGAGGTTCCGGTGTGGACCATGTCTCGATCAATATGGTCATATGCTAAATGAGCCGAGGCAAGATGGATGGCCTCTAAAATGTTGCCTCGCAGAGCCGTGCTTGGTTGCCCCGCGATCGTGGCCGTATATGGCTTGGAAGGGATTTTAACGCCACTTCCAACTGCGACGTCGAGGTCCTCCGTCTTCAAAATCGAGACGTCTCTCAGGAACGTCCGAAAATTCCTCTTGAGCTCGTCCAAAATGGTAGTCCAATGGCCACTAGCCATATCGTTGACCACCACGCGATAGAAATCTCTGGTAGGCACATGATTTGGATCATTCGCACTCTTGAGGTTGCCCGTTGTCAGGGAAGAGATGCTTGGGTGAGCAGACGCGTCGTATTCCACTCGAGTGAAAAGCACGATCGTGACCAAATGCTTTGCGTCTGAATTTACCCATCTTTTGAACAGCTCCGGCAGGAACCCGTTGATCACTCGACTGAAAAGGACGTCTCCGGACCCTTCGGAGTCAAAATTCCACATCTCCCTGGACATCTGTATAAACAGGACATATTTGGCAGACTCGCTTCGAAAAACCGGGATGGTGTTTGGAGCAAAGTATCCCGAGAGCACCTTCTTCTCCCGAATGAAGATATTCTTGATTGTCGCTTTGATGCTGCCCATGAACAAAATCTTCTGACCCTTGTATATAATTCTATCGGCCAGTTCGGACATAACCAATCTCCACATGTCAGACCGAACCATGTATTGGTCTCGAAAGGCGATGTCCACATGAGACGCCGCACAGTGTTCGCGATTCACGATGGACAACAAAATCTGGGTGCGGTTCTTGAAGCCAAAGATGTTGGCAACACTATTGGTGATGGAAATTTCCAGTCTGGGATTCCGGGCCTTAATGTCCGGCGGCATCGGTTTCACCACGAACAAACAACGAGTCTGCAGCGGCGTCTTGAATTTCAACCGGCTGTCTGTTTGTGATGAAGTATTCAGATCCGGGTGAGATTCACGCGCTGTCTTGACGTTGATGTCCGGCTTGAGGCCCGAGTGGACTGTATCGCCGGCAGCGCGTACGGGCAGAATCTCCACCACATCGCCGACTTGAACTCCGCTTTCGCCCAAGGCGGATGGGTTGAGGAGAATCTCCTCTCGGGAGAAGGTCTCATCGTGGACCCAGAGCGTGCATTGGTGCCGAGTGAGGCTGGTCGACAGCCGGACAATGCGCTCGTCTGGCGTGGGGCCGGGATCGCGACCAGCGGTCTCCATGGAGGACTGCATGGTCGACACAGTCTCCAGGCTTGCGGCGCTCACCTGCCGCAGGTGCGACTGGCGCATGGGCCCGCGCAATGACATGGTATCACCTTGCTTGCATTGCCGAGCTAATTGACAGCTCTCAAGTTCGCGGCATTTGCTCTGGTGACTTGGAGATACGGGTGGCCACGTGATGGTTCAAGCTAGATCACGTGATTTATGGAGTGTTTGTGCCTGTGCCTGCGCCTGTGAATGCCTTGGTGCCTCAGCGTAATTCACCACTGAGTGACGCACACCTAAAAAACGCGTTCTGACGCCTACCCACCATCTTCAGCCACCCATCATGCCACCAACACGCGCTCAATCAAGCGAGGATTCGGCTAATCGCAAGAGAAGAATCTTATTAGCTATACAGGCTCTCCAAAACGATCAATACCTAGTCTTCGCGCTGCAGCCAAGACATACAGCGTATCTGAGGCTACGGTCCGCCGCCGATGTGCGGGCTTGTCTTCTCGCGCGAATACACGCGCTAATAGTCATGAAAATGACTGAATCTTTGAAGATGAATCGCTTATGCAGTGGATAATATCTATAGATTCTTGAGGTGCAGCGCCTAGGTCTTCTACAGTGAGAGAAATGGCTTATATTCTACCGACTCTGGAAACACCCCCTACTTACTGTTGGGATTAATTAGGTTACTAAGTTTATTATATACTGGAAGGAGCTTTGAATACGTTTTTCAAAGCTCTATGACTATCAATGTGCGGAAAATGTGAACCTAAAGTCCGTACGTGTTTATTCTTGTCATTGATGAGAACGATATCTAACTAGTGAAGAGGGGAACGCTCGATGGCAGCACGCGCTGAGACGTGCGGGTCGATTCAGTAGAAAAAACCACCACAAAACACACGCGTAGCAATCAGGAAATAGCGAGAACCCCAAATGTAGGGGTCAGGTCGGGGAGGTGTAAGGTGTATTTTAGAACTAGCTATCCGGCCACCGTATACTGCCGGCTATGTCACATAACATGGATGGCACCCATGTAGTAGGGCGAGGGGGTCTCCCCAACTACACTAGATAATATTTATAAGTTTGACAAGGCCTTATATCAGTAACTAACTAACGTGATTCCTAAACGAGTGGGCCACCGAAACGAGTGGGCCACGCGTCCACGCGTATCTCCAATTTTGATCTCTGGCAATTTCCAACCATCCAAAATGCCACCAAATCGCGTTCAAATTGGCCAAAAATCTACAGAACAAGAGGGCAGGATCCTATTAGCTATCAAAGCCATCAAAAATCAGGAGATCACCTCTGTTCGTGAAGCTGCGACCGTCTTTTCCGTCCCGCGTACGACTCTACAGAGACGCCTACAAGGCCAACAATTTCGGACTGAAATGCGTGCCAACAACCACAAATTGACTGCCAATGAGGAGGAATCGCTTGTGAAATGGATACTCTCTATGGACCTACGTGGAAATCCTCCTAGGGTCAATATGGTGAGAGAAATGGCCAATTTACTACTTACAAGCCGTCAAACCAACCCTCGACTTACGGTCGGACGAGATTGGGTCAATAACTTTGTTCGAAGGCACTCAGATGTGCTAAAAAGTCGCTTCACGCGCCGATACGACTATCGAAGGGCTAAATGCGAGGATCCTGAGGTTATTCGCGATTGGTTCGACCGGATTCGACAGGTTATTATCCAATACGGCATCGCACCTAACGATATCTTCAATTTTGATGAGACGGGCTTCGCAATGGGCCTAACTGCGACCGCAAAAGTCATCACTAGGGCTGAATACTACGGTCGGAGGGCATCTTTACAACCTGGAAATCGCGAGTGGGTGACAGTTATTGAAGCTATCAACGCCACTGGTTGGGCGCTCCCGCCATATATCATCTTTAAGGGCAAGGTTTTTATCGAATCCTGGTTTGATGAGCTTCCAGACCAGTGGCGATTAATGATTAGCCCAAATGGTTGGACAACAGACGAGATCGGACTCGAATGGCTTCAAAAAAGCTTTATACCAGCTATTCAAGGTCGGTTAACAGGCAAATACTGTCTCCTAGTCCTTGATGGGCATGGTAGCCACTTAACACCTCAATTTGACCAAATATGCGACCAAAACAACATCATACCAATATGCATGCCAGCACATTCATCGCATTTACTCCAGCCACTAGATGTGGCCTGTTTTGCCACCCTCAAACGTGGCTACGGCGATTTAGTTAAACGGCAAATCCACAACGGGATCAATCATATTGACAAGCTTGATTTCCTATCTACATATCCAATAGCACGGCAAAAGGCACTTATTACTGCATCAATCCAAAGCGGTTTTAATGCTACAGGATTAGTACCATATAATCCTGATCGCGTGCTATCTAAATTGACTATTCGTCTAAAAACGCCCACCCCTCCTCCCAGCCGAGGGAGCACTTCTTCAATTGCAAAAACACCTCAAAATACCCGTCAGCTACAGCGACGGGCATTATTGATGAAAGGCCTCCTCAAAGTAGGGTCTCAAAGCCCTCCTTTAGCTGTGCAAACCACGTTAAACCAGCTCGTTAAATGTTCAGAGTTACATATGCACAGAACAGCGCTTTTGACCGAAGAAGTTCGAGGCCTACGTGCAACTGTGGCAAATTTAACCCAAAAGCGCACTCGATCTAAACGTCGGATATCTCATAATAGCAGTATAGCTGCTCATGAGACCTCTACGTTGGTAGAGAGCCCTCAACATGCAATTCCGACCGAAGCAGCGGGCACAGCGGAGGTGACAAATCAGGCCAATACACAACCAAAAAGGGCACAAGCACGGTGCAGTGGGTGTCGAGAGACAGGCCATGATATCAGGACATGTCAAAAGCAGTAATTAATTCAATATCAGTACGTTGTGGTTGATATATATATATGTATAGTAAGTGTACTGTTGATGTGTGGCCCACTCGTTTCGGTGGCCCACTCGTTTAGGAATCACGTTAGTTATAAAAGGTGATTACTTAAGCTAAGTTTATGGTCGACGAGTAATTCTACAGCCTAGATGCGTGGCAGAATTGTGTGCATAGCCGAGTCAGAAGGCACGGTCAACCTACGGGTATAAGATCCATTACCTAGGGATTGATACGCTGAAGTTCTTTAAGCGTTAACCTTGTTAGCAAGGGAAAAGTCGCCGAGATCATTACTGCCTAGATGCCTGGCAAAATCGTGTGCATATCTGGGTCAGAACGAGCGGCTAAGCTACAGGTATAAGACCCCTCACCTAGAGACTGATACGCTTGAGTTCTCCAAGCGTCAATCTTGTGTTTACGAGAATACGTAAATCCTACCCTAAGTCTCTCTTGCCTACCACTTAGTCACCTGGCACCAACCAATCTGGCTTTTCTCTCTACAACTATCTCTCAATATATAGCACTACACTACTAGTGCAGATAAATACTGACCAAGGGGCTACGAATAAGAAGAAACAGCAAACATGAGCACGAACAAGTCGCTTAGTTCGATACGAACAGACTCTTACATTTTTAGAGAGGGCCTACCACCGCCAGTACAGCCAGTGCAGCCAGTTAAACAGCCACCACTCACCCTCGTCAATTCGGCTAAAGAGCCTATTTTGGCACCTCAGCCAGCCAGGCGAGCACCCCCTAGATGTAGTGGTTGCCAGGATGTTGGCCATTTAATCACCTGGTGCCCAATATAGATAGTTTTTTTGAATTAAATGGCGATTTTGGTGGTTTAATATGATCTTGAAAATTTAGTATTTGCTGCTGTTGGCTTGAGATTGGAAAAATAGGCTGCACATTCGTCAAGCCTACGGGAATGGAGCCGGCGCTTAAATGGACGCCAAACCCTGAAGCGTAAACGCTCAGGCGCGTCCTGGTCGAGTCCAGGTGTACCACCTCCGGGGTGGCAAGAGTGGAAAGAGCAGAGGCACCCGTTGTACGAAAACCACCTAGTCTGAGACGATGGGACGTAAAGTAGACAGCAACCCACGTGCTTTCGACGGAGATGCGTTGAAGGATAAGCGGGGACAACTCGTCGAGGGAGGCGCGGGCGCTGGACTGGCACAACCCAGCAGCAGTTCAAACAATCCAAACGACGGGCCCCTGTGAACCTGACAGTTCCAATCGACCTGTCGACTCTCCTCCTCGGCGTGTTTCGTGCACCACTCGACCTTTCTCCCGCCAGCAGTGTGGTTTCGCAATGCCGGGAGAGGTGACTTCCTGGCACGATGCCTTGGAGCACCGTCAGCGTCGGATTCTGCAACAGGCACTTTTAGATGGCGATGCTTCAAGGGCCCCTAAGGCCCGTTGCTCTGAAATGCGGCCCTCTGGTGGATCACGGCAGGAATCCCCGAGAGGATCAGCCTGTGCCGGCATGTAAATGGTGCTGTGATGCCGGAACCCTTTTCCGGACGGGCCAACAAACAAAACATCCCTGGGCTTTTCAAGAATTAACGTTTTCCTTCTTCCCTTCACGTCGGATGTCGTCTACCGGCTTCGCTTTAATTGCCCTGCGATGGAGTTTTCCCTCCGCACTGGTTGAGAAGCGTCCATCGAGATTGACGTATCGTGGAGACCCGATCGCACTTTGAAGCCACAGCCGCGTCGACCAGAGTTCTCTGAATTGGACCTCCGCCACAAAGCGCGAGGTGGCGACGCTGGCTGGCATAAGAACAGCGCGAATCAGAAGAGTATTCCCAATGCTTTTGTGAGCCCCAAGTACGGGTGCCGTGCCTTTCAGCGTTACGGGGCAGCCATGCTCCATGCAATCCAAATGTCGATCCCTATATCCGGCATTTGCAGCTCAAGCGGGAAACGACCAAGCTATGGCGGCGACCATTTCCCCACTACCTCCAAACGATCGACGACAGTTCTCGCCACAGATCGTGTATGGGTGGATGTGACTGACCAAAAGCCATTTAGTCGTTTCTGCCTCGTGGGCCTCGCGACGTTTGGCCCTGGCGATCAACGATGCACTACTGCCTGATGAATGATGTAACTCGATGATGGCTCCGAGTTCACTTTGCCCCAAACTGCCCTATATCCGCAAACTATCACCCGCCTCGGCCGCCATTATATTGTTTTTGAGACGGAGAGCGCCTTTTTTGAATGGTATCTTCGTGAACTTTCAGGGAATGTTGGACCCAGTACGTCTGGGACCGATACCCAGAACTCACTCGCCCCAGGAACTAGGTGAACTGTCCGAGTTGTCGCCCTGGCCAGGCATTCCAGTTCTTTAACCATATATCCCTTGGAATTCCAAGTATTCGGAGCTCACACAAGTCATGGTAATTATCTTCTTCGTCAAAACCTACAGAGAAATGGCCATGCTGACGTGGTTTTCGTGACACAGAACCCGCACCAAAATAGCCTTGACCGACTCTGGAAAGAGTACGACTGGCGAGTGCATTTCGCCAAAGGAAAATGTAACCAGCTGTCTGGAACCCTTCGCGAGCGTCTCATGCAGGACATTATGAACAAGCGAAGCCATCACATGCGCGAGAATGAACAACTCGACATCGCCGGTACGAACGCCCTCCTACTCCACCTCAACCAGGTCTGCATTACCAACCCCGCTAGGCCCGGGTGGTATTGGCAGCAACCGCAAGACCAAGTACTCTTGAAGCTCGGGGAGGTATGACGATTACCTCGTTCATGCTCACCCTGAAGCACCGCGCTGGCGCAGTGCGGCCGACCGTGCGAAAGGCCTTCAGGAGACGCAGGACTTGCCATCGAGAATGTACTTTTCAAGCCGTCTTTATGGTCGTCCCTTCTCGGTACATACGAAAGAACCTGGGTCGAGTATGGGATGAGTGCCATGGTTCGATCGGTGTTGCGTTGTCGGTTGAAGCTCGTCGCACTGTCGTTGTCCTAGCTCTGGCCACGGTTCGAGTGATTCGTCTGCTCCTCACAAGATGCAAAATCAACCGTCCTGCTCCGAAGCTCATCAGTGCCAGAATACCTCTTTGTAACTGACGACCCGCCACTGACCTACTGGAGTGAATCGCCAACTGTTCTTTGCCAGATCTGGTCCCTGCCATCGTGATATCTCAAGTCTTGTCAATTGCATTAGTAATTCCAAGCAAAATCATCACTATAAAATCGCCGCTCAAAGGGAACTTGGTACTCCTCAGGAATCCAACGGAGATCATGGCTCTGATGTCTCGGAAGGCCATTTTCGACGCTTGGTGATACTGATGAGTGTGTCTCTTCGTTGTTGTGTTGTGTCAAGGGTAGATTATACGATCGTCCCGCAAATTCGTCCTCCCCGGGGGAGTCAGCTCGCATTGTTGATGATCATGTGGCAAACGCAAAAGGAGGCGCCAGGAAGTCTCTGAAAAGATCCTGTCCACAGTAAGGAGTGATGGACAGTCTCATGGTATCCAAAGCCAGATGGTTGTCAGGATCATTGCTGATGCAATCCGATCCTAAGGGGGTCGTGCGTGTTGCGGGCCCCGTACTTGCAAGGCCCCGGAACAGGAATGGCGACGCCTCAGCTTCACCGGCTCTATCAGAAACCTACGACCAATCCAAGTGTCCTCTCAGCCACATCAGAACCTCCCTGGCCACTCTCACGGGCATGAGCACCCGGAGGGTCTACTGGATATGATTGAACTCGAGGCCAGCACCCGGCATATTAGGCAAGGTGGACCCTGAGGGGTATTTTGGTACGGCCATGGGCTTGCCAACTTCTCAGTCTGTGAGATTCACCGACAAAAGTCATGGGTACGGACAGGGAAGTACGCGAAAATCTTCGGTCCAACCAGCATTCTGCCCCAAGTACTGTGCCCACTTGAAGACCGCGGTCCTATCGGTCTTTACTGGTACCTAGTACAACTGCGGAATTGGCTCTCTATTTGTTCAACACTCACGTGCTGCCTGATGCTCAATTTGGTGGCTACGACCAGGGCCAATTGGTGGCCAGGTTTATTCTACACGACACCTCAGGTAGCAACCGACAGTACGGAAAGCGTGGAGCGACCTCCACGGCAGGACTAGGTGCGAACAGAAAAAAGAAAATAACAAAAGTCGGCCCCAAATTAAGCGCCCAGCAGGCTCTCCACTGCCGAGTGCCCAAAGCTCCTTGCAGATATCGCCTATGAAAATTACCTAGCGTGGTGCCGCGATACCTGGGGTTCATCGGGATTTGGTGGCAAAACAACACGGCTCTGCTATCCGACATACCACAGCGCAGCATTGAGCGGGCCCAACCCACACTTCCGTTTCGCTATACCACTGTGTGTTATTTTGCGGTATACAAGCCCATAAAACACATCGGCGATCTCAAATCGCAAATAAAACGAAAGGAAAAAAGGGCTATGTCTTGTGCAGGCCCCTCACTACTAGTAGGGCTAACTCTAATGGTGAGTCGCTTTCGCTGCCAAATCCACTAGGCTCGAAAGGTGCTCCCTGTATGCCCTTTTCCCACCTGGCGCGCCAAACGTTACCAGCCCACCTTGACGCGATGAGCGAGAAATTCCCCCCTCGCCTGTCGCATCCCGAGCAGGGTCGCGACGCCGCGGAATACGAGTCCGCGCCTTTCATCTACAACCAGCCGGAGCCAGGATATGTCCAGCAGCCATCATTTGGGTTTCACGCTAATATGGAGCCTATCCCTGGCGATGTCCGTCTAGGGTCCAACCCGGGGGAGCGGTCACTGAATGCCAAAGTGCCCATCCCCCGGTTTGCCTATCCCAGTGCCTCCACGGCCAGCGGGCGCACTAGTCGAGCCTGCGAGAACTGTCGGGAGCAAAAGGCCAAGTGCACTGGAACCCAGCCCTCCTGTCAACGCTGTCTGGACAACGGCATCAAGTGTTCCTATGGCGATCGGAAGCGGGAAAGGATGCTCAAGTGCGTTGATAACCCCTCCAACACCTGTCGAGTGGAGTTCATTCCGGTCATTCAACTAACTGAAAGCGTTAGAGAGCTCAAGGATCTCACGGCGCAGGTTCAGGTGTATGAAGGGCTGGTGCGAGACTTGTATCCACGCCTAGACTCTTCGTCGGCCCAGCATGTTGATCAGATGCTTGCCGGCCAATTAGTCAGGGTAAGCATCCACGTCCCTTTCATATCCTCTCCCAATCCTTGGCCCATCAACATGCCCAACCCCTCTGCCTACCTCCTCAAACTCTTTTTTTTTTTTGTGCCCAGAGCCCTCAATTGACATTCCAACATCTAACCATGACCAGTCCCCAGGGGCCTTGGGGTCTCGTTCCAACACTGGGAGGTTAGGAAATCCGATGGCCACTATGGACCACACTGAGGAGGACTTTAACCGCGACGAAGCATCTCAAGCAACGGGGTTTGTGGGGGAGCACTCCGAGATGGCGTGGTTATACAGGCTCAAACGCGATCTCGACCAGGACACCTCGACCCCCGTTGGCGAAAGCCCCGATCGCATCTCGATTTCATCCCTCAACTATTTCCAGGACGATACCAACATCGCCGGACCCGACGGTATTGACTTGATGGTCCGGCCACCTCAGCAGATGGCGGATCGGCTTGTTGATGACTACTTTCAAACCGTTCACCCTGAATTTCCCATCATCGGCAAGGAGCTCTTTCTCAGCCAGTACCGATCTTTTTACTCGAATTCCAACGTGCGACCCGGAAAGCGATGGACGGCCGTGCTCAACCTCATATTTGCCATTGCTGCCAGACATTCACATCTGTCCCAAAACCAACAAATCCAAGGAAACACTGCTGATCATCTGGCGTACTTTACTCGGGCCTGGCGGCTGAGCATAGGCAATGTTGCGTTATTGGATCATCCCAATCTCCAGCAGGTTCAAGTGGAAGGACTCGCAGCTTTCTACCTCCTATCAACGGGACAGGTCAATAGGTGCGTCACTGGTGAAGGTCTTTCGTCCACTCGACAATCTTTTCTTTTCGTTGGCTTCCGTTACATTCTCCTAACACAAATCTCGTCTTCCCTAGGTCGTGGCGGATTATCGGCATCGCGATTCGGTCAGCCGTGGCGATGGGTCTGAATCTCCGCAGCGAAAGTGGCAGCGTTGCTCATATGTCCAAGGAGACACGGTATCGCGTCTGGTGGGCGTTGTTCATGCTGGATGCCGTATTGTGTGTGATGACAGGGCGGCCTCCCAGTACCGGCGACGATTTCTGCACCACCCCGCTTCCAGTCCCCTATCGAGAAGAAGACTTCCGGGATGAAGGAGTCGCACAAATCATCACCGATCACAAATCGCGATTTGCTCTGTTGACGTCTCTGCTCTCTACCGTCGATCTATCCTCCCCTGGAGCCTCGGAGGCCCCCTCAACAATCTCCACATCGAGAACAGCGCCCGAACGTCAACCGCTGATACAAACTCCTTCTCCAAACATCTCCCTATACTTCCTCTATATGGTAGATTTGGCATTTCTAATGCGAGAAGTCATCGAGACGCTGTACGCGCCCGGGTCAAAACGGCGCTCTTGGCTGGAAATGGAACTGGCCATCTCAAACTTCAACACCTGCGCAGACAACTGGGTCTCTCGCCTACCCGCGGAATTCCAAATTGGAGACCTAGATCCAAACCGACCATTTGCTCGCCAACGAGCCAGCCTCGGCTTCCGCTTTTATACCACGAAACTCGTCCTTACACAGCCCTGCCTACGCCGCATCGCTTATCAAACACCCAATACACCCCCGTCTGGCATCGTCTGCGACTCGATGGCCACAATCTGCGTTGATGCCGCGCGGCAGATGCTTGATATTCTTCCCGAGGAGCCGGACGTCGATTGGTTATACGGAGTTTTGCCGTGGTGGTGTGTGCTTCACTATGTTATGCAATCGATCACGGTTCTGCTCGTCGAGCTTTTCACCCGTGCCCCACCGCGTACGCCAGAGATTGTTGTCCTGGTCGAGAAGGTGCAGAAGGCTATTCGTTGGCTTCGCGCCATGTCTGCCCGCGATGCTTCCTCAAAGCGAGCTTGGCTTGTCTGTACGGATCTTCTCTCACGACATGCATTAAAGCTGTCATTGAAAGTTGACATCGAGATATAGGCCCGGGTTCGAGTCTTGAGTCTGATTCTTCGCTCTTGCCGGTCCGTGTCCATGAAACGAGACGTCGATACTTGTATTTGTGCTTGTGCTGAGGGAACATCGGTGGGTTTCTTAAAATCCCGTGTATTTTTTGCCTTTTGAAGGTTATCTCTCCTGGCTTTTACATCTCTGCCGCATACTGAGCCCTGGAGCATTTTGATCGCGTCCAGCATTGCGTTCAGCATTTCTTGCGAGTCTTGATGAATTCCGAGCATATGTCATAGTCGACATTTTCTGTCTGTTGTTTCAGCCGGGGCGTGTCGTGGTTTGCGTTTTTCCTGCAAATTTGCATGTTGTTTATGCGAGATGTCTTTACACCCTGAAAGGTTTGCGGGCTTCGCATGTGTTCATGCCGAAGTCCGACTGCCTTACTGAAATCTGGCTTTTAGGCCGACTCAAGCCAGCTATAGTTGTCTCACACTACTGATCCACTGACCCTTCTACATTCAATACTAAGCTTAACTAACGGTATTATTCTCGCTGACTCAGACGAGGATGGCAGATTTTCGACGTTGCTGTATTGCTAACGAACTAATCACGTGACGTTCAAGCGATGTTTTAGCCCGGTGCTGAAAATATATCTGAATGGTGCATTGTCGATTACCTTAAAGTAAAAACTTAATTTTCTGGACATTAACACTACCCCACAGGAGCTCGTAGGATTCAAATGGCTATATCACAATATGATGAGACCTGAAAATTTTAAACAGGATATGAATATGTAACTCCGAATTTATGGAAGTTCTCAAGGTAATCGCAAGGATACATGTGGCTGAATGACCTGCGTTACCATACACCCATGATCCATGCCAAGTGTGGCAAAAGTGTGGCAAAGCAGAAGGTGTGTCATGAGAACCTTTAAAGTTCACACCCCAAGCCAGTATAACAACACTAAAATTCATGCGAAGTATAAAGATTCTCCGCCTCACTTAAAAATGTATCAACGGGATGCAAAAGCCCCAAATCAATATCCGATTGTGCAAGGAAATCCTGCATCGTCGGCTCCAAAAACGCCATCTCAGTCGTATATCCACTAATCGTTTCCCGGACAGGAAACGTATAAGCCTCGGCCGTGTGGACTACGGGTGCAGGTCCGAGTAGGTCGTTTTCCGGATGTAGCTCTGGCGCGGTGGATGTCGAGGCTTGGAGAACATTGCCTTGGCCTTGTGCTTGCATTTGTGTCATGGTCGAAGATGGAGCGAGGATGGGGGGTATATTTTGGTCTGGAGCTGCGTTTGAGATGGGAGCGTCGTTGGGTGCTTTGTCTCCGATGAGTCCGGAGCCAGAGCTGGAGGCAATGGGACCAGTGCCATCTCGACGTGGTCGTGGAGTCCCTCTGTAAGCATCAAGGCATACCTTGACTTGTTCGAGGTTGTGGTAGAATTCTGCGGCGGCTAGGTTCCCGTTCTCGGTCATGGAGCGGAGGAGGTCGAGTGCAGAATCGAAACAGCTCATGTCGTTCGGATTCCCGATTGGTACGAAGCTGGACATGGCGAGAATCAGCGCCGAGGAAAAGAGGTAGTGTGCGTGGAAGTAGCCGAAGGTTGGCATTGTTCCGTTTATCCAGCGGGTTAGGATCATTGAGTGTGAATGTCTTGCAGCGTGGATACAGGCTTCACTGAGTGTCAAGACGGGTTGGGAAACAATTGGTTCGGCCAGTTGGCCGTTATGTCTGCGTCCTTCCGCGGTCGATATGTTCTTCTTTTTCTTCTGCAGGGTGATGAGAAGATGCAAGAGTGTCGGTCTCGTTGTTAAGATCACACATTGGTTAAATGCCATGTGCAGCGAGACAAGTGGTTTCTTGCTTGATTCCAGATCTTCCATGTTCAGCCGTAGACTTTCGGGCAGTGTGTCGACCCAGTTCTTTAGTGCTTTGAGCAATTTCTGCACACGCTGCAGGAAGGTTTCCTGGTATTTGCGCCGACTGTACAGTTTTGAGATCGTTTCGCCGACAATGCGGGCTAGTTTGATGTTCGCTGTCATGTAGTCCGTGTCAGAGAGTTCTTCTTCGTGTCGCCAGCGTGGATTGATTGGGCTCGGCATGTCGACGTGGATGTCTTCGTCGAGGATTTGCATTGGAAGACCCATTTTGGAGCCCCACATTCGGTCGAAGATATAGATTGTCCACCAAATTTCGATACGGTGTTGGCGTTCGACTGGGTCGATGAGTTGGGATTCGGGGATGTTGTGGTTTAGACCGATTGTTAGGCCCATACGCATTGCGTTACCGATTAGTACATAGGCTGAGTGTCGGCGGTTGAGGTAGTAGGAGAATAGAGACTAGCCTTGTTAGCTTTGAGCATCATTTGGGTGTGTGAGAGTCTTACGAGAGTTAATAGTGTTTCGAGGTGGGTGATGCTCGTCCTTTCAGGTAGGATCTGAACCAAACTCATCGCCTTTGCGAAATATGCAGTCCCGGGAACCCGGAGACCAGGCGCAGGCTCCGAACGAATAGAATAAGCCTGTCCGAACGCAAATAGCGCGAAGAATTTGCATTTATTTGTCGCACAATCAAAGTCCCCAGTCAGATAAATTTCCTCGAGTTTATCGAGTGTTGACTTCCGCATCATGAGATGATACAGATACCCGACCTGGTGGATCGCGATGCGAACCAGTAGTCGCGCATGATGCAAACTGGGCCACTGGACGTCAGTCTGGTTCGCCGCTGCAGCGATGGTCTCCTCGCGCTCCCATTGAGTGCGGGCAATATGCGCCGTGGCATTGTTGCCTGTCAGAAATCTTCGGAAGCGAGTCGCGAATGCAGAGCAGGCTGCTTCTCCGATATAAATCGGTGGTGACGATGGGTCGTAGCGGTGGAACCAAGCGCGGTCACCAATAATGGGGTTCTGGATACTTGTTGGATCTGTTGCGTCTGCGGGTCGAGATGGTCCTCTGCGAAGCTTAGTATCGGGTGTTGCCCAGTAGCTCATCCATGTTTGGTGACATGCTATGCTAGATTTGGTGTGACATACCGCTCTTGTGGAGGGTCATTTGCTTCGGTCGCATCCGCCGAAGTCACAGATTGCTCCTTCAGCCGCCGATTCTCCGCTAAGAGCTGATCGAGGTAACTAGATTATTAAGATTCAGCCGGTGCATCATTGGCATTTGAATGGGTTGTGCCTACTTCTCGCTGACTTTGACCTGTCTGTCCCGCGGCGCGTAAACGCAATCATCAGCGCACCCGACGGCACGACATTTGCTGCAGGGCAAGTCGCCGGAACATTTGATTTTGTGCGCGTGGCATCTCTGGCACCTGTTCCTTGCGTCAGTGGGTTCTGCACGAGGTTCGGCGTGGAGGGTGGAGCTGGTACGCACGCGACGAACTTGCGGCGCTGCTGTCGGCCGTCGTCTTCGTCTTCGAAAAGCGAGCGTCGTTTCAGCCCTACACTTTTTGGCATCTTGAGAGGCCCATTGTCGGTCTTGGGATTGGTCAGTGCTAAAGGGAGGTTGAGGCAGAGAGGCGGGTGGTCGGCGATGCGCACCGAGACGCCGAGCAGTTCGGTGGATGTTGCCGAAGTTGCATCAGCTATGACCAATTAGAGACGAGTAGGTGGGGCGCCGTAGGGCGTGAAGAATTGTTGGGCAATATCTGATTCGTGCTGATGGGTTCGGCAGCATGTGGTGAGTCATGTTTAGACAGACAGCAGGTTTCGAAGAATGAGGTGCGGCTAGATATTCGCTGACGTGAAATCAATCATGGTGTCGTGGACAGACTTTTGACGGTTGAGTTCTACCGGAATACATGAGTTCGGACGAACAGCATGGTAAAGATTCAGTCAACAAATTCTAGAGAGATATAACGACATCAACTTCAAAGTATTAGAAGAGGTATCAAAACTTTCGAAAAAGTTCTTGTGCTTTTGATCTAGTCATCACGTCATGTAATCTATGCATATGTCTAACTCTATTGCATGGCCATGTTCATAAGTTCAAATGCAGGGAAATCGCTGTCAAGATGCATTACGTCGGCTTCGCCTCCTCTCCAAGCTTCTTTTCAACCCATCGCTGCATATTGATTCCCCATTTGGTGATAATCCAGACAAGGACTCCGCCGATGACAGCAAAAGCAACACCTACAATGCGCATTAGACTTGATCGTGGTCTTTTTGGCTGATAGTCAGACTCACAGATTGAAAATGTCCACCCCACACCAATGGAATTGATCAAAGGCTCGACGGAAGCCGTGGCAGCTGCGCCGAAGAGGTATTGCACGAGATATTTGCCACTGATTACCTCTGACCGCATCTGGGGCATGACCTCTGGGTAGAGTTAGCATCATTTTTTTCCCGCATGAGACGGTCGCAATTGTGCATGATATACCAGCTGAATATGTATTGAGCCCATTGAAGGTTCCAAGTAATCCAACACCGGCTGTGAAAGCAAAAATAACTGGCACCGGCATCCCACCTACTTCCTCCTGCAGGGTCCATGCGTAGATCAAGGTCGACGCAGGGAGCACGAGGAAGAGAGTGGCCAGACCGCTGTTCAGTCGATCCTGAGGAAGGCGGACGCCATTCCGGTTGACGATCCATTTCTTCACTGCTCGGTCGGATAGCTTGCCGCCCACAACACTTCCGATCAAGAAGCCGATTCCAGGAGAGAGATAGAACAGACCGCTGACTAGTGGTGTGGTTAGATTGAAGCGGGGGTTGAAAATTGAACGTGCAGATGTCAAGATGGCGTATTGAAAGGTAGCGAGGAGGCCGCAAGTCAGGTGCTATATCACTCAGTTAGGTTTGGTTTAGTTGAGGGAAGAGGTGGCGTACGCAGAAGAACACATTTGGATAGATGAGTGGGCGGAAGATGCGGAGGGGATTGAACATGCTCAGGATATAGGAGATGTTGCGTGTCTTCTGAGAAGCATCCTGTTTTTGGATCGTTGGAACGAAGAGAATTGACAGGACCAGGCCGAGTAGGGTCATGCCGAACTGGAGCCAGTAAATGATTCGCCAGTGGGCGAATGTGACGATGATGCCGCCGATACAAGGGCCTGAAATTGTTAGTTTTCTCATACAAATTTTGGGATGGAAATAATTTCTACCGATTGCAGGTCCACTGACTGAGCCCACCATCATGAATCCAGTCGCCGTCCCTCGAACAACCTAGTAGATATCAGCATGTGTGAGATACATTAGTATGAAGCGAGTCAGACTTACCGGCTCGAAGATATCGGCAATAATAGTTTGCCCAGCAACCATGAAAAAAGTTCCAGTGAAACCACTGAGCAAACGCATAGCAATAAACATGTGCAAGTTAATCGCAGCCGCCATACCAACCGAACAACCACATAGAACGACAATAGCCATATTATAGGCCATCCGACGTCCGACAATGTTCGCCATGGGACCCCAAATAAAGGACGAAAGCCCCATAGCAATGAGCACACCCGCATTGACAACATTAAGGATTTCCGTGGAAGTCGCGAATTCCGCGGCGATTTCCGGTGTCGCGGGCAGTAATGATGTACTGGAGAATGTCACGGACAGAGTCATCCAGCTGACGACGAACAAGATGAGGCATTTTCGCCAAAATGGAAGGGCATAGCCTGGCGAGGATAGTGGTGTTGGTTTGGGCTCTTCATCTGTGTCGGAGTCGTGAGGGGAATGTAGTTGCGGGAAAGGGTTTTGCGATTCCAGATCGGCGCGGGAATCCATTTTTGATTCAGCACCCATGCGGTGAAGACCGCGAAACTATAGCAAGGAGCGAGAAGAGTTCGAAATCCAATGTCGCATGTTAGGCTTCAAGGTGGACCGTGACAAAATTTGGTGGATGGTTGATTTAAGGCTGATCGCAAAATTCGGAGCCATTTTGTATTGCGCGCGCCTCGGCGTGTTGAGACGTCGCCGAAGTCCACTTGCACCCCCACTTCGGACCGATTGAGAGGATGCCGCTGGTTTTGACGGGTGTGAATTCATCGACGAATCTGTATGTCTGATTAAGGTGCTTTGAGTCCCTGAGCTAAGTTTGACTCACTCAGAGTCCGTAATTGGTGATGCCCTGGCTTGAAGGTTGAGGTTGTCTCGTGGTTCGGCCCGCAAACTTTGAAACAACTCTATACACAATTGGACTCTCGCGAATATTGTAAGAATATATGCTCAACATTAAAGGGGCAGAATGCGGACTATAAGCAGCTATTATTGAGTTCGAAGGTTTCGTTGAGTATCTCAAAGCAAGGGGAAAATCCTCACTTCGGTCAAAAAAAATTTCGAGAGGCTCCAGTCAAAAGTTTATGGTATACTGTAAGCTAATGATGCCTTCGTAGAATAGAAAAGTAGTAAATTGTTCAATGTTTGTACCCATGCCATGATGCATTTTATTGAGGCAAGACGGTTGGCCACCTTGGCGGGCAGCTCCGCGATCGGCATTGCCGTTTACGAAGTAGGGGCCAACCGGTGGTAAATCGGCGTCAAAGTCTACAATGAAGGATTGTTGCATAGAAATTGACTGCTCGAAGAGATCAAAAGTCATTTACCATAGAGCAGAATTGCAGGCTATATTCAGGGCATAGTTCAGTGTACCTGAGTCTTAAGAGCTCGGCCTTCAGCCACTATGAACCGACGTGGGTCTCGATATTTTCCGGTGGATTGCGTCGACAGCGCTGTCACCGCGATTGGCTTTCGTACCGATCCCATCTCAGCTGGTTTTCCCGCCCAGAATGGTCCCTGCTTCCATGATCGCGAACCTTACCTCGACACATCCAGCGACAGGGCATGAAATAATGGGCCACGTAGGATACACTGGCGTATCGCTACGCACATAGCTATGGCACGAAACAGGCCTCGGTCGCGCCACCTCGTAAACATAGCCGGATACGAAAACGCCCCCGGACGGGAAGAGAGCTAAGCTTCGCAGCCAAGCCCGATTGACTCTGAACATTATGCCAGCAGCCATCACGGACCAGATCAGCCTTACCAAGGACCAACAGCGCCTTGAGGATAGCTAGTAAAAAGATACCGCACAGTCATGAGCGCACACTGGGGCCAAAAGGCCAAGCTGACGTGTCTTAACCCATCCATATGCTCGGCAAAAAAATTAAGCGTAGGCCGCCAAGCCATTTGGCGGCGCATTAAAAATAAAAAATAAAAATAAAAACAAAACATCGCAGGCGGAATGTCGGAGCTTGGTGCCCCCTAACCCAGCCCAGCTGTTCCCCTAGCTCTCGCCCAGAGTCATCCACACCAACTTGACCTCACCATCAACGCGATGGACCTCAAAGAGTCACAGTCCAAGGACGTGGAAACGTCCCCGTCGTCGCCCGCGCACGATGCCCACCTCATCCTGATTCCCCAGCCTAGTGACCATCCCCGAGATCCTCTGGTATGTGATGTGATGGCCTGGCGGTCAGTCCCTGCACGCTCGTGAGCCCCAAGATTTTGCGGAGTCTGTGAGTTAACCCAAACCCACCGCTCCACAGAATTGGTCGATTCGACGGAAATATGTGATTCTATCTGTCTTGTGTCTCGCTTCTTTTTCGGGCGCGATCGCACCTCTGTCGGGGCAACTTAATCTTGCTGATCAAGAGAAGTTGTATCACAAGACTAAATTGCAGGAGTCCTATGCGGTATGTTCAAACATTGACGACTCTCGTCTGACCCATATTCTCGGAAGTATCAAAACCTAACTGGCATAGAACTCTGCCGCGCTGGCTGGCATGGCTGCGGGTCCATTCTTCTTCGCCCCAATCTCCCACGTCCTCGGACGTAGCTCAGTGATCTTCTGGTGCATCCTATGCACGCTCGTATGCCAGATCTGGGGCGCAATTATGATACATCCCAATGACTACATTGCGTACATCATCTCGCGTCTGTTCGCCGGATTCTTCGGCGCTGTGCCCACAGTCCTGGGCCCACGCATTGTTACGGATCTATTCTTTCTCCATCAGCGTGGCCGTGCCTTTACGGCGTTGCATATGGCGTTCCTCTTTGGCACGATCGCTGGTCCTACCTTTTCAGGATTTGTTTCTGCAAATGCGTTCTTCCCGGTTGAGTTCTGGTGGACGGTCGGGCTACTCGGCTTCACGCTTATTTGTTGCTTTGCTTTCTTACAGGAGACTGGTTTCGATCGAGAATGTCTCAAGAGAAACCCAGAGATTCCACGTGGTTTGGTGGCTAACCGGGCTGCGACGTTCTTCTTAGGGCAAAGTGTCGTGTTGCCGACGACTTGGAAGGAAACTGTATGTTCATGTTCACTAGCGAAACTCCTAGTCGTTGTTTGTCTAACCCACGAAACGCAGGCCAAGGTTGGAATCACTCCCTTCCTCATTGGAATCTGTCCCGTGACAATAATCATGGGTATTTTCACACTCATCTCATTCGGATTCTACGTTGGGGTCAACGCCCTTACCCCAGTCTGGCTACAGAAACCAGTCGAAGCGGGCGGGTACGGGTTCTCGCTCAAGCAAAACGCAGCCTTCACATTCTGTCACTGGATTGGTATTATCTTCGTCCAATTTTTCGGCCACTACCTTAACGACCATATCCCCCTTGCCCTCGCAAAGCGCTGGAATGGAGGTGCTTGGAAGCCTGAGTACCGGTTACATGTTCTCTGGCTGCCGAGTTTGGTGATCAATCCCATCGGGCTGGGCATCTTCGGAGCTGCACTGCAGTACCACCTGCACTATATGGTACTTGCGCTGGCGGTCTTCCTGGTTACTATCGGGTCCTTGGCTAGTGTGCCCGTCACTGTCAATTATGTCGTTGAGTGCTTCACGCGGTATCCTGCTGAGGCGGGTATTGTGATCGGTGCTTACCGTATTGTCTACGGATTGACGATTAGCTTCTATATCGATCCATGGGTTGAAGCTGTGGATGTGGGCTGGGTTTATGGGATGATGGCTTTTTTTGCTGTCTTCTCTTTCTTCTTTGTTATGCTGCTTATGTGGAAGGGGCATGCTATTCGGGGCATCCAGTTCTCGAGTATTTCCTCTAGCGAGGAGGGTAAGAAATTGGTTGAGTAGGAAAGTCATGACTTTCAGCTATTTATTTAGGGTCTGAGGATGACCAGCACCTTATTTGTAGTGTATTTATTATTATAATAAATTTCATTATTCAGATTCCCCCTGAGACCATCAGGACATCGTCCATGTTCTGTGTCGTATTGGATCATCACGAATGGTATGTGTCTCTCTCAACTAGTGTGAGGACAATCACCTCCCAGGGCCTAGTCACGATCTTTCTTGGCGGTCTGGGTACTAATCATAACAAGATTATGATGGAATAAATTTGGCTATCATCTCGGTTCCAATGTAGCCGCTTCAAGTCTTCAGCGGAACCAAGGTGGTGTGGATTGGAAACTCTGGCTTGAAAGGCCACCGAACAAAATTCATCATGATTTCAGAATTCTCCTCTTGGAGATCGGCCGAAACTTTTCGTATGCGGTGATTTTCCGGAACGTTGTTTTGGTCAGCGATGATAGCCGCGTCCTGTTCCTCTATCTCGATGATTCGCTGCGCACAGAGGCCAGTATAACGGTCTTGCCAGGCACCATGATAAAAGGGCGATTCGAGAATCAGATTAACTGCCCTTCGACGAATCAGAGGATGGCGACAACGAGAAGCGACGAAGAACATGGGCGGGGCGAAACCAAGATCGAAACTGAATAGCAAGCTGAAGTCGAGAAGCTCTTGCTTCCACATCTCGGTGATATCTTCGGCAAGACTAACGACTTTCTCGAATGTGGCAATGTATTGGTCGAATACCATCTCAGACTTGGAACTATGAGTCTCTGCAATGACCAAAGAAACATGGTAGTAAAGCTCTAGCAGCTTGTATGTGCAGTCGCGCAGAACTGGAGGCTCCTCAAGGAACACTGAATTATCCAGCGCGGTTTTCCATTGCCGTAAAGCCGTGGTGGGAGAAATTTCTGGAAAGCTAGGATCATAGGGTATCTTCCGTTCCGAAGAGGAAAACGTGTAGTGCATGATACGGTCATAATCCTGCCGGGCAGAATCCAAGGAAGTGTAAGATGGCGGAATGACCGGGAGTGGCAAGCAAAGTGGGACACCGAGGCTTCCTAATGCATGGCGAGCGTCCATGCACAGAGAGAATTGTACACGCAAACGTTGAAGGATCGGCGTTATCTGGTTATTGATAAATTCCAGAGTTGGCCGAGAGTATTCTTGAAGCTGGTTGTAGGAAGTAGTGCGGTTTCTCCACCAGTATAGCAGTCTAAGACCAGCGGTCAGATGGAGGAGACATGAGGCATCGCCGTTTCGAAATTGCTCGAAGCAGATGAATAGGATGCAGAGGGTCATGATAACATCTGGTCTGTGAGACATTGTTGGGGACTCAGTCTGTACAGACTTAATAGCGCAGGTATAGTGTTTCAGGGCCAACATTTGTGATGTGATCTGGGCATGCTTCTCGGACTGTCGAATACTGATGGAGGCATTCCCGGGTTCTGTGCTCTCATGTAGGGATGCCAGAGCGGTGACGGCATGCTTGATCGATGTTTCGTTATGGCCGAGTTGAAGTAAAATTGAGATCCAGTCATTGGCATCACGATGACCAAAAATCCGGTGAGCAGTCCGGCTACGAAAAAAGAGAAAGGCCCGACGTTCTTCGTCGCTCAAAGAGTCAGGAGAGAGGGTCCGCTGTGGCGGACTGGGATAGCCTTCACAGATTCGTTGAGTCGTAACGCAACGCAGACAAGAAGGTTTTGATTCATCACATTTAACACGTCTACACCAAAATAATGTTAGCTTATGGAAGGACATGCCGCTAGGTTTATTGCACGCATGTACCGAGATCTGGAGATCAGTTGTCAGCAGTGATACTGAAGAGCAGAGTTTAGCGAGACATACTTGCAGGTAATACAACCACTTCGAGATTTCCGGTTTCGTGAGATACTTGGCCGAATAACTTCCATTTCAAATTTGAGCCCAGGCACCGACGGGCAGCTTAGGGCAGCTCGTCGTGCCCAACGCCAGATGTGAGGAGTAGGCAGTGTGGAAGGCGCCAGGCAGATCTCCAACACCTGTGGTGTAAGCGGTAAGGAAGTCAATAAGGCCAAGCACCAGGGGTTGGGAGTAAGCGGGTGCCATGCGGCGGACTTTTGTCGATAGCTAACGTTCCGGAGGGATGCGATGTGAAGATCTGGAGGTGACGTTTGATTGACGCCTGAAAGGCAAGGTGTCACTTGTTGCCTTGACACCTGATTTCTTTTCCACTACATTAGTACTGAGACAGCCCGCATCAAACAGACACATCAGAATAGATGACAAGTCTCGATCGCCCTACGGCGTTTATGTTATATTCAATCGTGCGGTATATGCTGAATAACGGTGTCCAGAGGTCGAGACTTGTGCTGACACTGGCAACGCAGACACCGGCGCGACAATCACCGGGAACTTTTCAGAAGACTTCACGTGATTCTACATTAAAAAAATGCATTCGCGCTTGTATATACCATTGAGTGAGGATTATGAATGTCTAGAAAATACGTATGCGCGATATATAAGAGGGAAGTGCCCAACAGGCATGATGATTGACGCAACTCGGTAGGGTAAGATCAGATTTTGATCATCCATCTCCATTTCCAATCCAAAAGCGCCCAACGCGACAAAGTGATGCTTATCATACCAACAAGCAAAACTGCCGAGTAAAATCCAATAAGGACCTTTGGGGTGGTTGACTGCAATAACTTTCCCCCGACAGGAACCGTAAGCAATACTCCAAATGATGCAACGCTGTATATTGTCCCATAGAATCTTCCGTAGTCTTCAGTTCGGCATAGCTGCCCAGCACATACTGGTGCTAGGGACAACCATCCACCTGAGCCAAAGCCAAAGATAGCGACAACAACATAGAGTGTGACCTCATCATGAGATCCATATGGGAGCCACACAGCCGCCATAACGATCAGCGTAGCACATACCATGGACAGAAGAGTGTTGAATCTTCCTAGCTGGTCGGCTGCAAACCCTGGGATAACCCTTCCAAACAGACTCATACTATTGAGAAGCGTCAGGGAGTAGAATTGGACGTCTTCTGACATACCTGCGTACCGCACATACGTGGGGAGCAGGGCAGCGCAGCCAAAAATAATGAACTCGAAGGAGAAAACGGCGACCGCAAGGAAGCAAAGACGTGGTGAGAAAAATGCTTTTATATCGATCGTTGCTCGAGTCGTTTTCTTAATGGGCAGACGTTCCTTCACGAGAACTACGCCGAGTATGTAGCATCCGAGGGCCATGAACGCAACAATCCGGATGGACCATAGCCAGCCATATTTTTGCAGAAGTTTCCGAAGCATCAGTGGAATCACAGCTCCACCCATAGATGAGCCTGCCATACAGATTCCTGATGCAAGACCCCGGCGTCGATGAAACCAATGACTTAGGACTGCGATAGAGACTGTGGTGATAACAGCAGACGATATACCGCCAAGGACCCCCAGGCAGAGCATAAAGTGCCAGTATTTAGAGCATTGGGCCAGAATGATGTAGCAGAGAAAGTTGGCTAGGCTTCCACATACTATCAACACCCTTGATCCGTAACGATCAAACAGTGGACCGACCTGGACGCCCAAGAAGAGTGTCAAGAACACAAGCACGGCAGTTATCCACCCCACATCGCTAACACTGTATTCAGAAAGCTGGTTGGTGCTGATATAGTCCTGAACAGATCCCACTGAGCTTTTTCAGTTTATGAACGAGACAATCAGGAGGGAGGGGCTTGCTTCGTACCAGCAGTTTGGAATCCAAAGGACGGGAACATCATCAAAAAAGAACCCAATAAGCAGAGCCAAGCTTCGTGACTGTTCTCTGGAAACTCATGTTTATCGTCTTCGTTATCATCTTGTGAGCCTGTCTGCTGCTCCGGCTCTCCTGGTTTGTCGCCGATGGGCTGCTGCACTGATATTGTCTTGGGTCCAGGTACCGCCGATCGACGCATGTCTATTCGAAAGGTCCCTGTGATTTTTTTTAAAATTCGTTAGCGATATGCTTCTGGGAACAGGATATTTGGTTTTAGTGGTAATTGATGCGAACCTTGATTGATGTGAGGTCGGTACGTGGTGATCAGCGAAAATCTTGTAAATCAGAGACCTAGATATGCGTATATTTCACCTGATTCAAGCTTCTTGATAATAAAAACTAGAGTTGAATGAATGAGAGAAATCTGGCGCAGTGTTAGACTCTTTCTTGTGGCGAGCTTCTCGAGTCGCCCGAGAACGGTTAATGGGGCGGGCATACTGCTGCTTGGCTGAATGGTGTCTCGTGATTGGCCTGGTCGTTCTTTCCGCTCGCAAGCCAATGAGCGCGCAGAAATTAGGCACTGGATCCACATCTGGCGTGTATCGGTGTATCGGATGTACGCCGTGTTCGAACGGTATTTGCCATGATTTTCATGGCGAAGATTCAGAGAGATGACGATGATGAGCGGTGAAGGGAATCCCTACTATATTGAAGTGGCGGCTGGGCTATCACATGACCCTGAGCCACCTGAGCCTTTAAGGCTTGGGAAAGTCCGATATCACTGGAACGACGCAATTCATTGTCGACTTATCGATCCAGGGAGTTCGGCAAGCCAAAGAAGATCAGACTATTTGAACCTCTTCATGTTTCAAAGAGTTGCGAGAATCAACCGACTTGTCGAAGGGTTACTATTGAGGCAGAATGGACACGACGACACATCGGACTAGCTAGATGTAGTCGCATTCTCTCGACCACATCGCACTAACATCATGCAGATTAAATTAAAAAAGACTAAACCGACAAGAGAACGAGTCGGACCATCTCTAAATGGACCCACCCAATTTCAAAATGCTGTTGTCTCTTGGTGCTAATATATTGTACATTGGGCACAATACCGAAGAATGTGATTGGCTCTTCTCGCTGAGGTGCGATGAGACCAATGATAGATGAAGCCTCATCTCGAAGGGCCCACTTCTCCATGGCACGTACTAATAGCGTGCTTAATCCTACATGATCCGATCTGAAAAATACAAGAAGACTAGGTATGCAGCAGATTTTGTTAATTCCCACGTATTCCTCTTGGGCTTCATTGGGCCCTGTTCCACAGCAAAATCTGGGTTACACCGGACGGAGGCATTCTCGTGCTGATACCTAAACAAGAGATTTCGCAAAACATCATGCGTACAAATATCTTATCACGGAACAGCAAACTCCCAGGAATGAATATATACCTGGATAAGAGGAGCCCTAATGACGATCATCTCTACACTACGGGAGATCATATCGATGGGGTAGTCTCTGTCAGCACTGAACGCGATATTGAAATAGAGGGAATCCAGATCCTGTTTCGTGGTAGGTTTTGAAGAAGACGAGGCGATACCATACAAAGAAGACTTTGACTGATTTTAAGGCAGGTGTATCGCAGGTTGAAATCGAGCAGCTTTCCATTCAAAGATTATCCCGCCTAGAGCATGTATTCTTTTCAGTGCATCAGCCGATGGCAGAGATGGGAAATATTATTCCAAATGTGCTTAAGGAAGAACATAACTACGACTTCAGATTCAAGTTTGTTGTCCCTTCGAAATTGATGCCTCAAACCTGCCGCCACTTTCGACAGAACTCCCATATCTCCCAAGCTCACACGTTGCTCCCACCAACCATGGGAGGTGTGAAGCTTCAAATGTGCTCGGAGGGCGATGATCTCAGTCCTGAGTGTGTCAAAATATCCTACTCCATTCAAGCAACCTTGTTCGCGGTCTCTAAAAAAGCGGATTTCCCCAAAACATTGGCTAGCATGAGTAAACCGTTGAAAATAATGCCGATAGTTCACGAACAGCCTCCCATCGACCGTTCCAATAACGGCCTATATTGCTTGATGAAGGAGAAGACCATGAAACTGGGTCTTTGGAGATCCCCAACGGGAAGGCTTTTTGTATCGGCTTCTCAGCCTCAACCAATTGTCATCTCAGCGACTGGCCATCAACGACAAGAATGCATGGGTACCATTGCTACGATCGAGCTCAAGTTTTCTCCAGGGGGAGACGAGCAGCCCCCAGATTTACACTCTTGCACCGCAGGTCTCTCCATATATACTTTTTACAGCGCGAGACAATGGGAAGACTTTCCAGACTCGATATTTGCGACAACCCAATTTGGCACTGGAAGTCGAAGCATTCATCAGAAAGATATCGCACTGTCCAAGATATGTCTCAAGTCAGTTCAGTGGACTAGAGATGTCGCAGAATCCATTGAGTCGACCTCTTTGATTTGTTTCACGGCCTTGGTGCATGTCCCAATCCCAACACCCCGGAATAAGGTACTCGTTCCGACCTTCCATGCGTGCTTTGTATCGCGGGTCTATGTCCTCAACATTTCGATCGCCTACCATTCAACGTGGGCAAAGGCTTCGACATCAAGTGTCAAATTACGTGTGCCTATTCAAGCCATAACAGTCTGAGAGTCAAATCCGCTGTGCGACGCATGGAATATATTCTGTTTCTTACCTGAGCCTGATTATTGCTTTCGCCATTGCGGCCTCAAGGGAATTTCTCAAGAGAACCTTCCCAAAACATTGAAAATTTGGAGTAAATGACTCACTATTTGCAAACATCACATCGCATTGCATAGTTAGTGGATTGTTTTTCCAATCAAACACTAGAAGCCTTGAGTATGTAGATTTAAGTTGGTATAGATTTGCATCCCACCTATTGAAGCTGCAGACCGGACCCATTTCGAACGCATTCTGATCTCCGAATTCAGGTATGAAGTATTCTCACCGCCACAATGCGTCCCATCTGCCAAAACAGACAGAAAAAGATGCCGTCGTCTGCATGAGGAATCTCGCGAACTGGATCGCTGCCGTCGACGAAATCCGCTCCTGGCCCGAGGACTTGCCGCAACCTCTCCACGCCCTCCTGAATCTCGCGCGCTCATACAGGCCCAACCTCGGCTCCGAGGGGTGACCACAACCCCTACTGGTCCCATCCTTATCACTCTGTGGTCTCACTTTGCCCGTTTGCATATTCCTGAAATCAATTGAAGTACAGAACAACATTGACATATCACGTGACAATGCATCGTGCGGTGCTCATGAAAAGATGACGTTTCTACTGGAAAGGCAGTGCACGATTAAGGAACAAGCTGAACAGGGGGAAATTCGCCTTTGACAGCTGAATTAAGCCTCGCCCAGACAGCCAAGCGTCGTGGGGCTGAACAACGAACTTGAAATCTTACGGCACTCCGAAATGGTTGCATATTCGCCTTAGCTCTGCGAAGAAGCTTAATCCCTCAATTAACCTTATCTGCAAGAGGGCTGAGCTGGCCCTACAGCTTGTTTTGAAAAAAAAAAAAAAAAAAAAAATTTTATACAGAATTACTACGGTCGACACGATACTAGTTGCGTACTGGATGATACGCACGTAAACACAGCCCTCAGCTGAGGTGAGACGAAGTCTATCAGCTTAAATCGTACTTTCTGAGCTTGGAACATTCATATAAAAGCTCCCAAGCATTTTTAAATGAAATAGTCCTATTATCACCGATACATACTTCACTTCCATTAAATTATCTTTCTGTTCCGAGTATTCGATTCTCTCCGATTCAAAGATCGCTTTGTTCATCCGGTCTTCAAATCTCGATCCATACCATCCATCAAACCCGAAGATACCTTCACGATTCGTCAATATGACATCTACATGTGTCTCTTAATTCCATATTTTTACGCAAAAAAGAGGCACCAAGAACGTGCTACAATGGACGAGTTGCAAAGGGCCCCAGTTCCTTCCAATACGAGAAACCGGAACCAGGCATTCGCTGCACCGCGTTCATCCGAAACAGTGGACACCAAACCGCTGCCAATGACTTTAAAATGGATGAGTACATAAGTGCTACGATGAGGTTAGCAATCACACAATACAAAACTCAAGCTAGATTTTCTAATCATCTTTCCGAACAGGATCTTGGTGTGGATTATTTGAAAACGCATAGGTGACGGACCCATAGAAACATCATACCGTGTGTTTATGACGAACATTGAAAGATTAGAAGCCAAACGTCTATAAATAATGCTCGAGATATTCCAGATAATGTGATTAAAGTCCATGAAAACTTTAGAATCAATTCATCCTAGTCTCCTTTACCCGGAATCAAAGTAAACCCACGACTTCCCTCCCTAATAAGACGCGCCATGATATGTGCCTGTTGCACACCCGCAGATCGCGAAATAACATCAAGAGTGTCAAGATCAAGCAAGAGCTCAAGATGGGTTGCTGTCGAGGAAATGAAAGGTGCAAAAGAGCGTCTTATGTGATATGCTGCTTATCTGTATGAGGCTGAGGCTTCGAGAACAGTAATAACGCAGAAGCGAGGTGATATCAGGCAGGACGTGAAATAGAGAAATTTTGGAAAAACTTAATCAAGCAAAAATGCAATGCCTCAATTTTGGACTCCCGATAATAGCAGCTTCAATTCCATTTCCATAGTAATATCCACCTCGAGCTTCATGACTCGAGTCGAGTATATCTACTTCTACTCGATATCAGGCATCAGACCCGGAATCATCTTCGCAACCTGCTGCACATCCTTATCACCCCGTCCACTAAGACAAATAACAACCTCCTTCTCAGGCCCAAGCTCTTTTGCCACCTTCACAGCACCGGCAATAGCATGCGCACTCTCAAGAGCAGGAATGATTCCCTCCAACTCGCTCAAAAGCCGGAACCCAACCAAGGCATCATTGTCATTAGCAGCAATGAAACTTGCCCGACCAGACTCTTTCCAACTAGAAAGCTCCGGTCCAACGCCCGGATAATCTAGCCCGGCGGAAACAGAGTGCGTGGGAAGAATTTGACCGTCCTCATCTTGCAAGACATATGTTCTGACACCATGTAAAACGCCCACTGAGCCTCGCGCGAGAGTCGCGGCGTGTCGACCGTTTGAGGATCCGTCGCCGCCTGCTTCGACGCCGACCAGCTTCACGGAGGTGTCTCTGACGAATGGGTAAAACATCCCTGTTGCGTTGGATCCGCCTCCCACGCATGCGACTACTGCGTCGGGAAGTTTTCCATTCATCTCTTGCTGGAATTGTGAGCGGGTTTCTTCGCCGATGACAGATTGGAACTTTCGCACGATGGTCGGGTATGGATGAGGGCCGAAAGCGGATCCGATGACGAAATGCGTTGTCTTGAGGTCTGTCACCCAGGTCCTGAAGGCTTGATTCACTGCGTCTCGGAGAGTACCTCCTTCTCCGGCATGTGCACCTGGTACAGGGACAACTGTTGCACCGAGGAGCCTGATTCGGAAAACATTCAGTGCCTGGCGTTCGACATCCTCGGCGCCCATGAAGATCGTGCATTTTAGACCCAGCAGTGCGCATAGCGTTGCGGTCGCTACACCGTGCTGGCCTGCACCTGTCTCGGCAATGATAGACGTTTTTCCCAGTCGTCGTGCTAGGAGGATTTGTCCCAGAGCGTTGTTGACCTTGTGGCTGCCGGTGTGGTTCAGGTCTTCACGTTTCAACCAGATGCGGGCGCCGCCAGCGTATTCCGATAGACGGTTCGCTTGGTGGAGGGAGGATGGCCGGTTGGTGTACGATGCGTAGGAGCGGATTTCTTCCCAAAACGTGGGGTCGGCGGATGCGGCGTTGAATCCGTTTTCGAGCTCCGCGAGGCATTCAATCAGGGCTTCGGGGACATATTGGCCGCCGAACTGGCCGAAGCGAGTGTGTTTGTTCAATGAAAGTGCCTCAGGGTAGTAGGGGTATCTCGGCTCTCGGGGATGTCGTATTGGGTTATCGATTTAGTATCGAGCTTTTGAGCAGGAGGCGTGATGGTTCGCGCTTTTGCACGACCAGAGACGTGGAGACAGTACTCCTTGATCTTCTCGGCACCAGTACTCGCAGGTGCGTCTGCCAAAATGTTGATAATCTTACTGCCGATGATAACACCTTGTGCAATCCGGGCGATGTCCACAAAGTGCTCGCGCGTGCTGACTCCGAACCCTACCGCAGCTGGTACCGAGCCCATCGTGTAGCGGTCCACGCGAGCAAGAAGATTATCGAGTCCAGTATCCAGCGCTTGGGATACACCGGTGACGCCCATTCTGGAGGCGACGTATACGAAGGAGTCGGCGATACTGCAGAGCATCTCCATGCGGCTGTCGGCTGTGGATGGTGCGACGAGGGGAATGTATGATAATCTGCGAGCTGAATCAGTATTCTAATTGCCATTTCATGAGCGTAAATGACTCACCCTTCCGTCTTGCACGAATTTCTAAACCGAATAGCTTCCTCGGGCGGTAGATCGACGATGATGAATCCATTGATACCGGCGGCACGGCAGTCCTTCAGCATTTTGTCTTCTCCGTATGCGCGGACGGGGTTGTAGTATCCCATCAGTAGAACGGGGGCAGTGAGTCCCGATGCACGCGCACATCGCACGATCTGCAGAATTGTCGGGATTCGAGTACCGTTTGCTAAAGCTTGGGCGTTTGATTTCTGGATGGTCGGTCCATCTGTGAGGGGGTCTGTGAATGGGATTCCGAGTTCGATGATGTCTAGATGCAAATGACAGTTGTTAGCATAATTCGCGAATGAGGCTCTAGGGTTCCTCACCTGCGCCACCCGCCTGCATGGCCAGCATAATCTCAGGCGTCTCTTCGATTGAAGGAAACCCTGCAGTCACATATGTGACTAAGGCTGCGCGGCCTTCGGCTTTGCATGTTGCGAAGACCTGTTTGATTCCCTCCATAGTGAAGTGTCCAGGTGGTGGGCGCGAGTAAGGTAGGAAAATGGATGCGAGAGGGAAAATTAAGGAAGGTGTGTCCTCCTTAACTAACGATCGAAAATGAATGGGAGGCAACTTTTGGTTTTCCTCCCGCGAGATCTCACTTTGGTGAGTCAGAGCATGTCTCTACGGCAGGTGCGACCCATTAAACATAACGGGAAGGAATAGTGTCTTATTCATTCATAGTGTAACGATATCAGGGTATAACTACTAATAGAATTAAATGAAGCATAAAGCTAGTAAATTAATTGGGCTCTGCGCTCACGGCAACAATTCCCGAAGAGCGGATCAACAGTGAGATATCGGACCAACACATTTTTCGGGATGGTATTTGGAATTCCGATGACATTGATTTTGTTAGTAGCCTTCTGAGGAATGATTCATCAATTGACTGGTTTCCGCAATATTCAGTTTGCAATCAGTATAGGCTCACAGTGCATGCAGAAGCCAATGAGTCAGATGGGGTCGGGATCTAGGTCAGACCATCTAAAAAAAGCGGTTGTCGTGGAGCCAAATAATGGCTCAATTAGGAATAACCCAGCATTAAAGTGGGGCAGTGTATACTAGCACACTGGTGCAGCTCGCACTTCTTACTACTAGTAGCCACAGTCTAGTATTGCTGTGTTGGTCAATTCGCCGAGCAACGCGTCACCTGGTTGAACGGGCATAGTATTCAGGGGTATCGTGGACCAGGGATACTTACCTACTTTACACTGTCTTTATACCTGATTTCTGCTGGCAGAGAAAATATGATACGGGAAATACAAATACACCTGGCACTCAAGTCACTAAAAACTCGAGAATATCCTGACCAAATAAAACCAGCGAATATAAACATATTTGGAGCCGAGTAAGCGCGTTGCCACATAACGACTGATGAAACATGCGATCAGAAGAGTAGTGAGATCTACAACACACTCATACTACCACGAACCCTCCCTCTCTATCTTTACCTTTCGACATCCCTCCGCTGCCGATGTCACTTCGCTGGACCCATTCACCTTACATATGGCCAATCCCCGTTATTCTAGTGCCTGCACTGACTGGCGTGGGGCTCCAGGTCCTGCGGCTCTTACTGACACCGATCTCACTGGCCCCCTCCAAGCCTCCCCCTGACCTCCGTGGTCGTTCTGGTGTTCGCGGTCCCCCGTTACAAGACATGTATGAGTGGTTAAAAGGGCGATCAGAATTCAAAGGGAAATTCAGACTAACAGTAGGTAATCAATCCCGGTTCACGATACCCCTGCATAGGCGTATATGCAGACTAATATCAGTTCTTACATTCAACTTGAAATTGATCTCTTCTTATGTCCATCTCCGCCTTACAGTCGATGAGCAGGTTAATTAAATTCTTTCACCTGCAGCATCTATCATGATTTCAACGTATCTGTGGAAAGACTCGAAAGCATGATATCACGGAGCGCCATTCATTCCGAAGCGTGGAAGAGTCCGGCCTGTGATAGTATCCTCCCTTGGCCCGGTCCGATAATACCATCGGACTATCTGGATGAAAGCTTTTGATTGATATTAAGATAGATTTGAGCTTCCCAGGGCTCCAACCGTATGAGCCTGACATCATAGCCGCCTATCACTCCTCAATTACAGTCCCAACATCACGGTGCCACAGGTACAGCAGTATATGGACAGCTCCCGAACTGGGGCCATTCAGGGCTCAGCCGCATACAAAAACGCGAACAACACTTCGTATTCATCCAAACCGAATCAGCATGGGGAAATATCAAGGCTGGATTCTATTGGCTCTAGATTTCTCTTGTGTCGGGCCAAGGCTTCACCAGAGTATTTCACCTCGGTTCCCCTGAGGCCACATTGGAAACCTCTTGCTCTCTACCTGGACAGCTCGAAGTGGGTCCATTCACGGCTTAGCTGTATCTACCACATGGAAAAACATGAACGGCTGTAGCATTCATCCAAACTTAACTGGGAATACAAAGGCCAACGTTTATTGGCTCCTCTCTTCCTCGGGCTAATGCTTATACCCGGGCATTCTACCTCGGCTTCCCTCAGACCATATTATGAACGCCTAGGGCTTTACCAGTTTTCTTGTTCCCAAATGAATTCAAAGTCCCCATTATGGCTCAGACTTAGCTACAGAAAATAAGACGCAAGTGGCATTCCTCTTCCTTTTTTAGCGCTTACGAGCAGATCAGTTATCGTAATGTGATCACTCTCAGCCGATCTCAGAGCAGTTCCAAAGTTATTTGGAGTGCAGGGATTTTTCTGACGAGTGATTTTCAGTGTGACAATCAATTCCCGAAGGTCTCTCTTAGCATGCCTATACTCATTAGATGGGTCGTGTACATCTAGGGACCTGCATTTATTTGGTTTCCCCTCCTGAAGAAATGGCGATCAAAATGATTGGCACATAAGACCCACAAAGCGAGGAAGCCTCACTTCCAAGTAACCCTGATTGGCTGGTGCATGGATCAATCACGGCTCAGCTATAGGCGTTTATAGGGTAGAAGAGATCAGAATGGCATACTTGAGAGTAGATACGTAAACTCATTGGTTCGTACTGAATTTGTAGAAAGGTAACATTACCAGGATATTGGAAATTGCAAGGCAAATTACAGGCTTATTGGGCAGTGTGTCTATTCCGGCTTGATGGTCGTCTGATGGTGGGCTGATATTTTTGTTCTGGTGAACGAAATTCAGCAGAGGGGAAGGAATTCATGGTTATAATTGGTTTCTGCAAGCCATACTAAAGCCACCGCTTAAGTGACGGGTCTGTATTCAGAAAGCACTGCCCAACCTGTAATTACTAATCAGGAAGATTGAAATCCTTCCGAGCCTGACACTGACATAGGAAGTACGGTTTCAGAAGGAAGTAGCAAAAAGAATGAAGGAAAAAGCCCGCAGGCAAATAAATTCTCCACAGCATAACGCCGTATCTCGTCATAATCACATTCCGCAAGTCCGACCTTCGGCAAAGGCAAGGACAAAATCACCCGATCCAATCCATGAAAGAAAAGGGGAATAAAAACAACCCTGGGGGAAACAGACGCTCGAACAACAATACCAGGAAATCGAAAAGCGCTGGTTGATCCAGTTGCAAACACACATAATTTGGGGGAAAGAAAAAAAAGAAAAAAAAAGAAAAGAAAAGAAAAGAAAAGAAAAGAAAAGAATTCCATCCGGATTGGCCCGCCTGCGCCGGCCTAGCAAAACTTGAACCTCGCAAAAAAAAAAAAAAAAAAGGGAAGAAATGGAACGTGATGGGAAATGGAAGGAGAATCACGGTGGTGGGTATTGGTGAATTTTTTCCCCTTCCATTACTCCAATCGTTCGTTTTTGATCAAGCCAGATCACGCCGAATTGGGGATTACGGGCGTAGCTGGTGATCGAGATAAAAGCAAAATACCGTCCCATCCCCTTTTGACTTCGCCGGCGAATCGTAGAAGATAGTCGTACAAACGTAAGACGTCGGGACAGCGTGAATATAAAAGTACAAATGAAATCAAGACGCGCATGAGACGCCCCCGCGTTCGCATTTACCGCGTGAACTGGGTCCACACGGCACTGAGCCAGCCGACCGGGATGCCGACCTCGGATGGCGCATTGAGAGAGAGTTGGGCCCAGTCGCAGCCGTCCAGGAAAGCGAGGACGTCGTCGCCGCTGAGGCTAGTTGACAGCATGCTCGAGTCTGGCCCGTCGGTCGAGGTGAGAGGGGGCGAAGGGGCGAGCTGGGTGACTGAGCCCGGGGGCGGGAGGACAGGGTGGTTTTGTGGGGCGGCGTTGATGGGTGGGAGGGATTGAGAGTAGGGGGGTGGTGGCACGGAGGGGCGAGATGGGAGCCAGGAGTTGATGGGTTGGAGGCGGTTGCTGGTTGCGTTGAGATATGAGGATGGCGACTGGGTGGTTGCAACCAGTGAAGGGAGGTTCGGGGGTGAAGAGGTGTACATGGGACCATCGGGGTGGTGTTGCTGGAGGGATGGGAGAGAGTATGGGGATTGGGAAGGCATTGGACGGCTGTTCGGAAGAGGCAGACTGGGGCGGCGGTCTCCTTCGTGGCCAGGGAGAGGGAGACCGGGGCTGTTGATGGGAACCCATGATTCACGGCGGCCGCCGGCTCCATCGAGAAGCTGGTCGGCTGGATCGCCGACATCGCTCTTGACTGCGTTGCTTCCTGCGTCGCTGAGATTGGTCGAACGATCAGGCATTGGCTCTCCGGTGACGGCAATGGCGACGCCATCGTCGTCGACTCCGGACTCGTTCAGTTGATCCTCGATAGTTCCGAAGTCGAGGAACAGCTTCTCGAGCAGCTTGAACTCCTCGAGACCACCGCCAAGACCGCCCTCACGGATGGACCGGACTCCGTTCGGCGCATGATCAGAAGCATCCGACATGCTATCCAGACGGTTGCGGGAATATCGGCGGAAATCACGCTTGACTTTAATGAAGTAGCTGTGAAGGCGGTTGAGGGTACGGAACCATCCGGTGGTCATTCTCAGACGGGGTCGTTGCTCGCGCAGAATGTCTAATGCCTTGCGAACCTGCGTGGAGCCTAATTGGGAGCTGTCGTGGGCTGCCGGAGGAGCCTTGGAAGCCATCAGCCCTTCGGTATCCATGTGCTGGAAGTGCACACCGTAGATGCCAATGAATGCAGCATTGTAGATAGCAAACCCAACCAGTGGGCTCTCGACCAGAGCGCCACGGCCATGGCAGGTCGCCACTAGGTCGATCATCTGGCGAGCAGCCTTGAAGAGCTCACGAGAGCTATCACGCCAGAAGCCGTCAGGAGGGCCATTGACCTTGTCTGTGGGGAACATTGGCTCATCCAAGGGACCGACGGGCTCATTGCATCGGAGAGGCAAGAACGGGATGTATGCTCGGTGAAGAACAATGACGGACAGGAAGTAGACGACGTGCATGACGGTATATGGCGCCAACGTCGTCTTGTACATGATGTGGGTGTCGGTATTCCGCAACGAGTACTGCAAGTTGCGGGAAAGGCTGTCCTGGAATTCATTCAACTGCATCCGAAGAGTAGCGAAACGGGATTCGGGGTGCCACGGCGGATATTGTTCGTTTCGTCGGCCACCGGCACAAGACCATTTGGCAATGCTTCCCCAGATGCGAATGATGCGAATCACTCGACTCAGAACAGGCTCTTCGGCCCCGACCTCCCATCGATCAACGTCATCCTCGCTCGAGTCCTTGCGGCGCGAGACGGGCGACCAGGCGGCTTTGGGGTCCGGGGTACCATTGGTGGTGGGTAATTTCTCATCGGTGAATCCGCCCAAACTCTGTCGAATGCTAGGGATTTGCACACCTTGAGCGCCAAAGCTTGGTGGTCGGCGAGTTGTCGACTCATTGAGTCGGGCCGTTCGCACCCGTTCGCCGAAGGCAAAGGCATTGTCGCTCGGCAACTGGATCCCGAGCTCCTTTATCCGGATCATACGCGGACGATATTTGCCACTGCTCAGACAACGATCCAGAATAAAGCATGCCCAGAAAGTGCGGCGCTTAGTTTCCTGTGCAATGATGTCGTCGGATGTCTGTTCCTTGGGCTCCGATCGACGGCGGATCCCAAAGTGATCGGCCTCTGCCTTGAGACCCGGCGACGAACGGGACAGATCTCGTGGAGGGAATTCATTTTCGAGTTCAAAGGGCAGACCCATGGCCTGTGCGAGACGGATTGCCATTCCAACATAGACCCAAGCGCTCTTGCCGCGACAGATGCCCCACTCGTGCAGGGCGAGCATCAACAGCGCTTGGACCCGTGCAAGATCGGGCATTGCCAGGCTCACCCCGTCGAGGCCGGCCAGACGACTGCGTAGCGCGGTAGCATAGTATTCCGAGGCAGTAAGGGGGTTAGAGGCGTGGCCGGGCGAAGCCGGGGAGTGGTATGCGACGAGAGTCGGGTGGAAGCGAGCTGTCAAGGCAAGCACGCCCAGCGGGATCAATGACGACGATGGATCCGTCTTGGGGCTGGCAGTACGCATAGAATCAGGCCCGTCAAGAGCAGCCACCGGTGGCGGAGCAGGAGTCGAGAGTTGTCGGATCTGACCGAGGAAAGTGGCGGGATGTAGGAAGGGCAGCAGCGTAGCAAAGTGAGACTGGAAGAGGTCAAAGACGGCTTCCCAGACCTTGACGGTCAAAATCGACGAGTCCAGCGCATCGAGGCCAGCCTTGGAACCGGCGGAAGCCCCCGACAGCGTCATCTTGCGCGAGCGCTGGCGCTTCGGGCCATCCCAGTCGCCATTCCGGTCCTCACCATCCGCCAGGGCGGCCAAATCTCGTTTCGCGCCGCTCACACCGATCGCGGGGGTTGGGTAGACACAGTCTCGACCGGAGGATTCGCAGGCGCGGCAGGTCGTGTCGATGCCGGCATTGACGCACTTGATCTTACTGCGCCGGCATCGAGCGCAAGCGATGCTGGATCGCATGGTGAATGGGGCAGACCCAAGGTCTGCGGTTGCGACGACTTCGAAATCGGGTGATGTAGTGGCGTCGATTTTTCCTCTGGTCGAAATCGAGTCAAGGAGGGTTGCGGAGGGCCGAGATGTGAATGCTCAGGCTGGCGGTGCTGTCACTTTCGGGGTGTCAGGCGGGAAAGGGACCTTTGTTTTCGGGTCTTGCAGGTTCCGCGTCAGCATTGCATCTACCGAGCGCGCACATCGTGGGCGACTTACCTTGGAGCTTGAGGGCAGGCTGGCTGCAGGGCGAGGGGATACCGAGCAGTAGGCAAGGGTAGGAAGGGAGAGGGGAGAAAGTAGAGACAGAAAGGCCAGGCGGAGTGTGGGGGAAAAGAAGTCGGGGCACCGGACCGGCAGAGCGAATTGGGGTTCGGGAGGGAACGGAGTCGAGAACGCCGAGCAGACCTTCAGAAAAGAAAAAAGCCAAAATTCGCATGGAGCCGAGAGCCGCTGGAGAACTAACTGTTGGAAATTGCGGAGGCCCAAGTATGCAAGGACGCGATTCGTGGAGAGTGGAGCCCCGGGTTTGCAAATGTGGAGTGCACACTAACACATATTATGGATGTATGTGGCATCGGCCGGCCTCCGTTGGCTGTCAGTGGGTATATTCTCTACTACTGTTTGGTGCTGCCACTGTTACCACTGGCAGTCATGGTCTTACCGTCTGCTACCGACTTTACTAGTACTTCGGGTACGAGTATTACTTGAGGTAGGCACGAAATGCCGGGAACTGGGGAAGGGCCTGACCGCCCGGGCACACTTTTCTCTCAACTCTACCCGTACAAGAGTCAACACCAGGGGAGGGCTTGGTAGCCTCCCACCCAACACGACGGCTTTCATGATCTCATGATCGTCGCTCGTTCAACCCGATCCCCCCGACGCTCGCCGACCGAAGCACCGGAACAGCAACCAGCCGTGTGGAACAATCGACGTCGCACCCAGCCCGGTTGAAGATGAGCCCGAGTCTTCATCTTTGCCCATCGCTTTCTCCTGGTGCAGCCGTGGAAGGCGAGGTTGCCCCGGCGTCGGCAGGTTTTCTCCCCAGGATGATCCCACAGAACCCTGTCCGCGGCTGATGCCCGATCGGCAATTGCCCTGGATCGGATTCTCACGCGGACCCAAAGAAGACACCGTCTCCATAATTTCTTCTCCCTCGCGGCACCCCCATTTCCCGGTCGGGAACTCCAGAACAGGCAAGCGGGACGACCGTTCGGAGAGTACAGCGACTTGACACGGAGTCCCTTCCTGCTCCACCTACCACCGAGACGGTGATGTTGATGACCGGCCCTCAGTGCCATTGATCTCTCTCTCCTCTTTTAGGGGCTCTCTCTCTCTCTCTCTCCCTTCCTCTCTCCCCGTTGGAGGAATGCTCCATTCGGGTATCCTAGGGTATTTTGTACTATGTAATAGTGCTGGAGCTGGAGAGTATACCCGCTACCCGCCTGGCTCAGTAGGGCTCGCCCACATGGCTGCTGAAGGTCTGGGTCTAGTGAGGGGGAGCTGTTCGGGATTGGAGAACACGGCGACTCTTTGTCTGTGATCCCTCGGGTAATCTTCGACTGAATGACAGTTCCGCCTCCCAGGCCCCCCTCCCCAATCCACCTCCCCCGGACTTTGACCTCCCCCGGCGCCGACTGGACGAAAAAAGCAAGGAGGAGGCGCCCAATCGTCTGTGGTCCCTGAACCCCCGGGCATCCCCGCGGGGAGACCAAGGCGATCCGCGATTGATCCTCGTTCCTCCTCTCCGAGAAGTTACATTCGGATGGCGTTGTGAGTCGTCGCTAACCCGTGTCGCCCCTTGGCTGAGGAGCGGCCAGGATCGGCCATGGCGATTTTATTGTTCCCCAGGTCATGCCCACAAACCACGGCGGCGGTCGCCGTGTTACGGTTGCTCTTGCCCCGTCCGTGCTTTCCCCGTGCTGCCCCCAGTGCTGCCACTGCCACCCCTTGGCTCGTTGTTCATGTCTGTCGGGAGGATTGGTTGCTCGGCAGACCAGCGGAATACGACCGATGCATCACGGAGCGATCCCTGTCTGCCAGTCGCTGTTGCCTTTCCGTGCGCGGTGACATAGCGACGATGGATGGCTGCAGACAACCCGAGGCCGACCGCGTCGGCGATCCGAGTGATCCATCGCATCGCATGTGCATTCCTGTGCGGTCTGTCTGCCCGTTCTCGTGCTCGCATTCATGAGTTGTACCACGGCCTGCTGGAGTGCTCCGTCTCTCTCTCGAGCATAGTGACACGGAAAAGTCATACACCGAATCTCCACGGCACTTCGGCCCCGTCCGAGTGGCACGCTGATTGGCCCCCAGCCTCCGAGACGCCAGCGAACCGACCCCGGCCAACCCCGCATTTGCTGAATTCGCATTAGGTAAGTCGGCTATGGGCCGATCTACTCACCTTCCCAGGCATACGTGACGGACGAGTGTATCCTAAGGATGAGTACGAGAGTAGGGATACATTCTATGTTGAGTACTAGGTTATTCAACACATCTTTACTATACGATATCACCGAGTCAGGCACAGGCGACGACTGTACACATCCCGAGCAAGCCTAGACTCGACCCCGAACTGTCCGGAATTCCTTTTGCCTCGTGTCAAAGTGGATCCCCCTGACTTTTCCCCGGTGGATATTCTCGCCCAGGCACGAAAAAAAAGCGAAATATGATTTTCGCGGAGAACCACTCACAAAAAGGGAAATTTAAGCAGCGCCGAGTCTGTTACGACAATGTAAAATCAAGGTTGGCCTGACAGCAAGCCCCTTCGACCCTAGACTACCCGTCCCTCCCCTCCCCTCCCCTCCCCTTGAGGGTATACCCTACACTAGAGTACCGGGACGATCGAGATAGATTGGCAGCTGCAGATGCGACATGGCCATCCCCCACACCGACCCCGGCTACCCTCTGTAGAGTAGAGGCAACCTCGCCTAACACAGCCACGTTCCTAATTGTTGTGCCGCCGGCACCGACGGTAGAACCTACCCAATGCCACCCGCAATTCGATGTGGTAATCGGGGGAACGTGCCCGCCTCATTTCTTTTGCCATTATTGTCGCTGCCCAGGTGGTTCAAGGTTTGGGCCGGGACAATGACGCCCGAGCCGGGGCAGAGTCGCCCTCGCCCAGCTGACCCGACAGTTCCTGGGTGAGTGATGGCTTAGGGTAGCCCAGGGCAAGGCAAGTCTGTCGGAGAAATGAGCTCATGCAAATAAAATTTCTCCGCCAAAATAAAAATGTGACCCCCCAGCTGACCACCGGACCCGTAATTTCCACACCCCATCCCCACGCCGCAAATCTTCGTGGTCCTGATCCTGCCATTCCCACTTTTACCTACAGTAGGTTGCCGCCGGGAGAGCGAGAGCAGGCGTCCTGCGGAAATCTGGTCTGAATTCGAACTGGTTTGCTGGATCCCGCCGTCCGTGGCTTTCACCCTTTGCCCGATCAAACGAGGTTCCCGTGCCGCGCTCCGGACTACCGAATCGGTCGGTGTAGCCTGTTTGTCTGGAATAGGAATATTTATGAGCTCTACGTCTTCTATGCCATCACGTCTAGCTTATCTCAAGTAGTTTTAACTTATCAATGCCTGCCATTACCCTACCCTGGGTACATTATTTTCCAGTCAACCGAGACGTACCCGATCGGGATCTCGCCGTGTTTGTACCGGCCCCGACCGAATTATGTAACCCGGTCACTGCCAAGCCTACCTGAGGGGATTTCTTCATGCAAACGTCCAGACGTTTACCCTTGGTAGACTCAGGTTTTAGCTACTCGTGAACAAGGAAACCGTCCCGCAAACTCAAACGGTCAAGGAAACCGTCCCGCGACATCCTCAAAGGACCTCCCATAGGACGCGGCGGTGCAATCCCCACATCGGGTCGGGTAATAAAATAAAATTCAGCAAATCTCCGGTGACATCCCGATTCCGAGCCGATGGTTTCATGCCGTGTGATTGTTTAGCCCGGGACTCACATGTGGGCAGTGTGGGATTTCTGGGACGACGTGGGGGTTCACATGAGTAGGAGGGTGTGAGATTTTGCGGTTGAGAGAGTGCTTGGCTGGCGACTTACCTGGGAGTAAGTGGGTGATGGTTTCCGCGTATCCCACTTTTCTCTTTGCAATACATCGAAGAGCACCTGAGGCTTACTGGACGTGGAAGGTAGGTTTGCAGGGACTTGGCGGGTGTAGGATTTACAGCGGATCTCTGACGTAGTGTACCACGCGTGACTCTTGAAACTAGCCAGGTCCATATTTCGAATTCTTTTTCTCATGTACCTCCCATGTAATCATCCCGAGTCGATTTAGTTTGGTTCTTAGCTGCGTCTAGAAGATGTGGTTCCGGGTCGATTACTTTATCTGGGTGTTTAGTCTTGTGTGCGGAGCTTGCTTCGCAGTGTGTATTTCAGGAAGTACAAGTCTAGAAGGTACTTTCGCAGCGTACTCAAAGTCCTGGAGATAGTATGGTGTTGAGATATGTACGTACACAATACACAGCTAGTGTACCATCCAGGATCAATGCAGGGTCAACGATACACGACCGGCTCTACCGCCTGTTCTGTTTAGGCTATTTGTGTGTGGCGTGGGGTACGTAAGGTTGCATGAGCTAGCGTCGGGGCTGTGTACATCATAATGGATGAGTGTATGTATATATATATTCGAGGATCTTGGTCGATTTGGGGTCTGAGTGTAGTAACGATTCACAAGTGTTAACCGCAAGAGCCCGAGTGATGTTTATAGTTCTTAGTGTATTGCTTTGCATTCGGTGTTTTGTCGTGGTTTTGGCCTTCAGAGGCTGGATCCTGTGTTTTCCGACCGCGGTTTCTGCCTTCCTTCCATCCATCTCCATCTCAACGATCGCCTTTTTTTTCTTCTTAGACGCCTCCCCTAGTCCGTTCTAGGGGTTCCTCATCTTTTGCTTTGAACCTTCTTCCTGGACCTCGGGTGTAATCATAGAACTGGCTGATAATCATTGGAATGCAGTGTGTATCGCGATGAATTTACACTTCGCTTATACTCATCTCGAGATGGATAGTTCATCCATTCAAGGACTACAAGAACTAAGAGATAGAAGACGCATTGCAAACCCAGAGAGTCATTCCCCCACCCCCATTCAATTTAATCTGTTTATACCAACATCTACCTCGAACTCTCAAACTCCGCTCTTTCCCTCTCCCGCATCTTTCTGTTCATCCTAACAACCTCCCAAGTCGACACCAGCTCCCCTAACTCCCGACTACAGCCCAGGCGGAAGCCCCTCATTGCACCACCTCACAGCAAAATCCATCCCCACTGCACAGCCAAAAGATTGACACTCTCCATATCCCTGCGGTAGGCAGACCTCGAATAACTAATCCAAAGCCGCACAGCAACCTCCCTGAGACAAGGCGCAGCGTCCTGAACTGAAGTAAGAAAAGCTTGTACAGCGCGTATGGTGGAATACACGCCCCAGTTATTTCCCTCGACGCCCATATCTTGACGGAGGGTGAGTCGGTGGAGGCTGCGCGGGAGGAATGTTGAAATGTCTAGTTCTGTCGCACCTGGAAGGCCGAAAAGGAGGAAGGCGGGTAGTCTGTGGTTTCGAGGGTCGTGAATGTCTTTAATATCCCTCTAAACGGATTGACGCGTGGTGCCGGGTTTCTGTCGTCCCAATTCTCTTCTGAGACCAGGGGTAGGCATTCCAGTCCTATGGAAAAGTGTTGTAGAGTGTCTTTCATAGCACTGAGGCCGTATATAAGCCCTTCCGCACCGGCAAGTAGACCTGGCTCTCACCTACGGGTGACCCTCCGGACCCTCCAACCCGACCCGCACCACGGGTGGGTGAGGGTCTGACTTCTAAACCCTCAGGGTCGGACACCTCTATATCCGACCCTCAAGAGAGTCACCCGCCGGTGAACCTCAGGGTCCACAAACAGGACAAACAGGTAAAAAGCGTGACTTACTCGTGATGCATAAATTATGTAGATTTAGAGAGGTTTTCTGTGTATTCATTTGTAATTTTTAATACAGGATTGAAGATTTAAGAATCAGGAGAGAGATAAAATCATAAGAAACGTGTATTTTTTGTCTTACGAATGATTTGACATAGGATATATATAATAAAACAATGCAGTAATTATTGAGATCCAAGTACATAACCATTAAGTAGCTTCGAGCGCTTGCGCTTTCTACTAGATACACGCTGCTGTATGTCAGGCAAAGGTGGGTTTGTACAGTCGTCATCATCGTCATCATGATCTATAGCCTCTCTATCTTCAGGGTCAAGTGTTGCCGTGCGAGACCGTGGAAGGGACTGCGTATTAGGAGGCTGTGTACGCTCTGCCTCATATACTGGATCCTCTGTCTCTTCCTCAGTATCACTGATCGGATCAAACGATTCTTTCCATATTTTATTAGCCTCTGTTATGGCTGCGATCTCTCGGTGTGAGAGATACTCCTATAGCATAAGCCGTTTCTGCTCTTGGAGGTCAAAACTTATCGTACACATCCACAGCATGATATCCCAGATAGACTTTGGCTTTAAAGACCCTCGTCGATAATGACAGATGTCCCGAGCGGAGTTAAAGAGATGCTCCACTCTTGCTCCAGTTGCTGGGATCGACAATATATCCCGGGCAAGGCTTGCAAGTAGGGGAAATTCGCGTTCATGGTCTTTCCAAAAGACCCGAGGGGAGCCTCGTACGGTTGCTAAAAGAAAGAGTTAGTGTCATTTAGTAAGAAAGGAAGGAAGCACGTACGACTTTCAAGGTATCTCGTAAGCTCGTTCTGTTGCGGAGGCAGTGACGCTTGCGAGTTTTCAAATAGTAAATCAGCGTCTGTCATTGTCGTCATCGACAACTCGGCGTCTGATCGTAGCCTTTCTTCCGGATGTTTCTGGTCGTAAACGCTTCTGAAGTGAAACAGCTTGGGGCCCAAACGTTCGAGGTCCACTGCATCACCTGTGATCACCACCAGGAGCAGGACAGTGAGCCACTAACAAAAGGAGCTGCAGCTGATAGTTCTAGACTCATCTAAATATCATCGGTTAGAATCAGTCCGGTCAAGGCATTAGGTTCCACTCGGTTATCAAGTGGCGGGCAGGGGCACTCAAGGAAAGGAAAGAAAAGCAAGAGTTGCCAGACATCATCCTTTGCATATCAGAAACCAGTCAGTGTCGTTGAGTTGCTGGATTTTCTAGAGCACTCTCTATCTCATTTCCTACAGCCCGCAAGGCAAACCACTCAACGAAAAGAACCAATCCCAGATTATAGACGTAATATTCAAACGTGGGTAAAGAAGATAAGTATTTTACAATAAGAGAATCCAGAAGAGAACGGGCACCCAAACTGATTAGACATTACCTAATGGCTCCAGAGCGCATTAGAAGAACCTGTCACAAATTAGCACAGCACTGGAATCCTGGTATGGATCTGGAGCACTCTGAGAATATATTGAGCACCCATTTATTAGTTATGAACGTACCATGCGGCAAGGGCGATGATCAGGTACATCATCATAAGCAGGACACCCTCCAGCCAATGCGACTTGCCGTCGGCGATGAGGTAGTTTACCAGCAAGACAGAGACGAAAAGGAGGATTACTTGGAATCCGTCGAAACCCAGGGTCTATTCAGTATTAGTATTATACCTTGAGGAGTATTCGTGGGTGTTGAGCGTACCATGTTATCAACACCTGGGACAATGTTAGCCGAATCCGAGGAGAAAAGATACGAGTGAAAGAGCTGGGAAACATACCAATAATCCACCCCAAAACAACAATCAACGGCAAAACGAGCAGTGCAATCTGCATACTCGAGCCAACAGCAACCCCAATCGCAAGATCCATCTTATCCTTACAAGCAACTGTAACAGCAGTAGCATGCTCCGCCGCATTACCAACAATAGGCAACAAAATCAATCCAACGAAGGTATCAGAGATATTGCCCGTAGCCGTCAATCCATCAATGGAATCAACCATGAACTCCGCGCAGACGGCGACAAGCGCCGTTGAGGCCGCCAGGGTCAGTAAAGCCACGGTGATGGTTAGCTGAGGCTGCTCGGGCTCGTCCTCGGGGTCTTGCATGTCGATTTGCTGCGCGTTTTCACCGCCGATTTGTTTTGCGGCTGCGTTGCCTATTTTCGCGAGTCCGCGGCTCAGGTCGCCTTCGCTGATGCGGCGTCGGCGTTTTTCGACTTTCTTGCTCGGCTCGTTGTACATTTCTGTATGGGATTTTAGTTGGAAGAAGAGGTAGCAGCCGTAGATGATTAGCAGGAGGACAGAAGTGCCGCGGGAGAGAGCGGCAGTTTTGTCTTTGTTGCCTATTTTAGGAGTTAGTGGGTTGATGCTTGGTAAGTGGGGAGGGGATACGGACCATCAGACCACTGATGGAATGCGGTCGGAATGATTAGACTGCTGACGGCCAGGGCGAGAAGACTGGCGGCCGTCTGCGCGACGACGACGTTAAAGTGCTGCTCGAGACGGTTGACGCCGCCGAAGAAGAAACACATGCCCATGACCAGTAGCAGGTTGGAGAGCATGCTGCCGATCAGTGAGGTTTGGACGATGACGACTTCTTTCTTGACCAGGGCGATGATGGCGACGATTAGTTCGACCGCGTTACTACTGGTGTTAGATACACTAGTGCAGTGGCACATTCGATGAGGGTTGAGTGACCTACCCGAATGTGGCATTCAGTAGACCACCGATTGTCTCGCCGGTTCTGGGATCGTCAGTTGAGTTCTTCTGTGTGTTTTCTTGTGGCACTTACCGCAGGGCGATTTCCTCGGTTGCGTAGCTCAGCATGGCTGCGAGGGGACTATAGTAAATAGATTAGCCAAATCCAACCATAGTCGAGACAGTCGCTCTCACATGATGGCAATAAAGTTCACGACGAAGATGGCAATGGGATTCGCCTTGACGCAATAAAGCGCAACTAAACAAAAGAGTCAGCAAAGATCAATATCACACAATTAAAGGTCAACATACTCCCAGCAGGCGCCGCAAAAATAAGCACATTAATCCAAGAATTGAACACGGTCGCCCGAATCTGCGACGCAACCGTGAACTTCGGCGCGTCATCCTCTTCTTTGAACTCCTCCGGCTCCTTCTCATGACTAGACCGCTTAAATTTCAAGAACCGCGATCGCGGCTTCCCCGCCTCGACATCAGGCTCCAGCCCCCGCGCCGAACTCACATTGATCGGATCCTGGCTGCGCATCGACGGCTCGGGATCGCCGCGATACGGACTATCCGGCGCGACGTGGTCGCTGCCAGCGGACTCGGGGGGGGAAGGTGCCCGAGTACTCGGGGCCGCCGATACCGTTGGTCATTTCTGCGCGCCGGCGGTGGTCTTCGGAGAGGCGGAGGTCGCCCATGCTTCGTGAGGCGCCGGGGCCGTCTTCGAGCGGGATGGATTGGGAGTGGCGGGGGCGACGGCGGAATTTCTTGAAGGGGTTATGGGAGGAGGGTTCGCCTTCTTCGTCGTACCAGGCAAGATTGCGGGCTTTGCGGCGGTAGATGTCTGGGAGAGTATCAGGGAGGATGCTCAAAGAATTGGGTTTGATTGAATGCATTGAGTGCAATGCATTCAAGATGAGGTGTGGTTTTTATGTGCGCGAGGAATGGTATAGCTGCGGCCTTCTTTGACTTACGCATTTTGACAGTGTTTGAGGCTCGACGCCGTGAAAGGAGTGATAGCTTCTGAAAGCACAATTTAGCAGGTGTCCCAAATGTTATAGTATGGGATTGATAATATAGTGAGGTGAGGTCGGGCAGTGAGGGCGGGCTTCCCAACAGACCAGCACATAGCCGACGATGTTAAGATCAGGCCCCGTCAGGCGGCCACTGTTGCCTTGAGCTCACCGACTCTCGGACACGAATCGCATCACTTACGCGTTAAGGAAAGGGTTTCGGGTGGGCCATACAATGAGGCGCGAGTGGAGAGAGAGAGCGTATAGGTCGTGGCTCAGCACCGCCGCCACAGTCAGATCGAGGCTGGAGTTGCGAAAATTGCGAGGATGAAAGTCGCAAGAGTTTGTCGCGATTGTTTTGACCACGAGCGGTGGGAGGTGGAGCTAGCAATTGGCCACGCAAGGGAGAGAGGGCGCGAAGCGAATGCGTGATGACCAAGTAAAACAAAGAAGGAGGGAATGACAGGCAGCCTAGGGGAACATTGGAAAATGCAGGTGGAAATGAGGAAATTCAGGATAAAGTTGGTCAATTATTCAACACAGCCACACTCGCCAGGGGCGATCGCAGCGCTGCAGTGGGGGGAAGCTTGGCACGAGCAATCTGGAAGGGGTTTGAAATTGACGAGTACCACGTTCAACTTGAATTATCTGGTATAAACATGGCAATGCTGGTTGAGATTGAAAGCAGGGCTCTTGACGTTGGTGTGACTGTGGTGGTAGGCGTATTTGGGTTGGGGCGAGTTGGCAGTGTGTCTTTGTTCTTTGCATGTGTTCTGCTGACTGCGCACCCAAGCAATCTCCAAGCTTCTCCAAGACTCTTGGAACCACCCAAGCACCCAAGGCTTCGACGAAGCTTGGTTTCAGGTTTTCTGCTTGGCGACACTCAATCTTTCGATCGCGATCGTCGACACTCGTGAGGTCACCCTGCGTGATCGTCGATGCGCTGGCGACCATCCATCAGTGACACTCACACGTATTGTGGCACAACGGGTCCCCCCAGTCATTGGCGCAATCTAATGAAGACGTCTGGCAATTTCCCGACCCACGCCAAATTGTTCTGCTCCGCCCAATCGCCGACGCCACGAGCCCGCTGGTCCGGTCCAGTCGTCGCAGCCACGACGCGTTGGCAATCACGTGAAGTCATTTGCCGGTATTCACGCATTGTTGGCATTTTGGCATTCAGAGACACTCGGAGGACTCAGGCATTGTCCGGGGTCTCAGACAGTGCCACAACGAGGCGGCCGGGTAGTGATACGTCGGTGGCTGTTCGCCGATACTTGAAGCCGCACAGACGCGACGGCGGTCGCTCCCTCCAGGCTTCTCGTCGTGTCGTCTCAGCCACGGCCAGCGTTATGTCGGTGAGAGCCTTTCAAGAGTCCGGTGTTGCTCGTAATGCCTGCGTTGGCAGCGTTGGTCGAGTCATGGCGGTGCGCGCGGATCAAGTCAGCGTAGCTGCGTTAGTGAGCGCCCATTGGAGCCAAGAAAGCTCTCGAGACTAGTTGACCTAGTAAGGTAGGGGTGCAAGCGCCGCGGTCCACGTCAACGTGAGGCAGCACTGGAGGAAGGTATAGCTCGGAGTTCTAAGGTGTAAAGGTCTAAGCAGCCCTATGGATTTATTTCAGCCCTGTAGAGATGGGTGGGATTGCTGCTGCCTACGGCGGGTACTAAATTTAGGGTGCCTACTTGATTCGGTAGGTAAGCTCTCCCTTTGCTCGAGACGGCATGCATACCCCATGCCTACTGGAATCTGGTAAGAGCTTCTTAGCTTGGTCTGGTCTGTTTCTTGGCTTTTACTATTGTTTCAACTGCACTGTAGAATATCACAGGAGTGAGATGTGGTGCGCCGCGGGATCACCTCGGCCAGTGTTTTGTCAACACCCAGTATACTTGGGGCGTCGCACGTAGCACAGCAGTGTTATGTTATAGCAAAAACTGGATTAACTATTGGTAGTGTATGTTTAAGACTCGCATGCTTGGCAGGCGGCTGCATGTTGACTCTGCAATGCATCGGCCGCACAAACAAATCTCCGACCAGTCCACACGCGCTGAATGGCTTTCGTCTGAAGTTTTCTTGCTGGCAAACGCAACAGCTGACTCCAGAGGCGGTTTAATTCCCACGATCATCAATTGAATAGTGTCCGAGACTCTTATCTTGTTGGCAATTCATGTGATGGCGCATCTCCACATTCATCATGGGGCGAAAATCGCGAAATATATTTTTGAACATCTTCCTTGAGAACAACACCACTACTACCAGCCATTCCCAATCCAGTTTCCGTCATGTGACATGTGAAGGAACTTTACACCAAATCGTGATAAGAAGCAATACACCTGAGTCTGATGAACACTTGCGCAGTCAATGTCCATTGCTCCTTCATTGATGCTGTCGTCGGTGTGAAAGTCATGTATCACGCGACCTAGACACCCTTGCGATGCTTACAAGAAATTTCCGTATAGCCCAAATAGATGTGCTTATCGCTTCAGTACTCTGGTGTCGCGCAAAGCACCGTGGTCTTCAAGCTCGGTCTGGTCCATTTCGAGTTTATATGGAGACGATGAGAGGGAAAGGCGTTGTGCCGACTCGTTGCTTGACGTTATGTAATGTGGTCGAAAGCACCGTGAGATGTGGAACGAGTGCCTTTAAGGAGAAATCCGTTCACCCACATTTTCAGTGCTTCCACATAGGTGTCTGAATCCAGATTTCTGTCTTTCCAGGAGGGCGAGCATCCCCGTGTCCCTCTCTACTGCTTCATCCAGCGTACGAAAATAGACGGAGCCGATTGGGTGAAGAAAGAGTGGTGGTCTCCTGTTGGCGAGCTCGATTTGAGCATGCTTGCATTGCATGATTGAATACCATGTCTTGCCTTTCTCCATTTTGTTGTCTGCAGCTTGTCTTCGTTTTCGGAAGGAGGTACTATCGTATCTCTCCTGGGTCTCTGAACGTACCGGACATCCGCTCGCTGAGTAGTCTGGATTGCAGATCGAGATATACAAGTACGGGAGATGTAGCGACTCTTTTAGCTCGAGCGCGGTTCGGCGGAAGGCGGAAAGACATCATATCCGGTGAACGCCCACTAGGCCAAATCCCACACTAGTTGATTGTACCGCAAATGCCAGGACCACAACCCCAGAGTCTACCTGGCTGCCGTTTGAAGATCCGGCTCGGACAGCGTCTGAAAAACTAACATCTGCTCGAAATTCAAGTAAAAATATAGAGCCGGTATTCGAGAAAACACAGACACTCGAGGTTTGCAGGTTGTGTTGGACCGTCCACCGCGTTTCAGTCTGAGCCGTGACACCAATGACTGGACGTGGTTCGACTAAGAAGGAGCGGACCTCGCCGTCTGACGTAGGGGAAATACGTTAAAAACCGACTTAGGGATAAGAGGGAATTCATCAGTTCGTCTTTTGTCTTCGCTGATCTTGAGGCGATACTGCGAGTGGACATGGTATTGGGCATCTTCAAAGTCATAGCCGTCTGGGTAAAGATTTCGGTATGTCTCTCCTCGCCAGAGTAGTAATTGGCATCCATGCGTGGACCGAACTCGTTGAAATCTTATTCGTGCTTGTCGTGGGAGTAATGCCACTTTGACAACCACAACCCCATCATCCAGCTCATGACTAGTCCCAGACACGGGCTCAGAAGACTCTTCGTAACTCAGCCTCAATCGCGTCGACTATGGCACGAAGAAAACATTTCGGACTTCCTCGAGAACGTCGAGGCTCCAACATGTGTCGGGCTTGTTTACTTCCCTGATCCGGAATGCGAACGAGCATCAATTTGGCAAGTCCCTCTCGAATATGCTCCTATCAGCTTCTCGTAATAGGCACTCGTCCTTGTTCTCGCGTGGTCATGATTCCGGGGACCAGCCACTGAAAGTTCATGTCTCCAAAGCACCGGGGATTCACTATTTCCAGGAGGAATACATCCATGTCAAACCCCCACTCGCAATTGCGAGTTCGATACACCAAATCCTGCCGTAGTTACTCGAGGCACAAGTTGTCTTCCAGCACCTGGAGGCTCGGGCTATCTCATTGAGGCAGTCTCAACGAGCCCAAGCGGGCTCGAAGATAGCCCGCGCACCGGAGTTTGCCACCATTTTACCAATTCATTAGATGGCAGATTCAGGGCTTCCAAGAGCGTCCCCTCCTTCACATTTGAATGCAGCGGGTTCCTCCACGATGCTAAAGGTATTTGCCCCTGTTGACAGGCGACACCAGGGGCGCATTCGACTGGTTCATTCCCGAGTTCGCGAAGACTGCCACGAGACTCGATTGGTGTGTCATGGACACAGACGCCAGGAATGCGATATGCGACACTCCAACTTATCGCACACCTCGGTTTCATTATTAGAAGACCTAGTAGACCTTGTTTGGCGAGGTCGGGCTGAAGGGTTTGCCAGCAACTTCGCAGGCAGGGTAAGATTGTGACGGAGATATTTTTCGCGAAATGAGGCTGTGATGAGGTTGTTCTCCGTCGACAGCTCTCTTTTATCCAGAATGTATTGGTGGAAGTCAAGGGCGAGCGGCAGTACTGCTTCTGACCACTGATAAGTTTGAGCGAGATCGAGGATCTGCCTCATGAACATGAGTAGGTTGGGAACTGCCTTTGGATGTTTCTCGCCGAAGAGATATCCTATGACGGCTAGGTATGTAAGGAAGCAGCTCGTCCATGTTTGAGGGTTGGGGACCCAGTCCTTAAGCGATGCCGCTGCCTTCTTGAAGCCTTCTGTGCCTCCCGACTCGGTCATCTTGAAGACCCTGTCCTCCTGATCCAGCTCGGTGACTGATTTCTCTTTGAAGCGTATGAGTTCAGTCGCCTTCAACTTCCTCTCGAAGACGTGAGTAAGAAGGGCGGCGGAGACACCCGGGAATATGTCGAGGAGTGGTTTAACCTCAGGGGGTGGCTCGCGGTTTTCCTCGAGATTATCGTCATCTTGCAGGTCCACACGAGGCCTCCTGCGGCGGAGGTCGGTCTCTGCTACATCCATTTCAAGGCGCCTGGCCCTGTCTCTCTGTATCTGTTTTAGCCAACTAGCACGGTCCACTGCGCCCATGGTTTCCCAGATGTGGACCGGAGGCCAAGCAGAATCAAGTAGGGGAGGCGTGACACTGCTGGACTGGCTGAACGTCATGGTGGAGAGCGATACATGTATAGTCAAGGCGTATTGGCGCTGTTGCCGTAGAGGAAGGATGTAAACAAAATCGAGTCTTGACTGCGTGAGAGACGACAAGCTACCACCAGAGGCAAAGCAACTGACTCTTCAGAGGCAGTTGTAGGAGGAAGGAGCCCTCCGTAATGTCGGTGTAGATGTCATGTGAGACAGCGTGGGCAACGTGAGGCAACCCCAATAAAACTCCTCTCCTTATTGCACTTCCCAATGCTCGTCCGCAATACTCGGTTATGCCTCGTCGAAGATGAACCGCGACAGCCACCATCGTTGAGATACCAAGACCGCTGAAATTCTGCGCTTGTGCCAGGTGGAGCTCAGTTTATATGTTTCAGCGGTAGGCACATCTCAACCGAGCCGGCTGTTCTTTATGCCATATCCGAGTCATGGCGCAGCCGGGCTGTCTTACGCAAGGCGAAGGAAAAACAAAGTTAGCCCGGCCGGGGCATATCCTCGACCGGTAGACACACTGGGACAAATCACCTTTCTACCCCTAAGCTTCGGCTTACATATGGTAGCACGTCCAAATTTGAAGGTACTTGGACTCACTTTAGTGGGTGTTCCCTGCCCTTCATTGCAAGGTCAAGCACCGTATAATACCGCCCCGCTACGGGTGTTTGGAATTGACGAATGTCGAAGTTACTGTACTTGTCGAAACCCAGCGTGAAGACATTTCCGATAATGAGATCGAGAACGAAATCGACCAAGTCTGAAAAGACCACTCGGCGCCATTCGATTTACGGCAGGCCTGAGGAGGGGCGGGGGTTAGGTCTCTTAGGTCTCGAGAGAGCCAAGCGAGAGAGAGGTCGTTCCCCCGAAACAATTGCGGAGGATTGGACAGAACCAAAGCAAACCAAATCCGAAAAGCGCAGAGATTTCTCAGTATGGAATGCATTGGAAGGCCGTAAAGCGCCCGTAAAAAACCTGAAAACCAAGAAGCAGAACGAGACATGCTTCCAAATTGAATCTGGTCGCATCGCTGAAAAAGACTGATGGAGACAATGATTGTCAGCCAGATTGAGGTTGAATAAGCGCTACATCCAAGAAAAATGAGCCTGGAGGTTGTGAGCGCTGACTGACCGATCGCGCCAGGCCAAATATTATTTTGGGGGCTGGGACTACCCAACGAATTGTCTCCGGTGCTTCTTCGTGTCAATACTCAGCAGGGCAATGATGCTTGCATGCCAGTTCATGCTGGCGAAAGACCGTCACAAGTGCCCCGATTTCGGCCTAACGTTGGCCGACCACCTATTGTACGCGCGTTTGGTACCCCCTGGATTCCCGTGTATAGAGAGTACTACGTGTTGCAAGGCGGACTGAGTCCAATGCTGGCACCACTGCTCTCCCCTAACTACAAGGGAATGAAGTCGATGTACGACGGTGTGGAACGCCTTCGAATTTGGCTGGGCATTGTTGCGGCGACGCCTTGGCATGTTGCTGTAGCCTCTTAGGCTAGATTTAACTTGCTGGCTCGTGGTCAAGGAACTCGATCTATTGTTGCTGAGTTGGACGTACAATGCAGCAATAACAATAGATCGACATTTTCACGACGGCGTGCAGTGCTGACTGGCTATCTTCCCCTGACCAGTCATCGGCAAGGGAAGGAAATCATTACCAGCAGCTCGAGGGTAGGGTCGCCTATCCTTTTGACTCTATCCTTTTGACTAGGAGTCGCGAACTTTAACGGTGATCTAGTAGTCCGTAGCTGAGGTTGAATTTCCAGGATATACATAGTATCCGACTGTACCTAGGTAGCTTCGATGGTCTTGCACTGCAACCCGATGGACGGCACCCAGACATCGGAATTAAGAACTATTGACGCGATAAAGATTAAGTTGAGCTTTCCAGATGGATATTCCCGGCAAGATGGTAAATCGCGCACATCAGCGAACCCCTGAGCTCAGTCCTTGCGCCTGCAGGCTACGTCATTTGTCACGGATCAGCTTTTACGTCTCGCGAGGCAGCACTATTTGGGCGCTAAAAAGCTTGGTCGGTAGCAGATGGGGACGATGGAGCCCTCAATTTCGTGGCTTTCGAACCATTCGACCTGTGCATTAGCTTTAAGGGTACACAAGCAAGCGGGAGGGCAGCAGTGGTGTTTATTTGTGTTGTCGCCGCGTTTGCATTCGGCCCGCGATCGTCAGGGGTAGGGCCACCGCGATGAAATAGGATTTTGGTAAGGCACCACACGCATCAATTGAATGCCCTGAGCCCTTTGGGTAATTGTGTCCATTGTTGCGCAATCGCTCCTGACGCTGCCCATCTCTGATCGCTTCGATTTGTGCCGTCCTGGGGAAGCGGGAGACGCGGGAAAGCCAAGGTTGGGGCCCCACCGACGTGATTTTGCGTGCTTGCGACTGAGGGATCAGGGTCTGCCCTCTACGGAATATGTCTGCCTTGCACGCCACAAAAACACAGCAGAACGGCTGGAATGCGATATACCCCAAGAATACCTACCTGACCTTGAAGATTTAAAGACTGGTGGGTACAGACAAGCCTTGCTACAAGACATGCCAATTCGCCAAGGATGCTTGTCTCGTCGAGATTAGCCGCACGGACTGGGCGCAATCTCTAGATATTGTGAGGCGGAGGAGGCTGTTTGGAGTAAGGCCGAGATTTGGCCTTCAGCCCTGGGTTAGGGGCAGTAATAATAGTAATCCCACGGGTCGATTGGTGTCATCAAGAATGTGCCATCCGAAACAATGCTCCGAGCCTGCTGGGTGGATTCCAACGACATCATCCCAGGAGCGATCGCCCTTGGCGAGAGACAAGCTTTTCGACGCAGGCGATACGATGCAGGCACGGGCTGCCATCCAAGACCATCGGATCCCTTTTGGTCACGGAGGAGACCAATTCGGTCCAGTCGTTCTATCACTTTCCGTAATTTCCTGCTCCTTTTCGAAGCAGCAACATCAGGCGAGGGGACCAAACAGCGTCGATAACGGTCGGTGGGGACGACGTGGACCCTCGCAACCCCAGCCATTCAGGGTGCGCACCCCCAACTAGCCCCGGATCGAGAGACCCTGAATGGTCCCTGGAAGTCGGAAAGTGGGTATGCAAGTGGAACGGAAGTGTCCCAGGGGTCCCAAATTGATGCAGTTAATTGGGCCGATGGCGATAACTGGGTCTGGCGCAGGGAGCGAAGGGCCCACGGGGGTCAGACACAACAAACAATGAGAGCCCAAGTGGAACACCGCAGGGAAGCGTACCCACGTTGCAGGGCCGAGTCCTGACAAGCCTTTTCCAAGACCACCCAGTGATGTGCGGTGCCCACCGGCACAGCCCGGCTGATGATGCGTCACGGAAGGAAGTGGTTGTAGCACATGAAGTCGGCCAGTGATGGCAGATGCGGTGGAGCAGAGCAAAGCGACCCCAGGGGTCGGACTGGGCCCCGTCCCTTCCTCCCTTTTGTCTCGACGGCTACTTCTTTTCTTCTCTCCTCCATCCTTCGCTTTCTGGCTCTTCCCGCCAAGTCGTTCTTTCCACCCACTTCAGTTCGTCTCGACACTCGTTTCGAGCCGTAACACATAATGAAGTTTTCCCTTCTTGCCGGCCTGTCCCTTGTGGGCGCCGCCGTGGCCACGAGCTCCATCCCCTCCATTGAAGTCAAGGGCAAGAAGTTCTTCTACTCCAACAACGGCACTGAGTTCTTCATCCGCGGTGTTGCCTACCAGGCCAACTTCGACGGCGAGACTAGCGGCGGTGGCAGCGACAGCTACGTCGACCCGCTGGTGGATGCGGCTACTTGCAAGCGTGATATTCCCTACCTGCAGCAGCTCCGCACCAATGTCGTCCGTACCTACGCCATCAACCCTGACCAGTCCCACGATGACTGCATGAACGCCCTCGCCGATGCCGGTATCTACGTGATCAGCGATCTGTCCGCCCCCGACGAGTCCATCCAATCGTCTGACCCTACCTGGAACGCCGAACTGTTCACCCGCTACTCCCAGGTTGTCGACACTCTCGCTCCGTACCCCAACGTCATTGGTTTCTTCGCCGGTAATGAGGTCTCGGACGCCGTCAACAACACCAACTCCATGGCTTACGTCAAGGCTGCTGTCCGTGATATGAAGACCTACATCAAGGACAAGAACTACCGCTCGTCTCTGGCCGTCGGTTACGCTACCGATGACAACCAGTACGTCCGTGAGCAGGTCTCCAACTACCTGGTCTGTGACAACGCCGATGACTCCATCGACTTCTTTGGTTACAACATCTACGAGTTCTGCGGTCACTCCTCCTTCGCCAGCTCCGGTTACAAGGAACGCACCGAGGAGTTCTCCGACTACCCTGTTCCTGCCTTCTTCTCCGAGTACGGCTGCGTTCAGCCCCCCAAGGCCCGTCCCTTCGATGATGTCCCCATTCTCTTCGGTCCTCAGATGAACGAGGTCTGGAGCGGTGGTATCGTCTACATGTACTTCGAGGTCGGCAACCACTACGGTCTCGTTTCCACCTCCGGCAGCTCCGTCTCCACCAAGCAGGACTTCGACAACCTCTCCTCCCAGATGAAGAAGGTCACCGCCACCGGTACCAACAGCGCCGACTACAAGGTAACCACCACCGTTGGCCGCTCCTGCCCCACTGTCGGCTCCGACTGGCTCGCCGCCAGCAAGCTGCCTCCTTCGCCCAACTCCGACCTGTGCGAGTGCATGTACGACTCTCTCGAGTGCGTCCCCAGCGACGACGTCTCCAACAAGAAGATCAAGAGCACTTTCGACTACCTCTACGGTCTCAAGGCCAAGGGCACCATCGATGCCGTCTCCGGTGTCTACTCCAACGGTACTGAGGGTGTCTACGGCGCCTACTCCATGTGCAACGCCAAGCAGCGTCTCGCCTGGGCTATGAACCGCTACGCCAAGAAGCAGGGCGGCGCCTCCGCCTGTGACTTCGGCGGCCTCGGTACCTCCAAGAAGGCCACGACCGCCAGCGGCTCCTGCGCCACTCAGATGTCCTCTATCGGTGCCGCCGGTACCAACTCCGTCAACGCCGGTCTGGCCGCCTCCACCGGCGCCGCTGGTGGTGCTACCGGTGGTAGCAGCGCTACCTCTTCAGGTCTGGCTGCTGGCATGACCCAGCCCCATGCCGTGCACGTCGGCGCTTGGCAGCTTGGTGCTTACTCCCTGGCCGCTCTGGCTTCGGGTGTTTTCATGATTATGCTGTAAGCCTAAAATGGGTTATATTCACTTCTATTTCAGTCTCCTTTAGCCTGCTCGGCGCCTTCATGTGCGATACTTGGTCATTTCACCTGGCGCGATTCATATTGAAAGCTTGTTAGATTGTTTATAAATAATTTTTCTTTGGTCTTTAAAGACTTGTCACCCGTAAATCTACAACTTCAATATTAAACTTGTAATTCGATGACGTCTGTTGATATCTAGTGTGTAAAAAGCCGGGGACTTTGGGTTTTCGTGGTCATGCTATATAAGACGTCTTGATGTCAAATTAGCCTATTTTCTGCTTTGGCGTCCTCCAGCCACACCAACTCATATCTGCAACCTCCTCCAGGGCTGTCCGGCATCTCTTGAACACTTCAATTCTTACTTAGAGTCAATATCAAGTATACACTTGCAATTTATTTTGCCTTACATTAGGCATCTCCACTGGTCCACGACATGGTGAATGCCACTGAGAACTAGTGCAGCCATCTTTCCCACTCCCACGGAATACCTCAACTCTACATAAATTCAACACTCTTCTCCTTACAAAAGAAACCATTCCATGCCGAATGTCCAATCCACCACCGCTCATAGGGCGCAGGATTAAATACTTTACTACGAGGATACCGGGGCAGTCGCATGGTCATTCTGTGAAGCGATTGGTTGCTGTCCTGGAGCTCGAAGAGCGCCAGTCTTCGTGGGAAGATGGGGATGCCAATGTGAGGCGGTTTGGATCGTACTCGAGGGCTTTTTTAGGGCACTCAGGCAAAGCTCCGATGATTCTTAATGAACAGGGGAACCGAGATACTCCTACGAAGACATACTAAATACATCGCTTTTCCTCATCATATGACGCCTGTGAATTCAGGCATTAGTTGTCTTTCTTGGCATCCTGGTGTTTTACCCTCGTATTCCCGAAATATCCTCATCCCCTTGCCAATCGATACAACCCGCATTCAGCCATGGACATTCCCGAAATAATCTTCACAAGCCTTGGATTGGTGGTTCTTGATGAAATCAGGTTCTCCAACAAAAAGCCATTGACCAATGTTCTGGGCGGGTCTGGGGCATACGGTCAGTTTGAAAGACAAGCATGCGTGGAGCTTATTGACAATGTGTAGCAACACTCGGTGCTCGATTGTTTCTGTCACATCCACAGAGTTCCTCGGTGGGCCTTGTAATTCGAGCTGGGAAAGACTTCCCAGAGACTACCAAGGCACTACTGGACAGCTGGGGCGTAGCCTTGACTATGCAAAAGGAAGTTGACAGGCTAGCAACAAGAGGATTGCTTGAATACAAAGATACGACCTTCGGGCGTGGGTACATTATGACTTCGTATTGAAAGACACGGGCTGACATTAAAACAGCGAAGGACTTCCAGTACACAACTCCAGTTCTCGCGGTCAGTGATGCGAGTCTGGAGGGGACGGCATATCTCAGATCACAAGAATTTCACTATCTTGCCTCTCCTCAGGAAATCAGGTCTATCGTCTCGACCATTCTTGAAATGAGGAAAAGGGCGTGCATCCAAGAAGCTCCCATTATAATTTGGGAGCCCGCCCCCTCTCGTGCCAGGGCGGAAACGTCCAGAACTTTGTCGAAGCAGCGGGCTTGGTCGATGTCTTCTCTCCCAATCATATTGAGCTAGCTAGGATATTTGGTGAAGCTGTCGGTTCACTGTTTAAAGGAAAAATTGAGCAACTAGCCTTGAAGATTGTCGCTCGCGACGTTGGACAGGAAGGGAAAGGCGCCGTCATTATTCGCGCTGGCGAACATGGCTGTCTCATTGCCAAGAAGAACATGTCTCCTTTATGGCTACCTCCGTATTATGACATGGCAGATAACCAGAGAAACAAAGTCATTGACCCCACTGGAGCTGGCAATGCGTTCCTGGGAGCATACGCTGTTGGCTATGCCAAAACAAGAAGTGTTATCCAGGCAGCTTGCTATGGATCAGTTGGGGCTTCCTTTGCCTTGGAACAGGTTGGTATGCCGGTGAAGTCAGATGAAGGAGGGTGCGAGTTGTGGAACGAGGTTCATGTACAGTCAAGACTGCAAGAGTATATGTCAAGGCGCGAAGTTGCCGCGATTTTGGAAGGCTGAAAATCAAGTGGCAATTCAGCTCCGTAGCTCAGTCAACTACTGGAATTAAAAGTCAAATATCAATTTTGTATGATAATATACATGGAAAATAGAAAGCAGTGCCTTGCAAATCACGAAGTCTGTCGCAAGGATGTTCGATCAAACAGCTCCATCTCTCTTCTTCCCCCGTGCATAGAAGTTCAAAGGTCGAATGAGCTGGAACTCAGGGTCATATTCAATGGCATCAAAGCCCTCTCTGAAGAGCTCATATCGAGATACAAGCTACGAGAGCAGGATTTTCACTTCCAGTAGAGCGAAATTGAACCCTATGCAGCCACGCGGCCCAGTTGCGAAAGGAATGTATGCACAACGATGCTTATTCTTGACCTCATCACTTTGCCAGCGATCGGGATCAAAGCGGAAGGGGTCGCGCCAGTCTCCTGGATTCGTATGGATGGCATTCAGCGCGGGGACATTACACTGTTTTCAGGGAGGCGATATCCACCTGGTAAGATAACCTCGGTTTTCTTCGTGCGGCCCGGCTGGAAAAAGGCATTGTGTAGGCGTTGTGTCTCCTTGACGAAGGAATCCAAGTATGGGAGGCCGTGTGCGAGCTCGGGAGACCATTCCACGGGCTCCTTAGAATTCGCAATGCCATTTGCGCATAGCTCTTCGTATAGTCGTTCCTGCGTTCCTTCGTAGTTGACTAGGCAGTAGATGAGCCATGACATCAAGGCAGATGTCGTTGTGAATCCGGCGCCGGTGACAATAAGCATGTTGGCAAGAATGAGGCCTTCGGGAAACTCTTGGCCTGTTTCGTCGACTGTGTTGAGGAGGTAATCTACCACCCAAGACGCGTTGACTGCTGCTTCCACCATCGGCATGCCGGCAATACCGGAGCCCTTCACTTATCGATTTGCTCTTGAAGAAGAGTATATTGTTCGCTGGACCTGCTTCAGGCGCGCTGGATCGCCAAAAGGCAGATGCCGGTACCATTCGCCGCGGGCTGTGACTTTCTTGTTCCGCGAGAGGAGGCTGGCGATGTTCGTCACGATCGGATGCAGAGGGGCGTCGATGGAGGTGAAGTGTTCGAAGTCGGTTCCGAGCGAGAATTTACCGATGGTTTGAGAGGCAAGCTTGACCATGTACTGATGGACATTCCATGATTGGTCCTGCGAATCCAGCTCGTCGAACACGGCGAAAGACCTGCGCGCGCATTCTTGCATCAAGGGTGTGTAGTGGCGGACCGCTTTGAGCCCCATGGCTGGAGGGAGGAACTTGTGTGCGAGCCGCCAGTTCTCTGTTTCGGTGTCACCGACGAAGATGGCTGTATTATCTTTCACGCCCCAGAGTGGGTGGTTCTCGTTGATCTTTTTCGTCATGTAGGCGGATTCGGCAAGTGCCACGGCGGCTACCTCAAGGCTGTCGGTGAGGTACGTCGTTTTGCCCATGTTCGTTGTTCGGATAAGGTGCCCGTATTTGCGGAAGAGACGGTAGTGGTTGCCCAGATGGTCGGGGAAGATTTCATAGAAGCTGCGGACTAGCGGAAGGCCTTCTGGGCCTTGTGGGCTTTGAACAGCTTGACCATCAACGCGGAGGCCTATTGGTGATTCGGCGAATGTGTTCAGAATCTCGTCGACTGTAGTAAGCTCTGGGCCATTTTCCGCGTGGAATGTGATACCTGATATGCCGTGTGAGATTTAGACCTGTAACTAGTGTACTCAAGAAGTTTATACGTACCCAGCGGTTGAGCGACGTGCAAGATGCCACCCACGGCTCTTTTCACATCTTCCACTTTCCAATCCGGATCCAATGCGACATTCTGTGCTGTGGAAATGTCGTCACCAACGAAGTAAAACGAAGGGGCCTGGTTGTGTATGTCTGCAAGAGCGATGGGCATGATGATTGATGACTTGATTTCAGATGCACATGTTTTCAGCTCATTCATCGAGCAAGCTGCTCTTATGTAGTATGCATGCAATGTGTCCGAAAGTATTATGCTATGCTAGCTGCCTAGTGGACCTTGAATTGTGAATGTCTATCGACTCATTCGTTGTCTTCCGTTGAGGCCTTACGTCCGAAGTTCGGGCGAAATTCGCACGAGAGTAGTGTGGGTCAGCGGCAAATCGTGTCTCCATCATTAGGATTACTATCGACTCCGAGCAAATCCAGCGATATAAATTAACAATTTTTGAGGATTTATGCTCATGGGGGAAACACAATTCGCTGTATATATAGTTCGTGTGCCATTGTCGACATCAATAGTCGCAAGGCACTGTTGAAATCGGTACTTCGACATGTATACTCTTCAGGAGGTGCAAAAGCACAACAAACCAGACGATGTCTGGATCGTCCGGCACAACAAGGTCTACGATGTGACAAAATACATGGATGATCATCCGGGCGGAAGTTCTATTTTGATCGAAGTCGCTGGTACAGATGCCACCGAAGCTTTTGAAGAGACTGGTCACTCGGAAGAAGCACGGGATGAATTGGTCAAGTATCATATTGAAGATTTGCCTTCAGAGGCGAGTTGTAATCCGTGGAATCTGCATGCGCGTTGGGGTCAGTAGATTAAAATTGTGCTTTGTGAACTACTGCCAAAAGCTCGAGAATTCTATATAGCATTTATTTCAAGAATGCAAATAGATTTTTATCTCGTGGTTTCCATTCTACACAATCCATTCATCACCGAATATTCAAATCAAATGAATTGCGTATCTCGTTCAGACAAATGGTAAATTCCTTCTAAGAACAGACGAAAATGGTATTTAGACCCCCCTAGGAAGACAAATCGTACGAAGCTGTCCGTCCTAAATCTACCTGCATCTCATTTGCAGGTGTAATGAAGTTAGGGATGGTTGTCTACGGTAACTGGGCCGGCTCTATGTACGCCGACGATCCTCGGCTAGCCGAGATCCTTGCGCCGAATATATCCGACCAGTTTCCGTACCGTTTCTGAACTGAGTCCGGCCGACTCAATAAGCCGCAACAGATGGTTTACCCAAACATGGGAGCCCACGCAGTGGATCTATGCCCGATTGATTCCGATCAAATAGAGGGTCAGAGACTTTGCTACTTTGGAACTCTCTTGTGAATTGCTATCCATGAACCGAGTTCAAGGTCACTATTCATCCCAAACAGGAAATATGGATGCCGGGTTCCGGTGACGGAGGTCAAAGAAACCAGTAATAACTATCAACTTGGATACATGACCAGAATGCACAAACCCCAATAATATAGGGCTGCTCATGCTCACATGCCGACTCTAAAAAATATAAATAGCAATGTCACGTCTTTCGCCTCATATTCCCTCAACGCCCCCAGTACGTCATACCTACATATTCGCACTCGGCAATCGACACTCACAACCTGAACCTTCCCTCTCTCAACACCATTCCATTTCAATCGAGATGGCAGTCAAGCCTCGCACCGACCGTCCCGTGGCCGTCATCGGCGCAGGAGCCCTAGGCCGACGCATCGGCTCTGTTTTCATCGCAGCTGGATACAATGTGCATATCCAGGATCCCTCACTAAAGGCGCTTGAAGATTCTGCAGCCTATATCGAGGCTCACAAAGAGGAATTCTCACTGATGCCTCGTATCAGCAAAGAGAAAGAAGAGATATGTGGCGTGGGCGAGGGCGTTGAGAAAAAGAAAGAAACTGAGACGGCGATTACTAAGATTGATCTGGAATCTTATACCCAAGCGCCTTTCGGTACTTGCAAGGCGTTTACTGATGTTGAGCCCGCGGTGCATAATGCTTGGTTGGTTATTGAGGTTGTGCCTGAGAAGCTGGATCTTAAGATTGAGACGTTTGCGGAACTCGATGCGAAGGCTCCGGCTGATTGTATTCTTGCTTCGAATAGTTCGTCGTTTAAGTCGAGCTTGATGGTTGAGAAGATTTCGGCTGCTCGCAAGAAGCAAGTGCTGAATATTCATTTTACAATGCCACCTGCTATTCGGACTGTGGAGCTTATGACGGATGGGGAGACGGATCCTCAGATATTTCCTTATTTGGAAGACGTTCTGGGTGAATGTGGAATGTTGCCTGTCACAGCTCGTTGTGAGTCGACTGGGTGAGTACACCTTCCGATCTTGAGCGGGCAAGACCTAATCGAATCTCAAAAATAGGTTCATCTTCAACAGACTGTGGGCAGCTGTAAAGCGCGAGATCCTGCAAATCCTTTCTGAGGGTGTCAGTGATCCAAGTGAGATTGACCTGCTTTGGGAGCATATGTTCAAGAATGGGCCCTTGCCCTGTCAGCTCATGGACCAGCTGGGCCTGGACACGGTTGCTTTCATTGAAAACACCTATATCAAAGAGCGCGGACTCGAAAGCAAAGGAACAGTCGACTGGCTGCAGAAAGAGTACATCAGCCAGGGTCGCATCGGCAGAAAAAGCGAGAAGGGAGGTCTTTATCCACCTCTCACCAGGTCTTCATCAGCCAAGGAAACACCATCTCACCCACAATCGGCCGCCAAAGACATCTACCTACTCGACGTTGGCCTGGGTTCCAATGCCCGGGATGTCTCCCAGGTCCACCACAATGGCAAGATCCTGCGATTGAACCTGGCAACACAGCGCCTGACACCCGTTATGGTCGGTCAGAATCTTCCAGATGGAATTGACGTGTCGCTCGGTAAGCAGCGGATTTTCTGGACAAACATGGGACGCAGCACCGCTGCCTGTGACGGCTCTGTCTGGTCGGCGAACTTGGATGGCAGTGATGTGAGATGTCTTGTCCCACAGGGTAAAGTGCACACTCCGAAACAAATCGCCGCGCTTGAAAGCTGTCAGGAGATTTACTTTTGCGACCGTGAGGGCACCAGTGTGCATCGCTGCAAATTCGACGGCAGCAATCACGAAACTCTTCTCAAGCGACCCACAGACAAGAATGCCTCTCTTCTCGATCAGATGCGGTCGTGGTGTGTCGGAATCGCTATCGACGATGAGCGCGGCTTAATGTATTGGTCTCAGAAGGGACCCAGCAAGGGCGGCCGAGGCCGAATCTTCCGCGCTGGCCTTGACATTCCCGCTGGCGAGACTGCCGAGAATCGGTCGGATATTGAGATGATGTGGGATGACCTTCCGGAGCCGATCGACATTGAAATCGACAGTGAATCGCAAACTCTCTACTGGACTGATCGGGGCGAACATCCCTCGGGGTGTGCGCTGTATCGCGCCTACGTGGGAGGGGAGAGGATTGATTTTCAGAAAGTGATTTTGGCGCGGCATTTCCATGAGCCGGTTGGATTGAAACTTGATAAGGTGAACAACATCGTGTATGTGGTTGACTTTGGGGGTAGTTTGTACTCGGTCTCTCTGGCTGATGGCCTAAAGGTGGAGCTGGTGCGCAACAACGGTTGCTACACGGGTATTACTTTGGTTTAATCATGGGCTGTACATTGGGATGGAAAATTTATCTACTGTATATCTACCTCCCTTGCTCAACGTCATACCGTAGCACCAGAACTACTGATCCCAGCCTCGGGCATTGCAAGTACCTTGCGGTAACTAGTTAGTTAGTATCCAACCCCACACGGACCAAAACATGCAGGTCCATCCAATTCATTGTCGACTTAAAAGTACATCCGACTAGACCCATTCAATCAAAACCGGAGCTAAGATATGGCGACCATTGCTCCGAACTAATCTCTTCTCAGGTACACATTACCCCGTCACAGATCGAGCTACATACAGGAATTGATCGACAATGCCATCGGAGATAAGTCCAGGGTACCATCGACAACAATTAAACCCCACGATTTCTCCGGACTTTCTCCAGCTTTCAGCCCAAGCCTAGCCACTAACCATCATTACCAGCCCCCTCTCCACTCCTCATCACTCTGCGAGGTGCGAAGCCTTCAAACCCCCACGCAACCCGGATGACACTTCACTGCAACCCGCAGCCCCTTGACTCGCAACCCCCTCTCTTTCCAATTCTCCACCGCGCCTCCACCATAACACTACCGAGCACAATTACGAAGGAGAGCCCGCCGATCCATTCCAATTCCCCCGAAAGGCAGACGCGCGCATTCATTAAGAGTCCTGCACCGGGTTTTTTTCCAGCTTTCCGAAGATCATCATCCCACTCTCGCGTGTAGGTCCCGGCGCGTAGCGTACCAACCTCCACCAGCACTAAAGAAAGCTGATCCCCCGTCTCGATCTCTCTCTTCTTACTACCGTGACCGGATTGCGAAACCCATCATTGATAATCTTCACAATGCGCTTTACAAACGCGCTCCTCCCAGCGCTCCTCTCCGCGCCCCTCGCGGCCTCAAAGCCGGCGCGTCTCTGGGCAACGCACTACAACGGAAATGTCTACACCCTCACACTGGATGAATCCGACTTCTCCATAACCGATACGCAGAAGACGTGCGGTGCAATGCCGTCCTGGCTAACGTATGACTCGGAGTCGAAGACGCTCTACTGCTCAAATGAGGATGGGACGGCTGATCCCACGACCCACGGCTCACTATCGGCCTACCACCCCGATCGCGAGGGTAAATTGCACCAGATTGCGGAGGCGAAAACTATCGGCGGTGGCGTCGATAGCGTTATTTATGAGACAGGGAAGAAGAAGTTCATTGCTATCGCTCATTAGTATGTTAAGCTTTGCGTTTCCTTGGTCCCGAGCCATGCCGCCAACTAGCTTAAATGCTCGTACTTATACTAACTAACAACTTATTCCAACAGCGAGGGGTCAGCCGTCTCAACATTCGCCCTCCCACTCCACGACAACAGTGTCGCAAGCCAAGAATTCCACTTCAATCTGACGCACCCTGGCGCCGTCGCGCAGCAAGACAGTCCACACCCACACTCCGTCTTCCTAGACCCGACAGGCTCCTTCATCGTAAGCCCCGACCTCGGCGCCGACCTCCTGCGCATCTACTCCATTTCCTCGGAAACCGGCAAGCTAGAATCCTGCCCGCCAGTAAACGTCACCTTCGGCAGTGGCCCGCGCCACGGCGTTTTCTGGACAGACGGTACAGACAACAACAACACCGCCGTCCCCGGCGCGCCGACGCACCAGCGTGAAATGGCCGCCGTCGGTAAAACGATGATGTACCTCGTCAACGAAATCGGGGGCACGATGATGGTATTCGATGTTGCGTATGCGCGGTCTGGATGTCTAGATTTACAGAAGACGCAGACGCTTGTTCCCTACCCCGGTGGTAAGATGCCTGAGGGTGCGACGCCGTCTGAGATTCGGTTTATTGGAGGTAAGTTTTATGTTTCTGTTCGCACGGATCAGGGCTTTAAGCCTAATGATTCGATGGTTACGCTTGAGCGGTCACGGAAGAATGGGGCTGTGAGAGTTAGTAGCAAGTCCGATGCTTGGGGGAAGGTTCCGAGGACTTTTGCGATTAATCGTGCCGGTGACCTGGTTGCGATTGGGAACCAGGCTTCTGCGAATGTAGCGATTGTGCGTCGTGATCGGGAGACTGGTGAGCTTGGGGAAAAGGTTGCTGTTTTGCAGGTTGGGGAACCTGGGAAGGTTGGTTCGGCGGAGGGATTGAGTAGTGTTATTTGGGAGGAGTAGATGACTCCAGCATCATTGGGTATGTTCGGATTGTTGGTGGATGTAAATTGGAATGTCATTGCGAAGATGGTGTTGAGATTCACTGAATGAGAGTGGCTTCATCCCTGTTTTTCCTTTCCATCCTCTTTCTATAAAAAGATGATCACACATTGCAAGAAACGTACATATAAAATAGTGAAAATGAACTCATGGCAGTACAAGATTGCATTCGTATGAGGCAAGGCATGAACATCAGTAATCAGCGCGTGATTCATGATCCAAAAAGCATCAACATGAAAATTTAAAACCCAACTCAAAATGCCACCGGATTATTCCAAAATGAAAGACGAATACCATCTGAGATCAAAAAAGACCAGCTTTTTTTTCGTGATTTTTGTGTGTTCGGAAGCCTGCACCGAGATTATAAAATTGCGTGGGCGCGAGATAAGTGCACTGACGACGCCGAGGCTGATCTTGCCCTATTGCACGATGGTGAATATATATAAAAAAGAACGTATATCAAGCATTAGTCATAACATCCGTAAAGCCCTTCCAGTGACCCTCGGAGAGCTTCAAGCTCGGCTCCGGTGATCATTTGATATCCAGCTGGAAGGCTTTCCACTTCCCACCTACTGTCCGGCACCGCGGGCATCCGCGCGCCGCCCCAGCGCTTGGACTGGGAAAACTCGTCGGTGCGGGCGGCATGTTGAGGGAGCCATTGCCGGGACTTCGGAAGGAGGTCGGTGGACTGGTGATGAACATGCCAACGCATTCACGACAGACTCCACAGATACACTCTGTACAGGCGTAACATTCATTCAGGGCCCAGGGGCGCTTGCAGTGGGCGCAATAGATTTGAATTTCCCTGCTGCGGAACGAAGCTGGGGTGGGGTTCGAAAAGCGGTGATGCTGACGTTGCGAAACTGGGGGAATGAGATTCAGAACAGGACTTGAGTCGGAGTTGATGGAGCGCGCAATGCCTGATGCCGATGACGGGAAATTCTTTCCAGATGCTGTCGACATGGAATCCAGCGATGATTCGATCGATGGGAATGGTTCTAGATCACTGTCACGGCTACGCTGTCCTTCAAATGGTGGCGGGGTAAGAGACTTGTGCAAAGGCGACGCGGCGTATGAATGAGGTGGGAATTGTCGGTGCGACCCGAGAGGCGGGAGTCCCGAGCCCGACTGGAAAGCCGGGGGAAGCGACGAGCGATTTTTCGATCCGGGTGCTGATGTCACATTGGCAAGAAGTGGAGCGATCGTGGGAGATCGACCGGCCTGGGTTATGGATTAGAGAACTGAACATTATTCGCGGTCAGTCAAACTAAAGACCTACCTCAGAATAGCGTTCGTCATCAGCCTCCGTCGCAGAGGTGGCAGCTTCAATCAGATCCTCCCAGCGCTTGCCTTGGGCCCACGCAGCTGTCTGTGGTTCTGCTGACAGTGCTTTGCGATCACCGAGACTTGGTCGCCGAGGGAAATCCTTAGATCTCGGTCGCTCATGCTTGGGTTTCCTGGCCGACTGAGTGATGGACGATTTGCGCGGCCGGGAAAGCTTGTCTCTTCGCTGGATCGGGGGTAGGGTGGTTGAGCGACCGGGGGAGAATGATTGAGAATAGACGGGAGAAGTTCCCGTGGGCGAGGCGATGAGAATGGCGGCAGCGATTCCTGCTTGAAGTGGTCACGAAGAGACGGAAGTTCGATCGACGAACGCATGGGTCCTTGATGTATATCGGTGTCGGAGTGGGTATCCTGGGGAGAGCAACCGCGGGGTCAATTCTACAGCTCCGAACGCTCGTCGCGGAGAGGCGAGACAAACCATATCAGTGTCCCAGTCCGAGGCCAGGCGATGGTGGTGTAATTGCGCGAGGGCGACCGCGGCCGTGGCGGCAGCGGGGTGAGGTTCGTCGAGAGCTCGAGGAGTGGCCGGGGAGCTGGCGTCCGCAACGTAGATGTCCCTATCCGCCACGTCTGTCGATAGCCGTCAGCGCACCCGGCGGGCAAGAACAGCGAGAAGGGGTCACAAGAGAGGCAAACCTTGAAACTGGCCGTGTCGACGACGCGGCGGGGCAGGTTCTGGCGGCGACAGGTTGGCGCGTTGGTCGGGCGGGGTGTTGACCATTAGAAGAAAGCTCTCTTCGGTAGCCGGGAGCTTCGGAATGTAGTGATTCGGATGCGCACGTCGGATGTGCTCCTGCATGGAGCGATAGCGCTTTTCCTGCGGGGATATCACGATTAGATTGCGAACAAAGCTAAGACCCTTTTTTTCGAGCTCGACGCCAGCAGTAGAGCACAAATTCCCGGCGGCATCGAGCGTCCGGACGGCGATAGGTGGGGCTCGCCAGGCGCCCGAGAGGGGTGCGCGACGAGCGAGCACAGCTGCTGCCTCCGCTGGACGTCGCTGGAGGGTCGGTGGGAAAGGCACACTCACTCCGAGACATCGCTTGCGACAATTGGAGCCGTCATTATTCTTCAAGGGACACACCACTTCGTTGTTGGCGTCGGTGACCGAGAACGAGCTGGTCAGCGAGCTTCGGGGAGGCATGGTACATTAAGTCCCGGGGGCGGGGATGGCGAGGCGACGGTGAAGGAGGATGTTCAAGAAAGAAGGGTTCGAGAAGAGCAGAAAAGGAACTCGCACGAGTTACGAAGGGAACTGGAGAAGCCCGGGATTGGCATGCATGCTCTGGTGGGGAGGAGGAAGAGGAAGAAAGAGTGTAGAGGACCATACCTGGTGGTGTACTTGCTCGTAGTGCGAGCCGTGGGTATTACTGTAATTACCGTAATTTCCCCCGCGCGAATTTTTGGGATGGATCTGCTCGAATCAGACGACTACTACTGAGAGAAGTCCTGGTTTTCTAGAAGGCCAAGTTTTTCTCGTTTGCGTCTGTCTCGGTTGGTCTCCAAGTAGGCGCCGAGTCTCGGGGCCATATGCAGGGCATCAGCTGGTCGAGCTGGGCTGGGCTGAGTTGTATGGTCATTTCCAGTCGGAAATCCGGGTGGGACGCCGTTGCATCGTGGGCGAGAGAGCATCATGATCAGAGATGCATGCGAATCGACGTTTACAGGAAGATGAACTGGATGTCAGAGTGTGCCGAACAACACCAGAGCCGTTGCGCTGCTATCAAATCTACGGGGATGAGAGCGATAGCGCTATCAGCGGCCCCTCCGAAGCTCTCCCCAGCTCGAAGCTCGAGATTCCAGAAGCTCCCGAAGGAGGGAGCTCCGGGTGGCAAATTCCTAGTGTGACCGTATCTTACGTATCTTACCGTCGAGTCCAGCTTTATACTCAACCCTAGATGGTGAAGCGTATGCTGTGGCAGGGTTCGGCTTGATCGCCTCAATCGAACGTTCTCCTATGTACTGAGTGCTCCAGATCGATCGAACAAAAGGGTTATAAGTAAAAATAAAGCTTACCTGGACAATCGGACAAAGGCGCGCACGGAGTGGCACCTGGCCAACGCCGAGGCTTCCGGCTAGTACCTTTCCCCCCGACTACGCAAATGTAGACGAAACATCCCCGATAAAGCTGTAGATGCCAGCTCCCCAGGTACCGGAAGTCCCTGAGGTACCAACTGCGAGGAACCTCTGTATACATCTTAATTATTACCCATCCGAATATCTCGAATCCTCCGACTCTCCCCGTCAACTCTAAGCTACGTATGTACGAGGACAATACTGTCGGTAATTCTGGTACGGCGTATAACCGACCTCCACCGGCACGGGGCACATGCCAATGAAGAGCATCTAAAAGCAGCCTGATTGGTGCAGAGAGGGATAAATGGAGCCTAAACTTTGCCATTACCTGCACCACCATTGGCTGGCGGCCCTTGCGGCGAGGGCGCCATCCCGGATGGGGACGGCCGTGCAGGAGGGGGTTCGAAAAATCTGCGCTACTTCCAGACGAGCATGTCCCAAAGGAGCAGAGGTGTGAGACGAATGTATCTAGTATTATTGATGGAAGGAGCGATCCAGACGGGGATCGTGGTATGCACTGGAAGGAAAGCACCCCGCCCGAGGAGTCGAGGGAGTCATGTCAAATGCCCGGTGGGACGGTGGAGAGCCGCGGCTGAGCCGTACGGTATCCAGACTAGCACCTGCTCAAAGGGGCACCTAATTTCACGGGGCTGGGGCCGATTTTGATCCCGCGACTTCCTGCTTTTTATTAGCTAGCGAGAGCTCTGGAGCTAGTGCCACTGCGCGGATCCATATATATGCGAGAAAGTGGTTATCGATTAGGTGTACCTCATGATAACGATAGTGGGTAATGAGTTTCATTCTATACGCTATATGTAATCTAGTAATGAGTATTCTATGTACGGTTCGCCAGATCACCCACAGGAGCTACTGGTATGCTGTGTGTACGAACACGCAAGCCCGTTTCAAGGCAAACCCCGTCGCCACTACCGAGGGGCCCCTGATTGGGGCGCCGAACGGCTCAGAGCTGACCCATTTCATCGCTGCCCTTGCGGCTTCTCGATAAAAGCTGCATGCTTGATAAACTCAATCGGTACGCCAATCCGAAATTCGTGGTGGCGAATGTGTATACCATGTAAAAAATGGCCAAATAATCAAAATAAACCAAGATGAAATGCATATAGAACCAGAACAATCTGAGATTTCAACGTCATGCCCACACCACCTCAGCCAGCAAGTTGCTCCAGCGGCGGCGTAAGCATTCCATTCGCTGGGGTAACAGCGTCAACCTTGCGGACCTGATCTTCGCCCGCGAAGAAAAGGAGCACAGCTTCGGCTGCAGCCTTCGAGTCATCATCGTCGTCCTTGCCCGGTACGAGCGAGCGCTCGATCTGCTCCACGTACGAGGCCACCAGGGGCGCAGCCCAGTTGGCTCGGCGACCAAATTCCCGGCACAGTTCGCTGTTCAACCAGGCGTCGAATTCAAAGTGGCCTTGATAGGTCAAAATCCGGCCGGGATAATACAGCCCCTGGATATCACACTGCGCGCTCTTTCCGATGTTCATCCATGGCGCGGGCAGCGTGACCTCGGTCTGACCGACTGCTGCTGCGGCGGCAGCAGCTTCTTCAGTCGGCACGACGATGTCGCCGTGGACAAGCTGGATCCGGAATGGATGCTGTTCGGTCACGCGGGCGAGTGGTGGGAAGTTTGCGGTGAATGAAGGATCCAATGTGATGGGTTGAATGCCCATCTCGAACCCTTTGGCAGAATGGGCCACGCGAAAAGAAGATTGCGCATCTTCCGTTTGCCAGGCAGATAGTAGGGCCTGCGCGATGATTTGGTGGCCGAAGCAGGAACCGAAGATCTTCACGAAAGGATAGCTCTCGTGCACGGTTTGAATGAAGGACTGCAGCTCGCTGATCCACGGGTGTGGGTCGTATGCCGAGGCTGCAGAGCCAGTGATCAGGATCGCGTCGATCGCGCTTAGAGGGCCGCCGGCTTGAGGCTCTGCTGGTGATCTTGGGCTGGTGCGTAGACATTCGAGTGGTGGGAGGGTTCCTCCGACGGCGTCAAACGCCGTGACGTGCACGGCTAACTGGCCGTTTTGGAGGCGAACATCTTCGTTTTGATTGAGACGGTCGGCAGCGCCTTGGAGGAGATTTTTAAACTGCGAGCTGTATAGGCCGCGCTTGACGTAGACGGAGAGACAGGGGATGTCGGCGTCTAGTACGGCGACGTGGATGCGGTGCGGGGCCATCTGCTAGATCGAACACGCAGAGTTGGCGAGTTTCTTCAGTCTTTCTTCAGTCTTTCTGGAAAATGTCCTATCATGAACCAAAAGGGAAAGGGGTATCAAAGGGCTTGCGAAAAAGAATGAATTAAACAACAAGAAAGTAGTGAGGAACTGTCAAGAAACCGCGCTTGCTGCCGCCGATAGGGCGCGGGGTCGGATCCTGATTCCCGATAGGGATTTTCAGTGAGTAATCAATTCTGATCGGTGGAGTGGCCCGACCCAAAAAGGCAGCTAAATCCATGTTTGGGGGGAAGCGACTGGTGGTTCGTGACGATGTTATTAATGGCGTCGTGTAGGAAGAGCATTTGAAATGGAAGACGGAGGGCCATTAAACACCGAAGGAAGTCGTTGGGTTTGGCATATGTTGAGAAAATTGGAAGTATGGGCAGATGTCACGCTAATATTAGCGGAACGCCTCATTCAAACGCTCCAAATATTTTAGATGATTTGTTCAATTATTGGTTCTTACTGCTGCGGACCGTAACCCCTGGTCGTAATTAGATTGCCCCGGGAAGATCGATTCATTACCGACCCATGGCAGTATAGAAATATTGCCCCTGTCACTTATTGGCTTGCGAATCGTAGATTCGTCACTGGCGGCGTAGCCTAATCAGAACTTCTATCAGAACTTCTATTTCACGACTGTCGTGGTATTGGTGTTTCGATTCTATCTCATCTAGTAAATGCTTCATCTCACTTTCATTTGTCTCCTCGACACAATCTATGCCCGCAGAGAAATGGCCTATTCACATAAACTCAAAGACTTGGCATTCACATATATATGGGTCGGATTCGACATGATCCTCTCGAACTGACCAAATTTGTCCTCGACAGCTCCATCTGCCATTTCCCACTCAAAGACGCAGAACCAATACCACGAGAGCAATACTAACCTCCATATAAGCCAGGTTTCTCCCAATATAAGCTCGGCTCCGAGAGCCGAGTGTGAGGTTACTGAATAAGATCTGGCACGCAACAGGGAAACGCCATTGCAAAGAGCTATCTGCATGCAGTGTGGTAAAGCATAATCACGAATCCACGTCCGATCCGAAAAAAACAAAGCCCCTTGAACAGCAAGCAAAGAGCCGCTATTGTGAGCTGGGGGAGTTTCAGGCTGCAAGATGGGAACGACGACTGTGCTGAGTCCAATACCAATGTCGGCAATGATTCGGGAGACGAACATTGCCAGAAGTCGTAGGATGCGATCTGGATTGCTGCCCCGGTGATGACAAATGATATTGGTGACGATTATGGACTTTCTCCAGCTCAGCTTCTCGCTCCATATAAAGGCAGCGAGTGCGCCGAAGGCACATCTGAAGTCGTAGATTGCGGTCTGAAGACCCGTCATTGTCGAACCTGGGTTTCCTAATGTATCTTGTAGTCGCTGCCCGGCAAGAATACCTCCAAAGACACCTGGGTCATATCCAAAGAGAGTAAAGTCGAAGTCGGATGTTATGAGGATACTGGCCATAAGCGCCCGTCCGCGTAGTTTGGGGTCCATCATTTTGTCTTCGTAGCACTGCCAAATGAAGAAAAGTTTGAAGCGCAACTTCCATGCGATGACCGTGTCTGGGATATTCACGAGGATTATGAGGGATTGCTGCATTTTGTGATTCCCCAGCTACATCTTCGCAAACCCCCTGGCGAGCGGGGCGCATAGTATGTTCTGGGTCCATGGAAGATCAGTAAACCTAGGGTCTTATTCATCTCGATCGCTCGACCAATGAGCAATGGTCCAGGGCTGTATCAATGATGCAGAAGCGGTGATCTGGCCAAGAGCAGCGATGAAACTGTGACCGGACGTCTGTCGCCCCCGGGGAACTATTGGACGGTGGAACGGGCCATCTCGACGACGAATGAAGATTGACATAGTAGCACCGCCCTATATTTACCCTATTTGGGGTTTCTGGAGTAATTCTTTCCGCAAGGGAAGTATGCAGCTTTGTCTCAGCGTCGGGATTGGTCGGTGTTGGCCATTACGGTAGCCTCGACTTATTCGAGAACGAGCTCGACGGTTGAGCTCCAACGGAGTCTCGGAGAGGCCAGGCCTCAAATCACGAGCATTCTTCGACAAGGGTCGTAGGAGGAAGAGGACAATTGGTTTTCCTGTTCGCTGAAGTTCAACGATAGCCCGATCGAATTCTATGGTCACAAGGCTCAGGCGGTTTCGAGGTACCCGCCGTTGATGCTCCGCGCGCTTCGAGATTCTTCGTCAAAATAGGCTGGAGGGGCCCTTTTTTGGGTCCTGAGTGACCTCGTCCGCTTCTCCAGGACAGGCAGTTAAGGTTCTAGATCAGGAACACTGTGAATCGACTCTGGTTATGAGAATATAAAGTGCGAGGGGCTGGACAGAGTTGGTGTTGATACAGTTAATGGCGGCGGACAACCGGTGCGCTTCAGGAATGGTAAAGCAGAGCAATCTGGCGAGTCGGTCGGAGGCAAATCAGTCATGATGCCACAGTCTGACTGAAGTGCATTAATTTTTTTCCAGTCGTGAGACGCACCGCTACTTTTCCCCTCGATGCTCGCGAGGTACATAGAAACAATACCTTAGCTATCTCCAGAAAATGTCAAGGGTTTCAGGTTCTTATCCACTGCTGATGTAATCCAGTCCTGCATGGAAATTTCTGCCCGAGGCATAAAGCAACTGTAACCAAAGCTTGGACCCTCGTCTTCGGCCATGCAGCAACCTTTCCTTCGGTACCTTGAATTACTGATTGATAATGGTAGAGTATCTCACTCTCAAGTGGCCCTTCGACAGCATTACACCCTAAACGATATGACTACTGGCGCCTGTATTGATCGCTTCTTCTTTCCTACCGTGGCCCAATCAGGATGGCTCCTGGTCTAGCATACAACTCCTGCATATCCGGGTTGGCCGGCAGCACATACGGATCCCTGTCGGTGATCTTGTAACCTGGAGAAGGGCGTGTCGGCCGAGTAACCCTGAAACTGTCGGATTCTGGTTGGATTTCAGATGTCACAGCAGGGGTCCGTCGTGCCGACAGCCCGAAACTGAGCAGTACTCCTAATCAACATAACAACTACGGGCGCTTCACTACCTTACTACCGTAAAGTAGAGCTGTTATCGATTGCATCTGTCTGGAAACTCTTTAATCCGGTGATAATTTTCAAATATTCACCACGGTATTGCCACGCAATCCTCAATGCCACCATTTCTCGATCTCGGCTATACTGAAGTACGCAGTCGCGATTGGCCGGGGTTATCACAACATCGAACCCCGCAAATTGCGCCATTCCTGGCCCGCCAACCCAATCACCCACAACCACTCCCCAACTCCCTTCCTTTGCTTGACGATTACTACACAACAACGATGTACAGGTACAGTGGAAGGTGGACCGCCTCCCGCACGCCATACCGTCCACTCGATTCCTCACCACAGAAATAACGGCATCGACCTTGGCGATCTCGGCCGGGAAACTCCAACATAAAAAGGCTCAGGCACCCGATCGACGCACTTTTCTACTCGCATAGTCGCACAAGCCTTCGATTCCCTCTTTCGTGCCTGACCAGTGTCAGCTTTCAGAAGTATACATCATGGCACCCGCTCTTACGGACGCTCTGCCTACGGCCCCTCACAATCTGTCGGCCCCGCTGGAAATCTTCCCCGATGGCTTGCGGACCACTGGTCAGCACGCTCCACTGTATGAGCACATTCGACCTTTTGACCGCTTTCCGCGCGAGATCACTGGTCCTACTGTCTGGAAGGCGGAGGATTACCGTGAGAACCCGGAGAAGTGGACTCACAAGTTCACGCCCGAGCAGGTCGCGGAGCTTAGCACTGCGGCCGATGCTTTCCTTGCTTCCAAGACCCCTCTGACTGGTATCACTAAGGTGAGTTATCACTACGTGCAATTTACAGAATGGTTTGGGCTAATACTTCTTTCAGAGCAACTTTCGCCTTCCCAATCTGGCCGATTTCTTGGAGTCCCTCCGTCTTGATATCATCGATGGCAAGGGCTTCATCTTGTTCAAGGGCTTCCCTGTTGAGGAATGGGGCAACCACAAGTCTGCTGTCGCATACATGGGTCTGGGTACCTACCTGGGCTACTTCGTTAGCCAAAACAGCCGCGGCCACGTTCTGGGCCACGTGAAGGATCTGGGTGAGGATTCCACTCAGATTGACAAGGTCCGCATCTACCGCACAAACGCTCGGTATGTCACAACTCTCCCTTGTAATACTCAACAAGAAAGAGGAATTAACAAATATCCAGTCAATTCTTCCACGCCGACGACTCCGACATTGTTGGCCTCCTCTGTATCGCTAAGGCCCTGGAGGGCGGCGAATCAGACATTGTCTCCTCCCACCACGTCTACAACACTCTCGCCGCCGAGCGCCCCGATGTCCTCAAGACCCTTACCGAGCCAATCTGGTACTTCGACCGCAAGGGTGAGACCAGCAAGGGCCAGGAAGAATACATCCGCACCAGCGTGGTCTACCTCGAGCGCGGCGAGAACGGCCGCGTCTACACCAAGTGGGATCCCTACTACGTCCGCTCTCTCTCCCGGTTCTCCGACGCCGGGATCATTCCCCCTCTCTCTGCTGAGCAACAAGAAGCTATTACCGTCCTCGAAAAAACCTGCAACCGCCTCTCCCTGCACATGATCCTCGATGTTGGAGATATCCAGTTCCTCGCCAACTCGCACATCCTGCATGCTCGCACTTCTTATGTGGATCACGCCCCGCCTACTCCCCGTCGTCACCTGATGCGTCTTTGGTTGGCGACGCCCGAGAACGAGGGTGGCTGGAAGTTGCCGTTCTGGGATAGCAATGAGAAGAAGCGCGGGGGTATTCAGGTCGATGATCAGCCGCCTGTTGCGCCTTTGGATGCGGAGTAAAATTGCCTTGCTGGACTGACTTGCTATGTCTTTCTGGTGAAGGTTATGATATGACGAATATTTGTAGATACTATTTTTTACTTGAATGATACCTATACTTGAACTTCTGAGAATCCGCATTCGATACAAGGTAGAGATCAATTCTTAGATGCAAGTGCTAACAGCTCCGTAAACAAGGCTCCCCACTTCTGTGATCCTTTAACGTGAACCTATCTCCCCCAGGTATGCGTCCATCGCATCCAAGGCCTCCTTCAAGGTCTCTGGCTGTCCCGTTAGATGAATTCTCACAAACCCCTTCAATCCTTCACCACCACCAAATCCAAAGCAATGGCTAGCAGGCGCCAGCAGCGCCCCAGTCCTTTTCTTCAACTGAATACAAAAATCAACATCATCGACCGGAACATCCAAAACAACAAGCCGAACGAATGCCGTCGCGCCCGCATCAAGTTCTGATTCCTGGCAGTACGGAAGACGTCCGACAGCGTAATGGACCTAGCCACACTCGAAACACTTTTGTAGATTAGATGCTGCCCGTATTCTGCAGGTTGTTTTCTTGAAGTTTTATTCATTCAGTCTTTAAGCTTGAATATCTTCGATTGCGAAGTCTGAGTAGGCTTAAACTCACGTGGGCTTTAAGCTTAAGTTCATCCGATCCCGTCCATGTATTTTAGTGTTTAAGCTTAAAATAAAACCGGTTCTAAATCTCATTTCACCTGATCTTCAAGCTCAACCATGTTGCTTCCATCTTTTCTTCCCCAAAAATGTGACTGTTATGTCTTTGCATGTCGCCTCGCTCGGCAACCAAGGGCGGTTGCCACTGGCATGCTCAGGTGGCAGTCGACATGGAGACAAAAATGATCATTCTGGCAAAACAACAAAAAGATTGACCGACGCAGGGGTCGAACCTGCAATCTCTTGATTCGTAGTCAAGCGCCTTGCCATTGGGCCAGCCGGCCTTTGTTGAAGATAGTTCGAAAAAATTACCTACATGAACCTGAAGTGATGTCGCTCAACATAAATTGCATTTTCTGCAGCATATCTCAACAAGGCAAGCTTAAAAATGCCTCGAAATTATCCTTGGCTCATATGGGCAATTGCTTCCTGAGAAAATTTGCCTCTGATCCACTCTCGCTTGGTGCCGAAATTTACGGTGGATTCTCTGCTTTTCATTATTGCTTGCAACACATCGGGAGGTTTTTTCACCTATGTTTCTGGGACAGCGCTTTTTCTGTCAATGGCAAGCAGCTAGATACTTTACCGTTATTAGTAGGCAGCAGCTGAAATTGAGTATCTTTTCGTCCTGTTAGATTCGAAGGTTGGGAGGGGAGTGGGGCGGCGGAGGAACTCGACTGCTCCGCCCCGCCGGCGGAAGAACAGCGCGGCGGAGGATCTTCCGGATCGAGCCCTATCAATTACGAAACATCAACGCTCAGTATCTGCTTTGTATTGATCCGGGTCAGTTTATTTTATACAATCGAAGTTTTGACCTTACACCACATGGGAGGTACCTGTAATCCGTGTATTCCATACAATAATGTCGCGTAGTGTTCAATATATATTCCCGACCTATGGCCCCAGAGCACGTTGAGAGTGGTGCGACATGTCAGTTAGTGTACCCTTCCCGGGGGTTTCGAAATATATGGGATCAAATCACGAATCAATCCTGTTTTGAGTTAGAAGACTAATCACCTAGCGAGAAGAATTCAGCGAAGCAACCTGATGGCTCATTAATCCTGTCATGTGGTTGCTGAAGTGTGCACGTGACTTTCATCTCGGCCGCCTTCACAGGGCGTCATTCAATACCGACATCATCACCATTATATTCCTGTCAACTTCGAAAGTTACCTTAGCTGGAATGGAATCACTGCTGACTTCACGGAACACGGGAAAGGCTCCAGAGGAATGCAGGGATATATTTTCTATTTACTTTACGGATACCATAGTGTCACGTCACGTGAGTAGTTGGCTATTCACCTATTAGTCTCGCTCAGCCTTGCGTCGCGACTCTTGTGCGCATTAAATTCGCCTCAAATTATCGCAGTGAGCGACTCAATATCCGATTATTGGTGTCATGTCTTGCGACTATCTCTGCTCAGATCCGCCTCCACCATGGTCGCCTGATGATGATAACTCCGGGATCGGGGTGAGTATTCTTTCTCCGCATCATTGTCATGGCTGCTCTGCTTTAACTGACAATACTTGTCCAGGTTGTGATCAGCTATATGGTCACTGCTGGAATTGTGGTGTTTATAACTGTTTTTTATTACCCGCTATATACCGACTAGCAAATGATCCGTTCAAAAGCTCCGATGAAGATTCATAGCATGCCCGCCCGAACATAGTAGACGATTCCTACCTGAAAGCTATACGCCGAGTGGCATGCTCAATTTCAGGAGCTTCCAAAATAAGATCATACACGGAAAAGGTGGATAGAACATCCCTGCAGGTATTCTGTCAAACGCTCATTCAGCTTTTTTTCTTCGCTAAGCACTGTACATTCTTGCAATGAGCGACCTTCAGATTGTGACTGGCTTTTCCATTATGATTAGCGGCTTCGCACAACTCAACTGCGGCCTGACGACCTTCGAGTGGCAGATGATCATCCACCTTGCCTGGTTTTCCAGCATCTCATCATTCCTGCCTAACATTGCTGCGGAATCACCTTTATCACCACACAACAGAGCGCATTTGGCGGCTTTGTGCCAGGCAATCCTAGCCGGTCTTTTGTGTATGGGGATTTTATTCACTGGGAATTATGGTTGGAACTCGGCTGGACTTGGAGCTAACATACTCTGGACAACTTCAATTTCAGTGATTATGATTACTTTTGCTTTTATATCACGCGTGATCAAGTTGCATCGAAAGCTCTCAGTTGGTGCTTTTAAGCGAGCGAGGGGGTGGCTGAGCGACAGAAGCCAGCGGATTTTGAACAAGCTCTACGTGTGAGCGGAAGTGACACCTTGGCTTTTGGTGTACACGATCTGCTATCGTACTATTCTCGCTATTTTTATAGCTGCCCGGATTCTTACGGATGCATGGTTTTCTATGTTCCCAGAGGTAAGCTACCCCCTACATAAAGTAGTGATATAATCCTTACTTTATCGCAGGGGGTTTGGCTGATTCTTTCATTCAGCTGGGGCATTTCTAGAGCATTTCTCACAATCGAAGTGCCGAAAGAGATGGGATTGTTTGTCGGATTCGAAAATGATGCCAGTGACTGGACCTTCGGACAGGTAGTGGCATTAGTGCTCTTGGTAGCACCCTTCCTAATCATATTTTGATCCTATCGCCAAGGTACGGCGCATTCTGCAACAAAAACTACTAAAACTACTCGTGGAGCCTATGCTCACATTATCAGCAGATAACAAGACCATGAGGCCCTTCGCCAGCAATGAAACGTATGACTCTTCCACACTCATCCTGCCAAGACCAGACACCGGGGGAATTATCGCGCCCGTCAAGGTCCCTGAAGATCCCCAAAGTGAGAGCAATTGTAGCTTCCGAGACTTGGTGGTTGGTACGTTGTACATGTTGGCTGTCTGTATCCGACTGGTCGTCATGCTTTCCCTCCTTTACTTGATTTCAAAAACTGTTTCTCTATTGCGGCCAGGGGAGATTAGGTTACTACGTTGCCCTCGCTCTCTTTGGACTGTTCGGTGTTACTCTCCTTTCATTGGCGATCGAAACACCAAGAAAACAGAATTACTGGAAACAAAACGTCTCGTAATTCGTTGTGTTGAACTTTGCGGTCAGTTCCTTCCCTGCACCTCGTGCTGAGCCAGATACGGTCGCGGCCCGGCATCAGCGGGGATGGAGTTTAGCTTCAAGATTTATCTCAACCCTGGAATCTGTACTGTTGGTCTGTACCTTATGGACTGCCTCCTCTACAAATTACTGGCCCGAGTGAGAAGACTAAAAAACAGTACCACAAGTGACTGACATTTCGGACTTATCGGCAATTTTCATAGGTCAGCGTGACCAGTCTGAGTGACGCAGAGTTGTAAAAACTGGCCTGCAGGATCAAGCCAACGTGACTCGAGAATATTTTCCTCACAACCCTTGTATGCGACAGGAGCCCGGCAGAACTGGCAACAGTCAGTGGCCCGGCGCAACTTTGGCGGCGAAACTCTAACGGCGTGCCCCGCCGGCGCGAAGTTGGGCCGAGCGTCACCCACGTCGTCATACTTCCAAGTTGCTTTCGTATTTATACCTTCTTCCTTCCTGTACCTTCTGCCTTCCCGACAGTCGTTCACCTTTCATTCTTATCCAATATCCGAACTTCCGACGACTACCACTGCAAAACTCACGCCCGAAATACTTGAGAAAGACCACAATGAAAGTACTCGTACTGGGTTCAACCGGGAACCTCGGGTCCCGCGTCCTGTCTGCGCTACTGGCGAGAGAGCATTCAGTGGTAGCTTTCTTGCGAGACCCTTCCAAGCTACCTCCCAGTATTGTACCCAAGCTCACGGCGGTGGAACGCGGGGACGCGAAAAAGGCCAGCGACATCAAGGTCGCCGCAAGCAAGCACCAATGCGATGCGATCGTGAATACGGCCGGACTCGCTGCGATGGCACCCTGGGGAAAGAGTGATCTCCCGACCATCGTCGATGCAGTCATTGCAGCTGCGTTGGAAATCGGACAGGAGCGCCAAAGTCCGCTGCGTGTGTGGTTCTTGGGTGGATTGGGACTCTTGGATCAACCGCAGACGAAATACTTGCTCGTAGACTAGTGAGTCGTCCCCAAGTCCATCTTTTAAATCTTCACACGATCGGAGCTGATATCAAGACTTTAAAACAGCGTGCGCATGTTCCCGGAACATCGCAGTACATGGGCAAAGTTGAAGGCCTTGCCTCCTTCCAGCATGGAGTGGTCCATTCTGTGCCCGAGTATGATGACTCCTCGAAGCAAGGATAGTTATCCGCTTGCGAGCGGGTCTTCATCGAAGAATATCGTTGTATCGGCAGGTGCACCTCCTCAGTGGTCGCCACGATTTTTTAGCATGCCACTTGTTGGAGGATGGTTGAACGTCATAAGCCAGATCGGCGCGTTCAACACTACCCTCGAAGACAATGCCGACTTCATCGCGCAGGATCTGTCAGATGGAAATAATAGCGAGTGGATTTATCAGAGGGTTGGAACCAGGACGAAGACAGAGTGATCCAGACCATCGATGCTTTGCGAAAGAGATGGGTGTTCCCCCACACCCGGATACTTTCCTGGAAAATCTCTCACTTAATTCTTACATACGTTTCGAACTAGCAGTATTTAATCTTAATTTTTTCATTTCTTTAATAAAGAAACGCAGAAGACCTTCGGATCCTTTGTATGGCTTGATGCGGATCACTGCCTGGCCGCTCGACCGCCCCACTAGTGGATCTCTCCATGGATAGTTTGACGTTCCTTCATACCCTCAACTTTCCTTCTTCCCAACACATTCCTCAACCCTCTTCCATCACCGTGTAATATGCGCTTATACGACGCACTCACCACACAATACGAAGAGATGTCTATTTTCTGATCACTCCTCTAATAGCCTATGTCTCTTCTCTTGAGAAAACACGTCTACCACAACCTTTGCCAACGCATATAGCTTTGCAAGCTTGGTTACCGACGATGTCGAACTTAGGACGCACAAAGCTATGGCTTCCAAAACTGCCCCGCATCCAGCCATGGGCACAAGATCTTGGCATCAGAAGTTTGCAAGCAGAGGTGCACTTCCCCTACACCCCAATACGTCCGATCCAACCCGCATCCGTCATCCAGTCTACCGCCACAACATCCTGAGCCAAATAAGATAGGTTCAATGACCTCCTCACAAAGTGCATATATTGCCATGTGACGAAGGCGCAGAGGAGAACGCAGGTCCACCCATTTGGACTTGGCACTCCACATCCTTCCAAATTTTGTGCAGAAGTGAATCCATTTTCAGGGCTTGCCACCTCTTTCCACTCTTTTTCGCTATCCCCACCTCGGCACCAGCAGTGTCCGCCGATCCTCAAAACGAGGTGTCTACGAGACTTCTTCGAATCGTCAAATTCACTGGCCAAACCCAACACACCCGCCTGACGGCTGAGAGCAGCTGCTGACTGTCATTCAGCATATGGCGGATGGCAAGTGCAAGAAACAGCTGCCGCATATATCTGGAATCGGCTGTGTGCTTCGAAATAAAAGGCCCAAATGGACTCGGACTCGATCATCGGGGCGGACGACATACCATTTGTGCTCGTGATTGCAGGAAGTTATCCGCTTCTAGGCGAGATAGCAGCAATATAGTTATTGCGGAAGACCATAAAAACATGGCATTGGACATGGAAACGAGACGAGCGATCACCTAATTTACTTGGTCTGTTATATCCCGTATCAAGAAAGGAGAATCGAATATTTCGCTGCCGATGGCTTCGGTTATAATGCAAATCGCGGCAGAGCTCACCAAGTGCAACACGCTTTTGGCCTTCTCCATTAATGATTTTTTTTATATGCGATTTAGCATATCAGAAATCCCCGAGAGAAAGCGCCACAAGAAGCATGTATGGCTTTTCCTAAATTGGAAACATTGCAGAAAATGGGAGAGAACAAGATCCTGCATTTTGACCAGGATGTGGCGTATTCCACGAAGCTAGATCCCCGCCGAGGCGATCCAGTTCCTTCTCCCGCTTTTTACCTTACAGATAATTGGCAACGAACTGCCGTTCATCCCAGCCATGCACGAATGATACTTCGCTGTCAGATGCATATCTGGTCTGCTATACACCATCTACCATGCCGAGCTGGGCTTGTAGCAGGCGACCAAAATGGCTGCCTATGGTGCGAGTCTTTGAGCGCAGCCATCTCGTCGCTGATCATGCGCGGAGAATGGGGTCTGACGTTTTACCTGGGATCACCGGGTGGTACTGTTCCAGGGTTCTTCTAGCTCTACGCAGTTGGAACTACGTCTTTGCCAATTGCCAGAGATCATGGGTCTCGCAGTGTCCTGGCTATGAGCCACTCGTCTATTACGATTCCACTGCTGCTATCACCATACGAACGTAACTACATCACGTGTTGGAAGCTACCTTACTACAGCATAGTTAGTAACAACATCCCTTAGCCCTAACAAGAATACGATAGCCTTCTAGTCTCCAACCAGCAGGTAACAGCTGCATTGTAGAAGAGACGATTGAATACGTCTACACTGGTCGGTATGATGGCCTCCACTCTTCAGTGAAGCTTGATGGCGGATGGACCTTCCAAAAAGCAAAACAGGAACCAGGCTCCGCGTTTATATGTTGTCGTGGATGCCCCAATCCAGCCAGCTACAACATTGAGGGCCTTTGCATCTAGGCTGTATGTCGCTACGGCCATGCCCTTCCGTATGGATGCACCTGACTTCAAGTGACCGAGCCGCCATCAGACAAGGGAATCTGGAATATATCCAGTTATATGTCTTCACATAAAGCTCCACAGCTTATTTTAAAGGATGTTGAAGTCACCTTCCTGCTCGATATTTAGTATATATGCAGCTAGTTATTATTTTCACCATTAGGCTGCTGAAATGATGACTAGCTGCTGATGCATATGGTAATAATAAGGCCGCCCTAACGGCCACGAAAACATGGGCACTATCACGAACGATACTCGTTAACATTATGGAGTTGGTACGTAGAAGGCTGAAGACAGATCCCTTGCAAGGGTCATCCTGGCGATCCACGAGCCGTCAGCCTTGCTGTGTGGTGTACGACAGAGGGCCCGCGGAGCCAAGCGTGAGCTATTATTCATAGTCATTGAGCTTGTACCTGCAGTGTTAACTTCTTTCTACTATTTTCTTCCTAAAAAGGATATAGGGCGGAATATGGTCGTGGTAAATTGTCGCAAATGTCAGTGATTACCCATAACATATACAGCAGATATACACTAATACTGTAGTTCTTGTACGTTGTGGTTATGCTTCTGTCTACTCTCAGTAGTGAAAAAGCCTGGTAATATTAGTCCACATCCCTCGCATGGAATACTTATATGATTGTCCAGGAAAATTGCAAGATCTGCTCCTTGCATCCAGTCGACGTATTTTGCACCGGCACTCAACTTTCACGGTTCGGCGGGAATGTGAAGCAACAAAGCTATCATCTGCTCCAGGACAGGGCGTGAACTGTGATTATTAATCTTTAAGAACGGGTTCCAAGCTCGATTAGATTCCTGTTTGACTGCGCGTCATGAGTACTACGTTTTTAAAAGGGAGAACAAGCCAGATGATGAAAAGAGGGGTTGGTATGGTAATGAATTAAAACAAACCTGTTCGGAAATGTCCTACCGGGTAGGCGGCTGGAAGCAAATACGTCCAACCCAACGTTTCCGAGACGTATCTATCGGGCGCCGCGGAGTGGAGTTAAAGTTCGATTAGATAGTGCGCTCGCGATTCGTTAATGTGCGCGTTGAGGGCCTCTTGGCTGACAAAGGGGCGTTTGCAAGACCTACAGTTGTACTTGGGCTCATGCGCACTCGAGTGTTGACTATGCTGGTCGAGTGCCTGCTTATCCACAAAGCACCGATCGCAAGGCTCGCACTTGTTGCGGGGATCATGGTTGTGCGAGTCGCGGCCGTGTTGGTCACGAGCGTCCTCGCTGGCGAAGAGATGTTGGCAGACTCCGCACTTGTAGATTTTAGGAGGCGCAGGCGGGGCGCAAAGATGCTGGTCGAGAGTGCCCTTGCTGTCGAAGAATTGATGGCAGCAAGGACACACGAAGCTCCGGGCATGTGCAGTTGTGTCGCGGCGGTGCTGGACGAGAGCATTCTCGCTGACGAAGGGCCGTTTGCAGAGAGAACACAACATCGTGTTTCGGAAACGAGATTAAACGCTGTTAGAGAAGAGCATGGTGATGATAGTGGTGGATGTGGAAGGATGTGGATGGGTGCAGAGGGAGAGAGGGAGGAGGGGCTACGCGGTCTAGGTAAACAAGGCAAGGGCTATGCTGACATGTGATCCGCGAAGCTACCTGGTGCGTCAGTGCTTAAGATATGCTGAATGCTAACCAATAACACTATACAGTTTCATATGAGACTGTAATCTCTTAGGGTCTCCATTATCCATTATTATCAATGGTATTAGTCACCTTTGTATAACTGTACGTTAGTTCTATTTCGGACTCGCACCAATTGCCGCGCTTTCGATCCGCAATCAATCCTGGCTTCGGCTTCTCATGGATATTTGAGCCAGACCATGACCGTTTTGTCGATTATGACTTGTGTATTCTAACACAAGCCAGTCTTACTGTTTACAAAATATCGAAGGTAGAAATTTAGAAGAAAAGTAGCGAGTTCTTCAATTGTAGGCCCAGTATATGAAAATACCCAGAGGCTAGCCGGTGCGACTTGATGCAAAATCTGGTATGGAGAAGACGGAATTAGAGAGCCAACAGAAATGAGATTCTTCCTCGAAATGATATTGATACGCCCGAAAGAGAAAGACGCCACGGCAAGATCTCAACCCTTCGAATCCCGTCAAGGCCAAGCTTCATGGCTTCTCCATATAGCTATCTAGCAGTCAAAGGTGATGGTACACATGTGGTAGTTCTGACCGAACTTATCACCAAGTCCACCCTTAATATCCTTCTGGTCCTTATAATCGGAAGCACAAGACCTAAACACAAGCAACTATCAGCATCAAATTATACGCATTGTCAACCCACAATGGGAATATCACAAGCTCAAGTTACTTGATAGGAACCAAGATATCACTCATTTCGGAGGGCATTAGGTGAAGCCAAGGTTCCATTGCCCTTCAACTATTGCCCTCGAGGTCTCCATCGTCAGCCCAGAGCGTGGTGTCACCGCAGACGGCGTCGGAGTGATCGAACTTAAGCTTGGTGCCACCGCCCAAGAACACACTGATGGCTTCAGAGGATCCTGCGAATGTATTGCTGACTCGTGCTTCGACAGAGCAGGTGTCTGCCACGGTGACGGGGAGCTGGCGGCGGCGGCGGCCAGGAGAACGGGGGCGACCGGGATGAACATTTGTAAAATTGGTTGTTGGAGAGTTTTCTTGTTTTGTTTTGTAGTTTGAGATAGGAGTAATTGCTGATGAAGGGAAGAACTCAAAGCCGGGAGTTGAGAGACCTTTTAAATATTTCTAGAGTGCTGTCTCGCTTGGATTGACGTCGTTGTTTCCAAGCCAAGAAGTATCTCGTCTATGAGTGATTTCTTGGCGGGGGTCATGAATTCGGTAATGATACAGCCTTTCCAAAAATATTGTGGATATGTGAAGCTGAAGAGAACTGTCATTTGGCAATGATCCTGAGATCGTCGAGGAATCTGCCTTGACTTGCAAAATATGTTGATCTGCCCCCATGAGATGTAGACTCACATTTCCGAACAAATCAGTGTACCTAGAATAGACTGTGTTGACTCTATAGAAACTTGGTATAGGTCCTGGACGTATTTGGATGCCGTATCCGGACATGATAGTCTGATCTTGCCGTAGTCCCATCGGTTTACCCACCCTCGTATCTCCAGAATTAGAGTATAGAATCGCGGGGCTAGATTATTGAGGAAACTGTATGGTGTCCACCTGGGGCCGCATAGGATCACGACGGGGCTGTATAATGTCTCCTTGGCAAAGGTTTGGAAGGGGCCAGCGCTGACTGTTACTACCCAGACATATGCCGTGGCATGAAAGTCCGGCAGCACCGATAGTTAACATCAAGTGCCAATCATTCGGAGGCCAGTTGGAACTAACTATGGGAAATATTCTAGACCTGAAAAGCTCATTTGTCAGTCATATAATAGATAACTGAGTCCTCACGCAAAGTACAATGACATTGTCCTCACTATAAAGACCCGGCTCTTCCGTGTAGCAGCCGCAAGCATCAGACAGGTTTACCCGGTTGTGTTCGACCCACTCAATCGAATTTCCCCCAGCTACTTGTAAATGGCAGAGCACGCACAGACAAGGAGGCCAACCCTGCCGCGTCTATCCAGGTAAAGGCGATGAATAAGCCGGGGAGGAATCTGCATCTTGAAGCTTGGCCAAAGTGCCTACCTTATCAAGACAGACTAGCAACGAACTGAAAGACCGACCAAAAATTCCAGGGCCATTTAAAGGCCAAAGACTTTAGCGAAGGAAGCTTGGCCATCATGGTTCCATGTTCAGTATAGATCGTGTATCTTGGCGCTAAGTCCGCCCCAAGCCCTTTTGTTGACGATCGGACTTGGCAGAATCGATGCAGCCTTGTATGTATGACAAAACCTGTTCATGGTTTGCTTTTTATAAATCAGTCTCGCGAACGGGCACTGATGAGGAGAGCATGCAGTGTAAAAGTAAAATCATCATTCATCATGGTACAGGGTATACAAATACACAGCCAACGCCAGGCTAAAGAAACCACCCAAGACCGAATGCTAAGCAGCTACTGAACGAGCTTGTAATTTCCCCCACTGACAATTTCCAACTTGCCCTTCGACACCATCCCAGCGAGGAACTCTCGGAGCTCCTCGTTATTGAACGGGAATCCACCGGGAACAACAATCTTCAACATCATGACGATTTTCTGAAGGTTCATTGCGCCCTGGTTCGTCAACATACCCACAATGAACTGCCAGTAAAGATTCATCTTTTCCATCGCCGCAGCCTCTGCCGTTTCCTTAGCTGCTGCCGCGGCAGCTGCTTCGGCGGCTTCGGCGGCGGCTGCGGCGTCGACTGTGTCAATGGCCTCGACCGTGCCTCTATCTCCGGAGACGTCTTCGGGGAAAGCATCTTCTGAACTGAGATACTCGACTGCCTGGTAGTGGTCTTTGTGCCTCTCGACGAGAACGCCATGGCTTGTCCAGAAGAGACAGGCGCTGCGGACGAGATTCTCGGGCATACCGAGTGATTCGGCAAGAGACTTGACGTCAAGGGTGAGCGCGGGGCTCGTTTCTGGGTCGTAGTCCCACTGGGAGATCACGGTTGCTTGCCAGGTTGTGCACTTGAACTCAACGGTACGGTCGCCGAGTTCCAGTTCGACGGTTACTTGACCCAGACCCGTAAGCCAGGTGAGTTTGCGAGAGGATTTGAGGTCTTCGAAGCCTTGCGAGAATCGTTTTTGGCAGGCCTGGGTTACCTGGGGCAAGCCCGTGAAATTCACGTTGTCTTTGAATTCGGGCCAGAAGAAGCGCGAGAGGATCTTGACGTTTAGTTCGACATCTTGTCCGCTGGGGTTGTCCGAGTCCGGGGAGGCGGGTCCTTCGTGAAGTTGCCTACCGCGGATGGTGTCGTTGGCTGTGCGGGAGGCGCTGATATCCCGAAGCATGACTTCGCAGGCTTGGAGGGAGGAATCGCCGAAGCGGATTTTGAGAAGATCGAGGACGGTTTTTTCTTGGTTGAACGTGTCAACGTCTTGGAGGAGACGGTCGGCGAGGTGGGTTTGGAGTTCCTTTACGAAGGTCTCCTTAGAGTCGAATAGGCTGATCAGACTGTCGATGACATCGGCTCCCTTGGGCTTCTGGTAATCGGCAGACGCGTCCATAGGATCCGGCGTCCAGTTCATGTCGTTCCAGTCCAGGTCATGCGTGTTGTTTTGTTGAGAAAGTTTGTGTGCGTTGGATAATTCGGTTGAGAGCTCATGCAGAGTGTCGTCACCGGAAGGCAGGCCTTTGGGATCATGTGTACCACCAGGTTTAGCGAGGAGGCCGCGGACAATCACCTCGACAGTATCGTCGCGGTATCTAAGGTATTGACGGATTGGTCGAGCAATCCATTGCAGCAGAACACCCTTGGGGTCCAGCATGTGGAAAGCGCGGATGATGGAGATGTAGAGCTGCAGAATTTGAACAGTGGAGGCACCAGGATGCAATAGCTTATGGTAGAGCGTCGTGATGAATGAATTGCTGAGGTATTGTCGAGCTGGGGCATGCACTATGAAGTGCTTCAGATCTTGCATCGCTCCCTTACTTTGCGGCCATTGCGCAATGACCTCAAAGAGTTCGCTAGTACGAAGGGCTCCGAGGCGCGAGATGGCGATTGCCTGCCATTTCTCCAAATTCCCAAAGCTCACGTCCAGATTGCCAGGCACTTCCTCGGCCGGCTTGTGAATGATGTCAAGAACCTGAACGACAAGTCGACCAAAGACGTTCTCAACCCAGCACCGCAGATGTGATGCTGTCCACGATGGCGCCTCCCATTGAGAAGTATACGCGGCGCGGATAAACTCAGTCATCATGACATTCATGACACCGGCAAACACCTTCTGAGCCTTATCTCCACCAAGCCCAACGAGCTGAGACATTCCCAGCAATTTCAGAAGACGCTCTCGGGCCTTCGTCACCTTAATATCTTCACCCTCGGTCATCAAACGCACACGATCATCGCGCGGGGTTGCCTTCCAGTCCTTATAGGATACGGAGTACACTTTATCCACCTCCATCTTGTCGTCGTTGCTTTCTTGGGGTCGGGAGTTCTCAATCAATGTGTTGATACCCAAAATCACAACTGCATGCTCTGCGAAATAATTGGCGAGCAGGGGTGAGATCGTCCGCCACTGAAGGGAATATGCGACAACGGTATGGAAGCCTCGGTCAAGCCGGCTGATGATCCGGTGCCCTTGAGTGGGAACTAGTGGTATAATATAGCGACGAATCGGGCCCATGTAGCTTCGATGTGTACACTCTAGGTAGCAGACGACCGCTTTGAGCGCATTCCTCTTGTCGATCGCCTCGAGAATCTGTATTTGGGTTAGCAAAAAAGTTCTAGATATCCCAGAACTTAACCGTGATGTGCCATACCTCACGGAGTCTTCTTTGCAGGTTCGTCAAGAAATGTCTTCTCATTTCCTCGCTATACCAATCACACAGATCCCTCGAGGCAGTTCCACCTTGTGCGGCATTTGTGTGCTTGGCCGCGGCCAGCAGGTAGGAGAATGCCTCGACTGTGTCTCTCGACGGGGGAGGAATCGTGTTTTCTCTCTCCCTGCGCTTCACGATCTCAGAATCCTCGAAGCCGCGGTCGGGAATGGAGAGGTAGGCGGTTGCCGCAGCCCACGCTCGGTTCCATGTTTCTGGGTCGGAGGGGGCTTGTTCGTGTAGGGAGGTAAAGGATTGCGATTGCGGGTCTGTTCGCACGGTCGAGGATGATGCGGCCGATTGAAACGAGGCCTGCGACGTTGGGTCGGCGAACGGCGGCCGCGCTTCGATAGACGCGGGGGAGAAGACGGAGTGGAAGACGCGCCGGCGTCCCACATTGAGGGGGACTGTCGAGGCCATTGTGATTACGGTCGCTGCAGCATTCTGGCCCGTACACTGCGCTGTCGAGCCCTTCTGGCGGAGCGGAGGAGAGCTGTCGAAACGGACGCGGTTGGGTTGCGTGAGGTGGTTCGACTGTTTGTTGCCCAGCGCGTGGTCACGTGGGGCTGCCATACAGGAAGTCGCTGTACCCAATGCCAACTACAAGAGATACAAAACCAATAAAAATGCGATAGATTGCTCGTAGGGTATACTGGGTAGATGTGTTCTAAGTAAGCTTATAACTATATGTGCGCTGCCAAGGGCGTATTGGGTCGACCAGAGGCCAAAACAAAATTGATAATCACCACGATGCGCCGTGAAGCAGGAGAATGAGGAAAGATATAAACTGCAACAAGCTTCGGGTCGCTTGTGTGAGTAGTGCAGGATCCGACAAATGGGAACAGCTTCGCACCTAGCCGCCCTGTACAGCCCAGCGGAGTAACGATGGACTTTGCTGGCAGCTCCTGTCAGTCCCACCAAAAGCAAAACCCCCCCGGAGCTGCAGGCGAACGCTTGAAATTCCCGACCTCACGCCTTATTGCCGTCCACCTTCTCCCACTCACTGTCAGTACTTCCGTAGCCCGAGCTGTCGCCGCCGGTGCTGGTGCGCTTGCGAGAGCCCAGCTCCGGGGGCTGCAGTCTCGCAGACGCCTTGCCCATGTCCGTGGCCGTGGCCAAGCGTTCCGTCTTGCCCCGAGCGATCGACTCGGTCTCTGTCTCGCTGTCGGCGTTGGAGTCGGCGCTGTCGTGCCCGGATTCCTTCTTCCTGCCGTCGGCGGCGTCTGCCTCGGCCCTCTTCTCGGCGTCCTGGGCCGCCTGCGCGAGACGGACCTCGTGCGCGAACCAGTTGATGGAGTACCACAGGCCGGCGCTGATGATGGACAGCGCGACGAAGTGCAGGCTGTATGTTGCGAGGAGGAGGGCAAAGAAGACGAACTGGAGGGCGGCGAAGGTCACGTTCGTCGCGAGCAGGAGTGTTGGGGTGGGGCCCGGCGTGAAGACGCTGGACCACAGCTCTTCCACGAAGGAGGCCATGGTGAGGATGGCAGGAGAAAAGAGGTGACGTCGTGGGAATGGGGGGAGGTCGGAAAGTGAAATCCGTGCGGTTCGGAGAATGGCCTCCGAGGGGTGAAGCAGTGCAGAGGCCGCGGGTCCACCTTAGGCGGGGGTGCTGGTCTCGGGCTGCGATGGGCACAGGACGAACGAGCAACAGAACGTGGAGAATTCCGAGAAAATCGGGGCGATTACCCCACGGGGTCAGATGGTCGTCAGATGGGCAGAATGTAGGATGCTGTATTGCAGGTGATGGGGTCCTCTTACATGGTTGAGGCTTTGTATACCTCGCGGACCGTAGTATATTCTAGACGCTGTAGAGTCAAACAAGCCTGCCGAGACCGGCCCGAGTCCGGGTATGCGGATACCCCAACTTGCTCGCATCCTGCAGACGGCGCTTATTCCCAACGGGGCCAGGCGACTCGGAGCCAGGCCGAGTGCCAGAACTGAGTTTTGGGGCTGCCAGTGTCTGGCTGAAGAGGCGAAGGAGTGTCGATGGTCAAGAGTGCATTGTACGGCGTGGGGCATGGGCTATTTATTTGTAGTGAGCGGGAGCATGTACTCCCTCCGGCCTTCTACAACTACTCCCGCCTACGAGTCCCCCAGGGTTGTCGCCGATGCCTGCCTCGTGAGCAGGGACAATCATGGACAGTGACCTCGGGGCATATCAGGGATACCCCAGGTGTCTCCAACCCCCAGATTGTCCCCACGTCCAACCACGGCACCCGCATCCACGATGCTCGCAGCAATAACCGCTGCTCGTCACCAATGGTACCCCCACGATTACTCTGGCCTGCTCCACTGCCAACCTTAGCGGCCGATCTCCCCCGTCTTTTCCCTCTTTGAGCCTCCTGGACCGGGAAACCGCACATTGCCGTCATCTCGCCGAGCTGTCGCACTGCAACTGGGTCCAGTCCCCCGCAACCGCAGTCGGTATTTGCCCGTAACGCCCAATCATGTCGAAGCTTTCTGTAGAGCCGATACGTGCGTGCTAAGCGAAAATGAGCGGATTTTCCGGGGGTATATGAAAGGAGGGGGCTGTCCTTTTCCCGAATGGTATAAATATGCCCGACGCCTCACGCTGTCTGTGTTAGGAAAGCTTCCCAATCTGTCGTATCTCGGCGAGAATTGCCTCCTTGATTTGCCTTTCTCCAGCCCACGACTGCAGCCAACCCTTGCAAAATGACAGACACCACCCTGGCAAAGGAACTGACCCCAGAGGATGTCCATATCGAGGGCTTCGCACACCATGCCGAGGACATCACGGCGGACCGGGAGCCCTATGGCCCCCCAGGTCTGCGTGGCCTGGTGCAGAACCCGTTCGTGTTGATGTGCGCTGCGTGCTCGACGCTCGGTGGTCTGTATGTTTATACTCTCCCTACGAATCAGCCACGATCTTGGCTAACGACTCCTCCAATAGGCTCTTCGGATATGATCAGGGCGTCGTGTCTATAATCCTGGTCATGGACCAGTTCCTGGAGACCTTCTCTCGCATTGACAGCTCCAGTGGGGCGTTCTGGAAGGGTCTCTTGACAGCGATGATCGAGCTGGGTGCTCTGCTGGGCGCGCTGAATCAGGGTTGGATCGCGGATAAGATTTCCCGTCGCTACTCGATCGTCGTGGCGGTCATTATCTTCACAGTCGGCTCCATCTTGCAGACTGCCGCCGTGGAGTACTCCATGCTGACAGTCGCGCGGCTGATTGGTGGCGTGGGCATTGGTATGCTGTCGATGGTCGCGCCCCTTTACATCTCCGAAATTAGTAAGTGGCGCCTATTTCCTGCAGATCGACGTCAAGGGTCAAAGCTAATCTGTTCTCTCGTAGGTCCCCCCGAGTGCCGTGGAACACTCCTCGTTCTGGAAGAGTGGTGTATCGTCCTTGGTATTGTCATCGCTTACTGGATCACTTATGGCACGCGGTACATGCCTGGCGAATGGTCCTGGCGCTTGCCTTTCCTCCTCCAGATGATCCCTGGGTTCATCCTTGTCGCTGGTGTCATCATGCTCCCTTTCTCGCCCCGTTGGCTTGCCGCGAAGGGCCGGGATGAAGAGGCTCTCAACAGTCTCTGCAAGCTGCGCAACCTGCCCTCTTCTGATCGCCGTATCCGCCAGGAGTACCTTGAGATCCTGTCGGAGGTCAAGTTCCACCAGCGCATGAATGCCGAGAAGCACCCCAAACTTCAGGGCGGTACTTCGAAAGATGCGATCTTGCTCGAGCTGGCCTCCTGGGCTGATTGCTTCAAGAAGGGATGCTGGCGCCGCACTCATGTCGGTATCATGTTGGCATTCTTTCAGCAGGTAAATACTCTTCTTTCTCTCGTGTGATACATTCAATGCTAACAATAAATCAGTTTGTTGGTATCAACGCCCTGATTTACTATTCGCCAACCCTGTTCGGAACCTTCGGCTTCGACACCAACATGCAGCTGATCATGTCGGGTGTCCTCAATGTCCTGCAGCTGGTCGGTGTCACCACTAGTGTCTGGACGATGGATACGCTCGGCCGCCGCAAGCTGCTGATGGCCGGTGCCGTTCTTATGGCCATTTCGCACATTATCATCGCTGCCATGGTTGGCCAGTACAGCGACAATTGGCCCGCCCACAAAACACAGGGCTGGGTCAGTGCGGCTTTCTTGCTCTTCTATATGATCGCCTTTGGTGCCTCATGGGGACCTGTTCCATGGGCATTGCCATCTGAGATTTTCCCCTCGTCTCTTCGTGCCAAGGGTGTTGCTCTATCCACCTGCTCCAACTGGTTCAACAACTTCATCATTGTAAGAAACCCGCGCCCCTATCTTTCTTTGCCGACCGCTCACATTCCAACTAGGGTCTCATCACTCCGCCTCTGGTCCAAGACACTGGCTACGGTGCCTACGTCTTCTTTGCTGTTTTCTGTGTGCTGGCCGGTGTCTGGACGTACTTCTTCGTTCCGGAGACGATGGGTCGAACTCTTGAGCAGATGGACCACGTCTTCAAGGATAACTCGAATGAAGGCGAGCGCGCGCTTCGCACCGAAATCGAGACTGAAATTATCAATGCTCAGCGCGATGTTGTATGATAGCCCTTTGTTTTTGCATAGCGATAGTGCTGCTTGAGATTAGCAGGTAGTGGATCATGAATCACGAACATACTTTTGATATCCAGCACTTGTTCTCAGTAAGCTGCATGGAAATGGCAGCTGAGACATTAGTAATCCCTCACGTGCCCCCTAACTATCCTCAACAGGGTCAGCCTTATAGTGATGGCCCGCCTTCCACCACCTGATTTCCAGGCACAACAAACTCGAAAGGAAAAGCAAAAATCAGCAATCACCATGCTATAGTTATATCGCGAGCTACGAGTACCATTGACAAAATCCTCGATCTCAACTTCAATAATATCTCAGGCGTCCACACTAAGCCCGAATCAGTAAACTATGCTATAATTGGGATGCTGTCGGATAGCCAAGCCCCTCATTGGCGCAATGCAACACTAGGGCTGAGAAGTGGATCCCCTAAACCCGAGATATCAAAGCTAATCAAGCCGGCCTAAATAATCCTCACATGCGCATCTCACCGTGACCATGGCCTAGAATCACCTCAAGATACACCCCAAATACGTCAAAACAGAAATAGGAACCAACCTATTATTCCGCCTCGGGCCTGCTACACCATGGAACGAACAAAATGGCTCGACGGCCTCCGCGGCGTCGCCGCCGCCATCGTCGCTTTCGACCACTATTTTATGAGCGATGTCTGGCACCCCTTCGTGTCATACTGGTCCGACCCACCAGAGAATAATCGGCACCTAGTTCAGCTACAGCCTATTCGGATTTTATTTTCAGCTCACGGAATGGTCACCCTCTTCATGGTGATTTCCGGGTACGCCATCTCCATCAGTCTCCTGAAAGCGCGGGATACGCCTCAATTTCTGGCGAGGGTGCAGTCAGCTGTCGTGAGACGCGCTTTTCGAATATACCTCCCTGTTCTCGTGACGGCGGGCCTGGCGCAGGTTCTTTACTTTTTGAACTTATTTCATTGGGAATTCGACCAGGGTCTTGTGGATGATTTGCCAAAGCCTTTGTCCAGGCCATTTGCGCATCTTTCATGGCTCCTCAATTATATGGCGGATATTATTAATGTTGTCTCGTTTGAGTATCGCGGTGGTATTAATGGGCAATTGTGGACTATGCCTGTGGAGTTTCGCGGGTCAAATGTGGTTTACCTGCTCATTGTTGGGCTTGGAGGTTGGCGGGCGAAGACGAGGTTGTTTGCCCTGCCGCTTTTGGCCTGTTTCTTTCTCTGGTATGGGAACTGGGATATCTTCGGCTTCATTTGGGGTCTTTGGTTAGCCGAGCGGGCGAACAGTGCCTCTTCAGCTTCCAGAGAGACGCTTAGCACCGGGTTTGAGATGGCGGAGTACGAGAATGGCACCAGCCCTCTTCTTTCCGGACCACGAACCTTGAGCTTCTGCGGCGGACGCAAAGCGAGGAGCTCGAAGTCTCGAAACTGCCTTAGCTTCTCACGCATCGGCTCCTCCATGGTTTTCGTCGTCGGCTACTACCTCCTCTGCATCGGAAGCGACGGTCATCTCGCACCCGAGTACAAATTCCTTGCCATCTTCAACTCGCCGCGCTGGAAGGATGAATGGCACATCTACCACTGGTGCTGGAAGGTAACCGGGTCGGCCATGCTAGTCTACGGCATCGGCGAATTCCCCTGCTTGCAGCGGCCGCTGAACTCGCGCATTGTGCAATACTTTGGGAAGATCTCCTTCTCATTGTACCTGCTCCACGAAACAATTTATCAACTGTTCCGCAATCCACTGAGAGATATCATTTATCTTGCGCTTAGTGGGGAGAGATATGGGACTAGTGGACAGGCGTGGGGAGCTAATCCGGTTGCTTTTCACGTTTGTTGGTGGACGACGGGCATCTTTTTGGGATGTTGGGTTGTTGTGGCAGCGCATTTCTACACCACTTACGTCGATAATAGGTGTGTGGCTTTCGCGAAGAGGGTTGATCGGTGGCTTTGTTCCTGATATCTGTACATTATTATGATGCATCTTTATTAATTTGATGGCGTGACCTGTATGACAATCAAAGCGACCCGATAATATATTGGATCATTCCTCTTCACTTTTTGAGTCCGGCTGTCTAGATTAAAATGGCATTGTTGACTGGGTATGTAATGCTGTTGACTTGTTTGCAGCCATCCGTGCCTGAGGTTGCAGCCTAGCATCTGAGAACAACAAGGTCTATCGTACTCACTTCTTCCTCCGTCCCTCCCACCATCCCCACCCGTCTCCCACATTGCACTTTTCGTCATCCACTTTCACTGAACCTTTCATGGCTTCTCCTCCAGAGGACCTCATGGATCTGGACGACCCCATGGAACTGCATGATCCCATGAATCTAGATGACATCACAGACCTGGGTGACCCCATGGATCTGGATCCCCCATTTTACCCTCTTTCAACACTCCCGCTAGACTGCTGGATTCTGATCCTGAAGAATCTTTCCCGCGCTGATCTCGCTTCTGTATGCCGCACATCACGCGCCCTTTTCGCGTCATCGACACCGACTCTTTACCGACATGTGAAGATCAACTGGACTTACCCATCGCTAAGGGCGATTCTTTCGTTACTGACAGTCATCCGAGAACGACCATATCTAGCTGTTTGCGTTCGCGATTTCGAAGCATTGCCATCTCGATCACATCCACCTTCGAGATACGGCCCGTTCATACATCCGACCGTTCGACACAGGGGTTCGCTATGTGAATTCCCAGAAACAGTGGCCTTTGCGAAAGACATCATCTCCACGGCACAATTCCCCTCTCCCGAAGACTGGACCAATGCGCTAGAAGCAGGCGATCCCCACGCCTTTGTCACGATTCTGATCACCCAACTTAGAAATATTCGATCGCTGTGCCTCGACTACACCTTTGTCTGTACCGATGGCTGGCCTGGAAGAATGATTAAGCATGCTCTGTTTTCAACAGACAAACTACCCCGCTTCCCCAGGCTTACGTATGTCGAGTACGGCTTCAATGCCCCTCGACCCTTTGCCGGCGTGCATTCAGACAACGTTGCCGCTATGTACCCGAGCGGCAACCAGGAGCAATTTTCGGGTTGGTTCTATTTGTCTTCGTTGCAAAGTCTCAATATTTGGCTTCAAAGCACAGATGGAATTCTACCTGAGACGGAAGGCTTCTCGACTAATCCCGCAGTGAATACGCCTCGCCTGAAAAGCCTTCTGCTCGTGCACGTTCCGATGAATCAAGCCAAGGTAGGTCAGCTGCTGTCTTTTGCTAAGTCTGTGGATGAAATTCACCTTGGACTAATTTTGAATGTGCGAGATGATTCTCCGAACGCCTCGCTGGACCCCTTCGATCAGAGTCGGGACCTCTTACAAGGCCTTGTGAGCCTTCGCAATACCCTACGACATTTGTCAATTGAATTGGCAATATCTACATATCCAGGGGGACCTCCACTCGCTGATGCATGGCAGGCTGATTTGCTGGGCCATTTCGAAGGGTCATTGAAACAATTTGATCACCTTCGGTCCGCAGAAGTACCCATGGTATTTCTGCTCGGACTAGACAAGGGTGACGCCGAGATGAAGGCCGCGAATCTCGCAAGACTACTGCCAAGAAACCTGAGACAGCTTTGCCTCCGAGATAACTCGGTGACTACTAAATGCCACTGGAGTATACCCCGTATGATATCAGCCGTGCAACACATGGTGCCCTATGTGCCACATGCGACCCCGTGGCTGGAACAAATATCGTTGCGATCTTTCTGCGGCCTTGGGGGGCGATTCAGCCGACTGCACGCCTATTTGGCTACAGAGTCGTGCATGAGTGTGAACAGGGGCATCAAGTTTGAAGTTCGGAATGATGCCTGGTCCCCCGGACTTTGGACTGATTTCCGGAGTCTGATCAGATGGCTCTAGGGGTAGACATCTTGGTCTGGGACTGGTGGTGGTCCCATTGTCTGTGTTTGTAGAAAAGGAGGGGAGGGGGCTAACACGGTCTGCCTACTCTCGAAGGCACTCTTTCCTTCCTGCTCCCCTCTCCTCCTTCTTAGTTAGTTCAAATTCACTCAGTTACATGCACCTTCTGGCTCACAATCTAATCACCAACTACTCTCAATTATCTGAGAGCTGCTCCCGCTCCACCTTGGCGGATACTTCGGGAGACAATCCACTTTGTAAGAAACAAAGCTCCGCTCCGTGCATGCTTCTCCTGTCAATTCTTTGGAGCATCGTCACTGAGTTATGGATGTCATTGAAGTAAGAATTCTTGGAAGGTGATCTCAATTTGAGTGTTCAGTGAATAAGTAATTCATTCTCCTTGTCGTTATGTTCTTACCTAGACGGGCAAGTTGACACCGAGCCGAGTCCCGACGAGAGCCTATCTGGCGGCGAGAACCTTGAAGTCTTGCACTATCGGACCCCAAAATGTGCATGTAACGCAATCCAGAGCAATCCAGAGAAATCGATGTATACACATGGCCTGCTTCAAATATGGCATGATCGTTTTTCAGTAGAACAACTGCGAATCCGTTCTCGCAACTCACTTTCCTCTCACGATATGCGCACAACATGGACTCTGTGGCTTATATGCAGCTCACTCGTGGCTGTAATTGAATATCCTAGACCCTGCTAGATCGCAACCAATGAATTGAGGATTCAATTGGCGCATACGTGACAAACTTGGCAATTTGAACGTTTGGCCCTTTGAGAAAAAGTGTTGTTTCGCCGATGAAAGGGGCCATGGGTGACGTGCCAGAATAGGCTTTTGCCGTCCTCTTCTTCTACTGGTAGTATTAACGGAGCCTGCAATAGCAAAATATTCACTCGCCCCGGGTCACTGCTAAGGATATGAATCTGCTTTGACACACTCCGAGTTTGAGCTGTCGCCGAGATTGGGGCTGTAAGACTTACCATGGCCTACCTCTCAGCAGACGATGGCTCCCTGCAGCCGACATTTTTGGCAGTGATGACAGTGTTGTTCGGGCCCGACGACTATCTTGTATTGCCTGGGTTGGTGGGGACAAATCGCGATGGGAGTCATGAATGGTTTCCACGTTAGCCTGGGCACAGGGCTAGTGTTGTCGCTTCAAACTCGACTTCGGTCGTGACTGAAAGATAGCTGGCGACATATTGCGGATTTGCCCCCGTAGAAATTTCTTGTTTCCACACTCGAGCATTGGTATGTCTATCAGCTTGTGTATCCGCTTGCGATCGGAATGGCCCACTATCGCATCTTCCCGGTCAAAATTTTTCGCGCTGCTGTCATTGGGATGTTCGTGTTTGTCTTCGCTTACACGATGATCGTGATTTCTGTCAAAGTGCATCTCCACTTTCTCGATTCCCCTCTCATTCTAACCGGCAAATGCATTTGAATGCCACAGTGAACCTTGGAAGGCATGGAATCCGTCATTCCCAAAGGAGTGCAATGACCTTCATGCAACGTACTTTTCCACTGCTGGAATCAACATCCTGACGGATCTGGCCATCCTACTCATGCCCCTTTCTCTTCTCATGAAGTTGAATCTGCATGATCGAAGAAAATGTGAGATTATGCTCTTCCCGGTCTAGGGAATATGCACTTGCTGACACGGACAGATGCATTGATTGCTATTTTCATGATTGGAGCTTTTGCCTCTGCCGCATCGATTGTTCGTCTCAATGCACTCTACAGATATACTATCACAGGCGATGTGTTCTACGATGCGATACAGGTACATTGACGCCCTGACGCTTAGCCTCTCGACTTTCGAATCATCATGCTAACTTCTGTCACTTATAGATTCTCCTCTGGTCTCAGATAGAAGTCAACATCGCCATCATCTCTGCCTCCACCCCATCTCTCCGACCTATGTTCCCCAGCATCTTCAAGAGCTCTTCTTATGACCGTTCCTATAATTACCGAAACCAATCGAACAACATTTACGTGGCTATGGTGGTAGCTATGACACTGGGAGGTCAAACTACTGCCGATCTTTGAGACCTGGTGCTTCTGGAGCAATCGAGCTCACCTCGCGGGATGATGAAACTCACGGAGGTTAGGGGATATCAGACGATATTTCGGGCTCCAGATCACCACATGTTCGAGGGGCTAGCCAAGAGCTTGTCTTGGAGTCGATCATCACAAAAACTGTTGTCATCGAAATGACAAGAGAGCAAAGAACCTGATCAGGCACCTCACAAAAAAGGATAAGAAAATGGCTTCAATTCATATGCAATGCTTCTACACAAATCCATTCAATTCATACACATGTCAGCAATCAAGCCAAGACTTCAACTGTGGTCTTTTTGAAGAAATGCGGCCAAACCCCGTTCAGCTCCTCCAGTTCGTGTATTTGGTGCTGAGATGCTTGGGACGCTGGAATTGGAAGCCCCGTCTCGATCAAGTGGCACGCTGTCCAGCCAAATGTTTTCGCGCCAACACAGTTCCCAAACGAGTCATCTGCCGGTCAAATTAACATCGAGAAAGATTCTTTCGACTTGGGGTCTTTAACTTACCCACAAAATAACATGCGGCAGTGTTTTCAACACCGGCTTCTTTCATTGCTTTTGCGAACATGCCCGTCTGAGGCTTGCAAATGAACGGAACTTGGGTATAGTCGCAGTACGTGATTCCTTCGAAGAGATCATCGATACCGAGGAGCTTCACGACGCGCTTGGCGTGGGTTACATATGCATTCGTCAACAGCCAAAGCCTTACTTTGGTTGTGTCGATGCTTTCTAGAAGCTGACGCAGCTGTGGGTTGGGCTTCAACAGAGTTTCAAGTGGCAAGGCGTCGTCCACTTGCGAGTTGTAGTGGATAGCATCAACCTCGTGGTGCCGGACAAGTCCTTCAACAGTCTGCCCATATTTTTTGAAGTACTCCTGGTGCATCTTCACTGCTTCTTCTCGAGTCAGGCCTAGTTGTCTCTCAAGGTAGTCATCTATCAATTCTGACAGTGTGTCCTGAACGCTGCTGCCTATATCGCCTGTTAGGACAACGTCTCTTCATCCCGAGGTTGCTTCAAGTGTTTTTACTTCTCGGATAGAGACAGTTGTCAATGTCACTGTGTGCTGCTGTTAGCCAGACAGTTCTAATTCTCTTTTGTCTGGATGACTCACAAGAAGAGAACTGGCAGACTCGCGTTGGCTGTGCCATTTTGGGAGGGCTGAATTTCGACCATGGTGATTCTTCTCTTCTCCTGATTTTCTCTCCTTTTGTGTCAGACTTGATAGTCGTGAGTGATGTTGGTGAGTGTCTAACTTTCAGATGAAGGAAGCTTTCACGGGGTAAGCCGATACTTCCCCACTTTTGTTGGCTTCGGGCAACCAAAATGGCAAAACGTATACGAGAAGGGTCAAGCTCCCACGTGACATTCTCGGCAACAGCATAGATTCGTCTAAAGGGTGCAAAGTACGCGATCGTATGATCTGATCCTAAATTCGATGCAGTTTGTTGGGATAAGGGCTTCTTGCAGAGTCTGGTAGGAAGTAAGCACTTCGCACAACATCCTTGCCAAGAGCTTGCTAAAGATATATCGTGACTTTCAAATGTAGATGTAGCAATGTTGCAATGGAGTGTACAAAGGCTGAATTATCAGCATCGTAGTGGTGTGTAGCGTTGACAGTGTTTCGGACGAAAAGCACACAAATTATGATTATTGGAAATTTTCTAATATTCTAGCTTTGAGAAACAAAAAATTTGATTGCATTTTCAATTCCTCCACTACACTGTATCAAATCCATACATACATCGCGTCTCTTAACTTCCTAAACATTACGACATCGGAGCAATAGATCGCAACAAAAAGAAGCGACAGGCCGAAAAAGCCAATGGCCGACAAAAAAAATATCTCAGGCCGTGGCGCTCCCTCAGAAAGATAGATCTATGACATGCGTATCCTATTGCAGCTTGTCTCCCACTTCCTTGAGCGCAGTCGTTGCACAGCTCTCATCAATGTCTCCGCTAGGAGCACCACCAACGCCAATGGCGCCGATTGTCTCATTTCCGACCTTTATTGGGACACCACCGGCAAGAACGAGGAAATCATCGATCGCCACAAGTTGAGCGGCGCCGGGATTTTGAACGTTCTTCACAATTGTACTAGTCACCGTACGCATGGAGGCAGCTGTGTAGGCCTTCCGGCGCGCCGCATCGGGTGTGTGAATAGCTGCATTGTCGGCCCGAAGCAGAGTGCGCAAGACACCCTCTCGGTCAACAACGGCTGCGGAAACGCTGTACTGCTCGTCGGTGCATGCTTGGATCGCATTCTGAGCAATTTCGACAGCGAGGTTGAGAGGAATGTTTTGTTCTTGCAGGAGATTAGAAGCTCCAGCCGTTGAGATGGCTGCCGCCATGCAGCTGGCGATGATCCAGAAGTTCTTCATCATTTTCCTTTTTTTTTGGTTCGTTATTGCTCGTGGAGGCCAAAGGAATCGTGAAAGATGAAGTAAGAGGCACTAGGATGATTGAAGAACGCTGTTCGATGGAAAGATGAGGTAGTAAACTTAATATCAAATTTCAAGGCAATTCGACAAGCTTAAATAAAAACAAAATCAAAGAGACGTGCCAATTCAATCGGTGTTACCGGTCCATATGAGGGAAATGCCAAGCATCTGCTAGTGTCCGGAGTCAATCCATGTATCGACTTCAACGCTGCGCCTCAATGACAGCCGAGCGCCAAGAATCCCGAAGGCGACACTCTTCTTATATTGCAGGAAGTCAAATTAAATACCTCCAGCGTCCAAAAACAGATAGTAGAATTCACTGTCTCTATTTCATCTAAATCAGGAGTAAAGACTTCCGCTGAAAGCTATGATGGCAAGCGCGATTGTGGGTACCCTCGTGGTAGATTGCGAAGGAAAGAGCGATAAAGCTTTTGATTTTTCAAACTTTACCTTAATTCTCGATGGCTTGGCAATGAGAGTGGCTGGGAAAGAAGAATCCCCACGCAGTCTAGGCAGCTACCTTATCAACATCTTCCTCGGCTTCCATAACGCCATCCGTGCCGAAAATCTGACGATGCGGCAACTGCCGAACGGCGCACTCCGCCGGATGCCGACCGCACTGACGTATACAAACTGATGCCTGGGACCTTGGCATCTAGACCGTGTCCTTAGACCCTTCTTCGAGTATTGTTAGGGATTCCTTAGAATGAAGCGTTAATACGTGAATACCGTCTAATGATCTTTGAAAGTTTTATCCAAACTTGAGAATGATCTGATCTCCAAAGGATTCGTCCCAGATTTTGCACCTCAGTCTCAGCCATGTTCTGTTCCAAATCAAAGCTACGAAACATAATCCGGCTCTTTCTCTAGGCGAGCCTTCAGCCTCTTGCTGATGTGAAGCATCCTGCCACTATTCCAGTCCCAAACATCAGCTATATCCGCGCCTCTCATCAGAATTGACATCATTTTTTAAGATATTGGCATCGGTAGAAGCTATACCAGCTTCCTGCAATGTCCGTGCGGTGGGACTGCACTTTATCCGTGACGTGCTCCCCTTTTGCTGTTGCTTTCCCCTTCAATCTCATCCTTAAAATCAGTCCCTAGAACAATTGACTTGCGAGTGAAGTTAGCTCTTTTGTCATGCAGCATCTCCGTTCCATGTCTAATATGCGCCCCGGCACTCTCCGAGAGAGGCGACATATTGTGATGATTTCTCAAGGATGGATCGACGTCCACAATGATTCGACCCACAGATGTGGGATTACTGCTTCCACTGAACAGTGCGGCATAGTGCAATGGTGTTTCTCCGTCAGCATCCTGGATATTGGCGAGGCTTCCTGGTGTTTCCAAGTTGCATGTTGCAAGCAGATGCTCAAATATCACGGAAATCATGAGTGGAGCGTGACAGGCAAGAAGATGGAGCACGGTCTGTTTGTGCTTGGGTGAAGTGTATAAACAATTAATGGTCGGATCGCCATTTCCCGGAAAAGTGCGACAATCACATCCAAGGCATCATTCAGATAGAACTTGTCATATCTAGCCAGCAAGATCTCGATGGGTACCAGACCTCCAACTGACACCACGGTGTACGATGGGATTTGATCTACCCGAATGTTTGCTCGAGATTTTCCGAGATCCACTTGGAATTCCGGGTGCTTTCGCGAATGTTGTGATCAGTAGGATGGTGAGCGTTCAATTTAGTTCGAGGATTTTTATAGCTTCGACACGGGCATTCAACACGGCAATGTAAATGGTTTGTTCTCGACGGCTGAACTCGGTCCCTTTGGTGAGACAGTGCCGAGTCTCCGATAAAGCTTATTGGACATGGACATCTCTGTAGCAACTGGATTGGCCTTCCAGAAAAGAAGGTTGCTTCAAAGGCCAAGGCACACGCGAGGGTGCAGAGGACTACAAAACTCTCAACTGCCTGGGCTACTTTGAAGACGAATGACGAGAGGACAGCCAAAGAACAAAATTGATCGGCTTCCTCTCCCAGTACCCATTTTGAGCCGACAAAGTCAAGCATCAGTTCCACCGGCTAGCCTTCTCACAAAGTCTTTTTAAAGCGGGGATCAAGGTAGCATTCCTAGCCTCGGGATGCGCCTGAAAATCGCACGAGGCCTTGCCAATACACTCTACTAGCTCCAGTGCAGTACCTGGCTCCACCAAAATTTGAGCAGGCCTCAAATGCTTTTCTTTCATGACAAAGATTCCGCGAAGGGACTTCAACTTGATAGTCCATACCTCGTTGGCTTCCAGTACTCTCGACCGGATGACATTTGCAAGAGAAAGTCCGAGACCAGATGGCCAGTTTGCTACTTCAGAGGGCATCTAATTTAATAAAATTCTCCCAGGTATTTATCTACCCTCTTCATCCGCCAAGGGAGGATCGAGGAGGTACAAGCGCTCTGATGATATGTATAGCTAGACTGCGGCAAAACCGCGGTTTTGGATATCATTTTGAAAACCGCAACCACAACCGCAGATTTGCGGTTTAACCACGGTTATCCATGGATAACCACAAGAAAACCGCACTAGCATAACTCTCGCTTCTTTAACCGATTCTAGCCCATCAGGTGGTACTTATGCAGCTTACATACCCCTGTTTTTAATTTAAACTTACACCTGTTCTGGTTAAAACGGCACAACACTGCAGTTTTCCTTCTCACTCTATAAAATAATAAGAAATAATTAGGTTTTTCTTAGATTAACAGCCGAATACTGATATATGATCTCTTATTTTGCTTAGCTTAAGTGATAGTTGTCTGAAATTTTTAAGACTGCTAAAGAGTTCAGATTGTTTATTGCGAAGATATATTTTACATGCATATGAAGTAAGTCCACCCTCTCAGTCAACTTTATAATATTGAGCGGTTTGAGTAAATCGGGCTGTTATGGATTAAAATTATTACTAAACGATATAGAAGAATGTTCTATACTTATATTCTACTTTATATTAGTATATTTACTTAGAAAATTCAAGAGAAAATCAGACTTGTACTTCAAATTGCGTGGACTTTAGTGATTTTTCCCCTGGTGGATATTTTGCGGTTTTTGTGCGGTTTTCCAAAGTGAAAACCACAACCGCCCGCAGTGCGGTTTGCGGTTGCGGTTTTGGTTATCCGCGGTTATCCATGGTTTTGCCGCAGTCTATGTATAGCCCAGGGGTTATTCTATTCGAGATCGCTTTCTAGGAGCCTGCCCACATCTTCTTGAGAAGGACGACACGGTCCAGAGTGCAGCGGATATAACACTCATGACCGCCAACGATAAGCTCGCCTCAGAAGTGGCTGAGGTATTATCACACTGGTTCTCCGGTGCCTCAAGGGACTGCAGAATGCCAGTAGCCGAAGGGGCCTAGGCTGGAACAAGAGGACCTTCCAGAAGGTGAATATGATGGTCCTCATGAAGGAGAGGATCCGGAAGATGGTCTTGAGGTGGACTCTCTATGGAATATTTTGCGAGATATTGAAAAGTGCAGAGTATGACAGGATTTACTATGCACATAATGTAGTTGAATTATCACGTGATCCTGCAATGTCCGCTTGCTATTGGAGCTGAATCATATGGGAGTGCTACCGACTGCCTACGAAATCATTTTGAAAACGCCCTCATATGACAAACTAACTCATTATTAAATTCCATTAGACATGAAGCATATAGTATAAGTAAACAACAAAAATATTTTGAGTGAGCAGTACGCGCCAGTCTACGAGGCCCTCCAACTATTCTCGACTCAGCTTCTCCAAATTAATGGCCGCACTGATGCAAGCCAAGTGACTGAAAGCCTGGGGTGTATTGCCCATCTGTTCGCCTGAGATTGCCACTTCTTCAGAGAACATTCCTAGATGATTCGAGTACGACAGGATATTATCGAAAAGCGAAAGCGCAAGCTTCCAGATGTTGGGAATAGGGACGTCGAAATTGGAGGCCTGTATATTGAATCCCATGCAAAGTGGGCAATTATTAGTGGCTGCAACTCTCGTAAAAGCTGCACACAAAAGATGGGGCAACATACCCGGGCCATGGCTTCAACAAGCCAGAAGGTTACCATAATGAAAGCACCCTCGCCTCCACCCACACCTGTAAAACGTCAGAGTCAAAACCACGGATTGATGTCGGGGTTAAATACCGTCATTTGCTCTCAGGTGGTCGTATCGGAAGACCATCTTGGCGCTGGAAAGACCCTCTTTCTTGGGGCTCTCAAGGAGTCTCTTCAAGGTGCTAATGAACCGAGGATCGTTCGGTGCAACAAAGAAGACCAAGGGTGCAATCAGGATGGACGCATCCAGAACCTCGGGGCTTTCGTAGCTCTGACAGAAATGACCGCGTTCTTTGTTGTACCCTTTTTCCATGATCTCGTCATAGAGCTCGTCACGCACTTGGATCCATTTGAATCGGTCGGGGCATGGCAAACTGGCACGCTTCTCGGCAAGGCGGATACCGCGGTCGAGGGCCACCCAAAGCATGAGTTTGGAGTAGATGAAGTTCTGGATTTGACCTCGAGACTCCCAAATGGACATGTCCTTCTGGTTGCGCACACTAATGACATAATTCACCATGCGGCGGATAGAGGCCCACTGATCGTAGGTGATGGGATTTCCATGCTTGTTGTAGAGGTAGATGCTATCTAGAAGCTCGCCGTAGATATCCAACTGGGTATGAAAAACGGCTGCATTGCCAATCCGGACCGGCTTGCTGCCCTTGTAACCATCAAGATGATCGAGCTCCACCTCGGGTATGTCGGATTCGCCGCGGATCGTGAACATCAGCGGAAGGAAGGGTCGCTTGCTCCCTGGTCCCATATCCTGCCCGGCGTGCGGGAAGATCCGATCGAAGATAAAATTGACGTAGGCTTCGGCCTCGCGACTGTATCCCATTTTGAGGAAGACATACAGCGTGAACGCTGTGTCACGCACCCAGGAGTACCGGTAATCCCAGTTACGCGAGCCACCCACGTTTTCAGGAAGCGAGAATGTGGGTGAGGCGACGATGGCTCCTGTGGGCTTGTAGGTCAGGAGCTTCAAGATCAGAAGACTGCGCTCAACGGTTTCACGATAGTGCCCTCGGAAGGCGCACTTGCGAGTCCAGTCTGTCCAGTAGTCGGAGGTCTCGTCTTCCATCCTGCCCAGATACGCAGCCAGGGTTGATGAGCTGGGGACGGCTTTCTCGGGACTATGTAGCACCAGATGCAGGGTCTGGCCCTCCGACAGGCGAATCCAGGCCACAACTTCATCCCGGGCCGTTCCTCAAGGGTCATTCTAGTGTGGGGATAACCATTTTTTTCGGGCTCTCGCGAGTCGGCAAAAATTTCGAGCTGCAGCCGCTCTGTCTCACTCTCGAAATGAACAGTCTGGAGTCTGTGCTTGCACATGTCACTTTCCAACTTTGCTCGGGCCGTGTGGGTGTCTCGGGCATAGTTAAAGGCCGGGAACAGCTCGACCTGCAATTCCATCGTGCCACGACTGCACTCCAGCTTTCTGATCAAACCCGAGTGCTGCAGTCCCGACTTGAATCGGTTGGCGCCAGGGCTCGTTGCAAGGACAATATCCCGAGAGCAGTCGGCCCGACTGCGCGCTTTTCTTCGGGGTGACAGGAAAATAATCCAGCATTATCACGACACCATCCTCGTTGGTCCAGCGTGTCTCGAGCAGGTTAGAATACGGCAGATATCGCTGCTTGCTATGCGGATCGACGACCGTCTTGTAGGGCTCCACGGACCAAAACCCCGCCGATCTTGTCATCCAGCAGGCGACAAAACACCGAGGGTGAATCGAAGACGGGCCAACACATATAGTCCAAGCTCCCGCCCTTGCTGACGAGGGCACAGGTGTGCATATCCCCGATCAGACCATAGTCCTCAATGGCATTGTATGCGGGTTCTGCCATGGTGCCAATGAGAACGGGAAGCAGACAAGCTAGAGGGGAAGCTGAACTGAAAGAATATATGGATCGATTTTGAGCGTGTCAGTCAACTGAACAGTCGGCGATGTTCTCACACACGGGTGTGAGATGGGAATCCCTAATTCCCCCGCCATGGGACATATATGAGCCTCTATGCTGGCTGGGGGGCACTGGCAACCACGACATGATGATGTCCCAGTGATCAAGGATCCCACTGAGGTCATTGCGATGTTGCGCCGGAAGACCCAATCATCTGGCACGATGCGGAGGCTCCAGAGAAAAAGTCGCTTTGCCGGACAGACCAGCGCATCGTTGTCCCCATCATCATGATTATGGAAGAATGCCCAGTGTGTCGTGAGCGTGCTCGGTATATACTACTATGGACGTACCCCAACAGACCACAGATTCGGTTGAAATTGCCAGGATGTCCTAGCGGATGCACGATCAGAGCCGTGAGACCACGGGCAGCCAGCGGTTTCAAGAGGGGCCACTATTCGACCCAGTGTAATTTCGCACCACGTCGAGCCATGCAGACGGACAGCGACCATCGTGGTATCCCAGCAACCAGGCCGCAATCGCATGCAGGACAAAAGGTGCTGCACACTCAGGGTCGGAATTTGCTACCCACCAATGGGCGTGACAGCGCAGAACCAGCACCTGAGCAGCGATTTCGTGCTCTTTTTAACCCTGGGACCCCGGATCGACCGGACGGTGGAGCGCAGAAGCCCAAGTGGAGCGGTGGCGGCCAGTCACGGCGGCAGAGCGAAGGAGGAGAAATCAGCACCTCCAGTGGATTCCGTGTTTCTTCACCTTTCTTCCCCGTGACCGCCTCTTCTTTCCCTATTCTCTCCGTATCTCGTGCTCATTCCTCTCCAACTGCTGACTGCCCGTCCATCCTTCGACTTTATTTGCTCCGATCGCCTTTCTTTTCGCCATCCCACGTTGCACCCTCATGGGGCAAGCATTTCTCGCCTCCTTTCCCATCCGTGTCTAACCCCTCGATCCGACAATGGGGTTGTCTGCCGCCGGGAACCATCACCGACGGCGGAGCTCGGTGCTCACTGGAAATCCCAATGTGCACCCCCCAGCTTGGTTCCTCGGAGCGGAGAGATGACAGCCTGCGCGCGCTCGGAGACGGGGGTCACAAATGGGACGAGCAGGAGCCCTTGACTGCTGAAGACACCGATGCGTCCGACCTGTCAGCCGGGGCGGTCGAGACGCGAGAACTCGACGCGATGAGCTCGGATGATGCTCAATACGACGAGGAGACAGGCCTCACAGCAACTCAGAAGCGCCAGCGGCGACGACGGCGTCGACAGCGCCGGAAGCTGGATGCCCGAATTGCGGACACCAAGTCATCGCGCTATGCTATCCTCCAGCTGGGTCTGGCGGATCGCAACGTCCTCCGCAAGCTGCTGGTCAATGCTGGTCTGATTTTGATGTGGTACTTCTTCTCATTGTCTATCTCCATTGTAAGTACCTTGGCGGAAAATCAGCCCTGGCCATTATCCGAGTCGACATCATCCTAACCATAGGTTCGCCATAGTATAATAAATGGATGTTTTCCGAGAGCGACATCGTTTTCCCTTTCCCTCTTTTCACCACTAGTCTACACATGGCCGTGCAATTCAGTTTGGCCACGCTCTTGCTCTGGATATTTCCGTCGTTACGGCCGCAACACCCACCCGAGTCCCTCGCCAACTCGCCCATCGAGGGATCGAAGGAATCCGAACCGATCCTGACCAAATATTTCTACATCACACGTCTCATTCCATGCGGTGCCGCAACATCTCTCGACATTGGACTGGGCAACATGTCCCTCAAGTTCATCTCCCTCACGTTTCTGACCATGTGCAAATCCTCCGCACTTGCCTTCGTCCTTCTCTTTGCTTTCCTCTTCCGCCTCGAATCTCCTTCTTTCAAATTGATTGTGATTATCGCCACAATGACGATAGGTGTGGTGATGATGGTCGCCGGTGAAACCGCGTTCAATGCCCTTGGCTTTGGACTGGTCATCGCCTCGGCGTTCTTTTCTGGCTTCCGATGGGGTTTGACGCAGATACTCCTTCTGCGCCATCCGGCGACTTCGAATCCCTTCTCTACCCTCTTTCTTCTGACGCCCGTCATGTTCGTTTCTCTAATCACCATTGCGCTCACCGTCGAGGGACCATCGGAAATCCACAAAGGCTACTTAAATCTGGCCGAGAAGCACGGAAACGTGCTCGGATCCTGTCTGCTCGTGTTCCCCGGCGTCCTTGCATTCTGCATGATCTCTTCTGAGTTTGCCCTGCTCAAACGCTCCTCCGTCGTCACCTTGAGTATTTGCGGCATATTCAAGGAAGTAGTAACGATTAGCGCAGCAGGTGTTATCTTCCACGACAAGCTTACTGCCGTCAACATTTCCGGTCTGGTCATCACCATCGGCAGTATCGCAACCTACAACTACATGAAGATCTCCCGCATGCGCAGCGAAGCCGCCATGAATTCCTGGAGTCGGGATGGAACCCCCGAGTCCGACACCGAAGATGGCGACCTCACCGGCCCTGAGAACGGAGACTATCAGCGAGTCGCTGGCCGGGACACTGATATCGTCAGTTCTACCCCGGGCGGCCACTTGAACGATGATCTACACGCTTCCCCAGCCGGAGATCAGCGACGATCGTTCCGCGTGCGGCCCAGCGGTGCAATGCAGGGGCTTAGCATCTCCACTACGCCTATTCCCGAGGATGACGGGCCTTCGTCGCCTATACGTTCTGCTCCTCCGACCATCACTACCATGGCAGAGGCAGGATTCCCGACGCACCTAAACGCACCTGATCGTGAGAACTCGCCGGGCGTGCACTCCGCTTCATCTATCTCACCGGTCCGAAGCCAAACACCTCGCCACCCGTAACTTTTCTCGTGATACCACTTTTTCCTATGTTGATCTGTCTCTACACCATTTTAATGGTCCGTTCGTGTTCGGTAGCCCACCACGCCAGCAACCCTTTCTCTGCTCCCTCTGAGGGGGCCGGGATTAGCCCGCAAGAGAACGGACAACGCTGGTCGTTGCATGCTGCCGACATTTCATGTAAACGCTGTCTCGGGTTTTATGGAGCAATGTGTGTCTTCAAATGGAGCTTTAAAAGACACGTTTTTTTTTTCTTTGCATGGAGGCTGCTTGTTTGAATTCATTTTCTGAGCGGCGGCTTGATTGATACCAATTGATTTTCCTTTCTCGGGAGGGCATGATGCCTTTGCAATTTGATTGACTCCCAGATCCTAATTGTACAACCCACGTGTCCTACACTTCGATAACTGTCACCAAACACTCATGACGATTCACCTCCTGCTTCTGGCAGGTCGTAGACAGGCCGTGCTCTTTCATTCCTTCTTCATCATATCAACCACACTCTTCTGCTTCCCCTTCGCCTTCGCCTGTTTCTTCTTCTCAGTCTCCAACTTCCTCTCATACTGCTCCATCTGCTTCTCCCTCATCTCCTTCCCCTCATCCGACAACTTCTTCTCCAACTCCCGAAACTCCTCACCCTCAACATCCATCCCGATAAGAGACTCAAGTAATTTGATCTCTCGAGCCCAGACACCGGGATCCGGGACCGTAGGCGCAGAAGCACCAGCCGGCCTCTTACTCTTTTTCGACTTACCCTTACCCTCATCCTCACTTCCATCGGCTTCAGCACGGTCAATGGGCGTTTCCAGAATCATGGGCATATCCTGGAACCGAGGCTCATTCATCACATTGTGGAAGGCGCGGAGACCCAGGAATCCGGTTCCAATGTTCGCGTGCAGATCGCGGTGGCTGCCGCAGGGTGCTTTGGAGTCGTTTAGGTGCAGTGCCCGAAGATATTTGATGCCAATCAGATTTTCGAATTCGGATAGGAAGGCTTTGAAGCCTTCCGGCGAGACGAGGTCGTAGCCCATGGCGAAACTGTGGCATGTATCGATGCAGATGCCGATTCGAGAGTGGAGCTCCTTGGGGATTAGAGTGAGGAGGTCTTTGAACTCAGATATCGTGCCGCCAATTGTGTTGCCGTGTCCGCACATTGTTTCTAGCACTGGGATGACGGTTGATGTCTCCTTGATGGCGTTGGTGAGGGCTTCGGCTAGTCTGCCGAGAGCCTCGGGGAGTGGGTTTCCACCTGTGCTTCCGGGGCTGTTTGGTATTAGAGGGAGGTTATCTGAGGGGCAATTTGGGAAAGACTGACTGGAAGTTGTAGAGCTTGATGCCGAGAGCTTCGCATCGACGGAGGTCATCCAGAAAGGATGTGTATGCCTGTTTGGCCTTGGCCTTGTCTTCCTGGGCAAGGTTCACGAGATAGGACCCGTGGGGAAGGACATATCTATAGAAGAAAAATTAGCTCCATGCAAGACGTTATGCTAAGGAAGATGATTCACTTCGCAGCATCATAGTTCTTCTCGGCACATAGCTTGTGGAACTGGTCCCTGTGGTCATCCTGCAGAGGCGGGTTATCCCACTTTCTCTGAGACTTCAAGAACAAAGCAAATGCATTGCCTCTGTGACAAATGTTAACTTCATGCCTAATGTGCGAGATACCTGTTGTAACAGTTTCTAGCTTACCCAATTTGCTCGCTGTTGTGGATCGAGTTAAATATCCCTGTTCGAAAGATCAGTCAGCTCCATGCTCATATCAAAAATACATATGTCGAGACAGTACATACCCTTCGCAGCACTGACGTGGGCACCAACAAACATCCGCAGACCCGAAGTCCGTGGCGCCAAAGGCATGGCTTCAGCCTCTTTTTCTTCCTTGGTCTTCTTCCTTCGCTTAACAGGCTGTTTCGCTGGTTTAGAAGCGGCAGCACTTTTGCCCTCGGCCTTGACGGTGGCCTCAGTCTTCGAGCTGAGTTGACTATTCTCGCCCTGGACGGCGGGCTCAGTATCCTGGTCTTCCTTTTTGATGGAAGATGCAGCTTGCGCCTTCTTGCGCGGGGCCTTCTTGTGTGCAGGCTTTGGCTGCTCCTCAGTCTCAGCCTCAGACTCCTCTTCTGATGAGGCTTCCTTCAGACTGACTCGTGACTTTTGGCGTTTGGTCCGTCTCAGAGGCGAATTTTCCGGTGTTCCATTGCTGAGATTCCTCTTGTGGCCGCCCTTGGATGCCGCGACGGGTTCTTCCTCGTCTGGGTGAGAGGCACACATCGCACTGGGTTGTGTCTTTGCTCTTGAGAATCCGGGCGTAGATGACCTGATAAGAGACCGATCCAGACGGCCGTCTGAGACTTGGTGGATCCCTGATGTGATTGGCGGCTTAACCAGCAAAATCGACACAATTCGGCCCTGAGTCGATGAAGAACGCTCTTCAGCAGAAAAACAGAGAGAGTTCGAAAATTTCGCAGGGTACTCGTTTTCGCCGGTTACTCGTTTAATTTGCGGTAGATGTATCCTGTAGTCCTCGGCACTCCCATCGCTGCCTCAGTGCTACCATGCGGCATCGCTCATACTGTAGAGGTCACGTGGTAATCACCGGGGTAACGGTCATGTGATGTTTATCGATAACCCAAACGGTCCGAATTTGGGAAAGCACATTCGCTGCCCCTCGATCTCGACCACTCGACATTCGACCTCCCACCTGCGACCCCCGACCCTTCTTGCCCTGGTGAGATTTGCACGATCTCGGCAAGATGGCGGCATCCGACGACCTGATTGACTTCGACATTATCGAAGCTCAAAAGGAAAACGTCCAATCCCTCCCCGGCGGTAGATCTGCCCGACAGCTCGCCCAAATCTTTTCGGCGGGCAGCAACAGCGACAAAATCCCGGCTCCTTCACCAAACGATACCAGGACGATCAACGGTGCAATCCGACAAGAATACGAGACCGAACTCGAGTCAATCGCCGAATCGGACGACCCCCTCGATGTTTACGACCGCTACGTGAAATGGACACTCAATGCGTATCCCTCTGCCCAGGCCACGCCCGAGTCCGGCCTACTCCCACTGCTCGAACGCGCAACGAAGTCGTTCCTTTCGTCCTCCCACTATAAGAATGACCCGCGGTACCTGAAATTGTGGCTTCATTACATTCGTCTCTTCTCCGATGCCCCGCGTGAAACATTTGCATTCCTCTCGCGACACCACATTGGCGAGGGACTGGCTCTCTTCTATGAGGAGTTTGCTGCGTGGCTTGAGGGCGCTGGTCGCTGGAACCAGGCCGACGAAGTGTACAGGCTGGGTATGGACCGGGAAGCTCGCCCCGCCGAGCGGTTGCTGCGCAAATACAGCGAGTTCCAACAACGATACGAGGCACAGCAACAGGATGCAGGTCCTTCTTCCCCCGCTCTCCCTGTAGTTCGTCCGGCACTGGCCGCAAAAATGGATCCATTCGCCCCATCAGATGTCGCTGAGGATCCGCAGGCTTCGCAGCAGTCACGGCAGCCAGCTGCCGCTCCAAAGACCAAATCAGGAAAGCCCAAGATGGCCATCTTTTCCGATGCCGATGTGGGTGCATCGAGTCAGCCTGCCGTGAGTGGCGGCGAAACAAAAGGATGGGAGAGCATCGGGTCGATGCGAGAGCGCAAGAAGGAAAACGAGGTGGAAGCGAAGCCATGGGTTGGAGAAACTTTGAAGGCTGGGAAGAAATCAGGGCCAATCCAGAAAATGGCCATTTTCAGGGATGAGGTGAGCTAGCAATTTCAAATTGCACACCCCTGTTCGGATCTTCCTCATATTTACGATCACAGGACTAATTACTGGCTTGAACTATGTGTTTTGATTGTGTGAATAGTCCAATCCAAATCCACCTCAAGAAAAAAGTTTCCCCAAGCAAGTACCGGAGCATCATGTAAGGGAAGCGGTAAATCAACGAACCGGACGACGCGAACGCGTCTTTGTCGACTTGGAATCGGTTTATCCGGATCGCCAAAATCCGACACATGAAGTTAGCTTCGAAGAGCTGAGGGCGATGAGACGTGGGTGGATGAACAAAAACTGGCGGACTCAAAAAGAACCTTTGAAACAGATTTCCGGGAATGCCACTGGTGCCGATTCTCTGACAATCAATTCCAACATAGCCGACACTGAAGAAGATTTGCCAGAGCAATTGAACCAGAAACTTAGCATCGATGGACAGCAGTCTCGACAAATCGAACAAGATGCACAACGCGAAGCGAAAGCTGCGAAGTCCAAGAAGTTCAAGGTTCATGGAGATACGCAGACCGGTAAGGGCTAACACTGATGCTATTTGCTTCCACTTTTGTCAGTCTTACTGATTCATCTCCAGTCAAAATGAAGTTTGATTCTCCCTCGAGTTCCAAGGTCCGGCGGAAGAGCACTCGGGAGCCGACAATGACCATGCATACTCGTGCTGCTACCGATGAAATCTACAGTATCTTCAATCAACCTCTCAAAGCCGAGGAAGAGGATGCCGCCGATAGTTTGTATGGCAGTGAATACGAAGATTATGATACAGGAGATAGCACAGGCACCGGCCACATCTCTGCTGCATCAAGTGACTTTGGGGATGAGGAGACCCAAACTTTCCACAAGTCGTTTGATGACACGGAATATGCTGACACCACCCGAGCCGAGAGCGTTGTTGGTGATGACTGGACTGAGTTTACTGCCAGAGACGTCCCCGGTGTTGAAAGCGCCGATGGTACCTCCCATTCTGTTGTCAGCGAAGATATTCCAGAAGGTTCGCAACATGGCACTCCGGAAAAGGAGCGGTTTGTTCCGCAGATGCCAGAAGACTATAATCCGCCATGCGGTACTTATCGTGATCCTGCCATCATGGCACAAAATCGTTTGCCTTTTATGACGCCAATTGTGGAACGAACGGAAAGCTCTATCTCGATGACGGCTGCTCGAAACACGATCTACAATGCAAAAACGCCAACGAGACCTCGAACACCATCTGGTGTACCCCAAATGGGCGATTTACTTCTTTCGAGCCCATTAGGTGCGCCCACACCTTACCACGGTGATAATACGATCTCTTCTGTGGCAGATGTTCCCTTCAGCCCTACTGCATTCAGGGCTCTTGCACCCAAGCCAGGTCGTCGGGAGGCAACCATCAGGGATTTGCAGTGCAATCCGACTGACAAAGGCATTCGAAACACCATTTTGAATTCCCTAGAACCGCCGCTTGCGACCTATGCTGGATATCATGGGCACGTTAAGGACAGCAACTACGCATCTATGATTCAAAAGTTTGTCAAGGCTCACAGCAGGAAATCGAGGGCTGCTGCTGGCGATGATGAGGAATTTGATACACCAATTCTGGAATTTCCAGGTGCCGAACGGAGCTATATCATTCGTCGAGAGCTTGGAGCGGGTGCATATGCTCCTGTCTACCTGGCCGAGAGTGTGGATAGTCTAGAGTCATATGACTCTGACTCAGGTGCAGAAGATACCAACCCAAGCAGCCTGGCAAGCAAGATCAATCCTTACGACAAACCACGATACCAATTTGAAGCCGTCAAGGTAGAGAAAGGCCCCTCAAGTGCCTGGGAGTTCTACATGATCCGCGCCGCATATGAACGCCTACGCCAATCAGCAGGCCACGCCCGTGCAACCGACAGCATTGTTCGCGCTCATGAGCTTCATGTTCACCAACGCGAGAGTTTCCTCGTTGAAGACTATCGTGGTCAGGGGACACTCCTTGACCTAGTCAACATCGTCCGCAATGAGCACAATTCCGACAGCGGGCTCGAGGAATCTCTCGCAATGTTCTTTTCAATTGAGCTCTTCCGCGCCGTCGAAGGCCTCCACGCCAACGGCATTCTGCATGGCGACATCAAAGCAGACAACTGCCTGGTCCGTCTTGATGAAGCCAATTCAAACTCGCCCCCAGAAAAATCCCTCTCCCTCCTCGATCTCGATGCCAACGATTCTATTCCCGACGAGCGTGATAGCATCTACTACTCGCCAAGCGGCTTACACGGCTGGCGGAACAAGGGCCTTTCACTGATCGATTTCGGCCGCGGAATCGACATGCATGCCTTCCAGCCAAACGTCCAATTCATTGCGGACTGGGAAACAGGGACGCACGAGTGCAACGAAATCCGCGAAATGCGCCCCTGGACCCATCAAATCGACCTCTATGGCATCGCAGACACAATCCACGTCTTGCTCTTCGGTAAATATATCGAGTCCTGCCCCGTCCGCACAAGTGGTGGGGCCGGAAGTCCCGGCTCAAGAACCTACCGCATTCGCGAGTCGTTGAAACGATATTGGGATCGAGCGCTGTGGTCTGACGTCTTCGATCTGCTGCTCAACCCTTCCTCTGAGCGATGGGTTGCGATGGAACGGGAGGATCGCGAGGATGTTGTTGAGACTGAGTCTGGTGCTGCCTTACCTGTTTTGGCATCTATGCGCTTTGTTCGGCGGAAGATGGAGGATTGGCTTGTTGCGCATGCTGAGAAGAAAGGTCTTGCGTTGCAGTTGAGGAAGATTGAGGCTATTCTTTCTGAGCGGAAGAAGAAGCTTGAGCGGTCTTAGTCTTGTTGTACTGTTGTTGTTTTTATTGTTTGATCTTTCATGTTTTCTAAAGTTTATACCCCCCATACCCATTTGGCTTTACAGTGCCGACCGTTATTGCCTTCTGTATTGGAAACGGAGACACATTTTCAAACCATAATCACATGAGACACTAAACTGTATACGACTACCTCCATATTTAGAAGTGTCAGGTTTGCATGGTAAGAGGAAAAAAGTATGAAGCTGTATTTTCATGTACTGGTACAGGTCCAAAAATAAGAACCCCCCCAACCCCCGGGGGCCGCGCTCCGGGGACCCCACCATGGCGTCGTTCGTTTACACTCAACACTCCTCCCAACCCAGCAACTGCAGTCACTCAAAACACCTACAAAGTGGCTAACTAAGAACATTGATTCCTAGCAGCGTAAGATGATTGTTCATATGATCTGCAGCAAGAACAGACTATGTCGCAAATGGCAAAGATGGCGAAGTGTAGTGACCATTCTATCACTAACATACGCAAGAACTTGCGGCTATTCGGTACAGCCAGATCTCCCCCAGTCTGCGTCGGTGGACAACCAAGTATCGCCCCGATCATGCTTGACCCCCTCTGTGACCACCTCGCCAAAAATCCTGGCTATATGTCGAAGAGATGGCTATCTTCCTCTGGGATGTTATATCTCCATTCGATGGAAGTAAAATGTTTTGATATTTATGGGGTCCGTTGATACGTCGGACAATCGTTCAAGAAGAGAAGGGAAGAGGAGCATCCGGTAAGTCCCTTGAATATCTGTTGGGACGCAGAGGATTCGATTGCCGTAAATGCTACATCATCTGTCACAAGCCATCGAAGTATGTTCTGTTCCAATAGAGCTCCGGTATCGCGGTCGAATCGGGACTTGGATATTGAAGCAATTGAGAGCTGTTTCGTCTCGCTGGAGCCCTCACACGGGTCCTCTGGATCGGACTTCTCAAAATTGTTGTGCTTGGCTAGGTGAGTCTTCATATTGCTTGTCAATGTTGCCCTCGTCGAATCTGTGGTATTCCAGACACAATGAATGCATTGAATCTCTCGATCCTCGAGCAGCTGTCGGCTTCGCCTGGATCGCCATTGCTTGCCCGGAAGAGGGGGTTACAGAATAATTACAGCGTACTCCCACGAAATTATTCCAATCTAACTTTTGTTCAAGGTACTCTGGCCAAGCGTCATGCCTTTGACCGGACATTGTCTTTGCGAGGCTGTGAGTTATGTCGCCAACGTGGCTGAGCCAGATCTTGTGGCTTACTGCCATTGTGATGACTGCCAACGTCAGAGTGGTTCGACTTACTGTGAGTAAATATTGCCTCCCTGGTTGGGAAGTTGTTGAGTTCAACAACTCATTTAGCTTTGGCAGCGTTTCTTTTCATTGTCCCGAAGGACAAGGTTACCATAAACGGCCACGACCGAACTTTCAGTAGTCCAGGCAGCTCCGGATATGCTGTTCTCTGTCAATCGTGCCCCTAGTGTGGTAGCCCCCTATTTGTCGAAGCTCTCAGTTTGCCTGGGGAGCTAGCCATCAAAGGCGGTTCTTTGAGCAGATGTCAAAAGGAAACGTTAAAACCAGTTGGTGTCTACCATACTCTGGGTTTAGTGTTGAGGCTAATGTATATCGCTAGACCACTGATAATCTTGGTGGCTAATAAGCTGCCATTTGCCAGGTGCATTTGTCAAATGCGTACTGGCATATGCCTGAGTAAAATTTTTTTTTTTTTTTTAAAATTTTTTATTTTTTTTTTTGGACTGATTCTTCATTTCCATGGCTCATTGTAAGGCCGTTGGCCCTGACTTCCTTCGGCTCTTTCTACCTTTATGATGTCTACCCCAGAGTGGGATCGGGGATAACGTCACAGGATACATTATATATGACATATATTCTAAATTTCAGCATAATCAGAGTGAAATTTAGAGTGGAAGCTGATTTCAAATTCACTGCACCACTGTATCTGCAAGGCATATCCAATTCACTTAGCAAGAATTGACGCGGTGATGATAAATGACAGTAGTCGGAACGAGGAGACAACTCAATCACCGAAAACCCATTAAACAAACCATCAGCGTCTCAACCCAATGGTGCTTAGATCCGCATCCAACGCAAGCGCCTCCTTTTTAGCCATCAACTCGGTTACATCCCAGTGGCTTGCCAAGAACTTTCCCTTCAAGAAATCTGCCTCTTGGCCAGCCAACCAGACAACAAACTGACCTGGCAGGTCTTCCTCATTCCAATCAAACATATCTTCAGTCATTCCCGCTGCTGCACCTGCCTGTGTGCAGACGGCGCCAGGATGTAAGGTATAGACGTGTAGTTCTGGGTGCTTAATTTGCACGTGATGCATCAAAAATGAGAAGGCATCTTTGCTAGCGCCGTATGGGCCTGTTTGTGGAAAGAGCATATAGGACGCGTAGCTGGTAATATCCACAATGACCTTGCCTTCCGACGTTCAAGTTGCCGAACACGTTTGTTTCAAAAATTGCCTTTACTTCCAAGGACGGAGTTTTGGAAAGTGGTTTGTCGGCCTTTGCAAGGGCGGCGGATGTTACGAGCACATCGATGTCTTTGTTTCGCGCGTCCTGTCGGACAGAGGAGAATACTTTCTGAATTCCGGTTTCGTCTGTGATGCTAACTGCATACACGAGGAACTGGATGTTCGGAAATGTAGCAGAGAGCTCTGAAAACGCTCTTTGAAGTGTCTCCTCACGACGAGCAAGAAGCACAATAGTCGATGCTCCAGCGATGGCGAAATTCCGAGCCATGGCGAGACCAATACCGGTGGCACCACCAGTAATCACAGTCGCTCTCCCGGTAGCTGAGCTTGTTGGCTTCTGAGGATCGATTGCAGAATACGGCGCCCCGGTGTAAAGTCGAGATGAACGATAGCTTATCACGGACATTCATGGTGCTGGAATGATTTTTGCAGCTTCAAAAGTCAAGTAAGGAAATCGATGGATCTCTGATGCAAATGTTTCTACTTCTAACGCCCTTATATATGCAAGCCATAGTCTAAGCAGAACAAATTTTGCTTTCGTAGTTATTATTCAACAATTATAACGAATTGAGTATATCTGACTGACAAATTCGGCACTGTCTATGACGATTTGACTAATAAACTTAGAGTTGCCTGTATGTACCTTGGTTAACGCACCCACACATGGTTAGTGCGGATGAGAACGGTCTGGGGTGCTTGGCACAAATTGTCTTCCCATAGTTAGTTACGTTAATGTGGTGACTGATAGTATTAATAATAATTTAGGCAGCACACAGACGCTAATTTTGGATAAGTTAACGATATCTGGTGGGAAGGATGATTTGTTATGCATAACTATCCTTGCCAGTTTGCTTATCAAGCAGCGTAGCCCCCACCTACCTTGCTTGCCATACTGTATACCTGACAATCCCTCCTAACAATGCTAACTCAGATGATTACACAGAAGCGCCTCATTTAATTACAGCATTATTAGCCTGCTCCAATAACACGTTCTACGATACTTGCCCCAGAATTCTGTTGCTTCAAAAGGATGCCTCGCCAAGCGATAACCGTTTCCCAAAAAGCCTCGCTCCGGGCCTATCATGAATCAAACCCCTCCTCGACACAAATCGCTACGCCGATGGTTTCGCCAACAATACGATCGAAAAATTTCCCAGTCAAGTGTGTCCGAAATTTTATCAGCTCGATATCAAACTCTTGATCGCCCCATGTACCAGCAGCATTTCCATGATGCAAAAAGACGCCGTTTAGAACGCCGGCCTCTAGTTGAAGCTGCCCTCCAGCAATAGCTCGAGGAAATAAGCGATCAAGCTATGATAACTGCTGATATGCTACGAGAAATGGCGCAGTGGTTTTTCCACAGGATCCCAGAATACCGAGGGATGACTCTACCAAAATTCGGCAACAGTTGGATTGTAAAGTTCAGAGCTCGACATACGGCATCATCACATATGTCGGAAGGCAGCGCTCATGCTCCTCCAGACCGATATACACGCCAAATAAGACACATGCTCTCTGCGTATCAGCCTCAGGACCAGTATTTGTGCGTTGAGACGAGTTTCTATTGGAAGAGGGTCTGTGCTTACTCAAGTGCCGATTTCTCGACTAGAAGAAAAGCGAACGTGACTTTCGGCTCTGCTCTGTACAAGTATGGATGGCTGGTGTCGGCTACCACCTTGGTACATTGGCAGAAACCCTACTTTTTCGTGCCGTCCATTCTGCGGGCAGCCGTATACAGTCATTAGATATGATCTGGAGATACAATATCTCAGCTAAGGTGACAATAAACGCCTTCCGAGAGTTCCTGCACTAGTTTGATTTCTCGTTTGGTCGGCAGAAATGTTGCTCTTCTGCTTGATGCACTTTCGGCACGACGACTTGTTGCCAATTCTCAGCTACAAGATTCTCGAAGTATTAGCCTCACAAACATTACTATTATCTGGTTACCACCATCCTGCACAGATGCATACAATCAAATAAAGCAAGAAGTAACGGGGCTATGGAAGACCTTCTATCGCAGATACTGGGTGCAATTTATCTGCAACCAGCTCAGTGCTCATCGAGACCCGCTCACAACCATGAATGTCATGAAAGTAGTAACGTGGGCTTGCTATGCTTGGCATGTTGATGGGATCTCGCAAAATATCCGAAATTGCTTCAGCGGATCTGGGTGGCTTGATATTCCCGTAGGGGATCAAGCCGATGCGGAACAGGAAGAACTCATGGCGGCCAGGCAGTGGCTATGGCGCAGTGTTGAAAAGCTCGAACAAATAAATTTTATCCACAAGGCTATGGAGGTTAATACCTTCATAAATCCTCCTTTTGAGTCTTCTGAGAGGGCATTTATCGAGGAGGAGCAGATGGCAACTCAAGCCAGCTCCGTCGAAATTCCAGAGGGTGACTCAGATGAAGAGGTAGAATAAAGTCCACGGACCTCACTACATTAATCGCTGGATGTCATATCAAGTCTGCAACTTTCCGAGGAGCAGGTTGAGGGGTTGCTGCAGCGCCATTATTTTCTTTGGCCACGATGAGTAAACTTGTTTAGAGATATGATATACATGGCGTAAAGGCTGGAATATTTAGTGGGCTTGTCACCCCCCGAGATACATCAGGTGGCGGATTCAAATCGAGTCGGTAAATCGACAGCAGTACAGTACAGTACCTTTTGGGAACTACGCAGATATATGAAGCCAGTACGCCAGTGTGCGCTGTTCTGTACAGTATTCGCTATATAATGTATAGACTGAATTTCTATTATATCGTGGCAATTGATCTTCCACGTCGCTTCACCCTAAAGACTGACGTCGCGTACGAACCGCCGGGCGGCACCCACTTTCACGCCACGCTTGACAAAGCCTGGGTCTTCCGATTTCGTTTAAACTGTTTGCGTTTCTTGGAAGATTCTAATTCTCTGCTTACACTTTCGAGACGCAGGTATGTAACTTATTCTCCTAACCATTTGTATTCCTTAATACTGGAATAGTAATATTCCGGTGGCATCCTAATATAGTTCCTTCTGGCGTAAGGAGCCGAGAAACAATGAAAGAGTGTAGGTGGTGACACCGATTTCCGAAAGTACAGTACAGGGGTTGCAACTACAAAACCTAAAATCTACAGCAAAATCTCAAGACAAGGTATGAAAGATCAAAGGAGTAAAGATTGAGCACATTGTTTCAATGTGATTATTGTAAAAGCCCCAAGCTACCACGGGCAAACGCCCCCGGTCGCCCTAGAGGCATCCATGGATGGAAGAATCAAAGATAGAATAAGATAGTAAGATAATCTCGAAAGAAAGGAGCAAATCAAAGCAAAATAGATCCAGCAGAAGCACGCTGGGCAATAGAACCTAACACCTCGCTTGCATTCGGAATGTCATTGACCAACAGCGTTGTCATGTGCGTTCGTTCATTTCTCGTCTATGATTTGCATGTGTCGTCGTCTTGCACATTTTGAGTCGTTGGTTCGAAGAATAGAATCATTTCTTCCTCAACCCTTTCCTTTGTTCTGTCAAGAAAAGAGGTAGGTGGGTGAGGAGGGTGGGTGCCGAAGAGAAATTGGCGAGTTGATGGACAATTGAAAGGAAATTGTAGAGAGTGGATCGCGATAACCGGAGAGTAATCACAGTGGAGTTTTTGGTGATTTTCGTGGATATTTTCGTGGTTTTTTTGTTTGTGGTTTTGTTGGTTTTTTCTGGTGCTTCTCGGGCCAGACGGCCACTCGAGAGCGGATATCGAAAGGAAAAGAACAGATCTGTCGAGTATGTGTAGAGAATGTATGTGCATCGTGATCGGTCGACAATGCCAGGAACAACGACTGTCCATATTCACAGTGGCCAGTCGACCCGATGCAGAAAAGGAAAGTTTAACGAAGGTCGTTTCCAATTGAGTCGGTGGTGATCAATTTGCAGTCCACGATCTAGATATCGCAGAATCAATATCTTCATCGATGCAGAAGATCAATCAATCAAGGCACACAAAATTGAAAATTATCGAAACCAAATCGGAAATAAAAGCAGCCCATCACAGTTGTTTCTCTTCGGTTGGGTGAGTATGGTGTGTATTGGCAATTTTCGGGGAAGCGACAGGCTCAAGAGTTCAGGATCGGAACTCGAGCCCATCTCGAAACTCATATCGTTACAGTCGTCAAAGGCCGTTGCTGTCATGAAAAAAGGAGCTGCGAAAAGGGAGGGGTTTCAGAGATAAACCCCCCGCATGTATCTCGTTCAAGTCATTATGCAGAGGGGGAAAAGTTTCGCAAACGAATCGGCGCCACAAGAACGGAAAACTCGGGAGACAGCAGAAAAAAGAGAGGACGCGCGCTTTAGTTGCGCGTAAAAGGCATGCTCAGGATTTGCCGGCGGATCCGCTCGGCGTCGGTCAGACCCTCCTCAAATGGGTTCTGCAGCGATGGGACCGACGGCTTCCCCTGCTCCTGGATGGGAGTGGAGCTGCCCGCGGGACCGGTGTAGGGCGGGATACCACCGCTGGAGAAAGGGTCCGACAGAGACGGTGCGTGTCGAATGTATCGGCCAGGAGCTTCGCTACGCTTGAACCCTCCCTCCACTTTGAATGGAGAGCCAAGTCGCTTGATATTCTCCCCGCCCAGGTTCAGGAAGGCGTTGACGGGAGGCTTCGAGACCGGAGTGGTTTCTTCCGGCTCGGCCTGGGAGGAGTTGAGCGAGGAAGGAGGAGAGAACAGCTGGCTGACATCGCGAGCACCAACAGCACCGGTCGTGGCCCCACGGTTGCGGATGCGGACACGGCCGTGACCAATATCTTGGAATTTGTTGTCGTGCATGTAGTCCGACAGGCGTCGGTGCACCTCCTCCTCGGAAGGATCCTTCCCAACGTACACATCGCTCGAAAACACATCATCCGTTTCCTTGGGTGTCCAGTGGATGTGGGTGTTGCGGCGCATGCGGCGGCCAGGGACGTGGACAGTCTCACGGCGAGGTGCCGATGGGAGGTCGGACACTTGGCGGTTCGACCCTCCGGGACCCCAGGTGCTGTACACGAACGGTGACCCAAGGCGCGGCGGGATGTTGTAAGGTTGAGGGCGGAGATATTGGTTGGAGGAGGAAGGTTGAGAGAAGGTCGTCCTGGGGCTGGTCTTGGGGCTGGCGGCAGTGAGAGTGGCCGTCGGAATGGGACTGTTGAACCATTCGGTCGACTGGTCCACCGGTGGCTGGGCCAATTGCGCCAGCGGAGTCGGGTCGAACGAGGCAGCGAGCGAGACACCCAGATCGCGAGTTGCGTAGGTGGTGCAGCTCCCTTCGGCGAAGGTGTGCACACGGGACTCGGCGTTACCGAGCATATCGGCGACCGGCTCGGGGCTGCGGGACTGCATCATGCGCTGGTAGTGCGGTGCGATGCAGAACTTGCGCCGGCAGAGGTGCTTGAGACGGCTGCGCGTCTTCGCATCGGATTTGGGCCAGACCGACCTGGACGACTTCTGCTCATCAGCCCTAGGGGTGGAGCTTCCGCTGCGGTCGGCAATTGGCAGGGTGGAGGTCAAGCGCTGTCGCTTCTTTTCCCAGGTGCGCTTCGCTTGGCGCGCAACTCGCGACGTTACTCCCAGGGGTGGGATGCTACCCGGCGTCATTTTGAAGGGAGTCATCGTAGGATCTTGCAAGTAGAGCTGGTAGGTATTCCACAGGTGGTTGTCCATGTCTCGCGTCCAGGACTTGTCCTTGACCTGCGTGCGCTGCACCTTCTGCTTCTTGGGCAGCGTCGGAGAGGACATTTCGGGCTCCTTGGGGATCTCCAGCGGGAAATAAGCGTCGAGGTCGCTTTCAGCGCTCGTACAGCTGCCGCCTCCGATGGACGGTCGCGATGCATAGGTCTCGATCGATTCGACCGAGGAATCGGACAGGTTGGAGCACGCGGAGCCGGGTCGTTGAATGCTATTCGCCAGCGGCGTCTGATCCCAGGAGGGCCACGGGTTGGTGCCATCGCGCGATTCACAGGGCGTGCCACGAATCTGAGCCGGGGGCGTCTTGAAACTCATGCGCTCGTGAGGCGGCGCGAGATATCGGCTGTCGTTGACGTTGGCGGGCACCGCGGTGTATGGCCCATCATATGACGTACTTTGCTGGGGAACTTCAATCGAGGGCAATGGCACATCTTCGGTGCCTGACCCTTGGAATCGGAAAAGATCGAGATCCATCCGAGCGCATACATCGGTTCCGGAGCGCACGCGGACGCGGGGTAGACGGCAGCTGGAGAAGGAGTGGCGCGGAGCCCTGGGAACGTCGACATGGCGAGAGGGACGCTCGGGGGTTCGAGGCTCCTCCGTTGCGCCGTCGGCGGCCAGCGACGGGAACGTAAAGTTCTTGGGAAGTGTGCGAGAAAGCTGACGTTGAGCCATGACGGAATCGATCGTGCCGATTCTCACGGTCTCTGTCCAGAATGTGGGGGAGGGGGTCGATTTGAGGGGGGAAACTTTTGGGTAATGTCGGCGTCGCCCGAGGTAGGTGAACTTCAGTATCGCGATCTCGATTCGGAGCGCGCCAGTCGTGTATTTTTTTTTTCTTTGTGGGAGAGTAGATTGGTCGTGAGTCGTGATGGAGAAAAAGAAAGGGGAGAACGAAAGCGCGGGAGCGGTGTCAAGGAAATAAGGCGGCGATGGCACTGAAGTCGTTTCGTGTGATCGTGTGGTGCCTGCGGAATGCGCGAACTGAATATCACCAGATCACATCTGCGAGCCCATCCCGTCGTGACAACAGGGAGGGGTCATCACCGAACGCCCGACACAAAAGAAAAAGAGAAGCTGCGACGGTCTCGCAGGGGGGGGGGGAAAGCGAAAGGGAATAGGAAAGGGAAGGGGAGGAGGTGAAGAGAAGGGGGAGGTTGGGCGCCCAGAGAGTGAGGCGTTCGGGGGGGTCGCAGGTCGCAGGTACCTGGCGGGCGGCGTGTGTGCGGGCGCGGGTCGCGGTACTCAGTACACTACGACAGTACTGACGGAGAGTCTTCAGGGCCCACCGATTCCAGCGCTACGAAAGTACGGTGAAATTTATTCTCTTCTTCAAGCTGTTCAGAGGAATGTGTTGGGTTTGTTTATTTTCTCGAGTCTGGGAGGCCTGCAGGGACCTTACGTGGTGCAGATGCAGCTCAGTCATGAGGGTATACTCCTCCCTTCATCACGATTCTCAGGTCTACGAGGTATCCGCCAGTCCTTCCAGTCCTTCCAGTAAATGCTGTATTGATCATTTCAGGGCCGGGGGGGCTGAACGCACCATTAAAATTGCCGGAGCTCAGTCCCCACGGGCGATCGTGCCAGTGCTCGGTTAGGCCCTCGCCCGTGGTCTTTTCTCTGTTACCACAATGCTTTGCTTCCCCTCGAGTACCTCGTTGAATCTGCAAGGGCTGATCTTCCCGGGTGATGTCCAGTGCAGCCGTGCAAAATCCCGAGTTGCGGCGTTTGCATCTACCTGCTTCCACACGAGGCCCAGCACGGTTCACCTGTTCGAGGTCCTTGATGAAGGCATTGCCATAATAAGATGGCCGTGCTCGCTAATTTTTCTAGAAAAAAAAGGGGGAGATCCAGGCCGATCATGGCGATTTTGGATTTCGATTGTGCGGTGTGTACTTTCTCCCGCCTTAGGGTCGTTCTCTTACTCGCAATATAACCTCATCCGGCCTGCTCCACCCGCGACGCGACGCGTCGCGTCGCGGGTCGTGTCGTGTTTTGTGACGGTAACAAAACGGTCAGCTGACGCGCATCCATCAAGCAACCTACTAACTCGTTAGGGCTGACAGCTTACGGAGGACAAGCTGGGTAGCTGCACCATCCACGAGGATTTATCGTACACTCTGCATCGACACCCGGACCTGATGGCAATCCAATCTCGAGGTCACGAAGTCACCGTGTCAGCGCATCTCAATACATCCACATCTACTCACATTCTCCTAAAGCTACTAGGTAATGCTAACCGCTGATCTACTCTGGAATAAGCTTTTGTCAGATCAATAGTTAGTCGCTATATCCTTTGGCACGCCTGATCCGAGAACTAAATAAGCTGCTTATGCATGCCCAGCAACAGCAACAAGCTATAGCAATCATAAAAACAAATCCTGCATATACCTGCAGCCGTGGATCCTACTCACCCAGCGCCGCCAGGTCGATCTCTGGCTCGCGGGACCGGAACAACAGCTCAACCGTTGGGTCCGTGATGATCTCCGTGCCATGCTCAAAGTTTGCCGGCCGTCCGCGGTCCTCCTTCAGTTGCCAGTCGTACTTCAGCAGCAGGTGAATCAGAAAGATCTTGGTCTCGTTGGCCGCGAAGAATCGGCCCGGACACGCGTGTACCCCGTGCCCGAATCCGAAACTCTCGGTCGTCGTCGTCACGAACTGGAATCGTTGCTCGTTGCCGGGTTGTTGGCGTTTGTTGTAGAAGCGGTAGCCGTTGTATGTGCCGGCATCCGGGTAGATTGATTCGTCGTGGTTGACGTGTGCGGAGACACCGAGGGTTGCGCCCTTGGGGATCACCGTGCCGTCTGAGAGGGGGATTTCGGCTAGTGCGAGGCGGTTTAAGGAGACTATCTATCGTGTCAGCAAATGGTTCTTCACCTCCACCTGAGCGGAATCATGCTTGAGTCCTTACCCATTGACACCGGGCTGAGTCGCTGCGTCTCTTTCATCACGCTATCCATCAGCTTCAACTTCAGCAGACTGGTCTTCTTCAGGCATCCATCCTCAGCCACAACGGCCCGGATCTCATCACGGAGCGGCTGCATCAATTCCGGGTGCGCAGCCAGGTCGTACATGATATTCGTGAAAAGGTTCGATGTGGTATGAATCGCAGCCAACGACAGCGCCATCTGAGCATGCGCAACATTAACAGTGCGATTCAACGACTCCGAGATCTCATCAATCCAATCCAGCGTATCAACCTGACGACTCTCATCCTGCGGCAACTTGCCCTGGCGAATCAGCTCGCGACGCTGCAGCTCCTTATCGATGATCGAGCGGCCCAGCACGAGATTCTTGCGCAGCTTCTGTGCGCTGGGGAGGAAATTGTGCACGAGCGGACGGAGGATACTGGGCCACTGGCGCAGCTCGCGGGCGGCATTGAAGGCGTTGATGGCGTAGTTGACTGAGATGTCAATCCAGTCTTCGTTCCGCGCGACTTCCCGACCCAGGAAGGCCCGTGTCGAGACCCGGGCAACGACGTACGGGATCTTTGCAGCAAAGTTGTACGAAACCCATTCTGCATTACCGATCAGCATTGGGGGTTTCGTCTTGGTTTGGGATGCATGGCGTACCGTTGGATGGGGAAACATTTCCTTCGCTACGTCGGCGCTCTCTTGCGAAAGGGGGATGGTCAATGAGCCTGGTATAGATGTTAGTAAGGAAAAGAAAAGGAAGAGACGAAAAGCGGGGTTCGCATACCCAGCGATTGAGTCAACTTAGTCCGCACCATATCGACCAGCACCTTATTTCCATTCCCTTGATGAAAAGGCTCAAACCCGGGAATCCGATTCTCGAAGAACATCTACGGGCGTCAACTGCGATGCTCTTCTCGTCCAAGATCGAAACACCTACCTTCGCCGTCGCCCCCTCAAAAGACAAGCTGGGGTGATTCTTGATCTCATCGATAAACTTAGGATGCAAAACCACCAACGGCTTCTGCCCCATCACCTGAAAGATATCCGCACCCTTCACTCGATCAGCATGAGGTCGTGAGTTCGTGAAGTTTGTCCTACCTTGGCGAATCCCTCGCGGATCAACTCTCGCGCGCCCGACGTGAAGCGTGCCCGCGCCTTCTTGTTGAAGAGATCATACCACGTCCTCCCCACGACGGGTATCCGGAAATGGGGAATCTCGTCTGCTAAATCTTGCCAGAAGGCTGAGATGAACACGGCGAGTAGAGCGACATATGCGCCCTGGACCACATAGGGGCTGTTAAGGAGCTCGGCTAGGACCGCCATGGCTATGCGAGCATGAACAGCGACAGATGAAGTATGAAGTAGTAAAAACAGAGGGTGGAATTGAAAATTTGGAACAATGCTATTGATTAATATTGAATGGAGTACCCCCCAGTTTCCACACAGGTTATCGAGGCACCGAACTGACCAGTCAGGACGGCCGTGTTGTAGATTGCGTACTCGGGACTTGGACAGCCGGTGCAGAGGCCCCACTGCATGACGATCGGAAGCGGTTGGCGCCGAAATCAGGGCGATCTGTGAAGAATCGGTCTAGCGGTCTGAGCGTCCGGATGGTGCGATTCCGAGATGCTGGTGCTGTGATTTGAGGAAGCTGAACGAGAACGAAGGCCAGCTTTTCCTGAACAGGCATCTGGAGAATTGGGACTGAGTCTGTTTCCAAGCCGTCTCGGATGCAGCAAGAGGTGTCGCCAACCCTAGATGCCGGGGATGGGACGAGTGCTATCCGAGATCAATGGCCTAATGGAGAGGTGTGCATTGATTAATGTGTCTGTGCTGGTGTTGGTGGTGTTAACGTAGGAGGTTATAAGTATATTGTACATGAAATATACTATGTATATTCTAGATGGGTGCCGCTCTGCCATCCGCAGCCGACTGAGTAACCGTCTGAGTACACCGCCTCGTCCATACACAGAATAAAATATAGCACCAAAAATTGAGTGCCATGCATCATTTATTAAACTGTCATTCTGCACCAGCACAATGGAGTAGTGATTTGTCGCATCAGCACCTTGTCCCATCACATACCTGCACTTTTACGGTTGTAGGCCAGCGTGTGTCAGCGGTAACCGCCAAGCCCCCGCATTCATCCTCGCCTCCCCGCAACTTCTCCTCTTCGCCAACGACACACGATGGGAGACTTCGGCGCTGTGACCCAAACCCAAACGTCCACGCCAGCAGGCACGCCCTGTCCCGCGCCCACGTCTAGAGAGATATCCGTCCTAATCACGGGTTTTGGGGTGAGTGATCTGCACCCGGATCTCGCGATCCCGATCCGAGACTCCATGTCCCTCTCTAACTCCATCAGCCCTTCAAAACCAACCTGGTCAACGCCTCCTACCTAATCGCATCCTCGCTCCCATCCTCCTTCGCCTACCCAACCAAAGATGGCATCGACCGTCGCGTCTCGCTCCATGTCCACCCAACCCCCATCCCGGTAGCATACGCCACAGTTCGGGAAACCCTACCGACGATCCTGGAAGAGTACGCTGCCGCGCACGATAATCGACGCCCAGATCTCATCATCCACATCGGCATCGCCTCGCCGCGCCTGTACTACTCCGTAGAATCATTGGCGCACCGCGACGACTACAACATCACCGATATCAACGGGCGCTCCGGCTACGAGGACGGCGAAAAGCGGTGGAGAGGACTGGGGCTGCCGCCAATCTTAAAGCCTGGCCCTGCGGACCCATCCACCCCGGGCGTGCTGTCCAACCCGTCTCCACCGGGCGACCACTTCTTGGAATGCTGGAAGGAGCTCGCGCCGCCTGATACGGATATTCGCATCTCCCATGATGCCGGCCACTACCTCTGCGACTTTATTTACTATACCAGTATGTCGCTGGCGTTCCGGGCGGGTCATGATCGGAATGTGCTCTTTTTGCATGTTCCCGGTGCGTCGGAGGATGCGAATATCGAGCGCGGTCGCAAGGTTGCTATTGCTCTTATCAAGAGTATGGTTACTTGCTGGATTGATGAGAAGCATGTCGCTGTTTAGAGGTGTCCAAGACTCGTAGAAGTTCGTTACATACTCACATTATGATACATTTCGGGCGCATCATCCAGTTGGAACGGTGATTGCGTTGACCTTTCTGTGTTTCTTTCGGTGCTTTGCATGATGCGCGCATGGTGTTGGGGCGATCTCTCCTTTTCATATTCCCCGATCCAATCTGATTGATCTTGTTAATATCCGTTAGCGCGAATAAACATTCTACATACTTCATCACTGAAGTAGTACGTACCATAAGGTACAAGTAGTATTTCATCCCCACATTCCTGCGCGGGGCCAGCACCGGCTAAGCGGCTTAGCAATCCGCCTCGTTCCAGCCCCCCAACTTTTGCTCCATTTGATGTCATCCCAGTCCAGATATTACAGTGTATACTTGATCTTACTTTTTCCCAAGACCAGCAGCAGCAGCAGCAACAACAGCAACAGCAACAGCAACAACCCTACCACTGTGACACTGCGCATGCAAGAGTCGCAATGCTAGACTCAACAGCTACCCCCGCAGGCCTAGTCCTAGCCCTGGGCCTTCTCCTCCTCCCGTTCCTTTTCCACCTCCAAAAAGAAGGCTGGCCAAGGCCTAAAAACCTCAACCTCCACACCTTCCTCCCCCGCCTCCGCCTCCGCCCCAACCAATCCAGCGAAATAATCTCACTACGCATGTACCCCATAAAATCCTGCCGAGGCTTCGAAGTCACCTCCACAACCCTAAAAGAACACGGCCTCGACCTGGACAGACGCTGGATGTTAGTCGACGCATCTACGCACGAATTCCTAACAATCCGGCAAATCCCCGACATGACGCGCATCTCCACAGCACTCTCACCCGACGGCTCGGAGCTAATCATCTCCATCCCCATCACGAAGAGCCGTAATAAAACCATCCAAATTCCCAGCCACCCCACGCCTGAATGGCTGGAAACAAATACGACGATCGCCCCGGTCAAAATCTGGGACAATGATACGGATGGCTACGTGCATGGCAGCGAAATAAATGACCCGTTCTCCGCGTTCCTGGGCCGGGATGTCTGTCTTGTGTACAAGGGTCCCACGCCGCGCGTGTTGAAGGGAAATGGGGCACCGAGTTTACTGGGTCGTGTGCAGACGACGGGCTTCCCAGACGTTTTTCCCGTTCTTATTGCGTCGGAGGCGTCACTGAAAGAACTGAACGGGAGGTTGGAGAAGATCGGCGTTGATCCTATTACCGTTGAGCGATTCCGGCCGAATATCGTGGTGAGAGGGGAGGCGCCTTGGGTTGAGGATTCGTGGAAGACGGTGCGGATCCGAAGGGGTGGGGAAAGCAGCAATAACAGAAGTGGAGCTGGATCGAAGTCAAGTGTACCTCTGGATCTGGATATCGTGGCTAGGTGCGCCAGGTGCCAGGTTCCGAATGTTGATCCCGAGACGGCGGCTAAGCATAAGAAGCAACCGTGGGATACGCTGATGTCGTATCGAAGGGTTGATGAGGGGATTAAGTGGAAGCCTTGTTTTGGAATGCTTAGTGCGCCGAGGAGTGAGGGGGTTGTGGAGGTTGGGATGTCGTTGGAGGTTTTGGAGGAGACGAGGGAGCATCGGTATATTACTGGGTTTTAGCTAGGGTGTAAAAGTGGGATTTAGCAGAGCATTTTGTTTTATTTCGATATCACGCGATTCTTAATAGTGTATGCTTAGTTCAAAACATATTACTCTGTCGGTCTATATATAGATCAATGGGAGGTCACAACACTCCACGTGTAGACTAACCAACATCGGACCCGCCCCCACAGATCTTCGTACCACGCTACCCCATCCTCACCCCGTTCGGGTCCTCCATTTCAACAACCCATCCATGCATGATGACAGTAAGTAACATTATAACCTATGTCCTATGGAGATGTGTTCCCCGGATTTCACCAGCCCAGTCCAACTAACTCGTCGCAGGACCAGCACTCGGACCCCCCAACCGGGGACCACCATCATCATCACCATCACCACGATCCACACACAGAGCCCATCCCAAACCCGCAGCCAGGATTAGACCATGCAGGTCAAAGCCTACACGGGATGAACTCATCGACCTATCAAACGTGGTACGGGACGTTTCCTGAAGACGACCCTGATGAACCACGTGCACCGATGTGTCTTACCCGTGGGGGAGAGTTGCAGGTCATCGTACTTGTGATGGTTATGTTGTTTATAGTGGTGTTTGTTTTTGCGAGGTTTACTTCTAGTGGGGGGTTTGATGGGATGTGAGGGTTCATATCTTTTATCCTGGCGGGTAGACAACCTATTCATGGTTTTGAATTTGACTACCTGAGACTGCCCTAGACATCTGGCTTGGTTCGGACTGGCTGCTAGGGTAATACGTCCGGCTCAGTCTACTGAGAAGGTAGACTAATTAGCATATTTAATCTCTGATCCCGGCTCAGGGCGCAGGAGATAGTAGTAGTTGGGGATGCTGTTGCAAATTGGTACCAGCAAAACCAAAGAGGTAAATAAGGGCTAATACAGAATTATGGCTCAGTTGAACCATCATCGGCAACTCACGGTAAAAACCGGCAAGGAATTTTCAAACTGAATCGCCAAATGCTGCCCTTTTCCTTCCTCGTGATTGGCCGAGGGTATGCATGGTGGCTTGCAGCGTAAGATCACCACCAAGGCTTTACCTTGTTCTTACAGTTCCAGGGTGAGATCTGATGGTGACTTATCTTATCTACACAGAAGATCACGGCTCAGTTCTCCACTACCGTTCACTCAATATGGAACTAAATCAATGGGCTCTACCCCCCTTCCTCTCTGTGATTGGCTATAGAATTTAAGCTTGAAACCTCATCCATGAGTTCTACCTTCTTTTTGTCCTACGAATGGCTATAGAAACAACTACTTCCAGCACTACCCACGAGCCTACACTGACCTGTGAAACTTCTATAAATGTTCTTGGAAGCTAATTATCTACTTTGCTTGAGCCATATAATCACGTTTTATAGGCGACGAAATAGACCATTTCGGTAGCAACTACTCAAAATTCTCAAGACTCAATACTCTCATTGCCTCCCCTCAAAGCCTCAGCAGCCCCGTCAAAATCACGGCTCATTCCCAAGCAGCACAGATCGAGCGGGTCGTGAAATATGGAACCAAATCAATGTCAAACGGATGGGCACTATCCTCCTCCTCTATAATTGGCTATAGCTGATGATAGCCTCGAGTTCCACTCCTTTGCCGCTTGACTGTACTGTAACACTGATTCTGGAAAGATGACCAGCAATGTGCTCCAGAGCGCTAAAGCCCGGGCAAAACTACGTCTCAGCTACATAATGGACCCACCAGCGAAAAGCGACATTAGGCAGCATCTTGAAACCAAATCGATGGGTGACGTCTTCTTCCCTATCCATGATTGGATATTGTCTATGGTAGCCCCAGGCACTGTCCCATCGCCACTTGATTGATTGCTGCTTCGGGTCTCAAGAGGCCGGGCAAAATCAGGGCGCAGCACCGAGTCGCCGATTCGCCGATTTGAAAAAATGAAACCAAACCAATGGACACCATCCTCCTCCCCCTCTACAATTGGCTAAAGTTGATGATAGCCGCAGCATAGCCCATTGCCTTGCCTTTGCTTGCATCATTCCTTCAGGGTTCTGCGCCCAACGCCTGTTCTAGACCGCGCCAGCAACGGCCCGGCTATCATGATTGGCTGAAAATCGAGCATTCAATGCCTCCAAGTTTTTCAAGATAGCTTAGTTTCACGGCTCAGAGCTTAACAGGTAACGCCCTGAATGAAACTAGAACAATTGCTAGAAGTTGGGTTGATTGTGCTTATTGGTTGGATGAAAACGGAGCCCTTGATCGCAGGAACGTGATATGGGGTTTGTCCTTGAGTCTTGTTTGGTGCAATGAACTAGGAGTGGTGTGTCATGAAACATGACTCGATTTGAACTTTTAATCAGATTGCTAAGTCTGCAATATCTACAAAAAGCCCCCACAAATACCCCACCTGATCTTAAACCCACCTGAGGCAGGCAACCCTAACCTAATCCTTCCCCTTCAACTGCTTACTAGCAGAAACACACCAATTATTCCAATCCGTAAAGAAAGAAGGCTGCACATGCGACTTGGCACTAAGCAACATCTCCTTCCTCGTTTCCCCATACACATCCACGACCCCAGCAACAAGGCCCTTCTCATGTCCGACAAGAACCTTAACAACAAGCAACGAAGCCTGACTAACAGCGGTCGCATGCGCAGGCGGTCCAGAATGCCCGGCTTCCTTGTGGATACTCCGCAAAAGCTCCCAAACAGCCTCAACGCCCTCCTCGGAGTCAATACTCGGCACCGCAGAGCCCTTGCATAGCTTCGTGTACTCGCGTAGCACGCCGGCTGCCTTATTTGCGATTTGCTTGTTCGTTGACCGGCGGGTGAGACGGAGGAGGGGGAGGAGGAGGTCCAGCGCGAGTAGGCGGGAGTGGGACTTTTTCACGAAGATCTCCAGCAGGTCTAGCACGCGGTTCTTGAAGTTGACCATGTTGGAGCGGGCGTCTTTTTTGTCTTTTTGGGCGGAGACGGCTTTGCGGCGTGCGCGGAAGACGTTCGCTAGTTGCGCGTCGACTTGTTCCATTTCGTCGTCGTTCATGTCCGCGTCTGAGTCGGATTCTTCGGCGTCGAGATCTTTGTCGGCGCGGTGCGTGCCGAGTGCGGCTGCCAGCTTAGCTTCGAAGTCGGCGACTTCAGCGGCGTCTTCTTCGTCTGTGCCGGAAGCTTCGTCGTCGTCGTCTTCCTCGTCATCTGAGGCGTCACCGGCGTCACCGGTGTCGCCTGCTTCGACGACTTCGACGTCGCTGTCTTCTTCACCGTCGATGTCTGCCATTTCTACGTCGTCATCATCGGAGCCGGAGGCTTCTTCGACGTCATCCTCGTCGTCTTGGTCGAACATCTCTTGCTGGCCTGCCAGACTTTCCTTGGCTTCCAGGATCTAGAAGAGTTAGTGTGTGACATTTGGTAGGTGAAGCGGTTACATACCGAAATCAACGACTCCAGGCCGTTCTCTGTGACCTGGTCAGCAAAGGCACCGAAAACCTGCTCGCTCATACGGCGGAAGAGCTGCGACTGCTTGGACGCAAAGCTCAGCAGAATTTCAACCAATGCATCCGAGGCATCCGAGGTATCTTCCTTCTTTTTCTTCTTCGAGGCCTCGTCACCCAGGAACTTGGTGTAGCAGAACGCCAGCTCATCGAGCATGGACACGGCATCGGCATCGCCATTGTACACTTGCAGCACAGTCATGGAGTACAAGAGTTTGAAGGCGGCAATGCTGGATGTCTCTCCCTTCTTTTCCTGAGAATCTGTCAGTAAATTTTGTCGGGTCGGACCAGATGTTGGGAAACTTACCTTGCTAGAGAGCCTCTTCAAAGACTTAAAAGCAGTCTTGACAGACTCCTGCAACTTCTCATCAATGTTGATGATGAACTTGCCAAACTCCTCCGATTTGGAAGCGTCGCGGATCTGCTTCACAACCGCGTAGGGGATGGAAGCAGCGTACTTCTGCGACGTGAGAAGGCTGTTCAGAGCAGAGCTGACCCGGTTGCGCAGCAATTCCTGGGTAGCCTCCGACACGGCCGGCTCCGCGGCAGACGAGCTCTTGTCTGTGAAATAAGCGAAACGCACAAAGATGAACAGAATCTTCTCGAGAACCGACTCAAAGTCTTCCTCGGAATCATCGTTGCCAGTCGAGGACTTGGCGCGAACGATCGAAAGGAGCAGACCGGCAATATATTGACGGTTCGCGGCCGCAATTTTGTCATCGCTAGTGGCGGGGCGGCTGATGAGCTCTTCAAACAGGGGGATGATATCCTTCAATGCGTCAGAGCTGGCGTCGGCCACGATCTTTTCGATGGTCTTGGTCTTGGTGACTTGGTCGAACAGAACGGCGCCGCCGGTTCCCATCAAGCCGTGGACTGCAGGGCCGGCGAAGCTGGGATCCTTGGAGACGCGAGCTTGCATGGTCTTGGATGTCTTGACGGCCATGCTGTGCAGATATCGATCTTCCGCGGCGAGCTGGTTCATCAAGCAGCGGACCAGGTTCTTGGTGAAGATCTGGGATGCCTGTTGAGGCGATCCTTCGTTCAGAATCTTGTTGAAGAGGAGGAATCCCCAGAACTTGCGCTCCTCAGAAGAAGCAGAGGCAAAGAGACCATCTGTTGAGCCAGTTAGTTATATAGTTCGTAATATCCGAGTACGATGACAACTTACTGTCCACCACCTCAATCCAGAAATCAGAGAAGCTCAGCCGGGAGGACTTGGAGCCCTTCGACTTGCTGCTTTCGTCACTGGCACGGGAAAGAACCGCATCCCAGGCAAAGTGCAGCTTGGAGTTCCAGACTCCGGAAGACTTGATTGACTTCTTCTCGCCCTCGCTCACTTCAGCCGAAGACTCCTTCATGATCTTCGCCAGGTTGTTGCGCTCCTTCGTGTCCAGCGGGTCGTCGTGCTTCCAGATCTTCTCAGGATAGTTCGCCTTGGGGAACATCTCCTTGGCAGCCAGCCAGACGGCCACACCCTCAGGGGAGCGGGCCAGGTCGTGCGAGCACATGCCCTCAATTGCAGCCTCCACATACTTGACATCCATCTTGCGCGCAGCGAGATCGTACACGCAGCGGTAGACGACCCATCCGCACTCCTCCCGAATCCATGGCTTCTTCTGCGCGAGCTCGAAGAGGAGACCGAGGACCTTGGTCCATTGTGTGAAGGGCGAGGCAGGTTGGAAGAGGACACCAGATTTGATGAGGGCTTCAGCGCCGAACAGGCGGCCAAAATGGTGGTCTCGTTGTTCCTATCAAAATCACTCCATTAGTCTCTAACTCAACATTCCAGATATTCATTCCTGCCGAAGACTAGTGAAACATACCTGTCCCGACTCACTGCCATTAGAATTAGACAGCGACTCCCAAAGCGACAACGCCTCCTCAAACGTCAGCGACAAACCCTCCCGCGGAATCGAGAATATCTGCGTCAAGAGCTCCGTCAGCGCAACAGAGAATCCAATCCGAGCTGCCTTGCGACTACTGCAGAGACCACGGAACAGTCTCTGGAGCGTCTTCTTGATCTGATCATCGGTCGGGTTCTTGTCCGCGGTGAACTGCGAGATCAGGCTCGAGGCAGCCTTCAGCCGGATCTCGTCCTTTGCGCTGGCGAGATCCTCGTAGATCTCCACGAGCTTGGTGTCGATATTGTAAGCTTCGCGGCGGCGCTTGCGCGCGCCGTGTTGGTCGAAACCCATCGTGGAGAATTTTCTCAGGTGGAATTGGCCGACTCCGTGTAGCGATCAATGCTGCAGCCTCGTAGAAGCTGGTCAGACGGTCGCGCCTCGTCTGGAGTGATGGTGTCGCGCAAGGTTGTCCGCAGAAAATTCGGGATGTTGCCGTGTTGGGACTAGCGTGGTGTGATAAGCTGATAAGCAAATTTTTGATGCCTGAGGCATATTTTGATTTAACCTGGAGGCATCATGGGGAATTGAAAAGGAGCGATCGATTAAAAGTGCAGTTTATTGTTGTGGAAGTGCTGAATTTCATTTCTCCGACCATTTGGAGCAAAAATGTAGCATGTAGAAGGGATGGTGCCGTTGAACACCGCAAGGGTTACCACGAGTGGATATATATCTCGTGCACCCCTGGCTTCCAAACCACATGGGCCGGATCTCTATGTTTAATATCACTTTGATATAGAACCTTAGGTTATACGAATAACAACTTCTATTCCAGCGACTTCAACGCCCTCAACCCCTCGGCTTCAACGGCGCAAATCCTCAGTCCAACTGAGACAGCCTCGACAATCCACCCACTCCACAAAAGTGAAGCCCCTGAAAAAATTTGACAGGTTGCCATGGCAAATGACACTCCTATTGTCGCCACTTTACGTCAACCGTAAGCCCAAAAACGAGTCAATCTGATGAGTAGTGCTGGTCGCTATACTGCGGATCTGACCAGTTCTTTTCTACGCAGGTTTCAGGGGTTGGTGGTTGATGAGTGTGTCCGCTGCACCAGTGTGGGAGCTTGGAGAGGTAATGAGAAGACCGGATAACCTCCATCACGACCGAAGACAGTGGCTGTACAATAACGCAACCCTTCACGATCGTATTCCGAACTTGTAAAGATGTAAAGACAGAAATGTCAAGTGTAAAGATGGAAATTCGAGATGAATACCGTTAGTTGCCTCATGTCCGAAATATACAATATTACCATGCACCCGCCTGGTGGTCCGCAGTGGAATTGGGACAAGCAAAACGGACGTTGTCAGGGTAGCAGACCCAAGCTAGTGATTTAGGAGCCAAATGTCTCCAACAAGACCGTGGCGAAAGCGATCGCAATAGGATATATATTATTCACATGGTGTTGGAGAATTGGGTTCGGGCAGTGCTGCATTATATTGAAGTCTCCCAGCACATGTACATGCTAGCAGATTATACTCATCGCATATATGTCGTCTCGGCTTGAGGCTCAACCACCGAATGAGCATAGTGGATGCACCATCTCAGAAGGAGTAAGAGGTGAAACCCCAGCAACGGCCTGTGGGTATCCGGCCGAATCTATGAGACCGTCCACTGGGGAGCCATCGCAAATAATTGCGCGGATAACCTTGGGCTGCCGCTTTGGCACCGGACACGTAGAGTCGCACAAAGGCGACAGCGCTACGTGGGCGATGCGCGGTCTGCGTTTAACCCTGCAGCGTGCATGGGTGGAGAGTAGCCGGTTGACAGCTTACCGCGGGAGGCGTGCGGCGCAACGACTATAGATGGAACTAAGGGGGGCATGCAGACGGAAGGATCCCATCGGCTTTCGGTGGTAGACTGCTCTTACCCTAAAGAAGGTATTTTCAGGACGGAGATTTGTGCTACATCGATAAGGCTCTCGATTGCGGTTGATGTGTATGGTACACTACCACTGTAAAATGGTAGAGGCTAGGCTAGCCCTCTCGCTAATAGATTACAGTTTTACAATAGTAGATCGTAGTTCGCATGGCGAGGGCACCTGTCATCTGTCCGTGGAAAAGAGGTGATCCTCGTCCCGTACCACGATCGGGGCTGTGCGTGGTGGAGTGCGAAGTTTTGAAATACTGAATAGCGCGTAGGCGCGAGTTTACGCAGGCGCTACGAGCCTCGCGGCGGACCTGGCGGGCTCAACTCAGTTCCCTAGTACCATAGGGTAGACCTACCTCGGGTTAGTCGGAGGCCAGAAAGGAGGGGGCTCTTTCTCCGGAGTCTGACAGGCACGCCGAAGTGGGCGTGGGCGAGTGCATGGCTGACGGCCGGGGGATTCAATAGCGCCGTCGATCGGAGAGGCCGAGCTGGAGAATTAATTGACAAATCGCCGCCGTGGAGAGGTGGGGGGAGGACCGAGGAAGCCTCAGGCTGAAGACAGGCAGTGTAACTATGAGCGTCAGCAGACAGGGTATGGGTATTTCCCGTATTGGAGATACATGCAATACCACGACAGGGTACAACAGGACTGGAGAGTCGGAGAATCAAGATCTAGCAAGGCGGATGTTGTCATCGGGACAGAACAGGCCAGTCTGATCACGGGATTGCGCATGTCGTTCGCGTCCCGAACTTTGCTTTGTTTACTTCGCATCCAACATTGACATCACCATGAGGGGGAGGGAGTCCAGACTGCTCACAATTCCGGATGTGATGGACCCCGCAGCTGCAACAGCGCACCATCGCCCCGACTCGAGCCATCACTGGCTCGAAGCACATGGCGCCGTGACGCAGGTAACGGATCACATCGTCGGCGCTTTCCCCGTCTCCACATCAGCTGCTGCCCACAGCCATGGCGCAGCCAAAGATAGATGAGCATCGGACTGCCCGACCGGCCATATCCCGGCTGCTGATGCGCGTTATCAGGGTCTGCGCGCAGAGTGCAACCGCCCGCCAGTGTGATTGGGTTCTCATTGCATGGTCTGTCTCGTCAGGCGCGGCAGTAATACGCGAGCGAAGTCGATCACGGCTCGCCCGATCAGGAATCATCATAACAATGCCATACCAATACTCGCGAACCGAGGGAGTGCTGTCAGAACTTACAGAGCAAGGCAGCCCGACTCGACGTCATGAACATCTGGGTTAACCGGTTGGTCTGTAACAATGATTGCTCATTGCTCTCACAGACCAGCCGAGTGACGTAGACTCACGGACCAACATGGGGTCAACTTGTGCGACAGCGACGACTCCGCGACTTCCCGGAGGAGTAAACACGTCGTGCGAGGGCTCACCGCATCGTGCGTCGAGTCTGCACCGCTCAGCCGTCATGCAGAACCTGCGACAAGCGGGATGCGTCGAGATCGCATGGCCATGCAGCGCCTCCCGACAGCCATTGGGTGGGCTGGACCATCATGGAGAAGACCCCCAATGCGTCCGGCGTTTCACGCGAAGAGGGGTTGAGAGCTCAGAGTTTCGCCCAGAATAGCAAGTCGTGGGGGTGCAGGATTTAGGTCGATCGCATGCCCACTGCGACTGGATGAACTGTCGCCAACTCCATCCACTAGCAGTTTCAGGTCCGTTCTCAGAGCCGCTTTTGATATCATGGTGGCGAATTGCTCGCTTGGTCTGTGCTTGTTGTGTCGGCGCTGAGGATCTTGAGGATCTCGCCCCGGATGGTTGCCTCAGGGGTATGGTTCTGACTGGCTCAAGCGAATTTCCCGCGAGCTTCCATCGGTGATGGGCCGAACTTTGCCGCCATGTGCCTGGTTATTCCGGCAGATCGGGTCGTGTGATCGTTGATGCGCTCATTTGTGATGATCCGGATCTCAGCGCTTAGCGGCGTTGTGGTTTTCTGGATGTTAACACCCTTCCGATCTGGGCAGGTTGATGCTGTGGATGGCCCCCCAGTCACCGCGATGGTGTTCGCCATCGTCATCAGCACGGGCGTGCTCGGCGCTCGGCTATATTCATCAGTCAGCGTGTATCAGACGAGCGCACCGGTTCATTGACCGGCCAAAATCGCGTTGCTCCAGCATCGGGAGTGACAAGTCAGCACGAAAGTTCAAACAGTATTACCGATTGCCATGACTGAGTAAGGCCGCACCTGGGATATACGCTTAATAGCTAAAACATCCTACGAAGGGGGCGACAAGGGATGCGCGACATTGAACGATCCCCTCGCGGACCCTTGATCTACCAAGGAATGCACTTTGCGGACGTGCCCAAGTAAGGGCAGACGGCTATGGGCACGATAGCTTCTCATCTTCAGCAATTTGGCGGAATGGAAGACGAACCCCATTCCTTACTCGATGTGACCCTCTGAGCTTCCTCCGCACCAGATGAGATGGTGGGGTACGATCGCTGTTCCTGGGTTCCCAAACGGGCAAGGATCCTACCGCACGAACGCCGATGATGCGATGGACAATGCCATTCATTGATAGTCCCGGATAATAGGGTACCCTAGGGTAATTCTGTTCAATTTCGCCAGAGATCAGGAAATGCAGCTGTGCCAATCAGCACCTCGGTCCAGCTCCCGAGTCATTTTGCCTACCCTCGCGAGTTCACGGAAGAAGATTCCCCGATTTTTGGTTGGTTTCGACCCAATTTCCCGTTCACGATCTTCGGGAATGATAGTCCTCGTTGCAGTGCTCCATTCGTGCTCTGCCAGCTTGCCTGATCGAGCAAACCCGATCCGCGAGCACATAATTACCGTTTTCACAGTCGCTGTACTGACCGAACCATAGCTATCCGGTACATGGCTATGGCCAGCAGTAGAATGACGTGGGAAATTGAAACGGCGATGCTTTATTGCATTGAGGAAGCCATTCCATTGGAACACCCGTTGCCATCCTTGCATGGCGATCGCATCACTTGCATCCTCGTTACTTTGCTGACTTTATTTTTTCCGAGGTGGGCACCTTCGTACGCAAGTGGAGCCGCTGGCCTTAGGCTCGATCTCGCTCCGTTTTTTTTCAGCTGAGCTGCGGTTCTGCGGCACACACGGGCGAGAAGAAAACTTTTTTCTTCTCTTTACGGTGGAGACGGAAAACCCTTGGAAGACGCACGGAAAAGAAACCTCTTTGGCGGCGAATGGAGTTCGTTTGTTCCGTAGTACCCTATCTTAGGGTTAGTATGGTTTCAGTGCGTACCTGTCTCGATATATACAGTCGACTCCTCCTACCCTCAGTAGAGTGAATACCCTATGGTACCGCGTAAATTATGGAAATAAAATGAAATCAGATTCAATTGCACCTTGGTAAGATTTAACTTGGAACATGGTTTGTCCCCTCACTCAGTTTCCCCATATTCTGTCGCTTGTCGGCCAGGAGGGAGCCAGGGGAGCAATAGCTCACCCTGCTCGGAGCTGGGGGAAACACATGGGGAGTAACCGTGCACAACTCCTTCAGCCAGCCTAGGAATGACTGGGTTGCTGCGCAGCCGGGTACCGTCAGGCTAGGGTAGTCGGGACGATGGGCGGCAAGGGAGCCCGGGCAACCAGCACTGGGGCCAAGCCGTAACCCTTCCGGGTCACTTTTCCTTGGCCCCTGGGAAGCGTGGGAGCGCATATCCATACTCTGTCTGGCTGCAGCAGAGTAACTTGCATTGCATACCAAGCGATCGTACCTGACGCACTCCGCGCTGCAGGCTCCACCGTCTCTTCGTGCTCGTAGTGCAGTAGCTTAGAGAGGGTGTACTGAAAGGCCGTATCGTACCGATACACGCAGGCGTTCCACCGTACGGGTATTACCGCCAATACGGGACGCCGTCCCTATCTGGAGATCACTCCCCACTTGCGTTGCCATTGCAACAGACCCATCCCTTCAGCTTCACGAGTTTCTTTCTTCTAACCGTCCGTTCCACCTTTTCTTTCCCTTGTTCCTCTTCACGATATTCTCTGCGACACAACTTTTCGACACCCTCGCTGCCGTTGACACTCCGGCCGAACATCTCGCTCGACGTAAACAGCCGGGTCTACTTCCGCTGCCGACAACATCGTCCCCTCCCGCCCACGAGCTGTCCGCCGCGCCCCTCATATCACCTGCATACGACCTCCGCCATCTCCACCGGTCATGCCTCTTTAACCCGCCATCTCCTCCCGACCTCCAGAATACGTGCAAATTCCCCGCCTCTCCGCGGCTCGAGAGTTTGGGATTTCTGGGACTTCCGTGACGTCGCTCAGCGTCAGGTACAGGCATTGAGCCGACAGTGGCTATTTTAGTGGATCGAGTGGATGTCGACGTGGGAATTGAACCTGGATTGCAGTGCATTGCCAGGATACTTGGGACGATTCGACGAAATTGAAGGATTGCAACTGGATTATCGGTTGAACTTGGTAAAGGTGGAATTGCGTCATCGCTTTACTCCTCAGCACCGAGTAGCCTCACAATGGAACACTCGTCTCCGCTGGCCGCCATGCAGCCCCCGTCCATGATGTTCGGACAATTCTTCCGCAACGAACCTACTTCGTATCCGTCTCTTTCGAACCCGTTCAACTTTAAGGATTTGTCTATGAAGAAGTCCGGTTCCGATTACTTCAACACGAAGCCGCTACAGGGTTCGTCGCCCGCAGCTAGCCTGGCCGCCGACCTGTCGCAAAACTTTCATATCGATCAAAGGTAAGTTTATTTGCGTCGCCTTTTTTTTTTTTTTTCTCTACTTTGTTTGCACCTGCACAAAGGGAATTGCTGTGCAGGGACATGCTTACACCACAGTAGCCCGCAACTGGCCACACCCCGTCGGTCTTTGTTCTCTTCCAACCTTCTCGGTCAGGCCAATGGTGGTAAGTTTCTAACAATTTCCCCATCTACACAAGAGCTGGGGCACTAAAACAATGACTAGACCATGTGATGACCACCCCTCCTCTCGAGTCCTCACCCGCCGCTCTAGATATGATGGAGATGTCTCCCCTTCCACACAAGAAGCCGTCCTATGTGATCACCACCGAGGTTGAGTTGCACTCGCCGACGCCTCTGGACAGCCCCGTGGACTCTCCCATCCACTCTGTGGCTCCTAGTCCTTTGCAGGCCTCGCCTATGGAAGCTCCTGTGCAGCGTCCCCGTCCGCGTTTCCCACGCCCTAGTCTCGCAAAGAGCAAGGCTCAATCGTTCCAGCTGGGCATGACCCGGCCTACCCCGGAGAGCAAGGCCCCTCCGTTCCGCTTTAGCACGGCTAAGACTTCGTTGAGCACTTCTACTTCCCTGGAGGATATGTTCGGTGACTCCCCTCCCCAAGAGCGGACTCTTCCCCGTAATCATTCGAGCAATCTGGCGCCGCCCCGTCTGCGTCCGCCGATGCACCATGCTCGTAGCAGCGGCTCGCCCGCTCCTAACTCCATTCGCAAGCCCACTCATCCCTTGATGCGTCCGCGCAAGCAGACCCGACGCTCACTGAGTATGTTTGAGAGCCCTGCCGATGTCATTGCCGAGAAAGAGGCCAAGGTACCCACAAATGCACCCCTCCAGCCCATCGCGGATATGGAAACTTCGCCCAGCCTTCAGCTGCCTCACTTTGTCCCTGAGGATAAGGCGGACTCACTGCCTCGCATTAACCAGAACACCCTGCTGGAGGTTCTGGACGGCAAGTACAACGACAAGTTCGACAACATCATGATCGTGGATTGCCGCTTCGAGTACGAGTATGACGGCGGCCACATTAACGGCGCCATCAACTACAATGACAAGGACGCTCTGGCGGGCGAGCTCTTTACGGCCCCCAAGGCCCACACGGCCCTAATTCTTCACTGTGAATATTCCGCGCATCGTGCCCCCATTATGGCCAAGTACATTCGCCATCACGACCGTGCGGTCAATGTTGATACCTATCCTCACCTCACGTACCCCGACATGTACATTCTGGATGGTGGTTACAGCTCCTTCTTCGCTCAGCACCGCTCTCTGTGCTATCCGCAGAACTACGTTGAAATGAACGACAAGGAGCACGAATTCGCCTGCGAGCGTGGCCTCGGCAAGGTCAAGCAGCGTTCCAAGTTGAACCGCGCCCAGACTTTCGCTTTTGGTCAGCACTCTCCCCAGATGGAGGACAGCCCGACAGGTCGCTGTCGTCTCGGCAATGACCGCAGCCCGGGATTCCTTCCGTCGTCCCCCTTCGCAGAGAGCCCTGTTCCCAACCGCACTCCCGGCCGTCGCATGCTTTCGTATTAAATATCCTCCATCTGGTGATTTTGCATTGGAGCCTGGCGGATCTGATGATTTTTGACTTGTTCTTGGAGCGAGGTGTTTTTCATTGTGGCATTTCTCGCAGATGATGTCCTATTTTCTATTCTGGGTGGCTCTTGTTTACACTTCTTCGCTTTGTTCGTTTCTCGCATCCAATTTCTTTCGACCTTCGACAAAAAAGTTCGGTTTGATGGCGCAATGGTCTCCGATTCAACCCTGGTCTGCGACTGGCACCAGCCCTGTTTTTGAAGCTGCGCAGAGCGCGGCCGTCACCGGCTTCTTTCGACTCTTCCACAACCTTCTGACCTACCGACCCGATATCTTCTCGTGAAGTTGATATCGTCTTTCATTCCTGGACTCATTTCTTTTTCCTTTTCTTCAAAAGAGTTCCGCACGATACCACCGTTTTTATTTTTCCTTTATCTCATTTCTCGACACGATTTCCGGATGATCGATTTTTTTCCTCTTTGCATGGTCGACATCAGCATTGATTTGAGCATACGCCACGACGCTCGATCAAGAACACTATTTTCTATCTACGATATGACCGACAGACTCGGCTCGCGCCCGAGTACTTTCCTATGTTTCGATGACCATTTTCCCACGACATCCTGGCCCCCACTCGGAAAACTTTCCCTTTCAAATCTGCTCGGGATGCATGCTACAGACCATGCATACCCCCGTCGCGACCATACGCGACCGCCTAATCTGCCGCGCCCCTGGGCATTCCATTCTCTTTACACCTAATTCCCTTTTGACATCTACTGCCTGTTTAATCACTTCCTTGTACAGATACGTCTTTCTTTTTTTTTCGCACTTTGTGGAATGGATTCATTCTCCGCCTGTACTGAGTTGCATCCCAGGCACTGGCTTACTTACCGTGTCTTGTTGATAGCGCTTTGATTGTGGCCCTTTTTGAGGCTTTGCGAGCGGGAGTATTGTTTTCCTTTGCAGCGTTTCTTCAATTTAGCGCACCGTGTTGATCCTTACTTGAATTGTTTGGATGCGGTTGGGCCCGAGGAACGGATTTGCATACGCAGTGGCTGTGCAGCTGTACATAGCAGAGATCTTGCAGTGAGGAGAGAGGTGATTGCTCTCTGGGATTTAATGGTGTGGCTGGAAGACCTCACGGCTGCAGATACTTTCCCTTTGTTGAGCAGAATGAACAATTCTGATGATTCAGCCACCGCCATAACAATAAGCTCTCCCTAGGGTAATCTTTAAATTCTTCGGTGATTGCTAATTACAGTCCATCCTCCCTGATTTCGTATATTCAAATTTGCACGATCGGCAAACGGTGGAGCACGACTCCTCAGTTTATGACGATTGGCGCTTCGCCGTCTCCCGCGAGAATGCGGAGACGCTGATAGGCGGAGGCGGCTGGGGCGGGCCTGTCAACCCTTGCCGTCCCTTCGACCCCCTCCGTGTTTCATCCTTTTTGCGTCTTCACTCACCTTCGTTCTCTCAGACTCGGACGTTGCTGCGCTTCCAGCTGTCACTCTTTTGGCTGGATCCGCTGCCTTCGTTCAGTACTGGCACGACTGCGCCTCCTCGACCCGTGTCTCGCAGATCGCCTTTGCGCCTCGCCGAACCCTGTTGCCTATTCGGATCAGGCCTCCATTGGACCCTGTTCCCTCCGTTCGTTGATTCACCTCTCCCCGCGAATCGGTTTGTCGGTCCACCTCACAAGACAAGAAAAATTGCTGGCTGCGTGCGCCCCGCCGTTTCGTACTGGTTCTATTTTGAGATTCCCGGTATAAGCATTGGATCCCGCTGCTTATCGGAGCACACCCCGGATTTAGTCTGCGAAGGTCGACTTTTGAGAAACGTCTTCGCAAACCATCGCCGGAGTCCTTTTTTCCACTCTGCTGGAGGAATGAAAACTTTATCTCGCAAAATCCTCTCAGTCAAATGACCGGTCGCTTCTAGCGCGCTCATTATGCATATCCCCAATACGAGCCCGGCGCCCCCGTCGGTCTTTGCTCGCAGTATCGCCGATGAGGTCAAGTCTGTTCATGACTGGAACTCGTGTATGCAATACTCTTGGTGCAAGTAAGTCTTCGCTCAAATCAGTGCGCAATTGATTAGGGTCGCGATTTCAAATGCTAATCGTCCCCGTCATAGATGGCCAGTCATTGTCGGTATCATCGTCGCGTCCGTGATTGTGATCGCAATCCTGGGCTGCATCATCAACTGCCTCTGCTGCGGTTACCAATGCTGCAAATGCTGCTGTGGCTGCTGCTGTCCCTCCGGACGTCGTCGCAACAAGCAGCCCAAGTACTATGATGACCCTCCACCCCCAATTGTCCAGCCTCCTCCCCCAGTCCCCAATCCGGCATACCAAGCCTCGGCTGCCCCACCCCTCTATCGTGGCGCCACGCAGACCGCGACATTCGATACTCCCAAAACCGCGAATTCGCACGTCGACGAGGATGCGCTACCCGCAATGCCGACCTGGGCCAATGCGGTCGATAAGCATGTCGAGGACGATTCCCCCCACGAGGACGTGGAGATGAAGCCATTGAATCCGGCCGATCGAAAAGGCGCTGGCACGCCGATGCACCCTGGCGGCGCTTACTCGGACTACACGGGCAATAAGAACGTCTCCCCGGGCGGCTACCGGGGCTTCAACCCTACAGACCCCTATGCGCGCCGATCTCCAGGTCCGCAAGCCGCTTTGAACCCAACCGACCCCTTCGCGCGCCGGTCTCCAGGTCCTCAAGCCGCCTTCGCCGCAGCACAGGACCCCTACGGCCGTCGTTCGCCCGGTCTCACATCTCCTTCTCCAGCCGTGGACCCCTACGGCCGCCGCCCTTCGCCCGGACCGCCTGCCATGAACACCTACGCCGCAGCGCAATCCCAAGACCCCTACGGCCGACGCTCGCCCGGCTTCGCGTCCCCCGTCGGCGCCCCAAGCCCATACGACCACCAACCCTACGACACGGGCATGAACTCAAACGGCTACCACGCCGTCACATCCCCCAGCCCTGTCGCCGGCTACAACCCGCACAACAATTACAGCCCCGTGCCCATGGCCTTCTCCCCCTCCAACGAGCAACAGGCCATGACCATGCAATCCCAAACCCCGACTCCGGGTTTCACCCGCCAGCCCTCCTTCGGCTCCAGCCAATACCCACCCTCCTACACCACTCAACCCCAACAATACCGCACCTTCTCCCCCGGCGCCCCTTCCTCCCCTCCCCCGCCCTTCCCAGCCCCCTCGCCGCATGAGTACGCCTCGCACGAGTACGGCGCTCCGGCCCCCGGCACCGCGGTCGGTATGGCTGTTGGAGCGCCTGAGCCGAGCCGCGATCGCCCGCCGAGTCTGTTGCAGAGTGGGCGGAAGCCTGCGCCGAATACCTATCGGGATGTATAGACAACCCCAAGGTGCAGGTTGATCTCTTGAATATTCGGGGCTATGATTTCTGTTTTCTTCTTTCTCGTTATCCCGTTTCTGATGGGGATGGGCGAGACTTTTTGATTTTGATACCATGGTCGTTTTTTCACCCTTGCTTCTCGGTACCTAAGGATTGGGTTTTGGCAGGATCTTCATTGTCGAGTTTCTCTATGCATAGACTCACTCCGTCTTATGCTGCTTCCGCCGGCTGTTCATTGTATGTGTAGGCTTTGCCTTTGATGTACATACTTTCTTTTCCTGGTTCAGCTAGGGCTATGAATTTCTTTTGGATTTTAACTTTTCTGAGGAGTTCTCAGGGTGCTTGGTCGTTGGTACTACTTGTATATTGTGTACCTACCCTAGACACCCTCATGACTGAGTATCTAGACTACCGAAAGAGGGATAGAACAAGGGCATTATGAGCCAATAATCTGTGCGTTTCGTACGAGTGCACAGCTTTTTGAAAAGCCGCACACGTGAATACTCAAGTAACTTTACTGTACATGTTTTTCACAAAACTCCACAAATCCAGCCAGTTACTCCATAGAGAAATCATACTTCTTGAACGCAGCCTTGAAAGCCTCAGCATCAGCCTCCTCTTCCGCCTGCGACTGATTCGCAGCCCGCCAATCCATCCGACTATCGAGCTCAAGCAACTTGGCCATAACACGACGGCCGAATTGGAGGTCGAATCTAAAGTCAGGGCTAAGATCTAGATTGAGGGTCTTATTTGGCGCCGGGGAGCTGGACTCTTCAACGGCTTCCTTCTCCTCTGTCTTTTCCTTTTCGGCCTTTGCGTTTGCGCCCCAGATGCAGACGCGGAAGAAATCGCCTGGCTCCGCGCTGCTATCTGTCGTGGAGATGGTTGAGAAACGTGGGTATTTCAAGTTATCTCCCTCGACCATGAATGCGGCTTCGACGAGACCGTCGTTGATGAGTTCAATGGGGACGGGGAGGAACTGCCAGTGTGTGTGGATTCCGTTTCCGCGACTAACCTCCCACACGACGGAGCCGAGCTTACCGCCCGAGCGCTCGACAACCATGTTATGGAGCGCGGTGTGGTACCGCTCCATTTCAGCGTATGTGTTGGCGCGAGTCTCGGCCTCGGAAATCGAGTTCAAGGTAGGCGTGTGCGGGAGTGGGATGATGAGGATGTGGCCTGGGAAACCCAGGTTTGGGAAGAAGTTCTTTGGTGGGAGTGGTCCCTTGGCGGTAGTTAGGTAGCTTTCATTTCCGATGGAGGTGATGAGATGCATGGCGATGTTGGGATTGGAGAGGCAGAAGAAGCATTGATCGGGTCCAGGGGGTGGTTGGCGTTGGCGGCGCTTGTGTGGGCGTTGGTTGTGGTCGTCGTCTGTGGTTGCGAAGCGCTTGAATGATTCTTTTTGGCTGGGGAGACCTTTGCCTTTGCCCTTTGGCTGGATGGCTCGGAGGGGAGATGCGGTTGCGCCGGCAGGCACTGTGAGTGGTGGAGCTTCGTTGACGTCGAAGGCGAAGGCGTACATGGCTTTGTGCTTTGAGCCGAAGGGGGCCATTGAGATGAAGCGGGTCAATGGTTTGGCGTTTGGTTCATCTTCGGTTGGGAGGTGGAAGAATGGCTCGCGCTCGTAGAAGAAGGCTTCTGAGGAGCAGAAATGGTATCGGGGTTTCAAAGTTGCGGTGATATCAGAGACGCATTGAACTTCAGTTGGCACGGTGGAATTTTCCACGTCCGCTGGGAAGTCAGAGCCAGTACGGATCCCCTTGGGCCACTGGTTGGTGATGAGGATGTCGGCGCTGTGCACGCCGAATAGGGCTCGCGCGTCTGATTCGGTGTATGTGGGCTGGAATTTGCCGGAGGCATTGGTCTCGGGCTTTGCATTTGCATCTCCATCGTTCAGATTGCCTCCGAGCGCACTGATGCGAACACCCTCTAGGGTCTTCAGAGTACCTCGCTTGCCGAGGAAGTACAGGTGAGGGCAGACTTCGCCATCTGCCTCGATCCGTTCCACGATGCGCGGCGGGAGGGGCTTGTCGCCCAGAGTGAAGTAGGTCGGGATAGGAACAGTGATTAATCCTGACAATAAAGCGCTGATTTCTTCAGCATCGCTTTCTGTCGTCCCGTCGCCGAAGACATTACCAACGAGAATCGCACATGAGAAATTCTGCTTCGCATGTAGCTTGGTAAGTTTTGTGAAGGCGGCGCGAAGCTGACAATTCAGACTCCCAAGAACAATTCTGTTTATCATGTTAGGATGTATTGAGCGACATGGGAGTGAAAGACTTACATCTTGAGAGTCATGATGCCGGAGTAAGGGCTATTCAGGACAGGGTCGAGTTCCGTGGGGGTTTGATACTCTTTGCAGATAGTGGGGCGAACTTGGATGAAAACAAAAGAAGAAAAGATATTATCGCTGCTGGCTTCGACGTTGACGGGCGCTGCAGTGCTCGTCGCAAATTGGAAACTGCAACCCGCTGAATGAGCGGCGCGGCTGGAGCTTGGGCCAACCCGTGATTCCGCTAGCCGCATACAGAATGGCGCAAACTTGCCTCCGGGGCCCGGAACAAAGTGGTGCCGGCGCCGGTCAACTTTTTTTGTATTCCATGCGGGCAGATAAAAAGTTACTCGAGCACCTTTTTCGTCAGCAGCGCTACCGATACGATCTGTCAAGATGGTAGCGCAGGGCTCACGAGCCAAGCCGGTTCGGCGCCTGAAAAAGGGCACCGAAACCACAAAATCCCACCGCTGGGAGCCCTTTTCGCAACGCATCGCGAAGCTCAAAATCGATCCGATCCATCGCGTGCGCCGGGCGAGCTTTGGTGAAGATGCCGACGAGACCTCCTCCTATTTTCGGTCGGCCCTTGACCATTGGGTCGAAATGAACCTGTCCGACAATTTCAGCACCTTTGCACGCCGTGTCAATTCCCTCTCCGAAACCCTCGCCCAGATCCTGTACCACGAAGAGAAGATAATGGCGCTGTTGGTGGAATTTATTGAGAAGAGAGACCAGAACTCCATAGAGCCTCTGATGAGTCTTCTTGCACAATTTGCTAGAGATCTGGGAGTTCGTTTTGAGAAGCACTTTGCGGCGTCCGTTACTCTGGTGGCGTCTGTTGCTGCTACACACCCCGATGTCGAGGTCGTGGAATGGAGTTTTACTTGTCTGGCTTGGATTTTCAAGTTCCTTTCTCGACTTTTGGTGCCAGACCTGCGACAGCTTCTGAGTATCATGACACCATATCTCGGTAAAGAGCGACAAAAGCCATTCGTTGCTCGGTTTGCAGCCGAGTCCATGTCGTTTTTGATCCGCAAAGCCGGTCTCGTCTACTATAAAAACAAGACGCCCCTCGAGAACGCCGTTTCCTATCTCTTTGACGACATTTCGAAAGCAGCACAGGAAGGGAAGAACATTGAAAACTATAAGGAAGGCTTGATGTCCATGTTTTCAGACGCTATCAAGGGATTCAATAACGGCCTTCATTCCAATGGAATGGATATTCTTCGTTGTGTTCTGAACCAGCTTCCTCCGGCCAATGAAAGGCGCAGCGAGCCAGGGGACGTTGCATACGGTTTGGTGATCAACCTTGTCCACCACACCACCCCCGAGACTTTCGGCCCTATTCTTGACACAGTCAAGGAATATGTTGAATCTCGATCAGAAGGGTCCAAGAACCCGAACTTGCCCGAATGCTGCCGTCTGGTCTTCGTATGCTTTGGAACCCGCAAGGCAACCCGAATTAGAGACTGGAAGTCTGTTCATCAGACCCTTGTGTCATTGCTGAAGCAGGTGGCCGCAAACCCGGATAAAAACTCAGAAACCATCCCTCAGCTTCTCGCCGCTGTCGCCTACGCCCTGCAGATGTCTCCCATGGATGAGATGCTGCCATATCTGCGCCCCTTGATAGAGCAAGTGTCAACAGGACCTCTCTCGAAGTATTTCCTGTTTTTCTGCACCACATTCTCGGAATGGGGTTCCGAGCGTTTTCAAAGTCTGCTCGTTCCATATTTCCAGAAGTTTATCAATTCATCTTGGCAAGCGCATGAGCTGGAGATGTGTCTGACTCTGCTCCGGCTTAACCAGTCGGGCTGTATCACATCTGAGTCATCGAAGCCGGGCTACGTCTCATGTCCTGACGGTTTGAACTCTCGCATTTTCGATTCATTGAAATACCCTATGAGTGATGAACAAGTGGTGAATGCGTTGGTCAAGATCCCGAAGGCCATCTCATTGTTTGCAGACTCTGCTACTCTACCCAAGATTGTGAAGAAGCTGCAAAATAATCTTGTGTCCGCCTTGAAAGATGCTGCTACTGAGACAGACGGCAAGCAGAATAATGACTTAATTTTTTACCTGGGCCAGGGTTTCAAGATTTATGTCGACCTAGCGAATCAAGCAGGAAAGCTCGACACAGATCTTTGGAAATCAATTCTTGCAGTATCGACCAAATTCGCTCGCCTCCCATTATTCCTCGAGGGTGTCTTGCCTTTTATCACTTCACTTCCCGAGTCGTTCGATCTGGAAACTCCTGCCTTGGAAGATTTCGCCCGCAGCCTGATCTTCAACCTGGCTAGCCCCTCGCAGAGACTCAGACTTGTATCTCTTCAAATCCTACGTGAATTGATCGCTAGAGTCCCTGGCGACGATGTTTCTCCCGTCTCTCTAGCAATTGAAGTCGAGGAAAGTCCTTTGACCCTGCAAAGCGCTAGAACGGTGTCGATGCACGTCAGAAAGCTGGCACTTCTCTATCCTCAAATCGCGTCTCACAGGTGGATGGCTAGTCTCATTCCTTACTTCTGCTTTGGTTTGTTTTCGAAGAAGCTGACTCCTCTCTGGGACGATTCCGCAGCTGCTCTGAAAACCATAAGTGAACATCCAGAGGGAGAGAAGATTGTCTCGGACTTGTCTGTTCAGTGGCTGCAGGAGCGGGACTCTGGTGCCACAAATGAGGATGAGGTCGAGGAAGAGAATGAAGATTCGTTTGTTTCAAGTCACTTCGAGTGCTTCAATGTGCGCAAGATCGAAAGTGTCTTCGCTGCCAACATGAAGACTATGGAGGATCCCTCTGCAATCTTGTCTCAGCAGTTCGACAAAGATCACAAGATTGCTGAACTTGTTCCCGGTTTCCCTCGCAGCCATGCGCTTCGCGTGTTGAATGCCACTCCCAATGTGGCCGAAAAGCGATCACGCCAAGTCATGCCTTTGTTCCTCTCCTGGGCTACCCGGGACGATCAAGATGATCTGCCTGCCACTGGTGATGACACCGAGGAAACCGACTCTACGCCAACTCGATGGGGCTTCAAGGATCGACTGGCAATGCTTGGCCTGCTTGGTCAATTCGTCAACCCTAAAGTTCTCTTCAAGGCACCAGAGGTTCACGACGCGATTCTCGGCCTCCTGTGCCACGGTAACTCGGAAATCCAGAAGGCTGCTCTCAAGGCGCTCTTTACCTGGAAGAACTCGCATGTTCTGCCCTATCAAGAGAACCTGCTCAACATTCTCGACGAGTCTAGATTCAAGGACGAAATGGCAGTCTTCGTTCGTGTTGGCGGCGAAGACAGTTTGATCGAACAGGAGCACCGCCCTGCTCTGCTTCCTGTGCTTCTTCGACTGCTTTATGGTCGCATGATCTCGAAGGCTGGTGCCTCTGGTCAAGCTGGTCAGGTTGGACGAAGAAAGGCCATCCTGAGAACCCTATCTCTTCTTTCCGAAGAAGACTTTGGACATTTCATGCAACTCGCATTTGGTCCTCTGGCGGAGGTTTTTGTTGTCAAGGACAACGCCGAGAACTCGTCTGCCTTCTTAGAAGAGTTCACCAGCCCTAGGAGACAACTTGGTCTGCTCAAAATGCTTGACACTGTCTTTGATACCCTTCAAAGCCGCATGGCTCCTTACTCCACACAGACCATGAACGTCGTCATTTACTGTCTGGTCCGCGCGTGCCGAGCCATCTACGACGAGGGCAGCGACATCTATGTCGACCGATCTGATGAGCGTCTCCTGGCCATTTTCCAGAACATTCGTCAAACCTGTATCCGCTGTCTCAATCTCATCTTCTCGGTCGCCTCGGATCGCGATTGGACTCCTTATGTTGGCATCATCTTCAAGGAGCTGATCAACAGCAGACTTGATCAGTTCCCCATCGAGACCGCTCAGGGTGTCTCAGGCCTCCTCCGATTGTTCCATACCTGGGCGTCCGCTCCTAAGTCGACATTCTACCTGGTGCAACACAACAAGGATGTCTTGACCAAGGTCATCGACTGCCTTGCTGTTGAGTCGGCACGCGATGAAGTCAAGATCTTTGTCATGGATGAGGTTCTTGTGCCGCTGGTCCAGCAGTCTACCGGAAAAAAGGATGACGAAGATATGGAGATGTCTGATATTCCCCCAGAGCAGATTCGATCTGAGGTTCTTTCTCCCTACTTGGAACACGCCCTCTCTCTCCTCGGTCCCCTTCTGAGGGTCGGCCCTCCTTCGAAGCCTGTTCTCTATTCGGGTGTCAACGCTCTTTCGCTGATCGCTCCTTGCGTCGAGTCTTCCAAGGAGACCTCAAGCTTGATAAGCATTTCCACATATCTTCTTCGCCAGCCTCCAGACCGTGTCAGCCCCAAGACCAAGTCTGGTCTCTTGCGCATTCTCGAGTACTTCCTGCCTCTGTACAACCCCAAGGACGATGCCAAGCTGTCGCAGCAGGTCTTCGAGGCTGTCTCCTCTATGTTCGACTACTTCAAGGATGATGCAAATCGAGAGGTTCTGGCACGAGTGTTCTCTGCTCTGGCTACCCATGACAAGGAACTTGAGGAAATCGCTGAGTTGTGTGCGGACCTGAACTCACGCTCCATGAAGAAGCTAGAGCCTGACTACGAACGTCGTCTGCTTGCCTTCCGGAAGGTCAATGACGAGCTATCCCAGACTCTCAACGCCAAGCAGTGGAGACCCCTTCTCTACAACATGCTTTTCCACGTTAAGGACGAAGACGAATTAGCTGTTCGGTCAAGCGCTTCATTCGGTCTGAGGCGCTTTGTCGACAAGGCTGCCAATGAAGTTGGAGTTGATGAATTCGAAGCTCTCATCAATGATGTTCTGCTTCCCTCGCTGAAGTTTGGAATCCGCAACAAGTCAGAATTGATTCGCTCTGAGATCGTCGCGGTTCTTGGTTACTTCGTCAAGTCGAACCCCAGCCGGCCTTCTGTGCAGGATATGCATGTACTCCTCGTCGGCGATGACGAAGAGGCATCTTTCTTCAACAACATTCTGCACATCCAGCAGCACCGTCGTCTTCGTGCCCTGCGACGTCTGGCTGGCGAGGCTGGCAAGGGCAATCTTCAGTCGACCAACCTGGGATCTATCTTCCTTCCTCTCGTCGAGCACTTCGCATTCGAGGGAGCAGAGGACGAAGCTGGTCACAACTTGATTGCTGAAGCTGTTGCGACAATCGGTGCTCTTGCTGAGTGGCTGGACTGGAGTCAATTCCGCAACAACTTCCGAAGATACCGCGGTTACATGCAGAGCAAGCCTGAAATGGAGAAGAACATTCTACGACTTCTCGGTCGGATGTCCGATGCTTTGTCTAGCGCAATCGACCAGAAGAAGGAATCAGGCAACGAGGCAGATGGCGATGCTATGGATGTCTCTGAAGTCAAGTGCACTCTTACGAAGACAGTGCCGGATCACGCAAAGGTCTCAACTGAGCTGACAACTAACTTTATTCCTTTCCTGACTCACTTCATCCACCACAAGAATGAGGCGGAAATGAGTCTGCGTTTGCCCGCTGCCGTCACTACCATCAAGCTCTTGAAGATCCTTACTGAGGAGGAAATGGCCATTCGCCTGTCACCCGTTCTCCTTGATGTATGCAGTATCCTGAAGTCCAAGTCACAGGATGCACGCGATACCGCTCGGAAAACACTAAGTGACATTGCTCTTCTGTTGGGCCCTACATACTTCGGCTACATACTGAAGGAGCTGCGTCATACTCTCCTGCGAGGTTACCAGCTACACGTCCTGTCTTTCACTGTTCACTCCCTGCTGGTGGTTACTACCGACCATTTCAACCCGGGTGATCTCGATTACTGCCTAACGGATCTGGTTTCGGTCGTCATGGATGATACCTTTGGTACCGTCGGTCAAGAAAAAGAGGCCGAGGACTATGTCAGCAAGATGAAGGAAGTGAAGAGTAGCAAGAGTTACGATTCGATGGAACTCCTTGCTAAGAACGCCACCATCCGCGATCTCTCCAACCTCGTGCGACCGCTTCAAGCTCTGTTGCGCGAGAAGCTCAACTCCAACATGGTCAAGAAGCTCGACGAGCTGATGAGACGCATTGGCATCGGTCTGCTACGGAACCCTGGCGCTGAAAGCCGGGACATGTTGATCTTCTGTTTCGAAGTCATCAAGGAGTCATATCTGGATGATAACGCGGCTGCCGATCAGAATGGCCCCAAGTCTGCGATTGAAGAGCGATTCCTTGTGAAGCTCCAGGGCGCGAAGCGTGGCGAGAAACGGGGCATCACTTCCTCTCACATTTACAAGCTTACCCGGTTCTCGCTTGATGTTCTTCGTGCTGTGCTCAACAAGTTTGGATCGCTGATGACTGCTACGAACCTGGCTGGCTTCCTGCCTGTCATTGGTGATGCGCTGGTGCAGGCCCACGAGGAGGTCAAGATTTCTGCCCTGCGACTTTTGTCTACGATTATCAAGCTTCCTCTGCCAGAGATTGACCAGAACTCCCATGTCTATCTCACCGAGGCTGTGAAGTTGATCAAGGAGTCGCCCAGCACCAACTCCGAGGCGTCTCAAGCGTCTCTCAAGCTGATCTCCGCCATGATCCGTGAGCGCAAGACCACCAAGCTTCGTGATGGACACCTTGCCTACCTCCTCGGACGCCTCAAGGCTGACATCGAGGAGCCGGACCGTCAGGGTATCACCTTCAACTTCATTCGTGCCGTCATGTCGCGCAAATTTGTCGTTCCCGAGATGTACGAACTGGTTGACTCTATTGCCACTATGATGGTTACCAACCAGACTCGTTCCGCTCGCGACCTTGCCCGTGGTACCTATGTTCATTTCTTGATCGAGTACCCGCAAGCCAAAAACCGATGGACCAAGCAACTTGGTTTTCTTGCGAAGAACTTGGACTACAAGCATCAGGAAGGAAGACAGTCAGTCCTGGAGGCAATCCATCTGCTTCTTTCCAAGACTGGCCAGGAGTTGGCGCAGGAAATCATCAGCACTTTCTTCCTTCCCGTGGTTCTGGCCATGGCCAACGATGATTCACCCGAGTGCCGTGAGATGGCCGGTGCTCTGCTGAGCCAATTCTACAGTCGCGCTGATCGCGAGAATATGAAGACCATGCTGACGCCGCTCCGCTCATGGCTCGAGCAGACTGACAACATGGCCCTCGGCAGTGTCGGCCTGCAGGCTATGCGTATCTACTTCGAGGCTGAGGAGACAGAAAAGGACAAGCAAGGCCGCTTCGTTGTCGGTATTCTACCGGGTCTTATGAACCCTATCCTCGCAGCCTACGAAGACGGAAACTGGGAGACACTTTACTTCGCTCTGCAGCTCTTCACCAAGTTGTGCAAGACCGTCCCCGCTCTCGCTCTCAGCCAAGACTGCTCCTCTATATGGGCCTCTATCCGGGAATCGCTATTCTTCCCCCACGCCTGGGTCAAGGCCTGCGCGGCAAACCTCGTCGGAACCTGGATGTCCGACCTCGCCAAGACACACGCCGCTACCGGCTACAGCGCTCTTCCCCTCGCGGGTAGCTCTGGTCTCGTTCTAGACAAGGAAGCCATGCTCCAGCTCGTCCGTGCCAGTCTCCGCTGCCTGCGCACCCCGGGTATCACCGAGGAACTGGCGATGCAAAATGTGCGCAACCTTGTCTTCCTCGGCCGCTGCTGCGCCCAGAACGGTCTCGAGTTCCCGACGTCCGGAACCGAGGATGATGTCGAGTCGGAAGATGAAGAAGAGGATGAGAATGAGGCTGAGGCTGATGGCGAGGCCGCGACGAACGGCGCCACGCCCGCGAAGACTGCTATGCACTACATCTTCGGACAGATTGCTTCTCTCCTCCGCCGAGAAGTCATCTCTACCCGTCCTGCAGCACTGGTCCCCAAGTCCGCATCGATCACCCTCCTCGCTGCCCTCGCCCGCCACCTGGAAGCCGAGCAGATTCTGCCCTCACTCCCTGTCATCCTTTTGCCACTTCAGCACCTGACAGACACAACAATCCCGGGCCCTCGATCCACAGACCCAACCTTCCAAGAAACCTACAAGTCGCTCGTCTCGAACTGCCACGAAGTCCTGGACTCGCTGCAGAAGAAGCTCGGTACTTCCGAGTACATTGCGCAGATGGCCAAGGTGCAGGAAACTGTCAAGGAGCGCCGTGAAGGTCGACGTGTGAAGCGTCGTATCGAGGCTGTTGCTGATCCCGAGAGACACGAGCGTGATAAGAAGAGGAGGAATGATCGCAAGAAGGAGAAGAGAAGAGAGAAGGGGGTTGGAGCATCGTGGAAAGAGACGTGGTTGGTAAAGAAGAGCGAGTGCATATTTGTTCGATGTTCATGTTGCATATTTATGATTTGTTCGAATGGCATACCAAAAAGCTGGCGTTTGGGGTTTTTTTAAAATATGAGGATGTATATACCTAGATCGAATGATTTATATTGTACGCTCAATTTTTCCTGCCTGGCAGTGGTTTTGTTGCAAAGCTACTTGAAGATAAGTTGAACGACATATGGTATGATTTACTACAAGACTGTGATCACGGTCTTACTGTATGAAGGGCTGATGGGGAATACCCCGAGGGGTTCATTGATCGAGAACTAGGCCCGAATAATTATGAAGGCCATATATAATACTTAGAAAAAATGGAAGAACAAAGGAGCTAAAGGTTTTTTTCTTTTTTTAAAAAAAGAGCAAACACCAGCCGACAAAATCTCAATCTTTTCTTTTTCCTTTTCTTTTTCCTTTTCTTTTTTCTTTTTTTTTTTTTTTCCCACCACCCCCGCTCCAGCTCTTGGAGCCTCTCCTCCACAGCAGCGAGTAGCCGGCGAACTTGTTCGATGGTGAGCAACTGGAGCATTGGGGTCCAGTTGATGACACCAGCTGTTGTTGGTCGCTCGGGGCGAACCGAGGGACGTAGGTGGCTGTAGCCACGGAGGTGGTGTTGGCCGAAGCTCCGGACTTGGACGCAGCGGTGGCGGCAGCGGCGACCTTTGCTTCGGCTAGAACAGCATTAGCAGCTGTTCCGCGCTTGGCCCATTGCATCAGCGCAAAAAAAAAAGATCCCAGAGTCCCATGGAGGTCAACATACCCTTCTCCCGCCGAATACGACCCCCCACGACGTCCCCGATATCTGGGAGCGTTGTTGTTTTTGTTGTTGTTGTTGTTGTTGCCGGGATGCTGGAAAGTGTAAAAATTCTCGCCAATATACATGGATTCGGAGTTCGGACGGATTAGGGACACATACGATTGACGTCTCGGCCGCCAGCCGGTTGAGGGTGTGGCCGAAAGAGACACAGGATCCGCAAAGCTACCAATATCGTTAGCTAGTCACTGTTCTCACTGTCCACTACGGAGCTCGGTTGGTGGAGAGCAATGAGGGCAGTGAGAGAAGTGAGCTGCTTCTACATAGAACCACGCAGACGGCGGAAAGTGCTTACCGGAGGGCGGTTGGGTCCGGCCATGGTGGCCATAGAAGACAGCACGAGGAAGTTAAGCAAAGAAATGTTTTTCAAGAGGAAAAATTGTCTGCCGTGAGGCCTTGGGAAAAGAGGAGGAAGATTGGGGAGGGGGAGGGGGAGGGAATGGGACAAAAGGCACGGGAATGAAGTCTACTCTGCCGATCTACTTCGGGAAGGAACGCGATCCCGTGGAAGAAGGAACTCCAGGGGCAGAGGGCAAGTGCCAAGACAAAGGCACAATTGCGGTATTTCGAAGGGATTAGTACAGCCATACCTTTGAGATGTCCATTAGTACTTCAGAGTGAATCGGATGAGTGTCGGGAGAGTGAACTGAGCCAAAACGGAAAAAGAATAATCAGGCGAGCTCAACATGAGGTGAGAGTGAAAGGTAGAAATGGGTCAAAGTGAAGTCAAAGTAAAAGGTTGAAGATAAGGTTGAAGAGAGATGGAAGTGAGAAATCAAGGTTATCTCAAAGTGAAGTGAGAGTGAGAGGTGAAGGATCCATCAAGACAAGGGACGGGGCTCTGTATGGCTCATTCTACATGACCACACATAGAAGAGCCCCAGACATGGCTATCCATAGCTACAATTAGCCTATTAGAGATTGAATAACGCAAGTCGAGTAACATACCTCCAGTAACAATCGCCGTTGTAACCCCGGCTGCCATCCCGTTCGCCAGTCCATTCGTGATGTTCCCCGTTTGTGCCTTAAGTTTTTCATGCGCATCCTTGGCCTGTACTACTTCTTCTCTTGCAGCCTTGACAATATTCTCATGTCCTTCATACTCCTTATCTGCTTCGAATGACCATCTGGAAGACATAGACATAGTCTCTTCACGAATCTCGCGAATTGAGTCCTCCAGCTCTTCCAGTTCCTCCTCCTTCTGCGCAATTTGTTCTCTGAATTGTTTGTCGAGGGTTTGTATCTTCTCCTCCCAAGCTCTTTCTTCCTCTTCGTGTAGCTCTGTCATCGACTTTCGAAGCGACTCTTTCTCTTCTTCGGCCTTCTTCAGCTTTTTCTGGATATCGGCTTTGAGATCCTCGAGCTCTGCGACGTGCGATGCGTCGGCTTGGGCTAGTTGGCCTTTTAGGTCTTCCTCCAGGTCCCGAAGTTGCTTCTCGTGCTCCTTTCGTGCCTTGTAGAGGTCTCCTGCGATTGCCATACCGGCTGATGTTTCGCCGAGCGTCTTCCTTTCTTCGATGATCTCGCGCTGGAGACGGAGAGCGGGAGGCATAGAAGTGTCAGACTCGGTGATTAGATGCGATACTATTTGGCGAGCTGAGAACATCTCTTCGTTTGCGTCTCGTCGGCCGTTCTTGTTGTGTCTGAATACACGTGCCCCCCTGGCGACCAATTCACCCAGGAAGCGCTCTTCAGTGAAGAGCTCCGTCTCGCGTTTCTCTAAGGCTGCTCGATCCTGGTCTTGTGACTCAGTGTCTAGATAAGAGCCGGAGCCAGAGTTCGAAAATGAGTAGCGAGGCGGCCACATCGTCGTCGCAACGACAAGATTCTCATACGAGGTCCATCCGCACATCTTCTTAATCATCTCCACGTTGCGCATGCTGGTCCCGCTCATCCTGTTATCCGTAATAGGATGCAAGACAATTATGCCATGGATAGACACGCCATTTGCATAGGACGCGCCGAGATAGCTCGCTAAGACGGATAGTGTTTCGATGTCGGAGCGATTCGTGTCGTTGAAACCGGGGGTGTCGATGAGGTGGATGCATCGGTTCTGGCCGGGGATGATATAGCTGTATGCATCTATGTCACTCGTACCTAAAATCTGTTAGTATTTATCACATCGCAATGGCGATACGAGGTATAGAAGGGTGCCCATACAAGAATACAGTCCATGGCCGACCGTGACATCCTTGTCAGTGCACCTCGCAACAAAGCTACTCTTCCCCGAGCCGGTCTTGCCCATGACGAGGAATATTCTGTCACGAGGACTAGATTTGACAAGGCCCGTGATCGCCGAGAGGCGTTGGGCCTGGTCGGTCAGTTGCTGCGCAGTGGAACTGAGGATGTCCATATCGAGCTCGAGCCTCATGTTATTCTAGGGAAGGGTGTATCACATCAGTGTGATGAGAGACCGAGGAGATGAGGGAAATAAAGCGCGAGTCATGTTGAATATGAGCTGGAGACGCCAAGGCTAGACCGCAGTAGAATTGAGGCTGATGTCGAAAACACCCGGGTTCACGACTGGTGTAGCAGCGCCCCGCGTATCCTATCATCAGCAGGTAAGCATGGCTTGGCGACAATGATTGGTCTCTGTTTGACGGAAATTGCAAGGCGCAGCCATGTGGCTTTTTGCCAGGCTTTTATAATAGGGTAAAGTGGCGTGTTCGTGGACATATCGCTGCGGCTGATGTACCGCAAGGTATACAAGGGTAGTTGAATACATATAGTATAGCCGACGGCCCCTCCCGTCCCAAATCCCGTCTGACATCTTCACCATACATTGATATCAGGTTCTCTATTCTCTCACCCCCATCGCAGTTTTGGTGTCTTCACCAGCCAAGATGTCCCTGCTTAGTATTATTTCCCTACTTCCTTAGCTCACGCCGATACTGGTCTTGACCATGTGCCGCAGACAAACGGTCTTCCCGCCGCAGCGTGTCCGGCAGAGTCGATGCCGATCCAAACGATCGGAGCTATATGACTTTCCGCGGTGGCCGGGCCCCTGGGTATGTTGGGACCTAAATTGCAAACTGGAGCAGTGTGTCGCTAAACTACTATCTAGACCAAACGATGTCTTCATCGCCGTCATGGGCGTCACCGGCTCCGGCAAAAGCTCATTCATCTCGCTCTGCTCGGGGAAGGTCGTTAAAATCGGACATCACCTTGGCGCATGTAAGACTTTGTCTCATGACAAATGTTAATTGACCAATACTGAGTCCACAGGTACATCAACTGTCGACGTCTACGCATATGAAATCTCCCCTAGGCAGACCGTCTACCTCATCGACACCCCCGGGTTTGACGACACCAACCGCAGCGACACGGCCATCCTCCGCGAAATCGCGAGCTGGCTAGGTGATTCATACAGGAATAACATTTTGCTGAACGGAATAATATATCTTCACCGAATCACTGACATCCGCATGCAGGGGTCCGCGAAGAAGAACTTGATCATGTTCAAGCAGCTCTGCGGACAAGATGCACTGAAGAAGGTCATCCTCGTCACGACTATGTGGGATAAAGTCCCCACCAACGAGGCGGAAGCTCGTGAAAAGGAACTGATCGATACACCCGAGTTCTGGGGGTGGATGGTGAGCAAGGGCAGTTCGTGCCATCGGCATCACAACACGGAATCGTCAGCCAGAAATATCGTTAGTAAATTAGCAGCCCACAAGACACCCATTGCGACAGACCTACAGAGACAATTAGTCGACGAGCACAAGTCTCTCGACCAGACCTCTGCAGGTCGGGAACTGCAAAGCGAAATGCTCAAGGAGAAAGAAAAGTGGGCCCGAGAACGGAAGGAGATTGAAGAGCAGATGAAGGCTGCTATAAAACAGCGAGATCGGGAAGCTGAAGAAATGATGCGTGAGGAGCGAGATCGGTATACAAAGATGATCAAGAAGGTGGAGAGTGATACGGGGGCTCTGAGGTCTACTATGAATAACCTGTTAGCGGAGCGAGATAAGCGTGTTGAGAGGATGGAACAGCAGATGAGGGAGCAGCAAGCCGCCCATGAAGCAGAGCTCAAAAAGATATCCGAGCGACAGAAGAGGGTCGAGAAGGAGAAAGCTGAGCTGGAAAAGCAGCAAAGACGAAGAGAAAAGGAAGAGGAGAAACGGAGACAGCGGGAACGGGAGAAGCTCGATGAGCAGAGACGACGACGTGAAGACCAGGAAGAGAAGGAAGAGCAGCAAAGACGGAGCCAGGCTCTGACTCAAGCTCCAAAGACATCCACCTACTCAGGCTCGACCAAGTTTGCGCCTTACTCGGTCACAATCACCAGCGGAAAGTACTTCTGTGTCAGCCAGAAGCATTTCTGCAGTAATGACGACAATCCTGCGCAAAAGGAAGGATCCTCATGGATCAGAGCTGTCAGTCTGGGCGATCATTGTCGCACTGGTGGTAGGCACTGGATTGCAGGTTATTCGGATGGGAGGTGGTGTATGGACCCTTGACCAAACCCGAGCAAGTTTTGATGCACGACTAAGGATCAACAGGGGCCGACAAAGGCATAGCCCAGGGCTATCCCAACCTCAGCGCATACCTTAATGAGCGTGGTCAGAATAATCTCGAGATGTGCACACTCGGACCAGATGGATCATACTATGCCCGATGGCGAGATGGACGCTGGATGTCGTGGGCGTCAGAGGAAATCAATAATGCAATCTCGAACGCGCACAAAGACGGTCGCCAGGTCAAAGCCATAGCTTTCGGGTACAATAATTCCTATATCATCTCATACGGACACAAATCGACCACCAACTGGAAGGGACTAGGGACATCATGGAATTTGAAGGGGCAATACCCGAGTTTGTCGGTGGACAAATACCTTCGGGGTACAAGTATTGCTGTTTGTGACCAGCTCCGTGTTTTGAAAATTCGTAGCTGACTATTTGCAGGCTGTGACGCTCGATATGGATAACGGAACCGACTATATGATTGTGTACAGGGTTGATAATAGCAGTGATACTAGGATTTGGTTTGCTAAGTCTCTTTCGCATGAAAATATCGTGAGTACGATTGATAACTGGTGGGAGAACGCATAGACAGTCATTATTAGGGTTGGTTTTGGGGCCTGGCGTTGTACCTCGAGAGGATTTTGAAGAATGTTGCTGATGAATCAGATCACAAAGTTCACATGCTCTGGATTCGGACCTAAATCAGTATAGAGTAGATGATCAGGCGGTAGATCACGTAGGTAACAGGGTAGCTGACTGGACTGATGACCGGGCAGGTGAACGGGCAAGTGGTCTAGTAATGGTGGGATATTTCGTGGAAAGAGTGTCTGTAACAAGATCAAAGCAAATGTAGCAATTAGCGAAACCTCAGGCCTGGGGGAGGGGTATAGCATTGAGAGGGGATAATTTTCCCTGAAAGTAATCTTAATCTTTTGCTGACCACTCATTAGTAACTGATGATTCTACCTTTGTGCCACTTCTAGATTCTCAAACAAGCAGTTGTCTAGGCCTTGATCCCTTACCTAGTGCTCCTGTTACCCGCGTCGCGTCCTCAGTCGGGCGGGCACCCTCGGTTAGACATCTTCAGGGCCCCTGAAAGCCCAAGCCCGACCCGGCCCGACCATGCGCGTGCGCCGGCTTTCGAGTCCAACGCCCACGCATGGGGCCCATATAGGCCCCCAAACTCTGCTAAAAAGTGCAAACAGCGCTTGGCCCCGTGACTACATAACTTATGCATTATTTCACTGGTATTTGAGTATTTCATATACAGGGATGCTCTTAAACCAGAAAACAGTTTCAGCATAATATTCCATAAGGCTTTATTTATCTATTCAACTAATTTACTAGTAGTGCTGGAAGTCATTATCCTCCCTTATCTTCCGTTTCCTTCCAGATACACGTTGCTGGGTATTGATTTCTGGTAGTTCTGGTAACGGGTCAGGTCCCGACCTATTGTCCAAGCCAAGCCTGTACGATGTGATCTATCAGATCCCCCAGGATATTTACTCACCGTTGGCCACACCTATTCTTACTGTTGGTATCACCAGCTAGGTACTGTGTACACTGTTAAGTGGACAGTGTGTATGCTCCAAAGCAAAAGTCAATTGATTCCTGTTGGTAGATGTGTGTAGATGTTCAGTCTAGTTGGAAAAACACCCCTAGATCCCACACGCCGGCCTTCGGCGGTCACAACACCGAGGCCACAGCCCAGCGCAAGAATGCGTACACCAAGCAAGGGATGTTATCCATCGGTCACTAGCAGTGGGTCACAGCCAGTTTGTTCTGACAGGAGAATATATCCCGACAGCTGTAATCTAACTAAATCTTCCTGAATATAAAATCTTCAAAGCTTAAGGAATTAGTAAATACTATTTAATCAGTACATTATAATATAAAGATAGAGTGAAAGCATAGCATGTTTATGGGAATTGTTGGACTTTGTGATTTTGAATTCGCTCTTATGCGGATATCAGTTGGATAATTATTGGATGTCCAGCGGATATCCACAGATATCCAACAAGTATCCAATTTAGTATCCACTCGAATCTTCTTAACCAATCAGAGATCTAGTTATAATCCTCTACTAGACTATATGTCGAGGATAGTGGGGTAGCACCCGAAATAGCTTAGTTCCGTTTGTGTCGTGATATCTTCATTTGTACTAGGGGATTCTCGACACTCCGAGATCAGGAGGTTCAAACCCTCACCCTACTCATGTAAGCAAGGACACCCTAACGTGTCCTCGCAGCATGCGCTCTTTTCTCCTTTTCTTCAATTAATTCATCCTATCTTTTTGGATTGGTTCCCCTTGGTAGATTAGCCCCATTCTTGCATACAATGCCATACTGTATCAGCTAGCTGCCACATGTAGTAATTCTTGCAGCTGATGTTCGTATAGCTTCATGCAGTCTGGTATTGATCAATTCGCCGTTGGCAAGGATCGAAAGTGGTTCTCAATTCATACGGAGTTAATCAGCTCTTTTCCAAGCGAGATTCTTCGACCTCCCATAGTCGAGGAAATTAACGAGGTATTATTCGGCCGTTGTTGCGAGTTCGTATACACGGGCAATTACTCCGTCCCTTCTCCAGTTTACGATCCCCGTAGTGGTCAATGCCGCATTGGTAATCAATTACCGAAGGGGTCTGTGAAACGATGGAATCCTACCAATATTGCCTTAAACTTTTTCCATCCAGAAAAACTATCGAGAGTTCGGGCCGACTTACTGGGGCGACTTGATCAGTGTCCCAACCATCGGGCCAAGGAAGAGCTGAAGACCGACCCTAAATATGACCATACTGAAGTATTTCTGTGCCACGCTGAGATATGCCGTTTTGCTGAAAGGACAAACTGGGCTTGTCTATGCAATTTATCACTCTACCGACTTCTACAGTTACTGGCAGATTTCACGCTTTGCGAAGAACGAACCGGGGATGTTGTAACTCTGATGGAATTCATATTTGAGGAGAGTGATGATGAACATCTGGGAAACTTGAAAATCATGTTGCAAGACTACACATTGTGGAATTTGGAAACGCTGATGCAGAATGTCGATTTTCAGCGTCTACTCTATAGAGTGCCGTCTTTAGAAGAGACCATTTTCCGCATGATGTGGGAATGAAGTGCATTGCAAAGGCTCTTTCAGATAAAGTAGTTGTTATTTATTGTATCAGGGTGCCAAAAGAGGGTACAAAGCTTCATTTTACAGTGAGAAACCCCTGGCTTATTTTTATTTATTCTTACAATCCCTAGGAACCATTATGCTTCTGGGGCCCTGATTTTCACAGCCAAGGGATTGTCTCCAGGCCTGTCTTGCTCTTAATTATGTCGATTAAGGGTTGTAATATCCCCTGAGGGGAAGCATCCCTGTCTGTAACTAACTCTGGCAATGGTCCCATCATTTACGGTATTGCCGAGTCATCAGTCAACCAATCAATCAATCAACACTCTATTAACCTGTTGCAGTCTAAATAGTGGCGTAATGGCTATGCAGGCGCTCCATCCGGCGAAAGCAAGAGTGATCCGAACGCCAGACCCGCGCATGAAACTATAATAGAAAGGAAACGGCGTCTTGCATAGAAAATCAGTCCGAAAACAATACCAAAACGCCCTCACCGCCCTCAATCCCATAGAGTATCACTCAATCTACCCTCACGATGGTCTGCTGCTTCCTTTGCATCTCCATCTATGCCCTCTCTCTCCGGTATCCAAACCATCCACCTGCTTCGTTCTCAATTATTGGCGTTCGCTGTTGTTGGATATAGTCGTCCACGACCTCTCGGTTGGCCGTGAATTTGGCATTCCTCCTACCCAGCTTCTCCACCACCTGTGCCTGCTAGTCCCTCCTGTTTTATTGTTTCATTGCCTCCGGGTGGTTCTGGCTCGATTTCGACATGTCGGAACTACCCTAGTAAGCCTGTTTGTAGCATAAGTTCGGCCACGTAGTGACTAGCCAGCGAGTGTGTTTATTGCCATCATGGGCACTGCTTGGAATTACAAACTTGCTTTAGTCGTTATTCAGGGATTTCTGACACGAGCAGGGCTCAGATTTTTTCTATTATCTCCTGGGCCTTTAGCATACATTGCCTTCAAACCGCAAGAAGCATCCTACCATATTTTCCGCCTCTTTCAGCAATTTCTCTGCTGTGTCTATGATATTGCTGTCTAGCAAGCCATCGACAGATATACCAGCATCCTCGACTTCGTCCCTATCCATACTCTTGATCCAACCCTTGACTTGGCTATTGGAGTTTGATTCAACCTTGCGCGCTTTCGGGTATGGGAGATAGAAGGAGTTGAACGATACAGGAAGTCACAATGTCAGTGACATGGAAAAGAATTTGTCGGAGAAGGGTCTTGCTCCTTGCTCAGGATCCACGTGGCAGGTTAAAATATCTGACCAGGCCTCGACAGGCTATCAGGTCGTGGATCATACTCACAATGCTCGTCCCTTCAAATTATTACCGATAGACCGTATTCATGTAGGCGGCCTGGCATATCACCGTTTTGTTTGAGAAGACCACAGGCTGAATTTCTCTGCGTGCCCAACTGGGAGTCCAACAAGCGGGGTGAAGGTGGGGTTCGGGCTGACTTCCAGACGCTCACATGATCAGAACCTCCCAATCAACCATTCAAACCGCGTATCTTTCGCCAACACTATTGCAAGTTATTAAGGGCACATTAAGCATACCCAGCAGGAGTTTGGATTTGATAGGCATTCTTTTCTGTGCTCGCCTTTTGTTATCGAATTGCGAGTAAGCGATGCGGAAAACTCTCGCTTCCTGTGAGCTTCCCATATTTCCCATATTTCCCATATTTCCCATATTCTCCATATTCTCCATATTTTCCATATTTCCCAGTACGTGATGCATCTGGGCCCATGATTGATTGGCATAATTGTGGCTTATGATACTCTTTCTCAGGCGTACAATGTCATCTAGGGCATGCAGCTCAGTGTTCGTACTTTTGTCCACAGAATAAGACGATCAAAGGGCCGGCGTCGGCAAGGATGATACCTAGGTTGGAAGGTGTCTAAACAATTGACCATGTTCGAGGCGCTCATCGTGCATCTCGGGGCACATTGTCATACCCCTACACGCCCATCGGCATGGGCGACAGGGTTACGAACATATAAAAAGGCAATTTCTCGGGCTCTCAGCGGCCTTTCTGTTCGTCATTGACATTCCAGTCTCTTGGAAACTTCATACCAGCTTCCTATACTGCTCCGATATTTCTAAGTTGTTTAAATTGCACAACATGGCATTGAAGAGCTAACATGCGATGTAGACACTGCGTTGGTTTCTTAGGTAGAAGGTCCTAACCTGGCAGCGTTTATTCTCAATCTCACTGTCATGTGACTTTCTGGGCGCGAAGTTGTGTTTGGTGTTCAATTCTATCTTTAGAACAAGGTGTGGGCGTATGTCTTGTCAGGAAACTTACATTTCCATTATGACGGATTAGGGGACCTGTAGCCTAACCCAAATTAACCTAAGCCTTTTCACCATCATCTTGGCGGTAGGGCTTGAGATAGTTTCTCCGTGCAAAACATGGAAGCCAATTTCGAATATTGCTGTACTGCGGAGGAGTAGATTTGGGGGTCTCCGAAAGTCGCTCGGACCCCGGTAAATTAAGTATATTCGACGTATCGTCAGGCAATACAGCACTGTGACGAATAACCCAGATTGTGGTGGAGTTTCCGTCAATATTGCATCCAGTGTATTTAAGTACTAGGGATTCTCCATCCTCCTCGACCTCTCCATTCCCACCCATCAGAGAAATACCTTGAACCCACAGATCTCCCATAATGGGCAGATCAAAACCCCGCCAGCAAAACTTCCACCTGGAGGATCTTCCATGGGAGAAAAGACTCAAAATCACCCTGTACAATAAAGACGACTGCAATGGCGCGATTCGCGGACAAAACATTCCCGGTGGCCTCGGACTGAAAGTCCAACGCTTCGCCGTGATCCGTGGCATTCGACACCACGATGGTTTCGCCCACGAGTTACGCGGTGTCGCACCGGAATTCACTCGTGCACTCAACGCGCGTGCAATCATGAGCGGAGTCATCCCGGAGATCAATGACTCCTCCGAGATACCCTATTGCATCTGGTACCCGGAGCCTCCGCCCCAGGAGACCCTGCGCAATCTGGTGAAGCGTTATCCCAACATGATATATCACGCTGCTCGCGCCTGTGCCGTGGCGGGATATTTTGATCTTTACTCGGAGCTTCATGTTCTTCCCGAGGTTCATGTTGCCGCCGAAGCTCGCGACGCTAGCCGGGCAAGGAAGAACAAAGGCAGCGAAGCAATATACGAGCAAATAATGTCGAAGCATTTGAAGTTCGAGATAATGAATGATTATGATCGATCCGTCAATCTTGAAAACCCGCGTCCGGCACATCTAAATGGAGATACGGCGGTTTTTTCCGATCTTACTGCCCACATGCTTCATGCAGGAGTGGACAACAGCAGCAAGCTTGGCGTCAATCTTGTTGACTACATCGAGTGGGATCCGAAAGAGTACAATACGTATAGCCACTTCAACATCACTGAGGACTTGGGAGTCGACGATCATAGTTGCGGTGCGCCTGAGCCTTTGGCCAGCTTTTGGCCACTTCTGTATTCGCCTCTCCCGACAGACCTTCCACCAGTGAATAAAGACAACCTGATCCTATCGGCTGCATATACAGGTGACGTGGATCGATATGTACGCCTTCGACGCCCACAGATGATCGAACAAGAATTCCACGCGATCATTCTGGGGATATACCATCACCCCCTTTGGGCGCGATGGTGGAGCACACAGGTGCCGGAGGTTCCCGAAAGCAGAGAGGAGGTATCCATACGGCGCGCAGTTAATGTTCGACGCATCATCAGTGACGATATCACTTGTATCACACCTGATACCCCAGAATCGCTGGTTCCTCGCAGAATCTGGTGGCCTAGTGTTGCTTCTCCGGTGACCTATGTGCGTCTCGCACAGAAAAGGCCTGATATGATTGATTCTTGTCTACGAGCATGTATTGTCGCAAATTACGAAGCGGCATGGGATGAGATTTTGCTCGGGTCATCCGATAGCCCGAACGATCCCAAAATCACTCGACTTTCCAAAGTCATCGGGTCGCATATCTATGCCGAGGCTAAGGATTCGTCAAATCCGCACTACTTGGACGACATAATGTTGCTTGGAACAGCCAGCGTGGAGAAGCTTGAATCCGGGGTGTACTACCTGGATGACATGCGCACTGCGAGATGGACCTATTCGCCGCGCTCAACTGCCGAGAGAGTTGTGATCAAAGATAAGCCCTTCGCGTTGACATCGGGGGAGAGCGCCACAGATGGACTTTCGAGAGAGCCTAGTAATTTGGGATTCACAATTTTCGGCATGGATGCAATTGGACTGGATGATAAGATATGGGATCAGAGAAGCCACGTTGAAGTCCAGGAGATGTACGACATTCTTGATGCCAGAGATCTTTCAACATAGTAGTACATTACATTGAATAAAGCAACAGCTTCAGTCAACCCCTCCTAGAATTATGTACCGCGAGGTCAAGTACCTATGAAAGTCTTTCAAGTTTAGGTATTAGATACATAGAAACAAAAAATCATAGGCCGTGTACCGCGGACGATTGACGCCAATTGCTCACAACCTCCAAGGCCAATAATATCTGCCTCGGGCAATTACTACTGTATAGATCTGATGTTTACTCAGTCCAATACTAGTGTAACGCCTACCGTGGAGCGCTCATTCGTTGCGGCACACACCTCCCAGCATCCTGTATTTCGCTCTCTGGACCTCTTGAATATTCGCCGCATGATTGTCGTCCTTCGACGTCGCATCGGATCCTGAAGCTTCGAGTGTCCCAGCTCTATAAGCCTTGTAGTAATCATTGATTGATACTGTCACTTTCTTCTCTTGCTGGATTGCATCGATAGCCGACTTCAAATCGCAGTCTGGTACAACATTGCCGTTCGGAAGTATGTTGGAGTTGTCATCCCTAACCAAACCTTGGTAAACAGGTTAGGTTCCGTCCACATTCGCTTCGTCATATTGGGTTCGAAGAGCCAGGCTGATCGTCAAGTGACTTTCAGCAGTACGGATCACATCAACTCGCTTTCGAGCAAGGAAAGCGTCACTGAATGGAGGGTGACTGGGGTCAGGTTGCTTGCTCTTGTAAATCGCGCCAATAGCCCTGTTTTTTTCCTGTGAGCGCTCGGAAAACTGTAAGTCGCACTGGGCTATTTAACGTACTTTGAAACTTCTTTAAAGACATTGGGCACATCATAGACGTTGTGAATGACTCGAAATAATCTCATCGGTTTTGTTATGCCGTTGTCATCCAGCCACTTTGCCCCTTCATCTACGGAGGCGGGAACGTAGTCCTTTCCATTCTGTGCTTTATAGGCTGCAAATTTAGACTTGGTCGTGTCCTCATCCGCTGCATCAGCAATCCATGTAACGAACTGGGCGAAGGAGCACGACTTGCACGACGTAGCAATTTTTCGATTGGCCGCGTCGACATATTGCTGCTCCATCTGGTAAGCTGACCAGTACCACATTCGCTCATAGGCGCCAGATAGACCGATGGCAGATATGCGAAGGGCAAAAAAATGCCACGAGATAGAATAAGATCGTTCTCATTTTGACGGTGAAGAAATGCCAACGGAAATCGTGGTTTGGAAGAAAATATGATTAACCTGGCATTTGAATGCGAGACTTGCAATGTGGACTTGGGAATCAATCATACTCTAATTCATTTTCATCTCCTCGGGTCCGCCTGAAAGAGCCTAGCTGTATGTAATACCCATTTCGATCTATCCATTTCCTTAGTCTCTCTGCGCCTTGAGTTTCACCCTGCCTGTGAGCCTCTCGTTTTCGCGATCGGCGTTGTCGGAAGTTAGCATGCTGGTAGAATATTGTTCTACCTGGGGATCATACTTTGCTAGCGCTCCGAGCCAAGGAATGAACCAAATTCAGGGAACAGGGCCGGCCCCCGGGTGTTAGAGCAGGGTGTGATTCTAAATTCGTTTTGCTAGCCCCAGACCATTCAAACCATGTACACCATAACATGAATCTTATGCAGTTGTTTACTGAAACATCGGTAGCCTGTAGTCCAGCCTCGTTCAAGTCCGTGCGCGTGATCGTCCGAGGTTGGGGGCCGAACGACTAGACAACAAGTGCTCTACACAGAAACTCTGTAAGCTATTGATGGGCGTCGGCGCTAACGGAATTAGAGATTGAGTTGCGGAAGCGCGGGTATTCTGTACGGATGATCTTTATGCATTGGTATAGAGACAAAGAACCAATGGTCGAGGCTAAGTTTTTTGGTCTACAGCAAGAACCAGCAATACCAGAAACCTCCTTCTCCAAAACGAAGTAAATGGTAAACACTAATAATGTGCCAAGTATAACTCGGCTATTATACGCCAAGATAGGCTAATTTCGCTCGGAGTGAAGAGCGGAGGCTTCTTGAATGCAAGAAGCAATTACAAATTGCTTAGTCGGATCTCACCGTAAAGTCTAACTGATGGATAACTAATTCACTGTATAGTTAGCAGCGCGAAAATTAATCGAATAGCATCAATCAGAGGGCGCCAAGGTCAAGCAAATTAAGGTCTCTATCGTTCTGGACGCGTTGAATGAATCGAAAACAAGGGATGATGTTCTCCTGTGGATCAAGGACGTGGTATCCAGGCCAGAGTTGGGCCATGTCCAGCTACTTTATACCAGTCGAGTTGAATCCAAGTTCCTGCGCAATATTCCCCCTTTGATAGGAAAACAAAACTGCCTATCGCTTGATAAGCAGGCTGTCGACGCCGATATTCGATCGTGGGTCACAGCACAACTTTCTCAACGGCGTGATTTTAAAGAGAAGCTATTATCCCAGGATTTGCTCGAGGCGATCCGGACGAAGGTTGGCGACGGGGCCAACGGGATGTAAGATTTTGCTGCTTCCATCGATATACTAATAGTTCCCTGACGCTCTGCTTAGGTTTAGGTGGGCGTCCTGTCAACTGGAAAGCCTGGCTCGATGTCGCCACGAGGCAGCTATGGAGGAGGCTCTCGCATCTTTGCCACTGACTCTACATGAGACATACCGACGTGAGCTTGCAAGCATACCGACTGAGCTAAAAGACGACGCAATACGCCTCCTTCAATTTCTAGTGCACTCCAAGCGACCTCTTAAGCTAGCCGAGGCTAAAGAAGTAATAGCGACGAAGATTGAGAACGAATCACAAGGGTTTGACACCAAGCGTCGACTGTTCTGCGAGACTAATATTTTGGATTACTGTCCCGGTTTGATGACAATTGTTCACGCCACCGAGAAAGAGCTACATCTCGCCCACTTTTCCGTCAAAGAGTACCTCCTTAGCGAGAATCTTTTCAGCATTACGACTGCCAGCATTTCCATCACGAGGACGTACTTAACTTACCTTACGGATATCAACGGTAGCTACGGAGATATCATAAGGGATTTTCCGATGGCAAGACGAGCGGCGGAATGCTGGACAGGCTATGCTGCGTTGTGTCAGGCTTCCGAAGATATAGTTCGAACGATAGTCACGTTCCTCGAAAAGGAAGCGACGTTCCAACGATGGACCCGCTTGTATCAAGCTGATAGGAGTTGGGCCGCTGACCCAGGCCCTCCGCGAGGTTCCAGGCTCTATTATGCTTGCTTCGCTGGTCTCGTAACACCTGCACGAGATCTTATAGATAAGGGAGCAGACGTTAACGCACAGGGTGGCCGCTACGGCAACGCTCTCCAGGCCGCCTCAGAGGGAGGCCATCAAGAGATTGTCAAACTGCTCTTGGCCAAGGGAGCGGACTTTAAGGCATAGGGCGGCTACTACGGCAACGCTCTGAATACGGCCTCAGCAGGAGACTATCTCGGCGGATGAATTGGGGGTTTGTACTTTCCTGGGCTCTCACCTTGTATGTCTCACGCAACCTTGGTCTGATAAATTTGCTAAGATCTGTAGAACCGTTACTATCCTACACCGGTACACAGCACCGAAAGGGATCACTAGCAAGTGCTGTATGGCGCCTGGAGCAGTTACAGGCAATGATGTGATGCTATGCGAAGTGAAGTGCTATGCGAGCCTAGCTGTGACGCAGTGCCCAACCAGGAATCATCGGAATTGGCCGCTAGGGTTATTTCGTAGTCTTTCTAGCGATCATTAGAATTTCAGTGAATCAGCTCTATCATTGGAATGTGGGAAGGATACAGGTCGGTCATGGACAGTATCGCCGGATAACGGCGCGTCTCGATTGTGGCAGCTAAGTCCATAAAAATATGCATTTATTATTTCTTTTTGCCCCTGCGACTTTGCGGACCCCTTCTTTTGGCTCTCCGATGCTTTAATTTGGTAGAATAGTGAACCTGCAGTGAAGCAGAAGCGCGATCCGGAAAATAGCTGGTGATTTCCTTCCATGTTAACTTCCTTTCCTCCTTCAACTTCACCAGCAAGTCGTTCGCATCAGTAGAATAGGTTCGGCGTTTGCTTTTCCCGCGAGTTGAACGGCTTGCACTCACTGGCGGCTCCAAAACTCGACGTGCTTTCTCACAGTTGTGGGGAGGACTGTGCGCCGCAACGTATTTTCTCATACCCCGCTCCACCCAATGATTGACCACACTTTTCCCGAAGCACGTCGCGTTACATTTCGTCATGAGCCCCTTGTCAAGCGCCGAGTACGTAACTCAAGCAATTTGTGAGATATTTTCGTCTCCAATATCCAACTTCTTCTGGCTCAAGTTTTCCACATGATACAGCGATGAGTCAATTTTTGTCATTGGCCTTCCGGTTTTTGCGCCCGCGTTATTTGTGTTCCCCAACCATCCTCCCTCGTTCGATATATCTTCCACTGCGTCATCACAGGCAGCTCCGCTGCGCATTGACTCATACCGCATTCAACTCAATGAAGAACGACGAAGAACTTGATACTCGTCTCCTCTACGAGCCTCTTGAGGGAGTCGAAAGACTTGAGAACTATCGACCAGGTGGCTATCATCCCATTCAAATCGGAGATCTCCTCCACGGTCGATATCAAGTTGTCCATAAGCTAGGATATGGGTCATATTCAACTGCGTGGCTGGCTAGTGATGAAAAATCGAATAAATATGTTGCAGTGAAAGTTGGCACAGCAAACGCGAATCAAAAGGAAGTGGATATTATATCCACTCTCACTCATCCTCATCGTCCTCCAGTCAATCATCCAGGGAAGATGATGGTTCCTTCTATTCTAGACAAATTTACCCTTCACGGCCCAAATGGCAATCATGCCTGCTACGTTACGGCGCCCGCGAGCGCTAGCCTCTCCGACGCGAAAGATGGTTCATGGATCCGTTTATTCCAGCTTGATGTAGCCCGGTCATTGGCTGCGCAACTCGTCCTTGCTGTGGATTATGTGCATGCTCAAGGAATCGTTCATGGAGACCTTCACCTTGGGAACATTCTCCTCAAAGTTCCGCCCAATTTTGATCGGCTTTCACCTAAACAATTATATGAGAAATATGGAGCACCGGAACTAGACCCAGTTGTTCGTCAAGATGGCAATCCGCTCCCACTTGGCGTCCCAAAATATGGGATTGCGTCCATATGGCTAGGGAAGCGAGTGAAGAAATTACACTTTCAGACACCAGGATCGTGCTCACAGACTTTGGTGAGGCCTTTTCTCACTCAAAAGAATCGAAGTATAAATCTTGCACCCCCCTTGTCATCCGCCCCCCTGAGGCGCGATTTGAACCAAACAAGCCACTGTATTTCTCAACAGACATTTGGACTCTCGCCTGTACCATATGGTCTATCATCGCGCAACGGCCATTGTTTGAAGGATTTCTCGCAACAGAGGACGACATGACATGTGAGCATGTCGATACTCTTGGTGTTCTGCCATGTGAATGGTGGAGGAGGTGGGAGGCGCGACGACTGAAATTTACCGAAGACGGCAAGCCAATGAACCGCAACCCTTTCCGATCTTGGGACGATCGGTTTGAGGATAGCGTGCAACAGCCCAGGCGAGATAGTGGCATACCGTCGTTTGATGCAAACGAGAAGGATGCAATCTTCGATATGCTACGGCCGATGCTCTCATTCAGACCTGAGAATCGCCCTACTACCAAGCAAATTCTTGAGTCAGAATGGATGGTAAGATGGGCTCTGCCTGAATATGGCAAGATCTCGGATAATGTATGAGTTATTCTAGAGTGGATTGCATGCATTTTTTTTTTACTAGATTAGATGCATACTTTGCAATACATACCTCGCAGTTCCTGGATTATCGCAGCAGGTGATCATTTGCTATTTTATACTAAGAGTGGACGAGTCGCATATGCGCCCATTGGTAAACTATGCCTTCTTCAGAAACTAAGGCTCTTGCTGGCGAGATTCTTATCACCCGGTTCGCGCGACGCTGGAACTGTGCTCACCCAGTTTTCTCTCGGGCACCGTCATGTTAGCCAACCACTGTTCGGACAGATGACGTAAAGTCACATGTCTCAAAGTAGAGAGCGAATAACAATTCATCTGTTCGGCTCACCTTAAAATACTTTATTCACGTAATTTCCTTACCAAGGCCAACGCCGACGCCAGGAATGAATGGAGTTATATGTCATCTCTGAGAGAGCCCTTTGGAAGCATACACACTGTCCACTTAACTGTGTACACAGAACCTAGCTGGTGATACCAACAGCTATAGTGTCACTCAATTCCCATGCCACCACTAGGAGATAACCCTACACAGACTACACAGTTTAACAGATGTAGCGGGTGTAGTATCGTAAAGAACCTTTAGAGAAAACGGCCAGGTTAATTGGCGCCAGGTGACTAGGTGGTAGGCAAGAGGGACTTAAGGTAGGATACGTCTATTCTCGTAAAAAACAAGATTAACGCTTGAATAAGTCAAAGCGTATCGGCCTCCAGGTGAGGGTCTTATACCTACAGGTTTGACCGCTCGTTCTGACTCGGTTATGCACACGATTCTGCCAGGGATCTAGGCAGTAATGATTTCAATGACTTTCTGTTTGGCAACAGGCCGAAACTTACAGCTTTTAAAGATAAATTTCTACACAACTAGGCTTCTTACAAGAAAAAAAAAAATAGTAATGTTAGATGGCCTGAAATCAGCTCTACAAAATGGTGCCATAGAGGTGTACAAATGATCATGTACGGGCCCTCCGATCAACTTCTCACACGCCCACGTCCGGCCAGATCCCCGCCGTTCAGATCAGTTGGATCCCCGCACATGTGGGCGTGCATGGTAATGAAGCAGCTGATGTTCAAGCTAAGGTTGTTGCGGAGAACGGAGATGGGGCGAAGAATAGTGCTCCCGAAGCATACCGCATTGCCTCCTCAGCGAGGCGCTGGGTGCGGCAGCGGATGAGGGATAGATGGGCAAAGGAGTGGGCAAGAGAGAAGACAGGAAGACCGACCTATCGACTGGTCAACACACCGCACAAGAAGGCTCTAGGTCTATATGAGGGGCTCTCAAAGCCCTACACCTCAATCCTCATTCAGATGAGGTTACAACGAATTGGGCTTCGACATTTCCTGTTCAAGATCGCCACCGCACAGCAGAGGGCAGAGGGGGCCACAGACCGGTGTCACTGTGACGAGGGCAGCCAGACTCCCATGCATGTCCTTCTCCAGTGTCCGTTATACACCGGGCTTAGGACCTTGATGTTGAACAAGATCTGGTACAAAACCGACCTGGGGAGAACAACCGATTATGACACGATCATGTCGGACTCGCAGGCCATCCGCTACGTGGCCGAATTCATGCACCGGACAGGACTCCTCGGCCAGTTCAGGCACGTGGACTACGAGGATGTTGATGCAAACATTAACGCGCCAAAATAACTTGGCAAGGTGGCAGCAGGAGGTGAAGACGCTGGGTATAAGGAAGAGATCAAAAACCTACAGCGACGAGAGGCAGTGGGAGAAATACAACGCCGATGAGGAACGATATCGAAGGAACAGGGCATGTTGAAAAACGGCATGCCAACTGGAGCAGATGTGGAAGCAGAAGCATGGGATGGTGCGGCAATACGGGGATGGGATGTGGCCGCATGGCACGGCGTGTGCTGGCATAAGCCGATTACATTCATTTTGAGCGTTCTATGACGATTTTTGTGAGATTGTCACTTGTTTTTGAATCGCGACATGCAGTGTTTTCTTTGTATTTGTTTCTGTTGGGCGTGGCGTTTGGACGAGTTCTTGTTTCCGACGGAGGAAGCACCTGCATAGCCATTACGGTCTAGTTGGGCTGCATCAGGTTAATAGAAATTTGAATTGAATTGAATTGAACAATGGATACGGCGGAAAATGAGAAAATACAAAACTGTTGACCCCCCTTCTGAACAAAAATTGTCCCCTCTTATCTCGCACAAATGACCACATGAATGGAACTCAACGTTCGTGCCGGCTCGATATATAACGAACCTATACCCTTCGATCCTAAAATGTAACGAGAGAACATCCATCACCCATATATCCTTATCGGAACAGGATTTTATTTTATCAACTTTAAGATTTATTAGATCATAGGACTCAATTTAAGTAGAAGATTGGATTGAAGGTTTGAGAATAACATGAGATAAAAAGGGCAGGTTGAAATACCCTCGGGCCAATGCGTGGGATACGCCGATACTTGGTGGTTATAAACACCAAAGTTGCCGATTTGACGAAAGTTACATGCAAGACAAAAGAAATATGGGATTCAGTGTAACCAATCAGGTCCTAGTGGTAGGCTATGACACACCCCCGCAGCATCGCTCAGGGACGGAGGTGTATCTTTGCTAAAACCCAAAGGAGAAAGACAATCACAAACATAGACAAACAGAACCAAGACAAAAAGGTAAAAAGGACAAGGACTTGATACTTCATCAGATTGTGCTCAAACGGCAATGGCCAAGCGCTCGTGATGAAAGGAGATCAGGTCATCACTGGCCTCAGCTTTTCCAGACCCAAACGACTTCAAATTCCATTTGTCGACGCCATCCACTCCCTCCAAGTCATTCGCAAATGCGCTGAAGAGATCGTGGCTAAGACGTTCATACTCAGAGTACTCCTTTGGCCAATCTCCGAGGCGCTCGACGGCAAGTTTGAGCATACGCAAGTGCTGTCGGACATGTTTTCCGTCTTCCGCATTTTCGCCTGGGCTGGAGGCGGACGAAGAGGACGACATGCCCGAGATGACCTCTGTCTCCACATCGCTCGCAGGACTCGACGACGGATCGATAAACACGCGCAAAGCGTTTTCGTGCAGCGCAGCCGCTTTCCGATAGTACCGATAGGCCAGCTCGCGCCGACCCTTCTGGCTTTGGTAGCCTTGAGCCACGCTGGTGTACATCTGCGACAGCAGCACGGTGATCTCGACGGTGCTGGGGTGGCGAGGCCCATGAACACGAGCGCAGTTATATACAAGATCCTCCGCAAGTCGAATGGATGCCGTGTAGTCGCCGATGAGATAGCGGGTAATGACCAACATACGCCCAAGGGCAAGGGTATATGCGTGCTGTGGCTGTAACAGGCCGTAGGCGTCCCGGCTGTTCCAGAGCGAGGTGAGAACCCAGGCCAAGGTGTCGTAGTCTTGTTGCTCATCGAGCACCTTGATCAAGCTATTAACGCTTGCCATATCTAGCTGCGCGAGCCCAACATTGTTGTCTTTGAAATACCCCAACGTTTCGCGTAGAATCGTTGCTGACGTGCTCAGCATGTCCTTCTTGACCGAGACACCTGGACGAGCGTCAGTTTCTCGACCGGCGATCAGTAGACCCAGTTTGAACACTAGCTTGAGTGTCGTCTGAGCCGCGTAACCGTGGTGGGCGCCGATGTATTTCATCGCCGCCAACGCGAGGTGGCAGGCAGCCTGGTAATCCTCGGACTCAAGAAGCTGGGCTGCGCGGTCGTAACTCGTGATGGCCACCGAACGGATAAAATCGCGTGAAGCATGAGAGCCGAAATACTCTAGAACCGTCCCGATGAAGACCTTGGCCTGGTTACGGTCGATGCCCAGACTGGAGCCCTCTGTAGCCAGGAAGAAGCTGGTATACTGGTCCGCCACCTGAGTGGCAGCTGACTTGCGGCTGCGGCTAAGCAGGAACGCGTGCAGGCGGGCTACCGTGGCCGTCGTATCCTGGAGCTTAGCAGTCTTTGAGCTGAGGACTGACCGGAACTGCTCAAAGTATAGATACTCCGTTGTCAGGGAGGCGTAGATCTGGTTCAAAGTTACCGAGACGTCGACGGATTCTCGGAGGCTGTATTCGAGCTGAGCCAGAAAAACAAGACTTAGCCGCCGGTTTGAAATATGGCCAAAGCCAAATTCACTGGCATTGCTAGTGTCCTTGGTAATAATCTGGCGATAAATCTCCCCAGAGAGTTCCCTGGCCTTCTGAATTTGGCCGGCTGTGATGTAGCCGGATGCAATGCTCTTGGCCGCCGCAGCCAGCTTGACGGAGGATGTTTCGGTCGACAGCACCTGCGCCGTTGCTTTCTGTAGCATCGACACAGCCTCCTGCGATTTCTCTTGCTTGGTATAGAGGGAGACAATCTGTACCATCTGAGACAGGGCTTCCTCATGAGCCCATCCGTAGCTAGAGACGATCGAAGTCAGTCGTTGGGTGCGGATAGAGAGCACCTTCTGTAGCTCCTTTGTCGACATTTGCTCCACCTTCGAAGCAGTCAACGAGGCACTCTGCTCATGATAGATGGCATCCAGAGTGGCGCGAATGTCTTGATGGTCAATTTCAACTTCGCTAGGCTCGGTCTGCAACAGCTCTTCGTAGAGCTGGACCGCTTGAGCTTCGTACTGCTTGATTCCTTGGCAGATATTCGCCAGCGTTTTGGTCGCCTGGATGGTAATCGACGCGCTCGCACCGAAGAGGCTAATGCATGATTTGCGATATTGCACCGTCACATCGTGGATGACGGTGACGTCGCTGTGAGTCACACGCAGACACTGTACATAACGTTCGTAGATGGTCTGGATGAATGCCGGGTCCCGCAATTTTTGGTTAATCTCCGGACTCTGCAGAGTGGTGAACAATACCCGGCAAGGCTCCAGCGCGTCCGCATACCGACCTTGCCCCAGGAGCTCTGTCGCCACGATCAGGAGTGGCTCGAACGCATCCGGATGACAGATCTTCGAGTGTTTGTTCAGGAAGTTGATGATCTGGCGATAATAATCCACTGCGATAGGGCGCGGGCGTGTCAGCTCCGCTAGGGTCCAGAGTTCCTTGGTCACAGTGGGATGTTCCCCGCCGAACCGCTTGGTATAGTCATGCAGTATATCCTGGTGGATGGTTATAACCTTGTCGGATTGGGAGGTACGCTCATATAGACGAAGAAGGTTCACGGTAACTCGCTCTAAGAGTTGATCTCCACATGCTGGTCTATCGTGCCGAACGGCATGATAAAGCCGGGTCCGGATATCCTCTTCTTTGATCAGGCGACGGCGGAAGCGGTAGCAGCTAGCAAGGCAGTCCGCGAGCTTAATGCAATGATCAACGTGGTCCGATGGCAGGACGACTTCCTCAAGCGAGCGCGCAAACATTGCGGGCCACGCACTCCGCAGCACTCGTTTCAGCACGCTTGTGGCGTCATGCCACCGCTGCCGAGACATGTACGTCTCGACCAGTGATGTGGCCGCTGTGGTGGAAATGTGGTCAACAGCGGATCCGCTATATATCAATTCTTGGAGGGTTGACTCCGTCACCAAGGAGTTTGTAGACGATGAGTGCATCACTTCCTGGGAGGTGGACTGGATATGTTTTTGCACTTCCTTGTGGATGGCACTCTGGCTACTGGTACTTTGTGCACAGTGTTTGAAGACTCCGAGGGCGAGCACAGATAGCCCGACGGAATTCATAACCTGAGCAATCTCCAAGAAGTGGGACACCAAGGTTTCGGCACTGGAGGTAGTTTGCTCGTACTCCTCCCAAAACCCGGCAAGGATCGAGGCCGCTTCATTGTCTCTCTTCTGGCCTTTGAGGAATTTGGCATACGCGAGGACAGCCTGCACCATAGAGATCTTGTTTTCTGTGGAGTGACTGAGCCGATATTCCTCGCTAGCCTGCTGCCACAGCTCCACATACGTGCGCTCGGCGTCCGCCATCTGACCCTCTGCCCTCTGTCGCTCGGCTTTGGCCTGAAGAGATTCCAGGTCAAAGGACCATGTAATCAGCTCATCCGCCTCTGTCCCATTCAAAGCCAGAGTGGTGCCTGTCTCTGTCAACGTTGTGTCCTTCCGGCCGTGGAGGTGAACCAGCAAAGAGTCGTCTATCTGTCGGGATCCGCTCCGCTGGGCCGTACTGTCGGTGGCGGAACTCTCCAGGGATGCATGTATCTCATGCGCTTTGCGATCCTCCTTGATGTAATGATAATGCTCGGACAACTGCGTCAACGTAGAGGTGACCATGACGCTCGTCACTCCATGGTGAACCTTGTAGCATTCCACCAGCAGCTGGAGCATTTCAATGCGGCGGGTCATGACTTCCGTCTTAGACTCGGTGACTTGATCCGCCGTGGCCTCCAAGAAAAACTTGGCCATCTGCATAGTGATGAGATGTCGGACGGATAATATGTTCTGGCTGATTGTCGCGGCCTCGTAGAAGATCCGACTGCTCTCGACAGGCACACTGTTGTAGATTTGTCGGTAGAAGAGCGCCTGGGAAATGACGGCTTGAAGAGTGGCCGGGTGGTTACTGTTCAAGATCTGGCGGTACAGGCGTGTCTGAACCTCGTGAACGGATCGGAGGCACGGAGTTGCCTTATTTGCCCAGAGTGTCATCTCCAGGAGTGGCACGACGGGGCTTGTAGGAAGCACAGATCGCAAACTCTTGCCCGCAATAGCGACCTCTTGGTCGCTGGTGCAGCCAAACGCAATCTTGACATGACTGGCCCAGTAGCGAAGCGCAAAGTCCAGCAGAGGATGCTTCTCCAGCAGATGTTCCGTCACCCGCCCATTCAGTGGATCCAAGGAGGGTTCATGACTGTCGGCTACGCTCTGCTTGGTGTACAGTAGGAGTCTTTGCGCGAAGTCCACATGTCTGTCCTTTATCGTAGATAGAAGTTTGCCTTTCGAGAAGACATCCAGGATAGCGGCGCGCACCTCTGCATGCCTAAGATAGACCAAGTTGTTATGGAAGAAGACGAGTGAGGCGACGTTCTTCAATAAGTGACGGAGATCAATGTCGCGGAGCTCGGCGATGGCGGCCTTGTCGGGCTGGATGGAGAGAAGGGCGACCAGCTCCCGCTGGGTGAGAGGGCGGTTCGCAGTGGCCAACCAGACCAAGACCTTCTTTGTATCCTCCTCTAGCTTGGACTGCAGGGTATACGCGACAAGATCAGTGATCTTGTATCCCGCTCGGACGACGCTATCCACGGACTTGGAAAGCGCAGCCTCATTTGGCAGGTGCTCATCGCGCACACGCTTGGCGGCCAGCTTTGCCCAGAGGAAGGATCCATCGGATGCTTCTGTGACTCGAGCCACGGTCATCTCTTGGTCTTCGTCAGACATGGCGTTGAACGCGGGGCTCTGGCGAAGAATCCTGCGGGTGACCGCCGCAATGTCGTCGAAAAGAAGCCCCAGGTTGACTCGCACCGTTGTCTGGGATGCGACTGAGTCCACCGGCCGAGAGGCAAGCGCGATCAGCTTCACGGCGGGACTTTTGGACGCCACTTCGTGTAGTCTGTGCGACAGGGCTTTCTCTCCGCAACTGGCCTCGTCGACGCCGTCGACGACCAGTACTAGCTCTGTAGCGCCTGCCCGACTGGCCTGGAAACTCTGCGTCAGAACATTCCATAGCAGATCGTCATACGACGCTTCGTCGACAGTCCGCTGGCTCTGACTGTAAGCGTCGGCCAACATCTGATACAGCTGCACGTTGCCGATGCGCTTGTCAAACAATTGCGACAAGATCATTTTTGCGACGGCCCTCAGGGTCGTGTTGGCGGGGATCCGACCATCTGCAACGGCTGGTTAGGAAAGTGTGGGGATGAGTTTGGGGGCAACACGACTGACTGATGGGTGCCAGGACGGACGTATACCTCGTCCCTCCTACGGGATGCTGCAGATAATCGTTGATCACCGTCGACAGGACCGTCTTGCCGCAACCCGGCTTGCCGGTGATCGAAAGCACCTGCTGTTCGCCTTTCAAGAATCGCGTCAGGTATGGCTTCACCCACATGCAGGTGGCCTCCTCGCGCTCCTGAGCCGAGGGCGCTGTGGCTTCGGTGACATAGGCAAGCACCGGGTCTTCGGGCTGCAACCAGTCTTTGAGTGTATTGATTCCGACGGCTGTGAACGCTATAGTCAGACCTGATCAAATGATCCTTGGGAAGTCTATATAAAATGAACGGTACCTTTATCGCCATCAAAGCCCTCACGCGTCAATTGATGACGCCACATAAGTTCTGAGACATGCTCACAGCGACCACGGAAACTATCGATCGGATTGGGGAAGGTGCTATAGATATCAATCGAAACCGATTCTCCGGAAACTAGCAAACGGTGGAAGTGCGTGGCCACGCCGACGACAAGGGTAACCAAGTCAGCCAACGCGAGAATAAGCTGATCCTTGATGTCTGATGAGACCACAAAGAGCTCCGCACAAGCAAGCAGGTTGCCGAGACCGGCGGAGCATCGGTAAAAGAAGCCAAATAGGTCCATAAGGGCCGAGGCGTTTTGTTCACCCAACTGTACCGCCATGGTTAGCGCAACGGCTCCATTTAGGCCCAGAAGCCAGCTATGATTGACGAACCTCGAGCAGGCTCGCGCAGTACCCATAAGACAATTTGGCAGCAAGGTGGCTGTCTCCCGCAAACTGCTCGATCCCTGAATCGAACGAATGTACACGCTCGACGAACAAGGCCGCCCAAACGAGGGCCTTGTCGTAGCTGCTCCCTTCGGGCGGCAGCTTCTTCATTCTCTCACACCGAATCCACTCCAGCAGGCTAGCATAGTCAGTGTCGGACACAAGGGAAGCCGTTGTGTCATCGCTGTCCCGGCGAGCAAGCGAGCTGACTACGTCAGCGAGCGTGGTGTTCCCGGCACTGGACGGCCTAGTGATTTGATGGTATTGATGGCTGAAGCTCTTCTCCTTGGTCACAGTCGCGTGTTGCTCCAACAGGTCCGATGTCCGCCGCAGATTGAAAAGGGAAGCGGAGGCTTCAGGAAATACGCCACGGGAAACTGAAGCCATGCTTTGGGTTTTTTTTGTTTGTCGTAGTATCAAGTTGTCGTAGTATTATGTTATGAGAAATTGTAGGAGTGACTAAATCACGTAAAGGAGCATCTTTAGGTCCTTGGTCGGGTGAAGGGTCTTTTCTTCCTTATACCTTTTCTCTCCCTCCTCTCTTTCCTGAATAGGTCGACGGGTTTCTCCCGCAAAATGCACGACGTCAGGATGAGGCAGCTGAGATTCAGCACGGTTGCCCAGCCGAGCTGAGAGCTACGGCATGCCCACGGGAAGATCGTATCCCCCGCCACAGATAATGGCATCGTTTAGTCGGGACCACGCGGCTTCGTATTGGTCGCTCGGAACCTTTACGGTGGTTGTGTCATTTATTCAACGTGAACTAGATGCAACTAGATGCAAACAGCAACATGGCCGAAAACCCTCGAAGCCATGACATAGAAGAATAGATATTGATGTCTGGATCGGTCGGGAAGGCTCGCGAACCAGTTCGATTCTATGAGATCCACATCGGCCCCACCGCGGGGCATCCATGGGCATCTCCAATACATACATGATATAGTTATTTGAAAGCACCGACATAGGCGAAGAAAGTTAACTGAAGTCAGCAACCCTGAAGCAGCTGGTCATGTACCAAGAGCGTACTTTTGTTATCTGTCATTTCTTCAAACATGAGCAGCGAATTCATATTTTAGAACGCCCTAATCCAATTATCTATAGATTCTTGGAGCTCGGCTCCAAATGAATCGCGATTCATTTTGTTTTTCTTAGTGCACTGCAGGGAATTCCCGTTCATAAGCTCCGAGATGGCCTGAAATTTAATAATAGTACAATGACGTTATTGTGGATCCCCGAGCCGATCCAGAATGATAACACCATGTGAACATATTGATCTTGATTGAGACAGGAAAATTCCGAGGAGATGTCGGGATTGACACACGATCGAGCCGCGGGTGAAATGTGTTGATCCATGGATATGACTCGCACTGTTCCCACCAGCCGCGTCCCGATCCTCCCGCCATAAACTTATTGTCTTGACCCACCCGGACGCGACCGGCTTGCCGAAAACAGCACGGTAAACTTTGTTCTCCCATCAGAAAAAAAAAATTAATAGTAGCTTTCTTTCCCCATGCCATGATCAGTTATCAAAAGTACGACACATTGCGGTTGGTCTCCGCTATACCAAACATTGCCAAGGTGTGGTTGTGGTGGGAACTTACGTCATGACACCGAAAGGGGCTATTGACAAATGAATTTCATCGATTTGCTTCACATTCAACTGATAGTTCAGACCTAGGAGCGACAGTCGGTGAGCAGTCTGTTTTATTGGAATATGACGCATTTTACGGAGCTCCGAACCATACTTCAAGCCAACCAGGCAAGATCAGAATTCGGCCACGGTTCGCTTGATGTGATTTCTAGTGCTTCCGCAGCGGAAGGTAAATCACCCCCATCGTCATACTAATCGATGTATAATCTCCAAAGACCCTGGTCATCCTCCACATCTAGCTCTTCAGCTGTCTTGTCGTCACTTGGAAGTCGCACGGCTAGTCAGCCTTCCCAATCCTGTGGTGTGATCTGTTCTTCATCTTGTGTCCAGTCGAAAAGACTGCAGATATTTCCCTCACTATTCTGTTCCCCTCCCCACCGCAACTCATGGGACTGGGGGCTTAGATAGATCCAGCAGAGTTTTGGTGGCGTTTTGCCAGTGATGGTAACAAACCTTGCCGTGTTATCAGGGGAGAACTCGGGGTTTTGATAGAAACCACCATTCAGTAAGGCAAGCTGTGAACAGGAGGATTCGGTGATGTATATCCAGGATGTAGTCAGTAACAAGCTAACTCGGTTTCAGATGTTGCTGTAATCAAGATAAATGCCTAATTTCATTTTGGTGTAGGGCTTTATGTGCTGAAACCATTACTCATGGATATTAGCTGTACTCATGAGTTCTTGCTTGCTCATTCTAATAACTTTCCAGCGACAAGATTTGACTGGTTCAATTTCAAGCCTAGATACATATCTGTCGTAAGACATGTCCCAAACACACCAAAATATTTGAAGTAAGGAAGAAATTAGCAAATTTTACGAGCAGGCTGGATAGAGGCAAGGATTGGGACCCAGTCGTCGTCACTATGAGAACACGCCTGATTTCTGCACACGGCTAAATGTGTGTTTTGGTCTCGGCAGCTCAAAGGAACCATGGGTGTTTGGTCACACCACGGAGGCAAATTTTAATATTGCCTTCATCGCTACACTGCGGGATTTTAGCCAATACTTAGACTCCTACTGTTTCGTGTCGCTGCATTCATCATACTAAAGGGAGATACAGGTATACCTCATCTAACGGGCTATATATCACCCATCCTCTCTGCCCGGAAATACCATCTGGTAACAATTAACCGTATGGGCCAATTTTTACCATAGCACAGTCAGTGAGTTTCACCATGGACTTTCTTGTATGATCAACAAGGAATACAACTAAATGCTTTTTATGTAGGCTTTATCCCACACAAACAGATTACGAGCACCAAGATGGGCGACCCTGTTCCAGCATTGAGGTACATCAAATCTCAGCTCATGCTCTGCACCCTTCTATTTTCTCAATATGCAACAAGTCTCTCACTTTCCAAGTTCCAAAGGCTAACCCGAGAATTAACCGTTGCAGCAGCGCCGCCCCCCCCCTTGGCAAAGGAAATCGGAGGGGTCGCCAGGGCTCGGAAAGCTCGTCCTCGAGCACCGACCCTATTGAAAGTCTCGTTGATCCTGAGACGCTGGCCAATGGAGAAGGCCAGCTGATTGGACCCGCCGCCGCCCGTGAACTTGACAAGAAAAATAAGAAACACGAGGAAGTGGAGAAGGACGATAAAGGCAGCTTAAACATCAAGATTCATCTGGACCTGCATGCCAAAGTGAAGTTGGATTTAGAGGCTGACCTGTACGGAGATATTGTGATTGGGCTATTGTGATTAATATGTGTGCAAGGTGTTGGCTAGCATTAGCTGAAACCCCTGCTACAAGCTCCAGGAATACCGTCGCTTCCTCCGTACTTTGTGATCGCTTGTCAAATCAAGCTAAGATGGTATTCGATAGCAAAATTGGCATCTAATGGTCTCAAATGGAACGGTCGGATAATTGATTATTGATGGTAAATTCTGGATGAGGGCGTTGTTGACATACTGGAGCTGAGGATATTTTACCGCCAACACCATGATGATTCAGCACATACCAGTCTCCTATAGTTACAGTAAGGTAGATGTACATTTGGCCAATTTGAAACAGCACCTAACATACAGCGTAGAATTTGGTTAGGCCCAGTACAATACAGCCCTACAGGAATTACGGGGCAGGGCTAAAATCAGACTTGCGTATTTCAGAGTGCAGCGACAACTCTGTTTTCGAATATTACCGTAAAATATTGTTTGAAGGATCACATGGCCGTCTTCCTCGAATACCGTTCCACTTTTGAACCTGAAAATTTTGTCGATTATCTGTACCCTTATTCATATTTATGAGTCTACGCCGAATGTGACGAATTCTTAAGATGGAGAATGAATGAGACGCCTAACCACTGTTCCGCTGGCGCACAAAGTGGTATATTGTACGCTCTTTTTAATAATTTTCTCTCTAGGAACCAGGCCAGAAAGTACGACTTCATCGCAATTCGCAATGATCGCCTTGGTCCTAAGCTCTTCTATCTATCTCTTTACTCGGTCGACCATCTATCTAGTGAGCCTCATGTATCCCTACAACTCGAGCCCTCGCAAAGCGAAGGATACGATTAGCCAAATTTATCTATGTGGCACTTTAGTTGGTGCTGGTTCAGGTAAATTAGCCACCATTGACGCCTGCAATTTTCTACTTTCTTGCGTGGTAAGGTAGATGTGCTTCGCAGCCTAAACATGTAGCATTTATTTGCAGCATCTTTATTGTATACAGTAATGGTTTACTATAACAAGCTAAAGCTCACCCACAATATCATGCTCCTTAATTCACGCATCATGTGTTAGACTTGTCTCGTAGCAGCAGCGCTGGAGTGACATGGCCATTCTGAAAAACATCCTATCATTCAACTATGTTCATAGATCATGTTTGTTAACGAAAGCACCATGGTGTGTCCTCTAACTCGCTCATCTGGTTTAGTTGTCTTTCAAGCATGAAGAATTAGAATTTAGGCACATCTACCCAACAGTCTTTACCGAATGAACAGAAGCGGATAAAGTGTTAAAACCACGGGTGTACCGTGAACGAGTCTTGGTACCCGAAGGAGTAGGCATTATACTGGATAGTCCTAGTGGTTTACTTACTTTTGACCAAGCATTGAATGAGTAACACGAGAAAGAGCCGGGAGGTAGTCTTCAGCCTGGTTTGTAAATACGTATGATTATCAAAACCAGACCTTGTGGGGAATGCTATAGCATATCAGGATTCCAACGAACACCGAGGATCGCCTGATTCCGCCACCCCTAACCAGAAGCAGGCATCTGGGTGATTGTCATGGTAATGGTTTTGCTGTTCATGACAGTAGTGGCAATGGAGTAGGAGGTGATCTCTGGACGTGTTCCGAACTCGGAATCTGTGACCGTGACGAAGCCGGGGATGTTCATGGGAATAATGGCGCTGGATCCTCGAGAAGGATACTTAATTGCCTCTGACTTCAGGGACCGTATAACGGTAGCGCAGGTCTGAATAGTCTTTTCCATGACAGTCGTAGAGCCACAGGTGTATCCACTGCAACAGTTAGTACATTTCCCATTGCGGCGCTGATGGGAAAGATCTCGCATACCTTGGGCAGCAGCCAACTGCAGTTTCAGATTCAGTCACGTCGTATAGGAATGAGTACGGAGTAGCCTTCCAGTCGTCGTGCCGTATGCGCTCGTGTATCCCACAGGGCATGAGATGCCTGACGAGTAGAAACCGGTCAGATTGTAGTTTCCAGTGTTGTACTTCGCTGGAGGCCAGCAAGAGGGCTGGGCCTCAAGGAAATTGCCGCCGCACGCGAAACCTTGCCATGCCTGTGAGTATGCTTCGCATTGCATGTACGCTATCGTGCAGGATGTCTGAGAGTGCGAGAAGGCGGTCGTAACGGGGCTGAGGTTGGAGCGGTCCACCAGTGGGGTGATGGTGGTCCGTGGAGGTGAGGGCAAATCTGCACTAGGTGCCCACCCCATGTACAATTGACAAGCCGCGCTGCTAGCTGGGGTTAAAGTCGCGTTTCCAACTAAATAGTAGAATTTGCAATTTTCATGATGTGAATAAATGGTCGCTTGAATCATTTGTTAAGTGACTCGGTATCTAAATGCTATTATACAAGATCATATTGTTACATTAGCACAAAGTGCCTGACAGGAAGACATCACCTCTATGATACACCACTCCGCCAAATCATTGTCTCGTCGTCGATGCCTGGAACCCGCCACGCAGAGTGGAGAGTCGCAATATTATATACTTTGCCCCAGGTATAATGATCTGTAGGTTCGCCAGCATCTATCAAGCAAATCACATACCCCAGGGACGATTATTAGAAAACGAGCAGAGATTTTTAAGAAGAACCCGACTCGCCCTGCGCATTGAAGCTTTTGACGGTGCCATCATCCCAGAACTCGAGGTTGCCGTCGGTGCGGCCGTGCTGCAATGTCTGACCCTTCTCCTTCAATAGATCTTCCAGAGTTGTGCCCTTGTCGAAGAAAATCCCTAAGTGATCGCTCATGAGGTGTCGGTTCTTGCACGAAGGACATTGAATGAGGACGGTGCCGCGGTGGTAGCCTTGCTTGGACATGCGGTGCGTGGATCCTGTGCCACATGGCTTGCAGGTGAATGTGATTTGATAGGCCTCTTCGTTCTTTCGGCGCTCCTCATTCCGCTTCTCACGCTCTGCGTCGGTCTCGGCGGCAGTTGCGGGTTGTGTCAAAGGTGTTGATGCGGTAGAGTTGAACCGGCATAAGGATGGGAGGGTCCGCTTCGGCTCAGCGATCAAGTATGATGGCGTAGCACGTCGGGGATGTACCAGCTGGGTTGAGTAGAAGCGAGAAAGAGGTGTCCGGCTCGATGCGAATGATGACTTTTGGGAGGTAAGAGAGCGTAGAGCGCGCAGGCCCGGTGGCGAGAATGGGCGCATAGTGAAGTATATTCGGATAACAGAAGAGTCATGCAAAAGTGCAGGAAGCTCAATGTGAGTGTAGTTCGCACGTGCAAGTCGCAATATATAGCAACTCGTGAGGGTGTGAAGGATGGTGAGGTTGTTACTTGCAAAGTCTTTCGGCATCACGAGAGGGCGTCAAACGTCGGTCGGAGCGGAATAACTATATGCCGGCCATCCTCCGCGGAGTGCAGGTTGTCATAGCACTCGCACTTCTGCTCAAACTTCGCCCTCGACAAAGTCCTTTCTTTTCATTGAAATTAAATCCGTTGGCTCCGAGAATGGCTGCCATGAGGGCTCGTAATAAGATTCGAGTCCCTCGTCGGGTATGCCGTACTCCTCAGCCCCTCCCCACAGAGCTTCCCACTAACAGATCTTATACAACAGGGCCTCACCAATACGCGAGGAGACGACTTTGACTCTCTATGGATCGCCTTGAAAAAAGCGCTGAACGAAATAAACACGAAAAATGCATCCACACTGTCCTTCGAGGAGCTCTACCGCAACGCCTATCGGATTACCTTGATGCAGCGGGCTAACGATCTCTATGAGAACGTTAAAGAGCTTGAAGGAAAATGGCTCCAGGATACTGTCCAGAAACACATCACCGACACAATCTCGACCAGCCTTATCCGATCCCAAGGTCCTTCCGAGCTCCAGGACCAGTCGAATGAACGCCGCGCCGACGGCGAAAGATTCTTGAGCGCGATGAAGGAGAAATGGGAGGATCATCAGGTTTGCATGGGCATGGTCACTGACGTCCTCATGTACATGGTTCGGAAAATGCATTCGGGAAATTTATGGGAATTCGGGGCTAAAACTATCTCAGGACCGCGTCATTTCGGCAGACAAATCGAAACCCGGCATCTACTCTGTCGCCATGGCCCTCTTCCGTGACCACATCCTCCGCGCCTTTGCCCGCACCGACTCCGACATTTCCATTTACAATGTTCTCGAATCGACCATTCTTTTCATGATTCAACTAGAACGCAATGGTCATATGATCGAAAGACCCTTGGTCCGGCAATGTATCCAGATGCTCGAGGGACTCTACGACAGTGTCTCAGAAGATGAGAACACCAAGCTTTACCTTGTCTCCTTCGAGCCCCAATTTCTCAAGGAAAGTACAGAGTTCTACCAAGCCGAGGGCCGTCGTCTTTTGGAGATTGGAGACGCTTCCGCCTTCTGTCGCATCGCGTCACAGCGGATCGCCGAGGAGCGGGAACGGTGTCTGTACACACTGGCGTTGTCGACTGAGAGTAAGGTGCTGCAAACTCTGGACGAGGAGCTAATCCTCAAGAACATCGACGAAGTTGCCCGACTGGAAGGTACTGGCGTTCGCCATATGCTGGACAACAATCAGCTGGACGGACTGCTGAGTCTCTACAAGATAAACGCTCGAGTGGACCCGAAGAAGACGGCTCTCGTCAACGTTATGAACAAGAGAATTATTGACCTTGGTAAGGAAATCAACGCGGCAGCACTCACCGCGGCCCAGGGTCAGGCCTTGTCCGGCAAGAAAATCGAGGAAGAAAAGAAGCCCGAGGATGGTAAAAAGCCTGAGAAAAGCAAGGAAAAACAGTCAAGCCAACAGACCCTGTCGGCCATTAAGTGGGTCGATGACATTTTGGCGATGAAGCGCCAGTTCGACCAGATCTGGGAACACGCCTTCATGTCTGATCAGGGCGTCCAAAGTGCGATCATGGCAAGTTTTGCTGATTTCATCAACATCAACCCTCGGAGCTCGGAGTACCTATCCCTGTTCTTCGACGAAAACTTGAGGAAGGGCATCAAAGACAAGACCGATACTGAGATTGATACCTTGCTTGACAATGGTATCACCATGCTTCGCTACATCAAAGACAAAGATCTATTCGAGGCGTATTACAAGAAACATCTTGCTCGTCGACTGCTCATGAAGCGATCTGCCAGCATGGATGCCGAACGCCAGATGATCTCCAAGATGAAGCTCGAGGTTGGTAACCAGTTTACGCAGCGCATCGAGCACATGTTTAAAGATATGACAATATCGGAGGACTTGACAGCCAGCTACAAAGCACACATCGCTCAAAGCGCCGATCCCGATCAGAAGCGTGTCGAGCTGGACGTCGATATTCTCACTAGCACGATGTGGCCACTGGAGTCAATGTCGAACACCGATCCTGGCGATGCCCAAAAGCCATGTCTCTTCCCCAAGGAAATCGATAACCTCAAGGAAAGCTTTGAGAGATACTACCTAGGCAAGCATAACGGGCGTAAACTTACTTGGCTAGCCAACATGGGTACGGTAGATATCAGGGCTACGTTCCAGCGTTCTAACGGCAAGATCCAGCGATACGAGCTTAACGTGTCTACTTACGGCATGGCAATCCTATCACTTTTCAACGACCTTCCAGATGGTGAGAGCTACACTTTCGAAGAAATCCAGGGACGCACACAGATCCCCAGTTACGACTTGATCCGCAATCTGCAGTCACTTGCAGTGGCGCCGAAGACCCGAATCCTCGTCAAAAAGCCCATGAGCAAGGATGTCAAGCGCACAGATCGATTTTTCGTCAACAACGAATTCAGCAACCCCTTCGTCAAAGTTAAGATTGGCGTCGTTAGCGGCGGAGCCAACAAGGCCGAGAATCCGACTCAGCGCAAGGAGACCGAGGGAAAAATCAACGAGGAACGTGGCAGTACGATCGAGGCTGCCATCGTCCGTATCATGAAGTGCGTACAATCGATTCTACTGCTCCAATGGCCAATAACTAACTTTAATCAGGCAACGGAAAAAGTCGGTTCACTCCCAGCTCATAGCGGAGGTCCTGGCACAATTGGCTTCCCGCTTCGTGCCGGATGTGATGATGGTGAAAAGGCGAATAGAGAGCTTGATCGAGCGGGACTATTTGGAACGGATTGCCGAGGAGCCGCCTACCTACGGGTACGTCGCGTGAGCCCCTGGCTGAACCGGGTCCAGATTGCATCTCTTGGGTTCTTCTGGGAGGTGCTTTGGCTTCGTTTTATTTTCTTGTCTACTACGGTGTTCCGTACCTGTGGTGGCACCTGCATGGCTGGTGTTTCTGATTTAGCAACGGGCGTTACGGCGGGAGATTCAAATGTTCATAGACGACGACCTTGATGCGCCTATCGCTGGGCAAAATTCCTGCTTTCCCTAGCTGAAATGACCTCGAATGACAATGGCAATGGCAATATGCTCCGACCCAGTTCGTAAATAACCCATACTCCGGAAATGCAACCTAAACTCCTTGCCCAAAAGACCTTTCAACCAGAACCCACTCTATAGCAGCAGGATTAAGGATAAAGGGCAGTTAAAGCAACTCGACCTCACCCTTCTCCCAGGCAGACTTGATTCCCTCCCAGCGGACAACCCAGACATCACCCATCCGCATCGTAACCCCAATATCCTCCTCCCCCTCATCTCCAACAACAATAACCGGCACCTCACCAGCAAGGCAGCGCACAAAGACAGACTCCTTCGTATCCGGACCCTGAATCATACTCGTTCCACCCGCATTATCATCCAACCGGCGCAACTGTCGCGGAAACGCCTCCATAAAAGACCCACTGTAGTGCCCCGCCAGTAGATTCTGGTGCGAATGCACGAAATTGGCCTCGTTCTCAGACAACGGCGTGAAATCTGTGACAGTCGAAAGGTCCGGCACAGAGTCGGAGGGCGTAGCTTGACTTTGGCTCTGGGATTGCGACTGCGATTGCGAGAGCGGGTTTTTGTTTCCGGATAATTTGACCAGGTAGTGCATGCTGTACTTTGTAAGCTTTGCGAGGCGCTGTCGCAGCAAGCTGCGGATGAGGTATTGGGTTCGGGCGAGGTCGGTTTGTAGGATTGAGAGGCGGAGGTTTAGATTCGGGTTGTGGGTGTTGTTTGTCGGGACGTCTGCGGACGAGGCTGCCAGGTCTTCGATTGATTCGATCTGGTTGGTGTGAGGAGTTGTTTCTGCTGCGTCTTTCAGCCCGTCGAGTTGACTTACCTGCATTCGCACGCGATCCATCATTCGGTCCATCAGGACCGTGGGCCATGGTAGGACTTCCGAGACAGCGCGCTCGGCGACCCAGAAGCGGGTGAGGAGTTGGTGGTCCATGGCTGCGGACTCGGCGCTTGCGCCGGCGCCACGATCGACGGAGGCCAGGATGTCGTCGATGTCCATGGCAGCGGTTGAGGGGTGAGGTTCGATTCGATGCGGCGCGACGCGAAAAGCGCGGAGAGCAGGCGGAGCCCACCTGGGCAGGTGCGGGTCTTCGCTGCCTGGGGCATAAAGCGCAGATCCATCCAACTAGATGATGAGCTGTTTGGGGTGCAGCTGGATTAGCTAAATTGAGATAAATGTGATAAGGTCAATTCGTAGCAAAGATGTGATTAATGTAGTTGTTGCCGGTGTTTACGAGAGACTGGTGCGCTGGGATTACTGACATGATGTACACATACAGATCGAGCCGAGGTAAAATGGTTCCAGAATTGAAGTTTTTGAAAATTATGTCATTATTGGAAATCAATGTACCAGGAAGAGTCGTCGCAGCCCTGTAACCCACCTCTCACACGCTCGATGCAATCCTTGCGGATGTGGCGGGTACGCAACGTAAAGACATTAAGAGAGAAGCTCCCATGCGAGTTCTTTCGCGAATTCGATAATAATAAAGAGCAAAAAATATCTCAAGAAAAAAAGGCGCATCTCGCACAGACCCAGCTGGAAAATATCCCAAAAAAAAAAGGTATGTAAACGCCAAAATGTCCCTTGCAATTCAAACGACGTCATCAACGCCCCCCTTGTATCGGCCGAGTGCGAAACTCTTCTTCACGTGCTCATGCCCCTGTTTCTATGTGTCGCTCAGGCCTTAGCTGGTGGTGGTCCTTCAGGGGGGCGTACTCGCGGGCTCCAGGTCCGGCTGCGTAGTGCGCGTTCGGGGGTGATTGCAGCTCGATGCCATTCTGCTGTGGCTGAGGTGGGTTTTGAGCACCGAAGTAGCCGTACTGCTGGGGGTTCGCAGAGTATTGGGGCGGCGGTTGCGCAGGGAAATTGGGTTCGACTCCGTAGGGTTGTTGGTAGTAGGGTTGGTTTGGAGGAGGAGGACCCGGGGGTGGTGCCATCCAGGCGGTTCCAGTGTAGGGACGTTGACCGTGACGACGGCGGCGACGGGCGTTGAAGCAGCTAAATGAAAGGGGTCAGTGACAAAAGGCGTGGGAGCCAGGCAGGATGTAAAACGTACGCGAAACCGAAAAAGAGCAGGAATGCGCAGCCGACGATGACTGCGAATGCTACCCAGCGACCCCAGCGGTCCCAGTTGTTGCCGTAGCAGTTGCCATAGTAATCGCTGGAGAGAACAGATTCAGTCACAACAATTCCGAATATCCCCAGACGCTGTAATGCGATCGGAGGTGAACTCACCAGTAATAACGTGGAAGGATCGCCATGGTTTTGGGGGTGTGGAAGGAAGAAAGAGAGCGAGGCGACAAGAAATACCTTACTGAAGTTGTCATGGGGCTGGGGCTTGGCGCTAGGCTGCAGGGTTGATGATTCATCTACTACTTTCTCCCCAACTACGCACCAACTACTTAGTAAAAGCTCAGATACTGCACGGCAAGGGGAGGCGTATCGATCAGTACGTCCGATTTTGATCTTCCAATAATGTGGACGAATTCGCGACAAGCCGACGAGGGCGAGCGGTTGCGTGGCTGCGTGCGAGTCCGTGGGGAGGCGCAGCTAGTCGTATACTCGCTCTCCGCCAATCACGCCACTGTGGGGAGAGGCGCAGGGCTGACGGAAAATCCGGCACTTTCTGTTTCGGTTGCCTCAGTGCTGGCGGCGATAATCCCTCGATCGGCGTGGAGCAAGGTACTCAGAGCAGGCCTTTGTCGCGCCGAGGCATCCCAGCGCTTGCCGGAACGACCGGACAAAGCCAGTTGTTTCAGCAAGGCCGTATTACCCTAAGCGAGACGGGTAATATTCTTCAATGATCTTTCTTTGCTCCACTGAATTGCAATTTGTTTTTCGGGGTCCTGAGTCAGCTCTCACTTACGAAAGATGTCTGCATGAGTGGTAGGGTTCATAGTGACCCTGAGGAACTTAAAGTGACTTAAGAGGTGTGATATCCGCACTCACTTCACGTGGAACACGAGCACAGGCCGAGTCCGAATAGGCATTCTGCTGACCCTAAAAAAGCTCACATAACACTACTCCAAGTGGCTCCTAGTACTCTGCAGAATAAGGTATTACCCTGTTGTCGCGTAGATTCGACGAGTAATGCGCTGGACGCGCACTAATCAGAGCGCCTGTGAGCAGCGTCGCGACTCCACGCATGTGGCCCTTGGCAGGTGGCCGTCTGCATGGCCAACGCATCAGTTGGTCCGTGTGCGGATTCACTTACTTATGCCGGCCATCTCGCTGTTGCTGACCTTGGAGTCTTCTGCCGGTATCTTCTGAGAGATTTCTCGAATCGATCTGTCCGTCATTGGAGTCAGTCGAATTTCAGCGCAAAACCGCCTCAGGTTAAATCTACAAAGTACAAAGTACCGCAGAAGCACAAATCGAATCGAGTCCATGAGTTCATAGCACTACCATGCAGGCCAAACTGTGGGGATCGCCCGGTTTCGAATCCCCAATCGCATGCTCCAAACGCGCGACATAACAATAACAGACAACATATAAAAACACAAAGAATGAATAAATCGAACATAAATCGTTGCATCGTCACATCCGAGGCTGCGAGCCAAACCGCTAGTGTCTACGGGTTATAAACAGAAACACCCAGAACAACGCGCTCAGACCAAAATTCAAGAATAAACGGACGAGATGGATATAGTGCCACTGGAAATGCGTCGAGTCAAACTAACCGATGATTGCTGATGGAGAAGGTATACGAAGGTTTCAAGTGAAAGAGTGGGTGCGTATGGCGTGTGAGTACACCAAGATGGTGCTGAGCGTGAGAACTAACAACAGCAACGACCTGGGGAGAGCCATCATCGACTGGCCCGCGCGATCAACCAGTGCAAGACCGCGTCGAGGTTCGTCTCCTCTTTGGCGCTGATCCCGTAACAGCTGACCTCGCGGTGTGTGATGGACTTGAGGTCCATCGCATCGATTAGTTCGTCGACCGACAACTTGACCGGCAGGTCGGACTTGTTGCCGAGCACGAGCAACGGGATGCCATCCAGCGTGGGCTTGGTCATCAGCTCATGCAGCTCTTCGGTGGCGGCCGGCAAGGCGCTCCGATCGGCGGCGTCGACGATATATCTTGGGACGGATCAGCAGATGCCCCGCATGTTTCCCACTACCGCTACTTACACGATCGCATTCACCCCTCGACAGTATCGCTCCCACATGGGGCGAAATCGCGGCTGGCCGCCCAAATCCCAGCTGGGGCAGGATTAGCAATCAGTGGAACAGAAGGCCGAGGCAGAGGACGTACCATTTCAACGTCACATGGCCCTTTTGGACTCTTTTGGTGTTAAACCCGATAGTCGGGATGGAACTGCAACCTCGTGAGTGGGTGACCGCGAGTACCTACGGCGCTTTGACGAACTTACTCAACGGTGAATTCCCCGCCCTACACGACCAGTCAGAACACCCTCGGAAGAACCGCAACAGAGCACGCGATAAAAATGATAATGAAAGGAGAGAGATGGAGCGGGAAAAACACACAAAAAAGAACAAGGAGAACATACCGCCAACACTCGCAGCAGCGAGGATTTGCCTGCATTTTGCAAGCCTATCATGGTGACATCCATCTCCGTCGCCCTGCAGGGGTTAGCCAGGCTTCATGCTTCATCTGCGGGGAACGGGCCGGGAGTCTCCCGCCGCCTCGACGGCCCACTTCTTACCAGAACATCCTCAGAAGCCAGTCGTAGATGGTGCGAAAGATCCCAGCCATGGTGACTGACGGTGGTGCAGAGCGCCTAGGAAGGATGGCGAGCAACAGAGAACGACCAGCGTGGAAACCGGGGCGGGATCCAGGGTGGAGGGGAGCTTTAGTATATCAGGAAGAACAAGAGTAAAGTCGGTGGCTGTCGCGGGAAAGTTGGAAAGCTGGAAAGCAAGCGGATTGGATTGTGGTGGGAGAGAAGGCGTGGGAGTGGGGTCGATGTGCGGCGCGGTACAGAGAGATGGAGAGGAGAAGGCGGCTGATCAGGGAAGAACTGGGGAAATGCACGGAAAGTCGAAATTGAGAAAAAGAAAACAACGCACAACTGAAAAAAGAAAAAAAAGCAGTAAAAAATGGGAAAACGTCGCGAATGTGTCAAGTATTCGGCGCGTAGTGATAGATCTACGCACACATGACTGCCGTTGGAGAGGGGCGCTTAGGCTCCATTCGCAGCCTGACGCAGAGCGGTTGCCAGTGGCAGGTAGCGGAATAGAGTCACTGGGACGTCGTAGTATTTACCCTAGAGGATGGAGTGCGGAGACGTCATTCGGCATTCACTGCCCTAGGATTCGCTATACCCGACGGTATATATTCTACCTGGTTTGCATAGCTGCATATCCCACGAGCAACTTGAATGTCGATCATCCCAGTGCAAGTCCCCTGGTTCTGCGGCGAGTCCCCCGTTCGATGTTGCCGCCTCAGGCACCACGGCAGCACACAGCACACAGCACACAGCACACAGCACCCTATCATCACGTGGTGATAACTGGCTCCACTCTCGAAAATTTCCCCGAGTAGACCATCGCAGACCGTCCTCGTCTTCATCCAAGCTGCCTTTGCTGGCTCAATTCCCTCGCTTCTTTGGATCAACCCCCTAGGAGGCTGAGGCAGAAAGGGGCAATTGACATATTAATACCCGTCCCTCCTCAGAATATACGCACACCTCCTGAAATCCGGAATCAATCCATACTCAACTTTTTTTTTGGTCGACTTGGTCCCTAGACCGTTAAGCTTCCCACCATGGCGCCCGCGGCCACCAACACCGAGTGGTCGGTCGATTTCGACACTCTGAGGCGAGAGAACCTCTACAAGAACCCCCCCAAGGACCACACCGCATTCCCTTCCCTTGCCGAGTCCATTCGCCCGCATATCGACTCGTTCAATGCTCTCTTCGGCGACAGCAAGGTCCTGGAGCAAGGAATGAAGGATGTTGGCATTAAGACCTTCCTGGATGGAGAAGCTGAGACACCAGAGCAGAAGAAGGCTCGCCAAGCAGAGGGCCTGCGAGCCCCCAAGCGCAACCGCCTCAATGTTCGCGTCAAGGAAGTCTTCCTCGAAAAACCCGCTCTGCCCGCCACCAACAAGTACAGCCTCAAGAACCGCAATATCTATCCCGCCGAGTGCCGTGAGCGTCATGCGACCTACCGTGGTAAGCTCCGCGCACGTCTCGAGTACCAGGTCAACAATGGAGACTGGATGGAGTCTCTCCGCGAGCTCGGTCAGGTCCCCATCATGATGCGCACCAACCGGTGTCATCTGGAAAATGCCACTCCGGAGCAGCTGGTCGTACGCAAGGAAGAGTCGGAGGAGCTGGGTGGTTACTTCATCGTGAACGGTAACGAGAAGCTCATCCGAATGCTGATCGTTGGCAAGCGAAACTACCCCATGTCAATTATCCGTGGTTCGTTTGTGAAGCGTGGTCAAAGCTACACCAAGTTCGGTGTGCAAATACGATCCGTCCGCCCCGATCAGACTTCGCAGACTAACGTGCTGCACTACCTCTCCGATGGAAACGTTACCTTCCGTTTCTCGTGGCGCAAGAACGAATTCCTCGTCCCCGTGATGATGATCCTCAAGGCACTGGTTGAGACCAACGACCGCGAAATCTTCGAGGGCATCGTCGGCAAAGCCTCCTCCAAGGGCATGAAGAACACCTTCGTCACAGACCGCGTAGAGCTGCTCCTGCGAACTTACCAGGCCTACGGAAAGCACAGCCAATCCGACTGCCGAGCTCACCTTGGTAAGTGCTTCCGTCCGGTTCTTGGCGTCAGTGCCGACATGCCCGACGAGCAGGTTGGAGCCGAATTCCTGCGCAAGATTGTTCTCCCCCATCTGGGCAACTACAACGTCACCGAGACCCAGGACTACGATAAGTTCAAGATGATCATCTTCATGATCCGCAAGCTCTACGCCCTGGTCTCCGGTGACTGTGCTCCGGATAACCCTGATGCTGTCTGCAACCAAGAAGTGCTGCTTGGTGGCTTCTTGTACGGCATGATCCTCAAAGAGCGTATCGAAGAGTGGCTTCGTTCCTTCGGCCCAATCCTCCGTGATTGGAGAATGAAGAACGACTCGGCCAAATTCACGGACCCGTCGTTTGAACGGGACTTCGTCGGTAAGATCGTGAGGCGATCTAACGAGAATATTGGCCAAGCCCTCGAATACTTCCTCTCGACTGGCAACCTGGTTAGTCCTACGGGTCTTGACCTGCAACAAACTTCCGGTTACACCGTCATTGCTGAGAAGATCAACTTCTATCGATTCATCAGTCACTTCCGCATGATTCACCGTGGTAGTTTCTTCGCCGAACTGAAGACCACCACAGTCCGCAAGCTGCTGCCCGAGAGTTGGGGTTTTCTGTGCCCTGTCCACACTCCTGATGGTTCTCCTTGCGGTCTGCTGAACCATTTGGCGCACAAGTGTCTGATTGCCACAGACAACTTGGAGGTTTCGCATCTTCCAAAGGTCCTTACTGAGCTTGGTGTTCGATCCGAGTCCTCCGTGGCTTTGGATGACAGCGTGGTCGTTCAACTGGATGGCCGCATCATTGGTTTCTGCTCCCCTGCGCAGGCTCACAAGATCCACGACACGCTCCGCTACTGGAAGGTTGCTGGCAAGAACGATATTCCTCTTGGATTGGAGATCGGATACGTTCCCAACTCATCCGGTGGACAGTACCCCGGTATCTACATGTTCTCTCAATCCGCCCGAATGTACCGTCCCGTGAAGTACCTTGCCCTCGACAAGCTGGACTACGTCGGCCCCTTCGAGCAACCCTTCATGGACATTGCTTGTGTCGAGTCCGACCTGATTCCCGGCCTGTCCACTCACATCGAGTTCACCCCGACCAACATCCTTTCCATTGTGGCCAACATGACCCCCTTCTCTGACTACAACCAATCGCCCCGTAACATGTACCAGTGCCAGATGAGCAAGCAGACAATGGGTACCCCCGGTACATCCATCAACTACCGTACCGATAACAAGCTTTACCGCATTCAAACCGGTCAGACACCAATTGTCCGTCCCCCGCTGTACAACGCTTACGGTCTGGACAACTTCCCTAACGGCATGAACGCTATTGTGGCTATTATCTCATACACCGGTTACGACATGGATGACGCTATGATCATCAACAAGTCCGCCCACGAACGCGGCTTCGGTCACGGAACCATCTATAAAACCAAGATTCATACCCTCGCCGAGCGCGACAGCCGTCGCAACAAGTCCAAGCGAGAGGTTACCAAGCTGTTCGGTTTCGCACCGGGTGACGAAATCCGCAGCGAGATCAAGAACACCATCGACTCGGACGGTCTGCCGCACGTTGGTATCCGTGTGAAGGAGGGCGACAAGATCGCCGCCTATTACAACGTCCGCTACGACGGTGCTTCTGACAGTTACATCAACGTCGACGGCATCACCCACTTCCTGAAGTACAAGGATTCCGAAGTCGGCTACATCGAGAGTATGCGCCTGATGGGTGCGGATACTGGTAATGAGCCCCTCCAGTCTATCAGCGTCAAGTACCGTATCCCCCGTAAGCCTATTATCGGTGACAAGTTCTCCTCTCGTCACGGACAGAAGGGTGTTTGCTCGCAGCTGTGGCCGGCAGTCGACATGCCTTTCTCGGAGAGCGGCATGCAGCCCGATCTCATCATTAACCCCCACGCTTTCCCATCTCGTTAGTATTCCCTTTACTTTCACTATAGGAAGAACGTCCAATCTAATCTCATGAAAGGTATGACAATCGCCCAAATGATCGAGTCCATGGCCGGAAAGGCCGGCGCTCTCCACGGCCACCCGCAAGACTCAACCCCCTTCAAATTCTCCGAAGAAAACACCGCCACCGACTACTTCGGTCACCAGCTCATGAAGGCTGGATACAACTACTACGGCAATGAGCCGCTCTACTCCGGCATCACGGGCCGCGAATTCGCTGCCGACATCTTTATGGGCGTCGTCCACTACCAACGTCTGCGTCACATGGTGAACGATAAGTTCCAAGTGCGTACGACCGGTCCCGTGAACGCCCTGACCGGCCAACCCGTCAAGGGTCGTGCAAAGGGTGGTGGTATCCGTGTTGGTGAGATGGAGCGCGATTCGCTCATCGCTCACGGTGCGGCATTCCTCCTCCAGGACCGTCTGATGAACTGCTCCGATTCTCAGTCCGCCTGGATCTGTCGTGGCTGCGGCTCCTTCCTCTCGACCCAGGTTGCGGTTGCAGGATCTGGCGCTTCTCGCCGTGCGGCTGTTAACCCTGGTGCCATCGCGGCAGCCGCTAAGGCTGCCCCTAACCAGCAGGCCCCTGATGCCGGTGCGGGTGGTGCCCTTGGTGGTTCGACTAGTATTGTTCGTTGCCGTAGGTGCGCGCGCCAGGCTGACTTTAATGATTCCCGTGCTGAGGCTTGGGAGGATGGTGATGGATTGCGGTATGTTGGTGGTGATGATGTTACTGTCGTTGCGGTCCCTGGTGTGCTGCGCTACTTGGATGTTGAGCTTGCGGCTATGGGTATTCGTATGAAGTTCTGGGTTGATAACTAGTGTTCCTTTGTTGGATGGGTGCTGGTTGTTACCTATAAAAATTTGGTTTTATATTCGTTGGGTTTTTCACGTCATAGATGGAGCGTCTGGTTCGATTTTCTTTTGTTTATATGTATTTCCTACGAGGTCAATATCAAGTCTTAACATTATTCAAATACGACATTATATCATGTTATATGGGTGCAGCGGTTCAAGGTATCGACATTTGGTGCGGTCAATGTGATTAAGAAGAGATTACGGCACTCATATTGATTGTCGTTTGATTAAGGGCGCACTCAAAAGTACAATAATGTTCGAAACTTTCAATTCTTCAATAAGTCATAAAAGACTTTTAACCGATTCTGGATAGGGGCGTACGTCAAATTACCCAAAAGGAAATTCGGACCAAGAGTGTCTAGCGAGAGTGATTTCAAACGACCTCACAGTGTTCCTCGCCACTGTCCTCGTCACTACCCCTTTCCAAACAAACTGCCAGTTGGTCTGTCAAAAGCCCACATAAAGCACTCTTTGCTCCTTCATACTGCGCGCCAGAGGCACAGGGAAACCCCCTCTAGCAGCGGAAAGCGTTGACGCGATCCGAGTAGTTCTTGTATTCCGAGAATTTTCAGGCTGCCCAAGTCATTCGTGTTGTCTGAGCTATCCGGCTTCCCTTCTGCTGTTGACCTCGCACACGTTTATGAGCATCGTGCCAGTCGATTGCGGCCAATGAAGTGCTGTTAGTTTCCAGGGCTTGCCATATCCCCTCCAGTAAAAGGAAAAGTGAGGATTCCTTCCGATATCTCTGGATGAACCAGGCGATACTCATGCTCGATTGCCGCTGCTCGCGCCAGACGCTTTTGAACTTGGTCGTCGAAGTGGTCTTCGTCTAAGCCATGTGGAAGCTAGAAACCAGCGGGGACGCTTTTATTTGTGAATTTGCCGCCAATTGGTGGAGGACTTTCGCGGGCTCGTGGTAAATTGGGAAATCTGTTCCGGAATTCCATGCACCGCTTCTCTTTTGGTTGGCCAAGAATTCCATTCTACTTGAAAAACTTGGGAATATCGTAGATGTTCGTGCCGCAGCAGATGATCGTGGACGGTTGCGAGCCTGCAGTGATTGGTAATTAGTTTCATTACCACGAGACAGCAACCTCCCCAAATATATACACCTGCTATGCTACACCAAGATCCAAATAACGAGGACACTTGTAGTACTGCGAAGGTAAGACCTCATGGGTACGCTTTTCGTTTGCATAAACCTCTTAAAAGCAGGAAAGGAATGAATGGACGGCGGCTGCGTCTGTTGAATTTAAGTAGATCAATAGATACGATCAACCAGCTCTACTCAGCTAGTCTATGATGAAGGAGCAACTGGAAGACATCCCAGGCAAAGGCCTATTGAGCGGATCGCCACCAAAGTGCGGTTAAGATATATTTCCACTTGCACAGTAGGGAGTCTGGGCCATGTAGAGTGTCACACATATCAGGTGTTGCTTGGGGTGTTGCTTGTCGGTGCTGAGAAGTAGTTGCTGAAATCGGCGCAAATTCAAAGTGTGTTTGACTTTATTAACTTCCAAGGTTGTTTGGTAATGGAAGTTGATTAAATTCTGTCTATGATGAAAGCAAACACACTCGCGCTGAATAAAATCAGGGAATCACGCAGTACCCAGAAATCTTTCTTATTGCGACTTAAATTAATTGGTCATTCCTGGCAAAATATCTGACTCACATTTTAGTCTGCACCTGTCATGTGAAGTTCATCTGTGATAAATCCTGAAAGCATATTCTATGTCTGCCTTGCGACACTTTCCATGTCCAAGATTCGCCAAAACATGTCTTTGAGTCCAAGGGGAAGTCGATGTCTCTGCTCCAGTGTAGGCCGTGCAGAACAACTTTCAGTTCAAGACTATTGTAGTGGCAAGGCCAGGCGTATCACCATGAGACCCACGTGAAGTATAGTCCAAGCAAGTAAGAATATGAATGACCCAATTTTCATTTTCCATAAGAACAGCCCAATTCTGAGTGTCCCTTTGGTTTTTCGGATCGCCCGATCAACCAAAAGCTCGTACGCCTTCATTTCGATGCGCAAGTTGGAGGGCAACCGAGTGGCTTGGTCAAACCCGCGCTAAGAAGTCTCGATGGCGATTTGGAGTTAGCTCTTAGTGCCAAATTTATTTACTGCTGAAATCTCCGCTGCGAGGATATCATCGTCGGGGTCAGGTCTGTTTCTTTCGACTACCTCCCAGTCGACTTTTAAAATCTCTACATTCAAGCTACACAACATATCTTATAATTAGTGGGCTTTTTGACTAAGAAGATCTCCGGGTTCGGATCTACATCAGTACAGAAATAATTCGTCATAGAAAGGTCAGTGCAGGGGAGAGGGGTTAGCTGAATTGATACTCAAGTCACTCACCTCTCGAAATGCCGTTGCCACTTCCCAATTATACACCGTGCAGGAGAGGGTACACCTGAACAGATTTAGAAAACAACTCACCTAGGCTCACTTACCAGTACCAAGGCCACTACGTAGAATCCTGTGGTTCCTGACATTCGTTCTTTTCCTCAGAGCTGAGGCTCTCATCCTTATCTGACTCGCTGGGGTCCAGGACTGCCGGGTCGATGCCGGTAAAGTCGATCGCGACGAGGCCGTCTGGGAGGTTTGGCGCCATGGCCTCACGGTATGCCTTCTCAATGGCCGCTCCCCGAGCAAGGCAATCTCTAACTTGCTCATTGCAATGGTCCTTGCTAAGACCATGGGGAAGCCAGAACCCCAAGGTGTTGACGTCCTTGGGGGCGTGGGCGTATCCATACTCATTTTCCGGACCGGCTCGCTCTTGCGGCCACTTGAAGATGATCCGGAAGTTTGGGTGGGCCGCCTCCCAGAACCAGGACCTTGTCCTGTCGACGTCGTCAACGAGCGTACTCTTTTCGAGTACAGTGACGACATCAGCGAGGGGGGTCCCGCACCGGACGATGATGGTCGCTAGCCTGTGTAAAATCAAAACCATGAGCTATCTTTTCGTCAAAGTTCATATGAAAGAAAAGTGGGGTCAAAATGTAAAAACAAATACCATTCAACGTCACTCAGCCATTGATCGGTTTGGCTCTGGAGAGGAATTTGGGGGTCAGTGGGGTCGGCGGGGAACCGTAGCTGCATGTCGAGCTCCGGGAAGCAGGTGAGGAATGAACTCACCACATCCGTGTCATGGGTTGACACGGGGATCGAAATCGGCCTCGTGAGGCACTTCCAGTCAACAAGTCCCTCGTGCAGGAGCAACTGGAAGATGTCCCACACGAGGGCTTGCCGAACTGACCTCCAGTAGAGGTTTGCCAGGACGCTCTGACAGTCCGGCGCGTCCTTGGCAAGTTCTTCAAAAACACGGGCATCGGGAGGGTATTTGGCCTTCGTGTCGACTAGGGTGAGCTCGCTGTCCACGACAGCTTGAGAGTTAGACGGGAGAGACGTACCTTTAGGACCCCTAGCTGCAGCATTGCTGCGTGCACGATTGACCTGTTCGGCCAAATGCTGCTGGACGGCACGAACGGCCAGGATCCAGGAAAAGTCGCGGGAGGGTGGTTTGTCGTCGCTGTGGGTGTCCTTATGGCTGCCAGAGCCTCTTGCGTGCGCGAACTGCTCCAGTTTCTCGTTGAGGAGCTTGCGGGCCTCTGGGCTGTCCATGGTGTGGAAGCCCGAGAAGGTCGAGTCCTTGGATGATCGTGTTCCGATGTGGTAAAGGGCCATATTTGCACCGTGTTCTTGCTGGAATTGCCGTGACGTGGATAAAGGTGACGGAATGGGGAGGGTGAAGTGGGAACGGGCCGTCGACGCCGCAGGTGAATGGTTGGGCACACCTCCCAGACACCAACGCCTTCATGGACCACGACTAAGAATGCGCAGCCCTTTTTCTGACAAATACTATTCTGTCGCCTTTTGCTTTTTCTTTTCCTATTTCTAACACACCTAGCCCACTTTCCTCTAAGCCAAGGGCATTAATGAACTGACTGATATATAGCCTGATTCCTTACAGCTTCTCTGTACCTAAATTTTCCAGCATGACCTGTACAGTACTGTAGTTGCGTGACTGACACAATTGGAACTTTTATAAACTAAACTACAATGAGAATTTTAGAGAAAGAATCTGCAAATTCATAGTTCGTTGAGACACTGTATCAGAAGAGATACTCTTCTAAAATAATAAAATAGATATGATTCAGCCATTGTGAAAAGAAACGACCAGGTGGACTTAGGTAAATCATCAGTTGAGCCATATTTCTGAACTTGAAAGAATTCTCCTTCTTCACAATTTTGAACCACTCAAAATTTTTTGCAACCGGAAAGCAGTTTCACAAAGTTCCAGCCGATTCCTACCCTTTGGAAGGCCTGCGTAGCACCATAAAATCCCCGAAGAAATGGGGATGCAATCGCAATCTAGCCCTGCAGGCGACAAGATTGTAACTTCTGGAAGCTTTGGATGTGCCCCAAACCGCAGCTTGGCCTGATTCCAGCGCTGATCTTAGGCGGACGCTTTGTATGGGTTCATTGTAAAGTTGGGAAAGAGTTATGACGGGTTTGAAGAAGGGGTTGCCGAAAGGGAAAGTCCCGACGAGAAGACGAAGGTTGAAGATGTCGTTCTTGGGAAGAGCGGAAGAAGTTGAGAGAAGTATCGTTGTTTGCCTTTCATAGGAACGGTGATTCTACCAGCGTGTCGTTTGCATGAGCTGGTACGACGCGTGTTGCGTTGCGAAGAGTAAGAGTGCCGTAAAAATTAAACCTCATGAGGAGACTGAAGCTATTTAGAGAATATTGGGAGGGCCCCACGGGGTATTGATACTACCAGACACATCGAGTCGACGTGTAGACTACTATAGTATATTGAACCACTAGTTTCACGAGTAAAGGGACTAGACCTTATAGACAACAGATGACCAGGCTGCTAAACATGAAGCTGGACAAATAGATATATGGCTAGGTAGGCGACTACCCTTGTGATGATACAGCTTACGTGGTCGAAGACCAGCCCAAATATTGGGTACGTGACCCGGTACGTGATCAGGAATGTACCTGATTGAGGTAATAGATAAAGGATAGCACTGAGGATGGCAGGAACCTCTTAAGCCATGCCCCATCATGTCCTCGCCGCAAGAGCTGAACACCAAGAGTTCTAAGAGTCACAGCAAACGGCTTGAATATTTCTTCTTGACGCGCACCCCGCAGACCTCTTCTTCCCATCTTCACATTAGACCCATATGTTGAGGAGGATGATTCGTTGGTTTGGAGTGTTGGTTATAATTCGGATTCTGTCTCGGGTGGTCTGATTCAGGAGTTTTTAGAAAGTCTTGAAATGGAGATGGGGGTGGTTGGAGGACAGATCCAACTGAGACGACGATTGATCTCTTCCTGTTGCTTCTCGTTTCTTGAATTATACTTGTTTGCTACATTCCAGGTTGGCTACTTTGTGCTTCCGAGTCAAAAGACACGTTGTTCTCCTTGTCAATGGTTTCCATACTCCCGCTGGCCTAAGAAAATCGCATAGTACTACGAAATAATCAAATTCAAATGCATGGCAGGCAGCAGACATTATGACGAGGTATTATCTCATTCAGCCGATCTCATCCATAATACAAAATCCTAGCCTACAACTCAGACGTCACATTCGAGAATTCCCCACGATCCAGCTTGGTCTTCCAGAAAATAGGGTTCATATCATCGAAGCCGTGGTGCACCCATCCTTCCTCCTTAACGTGGTAGAGGTTAATAAAGCCACCAGAGTACGCGTCACGGTGCATGGCAGCCAGGATGGCACGGCGGCCCAGATCCAGCGCCTCCTGCTCCGTCAGATCGTACTTGTAGTTCGCGTCCAGTACACCGTAGGCGAATGTTTGTCCGGATCCGACACAGAACAGGTTGCCTGGCAGGCGAGTGCCGTCTGAGTCGATGTAGTACAGGGCGGGTCCTTCTTGGGGTGTGACCTAGAGACTCGAGATTAGTTGCTATCTGGGCGGAGATAGGGCAGGTTGTAAGGATACGTACACCTGCAAGCATGGTTCCCATACTCAGACCGTAGCCCTTGTAGGCATAGGTCAGGTTTGCGAGAATTTTCGAGGCGGCCGCGACGGTGATTCGGCGCTTGTGTCGGATCTCGTGCAGAGTGCACTGCTGACTCAAATACCGCAACCAATATTGGCAATCCTGAAGTTCACCTCGTCAGCACCGATTCATACCTCCGGACCAGCTTCCATCTCATCGCCGGTCTCATCACCCATCAAAGAGTAGATCAGACTTACCGCCGCGCCACCGGCCATAGTACCCAGCAGACCGGGCGTGGGGTCCTTAGTCGGCTTGTCTTCACCACGGCTCAACCGCGACACCGGGATAACCTTCTTGACAGTCTGACTGGCGATCCAGTTACCGGCCGTTGCTCGGGAGTCGGTGCACACAATCTATCTCGCGAATCCATTAGCACTGCGTTTCTGCGTTTTCTCGTTTCTGCTTTATTTCGGGGGAGAGCGTACGATGCCGCCCTGGAATCGGAAGGCCAGGGTTGTTGTGCCGTGAGCGAGCTTGATGGGACAGCTGGGGTTGGAGTGGTCATCGGTCATAGCGCGGAGGAAGGAAGCTGACTGCATAAATCAAAGAGAGATGATTAGCCTGGATGTTCATCGCATTGAATCTCGTGTTGCGTGCTCGGAGCTTCCTTGCCGCATAGCTAGCGCTGATGGTGTCGGAAGTCAACGGGCGCGGACCGACTTGTCGCTCACATTGCCATCAAGTCTCAATCTGAGGAAAAGTCTGCTAGCTTGGGAGCTACTTACGTTGTCGACAGGAGGCATGGCGAACTTGAGAGAGAGCGGAGGGAGGCTCTCTGTGAGGTCCTGTTGCTCTTGCTCCGAGTAGAACTCATTCTGATGCGGCGGACGCGAGTACTGGGCGACCAGCTTGTCCATTATGTGCGGTTGATCGGAAAATAACGAAAAATAGAGAGGATGGCAGGAGGTCGAGGATGAAAGACTCGGGGCAGGTGGTGATGATGGGAGCTCCGCCGAGCTTGGGATTCCGCGTCACTCGGGCGCCTGTGGTCACGTGCCGGGTCTGCATTTAGGCTTGGTTCAGGGTCTTCCACCTTGTCAACATGTTCAATTATCAACTATTCTGGAATACAAAAGGTGCCTCTGGTCAATTTAAACTGTCCAACGCCTTACATTGAATATCAAGAAAGCGACCCAATCTCCCGAACCCTTCACTCAATTAGCCAGTTTACACGGCAACAAGAATATAGCTACAGATATGTCACACTAATACGGGACAGGCTCGGCCTCCGACTTCTCCGTCTGAGGCTCTTCCTGCTGCTTCGAGGCGGATGGAAGATCGTTGGCCATGGAGTCGCCGCTGGTACCGACCGCACCAGTAGCGTTGACCAAGCTCTCCGCCTCTTGGTCGGAGGTGCCGGTGGCAACGTTGGCCGCGGAGGTGATGGGCTCGATGGTGGGCTCCCAAGCACGAAGGTCAGTCTCGGCATCCTCGAGAACCTGGCGGGCATGGAGTTCGTGGTCATAGGCGGTGCGAGTGTCGCCTGGGACAACGGGGCTGTCATCGATGAAGTTGAGCAGGCGGCGAGCGTGGCGAGCCAGGATGATCTGCTTCTCTGCGCGCTCGATAGTTGCAGCCAATTGGATGTCATATGCCTCCTTGAGTTTTGTTCGAGTCTGCGAACGAACAAAAGTTAGCCAAATGTTACTCGCAACAACACAAAGAATAAAAGAACGCCGACAAGCCGAGAAAGAAGACATACGGTGTTCGACAACTGCGCCTCAGCAACCAAGTTCTGCGCCTCAGCTCGCACCAGCTCATGCTCCAGCGTAGTCAGACGGGTGCTATTGGGATCCTTGTACTTGAGCTTGGCAATCTCATCCGTGACCTTCTGGCGCTGGTCCCGCGACGGCTGCACCGAAGCTTCCATATTGCGAATGTGCTTCAGCATACCGCGAGAATCTTCGAGGTTCTGCGCATACAGGTCTTCCTGTTCGCCAATCTCGGCCAGCATGACGCCGAGCTTGTCGGAGATGTCGGAAATGGCATCGTCCTCAGTGGACTCGCCCCAGTCGGACAGTTGGGCGGCGATGGAGCTACGTTCACGACCGGCTGCTTCGTATGCGCCGATCGCGTTGTTCTCGCTCTTGATCAGTCGGGTCAGTTTGCGGCTGAGCTCTGGCGCCTGGATGCCCCGGAAAGTGGAGATGCTGAACTTGTGCCGGCCGCTGGCGGGTTCGCGGTCTCGGCGAGAGCGGATTGAAAGTGCGCGGTTCCTGTGGGTGATATCAGTCAGCTCTTTTGGTCTGTAGTTCTGCTGGCTGAGGGGGCATCACCGTACATTGCCATCGGCATATTGGCGGTTGTAGGTCGATATGTAGATACAGAGTATTCACGATGTTAGGTGGAGGTGGAGAAGCAGGGATGCTGCAAGTAGGGATCGGCTGCTGGTCACGGACAAACTTCCGGTTTATAGCACGAACGCTCCTACCCTGGCCTCGGGTAGCTAATAGCCCTTGGGGAGGTATAGATGACGATGGACCCAAGCCTGTCGTCGGCGCACCTGCTGGCCAGTGGCTGCGTGACGTCACGACGGGGAAGGACGGAAGGTGCGCCGCCGATTGCAGTCGCCGTGATCCGCCCAGCAGCCATCCTGGGCCGTCGGTGACTGGCTAAGACAAGCTGGAAGCTTTGGAGGGGTGGTTAATCATGGACCTTGAAGCTGGCCTCGTGCCAAAGCTGGAGGATCGTCATGCTCCACACGTAGAGCGGCCCGATTATCTGAGGTGGAGACGCCAGCTTCACGCCACAGTGTAGATGAAAAAGATAGAGGTAGAATAAACTATCGGTCTCATCTAAAGTAATTCATAGGAACACCTGAATTAGTAGATTGATTTCCCCGGGGTCGCATAGTATCACGCTCAATATCACATGAGGTGCATACATTGCATACTTAGGGTACCTTAGCTTGATGTGATTATACGTGCCTTAGCACTCCTGACAGGGTAGCTATTGCAGGGCTGACAATTGCACCACAAAGTTTTAAGCTACAGCAATCATATGCACTACGAATTGAAATCCACTCTTGATCCAACCCAGGCAACCGCCCGGAAGCAAGATTCTCTGCCATTTTATTATACAGCACAAAGAAAGAGCAAATCAACCGTGCATCAAATCCAGGACGTCCCTACCCACGCACCAACACCCGGAGCAGACTGCAAGAACATACAGTGAGCTATAACGCAAATGAACCATTTGAACAACCTTAGAAGAGTAAAGCGCCTTCATAAATTCACCATTCACAATCTACGACATTTCATCCGCATCGGGGTTGTGTCCGTGCTCATTGTCCGAGGCATGGAACGCATCGCCGAATGCTGAATTGTCCAGATCCGGCAGATCCAGTCCGTCATTTTGCTCCGTGTACGCGGCCAATGCATCCCCCGCGCTGTCGATGTTGGTGAAGTCGAATCCGCTCTCGAGGCTTGCGTCGCCGCCGGTTACCTTGTTCTCATTGTTCACCATTACCCATTCGTTGTTTTCGCCAGGGCCGCCGCCAAGTTGGTCGCCGAGGTCCATGTCAACGTCTGTGGAGATCCCGCCGCCGTGCAGGGACTGCTCCGAGGTGCCGTCGGCGCCAAATTGGTTCAGGAGGTGGGAGTCGCCGTGGTCCATCACCATGTCGTTGGTGAAGGATTCGGGCTCCTCCTTGTGCTCTGGCTCGATCTTCTCCAATAGACCTCCCTTCTCGACGCACGACACCTTGGGCTCGGGCGTGATCTGCTTCTTCCAGTTGGTCTCCACCTCGCGCACCACGTCGTCAACCTTGTACTTGGCTTTCTCCTCCACGTAGTCTTGCGGGTTGGCTTCTTCTTCCGATGGGATGATGATTCGGCCTTCAAGGCGCCAAACCTCGGGGCCGGACTCTGTTGGGTCGGCAGCAGCTTCACGGAGACGTAGCTCAGCATCTTTGAAAAGCGAGCTGCGGTTGAATCGCTCCATGCGTTGCGCGTGTTGTTTCTTGAGTTTCTCGATCTCGGTGGTCATCTCGGTCACCTTCTTGGTGACCCGGTCTGCGAATTCCTCGGCCTTGGCCGGCTCAAGTTTTGTGGCATCGGGGACATCGTCATCTGCGCCTTCGCCACTTCCAACAGGGGCATCGAAGAAACCCTCTGTCAACGACTGAAGCTCCCCTTTCCTTCCTAGCCCCAAAGACACCGGTGTGATCTGTGAGATGGAATAAGGTGACGCGAAGATCTCCTCCATCCACTCATGGTGCTGAATGTATCGCATCTTACTAACCTCGCGGGCTGTCAAAGAGTCAAACATGTCGCCGTTAGAGACATCTTCATCCTCCATCGCGAATTCGCCCGCAGCAGTTGCCATGGCCGCCGATGAGGCGCGGTGAGGACGAGCAACCTTGGCTTGCGGAGCAGCAACCTGAGCCGCGGTCGCGGGGTGGCCGTGGGCTTGGGGTGGATAGTAGCCCGGTCGTGCTTGTTGGGCGTTCTGATAACCAGGTTGGGGTTGGGTGAAGCCTTGCTGGCCCATTTGCGAAGGGAAGTTGATAGTGGGCCAGTTGTTTCGGTCGTGCAGCAGGAATTCCTTGCGGGCAAGCTGGCCCTGGCTTTGAAGGAATCGTCGTTGGTTCATGATATTTTGTACTTGTGGGCTGTGGGGCACGCGGTTGGCCGGAAGGTGGTCATTCTGAGGAGCGCGCGAGTAGTGAACAATCCACAGAGAGGGGTCGGGAGGAGCAGCACCCGGGACTTTGGTGCTCACGATGCGATAACGCTTGCGGGTGTGGCTGGCGATGTTCTCGTTCGGAGGGTGGTAACCACTGCGGTGGATGAACACTTCAACAGTCTGTATCATCGCGGCGTTAGCCGACTCAATTCAATCACGCTGTATTGACAGCATCTAGAAGCTGCGGAAGCTAGATTTCACATACGTAACCTCGGACTTCAAGGACATGCCCCTGCTCGGCATCGGCCCAGACATAACCATCACTGGCAAAGTTATTGCCCAGATGTTGCTGGGGCTGCCATGTAAGCATAACCGTGCCATCAGCGGGGCCATCCAAGAAAGTCCAATGCATGGGTTGTGACTGGCAGACACGAGGTGCTGTAGCCAGGTACTCGACGGCGGTCTCCGGGGGCATCATGTGCATGTTGGGGTAGCGATTCCGCGAGACAAGGTGCATATGTGGCAGCTACAACCATTGCGACCGGTTAGTTTCCATTATGCATGTGAGAAATTGCGCGAAGAATTGCAAATGGGTTCAATGGTGTTGGGGCGGCGTACCAGTTGCTGCGGGATTCGGGTTGCCGGGTCCTCCATCGTGGCGAGACCCGTATGCGGGTATGCAGATCGGGACAATTGGGTCGCGAGTGCCGATAAATGGGTCAGATGGGATCAATGGGAATGTATCTGATGGGGAGGCGGCGGGCGCGGGTCGGCGTGGTCAGGGCTGATGGAGCTCCTGGCAACGCGACGCGGGAGATTTTTGATGCGGTGCGGGTGGACACAGCGACCTAAAGCGCACGACACCTGAGGCACCAATGTTCAATGTAGATCAGCAGTCGGCGTTTTAAAACTGCCTTCCACAACTAATTCTATTACTCTTTATGAGACTTTAGCGACCCTGATTAGAATTTATCATTTTCAGCAGATTATGAATCAAATCATCGGTAAATAACTTGGAAATGATTCTCATAAGTGAGCGCAGTATAGCGTGACTTCAAATCAATACTAGCAAGACAGCAGGATATAGGAATGGCGAGGGAAAAGGAAAAGCGCACTGGCAAGTGGTGCTCTGAAACACTGTAAAGAACCTGTGAGAGCTAGCTTGGCGCATTGAGGTCACTCGTTAAGAGGCGATGAATAAAGTATTGAGTTCAAACTCTGAGATCTTAGGTGGAGTCAAAAGCTTTCCATTGACATTGAAAAATTGAAAAATAAAAAAAAAGGAAATAAAAAATTCTGTACTAGGAGTAATTCAGTAATTCACAACTGAGCGAAAAGGAGACTTAACATAGCATGCCGTGGACTTGAACGATCGACATTGCCGTCGCCGTTTTGATGTTTTCCCCGCACTGCCACATCCTTGTCCATAAGGAAGACACCGAACCTCATGGAGATCGAAGTAGTGTACCCAGAACGTGGCAGTCCATAACAACTTCAAACGCTGCGGCAATATGGAAATTGAAATCCACAAGCATTACGTGGTAGCGTGCCCCACTCTAGTGTATGGGTATCAGCTTTTATGGCGTCATATTATACAGGGTGACCTTCAAGATGGTACAAAGACAGTATCAAATTTTTGAACGTAGCCCGTTCAGCGATAAAAACGTAGCCCGTTCAGCGATAAAAAAAATAAGATACTTGAGCATGATAATCCTCAGTTCGCACTAGCAGCCACGTTCCATGGTTCGTAGCTAGTAGCTTCGGGAGAGATTCAATGTCAACACTTTTGCTAGGATTACGAGAATCGATACATGAAATCTACCTTTTCATATGCGTTTCTTTCGAAATGCTCATGTCTAAGAGACTAAACAAAGCCAACGCGAGGAGCCGCACTTGACGTCAATCCAGCACAGCTACGTCAATTTTGGCGTGATCGCATCGGAGAATAAACCCACCCATTTTTCAGGCGCTGGGCCCGACTATCGAATGATTGACGTTCTTCCCTCGACAAGATTTGCTGGCACACCCACGGTCAATCAAAAAGATGAGTTCATACTTTACCTTATAATGCCCTAGGATAGGGTACTCTCGCAGAGCCCAAACATGCCGTGCACAAATTTCGGGCCGACATATTCTCTCGGACTCTGCCTCGTTGCATTCTTTGCATCTCCACCGGGAAGACCCTCTGGAACCACGGGCCCTTGCGTCGCAGCACGGTGGATACAGATTCCGACCGACAATTTGCTGCATAAAAGTGCACAGCAACCGTGCGATGACCATAGGGTATAATGGACAAGAGAGGCGTCCGAAAGAGGCAGAACGATCGGAGGTGACGAAGAGCCGAGGGTACGAAGCTTTGCGGCTCCACCGGCTCGCATTTCCTCCACCCCCGGTCTCCTCCTCACCACTCTCCAGTAGCCCTGTGGAGTCGCGGGTGTTCATAGTCTCTCCAGGGTGTGGGGGAAGCTGCTGGCCCCCCCCAATCACTGAGGTGACACCTGCTGGATTCCACCGAGCAACTCGAACAAGTCCGAGTCACTTGCCATTTGACGCCGATCGAATTCACTACTGCTTCCCCCGCGTATAAGACGATCCCGCTTCCCCGTTCTCCCCGTGAACGTCGGAGCCCTTTCTCTTTTCCCCCACACTTTGAAATTCCCTTATCCTGCGGCCATGGGTTTCTTTGGCAAGTTTGATCCCCCCGAGGACGAGATTCAGCGCGCGCCGCCCGACGTCGATATTGAGAAGAGGGTACCCTCTCATGAAGAGAATGAGCCCGGACAACCGCCGGCTGTGGTGGCTGCTGCGCCGATTGACCCCGAGCTGGAGCGAAGGGTCCTGAGGAAGCTAGACTGGCGAGTCCCGACATTGATGGGATTTCTCTGTATGCCATTGATCTTGAGACTCTACTCTGAACAGCGAATTAGCCCTGGAAAGCTAACATGTGCCGTGCAACTTAGATCTGCTCGCTTTCCTCGACCGAAGTAACATCGGGTACGTTGCTGGACTCGTGCAATGTGACACCTCACAAAAAGCAGATCCGAAACTGACCGCTGGGTAGCAATGCCAAAATCGCCGGCATGGAGGAGGACCTCGCTCTCACCGACGAAAAATACTCATGGCTCCTCACCATCTTCTACATTTCATACACGCTCTTCGAGTTCCAGGCCTTGATGTGGAAGATCATCAAGCCGCACCAATGGGCTGCTTTTGTCGTGTTCTCCTGGTATGCGCCCACGTGGACGATGATCTGCCCCCCTAAAACGGACATTTTGATACACTATACAGTACATACTGACGCGCATCAAGGGGGTTGGTGTCAACGTGCCAAGCGGCCACAAAGAATTGGCAGGGTATGATGGCCCTGCGATTCCTGATGGGTGTCTTTGAGGCGGGTTTTGGGCCCGGTGTACCATACCTCTTGTCATTCTTCTACCGTCGTCACGAGCTCGGTCTCCGATGTGGTCTGTTCTTGTCGGCGGCCCCGCTGGCAAATACGTTCGCTGGTGCCCTTGCTTATGGAATCACCTCGGGCCATGGTGCCATTGCCAATTGGCGCATTTTGTTCCTGGTCGAAGGTCTCCCGGTCTGTGCTGCGGCGCTGCTGGCCTGGTTCTATGTGCCGGATACGCCTGCGTCGGCTAGATTCCTGACTGAGGAAGAGAAGGATATTGCTCGAGCCCGTGGTCTGCAGCAGGCTGGTGAAGCGGAGCGAGAAGGCAAGATTCAATGGAAGGAACTGGCCATGACTCTACTGGATGCGAAGGCGTGGTTCACAGCAGTGAGAACCCTCCATTATTCATAGAGAGAACGAGAGAACGACAAAAAAGAATTGCCACTAACGTCTCCCTAGTTCATGTACTTTAGCTGCAATGTCAGTTTCTCCTCGTTGCCCGTTTTCCTTCCAACCATCCTGAAGGAAATGGGCTACTCCTCCGTCAACGCCCAGGGCCTCACAGCACCGCCCTTCTTCCTGTCTTTCCTTGTGATGATCGGGACCACTTGGGTGGCGGATCGGATCCAACAACGTGGATTGATGATCGCGATTCTCTCCCTGATCGGCGGTGTGGGGTACATCCTGTGCGTGGCCTGCACCTCCGTGGGCGTGCGCTACTTTGGCGTCTTTCTGGCCGCGTGTGGAGTCTTCCCGTCGATCGCCAATATTCTGCCGTGGGTTCTGAGTGAGTCATCCGTTTCCCTTGAGTGCCAATCACACTCTCGCAACTATTTCTGACCAGCGTTGTGTGTCACTAGACAATCAAGGCTCCGATACCCGTCGTGGTGGAGGTATCATCCTGCTCAACATCATTGGCCAATGCGGCCCTTTCCTGGGAACAAATGTCTTCCCAGACGCAGAAGCACCGCGATACATTAAGGGCATGTCGATTTGTGCGGCATTCATGTTCTTCACGACGCTGTTGGCGTTGTGTTTGCGGACGCTGCTTGTGTGGGAAAACCGGCAGCTCGACAAGAAGTACGGGCCCAGGATCGAGGTGGATCCCTCCAAGGCCGATGCTGCGCTATCGGAGGACAACTACGGCGCCAGCTTCAGGTATGTGTTGTAACCTCTGTATGGAGGATGCGTCGGACTCGCGAGGGGCGAATTGAAATGCCCTCACTCTGTCTGTCTCCACATCTGCCTCAGCTGCGTGCTGTGATGACTAGGCATGATGTCAGACCCCCACGATGGCACGCCCGCTTGTATGTATTATCGATGTTTCCTTTGACGTGAATGTACATATGCATGAGTGTAACATCTTGCTCTGTTGTCGTGGACACGGGCCACTTCTTGTTTCGTGGTGACAGTGGGAAGCTCCAAAGTTTCGTGAAAACTCGCCCGGAGAACTGCAGTCCGGAAGCTTTGCCGTGGAGCTCGGAATCTCCGACGCAAGCCGAGCTTGTATTTTCGCCGGTGAATCTGATGAGCACGTAGCATTTCAAACGATGGTCATTTGATAAATAACTCAGTTAAATTCAATATGGGCGGGAGTCATGAGGTTGTTGAGATCGGCTTCCCGCTCTCCCTCACATAGGGTCCAAGCTCTACGGAAGACCGGTTGACGAACACAGGATGAAAAGTACTTGGAGTAACTCAAAACAGAAGGCCAGAACAAATGGGAAACGTCATTATGTGATCGAGAACAATATTCCCCTCTCTGTTCACCGGAGACTTTCGGAGGCGACAGCAGTCAAGCCAGTGTGGGATGGTGGGGTACCCCAAAGCATATAAGGTTGCCTGCCCCTCCTCACTTCACTTTTTCTTTTCTTCTCTCAACTTCGTCAGTTCTTAAAAATCGATCACAGCAACACTCACGTGTGACAAATTATCAAGTAACTATTAACCCTCCTGCTCTCAGTTCCGTCGCTGACCTGTCCATCCCAGACACCTGTCAAGTACATATAGCCCTCCCTCAAGGGAAGCCATGGAAATGCTTTGGCTGGGCACATTATCTTCAAGGGATCAAGGTATACCAGTAAACTTCTGGGCATGAGCCGGTGTTCGTTCTCGCGTCGGTGGAGATCCACTTCCTCAAGCTGAGCAGTCTTTGTCATTGATTACCACAACGACTCTCGACTGGAAGGCTCTATCGACGCAGTTCGTCCTGAGATTATACGGCGAAAACTTGATCTGGATAATACCAGCGAAAGGATCATGCCTTCCCCCCCTCCCTTCCCCCTTGGAAGTGAAACACTAACGAAGGCCCAAGTCAATCTCCCGACTTGATCCCCAACTCACCATGTCTCCCCCCGCTGCTATCTTCGAGCCCACCACTGCCCCCACCGGCATCAAGGGCAAGGTCATCGTCCCCGAGACGGCCACCACCACCCTGACCGGCCAGGGCCAGAGCAAGCTCCTCGAGCAGTTCGGCGGCAAGTGGGATGAGTTCAAGTTCGCACCTATCCGCGAGAGCCAGGTCTCTCGCGCCATGACTCGCCGCTACTTCCAAGATCTGGACAACTACGCCGAGAGCGATGTCGTTATCGTCGGCGCTGGCTCCTGCGGTCTTAGCAGTGCCTACGTCCTCGCCAAGGCCCGTCCGGACCTGAAGATTGCCATTCTTGAGGCCTCTGTGTCTCCTGGTACGCTATTCATCCTACATTAATCCATAAATCAACCTAACAGTCAACAGGTGGCGGTGCCTGGCTCGGTGGCCAGCTCTTCTCTGCCATGGTCCTGCGTCGTCCCGCCGACGCCTTCCTGACAGAGCTGGGTGTCCCCTTCGAAGAGGAGCCCAACAACCCCAACTTCGTGGTCGTCAAGCACGCCGCCCTCTTCACCTCGACCCTGCTCTCGAAGGTCCTCTCCTTCCCCAACGTCAAGCTCTTCAACGCCACCTGCGTCGAGGACCTCATCACCCGCCCGGACGGCAACGACGTCCGTCTCGGCGGTGTCGTGGTCAATTGGACCCTCGTCACCCTTCACCACGACGACCACTCCTGCATGGACCCCAACACCATCAACGCCCCCATCATCATCAGTACCACCGGCCACGACGGCCCCTTCGGCGCCTTCTGCGCCAAGCGTCTCGTTTCCATGAACGCCATCGAGAAGCTGGGCGGTATGCGCGGCCTCGATATGAATGCTGCCGAGGACGCTATCGTCAAGAACACCCGTGAGGTCGCTAAGGGTCTGATTATCGGTGGTATGGAGCTGTCTGAGATCGATGGCTTCAACCGTATGGGTCCTACCTTCGGTGCTATGGCCATGAGCGGTGTCAAGGCTGCTGAGGAGACTCTGCGAGTCTTTGACCAGCGTAAGCGTGAGTGTGCTGAGTAAAATCGTGCACTTGCAGAACTTGGTCACGTTGCTCTTGCTTTATGATTTTGATGAGGTTGATGAAGGCCGAGATGGTTACTTGCTCGATTCGCTTAAGAGAATGCACTCCACACTCGTTATGTGCTAGCAATACTTTCCAAGATCAGTAGCCGTAGAGTAAAATCGTAAGCTTGTATGTGTTGATTAAATCGCAGAGGAATAATTTGATTGCCATGGTAGGTGATGGTTTTCGATCACCGCTGACCATGGATGGAAAGATTCGTGTTTTACTCGTGCTATATGCTCTATACTAGTGGGAAAGGTATATTGGCAGTGGAGAATACTGCCAACGGACGCATTATCTATTAATACCATAGGTATCTACTCTACTTCAGCAGAGCAAGCTAATTTATACAATCAATCGAACTTCCAACCCAAAGGTTTTGAAAACACCCCAATCACTTATCTTTCTTCTTCTGTTCAGGACTCTCTCCCGCCGCAAGTAGCAAGCTTCTCGCATTCCGTACCTCCCATTCAAATTCCTTCAATGCTCGCAGCTCGCTCGACACAAATAAGCCCCCAATCAATCCATCGAGAATTCCAGCCCCAAAGTTCAAGGTACTGACCAGGATCAAGATAAACCCAATATACGTCCGGCTTCCCACCCACCACACGCCGACCATACAGCCGATTGAAACCACCAGTGACACCAAGAAGTGGATCAGGCGCCAACGGCGCTGAGAGCGTTCACGACGCACGTATGTGTGGATCATATCGGTTATGTGGTCGTACGTTTCTGGAGAGAGACCTGCATTGGGTGCAAGTTGTGATGAGGTCGGTTTGTGTAAAGATGCGGAATTCGGCGCAGAAAGGTCGTGTACCTCTGATGTGAAGGCCGTCTCATCGCTAGGTGTGCGAGCAATGACGGCTTCGACAGCAAAGTGGTCACTCAACGAGCATCGGAGCGTTGGATGGCGCTGTGTCATGCCCACATTGGCCGACTCGACCGACCAGCGTGGCGGCGGGAATTTAGGTGCGTAGCCGCCGTCGCCGACGAAGATATAATCTAGACGTTTCGCGCGGGGATCAGGAACATCTTTATCGACTGCCCGATCTTGACCCTTGTCCAGCTCTTTGCGATGCGCCTTGGACCATCGCCATGTATTGTAGGCACCGTCGCATGTGGCACCGTTCTCAAGAAGATTGTATTCTGCTGAGGGGATTGGCCGATTTCTCGCACGCTCGACGGCGTCAATTGCGGCGCCGACGGAGGAGTCAGGGTGTAGCTCGCGCCAGACGTCGCGAACGGGACTTTGGGCTGTGATAAGGCGGTGGGCGAAGGATGATGGGAGCATGTTGAAGTCGCCTAGTCCGATGACGAGGTGCCCGCGCTCGGCGGCACCGCGCATAAGTTTGGAGATTTCCCATGCTTGGGCGGTGCGGTGGCATAGATAGGAGTCGTTGGGTTCACGTTCGTATGGGGCGTGGAGGTGTGTGCAGAAGACTTCGGCTACATCTGCGGTGCCAGGTCCAAAGCGAATTCTCGCACAAGCAACGCCTTTGCCGACGAACCAGTCGCCGCGGAAGAAAGCTGTTGGTCGTCCGTTCAGTGGATATCCGAACATGCTGCTCTCTTCGATGGGCCATCGTGAAAGAATTGCCAGTCCTGCACCGAAAATTCCTCCGAAGTAGAACTTCCCGTATGGTAGGATGTGTCGAGTCTGCTCGTGGATGCTCTCGTAGTCTTGTTGGGTCCAGCACTCCTGAAGTCCAACTATCTCTGGCGGCGAGCTGGCCAGTGCCAGCTGTCGTCCAATCTCAGATAGTCGTTCATGGCGATACTTCGACAGAAACTTCAAACCCCAGCAGTTAAGCGAGAAGATCCGGATGTGCGAGGGAGCCTCGCTGGGTACGATCGAGGAGGGCATTGGGGCCGAAAGAGCTGTTGCAGGCGCATCTGCCAGCGGCGTCGGAGATGCTCCACCAGAACGGCGTCGATCAGTGATGTAAAGTGTGCCCTCACCGCCTTTCGGACGCGCCTTTTCTTTTCGCGCTGCAGAACCCCAGCGCGTTTGCGATGCGACTGTTCCCCGTTGTTTCAAGCCCCCATGGATCATGCGCAGAGAACTCGGAGCCGTCGAGAGGAGACTCGTTCGCCGTCGCCCATCGACTCGTCCACGGACGAATTGGCTGCGGCCTCGGATCATGAGGAAGCGCAGCGCCGCCGCCAAAGCTGGTCGCACTCGAAGAATTTCACCCCGCGACGCGCCAATCCCAAGAAACGCCGTTTCGATGACTCTGAGAGCCCCGATGAACTGACTGTTGACCCGGAGGAATACTGGAGCGCATCGCATAATCGCCGCAGCCCTTCGCCTATCAATCGCCCCACCCCCACGGAGGGCAGCCACGAAGACCGCTCTGGGGAGTCTGATGAGTATGCCGATAACCGTGTCCGGAATGATATGAACGACGATCGATCTGATACACCTGTCCCAACTGCTGGGGCTGCCCCGCCGCCTCCCCCGCCCAAGCCCGACCATCTGAACTACAAAGAGAAATATGCGCTCAAAGCGCATCTTCGTGGTATTTCGACAGTGCAGTTCTCGCCGGACTGTACCATGATTGCAAGTGGAGGTATGTTGCTTGGTCGGATTTCTTTATTTTTCATTTGCTAATCAATATCTCTCCTTTTGCAGGCTCAGATGCAGTGATCAAGGTCTGGGATACCTTGACGGGCAATCTCATCTACACATTTGAAGGCCACCTAGCGGGTATCTCTACACTGGCCTGGAGCCCAGACGGTCAGTGGATTGCCTCTGGCTCTGATGACAAGACAATCCGACTTTGGAACGTTAGTACGGTATGTGACCAATCCCCTTACCCTATAAACATAGAGTAAACAGGACTGACTGATGATGTTGTAAAGGGCCGAGCTCACACTAAATCTTTCATTGGCCACCACAACTACGTTTACCAAATTGCCTTCGCTCCCAAGGGTAATATCCTCGTCAGCGGGTCCTATGATGAAGCCGTGTTCATTTGGGATGTCCGACGTGCGCGTGTCATGCGCTCTCTCCCTGCGCACTCCGACCCCGTTGCCGGCATTGACGTCGTCCACGATGGAACCTTGATCGTCTCCTGTGCCCATGACGGTCTAGTCCGTGTCTGGGATACCCACAGCGGCCAATGCCTGCGCACTCTTGTTGTCGAAGATAACCCAGCTGCTACGTGTGTCAAGTTTTCACCCAACGGCAAGTACATTCTGGCCTGGACGCTGGACGGCTGTGTGCGCATGTGGAACTATGTCGAGAGCCGTGTTGTGAAGACTTTCCAAGGCCACGTCAATAACAAGTACAGTCTCTCTGGGTGCTTTGGAATGTACGGCTCGCCCGAGGTCAGATACTCGACTCCTCCCTGCTTTGCTGTCAGCGGGAGTGAAGACGGTGACATTCTCTGCTGGGACCTCGTTGGCAAGAACATTCTGCAACGTATCAAGGGACACACTGATGCCGTGCTGTGTGTGCATACTGGTAAGCTGAACGGTAAGCGCTTGATGGTTAGCTGCGGCCTTGACCTGACCGTGCGACTGTGGGAGGAGGTTCCTGAGGATACACACGAGGAAATCCCTCAGTCTATTCCCAACACTGATGGTGATCAAGCAATGGCTGATGCCTCGCTCGACCCGTCAGCTGAGATTACCCCTGCGCAAGATGTGATGATGACATGATTCTGCCCGCGTTCTTGCTTCTTCGCTTTTAGCTTTACTATCTGTTGGAGTTCGTGTGCATCGGCGGCCGGTCTCTGCTTTATATCTTGGGAATACCCGGTGTATGGTGTTAATTTGGTGACTTTGGAATTTGCATGGCACTGAATTTGGTCTTTCGGGCCTTTGAGATGTATTTTGCTATTGATCTGTGACAGATTTTACGAGGTATTTACACGGAATATCAACTTGAATCTTACAATTTTGAAGGACAGACCGTATCAATCGCCCGCGGTAGTATATGGCAAGGAAGATGTGGTGTCGCGCCTGCGGGATCGTGGAGTGAAGACGGATGCCGGGGGCATGAAGGGAGAATCGGCTCTATCGGTCGCTGCACTGAGGAAGTATGAGGAGCTGGTGTACATGCTTCTCTTACACAAAGCGAACCCCAATGTTGGAAAGAATGTTGGCAAAACACCTCTTTCTCAGACGGTGGCAGCAGGGAGTCTCAACATTGTCAATCTGCTACTGGACTACGGGGCCGACCCAAACGCCCTAGGCCAGTCTGGAGAAACCACCCTTATGCCATCGTGGCCAAAAGCAATGCTCTTAAAGTAACACGACTGTTACTATGTCGTGTCGCAGCTATAGACGGAACGAGGTACCTGGGAAGGACGGCACTACTCGCAGCCGTCAATGTAGGAGGTCAGTCGCCGGTGTCTCTTGCCATGGAAAAAATGCGAATACGAGATTCTTGATGTGTTTCCTTGGTTTAGGTATTGGCCTTACTTCCCCCACAATGGCAGGCCGGGCATGGGAGGCGCCGTGGCTGGGGGGTGCAGGCGTCGGCTTTTTGTTGGGGGGGGTTGGTTGGGTTTAGCAATTTTTGCTTTCCGGATAGAACTCTAATAGCTACTTTGACTGCGTCTTTCGGCTCTGTGAGAGGCAACGAACGAACGTTTACGAGAGCATTCGCAATGTACGCCTCATGTCGCGTACTCGCCTCAGGTGTCTAGTTGCGTATGCAACAGACTCCAATCGAGATAAGATCCGCTTGGTGAGAATAGAAACGACTGGTAATATGACAGGCACACCCCAGGCGTGGGTACACTAATGTACCCCATGGGACAATTGCCGGCATGTATACTCCAAGATACATCCATACAGAAGCCCTGTGGCGGTTGAGCTGCTTAGTAACCAGCTCCAGGCACCCGGCACGTCATACCTTGCCACCAACGTCAAACAAGATCCAGCAGGGGCAATCCTCGTGCCTTTTCTTTAAAAAGAATAGGGGTGGGACCTGAACAGTATGTCTTACCAGAAAATTCATCCATCATGACGGGAATTCTTCGCGTGGATCCTCCTGTCTCTCAGGAGCCCGGTAGAGATGAACTCGGGAAAGACCACCATGACAAAGGCTCTATTAAAAGCCGTCAAAATTCGGAAAAAGCCCGTCAAATCGGCGCTCATGAAGACGGCTCGCGAATAGAAGGTCAACCCTCTGGATTCTGAAACTTGACGAATATCAGGCAGCAGTGCTAACGGGTCTGTTACAGAAAAGTCGATGAAGCGTACAGGCGCGCCATTCCGACAAGCCGAGAGAGCAGAAGATACCCGAAGAATGTGAATGGCGCACCGGAGTCTATCAGAGTCAATTAATAATATGGCACGTCAACTGTCTCCCGGCGATTTCCGCGGAGAAGCTTGGGCCGTGCGAACTGTGAGTCGGTTCAAAGTCAAGCATTTCGAATTGTATACTTCGCACTGACACTGGATTAGGCTTTTAAGTGATGAATTTCTTGCCATTCAATATAGCAACATCATTTTGAGCGAAGTAAGGGAGATCAATACAATGCGATTTATGCTCTTTAGTCGAATGCGCCCAGTTCCATTTGCGTAATATCTAGAGGCACCGGTCCAACATAAACACTACGGGATCTTCTCAAAGCCCCTCCGCCATGCACTTGGTGGTTTTACCAGCAGTCTCTTTCGCAATTTCATCACATGAACCTTCCCAAGCTTTGTGAACAGCTGCCCGGACACATTGTTTCTGTATCTCAACACTACAGTGGCTGGTCGCTTTGGGGACCCTGAGCTAAACCCCCATGATGTCATCGAGATATTAGAGGGGCATTCCCCACCCCACGACGAGGGATTGTGTTGGCCACACTTCGAAAATTCGAACCCCTTTGGCACTGGCTCGGTCTCATACACAAAGTCGATCACGGCCCACTATATGATGAGGTGGCGGCAGGTACCCCGTGGAGTTCGTACAGCTAAAGATCGAGCCGGGTGAAGCAGCCTCCCAAGGAAGGAGAGCGTGCGGAGCTCAAGCTCTTCTCTTTGGAACACCGAGCCAACGCCCGTTGGGTCACATGGGGCGGCCCATGGATCAGAATGCTAAGGGAAAATGCCTCTGTTTTCTTCCCATTGGATTTTTACAGTCCGTTTTCCGCCGCTGATTTGTTGGAAGGGTTAGCCGGCTAATGAGCTATTTTAGAGTCGAAGATCGTGTGGGGCACCGCATCTCTCAGCAGATTGCGTGTGCCAAGAGCCCACTCCCCTATGCACTTTCCCCATTGCGGTAAAACCGACAGTACTCCTAAGCGTTAGGGGTATATCATTCGATGTCTACTCTTATTCCATCCGGAAGATTCGGCCTGGGGCCACACAATACAGCCCCGCTTATCTGTTTCGCCATTTTATGTATAAGCGCAAGACTTTTTCCGGCTCCAATCTCATCTTTTCTTCCTCGCACTTTTTATTCTGCGTTCAAACAAAGCGTAAAAGCCATATTAATATACGGCTGCTCTATCCAACATCATATTACAGACAGCCACGCGGCACTGCCCTACTCATGTCTGAAACACAGAGCCAAGCCATAACCCCGGGCCGGCAAATGGCCCAATTTGGTGGAAATTCCATCTTGGGTGTCAATTTCGAAACCACTTCGAGGTTCGCTTGACTGAGCGAGTAACAATTCGTCGGAGACCGTATGTCTGTAGCTAATACGGGCGCTTTTTCAGATACTCCCAACTAGAGGCCATTGGGCTGGGTGCTTCCGGTTTAGTCTGGTATGATTTATTAGTTCCCAGCGACCTACGTCCAGCTTTTACTGACCTGTCCTGATGCGTTTGTTAGTTCTGCAAAGGATCAAATCTCGGGAAAAACCGTTGCCATCAAGAAGCTTACGGAGCCCTTCAAAACTGGGAACATTGCAAAGCATATGTTCAGAGAAGTGAAGCTCCTCAAAGAGCTTAAACATGACAATGTTTGTAGTCCAGCTCAGAATTTCGGGAGTTCGAGGCTAACAAATGAAACAGATTAGCCACTTGAGTGATATCTTTATCTCCCCGGCGGAAGATATGTATGTTGTTTGTCTACAATTGACGGCCTTTTGCTGACATTACTTTCAGCTATCTCGTGACAGAACTCATGGCTACGGATCTTCACACGCTCTTGAAGACCAAAAGGCTTGACGACCAATTCACTCAATATTTCCTGTACCAAATGATGGTATGTGCGGACAAATTCCTTCGAAAGCCTCCGATATAATCTTCTTCTTAACTTTACGAGTAGCGTGGCTTGAAATATGTTCATTCCGCTGGAGTCGTCCACCGCGATCTGAAACCAAGCAACATATTGGTTAACGAAAACTGTGATTTAAAAATTTGCGACTTCGGCCTTGCTCGTGTACGAGAGAGTCACATGACTGGATATGTTTCGACCCGATATTACAGAGCCCCTGAAATCATGCTTACTTGGAAGCGGTATAACGAAAAGGTGGATATCTGGAGCGTTGGCTGTATCTTTGCAGAGATGATTCTAGGCAAACCGCTGTTTCCGGGGAAGGATCATATTGATCAGTTCTGTGTGATCACACAGTTGCTTGGGAGTCCGCCCGACAATCTGATTGCCAATGTCACCAGCTCTAATGTATGTCACTCATCCCGATGAGTGAGTACAGCACAAAGCTAACACTAGCAGACATTGAACTTTGTTCGTTCATTACCTAAGAGAGCCCAGAAGCCTCTGTCGAGTCTTCTTCCTACTGCAAATGCTAAAGGTAAGTTGGACATGATCTACGTTCTTTCACATGATACTGACTTTTTCAGCCGTCACACTGTTGGAGAAAATGTTGCAAATAGATCCAGAAAAGCGCTGTTCTGCCGAAGAGAGCTTGACAGCAGAATATCTTGCACCGTATCATGATCCAACTGATGAGCCGGAGGCAGATGAAAAGTTTGATTGGGCTTTGGTTGAAGCTGACTTGCCAACTGACGTCTGGAAAACGATCATGTACTCCGAAGTTCTTGCGTACCATGACGGCGCAGGAGTTTCGGCGCCCTCACGGGCGCCCACGATCAAATCGGACGATATGGATTTGAGTTGAAAAGCAGTCTAGCTCATTTTTTGGTATATTTTTGTCAGTGGTTTATTAAGCGGTAGAGCGGTTACACTTAATAAGAGCGAAACTTCTTTCACAGGTCGGGAGAATCCTGTAGGTGGTGTATATTTGTCCTTTTAAAATGACCGAAGACCGTACTAGATTTCGGTTCATAGACAGAAGCTCTGGGTCAGAAGACGAGCTAAATCACTCGTGAAAATGAGCAAGATAGACAGTCTCAACCTCGCGTGCCATATCCACGACACCTCCAAAAATCGCGTTTCCGGACATGAAATCACAAACAGATTTAACTCCATGTCTCAGCTCTTCGATGAAGCGTTCGGCATCCTGGCGCTCTGTCCCGGGTTCGGTATATCCAAGCAGATAGCGCGACGTAATCATGTTATCAGAACATAATGAGGCACGAACCTTCCGCAACAACATCATAAGCACGTAGCAACACTGCATCCCACAGCATGCCATATATGGCAAAGAGCGCGGATATCGGACACGATTCAGGGAAAATATCGAGGGACCGCTTAGTTGCCCAGCTGCTTCGAAAGACTTTGGACCGGAAGAAGAATCGGAATATGAAGTATTGGGCCATGGTATGGCTCGCAGGGTTCGAGAGAGCACCAATGCCGCTTTGAGACAAATTTGTGTCGACTCTTCTTCTGTGAATGGGAAGACAGCATTGGATTCTGAAAATCGTCCAGGTGAAATTGTGAGGGGCATATCTGAAAATAATGAGCTGTTGATGGAGCTGAGGTCGCAGAATTTATCGAGGAAGACAGGTTCGTTCCCGAAGGCGCGGAAGCGGTGCAATTTGATGCGTGCTCTTGAGGTGAAGAGGTTGTTAATACTGCCTGTTAAATAGATTGGTTGTTAGGAGAAAACTCACGTGTGGGCTAAGAACCGAGCCATAAGCCATTTGTTGAATATCGCCACGCCATCGACCCCTTCCCATGTTGAAAGTTCAGGGGGTTGGTCCAGGTCGGCAATGACAGCTAGAATGAACGAGTCGAGCTCACGAATACGTTTTTGGGTGTGCTCATGACTTCCTTTTATGTTTCCCTCTGTCATCTGCTTGGCGACGAAGCCTGTCTCGAGCAACGCTTCTTGGGCTCTCATTGAAGTGGACCAAAGCTAAAACATCGGTTAGAATTATGGTACTATCAGATAAGGGAAATGAGGAAGTTGTACCTTCTGACAGCCATGAAAGTCCGGAAAAGGCGTGGTTATTCGGCAGTCATTCATTAGAACAATAGGCGACTAGATATGGGCGTCAGTAATGGGATACTCGGAGTGGAAGACGGTGAAGACCCACAGAATGATTAAATATGGCCGATTGATAGACTAGAAACATCTTCATACTCTGTTAGAAACGTATCAAGTCATCGACTGGAATTAAAACTATACCGTATTCCACCACACGCGGGCCTGGATAATCGAATGCTCAGAATTCGTCGGCTGACAAATATGAAGCGAGAGATCCATGGCTAGTATTAACGCGCTGTATATTCGAGCGCGCATTAGTCGCCGGTTGCTGTTTTGACAGTATTCGTAGACGCCCAGGAGCAAAAGGGCAAGCACAGGGTCTAAGGTAGAAGGTAGCTCAGGATGAATCGCACTTCGTGGGACGTCGTCCATCCCTGGAGTGGATACGGGAGCTGCGCCGGTTTGCTCTTGACCACTGCAGAACCCATCAACGCTCTCAAGCGCCGCTCGGGCATAAATATTTGCATATGAATTCCTCACTTCGATTTGAGTCTCTCGCATCGGATCGAGATCTTCTTGAAGAGGCAACAGGACCAGAAGTGCCATGAGTGCGAGGCCGAAGGGGGATGACGGCCAGAATGGCAAGAACGCCTGGTCAGGTGCGAGCTGTGTCAGGAGGACTTTCTGCGGATTATCTGCGTAGCTGGATATTGATGGTGGTGGCAGTAATGGAAGATAAGGGTGAATGAAGATATAATATGCATTCACTCTACGCAATACCACAGGGCAGCGATGTTAGTGCGAGTCGCGACATGGCCTGGCTAGCCGAAGGTAGGGGCGCTCCTTACAAGTCCTGTTCGTTTTGGTATGACCTGATATAGAATGATGATTCCACAGACTGAAGAGTACCGTGATTACCAACGGCAGGGCTGGGGTTCTCCGTCATCGCGAAGTCCCTGCTGTCCTGAAGCGGGCGGGAAGGGTAAATTATGTTGGCGAGATCATGTATAAAGATTTCTGTTGAAGGTTAGCACGGCCTCTCGCTATCCCAAATGACCACTTGCGGTCTTCGTCTTGGATTCTTTACCATCTCGCTGAGGTGACTCAATGGGCGCAGATATGGCGCTATTTGTGGCACTGGCGCGCTGCCTCTTCGCATTTTGATACCGCTCGCCTCTGCGGGCACCACCGCGCCTGCTTGGGCGATAATTACATTGTCTTTGGTTATTTGCGCACTATGGGGTTGTCAGTATTGGTCTTCAAGATGCGATGCGGAGAGTGTTGAGAGTCGAGGTGCCTTACATTTGCGCACGGGAGCTGCCCGTCGCAGCGCGTTTTGTAGGAGCGGCTATGAGTCGTTAGTTCATGATCGTCCTCGTTGTGAGTACAGAATGAAGCCCCACCAGGCAAGACATGCGAGCTTAACTTGCGATTTTGAGGGCGGCATTCTCCTGCAGTGGATGCCATGCTGGAGTAGAAGGCGGAAGAGAAAAATTCCCCACAGCGCCGGGCTTTGGTCAATCGCGCCCCACCGCCAGCTACGGAGGGTTATACCCGCCACAGCTCACTTTCCGATATCAGTCGGGCTGGATGCTTGAATTAAATTGTTTTGTGTCGCAATATGGCCGCCCTACATACTCTGGTAGTGTTCAGTTATCTGAAAAGTCACCTAATCTTGTATGGTGTATGAAGGCTTAATAAATTTTATGAATATGAAATATTTCCTACGTTCTTCTAGTTGATTTTCGCCCATCGGTCTTGCGTCAGACATCAATTAAAATCGCCATGGTCGAAAATAGTAGAGCCCTCGTCGTAGATTATTCAAAGTTGGATAGGGGTTCAAGTGATGCAGGCTGTCATCATCGTAGCCAAAATAGGCCTTCCCTTTCCTATTCACATCATCCATACCCATACCGTCTGCCTGAACGTTCACTCGGCCCAACCCAAAATAAATCCTCCCTCATGCTGCCAGCATGGACATATCGGACTCTGAACTGTTGATGGATCTTCAAGGCGTATCGTCACGCTATGATGACGTTGGGCAGGATCTACTGAAAGCGATCAAAGAGGGATTCGTTGGTAATGGTCTAGTGTTGGATTTGCCAGAAGTGATTTTCCAACAACTTACGAGTGATAGTGCCCGCGCGTGGTTCAAGCGGTGCAGTACTTTCGTAACTTTACCCAACGGTCACTGCGTGATAGGATGCTCAGTCAATTTCATAACAAGATCATCGGCGTAGATATCATCGGCTCGAAATTAAGTGATGCTGGTCTCTTCTTCTTACTGCTTGTGTCTCTGTTGGCAGTCCTGAAATTCAGCTGGGAGATACTCTATTTCGGCCAGATGTTGCCTTGCGCCTGGTTAACAAATCGGTTATAAAAATCATTCTCGAAGTCGGAAGTTTAGAGACGGGGACGAGCTCCTGGACGCTGCCAACCACTTGGTAGGGCAGAGCCCAGGCATCGAAGTGTGTCTGACGATCAAGGTTTACGATGATAGAACCTCTACGATGATAGAACCATACTCTCAGTCTGGAAGCCCGCAAATTATGCCTGCCCGGGACCAAAAACAAGAAGCGGTCACCATCCTGCTATCATAAATGACGCCGTTAGCATTTCATGTCGGGTACCCAGGTGACTTGGCAATGCGAGAGATTCATCTCACTCTGTGGACGTTCATTGGATATGTCCCTCGTTCGGACGTCGATGCCGATCCGATGGGAATATTGCCATCACCGAGGCAGATCTAGCTCTTCTCGGACGGCTGCACTGAACCAGCCCCAATCTACTATAGCTGAATGCAGAACTCCAATGCTTTGAATTTCTGGCGGGGCTTGCGATCATGTCGAACAGGCCAAGAATCAGGGCCGGGTCGATTCTCGGGGTGATCGGGCTTTGATCAGGATCGGCAGATATACTTCGGCGTTTGAAAAAGGCTCCGAGTAGCCAAGCTTAGCACTAAGCTGCTTTGAGAAGCACCCCCAAATTAGCTACATCGCACTTAGAATTCTCCAAGGCCCTCATGCCCGCGAAAAATATGAAATATCTCTACTTGGGGTCTATTAAAACCTTATAAAACACAATACGCATCTCCATCGACTCATCTGCTCTACTCACTTCGCAGACCGTTCACTTGTCCCGGCATTCTGCCACTTACCAAGTGCATCCATTCCAATCAGAGCTAACGGAGACTTTTCCTTGCAACCCATCGCGGGGTAATGGGGGATTTATTAGTAATGTTTATCACTTTTTCCTTCTAAAATCCTATCCAATTCGGCAATCGTGCAGTTCTTGAGCCAAATTCCGCGTGCAGCATCCTTTGTTTCGGCCATATCAATTCGCTTCCTTCGGAGACGCAAACCAATGTCTACCTCCGATCTCTGCTCATCGTCAGGTCTAGCTGAAGGATATTATGACCTCGGAAAGTTTAGTCGCCCCATAACCACCAAAAGCCAAGATGCCCAGATCTGGTTCGACCGTGGGCTGATCTGGTCGTACTCGTTCAACCACGATGAGGCATACCGGTGTTTTGAAAAGGCCATCCAGCATGATTCAAAGTGCGCGATGGCTTACTGGGGTATCGCCTATGCTGTCGGTCCGAATTACAACAAATCGTGGCAAATGTTCGATGCTCGCGACCTCGACAAAAGCGTGAAGACCTGTTACAGTGCGGCGAAGACTGCAAATCAACTAGCAGCTGCTGAGCGGTTGACAGCTATAGAACGAGCTCTGATTCACGCTATTCAGTTTCGGTTCCCGATTGACCACCCTGTTTCGGACTTTGCGGTTGTGAATCAAGCATACGCGGATGCGATGGAAGCCGTCTATAATGAACATGGAAGGGATGATATGGACGTGATCACACTTTATGCCGATGCATTGATGCATACTTCTCTCCGCAAATTCTTTCATGTGAAGAGCGGCCTGCCTATCGAAGGATCGCCCGTTCACAAGGTCAGAAAGGTGTTTGATATTGCTTTGAAACATGAAAAAGCAGAGACGCATCCTGGAATTCTCCATTTCTGGATCCATTTCATGGAAATGTCTTTCGAACCTGGCATTGTTCTTCCGGCTGCAGACAAACTTCGAAGTTTGGTCCCCGATGGCGGCCATATACACCATATGCCAACCCACATCGATGTTTTGGTTGGTGATTATCGGAGGTCAGTCGACTCTAACACGGCCGCAGTGATTGCAGATGAGAAATATCTGGCAAAAGAAGGAGGAAACAACTTTTACAGCTTCTACCGTTTGCATAACTACCACTCCCTGATATACGCCGCCATGCTATCCGGACGACGTAAGGTGGCGCTAGATGCAACCGATAAGATGGAGATGTCGATTACCGATGACTTGTTGAAAGTTGAGACGCCCCCGCTGGCCGATTGGATGGAGTTCTTCAAAGCAGTGCGCGTGCATGTGTATATCCGGTTCGGCATGTGGGAGGAAATCGATAATCTTCCTTTACCTGCCGACCAAGCTCTTTATTGCGTAACAACGACAATGTTCCACTATGGCAAGGCAATCGCTTGGGCCGCCACACAAGATGTGGAAAAGGCAATCCAAGAGCGGGATCTTTATTACAAGGCTGCCAAAACAGTGCCTCCGACGCGCAAGGATTTCCCCAATCTCATATCCGACGTTCTGAAGGTGGCCAATACAATGCTGGATGGTGAGATCGAGTATCGTCAGGGTAATTATGCTCGTGCCTTCGAGAGCTTGCGCAAAGCTATTAAGCATGACGATGCCCTTCGATATACCGAGCCATGGGGCTGGATGGTCCCCACGCGTCATGCCTACGCCGCCCTGTCTCTGGAGCAGGGAAAGATCGAAGAGGCGGCACGTGCCTATGCAGAGGACCTTGGACTGGATGGTTCCCTCACGCGTGCTCATCAGCATCCTTATAATGTTTGGGCTTTGCACGGGTATCATGAGTGTTTGATGCGCCTTGGGAGAGACCGGGAGGCCGGCATCATCAAGCAACAGCTTGATCTCGCAATGTCGTTCGTCGATATACCCATCAAATCGTCCTGTTTTTGCCGACTGGGTAGTCCTTCGGTGGGAAAGTGCGTGTCGTGAGTCAGATGATAGCAGATATATAGACATGAGTCTTCAGCCTGGGAGATCGATATTTGGGCTTTGTTTCGGATTAGTTTAATCAATAGCATATCGTTTCTGTGTGCCTGTCTTCCACGATGTAGATTGAGCGATTTCGCAATGACTCTCCGTACGACGGCCCTCATTCGAAAATGGCCTCCAGTACACTCCAACACGGTGAACTTCGTTTGGTTCCTTTGTTGCCATCTTCTTGTAAGGCCCAAATCGGAATCTGAGAGAAGCCTTTCCACATGGACGATAGCAGTCGATTATCTCGTGCGGGCTGCGACGGAAATTCTGGAATCGACGATAGCGTTGAGAATGGCATGATCAGTTGCCGTACATAACTGACTAGTGTAGTGTAGGATTGATGAGATCGGGGATTGCAGTGCCCCGCCCTCGGGGTTTGATAGATGAATCATCGCGGACACTTTCTCTCCGACCCACTCGACACTTCCCGCCCGCCACCCCAAGTGCAACTTGGACTCGCCAACGCCCTGTTATATATAGCCGCATCGCGATACATTATGGTTGGCTGTCAAACTGCACGTTAATTTGGACCTCCTTCAACTTCGGTTGTGTTTTTTTGCGAACTGACGCCATCATGACGCGAGAAGTTGTCTCTCCGATTCCTGCGAGCGCCGAGTACTATGACCTGGGTTCGTTTGGCCACACCATCACCACCGCCAGTGCCGATGCGCAAGAATGGTTCAATCGAGGCTTGATCTGGGTGTACTCCTTCAATCATGTGGAAGGCGCCTATTGCTTTGAGCAGGCCATTGCCCATGACCCGACCTGCGCCATGGCGTACTGGGGTCTTGCTTATGCTGTTGGCCCCAATTACAACAAGCCGTGGGAGAAGTTTGACTTAGGAGATCTCCATACATCTGTCAAGCGGGGATACGAAGCATCGCTTAAGGCGAAAGAATGTGCGACAAAGGCGACTTCGCTTGAACAGGCTTTGGTTGAGGCTATCCAGTACCGCTTCCTTACCGACAAGCCTGCGGAGGATTATCCAGCGCTTAACAAGGGTTATGCCGATGCTATGAAGGTCGCATATGATCAATTTGGCGATGACTTGGACGTCGCTACGCTTTACGCGGACGCCTTGATGAACAGAACTCCTTGGGCGCTGTGGGACCTTTTCACTGGCAAGCCGAACCCGAAAGCTCCGACTCTGGAAGCCCAAGCTGTACTAGAACGCGCATTAGCAGAGGGAGGAGATGCCGCAGATAAAAACCCTGGACTACTACACCTATATATTCACTTTATCGAAATGTCGCCTGAACCCGAGCGCGGTATCAACGTGGCAGATAAGCTACGCGACCTTGTCCCGGACGCCGGCCATATCCACCACATGCCCACTCACTTGGATATCTTGGTGGGCGACTGGCGTCGCTCCTTGAGTTCAAACTACAGTTCGACTCTGGCAGACGACAAATACTTCCAACGATCGGGTGCCAAGAACTTCTACACCTTTTATCGCATGCACGACTATCACTCTTTGGTATATGCGGCCATGTTTGCAGGCAGATCGAAAGCTGCCCTCGATGCGGTTACTCGCATGGAAGCTACAGTGCCGGAAGATGTGCTTCGAATCCAATCCCCTCCTATGGCAGACTGGTTGGAGCAGTTCGTGGGTATCCGACTCCACGTGATGGTTCGATTCGGTATGTGGGAAGAGCTCAAGAACAAGGAGCTGCCCCATGATAGGGAACTGTTTGCAGGTACAACAGCCACCACTCATTATGCCCGCGGTATCGCATACGGAGCCACCGGTGACATCACCAACGCGCGGAAGGAGCAAGAGCTTTTCCATCAAGCTTGGGCTCGTGTTCCGGAGACCCGTCGCGCCTATAACGGCAAGTACGTTGACGTCCTCAAGGTCGCTGCCGCCATGTTGGAGGGTGAAATTGAATACCGTTGCCAAAACTATGATAAGGCTTTCGAGTCTCTCCGTCTGGCGATTGATCTGGAAGATAAGCTGCCCTACAGTGAGCCCTGGTCATGGATGCAGCCTGTTCGCCACGCATACGCCGCGCTTTTAATGGAACAAGGACATCTGGAGGAAGCAACAGCAGTGTATCGCGCCGACCTTGGTCTTGACAAGTCGGTCATTCGACCGCGTCGTCACCCTAACAATGTTTGGTCCCTCCAAGGCTACCATGAATGTCTTGTTCGACTCGGAAAGACAGAAGATGCTCTCATGCTCGAGCAGTCGACCAAGCTAGCTGTTGCTGCTGCCGATGTTCCGATTAAGGCATCATGCTTCTGCCGTCTGGACACGAGCCAGGCGCCTAGCATCTCCGAGTTTGCCTCTCCCAAAAACTGCTGCTCTTAAATTGATGAGCTTGCATGGCTACCTCAGCTGCAAGAAGACCGGATTTCGGCTCCATCTACAAATATTTATGTCGCTTATACAGGTTTCTTGCATTCCCAGATAGATGTTCTATATATTTTCTGCTTCTTTGCGTATAAAATGACAGATGACATTTACCCATCCGAGAAAAAGGCTCAATTTTTGCCGATTGCCATTCATTCAGGTGATCTTTCTTTACACTTACACGCTTCCATTGTTGCACGGGACTGCACCACCTGGTATTTGCAAAAAGGAAAGAAATAAAATGAAAAACAAGACAGGTATACCGGACAGTGAGTTTTATGGTTTCGATTGGTGGATGCGACTCTTGCTCAACGACACTCTTGCTCAATGACCGAAGGCCAAGAGCGAGGAGGAAAACCAAGAAAGCAAGTAAAAAAATCCCGGGGCCTTTCTCCGCTCACCCGTCCTCGCGGGCTTCGGGGATCATCGTTCAAAGTCCGGAGGATGAGGGAATAAGATCTCCTTTTGGATAGGAAAGGTCGCCTCCCGGGGTTAGTTCCACTCTTGGCTAGTGAGCCAAGGCTAACTTCCTACTTCACTTTTCGTGTCGGCATTACTCGCTCCTACGGCGATAGAAACAACAGGGGATTTTGATATGGCTTTGACCATCTACAGCTCTGACCACGATCTCCATCATATCCTTCGTTATCCGATATCGGGTAGTGAGAGCACAACCGAGGAACTGGGACCAGACTAGAGGGGGTAAGAGGTTAACGGGCCTACATATTTGAATCGGATAATCACGATTCGGAACTACCTCTGACCCCAGTTACTCCCTTATCACAATTTCTTCAGTCAACCAAAGCATTGGCCACAGTGGCTGTCTATCTTCAACATGGGATCTATCGGTAACCCAAACTTTTATTGCTTTGAAAAATTTTCCAAGCGTGGTCGAAATGCCGTCGAGCTGGGATATAAACGAAAGACATGGCAGATCATCAGTGACATGTGGCACCCCAGTACCAACCCCTCTGGCATTTTGTCGGTAGGCATGGCTGAGAATACTCTTCTTCACGACACCCTCGTGAAATATATCAATACAAATGTTCAGATCACGCCTAAGCATCTCACCTACAACAATGGAAGTATGGGATCGAATGGGCTGAGAAAGGCAGTCTCGCAGTTCTTGAACCGGCATTTTTCACCCTTTCGTCCTGTCGAGCCTGCTCATATCATCATGACAAATGGCTGTTCTTCTGCAATCGAACACCTGAGCTTTTCGATCCTCAACCCAGGCGAGGGTGTTCTGCTCAGCAAGCCATACTACAGCACCTTCATCGCAGACATATCTCTTCGACCTGAGTCTGTGGTGGTACCTGTTGAGATGGGATCTGTGGACCCTCTCAGCCCCGAGGCTGTGGAAGAGTATAAAAAGGCAGCTGTGGAGTTTGAGACACGCACCGGGAAAAAAATAAGAGCTGTCATGCTCTGCAATCCGCACAACCCCCTGGGACGCTGTTATCCTCGCGCCACAATCGATCGGTTGATGCAGTTCTGCCAGTCTCGGCAAATCCACTTGATCAGCGACGAGATCTACGCTCTCTCCGTATGGGAGAACCGTGTGGACAAAGAAACCAAATTCACTCCATTTGAGTCTATGCTTTCACGGGATACAACCGGCCTCATCGACCCAAGCCTCGTTCATGTCCTTTGGGGCATGAGCAAGGATTTTGGGGCGAATGGTCTCCGGGTCGGAGCCATTATCTCGCAATCCAACCCAGAGCTCCACATGTCTCACAGATGCCTGTCGCTCTACTCCTTCGTTTCTGCCGTGTCTGATCAGATCACATCATCAATACTCCAAAACAATACCTTCACAGATAATTACATCGAGACAAATCGGAAGCTTATTTCTCAATCCCATGAATTCCTGACCGGGATTTTGGACAAGAATGGCATTGAATACTCTCACGGTTGCAATGCCGGGTTCTTCGTGTGGATCAATCTCGGCAAGAGGTACCTGGAGAAGCATCCCGAGGAGCGAAATCAATCGATTGAGCTCACGGATTATCTCTTTGAGAAGCTACTTGTGGAGAAGGTGTACGTGGCTCATGGAATCGCGTATGGGTCCTCTCAACCTGGATGGTTCCGTGTGGTGTTTTCTCATCCACTTCCTTGGCTGGAAGAGGCCATGAGACGAATCCTTCGTGCCATCGACTAGGAAATTCTAGGAGATTGAGTCAGGGTTGCGTCCCGATTTCCAAACGCCGTGACATGATTCTATGTCTCACGTTGATTTTCTATTTTCGGACTCTTTCTAGTCATTGTCATGCTTTTCATGATCAAGATTGTTTTGGATGTATATTTTGCTTTTGCCTTTCTTTTCTTTCTGTCTTTCATCTTCCTCGACTTTTCTGACGATGATGAGTACGCTGGAATTTTGAGTGACACGACTTCCGAGGTTGCAAGCTGAGAGATATACACGTTATTTTGTTATCAGTAGCAGAATTTATTGAATTGAACTTTCTTCAGAATATGGTATGATCCATACAAATCTCTAAGTCGGGCCAGGAGTTTGGACCCTGATGCTTTCTGAGATTTTAAATGTATACGTTGAATTAATTGGACCTGGTATATCACATCTAAGCCTAACTGCTGACGGTTTGGGCCGGATATCTCTCACAGATCTATCTATAATACCCAATACCACACTTTTGCAGCGTACAATTGATCGCGCCTTTTCACATTATTGCCACCTCCACTCGATTCGACGAAGCTGATCGGCTAGTCTAGAACAAACTAGACTAGCGGCTTGTTTGGTCGAATACCCGAGTTGCATAAGGATCGCCAATCGGCACCTGGGCAATCAATAGTCATCGAGTCATGGTGGCGATAATCAACATTAGAATCGTGGTGTCCTGTTTTAAGGTCATGATTCTGACTGGTACCCCCTTCGCCACCTTCCTTGGCTCACGGACCAGAAACCCTCCTTTTACGATTTACATTTTTCAAATAAATGGCTTGTCTTTTCACTATGACAAGATTTATTATCGACGGTCGCAATGATAAGATGACTGACTGCAGACCGACCATGGGACATGTAAAGGAAGCCCAATTATAGCCTTATTGAAACTCTTCTTGTCATCAGGTAAGCCTGGGGCTATCTAGATTGTGGTATCAATCATTACATAAAATCCCTGTCTGCTGGACTCTATGTGCCAAGAGTAGATACACCGGTTCCAATCCAAAACGGAAATACGGCCACTAACGTAACCCACAAGCGAACCGCCCACACAAGCGAACCGCCCACCCATCTCAACCTATAATTTTGATTTGCATATAAAATAACCACAACGCCATTAAATTATTAATATCACTGCTTCGGACATCTATTTATCTTATGCCCTATCCCTCCACAACCACTGCATCTTGGTGGCGCCCGTTGTCGTGGTGTATTAGTCTCATTTGCGACCGGAGCTAGTTCTGGATGAACAGGATCCAGAGATTCAACGGCTTGGTTCGAACTGAATATTACGTCTCTTCCCTCCTGAATTGACATGCCTTCAGTACGGTCGATGCGTTTATTAGACCTCTTGCGTTTTTGTTTCCGAACCTCATTGGCAGCGCGCAAATCCCGGATTTCTTTCTCCAACATCGCTAGCCTTTGAAGCGTGACATGGAAGCCTTTAAGAGTCTGCTCTATCACATGCTTTGTAGGCGTTGGAGGGCTCACGGATCGATATTTGAGTAGAGCTTTGACTGAAGATTCTTGCCGATATAATTGTTTTGTGTTGAGTGGTGTTGTAGGGCTCCACTCACTTGATCGGCTTCCTGGTCGGCTTCCTGGGGGGTTGGTGTTCGAAGCTGAATATTAAGCTTCGATATAACCCGATCGGGATCAAAGGGTATTAAACCAGCAGATTCGAATGCGCTCTGAATTATATCCGAGTGATATGAGATCTCGCGAGCGTGCGGGTAGGCGGCAAGGAAATCAAGCTTGTCAATATGGTTGATATTGCATCGAGCTTTCCGCTCAACCAAGCCACCATATGCGCGCTTTAGGTTCGCAAAACACCCGACATCTAGTGGTTGTAGCAAATGAGATGAATGCGCTGGCATGCAAATTGGTATAATATCATGTTCAGCGCAAAGTCGGTCGAATTGAGGTGTCAAATGGCTACCATGACCATCAAGGACTAGAAGACGATATTTACCCTTTGTACGGCTCGCCGTACTCGGAATAAAGAGATCTTTCAGCCAGCGAAGGCCAATAGCATCAGTTGTCCATCCATTATCACTGATTTCGATCCTCCAGTCCGGTCCTACCCCTTTATCTTCGTACCAAGCCTGGTGATGTGTCTTGGATTTGAAGATAAGACAAGGTGGTAATTTGAAGCCCGACGCACCAATACACTCGATAGATGTGACCCATTCACGATTTCCAGGTTGTTTAAGAGATCTCCGACCGTAGTATTCAGCACGGGTGACGACTTTTGCAGTAGCAATAAGACCCATTGCGAAGCCAGTCTCATCAAAGTTATATATATCGTCAGGTTGGATGCCGTTCTCATTAATCGTGCGTTGAACCAAGTCGAACCACTCTCGTATGACCTTTGGATCCTCGCATTTTGCTCGTTGGTAGTTGTACTTTCGAGAGAACCGAGATTTAAGATCATCATGGCGATTAACAAAGTTGTAGACCCAGTTGACGCCAACAGTCTGCGTACAGCGTTCGGCTAATAGAAGATTGGCCATTTCTGCCACCATAGCAGGCCGAGGAGCTGATCCACGTGAATCCATAGAGAGCACCCATTGTAGAAGTGATCTCTCCTCGTCTTCTGTCAATTTATGGTTGTTGGCGCGTGTTTCTGAGCGACTTTGTTGACCGTTGACGCGATCGCGTAGAGTGGACCAGGGGACGTCGAATTGGCGTGCTGCTTTGCGAATAGAGGTAATTTGACCATTTTGAATGGCATGCAGGGCTAATGAGAGTCTGCCCTGCCTATCCTGCGAAAATCGGGCAGAACTAGATCGATTTGGTGGCATGGTGGATGGTTATAAAAGAGAGGTTATAGTACTCAGATCAAAATTGATGGGGTGGGCGGTTCGCTTGTGTGGGCGGTTCGCTTGTGGGTTACGTTAGTAGTTCTATGGAATCCGGGCAATGAGATGAGATAAAGCCTATTTTCAAACACCGCAGGGCAGTCAGCCCAAAAGGAAATGCTTATTGGATCCCCCGCATTTTCCGAGACAAGCATGTTCCCCACACTTTCCCTCTTGGCCTTATCTGGCACATTGGAGGGAGTATGACACCTGGCACTCGGGATCTCTACTCGTTATAGGTTTGTCACGGCATTAGAAGGAGGATTATCGGCTCGAAGCTAGTGATCATTGTCAATTTTGGAGCGATAAGAAGTCTCGAAGTTCTCCTTGGAGTGGGGGGGAGGGGGCTTGTTATCCCTATAATAGTCTGATGGATTCCGTGGAATTGACCTCCGCAAATAAATTTCTGTATCCCTTTACATTTGATATTAAGCTCAGGATGGAAGAAAACCAGAGCCACCTCAATTCTCCAAGTCTACATCCTATGGACGACCATACGAATAAGTGGTCGGATGACCTTGAATACGTTCCCACGAAAGCTGAAGGTCAAGCAATTGATCATGGCGCGGATACAGAGCTTCATCGCTCTCTTGGGACGCGCCATATCACCATGGTGGCCCTCGGGTCTGCCATTGGTATGGGAATGTGGCTTGGAAGTGGTACATCTCTCATTCAGGGAGGTCCAGCAAGTCTCTTTATTGGATTTCTGATTAGTAGCTCTATAGTCTGGGCCGTCAGTCAGTCCATTGGCGAGATGGCTGTCATCTATCCTCTCCCCTCCGCTTTCGTTCAATGGTCCACCATTTTCATCAGTCCTGCGGCAGGATTTGCTCTGGGATGGGGATATTGGTTTTCCTACTGGATTACAATTGCCAATGAGCTACAGGTATGCCTTGCATTGCGATTCCTGAGCCTCGCTACCATTATGCAAGTAGCTAAGTGTTGTACAGGGTGTCGTGACTGTTTTAAACTACTGGACCGATGCAGTGCCAACGGCCGCCTGGATCTCAATTTTTTGGGTCGTCATTATTTTGATCAACGTATGGGTCGTCAAGTTCTTCGCCGAAGTTGAAGTTTTCTCTTCGAGTGTAAAGTTCGGATGGATGATCATCGCAATTGTCGCACTTATTGGTAAGTACTAGGACCTTCTATTGAACATTTTGCTAATATTCACTCTCAAAAGTCGCTACAGCTGGCGGAGCTCCAAGTGGAGGCCCTATTGGTTTCCGATATTGGAATGAGCAGCCATTCAATAATGGCTTCAAAGGCTTCCTCGCTGTTCTGCCGACTTGTGTGTTTTCTATGGCCGGTTCGGAAAACGCGGCGTTGGTCGCCACAGAGGTATCCAACCCTAGAAGGTCAGTCCCGAAGGCTGTGGGATCTGTTTGGCTCCGTTTAGCTATATTTTATATCCTCGGTAGTTTGATGATCACCCTAACTGTCGACCCGAATGATCCCAACCTATTCGGAGGATCCGGTAGCAATGCATCTCCCTTTGTCATTGCCTTTCGAAATACCGGTCTCCCAGTCATGGCACACATTACCAATGCCGTCATTTTTGTTTCGATAATCTCGACTGGCAGCATCTCCGGATACGGTGGATCGCGCATGTTGATGGGTTTGGCGCACGTGCAAATGAACCACCAGGTATGTATAGCCCGCTTCCGAGTCCGTATGTCTGTTTTGACTCTTACATGTAGATATTTGGTCGGGCTGACTCTATGGGCCGGCCATGGGCGGGATATATTGCGACTATCGGCATCGGAGGTGCAGTGGCGTATATCAATGTCTCGCATACTGGTGCTGAGGTTTTTTCCTGGCTGTCCAGCTTGGTTGCACTCCTGACCCTTTTCGGATGGGGCATGATTTGCCTCACGCATCTTCGGTTCCGGTATACCTGGAAGCTTCAGGGTCGTGATGTTGCGCACCTTCCTTGGAAGACATGGACCTTCCCTTACGCTGCTTGGTGGGGATTGATTTGGTGCATCCTGATTATCATTGTCGAATTTTATCTGAGTGTCTGGCCTCTTCACGGGCTTTCGAGCGCCAAAAACTTCTTTGCAAATTTTGTCAGTGTTATTGCTGTTGTCGTCATCTGGATCGGGTCCCAGATTTGGTACAGGTGCCCAATATGGGCCGATGCGAGCAAGATCAACCTTGATGAATTCCGACGCTTCTATAGGGAGGAGGTTGATGAAGAGGCCGTACCTACGAAGGTGAAGATCTGTCGCACGCTCAAGGCTGTCTTTGAATAAACCTCCAATAGGTTCCATTAGAATTTATATGCATGAGCTTGAGAACATGTATAAATGCACAACACTCTGAATGACACTCGATTTTATACTATTTGAACATGTCGTATGATTTATTAGGGTATATAACCTAGACATTTCGGAATGCTCGAATCAAACAATCGCTTTCCAGTGCACAAACGAGTCGGTAATTACTGAACCTTTCCCTCGCGATTCCCTCGCGAAGCTTGAGAACTTCGTAGTACCGTCGGGATATTTTTTTCCTTGGAGTCTCATCGGATTTCAAAATAGTAGATGTGATGATAACGTGGGCATTAGCCTCGGACAGTTTCAAGGTCAATTTGAACTAACTAATCAAATTCGCATCGGCGATTGAACTGCGAATAGAAACCCAAATCCACGAAAATGTGGGGCTCTCCCATCTTACCGGAAACACGCGGTTGACAACTCCAGAGTTTCTTTGAACCCCCGATCGCCGAATTTCGACGTATACATTTTCAAATGCCTGACTACTTAACAGTTCCCGATTGTTTTCATCGAAGTCTATTATTCTTCAGACGTTGTTATCGGCACATCGCAGCTCCACTTTTCATTCCCCGGGCCGTTCGAAGATTACTACTGCCATGGGGACAGATCCGGCGGCGAGATTCGCACTAGATACAAGCCAGAGTCGTGCATTCGGCAAAGATTATGCCCAATTTCACTCCATAGGCTTGCGCAGTGTCTGCGTTTTTAGGCCCACATATCATGGCCATCGTTTGCGAGTGGCAGACGTGTCGGTTTGGATATTATATTTAGGACTTGCACTGTTCACGCCGTTTCTACCTATCTCAGAGCATCCCCTCTACTACAGACAGCGGACTCGGGTCTCTTCGGTCGGTCATCTCGCAGCCTACGAGCCATTTAGAGAAGTCGGTCTCAACCTTTGGCATTACTATGGGAGCGCCATCCCACCATGGGGCCGTGTCCTCGCTGCGTCGCTTTCTCAAAATGAAAGCTACCACAACCGAAAAAAGCGGATTCTCACCACAAACACCTGAAGAATCACTGCGTTCCGAGCACGGCTCCCCTGTAGTCACTCCCCAAGCCGACGCCCCGCCTGATGGGGGTTACGGATGGGTTTGCGCTGTGGCTGCTGCAATCGTCAACGCGCATTCCTGGGGCTTCAACTCTGCATACGCAGTCTTTTTGGCTTACTACCTCGGCCACGATACATTTCCCAACGCCTCGCGATTAGAGTACGCCTTTGTCGGCTCGTTGAGTCTGACCACCATGTTCCTGATCTCTCCCATCGCGACGATTTGCACACAAAGATTCGGGGTTCGAAACACAATGTTTGCGGGCGTTATCGCCGAGACGGCAAGTCTCATCTGCGCGAGCTTTGCTTCCCAGATATGGCATCTGTTCCTCACGCAAGGGATCCTCTTTGGGATAGGAATGGGCATGTTATTCATCCCCGTCGCGTCTGTTGTCCCTCAATGGTTCACAACTAAGCGATCGCTTGCTAGCGGTGTCTCTCTGTCTGGTGCTGGTCTCGGAGGCCTCGTCTATTCCCTTGTCGCCGGAGCAATGATTCGAAATATTGGTCTTAGCTGGGCTTTCCGCGTACTCGGTCTTCTCGCTTTCAGTGTGAATACGACTTGTGTGCTCCTAATCAAAGATCGGAACAAGCCGGTTAAGGTCAAAAAGGCGTCGATGAAATTCAGCTATTTCAAGTTCTTTGACTTTGACCTTCTAATCGGGTTCAGCTTCTTTACCATCCTGGGCTATTTCATCCTAATTTACAGCCTAGCCAATTACGGCCAACAGATCGGACTCACTTCGTCCCAGGCCTCGCTGGTCAGTGGTATACTGAACCTCGGTCAGGCTGTCGGTCGCCCTCTTATTGGATATTTCAGTGACAGTGTTGGACGCATCAATATCGCTGGCACCACGACCTTTTTCGCCGGGGTTGTCTGTCTGGCTGTTTGGGTTAACGCGGAAAGTTACGGCCTTTTGATGTTTTTCGCCATCTTCGAGGGCCTCTTCGCGGGTAACATCTGGGCAACAATTGCACCCTTGGTGGCGGAGGTTCTTGGTCTAGAGGGCGTATCTCATGGTATGAATCTTGTCTGGCTAAGTATTGTTGTTCCATCAACCTTCTCCGAGCCAATCGCCTTAAGCCTGACCAGTGCGACGGGGAAGTTCCTCAGTGAGCAGCTTTTTGCTGGCTTCATGTATATTATAGCATCATTCTTCTTGGCTGTCCTTTGGCTTCGTCAACGATCACGTACCAAGCGGGTGGGTAAACAAGGGGGTCCCTGAATAAAAAATGAGATGCATTTGTGGAGTTGGCATCGTCTTCTTCATCAGCATTCTTTGAGCAAATGTCCATTCTGGATTCCATGTGCATTATGTGATATGTAGAAAGAAGCTAGTCTAAAGAATGTACGAAGAAAAGATAGACACAATCTAAAAAGTCATAATCCATGATATCACGCTGAGCTTCAAACGAGACGGAGCAACCAGACTCCATCAAATGCCCGATAACCCACTATGTGGAGTCCTCTACCACGCCAAAACCTCTCGCTGAGATCCACAAGCCAAACCCGCGCACATCTCCTCATCTTTATCGCTCGTCGGCGCATATCCAGGGACCTTCTGCTTCGCCGGCCAAATCTCATGTCCCTCAGCCTTCTCACGTTCAAAGTGTTCAGTAACGACGTCTCGGCAGGTGCTCTGGAAGAAAATGGGCGCCTTCTCGTATTTGGGGTGCAGCTGGCCGTTGATGAAGACGCCGCGGTCGAGGTTCTTCTGTGCGTTGTGGCAGAGAACCTTGTCTTCCTTCATCACGCGGGCATAGAGCTCACTGATACGCTTGAAGTCTTCGTCGCTGGAGTGTCGGTTCCGGTAGACTTCGTAAGCCATCGCAGAGCTCTTTGGCCCTTTGGGCATGAACTTCTGAATCATGATAAAGTGCGGCGATACGACCATCGCGGAGGCGGGGAAGTAGTAGGTGCTGGCAGTGTACAGGCCTGCTGCTTTCTGTTCTGGCGTCGATTCGCAGTGATGCTGGATATGTCCGTCTTTCAGATCACTGTCGAAGGATTCGAGGTTGAGGATATCGGGGATATCGGCGTGAGTGGTTGGGCAGTGGTAGCACTCGTTGAAGTTGTCGGCAAGAATCTTCCAGTTGAATTCTCCGTCGAGCTGGTATGAGTGATCGAGGTCGTAGTTGTCGAAGTTGTAGGCCTTGTAGCGCTCCTGGGTGTCGACGTTCGCGAAGTGTTCCTCCCAAGAGACTTCGGGGGTCTCCTTTGCATCCATGTTGATCCAGATGAACCCGTTGACATCGACCTTTGTGTGAATGCGGAACAAGCCATTCTCTTCCTTCTTGAGATCTTCCTTGAAGCCAGTGGCTTTGGCAAGCTTGCCGTTCAGTCCATATGACCAGCCGTGGTATCGGCAGGCCAAGATCTTCGAGTTCCCGCCGCCCTCTTTCTCGATCACGGGGTAGGCCCGGTGCCGACAGACATTGTGGAATGCGTTGATGTCCCCCTGCCGATCCCGAGTCAGGATAAAGTCGAATCCGGCCATCTCGTAGCGGAGCCAGTCGCCAGTATTCTTCAGTCGCGAGCTGTGGGTAATGAAGATCCACCTCCTGGAGAAGATGGAGCGGCGCTCTAGCTCATACATCTCCGGGGAGGTGTACCAAGAGGCTGGCAGAGCTCGAATCGGTTCATCATTGGCGGGTTCCTTTGATGGAGGTGCGTCCTTGCCGAAGCCGAGGTAGTGCAGCATTGAAGATGCCATTGTGGTTTGGGAGTTGAGTCCGAAAGGAGCTTCACAGTTTTGGAATTGTTCAGGTTCTGGTTCCAGACATTCCCAGGGCCATAGCTTCTACTCTTTTATAGATCGCGCTGCATCGAGGTCAAAACAGGCCTCATGTGGCCTTGCTCCTAATTAGGGTTCAACATGCGCGAACCCGCCAGGCAGCATTCCGATTGGGCGATCCAACCCTGGTTGGCGTGTTCGATTACCCAGATCAGACATGCGACCCACCACTTCAGCGCTACGGGATTCGACACCGAATGGATATGATAATGGCCAACAATGGGCCAGCTGCTGTTTGGCTCAATCGAAAATCTATAGACCCAGAGCATCCACATATCGCCCGTGCTAGCTAAGCCCCGTGACGGGTATAATGACAGCATGGCCACTCGGTAGGTGCAACTCTGGGGAAGATCCACTAAGGCTGCTGCCCGGATAATGAACCAGCGTGCCATTGGAGGCATCGTTCCCGACCGGCTCGGACAGTGTACCGATAGCCGTCAACCGCAAGTTGCTCTCATTCTTCATCCCGCATCTGGAGTCCAAATCCACTGATCTCTACTCAACAGTGGTACAGGGCGGCGTGACCGGGTAAGGCCCGGTCACTCTGCATATAACTGCCCGACAAAGACGGCTATTCAGGCAGCGATGGTTTCCTGGATCTCTTTCTCGAATTGCACAAAGCACAGGTCCTCCGGTAGTGCCAAGTCAGGGTACATCTCACGTGGGAAAGGCTTTGTCTCTTGAGTTGGAAGGTATCCACGTCGGCGATACCACGAGATGAGGGCCTGGCGCGTGGATAGTGCATCTAGACCGAGCTTCGAAATGCCCCAAATTTGCTGACAGTATTTCTCGGCGTAAGTCAAGACCTCCCGGCCCAGACCACCACATTGGGATCGTTGGTCGACAGCGAGCATGAAAATGCGGCCGTAGCCAGGTTCACGCTTGGATACTCCGACGGTCGCCACCAATTTGCCATTGCTGTCGGTCGCTATCAAGAAATCGCTTTCTGGTTGCGTAATGGTTTGTTCAATGTGGCCAATGTCAACGGTGAAACGCGAGTTGAGGGCCAGGTCGGCCACCCACCCTTCTCTGTTATCTTCAGCACGAAAGGCAGACTGGATGAGCTGCTGAATCCTCCCGGCATCGCCCGTGCCGGCAGTGCTGAATGCAAGATTGCTGGTGGTTTCTATCATGCTGGCGGGTGGCAGGGGGGAAGGGTTCTTCCGGATGTGAGTGCAAACAGGATTGCTCCGAATGTGGTATCTCTTATAACACCTTGACGTGGACAAATCTCAGACAAACAGCTCCAATTTAAATCTCGCACAGAGCGACGTGTTGCGTCGAAGCCACTTTATCTCGAGGCGTGTCACGAAAAGGCGTGTCAGACGAAAGCGCGCCCTGTGGGTGACAAGCCGCGTTTACGGACTTAAGTCGCGATTCGTCGTATCTCCGGGTGAATTGCAACATTGCAATCTTCGCGCTCTGCGCTTTCTTCTCTTTTTCACTTGGTGATTTTTACTGAATGAGCTGACACTTTCGTTGTCTATTTTGTTTCTAGTAATGAATTGGTCCGTGGTGGATGCTGGGTGGCAACCATTTTCGCGGTTGACAGAGGCGTGCGATTCATGAGCACGAATTATCTGGAGGATCCCAACACTGCATTCAAGCGCGACCAAGCTGCTTCAATCACATCTGGAACGTGGATATGGCAGATGAACCCACGCCCGTTTGGCCCGTAGCCATTCTCATCGTCTCGCAGTCTTGGTATCTCACCCATAATCAACTCCAAAAATCGTCACATTTCCCAGAGTCCAGAAACACATTCTGTTTTGTATTTCAGAGAGGATGTGTTCGATAGCTGTACCCTGGGGATAAACATGGGACACGATGTGAGCGAGAGCCCGGGCTGCGTAGCTCCAAACACTTTTCGAAAAGAGGCATATGTCCGGAGCATCATTGTCGGATCCTGTATGACTATGCAGGTTTTCATTCTGTCGTATCCAGACTTCTCTAGCAGATTGCGGGTAAAGATGGCATTTTGGCCACAGTTCGTGGACTGGTCCTCGACAAGAATTTCGCAGCCCTCCCGGGTGATGGCTGATCTGTCAAAAAAGGTGTCGAGGATCCATTCGAGTACACGTGCCTCTGGGAGGCCCTGAATCTCGTCGCCGATGCGGGAATAACGGGGATGCTGTCTGACTGCATCGTACATCATGGGAGTTGAGTGGCCGATCCCGCCGCAGAGCACCAGGCATTTGGTAAGTGACGGCCTCTCTCCGAGTGCCTTGAAGATTTCCTCAGCGGCATAGAGAACCGCTGAAGCGCATAGCACGATACAGTCGGTATCGTGGAGAAGATGTGTCTCCAGGCCGGAGTCGCTGAGGAATGTCGATAAGGAGTTGATGTCATCAACAACAGTGGAATCGATGGTCACCATGGTTCCGTAGGGAACTGGCACTGGGCCAAAATTTGACAGTGCAGATTGTGTTTGCTCTACAGAGCTTCAGATTCTGTGTGGAAAGGCCCCATCTGCCGCCATACACATAAAATGATTACGTAAGACAGCGCCGCTGCATTGAAGATGCCAGCTTGTGGATGGTAAAGCTGAACTCGAAAAGCATGGATGAAAAGGCGTGGGAATAAAATAATATGATACTCGCTCACTCTCGCGCAGCTTATGCTAGGATAAGAGGGTAAAAAAGGAAAAAATAGGACCAAATGACCCCGAAGCGACTCGAACGCTTAACTTTCAGGACTGGAATCTGACACTCTACCAATTGAGTTACGGGGCCTCCCAGATGAGTAATCCTTGGATCGAGCGCTATATTAATCTGCATTTCCCGAGGAGCTGGTTCGTGCCTCGGTCGGTAAAGAACTGATCTCGCTGGTGTTGATTAATGAAAGCTCTCAGGACGAGTATTCGGTGGGTGGAGTATAGGCAACATTCATTAGCCTTGGACCACTCCGCCAAATTGCTTTTCCCGAAGGAGGGGCTCCAATCACGACATCTACAGGAGAGAGGCTGGGTTTACAGCACTTCGACTACCACGCCCCCTCCAAGCCCCCGGCGCTGCCGGGGCCCTTGATGGGGAGGTACATCCTCGAGAAATCGAAGAGATATCTCCGACAGACTTTCGAGGTTAACACGATCTCCCACTTTCTCGTAATGAAGGAGTTTCTTCCGTCGATGATCCGCACGAATCGAGGACACATGGTGACCATCGCGAGTGTGGCGAGCTTTGTCGCCGTCGGCGAGATGGTCGATGATTGCTGTTCGAAGGCGAGCGCGCTTGCGTTCCATGACGGACTCCGGCAGGAACTGAAATATTGGTATGAGGCGCCGAATGTGCTGATCAGGTCAGTGAGCCCCTCTAATTCCTTTAAAACCACAAGGTGCTAACTGTGGCTAGTATCGTCCATCCTCTCTGGGTCAGGGCACCCATGATCAAGGGTTTCACTTCGTACCAAGACGAGTTCCGTCAGCTGTTCAGTCCGAAGGTTGTTTATGAGGCTGTCATAGAGCGTCTCGTTTCTCGCAAGCGTGGGCAGATTGTGCTCCCGAGGCGTATTCGAGTTGCTGGGTCGTTTAGATGGTTCCTGCTTTGGATGCAAGAGCCTGTTCGGTCTCACTAATTTTCTGGGGTTGTGCGGCGCTTGAGTCATGTGCGATCTGCTGGTAAAAGAGTGACTCGGTAATTTCATCATTTATTACTGAAGGTTGTATGATAAAGCATGTGCACTAGGCTACCCTCTCTCATGGATTCTGCTCAGCTCTACTCTTTTCGTTTAGTACCTAGCTCAGAGCATATGCAAACAAACCCCTGCATCTAGCGAGTAAGCCAGTTAATTAAGAGGGGTTCATCGGCTAGGCTAGCATTGGAGAAGGTTCCTTTCATTCTCTGTGAATTTTCTCGATAGTAGGATCTACATGAGCACTCTGACATAAAGTTGGCGCATAAACCGTGCCTCGGTCCAGCGGTGTGGAGCCCATCCGAGGTGCTCTGGGCGGGGTTTAAATACGGGGTGAGGCTCGACAGGCCAAAATACCACGCAAAATTAATGACTGGAGGGCTTTAATTCGATATAGACTGAATTCGAGCCTATTGTTTTCCATACCCTCGGTGACTCTATCGCCAAAATGGCGCCTTATACATACACCGATATCAAGGTCGAGGTGAAGGGTCAGATTGGCATCGTCAAAGTAGAGTCCAACCCTTATCATGATCTATACTGTTCGAAGAAGCTGATGATCCTAGTTCAATCGACCAAAAGCACTGAATTCATTCGGTGGAAACCTTCTTATCGATACCCTGCATGCTATCCGGGACCTGGATGAAAATCCATTTACCATCTTCACGGTCTTGACGGGTGAAGGGCGTTTTTTCTCTGCCGGCGCTGATGTCAGGGGTTAGTCGGGATGCGTGACGCCTTTCAGATGAAACGCTAATACTTGAGTGTAAAGCGCGACCTCTCGCGGACGGGCTTGATAGTCTCACCAAAGTTGAACAGAAAGTCGCGCATCTAGCCCGGTTTTCACTGAGTGAGAACGACCCCTTTCCAACCCAACTCGCATAAACTAACAGTTCACCAGTGGCCGAACTCGTAAAAGCCCTAATCGACCACAAAAAAGTCTTCGTTCTAGCTCTAAACGGCCCCGCCGTCGGCGGCGGCGCAGCCTGGTTCCAGGGCATCGCAGACATAATCCTAGCGGCGGAAAACACATACCTGCAAGTACCCTTCAGCTCACTGGCCCTAGTACCGGAAGCAGGATCCGCAACCAACCTGTCCAGACACATGGGCGTGCTGCGCGCGAACGACTTTCTCATGTTCGGGCGGAAATTGACAGTCCAGGAGCTGGAGCAGTGGGGTTTGGTGAATCGTGTGTTTCCAGTCGAGGGGTTCCTTGACTCTGTGATCAAGTTCCTGGAGACGCAGCTGGATGTTAATGATGGGGCGAGTATGATGGAGATGAAGCGGTTGCAGAATGTTCCATTGCGTGGGGAGAGGGTTTTGGCGCTTCATAATGCTACTGATGCGCTTTCTGAGAGGCTGGCTAGTGGGGCGCCGGCTGCAAGGTTTCAGATGAAGAAGGCTGAGTTGGAAGGTACGTTTGCGTTTTCCAAGGTTGTTGTTGAGGTGCCGCTGCTAACTGCTGATAGCGAAATCGAAGTCGCGACTTTAAGGTCGAGTTCTCTTTTTGCTCAATATTGAATACTAGAGTACCTAGACACAGACAGTATACAGATGCATATCCTTCTGTTATTCAGCTTTCGTTTCTTTTCGATGTCACATTCTCATGCCAATTTCATACACAGGACGTTAATTCACATGACATAGCTCGGATAGAGAGCGGCATCGAGGCCCTCGCAGTACATACTATTACACCAATACAAGTAACTTACACCCACATCGCACACAATATGCCGATCAACACGTACCAACCATCATACCCTTAACCAATGAAGTCTACCGCGGGACGCCTAACCTTTGAAGTAACCACTCTGGACATCGCTGCATTCATCCCAATACAGGACCTCATGCAAGCACATCTCCAAGCAGTGCCACAGCCGTCGCAAACCCACAATTCTGACTGGTCCGCATACAGAGCGACGTTCAAATCAGCGGCCAGTACCGCAGGGTTAGCTCACACTAACATTGGGAGAAATAGATGACCTCCAGGCCCCTCTCGCACCTTGACGCACATTCCATGACGCTAGACTGAGACCTTGGATGTAGGGTACGCCATCCTACTGGATGTGGCAAGGACACGGAATAGAGGTGGTATCGGTTGGGGGCCTAACTTCCAGGGTTTAAATCGAAAGGGGTTGCCTTGGTGGACAATTGGGGGGGAGGGGGTGGGGGGTTATAAACATAACTCATTGAAGACTGCCGGTCAGTCTTTACTCTACGCCCTGGATCTTAGAATATCTTCATTCAACCTGCAAAAATGCCCAGACAGGAAACCCTCCACCTCCACCCACACGGCTGGGAAACCGACCCAGAAGAAGAACGCTTCAAAGTCTCAACATTAGACTACTTAACCGGGCTAACCTACTGCAACTTCGCGCTCTTCTTTGAGATCACCGATAGCGACAAACCCCACATAATCGAGATCCTAAAATCCGGCCTCGAGCGCACCCTCTCTCAAGCCCGGCATCTCTGCGGTACAATCGAAAAAGACGCAGCAGGCGGGCACTCCTTCGTCAAAAAGCGAGAAAGCACAGTCCGCTTCATCATCCAATGGCTCGACTCGCCCGAAGATAGCTCCAAATACCCCTCATTCAACGACCTCGCCTCCCAAAACTTCTGCAGCACAGCCCTCACCGACCACAGCGAGTGGAGCGTCCCGCCCATGACATATGGCGAGAAACCCGAAGCGCACCCCGATTCTAGCCCCATCGTTGCAGCGTATAAGGCGAATTTCATTCGCGGTGGACTGGTCTTCATCATGGCGCATCATCACTATGCGGATGATGTGATGGGCTGGGCCGGGCTGGCGCATCAATTGGCGGAGAATTGCTTCGCGATTGTACATGGCACTCCGTTTCCAGAGTGGGATCCTTCATGTCTAGACGTCTCGCGTCTCACGAAGCCGATCCCCCCTGCTAAACTGCAGGTTGAAGGGCGGGCGCCGCCAGAACGACATCCAGACCACATCGATGCAGAGATGCTCCTGTTCCACCTCCCGAAGAGTAAAGCAGCACAACTAAAAACCCTCGCCACACCACCAGACGGCACCCGCATCTCAACGTACGATGCCTTCTCAGCCTTCCTCTGGCGAACTCTAACCCGCCTCCGAGCCCCATTCTTCAAAACCGATCTCTCAACCCCACTCTTCTGGGCCGAAGCAGTCGACATGCGAAGACGCATGCACTCGCCTCCCGTCCATCCGCGCATCCAGCAGAACGTCATGTCCGCATCTCTCTCGACACTCGCACCCGTCACACCCCCGACGGCGGGTGATGTGATAGCAGACTGGCCGCTTTGGCGACTGGCGCTGTACATCCGGGGCATGACGAACTGCGTGACGCAGGAGGCGTTGGATGAGACGTTGTCCGGCATTGCGGGGATTCGTGATAAGACAGTAATGAATATAAGGATTGATTCGTTTCCGCCTTGTTCTATTCTTCAGACGGATCATCGCAGTGTGAGTGTTGCCGGGAGCGATTTTGGGTTTGCTTGCCCTGTTATTTATCGGGTTCTTGTTGATCGGTTGACGCAGGGGGTCATTGTTATTTATCCCTCTAGATTTGGAGAGGGGGGGGGGAAGAGGGGCCGGAGTTTTCGATTTCGTATGAGGTTGTCTTGAAGGACGGACTGCTTGGGGATGAGGAGTGGAATGGGTTTTTCGAGTATCGGGGTGTAGATGCTGTTGATGCTTCCTGATCATTCATTCGTCGACCGGGCGAGTGTTTGAGGTTAAGTCGAGTCTCTTGTTACAGTAGTTCCGGAAAACACTGTCAGCACCTATACTCTTTTTCATTATTTCCCGAACCCTTATGTCAAGTTATGCTAAACTTTATTAAGAAAGGAATGGAAATAGTTATTAATTTTCCGGTTTCTTACAAATGCAGATACATACAGAGCGAAAGTTACATCCCGCATGTTCATGTGTTTATGGAGATTATGTGTATTGCTGGGAGCTTCCAAAAAAATGCAAACAATTCAAACAACTCCAGCAGCGCTGGATCAACCACCTGTCATCTTCTCCGCCTATGCGGCCGTCCGAGTGGCAATCCTAGCGCATACTGGGAACCGGGGACGATGATCAACAATGTGGCGTTCGTTTTCCTCTACCGACTTCTGACTTAAGAGGTTAAAGATATGGCGCAAACATTTGTTGAGACCTATCACCCCAGTAATCCGGCATCAACCCGAGGGGTGTTACACCGTGATTATTATGGATATGAGGGGAGGCTCCCCGTTTCAACAACGCAGTCACCAGAAAAGGCTGCTGGCTATAGAAGGCCAAGTGAAGCGGTGTGTTTCCGTCCTTACCAGCCTCTGAGAGTGCTTCCGGACGGACATCAATTACAAACTCTGCGGCATCGATATTATGTTGTACTTGACCGTCGTCAAATGGGTCAAATGTATGACCAACAATGCAGTGCAGGACATTGTTATCTTCACGCCTGGCCGCGAAGGAAACCCCTCTGGCTAACAGTTCCTTAAGTAAAAGTCTGTTTCCCCGCCACAATGAAACGCGGAACAGAATCTCCTCGCCTATTTGTGCCAAATCGACTTGGTCTAATAGCAGTGATATCATCTCGGGAGACGTGGAGAATGCCAGAGACATAATATAGCGGTCAAATTGCCTTGCGTCCACCCCGAAGCCCGGTGAGCCCGGTTGCAGCCCTTGGGATGAAGGAGGGTACAAGAAATCGTCACAATGTCCGCTACAGGGTTCTCGCGTTAAGCGTGGCGATTTGTCGATAGTCGCTGTAGCCACCGTCTGCTCCTTGGAGCCCTGGGTATTGATATAGGCCCCGTGATTAATCATCCAGGCGACAGCATTTATATTATTCCTCCGAGCAGCGGTATGAAGGGGAGTATCGCGCGGATTCTCAATATCAAGCCCCAGCATGTTGATATCCGCTCCTCGTTCTGACAGTAGCGCCACAGACGGGACATGGCCAATGATGGCCCCATAATGAAGAATATGGTTAAGATCAGCCTGCCCCGGTGCTGGATCGCTTTGACTGCAATCGAGAATAATCCGCAAAAGTTGCTCATTGTGGAGATTCAAGGCATGTTTCCCCAGATTGATCCAGCTTTTCTTTGAGATCTTGCTATGCTGTAATAGTCGCTCAGTCATGGCCAGGTCATTCCGATCCATCGCGCCCTGTATCATGGCGGGCATAGTGGCAGCGTCAAATGTCTCATGTTGCTCTTCCATCGCGGTCAGCAGCATCTGTACCCACTCGTATCGCCCTGCCTCTACCGCAATTTGAAACGTATAGTTCATTGTGTCGGGATAGCTCTGATAATCGAGACGGCTGTGTTGAAGAACTTTCTTTATCGTCGATGTGTTGTTGGTCGAAACAGCATAGGGAGTAATTCCACGGCACTATTTATGCTGGGTTGGGATTCCATTGAGAGGTCTGTCGGATCGAGGCTCATATTTTCAGCCGCATTTTCTTCAAATTGCCATAGTATTGGGTTGAGCAGCTCCGCTAAGCGACGGTTTGTAAGGATTAAACTGTTCAGCACGCTAATGGGAGATACTTCTCCTAGATGTAGGAGAATCTCGTTGGGTAGATCTAGAAGACTGATCACCATAGTGGGCGGGAGCTCAGCGTGTTGTCCTACTTTGTGTGCGGTTTGTGGATGGGGTTGTTACAGCCGGAGGGAGACGCAGTATATAAACTTATTATCATGAATCATCTGAGTGTGATCGCTCCTCAATACGAGCGGAAATAACGATCATCTCCGTTTCACACGCCATTCATGTGAAAATCATGTCTATTCTCGGATAGACTGTCTTCTGCCGAGACCACAATGACTTAGGAAGTGATCGGCATTCGTATCTCGCCAAGAGGATTATGACTGGTTGTTCAACCTTGGCTTTTCTTCGTCGGAGCACGATATTTTAAGGTGCTGAATATTAGAGTCTTATAAGGTAGTTAGTCCAACACTACGAATCATCTTATAAATTAACACCAGTATAGACTTGGCTAGGTCGGGAGCTATGGTTCGTTGCACCCCAGTGGAAGTGCTAACTAAGAAACTCGGGTGAGGCTTGGGAAAGTTGACTTGGGGCACTGAGGTGGCAGCTTTTAGATCTAACAGGTAATAAACATAATTCTCGCTATTATAATGATCCAGTAATTTACGGTACACTGCCGAAACCAATGAGGCTGATATAGCTTCTTCCAAAAATATTTTAATGTTTCTTGGCACTAGGGTTCGAGAAATAATGAAAGAGTATAGGTGGTGACACCATTTCTCGGAAGTACTGTATTAGGTATGAATGAATACTTAGTTCTAGGCGTTGGGTGTAGAATGTGGCGACTTTCTGTCATTCCCGTTTGGGACATGACATGCCAAGACATATCAATGAACTCTACTTTGGAACACCATGTGGCAAGCTCGAGGTTGAACTACGTCCAAGTCCGGTGTTTCAGGAACAAAGACTGTGGAACTTACCCCCGGTTCGTGTGGGCGACAAATGAAACAAAGTAGGGTATATAGGGCATTGACATATGAAACACGAACGGAACCACACCACTACCGCTCCGAATTATTTAGCCCGACTACGGAGGATGAACTACAATTGAACAGAAATAAAACAGAGACCTAATCTCATATTTGCTCGTTCTTAATATGGACAAAGAAAGAAAAATCAAACCCAGATGAGACCGTAAATTCGCCGAAACTCGCGGGAAGACGAACAACCTTCCATTGCAGCTGTTCGCTCCGTGTAACGCCGATAACCAAAACCCATCTTGTTCGATTCGATGTCCACGCGAAACATTTCCCACATCACACCCTGGTACTGCTTAGGCGGAAGTAGAGCAGTAGGCGCTGCCAACCGAGTTGAGAGCGCTACCGCTGAGCAGGTAGTTCTCGGCCGCCATAAAGTACGAGTAGCGGGTGACAGACGGCTGGCCGTCGAGGTAAGGGATGACGTCGTTGAGGAAGGCGACGGTGGTCGCCTCATCCACAACACCGTTGATATCAGCGCTGAGGGCGAACTCGGTGATCCAGACCTCGGACAGGGAGTAGCTGGAGGCAGTATCGATGGCCTCCTGGACGAAGGACTTGAACTCGTCGGCGGTGCTACCGTACCAGTGCACAGCCAGACCGGTAATGCCGCACGAGGTGCACTGGTCCATGAAGGACTTGAACCAGCTCAAACCCTGGCCGTCGGTGGTGGACGAGGTGACGGCGGGGGAAATGAGCTTGGCCTGGCCAGCGTAGGGGGTGATGTAACTCTGGTAATAGCTGGCGGCGTCGGAGGAAGACATGCAGGCCTGCGACGGCATGTCGGGCTCGTTGAAGCCGAGGATGTACTCGCTGCCGGAGGACAGGGCCGTCTCGATGGCGGCGACCCAGCCGCCGAAGTCCTTGGCACCCCAGAGCATGGGGACGAAATCGATGCCGCTTGGCAGGTCACCGGACAGCGACATGGCCCAGTTGTAAGCCCAGGCGACGGTGCCGGTGTTGGTCAGGGCCGAGACGGTGGAGATGTCGTTGTAGGCGGCGCCGCGCTTGCTGGTGCTGCGCTTCTGGACCTTGACGGGCACGGCCAGGGTGCTGGTGGCCAGCAGACCGGCGGTAAACAACTTGGTGAAGGAGACCATTTTGTTGTTGTTGCGTGATCCGAAAGGAATGAGGATCAAAAAAAAAAAAAAAGAATGGAGAAGCCTGTTCTCGAAAAGAATGAAGATGTACCGAAGGAAGGACTAGACCGTGCACGGCACAGGAACTAGAAAAAGCACAAAAAGGACCGACGGGTCGAAGGAATGGATGGAACGAGCAAGCTGGAGAGAAGAGGAAGAAGAAGTAACAAGGGAAGGGCGGCACTTTATAAGTGACTCGGTGCGTGCCTGGCGATGCGTCAAACCTACCAGCCAACCCGCCCGCCTGGAACCAGACCGTTCTTCACCCACATCCGCGCAGGCAGTGGATCAGGTACTGGGAGAGTGATTGGACACCACGGGAGGAAATACTGAATGAGGAGAAGAAAAATAAAAAGGGCATGGGACCAACCAGTGTGTGGCGGGCGTAAACCGTGGTACCTCACAGGGGTGCATCGACGAGGCACCAGGGGGAGGCAAAACTAGGCCTGACAGCCACTTAGGAACGGATGCGATGTGTCGATTGGCGCAGGAAGCAGCGGAGGCGCTGCATTTGCTACATTATTACAGCTGAGTGGAGACCTACGCCTGGATTCAGTACTGCATACTGGAGGATGGACAGAGTATTGCTCCACTGAGATCGGCCCTCCACAGCGTCTGGACCGTGTGATGATACTGTATACTCCTGTGTCCTTGCCCTATCCTATTGTAGCGGGTACCCTTAGGGGTGACATGACTTCATCCAGGGCTACAGGGAAGGACGAAGATCAATTGATCCTACGATTCATACAGTGAATTAGATGCCATGTTCCTGCCTCGGACAACTCGAGGGATATCCTCCCCCTCCCTCCTGTTACTCTTTCTCGTCTTCCTTCTCCCTTTTACACATGATAATCTCGCCCACCACAAATACGCCAATGCGAGCCACGGAACGGCTTGCATGTTCTGTTGCTGTGATTGGCCCACCGCCGACACGCACAGTGGTTCCTTTGGTTCCGCCAGGGCACGCAATCTGATTGGCTGCGGGCAGCTAACCCTAAGAAAATCGGAAGTGGCTCGATTGGAGCAATCCATTCATTCCCCCTTCCTCACTTCCACTCAGGTACACATTATTGAGCCCATTCATGTGCACTCCTCCTTGAGAGAATACATGAAACACCAGACAATGGGACAATGGTCAATGGCAACGACTGACAGCTACCCCAGATTGCCTCAGACTCAGATTCGTTCCCTCCCTGCGGCAGCCGCCACCCATGACGACATCCGCCAGTCACAGCGTCCGGGGCTTTCGTCCGATCGACGCCATTGTTTCACTCGACGCGGGCCCACTGTCTGCGCGGCAGCTGAAGCGCACATCCATCCTGAGACACGCTAGGAGGGCAGTTTGCCCTAGTACCCTAGGGTACACTCCTCCTGTACACTATGTACAGTACATACGACCCGATGGACTGGTACTGAATCCCGGTGGAATTGGGCGAGTTCCTCCGGCACTCTTAGTAGTTCGACGCTAGCCAGGCGAAGCCTCGCCGGCTGTGCACTACTCGGCACCTTGGCAATGGGGCGGTGGAGCTGGTCTAGCCCTCGTCGCCATGAGGCCAAGCCAGCATGCATCGTGTCCCTTGTGGCTCCGGACTGTGTTCGTCGCCCGGTGGAAGATGACGAACAGTTCAGTTTTTTTCCGCTCATAGTCCCACTGCGCAGGAATGCCAATGGATATGGGCAATGGTTACTCTGCTCATTGGTGCCGGGCTGGTACTTCCTGCGCTTCCTATAGGCTTCCTTTATAGGCTGTTTGGGTGGGGGGCTCAGGCACACGCCCTCGAGACGTCTGCCAGCACACTCCCGCCCGTGGTTGAGCCAGGGACGTGGCTAACACTTGGAGAGCGGGTTGTCATACTCCAATGACTCCAATAATGAAGTCAGAGTCGCCTCAGCCTTTTCCTCGCCCTGACTAGATGCGAGTGTGGTAGTGACGACTGTGCGGGGGTGGCTACTTCCAGCAGTTTCGACTGCGCTAATCCTCTACAGCAGGAACGATGCCCCATCCATATGACACTTACTAATTAGAAGTTACGGGATCCTCCGGCGGCGACTCGTCATCGGATTCCCGCCGAGAATAAGTACTATGTACGTAGGTACTTCAGGTACGAACGCTCACGCCATAGCCGACGCCTCTTCCTGCATGGCGCCAGTACCTTTTACAAAATCAAAAACGCATCGCGGGATCACTTAACATCCGCTAGCGTGCAATTTCCGGCCCTGCCGGCCCGCTTAGAACCTCTAGCCTTCCAGCCCAAACTTCTAGTCCAGCCACCATACGTCACCCGCTAGGGCAAACATAGTGCTCCTATTTTCGTCCAAAGTACTTTTGACTATAGCTATTTCTGTCATGTTCATAGATTATATAGGTTAGTGCTCGATATTAACCCATATGCCCCTTTTCTGCGATCCCGGGTTGGAGGTTAAAGTCAGAAGATTACTCTGTGTACATACTATCGGGAAATACGACAGCGATCGGGCATATCCGCCCCTTTCAAACCGGCCGGTCAGTCGGGTAGGGTGGAACTGGTTCGGAGGTGATACATTTAAGTGGGTTGCGAGGTCCGAGTGGATAGGTCATACACAACGATTGCGGTACTCAGATCTCGGGTGGACTGGCTTCGAGTTCAAGTTGTACTTTGATATTGTTTGACCAACATTCGCATGTGTCTCGGAAACCCGATGGTCAACTGAATCAATCGCTTCCTCGTATAGGCGGGGGCTAAGGAGGCGGCTTTTCTCTGACCGCTCGATGTTTACCTCGGGCACCATACAACATATTTTGGCTTCTGTGTGCCAGAGCATTTATAGTGTTCAACTAACCATGATAATATCTGTATCGCATTTTCTGCTAATCGCGTTTCCCTAATCATCTTAATTTTTTCTATCATCTACCTCATGTCTGCCCAGTCCAAGTGTTGATATTTCCGAGACCGTGGACATCCGTTGTTCAAGACCAGCTATGGCTACTTAGATTTACTTCCTTTGAATCTCCGAGGCTGCAAAGCAACAACGTCATCTGTCTATTTCCATATTTCCCACCTTTTTTATCTGAGTTTCATATCTCCTCTTTCATCCGAAATGCCGAGGTTCCTGTTCTCGAGTAGACTGTTCTCGGGATAGATCATCTACGGTAGTCCCCTGGTCAAGCACACCCTCCAATTCTACCCCTCTTAACTATAACTCTCTTTCAAGTGGGGCGCTATGATCTCAACAGGCCGCCCTTGTGACAAGGAGTAGCTCTCAAGGGAGGAGGGATACAGGGATAGTCACCACCACACCACGCAAGGAGGTTAGCCCGTTTCTGACCAATTTGCAGACGGTTCACATCTGCTTTACTCTTGTTTGCTCTAGTTCGATCGGAATTAGTGAAGTATCCACAGCTCAACTCATTTTAGTCAGATGGGCAACATCGTCTCTGGTCGAGACAGAGTGGCTCGCATACTAAGCTCCGAGTCACCTCCCCGCAATCCGCGAAGCGTCCTCACAACCACAACACCACCATCACCATTAATTATACACAATTCCCAAACACGTATAAACCAAATTCATCTTCTGATTGATCATTTATACCACCTTCCTCTATAATGTCACCCAAGAATAAACATTAGCCAGTGTCAACCCCACCCCCATATCCCCCAATCCGGCAAGCGGTGGCAAAAAACCGATGATGTCGCCCTCTCCGCAACTCCAAGCTCCTCACACCAGCATCAATCCACCCCCAAAGCAACAACAATGCTCTCCCGCACAGCTCCCCGGGTCCTCCGCTACACCGCACGGTCTTCAAACCGTCTCTCCTGTACCAGTGCCCCTTCCCGCACCCTCCGCCCAAGCTCCGGCTCCAACTCCAGCTCCAGCTCGCTCGCAGCTGCAGCTGCAACCCGCTCGTTCCACTCGACCCGGTCCTTCGCCAAGGGCCTCCAGCCTGACTCGGAGGATCCCCATCCGCCGCAGCCTCAGGCGCCTGTCGCTGGTGCCGCGGCACATGTTACGGAGCCGAGTCCGTTGACGCCAGAGGAGTACTATGAGTACTCTGAGCACTACTTTAATGTTCTGCTTGCGGCATTGGAGAAGGTGCAGGAAGAGGGAAGTGATGTTGAGGCGGAGTATAGTGTGAGTTGATTTCCCCTCGAACTATCCAGTCGTTTGTTTTTCGACCTCGGATCAACTCGACCTTACCCTTGAGTACGCAAGGAATTAAGCTAATCAATGTGATTTTAGGCCGGCGTGCTAAACATCATCACCCCCGCACATGGAACCTACGTTTTAAACAAACAACCACCCAACAAGCAAATCTGGCTTTCCTCGCCCATCTCCGGACCGAAGCGGTACGACTGGATCGTCGAGGGCGACCGCATGCACGAGAAGCAGGAGACTCGCGAGTTTGTCCATGGGCAGTGGATTTATCTGCGAGATGGATCCAATCTGACGGATTTGTTGAATGCGGAGTTGACGCTTAACCTGCCTAAGGATATTTACTCGCAGGTTGTGGAATAGATTACTCGCCCGTCGGTATATCGGATCATGGTCTACAGATGTAGTGATCGATGGGATATGCCCTGGTGACAGGTTGATTGTATTTTAGGTGTGCATTACATTGATCTATTTTTGGATTTGAATATATTGTATTGCTGTAGGTCTAGATAAGAATTTGTATGCATTCTGGTTTAGCCTCGCTTTGTTGGCGCTGTAACTTGGTCATCTTGGATCCAGCAAGTGTTGCTTATCCAACGTAGCTGCAATCCTGTGCGACTGTTCCTGAGACGGGGAGTAATTACTCTGAACAGTCGCGCATCTCCCCAGCGCGAGACACCCTTCCCTTCCCGACAACAAGAACCCGGGTGTCGGTGTGTATCATGCAGGGGCCTCGGTCAGTGGCTAAACCCAATCACAGAAACTTCAGTGTCAAGTAACGAGCCACCCATCGCAATAACATTCAAGGTCGCCGCAGAGATCGTGGCCAAGTCCATCTGCAGAGTAAGCCAGCAATGTGTATCCCTCGCCAACCAACTGATCTGTCTCGGGCGATTGAAACAGCATTTAATAGGAGCGGATTTGACTTCGGGGTATGACACAAGGCTCGTCGTGATCGCAGGAACAGGGCACCAGGCCTCATCTACCCATCCATAATACCAGGTATCGTGCACCGAGGAAGTAGTCGCGCACATTCATCAATCAGACTTCAAATCCGATCACAAAATCACGCCTGCACAGCCACAGCACCAGATGTCTGCTCATCCGCCTTGGGCAGATCAGCCTTCAGGAAAGTTAGAAAAAGACAACCACAAAACGAACTCCGGCTCCTTTAAGAGTCTGTGCGGCGTACGACTCACCAGTTCGAAAATCACTTTTATCATCAGTGAGCAGCTCGGGCATACGGCGATTTCTTCGCCGTCGCGTAGGTCGTCGATTGCGATTTCGAAGCGGTCGCCGCATGGGCAGGGGAAGTGGTAGATTTGCATTGCTGGGTCGAAGGTCATGTCTTCGATTTCGATCTCGTCGTAAATGGAGAGTGCGTCGTCTGCCATTTTGGTGGTCGTCTGTCTTGTGTGGGCTGGGCTGGTGGGGTGAGGAAGTGAAAGTGAGTCAGGAAGCTTGAAGTCGCAAATCTAAAAAAGTTATGGTGGCGGAAAGTTTGGATTGGCGGGGTGTCATGTGACTGCGGAGTATACTTTTGGCAGCAGGCGGGCGGCGGTTTGGGATCTTGGATTGGATCTTGAAGATTGAGTCATTCCATTATTTGTCCTTTTCTGGGGCTAGTTACTCTCCAAGTCTTGCGATTTCCATCTTGACCGTCTCCACTTCTCTCGCGAGAAGTCCGTAGCGACGAGCGATTTCTGCTAATGTCCCTCCATCATGTCCGCTCTGGTCAGAGTCCATTTCTGAATCTTCTGCATAGCCGTATCGTTTTAATTCTTGCTTGGCAGCAAGTTGCCGACCGTCAAATCGTTCCCGTGTATCTCGTAGATGTTTCTGATACCGACTCAGTGCAGCAATTGTCTCGGGCGTGTACAGCATCGCGGCGATTTCGAGTTTAATAACCCTATATCTTGTCAGTCCAGAATTCACATATCGCCATTTACCCAAGCTGCAATTCAATGCAATATCTGCCGGCAGATGCTTGGAATGCAACATACTCAAGTTTTCCCTCAATACCCTGCGCGACGGTAGCCAAATGCTCCGCCTTTGCCTTAATCGCCCTCGCCAAGGTTCCGTGTTTCGCCCGCTCGAGAATAACAATCGTTCTCTCAAGCAATAGCGTCTGCACGGCTAGAACCGCAGCTGCAATCGCAGCCATCTTACGTCGGGCCGCGGGTAGCTCCGATAACTGCGCATCACGGAGGGCTCGAACCCGGTCACGCAGCTGGGATGCCAGAGGTGGGACGGGCGCCATCGAGGTCCGGACTCGTCTGTCTCGGGCGCGAGCGCGGGCATGGTGGTTCGAGCCTGAGCGTTGGTGGTTCGCTCTGGAGGATGGGTGTGCGGGCATGTCTTCGATGGTTTCGGGGGTCGTGCTGGATATTGTGCGGAGCTCGGTAATGGCATTGGAAAGGAGGGCTGAGAAACTCGATACCAGAGACGGTATACGACTGTAAAATGTCTCGAATTCCGGTGCGAGTAGGGAGAGCGCATTGTCTTGATTCGGTTCCGGGCAGTCTTGGCCTGTTGTCTTGGGCTCGATTACGGCGGACGGTGTCTCGAGGTAGAGGGATATCAGGGCGAGATTATCATGACACTGTATTGAAGCAATGGTATTAGCTCGCGCTTGCGTTTGGACGTTCATCACTGGCAGTCTTCGCGGAGACGCACCTCATCCGGGAGCCCGCTGTCGGAATGAAACGCGAGCTGTTTGAGAGTTCGCTCCTTGATCTTCCTTTTTGCGCTTCGGTGCTGGCATTGCCTCAGGTCCTGTTTGAACGCTATTAGTGTTCTGCCGTCATCTGACAGTGGGTTTGATGCGCCAGTTCCTGCTGGCGCGTCGCGACTTACCTCCGCAACCGCGGCCCGCGCTGGGTCGGCACTGTTGGCGCGTGTTGAGCCATCCGGGTTGAGGAGATTGGTCGTCAGGTTCTCATATAGTCGTTTGAACTGGGGATTGTGTTCGAGAATGGAGGGATCGCAAGGGGGTATCATGTTGTGGAGGGAAAAGGAGGTTCACCGCCGACTGCGGGATCAACAGGGATCAACACTCCCGCCGCACTAACGCCGATGACGAACTATGCCGTGAATAAACAAAGCAAATGAATCTCTGTTGTTTTGTCGCATCATGTTGTTCTTAGTGTAGTATGGAGAGCAGTCTCTACTCTATTTTATACTAAGATCTAAATCAAGTATCTTGTCAGGTAAGAATTCGTGTTGAACTACCATACACTCGCTGTAAGCTGCCCAAGACTCAATAATGATAAGCTAAGATATGACAAGTTGGCAATAAAAGCACAAGTACCAAAGGGAACCAGTTGGCATTTCCGCGTTTCTTTCGTAATCATACATAGAAGCTACTAGATGTCCCATTCCTGCCTGTCCCCTTCTGTTTTCATCCTCGAGGTCATCGAAGCAACTTGAAGTAAGCCAAGCTTCAATAACCATACCATTGATTGACAAATCGAGGAAGCAGTAGGCAAGGTTCAAGCAATCCGATCCTGAACTTGAGCAGCAAACCCAGGATACTCCAGGAAAAAAAAAAAAAGGTATGTACATGAAGTTTTTCGAGACGAACGGTTCACCAGGAGAAAAAAAGGAGGGGCACGCACGCATAAACGAAAGCACGCGCAGCTTCAGCGATTCAGTTTCTGGTTCGGGTCCATGGTTAACGATTAAACCAGACGTGCGAAGATTCGATTCGGGGGAAATCGCAGAGGTTAAAGATAAAGGTGGAAGGAACGCTCAAACGCAAAAAAGAATGGCCCGTCCTGCTTCCCCGGGAGGTTCAACAGAGCGGGCCATAAGAAGGTAGACAAAGGGCCATCTACTCTTCTTCGCTCTCCTCTGAATCATCATCCGACTCATCCTCGCTTGACTCGTTGGCCTCAACAGAGGGCATCGGGTCAGGCGAGCCACCGTGACCACCCTGGAAGCGAGACAAATTGCTCTCGAGCATGTTAATCTGCGCTTCCTGTTCGAACTTGCTCATAGGCTTGTTCTTCTTGGGCTTGGCGGCTGAGACGTTGTTGTTCATCGGGACGTCCTCTTCGTCGTCTTCGAGGTTCGGGGCGTGCTTCTTGACGAATTTGAGCAGTAGCAAAAGGACGTCGTTCGGAAGTTCGTCGATGTCGAGCTCGATTTCAGCCTCTTGGGCTCCCTTAAACGTAGAACGGTGGTGAGCGAATGTGGTCAACCTTCCTCGACGGAAAACGGTCATTTGGGTTTGTGATATATATACCTTGAGATTAGGGACATTGTTCTGGATGATTTGGAGGGCTTGTTGCATCTTTTTATCAGGAAGGGTACTGATCCCATTGGAGATCATTTGCTTCTCATTGTAGGAGACGAAACGAGTCTTCTCAGGCTTGGCAGCAGCCTTCGTCGACTTCTTCTCCTTCTTCGAGCCGCTCTTCTTGGGCTCCTTCTTGGTCCCCTTCGCCTTGCTGCCGGACTTCTTGCTGGCCGGAGGGGTCTTCATCTTCTTTTGGGTGATCATCTCGACCTGGCGAGACATCTCCGCGATCTTTCGTTGCAGCTCCGTGAGCTGCTCGTTGTCGTCTTCGTCGCTCTCCCCATCATCACTGTCATCATCGGAAGAATCAGAGTTGTGTTCAGGGTGAGGCTCGTGACGATCAAGGTATTCCTGCTTGTGTTGCCACTTTTGGTCGAAAACCTCTTCAAGCTGCTTGCCGGCCAGGTAGGTAGGATCACCGGGAAGGTTGAATCGGTAGCAGTTCTTGAACATGAGACGCACATCGGCTTCAAACTCCTTCGAGTTCTCATATTGGCCGGTGGTAAGCTTGCTCTTGATGGTACCCATGTCCATCGGCTTCTTGATGATGCTGTGGTAGGTGGGAATGTTGAGTGCGACGGGATCCACCGGAGCATAGAAAGGAATGGCATTGATTTGATGCTTTGGTTTGAACAGCTCCTCAATCGTTTCCTGGCAGAAGCGGAGCTCCCACTGGTACTTCTTCTTCTTGGGCTTAGAAGCATAAGGAAGATCGCGCTTGGGAGGGTGGATGGATCGCTTGGGCCGGCCATCGGGATTCGTCGAGTCTCGTCGGATGACTGGAAGACCTTCCGGGCCCAGCGCAAAGGTGGTGGCTTGGGGAGAGGCCGCTTTGGCGGTCGTGCTGCCGAGAGATGTGCGAGGCTCCCGTCGGGCAGCAGACGTCTTCTCCGCGGTTTTCTTGGGCTTCTTCTCCTCAACTTCGTCCTCCTTGGGCAGGTTGGTCATCTGCTTATGGAACGTGTGCTTGAGCTTCTCGCCTTCCTGGTACACCAGGTGGTCGGCCCCGTTGAATCGCAGCGAGTTGGCGACCATCAGATCGAAATCGTCGAAAACTGCCTGCGCAGTCGGATACTCATTGGCCTTGAGCTTCCGTTCGATGGTACCGAGATCCATGGGTTTGGTGATGACCGAGGGATAGTTGGGAATGTTCAACTTGATGTAGTCGACCGGTTCCCGGTAGAATCGAGAGTCGTGCATGCGCTTCAGGCTTGTGAGAGACTTTTGAATGAACTTTTGCTGCATCTTGGTGATGCGGGCCTCGCCGCCAGTGGGCTTCGATCGGGATGTCTCAGCGGAGGCGGAAGGAACTTCAGGAAGCTTGATGTTGACGGCTGCGGATCCTTCGTTTTCGACCTTGGTGCGCTTGGAGGCCGGCTCCTCAGCAGGGTCGGCCTCGCGTTGACGGGATTGCTTGGATGGAGACATTGGAGCGCTAGGTGCGTCCTTCATCTCAGTATCGGTGTTCTGAGGAAGGCTGGTGGTAGAGATATCGGTGGTTGGATGGTGAGGAAGTTGAGTTACCGCGGAAGAGAGATTAGGAGAGTCAATAGCCATTTTATCATCACCAGCATCGGTTTCACCTGCATTCATTCCACCGTTCACTGCGTTGAGGGCAGGACCGCTAGTCGCTTCTTTCACTCCACCATTCACTGAACCTGCGGCATGGCCATCCGTCGAGTGACTTGTGGAAACATCCGCGGGAGGGACAATGTTGTCAGCAGGAGTGCTCTCAGCTACTGAGGGCGCAGCGGGCTGCGGTTCAGCTGGAGCGGGTGTCTCCTCCGGCTTCTTAATTTCATTATGTTCTGATGGCTCGGCATTCGGCTTTGGCTCGGTCGAGACCGACGCAAGGGATTTTGGGGGAGACGCAGCTGCGCTGGCACCGTTCGTCTTGGGGGGCACGCTGGGCGAATGGCCGTTGGTCTTGGGGGCATCATTATCGGTCGCGGGTGCAAGTGCGGGAGCAGACGCGGTAGATTCCGTCTTCAAGTCCGTTCCGGCATTTTGACCGCTGCGACGGATGTCAGCGCATATTTGCGCATTGGGAACTGATGATTCAGGACCCTCAACCAACGCGACAAGAAAAAAAATTACAAACTACTCACCTAGGGTGCACCTGGTCGGGCGCGGAAGCTCCGGCTGGGGACGGCGGAAGCTGAGGCTTCTCCTCCTTGAGGGGAGGGGCAGCCTCGGGAGGCGGGGTGGCCATATGGATGGTCGCGGAGCAAGAATAAAGGCTTCAGGGAAGATATAACAGGATTTCGGGTTCGCGAGTTCAAACTGGATACAGCAAAAGTCACCGCGCGCAATTGCCAACAACTGAGCAGTCGCGCGGGATAATTAAAAAACACTCGACCAACGATGTACCGACAGAGACGATACAGAGGTTCGGTATCGGGGATGGTCCGGAAGATAGAAAGAGTGGAGAATGCGACGCGGACGAAGAATTTATACTGCCAAGAAAGGCGGTATGATGGTCACGTGGGCGGTGGGTGTGGGACAGGAACCGGTAACCTAGAAAGTCACGGGTTTGACCGAAAACGGATGGGGGGATGGGAAAAAAAATTAGCGGGCGAGGGTGGGTGCCTGAGGTTTGGGGGAATTGTGCGGATAAAAAAAGGGAAGGGAATTATGAAAGCAGGGCGGAAGGGCGGGTTAAAAAAGGGGGGCACGCGACGCGTAGTGTTATGTTTAGGGGGTAACCAAGGATACGTGGGCGGTCAGGGGGGACAAATAGGTAAAAATAGGAGGAGCTCCAGGACGGAAGCAGAAAAAGGCTCGGAGGGGATGCCAGAATCCTTAAGTACAAACGCACTGCAGCGCCGCGAGTTCCACCGGCCTCGCTAGCCCGGATTCTGCTGGGCCCGCCCCCTTCTGATTCGCCATGCTGCGCCTGCGCGGCCCCCTGATTGGCCTGTCCTGGGTACCGTACCGTATTGCAAAGCTGGAAAATTTTTGCAAATTGTGATCCCTTTCACTCATCAAAGAACCCGGTCGCGCAAAGCTGATACTGCCATCATCGATAGAAACGGTCTATGTTTACGAATTCTTCGTATCAGGGTATTGTTCAGATGACTCACGATCTGCAGGGGATGCGACGAGTTCATCCCCAACTCCTAACTCCAAGCCCTAGGGTTGGCCGAATGCGGCCTAGCGTATGATCCGTCGAGTCCAGACGTCACTTCACGTGATTTATCCTTTCCGGCGATCGCTGGGACCGAAGTTAGATCTATACTACAGGTCGTCGTATCTGAGCAGAGGGGTCCGTCAAACACATCCTATCATCTTCAAGGGCGACCACTCTAGGCTCTGATATAGATCGCGGCAAGGCATGAGCACGCTAGCGCCTGTCATCCCCCAGGGAGGCCCGGGAGGCGCCAAGCCCTTTGGGGAATTTCTATCTGCACTCGACTTCGAAACAGCCAATCATTGGCCCCGTCGATGGGCCCTTACAGATCAGGCAGATCAGGCAGGATCCGGGCCTGGACCGGGCAGCCACACCACATTTGACGTCGAATTATGACAGAATTAAAGCGACGAGCATCACATCTATGGATTTCCAGCAGAACATGGTTGCCTCGCCTCCAACGCCAGTGAGATTGTGGACAAAATTAGGCAACCATGAATCCTGAGTCGCGAACATAGGCCAGTCGAGCAAAAACAAAAATGGCATTTGATTGTGGTCGCTGTTACAGCTTTGCAAAAGCAAGAAAGAAAAAGTAAACAAAAAATGATGGATAACACTATTGCCACGTTTGCCGATCCCTGCTGGGGTACGCTCCCTTCCGGTTGTGACATCGCGACATGGATGAGCTTTGAGCCACAACAATAAGCATTTGATGTTGTGGCTAGTGAATGTAGAATTCAGAACAATGAAGATAATAGTATAGATCACAAGTATCCTTTAAATTTTAATCTTATTGTTATGTCTTTTTGCCTGCAGCAGCTGATCGCATATTGAGATTAGTTGTAACGGAGAGAAGATCTATCAGCTAACATATATATTCGCGTTGTGAACAGCTTCACAAACTACAGTAGGCCATTCAAAGCTTCCAGATTGAAGATCGAATAATAAAACATAGGCAGATGAAATATTGATGCAATTTATTTTCATCACAACCTCTAATAATCACAAAAATACTACATTTAGGTATGCATTAATTCTGGGTTGCTGCCTTGACACCTCAAATTGGTGGTCTGCACAGTTGCCCGATTAGATAAGGGAACAGCCGCTGGACACGCTAAGCCACATCTAGCCTAGTGCCCCAACCGGCTGTCTACAGAACATTTTTTTCCTTTCCGCAACAGACCTCCAGAGTCCCAGAACCCTTCAGCCCGTCGTCCCCCGGGGTTAGTGAAAAGATTGTGGGAATCTCCTAGATATTTAGGGGACCGTCAATTATCGAATTTTGATCCACATCTGCCCCTCACTCGATCCCCAAAAAGTTCACCTTCGAAGGAGCCGAAAAAAAAAAAGCTCCGCCATCCGAAAAAATGGGCAAAAAGACATCTCGTCCTGCGACAAAGGCCGCGTCGGCCGCATCGCCGGCGTCGGGCCTTTCGCACGCTAGCAAATCATCGATCCTCCGAGCTGCATTTTCCCCATCCGAGTACCAATTGGCCCTGTTCGCATCCGTTATCCAGGGTCTCGATGCGCAACACCTCCGCATCCACGATACCAACACCGGCCGACTACAGTGTGAGCATGCGCTGAGCCCGAAGGAGACAATCACCTCGCTCGATTGGGGATACTATGGTGGCCAAGGAAAGAGCCGTGACCAGTCCAAGAAGAAGCGTAAGCGTGGATCTGATGTCAATGGCCTAGACCAGGGAGATGTGGTTGTCGCGTTTGGTACCAGCACCTCGGATATCCGCATGTACTCGCCTTCGGAAGATAAGGTCGTCGGCACCCTGACTGGCGCGCACGACAAGGGTATCAAGGACTTCAAGTTCACGGCTGGCAAGCCCGCCCAAGAAGCCTGGAGTATTGGTGGTGATAACAAGCTTGTGCAGTGGGATCTGCGCACTGGTCAAAGCATAAGGTATGACATTTCGGTCGCGATCGATTGAAGACCTTTCCCTCCTAACCCGCTCTGCTCTAGAACTATTCACCTACTCGCATCTTCCGTCTTTACTGCCCTCTCCCGTCCTGTTCCTTCCAACCCGCCCGTCATCTGCGCATCCCAAACTCCATTCTTGGTCGACGTGGAGAACTCCGATGAGCCCGCCAAGTTTCCGGCGATGCGCAACCAGATTCACACAGTCATTTCGTCCTCGCAAGAGTCCGCCGGCACGGGCGCATTCCTCGCCTCCGACGGTGACCGATTTATCAACGTCTTCGATGCCTCGACCCAGAAGCTTGTGCGGAATCTTGTGGCCGATCAGGAGGTCACTTCGCTTTCACTGCACGCGAGCAAGGCCGCTCTCGAGAAGCAGATTTTGGCTGTTGTGACCGAGGACGGTTCCATCGAGCTTTTCACAAAACCTTTCGTTCAGGCGCAGAATGCGCAGTCCGGTAGCGCCAAGGCTAACCGGAAACAAATGACCCAAAAGGCCAACGCCACCCTCAAGATTATCCGTTCCGATTCCTCAGATGCATGCGTACCCGTAGTATCAACCTTGTTCAACGGCAACGAGATTGTGGTTGCCTACGCCGAGGGCGGCGTCATTCCCGTTTTTGAGCGCGTGAAGATCCTCGACGAGAGCACCGATGAGCTTGCGTTCACAGGAACAAAGGCTGTCGTGAAGAGCAAGTCGAGCTCGGCCGTTGCATCAGTCACCACAAATGGCACCAAGAACGCTGGCGAGAGCCGTGTTGATGAGTCGCACATGGCCGTGGAGCAAGGTAACTTGATGGATGAGGATGTTGAGATGGGCGAGTCGCGCGAGGATGGCGCGGACGATGTGTCCGGTAGCGAGGACTCTGATAACGGCGATGAGGTCAAGCCTACCCCCGCCGAGAAGAAGTCGAAGGCTCCCAAGAAGGCCGAGCCCGAGTCGGATGTCGAAATGAACAACGCCGAAGCGGACGACGAAAAGGAGGACGAAGAGGCTGGCGCCGAGCCCTCATTTGGCGAGCTCATGCGTGCCAATGCTGGGCAAGAAGTTGATGTTGAGGCCGAGCTGGACGACGAAGTTCTTCCTGGTGCATTGATTCCTGGCAAGCCCACAGCTGCCGTTCAACAGATCCCCACTGGCGTGTCATTGTCGACCGTCCTTACGCAGTCCCTCAAAACCAACGATGGCGCCATGCTCGAGTCTTGCTTCCACACCGCCGACACCTCCATAATCCGCACAACTATCCAGCGTCTCGAGTCTTCCCTCGCCGCTACTCTGCTCCAGAAACTCGCTGAGCGCCTCTCTGCCCGTCCCGGTCGTTATGGTCACCTGCTTGTTTGGGTCCAGTGGACCTGCGTTGCCCACGGCGGTGCTCTGGCCGGCCAGCCGGAGCTCCTGAAGCGCATGGCTACCCTGTACAAGGTCATGGACCAACGGTCATCTAGCCTTCCCTCCCTGCTGCTTCTCAAGGGTAAGCTCGATATGCTCGATGCCCAGCTCGGCTTGCGGCAATCTATCCGAGGTGGAGACGAGGGTATGGACAGTGAAGATGAGGAGAACCTCATCTACGTCGAGGGTCATGATGATGAGGATAGTGAGACTGAGGCTAAGCCCCGGACAAAGTCTATCCGCGATTCGGCCTTCGACGAAGAGGATGAGTCGATGATGAACGGCATTGATGAGTCTGAAGATGATGAGGATGATGGAAGTGAGGATGACGATGACGAGGAAGATGACATCCTCGACGTCGAGGCCGAGGAATCGGCCGGCTCCTCTGATGCTGAGGAGTCGCTCGAGGAGAACGAGGATGATGACGACGAGGAGAGCGAGGGCTCTATGGTTGATTTCATTGCCGATACCGAAGACGAGGGATCCGATGATGCCGTTGAGCAGGTCCCGCCGCCATCGAAGAAGGCGAAGACGGGTGGAAAGAAGAAGGGCGGTAAGAAATGAAGATCCGATAATTGTTAGATGGAAAGATTCTCTGTACGAATTTTGGAGAAAGATTTGATTTTATTTTTGATTTCTTTTTTTTGATGCTTTCACCAAAAGATTTTATATACTGGCATGCATAACTGCATTTTCTTGCTGTGTGGGAACTGTGTCCATAGCCACACCTGACTCAATTGAATCAATTTACAACATTTCTGTCAGAGTAGTGTCACACTTGATACATTTTGATTAATGTATTCTTCTAACGAAGATTAACTAATGCCCGTAGCAATGCTGACCTCATGTCTAAACAAGCAGTTCTTCGCCTTTACAAGGACCAGCATGCAGAACCCGATGTCCAGGAAGACCACCTTCGCCAAGGGGAATCTGGAACGCAGTCGTGGTCTCCTGAGAAGGGTACTTGGTGATATGGCCCAAGGCACTAACATCCGCAGTATCCAACGCAAGGATGGCACCCTGTTGTCCACCGGGAATCCAGGCCTCGGCGGTCGAGTTGGGCAGAGTGATGTGCGCCAAGCCAGAAAGGAAGATTACCCATCTGATAAGGTTAGCCAAGTATAAACAAACGGAGACAATATAGCCCAGAAAAACGGAAGGAAAATAAAAGGAAGATAAGAACAGGGGTAGATGGTGTCTTCCGCGTCTTCCGAAGGCATTACATGTACAAAGACTGAAGAAATTTGGAAAAACACACTGTTGAGTGGGCGCGTTGTGCCGACCACCGTCGAACTTGGCCGGGAGAACCGAATACGATGCATTACCCGCCTGCGCGCCTCCGATAAGACCCAGGTTTAGAGCTTCAGAGCCGGAGGTTCCGGCTGTGGTGGAGGTCTGGAAGCCCGGTTCCAGGGCCCAGCATTCGAGCGTCGAGCGGTTGTTGCGGGCGCCGAGGACGGTGACGTTTAGGGTACTGGCGACTGCGAGGCTGGAGGAGGCCAGGAAGGGAAGGATAGTTGAGAGGCGCATTATTGCGGGTTTATTTGAGTGATTGAGGAGTAGGATTGCGGTAGGAAGTTTGGGAGGAAAAGAGAAGGTGAGATGATGACGCCAAGAAATAGTATGAGGAACAGCGGGAGGGATCGATAGGTCCACATTCTATTCCTGATTTGGCAATAAGGATACATGGTGCATGAAACCATTGGAGGAGTCTGTGTTGCATGCGAAGTCCTGTTCTAGGTAGTTCTGTTGTGAGGGTGTATAAGGATAGTTCGTAGGGGTTCAGGGGGGAATTGGACAGAGGACTGAGCCTCTAGCGAATGACTTCACTGCCGGATTTATCAATACCCTCCATGCTTTCGAGAATATCACTGCCTCCGAGAAGTCCACTGGAAGATCCAAAGCTGGTTCGTCGTCCTGTCCAAACCTCGTGGAATTTCACGGTCTGGTCGCTTGATGCGACAATGATACATCCTTCCTCCATCGTACGTGAGCACCACATTCCACCTTCTTTTTCTTTCGGCCGGACCGCTTGTGTCCCTTCAATTGATACAGGTGTTTCACGCCCTCGCTGCGATGACCGTGTGCGACTGGAAGTGGGAGAGGTGGGCGATGAGGGTGACGTCGCGCTTGTGGGACTGCTGGCTTCCTGCTCGAAACTTCGGCGTGGTCGTCCCGGGTAACCCACAGCCCACAAAGCACGTCCACAATCAGAGTTGGCAATGCGGTCGACCCCATCCCAAGTGGTTCCATAAGGCCCCCAAGGAATGACAGCAACCTGCGCGCAGCTTGGCCAAGCAAAGACCGCGATGCGGAACGGATGATCTGGCTGGGCGTACCCAAATGTCGCAACAATCTCGCGTCGAGTCTGGCTCCAGATCAGACTGGTCACCTGCGCAAAAACATTGATGGTGGCTAGACAAACACCGGTGCGTGAGTGGAAAAAGTGGATCGCTCGATCGTTCGATCCTCCTCCGGTTGCCAGCAATGTGGGCTGCCATGGTGCAAATGCAATTGCCTTTACAGCGGCAGCATGCGGCAAGCGATGCTTCTGACGGTTTGGTGCAACCACGACTGTCGTCCCGATGCCCGAAATAAGAGTTCCAATGTGGCTCATAACTTGATTTGTGTGAGTTGGCCCTCTGCTAGGAATAGGTTGGAACGCCCACGATGGCAAAAACGAAGTGACAAGATGTTCTCTGTTGAAAAGACGTAGTCTTCTCGGAGGGTTGCCAAGGTTGATACGTGGGAATGCAGGGAAGCTTCTTTCGTCAGACGAAGTGGGCGACACAGAAGTATATGGCGAGTGATCTCTCACTGATGGCGGAATGATATCTTCAAGCTCGAAGAGCAAACACACGTTATCATTACCCCCAGTAGCAAGGAACCGTTCGTCAGGTGACCATGCCAGACCACAGACTTGTTGAGTATGCGCGGAGATCTTGGCGAGTAGTGTCATCGATCCAGACCAGCTCCATTTGTTCTGAATTACCGGCCACTCGACTGAATAATACCATACATTGCCGATGTCGTCACCAGCCACAAGTTCTTCCGCGTCAATCTCCAAACCAGGAAACCGTTCTGAGTTTCTGCGCGTGGTCTTCGGCTTGAATGACACGCATGATATGCTATTTGGGTGGCTAAGATCAAAACGGACTCTGTTATCCAAGGCACCCCAAAGTAATAACTGACCGGACTGGCGACCCACGGCGAGGATACTTCGACCGCCATATTCCGATGAGAAACAAAGGGATGTAACGTAGTTCGATGGATGCACGTCGCCGAAGGCGGGGTGATTGACCGTAGTACCTTCGGACCAGAGATAGACATATTGAGCGAGACCGACAGCAAGTATTCCACTCGTGAAGGAATACGCTAGGGTTGAGCAGTAGAAATCGTCACGAAGGTACGGCGCGTCCAAAATTCGGAAAGGCTTGGGCGGCACAGTTTCTCGCGTGGCACGGGCAGACGTAGGCCCTGGATAACACAAAAGGTCAGTTGATGCTACAAAAGAGAAGACTGAGGGTGAATTTGCCAGACCCTTTGGATAAGTGTAGAGCTATATTTTGTAGATATTTTCGACCTCGTCTAGAGGCAGTAGATAAGACCCAACCAAGACCAGAATGGGAAAGATGCCATGCAAAAGCAAAGGCCACGCCTACGCATGATCATTTTCGGCAAAACTTACAGTGGTCTTGTTCTCCCTTTTTCCAGGCATTGTCCTTCCACACAAAAGGTGCATACCGCTCATAGTCTGGGGATGTTGGACTGGCCTGATTCTGTGTGTACGGCGTAGAGGTACCGAGAACTCTGGTTGTCGGATCAATATCCAATGCGAGAGCGAGTCTTGACTCATGCTTTCTTTGGTCCTCGGCAGCGGTTCTTTGGGGTAAGAGCCGTGCGGCGTAGCTGGGGGCAGTCGTGCCTCTGTTCGCAGATTCTCGTGAACCATTGAATGCCGAGAAGTCACTTTGAGTTACAGCAGCTCCGCCAACATCCCAGACAGTTCCCAAGCTGGCCTGCGGTAGCCCATGTTGACCAATACCCCTCGCAGGCACCAAGCCAAGCGCTAGACTCGGCTGTTGGTGTGGCCGTTGGCGAAGGTGGGCGGGAATTGGCTTCTGTCCAGGGAAGGCAGGGCAAGGCCGAGTTGTTGGAAGAAAGGGGTCATCACCCGGAACACGACGTCGCAGGAATCGCTCTCGAGGTGACAGTAAGATGGTGGGTTTGCTGACACGGAATGGCGTGGATGAGGAATCTATACCACTGGTATATTCCCGCGTTGGAATAAATCGATCTGGCGAGGCCGGGCTCTGAAAAGTCCTGCGGCGTTTTTCTCCGCCGCGAGATTGCTTCACCCTCTTGCGCCCTCTTTCTGACGATGCTGAGTTTTGGGTCCTGTTTTCCTTCTGTCGTATAGTATGAGTCTCTTCTCGGGATTTGTTGGTCAGTGATGCGTGAGAAGTCGAGCGCAGGTCTCGGAGCGATAGGTTAATAGTTGCAAATGATTCAGTGAGCTTCACCGAGCCACTGCTGCGAGAGGACTCGGATCGGGAGCTAGACGTTAGTGAAGCATGGTGTTTGCGGAGCGAAGGTGTATCCTCGAGGGAGTGACACCGCGAATCGACCATTTTAAGACCAATACAGCCACGCTGCAAAATATGTGCTGTGCCAACAATAAAAAGGAATGTGTCGCGGAGCCCCCAGGACCACAGTAGGGCCGTCGACGAATGTTGACTGGACGAACGTATTCCCTTCTAGTTTGGCTTCGTCGAAGCTGCCCTCCGACGTGCTTACTCAGCAGCGGTCAGGCCACAAGGCTGCCAGCCAAGAAGTGGCGCGGTTTCCCAAATTGCCCTCGCCGATCCCCGCCAGCCTCGAAACTCGCGAGTTCACAATGGCAAGCGTGAGTGGCAGCCTTGCGGATGATTCGTGACCCGTGGATTCGACCCAGAGGCTGACGGACTCGACAGCATGGCGTTCGCCGGTTTAAACCGGTGGAGAAGACCCCGGAAGAGCGACAACAAGAGTTGAAGCAAATAGAAGAGTACAGATCTCTCGAGAGTTTTGTCTCTAAGAAGGTTGGTTATTATTTGGACGTGCCAGTCATCCGAAATCGATACTGATGGTTCGACTAGGTCACCGCACAAGATTTCTCCGCAGAGACATTGAAAAAGATCTCAGACTTGCTGAGTCGCAACCCAGAGTACTACACGGTCTGGAACTACCGACGACAAGCTCTTCGGCATCAATTCTCCGAGGCGGGTGACTCCGCAGAGAATGTGGCCGAGTTGATCGCCGAGTTGATTAAGGATGATCTGATGTTTTTGATCCCTCTGCTGCGGAGCTTCCCCAAATGCTACTGGATTTGGAACTATCGCCTTTGGCTACTGGATGAGGCCCGCCGATTGCTCCCACTGCCGGCCGGCCGCCGGTTCTGGCAGGAAGAGCTGGCATTGGTAGGCAAGATGCTAACCCTGGACAGTCGCAACTTCCACGGCTGGGGGTATCGACGTCTGGTAGTGGAGACATTGAAGCAGCTCGGCACTGCGGAGGAGGCGGCGTCCATGACCCAACAGGAATTTGAGTACGCGAAGAAGATGATCGGCGCCAACCTATCGAACTTTTCCGCGTGGCATTATCGCACGAAGCTTATCCTGCGGCTTCTGGAGGAACAGAATGCCAGCGATGAGGAGCGCCGGGCGATGTTGGATGACGGTTTGTGTTCCCAGCGGCCGTGATACGTGATACCTTGGAGCTCGTGATGAACTGACCTTTTTGCTTTCTATGTATTACAGAGCTGGCTCTCATCCATCAAGCTCTAATTGACCCCTACGACCAGTCGCTGTGGTTTTATCACCAGAATTTGATGTGTGTTTTCGACCCATCGGTAGCGCCGCGGACCATGGCTCCGAACTTGGGCACGTCAGAGCGACTTCAGTACCTGCGGGACGAGATCGCCGCAATCGAGGAGATGTTGGACGGGGCGGAGGACTGCAAGTATATCTATCAATCACTGATCGAGTGCACCCTGCTGGTCTCCAAGGTGGCGGGCCACATGGCTGCGGAGGATCGCACACAGATTCTGAGCTGGCTCTCAGAACTGAAGCAGCTCGACCCACTCCGCCAGCAGCGGTGGCTTGATTTTGAGAAAACGGTATCGACGTGATGCTGGCAGAATTCTGAATTGAGAAATGAGAGATGAGACATTGTGGTTTCTGCTGGCATTATTGTTGTAGCACGATATGTAGTGTCTCGTGCAAGAATGGGACCATCTCTGTAGGAGTGCAGGATGCGTAAGCGCGGAGTATAACGTAATCGGTAAGCGAGCCGCGCATGTAAGCCAGTCGCGCACCTTAAGCAACCTATTAATTTTAAATGCATTTATTTCAACAAAAACGCTATTAATCTAATTCAGCTAACTTGCTGGTCTATCTGGGCATGTCTCCCTTCTATGTCCCGGGCGCCTACATATTCCACATCCTCGCTGGGCCCGCGTAGGTGGCTGTAAACCCTCCGAAGGCCTTCCATCCCCGGGGGGTGGAGCGGGTTCAATTGCTTGCTGCGACTGCATTTTTAATGCAGAGGCCTCGAAAACCGAGAGGCCCTCAGTGGAAGGCATCTGCCTGCGAGATCTAGTGCGTTTTTGTTTCTTCTTCTCGTTTTCCGCCCGTAATCCTTTGACTTCCTCCGCTAGTAAAGTAGCGCTCTGCATCGAAAGTTGGCAGCCTTTAATAAGCTGGTTTAACGCTCGATCTGATGGGCTTGGTGGACTTCGAGACCCCGTACGAAGTAAAGCTTTGATTGATGAAGCTTGCCGACGTACCTGTTTATCGGTAAAAGGGGTTTTTGGTGTAAAATTCTGGCTTGATTCGCTATCCCGGCTCGGAGGGGGGTCGGGGTTCGAAGACAAATATCAAGCTTTAAGATCACTTGATCGGGTGAAAAAGGTACCAAACCAGCTGCTCTGAAGCTATTTAAAATAGTATCGGAGCGGAAGGCTTCGTTTCGCGCGGAAGGATAAGCCTCGAGGAAATCAAGTTTGTCGATATGGTTGATTCCGTTCCGCATTTTCGTTTCAACTAGCCGACCGTACGAGCGCTTTAACACGGCAAAACAGCCGATATCGAGTGGCTGTAAAAGGTGAGACGAATGCGCAGGCATACAGATTGGTATAATATCGTTTTTTTCACAAAGTTCATCGAATTTCGGAGTCAAATGGCTTCCGTGACCATCGAGTATCAAAAGTCGATACCTTCCCTTCACACGCGAAGAAGTCGACGGAATAAAGAGCTTTTCGAGCCAACGAAGGCCGATCTCATCGGAAGTCCAGCCATTCGGACTAACCTCGAATCTCCAGTCTATCGGAAGATTATCGAACCAACCCTCGATCAAAACTTTGCCTTTAAAAATCACACACGGAGGGAGCGCCCACCCTGAAGCATTCGTACACTCGATTGTAGTCACCCACTCGCGATTTCCGGGCTGTAAAAGCGATCGCCGACCGTAGTATTCAGCCCTCGAGATAACCTTCGCGGTCGCTGTTAATCCCATCGCGAAACCAGTCTCATCGAAGTTATAAATATCGTCGGGATCGATGCCGTATTGAAGAATGGTGTTTTGAACAAGATCAAACCACTCCCTAATGATTCTTGGATCTTCGCACTTCGCACGTTCGTAATTATAACGTCTTGAGAATCGGGATGATAGGCTTGGGTGTCGTTTTACGAAGTTATAAACCCATTTTTCTCCGACGGTTTGAACTGGTGTAGTTCCGCGGGCCGCGAGAAGAAGATTCGCAGTTTCGCGTACAGTAGATGGCCGGGGCGCTGCTCCGCGATCATCTAAAGAGAGTATCCATTTTTGAAGTGATTCCTCTTCGATTTCTGTTAATTTATGCGAATTTGCGCGAGAAATCGCGCGATTTGTGGTGCCGTGACGACGATCGCGAAGTGTAGTTTCAGGCACATTATAAATGCGCGCAGCTTTGCGAACGGAGGATATTTCTTGATTTTTAATAGCCTGGATGGCTAATAATATCCTACCCTCTTGCTCTGTTGAATTTGTAGAGCCTCTGGCACGAATTGGTGGCATGGTGGGTGGTTGAATGAATTAAGTGCTAATTCATAGACGCGTTTTGGGGTGGGTGCGCGACTGGCTTACATGCGCGGCTCGCTTACCGATTACGTTAGGTCTCGCGTAGATGTATAGGTGGCTACATAGCAGCATCTCGGGGGTGAATAGCATCGGAATGCCGACCCCTGCATACACTGGAAGGTAAAGTATTCGACCGATCGCATGCACTAGGCCGCATCGCCCCTAGCACATACTAGTCCATCCTACTATGTAGTAATGCAGGCTGAAATGTGTGGGAAATGCATTCCAACCGTTCCGATCGACAGGTCGCCCGCGCCCGCCCCACAACCAATCACCGCGGGACGTGCCTGGCTCGACCTCCGATATTCTCCCTTCCACATCGACTCTCCTCTCCATCTTTCGCCGGCCGTGGATGTGATGTTACACTCGCTCATTGCTTGAAGTCCCCCTACGCCATGTCGAATCGCAACAGCAACGACTACGTCGGGGTGAGTGCGCGCTCCGCCCCGTGTTGTGCGTTGTCATGCTAATCGCCCACATCAGGAGTCCTTCGACGATGCCCCCGAACACTCAGAGAACCTCAATGTTACGATCCCCAAGTCCGCTTCAACTCGCTCCTTGACCGACAGCCCTCCAGTCGGCACTGCGCCCTCCCCCGACACGACGGAGAAACCATCCTACCCTTCTGCATCGCAGGACGAGCAGAAGGACGACACCACGGAGGGTGAAGCCAAAGGAAAAAAGAAGAACAAGAAGAACAAAAAGAAGAAGGCCAAGAGCCAAGATGGTGATGAGGAGCAGGTCAACGATACCGAAAACACCACCCCCGGCGATGGCCCCGTGGAGGATCCCGTGGAGGAGGTGAAGCTCCAAATCGACACAAGCGATGAATTGAAGGATATGAACCAGCAAGACCACTCGAAAGAGCAAGAAGACCTGAAAGAAGAATCTCTCCAGACCGAAGAGTTGGATGACGGCGACCAGACACCCGTCAAGAGTGCCCCGCAGAAATCCCCCCTACTCACCTCGCACCGCCTATCCACTGCTTCATCGCTGGACGAGGTGGTCTTGACCAACAGCAAGGAGGACGAACGTATCGGACCTAACGATGCAAACCCAGAGATCAAGCGGGATTCACCCCCAGTCCCTGCCAAGGACGGGGTTGTATCTCCGCCGAGCGGAGGCTTGATGGGACTGTCCGGAACTCTGCCATCTTTGCCCTGGGGCCCGCCTCCAGTGAACAAGAACCCTGCGCCTGCTCCTCCTCCACCACCCTCTCGCAAGCCCAGCGGACCTTTCGCCTGGTTCTCCCGAAGCTCAACCGGTACCAAGGACGTCAAATCCCCCCAATCGAACAGCCGACGAAACACTGCCAACTCGGTCTCCACCCTCGCGAGCAACCTGGATCACCGATCCCATGATGGCGAAGATGGGGACGCATCGAGCGTCAATTCGAAGAGGCCCAGACGGAACAGCCTGAAGGACCAGTTTAAGCTGTTGCGTATGCGAGAGGAGGCGTCGCTGCACGCGCACGAGAATGACGATGGCAGTGTCCGATCCGGCCACGGCAGTATCAGCCACACTGGAGCTAGCCCTCCCATCATCCCCGAAGAAGGCGAGCAAGGCATCCTCGCCGCCCCCGCCTCAGCTTCTGGAGCGACACCGCCTGGAGTCCCTCAGTCCACAATCAACGCCAACTTGGCCCCGGGTACAGTGTCTGGATTCTCTCGATCCGCATCCGATGCGTCTACGCCCGTGGACTGGGATATGTGGCAGCAGCTCGTCAATAGCGGACCCCAGGCAATCGCGAGCTCGGAGGAATTGAACGCGGCCATCAAGCGAGGTATTCCCCAGACTATTCGGGGCGTGATTTGGCAAATTTTGGCCGACTGCCACGCCGGAGAGTTGGAGGATATTTATCGTGAACTTGTGGCCCGTGGAACGGACAAGGACCGTCGCACACCCGACCTTCAGATCAACGGCACAACTGAGAAGGAATCGACATCCTCCTCGCGCTCTTCCATTCGATCCAACAACTCCGGTTCTGCCACACAATCCACCAGCGTTAGCCCATCGAACGAAACGGACCCCGAGCGATTGGCCAAGGAACAAGCTGCCAACGCAAGCGCTCGTCTGAAGAAAGCCAAGGACGAAGCCGCCGCCTTGCAGAAGCTGGAGAAGACTATCCGGCGAGATCTGGGTGCTCGAACTAGTTATTCGAAGTATTTCATCTCCCAAGGAAGTCAAGAGAGTCTGTATGGACTGTGCAAGGCTTATGCCATTTATGATGAGGGCGTGGGATACGCCCAGGGCATGAACTTTATTGTCATGCCTTTGCTTTTCAACGTAAGTGGCAGAACAATGTTGAGATCAATATATGAAACGTTGGCGGGCTAATATCAAATCTAGATGGACGAGGTGGAAGCTTTCGAGCTACTCGTCAAGTTGATGAACAAATACGGACTTCGTGAGATGTTTATTCAGGACATGCCGGGACTTCACCGCAGTCTTTACCAGTTCGAGCGTTTGCTGGAAGACCTGGAGCCCGCTCTCTACTGTCACCTTCGCCGACGTGGCGTTCCCCCACAATTGTACGCCACCCAGTGGTTCTTGACCCTGTTCGCCTATCGATTCCCTCTTCAGCTCGTCCTCCGCATTTACGACCTGATCTTTGAGGAGGGTCTCGAGAACACAATTGTCAAGTTCGCCGTTGCAATTATGCGCCGCAACACCGAGACACTTCTCGGAATGAAAGACATGAGTGTCCTCACGACCTTCCTGAAGGAGCGTTTGTTCGACGTGTACATTGATAAGCAGCCCTCGGCATCCTCGATCCTGGAGTCCGGTTTCTTCGGAAGCTCCGGTGCCGCAGATAAGGAGGTCTATCGAGCCGACATTCTTGTGCAGGATGCCTGCGATATCCCTCTCACGCAGGAGATGCTTGCCTCCTATACCGCTGAGTGGGAGGAAAAAACCCGAGCGGAGAAGGATCGTGAAATCGAGCTGGACCACCTTCGTCACACTGTGGTGACGCAAGCATCGCGTATTCGCCTCCTTGAAGAGCGCGCTGAGGCATCTGACAAGGAACATGTTCAGCTGGCATCTGAGCTGGTGCACGTCAAGGTCGAGAACGAGGAACTCAAGGACCTGAAAGAAGCTTTGGACCTGCAAGTAACCAATCTCAAGGATGTCGTCGACAAGCAGCCTGCTGAGGTTGAGGAGAAGCTTCGCCTCGAGATGGAGCGTATCATGCAGCGCAACATCGAAGTCCAGAACGAAAACCGCTCCATGGAAGAAAGCATGGCGGAGATGGAGAAGGAGCTGGTAGAGACTAAGATGAAATGGGCTGAGGTAAGTTCAAAAAAGTCCTGTGCATTCCTGCAATGGCGCCTGATCTAACCACACGCAGCTCTCCGAAAACCACGAGACGCTCAAGCAGAAGTGGAGCGACCTCCGACGAGCCCTCGACTAGGAGTCGAGTCACCTCCGACAACGGTTTTTCGACTAAAACCATTTTCTCTCACTACTTTCTTCTCGGTTCCCCCGCCTTTCCCCTGTACATTTCAATTGGTGAAGATGGAGCGAGTCTGATCTGCGATCACTTGCCATCGACACTAGCCCCACGTCTATGGGCCGGATGTTTGTTGTATTTCGTTACCTTCCCCCGGTTTGTTTTCAGTCATTGTCCTAACACCCCCTTTCCCCCTTATGACTGTACGGTGATATTTCAGTCGTGTTGTTTCCAAGCCCAGCATGTCAGAATAGACGGCCTCGGTGTTCCGATTTTCTATTTTCCTTTCACCCTGTGTGTTTCCGAGACGTTTTGTGCCTCTTGGCCTATTCCTTCTCGTGCCCAGTTATGCTTCACATGGGCATGCTCGATGTATGTAGAATGTACACCCCGAATGAAACAAGCCAATTCAATTACTGGTCTAGCGTGTAATGCAGGAGTCTCAATGTTCAAAGATGAATTGAATGAACGGTGTAGATCTAATTTAACAATCACTTGATGGGGTATGAGTCTAATTATGTCCTGACAGCAAATTTACTCCGCGCAACGCTTTTGTGAAGAAAAACAACAGGTATCAAAACAAAGTGGTATATAACAAAAGAAATGGAATCAAAAATGAACGAAAAACAAGTATCTTACTCCTTGCCCATATAAGCCATCTCAACAGGCACATTTAGTTTCGTACTAGAGCCACGGAGACCCGACGACATTCGGTGCCCGAGAGAAATGTCCAAGGCATAACTCCGGGACACGGAGCAAGAGTGGAAAGTCGGCAAGTAGTTCTTCTTGGGCAGGTTGATCGGGACCGTCACGGTGGCCGTGTAGCTGCACTGATTCCACGATTCGATCTGCTCTTCGCCCGGGATGTATGATACGTCGGATTCATCGTCGCCCTTGAGTTTGCCAACGATTGCAGAGAAGGAGGGGAGTTTCTCCCATTTCACGTTTGAAAGGTCTAGGGAGGAGAGAGACATGCTCTTCCCGTAAACTTCGCGGTCGACTTGGAAGGCGGTGATGTCGTTTTGGCTAGGGTAGTTTTCCCAAGGGACGGTGGCGTAGTAGGTTGATGTGTTGAGGTTGCATTTGAGAGAAGAGAGACGGGGAGGGAGTTCGTTCTTGACTGGATCGAAGCGGAGGTGCAGCTGCAGTCCTGTGGACGAGGCGTTGGTTGAGCCGGTGGTTGTGGAGTGGAGGTTGATCGGGGCAGGTTTGATGGCGGAGATCTCCAGGCGGCCGTGTTCACGGCGACCAAGGCCAGATGTGAGAGATTGCTCCTTGAGCATGTAGAGGACCGAGGGATCTTGAGTCTTGTCTGTTTGGGCCGTCGGCATCACGCGGACGTTCTGGGAGAGGTCGCAGATGGGTTCCGGGGAGGATTCCCCGAACATCTGGACGCGAACTGCATATTGGATACGGCACATCTCGGGAGAAGCGTCGGGAGTTGATCGCAGATCCCAGAATGGGGTAGGCTCGCTGCCCAGAGTAGGAGGCAGTTGGAGGTGTGCGTTCTTGACGCTGGCATTTCGGGTTTCGTGGGTGCAACACTGAGGAAGAAGCTGTTTGGGAATGGTGAAGCTGAAAGGAAGACGATATTGCTGGCCCGGTAGAAGTTTCTTCACGTTGGGGTAGTCGGTTTCATTTGTTGGTTGGCGAAGGTGCAAGAACTTTTGGCAGGATTCCCGGCGGCCGGGAACAAATGCGATGGCTCGGCTTAGAGAGGTGAAAGAGATTCCTTCGAAAGAGATGTCGACGCGGTCGAGAGGGATTTCTCGCTCAACCTCGATCTTAATATGCCCTTGGACTTCGTCGGATGTAGTATAGATGGCATTTTGGCTTTCCTTGTTGTCCAGCTCAATCCAGACGTTGGGAGTGGCAGAGGTCAAGGCCATTGGCGGCAGACTGGCCACGCCACAAAGATTGGGACATAGCATTGTTGCTTTTGAGTTTGTCCAGATTATTGGAAAGTCTGTTTTCAGGTACGTCAGCCACGAAGCTTATTATAAGTTTGGTGGTGTTTCTTTTGTCTTACCAGATGTAGTCCGAGAAGGTTTAGTCGCTGAACGAACAAGCTTGGGTTTGCAACAAAGTCACTTCAACAGAGCTTCTCAGGTAGTTAGAGAGTATTGAAGAAAAGAAAATATTCACAATGACATTATCCAGAAGATTAATGCCATGAAATCCGGCCATTTTTTCAAACCCGAATGTTTTGTCCGATTTTTCTTGCGCGTTGTATGCCGACGGCTCGGAACCGAGACTCACGCTTCAAAGCCGATCGCGCATGGAAACCGAGAATTCTCGGCTCTCGGAAACTGCGTCAGAGTTTGCCCCTCGCCTCTAACTACTGTACACTGTTGTCTGTCGGCTTTGAACTTGCCCGTTCTAGAAAAATTCTAGAAAAATTCAATGACAGACCAAATGACGACAGTGAAGCGATAAAACGATTCTAATTGACTTTTTACGAAAGCGTGCCTGCCATGTGGTCGATTTACCACTGCTTGTCAGTGCCTGCCCCACTTTTTCGTTACGTGGTCGCCATGTAGGTTTAGAACAAAAACGATTTAAAAGTTCTATTCTCTAACTTCAGTTGTGTAGACCCTATCTGAACATGTCCGTTATGTCACTCGTTTCCCCCGGAGTATTGTGAGTATTGCCAGTACCTACTAGTAGCCCCAGTTCTCTTAAGCATCAGACAGAAAGCAGGGGAGCTTTTTCTCAGCCACATTGATCAAGACGTGGAGACATTCCCGATCTGCAATTCATAATGAGCCAACCAAGAGAGCATGAACATGTATTTAGAGAGCTCAAAACATCATGAATGCGCTACTTGCTTTCATGGTTAGGAGGACACTGGCTGATTTAAACGGCATTGACTGGTCCTCGGCAGCAGAGCGGGAATAAGCGGGAAAGACGGGAATACCGGAAATAAACTACAACCTTTTCGCAAATGACTACCCAATAAAGCAGCCACGTCCTGACTCAATGTCCTATTGCTTGTGCTCAGGCAATTGACTGTTGGTAATCGATCGATGAATACTTCAATCCACCCGGCAGACCTCGACTGATCTCCCATTACTGCACCAAAGGGTTATCAAACTGTATCCCAAGTGATGGCTCCAAGTAACAATCAAACTAAGCACGCGCCAGGAAATACTGATGTGGAGAAGCGGTGTGTAAATCAAGCTGCCCCGTTGCATGAACGGACTTTTCTAAAGATGACACTGCAGAAAGCTGCGAAATCGATTGGCACAGCGGGCCTTTCGACGCAGACAAGCAGACCACTTGAGAGAATTACGCGATCGCGCTAGCTCGAGCAATCTACCGCAAGATGAGAAGATTCAGAAGCTACAGGAGGAAAATAGTCGCTTGCGAAAAAGCCTTATTGATGTACACGCGAAATTGTCACGACTATCTGCGAACATGCATTCATGGTCTGAGGCTATCTCGAGCTCGATTGATGAGCTAACGAGTCCAAAGGAAAAGACTAGTTCGAACGAGCCAAGCTTCAACCTGAGCAATATATTAGAGGAGTTCGAAGCGGGGGCAATTGAAGACGAAATTGTGTGTGTTCACGGACCTGCAGATGCACAGCAAATCGTCGTGCCGTCCAGAAGTCCCAAGGCCACGTCGCCGATCAGTACATTGAATATCCCTGAGCCGATATCCAGACTTCTCGAAGCACCATTGGGGGCAGAAGATATCTCTGCAAGAGTGAGCAGTCTGGCGCAGGAGATACCCAGCATCTGGTCTTTTGAATATCAGATGGGGCAAGATCCATACACCAAGGCTTTATCCAGCAACCAGAGCTCGAGAATGATCATGGGCAAAGACTGGACGGAGACGAACTCTCCATTTTCAGACCATATTCAGATCTTGCGGCAGGTCCTGAAGGGGAAGGTGGAGCTCAATAGACCTGCGACGGGGCCCGCAATGCTTTTGTGAGTTTGCACAATAGTAAATCTCTGTTCTGGCTAACACAGAGAAGCTTTTACCAAGAAGTCATGATGCTACTTTCACTATTCAACAGTCTCACACGACCAGATGTGATGAAATGGTATGCCAAAACACGGTTTTACCATATCGTCAACCTTACAGCCTGGCAAATCAACCCTTGCACCAAGACATACAACTCTATTCATCCTCAATATCGACCTACCTCCTTCCAATTACAGCGCCAATATCCAAGTGTCATCGACTGGATCCCATTTCCATCCATCCGTGACCGACTCATCCAGCTTCATTCCGCCAATCCGCAGATCGACCAAATATTCTGCGACACTGTCAGCAGCTATGTTGTGGAGACTTGGATGTCAGATCTGATTATCGGAGCTCCTACCATCAAAGCCTACATTCGAATTACCGACATCATTGCAAATTTCGATTCAAAGGTTGAGGAGGACCCTGCAATACTGGCAGCTGCTCTTCCTGCCCCTGATATTGCGACCATCTTTGCGTCGCCGATTTGCTCGCGAGCCGTTTTCAAAAAGCTGAATATGGCGTGTGGTGTGTCCAATTATAAGATTGACCCTTCTTTTTTGGAAGCTATCCTGAGCTCTACGATCAGAATTATGACATTGCAGCGCAAGGGATTCCACTACGGCCGGATGTGCAGTGCCGCCTAACCTGTCCAAGGCCCCTGGATACGCAGACCTTCCAAACTTACCGCAACTTTGTGGACTTTTCATATGACTCTCCTATGTGGACAACCTGGGTCTCTGCTTATAATTTTTAATGTTCATTTCTGAATTGAAAGAATCGACTTGAACGTATCATAAACCTGTGCTCCATCTCTTACTAGGAACTCTGCCTGAACTTACCACAACGTACTTCGCCTCCAACTCCTGCATTATCTCGTCAACGAGATGCGTCCGCTGAGAGATATGCTTGATCTTCATGTACCTTTCGAATGATTATGCCTGATGCCAGTATCCAATCATCTTGGAGCAACACACCCATCGATCTGCATTCAGATCCTCAAGACTCAGTCTGGGGACGGCAATATCGGCCAAATGATGAAGACCCAGCGCCCCCAGGGCAGTCATGACCTGTTTTTCCAGAATTTGCACTGCTCACGGTTGTTGATGGTGCTGAGTTTGGACAGCTTTATGTGAAATAGCGAGACGGCAAGTTCGTACGGACGCAAGCCAATGGCCTGACTAGCGAAACGGAAGTGTTCGCTCTCATTAGGCAGGCGATCCCAGTTGTTTCCACGACTTCTGATAGGTGGCAGCGTGGCTGGATGCTCGGAAGTATTTGAGGGGGAGTAGGTGGACATGATGGACCTGAAGCACAAGCAATGATCGCACAAACATGTTTAGACGAAGCCAGCGCTCTGAATTGTGGACATCTCGAGCCGGCCGGGCCACGCGTGTGTTCACCAAGGACTCAAGACCCAGGCCTCGCAGAGCCACCACTATCTTCTGACTCCAGCTACGATAGTCGTTGTAGTTGGTCTCTTGACGCAAGGGGAAAATTTTGGTGAAGAAGAGAGGATAGGCATCAACTCGTAGGGAAGCAGATTTTGGGCTTGATTGGATGGGGCCTACTTGAGGATATTGTTCCAGTGTCTATCTCCATTGCGCATAGCCTCAATACACTTCTGAAGCTCGATTATTTTCTTGTAAGTTTTGTCGTCGTTGGTTATGATTAGTTTGGAGAGCGTAAAGACCCTTAAGAAGTAGAGAGCGAACGAGTACCAATGCTAGATTGAGGTTCAGGGTATGTATCTACCTTTACTTTTGAGGATCTCAGATTAACTGTTGATGGGACGGCCCGTGAATTTTGAGAGGGAGAGAGGAGTTGATAGAAAGATAAGAAAGTGAGAGAAGATGACGTTTAACGTAGGAAAAAGCCAGAAAAACCGAGTAAGCTTCCAGACCAGGTGCAAAAATCAGTATGCACCTGATGTCTGAGAGATGCAAGCGCAGACGTTAGACCGGCATTATCCCGGATTCGTGCGACGTTATACGCGTAGGTGACTACATTGACTCCCTTACGATATTGAATGCTAAAGGGTTGATTAAGATGATCCAGGAGTGGTAGAAAAATGAAAGTTGATTTTGTAACGCGTAAGACGCAGCAAACTGGGAGAGACACTTGCATTGGGTTTAGAAAAGCAACAGAACCACCGCTCCAGAAAAGCTTGACAAGAAAAACAAATGAAAAGAGAAAGAAGGGGAAAACAAGGGCAAGGGGAATGAACTTACATGCAGAATGGCTAATTCAAGAATCTTCCTCACTCTCAAGACGGCTGATAAGCTCATCGATTTCCTCGGAAGTTGTGCCGAAACGAGCCTCAATTTCTTGAAAGACTTCGTCGGCAAGAACCATCCGACAGGGTGCCGATTCCTGGATTTCCAGGAAAAGCTGCTCCTCGATGTGCTGTATCAGCCAGAATCCGACGAGCCTGGATAGCCGGAGCCAGTGATGCACATTGGGGTCATCCCGGCCAGGGCGGGGGAGACCTGCGTAAATCAAGTGGTCCAGGTCCAGAGCCTGCAGGGCCATCACTGCCCTGCGTCGCCAGATGAGGTATAAAAAACAGTCCCTGGTATCAGTCAGGAGAGGGAGTTCAATGGAGAAGAGGTGAACCGTGGCCTCGTACGGTGGCAGGTCTTCGGCCTGGTTGTAACGAGTGCGGACTGTAAGGACGCGCCAATCGTTGTTGGCGGATGTCAGAGAGCCGTTCCATGATGCGATACTCGGCATGGTGATGGCCGAGAGGATGAAATAGATTCGGGACGATGGTGAATTGATGGGTAAGAGAGGATATACTCACCGACTGTTTGGTGTGAAAGCGAGAGTGCAGGTGGAAGGAGACGCAGACGCGTTGGAGAAAACAAGGCCTCCATCAAAGAAGCGGCTGCTGACAGAGCATTTGACCCGCGTAGCTGCCTTCTGGAGAAAACTTCACTTTACCACAAGCATTCCCACTATGTAGACCGTTGTATTTTGCGTTTATAAATTTCCTTCCCCCACTCCCAACGCAAGTGAGTGTCTCCCTCCCCCAGCATTTCCCATATAGAACTAACAATAGTTAGTTGACAGCATAACAGAACTACCTCGCCCATCCTGAATCTAGTATGTCTACCAATTACAAATACTCCCAGGAGTAAGAGGATGAGGCACATACAGTGTCATGCCTCAGAACAAGTCCTGGTCGTCGCTCAAAACAGCCACCCAGGTACCCAACTGGTGACCATCAAACATTTTTGAATGCGTACTTAGAGAGTTGAATGAGAGTAAGCATGCTAGAAAGTTCTTCGGTACTAAAGAATGATCATCGAAGTCAGTTGGGAAAAAGTACTTACTAGTAGGTAAAGAAGAAGAACGGTAACCATGTCATGCGTGAGACTTGAGGAAGGGGCAGGGATATACTTACCACGCATCGAGATTATAGGTGCTATCAACTCATGCAGATCCATTGAGAACAGAACAGAAATGGCTTCATACGGCAAAAGATTCTCTGCTGGCTGGGAGAAATGCGCCTATCCCATATCCAGTCATGAAGGATGGCCCGCGTCTCATCGTATGGAAGTTCTGTGACACAGTCAGGTTAACAAGGACCAACCACACATAGGGGAGGCAGGTGTGGTACTGACCGGTGTGATAAAGTCAAGGGTAGGCAGGGAAGAGGGATGAGGGATGAGGAGAGGGAACCGTCTGTACATTGAAATGGGATGGCACGCCTCCCGGCAGAAGATGCGACTCGGCTACCGCACCAAACATCTCCCAGTTAAATGATACACACAGGGAATTTGCATTTGTTATTAGTGCACTTCTTGCTATTCCTAGCCCAGCTGCACCAGGACCTTCAACAGATCTCCCGATACACCCATGGCAGTCACATCGCCACCAGCACCCTGTCCCCGCACAATCAGCGGCATACTCCCATAGCGCTTGGTGTGGAAACTGATGATATTATCACTGCCCTTCAGCGTCGCAATCGGATCCGAGGGATAAAACCACTCCATTCCGACCTTGACATGCTTCGAGACCATATCGATACTACCGATGAAGCGAACCACCTTCCCAGCATTCTGCGCAGCAACCTTGTGCTCCTCCATCCGCTCATCGAACTCGGGCAACCGCTGCAGGAATTCGTCGCCACTCTTCGCCGACTCCAGCTCTTTCGGAATCAGACTCTGAACCGGGAATGAATTTGGCGACTCAATCGGCAAGCCGGCTAGTCGGCCCAGGATCATCACCTTGCGAGCGACGTCTAGACCATTTAGATCGTCGCGGGGATCAGGCTCGGTGAAGCCGAGCTCTTTCGCCTTCTTGACGTTATCCGACCATTTGCTGCCCGTTCCCCGTAGTGGAGCGAAAGAATTGAAGAGGTATGACATGGTTCCGCTGAAGACGCCTTCGATCTTCGTGACCTCGTCGCCCGTCTGAACAAAGTCCTTCATTGTGGAGATGATCGGCATACCGGCGCCGACTGATGATTCGTGATAAACCAAGGAGCCACCCGATTGCGCCGCGGCAAAAATATCTTGCCAGAGCTGGTAGCTCCCAGAGAATGCTTTCTTGTTTGGCGTCACGATGCTGATCCCCCGTCGCAAAAAGGCTGGATAGGACTCGGCAATCGCCCCCGAGCTGGTGTTGTCTACCATAATGACCTTGTGAGGAGCGCCGGCGAGATAATCGATGATTGCTGGGATCGCCGGCAGTGCACTGCCTGTTGCTTCCATGGTTGCAACGGCAGTGTCGATGTCTATCTCTGAATAATCCTTGTGGTAAAGGGCCTTGTCGATCATAGCGATATAGCAGAGGCTGAAGTGCGTTGAAGGTGTGTGCTTGGCGATCCATGCTAGCTGCGAGAGGAAGACTGAGCCGACACCACCGGTGCCTGGAAAGAGAGACATGAGGTATAAGATTAGGACTGGAATAAGGGAATATCGTCTTTCTTACCGATGACAGCAATGTTGACATTCTTGGGAGGTGCCATTGTGAGAGTTGTATAGGTTTTTCGGGTGTCACAACTTCACGTTGACTAAAACCCCAATTGGACATGAGATGAGCCAAGCTTAAGTACCGACATCAAGAACTTGTTTTATCGGCTTGCGATATCATCATCGCCATGTTCTAGTGATGGACAGTCATCCTCCGATCACGCGAATTGCGGCCCGTCGCGGTTATGTAAAGCACCGCTTACATGTTCTCGTCTACGGCCTTCCTCTGTCACCACTCTTACCTCTCCAGATCACCGCGAATGAGGGGCTCATGGTTTAAAGTCGATGTTATCGATAATTCGGCGATTATGAATCCCTCATCGGCATGATTGGTTCGGTCCACCGTGGTGTTGAAGCTTGATTTCCCCTCGGTAACACTCGGTCCTGGTCTCCAACGTAATCGCTGTGTGAGGTAAACCATGATCGACCAGGAAGAAGACCGACCATCAAAGCTCCAAGAGATTAAGAAGCGGAAATGAGCGTGGGCCGGGAGTCACAAAGGCCTGGAAGATATAAAGCACAGACAATTCGCATACCTCGGAGCCTGTGAACTATCTCTTAATTAATAGTCGGGCATCATGGCCAAGTCTGTAGTCTTCCAGGTTGGTCCTACTCGGACATGCATTCTTGGGATTGAAGAGCTGACAGCCATTTAGCTAAACGACCCCTCCCTCTTCCACGAGGCATCACTGTTGAATGGTGAATGGGTCAAGGCCAAATCGGGCAAGACATTTGACGTGGAAGGTGAGCACATACACTCCCTGACTATCCAACCTCGAATACTAACAACCCACAGACCCCGGATCAAAGAAAATCTTCGCCTCCTGCCCCGCCAACGACACATCAGACGTAGACCAATACGTCGAAAACTCCCAAACCGCTTTTGAAAGCTACCGAATCATCAACCCGCGACAACGCGCCAAAATTCTCCTAAAATGGCACGAACTCATCACCAACGCCCGCGAAGACATCGCCACGATCGTTGTCTACGAAACCGGCAAGCCTATGACCGAAGCAATGGGTGAAGTCGACTACGCCCTGGGCTTCGCCTGGTGGTTTGCCGGAGAAGCCGAGCGTGTCCGAGGCTCCGTTGCCCAGCCTTCTATCTCGAACCGTCGCACATTCGTCATCAAGCAGCCTATCGGTGTCAGTGTTGCGCTCGTTCCGTGGAACTTCCCTGTCGCTATGATTATTCGGAAGGTGGCTGCTGCTCTTGCGGCGGGCTGCTCGATAATTGTGAAGCCTTCTCCTGAGACGCCGTTGAGTGTTATGGCGTTGGCTGATCTGGCTTTGAGGGCGGGTTTGCCATCTGGTGTGCTTAATGTTATCTCGACAGATAATGAGAATACCCCTGCTGTGAGTGAGCGGCTGTGTAAGCACCCCTTGGTTCGAAAGGTCACTTTCACTGGAAGTACCCGGGTTGGAAGTATTGTTGCCAGACACTGCAGTGAGGGGTTGAAAAAGGTTACCATGGAGCTGGGTGGAAATTGCCCCTTCCTTATTTTTGATGATGGTGATCTCGAGCAGGCGGTTGCTGCTCTTATGATTCTCAAGTGGCGTACTGCTGGTCAGGCCTGTACCCATGCCAACAGAGTCTATGTCCAAAATGGGGTGTACGACAAGTTCGCCCAGATGATCTTGGAGGCTACTCAGAAGCTCCGCGTTGGACATGGTGTTGATGCTGGAGCGACGATGGGTCCTCTCACTACGAGCCGGGGAATCGAGAAGCTTGAGAAGCATGTCGCGGACGCCGTTAGCAAGGGTGGCAAGATTATGTGTGGTGGCAAGCAACCCGTTGATCTGAGCGGGTACTTCTTCGAGCCCACAATCATTTCAAACATGACCTCGGACATGTTGACGACCAAGGAAGAGATATTTGGTCCGCTGCTTGGTCTTTACAGGTTCGACACCGAGGCGGAAGCTGTCAAGTTGGCGAATGATACCAACATGGGATTGGCGTCTTACTTCTTTACCAAGGATGTCGATCGGACCTGGAGACTCTTGGAGAATCTCGAGGCTGGTATGATTGGCATGAATACAGGAAATTCATCCTGCGCAGAGTCTCCATTCGGTGGGATCAAGGAGTCTGGTTATGGAAAGGAGGCTGGCAAGGATGTGGCGATTGAAGAGTACTTGATCTCCAAGACTGGTACTCTGACTGTTGCAGAAGCCTGAGTCTTATTACTTTTACCTATCTCATGAATCTGTATATAAGCCTTTCGCTGCAGCTAGATCAACGTCATCCATTATGACTGGACACCTATGCACGGAATGAGCAAGCTAGCATAAATTGACCAGACAGCCTTCATTTACGACAACGCTGTGACCAGTCCTCATTCGGCCAAGACTGATCCCCCAGATTCCGCACAATCTGCACCGCGAATCTGGTAGGCCAACCATGTCTCAAAGACGCTATCGAACTCCTCTTATCCCATCCCGAGAACTCCGTTCCAGCCTCATCAAAGAATCGTCTCAACCAGCCTCTAATATTTTCCTCGGGAAATATGAACGGCGTCTCCAGGCCAGAAGGAATGCTCGTTGATGACGTGCATGGCAGCATCGTGAACTCATACCTAGACCTCGTAAAGAGATTATTGATATCGTCCTGCACCCAGAACAGTGTTTTGATCCTGACGCTTGCGAACGGGTGGTCAGTAAATGTGCATTCGTGGTCGAGGCCGCCTGATGCCGTGAATGATGACGGAAGAGCTGAGCCATGGCTTCGGCTGGAAGGAAATCGCAATTGTTTGAAGCGGTCATCTTCATCGAATAGCATCTCCCTGGCACACCTAATGGCCTCGATTAAATGCAGCTTGTCTCGAATAGTGATAGTCAAACACGGACAAATTTCCACCTCGCCCACACACGGTCTGATCCCATGCGGTCTGGGCAGAGATTCGCCCTTGCGATGTATCGCAACATGATGTAGAACCCGCTTGCATAGCTCAAAGTAGCCTAAGCTCAGGGAGTCGCTTAGATTCAACGTGCCTTCTGTCCTAGGATAGAGATACCAGCATTCATTGCAGAATGCCCAGCGATGATCCTCAAGTCGACGGAGTAGTCTCACTCTGCGCCGCTGGTCAATGTCAACTTTGCGGCAGAGAAGAGGACGCTCATAAGGTGGGACGATCTGACAGATTTTGATTCTGCGTGTATCGAGGAAGAAGATGAATGCTTCGTAAGTGTATTTGCAGCATAGCGATAAGCAAATCTGGTCTAGTGTCGAGAGGGTTTTGAAAATGGCCAACACTACCTCCAGTGGGACTTTGGGGTAGATTGAGAATACTGGCTGTTGTCGTCGTAAGGGCGCTGACATCAGAGAGCGGAGTCGCTCTTTCGTACTGTGGAGATCCATCGTGGAGATAGTGTGGATATTGTTGCTGGAGGTTGACGTTGGCGGTGGGAAGGCTGGGATGCATGATGTTCATGCCGATCAAGCTTGAAGCATTACGCTGGTCTGCATCATACACTGTATACCCTTCTGAGAAAAACTAGAGCCTGCTTGATTAACTAACCACCGAGGCCACATTTGGCATGGGAACACTAAAAGGGTAATATAGAGGGATTCAAGATGTACTTCACTGAGTTCTACAGCCTTCCATCGCTGACTGCCCGAGTTGGGTCAGTGGCTAAACTCCGATATCTCATGTTTGTCATCGGTGCCCAAATGGTTAGTTAACACGAGTGGAGTGGGCTGGGGCCGGGGTCGGAGTCTTGAAACACGATCACCTGGAGACGCGAGTTAGTCATGTATGTTATCATTTCTCACCGAGTCCGATTCTCCGCAAATCCCACGCGGTGCCGGCACCACCGGATGGCGGATAGTCCACATCGCCCGCCTAACTTCAGAATCGGCGACCACCATGCGCTCGGTCTGGTGTTTATTCTCTACGGCCGGGGTGGGGCGCTGTTCTACCTTCCTTCTGGAAGGTGCTTGAGTCCCGGTTCTCCGCACAAAGGAGCCCCGATCCCTGGGCTAACTTCTCCCCTCCGTGCGGGTTTAACTGGACGGGATTGTATCGCATGAGGGGCCCCGGGGGGTCTGCGCCGGGCCGGTTGGGGTTGCGCCGGGCCGGGGACAAGCCGGACACGGGGTTGGTTCGTTCGTGCCCGAAGGCAAAACCCCGACAACTAGTCAATATTAGGCAGGCGGTGCGTGAGGGCTGCAGTAAACTCAAATTTTGTGGATTATGTCAGCAGGGCTTAGCAGTGCAAAGTTCAGCTAGGCGGGAGCTATAGAATGCGATGGGAAGCGCGTTTGGACTGCTTATCGAGGGTTGGGGGGAAATTCTGCAGAGAAAGGCTCTATTTCCGCACCTGGAGTCTCGGTGTACCGGAGTGTACCTTCTAGATAATCTGCTATCATCCGCTATCGTGAGTAACTAGTTGTGAGTACTTATGAGTTTATGTAATTTTCTCCATTTTTCTCCATCGCCACGCGCCAAGGAGGAAAAATATGGGTCTCTATGTCTTCGTCTCCGGCCAACCTCCACGTCGCGCGACCTCCGGCATATTTCTCTCCTGTCTCTCTCGCCCGGTCGCTTGCTTTGTGCCATCTCCCATCGAACTAGACCGATATGAACGTCCGCGAAGCCCCCCAGTCCGCGCCTCAGGACATTGAGGTCTACAATGATACGACCGACGCGGAGAAGCAGTTCCAGAAGGAACCGGCTCCCGAGGAGGATCCTTTTGGAAATGAAGAATCCGGGGAAGTCAAGTATCGGGTGATGAAGTGGTGGTAAGTCTTTGGCTGTCCTACGTTTTCAAACCAGTATCATGAATGGATTAACCTGACATCTCGGCAGGCAAGCCGGCATGCGTAAGAGCCCCTTGGACCACTGTACCTGTCCATGGAATTATTGACTAACCTATTCACACAGTGATGGTTGCTGAGAACATCTCGCTTGGAATTTTGTCTCTTCCATCCGCTGTTGCCACTCTGGGAATCGTCCCGTAAGTACTACTAGATCCTCTATACGTCTGGCGTGGGAAGCTGACCACCCACCCATAGCTCCTTCCTGATTCTTCTCGGACTGTCTGGCATCTCATGGTATACCGGCTACATCATGGGCCAGTTCAAGCTGCGCCACCCCCAGGTGCACAGCATGGGTGATGCCGGCCAGCTGCTCCTGGGTCCGTTTGGACGGGAGCTGTTCTACTTTGGCCAGCTGCTGTTCATCATCTTCCTGATGGCCAGTCACATTCTTACCTTCTCTGTGCTGTTCAACACCATCACCGACCATGGTACCTGCACCATCGTCTTCGGCGTTGTCGGCCTGGTTGTCTGCTGTATCGCCGCTCTGCCCCGAACCTCCGGAAAGGTCTTCTACATGTCCACCGTCTCTGCCATCAGTATCCTGGTTGCGACTGTCGTCACCATGATTGACATTGGAGTCGAGGCTCCCGAAAATGTTACGAATGAAATCACCACCAGCCCCACCTTTGTCGACGCTTTCCTGGCCGTCACCAATATCGTCTTCGCCTACATTGCTCATGTGTCCTTCTTCGGCATCATGTCGGAAATGGAGGATGCGCGCGAGTTCCCCAAGGCCCTTGCCATGCTCCAGGTTGTCGATACCATCATGTACATCGTGACTGCCATGGTTATCTACTGCTATGCCGGACCCTCCGTTATGTCCCCGGCTCTGTCCTCGGCTGGTCCTTTGATGAAGAAGGTTGCCTACGGCCTGGCCATCCCAACTGTCGTTGTTGCTGGTGTGGTCTTCGGCCATGTCGCCTGCAAGTATATCTATGTCCGTATCTTCCGTGGCGAGCGTTCGCACCACATGCACCAGAACAGCCCCTTGGCTCTGGGTACCTGGGTGGCCATCGGTCTGAGCACCTGGACTATTGCCTGGATCATTGCCGAGTCGATTCCCGTTTTCAATGATCTGTTGAGTCTTATTGTACGTTCCTCCGCAGACCCTTCTTATTGGTCATTACTAATATCCTCGTGCAGAGCGCCCTTTTCGGTAGCTGGTTTAGCTGTAAGTTTTCAACCTTCGTACAAGTTCCCCAAATTAATACTAACTTCAACTAGATGGCCTCCCCGCATTGTTCTGGATCGTCATGAACAAGGGTCAACTTTTTGACAACTGGAAGAAGATCACCCTCCTGATCGTCAACCTCATTATCCTTGGAATTGCCTGTGCCATCGTAAGTTCATCTCCTCTTCTTGTCTTTCGCTGTCAATTCATACTGACAATTACCAGTGCGGTCTTGGACTGTATGTCTCGGGCAAGTCCATCAACGAAAGCTCGTCGACCGCCACCTGGACCTGCGCTAACAACGCCACCTAAATTCGACCGTCATCGGATTTGGATTACCTCCTGTCGCATGTGAGACGATTGTTCTATAAATTGTTTTGGTTTGTTTGCTAGAATTGGGTGTGCTTTTAGATGGATCGCTATAGAATGGCATCACTGGCTAGGCGTGCCTGGTCATTGTAAATAGATATATGCTCTTTACATTGAATCTTTGCATTTACATGTCTACATGATTATGATATCTTTCGTTTTCGAAGAAGACTGTTACTCGATTGCTACATCACTTATAGACAACTTGCAGAACAAAGCCAGGTCAATACGCATATGCCGTTATACCGGCACCTTTACGGTTCAGCCGTCCGTAATAGAGGCGTAGCAAAACACACCCGGCTGCCACGAAAAATAACAGCGCTGCATTCGTCCAGTGACCTGTTGGGTAGCCCTTCTCTTTTTCGTTTGATTTATAGATCCAGACACCGACAATCTGGCCAGGTGCACCGAAAGAAATATTGAGGGCGATGGCGAGACCGGCGGCGCCTGTGGAATGCAGATTGGAGGACAGCCACCCCAGAAGTGGGGGAATGCAGGCAAAAGCACCACTTGATGCGACAATAAGGCATCCATACCGATGCTGCATTGCTCGATTAGCTCAGGACTCTGGGAATTCAGGGCGTGAGGATAATTGCTTACCGCGTACGCGTCCGCCGGCAGGACAGCGGAGGACAGAAAGCCAATCGCTCCGATTAAGGCAAAGATAGTGGAGTGCAACCCGCGACTTAACCCGAAGTTGTTAGCCAGGATACCGAGGGGAAATTTATGTTTCATCATACTTACGCATTGAAATGATCTGCCGACCAAGCTACTGCAACAGTCACAACGTACGCAGTCGCATATGGCGGGACGGTCATTAGCTGGGCACGCAAGTTGGAGAAACCCAGTCCAGCTGTAATCGACGGTGTGAATAAGGAGAGACTGGAGAATGGAGTAGAAATCCCAAAATAAATCTAATGAAAGGTCAGGCGATCGGTCCATCTACATGAGAGATCGGAGCATACCAAGTAGTGAGCATAAAGTCGCCAGTCGATCAACGTCTGCTTTGCCTCGACCCAGGTCAGTCCTTTTGAATCTCCATGAGATCCTTCCACTGCTAATCGCTCGCGTGATAGATCCTTCTCCTCTGCCGACAGCCAGGTAGCCGTCTCTGGGTAATCGGGGAGGAGAAACCAAACTAAGATCGCAGATGCGCAAGATGGGGCACCCTCGATATAGAAAAGATATCGCCAGCCCGAAACGCCATTGATCCCATTCATTTGGCCGACACCGTATGCGATCGCACCTCCGAAGGCTCCTGCAAGAGTCGCCGAGGCAAGGATCAAGGCTACCCGCAGCGACCTTTCTGAAGGTCGGTACCAGAATGTGAGATAGTAGACCAGCCCTGGGAAGAGGCCGGCTTCTATAGCGCCGAGGAGAAATCGAACGGCTGTGAGCTCGCCGTAGTTGTTGACGCCGCCTATGCCGATGGTGAGGGCTCCCCATGATAGCATCAGGAATGCAATCCATCTCTGCCTCTTTTGTTAGAAAAGATTTTATGGAAAGAGAGACTGGACGAACACTAGGCTTCAATTTCTTCAGGAAGTAGTTAGAAGGGACTTCGAATATTGCGTATGCGATCAGGAAGACCATCAATGCGATCCTGAACGCCGGTCAGTATCTCTAGGTGAAGGCATTCGCAGGGATAGATGGGCTCGACGAACGTGTATTCAAAATCGGTGATACTTGTTTCCGTCATCAAGTCGTTGTGCGTGTCTTCATTCAGCGTTTTGGCATTTCCTTGAGTCGTCGTTAGGAAGGAGTTGGAATCCCAAGTCACACGAGTCCTCACCAATATTCGACCGGTCAAGGTAGCAGAGCAAATAGATGAAGGCTGAAAGCGGAACGACTCGTAAATCTTGCTTGAAGATAAGAGCCTTCCTGCGAGCGGCATTGACAGATACAGCACTCTCGTTGCATCTCAACTGTTTTATCCAATGTTAGGTCTCGGCCAGTGTGAACTATGGGAGGAAGACGGATAATGTCCATACATCTTGTTGTTCCTTGGCCATACCCTGCTCCACATCTTCGGTCAATTCAAACCCACGTTTTGGTTCCTCCTGCATGATGATGACTGGGTGTATAATTGAAAATCTGGGGCCCCAGATGAGACCCTGAAGGGTCGCTTTATAATGAAAGGTGGTGATGCTTTAGCGTGTTCGGTGGGCGGGCCCGTTTCCCGAATGACTCCGCACAAGCGAGTGTCGGAGTTCAAAAAGTTAAGTGAAATGAAACGTGAATTTAAAGCTCTTCCGGTGATCACGGTGAACAAAATCAATGGTGTAAAGTCTATCAAGACGGAAAGGGATGTTGATGCAGCAGTTTTACGTGGCTGCTGCAACCGGGACTCGCTATGCCAACAAGGCACATTAGTTGGCCTATGGGTACACAGAAAATTGTGTAATTCTGCAGATTTTAGTTTGCCCTATATGAGGTTCCCAGTTTTCAATCATAGGGGTCTTCGTAACTGTTTGTTGGGGAAGCATAGAACACCGGGACCGACGGCCGACGCGCCTCAACATCTCCGCACAGAACGAGATACAACGCACCGAGTTCGGGGCCTCGGACTGTCGGACCGACAGACTATTAAAAAGCCCAAGACGTCTTCTTCATTGGGTGATTGATCCTTTGGACCTTTTTCACACCCAAAGTGTGCCTCAGCAACAGATCGACAACATGCGACAACGGCCGCTGAGAGTTGGATGTGTCTCGGGCGCGACAGGCGACAATCCGAACGCGATGCTCCGCATGGCGCGAGACGGAAATGTCGACATTATTGTTGGCGACTGGCTGTCGGAAATGAATATCGCGTGGAACGCCATCGCAAAGTCACAGGATCCCTCGCTGGGATACGAGGCTGGGTTTCTGATGCAGCTCGACGAGTCGATCAATTTGATAGCCGAGAAAAAGATCAAGGTCGTCACGAATGCAGGGGCACTTAACACGGAAGCTCTGGCCCAGCAGGTTCATGATTCGTGTCTGTCGAAGGGATATCGGGATACGAAAGTTGCTGTTGTTCTTGGAGACGACATTTCGGAGTTGGTTTGGGATCCGAAGACGCGACGCAATTTGGCTCATCTGGATCACTCTGACTGGATGTGTGGAGATTGGCCACTTGAGCCACATTGTGGTGTTGCGTATATTGGGGCGTGGGGGATCGTCGAGGCGTTGAAGGAAGGAGCCGATATCGTGATCTGTGGTCGCGTGACCGATGCGTCGCCTGTCATCGGCGCGGCGGCGTGGTGGTATCAATGGCCTAAGGACGCCTGGGATAATCTTGCTGGTGCTCTCATTGCAGGCCGTATGTCTTCCTCTGTTTTTATTGTACTTGCCAGTCTGTTCCTAGACGCCATCGCTCACATTCGCAGATTTGATCGAGTGCGGTCCTTACGTGACTGGGGCCAACTTCTCCGGCTTCAAAGCAATTTTGCCCAAGCTGGTCGATCTTTCCTTTCCCATCGCAGAGATTGAGGAAGATGGCACTTGTGTGATCACTAAATGCCAGGAACATGCTGGTGCAGTTACCAAGTATAACACCATTGCGCAGTTCCTCTACGAGCTCCAGGGGGAGCACTACTTGAACTCGGATGTTGTTGCAGATCTTCACAATGTTGAGATGAAAGAGGTCGGTTTGGATCGGATTCGAGTTCGTGGTATTACTGGAAATCCTCCTCCAGAAACGACCAAAGCAATCATCGCGGCGCCCGGTGGTTATCAAGCCGAGGCAACTTTCTATATCAACGGACTGGATGTTGCGGAGAAAGCAGAGATGATGCAGAATCAGCTGTCGAATATATTCCGGGATAACAACTTCAGTAAGCTTTCTATCGAGTTATATGGGTCTCCAGCCACGGATCCGAAGAGTCAACAGGCTGGCACTGTTTCACTCCGTGTTTTTGCACAGGCGAGAAAGCTGGAAGATATAGCTGCCCCGGAGTTTAAAATTCCGATTTATGCGCTGCGTATGCAGAGCTATCCAGGTATGAATGGCCCTGCAGGGACTTCGTGGGCGTGCTGAATGACATCTAATTTGAGCAGGATATCATATGAATCTCGACTTCCGCACCATGGACCCAAAACCTTTCATGGAGATCTTCCCGGTCTCAATAAACATGAACCTCCTCAATCACCGGGCGAGATTGTTTCCCAGTGGAACTGAGGTCCCCATCGCTCCACCTACCGTCACCCTCAAGCAACCGGCACAGAGACCCTCTTACGAAACTCCCCACCCAGCACCTCTAACATCCTTCGGTCCAACACAACTAGCACCGCTGGGAAGCATCGTTCACGCTCGCTCAGGCGACAAAGCCAATAACTCAAACATCGGCCTTTTTGTCCGAAACGAAGACGAATACCCGTGGTTGCAATCATTCCTCACCGTTTCTCAATTGAAGGGATTATTCGCAGACGACTGGAGCGAGAAAACAGAGGATGATACAGAGAGAAGGGTGGAACGGTGTGAATTCCCCAAGATTCTAGCAGTGCATTTCCGAGTCCTCGATTTCCTGGATGGGGGGATTGCCAGTTCTAGCAGGATCGATGGGCTTGGCAAAGGCATTGGAGAGTTTCTCCGTAGTCGGGTTGTGCCTGTTCCTGTGAAATTCTTGGAAAGGGGCTGGATTTGATACAGTCCAGTACTAATTCTTCATATAGTATGGCAGTTTTATATCATTTTCTGTTCAATCTGAAATATAATTATTCACTCTCCCCACAGATGTACAGCCTCCAAGGCCATGCCCCCAATCTCATGTAGCCAGTCCTGGGAGAGTTGTCGGATTGGACCATCCCCACCATGTGCATCATGGAAGTGCTGCAAGTCCTCAAAGCAGTCACGAAGGACGGTGTCTACGCCCAGCGAGAAAGCAGCTGAGGTATGAATTGGTGCCATCGAAGCACTGGGATCGAACATAGGAGGTTGAATATCTGGCTGAGGCTCGCCAAGTGCGACCACTGGGGCACATGAATGGGCAGCTGACGATGGTACAGCAGTTTTTGGCTTTGTGTAGAAAGGAATGACATCCGCGAGGACGGCATCGCCCAGGCGATCGAAGACTTTGTGACAGTGGCGTGGCGTGGCCCACCGCTCAGATACGGCTACCAAGACGATCGAGCAAGATCGACAGGTATTTACCACCTCGAGGATAGTCGGATCGGTGGCAAGGGTGTCATCGGTAACAGACGTGTTTGGCTCTGCTCGTCGAGCCCGAAAATGGCGGCTCACGGCGTATATATATGAGAGCCCAGCCATGAAGACCGCATGCAGTGTAATCCAGGTGTAGTTTATGCGCTGGGATGTATGTAGCATTGCGTATCTTGAAATGGCTTCCTTTGAGGCATTAAATATTGGCTGAAGGGCCGTAGGAGCTCGTGGTGAAACGTTAGACAGTGCAGGGGACGGTCGATAGATCATCAGCAGTGTGTTGTAGTAGAGTAGCTCGTACCATTCAGACGATAAGTAGCTTGATTGGCGCGTTTTGTGAGTATCGGCTATTAGTGATAGGCTTTGTGTCTGTGCTCGCCATTGCTCTAGCTCCTCGGTCAACTTCAGGCGTGTTGTAGCAATAAATTCTTCGTCGTGACCTTGTCCGCGTGGACTATGTAACGATTCCATCACCTTGCCACTTAGTATTCGGTACCATGTGATATGGCTGAAAATTGCTGTTGGTGATGGTGCATTACTGCACATTTCAAGGCCTGTTTCGCTTGATTCGTCGACATGTGGCTCTGGGAGGGTAGTATCCACATCCTCGACATGGATGGCTAGCGGTCGGCCGAGTGTGATGCTGACAACCCTGCAGGCTTGTTCAGTATCGAGTAAAGTGATGGCAGTCCTGCAAGCCAAGAAGTATTCACCTATCCATATCGACAACTGACCAAAAGCATCGACGGCGAGTCTCACTCTCGGCCAATAGCTCGTTGTTGACGGCGAGTCCGGCTGGGGTATAGTATGTCTGGTTTCTATGCAGTCCCATTTCAAAACACATTCGAGCCGCAATCCCAACCATATGCCAAAGGCTGGCAGATGTCTCTTCGGCGGAGCTGGTCATTCGATACTGGCAAAGGAGGAGTACAGCCTGCAATGCCTGAATGCCGCCGCCTTGTAGAACTTCTTTCACACGCGTCATGGCCCGAGCCTGGAAATTTTCGCTCTCAGGCAACGACTGCCATTCGCATTTATGCGCACTGGCCATTGCGATTGCAAGTATCATATAGAATATGAAGGCAGCCCCAGCATTCTTCTCCAGAACCGATCCATCGGCATAGATCCGATCGAGACTTGTGAGAGTAACGCGACGATTGAGGAATGGAAAGCACAGGTGATCGTGGCTCAGATATGCTTTGTGTAGGTGACGAGCCACCCGCTCCGGTGGTAGTGTCTCCTGTGCTATTGATAGTGATGAGGATGGTTGTGTAGCAGACCCTGAAGATGCATGACGAGCGGTTTGTCCATGTAGCATGGAAGGGTTCAAAGCAGCCACGCCTTGGACAAGATTCGCAAATACCACGCCACTGGCGACACCCAAATACTGACCATCTCCTCCAGCCTGTCTCGAGAGAAATGACACTTCATCTGTGACTTCACTGCGGTCAAACGGGAACGGTGTCTCTAGCGAGTATAAAGGAGGCTGAGGATTCCCATCTCGGTCCGGCATAGAACCATTTTGGTTGAGCCCAGACGACCGGCAAGAGGCGAGTTGCGAAGATAGTGCTCGGTTTTTGGCTTCCATCTGTCGCAGCCGGCGTTCTACTCGATCGAAGACTTCCCGGCGGACTGTGGGCTCTCGTGTCCGATCAACATACTTGCACAGCGTATTTGCTTTCTGGCATTGTCCGCACGCGGGGATAGCTTTGTCGCATTTTGACTTGCGACGATAACAGCGATCGCAGGCCTGCATCTTTTGAATCTCAGGAACTATGTACTGCTAGTTTCGTGAAATCGTGGGGAAATGCGGAGAGCCTGGGGTTGTCACGTCGGGCGTCGGCGCCGAGGGCCGTTCGCCTGTGGTGGCGGCTAAGCGGCTGTATCGAGTAATTTTGGGCTTTTAAGCATCGTCATAACGCTGAATTGAGCTATGAATTTAGATATTACTCTCATTGCCATATTATGCTAGGCCTGTGAGCAAAGGGGAAAAAAAAGAAAACCTTTGGTCAGCACTGTAGATAATCATCAATTTCCCTCAACTACTGCGATGCTAGAGAGTCATGTGACTTGGAACTACTGCTGAGTTCGGTTAATGGTCACGTGTGTGGCGCCGGTCCTTTCGGGTAGGCAGGCGCGGCCAATCAGGCACCCGCACGCGTGCCCCATCCGTCAGCATACTAGTAAATACCGCCGTCGTCTCCAGCTCTCTTTGCCTTTTGGCTTAGGTCAAGTGTAGTATCTGTTATTTTCAGTTAAATCTCTGAAAACCTTCTCCGGAGGACATTAATGATTATTCAGTTTTTGTCGTTCACAGCCTGGCCTCTGTGCTTTGTGCATGCCTCGTCGCACAGTGTCATCGGACTTATACTACCTCCGATCGGCGCGACCTTTTTCATCATTCGGTCAGCTTGTCTGGTTGCTTGGAGAAGAAGTGGTTCATTTGAGATAATACGAGTAGCACTTAATGTTGATCTCTGAGGGACCGTCACAGTGTTTTACCTCGGGCTACTAACTCCCTTTACACCATCGCTGCGGTTATGGTCGAGACCATTGTCCTAGTCGGCAACATGATTACGATGTTGATTCCCATGAATCGGCCCATTTATCCTCTATTACTCCACATCTAACATAGCATACATAATGCGAGCGTCTTGTGGTTTCGCAGAGTCCACCGCATCTTTAGAGCTTTAGCTGCGAAGCTGAAACAGGAGGACACGTCCCACAACCTTCGTTTCAACTTCTGCATAGTATTTGCAGAGGGCCTTCCGAATTACCTTCTCTCCATCTCCCTAATTGCCAAAGATGCCCTTGCGATTGTAAAATTTCATCAGGAGGCTGCCAAACCATTTGTGCTGAGCATCCTTCCCCAGGATAGTCGTTACATACACGACTCCATTCGGTGCCAGGTGGGGCTTCAATTCGATGAAGTGTTTCATATTGTCTTCCAACGGCCTGGGAAGACAGTGGAGAGGAAGAAAAAATCGATATCGAATCGTAAAACCCTCAAATGACAGCGACTGCGTAACGTCGGCTTCGATCGTCATGGTCGATGATCTGCCGAGTCGCTTCTTAGCAGCCTTTAAGGAGTGATGATTGAGATCCATCAGAGTCAGCTCGGTTTGCTCAGGGATGTTGCCATGTCCCAGATAGTAGCCGGTACCACGTCCGATGTTCACATGTCGTTGGCCGATGAATTATTTGAAGAATGGTAACTGGATGCTCTTGGTCGGACGGCGCCAGGGTTATGGATTGGAGAGTTCCAGGACCCAGAGGTGGTAAAATGATAGGGTGAAGGGCGTGTATACTGCTGCTCCGGCTTCCACAGATATTTTGGTGTTTGCGACAACCATATCGGCCCGGCTTCCAATCGGTTGAATGAGAAAGTACAAGTTGGACTTGAATGATATTTGAACCGCGTGTGTGCCGGTTGCAGTTCCTCCCCCTATATATCATCCATACCATAAGGGATCCTCCGAATTAGCTGAGTATGACGGGCATGGTGAACCACGGAAAGATAGTGAGATTATAATCGTTGGGTCCCACCGGCGATCTGCTGGAGCAGGCTAGCCCAGTTGCGGAAAGTGTATAGACGCCACTTTGAATCCTGGCGGGACCAGAAGTCCCGAACAGCCTCACTTCAGAAAATATTCTGGTGAGCTAACCTAGTCATCGATGCTGACTATCACGATAGATAAATAGGCCACACCGTTTAAGGTGGTGCCGATTGCCGAAAAGGTCGGTCTGGATTGAAGATATTGATTTTGATAGATTAGAATTATGTCCGCGTTTATTCCGGATTATCCGGCTCTTGAAACACAGACAAGTTAATGTCATCAAGAGACCCCCACCAATGCGACCACATACCCTGCTCATGAGCATACGTGCTAACTTCCGTGAGCAGGTTGTTGAGCGGCATATCCAAATCAAGCGAGTCTGTTCCAGGATTCGTAGCAGGAGTAGGCACCGGTACTGCCTCTCTTTCAGCGCCCTCAATTTCCTGAAGATGCTGGTCGGATCGGTCGACGACACGAAACTCGTGGATCGACTGGTGTAGAACGTCGAAGTCTGCGCGCGACTTTCCTTGGTATCGAGATCTATCGGCGGTTGCTCGCTGGTACAAGAGGGAGGCGTTCTTGATCGTTGCAATCTGGGGCATAGATTATTAGGAAAACTCAAGTCCAGTGCTAGATCTCGACGGTACTTACCCAGCTATCGGCGAGTTTCCAGACCTGTCGGAAGTTCTCCAGGTAGGTCATGCAGTAATTCAGATTCCGCTCTGCGTTCTGGCTGCGGCCTAGGTTCATCTGTGGAAATCTAAATACATAGAGGTTCATGTAGGCGGCTGAAAATGCACAGAAGCCAACAAATGGTGATATGATTTCTGCGCCACACTCGGAGGCATCGTGTAGTAGCCGGGCAATGTTTTCAGCTGCCCCAAATAGCTCGAATGAACTTGCCTCCCACCATCCTTCGGGCGACTCCGCTTCGAGAGTCGGTGGGTCGATCGGTCCTCTAGGTGCTGATACTCCGGTCGGCATGAAGGGGAAATATTCGCGGTGAAGCATTAATGTACTGTATAATCGCAAGTCAGCAAATTTCCAACTGGCCAGAGTCAATTAGCACCTACCATATTGAGTAAAGAAGATTGAGATAAGTGAACGACTCCCCATAACCGAGAGTAGTGTGAGCCAGCACACTATTCTCAGGGTAATAGAGCCTATGGTGTTGATTGGCCCTCCATGTCTGTAGATGATGCCTCGTCTTGGACCACGGGGATTCCGGCGCCCAGGGACAATTCTGCGGTGCACACATCCCCGGGGCTCGGCGACCATCATTGTAAATGAATGTCATGACCTGTGCCCAGATATCAAATCCGGACACGAGGACCTCGAATGATTGAGTAATGTCGAATAGAGCGGTTTGCTCACGCTGCGGAGTAGAGAGATTGTGTTCCATGGCATTTGTCTGCGACACAAGGTCGGGCCCAAACGCAAATTCGACAGCACTCAGAGGCCGGGAGACCTTCAATTTTTCCATCTCTGACCAGGGAAGCATTGGTGGGTTATAGGTTCCGGAACTGACCATCCGGTCCAGGATAAAGCATGCCCACGTGGTTCTGTTCTCAATGGCGAATGAAACGGCTTCGCGTTCGCGCTCTCGCTCACTCGGCGTGGAATCGAGTGGATAGGGTGCGATTCGAGAACTGTTCAATGCCTGCATGATCCGAGTCGCGATGCCTGTTACTCGTCAGCCATGAAACATTAGTCAAATTCCTGCCTAGCACTTACCACAATATATCCAGGCGCGGTGGAACTCTCGCGTACCCCATTCGTAAACAGTCATGATAAGCAGAGCCTGCGCCACCTCGAGTCGTGGAGCCTCGAACGAACTTTTGGACAATCTCTCCCGGGCATACTCCGCATAACGTTCTTTGGGTAGCAGGGAGCTTTCCCATGGGAAGGTAATGAGAAGAGGGTGAGATCTGGTGATTGCCAATAGAGCAGCCAGTAGAGTTTTGATCTCTTTGGAATCCTGAGACTGGTGCTTTTTGGCAAACGATGGCAGATGCAAAATTGCAAGCTCAGGGTATTTGTTCACGAACACATTCAAGGATTTCAGCACGAGGTCGGTCGATAGACTTGTCAAATGTCTATCTACCTGTGTGTTGTCTCCATATTGTGCGAAGTCCTGGACGACCGATTGGGAATTATACCCAGGTCTTGCAGGCGAAGCTGCTGAACTGGAAGGCGCATCGCTTTCAATTTCAGTGGTAATTCGCTGGCCAGGCGTTGCATGTCTGGCGCGATGAGTAGCTTTGCGGGGTGTCCTGTTGGACGGTCTGCTCAGTTCACACCCCGGGATTCTGGATTTCGAACATTTCTGGCATGGAGCAGTGCCTAAATTGATGCATTTAATTTTCGATTTCCTAGTTGATATGTCGGGTTAGCACTTTGTTTCCGATGATGTCATTTCGAGGAGAGTGGAGTGGCATCCTCACCTGCAGAACTCACACGAAAGACTAGATCGCATCCCGGGCGAGCTTGGATCCGGTTTTCGCGGGAATCTGGCTGGGTCACAAGGATTGATGCGTCTCGGATCTCGCCTCGTCGGGAATGGCGGCTTCACAGTGTGTATTCTGCTGAGTCATCCGATCTCGGCTTTCCACCGTCGGCTCTCGCATCCTAGGCCGCACCTTCCTTGACCAGAGGGCAGGCACCACTGGCAACAACATTGTAGGGCATTAATTAGAGGCAGGCGTGTTTTAAAAGAAGGCTCACCCAAGAGCTGCTCCTCTTCACCGCGCCGTACCTCTTCATTACGCACCATTTATCTGCGATTTTCACGCTTACGCCAAACCACAGCTCTAGGACTTCAGTGTAGGGCAGTCTTGTCGACACGATGAGTACAGACACCGAGACAGTAAGTCTTCCCACGCTCCCCACCGAACTCCTTCTCACAATCGCAGATCGGCTGGACCAGAATGACATCAACTCGCTCGTGAAAACGCATCGGTCCCTTTACCGGCGGCTGAATGGATCACTATATCGCAGAGATTCTGGATCCCGGGGTTCCATGCACGCCCTATTCGACGCGTCAATGAAAGGATGTCTCCGAACTGTCCAGATGTCGATCGAGTCCTTTTCCGAGCCGAAAGACTGGTACAGCGTCCAACCGGGCGTTGCTTACTGGGACCGCGCCCAAGAGAAAATCCATATTGCTCTTTTCCATGCCGCCAACTACGGGCACGCCGATATCGTCACTTTTCTCCTTGGGCAAGAGGGGACGGATCCGAATCGAATCTGTCCTGCTTCGTCTTTCCCCCTATTCTCTCCCCTCCATTCATCTTCTTCATCTCCAATCCTGAGAAAAACCCCTCTCGTGGCGGCCGCAAGTGAAGGGCACGTTGCGGTAGTCAAGGCACTTCTTGCTTCAAAAGACATTCGAGTAAATGCGGCATCCTATCTGCACACCCCTGCCCTTACGCGAGCGGCTTTCCTCGGTCACACTGAAATCGTCAGCTTGCTTCTAGATCACCCTGGCATTGATGCCAAATTCGTCGACTGGACTGGCCGTACTGCACTACTCCACACTATCGAACGCTCGCGGACGTCCACCACCGCATGTTTCCTTCACCGTAAGGATTTAGACATTGGAATCAACGTCGGCCTTAACCATGGCGATGACGAAGGCAAAACGCCATTGATTCTGGCGTGTGCCCGTCGTTCGATTCATTCGGCGCTTCCTCGTCTTATCTTGACCGCTCCCGGCGTCGATGTCAACGCTAGAGACAAACACAACAGGACTGCGCTCTTTTACGCAGCTGGAAATGGATCAATCCAACATGTTGGTCTCTTACTCAAGCACCAGGCTGACCCAGACCCCGTGGATTTTGACGGCCTTACTCCTCTTCTATTGGCAGCCCGAAGCGATTCTCCTGGTATTGTGAAGATGCTGTTGGAAGCTGGCGCCGACCCGAATCGTAAGCATGAGATATTCGGAACCCCGTTACATGCAGCGACGGTGAGGCAAATTTGGTCGGTCGTAGCAGTCTTGGATCCTGTCACTGGTTATGACCACGAATGCGACGATTCTTGCTTCGCAACTTATGATTAGTGATCTCGATACCGCGAATTCTTCTGCAGCCTCAAGCTCGCAGATTTACCTAAAGGAAACTATCCTAGGCGATAACAGTCGGGAATTCATATAGCGTTTAAGTAAGTATCAAATTCAATCCCAGTCAGCCTGAAAAATCCCATGCAAAAGACCTCAATTCTACTATGTACAGATTGTAATCATCACTGTTTCAAAGCCAATTCACGGATACCCTGGTATCTTCACAGGACGTTCTCGTAGTAGGTAGTCAGAACATCGGTCTTGACTGGGCCCGCAACAGCCTTCAGTGCCTTGTGTGCCTCGCACTCGGTATCGTAATACTTCATATCGTCCAGCGAGGCGAAGGTAGTCTTGACCGAGATGTTGAAGCCCTTGTTACGGGGATCGTCAAAGGACTCGCCAACGGCGGCGGCGAGGATGTAGGGCTTGCCATCCTAGAAGTAGAAGTCCACGTCAGCTGTCGGTTCTCTAAGTGTGTATGGCCGGGCAATGGCGGATTGCGACAGGTGGTAAAGCGCGAAGCTGGCATACCCTGGTGGCAGTCTTCGCAAGGACCTTGTACTGCTCAAGCAGGCGCTTGCGGTCCTCCTCCTTGGGGACGTTGAAGAGAGTGATTCGCTCGATAGGGGCCATGGTGGACGACGTAGAATATCGGCGCAGGTTGCGAAGAGAGTGAGAGAGCAATCCGACGGAGCCGCGGGGCATCGCGGGGGTTCTTATATGCGGGATGTTGTGTTCTGTGGGGGCCAAGAGGATGGCATCGCGCCGGCTAATTATTAATTGGCACCATTTGGTCCGATTGGGGCGGTTTCCGTCGGGTCGGAAGCGGCGTCAGTCGTTCTTGTATTTTGCATGTTGAAGTTCTTTCTTTCTTCTCTCTTGCGGCCTGCGATTGCGATTGCGATCTAGTTCATACATTGCCTGGTAAGCAAATGCGATGATGCAAGTGCGGAAATATTCAGCCGGCGCGTCGGAATTCCGCGCGTCCCACCGTCGATCAAATCGGCCTCGGGAGATGCATCGCCTTGCCCCTGTAGGGTCGCTGGTCTGTGCTTTTGTACAAGCATCGAAATGGAACTAGCGTTGGGTCCCGCTCCACATTACTGTAGTATGTAGTGGCTTGTTTGCGATCTGGGGATGTGACTGCGTGCGTTTGCCTATTACGGGAGAGTGATTTGGATCACTGCCCGAGGTTTGGAAATATCTTGGGTAATTAAACCGACGCACAGGCGTTCTTAATAAGAGAAGCTCTTTAGCCTGCTAACTTGATGTTGCGGCAATAATATAATCCTCACATGGGCCAGAATCCCGACGCGCTGGTCCACGCGATGTTTACGTTTCCAGTCCGCCGGGTGTTTGTCTCTCAACATACGAAGTCAACAAGCAGATACAAGAGAAACAAAAAAAGATAAGGGTGCCCTCTGGTATGTCGCCGAGCTCTGGCACATTTGGTACCGGCCAGTCTCATGGGAGCAAGACTTTTGATCGGGGAGTGTTGTTTACTCGCACGCAAATGTCGAACAGTCTCCTTGCTCGGTGGAATAGAGAAGTGACGGCCTCGGAAGTCCGCAGCTGCTTGAACGCCGTATGGGAAATCGGAGGTTATGCGGGTATGGGCAGTGAATTCGGGGACGGCTGCTTGGGCGCGGTACGAGAGAAAGTGGGATACATGGAAATGGGTAGTCACTTCTGCGACAGGCTAGCTCGGGGACAAGGAAGGTATGGGGATAGCATCAAGTTAGCAATTAAATGGTCAGTTGGTGGCTACAAGAGTAATTTATCTGTACACTAGAACCATGCAGGCTAATGTGCCTGCGTGGTTAGCATCTGCATGGTTAGTCTGGGGTTTGAGCGAGCTGTGGGGTTAGCATCTAGATGATGATCAGTCGGGAGTTTCAGAGGAGGGGGAATTCACCTGCATGGTTAGCATATAGATGGTGGTTAGCCCGGGGGTTCAGGTGAGAAGGGGGGAGGGGGGTTTCTACGAGATGGGTGGGAAAGGAAGAAGAGAAGAGGAGAGAGTTGATGAGGAAGTTGGTAGTTATTTATGCTGACTCTGTTGGCGCCTCGGGATCCAGGCAGCCACGGGCATGACCTTCGCTGCCGCACTATCATCTTTTGCGTACTGGGCACTGGACATCACCGCCATTGTGCGCGATGACCGGTACTCGTCGGGCTCAGTCTTTTTCATGATTACCACCAGATCGCAGACCATTATACCTCTACCACGTTGCCATAAATCCGGACCAGATGCTTTCATATCAGACATAGCTAACTTTCGAGTCTGCAGAACAATTTCTCCTAGACACTGACATCCTGCAATGAGCTGCTAAAACGACCACAACTGAACACCACGAAAGTCGAGACGGGTCAGTCAACTGGCCACCTGCGTGTCAGATGACGCGCTCGTCAAGTGGCATGAAGTGAGGGCTGGTATTTCTCCAAGATGGACTTCCACTGCGGTGAATCCATGAGAAGCACATTCGGAACCTCTCTCTCGACATACTGCCAACATAACAAGTTAAAAAGCTGGTAGCGCAACCCAGGACGTCAACCACTTACATCACGGTACTTGCTCTCTATTCTCATCCGCAAGAAACATTTAAACGGCATCGTCTCCCTCGTGAAGAACTCGAACAATCCTTTCCCCGAACCGTCCCCGTCGTGCTCCAGTGTTGTCGAAAGCGCTTCCAAAACAATCGCCCACCCGCCGTGATTCTCCAATCCAAGTGCATTCAACAACAATCCGATGTGATTCTGGACAATCGAGTGATGCACCTTCGTCCACACGTTTACCAGATTACCCGTCAAGGTTGCTGCCCCAGGCGGCAGCGCGTCAAATTTCACGCCCAGCTTCTGCAAAGTCGGTACGTGCATTCTTATCCCACCGAAGTCTCGAACGGCGTATCCTTTGATCTTTCCAGTTGAGCGACACACGCGCGCCACGAGGTTTTGTCCGTGGCCTTCTATTCCGACTCCGTATTGGACGAGTGGAGGGAGGACGAGGTCGAATAATACCTTCACATATCTGTTTGCGCAATGTCAGCAAAGATCCATCGGCACTTGTGCATGGGACATACCCCTGGAACCAGTCTTTCTTTTGGGAGATTGTCTCTAAGCCATACAGAATCTCCGCATATGTCCGACTATCTCCATAAGGCTTCTGAGGGAATGCCGCTGCGATGATCAGAGCCTCGTCATTCACCTGTGCCCTGGTCTCTAAAATCTCCCGCAAAATACAGGAGAGATGGCGCGCATCATTAAAGTCGTCTTGACCTCCCGAGACAGCCGCGGTTTCTCTGAAAACCCAAAGGTCATCGGGCAGGAATTTTTCCAGAAGACCCGTCTGGATCGGACCACCGCAGGTCGTCCAAGGCGTGATAGTTCGAAGAGCAGAGGTAATTTGGCAGGCCAAAGACATCTTCAGATGGTATTTAAAGTCCAATTCTGGTCGTATGGTGAGGGTGCGCATCGATGCCTGTGCATCGACACAGTTCGGGACCAACTTCACGATGATAGCATCGGGGAATCTCTGGTGGATGGAGGGCAATTGCTGCTCAAGACATGGGATAATTATGCGGTCGCTGGTAGCCTTTGGGATCCCGAGTTTCTCGGTCAGCGGTCGAATTTCTTCTTTGCCCATTTCCGAACAGGCGAGAGGATGGGATCGAAAGACGAAGATAGCTCTTAGAAAACGGGGTTCTAAAGCGGCGATCCTGAAATGGGGAAGGGATCGATGGCTTACGCCGGGCGCCCACGGGGATGGCGATTTAAATCTCGATCCGGAGACTCCTGTTGATCCGGAAGATGTATTTGGGTTGGACGTTACGAGTTTGCCAGGTGGTCTGCGTATTGTGATTCCGACGGTTCATGTTTATGGACGAGTTGATCCGCGATTGCCGGCTTCTTTGCAGTTGGTTCATTTGTCGGATCCTGCGATGCGGTAGACGTTCGGCATGAGGGGAGACATAATCTTCCTAGGAATCCGGTTGCTGCTGAGGACATTGCGAGGTTGATGGATGAATGCGCTCAGATGGTAGGACGATGAATGTGGGTATAGCGAGCGGGCTGCTAGTTAGGTGGAGTGTAGAGTGTTGTCTAAACTTCTTTGTTGCCAGCCGGACATCCGTCGGAGTGTGATGGCAAAGAAGCCTATCACACGATGAGTCGGAGATGATGATGGCCAAGCATGAGGGCCAGGTGGTTTGGAACGGGACTGCATTCTATCAAAGGTAACCATTCGACTTCATTCTGGGCATTTTAGCTGGTTGACTGTCTATCTCCATGCACTTGAATAGCTTGGACGCATAATGCTTCTTGGTACTCGGCTGCGCATGCAACCGTTTCAAAAAAAATAATAATAATGTGAAGGAATCACCAATTCCCTCGTAGCGCCTGTTCCCTTTCAAACGCCTCAAATAGACTCTTGAAATTGCCCGCTCCAAATCCATCAAAGCCTTGCCGCTGTATCACCTCCACAAACACCGTTGGTCGGTCTCCTACATGCTTCGCGAAGATCTGGAGGAGGTACCCGCGCTCGTCAAAGTCGACCAGGATATTGAGTTGCTTCAGAACGTCCACGTCTGCATCCAGCGTCCACGATACCTTTGACAGGCGCTGGCGCAGATCCGTGTAGTACCCTTCTGGGACACGTAGGAATTGCACTCCACGTTTTTGGAGATGCGTCACGGCCTCGACGATATCCTCTGTACGGAAAGCAATGTGTTGGACGCCGGACCCATGGTAGTAGTCCACGAACTCTTCGATCTGGGACTTTTTCTTGCCGGCGGCTGGTTCGTTCATTGGCATTTTGATGGTCTCATTCGGGGATGCGACCACTATCGAACGCATTGCTGAGTAGTCACTGCACATGGCTTTGTCGTCGACTGTCCAATAGCGGTGAAATTCCAGGCATTTCTCATAATACTGCACGACTTTGTCCACTCCTCCCCATGGCTGATTCCCGACGCAATGATCGATCTCGAGAAACCGCACGGACGGAAGCAGTAGGTTGATTGGGTCTCCCTCGCTGGCCTGGACGGTTTGAAAGCCAGGCAAAAAGGGCGCGCTTTCGGGGTAATTTTCACGATTGATCAGCGAGTGTACCGTGTCGCCGTATGTCCCGATTGTAGCCGTGGTGATCGACCCGCCTCCCTCGCTCGCAACGGTCCGCGGCTTGGAAATGGCCGATGCCCCGTTCTCAATTGCCCGTTTCCATACCGCTCCAATATTACCTTTGACCTCGAAAGCCACGTCGGCTACCCCGTCGCCGTGAATGGTCAATTGTTCGTGGATGGCGCTCAAGGTCGCACGATCTTCGGCAGTGGCGTTCTGCAGGGCTTTGTTTTCCGGGTGCGAAGGGCCACAGACTGGACTCGTGAGGATGAAGACGGCTCTGCCGTTGGCGATTGCATAGCTGGCTAGGTACAGTGATCCCGTCTCTGGGCCGCGGTAGGCAATCAGGGCGAAGTCGAAGCGCGTGATGTAGTACGAGGCGGCTTGCTTGGCATTTCCGACGTACCACTGGATATGATCAAAGCCGACATATTCAGGGCCCAGGTTAGATGGGAAGATGGCCTCGTCAGGTTCGGGGACCGTCATGTTGCCGTGTGGGAAAGTCAAATTATTGGGTGGGAGGGGGGGGCTCTATTAGCGGCCGTCAGGAAGATGACTCCGTTCGAAGCGAAGGGACCTTAGCAATTGAGTTGAAGGCCGCAGCAATGCACTTCCTCGCGGCTTCGAGGGAGTTGGCGGAGTGAGGGAGATTAAAAGGTTGGGGAGCGGGGGCTGCTGCATAAGGTTTCACATTCCTACCGCATGGCTTTCCGCGGATAGGCGCAGTTGCACTTGGAATTGCTCTAGGCGGGCTGAACACACAGGAATGAGGCAAGGCTGAAGTCATTTGGTCCGGTTTTATCTTGAACAAAGCCCACAGAGCCCAATTCTGACTGCATTGACGCCCAGGGTTTGGAAACTGCCGTCCGTGGTTCGTTGCTCGTGGTTGTTGACAACTGACTCCCGACGGATGCGCCAGGTAGGAGACATAGCAGACTCAAACGAGCCCAGCCATTTCAGTATGCAGCATGCGGGTGTAGACTTGAAAGTACCCGGTTGTCCAATTGCACCAAGAAGAAGCACAGTGCATTGGTGTTTATTCTGCTGGAAAATTCTCTCCCGGACGGGCCAGCTGCACGAAGGACGACACTCCCAGCTTCCAGTCACCTGCAGGTATATCTGATCAATCTCCATCTCTCATATCAATCAACTTCCTCCAACAACACGATCAGATGTCGTTCACAGGCTCTGGTCGGTTCTTGAAGAACACTTTGTAGCGCACAATTTCCACCACCTCCAGCTCTTCACTGTGAGCAGCAGAAGCCCGCTTCTGTAAGACGGCAATGGGGCGCGGGAGCTTTTTCACCTCGCCCGTCATCCGCTGGTACCGACCAACATAGAGGTACGCCCGTTTCATCCATTTGGTGTCGTCCGGGTTCAGCGGCGAGTAGTCCGGGAACATGAGCTTTCCGACCGGCGTTTCGAAGGAAGCACCATGTTTACTCGAGGGCGATCCATATTTCTCGTAGTATTCTTCTTCGGCCTCGATCGAAGGCAGGTTGATCGTACCCTGGAGCTCGACAATCGCCAGGCCCGAAGGGGTTTGGAGGAGTTGAGGCAGCGGGTTGCTGGCAGCGACGGGGACCGTGGAGGACGTTGTCCTAGTTGCGTCCGAAGAAGTCGGGTGCAAATTTATTGACGGCATGGCTCTGGGAGGTTCGGAGACGTGGTGGTGCTGTGCAGGCGTGAGTCCGAAAGTTGAAGTTGGAGTTGAAGAGGCCGGCGCGACGCGGGTCGCGTTGTCCCCACACGATCGTGGGGTTCTCGAAGTGCAGCCAGACCCCACGGCGTAATTAATTCCTGGCAATCAGTATTACTCTCTCAAGCAACGTTGCATTAGATTGTGGTTGGTAGTCAACTAACAACTAGTGTTTTACGTTGGCTTCGGCCGATGGCCTGGTGGCTTCTTACTACTAGGGAGTAGTACCTACTAGTTAATAGTCGTTTTAAAATAAAATAATGCGCCAATCCATCTCAACTCAATATTATCATGTCGTAAACTTCATAAGAGGCAGCCCAAGGGCTCGTAAGCGCTAGAACAGGACATGAAAACAGAATAAATAGTGTACATAGAAATTTACTTGCTTGTCCCCGCCATCCCTCGGTAACAAGCATCCTCCAAATGCTCCAGCCCCCGAATCGCCTCCTCGCCAATATTGCTCTCCATACCAGCCAGCCCTTGCAGCTTGCCATAGCGCAGATCACTCATATTCCCAACAGTCGTCTGTAACTCCGTCAAAAGGCCCGCAGCCTCGCCGTCCACATCGGCAATCTCACGCTCAATGTTGGCACAGGCCGCCTCCATCTCATCTAGAAGACTCGCAGTGGAATGAAACCGTTCTTGATCACTTGAATTCTGGCCAAAGAGTTGAATATCCATATCGATCTCACGCTGCTCGTCCGCATTAGCGGCCTCCACGCCTTCGGCAAGCATGGCTTTGCGTAGCTCGGCCTTTTGCCGCTCCCCTTGCTGGAGCTCGTGGTCGATGTTCTCGTTCACCCGGTCCAGATCATGTTCACGCACTTGCTGTAGTTCCCGGTACAGGGTCCGGATGTGCGGATGGCCCCGGAGACGTTTGGGGAAGAGTTCTGTGAATTTTTGGAGAGAGAGCACTGTCGGCAATGGAGCCGGGGACAGCAGGAACTTGCTCAGGATGGATTCCTCGGTGGGTGCCATCTTGGCGTTTGGAAGGTACGCTTCTTCTTTGCTTTCAGTTTGTGCGCAATGGCTTCTCGCGATATTGGTCGTCGTCCTTCAACCTGACATCACCAAGTTGGGCGCGTAGTCCGAATCGGGACCGCGACGCGTCTCGCGAATTTTCGTGATAATTTGGTCACGTGATGTATAATGAAGTGAAAAGTCCTTAGCCCACAAAAATGAGAGTATGGACACCTTGGAGGTAGACAGACGAAGTGGGATGAAGGGTTACACCTGACAGGGCATGAAGTGGTGGTGGATGGCAAAGCTGGCCTCTCTGACGATGGGCGGCGGCCGCGGGTTAAGTCAACCATCCCGGCTCGGACCATTTTCAACAATCGTAAGAAGCACATCGCATGGCTCTATGGTACTGCCGTTTCTCTTCACTTTGAAGCTCATTTAATTGGTATATAAAACATAAGCAAGGAAAGTATCTAATTCTGCGGTTCTACCAGTCACGATTCTTCCAAAATAGCGCAAGAACGTTGCCTACACACCAAAGAGTACAGCCGATGAACCTTTTCTTACAATATCATCTCTAAAGTCCGTACCGACTCGGAATCTCATAAAATAATTGTATTTCCTGTTCATCCCTTTGCTGACTTACCCTTATATAGCTGTGATACAGGGGCTTGAAGTCGAGATCTCTTCCATCCTTAAACTCCTCGGATGGTAGATTCTTACTATCATGGGCCGCTAGATGCAATACATATAGAAAGAAATATAACCTTCATCAATGGCTCAACTCCGTTTGGCTACGCTACTTGCTCTAAAATTATTTTGTGGCGGTGTCCTTGAGTGGCCACAGGCCCGAGAGTTCCAAGGTTGCCATCGAATGAAACGAAGCACCATTGTTCTGACACACGGTACTAGCAGCAAATACTTCGAGGGGGAGTTCTGCGAGTGCTCTTTCAGTTAGCCTATTGATAGTATCATAAAGCGAAAGCAAATCTAGCTATCTAAGGTACTACTAATATATCGGGTACCCAGCACATCATCGATCACATCACGAAGCGTTTGAAAAGCATCCAGGCCCTTTCCTAGGGCTATAGACTACAATCTCGCGCTCTGAAACCTCCTTATCTAGTGAGATCTGTATCAGTTCTCGGGTTTTCCTCAAGCTTAGGGTACTCCGGTCCATTGATGGATACCAGCGACGGGTAAGGGCAGTCAGGGTAGTCTTGTCCCTGCAGTTTCTCAACTTGCTTGCTAGTAGCAGCTCTTCTGCGATAGAAAATGCGAGCCAATTAAAATCAATAAAGCCTCCTCCTGGCTCTATCTCGTATAGGTACAAATCTGCTTGGGCGTCAAATGGTGTCTAGCTTATGTCATGTCGGAGTGGCACATATTTGCGGTAGCGCGGGCCCAGTCGAAGGGGGCAAGTTTGACGCGCCCGCGCCGCCTCTTTGATCAGCCTCCCCATCGACCACTCCAGCCCTCGCCTTCGCCAGCCTGTATCGGCCGAACTATTTAAGCCAGCCCTACAGTGCTTGAATCCCATCTACAATCGTAACGGGACTTTCAACCGTCTCTGGGCCATATCCCCACGGGAATCCTGTCCGACGGGGTTAGACTTGCCCCGACACTGCCACTACCCTGGCCAAGATATCACCTCGCCATCGATATCTACTGGGCCGTCGCGAGCTTGACAGAGATTGCTCTATCTGCCTGTCCATTTATCTGCTCTGAACCCGCGCTTTATCGCCGAATCCGCGCTCTGGGTGTCTGAGCCCTATCCGTCGACAGTGAATGAGCCCGGCTTTGCGCGACATTTGATTTCGTCTCTGCGCATCTAGCTTCTTCGCCTATTCAACCATCTGCGCCGTCGACTTTCTGATCACACACGCAAATCCTTGGTCACAATGTCTTCATCTAATTATGTCAAGGACGAGAAAGTCCTTTGCTTCCACCATGAAATCCTCTACGACGCCAAAATCATGGAAGTGCGCCACCAAGACGAGAAGAAGAACGGACCCCTGGAGTTCCTGGTCCACTACAAAGGTTGGAAAAACACGTAAGTCTCTATCTCTTCCTTTTTCCACTACTTCCTGTTCTTTGCGAGTCCCTCCGGTTTTTTTTGGTATCGTGTGTTCGGACGCAACCATCGTTCTCATCTGTCCCCTTCCTCTTTCCATCTGAATAACCCTGTATTCGGATTCCCCGTATCCCGCTTCCCTTGTATTTTACATTGCAAGACCGGCTGCATCAATTTCAGTACCTGGGCCCGGACTCAGAACTTTGAATACGTTGCTGATCATTCCGCAGCTGGGACGACTGGGTCTTCGAAGACCGGCTTCGCAAAATCAACGAAGAAAACCGTGAACTTCAGACCATCATCCGCCGCGATGCGGAGGCTTCACTTCGACAGAGGAATGCCAAGCCTAACAAGAACAAGCGGACGCTCTCTGATCGTGGCTCGGTGCGAGACAGCGAGGAGCGCGGCAGTTCAGTTCCTGGGCGAGGCAACAAGCGCGCCAAGGGTGACAGCGAACTCGAGAAGGTACGTCCAACGCTTCTGTATTGCGGCCTGCCTATATGAACACAATTGCCTGTGGCCCCTACCATCTTGTTTTTCTTCCTTCACTTCCTCTCAGCCCTTCCAACGTCTTTCAACTCCCCCTCCTCCCCCCCCAACCGTCCCAATCCCTTGCAGCACTTCCTGGACTCCATCGTGTATTCCACTCGCAACGCCCGCGGCTCTGAAACTAGTTCGGCAAGTCCTCGCGAGATTGAATCGATGCATCGAGTTAGTCGAATTTTGCATCGACTTACTCACACCTCATGTCGAACAGGAAGAAGCTTTCCATGCGCGCCCGTCCATCCGCATCCCGATGCCCGACAATCTCAAGGCTTACATCGTCGACGACTGGGAGCACGTTACCAAGAACAACTGCGTCGTCAAGCTTCCTGCTGAAAATACCGTCCGCATGATTTTCCAGGACTACCGTGATGAAGAGGCCCCCAAGCGCTCGGGCTACCGTCTTGATGTCGATATCCTCGACGAGATCATCGCCGGTATGCTGGAGTATTTCGACGTCATGCTTGACACCATTCTTCTCTACCGCATTGAACGTCCTCAGTACCGTATCCTCCGCGAGAAGTTCAAGCCGCTCCGCCCCAAGCAGGGTCCGATCGATGTGTACGGTGCTGAGCACCTCATCCGTTTGTTCAGTATGTTCCACCCTTCCACTCACTACCTCTTGAACACTCTTGCTAACTTGTTGCTAGGTCTTCTTCCGGAACTCCTCGCCCAAACGAACATGGACCTCCGTGGCACCCAGCGTACCCGTGATGAGCTTGCCAAGTTCGCTCTGTGGCTGAGCAAGAACTCGGAGAAGTACTTCCGCACCGAGTACATTCCTGTCGAGGAGTCGTACGCAGACGACCCCGAGGCTCGCTTTCCTAAGAATGCCACCAAGACGAAGTCGCCCAAGGCCACCAAGGCCTCAAAGTAGATACTTGTGGCGGCTCTTGGTCGGTACACAATCAGGTAAGATGAATACTCGTATCTCTTACCTCGAGCGATTCTTTTACACCCTTTATATTTTACCTGGATAACTCCGGTAGCCTCGCTTAAGCATGTCATGGCTTGCTTTCTTCTCTTTCTTTTTTGTTGTTAATAAGAACCTTTTTTTTTGGGGCGCAATCTAAACCAACCAGGGGTTCAAACAGAATCAGTTCAATGAATTCTTACTTTCAGATAATACGAAACTCCAACTGTAGAACAAAGTCGTATGTGACAATGTCGAATGTATTTCTAAGGATATCGTAAACGAAAATAACAATATCTTCCCATCCCCGTTCTCCATATGCTCAATGCATTTGCTATGTACCACTGCTCTCATTAAAGGGCTAGAATAGGAATCAAGAAACCAACTTGACGTTGCACACCATATCAGGCAACTAACTGTCGCGCATCATCAACGGCACACCGCGCTGCTCTCTTCAACTCACTCTTCCAATCCGTCTCCCTCCACCGCAACCACGCATTCAATCCCTCCGGCGGCTGAATACTCAAAGTATCGTACCCCTGTTTGATAATGCGATGGACCTCGCGCGGGCTAAGATTCTTCTTCTTGATAGAGGGCAATGCAACAGGCGTTGGTTCACCATCCGGCTTAGGGCTGGGCGTCGCAACAGCCACTGCCTGGTCCCCGTCAGATTGAAAAAGAAGGGTGTAGAAGTGCGTCGACACAGAGAGAAGAGTGTCGACTGCTGCAGACTCGGAAGGCTTGGAGCCGGTGGAAGAGGTGGGGAAGTAGGCGTCGCGGAATTTCGTGATGACGGGTCCTGTTTCGACGAGCTTGTAGAAGAGATCGTCATAGGAGGCTGGGTCTGGGAGGAAGGTGTCGCCTCCGGAGACGCAGAAGGCCATTACGTCGGCGAGGGAACTAGTTAGGTTGTGGATTTTGGGGTTCGTTGAGAGGTCGGTTGCGTAGGTTGTTAGGAAGCGCATTAGGGAGAGGAGGGTACGCCAGAGCTCGGACCAGTGGTATGTTAGGCGGATTTTGTTTGTTGAAAGGTATGAGAGTAGGCGGAGGGTAATGGCGATTGCGTGGCTGTGATTTACGTGTTAGAAGTAATGGTCAGGAATGACATCGGAGGGGTTCCTTACCTGTACAGGTTCACGTCTAGCCGCTTGCGAAGGTTATGTGTGATAGTGTCGATCATGATGTCGAAGATGACGGTGGCGAGGATGCGGTCACCACCGACGACTGGAAGGAAGGGTTGCCTCTGCCGGCAGATTCGGACTCTTCGCTTTCCATCGTCGCTGCAGATGTGCTTGCAGAGAGTTGGGTCCTCGACAAGGATGCGGAGTGTGAACAGGCTTAGCTCAGCATAGTGCGCAACTCTCGTCGACCGATAGGCATGCTGCAGGAGATAGGAAGACAGCGACAGGAAGCTAGAGAAAGCTGATTCGTCCGTGTTTTTCTCTGGCTTTTGGTGGACCATGTGGTAGCCGAAAAGCTTGTTCGATTTCGTGAAGTCGTAGGTGGCCATCAGAATGGCGGCCTCTTGGGCGGGTCTGGCGGTATATGTGAGCAACGGCATGCATTTCAGCGCATTATCTGAGAGACTTACAGCTCTGCAAACATTCCTTTGGCTTCCTCTGCGGTGGGAGGGTTGGCCTTATCCCGCGCCCCTGGTGCCAAAGCCCTGAGTCCAAAGAAGATCAGAGTGTTGGTCAGTGACCAGCCTTCGGGGATATCATCTTGGACTGCGATATATCCATTGCGCAGGCCTCCACTGGCCATACCAACGCCTTTGACTATCTTTTGGATGCTCGCCTCGTTGACAAAGTCATCCAGCCGCAGCTGATAGGGGTTTTGGAACTCGAACTTGTTATAGTTCGCCAAAAGTCCCAGGAGGAGGAAGGGATCAAACACTTCCATGGGGGTTTCAGAGTCTTGGACGAACTAGTTTCATCAGCATTGGCTTTGTTTGATCCTTGTCGTAGAGGGAGAACATACCTTCATCATCGAAGGGAAGAGATCTCGGTGGGTGAAATAGGAGACGAGACTTGTCCTATAAGCACCGCTGGTCATAGCAATAGCCACTCGGATTGCCTTGCGTCGGACCTCGACTGAAAGTACCAAGAGTCAGCTTGCCGTCTCTGTCACAATATCAATTTTGGTAGGTCACTCACGGCTAGAGCCACCGCGAATGGTACCGTCCAGAACGGTCACGAGCTCGGAAATGGCATGGTCAACTTCATCAAGACCTGCCAGGACGGTAATGATATCCGAGCTGGGATTTGTGTATTTCTTGCTCAAGATGCTGGTCAAAAAGATCGTCAAGGTCTGACAACGGTGTCAGTTATATACAGGTCTCTGCGCAACGTTGGTGCCTAATCACTCACATCTAATGCGTAAGCATCACTCGGAGCAGTGTTCGAGGCCGCTTCACGGATCGCCCGTGAGAACAGAAGTCGAGTTTGAGTCTGTAGGGCTGAAATTAGCGCTCTGCGCGGGTCAAATAACCACATTGAGACAAATGGACTGACCTGCAGGCCCAACGTCTCATCGGGGCTCAGACCGTCCAGCAGGGCGTGCAATTGACTGCGATCTGGCGGCAAGAGAAAGAATTCTCTCCAGAAGCCCTCGGAGGGCTCCTCGACATCATCGGCGGGCTGTTGTAGGCGTATCAGTATTCACCATGCGGCTGTGACGTCTCGGAGGCGCGGTGGCATACTTTGAAAAGCGTCTCGTAGAGCTGGACAATTTTTGGCTGAAAAGTCTCCGGCCGACTCTGCTGCGTGAGGGGCGAGGCCTCCATGGTCGCGTGATGATCTTCAACCGACCACCGGAATATGGAACATTGATGTATGGGACTTCTTTGAACAAGCGTGTCGACTCCGAACCACTTGGCATCAGCCACTTTGTCAGCGGATCCAGCCACATGTCCTTTTTACATAGACGAGCCGAGATTGAGATATTACATTAGATTGGAGTTAATTTCAAAATGTGCAAATGGCATTAACATTTACGTGGGCTTTCTGCAATTCAATTTCGATCTAGATTGCCATGTTTTAAGTCACCTACCCCTCACTATACTGGATTTGCACACGTTGGTCGCCCTGGCGTCAAGGTGGTTCCTCCGGAAATCGGATAAATCATGGGGCCGCCACGCTCATGACTCAGCTGCCGATTGCCGCCACTGTGTACCGCGGTGTGTTCGACCAGTATGTAATCATCATCACACCTCGAAATCCAGCTTCACTTGATTAGATCTCGGTGACTTAAGCCTCTATAGATACTCTTATTAATTTACAAGGTCCCCATTTCAAGCTCTCTACTATTAATAATCTCGTACTACGCCAGCAGATCGTGCAGTGGCGCCACCGCATGTGTAGAAACACCTGGCCTCTGATTGGCCCGGTCGGCATCATGCAACCGCCTTACTTAAGCCCCCGAAGTCACCGGAGAAGCGAACGGTTTGTTCATCCATGACTTTCCTCCCTCCATCTTCAATAACCACCACATTGCCTCGAGCCAGCGTTCTCATGCGTGCATAATTGTCTCTTCGATCTTACTCAAACCACCTACCGCTCCCTTTTCATTATGAGTTTCTGCACCACTATGCAGCGCCCGGTGACATCATCCGCCACACTGCTCCGGTACCTCAAGCCTTCGGCGGGACAACGCTGCTACGCTCTGCGCTCTTTCTCTTCATACGGAAATGCCTACCAATCTTCCAAGCGTGACATGCAAACCGCTACCGCCTACCGCCCGCACACCCTCCCTTCGTCTTTCCCGCCGCCTCGGAGCACTGGGGGTGCGGACACCTCCATCTCGGCGGAATTCCCCCTCCCTTCAGAATCAAGCCAAACTGCGTCGCAATCAGAGTCCTCTCGGACCAGCCTACGCGAGGGTGAGGCGCAGAAGTCCAAGCCCGCTTCGACTGCTCCTCCCAAGACTTCCCCGAAGCCTCGTCGACCTCTCCGGCCAAGAAAGGCTGCCATGAAATTGACTCCCATTGCTACTCAGCAGCTTCGCAAGCTCATGGACCAACCGGAACCGAAATATATCCGGGTTGGTGTCAAAAACCGTGGCTGTTCGGGTCTTGCCTACCACCTCGAATATGTCGAGAAGCCGGGCAAATTTGACGAGGTTGTAGAGCAGGATGGTGTGAAGGTTCTGATCGACAGCAAGGCTCTATTCAGTATCATTGGTAGTGAAATGGACTGGCATGAGGATAAACTGAGCAGGAGATTCGTTTTCCGCAACCCCAACATCAGTGAGTTTTCCCCGGGAAAGTGCATACCGTTTCCATCGAAATATTAACAATCACCCCAGAGGAGGAATGCGGCTGCGGAGAATCATTCATGGTTTAATCGCTCTTTCTACGATATTTCCCTTCGATTTTTCGCGTCATCCTTCACGGTGCATCGGGCGGCGTTTTTATACGGTTTCCTGGGATTTGTGGCCGCTCTTTCGGTCGAGTAGATACGCTTGATATGCTGTCGATATTTTTACTCCACTTTCCTTTTGTTCGAATCGACAAGGCATACCGGCTTTCTCTAGGAAAGATACGGGATTCAGTGTCGAATATGTTTTAGAGCTCTCACCAAGGGTTCTTGCTTGGGTTGTCGCTTTTCCATCGATGCTAAACCGGCGGAACTTCGCAACTCAGATGTTACACTATTGTACAATGTCTAAACTAGTCCAATGGACAAAATTGAAATGGGGTCAAAGCGCCGCGGTCTAAACACTACTCTTAAATGACTTAAGCTCTCCGTGCCCGTCCCACCAGTTATATCGCTATAACCACCTGCCATTCATGGCTCCAAGATGACGGAGAGCATTCAGCACACGAAAATAAAGAAGTTCCGATATCTGGCTAAAGACTGTATATGACTAGTCATTCCTGGATATCAGTCATTTCATGAAACAGCAACACCAATAACCCGACCTCCCCTGAGCCCTTAGTACGGCCGATATGTAGTGATACGGTTATGCATCCACACCCCATAATGCATAGTAATTTGGAGACGTCTATTCTAAAATTCATCCCATCTAAAAAAATAGAGACGACAATACCAGCACTAAACGAATACGATGCCACTTCGGGGATGCGGGCGCTTACGTCACATGATGGACGAGCCTCGGCCAAGCCGAGCACTCCAATGTATCTCCCGTAGTCAACGCAGGTACCTTACGTTTCCAGGGATCCTCACAGATCCCTCATGATCCGACAAGGGTAGACCCAGCGACTATGGCATCGTCGGCGTTTCTCACCCCCAAACCGGGGAACAGCACCCCGGCTGAGGCCCTCCTCATCACAGTCCGCTTCTCCGCGTCAATCCCCGACCTCCCTTTAGACGTCCCAGAACCACAAACAACCACAGGCGCCGGCCTAAAACAACTTATTCGGGAGAAACTACCCTCGGATTTGTCTTCTCATCGACTCCGCCTTATCTACGCCGGTCGTGGATTGGACGATACAACCGCTCTTACGGCCTTCCTCAAACTCGCACCTTCACCGACACGTTCTCCACGCCCTGCAGATGACTCTGAAGATGACTCTGGGAATGGAAATGGAGGGAGTAAGAATAAAGGCAAACAAGCGGTCCGCGATACCCGACCTAGGATATACATCCACTGCTCGATCGGAGACATTGCGCTCTCGGAAACGGATCTCGCTACCGAAGCCTCCACGGCCTCGACTATCCTTCTACAAAAGCAAAAGGATGTTGAAGTGAAACTTGGTCCTAAACATGGATCTTCTCTTTTTCCTTCGAGCGGACAGGGATCCACGTCCCAAAATCAGCAGCCGCGCCGGCCATCACCACCACCTACAACAACCCCTGCCCCGCGCGGCTTTGACCGTCTCCTCTCGGCTGGATTTACTCCCTCTGAAGTAACAGCTCTTCGCTCACAATTTCTCGCTGTCCACTCTGTCTCCAGAACCCCGGATACTATGCCCTCCGGCGAGGAACTGCGTGATCTGGAAGATCGATGGATGGACGAGGGCAGTGGGACTATGAACTTTGGCGGCGGGGATATAGGAGGGAGTGGCGCTGAAGATGATGGTGCTCTAGGATCTGGATCTCGAAGCGCAATGGACGATATGCTGTGGGGTGCTGTGATGGGGTTCTTTTGGCCGGTTGGTTGTGCCATGTGGCTGAGACGGGAGGAGGGGGTTTGGAGCTGGAGGAAGGGTGTTGCGGTTTTCGTTGGTGTTATTTTGAATGCCGTTTTTGGAGCTATGAGGATCATGGATTGACCTCTTTGGAGATGGTCGATGATCGAGTGCTTGGTTAGTTTTTGCATGATACCCCTTCGATAGCATTTTACAGGCTTCGACTTCCTGTGATAAGTAGTACATTATACGCTGCATACACACTTCTTGCCTCGTTTACTTTTGCAGAATTGCTTGAATCTGATGCAACGGATCCATGAATGTAACATGGTATCCAATGATCAATTACCGCGTCATGAGTGTATTGAAAGAGATGATAGCCCTAATCATTGCCAGAAATAAATTCTACCGTAGAATATCCAAAAGAACGGCAGAAAGACAGTGCCAAAATGAGAACGCCAGAGAACACCGCAACGCTAATGGAATTTGCTCCAGATGACGGCAATAATGAGAAGCACGAGAACTGTAATGATAGCGATGGTGATTATCCGATTTGTAGCCATCCTGTGAGAAGTCAGTCATCCTGCAATATAATGTATAAAGGGGACATAAGGGCACTGTACCTACGGGCCATGCCCCTCAAAGTCTTGATGCTGGTATCGACATAACCCTCGCTCTGGTGAAGATTTTCGCGCGTGTGTTGGATTGTCTGTCGCTGGACATACAGATCGCCCAGCACGCCACGTCCAATATCCTCGGTCTCCAGAGCCATCCGCTGGCTGTCCTGCAGTCTGGCGGAGCTGCGCTCTAGCCGCTCTGTACCGGAAAGAAGTTGTTGGCGCTGCTCGAGATGCTCGTCTTGCGGATCGTCGGTGTATCGGTCGCCGAAGAGTGCTTTACGGTCATCCGAGAGGGTCTTCATCTTGCGCTTGATTTCGTCAATGTCGGAGGAATAGTTTCGGAAACGCTGGTTGACTTTCGAACGAGAGGCTGAGGGGATATTTTGCTTCTCCATGCGCATTTGATCGAGCTGTACGTTTGATTTAGTTAGCGGACTGGCTCGGGCCTTTGGGGTCCTTGGACGCTCTGCGGGGTTTCGGGGAGTTTTGCGGTTTGTCTGGGTTTCTGCGGTGAACTCACCAGCTCTGTTGCCTCGTCTAGGACCTGCTCCGCCTGTCGGATGGCATTCTTGCGCTGTTCGCCGGTGGCTTCGGCGATCTGGTCCAGCTTCTGGTTGAGATCGGCTTGTACGAGTTTGAGCTCATTCTCGTAGCTAGCGAACATCTCCGAGCCCGCATCCGTGTCCAGGGGGTTCGACATCTTGGTAACGGTATTCTGAGGAGTATTGTAGTTCAAGAAGAAGAGTGCGTTGGCAACAGTTTCACGTTGTGGTGTTGGCTTCGACCGCAGGCTCCACCGTTATCTGGGGGATGGACTGATGGGATGCGGATCTGTTGGGGCAAGTGGCGACAGGTCGAGAGGTCTGCTGGGAGAGCTGCCACGTGTAGCTAAATGAAGTTCTGTGATCGTGTGGGGTAATGCTTCGCTGCTGCTGTCGAATCTTGAAATCAAGAGAGAATGCTATGAGACGATGAATCGGAGGCTGGGGAGGATGACGATTAAGGTCCCACACGTGATCCCGACCGAGGCCGGGGTTTCGGGTTACATCGCCATGCCACTCAAGAGATCGAGAAGCGATAACTAGTCTTTGTACTTATTACTCACTAGGATCGACACGGTGGCCCAATAGGTTGCTCTCAGTGTTCCCGGAGAATATGGCACTTAAATGCGTCCTGCAGGCACACGGATGATCAGCAGATACCCCGGGGTGCCTGGCAACTCTACTTGAAACGGCCAGCTAAGATGGCCATATCGGTAACATCAGGTAATTGTAGCATTAGCGTAAAATCAGGCCTACAAAAACAAAATTCGCCTTTCAATAAACAAAAAGATACCCCCATGGTACACATGACAGATCATGAACTCCCTCTTTTCACTTTTCCCTTGATATGCTCAAAGATGACGAAACCATCTAGAGAAGGAATTTGTCACTGTCCTGGTTGACGATCTGAGCACTGCGCTTAGCGTCCAGGAACAGATCTTCGCACTCAGCAACGTCGGCCGCCTCAATACCACTGAGATGTCCGTTGACGCGAGCGATGATGCTAGCCGGGGTTAGCAGCTGCAAGGCATACCGCAGGCTAACCTTGCTGCCATGCTCGGCAACCTTGTCCAGCGCGGGATCGGTAATGTTCAAGCCTTCAGTCTTGACGCGGAGTCGGATAATGGTCTTGATCTCTTCGGGGGAGTAAGGATTGGTGGGAATAATGAGGAGGCGGGCAAGCAGGTCGGGAGGGATGCCGTGGGCAGCGCTGATGTCTTCGGTGCCGCGAATCACAGTGTGGCCACGGTTAGAGGCAAGGATAACGATAGGAGAGATGGTAGACTCCAAAGCGCGGTTCAGATATGTGAAGCACTCAATGTCGAGCATGTGGACCTGGTGAGATGTTAGATCAGGCCCGCAATGGATCCGAGACAGGGTTATAGGTAGATGGTTCAACTTACTTCATCAATGAAAAGAACACCAGGAACAAGCTCAGCAACGCCCTGGTCAATATACCGGTTGACAACCTTGTTGATCTCTTGTCGCAGCTTGTCGGTGATCTCGGTCTTCTTGGGCTTCATCAGCTGGCCCATCATGCTCATCACATCCTGTCCACCCTGCGGCCTGGCATTGGCCATATCCAAGTCGTGAAGGGTCACATCCTGTACAATCTCCTTCTTCTTGTGCACATCACCCTTGGGAACGGGCACATACTCCTCAGCCTCCAGGTCGAACTCGGTCGCGTATGCGTCGGAGCGGCCGACGCGCTTGCATGCGCCGGTGTTGGCCTCAATGTAGATGACATCTCCAACGGTCACGCGCTCCTTCTGGATGGCCTCGTATATGCTAGGATCCAGTCGCAGCTTCTTGCTACCCTTGGCCGACTTAAGGCCAATAAGCAAGTGGCTGATTGTACGACCGTACCCGCCCAATGGGTTCTCGGTTTCCTCGGGGGTGAGCTCGGTCACCTCACCCTCGTACACCTCCTTGGTTTCACGAACACGCAGGCCTAGTTTCTGTTAGCTTGATATTCCTTCTAAAGGTATGCCCCATGGGCGCATCGCGTACCAATTGCCCTCCGGAAGTTTTCCATCAACGCCTCTGTCTTCTTGACCTCCGCAGAGTAAATCTCACTGCCGACAATGGGGCAGAAAGGCACTTTCGTTCCCAGCTCCTGTGATACGGCGAGCGCAAGCGCGGTCTTTCCGGTGCCGGGGCCACCAGCGAGCAGGACAGCCCGGCCGGCCATCTTCTTGGCCTTGATCAGATCGACTACGACGCCGCATGCCTGTTGGGGAAGATAGAATCGTCAGTCACAGCTACTTCCCCAATCAAGGAAATGGTGTCGCTCACCTCTCGGGCAGTTGCTTGCCCAACAAATCCATCGCCGGTAATTTCAGAATTTCCATCAGAGCGCAAGCCCAACCCGCGAATGTGGGTGTGCGCAGCAGTCCTGTTCTCGCGCGAGTTGCCCTTAACCTCACTGATCTGGACCATGGTTGCAAAATGCGGCCTCGTAGCCACAGGTGTAGGGAAGAGGAGAGACAATAGGTTAATTCGGGTGTGCCGAAATCAAGGACGAGCTCGAACGACCACAGGCAGATAGCTGAAGGAAGGTATGCGATGGGTCAGTTTGCTCCGTATGCTTCTGGCCGAAATTCGCGAGCAAGGGATCTACGCCAGTCACGGCGCCGCGCCAAAGGCGGTCAGCCGCCTCCCAAATTCTTCCCGCAACTCGACGAGCACGCTTCTCTCGCCGTGATGCTCGCCAAGTGAAGTCGCCCCTAAATGGCAGGCATCCAGACTCGGTCCGCCATGGCGGCTCCTTTTTCTCTATCCGTGGCCTTCCGCAACCTCTCTGTGTCGACTCCAAAGCGTTCGTTCTCCACGACATTGGCACCCAAGGCCAACAAACCGCTCCCCGATCACATCCCACCCTATCCCTATGGTCCGAAGCAGTGGTACAAGCAGGCCGACACTGGTCTGTACGGCGGTGCTATGATTCGTTTCGGTAACAAAATCTCCGATGGTCGCAACGAGGGCAAGACGCGCCGAAGCTGGAAGCCCAACGTCCGCCGGAAGAAGATCTACAGCGATGCTCTCGACGAACACCTCTTCATCAAGGTAACACGCAAAGCTCTGCGCACAATTCAGAAGGAAGGAGGTCTCGACAACTACCTCCTGGGCAATTCACCATCCCGCATCAGAGAGCTCGGCATGTTCGGATGGCGACTTCGGTGGCAAGTGATGCAGACTCCCAAAATCCAGGAGCGGTTCCATAAACAGCGAAAGGCCATGGGTCTCCCGGAGCCGAAGACTTTTGAGGAGTGGATTAAGGATAAGGAGGAGGAGATTCAAGCGACGATCGAGGAGCGACTCAACATCAAGTCTGCTACGACGCCTCGCCGCAAGGGTCAGGCCGACCCCCAGAAGGTATCACAGGAGTCTCTTGAATCACTGCCTCTGTGATCGCGAAAATATCGATTTGATTAAGATACCTGGGGAGGATGTTTAATTTTTTTGGTTGGTGTCTTGCACTGCCCAGGGCATATACGGACGGGCGCTTCTACTACTGTACCATTATCGCGACGAACCCGTTGACGCTATTTGAGCATCTCTTTTATGCCGACTCACCCCAGTGCTACGAGCTCCTCTCCGTTGGACAATGCGATGCGAAGGCTTCGCATGAGGGTGAACCTGCTGGGCTTGCCTATTAGATTTACTGTATATTTATACTCCAATATCATCTGCATTTTGTCTGTCCAATCTATTATTGGCCAATGATGCAACGCAGTTGCCCTTGGTACACATCGATGTCAAAGCTACTGGCACCAACCTTGAGTGTTCCAGAATTGTTTTAATCGCAACATGGTTGAATCTCAGGTCATTAAAGGTAGCACTCCCAAGAACTCATTGCACTGTTTCATTTCACTGTTGAGTGCTTCTTCTGGAACATATCGCAATACATATTTGTAAACTGCTTTGTAATCGCGATGTGCGCGGTCTTGCCAAATTCGAGATGACGGTGGTCCTTTGCTCAGCAGCTACATTATATATCTGTACAAAGCAGAGAAGTGCTTGAATGATGATCCGGCAACTAACTCCGTGACCAAACATACGGAAATTGGATTCAATTGAGCCCAATACATGCCATATCTGTCGTTATTGAGTACTAACTCGAAACGGGCAGTGTTGGTGGGTGATGGAAAGCCGCTGGAATGCGCGTGCAAAGGCCACCCGCATTCGGAGATGTGAGGAGGCCAGAACAGAACCCGTCGAACCTCAAAACACTGGAACCTCACTCGCACCCGTGCAGCGGACAAACTTCTCGAGTACACTTCTTTCGCGATCATCAGATCATGGTTTGAGCTCCTCAGCCCTATCGCGTCCCTGCCCAGCAACACAGCGTTGGGAGCTATCCCTCGCCATGCAATTCGCATTACCTCCGCGGAAGAGCTCCCATCCTCTCCCCGGTGCGCGAGCGACTCGATTGCCGTACCACCGCAAGAAGCAGCTGAAGACTATCGCAATCATCGCAACCGCGATCGCTGCCATACTATACCTCTTCTCTCATCTCACTTCTTCCAGCTCGTCATATGCCGTGGCGCCGGGTGGCACGGCTGGGGTGGTGATCGTCACTGTTTTCGATCGGAATGCGCTCAGTGAGAGCTATATCAAGAAAATCGTGGCTAATCGGGAAGACTACGCGAAGAGACATGGTAGGATTAGAATTTTGCATTGTTCTCATTCGAAGTATGCTAACGCTGTTTACAGGTTATACGAACTTCTTCGCCAGCACGTCCGACTATGAGGAAGCTGTAGGCGGCTTTCCTCGAAGCTGGGCTTTGCTCCCTGCTGTTCGACATGCCATGGCCAAGCACCCCCGCTCAAAATACTTCTTTCACCTGAGCCCCCACGCCCTCATCATGAACCCGACCAAGTCACTGGAATCACATCTGCTGGACCGGAGCCAGCTCGAGTCGTTGATGATGAAGGAGCTACCCGTTGTCCCACCAGATAGCATCATCAAGACGCTCGGACATCTCAAAGAGGAAGACGTGGACTTGATTATCTCGCAGGATAGTGAAGACTTGTGTCCTGGAAGCTTCGTCTTGAAGAATGGCGATTTTGCTCGGTTCTTTTTGGACCTCTGGTTCGACCCTCTCTATCGACAGTATAACTTCGCGAAGGCGGAGGTTCATGGACTTGTAAGACACCCTTTGTTCAAGGGAAAAAATGGATCATAGAATTCCCACTCACTGACTTCCTTTAGGACCATATCATGCAGTGGCACCCAACAGTTCTTTCTCGAACAGCCCTAGTACCGCAACGCGTCCTGAATGCCTACAGTAAAGACTCACCAGGCGCAGTTACAGACGGCAGCTACACAGACGGCGATCTCATTATCCGATTTCCACGATGCGACGGCAAAGAGGAGAACTGTGTCGAGCTGGAACCGTATTACATGCTTTGGCAGAGGAAAACTATGAATTCTTGAGAGCGCTTCCAATAATTATCCTAACAAGGGCGCAGTGCATTATTCTTGCTTTTGGTTTCGGATTTACAGGCGTCTTTGTTCTTCTCGGGAGCCTACTACACATAGCGAGGTGCTCTACTACTATCATGGGCGAGCGTCGGGTCGTTTTAAAGGAAACATGGTCATTATTTCTTCTATGTTCACTAACGGAATACATGCTTCATCACTTCGCTCTCGCAGAGATAACATTGAATTCTCAATACCAGCAGTGGACTTTTTACGAAATCCCGCGCAAGAATACTAAAAACGTTTAATTTTGATATCGAGTAAGATTGTCCGAACAAAAGTCGAGTTGACTGTTGTTGTATGTAGGTTCCTCGGCAGCGCAGTGGACATTAGCCCATCTTCCACGCGTGGTTTCCGAGTCAAGAGGTGAAACCACTTAGCAGAGACCAGCCAGCAGGACGGTGCGCTTCTTCTTGTACTTGTCGCCAAAGTCCTTGCGGTAGCGAATCTCCTTCTTCCAGGCCCAGCTCCACATCTGCAGACCACCGACCAGAGTGAAGATGATGACGCTCCAGTTCAACTGGCTAACCAGGTAGATGCCCAGCCAAGCAAGGATCTCGAACATATAGTTAGGGCAGGTAACCAGGTTGAAACCAAAGCCCCGAGGAATACCACGCTCAGTAGTGCCGGGACGACGGAGATCACGCAGAATCAGGTGAGCATTGAAGTTGAAGAACTCGCCGAAAGCGAACAGGGCAAGACCAGCGTACACGAGGGCCGTATTGGGTTCAGCAGAGGCAGCTGCGGCGTCAGGACGGAAGACCCAGTAGGCGATGTTGAAACCAGCCAGGGCCCAGTAGTGAGCGCTGTTCTTGAAGATGTTCCGGGCAGGCATGGTGGCATTGCTGAAGCGGTGCACAAAGACGGTCTCATACTCACGTTTCAGGAAATGCAGGGTAAGGAGAGCGCAGACCAGGAGTTGCGTGTCGGAGGGGTCTGGGAGCTTGTCGAAGTTGAAGTACAGCAGCGGACGGAGGGGGAAGAGGAAAAGCGCGGGGATCAGGAGAGGGCCAAGGTACTCGATAATGAAGACGGTACGCCAGGCGATCTGGGGTCCTGTTGGAGGTGTTTGTTAGACAATGTTTCGAGAGCTGCGGGGTGCTGACTTCTGTGACATGCTCCGCTGGCAATGCATTGTCCCAATAGTACGCACCCAAGTCCTTGATATGAATGACGCTCGACTCGCGGAGGCCAGTCTCATCGATGGTGGTGCCCTTGGAATTGGGGACCACGCTGCGGTCACTTCCCTTGGTGATGCGCAGGCGGTGGACAGAGGATCCGGAGACCTCAGCCAGCATGTTGTGGAGATCCTCGCCAGATGCATTGAGAGCAATTGTGAGCTGCTTGGGGAGCCTACGAATGGACTTGCCTATTCATTGTCAGCGCCTGATGACTTGTTGGGAGTGTCCCTTAAAGCTTGGGGTTCTCGATAGCATAGCAGCTGTGAATACATACCCCGTGGTTCCACGGTGAGCGTGATTTTGGACGCCATTGTGTATGGAGTAGCCTGGAAATATAAGACTTTAGAGAGTCCTGGCGTTTTGAGGCCCGGATGAGCTTGTTGAGATCACACGAAGCACCAAGAGATTGTTCACGCTGATCGATTGGTCGTGCCGGAAGACCTCGGTTGACATCACGTGGCACTAGCGCCTGAGGCAGAAAGGCAGCCTTGGTTACAGGAAACAGCGATGTGCTACGTGCTACCGTGCTCAATGCCAAATTCCTACAGAGTGGAGGAATGTAATCCACAAGGCAGTCAATCATCTCAAATTCATTATTACCACCGTCAGGTACATGGTATGGTGCAGCTGATCTCCCGGTTTCCGCCCTTCCACGAATATGCACTCAGCACGCCAAAACGGGCCGTCCATCAGCTCCATATGCCATTGTCAATCTTGTCATTCGCCCATCTTACGCCAAGGATAACCCAGCCAATTCCGCAATCCTCTTCAGCTGCACCTTCAAGCTCATAAGCGATCCAGCTCGAAAAGCTGAATGGGCGCAAACGCCGGAAAACAATCTTTCATAAAGTCGGACCCGAGGAGCGAAACCGCCCCATTTTAGCGCTTGCGCCAGCAGTAACCAGGGAGTCATGCAGACCAAAACACACAGTTCGTTGCCTGTTTGCATTTGCAGGTGCCCCGGCCTGGTCTCAGCTTACTTGACCAAATGGCGCAGTTGTGCGGCGTCGGTTAGACTGGCCGAACAGCGTCGCCAATCAAAACCCGAATCAACACTTCTCTGATCCGCCTCTGGCCAGATCTCGAACACATGGAGCGCCGCATGCAGATTCTCAATTCCTGACACGTAGATCTATGCAGTCCATGTGCTCGGAGCAACCAGACAATAATGCATTGTGAAGTGCCTAGATAACAAGAGCGGGGCCAAGTGCAGCCGTTCAAATTGTTCGGAGAACGCTACTGGGTAAGCCGATCTGTCACTGCGCCAATACCCGGGCGAAATCCATTTACAACCCTGCCACACGCATCTTCCGGGATTCGTTGCGACGGGGTGCCCGGATACAGCCAGCTCGTATTGTAGGTTTATGCTGGTATGAGTCTTCACGGAGTCTCGACATTGCACAGAAATCTACTTCATATGGTTTCGTGGAAAATGGAGGAAGACAGTTTTCCCGTCCTCAAATGCAATTCGACGCACGAATAAGGAGTGCCCCATAGCTCACATTGCGGTGGGCCGCTCGTCGTCTGTCTTTTCCCATGCAGAGTCCGAGGCGCACAGCTGGGTGGTTAGGGTTGTGGCGCTAGATGACAGACTATCACCGAATTCAGCAAAGTCTCTACAAAATATGGAGTCGCTACGGCTGTGTTGTTCAGCCGTAGATTGCCCCGTTCGCATGGCCTCGGATTACTCCGCTGAAAGCCTATAACTGCTCCAATACGCTCCGGCTGGCTCTCTTGGAGGATAATTTTCTTTAAACTGCTCACCGTGCACCTGATCATTTACCTCACGACCAATCCAAACCCATTATATTTTTTTGGTACGTTACTACTAGTCTTCGGACACCTGACCAACTTGAAGACCCCAGTCCTCTTCTTTGGGGTCATTGCTTTTGAATTGGTAAGACGATGGCTTCTTCCTCCCATGCCCGTGGAAATATCCTCGCGCCGAATGAACATATGTCTTGGGTTATTCACGGTCTCGGGATTTTCTTTCTTCGAGAGCCACATGTGCCGAGCTAATATCTGGGCCTACAGCTTGAGTAGCCCGTTGGTTTCATTTTGTATAAATCAAAATACCCACGTCATCATGACCGATAACACCAACGGCGATGGGAATCCAATTAAAAAAATTGAAAAGGTCGTTGAAGCATCTTTGAGGCCTTTGCCTACTGAAACTGGCGATGGTACCTACGTCCTAAACAAAAAGGCGACCGGACTCGCCAAAGATCTCGGGCATATCGACCTGAAAGATATGAAGACACTTGTCGATGTTGCTAAGAGTGCGGTGACAGGCGAGCCTGTCAATGACAGAGACTATGTCATGGAGAGAGTTATTCAGGTTTGCGAATTCATGAGACTGGTCTTGGTGACACGTTACTCATGCAATATAGCTTGCGGCCGAACTTCCTGCGACATCCCGGAATGGCAAGGAGTTGACGAATACTTTCCTCAATATGCTATGGAAGGACTTGGAACACCCGCCAATCTCGTGCGTTCAACTTGTCTACTCACTCAGAATTTCGTGAACGAATACTTACCTCGATGATTGTGAATAGGTATCTTGACCGTGATTCTAGGTATCGCAAAGCCGATGGATCTGGAAATGTATGAGAAAATCCTTGACGAGACAGAATACCTAACTAACTTGCTCCAGAATGTCTTCTGGCCGAAGCTTGGAGCAGCAGGAACTCCATACGCTCGATCTGTCAGACCAAGAACTGCCCAGCCGGCTGCTCTTCCAGAGCCAGAGACGCTTTTTGATAGCCTTCTAGCCCGGAAGACTTTCAAGGAGCATCCAAACAAGATCTCCAGTATTCTTTTCTATCTTGCGTCTATTATCATTCACGGTAAGTGGGGTTGAGCCAGTCAAACCGAACCTGCATGATACCTGGCATCGTGGATACCCGACGGGACTGACAACCGGCAGACTTATTCCAGACCGACAGGGGGGACAGTTCAATTTCGCAGACTTCCTCATATTTGGATTTGGCGCCTCTGTATGGTAACAACCAGGAGGAACAAAACACGGTCAGGACTTTTAAGGATGGAAAACTGAAACCTGACTGCTTTTCCACCAAGCGAATTCTGGGCTTTCCCCCTGGAGTTGGTGTGATGCTTATCATGTTTAATCGCTTCCACAACTATGTTGTCACACAGCTGGCAGAGATCAATGAAGGCGGCCGATTCACCAAGCCCGATGAAACCAACGCCCCAGCATACGCTACGTGGGACAATGACCTTTTTCAGACAGCACGCCTGGTCACTTGCGGCCTCTATGTCAACATAATCTTGAAAGATTACGTTCGAACCATCCTTGATCTGAACCGCACTGACAGCACCTGGAGTTTGGATCCCCGATCGGAGATGAAGGATGGTCTGCTCAGTGATGCTGCCGGACAAGCCACTGGAAACCAAGTGTCCGCGGAGTTCAATCTGGTCTACCGCTGGCACTCATGCGTGTCTGCTCGCGATCAGAAATGGTCAGAGGATCTGTACAAAGAGTTGTTCACTGACCAAGATCCCAACAACATTACGCTGCAACAGTTCACTATGGGCCTTGGACGATGGGAGGCATCTCTTCCTACTGACCCTGTTGAACGTCCATTTGCCAAGCTGCAGCGTACCGCAGATGGTACATTCAGCGATGACGACCTGGTCAGAATCTTCGAAGAGAGTGTTGAGGATGTCGCTGGAGCATTCGGTGCCTCTAATGTGCCCACTGTCTTCAAAAGCATCGAAGTCCTTGGCATGAAGCAGGCCCGGTCCTGGAATCTGGCAACACTCAACGAGTTCCGCAATTTCTTCAATCTTACTCCATACAAGTCTTTTGAGGAAATCAACTCGGACCCGTATATCGTCGATCAACTCAAGCATCTCTACGAACACCCTGATCTTGTCGAGTTGTATCCTGGAATCATCGTGGAAGATGCCAAGGAGCCGATGTCACCGGGTAGTGGCCTCTGCACCAATTACACCATTTCACGGGCAATTCTTTCCGATGCTGTTGCCCTAGTTCGCGGAGATCGCTTCTATACTGTTGATTTCACTCCTAAGCATCTCACTAACTGGGCTTACAACGAGATCAACTGCGATGCCTCGGTGGACCAGGGCCATTGTTTCTACAAGCTGGTTTTGAGGGCATTCCCCAACCACTTCCGTGGAGACTCGGTCTATGCGCACTTTCCAATGGTGGTGCCTCAAGAAAACAAGAAGATCTTGACCAGCCTTGGCCTCGGCAGCACGTACAGCTTTGATCGACCCAGCTACCGGCAGATCCCCCGCCTCATCAACTCCCACGCTGCCTGCAAGTCAATCCTCGAAAACCCAGATGTCTTCAAAGTGACATGGGGAAAGAAGCTTGAGTTCATTCTACACCGCGATGCCCACCCGTACGGTCGAGACTTTATGCTGTCAGGGGACCGTCCGCCAAATGCAGCGTCCCGGAAAATGATCGGCCACGCTCTGTACCGGGACGAGTGGGAGTCTCAAGTTCAATCGTTCTATGAAGAAATTACGCTGAAGCTCCTCGGGAAACATTCGTACAAGATCGCCGGGGTCAACCAGGTCGACATTGCGCGCGATGTGTCCAACCTTGCACAGATCAACTTTTGCGCCCATGTGTTTTCACTCCCGTTGAAAACCGAGTCAAACCCCCGAGGTATTTTCACTGAGATGGAGCTTTACCAGATCATGGCCTTGGTGTTCACGTGTATTTTCTATGATGTGGATGTCGCAAAGTCGTTCCAGCTCGGACAAGCTTCTCGCAGTGTTGCACAGCAGCTTGGCGAGCTGGTCATGGCCAACGTCGAGCTTGTTGATAAGGCTGGGTTCATTGCCAATATTGTGAATCGTCTTCACCGACACGATGCGTTGAGTGACTACGGAGTTCACATGATTCAGCGCCTGTTGGACAGTGGATTGCCTGCCAAGGAAATTGTCTGGACGCATATCCTTCCCTCGGCCAGCTCTATGGTCGCCAACCAGGCACAGCTGTTTATACAATGTCTAGATTTCTATTTGGAGAAAGAAAATGCTGCCCACCTTGCCGAGATCCAGCGACTGTCAAAGGAGGATACTCCTGAGTCGAATGATCTCCTTCTGAGATAGTAAGTTCTTTTGGCTTTACTGATTGAGTTCCCTAAATAATCTTGTGCTCACACCTTTATAGCTTCATGGAAGGCGCACGTATCCGATCTTCAGTGGCACTGCCGCGAGAAGTCGCAAAGCCAACAGCCTTCGACGATAACGGGGAGAAGGTCACTCTGAAGACCGGCCAGCAGATCTACTGCAACCTGGTAAATTGGGCTCCTTTTTCACACTATGCAGCATCCATGGATCTAACCAAGGTTTCCACACAGGTGGCCGCAAGTCACGACGCCAAAGCCTTCCCCGACCCCGAAAAAGTTCGCTTGGACCGGAACTTGGATGAGTATATTCATTTTGGGCTTGGCCCACACCAATGCCTCGGCCTCGGGGTATGCCAGGTGGCACTGCCGACCATGCTTCGAGTGGTGGGACAATTGAAGAATCTTCGTCGAGCCCCGGGCCCCCAGGGACAGCTGAAGAAGATCAAGGCGCTCGGCGGGATCACCATGTATATGGACGTGGAACAAAGCAGCTTCTCCCCATATCCCTCGGTCATGAAGATCCAGTGGGATGGAGAGCTGCCCAAGACCAGATACTCGTGACAATCTTTCTGAGCTAGGGCCGAATACCGGGACAAGATCGTTCAGGTCGCAATAGTTCTATTCTTTCTCCTGTGTATTTTCTCTATGTACTTTCTCTTGATATTTCAATTTTTACTCAATTGCACAATTGTGACTCGTGCACTGTATAACTGAAATACAGGGGATTCGTAGAGTGTAATTGTAGTTGTATTCTTTGTGTACAAGTTGTACTAAGGCATTGTAGGAACCTCCACGAGTGTTCTGGTCGGAATAGAAATGTTTGCGAGTATGCCCTGGTTCTTGAGTAGACTACACACCACCTCAATTTACTCTGAGCGGTACCTCGTTCTTCTTCATTCCCCTTCCGCCAGTTTGATGGATACTTCCGGTAAGTTGACGCTGCCTTAGCGCCTGACCGCCTCAGCGGGGAATCAGCCAGGGCCGCTCCGCCCAACTACTGCCGGCCTAGACAGCTCAGTCAGGTTCACGAATCTTCTTTCCTTTCACCTTTCTTCCCTGCAAACTCCCCCTCTTCCCACTCCATCCACCTTTCGCATTTCCTTCTCAATCATTTTGATACCTTCGTTTTCGATTGTCACAGCTTCAGGGCTAAACGACCTGCACCCGTTTTCCCTGTCAGTTTTGACGCCTCACATCCGCCGACCTCTCACCATCCATCCAGCTCGAGCTGTCGCCGATCCGCAAAGCTCGATCTGACGTGGATGATCGATTTTGCCTGATTCTACCGACTCCGAACCACCTTCCAACCACCCTTCCGACAGGAAAAGCACGAGTGCTTCGACGTCAAGTGGACTCATTTTTCTGCGCTGCTGGAGAAGAGGACCAAAAACGTCATAAGGCACTCTCGCGCTTGCTCCGCGACCCGGTCGTCTCGACCTCCCCACTCCACCCTCGAGGAGACCACACTCCTGGTTTTTCAACACCTCCTCATGGTTGGCTGTCTCGCTGATCGTCAACATGGGGAGAATTAAGAAGGCGGCTAGCCAAAAGCATGAGGCTACGATTGTAAGTTTGCTGTTCCCCGATCAAGTCTCATCCAAGAGCATACTGACTAAAATTTTTCTTTCTCATTCTAGTCGCCTTTCCTTGAAGAATTCATCGGCAAAACGACGAGTCTTCCAGTCCCCGAGCTTCCTGCACACCTCAACTCGTTCCCTCGCTTGTGGCCCTTCCCTCGCGGCGACCTCTACCACTGGATCACTGTTCTCGACCGCTTCGATGGCATTCTGGCTACCGTTATCCACAAATACTTCTTAAACATCGGCCCCCAGACTCAATCATTCGGTCGGACTGTTCTGGCGGAATCATATGCTGCCGATCCCAGCAAGGCCCCCGCGGAGGGCATCGACGCCAAGCTGAATGCGCTGGGGTACGGACCTCAGGGAGACCGAGAGCTACTGGAGGCGATCTTGAACTTCTCGCGCCTGCTCCTGGAGAAATGTGGCAACCGCAGCCTTTACAGCAGCAGCGAGCGGCTTGGTGATCTTTTGAACACTACCTCACTCTCACTTCTCGAATGCACCCTTCGTCTGGCTCTGTGTCTGGCACAGCGCTACCACTCCCGCCAACGGGGCACTCATGCGCAGAACATGCTGGCCACGCATTACAACATCGATCTTGAGAAGATGCAAAAGATTGCCGCGCCATTCCCTCGCCCATTTGTCACGACCAAAACTCCAACCCCTGCATCTCCCGCCGTCGGGGCTAAGGGGAAGGACAAAGCTCCTTCGACCAAGCTGAATGCAAACGAGCTCGTCTCTCTTGTGCGCGATGACCAAGGCTGGGAAGAATGGGGAAATGTCCGCGTTCTCTACTATCCTTCCGGGAACACGGAACATACCAGGACAACCTCTGAATTTGGCCAAGGTGAACAGGGCCCCTATGCCCCATCTACGCCTACGCCGCTGCGTCGGAGTACAACTCATCCCACTCCACGTTCAAGCCGGGCTCCCAATGGGGACGAGACCCCAGCACCTGCACCAATTACAGGTGGCAAGGCCGAGGAGCCTTCACGCAGCGGCAAAATTTTGGACCTTCCGCATGCCAAGATCTCTGCTGGAAAGGCCGAGGATATTCTCGCAACAAACGTGCCACACTTGCCCTTGGAGTCGAAGTACGAACTGCTCCAAAAGGTTCGCGTTGCCCAAGCCTTGTCCGGGTCGCGGGAGACACGAGAGCAGATCCTCTCGATCCGTGTTCTTGCTGTGACAAACTTGGCGTATGTCCAAACCGAGTCTGCGTTCCAGCAGAAGATTCTTCAGTATGATTTGGAACAATCAAAGCGTCTTCAATTGACGTACCAACTTGCTGAGTTGGTTCACCTCGGTGCTAGTGGCGACTTGGCTGTCTCGCGGACCCTGCAAACGTTGGCAATCCAAGCACTTGATGCCCTGGCAAAGCACAAATCTCGTGCCGTCGATGTTTGTGGCGCCTTGAGTGTTAACGTCAACCATGGCGTTCTGATGTTTCTCACCCGTAAAGTTGTCAATGAGCTGGGCACAGAGAACGATGGTACCGATGATTCATACCACGACGAATGGCGCGATGCCCTGCTTGCTCTCTTGCGGACCCTCCCCAGCTCAAGCTCACGTACGCCAGAGACCCTGGTTGCGGCTGGTCTGATCCCCATGTTCGTTGATATTCTTACACTTCGAACCGACAAAGCCCGCCGGGTTTATTCTCGCATTATGGAGTTCCTGGACACATTTGTTCATGCCGTTCGAGATGCTCTGGCCACGCTCACAACAGCAAAGGGGTTTGATGCAATTTCTGATTTGATTGATTTTGAGACTAAGACTGCGTTTGAAAATGTTTCGAACGGAGCCGGGTTCCCTGATCGGTACAAGAACCCTTCGATCGATTACCAAATCCCTTATTTCCAGCAGCAAACCTTGCGGTGGATGTTCCGCTTTGTCAACCACATAATGCAGCACAATGGCGGAGGGTTTGACCGTGTCTTGCGAAACCTCATTGACTCCCCTCAACTCCTGACCTCGCTGAGACTGGTGTTCGAGAATGCACGTATCTTCGGCTCGCACGTCTGGAGTAATGCCGTGAACATTCTGAGCAGCTTCATTCACAATGAACCCACCAGCTATGCGGTCATCGCTGAAGCAGGTCTTAGTAAGAGCCTTCTTGCAGCCGTGATGGGCCGTGAGCTTCAGGCTGAAGAGAAGCCACCTACTGTGGAGTCTGAGGACGCGAATGCTGAAACGGCGCCATCCGCATCATCTCCGACCGCGGCTGAATCTACTCCCGCGCAAGAGAAAAAAGAGGGCCGCGAGTATGCTATCGTGAGACCTCGCAATACTTCCCTCGCCCCAGGTATCATTGCTGCCGCCGATGCCTTGGCCTGTATCCCTGCGGCCTTTGGAGCTATCTGCTTGAACTCTTCTGGATTGGATCTGTTCCAGTCATCCGACGCGTTGGAGAGCTTCTTTGAGATTTTTGAGAACCCAGAGCATATCAAGTGCCTGAAGGACGACCCCAACCTGATTCGAAACCTTGGTACGACCTTTGATGAACTTGTCCGTCACCACCCTGCTTTGAAGACATCCATCATGTCTGCTGTTATTGTCATGGCTGCTCGCGTCAATATGCTTGGCAGAGCCAAGGCCTGGGAATTGGGAATGGGCACCAAATTGTGGATCGAGGATGCGCAGGGACAGACTGTCCTCGCTGGAGATATTTCGTCTCTCTTCCGGAGTATTGGTCAAAATGTCGATATGCCAGTGACCGATCCTGCCTCGCTCGGAGTGCCTCATCTAAATGCTACATCGCTTCCTAATGGTGGGAAGCTCGTTCTCGGTGACCTGAGCGGGCTGCTTCCTTCACCGGATGCTAGCTTTGAGCCGAGAGATCTCGACGAGCATGGTCTTACTGTGACTGACTACGTATTCCCTGCGATCAGGTTCCTTGGCGCCTTTTTTGAGAACCAACCCAACTGCACAGCGTTTATCCAGGCTGGAGGGTCGGAGTTCGTGCTTGATTACGCGACTCTACAAAGCATGTCGTTCGATTTCCACAACACCGATGCCAATCAGGAGCTCACGGTGCTTGTACACATGCTATCCGAGACGAAGCCACACCTCATCATCCCATCTCTGATGCACCGCGCACAACTCGCAGTGGATAACCTCGCCCTCTTTTCCACGTCTCCCAGCTCGACTGGATTTTTCACTGCATTGACTAGACCAACGAATCCCAAGGAGCGGGCTCCGGAACCTTCACCGGCTACTGAGCAGGGTACATTCTTCGCCAAGCACCTCAACGCCGTTCTGATCCTCACGGATCTCCTTCGCGAGATTTTCGCAATGCCGCTTTACCAGACTCGCTCAGCTCAGAATGCTGTTCCTTTCTCCCAGGTCAACCTTGCGGACCGGTACTGCAATTTGATTGCCTCTCTTGGCAATCTTCAAGCAGCATGCGTGTGGGAAGAGATCATGCTCGAGAAGAACATCCCCGAGAAATGGGTTCACTCTACGAAAGCTCCTGCGAAGAAATCCACCGAACCCTCCCAGGGCTCTTCCGACCCTCTTGGTGGTATCCAACGCGAGAGCTCTGGTGCACCCGAAGGTGGAAAAACTCCCGCACCTCAAGATAATGAAAACGACGAGACCAAGGAAGACGAGAAGTCCGCAGCTTTCAAGAATGTTCAGACTCTTCGTTACTTGTTGAGCTCTCTGCCATCCTCGGTCACTGGTTTCTTCCACAATCTAGGACTTGGTCTCATTGGCAAGAGACGGCCAACTTCTGACCAAAAGGCAAAGCAGAACGCCAGCACGGTGGCCAATGCTATCGCCGAGTCCGTTCTTCGCCAGCTTCAGGTGCCCGCTGCCAACCAGTGCGACAGCCCGAAGCATCGATTTGCATATCTCATCGTCACTCTTTCCTCGTTCTCGCACCTGCTTTACGAGATTGCAACCGATCGCCCTCAGTCGAACTACCTTACTCTCGTCTTGGTAGCATTTAAGCGACAAAACGGATTGAATGTTTTGAAGGAGATCAGCGACATGTTCATGCGTGAGATCGAGTCTCTCAAGCCAGCCGAATATGCTCCTCATACCGACAAGAAAATGCCGGATGAGCTCACCTCTGCCTATGGTGGAATCAAGATCATCCTTGGTCTGTTTTCCGAGCTTGTCGGTGGCAAGAGTATTGTGGACTCCAGTCAGACCCAAGGCTTGTCTACCCACCAGGACCGCGATCGTGGTAGCCCTGAGCACTTCCAACCAGGTCAATTCGTTGTGGATCTCCGTATGGAGATTCTTCCAATGGCCCAGGAAATGTGGAACTCCGACTTTGCGACCCAGTCCGAGAGCGCGATCATTAAGGGTCTTGTTGATATTCTGCGATCATCGCTGGACGGTGAATGGGAGACCGGGGCTGCTCATGAAACGGATACCCTGCCTGTTCTGACCGAGGTTTCACGCAAGCCATTCGTGGTTATCAAGGAGCGTGCGGCTCATCTTATTGAAAAGGGATTTCTCGATAACGAGCTTAACAAAGAAGCCCTCTATCGCTGTAACAATGTCGTTGCCCATGCTGAGGAATATTGCAAGGCACAGAAATGGCTCCGGGCACCCCCACGACTCGCCCCGGCTTCTAGTGACATCCAAACCGGACCCTCGGAAGTTGCTTCTGGTGGAGAGGGGGCTGACGAGCCTGTCGGTCCAGATGGCACGCCATTCAACAGTGGTTTCTTGGAACGCTCTGGTCTTGCTATGCTTCTGGCCCAGGCTACCGGAAGACCTGTGGATGATCCTATGAACCAAGAGCATGAAGATGGGCGTGACATGGATCCCCTCATGCGAGATGGTCTTGCCCGCGCCATATCTAATGTCCTGCATGACGATGAAGGCATGAGCGCAGAAGACCGAAGTGGATCGTCAAATCAAAGTCGCGGCCAGGACTCTCATTCCCACTTGCCTCCTCTCGAACCCGCCAGTGCTCCTCAGCCTCCGGCCGCAGCCGAGTCTACCCCTCGTCGCCAGTTGATTACTATCGAATCGTTGGACAAGGAGCGCGAGAAGATTAGATCTAATCTCATCGATCGCTGTCTGGACGTATTGAATGAGCATCATGACGTTTCCTTCGAGCTGGCCGATCTTATCAACTCTGCTATCAAAAAACACCCTGAGCCTGAGAGTTTCCGACGAGACATTGGAGAGACTCTTGTTCAATCTCTGGTGTCTCTGCAAATGGAAAATTTCCAGACTGCCGGAAAGAAGATTGCTGCTTACGCCCACATTCTTGCATTGGTTCTTCAGGACCGGAATATGTACAGCGCAACTGTTGACGAGCTCCGGGATTGCTTCTCTACTTTTCTTGGATTCGTCAAGCTTCCCGAGAACTCCGACGATGACAAGTTTCCCTGGGTCGGTCATGTGCTTTTGATTCTGGAGAAGCTCCTGTCGGATGACTGCAAACCGCCTCAGATCAATTGGACTCCGCCAACTCCCGATAATCCCAACTCTGGTGGCGAGGGCCCTGCTCATCTGGAGGAGCCAAAGGTCCCCCTCGAGGAAAAGACCAAGCTTTTCGAGTCGTTAGTGGAAATCCTTCCCCGCGTTGGCAAAGACAGCACCCTCGCTCTGTCCATCTGCCGCGTGCTGGTCATCCTTACTCGTCACCGCAGCATTGCCGCCCGCTTTGGCGAAAAGCGAAACCTACAGCGCCTATTCGTCATGGTCAAGCAGCTGGCCAGTGCTTCGAATGACAAGCTTCAAAGTTCGTTCATGCTTATTCTGCGACATATCGTCGAGGACGAAGCCACCATCCGGCAAATCATGCGGAGTGAAATCGTCGCCAACTTTGAGTCGAAAAATTCACGCCAGCTCGACACTCAGGGTTACGTGCGACAAATGTATCACCTGGTCATCAGGGCCCCCGAGATTTTTGTGGAAGTGACCAACGAAAAGCTGAGGTTGGTTCGCTACGATCCTAGCCAGCGTTCACAAGTACTTGGATTGAAGGCCGATAAAGACCGTGCTTCCCGTCTTCGTCAAGGCAAGGCACCTGAAGATGCTAAGGCCGAGTCAGCGGGTGAACCATCCACTTCGGAGGACAACGAGAAAGACAAGAACCAGACCAAGGCAACTGAACTCAAACCACCTGTGGTGGAGAACCCAGATGGCGTGATTCATTATCTGTTGTCTGAAATCCTCTCTTACAAGGACGTCGATGACAAGGAACCCCCTACGGAATCATCAGGAAATTTCGACAGCGATCCCGAATCTCAACCCCAAACTGATGTCGACATGAACCTGGAGGACAATGAGCCTGTATTCACGTCTGCTGTCACACCCGAGCCGCAGACTAATCGTTCTGCAAAGAAGGGCGAGAAGCCGTCATTCAAGGCCGAAGAACACCCCATCTACATCTACCGCTGCTTCCTTCTCCAGTGCTTGACGGAGCTCCTGTCGTCGTACAACCGGACCAAGGTGGAGTTCATAAACTTCTCCCGCAAAGCCGATCCTCTTGCTACAACACCATCGAAGCCTCGTTCTGGAATTCTCAATTATCTGCTCAATGTACTGGTTCCCATTGGTACTATGGAGCATGATGAGTCTCTGGCATTTAAGAAGCGCAGTATCACTTCGACATGGACGATGCAGGTGCTTGTTGCTCTGTGCACGAAAACTGGTGAATTTGGAGGCGTCGGCCGCCGTCGCAATGAACACAAGCGGAATGAAGAAGATGAACCAGAGCTCACCTTCGTGCGCCGTTTCGTTCTTGAACATGCTCTTCGATCCTACAAGGATGCCAATGCTTCTACCGAGCCGCTAGACTCCAAGTACTCCAAACTGATGTGCCTCGCGGATCTCTTTGATAAGATGCTCAGTGGCTACTCTTACTCTCAGGATGCCGGTTTCCCGTCCTCAACAAGACAGCTGGCGAAGACAATGTTCGAAAAACACTTTATCCCAGCGCTGACTGCCTCTGTCGCTGAAATCGACCTGAATTTCCCCTCGTCGAAGCGCGTCATCAAGTATATCCTCCGTCCACTGAACAAGCTTACCCAAACGGCTGTGCTCCTCAGTGAAACATCTGATATCTCGAATCTTGGCGAAGTCGATGACGATGAAATCTCTTCGGCCACTTCTGTCTCTGACATGGAGGATGAGCGGGAAGAAACGCCTGACCTTTTCCGTCATTCTACTCTCGGAATGCTCGAACCCCGACATGAAGAGGAGACCAGCTCGGAAGAGTCCGAAGGCGAAGATGATGAGATGTACGATGACGAGTACGACGAAGAAATGGACTACGAAGAGGACGTCCCCGAGGACGATGGTGAAGTGGTCAGCGATGAAGAAGACGAGGACGTCGATGGTGTCGGTCCCATTGAAGGTCTTCCCGGGGATGCAGTCGAAGTCATTATCGATGAAGATGACGAAGATGATGACGATGATGACGACGATGACGACGAGCACGACCACTCTGACATGGAAGAAGATGAAATGTTCGCTGGTGAAATAACTGGTGATCACGACAATGACAGCCTCGCAGACGGCGAAGAGGACGAGTGGGAAAGCGAAGAAATGACCGAAGACGAAGAAGAAGATGAGATGATGAACCAGCTCGAAGATGATTTGGCAGACATGCATCAATCCAGTCGCCAAACCGAAGGTCACCATCGCATCGACGATCTATTCCGTGCCCTGAACGATGCCGCAGGAGGCGGCATGGGTGATCTTCACGATCAAGGTCTTGGGGGAGATATTCACGATGAAATCCTTGACGAACTGAATGAAGACGAAGGTGAGTTATCAGCGGGCCATACGGTCACCAGCGAATCCTCGTTTCGGCACTCACGACGTATCACAGATGACGGAGACGAGATGGATGAACTAGAAGAGGAAGGAGATGATTATGATGACTATGATATGGAAAATGGCTCCGATGGGGAAATGGAAGGTGAGTACCATCTCTACGACTCAGATGACTCTGACCATCCCGTGTTCCTGTTCGATATGCCTTGGCAGGTACTCGAGTGGCTTCGTGGCCCCGATGCTGCGAGGTATGTTCGCGGAGCGGGAGGCACAGGGTTAGTCATAAATGGTGTCAGATTTCCTCTAACAGGTCCTGAAGATGATGATCTACTCGAACCTTGGGGCTGGGAAGGAGACGAACTTCCGGCAGCTCGTGGTCCCAACCGCTTTCGCGGCGCTCCAGGACCGGCCTGGGCGACTGTCACTGAAATCATGCCTGGTCGCCATGGCGGCCTCGTTCCTATCCAACCTTACCACCGTGTCCACCGAACACAAATTCCTGGAGGACGTGGTAACGACGACGGTACAAACCCCTTGCTCTTGCGCAACGACCGCGGGGATGGCGCTACCCAGATTCGTGGACAAGGTCCCGAAGACTTCACTAACTGGCCTCCTCTGGATGCCCAAGGGGGACAGGGCCGCATCGTGGGAATGGACAGCCCCATGAGCTTCATGAATGCTATCATGCAGGCCATCGGTGGTGGTCAAGCACAGCCTGGTGTGGGAGTCGTCACTCGCCCAGATGGCATTCATATCCACGTCGACCGCAGCACTGTCCTGCCTCATAACCGCCTGAACGATATGTTTGGACTCAGCCGAGGACAGACCAGCCCCCCTCGCGGCCGCGACGATCCCCATAATGCTGTGAAGTTTTCCTTGTCTACGACCAAAAACCGCTGGCAAGAGGAAGCCCGCATTCTCTTCAGCAGCACCTACATTGAGAAGACCCAGCGTGTCATGAACTCGTTGCTAGCCCTTCTGGTTCCTCCTGCCATGGAAGAAGATAAGCAACGTCGCAAGCAGCTCGAAGAAGAGCGTAAGAAGGCTCAGGAGGAGCAGGCGGAGAAAGAACGTCAAGAGCGGATCGCCCGCGAAGAGGAAGAGCGCGAACGTAAGCGCAAAGAGCAGGAAGAGAACGCTCGACGACAGGCCGAGCGGGAGCAGCAGGAAGCCGAGCGGCAAGCCGCTGGAGGCGATGAGCCTATGGAAGATATTCAGCAGACAGGCTCTGCACCCGAAGATGCTGCTATTCAGCCTGGGGCCGAGCCTGCTGAGCCTAGAGAACGAGTTCACACGACCATTCGTGGCCGTCAACTCGATATTACTGGCCTCGAAATCGATCCTGAGTACCTTGAAGCGCTGCCAGAAGAACTCCGGGAGGAGGTCATTATGCAACAGCTTGCGGAACAGCGGTCACAAGCCGCTGCCGCGGGCGAGGAACCCACCGAAATCAACCAAGAGTTCCTCGAAGCCCTGCCTGCGGAGATTCGTGAGGAGTTATTGCAGCAAGAAGCCGCTGATCGACGCCGACAAGAACGTGAAAATGCCCGCCGACAAGCCGCTGCTGGCGGTACTCAGCCGCACGCGGAGGAAATGGATACCGCCAGCTTCTTCGCCACTTTGGATCCTTCTCTTCGCCAGGCTGTTCTTGCAGAACAGCCAGAGGAGGTGCTCGCGAACTTGCCACCTGAGTACTTGTCAGAGGCACGAGCCCTTGGCGGTAGACGCATGGCACAGTTTGGCGATATCTCCGGTATTCCTGGAATGGAGGGTCGTCAGCGAGATGAGCCCACTGAAGATCAAGAACCGAAAAAGCAACAGCGGCGACAGATTGTTCAGATGCTGGATAAGGCCGGCGTCGCTACACTTCTCCGTCTGATGTTCATGCCCCCTGCAAGGCAATGCCCGACACCAATTGAACGATATTCTTCACAACGTTTGTGAGAATCGCCAGAACCGAAGTGAGGTTATTAGCCTCCTCCTATCTGTCCTTCAGGATGGTAGCGTGGACTCCTCCGCAATTGATCGCAGCTTCTCCCACCTGTCGCTACGCGCCAAGGCCCCAGGTGCGCAAAAGACTCCTCAGTCGGTCAAACGCAACCCTGCCGTTCAGTCGTCCTCTAGTGTCAGCACCGATGTGACCCCAATCATGGTGGTTCAACAATGCCTGGGCACTCTGTCCTTCCTGTCCCAGTTCAACCCGCATATCGCTTGGTTCTTTTTGACCGAGCATGATTCCGCTTCGTCGCTCAAGCTCAAGACATTCCGCAAGGGCAAGGGCAAGGAGAACCGGGCCAATAAGTTTGCCCTGAACTCGCTTCTCTCTCTTTTGGACCGCAAGTTGATCATGGACAGCCCCAATTGTATGGAGCAACTGTCGGCTCTACTGAGCAGCATTACTCAGCCTCTCACCGTTCTTCTTCGCCGTGAAAAGGAAAGACAGGAAGAGGAGAAGGAGAAGGGCAAGCAGCCTGAGGGAACCCAATCCAGAGACGCTACTGAGCAACAGTCTGCTGGGCCTGAAACTGGCTCTGATACCCCCATGGTTGATGCCCCCTTGCCCACGGTGGAATCTGCTGAAGACCAAGGAACTACTGCCACTGTCGAGGGTGATCAAGGTGCATCGACCGAGAAGGATAGCTCCAAGCCTGGCGAGGAAGAAAAACGGAAGCGCAAGTCCATCGAACCGCCTGTTGTCCCCGACCACAATTTCCGACTGGTTGTTCACATTCTTGCGGCTCGTGAGTGCAACGGCAAGACCTTCCGTGACACTCTTTCGACCATCAACAACCTTTCCGCTATTCCTGGGGCTCGCGATGTCATTGGCAATGAACTTGTGGGCCAAGCGCAAGCCTTGAGCGATACAATTCTGGCGGACCTGGAAGAGCTTCTGCCTCATATCCACCAGGCCAAGACTGGCACAGACATGCAAGGATTGGCCCTGGCCAAGTTCTCTCCAGCCAGCTCTGATCAAGCCAAATTGCTGCGTATCCTCACCGCACTTGACTACCTCTTCGATCCTACTCGAGTGGACAAGTCCAAGGGCTCTGAGCCCGAAGCTGCTCCAAAGGAGGATGTCCTCAAGCGACTCTATGAAAGCGCTACTTTCGGACCTCTGTGGACTAAGCTCAGTGACTGCCTGACCCTTATCCGCTCGAAGGAGAACATGCTGAATGTGGCTACAATCCTTCTCCCACTGATCGAAGCTTTGATGGTTGTCTGCAAGAACACCACCCTTAAGGATCAGCCAATTAACCGCAACAGCCGCGAGACCTCTGTCACTAGTGCTCCCGATGTTGGTCCTGGCATGGAAAACCTCTTCTTCAAGTTCACCGAGGACCACCGCAAGATTCTGAACGAGCTTGTTCGCTCGAACCCTCGGTTGATGAGCGGTACCTTCTCTCTGCTGGTCAAGAATCCCAAGGTTCTGGAATTTGACAACAAGCGCAACTACTTCACTCGTCGTGTCCACTCCCGTGGTGCTGAACCTCGTCAGCCCCACCCACCTCTTCAGCTTTCCGTTCGCCGAGACCAGGTGTTCCTTGACTCCTTTAAGTCTCTCTACTTCAAAACCGCCGATGAGCTCAAGTACGGCAAGCTCAACGTGCGCTTCCATGGTGAAGAGGGTGTGGATGCTGGTGGTGTGACTCGAGAATGGTTCCAAGTTCTTGCCCGTGGCATGTTCAACCCCAACTACGCTTTGTTCACCCCCGTTGCTGCCGATAGAACAACGTTCCACCCGAACCAACTTAGCGGTGTCAACTCGGAGCACCTTCTGTTTTTCCGATTCATAGGTAGAATCATCGGCAAGGCGCTCTATGAGGGCCGGGTTCTGGACTGCCATTTCTCTCGCGCTGTCTACAAGAAGATCCTCGGACGATCCGTGTCTATTAAGGACATGGAATCGCTTGACCTTGACTACTACAAGTCCCTGCTGTGGATGCTGGAGAACGACATCACCGATATCATCACGGAAACATTTGCCATCGAAACCGATGCCTTTGGTGAGAAGCAGGTGATTGACTTGATTGAAAACGGCCGCAACATCCCAGTCACTGAAGAGAACAAGGAGCGTTATGTTCAGCGGGTGATCGAGTACCGCCTGGTCGAGTCTGTCAAAGAGCAAATTGACAACTTTCTGATGGGTTTCCATGAGATCATTCCTCCTGACCTGATTGCCATCTTCAACGAGCAGGAACTGGAGCTTCTGATTTCTGGTCTGCCTGAGATCGACGTGGACGAGTGGAAGAACAACACCGAGTACCACAACTATTCCGCTTCTTCGTCCCAGATCCAGTGGTTCTGGCGCGCTGTGCGCTCGTTCGATAAGGAAGAACGGGCCAAGTTGCTCCAATTCGTGACGGGTACCAGCAAGGTTCCTCTCAATGGCTTCAAGGAGTTGGAGGGCATGAACGGTGTCAGCAAGTTCAACATTCACCGTGACTATGGCAACAAGGACCGCCTCCCCAGTTCGCACACATGCTTCAACCGTAAGTTCACCATCCCCGTGCCTTCAACTAAGATTGCGGATCACCAGATGCTAACTCTTTTTTGTCTACAGAGCTTGATCTTCCCGAGTACGAAAGCTACGAGGATCTGCGTCAACGTCTCTACACGGCGATGACGGCTGGTAGTGAATACTTCGGCTTCGCATAGACGGAATATTTCTCATTGCGGGTTACCCACGCATTGGGTGGCATCTGAGGAACGATTGTGGAGAAACGAACGAATGACGAAAATGAAAGCAGGGCTTGGGAGTATCTAGTTGAAGTGCAGGTCAATTAGACTACCCTGACTCTTGCCTAGCTTATTTGTACTTAGATTGCTGTTTGTAAGGGGAATATCCATATTTTTGTTTGTAGTTCAATTTGACCCTTGATCCCCTATGGTATTTCATTCCTCTAGCCTTTCATCTCAACTGTGATTTTGTTCTTTTAAGAATTCGTATAGTTCTGCATCCGGCAGCCCCGGGCGGTGAGGAGTCACGGGACGCGAAAAAAAATGCGGGGCCCAGAGTGGAAGTGGCAGCGGGATCGATTTTTTTTTTAAGCTGCGGCTTAGCCTCGACTCTTTGGGAGATCACTCTCGCTCATTTCTCCACGCATTCACCATGTCGTCCAATTCCAACTCCATCAAGCTGTTGACAGGCAACAGTCACCCCGAGCTGGCCCAGCTCGTGGCTGACCGGTGCGTTCTGCAGGGCCGATCTCCGCTTCTGTCGATGCATACGGGAAACTAATAGACGAGCATCTAGACTTGGCATCGAGTTGACCAAGATCATGGTCTTGCAATACTCCAATCAGGAGACCAGTGTCACAATCGGTGAAAGTGTGCGAGACGAAGATGGTACATTATATGCGTTCTCGACTCGACGCCGGGAGGCGGGGATGATTCATGGAATGCGGTTGCTAATGCTTCTGTTTCTTCAGTCTTCATTCTGCAGTCTACACGACCTAACGATATCAACGATGGCCTCATGGAGCTCCTGATCATGATTAACGCCTGCAAGACCGCCTCCGCTCGCCGGATCACCGCCGTTATCCCCAACTTCCCTTATGCCCGCCAGGATAAGAAGGACAAGAGCCGTGCGCCCATCACCGCCAAGCTCATGGCCAACATGCTCCAGACCGCTGGCTGCAACCATGTTATCACTATGGACCTGCACGCTAGCCAGATCCAGGGTTTTTTCAATGTCCCCGTTGACAACCTGTACGCCGAGCCTAGTATGCTGAAGTGGATCCGGGAGAACCTGGATGTGAGCAACTGCGTCATCGTCAGCCCTGACGCCGGTGGTGCGAAGCGGTATGTTCTTTGAATAATTTGCAACTGCTTCCTTCCTCATTCTAACGCTTCACAGTGCCACCGCCATCGCCGACCGCCTCGATCTGCAATTCGCCCTCATCCACAAGGAGCGTGCCCGCCCTAACGAGGTCTCCCGCATGGTCCTCGTTGGCAACGTCAAGGACAAGATCGCTATTATTGTTGACGACATGGCCGATACCTGCGGTACTCTCGTCAAGGCCGCCGACACCGTTATGCAGCACGGCGCCAAGGAGGTCAACGCCATTGTTGTCCACGGCATCCTCTCCGGCAAGGCCATCGAGAACCTCAACGGCAGCCGTCTCAGCCGCCTCGTGGTTACTAACACTGTTCCCCACGCCGAGAAGAAGGAGGTATGCGATCGTATCGAGACTATCGACGTCAGCCCCACCCTTGCTGAGGCTTGCCGTCGTACCCACAACGGCGAGTCTGTTAGCTTCCTCTTTTCGCACGCTGTCGCATAAATTCTTCCCAATTAAAAAGCAAACACAAATCCCTATATCCATTTGAGCCCTCAAATACCCATCTTGCTTGCCTGTTAAGTTGGGGGGTTCTGCGTTGCATGTGTATCCCGGTTGATGCAATGGGTGTGTTACGTGGGAAAAGCAAAAATACGATTTTCATGACCATTTTCCTTCTTTTTTTCAATTATTTTTCCGATCAAGGCTTTCGGGGTTTACGTGGTTCTTCTTTATGTGGACTTCTGGAGAAATGACCAGTTGATTTGACTTACATTTCCGCTTGAGAGGTTCCAATTGCATTGTGTATGCCTGGATATGATGTTTCATTTCACTCTTGCACTCTTTTCTTTTCCTTGTTTATTTACAAATCTGACTGGGCTTTCGGCTCCATGTTCGTTCAAGTCATGAAAGCCTTATCACTATTGGATTGATTTGACTTGTCTTTTTTCCCCGTGATTTTCACGTCTGTGTATGTACTTCTACGGCCGTTTTGGGAAGGTGTAACATCTTGATAGAAAATAGACCATCTTGAAAACCTTGTCTGTTTCCCGTTCGTTTAATTTTTTTTTTTTTGTTGGCGTTTGTATTCTGCCTGCTGTCTTAAGTCGCGGGGGATGTCTCGGGTGTGTTGGCGGCGGGCTTGGCTGAAATCGGACACTGCGACATATTAGTTTCGCAATTTCTTGTCCTGTAACATGTTATGAGCCGTGAATTTTAAATCCGATCAACATAATTTTGAGGTGATTTGTGGATTCGGTGGAAGTTTTGGTGATATGGTGCGCTGCGACTTGGTCAGTGCTTGATATATATCGCCAACTCGAGTATGCGTTAATGATGTGTAGACCCCACGAGCCCAGTTAGGCGTCCAAATGTGACGTATTAGGCATGGAAACCGAGATTAATGTTGCTATTGTTAAGTATGTTGACAATCTCAACAATCACTATGTAGTATAAGTAGGCCTACGTGTAGTTGACCGCATGACTTGGTCACTACTAATGCCGAATCATACAAGTGCTTTTGTCATTGTGGAGTACAGCAATGATAATTTCCACCCCACTCAACGCCCCGGTCCACAACCAGCTAAGCGTACAGCCTTGAGATAAGGTTAGATCACCAAGTCGAAAGGCAGACTACGATACGCAGTATCCAAGTAGAGAAAAAGAAACAATTGAGATTTGCATGCACCCCATTCAAAAAAGAGGCTGTCAAAAGGTTGGTTCAACAGATGCACCCCTGGGACCAGAATCACCGTGGCGCCCAAGAGGACAGAACGGGAGGTTTTATGAAAAAGCCCAATCGCCTTCCATCTTTACGTTAGAAAATAGAAACCCGGTCCTGGCTTCCCTTGGATACCTTTTGATCTGACCCATTTTTTGATTTTTCTGTATCAGACATAAATTCCGCGTTCTCCGCCCAAGAGAAAATGATTTCCATCCTTTTTGGTAGTGCAATTCCCATTCAAATCATATCCCCGGAAACGTGGAATTCCTCCATTATACCCCCATCACCGCAGAAATAAAATCATGACATCGCGGATGATGAGATCTACTTCCGCATCGAAGACGCCCGGCGCTTGCGGAGCTCATCACGCTTGGCCTTCTCCTCGTGGACACGGTTGGCCAGGAGCTTGGCGTAGTCGTTGCTGTATCCTTGTTAGACCATGGTCCAGTAGTGGGGTGAGTCCGGGGAAACTTACGCAGCCTCACGGGAAGCCTCAGCACGGCGGCGCTTGATGGCAATGGCGTGACGCTTGCGCTGCAGACGCTGGGGAGTAACCAGACGCTGGATCTTGGGGGCCTTGGTGTACTCGGGCTTGCCCTCTTTGGTGACGGTACGGCGGATGACGAACTTGCGGACGTCGTCCTTCTTGTCGAGGCCGAAGAAGCGGCGGATCTTGGTGGCACGCTTAGGGCCGAGGCGCTTGGGGACGACGGTGTCGGTGATACCGGGGATCTCACCCTCACCCTGCTTGACGATGGACAGGGCAAGAACGGCAAGGTCCTGACCGGTGATGGCACCACGGACGGACTTGCGCTTGCGCTCACCGGTGCGGCGGGGGCGGTAGCAGCTGTGGCCGTCGGCGAGGAGCAGACGGGTACGGGTGGGCAGGAGAACTGTAGAGAAATGGGTGAGCATGCTGGATTGAATTTTGACGTGGTCCTCGGATTTTTTGTGTGGACCGTTTGGAGTCGGCTTAGAACGTACCACCCTGCTTCATGGGGAAACCTGTAAAATCCTGTCAGCAAATCTGTTCACAATATATATATCGATATGTGCGCCATTCAAATAGGCCTTGAACGTATTTTAAAGGGATGTGGGGAGTCGTACCCTGCTTGTCGTTACCACCGGTGATCTTGAACAGGTAACCCTTGAATTCATCGCCGAGGGAGTCGCCGGCAACCTAATCGAAGAAAAATCCATCAGCCGTTCGTTCTTTATATCTCCGCGGTGTGTTTGTGTGTATGTATTTTCGAGAGATTTTGGGATTGGGATTTTTGATGTGTGCGGATGCGTGTTTGGAGATCGGGGAGTGCTGACTTCGGTGCCCATGCGCTTCTCCATGAAAGGACGGAGCTTGCGCTCATCGTCGACCTCGATGATCTTTTGCGACCCATTGGCCGGGTAGGAGATGTTGAGCTTCATCTTGACGGGGGTTGCGCGGTCAAGACGGTAGCGCGGAAGTTGTCGACAGGTGAGTTTGAAGGGTTCGGTCGTGTGGATTTTTCGAGTTCCAAAGGTTTGGTGTAGCGAGTGTGTGTGGTTGACTCAGCAGGCACTAGCCGAGTTGGGCCGGCGGGTAACCCTGTCACGTGTGCCAATGATATGGAGTCAGGTGATTTGGATTGACTGCTGCCTCAGGCATATAATCTGGGTTGAGACTGGCAGAAAAATGTTGTTTCCATTCACCGCCATAGCCGCCTCCCCACCGCCCCCACAGGCTGCTTGGCGGCAACCGAAATACTTCCAGTTTGTTCTTTTTGATTGGTCTGTACGGTACTCAGCTCATCTTGATGGCAATCCTTCAAGACCGCAGATGATTTTGATGGGGTCATGCCATGAGATTGCTTATGTGCCCATCGTAGTCGACATATTATGGAGTCTCTCAGATCACATCTAACCACCCGATCGCCATATTGACCGACTCGTCCCAGCATGAGAGCGACAAGCTTAAATCCTGTACGGGGTCAATCCCTGATGTCTCGATGCCTTGGCGCTATGTCGGATGCCTCAGGGGGCGCCTTATCCCCACTTGTGTCATACGAGCCCCTGGCGCTGGCGTCGTCATCCTGCGCAGCAAAGCGCCAAGCTGGATCTCAGCGACCGGGATACGTACAGTCCCAGAAGATCTATGTACTTGGTCGACTGTGGATTTAGAGATTTTAAGGCAACAGATTTCTCGTAAAAGACTTCTGATACGAGTGCTCAATTAAATCGGAACGGCCGAAGCTCCTGCAGTGCAACGCAGGCGCACGCGATTGTTTTCCACGTTGAGTGGCTCTCCCCGCCACGGCCACGGCCACGGCCACGCGGCAGCGTTGTGGCATTCCAGCCAGCCCGTAGAGTACATAGACTTGAGTAAAGTACTTGAGGACGTTGGAGGCCATTCGCCTGACCATTATAAACACGCTGGCGCTAACCGTTATCATTTTGGGGTCCAGGGGCTCGACCAATCCTGGTTAACTAGCCTCGTTCAACGTCCGCAACTCCGTTCCCACTTGAACTCGCTGGGCCCGCTGGGATTTTCCGAGCCTCCCGAGATTTCGCTACGAACCTATTTTCTCCTTTTCCGCTGATCTTGAACCGTGACGGATTCGATCCCCTTCGACCACTTCCCTTTCGCTTTTTGTCGGAGTGGCTCGTGAACGCTGTTAGTGGCGACATCCTCCGATCCGCAGGACTGAATGCGTATGCGCGGAGCCTCGGCCACCACCTTGTCGTCCCCTCTTCAGCCGACCTCAACGTGAGCGATTTGTATTGCCCTCGCTACAACGGTATTTACGGACGGCATATACGAAGCGAAGCGAAGCGCTGCGGCGCACGAAACTGTTAGACACGACACAAATCCCTGACACTTGACTCGAAGTTGAATTGAGGCAGGCAAGACACGATGCTACGCATGTTCAATCGGTTCTACGGCCTGTGTGCAATCGCCGTCTGCTCGATTCTATACACGGCCTGGTTTCTCTCAGGGAGGAATTTCGGCGATGTGATCCCGTTGAAGTCGAGCAAGTTCCAGACCACACATGAGTTCGACCAGCGATTGGTGGTCTTTGGTGATTCATGGAGCGATAATGACACGGAGGAACCTCAAGGGAAGGTGTGGACAGATTGGCTGTGCGATATGGTATTCACCTACCCTCTCCCTCATATTGGATGAGCGGGGAAATGACACGAGACCAGAATGTCTCGGGAAGATGACTCGCAGATGACTGACGGACTTGCAGTTTTCATGCCACCAAGAGAACCTTGCACAGACGGCCCGGTCCGCGCTGAGGGGGAAGTATTCTGGTGCAGTCGTGAACAACGAGGAGCTGGATCTCCTGGGCCGACTGTCTCAGATCCGGGTGCCCGATTTCAAGCACCAACTCGACCAGTGGCTGGAAGCCGAGATCCCCGCCCTACAGGGCCTGTCGGAGGAGCAGATGGCCTTCCGCAAGGAGCACACCCTGTTCGTTGTCTCGTTTGGTATCTGGGATGTCTGGAGCCTCGTGACGAGTGATTATGAGACCGCGGCGGCCTCGATCGATCGCCGGATCAGCAAACTGATTGAGCGGCTTGATGAATTGTCTGAGCGCTGGGGGTCGACGGAGTTGAAGGTGATCTTGACCCAGACCGTGGATGTCACTTTTCTGCCGGCCTTTACGGCGACAGGTGGAGACGAGTATAAGAATGCGGTGCGGATCTTGTCGGAGTGGAATAGTAAGCTGCGCGATGCGGCCACCGAGTGGACACGGGGGTATATCTTCCTGTTCGATACGAATGCCTTTGTGTTAGATCGAATCCGGGACTGGCAGCTGTATGCCTCGGGCATCGAGGAGGAGAACGGAATGGGCAAGAACCAGGAGCCCGGGTGGGAGAGTGTGAACAAGCCCTGCGTGTCCATCGAGAGTGGGTTCCAGGTCATGATGTCAAAGGAGGAAACGGCACGGTGTGAGCACCCGGACAAGTATCTGTTCTGGTAGGTCTTTTCCCCCTGTCCCCGTCCCTGTCCCTGTCTATCTTCCCCCTGCCCCAACACTCAACATTTTAAATTCTAAACCGTGGGTTTTACCCATGGTGTCTCCCCTGATACGATGACGACATGGACATGGGATAACCGGATCGACGGTGTGTGAATACCTCTTGTACTGACCGACTTCTAGGAACGAAATGCATCTGGGACCGTCTGCCCACAAGCTCCTAGCCAGCGCGGTATACAAGGAGATCGATGGGGTGCTGTTGAACCCTAAGCCCAAGGCTGAGACCACGTCCGCACGACGGGGCATTGCAGCTTGAAACCTGAATCCAATGATCTGAATATAATCTGCTATCTGTTCTGACTTTTCATTTTTCAATTTCCAATTCTCAATTTGAGTCGCCGAGACCAAACGACTTCCCGAAACGGCGGGATCGGGACGTTGTACTTGCCGGCGTAGCACCGATCGGGCCCACCATGAGCGTACCACGGGAATCGAGGTGTTCCTGAGTGAGGTTGGGAGTTCATGAGGTAATGAGGTAAATCGTGGTACCCGCCAACATTAAAGTCGCCAGAGCCAGCCGTGGTGACATTGTTTCGAGTAGCAGTGGATCGGCATGAGATCACAGTGGAGCTGACAGCTGTCTCAACGGCAGCTCGTAAGGTTGTTGGGCTGTCCTTGAGAGATTCCAGGAATGTTTACAAATTGTTGGCATATTGAGGTGACTCGTCGACTCCCCAGGGCACTTTGACTGCGTCGGGGAAGAGGCCCAGAAACTAGCGCAGCTGCGTGTTTGCACTTCTTTGTTCCGGGGAACCGGTGTGAGCGCAGCCGCCGCCCGCCGGCCAATCAGGGCCCGCCAGACGGTAGGGTTGGCTGCTGGTCGCCGCATCCGGAGACAAAGAAAACAATTTGGAACAATACTAGTTCGCGGACTAGAGCAAGGCCCTGCGATCGCGTTTGCTCGATGCGACCTCCGATCTCAGCTCGGCTGGGAACCAGCACTTTCTGGTTTCTGCTTTGACGTGGTAATAGTCAGGTGGTAGATATGAGAGTCCCAGACCAGTCGGAATTATGGTACAATTGAAGGTAGGCGAGGATGATCGCATAGATAACAAAGCCCCGAACCTCTCTAAGGTGCGGTAGTCGCCTAGAAGACCCAACAGATCTATTGTCAAAGACCGCCACCGTGCAGGGATTGCTGCACCAAAGACAAAGAAACTACCAATTTTGGGGCCCTTTGTCTCTGGCGCTGCGAGTCGGCTCTTGCTGTGCCGCCAACCCAGGTGATTCCCTCGCCATCACATCGTGCGCGTTAAATTTGACGGGGGTGATCTGGTATAGATCCATGTCCTTTGTCTCGCTGCCTGCCACCGAGCATGTCCCCAGTTTAGGCTCTTACACCTACCCCCCTTCCCCCATCCTCTCTCCCCATACCTCTGACTTATTTTATCTCGCTTCTTTCATCTCCTCCCTCTACTGCCACCGGGCCGTTGATTCTTTTTTTCCTTTCTCGCCGACCTCCCCCCCCCCCGGGAACTATTATTCCTCTCTCTCCCCCATCCAACCATCACCCCAATCCTTGTTGTCTCGTACCACGTTCCAAGCCATTACGCATTGCGAAACAAAGGACACCCCTCGGACTTTGCCGTCAATTCGTTTCTTTCTTCAGTCCCTTTGCCGCGTGTGCCTTTCTTCGCGGCGCAGATAAATGTCTTACGATCGAGTGCTCCCCGCCCCGGTTGGTATGCACCATGAGTCTGCCGGTTCGAATCCTCTGCACAGTAACCCGTTCGAGCATAAGATCATGAATGATCTGCCCATGTCCCACGGGGCACTGCCATACCGACCAGACCCGCTGGGATCGGCCTGCAGGTACACCGACTATCGACCCAAGCCGCAGATGCAACAGATGGCAATCTATCACGGCAAGGTTGAACCTTACAACCCGCCCATCGAAATCAATCACAACATCCCGCCTGCCACCGAGTTCTACCCCAAACAACCCTCTGTCTCGACAAATTCCATCGCTTTTCGCGAACGTACGCCCTCGTCCTCGGGCAGCTCCAGTCCCACCAAATCGGGCAAAGAAGAATACGCTGGCCACTGGTGTCTCTGCAAACCAGACCCGAAAATCCCCCGACCTCGAAATGGTGAGTCGATGCCGCACGCGATGTTAGACGAACATGGCAAGTCCCTTTCTTCTTTCATTGTGTGATAACGTCCCGGGGATTGATTGGTCCTGGGAAATATCTCAAATGTTGAGAGATGCGAGTCGCATGGGCCTGATTGCTAACAATGTTGATAGCTTTTATTCTCTATCGCCAGCATCACCAGGCCGCGGTCGTGGCCCACCACCCCGGGCTGGCGAACCCGGATATCTCGAAGATCATCGGCATGCAATGGAGAGCTCTTACTGAGGCCGAGAAGAACAAGTGGAGGGCTTTGGCAGAGGTATGCTCAACCCTCAACGATCCTACAAAGAACCAAGGCTAACTCGAGATAGGAAGAGAAAGCTCGACACGCCCAGCAGTACCCGACATATCGCTACCAGCCAAAGAGAGCAGGCCGGGATGGCAATGCTCGCAACTCGGGCTCCGGTATCAGTCATAACCCATCCGGAGGCTCGACGTGCAACACATGCGGCGGAAAAATCATGAATGCACCCTGTTCACCCATCGTTTCATACACACCCAAAGGCACAGAAAAACGGTCGGCAAGCATGTCCACTGCTCCACCGGGACGGACGACGACGACTATCATGACAGCTCGCAGCTCGCACGGCGCAGAGAAACAGCCACAGCCTATTCGAATTGACCAGATGGACAACCGGGCACGGCCACGAAAGTTTGAGGAAATAGATGACCAGTCGCAAGACATGAAACGTCGTCGCATCTCACAGGTTTCCATCAAGAGTGACTTGCCCACCAACCGGCACCGAAGCCCCGAGTCCATGTCCCCGTACCCGATGTCTCCGTACCTCACTAGTGCTCGCCCAGATGGTGCTCCACAGCGCCAGCAATTACCATCCATCACTAGTCCATTCAGCAGCGCTCCAGTCCCCGCCCCCTCAGGCCCAGACCCAAGCCTGAAACTGGCTCCTCTTCAAAACTCAACGTCCAGCATGACACCTCTCACACCATTTTCCCAAGACGGTTCCTGCTCCAGCTCTGTCGAAGCAACGGTCATGACAATCCCCTACCTGAACAAAATCAAAGTCCTCGCCAAAATCTCCCCAGCCCTCCAACCCTCCTTCCGCCAAATGGATACCAATGCCAACCCCATGCGTGGACCCGTCGTCGCTATCGACGGTCAAGATCCAGACCTTGTCCAATCAGCCATGGAGTTTCTCACTCGCCTATTCAAGAAGGAAGCGAAGTACTCTGTCCGCGTCTTCCATGGCCCAAATATCAAAGCACCCTTGGCAGAAGTTACTACTGCCGATCCTACAGTCGAATACCTCGACACCATTTCCGCCTGGCACCGTGTCTCCGACGAAGTCAAGGACTTTGTTCGCACCGTGCCTTCTTCCGACACCCCTGACAGAAAGTACTCTCTCGATGACGGCTCCGCAAGTCCGAAGACCGTCATTCCCAAGACCACAACCTTCCAACTCCACTCGCCCGATTCCAGCGAGAGCGGCTCCATCATCGGCGCGCACACCGCGCTTCCCTTGGCAATTGTACCCCGGTACCAGCTTACCACAGCTGATGCGTTTGCCTGTTCGATTCCCATAAATGATTCTTACAATAGCCTTGATCACTGGCAGTGGATGGCGAGTTTGTGGCGCGCTTGCGTTGGCCCCGATATCACGGTTTACATACGGGAATGCTCGTGCGAGGAGCTGGAGCGGGTCGGTGGCAATTCTGTGGAGATGAGATTGCAGGATGCTCGGACCATTGTTCTCCGGAAGGTGATCGGTAGCCCCGGTCTTCTGGAGGAGAAGGCGTTGAAGCGGGTTGGATTTGAGATTGAGGATTATCTCACGCAGTAGTTGACTTCGGGTACGTACTTTTCCCGCTTTTTCGTTCTTGCAGCCATTGCCCATCTTTATTTTTCCGATGTAACTGGCCCCGCGGATCCGCCGCTCGTCAGTGTCTTCTATGGGGCTTGAACCATGCTCCTTTGTCATTGTTATGTTTGATTATCTTCTCTATCCTTGCGCTTGACTGATGCAACTTCCTCTTGTTAGCAGATGTTTTATATTTACGTTTCCATGGATCTAGCCTTGGGTGGATTGATTTTAAGCGCGGCTTACATTGACCTAGCGTTCGCTGGTGTTTTCATATAGAGTTTAATTCTCCAGGATGGTGGAACCCAGCATCTTGTACCCATTGATGCCAAACTCGAACTTAACCGGAGCAGAAAATAGGAGTTGCACACAGGCCCTTAATTCTGATCTAAAAATGTCCAACGAGATGTTGAATGATTATCTTGTCCCCTTGATTGTGGCACAGCTTCATGTGCGGATGCGTTGTCTTTTTCTGCGTTGTCTCTGGATACTTTCAATTGGCCTGTCTCCTTGGAGGAATTATCCTATTCTATTGGAAATTTACCAGTTTTCAATTGGTTTTGGTGAGATATGCATGGGATGGAATGAGCCTGGAATGATATTGTCTTCTTGTTAAGATTACCTGTCAATTTGATTGTAACTCTCCCTAAAAGATATTTGATACAGTGCGTCCCGAAACTGGTGCAACCACCTACACTCTTGAAGGGATTCTCTAGCCCCGCCAAGAAATACTAGTTCATATTGGGAATAAACCCTGAGTATCAATATTCCTGTATCAGTCTCAATACCATGACTTAACCATATTAAAATACAATTGTTTGTCTGGTAGTTGTATCGGCAACCTAACAAAACTAGAATTTTCAACAGCTCGCTGGATTCTCGAGGCACTCTCCAGCTCTGGTGTTTGATTTATTTACATTGCTATCACTTTCCTCTGCCACTCATGTCCGGCCTGGACAGTTAGTCGAAGAGCACCGGTGGTCGCACCAGTTTCGGGACGCACTGTAGATAATCTTCCACGTAAAAAAGTTTTCTATTCTCACCATGGTGGCCTAGTTGGAGAAGCCCTCCGCAGGTGGATCCGGATGCGGCGGGCGGTGAGTGATCTGCCGGCCTCGTATGTCTTGGCGTCAGCAGGTCAAGGTACATCCCGAATCCCGATCTTGGAGTCGCCATCCTCGCCTCGTCGGCATGTATCCAGGACGGCGTCCGGAGAGTTCCGTTGAGGCTGCATGGCTACTGGGAAGTCTGGGCGACCCCAATTACCAGCAAACGCCTTTCCACCAGCCTCCCCCGGATCGTGGGGGCGTAGCTGCACATGCGGAGACCAGTTTCAGTGCTCCTTTTCAGCCGCATGTCAACTGCGAAGAGCCCACTTCTCGCGCCAATTTGCGCTCTAGAGATTCTTGGTCTCCGACGGTCGTGAAACAGGAAGGGAACGATTCGTCATACAGTTCCGTTCGGCCTTCTACTGCCAATATAAATGCAAGCACGAATGCGAACTCGTGGCACTTACCGCCTGAAGCGAGAGTAGAGCATACAGATATACAAGATGAGCATCCGGATCTACCAAGTTCCTCGACAGCCGAAAGGGATAACGATGCCAGCATAGTCCCTGGACCTGAGCAGGTCGCTGCCAGGACACAGCCGGCTGCTTCCCAGTCCAATGACGAGAGTCAGGAACTCGCCAACTTGCTTCCGCTGGGAGTCCTCGACGAGACTACCGCATCTGCAAAATACTCTGCTGAGATGTCATTGTTAGAAACACATAGCTGGATTCGCACTCGACCTATCAATGGCAATCTTCGAATTTACATCAACCCGACTCTGACCCACCGCACCAATATGCAAAAATCCGTCAAAAAGCTGCGAGAAAGCTTGAAGACTTTGATGCCAAGAATTGACAACTCGCCTGAGTCTTGGAACGGACAGCACAAAGCTTACTCTAAAAACTCCAATGATGAGGAAGATGAATCCCTGTGGTACATTTTTAATACCCTGCTAGACCCTAACCCACAGCCAGAAACCATTAAAGATAAATGGTCACAGCAGGCAATGTTTGATCTCTTGTCCGATGATGATTTTTCTGAATTTGGCCTCAAAACTCGTCTTCATCCGTATCAGCGTCGGTCAGCGGCTACCATCATTCAACGGGAGGTACAACCAGCTCAGATTCTTGATCCTCGCCTCCAAGATTGTCGCACCCCGACCGGACAGGAGTACTACTACGACAAAGAAGATGCTTGCATTACCCTCGAGAAGGTGTTATACTCGGAAGCTTGTGGTGGCATCCTTGCCGAGACCATGGGTTGCGGAAAAACCTTCATATCTCTTGCTGTGATCTGGGCCACCAGAGGCCACGTTCCCAAGATACCGATCAAATACCTTCTGACGGAAGAAAGTGACCTCACTCCCATTCGTGAAAGTACTGGATCCCTGGTGGAAATGGCAGCTGCTGCCGCGGGCCGGCATTCTGCGCCATGGAAAACCTTTTTCGAGGAGAAGAAACTCAACGGAGAATTTCATGATAGTTGTATCAAGGCGTGCAAGCGCAACTGCGGCTTCTACGAGATACCCCCACACCAAACCAGATACCAAGGCCGACGCAGCATGTCCTACACTCGACCCCCGGCCAAGCGTGTTCGCTTGTGCACGGGGACACTAATCATCGTCCCTAATAACTTGGTCGATCATTGGGAGCACGAGATTCAACGGCATACGGAAGGGCTGAATGTGTTGATTCTGAAACGAGGCCCTGAAAAGGATAAGACCCCATCCGCCGACGAACTTCTGGCTTACGACATTATTCTCTTTTCCAAAACGCGATTTGAGAAAGAAGCCGGCGAGCCAATTCATAATAGACGACAGCGGTATGTGCAGATGGAGTCGCCGCTCACGGAACTGCACTGGTTGCGAGTCATCGTCGACGAAGGGCATAATGTGGCAGGCCATGGCTCAAAGACAAATATGATACATCTTCTCGGTCAGATGCACATCGAGCGTCGATGGGTGATCTCGGGAACTCCGTCGACTGGACTTTATGGCGTGGAGGTTAGCCTGGCGTCTCAAGAAGCGATGACGAGTGATACCGACTCTCCTGGAGAGGTCACGGCTGCTGCTCTCGAGGGTCGAAGGAAAACTGGAAATGCGGCGGACAATGAGTTGAAAGACCTCGATCGACTGAAACGCATTGTAACTGGGTTTTTGGAGGTGCAACCGTGGTCAAATGCAAGGGACGATGACCCAGCTGACTGGACCAAGTACATGAAGCCAATTGGCGCCGATGGCAAACGTCGCAAGTCGCCGGCAATCCGCGCAACACTACAGGGTCTAGTAGTGCGACATCGCCTCGAAACTCTGAACCAAGAGATTGCTTTACCGGATCTCTATAATCGCGTCGTATACCTCGAACCAACCTTCCACGACCGGCTTTCGATCAATTTGTTCCTTTTCGGTCTTGCGGTTAACGCCATCACATCTGAACGACAAGGACCGGATTACATGTTTGACCCCAAGAATCGAAAACATTTGAACCAAACCATTACCAATTTGCGGCAAGCTGGATTCTGGTGGGCCGGCTCCGAGGTAAACCCGCAAGATTCCATCGACCACGCGCTGAAATACATGAACAAAAGTCGGGAGAAGATGACCTCAGAAGATATCGACCAGTTGACCTACGGGATTGAAATCGCTCGAATGGCAATAGACTCGAGCAGCTGGAACGAATTCAAGCATCTCCACGAACTGGGAGTTTTCGTCAGCGATTTCCCCGAGGAGAATCGCGCTCATTGGGCATTGGATCGAAACCCGGACAGAGAACCATTCTTAATGGGAATTACGCAGGCTCGTCGTGCTCAGCAATTCGTCACCCAGAACCTGCGATTACAAGATCCAACACAGGGTCTTTCTGGTGCCGGTATCAAGGTCCGTGGAGAACTAGAACGGCGAGATCAAAAGGCCCCGGCCAAGGGCGCCCCGGAATCCGCCAGCGCATCCACACCTTCCACTGCCAGCCCGGGGCATCTAAAACACAGCCCAAAGTCCCAAAATCACAAGTCGCCGAAGAAATCATTCAAGAAAAACCTCTTCCGGAAGCTATCAGCTAGCTCCTCCCCTCATGAAAACGCAATTCGTGGCCACGTCCTCGGCCAAGCTCACCTATCTCCTGGACCAAGTATTGCGGTGGCACAAAGAAGAGAAAATCATCATCTTCTACGACAACAGCAACTCTGCCTACTGGATCGCCGAAGGCCTCGAGCTTCTGGGAATCGAGTTCCGTATTTATGCCAGCACTCTCAAGCCCGAACTCCGAACTCAGTACCTTGAGCTTTTCCGTGAATCTAGCGAAATCCGTGTCTTGCTCATGGATCTCCGGCAAGCCTCTCACGGTCTTCACATCGCCCAAGCCTCACGTGTCTATATCACCAACCCGATTTGGCAGCCGAATATCGAAAGTCAAGCGATCAAACGTTCCCATCGAATCGGGCAGACAAGACCCGTCTATGTGGAGACTCTGGTATTACAAGATACGCTCGAAGACCGCATGCTCCGCCGACGAAAGGAGATGTCCGAAGCAGAGATGCAGCATGCAGAACGGAGCCTGCTGGATGACACTGCCATGAATGATATCATCCAGAAAGAAAAGTTTTTGCCTATGGTTGATAAAGATGGGAACCTTTTTGATGAGGCGCGGTATCTGCAGCAACCGACCACATTCTTTGATCAGCATCCCTTGCCTATTCCGGATGATGAGGAGGTTGGGCGACACAATGTGGCCAAGCGTGGTCTTTTCGGTATTGAGTCAGATGCTGATGATGCCGATACGCCTGGGCCTACCGGAAGTCCCACGCCCAAGAGACCGAGGATTGGATTTGCTGCTAATGTGCAGGTCATTGAACCTGAAGCTGAGCTGGAGCAAGAAGATACCGCGGATGCAAAGTCTGCACCTGAAATTCTATTAAATGGGGGTGGCGACTCCCCGGTGCCCCGACGAAAGTCGTTATTTGGAGGAGACGACCTGTAAACATTGCGGGTTTCTTTATGTGTACTAGCTGACACTGGATACTTGGCAAGTTTTAATCTGTTACAATAAACATAATTTCGACTGCCTTTCTCTGTTCTCCTGAATGCTCTAAAATATGACAACTTGCCGTGTTTAGTAGTCCTGTACTAAACCCATTGACGTCAAGCTCGACCTTGGTCAGCAACCCGATAAGCCGATAAGCAGCCCCTCATCAACTCCAACTCCAAAAATTACGAGCTCAATCCCACCTTGCGTCTATTGTCCTTTCACGAAGGAAAGATCCCAAAAATGGCGAATCAAGCCTCCCAACAGCAAACATTCATAGTCGGAATCTCCGGCCCCTCCTCCAGCGGCAAAACCACCCTCGCCCGTCTCCTCCAACGGATCTTCTGCGGGGTGCAGCTGAAGTCCGAACAGCTAAACACATTCATCATCCACGAAGATGACTTCTACTACTCTGATGACCAGTACGTGATCAACAATGGCAATTATACAGCCGCTACAATTCGAACACAAGCTAACTAAATAGAATTCCTTACACAACCCTCCCCTCCGGCAAACAAATACAAGATTGGGATACCGTCGCCGCAATCGACACGAGCTTTCTCGCGCAGGCACTCTCCTACGTCCGGATGAATGGCAGTCTCCCGCCACGACTATCTAGTAAAGAAGATCAAAATGAGAAAGGGGAGAGTGGAGTCGAAGATTCCCTCGTGCAGGAACTGAGGGATCTTGTTTCGAGCCGACTTGCCAATGCGCCTTCGAGGACAATTGCGTTTATGGAGGGGTTTCTGCTCTATGCTCCGCCGTCTACAGCTACTGAAAAGGGGGAAGATAACCCTCTCACGAAAGTCCAGGCCCAAATTCACCTCCCTCTTTTCCTGCCTGCGCCGTATACAACTGTGAAGGCTCGTCGCGAGGGGAGGGCAGGATACGTTACGATCGGGCCTGGGGTGGATCAGCCGTCACCAGGGGAGGGGAATACGGTGGATAAGGAGGATAAGGAGGTTGATCTGGAGGGCGAGGATGATCGGCCGCCGCAAAATTTCTGGGTTGATCCGCCTGGTTATGTGGATGATATCGTTTGGCCGAGGTATGTTGGGGATCATTCTTGGTTGATTATTCCTGATCATGGAGAGGGAGAGGGTGGTGATGGGAGGGATTTGGTGAAGAGGGTTGGAGAAGGCGTTAATGTTCGGACTGATGTGGGTGTTTGTGTTGCGCCGGGGAAAGGGGCTGTTGGAATGGACGTTGTGGTAAGGTGGGCGGTTGAGGAGATTTTGAGACGGTATTTGGGAGTTTGAATCTGCTGATCAACACGGCCTGTTGCTTGGTATAAATAGGGGTGTCCTCAAAGAGCTTGCATGAATTGATAGAAGAATTGCTTTCGACTACATCATTGCCTTACTTCTCAGGAATCGAAAATGTTGCCAGGCAATTTTGATCGAACATCGTTCCTATTGCTTGGAGATGTTATCGTTAACAGATACTCACGAAACTGAAGCCAGCTAATGGATATTTGACTAGAATACCAGGTGCGCAGCTAACGTGACCATACTAGTACACAGGATTAGCGCTGGCAAGAATTTCGCAGTACAACAAACATTATGAAACCTACCATAGAACATCCGTTGAAAGTCTCCTTAACCTCATGAATCGCTCTTGTACGCCGTTGAAAGGCTAGAAAGAAGAAAGAAACGACTTAGAACCGCTCGATAGGGCCTCGCCATCCCAAGAAGTAATCCACCTGGTCACGTAAAGGCGTAGTAGGGACAGGCACAAATCGCTCTTCAGGATTTCCGTCAGCCTGAGGCACCACAGTCACTTTGAGGTTTCCGGCCTTCTCAGACTCCACCTCAAGCTCGTGGTCAATGTTCTGTTCATGGCTAGGCTCATCCTCATCTTCGCCTAGAAGCTCCGGCTGGAATATAACATCCACCGGCTTCGTCACTTCACATTGTGGAAGTTGGTTTTCAAGACGAAGACTATCCAGCACGCGCACGTAAATACGGAGGCAGATGATCACGAAGGTAGAAATAATGAAATAACGGATCACTCTTCTCAAAGTCCACTGGGATCGCTGGATTTCTGAAGGGACAGGAATGTCCTTAATTTTCTCTTGAGGATTTGCGGGAACTGGATCGACGTCACTTCCTGGCTCGCGTATTCTGTCAGCCCGAACAACCTCGAGCATATTGCGAGCTCCCTGCTGGACGTATTCCTCGCGTAACTCATCCTCCATTTCGAGCAAGTCATTTGCTCGGATCCGTGGCATCCAAGTCAATGCCTTGTGGTTGGAAAGCGGAACTTTCATCTCCCAGGTGATAGCGAACTTGTCAAGAGTGGCTCGGCTGGCTAATATCTCGAGTCGTGTAACTCCGACTTCGTGGCCAGACGTTTCCAGATGGATGGTATAAAATGGTGGAAGAAACCCAGTTCTTGGAAGTGCGCAAAGGAATGCTCCCTCCGGTCCACCATGAATGTAAATCCAAAAGCCACATCTCTCAGCCCAGAAGTCCTGCTGAACCATGTCAAGAGAGCACACGGCGTGGTACTTGACAAGACGAATTGATTGCTCTGCGTTATGAATCTCCTGGCCGATCTCTGCCTGAACCGCTTGGGTCACATTAAAATCTCTAACATAGCCATAGAAGTTCAGCTCGCAAGTCCGGAGATGTAGGATGAGTTTCGTAGGGGTGAGCATCTGGGCCATCAGGTAACCTTGCATGACCTTATGACGCTTGAAATGTATTGTGCGAAACTCGAATCCTTGATCCTCGGGGATTTGAAAATACAGATATCCATTGTCATCCGGAGCTAGCCGTGGAAGTCCTGAAACGAAGAGCTGCCACCATCCCGGCTTGCCATCCTGGAGCGGCACTGAGAGATTGATTTTGACGGTGTATGTCGAAGACTTCGTACCATGGGGAGTGAATATGTGGAATCTGCCATCAGTATAAACAAGGCGAGGCATATCGGACCCGTTCGTAGCATAGTTTTCATCGGCCCAAATGTGTGGCGTGTTTGGTTGCACAAAGGGGTCTATTCCGGCCTCGCTCTTGTTCTCGGGCGATGAGACGGTGTCTGAACCATCCGTTATTCCGGTGTAGTCACATGGGCTACCAGCAAATGCAACCGTGGAAAGCTTCTCCAGATCCGCCGAATCAGTCACTGTATCATCGCTCGAATCTCGATCTCCTTCTCGGGCTAGGCGGCCGGGTTTGGAAGGTGTGGCGGGGGGTCGTAGATAATGGCGGACAAGAGCACGTCTCCGGTGCGAGGGGATAGTGTTCTCTTTGATCTTACTGTTCGGTGGAGCGCTATTACTCCCAAGGCCGCGGAAATCAACGTTGAGGGCTGGAACTGTATCTCTGGGCAGGCCCATCTTGGATGGGTCGACTGAACTTGGGCGTTGAACAGCCACACTCTTCGGCCGGAGTCGAGGTCGAGGAATCATGCTGTGTTGGCGACTGTGATTGACAGAGCGAGTCGATGTCGATGTGGAGCCAAAAGAGCTCTTGTCAGCTTTGAAACCACCGTACCCTCTCTCCGAGTCTGTTACTGAATCGGGCAATGAGGCGGCCTTCGCGGATCTCTTGCGCGACGTCCCATTCAGACTGCCTGCATTGATTTGAGCTGGGCCACGCGGCTCCAGGGATAAGTCGGAGTAGAACGGGTCGGGGAGTACGCTGGAACCGAGGAAGCCATCTTGATGCAGATTCTCCTGCACGAGAACACTTTCTGAATCCGAGTCGATCGGGGGCGTATCTGCGTCGGGGAGAGAGTCGGTTTTCACTGTGGTGGCCGGATTGGAGAGGCTCTCACCGGTCGTGAGTTGGTGTGGGTATGCGGCACTTACGTTGGGCGAGGGAGTAGGCGTGTGAACGGTCGAGGTAGGTGGTGAATCGACGTCCTCTATCTGCGGCAGTTGGAGGAGTTCTTGCTTCGGCGCGAGGGAGAACTCCTTCACGCGAGAATTAGCTGGATATCGTGTGTCGAGAACGACCAGGCTTGTGCCTGGCGTGCAACAGACCTGGTGGTCATGAGGTTAGCTCTGTGTCAAAATGCGGGTTTATACGACAGCTCACTTACATCAACGGAGACGGAGACATCCACATCTGAAATGGGATCGCCTGTCCATTTGCAGGAAACATCCAGGTTGGTAAATGGATTCTCTGGTGCAGCCATATTGCCGTGTGTCGCGTGGTTTGAAAGTGGTGAGATGAGAGAGACAGGCGGGAGGGGAAGAAGTAAACACCGTGACGGGAGAGGTTACTACGTGAGGAAGGAACGCGTCCGAGGGACGGAGCTGAGGAGATGTCATCGAGCATCAATTAAAGGACAGCGTGGACTGCTAGAGCGAGTATGTACACAGAATAGAGATAAAGGTGAGAACACTTTTGGAAAGACAAAACCATCCACCCTCCCTTCTACCAGCGCCTGAAAACAAGAATAAAACAAAACCAGAGAACCCACCCTCCAGTACCCATCCAATGTAACCAGAACCCATCGTGATCTCTTAACACCCTGGTCTATCCAGACAGACGTAAAAAGAAAAAAAAAGGCCATATCAAAACGATGCCACACCGGGCCAGAAAAGAAAAGTGTAGAAGCCAAGAAGACCGTCGAGGTCACCAGCCAGGCAAATGAGCAACAAAAAAGAAAGCAAGTCATCGAGGAGTCCCGTTCGCAGACCCCGGGGGATCAAAGACTGCCGGACCGGCCGCGCCTTCGGGCATTTGAGAGGGAAGAATCGGGGTAGCGGAGAGCGAGCTTGGATCATAGTAGCTCCCGTTGGTGCCCGGGGGTAGTTGCGATTCCGTTGTAGCGGGGGAAGGATCGTAGAACTCGTCGAATACGCAGACCGGGGGTATCCCTGAGCCATCATCGCTCCTGTCGAATCCGGAGACTGTTTGGATACTTAGCCAGGGTGTTCGCCCACACACTCACTGATTTGAAGAGGGGTGCCGTACAGGTGTACCGGGCTGGTTCATCGCCATCAGCTGTCCCACTGCGGCATTCTGACTGGAACGAGCCTGTGCCGAGGGATCAGGCATTTGAGACAGAGGAGCTGACGGCGGTAGACCGGAGTACATCTACAAAGTAAAGTGATTAGTGACTGGGGATTCTCCCGCGCCGGTCCAAGCCTCTCCAAAGAAGGAACGCACCCCATAGTCTGGCACCACTTGACTGGTTGGATAAGACTGCATAGGTGTCTGGTATGGTGCCGGCTGGCCCGCATAGATATTGGCCGGCTGTGTGTACGGATCCATCGGGCGAGCCATTCGGCCATCCGCGTCGTAGATACTCTGGCGCCCATAGTCCATTGAGGTGCGGTGTCGCTTGACGGGGGCTGGTAATAAGTATAGTCTCGACTCGGAGCTGTAGGATATCCAGCAAAGCCTGTTGCAGGGGGAATCTGAACGGACTGACGATCTGGCGATCGAGGAGGAATCGCTTGCGGGAACTCGTCTGGCCGAGGCGCTGAGCGTTTCCTGGAAGGGCTGTCAGCGAGGTCCATTCCTAACCCTGGGTACCCTTAACACCTGGCAGGAACTGATTCACTCACATCATGGTCCGTGGCTCCTTGCGAATACGTAGCTTGACTCCCTGGTCCGCAAAGGAGCGTGAGAGGAAGGTGGACTCCATCATGCCGGGGAAGTTCTTTGGAGGCGAGACTGTGGCTCGTCAGCATTTTCACCCCAGCCCGGATGCACCGGACGGGACCTTCTTACCTCTAAATCGGTCTGAGATAATTGTTTTGAGGTAGATGACTTGTTGCCTGTAGGGCCTGGTCAGCCTCTTTGCGCTCGACGACTGGTTTCCGACCGCTCGTTGAGCAACTCACTTGCGCATCTCGAACAACGAGAACTTTAGGCGGAATTCGCCCTCGATCTTGACGGACAAGTCTCCAAAGACGAAGAAGCCTCCATCTGGCATGGGTCAGTCCGCCGGTCTGGCCTCCGCTGGTCTGGGCTATGAGAAGGAAGCAACTTACCGCTGTTGTCAACATCTTTCAATCGGTGAAGGGACGAAACCAGCGTTCCAGCTAACGCTGTCGACGGAGCGACAGGCACGGGACGATCATCGGAAGCATCGTACAAGCTACAGGTCATAAAATAGTAGGGGCTTTGCAGGTAGTGTCTGGAGACGCACCGCAACGGCGCGAAGAGGTCAGCGGCGAACTTGCAAAGAGACGGTGCACGACCGGTTCAAAATTGGGAGCAGATGGACTCTGCGGCTACTTACAGCGCCAGATAAGAACCCTCCTCTCGCACCCGGAGCTGGACGATCGGGGGAGGATCGATGGGCTTGCGTTCTGCGCGAGGTTAGTCGTTGGAGCTCGCTCTTTCTCTCTGCCTCTCGCTCTCTTTGAGAGGCCTTGGCCTTTCTTTTTCGGCCTTCGGCCCTTGCTCAGCACGCCGATCCAAGCCCAACCCCACTTCCATGGCCGATGCCTGGCGGAGGGGAGTAAGCTGGAACGTGCGAGCCCGGCGAGCCGATCCATCGACAGCGATGAACGTACCTTTCTCTTTGCCCCCGGCCACGCGCGCCCGGTCGGGCTGCTGGCGAATGGTGAGGTCAAAGTCAGAACTGTTGTTGGACAACATGGTCAGTGGGAAAATCCCTGGAACGACCGCGTAAGAGTTGCGATCCGGTCAAAGCACAGATGGTGGCAGGAGACAAGTTGAGGGCCGAGCGACGAAGAAACGGACTACGAACCTCTGGGCTTCGCGCGAGACAGAGGCGTCGGCGAACGTCGATGCACTCATCAAGGCGAGTGGAACCAAGCCGGAGCGAACACAGGGATTGAGCACTCGAGAACCAAGTAGCGGGCGAGACTGGAACTGGATCCTCGGGTAGATGGACGGAGTATGAGAAGAGAAGCAGAAGAAGCTGTGGTGGGGGGAAGATGAAAGGTGCGGGATGCGCGGACTACCATGGATCGACGAAAACGGCGGGCACGCAAGCGGCAGTCGCCAGCAGGAACGACGTAACCGGTCGCTAAGCAGGCGCTGGGTCGGGGCCTACAGTGACCGTGGTATAGATGGGGGTCAGTCGGCCAGGATAATCAGATCGGTTGTTTGCCCAGACCACGGAAGGTTGCGTGCAGACAGATAGGCCGGGCAGTGTACGTGTAATGTACCTGCAGGTGTGGAGAGTGGCGCCCCTCCAGAAAAATCGATTTCGTCCAGGCCGGGCCTGAGGCAGCTTCTCCACGACGAATCACCATCAACACGCTTCAAAGAAAATTTTCGCGGTGGAGCCACCGTTGGGAAAAGTGGACGAGGGTTCAGCTGGCGTTGGCCGGGGCGCATCCGTGGTTCAGGGATGATGCGCACATTCAAGGTTCTCACTAGTCTGGCGGACGAGGGATCGGGGATGCCTTGTTATCGCAGCAGCAGGAGGACTAGCACCCCTAGGGCACTACTAGTACCTTAAGAGTAGTAGAGCAGATCGAGAGGGTCTCCGGCTATGCAGGTGATGATGAAAAGTGGACTCGGGCCCTGGTCCGGCGTTTAGCATTCCAGTGAGCGTCGCTGGAGTGGGTTCCGGCGAGGCGCATCTGCAGCTGGCGCTAGCTGCGTAAGTGCTGGGATCGTACTGCTCGTACAGTGTATCAGAGGCGAAGCAGGGAATTGAGGGGGGTTCCCGTGATCTCCGCAAATCGATCGCCTGCGCAAAGTCAGTCTAAGGTTCGTTATGTCATCCGAGGGGATCGCGACGTCCGGGGCCTCCTCCGCATTGTTCTCCTCGAGGACAGGGGCTCCTGTCAAGCGTGATTGCGCTCACCTGCGATTCTTCTGCTGCGACCGCGAAAGCCCGAGCTCGAGTTCAAAGGCACACTGCGCAGCTTCTCCAAAGCGGTCTTGCGGTGGGCGTGTTCCTGTGTCGCGCGCGTGCAGTAATCCCGAATGCGATCCCAACTCGACTCCGATCAATGCGATGCGATGCGATGCGATGCGATGCGATTCGTCTCGTCTCGTCACAATCAACGCAACACTCCGATATCTTGCGATAACCCCGTGATCCCTCAAAGACCGGCGCGATAGCGAACAATCGACTCCCTCGGCGCACAGCAATCACAATCCCCAGGCACACGGGTCAGTCGCACCGAACAAAGGCGAAGTCGCGAACTGAGCACGTTAGGCCGACAAGAAACAAAGGCGTTCAGGCGAGGCATCCCCGCTCATAATGTGAAGCAAAAAGAGGGACTCGAGTCACGACCTCGCGCGCCACAGAGAGCAAAGAGTGAAAGGGACAGGCAAGGCGCAAACGCAAACCCACCAAAAAGGAACGGGGAACAGATTGAAAGATGTGATCGCAATAAGACAGAAGCAGAAGAGAATCAAAGGGGTAAAATATGAAAGCATAAAAAAGGAAACAGGGCACGAACCCTCCTGCATTTGAGGACTCGATGCGTCACACGGTGCGCGTTATCATGCAGGCTGAAATCCTGCAGTCCAACTATGGAGAACGGCTGTCAAGACCGCTGGGGCTAGCTTGGGGCTGATCTGGTTCTCGGAGATCGCTCGCAAAAGGCTACATGCATCCTGTTGGCCCTTGGGTTCGTCAATGGTCGGGAATCGCGACAAGTCCGGGGAAACACCTAGCGGCCACTCTGCGCGACTCGGGCATCGTGCATTCAGGTCCTTCCGCCGCTGCTTCTCGCTATAAGACTATCCCATAGGGAAAGAGGGGGTCAGGGCGGGGCTGTTTGCAGATCAGTTGCTGCTTCTTTCCTCGGGCCTGACATTTCATGGACTACTTTCGTACGTCGCTGCGCCACACCTGTCCTTCTGTCAGTGCTTGGTTCTGCACTGCTGCGGCTGAGAGGAGTAGGGAGGGGGCCGATGGGACGGGGTGGAAAAAAAGCCTGGTGATCAGTACTTTTGCCCAGTTGCCTTCCCGATCAGCTCTGGCTACAGCAACCGGCGCATCATGAACTGCACTTATCCGAGAACGGTTCGTTGTTTACCGTTGCTGCATTGGCGATGAATCAGAGGGGAGGGGTACAAGAGGGGATTCGGATCAGAACACGAGAGGCGTCATTTTGACAAATAGAGCTCCGAGACTTCGCATCGTTGGGTGGATGCCACTGGCAGTTTTTGGGGGGGGGGGGGGGGGGGGCGTGCGCCATCGAGGAGCAGCGTGGGCTGCAGATGCAGCCAGGTATGACAAGCGATCCACATCTTCCCCAAGAAAGCCAGATGCATCGATTCTCCGCACAGGGACCGATAGTGCGGCGATCATGCAAGGGTTGTCAGGAACTCAACCTGCTCTTGCAGGTCTCCATCGATGCCATGTTGGGCCAATAGTCGGAGTCCCACCAGGTTCAGTGTCCGGTGGACAAGGGACCCGCTTTGCTCTGGAAAATGGTAAGTGATCCACTGGTGGACACGGTAGAAAAACCAAAGCAGACGGCTGGTCCGGGTTGAAGAAGTGGTCAGCATCAGAGACGGACGCAGGAACAAGAGAGAACTGGTGGCCCTCGGAGGCCAGCCACGAATCCTGAATGCATCTGCCCGTGCACCTGGTCAAAGTCTCAGACCACGCATGGTCCTGCTGCCACCTGCAATAGCTGCTCGACGCAGGTGCGGTGCCATCATCGGGTAATCACCGGAATTGAGAGGAATTGGACAAGACTGCCAGAGTATGCGCCGCCGCTTGAACCTAGGACAGAATCTGTCTACCTGTCCATTTCTGACCTCAGAATCGAATGCGTCCGAGTCGTACATGGTCACGATGAGTCCCAGCAGAGCGGGTCGGGTAAGAACAGGGGAAAAGGAAAGGGAAAAGTGACAGGGAAAAATCCTGCAGAAGAAAGGGAGGGGAAAAAATCAGGAAATTTCTGCCATCGATGAGCAGCGTCGAGGGGGTGGAGGGGGAAACTAACGTGGGGACGAACAATGATGAAGTGGCACCGGAAATTTTAGTCAGGACGCTGGTGGTACGAGCTTGCAGAGGAGTACACAAGTGGCCGACTCACTCGATGACAGCGGCATCCCCATCGAGAACCACGGCACCCTGGGAACGCTACGTTATGCTTAAATGGCCTCCCGTCGGGCTCCCTGGTTCGGTTCCAGGATTCGACCGCCGATCAGCCGGTTGATTTCTGATTCCCGTAAGCACACGTAGATGATTGTGTTGTATACTACAGTAGATTAATTACATCGATGAATGGTCAATGGATGGAGAGCAAATTCCGCAGCGGTACACTCTGTACTCTGGTTTGGTATTAATTCTCCGATGCGGGATCGGCACGACCCCCTTGATAGCACAGATCACAATGAGCTCCGAGATCTGCTGGCAACTGCCTGGGGCACCGATGTCTGACAGTCGCAAGCTGTCAGTGCGAACACGCGAGTTTTGAGCAGGGACCCCTGTGCATTTGACACCCCGCGTTTGTAATTGAGTTTGTCGGCGTCGGCCGTGCGGGCGCTCGGTCTTGGAAATAAAAAACACGCTGCAGCGTGGGGCGCCTATTGCATGCACTACATTCATATATCACTGTGATGTGCACTTTGACGCTTCAGCACAGACAACTCTTTAGTGATTGAGTTTAGAAGGATCAATCATGATCCTCGCTCAGATCTTGCTATGCCTCCGCCATTAACCTCGAGATCATATTTGATTGATTTTGGCTTCCAAATCAAGACGTGGTTGAGATACGTCAGGTGACGGCCAGCTAAATGCGCCTACCTAGGTAGGTATGTACAGCGGAATATACGATGAACAGTTTGTTGCTACACTAGTCTAGTAGCTACATCTATACATTTGACCTCAAGAGTACTACGCTGAAACTGTGATGAAGGCTACATGTAGTAACCATCAGAGTACAAGGTAATGTATTAAAAAGGTACCCAGAATGAGCTTGAAACTCCATACTCCGCCCACGCTCCTGGCTGAACAAGTAAGAAACCCGCAAAAGCACCTAGCAAGATCGGATCATGATGTTCATCCATAAAAGTAGAGAAAGATCTGTCGCCAGATGACTGACAGCTCTAGTAGAGACATGTGACTCGGAAGTTGGGATACAAGAAATGTTCATAAGAGGAACTTGAAAAGGAAGAAGCAAAACAAAACAAACCAGTGTTCATAACGCCTTCTCCAGATGCGTGTCGGCAGGGAACTATGTGATGCTGCCCCGCTCGCAATATCATGACAGAATCTGTCTGTGGTTACTCATGTTTCCATAACCACATCGCCATCTACTTCATATTCGCCGTCGGCATCGGGATCGTCTTCGCCTTCTGCGTCGGCGTCAGGATCAATGCCGTTGGTGTTGGTGGCAGCCGCTTTCTTGGCAGCCGAACCCGGGTCCGCGGGAACCACCACTTGGATCTTCTCAACCAGGGCCTTGCGACTGACTGACTGAGGAGTCCTGGAGGGGTTGTCGGATTGCTTCCCCTTGGAGCGATGGGAAGTTGCTGTCCGAGGAGACTTGGATGTAGACTTTGATTTTTTCTTAGGGGTTCTGGGGGACACTTCGACTGCCGGCTCTCCGTGCTCAATTCCATCAACATCAATTGGAACGACTTCGTCAGGTTCCCCATCGGCATCGGCATCGGCGTCAGCATCAGCATCCATATCCTCGTTACCGTCGCCGTCGCCGTCACCATTGACTTGTGCCGTAGCTTTCCCACCGGTCTCGGACGTCTCGTCAACAACGAGACCGAGATCCTCAGGACTGGGATCTAACACGGCCTCCTCATCAATAAGCTCTTCCTGTTCCGGGTCAATGCCATTTGCTTGCGTAGTGGTGTCCGCCACAGGTGAACCGTCAAGCTTGGCGCTGCGGCCGCGACGCACGGGGGTGTTTCCAGATGGGGTAAACAATGGTAGGCCAGAGGGTCTCCGCGGGGTATTGCGGCCGCTGGTACGAATAGCTGTGGGGGTAATTGATGGTCGAGATGCTCTGTGACTGCCATTGGGACGACCGGCCTTGCGCTTAGAGCCAGCCGGTACATGAACAGGAGGCCAGAGTTCAAATCGGGACGGGGGAATACTGGCGGCAGGGTTCGGAATAGGGGGTTCAGAATGGTCAGACTCGTGGATACCGTTTGTCTGTAGGAGAATTGTAGAAGGGGGCCCGGCAGAATCTCCGAGACCGTCAGGGTCAATCCCATTGACGGCAGGCCCATCATCCATATCTCTAGCTGCTTTGGCCTCTACCTCTTCCTCGTCCTCTCCGTCGTCTTCTCGTTGCGCAACCGCGTGAAGGGGGGCCCGGTCGAAGTGGGTTTGATTGTTGCGCCCCATGATATAAGGTGTCCAGAGCAAGGCATCTGGGTTAAGTGTGACATAGCCTTTGCTTTCCCAGTTTTGAATTACCTCCTCAAAGTACTTGGTATCAAGGCGGAATGCGTAGGTCTTGCTAATAGGGTCTCGCACCAGAGCACGGAGCCCTTCCAGTGCGGAAACAATGTCATCGGCGGTCATGCCGGTCCGATCGGAGAGATCTGCGATACTGATGGGTGTTTTGAGATCGCGAAGTTGATAGGAGAGTATCAGTCGCCAGTAGTTGCGATAGGAGACTAAGCCCATATCAGAGAGGGGCTTTTCGGGGGATCCGCTTTTGCCCTCAATGCGGGTGAGGAGGTAGGAGAAGTCAATGAGGAGGTTGCCGTAGCCTTTGCGTTGGTGAATGGGGAGGGTGAGGATACAGGAGACGTTGTTAGCGGAGCTGGGTCGCTTTTCTTTACTGAAGTAGCCAACAAAATGGCACCCCAGGTCGTCGTACTCTGCCATGACGTAGAACAGGAACGGCTCGACATCGTAGTAAAGAGTCTTGGAACCCAAGAAGAGCTTAGCAAGAAGACAGAGATTTTGGCAGTATACCGGGTTCTTTCGACCATCGACCTCGAAGATCGAAATGGAACCATCGCGGTAGATCTCATCGCCGGGTGGGTGCTTTGCAGGACACTTGAGCTTATGCCGCCAGGCGACATAGTCTGAGTTCATATACTTGAGGCAGAATTCGCAGATGTAGAGCACCCGGTTGCGGCTGTATTCTTCCGGGTAAGGCGCGGCATACCACGTCTCGATCTCAAAGCCACCGAAATTGATGTACTTGATCTTGGATGGTGGACCCGATACCTTCGCGGATGCGGTCGGTGTCGCCTCACCATTTAGTTCTGCTTCTCGTACTCTCCGCTGCCATTCATCTTCGGCCTTTTGACGAGCAGCCTCGAATTTATCGCGGTCGGCCTGCAAGGGAAGGGTCTTCGACGTGTCTGCCTCCATTTCGGACAGGATGCCACCGTACGGCTTCTTCGCCTCGTCGTTCTCACGATCGTGGAAAGGGGTGAAATGGTTGTAAGGAGCGGCGGGAATGGGGGCGAAATGAGCCTGAGGTTCCTGATGGACAGGCGGAGGTTTTGGCACCTTCTTCTTGTGACTGCGCTTCGGTCGGCTCACGGGCTGCGTGTCAAGAATTCGGTGGATTTTGTTCTGGTCCAGGCGGAAGGCCACCACAAGTTTGCCGTGTGATCTGGTAACCACGCGGAGGTGTTCGCGGTCGACTGCTCGGGTACGTCGTGGTCGCACTGAGCGAGACTCTTCAGCAGGCGCATCGCCGATGCCTTCGAACGGCACGTCGGGCCCTTCTGAATGATCTGTTTGTCGCCTTCGCTTTCTCAACACAGGGACATGTTCAGCTTCGATCGATGAAGCTTTCCTCTTCCGAAGTGAACGTGAGCTATTCAGCAGTTCGCTGCTGATGTCAGTGTCAAAGATGGAGTGAAACCCTGACCCTTGTCTTCCCACGTGTGCTGGCATAAGCTCCTTAGCGAGGTAGGTAGCACCACCACCCGTTTTTGGACCCGCCGGGGTTTCAACAGAATTCCCATCGTTCTTGCCCTCGAGGCACGAGACGCATTTCCAGGGATCTACACGTTCCACGTTAGTGGGTGGGCCCCATCGGAAAGTATCCGGGGAACGCCAAACGCGGCGTTTCAAATGTTTTTACTTACCTTCTGTATCGTTGAATGCCTCTTGATCACGGGCACATTGCCGATGCGCTGTCGGGATGCCGAGTTAGCCACCGTTCCAAGAATGGCATTGGGAGGAGGTATAAGCTTTAGCCCAGCCACCTTCCCGCAGGAATACTCACAATGATCGCCGCAGCTGATGCAAATCAGCCATTCCTCGAATTCTTCACCTGGGTCGTGTTCCTCGTCTTGACTGCAAAACCTGTAAACATTTATTAGCACCCGATCTTACATCATCCTTTGCAGGTCATCTCTGAGTCGTCTGCACTTACAGGCAAATCACGCGGCTGCGATTGTCGGTATCTGCATCTTCGCGTCCATTGCTCTCTGCCTCCCAATCCTCTTCATCAGCTGCTGATTCGGAGTCGCTGGATTCGCCATTCGACGCATCCTGGTCTTGATCATCCTCGAATGCCGAGTCCACATCTCCGTCCGCATCAGCCATTCCAGATTCGGCCTCTGACGAATCTTCTTCCTCATTCAGACCCTTCACAGCACCAACAGGTGCAGTCTCGTCGTCTTCGCCACCGTCCTGCGCATGGCTGGTGCCGGTGCGCGCTCCTCCAGTTGTGGTGTCCGCGTCCTCTTCGGCGACCTCTCCACTGTATGCTCGGTGCACGGCGTCTTGAAGCTGTTGATCCATCTGATACAGGTCGGTTTCTTCCTCGCCCTCTGCGTCCAGATCACTGTCGATCTGATCCGCAGGCGGGTCGAGCTTGCCCGGATCCTGGTTCACTGGCGGCTCTGTCGCCGCCATTCTCCGCGCTACTATCGCCGCCAGGTTGGAGGGAAGGGATTGCGACGAGCAGCGCGCAAGGGATTGGGCGGATTGTCTTTGTTTGAAAGAGCCGACTGAGATAAGCTACAGAGCCACCCCGCTCACTTCGTTGTTGAGCCGGGGGTGCATCTGGAGCCCAGGCTGAAGCAGGGAGGATGGCGATCAACAGTCGGGACGGCTAGAGCTCGCGAATTGTGTTTTGGTCGTAAGTGGGATTGTTAGGGCGCAATGTAGCTGGAGGTCAGAAGAGGTGTTAGTAGGGTGCTATCGGTCGCAAACACGTGTCGCAGGCAGCCGGGGACCTACCCCGAAGGAAGAGCTGTTGATAGCAGGTAGAAGAGATGAACAAGACGCGTCGGCGAGCAATCCAGACCGTAGCGAGAGATCCTCTGGCGATCGAATGCGATCCGCTTCCCCCTTGGTCCTTTGGAGAGTGTCGTTGCAGCGGCTGAGTCAGGACGCGCTAAACCGCTTTGGGCATCACAGACCTCGCAAACCGTCGCCCGCCTGTCACTGCAGCACCTCCGACTCCCCCTCCTCCCGCAATTGTTCGACTGTGCTGCGACAATTCGGTCCGCTGCCTATTTTGAGGCTTTCAATCGCCCTATTCGTTTGAAAAGCCCCTGATCATTCACCATGCCTGTTCCCTTCGAGGCTCTCCTGCCCTGGGGCATCATCGGCACCGTACGTCTTGTGGACCACTCCCTGTCGAGCTATTACTCACCATTCACAGATGTTCTGCGTGACCGGTGTCGGCCTGCACTACACCAAGCGTCTTGGTAACGACGGCAAGAAGACCCGCTGGAACAGGGACCTGTGGGATAGAGTAAGTCACTCCTCTATCGGCTGCGGTCGGAACTCGGGCTGAATATGCCGGCTAACACTCATGCAGCAAAGTAAGTGACGACTCGATTGCCACCGACTCGATCGAAATACCTTGAACGGAATGACAAACACCGGATGGAGACTAACATATCAACCAGTGATGGAGCGTGACCTCCGACTCACCGGGTCGTGGAGAGGGCAATCCAGTAATCCAGAGGCGCCGCCAGGGTTCGAGCTTAGCAACACTTGGAAGGTATGGCAGACACCGACCGACAGAGGATACCACGTCCGAGCAGATAACTGACACCACTTTGCAGATCGAGAGGCGGATTTTCTAGAACCAAAAATTTACAATGTTCTTTACAATGTCCGCGATTTTGACTATTTTCCCGACCACTCTACATACCTTCTACCGCAACTGCTAGAAACGTCGCTGTATCATATCAATTGGTCCGTTCTATTTCCAAGACTTCCTGATAGTTTATATTCTGGGATCTTTATTTGATCTCCGAGGTTAAACCTCGAATCCCCTGGGCCTCGCTGTTACGGAGGTGCATGTCAAAATTTTTGGCAAGCGCCTCGACGCGATCTTCCTCGCTGTTGAAGACTTGCAATATCTCCGTCTGGCCGTGCACTCGTCTCTTCAGCTCCTTTTCAGCCATGATCAACTGCCCAATCACCTCTTGCCCGTCCTCGTCCAGGAGCATCCGCATGCACACAAAGATCTTCGTAAACCAACTGGTCCGCTTTTGACTGACGGCAAAGTTCATAACTTCAAAGTCTTGAGGCAAGAACTCGACGTCTGAGAAGCAGATCATCGGCAGCCACTCGCTTTCGGCGGTGTATTTTGTTTGGTAAATCCAGAGCTTCTGGCTCTTGTCCGTATACTCCGGAATAGTATCCCTGATGAGGCGCATCTTCGAGGGCGCAATCGATGTAGCCGTAGCGCCATCTTGTAGAGGCAATGGTGCGGTCGCGCAATTATTGCCAAATCCAACATCGACCTGCAGCAGCGTTAGTACCAAAGACCCCAGTAGAGAGATTGGGGTTGACTGACCATATACTTGGCTCCGTCAATGATCACGATAAGAACCATGTGTCCCCTGTAGTGTACCATTTCGGATTAGTATTCAGTCGTGCTATAGTTGGCAAAGGAGCAGATTCATACAATGGCGAAAAGAATCCAGGATCCTTCCCAGTGGACGCAGCCGGGCTGACCCTGCCACCAGTGGCATAGATAAAATAGCTCAAGGATCGCAGCACAATGAAAAAGAGCCCGGTATTTTCCATGCAGTAACCATCGAGGCGTCGTTCAACCATCTTCTCGAACAATGTGTCTGGGTTCAGGGAGATAGTGTGGTGCTGCGAGTAATGCAACCCCGAATTTCCCCACGGGATGGACGCAAGATGTCTCTTCTGTATTTCAGATAAAGCTGCAAGTGCATCTTTATTAATGTTCTGACGGGCAGCTTCGATGAGAGTGTTCTGTGTTGGATTGGGGGGTACCCAATACGCCGGAGGTACGTTTCCAGTTGTTCTTCGGTATACGTAGGCGGGGCCATGGCGAGAGATGTGCGGTTGTACCTGATTCGGACAAGACACTGTAGTAGTGATTCAGATCAAACAGAAAATGTCGCGAGAGTAAGACTGGCAGTGTTATGAAGCTCGCGGCGGTGGCGCGGAACCGAATCCTTGATGACCAATGTCAGCTACTAATCAATGCGACCCCACAGGCCGAGGCTCAACTTTTTGAGAACCAGAGACTGAATTGCACAAGTATGCAGAACGAGATCACCAAGCTACCAGCAGCTAAAAGAGATACCCCGATATAGTGCCAAAATGAAACCCTGACGCCAGAAATCCAAAGGTGCCATCAGCTGCTATAATATGCTCGAACAAGTCGTGTAATGCTGATTCCATCGTCCAAAATTTCTGCAGACTCTTCCAACTTGTATCCTCCCCACTGAGGTAATAGTACTGTCCACATATACCAATAGAGAACAGCAAATACGATTCTGCTCAGATGTTTTAGCCTATTCTTTGTAGACAGTTTGATGGTAGAGACTTACACTGCAATGCCCACGATCGCATATGTTGCATAGAAAAAGTCAACATCACCCTGCCAGTTCGGAGGCGGGACGAAAGGCGCTGCCAGCAGTGCCAGACAAACTATAACACGCAACCAGACAGCTGGAAGCCATGCCTTAAACGGTCGAAGACGATTTGGCTCTTTGTATCGTACTATCAAAAGACCGACCGTGACAGCTAGAGCAAATAATTGCCCGGGGTATGCCTCCACATCTAGAATGAAATTATAGACATCTTGCTGCGGGGGCAGAGTGATGACCAACATGGATGGGATGTAATGAACAATGAGTCCTCCCAGAGGCGTGTCCCATGGACGAGAGGACGAAAGAAGCTTCTGCCATGGTAAGAACCCTTGTCGTGCTATTTCTTGGTTGACTCGAGCCTGGAATTCAATCAGGAATGGCAAATAGCATGATCCAACAGAAACATTAGATCACTTACAAGTGCATATGTTACTACCATCACGTTGCCAGCAGCAGAGATGGCAATGGCAAGCGGGAAAAGAATTCTTCCAATGTTGTCGCCAAAAAGACGCTCAAAGAGTAGCGCTCCGACAAGCTCCCCACTCTCTTTGATTTCTTCGAAGGGAATGACTAGGAGGTAAGACAGATTGGCTAACAAGTAAAGACCACCTGCTGTGACAAGCGCCGTCGGGCACACCGTTTTGATTGTTTGAACGGGATTATGTACTTCGTTCAGCACATTGTTGATGTTGTTAAGGCCCGCGTAGGAATAGAAAACCTTGAACAGAGATGTGGAGAGTAGACTCCAGCTCCAATTCGAGCCTTTCCACATATCACCCCACGAAGAAAGTGCATGGGGAGCCGTGCCGGGTGTAACTTGGTGAGAGTTTCCGAAAACTTGAAGCAGGAGCACCCACATCCCCGTCAGTGACATAGCCCCGATCAAGAAGATTTTCACCCAGCCGAGGGCGTTCTGAATCGCAATTCCGGCCCGCAAAAAAACTCCGTGGATAATGGTTATCAGGGTGAGTAAACCGGCAGCAAGCAGCTTGTTATGAAGATCGGTCGGCTCAACTCTGAATGCGAAAAGCGTATACTTGGCGAAGATAATGCAGTTGCTAGCCGTGAAGCCTAGTACGACTGCCTGTACTGCAATCAAAGTGGACGCAAGAAATTTCGGTCGCGGATAAGTATACTCCAGGTACACCTGGTAAGGGCAACTTTTAGCCGATGTGATCCTCGCGTGGAGCTGGTCAGAGTTCAATCTACCTTGTCCCCACCCGAGCGAGGCAGCATGCACCCATACTCCATCGACACGGATAAACCGCAGGCTGCTAGAACGGTTCCCACAAACCAGACTAATAACGTGAGGCCAACGCTTCCGGTGGACTTGACGATGGACCCGGGGGTGGCGAAGATGCCGCTCCCGATTACGCGGGACACCACGAGGATGTATGCGCTGGCCCAGCTGAGGCTTTTCCCATGGCTCGCCCCCGGAAGGCTATCGGGGAACCCATCGGTCAGGTCTGTGGAGGCAGAGAGTTGGAGATAGTTCTGGCGATCTTCTGGGTCTAGCAACGGTCGCGTCTCACTTGTGGCCATAGTACTTAGTGGACGGCGATGGATTCGGTATACTTTTGACCGGGGTTCGAGCGATTCTAAAATTAAATGTAGCTCTATGAATGGGAATTTTACTGGACCAGTCGCGGATTTGGCATTTTAAAAAGGGATTGGGAACGATGTTGCTTGGAAATCAGCTGGCCATTTTGCCGGCACGTCATTTGGGCTGAATGTTAGGTGGCCGTCCTTGCGTGATGGATAACACGACTGGTCAAATCAATTCACATGCCAATCAGGATCGCGCAATAAATCAATCCGGAAGGTTCGGATAGAATTCTAGAGAGGCTCGGAAAGGGCTTGATTCGTCTGGATAGGGTCGGACTTGGTTATGGTCAATACTAGTCCTACGAAGCTAAGCTTTCTGCCTGTTTTCGGTTCCATCTAGGAAATTATAGGCACTACCAATAGTACCCAGGAATAAATGAACAATCTAGAATTAGATGAATGGAATTATGAGTAGTTTATAGACAGCAATTTTCCTATCTTTTATGCTTGTTTGAAGGTGGAGTGGACTGAGAAGTAGTTGGTCGTTGAGACAACAACAAACAACGCTCTATGATTCGTCCGTATGTTCAGATGCGATAGGAACAATACGAGTTAATCTCCCGAAAGCTCGCAATTAAAAGTAGGATGCGACTTGACAAGACAGCCAGTGTGATGCCTTTGAGGGGCAGTCTTTAAGTGCGGGGTGCATTTCGTAAATCTATACAAGCTCTATATCTCTAGTCATTATAACCATCCCATTTATCTTATCCCTGACGATCGGGTTCCATGTCCGTATCAATACGACGAATCACCCGCGCCGAGTTGCCCGCACTAAAGTGGAACGGGGGCACATCCTGGAAGCGTCAGCATGAATTCCCATTTGGAAACATCACAGTCCATGTATTCAACAATCACTTACCTTGGTGACAACCGAGCCGGCTCCGACAGTACTTCCCCGTCCGATGCGCACTCCAGCCAGGATCAGAACACTGCCTCCAATCCACACATCGTCCTCGATGTGTACCTCTTTTCTGCCGTCAAGCCCTTTCAAGCCGCGTCGCACGGCCGGATCCAAGGGGTGCGTTGCACCGTAAATGCAAACGTTGGGACTATTTGCAAATAGTACGTTCTCTCCGATCGTGATGAGGCATGTGTCAAGAACGAGGAGGCTGAAGTTGAGGAAAGTACCCTTGCCAACTTTGAAGTTCAAGCCATGGTCCACTGAGATAGGTCCGTCAGCAAAAGGGTCCGTTCCATCAAAAAGCGCCTCGTCGGCCTTTGGATCTGGGTTGACGGGAGGCATTGGGCGTTTATCCACAACGATACTAAAGAAACGTTAGCGATCCGATTGTCACAGTCCAAACATCAGATATTTCGAGTCCACATCTGTCTCGTTGAAGAGAGCGAGGAATTATCGCGGCTTATTCGCGCCAAAGCTCTACCTTGCGGCGTCGGGAGACATCCCCAGCAGAGTTGAATGCATCACAGGCGGCCTTGCACCGGGTGCGGTTCGCTTGCAGGTCCTCATCCCAAGCCCAGTAGAGCTCGCCGGAGACCATCCTCTGCCATTCCTTGGATTGCGCCATGTCGGGCTATAGCGTGAGGTTATATGCGGATGAAGACGAAGCGACGATTTCAATTTCTATGTGATTGTAGAAAAGTAGTGCTGGCTTTTTTATACAAGGCCTGCGATGACGCGCAATGGCGACCAGACCAGGAGCTCTGCCGCCGTCTTTTACCCGATCGGGTAGTAACGTCAGCAGCGCCCTGAACGAGGTGGGAGTTCATAAACCCGCACTGTGCTTCATCATTGGACAACGGCAACCTCGGCCTTGTCCTGATTAAAAAATAGGAGGTTGAGAGTAAGTGAGTCGATGAAACTTGGGGCATGGCACAATTGGCGGGGGAGGGGTAGTTTCTTATCGTACCCATTCGATTTGACATCAGGATTTGAGACACCATTTATCTGACTGGGATTTGATAAGATGCTCGACTGCCATGGAAGAAAAAAATGCCAATAAATATCCAATAGAAAATCTCATAATCGTAAGATTCATGCTAGTATTAAGGTAGAACAAAGTATGTGTCCGGACAGAGTATTTACTACATAGTACCTTGAATACAGCCACATGGCCAGCCACCATTGTCGCGGCCTAAATATGAGACGGCAGGTATGACCATCACGATGCAAGAAGCTCGGCATGAGGCTCGCGCGAGAAAAGATCTACCGAAGTAGTCGCAAACTTCCTCGCACTAACCCTTTGTTCGAACAAAATGTCAATCTCGGCGTAGGTTCTCCCTTTGGTCTCCGGCAGACGGAAGAAAGACCAGATGAAGCAAAGGAGACAAACACCCGCCCAGAAGAAGCCCGATTTCGCTTTCCAGTTCCAGGCAGTCGGATTCATCATGTATGGAACAAGCACATAGCAGACGATTTTGGCAATGTTGTACACATTCCAGGACAGGCTGACAGTTTTGGCTCGCAGTCGAACACTGGAAATCTCCGAAATTATTGCATAGAGGGTAGGTCCCACGGTGGACTGGTAGATCAGGGAAAATAATATTAGCAACGCAGCTGATCCCCAGGGAGCTGCATGATTGTCTGGGCCGACGGTCCCCGTAATTCCTACCCCAAGAAGGACCCAAAACTGTAGAAAGAGGCCGGAAACGTATAGGTGCCGGCGACCGGCGCGTATCATGAGCAGCCATGCAAGTAGTATTCCCACAATCCCGATCGCATACTGTGCCATGGTAATGTCAAATGCATTCGAAGGGTCCATTCCGGCCTGCTCGAAGAAATATGCAGAGAAGCTCATCAAAACGAAGCCAGAGATACACCCGCAAATCGAGGTCAGGCAAGCAATTTCGGTCCGCCGGAGATTGTGAGCTCTGAAGCAATCGGCGTAAGTGGCACCCTTTGATGCCTCCACCTCGATTCTGTTGGTATGCATCATGACCTCCACCGTTGCATCAATGTCAACTGCATCCTTGACATTCCGAGCTGTAAGCGACCGAAGTGACGCCTTGGCTTCATTCGTATGACCGTGCCTGATTTGCCACCAAGGAGATTCTGGCGCAAATGCGATGCCGACAATGAGGGGGACAGGCCACATCCATTGAAGAGCGTATGGAATTCGATACGACCACTGATCGGTTCGACGGAGTAATGCTCGTAATACACCAGACGCAAGAAGTTCACCCATCACCCAGCACACATTGATGTAGGTCGCCAGGTAGCCCCGAAGCGCGACAGGACACACTTCTGACGCATAAGAGACAGGGAGTGCCTGGAAGACACCCAGCGGTATCCCCATCAGGACTTCGCCAGCCAGGAGGACCTTCACATTGGTCGCGAAAAATGGGATGAAAATGAAGGCCGTGATCAGACCGAGAGCCCCGATCATGGTTTTTCGATAACCGAATCTTTCGGCAGCAAATCCATTCAGAACAAGACCGATCAGCTCGCCGACAGTGGCTGCATTGGAGAGTCCAGACTGCCAGGCCGCAGATAACGAATGTTTGCCATCGGACTGCAGTTTGCCGAATTGAGTCACCCACGGGTCAAACGCGAAAAAGGACGAGATCAGGATAATATCGTAACCCTCCATAATCAGAGCTGTCGATAGAAGTATGGACCAAATAATAGCCTTTGGGTACAGCCGAAACGCAGTCGCGATCGACATCTCTTGCTCGCGCTGGGTGGCCGCCTTGATATGCTCCTTTGAAAGAGCAAACCTCGGCTCATCGTGCGCAGATTCCTCATTTTTTTCGTCCCCGCTTTCAGAGGACAGCGTCCCTGGCGCAGGGGCGGACATCCTGGCGACTTTGCGCGAGACCGAGGAGTGGTTGAGGGATGGTTGCGGGGATATCGAGGAGACGAAGAGGGAATGTGCTGGAAATCCGTGTTAGTACTAGTAGTCCCTCTAATGGGCCCTCGAAAATGCTGTACCACCTGAGCGCCCGTGCTGATCCACCTTCGGCCATCGCCGAACGAGGACATTGGTCGAAATGATTGATAAGCGCGGTAGATCTGACGGTACATTTGTACCTGAAAACTATGCAGTCGATCTTTCAAGTGCTCTCTCCGATCGGACCTCGGGGCCTCGGAGCCATGGCCGGTGGGGTCTAGATCCATTAGATCACATTGGAAGAAAATAGTCCAAAAAAAGATTATTTTGCAATAAGAATGATTCCATATCCATCATTGGTGTGAATCGTTATTTACATTCTCCAGTTGTTCCCATAGTAATCCATATTCCAGTAGAGCATCGCTTGAACCAAACAAAGAAAAAAGCATTCCCATAACCCGTTGCGTATTGAAGGCATATTTCCAGTGCATAATAGTAGTCTTCACACAATTAAGAAAAGCAAAACATAGAATAATAGTCGTCTCAGAGTACACTTCTAGTCGCTGTCTTCCAGACTGTCACGACGGCGACGATGGCTTCGCTCATCACGACCATCACGGCGGTAACCCTTGGTCAGGCCGGGGATGGGGTGGTGATAGCTTTTCGTGCCTGACGACTCCTCACTGTCCACGTTAGAATACTGGTATTCCGAACGGGAGCCGGCGGAGGAGAAGTCCAGTGGTTCAGTGAAGTGGCCCGGCATAGAGCGACGATCCTTCTTGCGGGGGCTGCTGGTCCGTGACGAAGGTGCGGAAGGATGAGCCGCGCTGCGACGGTGCTCACGGTTACGGCGGCGGTTCTGACGGCGCTGGGAGGGGTCGCGAAGCTGAGACTCTTCGGTGGCTTGGCTAAGGACATCTTCGCTGCCAGCAGTGAAGGAGAAATCGCGGGTGCTGCGATGGTTCTTGCGAGAACGCTCATAGGCGTAGTCTCGCACCTCGCTCATCTCGCTCTGTTGGTAGTTGGTTGGCACAGCGGAGGAATCATAGTCACTTCCATGGTAGGTACCGTCCGCTTCACGGTTCATACCACCAATACGTGCGGGCTTTTCCTCACGATAGGCGCGAACATCGTCATCGGCTTCGCCTTCCCAGCGCTCGTCCTTGTGGCGGCGAAGGAACTTCTCCTTCAGATTGCGGCGCTTCTTCTTCGGCTTCTCTTGGGTCATTGTGGTCGCTGTTTCAGTATAGGTATCGTTATCATAGTCGGTGTATGTATATCCATCGTCACTATAGCCTTTGCCGACGACACTGCCACCTCCCAGCTTCGTACTCTTGGTCGCATTACTGAGGGTTTTGCCGTCAGGACCCTTTCGTCGCAGAACCGTCGATTTGTAGTCGTCCCAATCACCCTTGCGCCAGACAAATCCGCCATTTCTGGCCCAGAAGAAGAACCAAATGCCGGCGATGACGAATGCGGCGCCAATAAGGGCAAACAGGGCCATAAGGCCCTGCATCTTGATGCTCGACGGACTGACCGTGCCTTGGCCATAAGCGGGTTTGGTGTGAGTGGCCGTGTTGGAAGAGTCGGATCGTGCAACGATGGTATTGAAGTTGAGGGAGGATGTCGGATCAAGAGAGGCGTCTTCGGGTGTATCGCGAGCCTTGACGGCGACGGACAGCGCTGGAATGTCGGGGTAGTCCCCGATCGGCAGAGCGGGTGCCATGGCGAAGAAATGAGAGCGGTCAAGAGCGCAGGGCCCAAGACGAGACTCTAAGGAATGTTAGTGATCGTGACACATTCTTGAGGGAATGAGGGCGTACCTTAAATGAGTGTTCAGCGACAAAGCAACTGAGTAATGGGAGGAAAGGCAAATAGAAGCAGGTGAATCGCGATAAACAGAATCGCAGTCTACCTGGGGGGTGGTTAGTAGATTCGAGAAGTTGCAAAAGTGGGATGATACTTGAAGCCAGACGATGACAGACGGTAGCCTTTTGGGTGGTTGGAGTGGGTGGCTGGGGAGGTTGGGGAAGTGTTTACACGGGCGGGTTGGCGGGGCGACACAGTTGATGTAATCACGGGACAACCGTAGCGATTTGCATTTGGACCCCACCTTGATGTCGATCACCGCCAAACCGAAGCCTTTGCACGATCGAGAAGAGTGAAAATTCTGCTCCGTAAATAAGTAGTTGGCTGTTCATGAAGGTCCCTGAGTCTGTTATATGGACTTGGGCCGCGAGGCATCATTGTACAGGATAGGTGATTATGTGGTAGATCATCTATGTGACTCGTTAAATGACCCGGCAAGTGAAAGAGTCAACAATATATAATGAATGGAGATTCTCAATACAAAAATAAAGGTGGGAAGAGCCTCGAATGCTACCCTGGCGAAGCTACACTCCCGGAGTGTGCTCTTCGGCCACAACCCATTATCACCAATCGTGCGCATCTTCTACGAAGTCATTTCAAAGCTCATAGTCCCCATAGGGTGATCAGGCGTATTCTGGGCCAGCAGGACTTTTTCTTTCTTTTCGGTCCTCCAGCCGTAAATCACGAAACAAGTGACGATACAGAGACATACAACACAGTACTCCACCAACAGTCCCATCATCAAGAGTGGAACGATATCTCCTGTCATGTTGTTCCATTGCGGGCATAAGGGGTAGAAGACTGAGAGGAAGAGGTAAAGCATGCGAACAGTTATGAAAGGTGTTGCAACTGTCGCAGACTTGAGAATCCTTCAAGAAACAATTAGTATTCATAGGTCATCTGACGAAGCCTAGAAAATGTGAACATACAGTTTGACTCTGAGTTGAAAGTGTCGAATATTCAGTCCAGAAATTTGTTTGTATGGAAAGTAGACATGCAGTAAAAACCACGACGACACTGTAGCCCGCTTTGATAAGCTTGATACCAGTTACCACATCGCTGGGTGTGTCGCTGCCCTGCAAAACACACCACCAGCAATAGCAAGGCCGAGGGCCACAAAGAAGAGTATGCGGGAGATAACGAGGCATGAGCGGTGATACGGACTAGGCTTTGTTAGCCTGAGGCTGGATGGCGGTGATGCGTGGGACTCACTGATCAAGAAAAAGATCAAGGTAAGCTATTCTATACGAGGTCGACCGAGTCGATGAAATGCAAGGTAAGCCGGAAGGAGTGTAGCTGGAACATATAAGACAACTTGGGCGATTCCAAGCTTTGAGTGGCTGTTGAAAATGGTAGTAGTCCTCGACTTTGTGTATAGAGTTTTTGTAGAGCGTCGATAAGCCAATGGTCAGTAACTTGATTTCTGCAAGGGATGAGGAAGAACAGTATGTATAAAAGTCCAGATTGAGATAGCTGACCCTTTTATAGCCATCACCTGCATCATGAATTCCCAGTTGACAAGCATCGCGGCTGCTGGATCTCCGCGAGTCTTGGTGGGTCTGCGGCGCAGTTCGCAAGATCTTAGCGCGGCGCTAAAACCAAAGTAGTCTCATCATGGAATTTTGTGGAGCCTCACCTCGAACTTGTCGACTACGTCTCACAAGCGCTGGATGGCGATGGCTTGGGCATCTCGCCCCCGAGCGCCTCAATCTTGACGACAGTCCGCTAAATCGGTCTGGTTCGAAAAAAAGGCCTCCACGCTCTCCGATATTCTAAGCCGCGGGCTGCCTTACCGAATAAGTGGACTTGCTGGAGAAGTTTGATAATGTTACACTGTTTAACGTCTGTAAGACTATAAGGATTCTAAATTCAGCTTTCTTCACGAACATAAGCTCCGTCACCGATTAAATCTTCGAGATGAGATACAGCTTCCGCTTCTCATTGTCCATTGCGTGGAGAGTATCGGCCTCTCCTTTCTTGATTGTCAGGTACGACGAAGCGATAAACGGCCCCATGATATCTTCTATATCCCGGTCTGCCACCAGAGCGGCGAAACTGTCATCGAGTGTATGACGTAACGTCTCTGTGAGACCCAACTTTTCTCGATCTGCAGGGGACAATTTGGCAGCAGTCCCATCGCAGTGACCACCAGTCAGTGGCAGGCTAGCCCGCATTCCGAGAAGACCTGCGCTCAGCACTGCGCAGAGTACCAGGTAGGGGCTCGAAATCCCGTCTACCAACTTGATCTCGAAACGATTAATTGCGATCCAGCGCAATGCAATCTCTTTGTTTTTCCAGCCTCACGCAGCATATTCAATGCCACTCCAGATGCCGGATGTCACGCGGTCGTAGCTGATGTCGCTGGGAAGCGCGAATGCCAAATGGAAGGAAAATGTTTTATGACGCCATCAAAGAAAGATTCGGCATTGGACTTCTCTAGCAGTTGTTCCTTGAGATGGTCGGACGTCTGTATGGTCTTCGCAGAATGTCTCGCGTTCACCGAAAGATGCACATGAGCCCCGTTGGCGGGTTGCTGTGGGAAATGTTGGGTTGAATTCGTCGCTCGGTACCCTAATGACTGTGCGACGAGCATTACTTTTTCGTGAGTGTGTAGCAAAACACCGACTGCCTTCACAGGGTCCGCAAGTGGCGGGACAGATTCCCACTGGCCGGGGCTGGCTTCGGCTTGGAATTGCTCGATCGCGATGTCGACGGAAGACAAAGCTCGGGCGACGCTCTCGATGAGATCTAGGAATTGCAGGCCCTCAGGAGTCATGTTGGTGAATGCATGCTGCAAAGGCGAATTGAGGGTTGGTAGTCCCCAATGGCTGGATCTTCATATTTGGGACGCAGGAACATAAATTCCACTTCGAAATCCAACAAAGATACTGCAGTCGGTCTCTCTCTGGATATTCTCATGGAGACATTGAAGTCTTGACCGCACGCATTCCTCGATGGGATTGCCGTACTCTTCAGCCCAGTCCACATGGACGACTTCACGGGTACCGTTCGAGCCGAAGTGACAATAGGTTGTGCTGAAATCTGGGTGTAGATGGAACTTGCCACCGGGACTTGCGTCGTCAACGAGTCGATCGCCAGGCAGGAGATGGAGAAGGGCTCTGATCAAGGCGAGACTTTATCCATTGAAGAGCTATAAACTAGAATTTAGCGACGGGGATGATTTGGACGAGGTTGTTCGATATGTAGGGCATGAATTGCAGCCAGACAAACACGACCTTGTCATGCTTCTGCAGGAAGCTCTCGAAGGGAACGAGATTATCTGATACCTTGAGATACTCCATTATACAATTGGCTTAAATCATTCTCTGGAAAACAGTTCACCCGAATTGGAAGGACGCGGACGAAGAAGGAACGACGGTGGGGCGAAGGGGCCCCAGAGGCAGGGGAAATACTTTATGGACCGCCTGGTCATCTGCAGTCCCGATAGTGACACATTATGTGACTGGTATAATGCATCGCCAAGTCCCTGGGAAATACCATGGCTTGTTCAGAACGCGTACGAAGACGCGGGGTAATTCTTCCACCGCTCCGAACCCACCAAATCGTCAGCTGCATGAGGCTTCGCCCCGTCCATTTGGCCCCATTCAGCTCGCGCTGCTTACCATCTGCGCACTAGGCGACCCAACAAGCCACCCGTCCAATGCCTGTCGTTAATTGCTGCACACATTGGCTCTGCTCTACCGATGCACAGGGTATCATGTGGTGATCTCCAGCCTCTGCTTGTCTGCGAGTCCCGAGGCACCAGTTCAAGCGCAGATCATCCAGAACTCTACATTTCCTGGGGAAAATTCACTGTTTTTGAGATAAGCTGTTATACACAGGACTATGATCAAAACCATTACATTCAACTCAACGAAAGTGCGTCAGAGGTGTACAATTGAAGGTCAGGGTTCTTCGATGTCGTGTCAAATCACCACAAACCCGCTGATGCCAGCAGAACTAATTATCAAAGGAAATAGAGAGAGGGTGTCGCCAGAGAAGATATCACTGGCGAGAGTTTTCAAGTAAAAGCTGCAATCCTTCCGGCCAGCCGGAAGTTTCAGCCATCTCCAGGACTGTCGTGCCCGTCTCATCCTTCTGAATAAGATCAGCAGGACCGCTCTTTTCAATCAAGAGTTTCAAGAGTCTCAGGTCGCGGTTCTCAATGGCCTGCATGATAGCATTCCAGTCGCGATAGCATTTATTCGGGTCCGCGCCCTTCTCGAGTAAGAGTTCGATCATGGAGAAGTCGTCATCGTCGCATCGGCGTATCGCCTTGACGAGTGGAAGATGTTCGCCTGGAGCATTGGGGTCGGCGCCGCCCTCATCCAGCAAAAAACGAACCATATCTGCATGTCGCTCGCGCAGTGCTGTCGTCAGCGGGGAAAATACGCCGCCATTCTTCCATTCTATATTGGCGCCGGCTTCGAGCAAGAGCTTAACGTTCTCGAGATGGTTCGCTTGAACTGCCTTCTCCATGACTCCCTTGTGAGCACCGAGGTCTGTTATCCCCGGCAGAAGTAGCCTCAACATGGCTGGCGACCAAACTGCCATATAGATGGGCCAGTCTTGGCCGCGGATGTTGGGATTTGCCCCGTGTGCTAGCAGCCATTCGAGCATCTCTGGGCGGTCCTCTCGGATTGCGGTGGTCACAGCGGTATGGCCTTGTGCATTGCGGTCATTGGGGTTGGCACCTCCTTGCTCTACGAGCCAGTGCAGAGCTGATGAATTGTTGATTTGCACGGCACACTCGACTATACCCGGTGGTTGATGGAGGTCGGCACCAGCTGCCACCAGCTCTGGAAGGAAGTGTAGACGATTGTGAGTGACACACTTCCAGGCTGGGTACTCTGATGCCATCAGATTAGGGTTGGCCCCATGACTGAGCAGGAGAGCAATGATATCTGGGCGATCGTCGCGGATTGCCGAGCACAATGGGGTGTAGGTCCCGTCTTTTTTGAGGTTGGGATCTATACCAGCCTGCAGCAGGATGCGTACAGCGTCGATGTTGTTGACGCTAGTCGCCTGTTCCATGATTCCTGGAGTCTTGCGGATGTCGGCGCCACGCGCGAGCAAAATCCGCAGACAGCCTGGCCGATAAACGGCAGGCCAAAGGGGATGCTCAGGCCCAGGCAGATTGGGATTCGCGTTATGATCGAGTAGGGCTGTGACGATGGTTGGTTGGTCGCTTTGGACCGCTTCGCATAGCGCCGTCTTGCCGTGGTTGTCCTTGTGATTGGGGTCGCAACCAGTCTCCAGCAAGACTTCGATCATCTGCTCCGGCGCCCGCTTGCGTATCGTCTCAATCAATAATATTGTTCCACTCGGTGTATCTTTGTTCGGACACCCTCCGTGAGCGAGCAGGGATTGAGTAAGGCCGAAATTCTTTTTCGCAATACAACAACTAAGAGGTGATTCGAGCTTCGCGTTTGTTCGGTAGTTCGCATCCGCGCCATATTTGAGCAGCATCATCGCTCCGTCAACGAATCCCTGCTCCACTGTCAAAAGAAGTGGTGTTTTCCCTTGGGGATCTGGAAAGTTGGGGTCGGCTTGAAAGACTAGTAGCAGCCGCATGCTTTCAATATCACGTTGGTTGACAGCTTCGTGGAGTGGGTAGAAGTCTCCCTCCTTGTCTGGTGACACTCCGCTATTCAGGAGCTGTTCAATTGAAGCGTGATTGCGTTCTCTGATGGCAGATGACAGACTTTTTCGAATATTTGCCCTCCCCCCCTCCTACCATCTTGACGGGTATGCGGTTCAATGTGGTGTCTGAATCCGTATCATGTCGCACACTGATCTCCCTCGCCGAAGTTGGCGTGCTCATCTTGCCCGGTCGATGTGGCAGTGGCCGGTGGTCGAGAGGCGAGGACATTACGGGCTCACGTCCGGGTTGGGAGTTGAGGAATTGATTCAGAGAAAGGATGGACGACATGTCGTCCGCGTTGCTGCCGCGATCTTGTTGAATTCTCAGGCTAGATTCTTCCGTTCGGAAGTCACTTGGGCTATTTCCATGAAGCGATGGTTCCTTCGGTGGCACAGAAGGCAAAGATCCGTCGGACTTTGACGACTGACTCTGAATTGATGGTCGAGGTCCGCTATGGTCGAGAGACGGAACTTTGTTTATTCCAAGGACAGAGCGGCCCTTGGATATACGGTCCAGCGCAGCAGCCAAGCTCGCATAGCCGATTCCCACTGATTCTTCCAATCGCGCCTCCCCAAGTGACCAGTGGAAGGCCATACCACTGATCTGGAGGGTTTCATTTGTTTTTTTCAAGGATTCGTGGATGCGGTTCAATTCATGAACCGGGCGGTGCCATCCCCGCTGCAACTTTCCCAGTGTCCCACCGTGCTCATACTGAACAAGTTTGAGAATGACCTTGTCAAGTTGCTGAAAGTCACGGTATGCCGTGACGAATTTCTTTTCCACCTCGCCAATGATCACTTCGGGCAAGGCACGGTTAGCAGCGGCCAATTCGGTCACTCCGGTTTCAATCGCCCAAAGAGTGCGACACGTATCAAGGAAGGTATTCGAAAGCTCGCGGAAGCCGTCAGGTAGACTCTGAGTCGTACTCAGGTAATTCAGCATGTGCACTGAGATCTGGTTTCCAAGTTGTGTGGCGGAAGCCGAGACTGTGCGAATTGCTTTTTCTGTCTGCGAAGTCATGGCGACGCAATGAACGAGAGACTCGCGCTCTGTCAATGTCAAGAGGGCAGAATGAAGATGGAGAGGAGGGGGTTCGTGAGATCCAGAAGGATCGCACTACTGCTTGAATCTGAATCACTGAGGGTCTAGATCGGCGGGTCCAGCACCTTGGTGTGATTGCCGGGCCGCTTCGGGGCCAAAAGATTTAACGCGTAAGCTGTATCTATCTGGATGACGGATGACGGAGGACTCGCGACGTCTTTATAGACGTCAGTTGCCATTTTCTCGGGCTAGTTCTCGTGTGTCAAGAGATGCTGAACTTTGAGATTGACTGTTGACACGTCGGTAGAAATTATCGATCTAGGGCGCTGCTGCGCCCCACACCAAACCCTAAAGAACCCCCATGAAACCTCCGGGTGCAGGACGAACTCCCAGGAGCGCGTAATTTCTCACTAGTGTCTGCATTGGTGTGTTGGGGCGTGTCGGAGTCTTCGTTGCTGTCGATCCTTCCAAATTCTGCCTGGCGGCTCGATGGTCGATGTGAGCTCGGAAGTTCAGGCTGTTGAGACAGATAGATCTAGATCATGAGCGCAGAGTATCTATTTCTTAGATGCGAACCCTTGACACCGGTACCTCCTGTTATTTCAAACTTTTCAGCTTGCTTCAGAATTGTTTCAACTTTCGATGGATACACTTTGGGGGACTGTAAATGCCAAGGCCTATCAAACCCCCGAATTTGAGGTTTCAGAAACTGAAATTTGGCCTGGAACCCTGCGCATCACGTAAAAATTCACACCATTGTCGCGGCAGATGAAGACAACGCTGCTGGAAGATGCTGTGGGTACCATGCTACTATTACCATTTTAGACTAAGCTGGTTGTGCTGTACAATTTAGAATGAAGACCGAGGCACGTGCATTTATTCTTGGTCGTCACATAATGCTTCCAGAGGTAGTATCACATATGGTACACTCCATCGGAATCAATGGAGGCAACGATTGGACAGTTGTGAATGGGATGTGCCGTGGAACGTGGGAAAACAATGAACAAATGAGAGAAGATCTTATCTAGTACTGCGCCACGTGCGGCACAATGGGGCTCGGCTCGGACCTTTGACCAATCAGAACACACTGGCAGTTTGACCAATCACTGATCACTCTGTAACTAGTCAAAAGTTCAAAACCCAATAATAACTCTTTTCTGAAAACGAATGATCGCCTGACTAGAGAGCGTCTTTTGAAGTTAAATTCCACTTATGGAAAGAACTGGTGACGCGCGCTTCGCAAGCTTCGCACGCCGATGCCCTGAAACGACAAGGAAAACGAAACGAAACGAAGGTTAGTATAGGAGAAAAGTGATGTTATTGGATACAGCCATAAGGGGCAAAAGAATCGAAGGTTTATATGGTCCGAAATGGGAAAGGGCAGAGTTTGTTGAAACCTTATCAGTTGAATATATATATAGGCCAGTATCTCCGCGGAACTCAGTTTAGTAGGCCTCCTAAAATAAAATTTTCCAAGGAAGGAATTCGATCGTAATGGCTACACGTCCAGTTCGCTTTGAATTCACCTGCGAAAATACGAGCAACAAACTTATGTTCTACCATAATATTCCTAGTCACCTGATCACAGTCGAATCTCAATCCCTGCAGCACCGTCCTGCATATGTGAATAGCTTTCTCAATGCTATAACGCCTATTATGAAAGCACATGAGAAGGATTGTCGTCGGGCGTCAGATTCTCACTGTGGAAATTGTGGCTCACCTACTGTCGGAGTCCTGCAAACTCCGATGTCTTTTCTACATGTGGACGAACCTTTCGTTTCAGTATTTGTCCATCCTATATGCGACAAAGAGAAATGTGAAACGCAGACCAGGCAGGAAATCGAGATTATAATGGCCGAAGTCGCACAAGAAAGCCATTCCAACAGCACCTGGGGACCTGAGGAGATACTGTGTTGTAAGATTTGTGGCAGAAGAGAAGGTGCGAAGAAGTGCGGGCGCTGCAAGGTGGTGGCGTACTGTGGAAGAGATCATCAGAAGGCGGACTGGAAATTACATAGGAAGGTCTGTGTTTCCAAAGAGCAATGAAGTAGGTCAAACTGGCAAGTGCTTGTAATGTTCGAGTGTGTCTGTGTATACTTCTAATACTTCCAGCAACATATCTCAACAAGGCTGGAAGTTGGTCTTATTCCAGGTACCGATAGTTTCTTCCTGAAGCCTCTCGAGTCGTTTCATCTCAGATATTAGCCGAACGTCAGGTGCAAATTCAATATCTTCCACAGAAATCTTCTGGAGAAGATGAAGTCCGTTGGATGACCTAAGTCTAGACAGTTGGACATAAGTGGAGCAATATTTTCTGTGAGCATCCCAGCCCCGTCTGGTGGGATCGCTCTTGAGGTCAAGAATGGCTTCAGTGAAGGTTGAGCCTTGGACTTTGTAGTCGGTTAGGCAGAACGCTGGGCACATGGGTACTTGTTTTCTTCGTACAGAGAAGCCTTTGAAGGAGATAGATCGTTCTAATGGGAAAACAGGCATTACCGAAAACTCAAGGTTGTCGAATTCGGCGGATTGCGGTCGGTTCAATCTCAACAAAAGACATGCGGGCGGTTTGGTGCAAAACATGTATAGGTTGTTGAGTTCAAATAATTGTGCTGATTGGAAAATTTGGGTCAGCGCAAACTATTTTCGGGAGAAAGACGACTTGCCTGTCGGGTCTAGTACTACACCCACCACCGTTCCCAACGCGCCATTCACTTGGCCAATACGGGAACAAATATTGGTCAGTATCACGGCTGGCATGTTTCGGGTATAGAGAAAGAGACCAGGGAATGGGATCTTTGTCCCTTGGTCAGGTTGCTGGAGCAGGTCTTCGGCCCGTAGCCGCGTTTTGGTGGCGTTTTTGGTTTTGATACGGCTGTGCTCGGCAGGAAAGACACAAATGGTCTGAGATCTGGTGATTGCAAAATGCTCTATCTGGGTGCGATTTATCAGATGTCGAATGGAGTTTAGCTTGGTTATGGCAGTGGCACATTCCAACCGAGGCTCTAGAAGTGAACTGATGGCTTTGGAATTGAGTCGATCTACATCTCGTTGTGTGAGAGCTGCTCGCCGCGCTCGCGTGAGAAGGCTATGGAAGGAAGGGTCTTCTGATTGTCTCATTTGTTCGTCCAAGATGATGACTTGTTTGAATTGATGCCAAATCATTTCGCCGTTCACATCTTCATCGTTGCCGTCTCTTGGTTCCTTCCACAGAGCGGGACCTCGCACTGGAGGGAATTGGAAGAAGTCTCCCATGAGAATGACCACGGGTAGTCCCCCAAAAAGTTCAGTGGAGGACCTGTCCAGTGAACGAGCAATCCTGCAATGGTTGTTAACCACACTGAGCATGGTCAAGTCCATCATGCTCATTTCGTCGATGAACATAATGGTCTTGTGTGCCCAGAGACTTCTGACGCGGGAGCCCATTGAGCTCTTCTGCAGGCGATTGATAGAGATGCCCAGAGATGTATGATACGTATTCCCACCGATGGTGTCTGCAGCAGCTCCTGTCGGGGCCATCAGCATAATCTCATCCTTGCGACCAAGGAGGTCCATGGCGGCGACAATGGCCTTGGGAATCTGCGATTTCCCTGTGCCGCCTTCTCCTGTGATGCAGAGTAGGAGTTGCTTCCGTCGAGAAGAGTCATATGGATGGTCTGCGCATGCCAAAGCTTCGGCTAATATTTTTTCCACGATCAATCGTTGCTTGCTGTTGAGAGGAATATCTTGACCAACTGAAGATACCAGAGAGGCGGCTGTTGGATTCTCACCAAGCTGAAATCGACGATCCTGTAGAGAGTGGAACACGTCCGAGTCTACTAGCATAGGTTGTCGGAAGCCATCTCCAATGTCTTGGTCGAAATCATCTAGCTGGAAGGACGAGTTCTGCTGTTCAGCGATGGAAGCATTGTCTTTCGTGCTCGCAAGGCATTTGAGACGACGTTCCCAGCATTGTAGTACGGAAGGTGGAAGAAATCTGACACCCAAGATATCATTGGCAGAGGAAGTGGGAATGGTAATTGGTCGCGGGTTGAAGTGTTGGATATTCCGCCCTGGTGTTGTTCCGCGGGCTAATACAGGGATTCGGTGCGCTGTGATAGTTGACTCTCGGCTCCAGACTTGTCTGATTGTGTGGTAGGCGGCGATCAGAGTCTCTGCGGTAAAGTTCTCACTCTGAGCCTGGAAGTCGTCATCGTGCTCATCACTATCAGAATCGAAACTTCCTTGGTCGAGATCAACAATCTGTCGGTCAAAAAAATCGTCGTTCAGACGAGTCGATGCACGTAACTTCGCATCTGCCTGGCAGTCTTCTTTAGACTTGCGAAGAAGTTCAATATTCGCAGCGAATTCTCGATTATGCGGTGCGAGGGTTGGTTGCGCAATGGTCCACACTATGGAGTATATGTTTACTTGAGACGTAAACTGGCTCAAGATCGCAGATAAATCATGCCATGGAACAAACAGGCCCAATAGGATCTGGGCGACATCATTCAGAATGGCTTCTGTTGCAGGATGTCCTCCAGAAATGGCATCTTCGGCTTCTTGGAACTGAGTTAGCTGTCCCTTGAATATAACAGTAGCCACGTGAGCAGACTTTTGAGCGAGATGCTGTACGTGTGTGGTGTATCTCGGATGTGCCGCGTCGAAATCGAAGTCGATGGTGGCCGCGCCTTGTTTATCTCTCATTCGTACTAGCATGCAATATTCAAAAAACGTGAGAGTGGCCAGATTTTTCCCTCGCCATTTATAATTGTCGAATAAGCTCACAGGAGCAGTGTCGCCAACTTTATACGTGCAGGCTTCCTCTCCTACAGTACCTTGTAGTTCTTGTGGATGAGTCATAGCGCGAATATACTGCCTTAGCCACCAAAGATTGACGCTGACGAAGTTGTAATTGACGGTGTAGTAGCTTGGGAGGTGAAGTAAAGTACTAGCAACCTGAACGCCACTGATTTCACGGTCATGTGCAAGAGTATTGAAGCATCGCAGGGCAAAGTTGTTCATACCTTTCTCGCGTAGGCGCAGGTCTGCTTCTGTTGGAGGATCCGCTACTCTTGCCTTTTCAAGTGACTGTCTGAGTAAGGCAGCTTTCGCAACCATCTGCCATGGTGAAACGTCGTCCTTGGCAGCGTAATTGGTAACGTAGTAGATCAGCGACAGGGATTTGGCAACCGTTGGTATCCACGATATGTCATGATTCGAACGGAGGCAGCTGGCCAAGGCCGGATTCCAAGGATTAATGCAAGGGTGGTTTCGGGCGAGGTGAATCACACCGAGGTCATCTACTCTCGGGGACGGCACGAGGTCTCTGGGCATACCAAAACGACAGGAATCCTTGTTAGGGTGATTCGACCGGTACTTGAAACAGGTTGCGAAGTGGTGTCTTGAATGCAGCTGCTTTCGCTGAGCCACCAGGTTGCTGTCATAGGACAGTCTAAGATGGAAGTCACTATCGGATTGCACGTCACGGGTCGACGGTGGCATGGGTGAGAGATTGACTTCGGGATCATGTGGCATGTTTTCATCTATGCTTTGGATGATGACCTTTTCCAGGTAGCTGATCATCCTAGCAGCAAAGATGGCATCTTCGAGTACACGCTTACGCAGAGTCTTGAAGCCAAGATTACCTCTGAGCCAAACCAGGGCATGCAAGTGAAGCATACCACGGCCATTGGTCTCCACCACACCATAATGATTGGAAACTTCACCCAGAATTCCAATTTTTCCGGTATTGCTTCCAAGAAGTCCCTCGAAGATGGCTTTGCATACATGATGAAAGAACTCGGCGACAGCAACCGGGTTCGATGTAGCAGTGGCTTCACGGATAGCCGAATTAGCAGCGGCGAAAATGTCACCAGAATACTGCACTCCTGCTAAAATCAGGACAAGAGGATTTCGTAAATCCGAAGGGTTGATCGTGACCCAAAACCCGGGCATTGCAAGCCGGATAATTAGGCCTCGAATTTCAGCTCGGAGTCTCAGTTTTTGGGCGAAGGAGCCTGGAACCCGCATCGCGATACACTCCATTGTGTGCAAAAGTCGACGGATGAGTGGATCCTCAATCTTGTGATGTTGTTCGACAGCCTTCAGTGCTTCAAGTAGTCGATCCTCTGTCAGATCAGCCATGTCATCAGTTGCTGACTTCCAGTTCTGCCGTTTAATAAGGAGTCTATTTGCCAATGAGGAAGTGCGGAGCTGCAACATGTCGTAACCAAGGTACATGAAAGTTTTGTGGCGAGCGAACCTACAGAAGTTAGTAGAGAACTGGTGTACTTTTAGAAGGAACACACCTTCTACTGTGGTGTCGCAGAGCCCACTCCATGAATGATCCTAAAGATACAGAGAAAGGGCGGTCCTCAAGATGGCCTCCAGTACCTGTCGGAAATAGGGTCGGAAACGCAGCAGTGAGGTAGTGGGGGTCCGTCCATTGATCCACTAAGGTGATTTGGCCACGCATGGTGTAAGAGATTACTGGTACACTATGCCTATTGTTCTGTTGCTGGGACCTGTTGGAGACTAAGTCCAGTAAAGTACTCAGAAGTCGCTTATCGGGGTTTTGCCGTTCACCGTTGATATCAGTCGAAACTGAGCCCGTGGTCAGAGGCTCGCTTTCCCCAGCATCAAAGCTGCCATCTTGGGCAGCTTGCAGATCATTTTCGTAGCTACTCCGGCCTAAGCTGACCGTGTAGCCCTCCCGTTCACAGGAATCAGGCTTGTCAAGGTAGATAATGTTGTCACGCACGTCAGGCGGAATAAAGTCATCGGTCCAGTCGTCTATCATGTGATAGTTGATCTCCACGTCTTGATAGATCTGGTTGTGTTGAACCAAATATTGGAGAGCAGCGAGTACCCTGATTTTTCGTACAAGTAAGAAAGGCCTCAATTCCGCATCGACCGGGGGATCTCTTCCGGCCCAGAGAACTTTGATTAAGTTATCCAAACTTAATTCGGGGCTAGGGAGAATACGTAGTAGCGGTTTGGGGTCCTGTGGTATTATAATGAAGTGACCCCGTACTGCACGATAGCTGACCGGTGATGAGTGTCCCCCAGGACGCAGCTTCAGTACAATTCCAATTGGATGACATTTGGCAATCAAACATTCCTCAACAGGAGTCAGCTCTTCAAGAACAGCGGGATAGTGTTGGCAGAGCGTCACATTCACCAGATTCTTGGCAGAAAACTTTGGGATTGTTTGCTGAGAAAGTGAAGTCAGGCATGCCGAGCATATGTTCCAGGAGTGCTCACGTTGGCCGCAAAGGTCAAGTTTGCCACGTAGGAGTCGCATCCTAGGATCCCCTTTCACAACCTCATGTATATCTGTGACGTGGAGGAGTCTTCCGCAAGAGGCACATACGGCTCGTTTGCTAGCAGCCTCGATCGCTTCTTCATATCGGGCCATGGATGAACGAATATGTGCAGGCGATACATGTGGGGGAAACGCATTTGACGCTTCTACCCGTGCATCAAGCTCTTGCCGTAGAAATGTCAAGGCTCGGTCTGTGAGATATTGTACTCTGTTTGGGTCGGGCGGTGCATGGTTGTTTGGTTTGGGGTATAGTCTGGTTTGTTCGCACTCGGACTGGTTTTGCCCCCTGTCGCATGTACGGGATTGATGTGCAGGTTGGTCGCAGGAAGTTTCAATGATACACGGGTTAGGGACGTGCTGTACATGTGGCGGAGCTGGGGCCAGTGGCGGTAGAGATGACTTCAGAGAAGGAGGGCGACATGTTGTTGAACTTGGCGATTGAAGTTGGCAATTGGCGATAGAGCTTGGCGGGTGGGAAATCTTAGGCGCCAGCGGTGGTAGAGGTCTTTTCGGAATATCAGGAGAATATTTTGTTGAACTTGACAAGTGATTGACCTTGTTTTGAAGGGGCTGTAGAGAATTTAGGCTGTAATCAAATTGCGAAGGCTGCGAAGTCGGTAGCTGGTCATCATTGGTTTTATTTACAACGGGGACATCCGGAGGAAGTGGCAAAATTTTCGGAAGTAATGGTCGTGGCGTTGACATGGTTTTTGAAGATTGAGTAGCAAAAGAAGTCTCTTCGTAATGAGGATTGGTAAATTATTAGAAATTAGCGATGGTGGGTTATAAGAGTGTCTTGGGTAACGATAGATTGATGTTGACAAAGTGTACAGAAGGATATGGATACGAGGAAAACACATAACTTAGAAAAAACTTTTAGAATCATTCGATTCATCCTCAACTATGACGTAACGGAAAGGGTTAGTTATTAATTGGTCTTCGAGAATTTACGACTCCTCTGGGGCCGATGGCCACTGAGAATTGTGTCTGCTGATGAATTGTTTTCCGGGGGAGTCAGGTGCTCAACAGTTGCATCCCTGCTGAATTGCCCATTGGGGTGCTCAGTTTGTATGGGAACATGTGCGTCACTGGATGGAGTGGTGGCTGAAGTAAGTGAAGGTTGAGCAGTCTGCTGACCTTCGTCTAGGCCATGGGAATCAGAGACGGATATTCGCCTCTGAGGCCTCTTCATCGGTGTCAGTGGGCTGGCGCGACTGTTCCATCTGTCTGCTTTGTTCTGCTTTTCCGCTGATGAGGCAGGAGTCACGGGGGCAGTCGTAATGGAGCCGAGATTCGGAATGAAATAAACATCATCCACGCCAATTGCGAGCCGAGGCGTGTTCGTAGTAATACCGAAAATGCGTCCAGCGATAAATACGCGAGACTGCGCAGCAAGGACAGGAAAATTCGTCCAACGGTTTCCGTTTCTGAAGTAAATAGAAACCGTAAATGTCACGGACGCTTTGTTGGAGACGTCATAGACATTAGCCTCGAGGTCGTAATGCAATAGATTAGACCCATTGTTCAACTGCCCCCCTCCGCCTCGGACTATTCCCAGTAAGCTAACTGTAGGGAGAGCGGCCTCTGGGCAGTGCATATTGTATGCATGAGGATCAGAATGGTCACCAGGATGGCTAAGGAAACCTTCAGCGGTGGGGAGGCAAGGGTGGCGTTGTGATACGGGATCTCACCAGTCAACCTCATGGGCGTGTAAAATCAAACGTAGAGACCCTTCCGGGTCGACACAGGTTAAGAACGAGCCCCAAGCATAGATGAATTTGTTGGGTTCGTAAGATTGAGGGTTACGCGGCGAGGCAAAGAAATGTATGGTAGTCGGAAGCTCATTCAATTCAACATCGTCTGAGTAGAGATCCGGTTGGAAAGGAAGATGTAAGGACGCCTCAATTTGTAGAGCAAGTCCCTGGCTGGGCCGAGATGGGTCGGGTCCCACGCTGTCTATGAAGTCCCTCAAGTGAAGAATAGCGGGCGAGTTAACCTGAGACGGCATAAGGGCAACGATCTGGGAGGAAATAAAGACCGAGATAGTGCAAGGCCGAAGGGTGATGGACAAGAAGAAGTGGCATTCAAGACTTTCACAGAGATATGAAATATATGTGTAAAAAACATCTAGTGTCTGGATATCAAATTGATACAAGATTGGCAATGCAATGAAACGGAAAACTTTACAGTATTATTTCCAAGCCACACGGAGAAATTTGATCGTATATAGCGAGCGAGAAGGCTTGGGAAAGTAAAAGTGCAGAGCGCATGATCACAACACCAATAATAATGCCAGAATATCTTCACTAAAAGAGAGTGATGATGTCGACAATGTTGGGCCAAGAACGTAGACAACGGTCCCCATCACAAGGATACGAGGTCCACGACGAAAGGGGGCTGCATGGGTGCTATCACGTGTTAAAGTTCCGGAAACGCGAAGCCGAACCCAATAAGAATCCTTTCAGTGATTTTAGCGCGAACGCCATCCCCGAAACGAAAATAGCAGCAAAAACCCAATGGTGCGGATGGAGTCAGAGTGAGCAACAACACTGAAAAGCTACAAAAACGCCAGCAGGGGAGCGGATTGGACAAAGAACGGAAAACTAGAGTCGTTTCCGGTATAATTAGTGTCCAATATCACTGGAAGCATGCGTCCAATATCAATGGAAGCATGCGTCCAATATCACTGGAAGCATGCGTCCAATATCATTGGAAGCCTTTGTCCAATAGCACTCAAGCCTTCGTCCAATGATACCGAAGCACGGCGAGCCAATCATCGCGATTTCGGTCCATTTTCGCCACGATTTTGTATGGACCTTTGGCAGTCTGTTGAGTCGCGAAAATAAAATATATAGTTCGTGTCACGTGCATCCGTTTCCCCTTCCTCTCACTTCGTTCGTTTCAGGGCAAGCACGGCGAGCCAATCATCGCGATTTCGGTCCATTTTCGCCACGATTTTGTATGGACTTTTGGCAGTCTGTTGAGTCGCGAAAATATGAAAAAAATATATAGTTCGTGTCACGTGCATTCGTTTCCCCTTACTCTCACTTCGTTCGTTTCAGGCCAAGGCCCATCTTCAGGCCTCGCATGACTTCATGTGCGAAATAATATTGAAGTTGTACACATCAGCAGGCAGGATACAGAAATGAAGCTTAAAGCTGCGATATGGAACAAAATATCAAGTTCAGCGTTCCATAATGAACCCGTACTCTCCCGAGAAGGAAGATCGCGATCGACTGCATCTACCAAGACACCGTGGATCTCTCGAATTTGTCGTGGTCGGATGGACCCTATGATTGTCATTCACATCGCAAAGCTTAACGCTTTGAGATTCCATTTACCGTTTTGCAACGTGCTCGTGAATTCTGGCCAGCTCCCAGAGGATCGAGTCCAAGGTCGATCATGCCTCCGCTTGGCTCCACATAAAAAGACTGTGTTTTTGCTTAGACCAATGCCATGGTTATTGCTGAAGCCTGCCCAGTTGGCCAGGCGAAATGGAGACGCGTGTAGTACTCTCAATCACCACCCTTCGATTTGTTTCCGAAGGATCTGCACTGTCTGATATCACTAGCCTTGCCAAAATATAGCAGTGCGAATCTGGTGGCGGCCAACGAAGTAAGGTCCAGACTCATCATTTTATCCATGAAAGGGACTCCAACCACAGCCTCAAGAGGAAACTTGAGTAGTTCTACATTTAGTCACGTGGAGAATTAAAATACCGCCAAATTATTCACTACGTACTGGAAGAATTACAGATACAAGAACAGATTCAGATATCCATACGGCCAAATCAAAAGGTAAAGATGACATGGTGTTGAGACATGAGTAAACACGAACAATAATAAGCATGGGTATAATTTCTCCCCTCCGACTCGGACGCAAACCAGTAACCAGGAGAAAGAAGCCCAATATAACAAAAGGCGGCACCCGTAGGTCCACAAGAAGTATATGTATGAAATGCATATGAAAAAGGGGAGGAAAGAAACAACAACATGAAGCGTAGTGGACATGAACATGAAGGACATCAAGCATGAGCTATACACGCTGGCAATGGTAGACGTAATGAAATCAGCCACATGAAAATAAAAAGAAACAGGCAAAGCATCATCGAACTTGTCATCGCAGGTCATCAAAATCGTACAATCATGTCACCGTACCGGGAGTTCGTCGACCGTCGAATTCACCCTCCCCAACAGATTCGGCGCAGTGTAGCGATAGTACCACGTCGTTACTATCGCAAGGGTTCACGTCGCTTCCTGTCGCATCACACTGCACCGGATTCTCGCGGGAAGAATCTTTGTGCCGACATCGCCCAAACGCAAGAGACAATTGCAAAAAGACAGAAAAACCAGGGAATCCTCCCAGTCCGACGAGGACAGGTTGGCAACATCTTCCATCTCCCTATCTTCCATTATCCAAGAAATGGAGGACCTTAAGGAGATAGATCAGTCACCCGAAGAAAGAACCCGCCCTAAAAGCTTTGCTCAAAACACCATTTTTGTTTTTGGTTCCCAATTCCAACCACACAAGACCCGCCCAGACGTAAGCGCTTCGCAAAAAAAAAAAAAAAAAAAAAAAAAAAAAAAACAAAAATTTTTTTCCAACTTTTGGAACAAGGACCCGCCAGCTTTTCGCGACGCAGGAGGTGAAGATAAAAAAGAACATGAGGCCAATCCATTATGAAACATGGGATCGAGGGATGAAAGACAGAGAGAAGCAGGAGATGAAATGGCATCCCCGGCGGTAATCATCGTTTAGAATCGATTCCGGCCATAGGTGGACTGGGAAGCCCGCCGGCTAGATCGTTCCGAGCGGCGATCATCGCGTGGGCGCCGGACATCTTCCAGCTCTCGACGGCTTGCAGTGCCCGTATGGTCGGAGTAAGAGGAGCCCGCAGGCAAATAGGCCTTCTGCTTGCGGCTACCACCAATGCTAAGGTGGAACCCGCCTGCATCGCCACTTCGGATGTTAATCGACTTGCCCTGGACAGCCTCCTCGGTGAATCCAAGTTGCACGCCATCCATCACGAGGCTGATGTTCTTATCAGCGCCTGCCTTGGAGCCGGTCCCGCTGCCACTGCCGCGGCTACTGTTCGACCGACTCTTCTGGCTGCCGTTGTCGCTCCCTGCACCGCTGGCCATCATCGGAATGAGTGACTCCGTTGACATGGGTAGTGCGGCTTGACCGGGTGTTCGACCCGACTTGGCGGCCTGATATTCCTCAATACCTCGCTCTTGGTCTTCCAAGCTCGCATGGCTGGTGCGAGCTTCGTAGTAGTACTGCTCCGAACGATCGGGTCGACGTCGACGGGAGTTCTCGACTGCTACTCGGGCACCACGGCCAGTGTCGTGGTAAGAGCTGGACCGCTTGCTGTCACGCAGACTCTGGCTCCGCTCGGGCATGATACCAGCCTCTCGGGAGAGACGACGAGTGGCGTAGTCTGGCAACGCATTGGCGATTTCCGACATATCCATGCGGTCGGCCGCTCGAGAACTTCGGCGTGCGGGAATGGTTTGCACCGTCTGAGATTTGCGAGGAGGGTCGGGCCGTTTGGCCTGGTGGATCTGTGGGGCCGCCCTGGGTTTTGGTGCTGGTGCTGGTGGGGGTGGCATCTTATAATAGTCCTCGTCACGGCCTTGGCTATACTTGGAGCTGTGTCCACGAGGTATTTCGCGGGAAGAGTAGCGCTCGATGGGCTCCATCTCCTCGAAATCCTGGAAAACCTCTTGATCCAATGGGTGACGCTCGTATACCGAGGCACGGCGAGAACGAGATGGCTCACGGTCAGCCCGTGGAGGTCGAGATCGAGATCGTTCCCGTGGATATTCCGATGGAGCACCATACTCCGAGCCAGCATAGCCACCCGTGTAGGATCCCTGTCCATACGGCGATGAACTGTAGAAAGCCGAGTTCGAGGGCGGTGGGCCATATTGCTCATAGCCATAACTCGGAGGATACATAGGCGGCACCATGGAGGACATCTCGTGGATGCCCATGCTCATGGGTCGGTCATGATGGTAGCCCCCGGAGTGACGGTACGAGTTGGACCGGCTGGTTCGGTTGGAGGGACGGTGGTACTCTTCGTAGCCCTGAGCCCAACGAGGCGGACCGCGTGGTGACGAGGGACCAAAGTCGGGCATGGGCGGACGGCCCAGATACGAGTACGGCGGAGCATACTCCATGCCCGGCGGGAAGCGGTCGACGGGAGTCGAGATGGAGGTCGACGAGGGATGATAGATGGGGGCACCACCTTCGTAGTGGTAGTCGACGTCGTGGTATTGACGGATGGTCGAGTCGCGTCGATCTCGTCGACGAGACTTGGACGGCGACCGGGGCACGTGAGAGGAATGATATTGGGCGGGGCCCGGGTAGGCACCAACCCGCATACTCTCGTCGTGGCTGGGCCGGGAGCGTTCCTTGTCCTTGCGGTGCTGGCGAGTTGAGCCTTTCCTGGCGAGGTCGGCTCGCTGCTTGGGCATGTCCAGCTTAAGAGGGGCCGGAGGGGATTTTCCGCCCGACGGCCCAGATTGGGTGCTGTTGGCCGTGGCGGCGGTGCGACTAGAATATCCTGAGTCACTGGCGACGTCGATCAGCGGCTCCGCTGGGAATCTGTGATCAGACCTGGTCACTACTTTGGCCGCGGTATTGGCCACCTGCCGGCTCTCGGGTACGATGTCATCCTCATCCTCATCGAAGTCCTCGACGCAGGCCGGACGAGGTTTCTTGCCCGCCATGGCTAGCTGCACGTTCGGAAGGCGTGGGAACTGGTTGCAGGCCGCTTCAGCAGGGAATCAGGTTGGTCCCGTTCGGGACAACAGGAGTGGGATTGGCTTACCCACCGCACCGGCAGCGAGGGATATGCTTGGTTGGCAGGGCTGCAAGCCACCTCTTTTCTCTCTTGCCCGATGGGAGACCAAGATGACGGGGTCTATCCACTGGAGGATTTTTTTTTATCGTGGGGTGGTTGTTTGTGCGTAATCGTCTGTGGGTGGTTTGTCGGTAGGTAATTTTGTCGTCCAATCCTCCTCCGATGGTTCTTTTTCGTCCCTTTTTCTCTCCTCCCACCGTGTCTCAGGCGCGACGACCCAGGCTGGGCGACGCAACTCCAGAAGACGGACCTGCCGATCGCAGGCGCGGCGATGGCAGGAAAACGTTGAGGAGCTGTCAGCGTGCGGAGAGTGCGAAGTGGTGTTTTCCAGAACGCAATGTCTCCATCGAAATGGGTGGCAGATTGGGCAGGGCGGAAACGAGAAACGGTCGGGCGGCGCAGCGAGCGTCGTTGGGTGTTCGTGGGTCGCAACGAAGTCAGCCGAGTGGTTGGGAATGGACTGCAGCTGCAGCTTGTGCCTTGGGTTGGATTTGGATCCTCTGCCTGACTGGTACCCGGTGGGGATGTGGAGTAGTAGTAGGGCAGCGATCAAGGGGAAGGCGGCCGTGCAAACGAAGGTGAGATAAAAAGGACCAGATCCAGGGCCCGATGCGATAAGCGATGAGCGATGAGACGAGACAACACGCAGAGGAAAGGAAAAAGGGAAGAAACGAGACGAGGTTTCACGATGGTGCCCAACAGAAGAAAAAAAGAGAAGTGGGGGGCGGCGTCATCCTACTAATAGCCCGCAACCCTACGGAAACCGCCAAACCGCCCAAACTCGTCTGTGCAACGCGTTAAGCTCGGGACCCGCTCGGGTTCCCTGGTTCCCTTGTTTACTGAGTATACCCCGACACTAGCATGTATACTGCGCTTTGAGAGGTACCCGGCGCTGGGGTAGTTATTCTTACTGGAATATCGTGCACGAACGGAAGCATTGCACTCGGCCATTTCGCCTTTGCATCGGCATTGCATTCTTTTTCGCGGATCCAAGTCCCCGCCCGACGTATTGCGGCCCAATCTCGCCTCCACCGAAAACGGCCGCAATATTATCAGCAGAATACTATAGCATCAGAGGAATCCCGTGAAAAATCGCATCCTCCAAATCGCACTCCTCTCGATACAAGACTGATTTCCGGCTATCAAAGTTCAGCAACGTACCGGGTACGACGAAATGTCGGTGGGGATGTCTGCACGTCTTCCTCGACTGGCACTAACCTCGCCCTCCGGCCACTACTGTAAGTGTAGAAGCGAAAATTGCCACATCCATGGTGGGACCGTCGAACCACGCTAGAAAGGCCCTCTGTGCGTCCCGTCCATGTGGCGGGTCCGAATTGGAGGGCCTCTTCGAGCCGCTTCGTGACTCATCCTGCTTTTTGCCTGGAGCCTGCGGAGGCTGTCTGTGTGCGCTGAGAAATACACTACGTAGCTGATACTCTGTGCTGTCCCGCAGAATATCGCACGCTTGAATGGATGGTACCTGTACCTGGGGATGCCAGTGAGTAGTGAACGTTCGAAGGGGAAGTGGGAGTATGACATGCAGCACGGACGCGATCATCCTTTCCCTTCTCAGCCCTCACTTCACCTCCTTGCGTCCCTCGACTGTCGCCATTTCCACATCCCAGGTTTGATCCCCCGCACGTGCGGCGGCATTGTCTTCTCGCCAAAGCTGCGATGAGGACAGCGGGTAGGTCCATGCTCGATGAAGCCAACAGGTACAAGTACACGGTACATCGTGATCAATCTGAGACAATACTTCCTCCCACCCAGCCCGAGCTCAGCCCCGGAATCCAGATCGAGGTTGATCCATGCGGCTCAACGACTCGGTCACCAGCTGGTCACGGTTGTCACTGCCTGTTGCCTGCTGCTGGCTGCCCGCTGTCCGGTGCAGGCTTATCTTCTCCTTAATTTGACCCCGCCAGATCGATCTCAATCAGATCGGGTCAGAATTCAAACATCAGACGGCAGCAGAGATATATAGCCTGGGACGAGCAGGGACCAGGACAGGGACAGGGACCGGGGAGTCGATGGATGGCCAGGGATCTCGTCATTCGACAGCCGCATGGTTCAGCTAATAACCTTTGCGCATGTCATTTCCATCATGCTCGGAGGATTGTTAGTACCTTCTCCCGCCTGGGCTCGGGTATGTCTATAGTAGCGTAGAGGATGTAGTGAGTACTCCGTCTGGAGTACCTCCGAGTCCAGAACCCCCTTGCTTCGTCTTCTGCAGGGTGGCATCAGCTCCTCATTTCCCCCTTCACCGCTCTTTCTACACGCTGATAGCAGCACGCAAAAGGAGGGGTTGCGACGATGAACATCCTTTTCGTCGGAACTCGAGTGCCGCTTTCAACCAGCGATGAGGGTTTCTCGTCTTGTTCCCGGACTCCGGCGATAGCAGTAGCTGGCATCTGCGTGACTTGCAGCAGTCCCCGCTTTGATAATCATGGCGGGTGTCGATCGCTCGTTTGACTTTGCACGTTCTATACTCTTCTGCCCGCACTACACCCATCTTAAGAGATCAGTCAGCTCATTTTTTGCATTCTAAGTGCTGTCGCAATCGATCAATGGATTTTACGCTTGGATCGGTCGTTGCTCGGGTGACGCCGCACTCGAGGGTCGTACAGACTCGATAGTCGTGGCAGATTCTGGCTGGTTACGCACAGCGGTGATCTCTGATTTGTGGCCGGGGTACTACAACAGCCTTGAAGTGTCCAGACGATGACTCCTCGGAGATTTAGTGGATAAATGGAGCTGTATCGATTCGAATTCGGAGTAGCTTTTGGGGAATTCAGTGAAAAATGAGAGTAGGCAAAGATCGCAGATACTATTGTACACGCCTGGCATCAGTTCCCATCGTACCCCTTGTACTAACTCCGCAAGATCATCCTCGACGCTACCCCTCTATACTTAGTAAATAGTACACAAGAGAGGCTGATACCACGCTTGAAGCGCCTGTCCAGCGCATGACCGCTTCGGAGGTAAAGCACAATCACGTCTTGCGCAAGTGAAGTGCAATCCATCCGAACAGTCGATACACCGCAATGATTCCCACGAGGATTCCCACCCACTTCCCTGTTCTGCCGGTTGCGTACCCATACGTCTCCAGCACGCCTGTCCCGCGAATCTGGCACTGATCGGCCAAGTCCGTCGTGTACATGCAGTGGCAGCCCGTGCCGCACGAGTAGTTCCGCTGCGAGAATTCATTGACCATCATGCCCTGAAAGACATAGGCTTGATAGTCAATGTAATGAAACACGTATTTCCAGAAGGGATTGAGGATCTTTGGCGTGACGAGGAATCCTCCTACACTCATCCATAAGCCATTGGCAAAGGCCACCAGAGCCAGGGAAATGACAAAGTTCGGGAACATGGCTGTCACGAAGACGACAAGAGACTCAGCAGCCACGAGGTCAAGGAAGATCCACATCACCCAGGTCATGAAGGCGTCGCCGCCGGGCCGGAAGTTGGAGAGCCAGTAGGAGACAATGGAGAAGAGCATGGAGATGATGACTGTCATAATAAGTTAGTATCATGGTTTCTTCAATACTTGACCCTGGGACGACTTACAGAGGAATGGCAGGCCGATGAGAAAGTTTGAGATGACGAACGGCGTCGCGCCATACAGACCATTTGCTCGCTCTTTGGCAAAGTTAGCTCGGTCTTCCAAGAAGGCCGGGACGTACGCCACCGCCATGAATGACATGAAGGCGGATCCGAAGAACTATACAGTTGTTAGTTGGTTCAAACTCAATCGAAGACAAGGAAGACACACAATGGCATTAACGAATGGCTGGATGTAGTCTTGGGATGGGTGAAGGCGCAGCCAAACCGTTCCCATCATTATGGCAAGTCCTAGAGACTGTTAGCTTGTACCAGTGCAAGGACCAAGAGGGTACGTACCTAGATACATCACGATTCTGATCCCATATGCCACCACATCACGATAACTCTTGATAAATGACCGATGAAGCAGGGCGGCCGTAATTCTGGCCCCTCCGGGCCGAGCGAGATCGTCCACCTCGACTTTACCGTCATCCTTGCCTTCCTGCCGAACTTGATCGGACACCTGCCGCGTGATCGCCTGTGCCTCTGCCGAATCGGCCCAAGACTGCTGGATCTTTTTGACCCGGTCTTGTGCAACCCCAAGCCCCTTTGCGTTTCCAAAGTCTGAGCTGACAATATCGAGGAGGAATTCCGCGGGGTTGGTGTGATCAGGGATCGGGTGACCGATATCTCGGAAATAGTCATCGACGGCCGCCACGGGACCGAAGTAGCATGTCCGTCCTGCGGAGAGCAGCAAAAGCTTATCGAAGAGCTCGAAGGTCGTCGTGGAGGGCTGGTGAATACTGGCGATGATGATGATCTACCACGCACACATTAGCTAACGTCCCTCGACCTGCAGTCTGATTGACAATGCAACTGAAACTCACGTTGTTGGCTCTAGCCAGCTCCTTTGCGTAGGAAATGACCTCGAAGCTCGCTCTCGAGTCTAGACCGCTGGTCGGCTCATCGAGAAACAGGATCTTGGGGCAGGTGATGAGCTGGCTGACCACGCTGACACGTCGCTTTTGGCCGCCGCTGATGCCCTTGCGAATGGGCGTGCCCACCAGAGTGTTGGCTTGCTGCTGGATACCGAATGCCTCGAGGAGCGTCCGGATCCGCTCGATGCGTTGTCCCTTGGACACAGAACTAGACCAGGATATATTAGCTACCGGGTTCGCTCGACTAGCCTTCCATGCTGGCATTGACATACCTGGGAAGTGATAGATCCGCTGCAAACTTCAAGGTCTCTCGCACGGTCAATGAGCCGATCAGAGCATCCTCTTGCTCCACGTATGAAGTCATGCGGCCGAATGCGCCGTTGTCGATTCTCACGCCATTGACATAGCTGTCTCCCATCACCTTGGCCCCTGATCCGGCCGGTCGTCGCGCCAGCACATTGAGCAGGGTTGTCTTTCCACAGCCCGATGGGCCCATCAAGGCGACCAGCTCACCTAAACAGATAATCTGCGTTAGTATGCGAGATAATCCGGCATTGTCCTCGCTGAACCAAGCGATTTGAGAATGAAGAGAGAGGGTATACCTTGCTTCACGTCGCCCGTAATGCTATTGATCAGATCGGTCGCCTGTTTGCTCTGGCGGTCTTTGACGGTCACCGTCAAACCACTCCAAGAGAAGTTTTGCACAGTGCGGTTCATCAAAAACTGCTGGCTTTCGTTGCGCTCCAGGTCCGGGCCCAGGGTCCCGGTATCGACCAAGGGAATTGGCGAGCCCATCTTGTTTGAAACTGGAATGGAAAACCTGTCCGTGGTTGGTTTCAGCTGAGAGGACACTCAAGCTTGGATGAGAGGGTGAACGTGGATGCGGAGACGGATGTGCTACTAGGACGCGGCTGCCGTGCGAGGGTGTGTTGTCTGAGTTGAGAATCGTGACTGCGCCAGTAGGCGTGTTAAATACAAATGTAGATCTGAACCGCGGGTGCCTGTCGCCGACCAGGGACTCGGCGACCTTGTTGGACGCGGCATCTAGTCTTATTTACTAATTTTCAGGGCCTTGCCCTTAGCACATTAGCACACTGATAGTACTAGGGTCAGATATGGTTCTTTGGTGGGGTGGTCCCCGATGCCCGGCCCCTCAGGAGAATACGCATGCTGTTTTAGGCTAGCACGAGGAGCCACGGCGGGTTTGCGTCGGGGCTGTCCGTGTGGCGGCGACAGCTGAGTAAGACGATGGTCCCCGTGGACGCCGCATTTTTTCACAACAATCTTTTCAAAAGCCAGACTGGAGCCCGACACAAAACTGGGGCATTTCTTGCTAAGCAGCCGCTCGAAAATCAAGTCCAGATCTTATGGGTGAGTTAAGCTCGGCCTTTGGTGCCACCCGATCAGAATTGGATGTTGTGCAATCTCAAGATCCGCGGGCTCTGGCATTCTCCGCAGGATCGGATCGGCTGGGCTGGCCCGCCGCTAATGCGCCAAGACGCCGCTATCGACCGAGGAATGCGTTGGACGCCAATGGTGCCCCCGGCTACGGTGCTCACGCAGGAGAACAGCTCTCAATGGCATTGTTCTCGAGCCCATGTTATCACAGTCACAGTCACTCGGGCACGGTTACACACCCGCTACGGAATTTTCATTCGGTCAATACTTATATATCTTTGGGTAGAAGTTCATAGAGTATCATATAGCCAAAGAGCTAACTGTATTTTGTTATTGGCAGACCTTTTGAGCGCCGAATGCATCAAGAGATATCATGGAATCGGAGGATTGAACGGGGGAAGGGAAACAGGTGCAGTGGTGATCTACATCCGCTGCACGGGGTTCAGGCCCAGCACACGCATGCCATTGTTCAGCACCTGGCGCGCAGCCGCGTACAGAGCCATACGAGACTTCTTCAGCTCCGGCTCGCTGCCGATCACCTTGAGCACATCGTAGCTCGAGCTCAGCATGTGAGTCATGCGGAACAGGTAGCTCAGCACAGTGATGGGCTCCTGGGTCTTGACCGTGTTGATCAGGACGTCGGGCCACTGGGCCAGCAGACGGCACAGGTCAACGGCATGTCGCTCGGTCAGGAGGTCGAAGTTGGCGGTGTTCAGCTCATCCTCGTTCAGCTCAGACTTGCGGGTCATCGAGCAGAGACGGGCGTGAGCGTACTGCAGGTAAGGGCCGGTGTCACCCTCGAAAGAGGTCATCGCCTCCAGGTTGAAGTCGTAGCCGTTGATACTGCGATGAAGAGTTAGTGTAAAATCTCGACGAGGGGGGAGACCGAAGGGAGAAGAGAGAAAACACTTACCGCTTGCCAGTCATATCCTGGACCATGACAGCAGTGATACCGAGAGTATCGGCAGTCTGCTCGGGGTTCTCGACCTGCGAGTATTTTACCTCGTTCTTCTTCATGACCTCGTGCATCTTCTCGCCGACATCGTGCAGAATGTCGTCCAGGAACTTCACGGTACCCTTACGGGTGCTCATACCGCGGACCATACCGAAGTTGATGTGCTGGCAGCGGCTGGCCAGGTCTTTGTAGCCCATCAGCTCGGTGATTTTGAAAAGCTGGGCCAGGTGGAGATCTTGCTGCATGGCGACAACGTAGATCATCCGGTCGAAGTGGTAAGCCTCGTCACGCTCGGTGATGGCACCAATGTCACGGGTCAGGTAGAGAGGAGTACCGTCCTTGCGGACAATGATGGCCTTGCCGAGCTTCTTCGCGCCGTGCTTGGTGAAGTCGGCAATGATGGCACCCTCAGACTCCTCGGCGACACCGGCCTTCTCCATAATCTTGTAGGCATTGGTCATGCTCTCGGCCTTGACCTGCGACTCTCCGGAGTAGACATCGAAGTCGATGTTCAAGCGGGCATACGTCTGCTTGTACTTGGCGATACTGAGATCACGGAATCGGCGCCACAAAGCCAGAGCCTCGGGGTCCTGGTCCTCCATGCTCTTGAAGTAGCGGCGGGCCTTCTCGTCCTCACTGGCATCGACCAGCTTGGCAAGCTCGGCCTCGAGGGAAGAGACATCCTCGCTCTTCTCCTTCTTCTGCTTGATTTGCTCCTTCAGCTCCTTGATAGGTCCTTCCTGCTCCGAGACAATCGCGTTGACCTTAACGTAGACATCGAAGAGGTGGTTGATGGGGTCCTTCAGAAGAGCCTCCTCGCTACCGAAGTACTTGAATCCGTTAGCCAGCAGACCGTACTGCTTGCCCCAGTCACCGAGGTAGTTCATCTTGATCACATCCCAGCCCATGACAGTGTACAAGTTGGCAAGGAAACCACCAATGATGGTACTGCGCAAGTGACCGGCGTGGAAAGGCTTGGCAATGTTGGGCGAAGAGAACTCGATGATAATCTTCTTCTTGCCCTTAGAGGGGTCGGAGGGGTCCTTCAGACCCTGGTTGCCGTTGGTACCATAGGCGGCCTTCTGGTCCAGGATACGGCCCAGGACGGTCTTCGCAAGGGGCTGGCCCTTAAAAAAGAATTGCAGTTGGGGACCGCTAGCAGTGGGTTTATTGACGAGGTCGGATTCGGGGAACTTCTCGGCGAGCTCCTTGGCGAGCTCGATGGGGTTCTTCTTAATTTGAAGGGAGGGAACCTAAAGCGCCGAGGGGTATGTGAGTCCGTTTGGTCCGTCCAAGGGCGGTATCAGATCTCTTCTCCGTCTGGGGGAGGGATTGGGGTATAGTTCCACATACCGGCAAGGTCAGGTCGCCCTTGTCCAGAGTGTTTGTCCATTGCAGGCGAGAGTAGACCTTCTGAGCGTCAATCTCGGCAATCTTGGCCACCTCCTGCGCAATGTGCTCGCGATAGATATCGACAGGGTTCAGAGAGGGGAAACAGCCCTCGAACTGGGAGGTCTGCGAGGTCGACTGTAGAGTAAGAGCCTCGACGGAGGCGGGGAGGCTTTCGGACGCCATTGTTCTGTAGTGGCCGAGTCGCGCAGGGAAGCGAGGGGCGCAAGTGAAGGAGAGGTTCGGGCGGTGTGTGGACAACGAGCGGGATGGGGGAAGACAAAGAGGCACTGATCGAGAAAAAAGACGCTCAGCCGGGCCCCGCTTAACAGACTGCGACCCATATGGAGGGGAAATTTCTCGGGGGGAACTTTTTCTGCTGTGACTCAGTGAGGGCAATCCCCAGGCGGTGAGTCACGTGTTGTGACCTACGATGGGCATTGTTCGATCAACAAAGAATGACTTTTGATCGGCTGGCTGTGTATTAGGTGCTATAGTAGTGGCTGCAGATGCAATGTGGCACTAGTTGTCGAAATTACGTCAAAATTCAGCGTTGCTGCCTTGGAAAAGGTCACACATAAGAATTGAGGCATCGGTTAAAGGACCATGCACCAACGCTTGACCATATCAAATATATAGATCGATTACCCTTTTGCTGATTTTAAAAATCTTCTATAGTGAGTTTATCTCGTACCTCACACTGATTCTTTGCCTAGTAGCCTCATAGATCTACGAGTGTCACTGCAGTGTGCGATCAGTTGCTTGGTCACAATTGTTCTCTGTACATTGAAGCGTCAGAGCCCGACGCAACACAGCCCGACGCAACATTTGTGAAATAAGACTATGGAGGCTTCAGACAAGACCATTTGCTTAAACAAAATAAAAGCCTACCTTTCCTATTCGTTGAAGTAGCAGACTTAACACTAGTTGGAATGTGCTATCAGATACCACACCTAAAAGCCAGGGTGTGTGGCTACACCTTCATCTCGGTAGACATTTGGTGCACTCGAGGAAGACCTGGAGGCATTGCAATCTTTAATATGAAGGCGAAGTTTTCTAACACTTAGCGTGAGAACTTCGACGTGGCGCTCATTTTTCGTTCCTATTCGGATGCATCTAATGGCATCTATACTGTATTCTGCCGCAAACTAGTCGTGCGACCACGCGATCGGCCGATCCTCGGGGTGACGTCATCACAATGCCATTAGATGAATTCCTGCAAAAGCAAGCTTCATGCAGCAAACATTCCATTGCATATTTTTACTTCTTTGTACAACGCTCAGCGCTGCTCAAGAAATAATACTGCTAACGATACCATGGGCACCAAACGCCGAGAGAAGGCTTTAGCCAAGTCTATCCAGGCTGGACTACTGCGCGATCCAGACCAGTTCAAAAAATCAGTATGGGGCTCTATCTTGGCCTTCTTCACCCTGCATCGGATCAAGCTTCTGCGACATGAAATGCACTTGTTTGCCAAATTACGCCAAGAGATATGGCAATTCAACGAGGATGAATATCATTCGAGTTTCCGGACAACGAGCGGCCAGCCGCCGCTGAAGATGATGGGCGACTTAGGCTATTCAGGCTCGGTGAGTAACGACAATCAGACCGGTTTGAAGAGAAGTCTTTCAGTTGACAATGTTGTTCAGACATTCATCACCACGACGGATGGTCGTTTTGTGATCAAGAGCCTTCCTCGTCACTTCGAGTATACATTTTTTCAGTCCGATCTCTTGGGGCCATATTATGAGTTCATGCAAACCCACCCCGATTCAGTGCTTGTATGGATAACAGATTATATCCTTTCCCCATATGTCACCCTGGGTACACTTTGTGGATGCACCCCTGCCCATCACATTATAATGGAAAACATCTTGTGCGGACAAGCCGACGATCCAAACAGCGACAAGTGGGAAACCTACGACCTGAAGCCAATCGACTATTTCTACCCAGAACGCGATCTGGTTCCAGAGCCACTTGTTAGCGAGGATACCATAAACAAATTAGCGGACGTCTTCAACGACAAGCTTCATCTATACCGTCAAGATTCTCAATCGTTCTTGAGAGCCGTTGAAGCCGATACCAAATTCTTGCAAGATGCCAACGTGGTCGACTATTCACTGTTCCTTGTACGAATTCCCGCCTCGTCAAGGCCCCCAACTTTAGGAAGAAAAAGCCCTTGGAGAGAAGGGATTCTATCTGCAGATGGGAAGTGGAAATATAGGGGAGTCATACTTGACTTTTTCTGGGCAAAGCACAAACTGCACGCCCAGGCAATGTCGGGGGCGGTGCAGACGTTCAATGTTGTGGGTCGCAAAGGTCCCATGTCAGTCACGACGACAGCAGATGAATACCGGAGCAATTTTCTAAAGATGGTGAGGGAAATGGTAGAGGTTCATTGAAACAGAGTGGCGGAGCATGGCCATCACAGATACCAAGAAGCTATGTCAAATGATTTTCTTAGCTATAAGTACTTAAGAGGCTGCATATAATTCCAACTTTCAAGAATTCAAGTCCCAGAAACGGATTGCTTAGCACCAAATGGCTGATGGTCATTTACCTATTGCTAGAAGCTACTGACATACTGACTATACAGCTACTGTCTTGTCGCCTTTTTCCACTGGTACCTTAGGCATTACCGGTACATCTGCACAATCGACTTGAACAACCTGGTGTTCAATTTTTCCGCTGGCGGATGAAATAACAAGTGCACTCAACTGGTTCCCGTACAAACACGCCGAGTCCAGCCCGATCGCATACCTGCCACGCTGCAAACGACGCTTTGCATCATGGCCGAAAACTACAGTAGTCTTGGATACTGACTTGTCTTGCCATCGATCCCATTCCATGATCCAGCCTTCGTTTCCGAAGGCCTCATCTGGAACAAGTTTATCGTCATCATTCGACTGACGGGTGAAGCTCCGCATATGAATTATGGTGGATGGGTCCTGCTCTTCAAGTGGGACACCGGGAACGAGCCCTGCATGTACGACAATAAGACTGTCCCCCAAGGATGTGGACAAGGTTGGAGGGAGTTTGATGCGTAATATCAAAGGTAGTGAGGCAAGCCAGTCGAGGTGGAAGGTCGAGAGTAATGATGCCGTTATTTGAGATGACAGGCCCGATGTGGGTTTGTCGGGGACCTCGGGTTTGTCGAATGCATCCTCAGGCAACATGGTATCAGCATTTTCGGGCACACCCAGATCGCCAGTCATCTCCGTAGTTTGCGGTGACTGATCCTTTTGTGCATTGATTTCCGCGGCTGCATTTAGAACCGCATTTTCGTGGTTGCCTCTCACTGCACTCGCGCCTAGCTTCATCGCTATATCGACAACTCCTGGGCTATCAGGTCCTTTGCTGACGAGATCACCGACCAGCACAAGATGGTCTTCATTATTCTTATTGAAGCCGACTTTGTCCAGAAGTGACTCCAAAGACTTTCTCATCCCATGTACATCGCCCACGATGACCAAGCGCCCACTGGCAGAGCCATTTTCGGGGGTGGATGAGAGGGGTTGGAGGATTGTGTCGGCTGGTAGGTCTGAGATAAATGTGGAGATCGGGAATATCTTTTTCGTTGCTTTAATTTGTGACATTTTCCCTTGACTAGGAGGTGTCTTGGATCGGGAGGAAAGAAAAGTAGGGAGGCAATGAGACCCGGGTTTCGGGAGAGTCTTGACGCTTAAAGTATGGAGTGGTCCACAAGTACTCGACAAATGCACAGCTAACACATTGGGATGAACACCCTATGGAATGGTTGACGTTTTCTTCAAGAGCTTGGGACACATTAAGATGATATGTGACAATTCATTTTTGTATTGACCGCCCTCATCACCGCCTCTGCCTAATTACCTATTGTATCTGCTCTAAAAAAAGAGTAATCCTCATTCCCTTCACCCAAATCCCGATCCTGGCTTTCACGAGTTTTCTCATATCTCACTGAGCAGCACATCCATTTGTTCACCAGGCTCAAGACACCCATGAGTAATCTAAAACGGGAATCTCAAACACCGGTGCCGTGCAGGTCGCGTTGAAGTACGAATCATGCGTACATGTCAGTGGGAAATCCACACTTCCATAATAGGTGATAGAGCTTCCATTAGCACACTTAAGCGCATGCCCACTGCCAAGGGTATAATCCATGTGACCGGTCGAACTAGCTTCGTTCGACGATCCATAGAAAGAAACAATGCGGCCCGCACCACGATCCGCATAGCCGCAATTGGTCTCGCCGTGGGCGATATCATGGATGCGGTATCCGATGTATTCATCATGGCACGTCAGACCATCCTCGAAGTCGATATCGAGGGTCTGCTTCGGGCCGTAGCCCCATGGCTCATAATTGGGCATTCCGGTCCAGCAGACGTTCACCATGGACCCGTTGCAGGTCGCAGGATTCGGATCACACCATGCTCGGCCGCAGAGGCATCCTTGCGTGTTGCGATCGACCTCGTTGTGGATGCAGTCAAGGCTGTGGGAGCCATTGTACCAGTGGAACGTGCTCACAGTCCATGTGGGGATGGGGCAACCCTCTGGCGGTATGATGGAGCGTGAGTGGAGAGCTGCGGTGAAAGAGCTGGTCGACAAGGCCAGGAGGCCTGTCAGGAGAGACCGAGATGGGATCATGATTGGGAATTTGAAATGTTGATGTCGATCGGGAATAAGATCTTCGGTAGGATGTTTGTGGGTCTTATAAAGATTTTCGCTGCTCGATCTGGTCCCCGGATGAGGTGAGCACCATTGCCTGTTGTTCTGGGCATTGTGGGACTATACGGATCCGATTCGTGGTGATTGTGATGCTGGTGCAGAGCGTGCGAGAACGTCACGCTAAAATATTAGCAGCGGCCATGTCCGCGACACAAAGCCAATTATGTCAGCGTCGTGCGATCGGTGTGTGAGACACGCAGTGGCTATTTGCCGTCGAGCATGATCCATTGGATTCTACCAAATGCAGGGTCTCCACGTTCCTAGTTGACTAATGTGCCTTAGACGGCCGGATGAACTTCCGGGGATCGAGACTGATCTCGGGGTGAGATCTCGAGCACCGTAGCTGGAGGGATCAACTCTCGGTCGCACGTTCTCGATCCGGGGCATTTGTATTTGTACCTGCAGACGGCAGAAGCATCTGTTGGCAACGAAAAAGAAAAACAGCATGAAGAACAGTGGGCGGAAAAAGGGGAGAAAAAGCAAAAAGAAAACACAGCGATCAATCAAGTCGGTCGTCTGACTCATTTGGTCGCCACAGTCTGCCACAATTGCAGTAGCTGACAAGGACTAAACATTGTTCTAGATATGCATGTAAAAGATACTACGGTTTCCTGGAGAGGAAAGTCGGGCGCGGGCGTGTCGACGACGAATGAGACATTATGTTCTTGCATCCGAAGAGGATCGCGGGCGTGGAAGGATAAAGATCTCAAGTAGCAAAAATCCTGGACTCCTTCCGGGCGCATTCGCATTGTCGCAATGCAGAATTCGACACAATTCTGCACCTGGATCAAATAGTTCAAAGCTGCTATTGGCACAATCTTGAATAAAAAAGCATCCAGGTGCATTGCACCGCAGACTGGCCAATAGCCGTGGCGTCTGAGGGGGAGTTTGCAGTGGAGATGTGGCTTGAGGGACCAAGCGATGTATTTGGAGTTCGATAATTTATCCGCAACGAGGCTTTACAACCTCAAACCAGACGAATCTGAATGAGGTCCAATATTGATGAGATATCGATTGGGCTTGTATCGGACCACAATTGCAGTGTCGCGCAGATTGTTGCCGACCAGTCTTGCCGACGGGAATCAACCGTGGGAGCGATGGCGCAACCATGGGTGGGATCCACGTGGAAAACGTGTAGGGCATCCGAGAAAAACAAAGGCGCTGTGCTTGCTTTTTGATATGCGTTTCGAATTTGAGTCGAGAAGAATACTTGCTTTTTTTCCTTCAGTTTACTAGCTCTGCGCTTCCGGCAGAACGAGAACAGCGACCCAAGCGTGTTCCCACGGCGAGACCCGCCAGACAAGCTCGCAAAATCCGTCTTGGTCGGTATTTTCTTTGGAACCGACAATCACAATAAGGAGACCAAGCAAACTATCAAACCCTGTTTGGCAATGTTTCCGCGCCCGCGTCGATCAACCGGGCGCGTTCGGTACTCCGTCGGATGCGCTGTCCGTGGAAGCCAGACTCGTTCTGGAATGCCATAGCCAAGGTTGCTTGTTTTCTCTCTAGCGGCAGTGAGTTGAGTCGAGGGGAACGACCCAGGGTCAATCAGTAGCTATGTGCCGGGCTCATGCCTCGTCATACAGTTCCCACTTCCCACAAAGGAAAGGCAACGGGCAGATCTCATGGCAAATGTGAGACACGACCTTGTCTCTAGTTGCGTCTGAACGGAAGATCTACACAAAGGCGCAGACTATTGTTACGCCAGCGTGGGCATCCATATTTGCCATCTTCGCGATCTCCTCTCGGCTCTTCCCTGGATGACAGTGCCGACTCATTTTCGAAATGGACCCGGCCGCCCTTCCATCGCCATTGGTTACTTGGTTACCGAAAAGTCAAGTTAGAGTGTGTTCTTCGCAATAGTCTTGCTTCTGCAAAGGTAATAATAGGCCACTGCTGGAGTATGGATTGGAAAGAGCGCGAGCGAGCTAGACGGAAGTGGGTCTCTCTGGAGTGTTTTCATGTCGCAAGGTTCGGCTGCAACGGCTTCGCCCAGGTGGTTCGTTGGCCGACAGGGATTTCCGTTCCTGGAGGCTATCATATCCCGCTGCGCGGGAGTTTTCCATCAGATGGAGAAAGCAAGGCACTGTCGTACCCACGACTGGGGCATTTAACTGGAGCATTACCGGGAACACCACCTGGAAGGGACGTTTGTACCGATACGCCCATATGGTTCCACTTGCTGCGAGCTGGGGGAGGAATGAGGGGGTGCGTTCGCAGCCTTGTCAGGGGTGCATGCAGGGGCAATCTGCCATTAGAAGCATTTGATGGAAGCCGGCGCAGATCAAGTAGCCGATCACTGTACTGGAATTGGATTTCGCCGCGAGGCTCGAGAATTTCATGAAAGGCTCTTCGTTGATATATCCGGCTGGTCAGCGGACGAACTACCGAAAGCCTTATCACCCGCCTGATCTGGCAAGCGCGTTGATCGCTCTCCACCGGTTCAATGACTCGTGTGAGCAGACGATGTGGATGGAGTCGAGGCGATCGTTGCTTGTTCGTGCTGTTAAAGTGGAGGCCCATTGCAATGGCGCGGCTCATTTACTGGGAGGCTAGCGATAGTGCCGGCAATGCACCGCGAAATGGGGCCCGCGGTGGCTGTTGACTTTTCTGGCAATTGTAAGTGGATGGATTGAATGCAACGCCGGCACTAGCAAATTGTCCCCGTCTGGTGCTGGCGAGTTGCTGCGCTGCTTTTGTGGTGGATGCCAGTGGGTTCACAGCTGGAGGATGGACGGTGGACGGCGGTTTTTGCTTTTGCATCCCCAGCCAACACCAACCGTCTTCGGACAATTCGGTCCCCACATTCCACGCGACTCACAATGGGATCACCTAGGTCCCTGCATCATCAATCCGGCAAGGATTCATATGGCCAACGCGCGACCGAACCGAACAGCACGATTCAGGGGGAGAAGTTTGCCGATGCAGGGTCCCCACCAGAACCGTGGGACGAGGTTGGGCTGCTGGTCGAAGCCTTTCGCAATACGAACTCCATCCTTGCAGGACCCAATCCCAACAGGCCCCGGAGATTTGAGATTTTACGTTCGTCGTCTCGTGCAGGTTGCAGCCGATCCGATGCGACCAGAAACACCCGAGGTTGTTGGGACGGGCTAGGCTCAGGGGACAAAGCACTGCAGGGACGTTCACGAGGGGACCTTACACAGGCACAGGGTTGACATCTGTCAATGGACCATTGTCATATTGTCATTGTGGCCAGGTAAATTGGGTCTGTCCAGACACAACCAATAACCCGCGGACGTCGGACCCTCCATGCCCACCGAGCCTTTCGATAGTTCCACTCGATCGACCGCGGACTGTCCCAACCAAGCCTTTTTGCTCCTGCTGCACGTTCCCCTTCTCCACGGCACAATTTGCAATTGGATCGTGCAGCGTAGACGGCCACCTCCGCTTTTCAGCCTCGATTTTGATTCACTCGTTCTTATAAGCCCACGCGGTCCTGGGTCCTGGGGCCGGATCGTGAAGACTGGGCCCCTCTCCTTTTGAAAAATGGGAACCGCTGTCTCCAACGCTCCCCGGTCACTCTTTTTTGTATAATGTCGCTTCACGACAAGTACCCGGCCTACGGCGAGCGTGGTCCTACGGACCTGCGCCTGGGCATCTCTCTCGCCATCATTGCCACCATCTTTATGGTATTGCGGGTGTATGTGCGATTGCGTGTGAACAAATTCGGTACGACCGCGTTAATATGGTCTCTCGTTGCTTGGGTATGATATTCCGAACTATTATCAACATACAATTGGAACAATATACTGACTCAACACAGCTATTCACAGCCATTACCCAAGTCTTTGGTATCCTGTCTGTTCTGCACGGTCTAGGTAATCATATCACACTCATTATTAAAGTTGGCCAACTCCACAACTTCCTTCTCTTCACTTGGATCACCGTCTTCTTTTTCAATCTCGCTATTCCCACCGGCAAGGTGGCCGTAGCCGCGTTCCTTATTGAGATGAACGGACAAGGCAGTAAGTGGCCACCACCGCAACGCTCGTCGGACTCATCCGCTAACATTGATTTCTCTTTGCCCAGACCCCAGGATCCGCAAAAGTCTTATCGCCGTTGCCGCGCTTAACATCGTCCTCAACATTCCCCAGGTCCTTATGGTCTGGTTCCAATGCTCTCCAGTCGATGCTCTCTGGGATCCACTTCGTCAGGACCAGTGTGACCACCGGAAGAGCGTTTACTATACATACTTTGTCGGTGCCATCGCCGCACTTTCCGACTTCTACCTGGCCATTGTCCCCATCCACATGCTGGTACCGTTGAAAATCGACCGCAAGCTGAAATGGGGTCTGAGCTTCCTGATGGGCTGTGGTATCTTCGCCGGAGTGGCTGCCATCGTCCGTACATGGGCAGCCAAGTTTATTCTTACTGAAGATTCTTCCTGTAAGACCTTCATCATTTCACTGTGCGTTCGAATCGACTTACTAACTTTCCTTAGATGGCGTCGGAACCCTCTTCCTTTGGGGTGAGGTCGAAGAATGGGTCGTTCTTATCACCATGTCCATTCCCCCAGTCTGGCCACTCTTCCGCCCCTTCACGACCCGCTTCATCAAATCCAATTTCTCCCGCACCCCCGGACCAGACTACAAATACAACTACGGCTACAAGCGTCCTGGATACAGCTCGACAGCCGTGGCCTCACCCATGTCGCCCAACTTCCCACCACCAATGATCACAACTACTATTAACATTTCCTCGGCAAAGGATGGCGCGACGACTATCATACCATCTGAGACGGGATCGCGCATCTCGGACGAGCGAACACCCCACGATATACTCGATAAGAATAGTAATGCGCAGGGTGGTTGGGTAGAGCTCGGAAAGGTGCCGGATAAATATCGACGGACACGTTCGCCGGCTCAATAGGGCTTGGAGGAGATTCGATATCTTTGACCTCGTCTATTACGCTCACCACTAATTTCATGACTGATGCCACTATACAACTTTTTAATTTAACCTGAGAAGATCCCTGAATCCTACCTTTACCATGATACAGTGGACGATGATTCGCCTCTTTCCTGAGAACTGCGGCAATGGTGCGGCTTTGCGCGTCGTTGAATGCGGTGAACTTCAAGAATTGTTCTCAAGAATGGTTCTCGCGAACCGCGTAGCGTATACCCTATTGCTAGGTCATTTTTTAAGGCCTCAACATCACGATGGCGTCCAAACTCGCCGTCGCAGTTTCTCAGCGGAGTAAAGAAACAAGACAGTATGTTGGGCCGCGCATGGGGTTATATTGCCGTTCCGACATGAAATCCCTCAAGGCTAACTGCTGCCCTAGATCTAGCCTTTGCGATGGCGTAGGACAGGAAAGCTATTACCCCAGGTTCTAGTGGATGGGGCATCCGAATCCCCGAACCCCCCATCTGTTTATCTGCCGAGATTTAGCCGGCGGGGGGAAGATACCCATCATGAGAAGATCTAGTTGGGTCAACTTGATCTAACGAGCTTCTGGTATGGCTTTCATCATCTTCTTTCGACACTGCTTTTGGATATCAGTGCTAGCTCCTCTACGGGAGTCATAGTGTCGGCATCTGCCGAATTAACTTCAAAGGATACTCTCTCCCCTGGATGGAAGAAGGGGGGAGGGGGGGCTAAAGCGAGGCGACAATGTCATGAGTTTGGAACAGCTCGTAGACGAATATGAGAGACACTAACCCAATGCACAGAGAAGCTCGTGCTCTCAAAACACAAGTCTTGTCGTAAAGTGTCTCGCGCCATGGCCGTTCCGCGCCTGGGGTTCCCAAATCGGTTGGCGAGTATACGATCCAGACCACCACTGGGCATTCTCTGGACATTGAGCAATCCTGAAAGACCTTGAAACAAGCAGTCGGAAGCGCTGTGGCTCGAAACGGCAACTGGGAACACTGGTTGGCGCTTCGAGAGGAAAGGATTTGTGGAGAAGACCGGGTTCTCCGCAGAATGAGACTGCGGGTCCTTTCACATCTCCCCACGGGGTGCCCTGATTGGGGTGCTGGCGACAGGGGTGCATCCCGGTGACAACTGAATCCGCAAAGGTTAAAAGGAACCGTGTCTGCCAGAAGGAGCAGTGCAGTGGTCAAGCAAGATGGCCGACGAGAAGACTCAGGCGCACAGCGAACATGTGGAGAGGCAGCGGGCCGTGGGGAGCAACCGACAGATCACCTGGACGGAGGCCTGGCAGAGCAGGCGGGTTCTGTTGTGGTGTACGCCTTCTTCTCTCCTACTCCAGGCCTGCTAACTGATCACAAACAGGCCTCTTCATCTTCCTCCTGCCCATCAATTTCGGCTACGAAGTCAGCACCGTCGGCAACCTCCTCGCTGTAAACTCCTTCTTGAACCAATTTGGCGTCGAGGTCAACGGAACGCGCGAGATTCGAGCTACCGACCAGCAGATTCTCAATGCTGCTTCCACGATTGGTCTCTTCTGCTCGGCCTTTGCAACCGGCTTCATTTCCGATTTCATGGGCCGCAAAAAAACCATCATCATCGGTTGCGTTCTCTGCGTCGGTGGCATCATCTTGCAATACTTCAGCACCTCGATCCACGAGTTGTTTGGTGGGAAGCTGCTGAGTACATTTGGATTCGGCTTGGGTCACTCCCTGGGGCCAGTCTTTGTCGCTGAGCTGGCGCCGCCCAAGGTTCGCGGTATCTGCTTGTCGCTGGTCGTATGTTTTCCGTCCACTTGCCATATTCCAAGCCAAATCTCACTGACTGACCTTGTTAGAACACGATGATTGTCCTAGGCCAATGGGTTAACTCTGCGGCCATCCTCGCCTGCTCAGATCGACTAGATGATTCGGCATGGCGCATCCCAATCATCACGCAAATGATTCCCCCTGGCCTCCTGCTCGCCGGGCTTCCTTTCCTAGCCGAGTCCCCCTCGTGGCTCATCATGAAGGGCCGCCCAGAAGAGGCTGCCAAGTCATTCAGATATTTCAATGGCCCTGAATTCAATGTCGACGAGGCCATGGCAGTAACTACGGCTGCTGTCGCACAGGAGATGGAACTGGCGCGCACCGGCTCTGCCTGGCTGGACTGCTTCAGGGGCCCTGACGGACGTCGCACTCTGATCATTTGCATGGTATATATCGCGCAACAGTTTGTCGGTGTCAATTTTGTGTCCGGATATCTCACGTATGTTTGTTTCATTCCGCTTTTCCTACTTCTCGCTGACCCTTGGTTCTGCTAGGTACTACTTCAAACTTGCTGGGGTTACCGATGCCATCGCCTTGGCCCAGGTTGCATTCGCCATTCAGCTCTTTGGAAATATCTGCTCATGGCCTCTCGTCGATCGTCTCGGTCGTCGACCGATGATTGTTGGTGGAATGATAATCATGACGGGCGGTCTCTTGGTTATTGGAGGTATCAGTACCATTGGCTCCAGCCCGGCACTGAAAGCAACCGTGGCTTTCATGTGCTTGTGGGGATTCCTGGTTCGTTAATCAAGACCCGACTGCTTCTCAGGATAACTACTCACTCTGTCACAGTACCAAGCTACCCTCGGTGCCGTCGCGTATGCTGTCGGTGGGGAAACATCTAGCCCGTTGCTCCGACAAAAGACATACTCGATCAACATCATGTCAGCGACAGCTGTATCGTGTGCCGTATTGCAAATCCTCCCTTATTTGCTCAACACGGACGAGGCAAATATGGGCGGCAAAGTGTGCTTTATCTTTTTCGGCCTTTCACTGCCCATGTGCGTGTATCTATACTTCTGTTTTCCGGAGCTCAAGGGACGCACGGTGGCCGAGATCCAGGAGATGTTCCAAGCCAGTCTTCCGGCGCGTAAGTTCAAAAACCATATCTGCCAGAATGACGTCGTGGCTGTGGCTGGAAAGGGCATCGTTCGTGCTGCATACGGCGAAAATGAACAGCCTGCTAGGTAGTGATGGTAATTCCTGTGTTCGTAAGTTCTGACACTTGAGACATAATCCTTTCTGATCTTTCATATTCAAAATAATTGCTCAGACTCTGTAGATCCGTTGCACCGTAGCAACATTTCGGATCCGTACCTGCAGTGTGGTGTTGCCTAATGTTTGTTGTTGTTACTGCTGCCTGGGTCACATGTCTGGCAGGTTGGCGCGCTTGCCTTCAAAGCCACCCTCTCGCTTCTCTTTTGTTTTCCCTCCTACACTTTCGCGATCGCCAACCACCATCCCCTTGCAAAGGTTGTTTCACTAAAATTTCTATCTTTTTTCGCTGTTTCATCATTCTTTAACCTTTTTCCACTGTTGCCAAGTGTGTTCCTCGTGCAAAACCGTCACTTACCAGAATCTAAGCTGACTCGAGTGTAGGATGAGTGCTCAGGGAGCAGTGATGTGGATACCCGTTCGGCTGCGCAGGGAGAATTCCGTCAACCTCGCCTTGGCCTACGGGGACATCGCAGCCTACGTCCAAGCTATTTACTCGCTGAAAATTGCCTGTAAGGAAGCCCGCTCCCAGGTTCTCAGCGGAATGCCTAATGAGCACTTCAGATCGGCTGTCGTGAATGATCCTCTCTCCCATGAAAACCAGGACACCACGGAATTCTTCGACGACCTGGCATACCTCAACAACGCCGCCGCCAAGATTCACCTTCCGCCAATTCAGGTAAGAGACGATGGGATCCCTATCACCCCTGCCAAGATCAACACCTTGATTGGCATTATCGAGAGACTCCGGGCTCATTTGGGCATGCCCTTTTGGGATATCGAGGCAGAGGCTGCGCGTTTCGGGAATGTGAATGTAGGTCCCGATCAAGAGTACATCGACGACCTTCTGCATGTGCTCATCAATAACTCCCAGTACGCCGAGGCCATTGAATTCCTTGACGAGTGGCCGTGTCTTGATGATTTTGATCTCAGTCGCATTGGTGAGATCTGGTGTCGTGAATGTATTGAACGCTATGCAGAATGGGTGTCCCAAGAGGCCAGCATGCTCTAGGTCATGTATTCCAAGGTTCCCAGGCGGTTGACCCCCCTTGCCCGCCTTTTCCCCGTCACCCCCTGCAGTTTAGCCAGTTACCCTAGGCTAGTAAATTGACAGATACGTTTTCACCAATTTCCGTTCCCGCCCCGATTGTTTCTCTCTCAGTTTTCTTCATTTATCGTTCACTTTCTTCTTGTCAAGCCCTCTGGCTCATCCCTAATCGACAATTTCACTCTCTACGAAGTTATGCACTCCAGTTCTTACTATCCAATGCATAGAAGGACAAAAGGCTCAGTTGTAATCAATGCAAAAGTTGCGAAAGAATTCACTTTTTTTTTCGTATGGCTATCGCCACACAGCTTTACAGACCCGAGCCACTTGCAATCTAACATTCTTGGAATCGCACCTAGTACCCCCAAACCAGGCTATGAATTCAATCCAGAAGGATAGCCGAGGTTAAACGGCAGAAGAGCTTTGTGGAGACGTTGGCCGGCTTAGTTCCCCACGGGGAAGAATGATCTTAGTCGCTTCGACTCGTGTGGGGGTGCACGTCAACAACAGCCGCCAGCCACCGTCGTATGTGAGGCTTTCTCCGAACATATTGGCTCGCTCGTACTGCGAGTCAAGGCCGCTCTACCTGCCAACTAGCGATATGACGGGCGGTCGAGCGTGGGGGTGAGTTCTCATTTCTCCAAGCCTTTTCTCCGAAGACGCAGAATGTGGAGACTATAATGCCTTTTCTAGGGATAGCAGGGCTATGGCTTTGTGATGTGCCCTCGATCGGATTCCCCAGACTTGGAAGCCGATCAGAGGACAGCGCTCATCGATTCGTTATTTAATAGTCACTCGGTGGGCACATTGAAGCCATGAGTCAGTTATCATTTGGGACATCCTACTTTAGAAGTCAAATCTTTTTTCTTTCTTTGAGATCTGAATTTCGAACATTGTGACCCTCGGGTCAATATCGCAAGCATGTTCGGCATCAACATTGGCTTCAAGTATCACAAATGGGCGATTCTCTATTGCTCCATCTCCGCGATCGGAGCGTTCGTCTTCGGGTACGACAACACCTACTATAGTGGCATTCTGGGAATGCAGGAATTCAAAAACGACTATGGCAACTACTACGTAGATGGGCAAAAGGTATTGGCGACGAGTTTTACCTCCCTGGCCACGTCGAGTATCTACATCGGGGACATGGTCGGCGCGTTCACCTCTGGCCCGCTGAATGATCGCTTTGGGCGCCGAGTTGTGCTGTGGATAACTTCTTGTCTTGTTCTCGCTGGGGGTGCTACTCAAACTGCCGACACCCATATTGAAGGCGTCATTGTGCTTGGTCGGATTCTCATCGGACTGGGAGTCGGCAACTTCACCGTCACTTCGCTACTATAGTGAGATCACCTTCTATAGGTCTCGGCAATGCAACTTTGACCAACACCGGCTTAGTATGAGAGAAGTCGCGCCCCTCGACATTCGAAGTCCAGCACTCTACATGTATCAGTTCATACAATCCTGTTCCCAGCTCGTCGCATCTGGCACTACACAGGGTACGAACGAGATAAAGTCCTCCTTATCTTATAAGCTGCCGGTGGGAGGTCTGGTGATCTTACCACTCGCCGCATTTGCCCTTCTTCCCTTCATCCCCGAAAGCCCGACCTGGTACGCTTTCCGCGGCAGACGCGACGATGCCGAGAAATCACTTCGAAAGATCCATCAAAATGACGCAGAATACGATCCCTCCGCCGATCTCGCCTTACTGGAACAGACACGAGAGTACGAGGATGAGCAAGCCAAGGCCTCTTCCTGGAAGGCCTTGCTGTGTGACCCTGTCGAACGCAAGAAGCTGATTTGGGCGGCTGGTGGAATGTATGCGCAGCAGATTTGCGGGATCATCTTCTTCTACAACTACGGTGTGGTTTTCGCGCAGGAATCGGCGTTGATCAGCCCTTCACCATCACCCTCATCACCATGATCTTGCAGATTGTCGCGGTTGGTGTGACGGATGACCCTGGGAATAGCCTCGTCTCGTGGAAGGATGCCTGAGGCATAATATTGGGTCGTTTGCACAACGCGTTTGCTGGGGACTTAACCCCTCTTTTTCTGGCGGACTTTCTTTCTTTCTCTTTCCTTCTTCATCTTCGAGATTCTCGTAAGTAGGCACCGAATGAATGTGTTTCTTTCGAACGGCCCGTAACAGTTGGAGCCTCGGTTTTGACGGCCAACAAGCTCAGAAGGAGAACAAACCTCCTCATGACGACGGGTGTTATCATCATGGCGTTTATTGTCATCGGCGGCATCGGTACCCAGAAGGAACTCTCGACGGCATCCAGGTATGTCATTGTGGTCTTTTCCTATGTCGTGATCTGCGCGTATAATTTCGGCCAGGGACCCTTGACGTACGCGGTCACGCGCGAATTGTCCGTTGGTGTCAATCAGAACAAGATCATCTCCGTGTCGATTGTCGCTCTGTACTTCTTCCTCTGGGTCATTTCCTTTACTGCGCCTTATCTGTACACCGATGCTGGACTGGGCCCTATGGTTGGGTTTGTTTATGCGGGTACGACACTGACCTCGCTCGCTTGGGTGTGGTTCTGTGTGGGGGAGACGCAGGGGAGGACACAGTTGGAAATTGCTTCTTTCTTCTCGGAGGGAGTTCCTGCGCGCAAATGGCAACATCATATCTTTACGGGGCTGGCGGGACGTGTGCAAAAGGACATGGAGGCGGCCGTGGAGAAGTCTGAGGCATCTTACGTCCAGAGTTCTCAAGTTAGCTAACTTAACTAATCGCCTCAGATCAAGGGTATTGCTATACTCGTGGAGTAGGGAGATTTGACCGCAATAACAAGCCTATACCTATATGTATACACTGTCTCCTTGTACGATTCCATCATAGATTTTCAGATGACTACCGGGAGTCTTGATATGAGATCAGGTGGAAGAGCTCAGACTGTCGCATAGTCTTGAACGTGCGCTACGTAGATGAAGAGTAGTCGAGTAGTCACATGATACCCACGTTTCACCGCATTCAAGAATAACCTCATTATAGCAGACTCGGCGGTGGAACAAATATGACACCAGGTACTCGCAATGGATCTGATCATAACCTTGGGACGAAGAAACAAAGTGTTGTTCAGACTGTCCACGTCTCCACCTGGTTGCCGATTGACAGCCGACCAGGGGCTGCACGAGCGGAGACCGGGTCTAGCCTAGGGGGTCCATGCAAGTTCCCATTGGAGATTGATAAATCACTGTGAATCGATAGCGAGGTTTCATTCTTGCAAGACGAGTGGGATCTTGCACTAGACTGGTGCTATCGTGCTAAGCAGCGGACCAGTGTTGAGTGGCTGGCTGCCTTGGCATTTCTTGTTTCCCCTTCACCTCCACCGTTTTCCTCTGCTCTCCACTCTCGTCTCGCTGCTTCGCGTGTCTCCAGGCAACAATTAAAATGGGTCGTTCTGCAGGGCTCCAGGAGTCCGTCGGCTTTCCCAGGCCTCCACTCTCACGAAACTCGAAGCTTGCCATGACGCCATCCACTACCATGTCACCTTCCTAGTTGTCGCCAGCGTTGCAACGCGAAGCCTCGGAGGACCCCGCTGAGATCCTCGACCGACAAATCGATGCATCAGGGCGGATCGTTCCGCCACGTCCCTGCTCGCGCGATGCAGGCATTGGCAAGGCTTGGTCTGGGAGTAATCTCGGATGGGTCACTCGCTGCACGATGATCGCTCGGTGCTCCACCCCCGGCTTGCCCAGAAAATACATAAACAGGACCCCTGAGCGCCGCTGGATCTTGTGCATTTCGGTTTCCGCCAAGAACCGACCGAGATCTCACGATGCGCGTCCTCGTTCCTTTGACTGCCCTGGTGGCGACGGTCGTAGCCTTGGGTAGCCCCCACCGCAAGGCTGCGAAGAAGCCGACCCCTGCCAGCCACATTCACAAGCGGGATACACATTCAATCCATGAGGATGATTATCAATACTTGAACAAGAAGACACAGCGTAAGAGGCAGCAATGCATTAGAAGGTCTGGAATAGTGGAACTTACCAGCTCGCGATAGAATTCCTCGTCAACGGAAAGCACTTCCCCCAGGTGCCTTTTGACATTGGCGAGAGCTACTCCGGTCTGCTGTCCAACACCCCGCATGGTAACTCGAGCCTTTTCTTTTGGTTCTTCCCATCTACCAACCCGGATGCGAAGAAAGAGGTAATTCAACCAGCGCAATTAATATCGCTCAGCACCTCCAGCTGATCGCTAATCTGATTCTAGATTACCATTTGGCTAAACGGAGGCCCTGGTTGCAGCTCCCTCGATGGCTTGTTGCAGGAGAACGGCCCGTTCCTGTGGCAATCCGGTCAATATGAGCCCGTCCGCAACCCTTTTTCCTGGACCAACCTGACCAACATTGTCTACATTGATCAGCCTGCTGGAACTGGGTTCTCGCCTGGCCCGGCCACTGTCAAGAACGAAATAGATGTCTCCAACCAGTTCAATGACTTCTGGAAGCGCTTCATTCAGACCTTTAGCATGCAGGGCTACAAGGTCTACCTCACTGGAGAGAGTTATGCTGGACAGTATATCCCTTATCTGGCGGCCGGCATGCTGGACCAGAATGACACAACCCATTTCAACCTGAAGGGTATCCAAATCAATGATCCTTCTATCAACGAAGACGGTGTTATGATCTATGGTACGGTGACGGTGATACACATACTTATATTCTATTCAATAACTAACAAAATCCCCTAGCTCCCGCCGTGGCAGCTCTGAACCACTTCTCATCAGTCTTCAACCTGAACGACACCTTCATGTCCGACATCAATGATAAGGCTGAGAAATGCGGCTACAACAAGTTCCTCGATACAGCCCTCACTTATCCCCCACCTAAGGAATTCCCCATCACGCCCGACTACACCAAGGAAGGTTGTGATGTCTGGGACCAGATTCTGGTGGCTGCCACCTACATCAACCCATGCTTCAACATGTACCACCTGACTGACTTCTGTCCTTTCCTGTGGGACGAGATGGGCTTCCCTTCTCTGGCCGGTGGCCCGAACAACTACTTCAACCAGACTGCCGTCCAAAAGGCCCTGCACGTCCCACCTACCAACTATGCGGTGTGCGGAGGCGATATTTTCGGACCTTCCGGCGACGACGGGTCAGTTCCCAGCTCCCTCGGTCCGCTCCCCAGCGTTATCGAGCGCACGAACAATGTCCTTCTCGGCCATGGCTGGTACGACTACCTGCTCTTCCTCAACGGATCGCTCGTCAGTATCCAGAACATGACCTGGAACGGCGCCCAGGGATTCCAGAAGCCGCCCACTGAGCCCCTCATCGTGCCTTACACCAGTGCTCTCGACACCATCGCCAACCAGCACGGTTCCGCTCCTTGGAACAACGATGCCGGCGGTGGTATTCTGGGTACTGCTCATACTGAGCGTGGATTGACTTTCAGCTCCGTCTACGGCTCTGGTCATGGTAAGTCCCGATCTTGCTTTCGGTTGATTCATTTACTAACGCTCTTACAGAAATCCCTCAATACGTTCCTGGTGCGGCATATCGCCAGCTCGAGTTCTTGCTCGGTCGTATTAAGAGTCTTCAGGACAAGGGCCCTTACACTACTCAGTGAGGGATCGACATTTACAGAAATGGTATATGCCTTGATGCATCCATTTCGGCACTACGATGTTTTTCCCACCTTTGTACATAGTCCCAAGGGATTTCTGAAGAGTGATGGTCATTCATATGACTTGTGTATATTCACCGTCTCTGATCATTGTATTCTATCTGCATCTTCTAAGAACGACCCCTTTTGCCAAGGTATTCTCTGGACGAGTTCCAAATACCCCTTGTACCAGTCGCGATGGCATGTCTTCCATCATAAAGAGGGTAGATAACGACGGCACCGAAAGCCCCAAACTGCCAAATGATAGCCACCGTAACCCATCCAGAAAAAAAGGACTTGGTAAAGATATAGTCCCGATATAACGGAAGAGGCCAGGCGACCCATGTAACCAGCACGATGACCACAAACATAATCACAGCAATTCTCAGCCACCGGTATAGCTCTTTCAGTGTGCCCTCGTCGAAAGGGTGCTGAATGTCGTCCAGACTTTGCTTCTCTACCGGAAGTGATAGCTGCTCCTTTGCAGGGGCCTTTTCGTTCACTTCATCGATCCGATCTGAGTCTTCTTCTTGCATGGACTCGGATTTGGGTATGTTTGTGATGGATTTGACTGAGTCCTTTGCATTCTTGGAGTCAGAATTCTCATAGCCGCTCTCACTGGGTGTTCCCGAGTCGGAATCTGCGTGCAGCTTGGCTTCGTCTTGAAGTTCGATGCGAAGGAATTCTCGCCAGTCGAATATGTAGGGCTTGTACAGGGAGAGGATAGCGGAGTACAATGCGGGGGAAAAGAAAGAAGCGATGGCGGCGTAGAGTGCAGGATACTCTTCAGAAGTAGCTGCAATATCCACAGCGCCGTACATTGACCATGCAGTTGCGAGCCAGACAGCGAGACCGGTGAAGAAGCCAAGAACTGGGGAAATGATCGCGGCAAGTCGTGTTTGGCGTGACCAAAATAGTGTCAGGATGAGAGGGATGATCCCGGGGCATGAAATGACGGGTCGCAGATAGTTGATCCAGGTCATGTTGGCCCCGCCGTAGTTCATGGCAATAGAGATACCAGTGATGAAAACACCGTGGATGACAACCGTAAGGTGACTGACCTTGACCAGCTTCTTGTCTGTCACCTTTGGATTCAAGTACGTCTTGTAAAGATCGTAGGAGAGAATACTGCTGACTGCAATCATGGATGACGAGACTGTGCTTGTCAGGGCCATGAATAGCAGGAAAAAGAACCCGATTATACCTTTGTCTCCGATGAGTGCTTTGATAGTATACGGCATGACCATACCCATGCTAATCTCAGTCGAGGTCAGGGTGCCAGGATAAGTCGGGAATATCGGTGTGTTGTGAATCGCCCTGGCCGTCAGTCCGATCACTGTTCCCAGTCCCCAGGGGATTCCGAAAACAGAGATCGCGGCGATGTTGTACCCGGGGACTGTGGCTTGCACTTCGGTGGCGAATGACTTTTGCCAGAATGCGGTGTCCTGGAAATTGGTTAGCATCACCACTGCACTGAAGGCTTTCGAGATTCCCAAAACCTACCATCACCACGAGGGCCAAGTTTCCGAATTTCAAAATCAATCCCCAGATAATAGCGCCCTTTGACTTGAATGTCAGGACCGATCCTTGATAGTTTCCAGAGATGTAATTTTCTCCTGCGGTCGCGACCACTTTATCATACAGGCCCCCCAAACCACCGACAACCGGGTTTGTGAGAACAGCGATGGTAAAGTAGATTATGAGAATCAATGCGATGGCCGTGTGGAGGAAATCTGTTAAAAATGTTGCCTTGAGACCACCAACTGCAGTGTAGAGTACAACTAATACGTTGTCAGCGAGAGCCCAGAAGAGAGCTGATCCAACAATAACTTGCCTCCAAGTGGAATCAGGATTGTTGCAGCAACAAAGTGCATGCCGGAGACTCCGTAGATAAGTTGAGACCCGGTCATGATCATCGATGCGCAGCCAAAAACATTATTCACCAGGTTGAGCACGATGAACACTAGATGCCCGATTCTGCCGTAGCGCATCCGAACGATCTCAAGTGATGTGTGCGCGTATGGAACTCGGATCTTGGCCATCACACCCAGAGCGGCCATTAATGCAATCTGGAAACAGAGTCCAGATCCCCACCACTATACCGGTGTCAGTTTGGCTCAATAGGCACGGTTTTTTATCCATTTTCATACCAGTGGAAGAGCCAGTCCATAGTTATAGCACATCGCTGCTGCTAGTACAGTTTCATTGATCCACATCCAGGATGAAAACACAGCAGATGCTGTCAATCCCGTTCCCACTGAGCGATTGGCGACCATGAACATCTCTGATTTGCCTGAATCCTCAGAAAGATATGCTTTCTGTATTTTGACAGCGATGAGGATTACGCCGCAGAATAGCACACCTAGGCCAATGAGGAGGCCATAGGCGGCACCTTGCGAGATCAGGGCCAGATTGGCCGTATCTAACGTATTCGACATGGTGGATGTGGGGTGCCAAAAGGATTGGAAGACCAAGAACCGAGACGTGCTGGACTGGCAGTTTTATTTATCGAATGCAGGGTCCATTTCATCTTTGGCCTGGAGCTTGGTCTGCTCTAGAACCAATCGAAGCGAGTTTTTGCTGCCCATCGCAGTTGGGAGTGGTCGAGGCTTCTCACGTCGTCGAAATCCGATATTGCGTTATGGGGACATATTCCAACATGACGTGCCGGAGCATTATCAGGGTATTATCGCTTGCATCAAACGGGTAGACTGCCCTTCTCTCGACGCACTAATGAAAATACATCAGTGTTATTGGTCGCGGCAGTTCTGTGGTGCATCGTCAGTCGGATTGCGTGCCTCCATGACGCGATAGCGATTTGATCCCTCGCTATCGGGCACCAACAAGATGCCTCGCTGCTGCTCCACTTTGGCATCACCATGTGGCTGTCAAAAATAATCCGATCGCTGTCGGCCGATAGAATGGCATTCGACATCAGCCTTGGCAATAGCGAGATGGAAGAAATGGCCAACAGAGCGGTGCTAATGTGAGCAACTATGTTGCCATCGCGGTGTATACAATGTTCAAAAGACGTACATGTCCATAGTCGCTCATCGACATCCAGGCCTCCTTGAAAACCTCCAGGTTCTAAATTCTGCGTTGCAAAGATAACGCGCACCGCCATGACGATTTTCAGAGCCTGAATGATGGTGGAAATCCACCAAAACCCAAGAAGCAGATCATCTTGAATGCATTTGTGATGAAAATGCCCGGTCATTTGGCCCCAGGTCTGTGGAAGCATCCGAACAACCAAACGGACCAATACATGAAGCTCTAATTCTGGACCAATCTGGCTCAGCTGTTGGACAAGGCCAATTTCCATGCGATGTTCATCGCCGATACACTCGGCCGCTATAATGTATACAAGGGCCCGGCCATTGTTGTCCCATCACTTTCTTCGGGCGCGCAATTCCCCGTGAACGATCTGCTATATCTGATTCCTGCCTTGGCTGCAGTCACAAAGAATCTCATTTTCGGAGTCACCGCCAGCGTGACGTATGAGAAGCCCTATGCTCTTACTCGCAGATTGTCCACTGTGGACCATCTCAGCGAGGGCCGCCTGGCATGGAATATCCCGTCAGTTCTTACTTGGATAGTGCTGCGAGGAACCATGGACTGACGGAGCAAATACCGCAAGATGAACGATATGCGATTGCACATGAGTATCTGGAAGTGCTGTATAAGCTCTGGGAAGGGAGCTTCCGAGACGGCGCCGTGCTCGCTGATCGTGAGTCTGGTGTTTATATCGAAAGCGACGGTGTGCGGCAGATTAATCACAGAGGAAAATACTTCGATGTTTCCGGTCCGCACTTCTGTGAGCCTTCTCCACAGCGCACTCCCTTTCTGTTTCAGGCAGGTGTCTCCGAGACGGGGAACGCGTTTGGAGGGAAGCATGGCGAGGCCATCTTCAGCGGGGGACCAAGCTCCTGAAGCGACTCGTGGGACTGTCGACAATATTCGAAACATTGCGAAGCGAGAAGGTCGTGATCCTAGCAATATCAAAGTCATTGTGGGCATTAATGTGCTTGTCGCGGCAACGGATGAGGACGCAAAGGCTAAAAGAGAGGGGTACATTCATTTCGCAGATGATGAAGGTGCCCTCGCGCTATTTGGTGGATGGCTCGGAGTTGACTGTCCACGTAACTCGACAACGAGTATTTCCAGTTCAGCGACTCGCCACGGGTGCAGTCGATCGTGCGAAGATTCTCCGCAACGCTTCCAGGCACGGAGAACCTTCCCTGGACCAAACAGAGAATCGTCGAATACATCAGCGTCGGCGGGCTTCAGGCTAAACTAATCGGCAGTCCAACGACAGTTGCCGAAGAACTGGAGCCATGGGTCGACATTTCCGGGGTGGATGGATTTAATCTTGCACACAGTACGAACCCGGGGACGTTTGAGGATATCATTGAGTTCCTTTTGCCAGAGCTCCGACGTCGGGGCTTGTTTCGGGCGAAGGTTGAGAAAGAGGGTGCGACAGCGCGAGAGATGTGTATTGTATCGCGGCGACTGCCCGACGATTATCCGGGAAGCCAGTTCAAACGGCGCGCCGGTGAGGAAGTTCCTCAATATCAGCGAAACGAATAAAGTAATGAAATTAGAACATAGATTCGCCCAGCTGCTGTGGGTACTAGTGATATCGGGCAGAATCTATAAAATCGCAGTAGTGTGGCATTTTGTTCTGTACATAAAACAATTTGGACCTGGACCCAGTAGCAAAAAAATCCAGTGTCAAGAAACTGGCACCATATTGCATCTCGGTACATTTCAGCATTTTACTAGTACTGAGGGTGCGTTGCCATTCTTCAATGGCTACTGGGCCATTGACCAAGCATTACCTGACCCACATTGGGGCCACTGTCTAAATGGGCCCTGAAATAGGGTATGTGAACATCCGCGAGGCTCAAAGTCAGGGGCATCAGGACGAGCATCGGAATCAGAACAATGTCAATTAGTCCATTCAAAATATGTGAACAGAGAATAAGCGATATGCAACATCATTCGGAAATCCCCTCGAAGGCTGCGCTTCGCAGGGTTCTCTATTGACACGTCTATTTCCTTTATTCACCCATTTACACCATACAGGCCCGCTTAGAAAGCAGGCTCCCGCCACTTAGTCCGTAAATTATAGAAAGGGGCCACTTTTTGGGGTATCCACATCAGTGCGTTTAGAAGCAGAAGACCTGGTCTTCAAGCTTGCTGACAGGGGCGGGCCTTGGTATAGCCCAGAGACTCGGTAGCCTTCTTCATGGCGCTGACCATGGGGGGTGGACCACAAAGCAGGATCTTGACATCCGCGGCGGGGGCGGGGAGGCGCTCCTATAGTAGATCATATGTTAGCTAATATTCACCTCGGCCGAGATCGATCACATGTGCGTGCGCCCACTCACCTTGATCATGTCCGGGGTGACGAAGCCGACACCACCAGTCCAGTTCTCGGGCGGGTTGTTCAGGACGTAGTAGACGTTGAATCCCTCGTCCTCCTTGGCGAGATTCTCCAGTTTCTCCTGGAGCAAGATATCCTCAGGGTTGACGTTGGCAAAGATCAAATCGACCTTGGTGGTGTCGTTGCCGCCGTTGCGGGGGCGGTTGCGGATGATGGCCTCGATTATCTGGAGCATGGGGGTGATACCAGTGCCACCGGCAATCATACCGATGTGGCGGCACATGTTGGGGGTGTAGACCATGGCACCCTTGGGACCGCGGACCTTCATGGTCTGGCCGACCTTGAGGGTGGTCAGGTACTTGGAGATATTACCCTGGGGGTAGGCCTTGACCAGCAGATCGAAGTAGCCGGCATCATTGTCGGAGGAAATGGGGGTGTACGAGCGAACGACCTCCTTGGGCTGGCCGTCGATGGTGGCCGCGAGCGAGATGTGCTGGCCGATGGGCAGACCGAGGATATCAGTGGGACGGGGCAGAGCGAAGCGGTAGATAGCAACATTGTGGGAGATGTTGTTGATCTCCTTCAGCTCGAAGTCCTGGAATTCGGTGGGGTTCAGGACCTTGCGAGGCTCTGCGACGGGTAGAGTCAGTGAGTTCCCGGGGAGTTACACGGGCACCGCGAGCCGCGCGAACGAGGATTTTCTGGGGCACACGCACTGCTGCTGCCGGTGAAGAAGGCAACGGTCGTGAGGACCGAAGCGGCGGCGGCGGCATATGCGGCAAACTCGGGCTTGACAGCGTAGACGCCAGCGACCAGAAGGGCCGAGGGGACGAGGGCGGTGCCGACGTTGAGACTGCGATGGTCAGTACATAGGATCAATGGCACCGCAACAGCCATGAATAGAGCTCGAGCTGTATAGCAACGGCCATCTGGACAGCCAGGAGCAAGACGTACCTCATGGTGGCGGGTTGGAGGAGGGGTGAGAAGAGAAAGTCGCAGCTCGACCGAAGAAATGCAGACGGGGAGGATCGGCGGGCCCCAACGGAATTTCGCACCTGTTTGGGTTTCCCCGCCTCCGACCTCGTCTTCCTTCGAACGGAAGACTGCTGACCGCGTGAGGCCTGTAGACACGGCAGTTACGAGCTACGTTGGGAATTCGAGTGTGACATAGCACCTGAACAGAGCATGGCGCAGCCCTTCAATCTCACCGCGCTGGACCACCAGCTGCTGGCCATGACCGACGAGGAGTTTGTTGCGCACGACTGGGAGGATCTCCGCGATATCATCGGTGAGTGACCAGAGACCCCCATTTGGTCTCCTCACGGCCGTCCTTCTCCAAAAATTCCCCTCACTCACCCACGTAGCTCGCAACGATCTCGGCGCGCTCAAGCGCAAGCCCTCCGATCTGCGCCGATACCTGGCCTGGAGTGCCTCCACCAAGGCCGAGTATGGTTCCATCATTAATTACATATGCCAGCGCCGACTGGGCTGGGCTTTTCCGGGGACAGACACGCCGGCAGATACGCCCAATGCCACACCCTCCGCATTGTCGTCGACCGGCTCAACACCGTCTCCTCCGAGCGGCGACGATTCCGCACCCGCGGTTATTCAAAGTGGAGTCCCGTTCAGGAACCCGCGTCCATTTGCCGATCCCGAGGACTACAAGATCCTCCGAAACGACTGGCCCTACGGCTTGGACGCCGGCATTTCGCATCTCGTCGTCTGGCTGCGCACTCCTATTCCCGTGAAAAGTGCAGAGGGACATCTCACCGACGAATCTCGAGCGTTAATCGAGGATTTTGTCCAGCGAACTTTTGTCGATCGCCTAGCCGACGATCCGCAACAGCGCTTCAGCGATCCGAAGAATCGAGTCCTCTGGTTCAAGAATTGGGTCGGTTTGCAGAGTGTGCGCGCCCTCGAGCATGTCCATATTCTAGTGAGAGACGTTCCAGAAGATATTCTCTTGGAATGGTCAGGGGAGAGCGGGGATAAAGAGTAGAGGTGCACACTGCATTGCATGACATCGCAACAATCTCGTCGCATATATATCACACACATCTAGAATAGACACTACATTTTGACATGAAAAATTTGCGATTCATTTGGCATACACTAGTTCATGACCAACCATCATAATCCTATCATCATCACATCATGATTATGACTGGGCTATTGAAAAGCAATTTGATGGATAATTCAAAGATACGGTAGTACTGACTTGATCAATCCATGAAATTGCAAGCAGAGCAAAAATAGCGGTAGAATTCCTCAAGGTAAACATATGAATGAAACATAAAAAAATCCGGTATCACGATGCGCCAGTCCACCACAAGCAAAATCCAGAATCAGAAAGTATGAGAATGTACACGGCTACGGTCCCTGGCTCCAGGGTACTTCACGACTTCTGCTCCTCCACAAACTTGAGTGCCTCCTCTCGGGAGACCACGTCAATGGTACTGGCTTTCTGCCGGAAGCTGACACCATAGCACTTCTCCGCGACGTGAACCATCTCCGGTCGGAAAGTGGTGCAAATGAACTGGCCGTTGGTCGAATCGGAGATGGACTGGAGCATCTGCGCAACCGCAGTACGGTACTGAGCGTCCAGGTTGGCATCAATCTCGTCGAAGAGGTAGAAGGGTGCCGGGTCACAGGCCTGGATAGCAAAAACCAGAGCAAGAGCGCAGAGACCTAATTGAATGATTAGCAAAAGAATGACGAGAAAAATTAAAGGGAAGGTGACTTACTCTTTTGACCTCCACTCAGCTGTTGGATACGCTGCTGCTCGTCGTGCTTACTGTTGAAGCTGACGCTGATGCCAACACCGACGTAGTTTTCGACGCTCTGGCGAGCCTCCTCGTCATCGGAGTCAACCTCATCTTCTGGTCGCAGTGACCGGTCTGTTTTACGCTGGATGATTAGACGACCACGGCCAGCCGGAACCAGCTTCTCGAAAACATTGGCGAACTCGCGAGACACCTGCTTGAAAGTACGCTCAATCGCCTCATCCTTGCGTTGGTCCAGAACCGAAATGAGGTCGTCAATGGACTTTTGCGACGCGTCCAGCTCCTCACGACGAGTGGTAAGGGTCTCACGTTGCTTGGTAAAGCTGTTGTACTGTTCAAAGGCCTTCTTGTTGACATGTGAATACTTCTTCAGAGCCTCGTTCGTCTTGTGCAGCTTCTTGACGACCACGTTGGAGTCGGTGTTTTTGTATTTGGTGAAAGCCTCATCCGGCAGAACACCCAAATCCCGGATATTAGCAGCACACTCAGCGGCCTGCTTGGTAAGAGCAGCCTTCTTCTGCATACTCTTCTCCATTCGTCGCTGATGCTTCTCGATAGATCGGGCAAGATCCTCCAAGCCGCGCCGAGTTTCGGAGTTGTGTTGTTGGAGCTCATTGGCACGGCTATTTTGCTCCTCGATTAAAGTGTCGACCTGCTCAATACGCTTGTTGAGTTTCTCCAAGGCTTGGCTGAGGCGCTTCTGTTCGCGCTGGGTTTCCTTCAAGTTTCCTTGAACCTCTTCTTCGGCCATATCGATATCGTGGTTCAGGAGCTGATCCAGGCGAGGGTTCAAATTTTCCCGTAGTTCGACCTCCAGCACAGACTTGCGAGCCTCCAGTTCACTGCGCGCAGAAGAAAGCTCCTGGTATTGCTTCCGAAGGTCTTGCACTGTTCCGCTGAGGGTCTCCAGGCGGGCTTCTTCCTCGTTTGTGAGAGCCTTCTGAAAGGGCGAGGCCAGCTCGGCCTCGAAGGCGCTGACCTGGTCATGCAAAGCGGCCAAGTTGGATTCAACGTTGCGGAGAGCACGACGCTTAGCATCAAGGCCATCTGTTTTGTTTTGCAACAGCTCTCGCTTGCCGCGCAGTTCCTGTCGCAATGGCCCGCTGCTATTCTGGGCCTGATGTCGCTGCTGCTCAAGTTTCTGTAGTTCACCAACAGCCTTGGTAATAAGCTGGTCGAGCTTATCCAGTTCCTTGCGAATTTCTATTCCACGGTTTCGCTTAGTTTCGTATTCGTCTCTCCACTTGCCAACGTTCTTGACGGCATCCAGCCGAGACTGGCGCGAATCGTGGAAGCCACCAGTCAGAGCACCGCGCTTGTCAGATCGGTCACCCTCGGGAGTGATGGCGTTCACGCCATGGCTGCGTGCATACTGCGATGCGACCTGCAAGTTGGGGCAAATGATGGTCTTGCCAAATACATGCTGGAAGGCACGCTCGTAGGCGGGATCAAATTGGAGCTTGTCGATCATGGGAATCGTATCGCTAGCACGGGGCATGTTCACGGGGTTCGACCGAAGACGGTTTAGGGGCATGAAAGTGACACGGCCGGCCTTCTCCTTCTGCAGAATCTCCAGAACAGTTGTTGCAGTTTCATCAGTGTCAACAACGTAGTGGAACAAACTCTGCCCAGCGGTGACCTCAACAGCGGTGCGATATCTATCGCTCACGTCGAAAAGTTCAGCCAGCGTACCATAGACACCCTCCAGATTGTGTTGGCGCTTGATTCTCCGAACAGCTGCGAGTCCACGGCTGGTGTTGTGATCCATCATGTGAGAAAGGCTGCGCTCAGCACGATCCATTTCCTGCGAGGCACTGGAGAGGACGGAATCGAGTTTTGCCTCTTCTCGCCAGAGCTCCCTATAAACATAGTTAGTATTCGAACTAAGTCAATTGACCTTGAATACGCTTACTTTCGCTGGTCCATCAGACGGTCTCTCTCATCTTTCGCATTCTGAACCTGCTGGTCGAAAGAATGCATCGTGTCACCACGTCCGTCAATCTGCTTGCGGAGCTGTTCGGTTTCTGGCTCGAGTTGTGCGATTTCGCCCTCTAGTTCTTTAATGTCTTCTTGAGTCTGAATCACAACACCTCGCACTGTCGTAGCCGACCGGTTGCCCTCTCGAATTTCCATCTGCAGCCACTTGTCTCGCTCAGACTTATTTTTGAAACGCGAGTTGCGGCCCTGCTTGGCATAGAGACGCTGGCGGGATGTGTCCGCCTCGGTCAATTGAGCCTTGACACCGTCCTCCTGGTCCTTTGAAGCGTTGAAGCGCGGCAAAAGCTCCTGCAGTTCAGATTCACGCTCGCGAATAGCGCTTTGGACGGAGTTGAGATCGGAGTCATGACGAGACTTAAGTGCCTGCGCAGCAGCTTGATTATCAGAGAGAGACTTGGCCTGAAGTTCGACTTGGGCCAGCGTCTTCGAAGCCTCACGGCGCTCGTCTTCCAATTGGGCCTTGTCAACTTTCAGGAATTCAATTTGCTGGCGACATTCAGCAATTTCAGCATCAATCTGAGCCATCGCCTTTTCGCCCTCATTGAACTGTTCACGGTTGTTGTCTGCATCTTCGACGCCATTCTGCCGTTGTTCCTCCAGGTTGTCAAGCACATTGGCAATTTCGTGCTGTTCGCGGGAATAGATTGTGTACTCGAGGCATCGCCGTTCCCTGTCTTTATCTTGATAATTCCGGAGTTCGTCTTTCTCTTCTTCTAATTCAGCCAGACGCTCGTTGATGAAGTCAAGAAGTTCGTCAATCTTGGATCGCTTGCTGTTCGTGTCATGCATGATCTTGAGAGACTCGGCGCGGCGTGCCTCGTAGACCTGGGTGCCAGCAACCTCCTTCAAGAGAACCAAACGTTCCGAGTCCTTCATATTGGTCAGTGCTGTGACTCGACCTTGAGGTACGATGTAGTACGGGTTGGATCGAGAGAAACCGGCGGATTCGAGAAGATTCATCACGTCGTTCTTGGTGGCATTCTTGCGGTCAAGGGTATATTCGTCCTTTTTTATACCAATCGTGCGTCGAAGCACGACCTCTGGCTTTCCGGTTGGGAATCGATCGTCCGAGTTGTCGAAGATGATCTCGACGTAAGCCGACATTACGGCAGAACCTGAGCCTTCCTGTGCGAGGTTAAAAAACAGATCCCATGAGGACGGATTGTTGAATCGCAGCATACATGGAGAAGGGCCTGGCGTTCCTCTCGGCCCAGGTGAGTGTAGGCATCACTGAGGACAAAGCGAATGGCAGCGAAGAAGTTACTCTTGCCAGAACCGTTGCGGCCAACGATGACATTGTGCTTGGGAGAGAAGGGCTCAATGACCGTTTGGTCCTTGTAGCTATTATCACAAAGAGTTAGTGGTGTGTCCTTGGGAGTCTTTCCACTGATCATGGGGGCTGCACATACCTCTTAAAGCCCTGGATGATAATCTGCTTGACATACATCTTGTGAAGACGCGCGACGCGATGATCACTAGTAACCACGCATTACGTGGCCAAAGCCGAAATGTGAAATGAAGAAAAAGTCAAGACGCTGCCGTTCTGTCAAGCCCGTGCACTGCTATCGACAGAAGCGCGAAGAGCCGGCGTGAGCTGGAAGTCGAAATCGCGGTGGACAAGGGGACACGCGCAGGAGCAGATGCGCGCGCGGCGTCTCGTTGGGCGCGGGGTTCTGCCGGGCGGTGTGGTGGGCACAGAAAAAAAAGTATCTCCCAAGGTTTTGTCGCTTCGTTTCGGACTTTGCGCTGCCCCTCATTTAGCCCAACCCACAAAGATGAGCTCGTCTGAGACTCCTGTCCAGACTAATGGCCTGGCTGATGGCCACGAACCGTCCCACACCTATGTTCCCAACCAGGGTTATGTCAATCCCGAAGGCACAACCGCTGCGGCGGGGCAGGAATCTACCGAGTTGCAAGACGAGGAGGGTGAAGATGAATACTACAACGACATTTTCGACGAAGAACTGGACACAGAGGATTTCTCATCATCCAATCCCGCCGACCTTACCAAAGCCTACAACCGCCAGCGGAAATTGAACGATGTTGCCGCCGATCCAAATGCGCCGAAATGGACCTACCCAAAGACCAACACGCAAAAGCCTACCATCAATACGCACGCTTCCATCGACGACCAGGTGAAGTCTCTGACTCGCCACGCCGCCAAGATCAAGCTTGATGAACAACAGTCTGGTCTGTCAGGCAAGGGTGACCGCGGAGGAGATCGTGCGGACCGTGCGACATCGGAACAAGTGCTGGACCCCCGCACACGTATGCTGTTGCTGCAAATGATCAACCGTGGAATTGTGTCGGAGATTCATGGATGTCTGTCTACCGGAAAGGAGGCCAACGTATATCATGCTATGTCGATTCCCGAGGAGGAGGACGCTGCCCCAGTCCATCGTGCCGTCAAGGTTTATAAGACTAGTATCCTGGTCTTCAAGGACCGCGATAAGTATGTCACTGGCGAGTTCCGCTTCCGCCAAGGATACAGCAAGAGCAACAATCGGGCGATGGTCAAGCTCTGGGCCGAGAAGGAAATGCGCAACCTGCGCCGAATCTATGCCGCTGGTATCCCCTCCCCAGAGCCCCTTTACCTCCGTTTGCATGTTTTGGCTATGGGTTTCATCGGTAGCTCTAAGGGCATTGCTGCCCCTCGTCTGAAAGATGTTGAATTCGACCGGTCCGAGGCCGGGGAACGTTATCGCTCTCTGTACATCGAACTGATCGGCTATATGCGAGTCATGTACCAGACCTGCCGCCTGGTACACGCTGATCTGAGCGAGTACAACATCCTCTATCACAAGAAGCGTTTATACATTATTGACGTCAGTCAAAGTGTTGAGCATGATCACCCTCGCAGTCTGGAGTTCCTTCGTATGGATATCAAAAACGTCAGTGATTTCTTCCGCCGCAAGGGTGTGGACACCCTGCCTGAACGCACTGTCTTCCAATTCATCATGTCTCCTGAGGGCCCGACCACTGTCACTTCTGATGGCGAAATGGACCTAGCGATTGAGAAACTTCTGTCTGCCCGTGAAGAAGGCGATGATGCCCAGCACGAATCGGAGGATGTCGATACTGCCGTATTCCGTCAGCAGTATATCCCTCAGAATTTGGAGCAAGTCTACGATATTGAACGTGATGCTGAGAAGATTCGTGATGGTACTGGTAGCGACCTTGTGTACGGAGACTTGCTTGCCGCTGGCAAGACCAAATCCACACCCGCCGATGAGGATGTCGACGAGGAGTCCGATGCTAGTGGTGGTGTCTCCGTCTCCGGCTCTGATGATGAGAGCGAGGAAGAGAAGGACCCGTTTGCACCGAAACAGCCTCGCGGAAAGCGTTTCGAAGACAAGGATGCCAAGCGTGAGCATAAGTTGAAGGTCAAGGAGGAGAAGCGCGAGGCACGCTCGAAGAAAATGCCTAAGCACATGAAGAAAAAGCTGGTTTCTACTTCTTCTCGCAAGAAGAAATAAGCTTTCGTTTTGGTTTTCACGTGCATGGTTATGTTGTGGCATGAATTCATGATTATATGCATATATGGGATGGAGCATTTGGATATATACTATGATTGATACCTGGGTATACATAGACAAGATAGGATATAAGGTTACGTTGGTCCAAGGTACTTTGACTCCAGTACATCACTTTTGAATTGCACACACACACACACATACACACACAAAAAGACTCGTAGCAGCCCTTCCAATGTTCCTAAGGGTTTGTATAATGGGGCATGAACGCCTCACAAGTATTGCAGTGTGTTTAAACCCCTGAAACCGAATTAGTGCATTTGCAGCAGCCTTGTATACTACCCTAATCCAATATGATGAGATGTGTCTATCACATGATGGTGAATTGCCTATCAGAGCTCTCTTTGACAGTCATGTCTAGCGTCTCATTGCCAACTTTCTCTGCAAAGGCAATGCTTACGTCCTTTGCGAATGCAAGGAGTATGCATCTTCCATAACAAGAGGCAGGAAATGGGCTAAGATCAGACAAATTGAAAAGGTCTTCATCATGTAGGACTCGAAAAGCGAGGAGAAATTCGAGATATCCTGTAAGACAAAAGCTCGAAAAAAAAGGCCAAAGCGGAAGAAAGTGCACCAATAGAGATCTGCAGCAACTCTTTGTAGTATTGAGTATAGACAAATGTGAGAACAAAAAAATTCATGCATTTGTGAAATAATTACCTTTGATGAAAGTATTCCGGTTATTCCTTCACAAGATCGCGCGTTCTTGCCTTGACTCGCGCATACGCTCTTTCAATGATATCCTTCGGGAGAGATGGGATGACTTCACCTTCAGCGAGATCTTCAGGAGTGGTGATTTGGGCATCAGCACTAGTGTCGACCCCTCGGTCTTTAGTGTTCTCCTCAGCCGTGAGAGCGCCTTCGAGTTGGCCACCCGAAAGACGGAGGAATTTCACCTGCATCGGCGCCCGGCCAATCCCAGGCCAGATGTCCGAGGGCAAGAAATCGCCTTGTTCGACACGAAAAGCTTCCCGAGAGGCGACATCGTGTTCGTAAAGTTGTGTCAACTTGTGTTGGGTATCATGCAAAATCTTATCCACGCGCTTTCGAACGTGGGCTCGGCGAGTGACCTCCAGAATCAAGCTGTCATATGCATTGAGGAATCCTTCGTACAGAGCATGAAGGTCGGATAGCTCCGTCAGGCCCGAGTTGATGCGCTCATGTTCTTCATTCCAGACGCGCGTGAAGTTATGCGCTTGCGCAATGAAGCGAGGTAGACGTGTTGATGCAAGTTTCGAAAGGTGACGATGGATGACGACAGTAGCGTCTGAGATGGCGAAGATTGAATCCCGTTGTACAATGACCTGCTCAAAAATGGACTCCATATCGTTGATACGATCTTGAAGCTCTACTACCACGTCCTCTGCCACTGGCGTGTCATTCACAATGACCTCTAGCATGTCACGGTACTCTTTAGCCGAGATGGGGGCCTGAGGTGCGTCCAATGTTTCTTCGATGTTCAGGACATTTCCGGCATTGACATCTTCGGTAATGTCACCCGTAATCGACCGGGCAGCAGCACCACCGCCTTCTGTATGCTTGAGCACCTTGACACAGAGATCGAAGTGGTTAACAAGAGATTCCAAGTTCCTTGCCATTTTACGCGCATGTTCTTCTAGTGATTGGAGCATGCCGGGCATGAGTGACACGGCCTGAAGATCGGATTCGGACGCTGAGGATGATGAAGAGGATGCTGAGGCCCGAGAGGAGGCCAACTTGGTGGCTGAACGGTACTGATGGAGTGCCTGCCGAGTAGAATCGAGCTCATCATCAAACTCCTGATTCGAAGTATCCAGATCGCGCCGGGCGGTATTCGTACGGTCGATGGAGTCCTTCATCGCGGTATTCAACTCCTCCACACCGCGCTCATCTAGGAAGCCATACAGACTCTTTGGCTCCTCGTCTTTCGGCCTGAAGGACGCATGCACAAATGTCTCCTTCAGGAGGTTAATAGTACTTCGAAGGCGGGCATCGGCGGTATCCAGACTATGGATCGCATCCGTAAATTCACTTCGACCCCGTCGGGATATCTCTGCCACCTCAGATCGGACCTTGTAAAGCATGCGGAGCTGGCTATTCAGGCCACGGCGCAGAAAGGTGGTCCGTGACGAGGCGACGACGCTATCTTCCAGGGCGGTGCGGGCGTCCGTGACGATCTCGTTGGCCCTCCAGACATAGTGATAAGAGGATAAGCCGCGTTTGGCTACGATAAGATAGGAAACAAGGGTATCCAGGGTAGGCGACGCGTCCTGCTTGCTGTATTCGTTGTCACCCCGAGGGATGGAGGCTGATGATGATTGGGAATACATCGCCGGAAGAGTCGGTGGCACTGGTCCAGCCCCGGGAGTGCCGATGTCGAGCGAGTGCAGAGAATGGTGTGCGATGGCGAACCGGTTTCAAATGGTTGTCTCCGAGCGCCAACTGCCGCCGGGGCTCCGGACTGAATTTGGGAAAGAAGCTGAGCCGCGAATCTAGATCGATCCTATCGATGAACAGCATTTAGTTGGTGCTCCCAGCATGCGCAGTGATGTATGAGGAGAACGCCCAGGCTCCCTGCTGCCAAATTTGGTCGCTCCAATGATAGGTCTCCACACCGAAAGAGAAGTACAGTCACCAGAGAAGGAAACTGTAGCTACCGCATGGCACAGCGAGGACTCATCGAATGCTTACCCCAACGGGAAACGTATGGATTCCATGAAAGCACATAATCAACAGGACGGGACAGAGCAGAAATACAGGTCAACACGATAACGAGGGCAATCTTACCTGCCAGCAGCTTGGACGTCGATCACCTCATCGGCCGAGAGGTGTTCAAGATGATGTGCGCGGGCGGCAGAAAGTCGGTACCTTGGGACAAAAGGTGGTCTGGCAGCCCCGGTCGATCATGTCCCCGTCCGCCGTGCTGGGCGGCTTAGTGTGTCGGGACTTGCGGGTGACTTGGGGCGACTAGTCACTCTTAGTTCTGCGAGGTACTAGGGAAGTACCCTAGGGCTTTCTCCCGGTTGACGAAGGTGAGGTGACGGAAGGCGGAGATGGCGCCATCACGTGGGGCGACTGCCTGATTTGGCCACTGAAAGGTCTGATTGCCATTAGCTAATGCCTCACCGCCCGCGCATTCAATGAGTCGCCCCCGTTGCGTGCTTGCACCCGTCGCATTTGGCAGACAGCTGAACCGACGAGTCGATGTCGCAATCTGCCGGTTGATCCGCTCGAATTCTGTGACACTTATATATTTCGAGATCGCCGTTCTTCCCCTTTGACCGCACTTTCGATCTCGACTTCTCCGATACCAGGGTTGGTCACCACGTGAAGATCCGCCAGGGTACTCGTCACCGCCGATACGCCGCTGGCGCTCGCCCCTACGATCGACAACCTTGGTGGAAACGGGACGATCGATAACTGCCGCTTCTCCCTGATATTGTTGTCTTAATATCCTCACTTTTGTGATTGGCACCTTTCAACGCGTTCGGATATTCGCATATTGCAGTTCACTACCTGGATTTTGTCGTCGTACACGGCCTTTGGAGTGTCGATACTCTCGCCTGGCCATACCCTAGCCTGGCCATACCTAGGGGTTGGCAACACTTTCTTTCACAGAGATTAGTCCATCGCGCGGCGCCCATTATGGATCAGAATACGCAGCTCCCCTCCGCCTCGAAGGATTTTGTCGAATTGGCGACCGAAGCAAGGAAAACTCCAGCAACCTCTGAATCCCATCACTTTCTACCCAATGATAAGACAGCCACTTCTTCAGAATCACTCGCAGAGCTGGCAAAGCAGAATGTGGCTCCGTTTCTCACGAAATATCATCCTCGGCAATATGCACCCTTGAGTTCTGAAGACGGCACGCCCTCCATCCCTCGTTCGGTGAATGCCGGGTACTGTTATCGCCACCAGCCAGATTCGAAATGTCGGCGCCAGGCCGATGAACAATCCATGCGTCAACTACAGCAGGTAAGGGTATACATGGACTTATATTCCGCATCCATTGGCTAACATGATCAGGAGTTGGAGACGCTTCCTCAAGATGATCAACAGGGTATCGCCCACGTCTGGTCGCTCTTCTCTGCTGCGCCAGCTAAGCAGCGCAAGTTGATGCTCCAAGGCATCTTGGCGCAGTGCTGTTTTCCACAACTTTCCTTCATTTCGGCCAGCGTTCGTGAATTGATCAGAATCGATTTTTTGACCGCCCTTCCCCCTGAGCTCTCCTTCAAGATTCTACGGTATCTTGACACGGCCTCTCTCTGCCGCGTCGCCCAGGTTTCTCATCGCTGGAGAGCTCTTGCTGATGACGATGTGGTTTGGCATCGCATGTGCGAGCAGCATATCCGCCGCAAATGTAACAAGTGTGGCTGGGGATTGCCGTTGCTGGACCGCAAGCGCCTGCGAGAAGCAAAGCGCGAGATCGAATTGCGTGCGACCAACTGGGGCAACGAGACTGTGAATCAGTCCTCGAACACGCCTGGCGATGGAGCACCAAATGGAACCTGCTCGGTTGTTACGCTGCCAAGCAGTAATAAGCGCAAGATTGAAGATGAGCAAAGCTGCCACCAGATCAAACGCCACTGTGTTTCGCCCGCGTACAAGCCCGTTGCAGACGATGACTACTACAAGACCCGCTACCGTCCATGGAAAGATGTTTATCGTGATCGATTCGAAGTGGGTATGAACTGGAAGCACAGACGTTGTTCGGTCAAGGTCTTCCGCGGCCACACCGACAGCGTCATGTGCCTTCAATTCGAAGACAACATTCTGATGACGGGATCCTATGATGCTACAATCAAGATCTGGGATATGGAGACTGGCCAGGAGTTGCGCACTCTTCGCGGCCACACCGCGGGAGTTCGCTGTCTCCAGTTTGATGATACGAAGCTGATCACCGGCGGCTTGGATCACAGCATCCGAGTTTGGAACTGGCGCACTGGAGAGTGTCTCTCGAGGTACAGCGGTCACACAGAGGCGGTCATCGCTCTTCACTTTGATTCTACTCTCCTTGCCTCTGCTTCCGTCGATCGGACTGTGAAGATTTGGAACTTCAAGGACAAGTCGACTTTTATTCTTCCTCACCCCGAAGGCGTGAATGCTGTCAAGATTGATACCTCATCGCGTACTGTCTTGACTGCCTGTGACGACGGCGCCGCTCGTCTATGGGATCTTGACACCAAGTCCTGCATTCGAGTCTTCCACAACCACATCGGTGCAGTGCAGCAAGTTATTCCTTTGCCGCGCGAGATTGAGCTCGAAAGTCACCTGGCAGACTGTGAGAATGATCATATCAGCACAGCATCTAACAATGGAGATGTTCCACCGAACATTCTCTCCCCTATTCTGGAGGCGAAGTCTCTCGCGGTCCAGCCTTCCTCCTTTGGCTCATCCTTCGACCAGGATCAGGATCGTCTTGAGCCCCCACGTTACATCATAACCAGCGGAGTTGACGCTACTATTCGCCTATGGGAGACCAACACAGGCAGATGTCTGCGTACATTCTTCGGTCACCTGGAGGGTATCTGGGCTCTCTCTGCTGACACCCTCCGTATTGCATCTGGAGGCATGGATCGCATGGTGAAGATCTGGGATCCTCGTATTCCCACCTGTCAAGACACCTACGAAGGCCATTCGGCAGCGGTGAACTGTATTGGTCTCAGCGACAGCCGTTTCATCACCGGTGGTGACGACTACCACGTTCGCATGTACGACTTCCGTGCCTAATTATTACCTCTCTTACTGCGCCCTCGACTCCGATATTACACTATCTCTGCCTTTTCGTCACCCGGGGCAGCTTGCATTCTCGCATTCTACTTTTTTTTATTGCGGCGCTATGAACTTATTTGATGGATGGATACCCTGGCGCTTTAAAATATCGGCTTTGTACAAGTTTCGGAATCGATCTTGGTTTCTCTGTCGATGATCGTATTGGAGGCGACTGTACTTTTTGGAGCTTTGACTCCCTAAATGACTATACTCACGGTTACTTGTTACTTTTCAGGCTCGGATCGTGTGTGATCTAGTCCTAGATATATTTTCATCATATTATTTTTATGGTAATTACTGAGTATCCAGTGTAGAATCTTCCGTAGCTTTGTTTTCAACGGCCCGCATACCACCACTTGAGCATGTGCAACAAGCCACGTAACCTACCCTATTCAGTCTTCAGAGTTCATTAATCAGTCGGAACCGAGTCATGATCCGCGATGCCCCCTTCTAACGAGATGATTGCGATAGGCAATTGTTGATCAAGACGCTTGTGGATGCTTCCGAACACGTTTACTAGCATAGTTACTTTGCACAACGTGATATGCCAACTTACCTGCGGGTATCCCCTTAGATCGAATGATATGTGATACAACCATGCCTGCCGTCATTTTTGGCGTATTTTGCTAAATTTTCACATCTTGTAGTCTGCGCAATGGCAGATATGGAACCTTCTTCCCCCAACAGAACGGTCGCAAAGTATAGATTGGATGAGGGAAACCGTGCGCTTGGCTTGGCAGTGCACCAGTGTGGTCTCACTTCCACACGTGCTGCTCGAACTTGGCGTATCGTATCAGTGGATGAACAGTTATTTTCCACTCTTGGTGTTCGGTCACTTCGTAGTCATTAGTATCTTGTTCATGAATGCCCAGGAGCACGAATGGCGATGGACATGGAGGATTCAACGTATGAATCCGGAATACTTCAACCCTTTCACAGCACCTGCGAGATGTGTACTAAAGGAAATCCAAAATTGGATGACACTCATTCTAGAAAGAAAAAGCCCCAAAAAAAGGACGAAAATATGAGTATATGATCTATTGAAGACATAACATGACTCATGAGGGGACATCGTCACTCAAGTGATGAAACAGGAAGATACGTGTCTGTGACATGCCTCACCACTTAGGGCACTTTGAGAACGCCGAATATAATTCGTCGCAATATTTTACAAAAACCCAAGATTTCATCGATTCTGGAATACAAGATGTTTGGGCCACAGTGAATAATCTCCTTGCTTTGAGGTCTTGACGTTCTCATAATAGACATTCTCCTCTCGCCCAACCCTATGGCTATGGTTGGCCGACTCGCCATAGGCTCGAGTTTCCGAGACGGCAGGAATTGTGTCTGAAGAGGGGCAGCTGATCTCGGGTCAATCCTTTCCCGGGCTGTATCACATTGGGTCGGAGGCGGAGGAGAAGAGCGGCCTTGTTTGACTTGGCGTTGTCAAGTTTAGGCCATGGCGTTCTTCCGATAGCAGCCTTCCTGGTAACTCTTGGAAATTTCTGGATATTTCATTGATCATGGAAATTGGTGGCGTGAGAGTTTGCTTCTTGGTGAAAACAAAATGAAAACAAAATCTCATAGCTTACGCATCTGATGCATCAGATCCACCTGCGCGTCGTATACTTGGTCTGTAGGTTGGTCTCGGCAAACGAGATCTTAGTAGAGATGCTTTCATTGATTATACCCCTATCCCTACGAGGTCCTAGTGCTATTTGAAATACCCTTTACGTGATGGGGAGGGAGTTGATAGAGGAACCCTGTGTCTCCTGCAAGGAGGCCCAATGAGGAGTCCGCGGAAATGAGCATTATCAATCTAGATCCCAGAGCGTTTTTCCGAACTTCGGGGAAACTGGGTGACGTGGGGGATCAGCGACCTGACCAGAGGATCGGTCTAGGCAGACGTGTTTGGTAGTATCCAAAAACGAGGAATGGTTCCGACGTCAGCCCGCGATGAGGCGGAGCAGAAGTATGTGCTTGCCAGCTCCCGACCCACCGCACGACCGTTACCATCCGCACTAGACATCCCGTACTAAACATCCCGTACTAGACATCCCGTGTCGGATCCTCGGCGGGACTGGCATCGCGCAAACCGTGAAGAATCTCTATGCGAGAGACAAGATTCCGCCCCTTAATATCGACCACTGGGCGGCGGCCCGAGCAGCTGAACCCGCTCCGATCGGCTCAGCCACGCCGAGCCCAGGCCCACGGCGGAAGCTGCTTGGCGCGAACTCTCCCGCCGAAACCTTGACCAGGATCTGGTCTGCTCGTTGATCATCCTCGTCACCGCTTGGCATTCATCCCTGAAGTATTTCCCCCAGGAAGTCCTCGTCCTATCAACCGAATGAGTTACCCACCTTGGGGTCCAACGAGGCGCGGTGCTTGGCGTGCCCACCGATCTGCACCGGCGTGATGCCGTCAGCACTCCTCGATTAGCCTCTCAGCGTCTCACGATAAGCCAGCTGCCGATTGCGGACGCCCGCCAAGCGCGCCAAGTGCAATAGATGATGGACCAAGGCAATCCGTATTCATTGGGTCGGAATCAGTGTGTTGATACTGTATCGCTGCAGCGGGCTGGGTGATTGAATGTCCGTTCGGGAGACCGACATGACAAAACACATGGGCATCAACTCAAACTTGAGCCCATCTATACATCGTTTTTAATCAATATAACTATTAAGATTAAAGAAATACGCTTGAACGTTTCTCATTTTAATGTTGTTCTGCGGGTGAAGCCCCCTGCGTCCCTCTGAGACGTGCCACGGGACTATCATTGCATCAGGATGAATACCAAAGAAGACGGGTGGAGAAACCCAAGATTCCAAGAAAAAGACGAAAACTACCCGCGTATAGATCCCTGCCAGGTGCCATGATCTGCCATGTGCCCCTCGCGGTCGATCCCCGAAGGTCTAGTCTAAAAGACATATTATCTTGTCCCGGGGATTGGGTCGTGGTCCTTCATCCATTTCCTAGTCTGGTGCTCTCCTAGATACTCTAGACCAACATCAATTTTCCCAAACTATTGGAAAAAATGCAATCTCCGCGACGGTCACTCTCCTCTGCCACTACGGAGGAGGGTATCGATACTAAGAACATTCCTGGGGACGGCGTGCAAAGGAGTCGAACGGCTTCTATCGAGAATGGCACCGATGTCTCCTACACCGGTACAACAACTGGGACTGGACAGGGCCTACCACTCCCGTCTGGGACCCAGATATCGCAATATTTCCTCACAGAGCTAGACCCAAGACGTGCAGATATTGTCTTGATCATCTGCGGATTCGTTGGCGGTCTGGTCGACGGTTTATCATTCAACGCATGGGGAAGTTTTTCAAGCATGCAGACTGGTACGTGTTGACGCTCAAAACCGGTATGGTGGACTCTTTCTGATACTGATCCGCTTTAGGAAACACCGTATTCATTGCACTCGGTGTATCTGGACAGCCAGAATACCCAGCATATCTTTGGGCCAAGTCCCTCATCGCCTTGACCGTCTTTCTCCTGAGCAACATCTTCTTCATTCACCTATCTCGCGCCCTCAACCCCCCTCCGTCGCTCAACTCTCATACTGTCTTTCGGACTCCAGACTGCTGCCATCATTGTCGCTGCGTCCGTGGTCCAGGCCGGCATCGTCAGCCCGAAGCCAGAAGACCCACGCGCCCCGATCGAGTGGATCCAGATCTTACCGATCACACTGTTAGCATTCCAAGCGGCGGGGCAAATATGTGCGTCCCGCCTGCTCGCCTTTGATGAGATCCCTACTGTTGTGCTCACCACCCTTCTCTGCGATCTACTCGTCGACACCAAACTATATACTCGGCCATGGTCCGCCAACCCCAAGAGGAACCGGAGGATCGCTGCTTTTCTGGCCTTGTTTTCCGGTGCCATGACTGCTGGGGGTCTTTCCAAGTCCTGCTCCATGGCCAGTAGCTTATGGCTGGCTGTTGCGTTGAAGGGCGCAATTACTGTATCGTGGTTTGTTTGGAAGGATGTCTCAGGATCCTTGAGACCCAAGGCAGACAGTCCTGTCTAGTGCTGTCGGCGCCTTACGATGAACCTAACTAATATTTTGATGATTCGATGAATTGTCTCCTCATGTCAGATCGCCCGATCGCCTTTTTCGAAGTTTCGTTCTAGCGCTTTGTTCGTGTTATGTGTAGGATGTGATGTCCGCAAGCGTTCTAGAGTTTTTCAGTAGTAATGTCTGATGAGCAATCGGAAATCAAACATTACGGGGGTATACAGCTCTTAGTGCGTTTCCCATGCCTTGAATCGCTCTATATTCTTCGCCGTGCATATTTCATCCGCTTCGAGGGTCGGCGTGGGAGACGGGCTCCAAGTCACCTGACAGGACCCAGCGATGCGCAGCGACTAAGCTCATCTCGACCACTCAAAAGGAACCAGACCCGACCTGGAAGAGTTATATTTCGTACTATGCTCAGTTGTGTTTCAGAAGTTAGCCCATTACCACTACATGGCCAGGGCAATTGAAAATGATTTGGGTGCCTTTCAACTGTTTTCTTCATCCATCTTCTTTCACCTTAACCTGCACACCCTTTCTATTATTATATTCTGGATTATCTGGACCGCCAACAGCACCGAATGGCCAAAAACTTCGATTTCGGCTTGTCCGACCCCCACCCCGGGATTCCCGGTGAGATCTATTTTGGAGAGGACTGGGTTCCTTCTTCTCGTACGTACCTCTTTACTTGCATTGATCCATCTCAAGGGTTTCAATTCATTTGACAAACCACAGCCGTACCCGACGTAGGGTTCGGACGTGCGATGATTGATATCTCGGACCTTCCGTCAGTGGAAGATCTTTCCAGAAACAGAATCAGGCTTCCTGAAGTGTGTAAGTCTATTATATCGCAACTGACAAATCATTTTTGGTGATGTGTTCTGACCAGTTGCAGTCGCAGCATGGCGCGAGAAGCTTGCGCGCCCTTTCAAATCCAAGAAGAACAAGGGGAAAGAGTCCGAAAAATCTAGTGACAAGTCGCGAAGCCGGGAGCGGAGCTCGCTGAACATGTCCTTGTCGTCACTGTCGTCTCTGGGGAACACATTGAAGAAGAATGTTATCTTCCCTTTCCGTCGTTGAATTTTCATTCACATGCGGTGGCTGTCGACGGCTGCTCCTTTCATGTCGAAATATGCTAGCTGTGCCTGTATTGATGCTGGCGCTCTTGGCACTGCTGATGCTTGTTCATGTGATATTTGCTTTGCTGTTGTCCAGGTGGATGGAAATTTGCTTGGTTTTTGAAAACATGTTGAAGTATGCCCATGTCTCTTTACATTCGCCTTTCACATGCCTTCAAATATGACACCTATCTTTTGACTTTATATTTCATTCAGTGGTATCCACTGGCCTGGCCAACTCCCACTTCTGTGATGAGCTCATGAAGGATCGCCTCTTCCCTTTTTGAGCCATCTGATCCATCATCGAATTTGGGGTCTCCGGTACGTGGATTTACATATCAGTTGACATCATTGCCACTCTAAAATCGGGGATTGAGCTATTTCAAGGTGTACTCACAATCTCACAGTTCTTCTGTCAGCACGTGAACTTCATCACAGCAGCTCAGAATATTTCATCGAGCGCAGCATTTCCCCTCTATTTCGATCGTTCAACCGGCAGCATCCTCCGTTCCCTCAGATTGATACCACATCAGTCCTGCTGCCAGACTCAGATATCTCGCTCATCTTCAACTGCTCGATTCATCAAAGGCATGTGATCCCTTCCTATATCATCAGTATTTGAATACATGAACCCAAGTCTGACCTAGCTGCTGGCCCAGTTACCCTTTCAACTCACCATCGCCACATCAGCTCGAATCCACCCGAACGCCTTCATCCGAGACTGGCAGCAAAAATGGCCTACACTGAAGAGGAGTACAAGACGATCATGGAGCTCTTCAGGGACCACGTGTACAAAGCTTACAACCCGATCGACCGGTACCCAGCCGACATGGACTGGGATATTGCTCATGGAATGGACCGGATCGACGACAAGAATGACAAGGACTATGATCCGTCGACAGATGAGTCTAACGGGCGCAGAAGACGTTCCAAAGTCAAGAAGGCTAAAGTCACAAAGTCCAGAGTCATGAAGCCACGAGCAAAGATGACGAAGCCCAAAGCGCACAAGGCCAAGAAGCAAGTTGCACCCAGTGCCTATTCCGATGCTGCAGGGGAGACAATGGAGAATGCCAAGAGTGAACACACCATGCGGAGTTCTTCATCCGAAGAAACCATCCTCGAAGCTGCTCAGCGCGGAACCTCCGCTGGGTCTGTTCTGGCGGGCTCTATGCAGGCTGTGAGCCCACTTTGAAGCGAGCAGGATTGATGTCGGCAACGGAAGCGCAGAGAGGAAGAGGAAGAGAGATGCCTGGGGACCTACCTCCTTACAACCTGAGCGACGGAAACACATTCGATGGCTAAGACCCAATGCGATTTTTCGGGTTTGAATTCTCACAATGGGCCTGAATCAATTCTGCATAGCACTCGGAGGTATCTTTTCCTTTTTTTTTTTTTTTTTTTTTTTTGTTGTTGTTGATGTGGTGGTGGTCTAGGACGGGCTGGGCTAATTGTGCTGTTTTGCGTGGGGTTTGTTTGTATAGTTCGGGTGGGTTACCAACTCCCCGAGGCTGGAGTAAATGGGTTCAGTATTCGCGCATCGCGGTCTCCGATCTGGTCGAGTGGTCTATAGGATTGTAAAAGACTCGGCCATGCACCATGCTGTGCAGTTCGGTGAATTGGCTCCGACAGGGTGATAGTTGTATTCACTGGCAACGCTCGGGTAGGGCTCCCTGTGTAGCACACAGGAGTGACTGGCATTCACTATACGAATTGAGAGTCACTGCCCTCTCAAGCAGCATAAGGTCGAGGTCGAATCCACCGATCTGAGCCTCTTTCTCTCTCTATCTCTCTCTATCTTTTTTTTTCTCTACCCATTTTTCCAGTTGTTTGCCTTGCGTGTCTCCCACAATGCGTACTGTTCGAGCTTCTTCCGTTCCTCTGCGCCGCGGTGGACACCCCGACACCCGCCGGGCTAGGGCTGGCTCCGCTCCGCCCGGCGGAGCGAAAAATCTCGCCCGCGCGCTTTCTTCTTCACTGGACGAAGACACCAGACCCCGGGAGTCATCCGGTGAGCCCTCACACTCCTTTTCTTCGTTGCCCCGAGCTGCCGCCGTTTGCGCGCAGCTCCACGTCACCACGTCGCCTACCAAGCGCCGCAAAGTTTCGCCCAGCAGCCCTGGAGAGGCAACCCACCACTCCGACACTTTCCTCTCCGCTGCGTTGCCACGCTCGCCAACCTCCTTCCACCCCTCGGCCACCTCGCCGGACTTGCCACCATCCTACATCCCTTCCCACCTGCAGTTCCCCGCGCCCGGGACTCCTTCGCACAGCCGCTCGCCCACGCCCGCGACCGCGACAGCTGGTTTGACGCTGGCGAGCGACCAGTCGGATATGAACAAGGACGCGCACGAGGCTGCCCCGAGCACCAACGGGGCCAGTCGATCTCCCTCTCCCGGCGACAAGCGTCCGGCGTCCGAGATTGACGACTCCGAGCCCGAGGGAGGCGTGAGGACCGCCGTCAGCAATGGCGACCAGCGTCCCTCGATCGACGAGCAGATTGCTCGCGTGCAGGCCACCATGGAGCCCGACCTCCGGGACCGCCAAAAGGGCTTCGTGGTCGCCATGAGCTGGATGAAGACCATCCTGGCCCGCAGCTCCGCCTACGCCAACAAAGTCGACACCAACCCGCAAGACGACAGTGAGCTCGGCCCCGTCGACAACTCGGGCCTCGTCCTGGATACGGGCCCCACCGCCGAGAAATTCAAGGACGAGAAAGGGGAGCCCTTCGTCCCACTGCGTCCGGGCTTGAAGCCGTCCGAAGACTTCGAAGTCGTTCCGCAGGAGGGGTGGGATCTGATCCAAAAGTGGTATGGGTTGGCCGATCAATCTCCGGTCATCGTCCGATATGCGCACAATGTCAACCCCCGCGGCGAGGACGAGCATATCGAGTACGAGATCTACCCTCAAATTTACACCATCTACAAACTGGTCAATCCGTCCGTCGGCTTCTCCCCCAAACTGTTGAAGGAGAAGACCCGTGCTCCAGTCAAGCTTCTGGCGCATGCCAGCAAGAACTTCCAGAAGTGGCTGAAGGAAGCCAAGAAGGATGCAGGCATTGAGAAGTCGACCAAGGTCCGCGTATGGAAAGTCGCTGGCGGCATCCCCAGTGCCACCGCTTCAGCCGCAACAACCCCCGCCGTCTCCCGCACGGCCTCGCCTGCTCCGCCGTTGGGCCTCCTCGCAACAAGCAAGCACCTCATCCTGGACCCCAACACTTTCCTCGAACTCGCCGAGGGCACCGAGCTGGAGCTTCTCGACGAGCAAGTCAAGGACCAAACCGACAACCCCAAGTACAACGGCAGTATGACGATGCGCATGGCAGGCCTGGTGGGCACCGAAGTCGTCGTCTTGGAGGAGCAAGTGGGGTCGAAGAATGGGAAATGGGCCTCGGAGGTGGTTAAGCAAAAGCTCAAGAGCAATGGTCTGCGTCCCGACAAGGCCAAGAAGGAACCAAGCGCACTCGCAACCATCACACCGGCGGACAGTGCCCGATCGACCCCGGTGCAACAGCAACAGGCCAAGGTCGAGCGCGTTCGCCCGCGAGGACCGCCCATGGGCAAGACTGGAATGGACAATCTCGGCAACACCTGCTTCCTCAATGCAGCCACCCAATGCCTCCGCAATGTCGAGGAGTTGACCTGCTACTTGTTGAGTGACAAGTTCAAACAGGAGCTCAATTTCGACAACGCTCTCGGCTACCATGGCGCGTGTGCCAGTGCGTATGTCGAGCTGCTCGGAAAGATCCACCGCCAGCCACCACCGTCCTCTGTGGTACCTCGACCTTTCCTCAAAACCATGCTGAGGTGTTTTAACCAATGGATGGAAGCAATGGCCCAGCACGATAGCCAGGAATTCCTGTTGGCTCTCATGGATGGCATTGCCGAGGATCTGAATCGAATCGTCGACAAGCCTTACATCCCGAAAAGTGACTCGACGGACGAGATGGTGACCAACCGCGAAGCGTTGGAGGAGTTCGCGGCCAAAACGTGGCATGAATACAAGGTCCGCAATGATTCGGTAATTGTCGACCTGTTCGCTGGAATGTACAAGTCGAGCTTGACCTGTCGCAACTGTGACAAAACCGTTATCAACTTCGAACCGTTCCTCAACCTGACCCTTCCTATCCCCTCCAAACAGGTCATCTACCGGGAGGTCTTCGTGCAACCCGTTGAAAAGCCTCTGTTCAAGATGCTTGTCGAAGTCGATATTTGGCAGCCCTTGCATCATCTAAGGGATGAAGTTGCCAGACGCGCTGGACTCCAGAGCGATCGGCTCGTTTGCACTGAACTATACAGAAGTATCTTCCATCGGATGCACCCCTTTGACCCGTCGCAGCGGGCTTTCGATGTTCCTTACCAGGGATTAAGAATCGGTCAGAAGGACCAACTTCTTTTCACAGAACTCGACGGCCCGGTCAAAGAAAGCACCGTGATTCCCGTGTTCAACCGTTTTCACTCGGGCGAGACCAAAAGTGGAAAGGCCAAGTTCGAGGCCTTTGGCATTCCCTTCGTCATTTCGATTCGCGAGGACGAGTTTCGTGACGTTCAAGCGGTTTACAGCAGGGTGATGAAGCAGGTGGCGACAATGACCTCGCAGAACATCCCAAATGTGAAGGGGCTCGAGGTGGATCAACCAGAGCAACTCTCTCCGTATGGCGATGCGCACCCACTGGCTGGCACCATCTCCCGCACTCTTCTGAACCTTTTCGATGTCAAAGTCGTAACAACCGTCAACACCTTCCCCACCGGCCGTGAGCTGGATTCGACTCGCGAGTACCCATCACTCACTCCCAGCACTCCGGCCCGAGCAGCCACGAATGGATCTGAGGATGAATCGGAGGCTTCCGCAGAGAGTGATGCCGATAGTGCGCACAACAGCGAGGCTGCCGAAACTCAGAGCCTAACTGACGAAGTGGAAGACGACTCGGTTCTCCCTAAGCAAGGTGATGCCCTCGTTCTCGACTGGAAAGATGACGTCCGAGATGCCCTTTTCACAGGAGACGAGAATGATCCGAAAGATATTCGGGACATGGTAACCTTCCTTGACCCCGATCTCGTGTTCGATAGCGACGTCATGGAGGCTAAGGTCGCCTGGGAGCACCGGGAAGCCCACGGTATGGGTCTGGACCAATGTCTTTTCGATTTTGGGAAGGAGGAGGTTCTTGACGAAGGCGAACAATGGGAATGTCCCCGATGCAAGGAGAAAACGCGGGCACAGAGGAAGTTCGATCTTTGGTCGAGTCCTGACATCTTGGTTGTACACCTCAAACGTTTCTACCAGGTGACCAAGAATTCGCAACGCAAGCTGCAAACGCTTATCAATTTCCCTCTTGAGGGATTGGACATGCGAAGGTATATCACCGGCCCGCATAATGGGAAGCCGCTGCTGTATGATCTCATCGGAGTCGACAATCATATGGGTTCCATGTCCGGCGGTCACTACACGGCCTACTGCAAGAACTTCGAGGATGGGCGCTGGTATTCATACAACGATGGGTGTGTTGATGACATCGAAAATTCCAAGCAACGAGTCGTGTCCCCAAGCGCATACATCCTGTTCTACCGCCGTCGATCTTCCGAACCTCTTGGCGGGCCTGCTGTCAGTCAGGTCGTGAAGGCCTTCCGCAACCCCTCCGAGGTCGATGAAGAGGCCGAGGGCGGTCCCTTTGCCGCTCAAAACGGCATCTCGAAGAAGGCCCCTGAGCTGGATGCTACCTTTTCCAGCTCCGACGAAGAAAGTGATCACGAGCCCTCTACCCACCTCAACTACCTCGACTCCGAGCCCTCGTGGTCATTTGGCCCGATGACGGCCCCTAGTCGGCTCTCCGATGATGAACACGACCAAGCCGACGACAACAATGACCTCTTCGAGGAGGACAGCAACGTTGCCGTCGGGTCCGACAACGGAGATCGCCTGCAGGACCTGGACCATCCAGGTCCTGCCTCTGACCACGACCTTTCCTTCGAGGAAGTTCCTCCGCTCCAGGAGGACGGGTCGGAGGATGAGCTCCCCGTGAAGGAGCTCACGGTTGGCGACAACGAGATGACGGACATGTAGTCCGATCGCCGCCGGTGGGGGCAACCTCGAAGTTCGTCCACTTTCTTTCTTTTTTATTTGCACATGGAAAAATTTCTTGTTTGATAAATCTGGCGAAAATGGCGTATAAAAAAGGGGGCGGGGGTGTTTATTTTCTAGTTCAATTAACATTCACATTTAGTGATTGTTACATGCTTCCTTTCCGTAATTTTCTTACACGTAGCTCTTTGTAATCCTCGCTTTGGTTCTTCATATAAATCTCAAATTCCTCTCTCTTTCGGTGTACCTAATGTCTCTTCTCGCATAGCTGGAGCTCTGCTTCTACGCGATATCGGTCCTCGCAAGAGATCCGCGTCATATCGCAAAATAGTGGATGGTGGATTTTCAATCCATGTTGTAAAGAGCGGCAAGACTAAAAACATGGTAACTGCCGTGTGGCATGAATAATCGAACTGTGGCTGCTTTTCTGATATTTGGGCCACACCGGTCTCTCAAACCAATCAGTTTTCTTCGTTGTTGCAACCTACCTTTGAAGTCAAGTTGCTCCTCTCGCAGGTTGGCGTTCTCTTGATCTCATTTGCTTGAATGGCAGTTTCGCTCGACCTCGGGAGTCCGCCTCTTTTGTCACTCATGCATTGGCACATCCAACAGAACAATATAAGGCCATCATATCTCTCTCACGGCCCCATTATCTTGGTTGGTGATAGGTACCAGAGGATATATCAGAACAGTCTGCAAGTAGTGTAAAATGCCCTTGCAATTTATTTCAGCCCCGCGCGAGTTGCTTTTCAAATCCACATTGTGGAGCATCGTGTGGTTAGATCATTGCATGTAGTAAAGGCGAGACCAAGCAGCATCACGTTCCGTCTTCCTCCATGCTCTTCCCACATTTACCTTCCACTTCACTCTTACTTCTCCCTCAACGCATCCCCCCTCCATCCCCACAGAAGCTCCAAAAACCTCGAGTCAAATTGCCGCTGACCTCAAGTGCACCATGCCGAGGCTGACGATTAAACCACCCAGGCCAGAAGCTCACAGAACAGACACCGAGTCCGACGACTCAGATAAGCAAGACACATCTGCCCCAATGGACCCTGCCGACCCTCTCGGTCTTTTGGCATGGAGAGAAGCACCCACCCTCAGCCCTTCCAATTACCCACCTCTCGTCGGGTCGAACGCCCTCCTTTCTTACAATGGATACCCACGTGCTCACAGACAGCGCCCAGGACAAGGTTCTGACAGTGAAATCAGCCATCTCGACCTCGACGTGGCGAATGGCAGCCATCAGCAACAGGGTAGACATTACCAGAGACACCATCATCGAGATTCTCCCACGCCTCGTGATGCTCGCCCTCGAGCTTCGGCAGATAATGTTCATCGAAGCAACCCTCCCTCGAGCCAAATGTTCAACGATGGACGGCGTCTGGCTTTGGGCAACTACAACCAGGTAACCCAGACAGTCCAGACGGCCTATCTTCGCCGCGAGGAACTCGAATCACAGAGAATCTCGTCCGAGAGCGCTTTTGTCCAAGACGCAGATCGCCAACGTTTGACGCTGGTACACCGTATGCGTCGACAGAACCAGAGGACTCAAACAACCCAGAGGGTCCGGGCTACGCGAGAGACTTGGCCTGCAACGGGTGACATTCACAATTTGGGATGGGGATATGGATATCATGGATACCCCTCCATGTTAAACTATCGACTTGACTTTTTTGATGGTATCACGCCGGTTCTGCCTCGTTCTGCCGCGGATTCCCCACCCGGACATGCCTCGGATTCTGACTCCTATCGCCCTCGCCTGCATTGTACCGGCATTTCGTTCAACGGTATAGATCCTGGCTTACTGCGATGGAAGCATGAGAATGGGCCATAGCCCAGGAGGCTGCCAGACAGGCCCGGGTCAATATGGCCTCTCCACGTGGCTCCTCCTCGAATGCACCGGCTGATGATGGTGATCATATGGATCTAGATTGAGGTTTTCGTGAAGCACATGGGTGTTCTATGGTGAAAGGCGGACATTGAATGCAAGGTGTGAGGTTTTCAAGGTTTCAAGAAAGTATGGGGCTCTTCGGACAGGTTGGATGTAGACCTACAAACAATCGGCTGAAGCTTCGTTCGCTGTGATCCGGTGTTGGCCATCCAGGGTGTCCATCTCCTGCGATCTTCTTATCTTTTCCAGTTTGAGTTATATTCCCGGGAATTCGTGGGTTCCAGTATTTAACTGTTATCGATATCCCATGGAGTCTGTCGTGTGCCTATGGCATTCGATTGCCTTTTCATTTTCAGCCTCAGATCTCATGTATACACCAGCATTTTACTCAGGCTAGCCGTGTACGATAGTTGAGTAACACAGGACTGAAACTTTTCGAACCAGTCAATTGGTCAGAAAGACTTCCAACTGTTCATCCACGCGAGACTAGGAACATCACAATCTTATCATGAAACAAATAAACAGCACTAGAATATGAAATATTACAGTGATAGTGACATAGAAATATCACAATTAACATTAGAAGAACTGTAATATGATTGGCGATAGTCGTCTTATGTAGTCAAATATTCTCGGCATCCTACGAGTTACTGACTTCCTAACCATGAAGGAGGATTTTTGACATAGTGAACAACAAAAGATCTCAACCTTGCGGTCATACGCACCGATCGACAATTTCTATGAGCTGGTCTGACTTCACTAGTGCCTGCACGTAGAAGGAATCTTCATGGCTGACAATTACAGCACGTTTAAAATTGCACCAGAGTAAGAACTGCGATGGAATATCGGGTATGCAAACTCCTTTTCACAGGAAGTAGTCGAATCCGACTCCTATGTATTGACCTCAGCACCTCCACACTATATATGGCAGTACCATATGTACAATCCTTTATAAACCCATAACGCCGCAAAAAATAAACACGAACCGGGGCAACGCGACGAATTAAACCCAATAAGTAAATATAGAGCAAAGAAATGTAAACGCCCCGAGATGCAAAGAATGATTATTTTGAGCGAGATCGACTGGGGCTCGGTCGATCAGATCACCGCGCAAGCAATCGATGGGATAAGCGCTGTTCTATAGTTGATGAGATGTTCAGAAAATGTGGGCATTCCAAATGGAGAGCACAATCAGTGTCGGAAAAAAATAGAAAGACGAAATGAATGTCGAATGTGGATATGATGACTGTAGGTCGGGATCTTCCAAGCGAGGTGAGGAATCGTGGTTGCGAAATGAATGACGTGATGTGAAACAATCAAGCTTGGGCAACGGGCCATCCGTTGACGTACTTGAGTGGATTAAATCCGAGGAAGGCATCCTGGCAGAGAAGTGTTAGTCCATATATCCTGCTTGGATACCGAAAGGGGGAATGAAGGAGGATCGGCAAGGGTGTGGCTTTTCGATCTCAATCCACAAGCCTGCCATTATGGGGTACTCACGGAAAATGCAACTCCCACTGTTTTGTTCTCTGGAAGTGGGGTTAGCAGTTTGTATATTTGATAACGATTGACATGGTTGCGATGTGAGGTGGGTCCACTTACGGTAGTGATAGTAGAGCACGTCGGTCTCGCCGACGCGGATTACGCCTTGACCACCAGGGGCATAGGTCTCGCCGTTAGAGCCATAGATGACGGTTCCACCACCATTAACAAGGTCTTTTCCAGACTGATCAAAAAATGGACCGCGGGGGTTCGTAGACCGACCAACGCGAATGCTATATCTGGAGGGCTGTCAGTATCGGGCATGGCAGATGCGTAGAGTTTTATAGAGCCAAAACTTACTCCTGGCCTGCAGGTGGCAGGTTGTCCTTGTCCAGGTTGCAGCAACGTCCGTGGCTGAACCACAGATAGTAAAACCCGTCATGGTACGAAATGAAGGCACCCTCAATAGCATGGGGTCCGGTGGGATCTCCACAGATGGTGTTGGCCTTTCGGTTGGGGCTGCTGACGGCGTTGGGCTCGTACGCCAGATGCACAGCGTCTGGCTCGGTAGTGCTGAGCGGGGAGATGAGGTCCTTGGCGAGAGGAACTTGATAGATGCCCTTCCAATAACTGCCGAAGGTGAGATAGGCACGTCCATCCGGGGTGATCAGCGTGCTGGGGTCGATAGCATTGGAGACAGTATACGGAGACACATCGGACCCATTGCCTGTTCCAGTCTGCACAACCACACCGTGGTCATGCCATCCACCCGGCCCCGGGGAGTTGGAGGTAGCAACACCAACAGCACTGTCTCGGCACCCAGCTCTGCTCACACTGTAGTAGCAGTAGTATACACCATCCAGGGCAATGACTGTAGGTGCCCACGGAACGGCCCGATCACCTTTGGCAATCACACTGTTTGCGTCAAGCACACTACCGACATGCTTCCATGGGCCGGCCATGCTTGGAGCAGTATGGATGAAGATATGCTCGCCGACATTGTAGAGGTAGAAGGTATCACCCACGTGGAGGATGGTCGGGTCGTGGGTATGCTGGTTAGTCTGGCGCGGCGGGGGAAGTGGACGGCGGCGTCCTGCTGCTGTGTTTGCTGGTCGACATTGGCATTATCGACATCTCGGATGTGCGGAGTCAGGCTCGCACTCAGTCCGAGAGAAAGGAATCCAACCAAAGCCAGAAGGAAGAGCATCTTTATCCAGCGTCGAGGAATCGATAGATGCCACAAAGACCGCGAAAACCACCCCTTTCGAAAGTCGTCTACATGGCCAGAAAGTGGCATCCCCGGCCGTGATATGTGCCCGCTCCTGACGATCATCCTGTCGGCCATGGATCCAGGCACATATCGTTTTCAGTCACAACGCACGGCGGACCACGCCTCGGCCAGAATGGGCTTGCGATGCGGGACACCTGCCCGAGGGGCTCGCCGTGAGGGATGCAACGCGGTCCACTCGTTATCGTCTCGAGAGGGTTCCACTGCCGGGCATGCCTGCAAGGCACAAGAATGCAAAGAAAATCAATCGATGTTTTGCAGAAGAACGATCCGCAGAGTTTTGTCGGGGATAACGAATGCGGAAGGATTCGTGGCACGTTTCAGATATCTGCGATGAACGCCAGCCAGCAGCTTCCGCTGGGCATTCGGATGTGCTTCTCGGAGCTGAACGAAGCGGTTGTACAGCTTCAATGATCGAGGGACCATGGCACTTGGCAGTGCATCGAGGCGATTGACATGAAGCAAGGGCGCGCAGGTATCAGGGTCGAGGGTCGAGGTCGGCGCCGATCGCATGCGGTTCCTGTCGATCGTGGACCCTCTTCCACGCCCCACGGACCAACAAGATTGTCTTCAGTGTAGCTCCCTCGGTGCCGCTGAGAATGTGCCCTTTCCCATTCCCGTCGCAGGGGCCGTTTCTTCGGTTCGCGGGGTTCTGTCACTTTTTGCCAGGGCTGCCGTTGACGGCGCGGGCTGGCACCTGTGACAGGAGACCAGTGCCCTTTCATCCTTTCCCAGGTTGTTCGCAGGACGAGACAAGGTCGCAGTCTGCTCCAACGGGCCGGTGGTTGGGATGGGGATGAGTGTGTCCAAGGTACAAGGGAGGGTTGCACGGGAGACAAAGGCGGCTAAGACAATGCCTTTACTTCCGCTGGTCTCGCCGGGCGACAACACAATCCATTGTACACCACAGCATGGGATTTCCCCCAAAACTCGGCCACACATTGAGCGTCTACAGGAGCCAAGTGCATAATGGATAGGATGGTATATTGCAGAGTGCAAGGGTACAGGTGATTCGGCATCCAGGACGACAAATAGTGGCCAGCTATACTCTAGTACTCATACACTACGTAGTATTGCTACTAGCAATCGATGTTCACAGAATTCGCCCTAGGATGTATTGCCCGGACCGTTGAGCTTTGTATGTTGCTAGCCATCGTGAAGACGAAGACGCAAATTAGAATCAGAATCAGAAGGAACACGCCACCAAAAAACCCAACTCCGTCAACACCATCGTGAGAAGAACCGGCGCTCTACCGTGCAACGATCTTGTCCACCTCGTCCCTGGCCTCGGTCCAGGTCTCGAGATTCTTCCGCGCCCAATCCAAGTGACAGCGGGCATATGCGACCTACACAAATGCGTGAGCCATGGTTAAGGAGGATCCCAAGTGGGGACTGGGGCGCCGCGCATACCATGTATCGCCGGAGATCGACTTCCTTATCCTTCTGGAAGCGTCGCAGATCCTGCAACACGCCCACGCTAGCGTCCTTTACATCCTTCTCCGACACCTCAAGAGCTTGCTCCAACTGCGAATTCCGTTAGTGGGTGGAAACCTTGCCGGGCGCGGGCTGGGCCACATACCTGAATGAGACTCTCCTTGGTCTTTCCGATCTGATCGCGACGCGTCCGTTCGGGGTCGACGTCTGCAAAGCCGTGAATTGCGTGACTGATGCGACCGAAGAGCTTGTTGGTCACAAAGCTCCCACTGGAGGTTTTTCGGTGGGCCGGGGGCGAGGATGCTGATGCGTCCGGCCGACTCTGCGACGCCACCGAGGGATTGAGAGACTCGCCATGGGTGGGTGGGAATTCCGCGTCGGCAGAGGTCTCGACAGCACTCCCGCCTTCGCTACTGGCGGCAGATGAGGTCGACAAAGAACGCCGCGGCTTAGTATTTGGAGTTTGAGAAGTCGTGCGGTTGAGATACTGTTCAATGCGTTTAGCTTCGAGCTCGCTCCGTTCGAGAGAGTCCAGCAGGGTCTTCTTTTTCGCCAGTTCGTCTCGAGTCATGTCCTCCTGGACGCGTTTTAGTACACGATAGCGCAATACCCCACGCACTACGCTCGCAAACTGAGCGCTCTCACGCATTGGCTCGGCGAAGTGGGCGCTCAGCGCATTAGAGAGCTCCTCGGTTTCGATGTACGATGTATCCGCTGCCTGGCCAATGCGCTCAATAGCCGCAGCCACAGTGGGCGATTGTTCGGACAAGGAAAACCCATTGTAACGAGCGCCCAGCTCCATGAGATCTCCAGATAGAGACGACAGGTGAGACAACGTTCGCCGGCTCACCTTCTCGATATTGCCTTGCAACAGTAGCTCCAATTCCCGCGTTGAAGCCTCGAAGTTCACAAAGTACGGGTCCAGTTCCTGCTCACTCAGCTTACGTGATTCAGGTGGGAAGCGTCCAAGGATCTCCGGGCCAGGGTTAGAGGACGGCGGCCCATCGGTGGTTTCGCCTGGTGATGTTGAGGATCCTGCCCCACCAGGGGACGCGCTCATCCCGCCCGCATGTTTTAGTTTCGCGGAAGCGGAGGGTACAGGCAGCCAGCCGTGGGCCTGTGTTGGGTTTGCGGGGTCAAGGGGAGGCGCTTTGAGATTGTTCTTTGGCACGGATGAGGCTGGATGGGAGTGTAGTACCTCGTTCTGTATATCCGTCAGCATTGCGAGCCTTCCTTTCGCTGAAAGAGTTACACAGCGCGACTTACCCAGCTCACATTTGGATCAAGGAAACGCCACCAGACCCCATCTTCGCGGATTTCCTTCATCCGGCGACATCTATTCAGAAATACTGCGAGCATGCGCTTGCGTAGTTCAATGATAGCCGTGTCCTCTTTAGCCTTGGTCGGTTTGGCGGCGTAATCCGCCATGCTATGCTTCTCGGGAATCGGGGGAACAATCAAGGTCGGATGAAGATTAACAAGGGTCTGTCGTAGAGAAGCGAACTCGGAATATCGTCGGCGAACCTCGATGTCCTAGATATGTTGTCAGTTCAGCACCAAGCTTAAGCTTCTGTCGTGGAGCCGACCATACCGCAGTGCGAATGGTGTAGACTATAAAGCTTCCGCCACCTTCATGATTCTTTCCCGCATCCGTGATCATGATCAACATATCCGGGTTTTCGTAGAGGATCTGCTCGATACGGCTGTCGTAAACACTCTTTCGCGGGTATTGCTGGCTCGCGGCACCATAGTCGGCCTCCTCGGGATCGCTCAGATCTTCCGGACGAGATATGTAGTCCGGCGGGTCAATATTGGAGTCGCGACTGGAAGGAGGGGTAGAGTCATGTTCAAAATTGGCTATTGAAAGTCAGCGCCGGGGCACCGCCGCGGCAAACGGAGGATGGTGAGCTCACGAGCGGAGAGTGCGGCCGAATGAAGCGAGTCCGACAGATGAGTCTCATGCTGGTCAAATGCCCCATAGGGGTTATTGTCCTCGTCGTTCCACATAATGCAACTGCCACAGAGGGTCAAACACAGGAACGACCGAGCCTTCGGGGTTGGAAGATTGGAAAGCTGTGCCTGGGGGATCTGCGGGGGGGTGGCTCAACGTCACTGACTGCGGCGGGCGGCAGCGACCAGTAGCGTAGCAATACAATGTATACAAACAGGCACTGCAATTTGCAAGACGTAGGTAGCGATCACTCCTTCATCCTAGACTCATGTTAAATACACTCTTTGATCTGCCACAGTATAACAGTAGATGCAAAAGTATGCAGAATGGCAATGATCACTGAAATCGTGTCTATCCTCCAGCCGGTATAATACTACGAGACGAACCAAAATGGTTCGAAATATGCAGTGGGTCCCTTCATAATGTTGTTCGGTATTCTCTGTTACACTGAAAACAAGATAGTCTCTATGCATCCGTAATGTAAGTAGCTTTCCGAGGTACAAGTAGTGGAGTGAGGGAATTTACACTTAAATATATTCCAGCAATCTGCGATCTGGATGGGTAGTGGCACATAATATTGAAATAGGAAGAGATCGAGTTTGAGGAGTAAAGAAGGAAAGAATGAACAACAAGCAAGAGGAGCGAGAGGTATTCTCAAAACCACGTGACAATATTCGATATTTCCGAGAACCCCCATTCTCCTTCCTACACCTCGAAGACAACATCGACGCTTTGGTTTCTTTCACAACAGGAGAAAGGAAGCAGCATCAGCACGAAAGTCATTTCTCTCACTGTGGAGCGAAGCGAGGAGATGGCGCTGCCCGGTCGTAGAGATATTGGGAGATAAATAAAAGAGAAAAGAGAGGTGTTTGAAAAGTATGGAGACGGGGAATGACTCTAAATGGAAGGTGCATCAGCTTATCAGGTGTACATATACAGGCAGAGTTTAGGCAGCTCTAAACCACGGCCAGGGCTAAATTGTACTAGTATCTATAGATTCTGTGCGACTAGGGTAGGCGTGGGGGTTTGAAACAGATCAGTTAAAGAACTGGAATATTCGTACACGGTGGTCACAAGTCGTTAACTAGCAGTATTAGGGATTCAGATATCAAAAGTGAGTGATATTTACCGTGCTCCAAACCCGGGGTACAAAACACACAGACACACACAAATCGGTACCGACGAATTATGCCCCAAAGTCTACTCAACTCAGGATTCGGTGGTCTCATCGGGGTCTCGCTTCGGCGAGTGAGTCTCCTTCTTAAGACCGGTCAAATGGCGAGCCTGAGTCAAATGGATCTTTGAAGTGACATCGGGATCAACATAAAGCTCATCAGCCCTGTAAAAAGCAAACCAGAAACGTTAGGACGTAAACAACCTCAACCAAGTAAAACAGTGTAACGTATCAGTATGTGTGTTTACCATGCGTTGCCAGGCTTACCAGCGTTGCTAGCCTTGGGACTCCAGCCCTGTTTCTTGGGAGAAGTAGTGGTTCCATGGTGACTGGCGGGGTTGTCTTCCTTGGACTGGGTCTGTTGGTTTATAGCAGCAGGACTACCGCCTCGCCAGGAAGGACTTTTCTGACCAGCGTTCTGGTTGGGCTTCGAGGCGGAGGGACTATCGCGTCGGCGGGTAGGGCTGTTCTGGCCAGCGTTCGGGTTGAGTGCCGTGCGTTCCATTAGTTCGATATTGAAGTTCCCGTCATCGTTAACATCCCAGCTGCTGGCGCCCCGTTGGTGCTTGTTCTTCTTGGCCTTGCCACGCTTCTGCTTCTTCTTGCGTTGGCGTGGGTGTGCCTCGGGCCGGTGCTGGCTACGGTCGACACTAGCACCCTCGTGGCTGTATGTGCTGTCATCGTGGTCGTGGTTGACCTGAAGCCTCGGCATGATCAACAGTACCTGGCCATTCGGGCCACGTCCAAAGCGATATCCATCCAGAAGACCAGCGTCCTCGATCTGACGCTGAGTCCAGCCTTCACGGATGGCCCGTTGGTAATCCCAGGTACGAGCAGCAGTGTCGTAGATCGCTGGCTTAATCCAGTAGAACCAAAGGAAGACATAGAAGATGATGACCACAAAGGTGATGATCATCATCATGCCGATGGTGAGGTTTCCGAACATGATTGCTGATCAGAACGCGTCGAGTGGGAAGGAGGAGATTTGAACGGGAAAGGTGAGTATTTGAAAGAACAGGATGTGGACTTGAGAAAGCTGAGGATTTGACGATCAGCTGTTCTCAGACGATGGTACGGCTCAGAAGATGCAGAAGCCGATGAACGCGCAGAGCACGAAGAACATGGGAAAGGAATGAAGGAAAAGAGGGACAGAGGAGTAGAGGGGAAATTGGAAGCGAGGGTGGGCGACGACATGCTGAGGATATTGCCTGTTGGCGGGTGGGCGGTGCGCGCCAAAAGGGAAGGCGCGGCGGCGGCGACACTTGCCATAAATTGCTCGAGCAGCAGGAATCCCCCGTTCCTGCTGGCATGCAGGACTTGTTTTACTTACGACCCTAAGGTATAGCCTAAGGTATAGTGCAGGTGGAACAGCAGACCGTTTGTTCACGGAAACGCTTTTGTTCTTGGATCTATACTACCCTATAGCTACTACTGTTACCAGTAGTTACAGCACCGAGAGCGGGCCCTCAAACCTCCAAGTTTAGTGCAGTTCGAATCCTCAGGAGCCACTGGTCATGAACCGAGGCACTCTGACCAGCATTCAGCAATGAATGCAATCTTGAGCGCATGACTTGTTGGTCCGCTTCCAGAAGCTCCGGCACAGCAAATCCTGGCGATGTCAATGCAGCAGAGATACTGAAGATTCGAACGCCCAGAGTGAAGCTTTCCGGTTTTGAGAGCCACCCAAGAAGCCCATCCTGTCCTGCATCTTGGCTGACCAGAGATAATAGATATTGCAGTCCCTCTGATACCCAGCTTGAAACCTGGCGCACCAGAGTCTCCGGGCACGCGTTCTTCGTCAGATGTGTTAAGGCCGGGGCCCACACGTCGATTTCGCGCACTTCATCGATAAACAAGTTCTGCTTCTCCTCCACGAACAACACGGTACTCTCCTGGCGATACTCAGCAACCAAGTCCACAACGGGGATCAAGTGGGTTTGATCATCAGAGCCACTGATTCTAGATTCTTGCCCTGTGAGATAGCGAATCACCCTCCGAGCAAATTGCGCAGAGTGCGAATAATGTTCGGTGACAAAGCTGGCGAGCAATGAGCTTGCATTCAATGGTCCGAGCATGACAGCGGTACCCGGCGAGACAGAAGAATATGAGAGAACCCAGGACGCAGTCGACGCAGCGCTGTCTCGCACTTCATCATCATCATCATTGAGAAGATCGTATAGGACCAGGTAGATGTCCAACAATGCAGAATCAACGCGAGGGGGGCTGCCTAAGGGACGGAGGCCTTGTGAGAAACTATGGAGGGACAATGCTGCGGCATAACGTGTGGTGAACTCCTGCATAGCTTTTAATATTGTATTCCCATGCATCTGAGAAGCTAGTACTTACGGTCTCCTCACTGAGTGCGGATCTGAGCTTCACGGTCCAGGTTTGGAAATCACGGCTGAGAGGAGCCAGGGTCTGCTTCTCGATCGATGCCCGAATGGCCAAAAGACATCCCTGAAGACGAAGCTCTGCATCCGTCGCTTGCCTGTTCCAGGTCTCTATGGCAGCGTGAGGCTTGAAGCTCTTAGCCAGATCCTCGTACGGCAAGGCAAAGTGAGCTAAATCTCCAGTGGAAGAGAGCTGTTTTTCAAGGATTGACGCAAGATTTGAAGCCGCTGCAATCCTGATAGAGGGCTCATAACTGCGCAATAGAGCAGACGAATACAAGTCTGCCAAGGGCTTCATGTACTTTTCTGTCATGTCAAATCTCTCTTCGAGCTGTTCGCAAATCCAGGTCGCAGCATCGGGATCGAACGTGGCGACTCCACCAAAGTATGTAGGTAGTAAGTCCCACTGGCCCGAAGAAAGGATGGTCAATACTTTGCACCACATAAGCGATCTTCTGAGAAGGGAAGAGGATCGAGTGGTGCTGGTGAGGTTCCAGTTTCTTTGAGAAGCATCAAATACGTAGTCTGAAATGCCATCAAGGTCTTGTTTTGCCGCGATCTGTTCGACGAGAGGTCCAACCCGAGCTACGAAAACGATGTTAACACTGGTTATGCTTTGCACATAAGTAGAGAATAACTTACCTTCAACCCCAGCCTCCATACTACGCTCCAGCGTGTCGTTTAGAATTTCGACCAACGCGGTTGCAACAAACGGTGACTTGGCAATAGGGAATACCGTCGCCAAGATGCATTCCAGAGTAGATAATATTTCATCGAGATAAGCTAATAGAATAAGTATGATTTGAATAAATCGCGGGGATGTATGTCAACTCACATGTCCAGAAAGAATCCGTAGTCATCGCAAATCGGCGCAAAGAGTAGCGAGCACAGAGGACATTAGCGTGGAGATAATTTTCTGAGATTTTATCCTGCAATTGGCCCATAAGAGCACGCATGTCATGAAGAATATTTGTTCGAGTAAGAAGAGAGGCGTAGACGCGAGCAGCGTGCTCTCTGATTCCCCAGACAGGGCTCTTAAAGTGCTCCGAAACCAACTCACAGAGCATGGTGTCATTATTGTCGGCAACAGTAGGAATCTTCTCACCAATTAACTCTAACGCAGGGAAGATACGCTCAGTAACGATATCGGTTCCTTCGGCTGTAGCGTCTTCGGATGTGGTGAGAAGACTAGACAACAGCTCAAGTAATCCTGGATACTTGGGGAAGGAAATTTTAGACCCAGGCTCTGACCCAGACTCTCCGCCAAAGCCAGCGCCAGCTCCATAGACCAGACGGCACATTCGTGTCAGGAGAGCGCGGAACAGCATGAGCCCAGAGTTTCGAAGGGCCCAGATGGGTGAGCCCAATCGTTCGGCAGATAGGGTGAGAGCTGGCATGATGAATCGCTCGGTGTGTGGGCCGAGCTTGTTGTTTGTGAAAATATCTTTGAGGCAGTTCATGGCGTGCACTTGAGGAAGTTTAAGATATTGCTCTTCCTTGCTATACTCCACTGGCAGACGGGAGATATCATGAAGCTCGGTCAGAGCCTGCTTGAAGAATGGAGAGCCCGGGGCTGCACAAAGAATACCTGTAATAAGAGCAGGCAGACCAGCAGATCGCCGAGTAAGCTTGGAAGCCGACTCGAAAATAGTCTTTTTTGCTTCCTTGTACCAGATTTCTGGTAGCTCTTGGATAGGTGCATCCTTCGACTGGCTGCAACGTTGACAAGTAACTGTGAAAGTTGTCGCGACAGTAGAGAAAGCACCGCGGTGTCGCAGCTCAGCTAACTGTGTGAAGCTGGTTCTGCCAACCTTCTCAAAATCTGCGCGGTTGAGCCCGTCTGCACCCTCGGGACCATATGTGGCATTGATGATTGTGGCATGCAGCAGTAAACTAGATTCTCGCAGGGCTCTCCAGGAATAGGAAAGGATGTCCTTTGGACCCACAGAGAGATCTTGAATAGGTTCGTCCGTGTGCCCTTCTGGAGAATCGATGCACAAAACAGGCTTCACCTCTTCCCAAACCCTATCACAGATCCCGATGATTCGGTCATGAATGGACCTCCAAGAGGATGAGTTACCATTGACTGGTAGGAGTGTATGGAAGTTTGGCATTAAGACAATGTATCGGAGGCCCGACATATAGCCGTGAAGGGGCGCCTCGCGCATCGAAGAATTGAATAGACCCTTGGAAGATGAGAGACGCTCTTCCAGCCTTGTGACGATCGTGTTGACAACTGACGCCTTCGTTGACCAACAATCAGATGCCGCTACGGACGAGTTTCCGAACGACGCCGCACAGAACAGAATGTGATATAAACGAGCAACGGTATCAGCGTGGTCGGCACGACTGGTATTGCTCGCCACATTTTCAGCTCGAGTGAGAGCGTCTGTCAGGCGCATAGCGACAGCCGGCTGCCGGTCGATTAGGCTACCAAGGAGAATCTGCTGCGGGAACAAATTGATGATTGAAAGAGAGGTTTGCCGGACTTCTTCGAAGGGATCCAGAAGCAAGTCAACCAACAATCGCAACAGGCGGGCATCGAAGATTTCCACATGTAGCTTCCAAGTCGTGTCAATATCAGCCTTGTTGGAGAAAACATCCGATCTTGGGTCCAGGCCAGAGATGATCAAAAGTTTGAGAGCCTTCAAAGCACTAATGTGACGAGCATAAGATGCCGTAACACACAAATCACTTCTGAGAAATTGCAGATAGGTCTCCAGTGTGTTCCGAGTCTCGGTGTCGTTTCTGCTCACAATGGCAGATGGTTGACCCTGGGCCGCATTTGAGACGTCCAAGACATCTTGATCTCTAACAACACCGCCCTTCATGCGAACAATGAACTTTCGCGTGAGACTCATAATTTCTCCTCGGGAATGGGCGTCGGACTCGGCGTGCATAGATGGGAGTCCTCGCAGAATTGCTATTGCAGCTGAGGTTGTGAATGGTTTGACGGTCGACAGCGCGTTAATCAATAGGGATAAAGCCGCGATACGGATACCAGGCACGCTATGAAACAGAAATCGGCCGATGATATCACTCTTCAGCACCATTTTAGGAAGGGTGGTCCCTTTAGATTCGCTAGGCTTCGAAAAGTCGACTGTCAAAGTTAGCAGGGAAATGGAACGAGGTCGCAAGCCAATGACATACAGTCGTCGACGACAAGGTTGATTTTCTTGCCCATCTGAAGCGCTGAGAATAACAGGATGAATTCTGATTCTGCGGCACTGCTCATATCACCAGCAAGCAAGCTTTCCAAAGGGAGTGACTGCACAAAAGACTTGAAGCCAGTGGGGTCAATTGTGAACAAAGGCTGAAGAACCTGGTTGGCGAGCGATTCGAGATGATTCATGTTCTGCAGCACCATGTGTCGCACAGGTGCCACCCAGATGGCGGACAAGTTTCGTGAAGGGCACTCTGACTTGAGCTTCTTCACAAAGGCTGCCAACATACCACCGGCACTTCCACACATCTCTCGGTTGTTGGTCTGGTTCAAAAGACCGAGAAAAAAGATGTTGGCGGCCAATTCCTCGGATGGGTCAACAGAAATTAGATCAAGAGTTGCCTGGGAGCCATTCATCAAAAGACCTTGACAATCTTTCTCGAAAACGGGCACCCATCGAGTGCGATTCTCGATCATCCAATTCTGGACCAGATTGATCAGCTCGGAGGACAGAATGGCACCCTTGCGGAGGACGAGTTCCAAGCACACGAGGGAGGCTTTCAATCGAGATCGAGGTTCACCGAGTAGAACACTTGGGAATGTGGCATCCGCAATTGCCTTCTGGAGAATTTTCTTAGTTGGCTCTTTGTGATGTTTGGCCAATATGGTTATCAATGATGCCAAAATTTGTTTCAGCGGTTTGGGTTTGGCATCTTCGTAGCGACTAAGGAAGACATCGAATACATCCAACCAGCTTTCTGGTTGTAGAGCCAGTTCACGAGTACCTTCATTCTGAGCATTTACTGCTGCATCCAGAAAGGCCGATGTCGCATTGCAAACAGCTAGGCTATGCAGATGGGAAAGAGATGGGGTGCATAATGTTTGAAGCAATGATAGCCAGACTCGCGTGATTTGCCTGATAATCTATGTTAATAAGTAATATGTGAAATTAACATGTGCTGAATTAACTCACTCAGTATCCGTGCTGTTCAATGTCAATTGAACCAATGGGCCCTTTGCGATCACTTGCAGGGTCTTCTCAGGCAAGAATTGTATATTCTGTGAGATATCCTCCATATCAGTGGGAGGGGCTCCTGTCGTGCCGTGGGATGAATTGCAGTCCATGGCCAGCGCAATCCCACTTGCTCGAGCGATCAGCAGGTATCAAACTTGATGCTCGGCAGAATGCACGAATTCAAAGCAGACCGTGAAATTTGCCCGCCATATTGCTGGCCTAAGGCAGCGATCAAGTGGGATATCCCGATAAGGACTAGCGTCGGCCAAACACTTCTCCGGGTCGGACTGTCACGGGACCGAAGTTTTTGCTGGCGCCGACAACTCGGTGGAGCTGCGATTCAACGGCCTCGTCTTCTCTTCTTCGTGTACTTTTAATAATCTTATCTTTCCATCCCCTCCTATAACCTCTTCATCATGGGCATCTGGGACTCTCTCAGTGGGCGCAAGGAGGGCAACGCCCCCCAGGCCTTCGACCCTTCTACGGCCCAAGACACCTCTTCCTTCCTCTCCGAGGTCGCCCTTCCCGATCCCACCAAGCTCCATCCCCTGGCCGGCCTTAACCAGGATACTCTCGATTACCTGTCCCTCGAAGACACCGCCCTCGATGAAACCCCCGGTTCCCGCTCCTTCCTGCCCTCCCGCGGCTGGTCCGACGACCTTTGCTACGGTGCCGGCACCACATATCTGGTTGCGCTAACTGTCGGAGGCGCATGGGGTCTTGCGGAAGGCCTGAACAAGACACCAGCGACCGCTCCCCCTAAGATTCGTCTCAATGGTGCTCTTAACTCGATTACCCGCCGTGGCCCGTTCCTCGGTAACTCCGCGGGTGTTGTCGCAATGGTTTACAATGGATTCAACTCTTCAATCGGTTATGCGCGTGGCAAGCACGATGCTGCCAACAGCGTTGTGGCTGGTGCACTGAGCGGCATGCTTTTCAAGAGTACACGCGGTGTGAAGCCCATGATGATTTCCGGTGGCATTGTCGCATCTATTGCCGGTGCTTGGGCCGTACGTACCCCCAATCTGACTCTCATCAAAATGAAGGGAATTTTGCTAACTCGAAATAGGTGACACGAAAGGCTCTCTTCTAAATCAGCTGGTCTGACCAGTAACCCCCTATACTCCTCTCCGGTGAACCATACCTCCACACCCTCCGCCATATTTTCGACGACTCCTGGCGGTAGACACCCACCGCAATTATTCTGAATTTCTCCCTGCGATGTATTACAACGGCTTCTATTATATCTTTTCCCTACGGATCTCTTCACTCCGGCGCTCAAAGCATCCATGTTTCGCATTTCTGCGTGGGTTGGGAAAGGGGTGTGCAACTGGGTTTGTACTTTTTATCTGCTTTTGATTTCCCTGTGTACATAGAAAAGTCTCTTGCATATCCGGGGTTTATCGACTACGACGTTTTTTCCCGTCTTGTCCTGTAACCTTAATGCTGCGAGTGACTTCCAATAGAGAAACTATTACGCCCACAACGCATCTCGTTGGCCATGCATAATTGCGGTCTATTCGGCTCTAATCTATTGATAAAATATCGGCATAGAAGTTGTATCAATGCCACGAAGAGAAGGAAAACAAAAATGGGACAAGTGGTTCTGTTTTGGGTTACGTCTCATTGGGGTGCCGAAGCCACAACACACACTTCCTAGATGAAGAGTCCAGTAGCTGAGCCAACTAGCAAAATGCTAATCATCCCAATCGCAGACTTGGAGATCGAACGAGGACGCATGGTATGGGCACCAGAAGTCGAAGTTGAGGTGGAAGAAGAACCACTTGAGGTACCAGAAGCAGTCGAAGTTGCTCCGATGGTTGTCGTGCCTAAAGTAACTACCCCAGTGCCAGTCGCAGTGCCCGTGGCCGTCGCGGTGGCATTGGCATTGGTATTGCACCAGACCTCACCGGGCTCAGAGGCCTTGATGAGACATTCGGCCAGGGTGCCGACACTCTGGCCTTGTGCGAGACAATAATAGTCGCAGTCGTCGTACTCAACCACAGAGGCAGATGAGCAGCATTCGGTCATGATCGAAGAGTAGTTGCTCTTCATCGGCATTGCACAGGCGGCATCGTGGGTGGGGATGTCGTACAGCTTCGCGTGGCAACTTGAAGTGGCAGAAGCCGAAGTGGTGGTCACCATGGTGGTTGCCGTGGTGGACATGATAGTGGATGCGAGGTTGCAGGAGATTGAGTGAACGAATGGAATGAAGTTATGGAGACTCCGAAAGGAACAAGCTGAATGAGTCTGCTTGGATCGCGATGGACAGGACAGATATCGACTGGGTAAGTTGGGACTTTATAGTCCCACTACAGTATGGTATGCATTATGGCTGGGTATAGAACGCCTCCGAGGTTGAGTCTCTTGGCTGTTTCCACTTATGATGCGGATATTGTCAGCCGCAAAGGGGCACATGGTCGAGCCAGGCTATTTGGTTCCTTGTGGGCTGCTGTCCCACTCCGGAACTGCCCATAATCTGCACTGGAAGATCCATCATGCTCAAACGGATGATTGTCTCAAGCTCAGGGCAGCCAGACACTAGCCGAGGTGGATCACCAGTGGAATATGCAGACGTAAGCCTATTGAGAATTGGTATTCGGGAGTCGACTATATTTATCGAGGGTCTTCGCCTACCCGCTTTGCTGAACTTGCAGGACCGAGTGACGCGTCGACGGAAGTTGGCCTTGATGATAGACGGTAATGTAGTCATGCAGATAGCCATCTAAAAAGGAGTCATGATCAGCATTGAGAGCCGGGATTGGCTATAAAAACACGCTGAGGCACGGTACATGGACAGATAGAAGTGATGTGGATAAATCTATATCAGCTCGAGGAAATATCAGAAGAATCGTTCCTTTGCTTCGTACCGACCGTCCACGAGGTCGACGGCCTGATGACAGGCTGAAAACATTGATTTATGATAGATTTTTGTAATCGACCATTCATCTTCATCATTGGAGTATTACGTTTGATATTCATCGTATGGTTACCCCTTGGAGATAGCCTGGGCACACTAATGTGATCAATGTCAAAAGTTGATGCTTCGGGGCTTTGCAGGTTGTCGAGTCGGGCAGTGCCGACTTATGTTTATCCGGAATTATTGAAAAGTGACATTCCAAATGTGTGGTATCGAGTACATGCGAATTTGCTGGTCAATTTCTTTTGATGCCGTAAGGCTTGGCGGAGCGGCGGAGTAATATATAGCAGGTGTCACCGGCGATGCGACTGAGATATAAATAGCGATCAGATCATCGGGCCGAAGTTGAGTCGCACTTGTTCAAGAAACAGGATCGGACATTTTCGGCTTTTTGCAGCCACGAAGCATGCGACAATTGCGGAATCGCTATGATCGGAATCATCATGAATCCTCAAGTGGTGCCTATGAAAACCATGGGAACGCTTGTCGGCGAGGTGAAGATCCCAGCCGGCCTACGGCATTTCCGGGGTGCTCATTGGCCCAACCAGCCTTCTGCAGAACAATAAGAGGTGCAGGAGATCGGTCCAGTTTGGCCTAGGCAGTACCAAGGCAGGACCGAGGCATAAAGGGTATGACACCTGAGTTTAGGACAACGCAGATGGGCCAAGATGGCCGTGATATTGTTCAGTTGTTCCCAGTCGCTGCCAGTACCTCATGCTGGAGGCTTTGCGTGTTCCTCATGCGGAAGTTCCAGCCAGCGTCGAACTGCCTAATCGTGCACGCGGCGGATGCCGACGCGGGGTGCGAGCTGAAGAAGAAATCGGATCGCCCGTTTTCAGCATCTCCACCACCTCACTTCGCAGAACGTGGGAATGACGCGGACTGCAGACAATGTGAAGCCCCCCAAACTGCGCACCAAAACCTTCACCGGCTGCTGGACGTGTCGGGACCGCCGCGTGAAGTGTGACGACCAGCGGCCGGCTTGCAGACGCTGCCTGCGGAGCGGGTGGGTGTGCCAGGGTTATGGCCTGCGCCTGGGATGGTCGCAAGCGCCCGGCTCGCGCTCGCATCGTCGCCAGATCTGGTCCTCGACTCCACAGTCCTCCCTTGACCTCTCCTCGACCGCCGTGACGGCCCTCTTGGCGGAGCTCGATGGCTGCTCGGCCGAGGGTTCTGCCCACCAGCGCGGTCCTTTCTCGGTGTTCTCCGCGACCAGCTCGGGCACCAACAATGAAGTCGGCGAGGGCGAGGGTGAGATGTCGAGTCTAGCGGAAGATCGATCGCTGGGACCGCAGATGGGAGAGAGCAACAATGGCAACGGCATTGACAATGCGAGGGAGAATAAGAATGGAAATACCCCGAGCAGCGGTGACCATAGTGATGAATCCTCGTCAGACCCTCTAGACGTGCAGTCGACAATGCCGACGAGTCCGTCAATCGCAAGTCCAGCGAGAGGATCACCGGCATCATCCGGCCCTATTAATCTAACGCATAACGTGCGACACGATGCGATCTGCACGATCCGCCGGCAGGCTGCATCTCGTCGCCTTCCTCGAAACGAAAACGAGCTCGCGACCAATCTGCCTTTCTCAAGGAACATAGGATTCGTCATGTCTATCTATCCCATGCAGCTCCCCAAACCGGAGACTGAGCTGGTTCATCACTGGGTCGTCTTCCTTAGTGGAAACATGCTGCTGATCGATACCCCAGACAACCCATGTCGGACAATCTTCATGCCAATGGCATTGAAGGGACTGGATGCAAGCTTCGAGGAGTCTAATATCCATCTCTCCATCTTCCACGCTATCTGCGCCTCGTCCGCATTTAGTCTTTTTCATCTGCGCGGCGATCCACGCTACCAGTCAGTGGCGATGCACCATGACCAATTGGCATTGCGGCATCTGAGGCATAATCTGCAGAAAGCGAAGCGCTTGGACGAGCCCACCCTCGCTGCCGTCCTTTCGTGCATCACGGCCGAGGCCATGTCCGGGCGGCGCACGCGATGGAGGACGCATGTCGCCGGCGGCCTGGGCCTTCTTGAGAACGAGTTGAACGGCGGTTGGATTCGTGGCCCAGCTGCATCTCGCTTGCTGCAGAGCTACTTGTCACTTTCATCTCTCTGCAATCTCCCAATGTCGAGCCAACTCGTGTCTCTGCTCAATGGGCCGTCAGAGCTACGGTACTATCTGGAAAGATCCCATGGTATCACGACACCACTCGTCCAGTTCCTGGCCTACATTACCACCATAATCGAGTCCAAAGCAGAGGTATCAATAGAGGAACTCGATCGACTAGAGCTGCAGCTCTACCTGAACTTCCCTGTCTATCCAACCCTGACGCACCGGGAGCTACTACGATTCAACACGCTTTGAACTCCTTCTACTACGCCACCATCGTCTACTTCCGACGAACCCTCCGACGTGCATCACTATACGAGGTACAGGAGCTTGTCGAAAAAGCCGTCCAGGAGCTAGAGGCGGTGGATGCGTTGACAAATGATAGAGGTGGCTGTGCATACAACTGGGCCAGCTTTGTCGTTGCAGCCGAGTGCCAACGTCCAGATCTGCAGTCCAGGATGTTGGTCTCATTTGGCCAGAAGACCCGAAATGGTATTCAAAATACAAATATGCTGTTTGAAATCGTGAAGGCCCTTTGGGATCGACGGGCACGGGCTGGACCTGGCGTAGATATTCATTGGCAGGAGATTGCGAAGGAGACCGATTACGATATAATGCTTGTATAAACAAATCCATCTACGAGAGAAAATAACCATTATTACTTCACAAGTATTTGTTTGATCGTCATTTCAAGACTATATCTATTGTTCTCGTTGTTCTTGTTCAAACAGTATTTCCTCCATCCACTATCAAGGCGGCACCGCACATGTAGCTACTCATGGGAGATGCGAGGAAGAGAAGGGCATCCGAAATCTCTTCGACTTGGGCCGGCCGGCCGATGGGGGTCATTTCAAATGCGGCATTCATCGATCCAGATTCGATCTGCTCTTTGATGATGGGTGTATCGACAAAGCTGGAAGGATTAGATATGACTGATGATCTGGACGGAATGTCTTACCCAGGGCAGATCGCATTGATGCGAATTCCTTCGCGGGAATATGCTTTGGCGTCCATCTTGGTAAGACCCACGACAGCTAAATCATATTGTCAGGCAACTCAAGCGGCCATGACTTGGAGGACATACCATGCTTCGCAGCTGTGTAGTGCGGGATGCTAAACGGTCCAGGGGGTCCCGCAACGCCAAACATCGACGAAACGTTGACAATCACGCCCCGACCTTCACGAACACCGCGAGAACTGCCAAATATCAGCATCTGCAAGGACCAAGGCGGAGAGACACTCACTCCTGCTTCAACATCTGCCGAATCAAGGCCCTCTGACACAGCCAGACTCCCGTTTGGTTGACATCGATGACCTTCTGCCATTCCGCCAGGGACATCTGCGCCGTGGGCGTGGGTATTCCACTAATTCCGGCGCAGTTGATACCAATATCGATGCGACCGAATCGACCTGCCGTCCGTTCCACTGCGGCATTGACGGACTCTTCATTGGCAACGTTCACTTCAAGTATTTCCACGTCGAGGTTCGAGAATTGGGCTCGGAGTTCATCGCGGATTCGCTCGAGGAGGAATAGGTTCAAGTCGACAAGGACTACTGCGCTAATTCCGTTCTGCGCAAAGGCTATTGCGGTACTCCTGCCGATTCCTACTTCAAGTTAGTCTGCTTCGTTAATGCTGGATAGACAACATACCTGAGCCACCACCGGTGATGAAAGCGATTCCCTTGACCTGGCACGCCATCTTTGCTGTGACTAACTTGCGCTCTGAACCAAACTGTCGATCTGCACCTTGACGCGCCAAATAAGCTCTATTTCTACATCAAAGCGGCATGTATAGAGCCCGGTGCCCGGACTCTGGTTCGACGGTTTCACCTCGGACTCGCATTGTCGGATGCGGAAGTGGCCACTTCCGGAGTGACAGCCGTAGATTGCTTTGGCACTTTTAGCGAGGACTTCCTCGATTGAGACCCCGTTGACACCCTTCCTTGTGCAGCGTCGGCTGTGGCGTTTCGCGTCGCCAAGTCCCGCCGGGTGGGGCGCCTCCAAACCTTCTCGTTGTCGATTCCCTTTTTCGGCTGCCCGATCTATACGCTCGTTGTGAATAGCTTCGAACGGATGGCAATGCCACTAACTGGCCTCGGAACCATTGTTTCCGGGGTCCATTATGCGTTGCAGGAGATTTATATGTCACGGCGAGCTGAAGAGGGAAAAAATGGCCTTGTGTAAAAGCAGCCCGATCCGCTCTCTTAGGGATTTTGATCCAAGTCGCCGACTTCGTTGTTTTCATTCTTTCTCTCTCAATATCGGAGATGACTCGCACCGGTCCTCATGTTGAAGTCGACGCCATCGTCGTCGGCGGTGGCTTTGGCGGTTGCAACTCGCTCTATAAGTTGCGACAACTGGGCCTTTCCGTGAAGCTCATCGAGGCTGGTAGCGCCTTCGGTGGTGTCTGGCACTGGAACCGCTATCCCGGTGCCCGTGTGGATACGGAGATGCCCTCATATCAGTTTAACATTCCGGCTGTGTATAAGGGGTGGAACTGGTCGGAGCGCTTCCCGGGCGATGAGGAACTCCGCGCATACTTCCACCATGTCGACAATGTGCTGGGTTTGAGCAAGGATACTTTTTTCAACACCATTGTCAGCCGTGTGCAGTATGACTCGGTTTTACAGCGATGGAATGTTCAGACCGAGACGGGCTTGACGGCCACTTGCAAGTACCTCATCGTGGCGACCGGATCTTCGCACAAGAAGCACTATCCCGATTTCAAAGGACTGAACCAGTTCGGTGGAAAGCTGGTCCATGCGGCTGACTATCCTAACTCTTTGGATGTGAAGGGTAAGCGCGTTGGCATTGTCGGAAACGGCGCTTCTGGTCTGCAGATTGTGCAAGATCTAGCGAAGGAAGACTGTGATCTGAAGGTCTTCATTCGCACGCCTTGTTTTGCCATCCCAATGAAGCAACGTCAAATCGCCCCCGACGAAGCGGAGATGATGAAGGGCTACTACGATGCTATCTTTGACCGCAACTACAAATCCATGACCGGCTTCCCGCACAACACCCGATTCCAATCTGCGCATCAGGCTACCCCTGAGGAGCGCAAGGAATTGTTCGACGAGCTGTGGGATCGCGGTGGCTATAGCTTCTTGGTCTCGAATTACTACGATTTTCTCCTGGATGAGGGTGCCAACTCTATCTTCTACGACTACTGGGTTCAAAAGGTTCGCGCTCGCATGACGAACGTCGAGAAAATGGATCTGGTCGCTCCTCTGAAACAGCAGATGCTGATTGGTACCAAGAGGCCTAGTCTGGAGCAGGACTACTATGAGATGATCGATCGGCCGAATGTGACTCTGCACGATCTGAAGAAATCACCAATCATGGAATTCGACTCGAGCGGAATGGTGACCAGCAATGGCGCAGAGACTCAGCACCATGACCTGGATGTGCTCATTTTCGCTACTGGCTACGATGCCGTGACTGGTAGCTTGCTTGACCTGTCTATTTCAGATAAGAACCAGGTTCCTCTGACCGAGAAGTGGAAGAATGGTGTTCTGACACATCTCGGAATGATGGTGCCTGATACTCCGAACCTGTTCATGGTCTATGGCCCGCAGGCCCCGACTTCCCTGGCTAATGGTCCGCCTTTCATCGAGATGGAGGTTGATTGGATCTGTAAGGCCATTGAGAAGATGCAGAAGGAGGGCATCGAGTCTATTGAGCCTACACAAGTGGCTGCTGAGGGTTGGCGCGAGGAGGTCATTGCTGTCAGCCAGTATACTCTGTACTCCAAGACTGATTCTTGGTACATGGGTTCGAACATCCCTGGAAAGAGACGAGAGCCTCTGGTTTATCTCGGAGGTATGCAGCGCTGGTGGAAGAGCTGTACGGATGGCCTGGAGACGTGGCAGGGATTTGCTACGTCTTGAAAAGACGTGTCTGTCCATGTTTGACTAAGCTGCATGAACCGTCAAGTTAATCAAGCATTTTCCCATAATTTTCCTTGACATTCTTCTGGTATTAAGTTTGATAAAATTGATCGTATTAGCCTAGGGCACTTTTAATACCATATTATTATCAAGTCCAACCAAATCTTTCATTTTATAACCCGAGCCTATTTGAAAAATGCAATATGGACCGATCGAGTTCAAAGAATAGCTAAGGCATTGGGAGGACTGCCAACTCCACCAGGGACATTGAGAGGCGATGAGGTTAGCAAAAAAGCGTATCGCTTCTTCTCATTGCATTTCTCAGACAGCTCCTTCAAGTCCCAAAGCTCACCAAGAGGCATACCGAACAAGCCAAGGCACCACTGATGCAGAATTAAATTAGTAAGGGGCAGGACCTCTCCATTTGCCATGGGTGGCATGGCTTCCACGGCAACATTGTCGCTCGCAACGGCAGCAAAGTGGTTGTTCCAAAGCCAGCGTGCCATATCCACAGTACCCTCAAGACCGCAATACTTGATGCTAGACATGGCAGCTGCTTGTTCTTCACCGGTCATGTTGCCAAGGGCCTCGGTCATACCGAATCGAATGATTAAGATGTCTCCTGGGCGAAATGTAACTCCTTGGTACACTGCCACTGCTTCGATGTCGGCTGGGCTGAGGCGGAAATCGATGAAAGGCGAGAAGTCGATGCCCTTGGCCTCCGCGTAGGATTTGAAGTCGATCATGACGCCTCGTCCAGCGACGCAGCCGCGATTGTGCCAATCTGGGATGGTTAGAATATGAAATATCATGGAGAAATGCGCCTCTCACGATCAATGGTGGGGAGCTTCTGATTCGCTTTGGAAGAAACTTCCATATCGGCGACAGTCGGGTATACCCCATTGTATGCCTTCCCAGAGGGTTGATGCATGAAGTGGCCTGGCTTCCAGTCAGCTAATGTAGATTATGATTATCTTGAATATCCACTGAAACTCACAAAGACTATCCCACTGGCTACTAGCCTGTGTATTGAATGACACCTTGTTCAATCAACATTTATGCATTTGAGATACTCGTTTGGATTGGCTTTACCTCATCATCAAAACCATAGTGCAGACCCGATTGATGATCTTCCAGCTTCATCACCTTGTGATCCAGGCTCTTCCTGAAGAATCCCGGCATCTTGATACTTCCGATGGGCCAGCTAGTACATCGCACTTAGTCGATGCAAAGTCACAACACGGAGAGATGGCAACCGACTTTAAGGAGATAGAGATACCATCTTGAACTTCCTCAGCTGCAGCTTTCACGGTCTCAGGCGTCAAGAGGTTCAAAGTTCCATAGACATCCTTTTCACCATCTTGATCAAAGACCCCCCACGCACATCCCTGGGGCATACCCTCAACGGCAGGCAATTCATCGAATGTCGGTAATTTGACAGCCATGATGTGCTTATCGAATACAGACGAGATGTGGTATTGAGACGGCCGGTGAGTCAAATGCGAAGCCCGTTGCAATCAGTCGTTGATACCTGCTTCACAACAGGTCGGGAATGAGCGATACCGGGTATCCGAGCAGATGAAGTCGTAAGAGGCAGCGGAGTGCGAAGCTAGTCTGGCCGCTAACGCGAAGACGGGCCGCGGATCGCCAGTCGAACCTCGCCGTCGCCTGCCTGAAGGACAGTCTCCACAATGTGGGGAAGCGACCCTGCCGAACCGCACTTCTCGGATGCGGGTGATGCTCTCTCCGTGAGAGATGCAGAGTGGAATTGGAAGGGCGCGTGGCAGTTGTGCGGATGTTGAGGTGTGACTGGGAGAAGCGAAGAACGGAAAGTGGAATTCTCAGAGTTCACACCGCAACGGATCTGGTTAAATGCTTACGTTCACACCGCAACGGATCTGGTTAAATGCTTACGTTGGGGACCCCAGAGACAAAATAGAGCGATATTTATTTTTTATTTTTTTCTTTTTACAAGCTTGTCACCCACCTCAATTATGTCTCTGCAGTATGATCCCGAATTTCTCGAGCATGCAGCTCCCATCCTCAAGATGCTGGAGGGGGCTGCGAAGCTTCCGGCGCATGACGTCGCGACACGGCGAGCCTACTTCAGCAGCTTCACCAGGCAAATGCTCCCACTCCCAGACAATATCGAAAAGATCGTCCATCATGTCCCTGCATCCGACGGTCACAACATCCCCGTCATCCACATTCGGACGAAAGGCAGGGAGACAAGCGCAAATGGCGAGCGAGCAATTGTTCACGTCCACGGCGGTGGATACTTCCTCCTCAGCGCCGACGAGTGCTCCCCTCCACTTGTGAACGCCGTTGCACAAACTGGAGTGCAGATACTCTCCATCGATTATCGACTCGCCCCGGAGAACCCATACCCCATTCCCTTCAACGATTGTTGGAGCGCACTACAATGGGTTTACGCCAACGTCGAGGACTTGAACATCGACCCGAAACGCATCGCGGTGATGGGAGAGAGTGCTGGGGGAGGTCTGGCTGCGGCTATGACAATCAAAGCAAGGGACATATCCTTGACACCGCCGATCGCCAAGCAGATCCTGGTGTACCCCATGATTGACGACCGCACGACCACCAACCATGCGGGCAAGATGGCGTTCTGGTCCGAAGCCGACAACATTACCGGGTGGACGGCGTATCTGGGAGCGGATAGGGGTACGGACAAGGTAGAGCCGTATGCTGCTGCTGCCCGGGTGGAAAGCGTTGAAGGGTTGCCGCCGCTGTATTTGGACACGGCACAATTGGACATCTTCGTTCACGAGGACCTGGAGTATGTTCGCCGGTTCGTGGCTGCCAATATCCCGGTGGACTGTCATATCTACCCCGGCATGCCTCATGGATTCGAGGCCCTGGCAGCGGGTGCAAGTGTGACGAAGCGCGCATATGAGAACCGATACAAAGCCATGACTAGTTTCTGAGGCCGCGGAATAGAATGTCTGGTAGACCTGAGGCAGCAATGAAGCTTCAATTTGTTTTAATTGTTCTCGGTAGGAGAAAGGCCAGATTTCAGATTCAGGCGTTCTGTGCCAACCGAGTGGGGCGAAAGCCAAGAGAGACCATCATGGATGTCCCTCGCTGTCGGTTGCTGCTGCGGAAGCCCGACCTGCCGAGCCCGTGTGGAGCCTCGGATGAAGTTGTATAAGATGTGGGCATTTCCCACGGAAATTGTACCAGGCAACTTCGAAATAATTTGATAAGTAATTCGACCATGACATCGACAAGCCGGCCGAGTCGAGAAACTGTGCAAGGTGTCGTGGGCGGCAAAGTAGCGATTATCACCGGTGCCGCTCGCGGTATCGGCTTTTCAACAGCATCGCTCCTCGCCCAACATGGAGCTCGCGTGGTTCTCGTCGACTTGAACGAAAGTGACTTGAAGAAAGCATGCTCGGCAATTGGAGGTTCTTCCACATATCAAGTCTGCGATGTGAGCAACTGGGATCAGCAAGTGGTCTTGTTCAAGACTGTCAAAGAAACGATCGGTCCCATTGGCCTGCTCCTTTGCAATGCCGCGATCAATCCGGAGATATCTCTGCTTCAAACCTCGGATCCAAACCAGCAGTGTGCAATGAACTCGCAAGTTCGGTACAACTTCCTTGCCGATGAGGAGGATTATCAGACAGAAGGCTCGCCCCTTCTGCGACCCCCCACCCAGCTCTTCGATATCAACATCAACTCGGTGCTTTTCGGCCTCAAACTGGGCATCCACCACATGAAGGCAAATGGTGGAGGGCGTATCGTCGTCACGGCATCTGCAGGATCCTACGTTCCCATCCCATCCCAGCCACTCTATGCTGCGAGTAAGCATGCTGTGGTGGGTCTGTGCCGCAGTACATCACAGATCGGCGAGGTCTTGGAATCGGGCGTTTCCATCTCGTGGATCGCCCCCTGGCTGACATTGACCTCGATGGTAGAGGGCCTCGAGGCGACGACTCATCCTGATACTATGAAGAGTTCGCCCGAGGACGTGGCCTGGGGGATTCTGGCGGCTGCCACCGCAGACAGTCCCAATGGCAAGGGGTATTGGATTCAAGGCACAAATATTAGTGAGGTGGAAGGGGCGTATGGAGAGGTGGCTGGCCGGTTGATTCATCCGGCAAATCGGTTTTAGTTGTTTGCATTGAGAATGTTTTGATCTGCCGAACGAGCATCACATTGATTCACCATTTTTCACCAACGGTAGATGATTTCGATTTTCTTGGCTTCTTTGACCTTCTCTCTCTTTTTTATTTTATTTTATTTTATTTAAGGCGTAATCGTGTGACACCAAATAATTCGTATCCCGTGGATAGTGCCAGCCCATCAGTTAAGGGGGTTTGCTTGATGAATCCAGGGATGGCGATATTTATAGCGCGGTTAGCATGGGTTGGATCTGATCTTGTGTCACCCGACTGATCAATTGACGGTGGCTGTGTGGCTGGGAAAAGGAAGCATATCGATCAGCTCCTGATTCAAGAGGCTCCATTTTTCAAGCCTGCAAGGTTAGCGCTAGTTTCCGGGCGCTCCTATCGGTACATGGTGGCCAGGATGTATCCAGATAAATTTGATCCCGAGCATCGACCGAGGGTTCATCGGTCTGAACCCCCACCGTTCGTCCGGTCATGACCAGATCGAGAGAGGCTCGATTCATCGAGGGATGTCAGTGGCGCACAGGACGTGCTTGGCCCCTGCAGCTGCAGCGGCAGTGGAACCCCCGCCGGCAATCGTTCCTTGTTTTGTCTCCAATTCCAGCGTGCGTGGCCCCTAAAAATGTGAGTTCGTATTGCAAGCTTCGGCGGGTGCAGCATTGGTAGAAGCACAAAGCTGGATCTGCTTCGTCCGCTTCATTTGAAGTTTTCATCGCGATCGGTCCTGTGTAGTATAGATGGCTATCTCGCGTGCTCCACTTATTCCAGGCCCGACCGGGCTGTTTGCTTCTAGAATGAAATGAGTCAAAGCTTGGCTCAACAGACCAACAAAAGGTACATGCCAATGGCCGTGGACCGTAGTACTCCGCGAGACCCTAACCCTCCGAGGGTCCTGGGGCCACGAGTAGACGTACAGGACTAGTGAGTATCCTGGAGTAGCAGCGATGCGACTGCTAAGAATAGCGTGGATGTCCCAATCTGGCGCTTCCGAATGCGGGGGAGCGTCAGCTGACTTTCGTCTCCCCGTTTTTTTTTCGATCGCCGACGACCTCATTTCCATTCTCTCTTGTCTTCCCAACTCCCCGTCGCCTCGTGCATGCCGGGCCTTTCTGACCGTTAGGCCGTTGACCCCCAACGGGTCCTCTAACCTCCCCGCGCTAAGGCCGTTTGGGTGAGGCTGAGAAAAAGACCCTTCCTATACCTTATCGCGGTCTAATCAACTCAACTCGTAGGACCGCTTTCGGATCGGTTCATTCCACGTCAGGGGATGGTCGCTCCCGAGTCCGGATTGACCGAAAGGTCAGGCCTCGCCATCGCTTGCGATGATCTCGACCATCATGCTGCCCCCAGCCATGGCGACGACCACCAGGCGCCCGTAGACGCCGCGGCCGTACTTAATTCCCCCTTGCCGTCGCTCCAGATTCGCACCGATTTGCCCAGCATTCGTCCCTCGAGCTCGCATCGCGATTCCGATCCCCTAGCCTCGCTCAGCGTATCCTCCGGCAGCCTCCCTCAGCGCACTCCAAGCTTGCGCGCGTTGATTGCCCCGCCCATCTCGAGTACGGGTTCCTTATCCCCGGCCTCGATTATGTCCTCGCCCCAGCTGAATGCGATGGGCGATATCACTCCGTTGCCATCGCCGATTGGCGGTGCATCTCCCTGGAGGCGGGGTGATTTGCCATCGCTTCCATCCTTATCGCGCACCTCGTCCACGGCATCTAGAAGCGGCTCCAGTTTGCGACTGAGCGACTCATCCCAGATGCTGGGGTTGCCGCCATCGCGCTCGCGTGGAAAGACATACACCGGTCTGAATGATCTCGGGGAGGAGTCACCAGTGGCGAATCGAGTCCGGCGTGACTCGCCTCACAAGCACGCTCGTAATCGCAGTTTGAGCGATTATGCACCACCCGGCCGCGCGTCGCTGCCGCGCCCTATTGCTGTCTCGCATGCCGTCCCGAGCATTGCGCCTTCCTCGAGCACCGATTCGAAGTCGACGGGCCTGCACCGTGAGCAGTATCTGGCCGTCCACCGCGGCATCGCCTTGCCGACGGTTCGCCCACCCAGCCCTCCTCGCAGTAGTGGCAGTGGTTACGGAGACAGTGACTCGGAACCCGTCATTCAACACCCCGCACCCCTGTCGAAATCTGAGGAGATTTATACCGTGCGCTCTATCAAGACGCAGCAGTCTAGAATGTACAGAAAAATCCGCATTCTGGGCCAGGGCACCTTCAGTCAAGTCAGCCTTGCGGTTCGCGTAGAAGCAGTCCCACAGACTCCCCTCTCGCCTTCGACCGATGGACCTAGTAACGTGATTCTTCCTTCGACGGCAACTCAGAAGCTGGTCGCAGTTAAGATCATTGAACATGGTCCCGCGGGAGGCGCCGATGAAGAGCGACTGGAGGTCTCCCTGAAGCGAGAAGTAGACATCCTCAAGGCCGTCAATCATCCGTCCCTGGTTCAACTGAAGGCATTCGGCAGCGACGAGAAGCGCGCTCTGCTTGTGTTGGATTATTGTCCAGGAGGAGACCTCTTCGAGTTCGCGACTTCAGGGGCTCCTCCTATGTCTCCTGGCCTCATCCGCCGCATTTTTGCCGAATTGGTCAATGCGGTGCGCTACCTGCATTCCCACTACATCGTGCATCGGGACATCAAGCTAGAGAGTACGTTTGACCCAGATTCGATGGGACCACATTTCACATTTACTCACCTCACTAGATGTCTTGCTCACCATGCCCCCGCATGCCATGGATGAAGTGACAGATTGGCGCATCTATGACCGCGCCGTAGTCACCCTCAGCGATCTGGGACTCTCTCGTCGCATCCCCGAGCCACCCGAGAGCCCACTTCTCCAGACTCGCTGCGGAAGTGAAGACTACGCCGCCCCGGAAATTCTCATGGGACAGCCATACGATGGCCGTGTTACGGATGCCTGGGCGCTTGGTGTGCTGCTGTATGCCATCATGGAGAACCGGCTCCCATTTGATGTCCTGCCCGGGACTCGTGGTGACCCAGCCAAGCTACGCGCTCGCACACCACACCGTATTGCTCGTTGTGAATGGAGTTGGTATCGCTATGCGGACGAAGACGAAGAGTGGGATGCTGAAAAGGGCCGCGACCTGGAAGGTGGCCGTGACTGCGTCGAGGGTCTTTTGAAACGCAACACTAAGCGCAAATCCCTCGATGACATCGCCGCCATGCCTTGGGTTCGTGATGCGATTGAAGTTCCCGATGGGATCAAGCGAGGTGACAAAGAAGTGCCATAGAGCTGGCCTCGCATGCATCTTCGACGTCTTTCCACCCCCACTTTCTCTTATTACACTTTTCTCCCCTATCTTCACTTTGTTTTCATTTTCCCACTTCTCATTATACGCCTTTCACCATACATACGTCTCCCATTCTTTTTCTCATTCGACATTATCTTTTGACGAGACACGTTGACGAAACGGTCGTTTTGGAATTGGAATTTTTTTTATTCTTGTGGCTAGACCAATTGTTATACCCCTTTACAACTATCAGAGCTGGTAGGCTTAAGAAATATGATCCAAAAAAAAGCTTTCTTGCTTTAGCTTGATTCTTCCAGAGGCCTGATTAACCTGAGTCGGCTCACAGTATCATTAGATTATCTCGTAGCCTGAATGCAAGAACCTTAGGAGCTTCTCCTCAGTGTTCCACATCAATGAGAACTCGATCTCATTGATATCCGATAAGCTGCAACTCTAAGCTTTCCTTGCGAGAATCTCTTCTTCTCGGAGCGAGGACCAGGAGCACCCGACCTCCTCGGTGCAGCGTGCAATGTCATGGTGCTTTCTCAAGGTTAGTCTTTTGACCGCTTATGCACAGGGTTGCTTCAACCTCCCATCCCACTAGGTCAAATCTACATCGATTTTACTATCCCACAGAATATGCTAATGGCACTTGAAGAGCCCACATATTTCATCTAAAGAGTAAACATCGGGATTTACGGGGCCATTATGTACATAGCACAGTTTCCACGCACAAATGGTCTGTCAAAACCTTTCGCAGAAAATTGTACGTGAAATCAGTTATTGGTGACCGTTTTGTCATCTCCAGGCACCCAGGCAACCATCCGGGGTACGTCGGACATCTCGCCGAGGATGATATCGGTCCATTGATTGAAATGGGATGGATATTTGGTCTAGATTGCATGTTTCGAGTCATTAACTCGAATCCTTTGTGCTTATGCTGAAATTATTCTGGAGGGAACTGAGAATTGTGAAATGTGAAATCAACAGTGGCTGCGATGACAATTGCGGAGCCCGGATTGGCCCGACGCGGCGTGGTGGAGCCGGGGAGCAGCAGGCAAACTCCGCCGCCGGCCTTCCGCTTGGGAATTTCCTCTCCCTCCCCGGGAGCCCCCGCCATCCACCACTCTTCTCTTATACCCTGCCATTGCGTGTGTTTGAAGCTCCTCCAAACCTCACAATGCTTCCTCGAACACGGGCCCGCGTGCCCGCGGCTCTCCGCAGCCTGGCTCGGTCCACCAACGCCGCGTGAGCTTCCGCCCTTTCCATCCCATCTCCGCGCCCTGCTAACAATTGCTTCTCTTCCCAGTCGCGCGCTCTCGACCACCCACCCCCGCTATGAGAAGGATACCGCCCTTAACAAGGTGTCGCGCAACATCACCCAGCCCATCTCTCAGGGTGCCTCCCAGGCCATGCTGTACGCCGTCGGTCTCACTGAGGAGGACATGAACAAGCCCCAGGTCGGTATCTCGTCCGTCTGGTTCAACGGTAACCCCTGCAACATGCACTTGCTCGACCTCAACAACAAGGTGCGCCAGGGTGTGCAGGACCAGAACATGGTCGGCTTCCAGTTCAACACCGTCGGTGTCAGTGATGCCATCAGTATGGGTACCTCCGGCATGCGCTACTCCCTCCAGAGTCGCGACCTGATTGCCGACTCCGTCGAGACTGTCATGGGTGGCCAGTGGTACGATGCCAACATCTCCATTCCCGGTTGTGACAAGAACATGCCCGGTGTCCTTATGGCCATGGGCCGCTTCAACCGCCCCAGTATTATGGTGTACGGTGGAACTATCAAGCCCGGCTGTGCCGTGACTCAGAACAATGCCGATATCGATATCGTCTCCGCTTTCCAGGCCTACGGTCAGTTTATCACCAAGGAGATCACCGAGCCCCAACGCTTTGACGTCATCCGTCACGCTTGCCCCGGTGAGGGTGCCTGCGGTGGTATGTACACTGCCAACACCATGGCCACTGCCATTGAGACCATGGGTATGACCCTGCCCGGCTCCTCTTCCAACCCCGCCAACTCCCAGGCCAAGTACCTCGAGTGTCTGGCTGCCGGTGGTGCCATCAAGAAGCTGCTTGCCGAGGACATCCGCCCTCGTGATATCCTGACCCGCCAGGCCTTCGAGAACGCCATGGTTGTTGTCAACATCACTGGTGGATCTACCAACGCCGTCCTTCACCTGATCGCGATCGCCGACTCCGTTGGAGTCAAGCTCACTATTGAGGACTTCCAGGCCGTTTCCGACCGTATTCCCTTCCTGGCTGATCTGAAGCCCTCCGGCAAGTACGTCATGGCCGATCTGTTCGGCATTGGTGGTACCCCAGCCCTGCTCAAGATGCTGTGGAAAAAGGGTCTGATTGACGGCTCTGGTATGACCGTAACTGGTGAAACCCTCGCCAAGAACCTGGAGAAGGCCCCCGACTTCCCCGAGGACCAGAAGATCATCCGCCCCTTCTCCGACCCTATCAAGCCCACTGGCCACATCCAGATCCTGCGTGGCTCCCTGGCCCCTGGCGGCAGTGTCGGCAAGATCACCGGTAAGGAAGGTACTTCCTTCACTGGTAAGGCACGTGTTTTCGACAGTGAGGATTCCTTCATCGAGGCGCTGGAACGCAACGAGATCAAGAAGGAGGAGAAGACTGTTGTTGTCATCCGCTACTGCGGTCCCAAGGGTGGCCCTGGCATGCCTGGTACGTATCACTCGCCAATTGAGCCCGGAAATTTCCTCTAACACATCCTCTAGAAATGCTTAAGCCCTCTTCCGCTCTAATGGGTGCTGGTCTCGGTAACTCTTGTGCCCTGATCACCGACGGCCGTTTCTCCGGTGGTTCTCACGGCTTCCTGATCGGTCATATAGTCCCTGAGGCTGCCGTTGGTGGTCCCATCGGTCTCGTCAACGACGGTGATGTGATCACCATCGATGCTGATAACCGCGTTCTTGACATTGATGTCAGCGAGGAAGACCTGGCCGTGCGCCGCAAGGACTGGGAGGCCCGCAAGGCTGCCGGCAAGCTCCCCGAGACTGGTCTGACCATGCGTGGTACCCTGGGCAAGTATGCCCGCAACGTCAAGGACGCCAGCCAGGGCTGCGTCACTGATTCTGTAGAGTAAATTATGTCTGGGTGTTTCGGTCTCCTTGGGTATCACCCCCGAGCATAAAAGCGCTGTATTTGGGGGCCTGTGCTATATAATATGATTTCAATACAAAATTTATGTTTATACGGTACCAAATGGTTGGTCCTCCTCTAATTAAGGACCGGAAATATTCGTGTGTGTGTGTCTAGTTGGTTATCGCGTCAAACGTTTTAGCATTATACTGGAAGAAGTGTCAGCTCAGATATCAAAGGGGAGCTAAAAGCTCAATCAGGAGACAAAACGAGGGATCCAGGTTAGTTGACGCCGCAGATTGTTGAAGGTCTTGGAATAGTCTTGATTTCTCAATGCTAGCTTTGTCTTGGTTAAAAATCTGACCTGTGAGGAGATTTTCTCATCAGCGGCACAGATGTTCGAACGAAATGAGTGGAGATACATCTCCAACTCCACAGTCCACCTCCAACAACTACCTCCACACCCGCCACGCTCAGCGATATTTTTCATCGGATGAATTAGAAATGCAGATAATTTGTAATCTACAGCGATCATATCATTAAGTTGAGTACTAGTATATCTGACAGGGCTTTTTGGGTTAGACTCATCACAGTCAATATCAAATCACCCAGCAGTCTCAGGACATATCCGAAGTAAGTTTTTCCTGGTCTTGTCCACGGGTGATGATAATAATGCACGGAAGTGAAGTACATAACTAAACCGAACCACAGAAATGAAGCTTCAATGGCTTCGCGATAGCTTCTTTGGGCAGTGTGTTCGTCATTTTTGGACACCCTCCTGGGCCAAATACCCCGAGGAATCCGCGAACTGGTTAGAAGAATGCAAATTCGATAGTGCCGACCAACATCAGAAGACCATCCATGTGAATTGGTACTCCGAAAATGATGAAGACAATCCACAACTTTGGCCCCAGGCAAAAAAGGCATTTGTCGCTGGAGTGATTGGTGCTTACAGCTTCGTGGTGTACATGTCCGCGCCGATATATACCCCGAGCGAGAGCGCGTTCATGGAAGAGTTCCACGCAAGCAATTCCGAGGCCTCTCTTGGACTTGCACTTTACGTGTACGCTGCCATATCCTGTGATCTCTCGTTCGACCTTCGTGCTGAGCTGACTCTAATTATAGGCTTGGTTATGGCACAGGGCCCCTATTTTTCAGTCCCCTGAGTGAAATCCCTCGCATCGGACGGAACATTCCGTACGTCATATCGTTCGCTCTATTTTGTATCATCAGTATACCAACGGCAATTGCGCCGAATGCGAGCGGGTTTTATGTTTTGCGATTTCTACAAGGGTTCTTTGGCAGTCCATGCCTAGCAACCGGCGGCGCATCTATCGCAGACGTCTATTCATCTGATGTCCTGCCGCATGCGATGACAACATGGGTATTTTGTATCTTTTGTGCCCCTGCTATTGGCACTCTCGTATCCGGGTTTGCGATTCCGGTGCTTGGCTGGCGCTTTTCGATGTGGGAGATTCTGATGGCAGCTGCTCCGATTCTTCTTCTACTTTTACTGTTGCCCGAAACCAGCCCCGCAACGATTCTACACCGACGTGCACGAAGATTGGAAAAGATCAATACGTCGAAAGCTCAAATATATCAGACTGCAGCCGATGTTGCTCAGAAAGATCTTTCTTTCCACAAGGTAGTTCGAGAGTCGCTACTCATTCCCTTGAGAATCACACTTCTCGATCCAGCGATTCTGTTTTTGAATTGCTACACCTCTCTCACTTACGGTATCTATTATTCTTTCTTTGAGGCTTTTCCAATTGTTTATCAAGGGATATACGGTTTCAATCTGGGCGAAATGGGTGCTGCCTTCCTTGCTATTGTCGTCGGCACAGTCATTTCGTTCGTCATATACAATCTGTACATCCATCAGACCTTCATCCCATCTGCAAGAAATGGGGCACTTAAAAACCCAGAAGATGTACTGGTACCTGCGCTCTTCGCATGCTTCGGACCTTCAATCGGCCTCTTTCTTTTCGGGTGGGCTGCCCGATCAGAGGTGCACTGGATCGTGCCAACGATTGGAATCGTCATTTACCCTGCATGCGTGTTTATCCTGATGCAGTGTGTTTTCCTATACATTCCTGATTGCTATCCGCAATATGCTGCGAGTGTTTTCGCTGCTACTGACTTCACTCGGAGTGCATTTGCTTGCGGTGCGGTTATCTTCTCTCGGCCTCTTTATGTGAACCTCGGAATTGGCCCAGGCTGCAGCCTGCTTGCAGGATTGACAATTGGCTGTGTTTTGGGGATACACGTGCTGTATAGATATGGTGAGGCATTGCGTCTGAGATCTAAATTTGTCTCTAAATGGTGATCCAGCGACCCTGATGCGGTCCAAGATCAGTGGATTCAAGAAACCGGGTCGCACGACCTCATGGTAACATGATTCGATATTTCGTTTTCTGGGTAGTCAAATTTGCCATTATACAAGCACTATGTTATAGATTAATCAAAATCTGGACTATGATTGTTTTTGATCCTCTAATTCCTCAAGATGCGTCGTGCTATATCACTGCTAGCGCCGAGACGTAGAAGTGATGGAGGGCTAAGAGGATAATTATTGAGCTTTAAATAGTTCCTTGGGACTGTGCAAATGACGCTTCACTGCGATCGCCATACTCATCGAGACCATCGCCAATGACTTTCAATATAGCCCATTGTTCATTTCCTCGGATGAGCCGTGCCCATAGCTTGACCACTGCATACCCTAGATAGACACAATTGGATAGATCTTCAGGTCGGGGCCATAGGTCCTCATCGCCAGAAGTTCGGCCCTCTTCAACAATATCGCTGATCCAGCCGATAAGACGTGTTTCATGTTCTATTCGAGAGTATCAGTCGCATATCCGAAACGATATCTCTTGCAAGCAGTTCGTGTCAAGCATACCGTCAAGAGGGCGTTTGTTCTGGCTCTCGGATATGCGGAATAGCCATTTGCTAAGAAATATTGCGAATTCAAATCCACACAACGAGTGCTGGATACTCCATACAAAGGCATGGCTTCGGGCAACAAAGCTGACTCCGAGCTTGACGGGTATACTGAGCGCATGGGTCGCATGCAGAATTGCTGGGAGCAAGTGAGGACCTGCAGGGAGTGATGGCATTTGCAGTAAGCGATTCGCGATTTCACTGGCCTCCCGGGAGCGGAGTATTTTGTATAAGCCCAAATCAAGACCTAGCCGAACATAGGCTAGACCAAGTAGGGCTGTTGAAGTAAACGTCACTGGACCGTTGGGGTTGCGAGGGTCCAAACTTGACTCTGGGGCCCTTTGCCATTGAGAAGTCCATGCATGAAGTGCGCTTCTATATGGAAATAAGAGGTCAACATTGATCAAATCGACGTATTGTTCAGTACTCACCGCATGAGCTCCTTCTGTCCATTCATCAGTGTGTTTTCATTATCGTTAAATGAACGAAATGCCTGGTAGGCAAGGATGATCCTTTGAATCAGTGCATGAAGCAATATGTAGTTTGCGAGAGGAGATGGGATAAGATGTGTGCCCGATGAGCTTTCTTCTGCCGAATTTTGCATCAGCTGCCCAACAGCATCTTGGAACAACATCTGATCTTGAGGAATTGACCGGCGAACCATTGTCCACTTGGTTTGGTTGGGGGCGATCCACTCGAGGCAAGTGCACGGGAGACGAAGATTGATCTCATCACTCATGATGACTGGCGGGGTGCTGAATGCAATAGAATGCAAATTCAGGATTGCAAATGAGAACAACTTCAACCTCCTGTCGGACTCTTGTTGGACCCATTCATGCCAGTCTGAGATATGTATTAATGTGTCGGGGGTTTTCTTCCAGTTGGCACTCCCTGACGCATCTTGCAAGATAGCTCTGGAGATTAAACGCTTCTTGGACAACCATTTCTTCACTTTGCCATGTTGCAAACGCAATTAGAAAAAAGGCGCAGCGTGCCTGACGCATTACTATGTTGTAACGGACTTCGTTCTCATCCGAGATTTGTTGCAGGGTGTCTTTAGCCGCATAGAACAGTAGGACGGCTTTTCGGTGTTCATGTCGGTATTGGGCCCCTAGCGCGGACATGGCTAGAAATATCTCTGGTTCACAGTCTTCGATCTTGAATGTCGGAATATGCACCACCGGCATATGGGGATAGAATCCATCGAAGAAACCATTCATGAATCGAGTGAGCGAATGGCAGGATGGCAGATCATATTGCGAACTTTTCGGAAGCGCATGAAGAAGGCGGTTCCGATGTTGATTGGTCACCGTTAGTATGGGAAATGTCAGAACTCCAAATTCGGCTGTTGAGTCTTGTTAACACTTCATTCCTATCGCAAGTCTCTGAAGGGTGAAAACTCACCGACATTCTCTCTCTCGACAGGGAGCTTGCTGAGAACGTTTCTCGATTGTGGATGCTGTGCCTGGGTTGAATAAGGCGAGGATGGGATTGGAAGAGCATTGAAACTAGGCTCTCCGGTAAATATCTGTGTGATACTAGGCTCCGTTGGGAGATACCACTCGGTATTGAGACCCATGTTTTGACTGAAAGATTCAAGATCTTGGAGGACCAATAGGTCTTGATGATTGAACAGGATATCGCCTTCCACTGGAAATGTCAGTATCTCATAAGCTTGTCCTACTGCCCTGCATGACTTGATTCGATAGTTGGCTTACCTTCGAAATGGAGATCGGGGACATCTCCCTGCTGTATACCTGACGCGGTAGCAGTATGATGAAGATCGGGAAGTTCCCACAGGGACCCGCTTCTCTCGGGCACCGAGCCCTGATCAGCCTGAGGCTGATGGGTTGTACTTGGAACTAGGGTGTTTGGCGACAAGTGTGATGGGGCAGGGGTATCCGGAGAATGCCCGATCTTTTGATGGCGCTTCAGGAGGTCTCGACGACCAAATGAAGCACCGCAAGCACATTTGTATGGCTTTTCATTGGTGTCTGGAAGTTTCAGTCAAGCCTGCCCGGTGAACCTCGCGGGAGATGTACAAACGAATGCGAAGATGCCGTTGGAGGTGCTCGTGGCGGCGAAATTGGCGTTTGCAGAATTGGCAATTTCGGGGCTTTCTCCTGCCTGTGGATGTGTCTCCAGGTGTTCCAGTGCTGAAGGATTGGTCCATCTTCACCACTGTGTACACCTAGTAAAGTGCTAGTCCCCTAGTTACTGCTAATGGTGGTATTCCGGACATGTCGCGGGACGTGGTGGCGGAGGAAGGCTCGACGTCGTCATCGCCGCAACTGTGGGGACAGCCTCCAAACACCTCCAACGCCTCCACTTTGTCGTCTACTCTCCTACACAGCCTGAGGGTACCCTCACGGGGAGATTCAGCCAACGTCCCACATTTCAGGGCTGTCGGGCAATGTGTTTCACCGGTTTCACACATGGTACTTATTGTACCTCGTTATGCACTTGCAACGCCAGCTACTCGAACCACGCTGCGGCGGGCCTAAGGATCGATGACTTCAAGTTATCGCCGCATCGCCGCCTTCCACTTACTACGCCTTGAGACCAATCATGGTTCAGGTCGCGAAGATGAAGCAGACGGTGTATCGAAAGTTGAAGTCCCGACTGCATCAGCTGTTGGGTGGCCGGCTGTCTCTGCCCTTGTTTGATGGGCGGATTTCAAACTTGGAACGCCTCCGATTAATTACGGGCGAAGCTTAAGAGGGTTAAGATTCGATATCAATTTATCTGCGTCGACCCTGCATTCGACTAGCTAAGGGTATCTTTGGGGTATACCTCGACCTGTCGATCATTTGTCTGGCAGCGGCGTGGATTGGTTGGTTTGCTGCGCGATGCACACTCCATTGGGGCTGTGCGCACCACATCTTGACCTATCACTTCTCGTCGCGTCCACCTTCTCAGCTTGAATGTGGCGTGGATCTTCCGATAATGCGACAAGTCGAGGGAACCTGCATCCCGCCTGCATTTCATAAGCTTGTCCTTGCTCCACGGGACCTCGGCGGCAGATGCCACTGGACCCTTGCCTGCGTCATGGCCGTTTTGTGTCTGTCCCCGGACTGACTTCTACTTCATCGGAGCCTCATGTTCGTCTCTAATCTCTCCATTATTTCCTGCCATGGCTGAAGTACAAGCGCCCCCCACTCCAAAGCACCGTCGTCGCCACCGGAAGGACAGGGTAGAGGCCAGCGTCACAATGCAGCCAATTTACATGAATCCGACGGGCGCATACTCTGTCCAGGCCGGTTCCCCCATATGGTGTGCCTCCAGCTCCATTTCACCACCCTCACGCAGTTGCCTCCTTGGATCACCTACCTCCACGACCAAGTCGCACTCCCGCGCCTATTCCGTATCACCATGTCACACCTGGAAGCCCACCACCGGGATGGTATCCAAGTCCCAAGCCCTCGTCGGATCTCACAAAATGGACATCGTGCACGAACTTGAGCCAATCTGTCTCCAACCTTGTTGCGCATACGACTGGGAAAGCGAATGCCACCATCTTAGAGCTGGAAGCACTCGTCTTACAATGTGTGGGTGGCGGCACCAATGTTCGAGAAAGTACATCGAGGCTACTAGACCAAGTCGTGACGCTGATTGATATTGGATCTTTCTGTGGAAAGGAAAATGAGCTTCGTGGGTCTCGTTACTTGAGTCATATTTCACCGCTTTGCTAACCAAAGACCACAGTGGCTGCATGCGCCCTCCCATTCCAACCCGACGAACGAAAGAGAGATCGCTGGTCATATGGGCCAGGAAGAAAAAGGCATTCAATATCGGTCAATTACTTCTCCAAGACATACCTATATGCAAACTCGCGCATGCCCCCGAGTCTGCCACATCTTAGATTGTAAGTTGATTTACAGGACATCGACACAGGGTTCAATAGCTAATTTTAATGGCAAGCTACCCGGCTACATACCCCTTGCTCAGACTCGCAGCTCGGTATTCGCGACAGGTCTATGAAAAGCCAAACGGGCCTGAGCGGCATTCTTACGTCAACTCAGACTGGCTCCAAGGCACAAAGGCAATGGTCATCAAGTCCCTCCCAGTGGACGACATGAATACTATCGTGTTCGCCATTCGGGGAACCCAAAGTTTCCTCGACTGGGCTGTCAATGTCCACACGGCCCCCATTTCACCCTCCGGCTTTCTCGACGATGCTTCAAACAAATGCCATGCCGGATTTCTCTCTGTCGCCAGGAAGATGGTCTCTTCCGTTGCGGCACGACTGCGCCATCTGATCGAAGAAGATCCGAGCCGAATGGCATATACGCTTCTCATAACTGGCCACTCCGCAGGCGGTGCTGTTGCTAGTCTTCTATATCTCCATCTTCTTTCGGAGTCTCCTGAGGTCAGATCAGAGCTTACGTATCTTCGTGGATGCTTCAAACACATCCACTGCGTCACCTTTGGTGCTCCTCCTGTTTCTCTCCGCGCGTTACAACGTCCACGGCATACGAAATCATCCAAGTCGATGTTTTTTTCCTTTATCAACGAAGGCGATCCAGTTACGCGTGCCGATAAAGGATATTTCTTCTCGTTGCTGGACTTGTATGCTTCTCCCGCCCCTGGATCTGTCTGGTCAGTACTTGATCCTCGGGGCAAGCGCACGTCATCTGTTTACTGGCGAGTTCCTCAATCTACCCTATCTAATGCGGGCCGAATCGTCTTGCTTCGTTCCCGCCATCAAATCCACGGTCGTTTGGCCATGGCACCGCCAACTAGTCCTAGAATATCATCGCCGCTTTCCCCTCGCGAAGAAGTGGAGGCTTGTGGGACGACTGATGCTGATCTTCGTGGGTTGGTCTTTGGGGATCCATTTATGCATCTAATGGATCTCTACTCCCGGAGAATCGAGACTCTTGCAAGGGGCGCTTCACGAAGCACAATGCGTTAATCCCATCGGCTAGCTATTATCTTTCAATTTTATGCGACCGAAAACCAATCACTTCATAGATAACAGTTGTAGTTCAGCTTGATATCAAGCAAATCTCACAACGCAACACGCCAAGTTTTTGCTCTAGCAAGTTCTACTTCCAAAGTTTCTGCGTCAGCGTTGGCTAAACTTCCAAATTCTCCTTAAATCAGCACCAAGTCTCCGATGACTCAATCTTGTTAATGCTCTGGAATGTCGTACTCGGCTCTGCTGAAAAATAATGCAACGTTGATACAGCCCCCCTCCGAGTCCCTCTCCTTTGACCAGAACACGCGTCAAACAACAGCTGTTGCCAAGGTGGAAGTCTACTTTTCCCAATTTTATATGTCTTGCTACTTCATACCGAACAAATCATCTGTTCAGTGACAGTCAACAACTATCGCATTCAGGTCAAGATCGCGACCGAGCCGCTCCCCCTAGAGTGTGTGAGATCGCACCCCCAAGATCTCGGTGGGAGACCGTTTATTCATGTCTGTGTCCGGCCCGACATGGAAAACCTCCAATGGTCGTCTAGATCCCGCTGTCATTATCGAGGTCGGACTCGGTAGAGGCCATAGAGAATGGGTTTCCGTGCAACGCCTAGTGGCAGCATGGGCCCGTGTTTATACATGTGATCGGACTGGGTATGGCCGCACTGACGACTCATTCGCGGTTCCTACTGCTAAAAACCGAATAAAAGATCTATTAAATCTTTCGCAGAATGCAGTGATTAAGCCGACTTATGTCCACGTCCACCATTCATAAGGAGGTGTGTTTGTCGGGGAGATTTTGCGCCAGAATCGAGATATAATATGGCCGGGATGGTCAGAGTGGAATCTTCGAGAGTACTCCTTTGCCTCTTGAATGGCCGTCACTGCTTGTTTCATCAAATTACCATGCCTTCGTTGGATTGGATTAAAATTTTTGTGTTCGCGAAAAAATACAAAGCTATCAAACAGGACGAGATTCGCAACATGAACACTGCTCATATTGAGGAGAAACATGTACACTCGAATACGGAACAATTGAATGCGGCCATGAAAGTCGGCCTTAAAGCTTTGGGTGCCCGCCGCTGAATGACTTGCAAATGAATCGGCTGATATCCAGAAGATCCTGGACTTTGGGTGGCACACGAACATGGCACCACGGTGGCACGAGATGCGCTATAAGTATGTCTTAAAGACATGGGTCAGATTGATGAAATTGGTAATCGAGTGCATCAAAATTTTTCAGCCGTAGTCGACTGGTTTCTGCTACGGGGAATGTGGGAACGCACAATCTACAATACGTGGTTCCCCGGATAATAGCTGATGAGATATTCTGGGTTCTTTCTAAGCTGTAAATTCGCAGTGGAGAATGGAAGGCCGCCATGTGCGACTGTTATCTGGATAACCGGCTTTGAAGGATTGGATCTCTAAATGTAATAAGGTGATTGGGAGCGATTGATGACTTTTTTACTGGTTTACAACATTTCACATAGTTAACATGGTTTGATTTTATTGGAAGATTTAGCTCACCGAAACACATCCAGAACTAGCCAAGTGATCCGGGCTTTAATTGAATTTCACTGATAGAGCTTGAAGATCCCTGGAGAAACAGGCCGCTTATTCTGTCGCTTCAAATAGGCACGAAGGTCCTCGTGGAGCCATTCCAAACGGTAAGTTTGGGCAGGCAGATTGAATTGCTCCCTGTACTTCTGAAGCTCTCCACGCAGTTTCTTTCTAAAACAGCTTGCTTGTTTTCCTTCACTTCTCCCAGTGGAAGGACTAACCTCTTCCAGTACTCATCGAAGCCAAGTAAGATGGCATCGGCATCACCCTCACGGTGGTAAACACGGCAATAACGAAGGAGTAACGCTTCGGTGACAGACGCACTTTTGGCCTTTAAACTTGTGGAGTGTTTATATAGCATAAAATTTTCGACTAGCAAAGCACAAATTCCTAAAGTATACCTAATTCTAGGTCGCTTCAATTATTATTAGTGACAATCATTAGGTCTCTACGAGCCTAACCGTCCATTAAATGTGCAAAATAGATAACACAATGAGTGGATTGGAGAATTATGGTGATCATCAATGTTCATGAGATACGATTATCTGATCTGAAAGAGACTTAGGTGACTCGGACTGCTCGAGGCTTAGTGGGTTGAATCCGTAAAGAAACCCCGCCGAACATGATCTTCTATACCAAGACTGAAATCATAACTGTTACTTTTAATACATTATACTTCCAGCTTTTGTTAACTTTGACGTCTTAGGTATGGTCAATGAGCATGCAGATTACTGCTAACCCCAGCCTGCGGAAATGTTCGTGCTTATTGGTGGCGAATTTTGTTTGTTTATCATGACAAAGATTATATTTCAACAAAGCCCTCCTGCAAAATGATAAATAGCAATAATTTTTGGAAACTTATGATATATCTAGCTTGCCCAAAGTTGGAATGATCGTTCGTGCTACATCACTGAACACATGATACTCAACATGATATTCACCAGGGTAATACCTAGGTACATTTGATACAATGTAGTAGTGGCAGGCTTATCAGAACAAAAAATTACAAGCTGAAATTCAGCTGCAACGTAGAACCTAGATTTAGGTACACTACCTAATTGAGATCCTTTTAGGCATGTAGTTTAGCTTTCGAAAGCGATCGGCTTTTTTCTGCATGGAGGTTCGGTGTATGAATGCGGATCCCTCCGATCTATATTTTTCTGCGCTTATCCGCTGCACCAGGTGAGCCGACACTTGAATCCACATGGATAGCTATCGTGGCATTTTTTCTCGATTTTATTAACAAATAGTACAAATATGTGTTTATATAGTAATACAAGATAAGTTTGGTAAAGCGAACACCATAAAGTGGTATTTACGAGGCCGAAATCGGACAATGTAAGCGCCATCTCCAAAAATGGGACATCACGTCCCGTGAGTCCGTAAGTCACGGGCTAGCAGTAAAGCCTGCTTCGCCTTCAGATAGTCATTCCAACCTCGTACCTAGAGGATAGGGTACAGCTCGCTTCATTCCCCAGAGTCAGGATTTAGAGACCTCCACATCAAAAGATCGCAGGTACCACTCTCCCTTCAAATATCTCGGCATTTGATACGTTCCGATTCGATAACTCACCGATCGTAGTAAACAAATGTCAGCCGACGACGACTCATTCCGAATCGAACTTCGGAACATAAAGGTTCTAGAAGGACCATCTCTAGAACTCGACATCGATAACTTGCCCGATACCCCTCAAGATGCCTTCAAATCCTGGTTCCATGAAGCAGTCAAGGCCGGCGTGCGCGAGCCACACGCCATGACCGTTTCCACGGTCGACAAAGAAGGATATCCCGATGCGCGCGTTTTGATTCTCAAGAATGTTGATTCACGTGGCTGGCATTTCGCGGTGAATGCCGATAGTCCTAAGGGCAAGCAGCTGGCGAATAACGGCCGTGCTGCGTTAACGTTCTACTGGCCTCATCTGGCTCGTCAGGTTCGATTGAAGGGAAAGGCATTTACTCTTCCCGAAAAAGAGAATGCCCAGGATTTCAGAGATAGACCGCTTGCATCGAGGATCAGTGCTGTGGCGTCCAAGCAGAGTGAAATTCTGCCTGATCGCAAGGCTTTGAGTCAAAGTCTTGCAGAGACCGAGGCCATCATGGCCAAAGATCCTTTCGCCGGCGTGAAGAAGTGGGTAGTCTACGCAGTGGTGCCTGATTCAGTTGAATTCTGGCAGGGTGATTCGAGCCGTTTGCATAAGCGCGTACAATTTGTGCGCAACCAGAACGAGACGAGCTGGAAAAAGAACATGCTCTGGCCTTGAAATATTTGCGGCCCTTGTTGCGAACTTTGACCGAGGTAATTTTGGGGTCTACGGATACGTAATGACCATGATACATTCCAGTGTCTATATATTGCAACAACCAAATACGAAGATAACAATCACCAAGTCTTCCTCATCTTGCTCCACATTCGGACAAAGTCTACCTTCTCCTTGACTCCCAGTCCCACTCTCTTCACTCGTCCCAGCCGAGCCAGAGAATCGCCTACCTGGTCGAGCAATGCCTTTTCAGCGCTCGTAATATCTCCATCGATCTCCTGGTCTAGGGTATCAAGGTAGTTTGTATTGTAGGTCGTCTGGCGCGTGGATCGTGCGGGTGGTGTGTCCAAGGCATTAGCGCCGCGCTGGACACACTCGGCAATGCGGACACGGATACAATGCGTAGGCTTGCTCAGCAGGGTCCAGAGGAAGCTGATGTAGCTGCCTGGGATTGGAGTGACAACATCCACAGGAGTGTACCGCAGGCTGACGGGGAATATCTTGGTCTTGGAGTGTACGCCGAGGAGAGAGTGACTGAGAGGCAAGATGCCGCGACTGTTGGTGGTGGTGCACTCAGGGAAGATCACAATTGGGCGGTTTGGGTATTTGGAGACGAGGGTCGCAACATCCACCAGTTGGGTACCGGGTTCAGGAAGAACGGAAGGTTGTGCGAAGGCGCGCAGAATAGCTTGAAGGAGAGAGATGCGCTCAACCCGCTTCGTGTTCGGATAGGATGCTGTAAAGATCGGGTCGAAGATTGCGGCCAGGTAGACTGCATCGATGGGGGAGGTAAATGATGACGCGATAACCGAGCCCGGTTGAGGGAGGCGAGCTTGCTGGTGTTTGGAAAGGGAGCTGTAGACAAACTTTTAGCCCAATACCACGAATTGTAGTGGTATCAAACGAACCCTTTTCGCACACCGTCCACTTGTAGGTCAATCCACCATATACTGGGAACACCGAGGATGCACCACAGCGCAGCTTTCTTGCCCAGGGACCCGATCGGTAGCCATTGGAGGATCAGGAAGTAGGTCAACGTAATAAACAGGAACAGTGGTAATCTGAAGCAGAAAAGGAAGAAGCGGAGGGGAGCCTGCCAGCCGAGGGGCTCTGAGGGGATAGGGAGAAAGGGCGCGATGCCCGAGCCTGACGGTCGGTTAGTGATGCCCATGCTGGTCCGTGATACCCGCCAAGGGGAGAACAGTAGGCCGAAGAGGAACTCACCGCGATCGCGAAACTGCGAGAACTTCTCCATTAGGTTCCTGCCGGCAAGTGCGATAGGGAGAGGCTGGCTTCTCCGAATTTCTGGGCTTCACATGCGAGTGTCACGTGACAATATATCATGCATAAATAGCCTAAATACACCTTTCAAGGTTGACACGAACCATACCTTCCTAAACTGGCCGGCATAGTAGAAATTGCATGTGTACGCCTGATACGAGTATACAAAGAACCAGAAATAAATTGAGCACCGAAACACCCGGCGGCGAGGCCAATACTGTACAAATTCTATATGCGATATACATGCTATTCGTCGTCCCCAAATTCCCCGACGACAAACTCCTCATTCCGAGGTGCAGGCGGCAAGCGGAAAACCCAGATTGCAGCAGCCACCATGCAAAATAATGAGCTAGTCACCATCCACGCCAGCCCAATCCAGAATCCCCCGAGCCGGAGACCTAGCTGGAAAACGGCGGTGATGGTCAAGCTGGCTACGACATTGCCCACTGACTGGAGGATCTCAATCACCGTGTACAACCGAGCGGTCTGATCTCGCTCGACAAGTGTAGTGATGATAGACCGTGTTAGGAACACAAATCCTGAACCAGAGGCCTGAATAACCATGCTGGGGATGAGGGTGGCAATCGCCGGAGATAACCCGATCCCCAGCGTGCCGAGGGTGAAAAGAAGAATACTTGCCCGTGCAAGAGAAAGATCCTTCTGGGTGGAAGAGTGTCGAGCATTGAGATAGTATTTTTTGAGGTAGGGGAGACCCCATAGAAACATAGGGATAGAGATGGTGGGCCGGAAGGCCACCAGCAGGTTGGCCTCAGCCAGTGTCCAATGGTAGCGAGTCGAGATGTATTGGGTAAGGAACCATGATGAACCGCGGCTGAGACGGTAGATGAGAAAAACCGAAAGTAGAAGCAGTACTGGCTTGTGGTTGAGAATGAAGAGGTAGGGCCGCAAGTAAAATCGGATGTTGGTGCGGCACTTGTCCCACCACGCTCGGACTCGCGAAGTCGTCTTTGGATAGCTCCATGACATGTGTGCATCCATAGACGGGCGGGTATGCATTTCGTTATCCGAATCGTTGGGTTTGTCGAATCGGAACTTTGATTCGTCATTCCCATCAAGCTCGGAAAGCTCCACATTGGTTGGCTCGGACCTCTGTGGGGTGAACGCGTGTTTGGTCTCCGGCAGCACCAGTACCAGCAGCAAGCCAAAGAAGATAATGATAAATCCAATGATCAGGGGTACCCAGGGATTCAACGCCATGAGCCACGAGCTTGCCGCGGTCGAAACAAAGTCGGCTCCCATCGATACAATGCCGAATTGGAAGAATATGCCCGCTCTAGAGCGGAATTTTGTTAGCATGCAATGATTTCACCCCCTAGTCACAGGAAATATCCCATACCTCTCTGCTTCAGTGGTTACGTCGGCCATCATAGTCCAAATAATTGCAAATGACACAACCGGGCCACCACCAATCAACCAGCCCAAGGATGAAAGCCAGATCGCTCGCAAGGGGAAGATATCCGAGAACCACATCACAGCCAGTGAAATCATTGAATTGACGGCAAACCCGGGAATCCCGAGGGCCAGCGTCGATTTGCGACCGCGGCGGTCTGCCAGCAGACCGTACGGAAAGGCCATCGCAGCACCTGCAGAATGAGATCGGAATGTCAGACCACGGTTTCCTTATCAGCTACGGCCCCCTGTGGGGGAGGGCCTGACGATCCAGACAGTGAACATACTCAGCAACCCGTCAAAGAACATGTGGTATCCCTTCACGGCGGCCAATTCCGCCTGAACTTCAGCCACCTTGCACTGGCCTTCAGGCACGTTGCCATTGGCGCCAATTTTAGAGGGATCGACTCCGGCGAAGTATTGACGGCAGGCGATAGATTCCAGAATGCGGACCATGGGGCCTTCCAAGAATGCGAGACCGACCTCCACGGCCAGAATCATGGTGAACAGAATCATCTTCAGCCGGAAGCCGATCTTTTTGGCGGAGGCATTGTTCTGGTCGTGCCTGGGCTTCGCATCGACAGGGGTACCGGGCTCGGAGAGGAACGGGGCGTCTTCACGCTCCTCGCGATCGAATTCGTGGTCGGGGGCCATGAGGGCCGGTCATGCCGTGATATGTGAGGAGAGGGAGAGGAGCAACGAAAGTCGATTTAAAGCAATGACATATTAGGAAGAGCGTGTAAGAGTGTCCGTCAGTTAGCGATCTTCCAATCGTCGCAAGCGGAACAGTCACGCTGTCTTGGCGCGATGCGTCGGATGGCCCCACTTGGGTTGGGCGACTCAGGGGAGTCCCGTGATCTAGCAGCGCATAGATATAGAAGAGAGGCACATCATTTAGTATGTACAAATGTATACAGGGCGAGATGCCCGCAGGCACCTTCCTAAAATACACCCGATGGATATTCGCCGAGCCACATGGTATATGCTACAATACTAAGACATAGGAACATCGTACACTGTACATCAATTGTATCCCGCTTCCTCAAACAGACTCCCCCGCGCCTGTACTACCGCCGACAGCTCCAGGAGGAATTCGTACAGGATGACCACATTGGTGAGAACGTGGCCTAGCGTCGCCGTGGGGGGCGAGTCAGTGTCGGTGCCAGTCGCCTCGGCCTCATCGTTCGCCTCGGCGGGATCGGCTAGTGAGGGTGCAGGAGGGAATGGCGTGGCAAGGCGCCGACGGAGGGCCTCTACAGCTGCCGTTCGTGAAGTTGAAGAGCCACGAGATTCAATCGGGCGGGCAGCAGAATCACTCCTCATAGCACTGGGAGCCATTGCAGGTGAGTTGACGTTTTGCGGGGAGCGCCCGCGTGACCCAGGCAGAGAAGCCTCGGGGGATCCAGGAAACGATGGACGAGACGGACGCGAGGGATCGACAGACGGCGGGGCCGGAGGTTCAGATGGCTCGCGCGAACGAACGGGGGTTTGGGGACGCTCGCCCTGGTGCAGGAGCTCTCGACGAGCAGCGACTAGGACATCAAAGTCGGGCAAGTCCCGCTGCCATTGTTGCACCTGCTCGACCAGCTTTTGAAGTGACGAGGTTAGGGTAGGGGCGGCACTTTCAGGCCAGGTAGGAATCTGATATGCCTGGTGAACTCGATCAAATTCGTCGGATGGCTCTTGCGATGGAGCGTCGTAACAAGCCGGGTCGACTAGTACCCAACCATCTAGGGCAAACAGGTGCGACGAGGCTAGACTCATCAGCACCCCGGTCAGCGCCAGATTCACGATGACACTATTTGTGAAGAAAGAGTTGACACAGCCAAGAAGAGCCTGCACGATCGGATCGTCCTGCTGAAGCTGCTGTGGAAGAGGGACGGCTTCGTCGGCTTCGTCGTCGGAGACCGGAAGGCATAGACGGGATTCGAGAACCCAGGTTGCATCCGCCACATAGTTATCGTAGGACTCGTTCAAGGACGGTTCAGTGATCAGTGATGTGCCTAGGCCCAGAAGCTGTTCAAGCTCTGCGTTAAACGCCCCGACTGATCGCTGGCGTGCCGGCTGACTGGGGATGGTATGGATAAGAGATCTCGCAAAAGGGTGATGACGTTGCAGCACGACATTGAGCAGACGTAAAGTGGCCAGCACTGTCTGGCGGTTCGAAGACTGTAGTCCTAGAAGCGCCAAGTCACGAAGATTGAATAAGGACGGAGAAGGCTGGGCCGCTTCAGACGCCAATGCGGCCAGCACATTGAGCGATTTTCGCCGGCTCGCCGACATATCCATCTGTTCTTCAGGCTGAGGCGACGAGGCCAGCAAGAAATGGAGAATCCGGTGCACCAACTCGCCTTGTTCGACAGAATCAAGAATACGGCAGAGATATGTGAGCACGGCGGCTGTCGAACCGCCTGCCACATCGGACGATTCCAGCAAAGATGGGTACCTGAGAGTAGATTAGTATTGACTTGTGGCCTGGAATGAGGGCATATTTACAGAAGTTGCTCTAGAAATAGAACCTGGAAATGGTCCAAAAGAGTGTCGTTTACTTCGGCGGACTTGCAGTGGTCAATTGTGTCCTGCCAGAACAGCAGATAGGACATGAAGGTGTCCATTGCTTCGCTCAGAGTGGGCTGGAGAGCCGTCTCATCTTTGGCATGGTCGGAGAGAGCGACAACCCGGGGTACATTCTCATCTGCAGGTGTAAATTCAAGGCTATGCTCGATCCGATTAGCAGTTGCAAAGTGGTCATCAGAAAAGTATATGTACCTCCCCAATTGACTGTAGAGGGCACCCAGCCCGGTAGCCATCAAGGTCGCCAAATCACTTTCGATCAACCATTTCTCCAAGCTCTTGGAGCGAGACGCGGTCTCAATGAGGTAGAGGAGTCCGGTACGCGCAAAATCACCGGCGCTCTTGTCGCTGTGAACATAGTCGACGAGCATGTAGAACAGCGGGAATTCATCCTTGCGCGTCGCGCCTGCGAACTCCGCACCACCACCACTGGGCCCCGTGGACTCGGTATCTGACCGGATGGGAGTGACCCGTGGTTTGAACCATGTTGATAGGGTCTCGGGCTGCAGGCGGATATTGTTGGCGATGCCGAAGAGCAGCTCCACCAACAGCGTTTCCGTTTTGTCTGATGTTTTGTCGGCTTGGCGGACCAGATCAATCAATGCGCGGGAAAATGCGGTCGATGTGCTCTCCTTCTGTCTTCCCCGGCCTCGTTCATTCTCTTCCTCTGTCTTCAGGATGCCGGCATGAATGATGTGATTAAAGAAGACCGCGGCGGAGCGCACCAGGTCATCGTCGTGATAGGCGAGCGCGATCAAGGCGACAGTCACAAAAATGCGTGAGTTGACAGCGGTTTCGACACAGTTGTGGGGTGATGGGCCGCGCGACTCGTCGGTCAGGAGGAAGTTGAGACGTTCGAGATAAGTCCGCGCGAAGGCAATCGACTCCTCGACGGAGCGGGACGAATTGGAGTTCCAGAAATGCTACATTCCGGACGAGTCAGTCAGGGCGTCGACAGGCGTATCGATCACCTTACCTGGAGGGCATTGCAGTCGTGGATGAAGACGGAGTGTCGTTCAAGCTCCGACGGAGGCCAGGGCTTCTTGCCGGCGATAAGCCGAGTCCATTTCGATGAGAACCACTGTCGAGCAGTTAGCAATCGCAGGCCGCGATTGGCACGTCCGGTCCACTCACACTCGACATGATGCTCCGGCATGATCCCACGACCGAGGGGAACCTGGAGAGGGGAGGTGGAAGGCGATGGGGGAGGGAAGGTTGAGTGGAGCCGCGGTGGGAACTTGTGTGTCGTGGTGATCGCTCCACATGTACTCCCATGTCTCCCAACTGAACGACCACCCTCGGGCAGTGCAACTACGACCGTAATGGACCGACGAGGGCAGATTGCGGAATCAACGGAGGGGCATGATTATTGCCCGCGTGAGAAATATTTGCAGAGAAATGCGCTAGTAAGTATATGATAAAAGGTGAAGAACATGAGATCCTAATCCCGCAAACGCCGCCAGAGAACCCAAACAATCAATGCGCCTTAATCCCCCACCCGTCTAGCATCGTCAATCGTTTTCATTTCCACGCCTAGTCACTCTCCTCTTTGGGCTTCCGGCCACCACGCTTCCGGCGACCTTCATTCTGGTCGCTGCCATCGCCATCTTCATGTTTCCGGCCGGCAGGCTGGTCGGGCACCTTGGCAATGATGTCGGCAAGGAAGTCTAGCACCTCGTCCTTGGCGACGGCATGCTTGAGATGTGAGGCCGTCACGCGCTTCGAATTGCGGTCCTTTGCTTCCTGGGCGGCTTTGGTGACCAGCGAGATCATGAAGAGCTCGAGGGCTTTGGCTGTAGTGGAGGCAGTTAGCTTCGAGATGCAAAACAAAGAGCTTTTTGGGGGCGCGATGGGTAACGTACACACTGCGATCGGTGTCACCTGCGCGACCTTTCCGACATCCTCATCGGCTTGCATGATGCGCTTGATACGCGCGACGGGAAACTTGGTCTTGACCTCGATGCCGGCGCCGGGGCGCGCGTGCTGGGGGTCTACCATCTCCATTGGAGGTGCGACAGCCATCGGAGCGGGAGCTGGGGCTTCGGGCAGAGGCGCGTCTTCCTGCAGGCGAGACGAGCGGCGGGCCATCTCCAGGTCGGGCTCGTAGGGTGGGACGTACTGCTGGGGTACGTGACTGGAGGTCGGGCGCTGGTAGGCGTTGAAGAACGGAGAGTCGTCGTAGGAGGCGCGATGAGCGACGGGGCTGTGGGGGTTGGAGGGAAGAGGGTTGAAATGGGGAGGAGAAGAGAAATCGGGCGATCGTGGGCGGTAGTTGTCCTCGCTCATGCTGGTTCTACAAATACATCGGCATATCGTGCTGGTCCAAGCTTGGGGGCGCTTGAGAAGAAAGTCGGCCGGGGCGGTCGCGCCCTTTTTAAATTCCGCCGGTGGGCCTTTTTTTTTACTTCCGTCGATTTTTATTTTGCTTCTCGACTCCACTGCTTCTTGACGCGTCGACTCCGCGCATGGGATGGCCCCTTGGATAGCGTCTGATAGTGAAGAATGCGATCTGTTTGTGGTGGTCTTCTCTCTTCTGTTTCTTGTATTTTAAGCATAGTCATTCTGTACCTGTAGATGCCGGATCCAGTCGATGACGAGAGCACACGTCCGGAGGCCGCCAGAAGAATCACACGTTGGATCGCTGTGCCGCCGCTGATGGACCGAAAATACTTGATCTAATCTGAGGCTGATGGGGTAAAAAGAACATTGATTTGAAACAACCCTGGGGAAGGTACTAGACTAGAACTGCCGCATCTTTCGCGTAGGCATCCGCTCCTTCCTCTTCCGCAATCCCGCAACCATTTCCAGCGCAATCGCATACTCCGCGGACCGGCCCAACCGTTTCTCCGGCCAAATTCATCCGCCCACCAGCTCTCGCCGCAAACGCAACATCACTTCACTTCGCTCTCAGTCGCTTCACTTTCTCCCGATCTGTGTCGCCTTCTCCCGCAATGGCTGCGGCGGACCCGCCGGCAGGTCTCCTGGACATCGCCAGGTACGTGCCAAGCGCGCGCGAAACTCCCGGACTCCACGATCTGACTTCTGTTGCTAGTACTCTCTCCCCCGACGAGATTCCATCCAAGCTGCGATGTGCCATCTGCAACAAGCTGGCGGTGAATGCGTTTCGCCTACCTTGTTGCGACCAGTCTATCTGCGAAGCCTGTGAGTGTACTCTTGCAGACCGATTGTCACGCGATACGTGATCGCTAACTGCTTTTTTCCGTTCTAGGCCAGACAACGCTCGTCGATACCTGCCCGGTCTGCGCTCACACGCCCGTTTCCCCTGATATTTGCAAGCCAAATAAGGCTCTGCGCACCACACTGAAGGCGTTTTTACGGACCGAGGAGAAGAAGCGTGAAAAGGAACGTCAATCCGCTGCGACCCCCACTCCGGTGGCCGAGACCCCGGCGGAGAATGAGCATTCTTTTACAGAGGCTCGAAACGACCCGGACTATGCCAGAGATGCTTCGTCGCCCGTCCCCAAGACCCTTCTACAGCCGGAGGCGACGGTGTCGAACCAAGCTCACGCTGAAGGTGCTTCAGCCGGAAGTGCAGCACCTGAGACCGTGCCAGAATGTAGCACGGAATCCAATGAGCCCGTTGTGGAGGTATGAGCCGCTATGTATTCCCAAGGCACCTCTGTGACCAATTTACTGACCCGATATACAGTCCAAGGCTATCAATGAACCTACAGAAACCGCCCCCAGCGAGCAGGGAGACCACGAAATGACGAATGGAAACGCTATGGTCGAAGGCGAGACCATTTCCGTTGCCCCGGAGGGACCGCTGCAGGGCCAACCCCAGCAATCGAATGTCAGCATGATGAACATGGGCTCTGGGAGCTTCTTAGGCACGGGTTGGAATGGGATGAACCCATACATGTCCAACATGGCGAACATGTATAGTTTTCCGAATGCGATGGGTACGTACGCCGATTCAAACTGGTGGCCGTGGCGACGTACTAACCCGTATTATTATCAAGGCATGCCCATGGCGATGAACCCGATGGCTGCAGGTCAAGGAATGTTCGGAGGGTACGGAATGAACATGACTGGTATGGGTATGAATATGGGGGTGAACTTCAATGGATCGGGCATGTATGGATCCTCAGGGTGGGATGACTATCAGCAATCCATGTGGCAAGGTGGTCAAGATAATTTCAATCCAAATGCGTTTGCAAATGGCACAGGCCCTCCGCACGGAGGAGCATTTGGCGGGTCTAATATGTCATACCCTTCTAACTCGGACTACCAATCTGGCTACTATGGGCCGGATTATGGCCGTGGGGGATTCCGTGGGGGATTCCGTGGGGGTGGTCGTGGTCGTGGTGGCTTTGGAGGTTCTGGCCCGGGTTATTCTCTCCAGAACGCTAACTCGGATTGCCCCTCTCTAGCAGACCTTAACGGGGAGCCGACTGGTCCAGATGGTGCTGTTACCAATGGAGGTGAGTCTCAAGGGAACGAAGGCAATACCGGACCGCCAGCATCTGACGATGCCGTTTCCGCGATTGCTCACCCTGCATCAGACGAACAACAAGCGGTAGGCGAACAGCTACAAGGAATCCCCACCATCGATAGTCTGGATCAGCCCGCCTCAAATGGCCATGGTCCGATGGGCTCCGGCTTTGGCCGTGGCGGATTTAGAGACCCTGCTGGCCGCGGCGGTGGTCCCTGGGGTGGCTCAATGCACGGCTCATACCAGCCTCCCATGCCACCCAAGCCACCGGTCGTTGAAGGAGCACCGGCTGCTCCTCGAGGCATGAGGCAAGGTCTACCCAATACCAGTATGCTACGCCAGCGCGGCTACCAACAGGGACGATCACAAGGTAGCAATGGTGCACCGAGCGTGTCCCAAAGGTCCGTATCTGACACAATCAGTCGACCCGAGACTTCCCACGAGATCGGTCTTTCTTCTAACGCTGAGCACAGCGGGACCCCTGAACTTCCCAAAGATCCGTCGCCGCCGGTCTCTCTAAGGTCGCCATCTCGAACACAGCCAGCTACGTCTCGGTCTCGGTCTCGATCCCCTGCTCCGAGCCGAGACTCTCATTCTCGCTCGAAGAATGACCTGTCTGACGATAATGATTCGTCAAGCCGCCGGGAGCGTCAGCGTGAGCCCAAAGAATCCGCCGGTGCGTATGAAGACCGAATGGAAGAGCACCGATCTTTAGATCGGCACCAACGCGACAGTGAACGGGGTCGACGAGAAGACTATCGGGGACATCGATCACGTCGTCATCGGACCCGGGATGAAAGCCATAGCCATAGTCCCAGCCGCAACGGCGATGGCCGCCACAATAGCCGAATTTCACGGATCACGGGGAACCCCCTCAAAGGACATAGAGCATCCTCAGAGGCTGGCGAGTCCCGTGGTTTGGCCGACCGCATTGGCAGCCGCCGCTCCAGCAAGGACCGTTCTGGACGTCGCGATGACAATCGTGAGCATGGCAAAGATAGAGACAGAGCCCGGGACAGTCGGCGCCGGGAGCGTGATCGCCGTGGCCGCGATGGAGATGCCACTGATCGTGATCGTCGCCGGGACCGCGATAGGGACCGTGAGCGCGAGCGCGAAGGCCCACGCGAGCATGGTCGCGGACGAGAAGGCCGAAACCGAGATAGCAAGAGATCTCGTCGTGATCGGTCTGAATCAGCTCATCTCAGCGATCACACTTCCCGTCCACAGCCTCGACGTGTCAAGCGCGAGCCCGAAAACAATCTTCTCAGGGATTCTTCGCCCAAACCAGAGAAGGAAAAGGACCCCTACACCCTCGAGCGTGAGGCCCGCAACCGGGAGCGTCTGCTGCGCGAACAACAGAACCGTGGAGCCAAATTTGATCGGAAAACCAGCCGCCGCTGATAGTCGACAGGAACGCCGGTAGCCGCCACATCAACTTCATATACGAAAACGAACGCTAGGTGCTGTGGAGGAATCTTTTCGTTTCTCCATTTTGCTTGCTTTCGATATTTAACCATATCGTTTTTTTCTTGTGCATCTGACGAGTTCAATCATGGCGGGATGGCGTCTGGGACCCTTTTTTGCTCGCATTGCCGGTCTGTTGTCTTTTCTTACCTACCTTTTTTTCCAACATTCGGTATGGGTTGCTACTCTCATAGAGGGCTGATGATGCGTGAGATACGATTAAAAAAGGTTCGAGAGCCTCTGGTACGTACACAAGTTAAGAATTCAAAATGCTACGTGATGCTCTGAAGCGCTCGCACATAATAGTATGATAGTGTCAATTACCCCCGACGTAACTGATATCGATAAAGAGACTGAAAGTAGCCGTAGTAGACTGTACAATTGTAGTATTAACGATGGAAGGGACCGAGTCTATCGAAACATATACTTGTCAATCGTGGTGTGTGAACACCTGGCCCACATTGAGGTAAAATGGCCAACTAACAGTTATCTTTCACCAAATTTGAGTATAAGTGTTGCGATTTCATGACAGGCTCAGTAAACAGAGGTGACATCCATCTCACTTCCCCCCATCACAATGCAATGTGACTACTTCACCGGTGCAATATTGTTACCGTCGTTAGACACATTGGGGTTTGCGGGGGCTATCATCTAACGGCCTTTCGCCCATGTCAGTGCCCTGCTTTCGATTGATTACTGATCCAACACCGACAGATGGTATCGTTAGAGAAATGATAGTTTCCATATCCACGTTTAAGCCTTCATCGATGGTACAATTCTTGGGAAGGGAATATTGGGTGACTGTTCAGATGACTGTTCCGCTGGCCATTCAGAAGAGTGCGTCGGCGAATTTTTTGATGACTGTTGGAGTATCCATGTAGGGCGATCAGCTTCGGGCACAAAGAAAATCGGAAAGTGAGTATTGGTCGCTATAACGTCCACATGATATGATCGAATGCGATGTCCTTCGTAACAGGATCGCATACTCATAAGGTTGGATTTTACAACAGACGAGTACGGCCCGTCAACGATTCAAACCGTGATTTGCTGTTTATGTACGCTTTGGTATTTTTCTGAAAAGTCAATATATTGACAGAACCGTTGAAAGATAGAACAAATTATTCACATGCAGCAGTTCACCCTGAGTATGGCAAGGTGACGAGCTGTCGGTTCCATGTAGATGTCCAGATGCGCCAACACCATATAGTCACCACAAGAGTAATTGCAGAAAAGCATGCTGAATGTTCACAATGGACCTGGATCTCAATTCAATTTGGCCTTGAGAGATTCAATCTCGGCGGCGAGCGTCTGCATCTGTTGTGCCTGGGATGCAATGGTCTTGGTTTGCTCGGCGATAAGATGTTTGATTTCGCTGATATCCTGGTGCACAGCACTTGTTGGAATGGTCGATTCGCTAGCAGGAGAGGAGGGAGTGGGGGTGGCGGTCTATCCTGGTTAGTCGCTGGCTTTTGCTATTATGGGTGGGGGAGGGCGTAGGACACTAACAGAGGAGACACGAGGTTCGGGTTTGACCTCCGGCTTAGGCTCCGGCTTTGACTCCGGCTGCTTGGGTCGCAGGGGGCTGCTAACTTGAGGAGACGATGCTTCGACGGCAGGGGAGCGAGGGGCACGCTCCGCCGGCTTGGGAACTTCTTCGAAGCTAGAGTCGTCATCGTCGACAGTTTCGGCCTCATCTTCCTGGTTGTCGGCGAACTTGTTGACCATTGCAGCCATCGAAGCACCCTGGTCCTTCATGGACGCAGCGGGACGAGCCGCAGGTGTCGGCTCAGAAACAGGTTCCCGGGTGGGCAGCGGAGCGGGCTCGGCCTTCTGAGGAGCAGGCTCAGCTTTCTTGTGGGCGGGCGCATCCACGGCACCAGTAGGCTTATCCTGCACGCCAGAAGTTTCCTTGAGGCCTTGGCCGTCAAACAAGCTCTCCATGGAGATCTTGGGCGGGATGGCCTCCTTACCCGCCTTCCATTCAGCCGAAGTCATGGCAGGTTTGACACCAGTCGTGGGCGGGTAAATGTCATCCTGGAAGGCGTCCGATTTGCGAGGGACGATGAACGAGACGGGCTCGATAAATGTGTTGCTGCTGACTACCTTGTAAGCACGCATTAACTCATTCTCGTGCAAGTTCACGCCGCGCTTGGGCATGAACCCAACTCCGCGTTGAGGTTCCGACGAGTATTCATCCAACTCATGGAATTGTTTGCCATCAAGTTCCCAGTAAGAAATTTTGCCATCACCACGCCCGGCCGTGTACAAGCACTTGGTGCTGTCGTCCCAGAAGGGCATGTTCACACCGGACGCTTGACCCAAATTTTTGAAGCCATCGACTGGTTCGTTCATGGAACGAATATCCCACAAAGCTAGTTGACGGTTACTGCCGAACTTGGAGAACCCGGTGGTTGCGATCTGGTCGAGTTCACCGAGCCAGACACAACGACTGATACCAGCTCCGCCGTGTCCCACGGTCTCAACGATGGCCTTTTGCTGACGTGGATCCCAAATTTTGAGCCTATTTGGGTCTTTCTTATCGAATTTCGAGGTGGTGGCCAGCAAGGACCCGTTGGCGCTCCACGATAGCGACGAGAAGGCGCCTAGGGTGTCAAACGAGTAAACCAACTCTTGAGTCCCAACGTCCCAAATGTTCATTGTATTGTCCGAGGTCGTTGCCAGCACATTTTCCGCTGCGGGGTTGAATAGCACGTGGCCAGCTTTCCTGCAGGGGGTATTAGTATTGGTTCCGCACCCTCCCCTCATGACTATGGTGGAGGTTCTCACTTGGACTTCGTGTCCTGCAGAATCGCAGCAGGCTTCAGGTCTGCCTCAATGCTGTCGAGCGCTTCCGGGTCGGGGCGAATAGTATGATTCTCGGGGACATCCCAAAGGCAGATCTGGAGCTGGTCAGCTGGAACTCAATTGCGCTGACTCTACTTGAAGAACTGACCTTGCCATCGGATGAGCCCGAAGCGATCTTGTTGTCGTTGAAGGGGTTCCTGCAAGACAGTTGTGAGCTTCTGTCTCCGCGGTCTCGTTCCCTCTTTCCCTTACCAGTCAGTGTCCAGCACAGCCTGTTTGTGTCCACGGAACAAGGGAATGCGCTCCGGGAGTCTGCCTGTTTCGTTGAGTGGGATGACAGCGAAAGCTCCACCACCACTGGCTTGCCAATTGACCGAAAGGTATTTCGGGTTGACCTGTATCGGAGCTCGTTAGGGCGGCTTTGGAACGAAACAAAACGTCAGGGGGTCGTGGCGCAACAACACACCTTGATGAAGTTGGAGTCCCAGGCATTTTCGGACACGTGAAGGTTATCGTAGCATTTATCCTAGGGATACAATTAGCATTGCCATCATCAACAACTGAGGGGTGCCGAGTAGACGGTACCTTTTTCGCCGACTGTCCGTAGACGTGGCCTTGCGAGATGATCAACGGTCAACGGGCCATGCTGTTAGTGCGGGGCGCATATAGACAGGAACTCACGATACTTGGAGGCACGCACAAAACGCCCGGACATGATGGGTACCAAGGGCCAAGAAGGGGAAGAGAAAGATAGAGAGAAGATAGGAGGTGAAGGTGAATCAAGAAGGCCCAGCTGTCTGCAAGCAACCAGGGAATGCGGGAACTGGGGCCTCCGGTGTTTCGAGCGGGCCGAGTGGAGTCCGCGCTGTGTCGGTGATTCGAGCGGCGATTGCGCGCAACACGCTGGAGGGGATGCGATCGGAGGACAACAAACAGGCGCAATTGCTACGAGAGCACACTAACTAGTATGCTGGGTGGACACCCTGCTTCAAATGCTTCGATGTGCCGCCGGCGCCGTTACGAGGGCGTCACGTGTCGACCAGCTGGTAATATTTGATGAGCGTTATATACGTAATTTTACCGTATCGCTACCGCTGATCCCCGAGTAGGTGGAGCTAGTCCCGATTGGGTGTAATGCATCTGCTGAGTCATCGTTTGTTTACAGGCGTCTCTGGAGAAACGGAGCTCCCATACTCACGTTGCTCTTTGCTGGCATGCCCATCTCCCTCACCACGCAGCGGCGCGCACGCAACTGAAAAGAGACAGTGGCTGGACGAGAGTTCTCTCTACTCGCTCGGATTGTTTACTCCGTGACCTGGCGATCCCCAACTGCCACCATGGATGATGAGAATCTGGTATGTGTTGACTGGTGTTGACTGCCCGCACCCCGCCCCGTCGCATCAGCAACATCGTAACTCACCCCAATCGCAGACTCAATCCCGTGTGGCAACCTCGACTCGATCGCGTCTTCCGCAACCTGGGCTACGCGAGATGACCTCGTCGACAACAAATTCGCGGTCTGGCATCCTACCGCCCGGCAGCATCGCCAAGCAGGCCGCCAGTGTTTCCCGTACGAATGCCCTTTGATTCCATGTCGCTTGGTTCGCAGCCGATACTAATTCGTGATGCCAGCTACCCGACCCAAAGCCCCCAATCCCACAGACACCAAGCGATCCGGATCTGCGTTGCGACAGCCCACAAACACGACAAACACACACACCCGCGGCCACTCTTATGCCTCGTCGACTATGTCCCGAACTGGTTCGACAGCCTCCCGCTCCATCAATGCCGGTTTTTCTTCCACCATCGGCTCTGGCAGCACTCGTCCTACCTCGGCGATGTCGCGACCAAACCCTTCTGTCGGCCCCCGCAAGTTGAATGGTTCCTCAATGCCTCGTCCCGCTACGTCAATGGATACCCGCGCCGATGAGAATGCGGGCAGTGTACTCGGAAAACGGAAAGGTGAGGACTCCCTTCCTTCTTATCGCCTTCATTCTTGCCCCGATGTTCTTGCCCAAGGATTCGATATGAGCGACGTGCGCAACGAGATCTCATCGTCCTTACCGACCTCTGCCAGTCAGATTGATGCATTGTCCACAACGTTGTCTCAAATCAACCTGAATGAAGATGGCCCCCGAAAGCCTGCCATTTGGCCACCTCCCAAGAAACCCCAAGCCTACCCTATCCCATCCACTCCAAATCGGCTCGACGGTCCCTCGCGGGTTCCCGTTGCGACCCCATCTAAGCCCTCCAAGCCGCAATCATTCATGACTCCCCAAAGAAGCCCTCACAAACAAATCATGCCACTATTCCTTACCAAAGATTCATCGACTCGAGGTTTTAACTGTCCTACAGATACCGAGTGGGATCATGACCTGCGAGAAAAGAATATGGACGAATTCTTCGCCGCTTTCATGTCGCGCATGAACCAGCAAGGTCAGAACAGTTTCGGGCTCAAGGAGACCGTTGACCTGTACAAGAACCGAAGTACGTGGCTCTTCAATCCCCCGATGAATCATCCGGTCATTAACCATCTCTCTGAAGTCAATGAACTTGAAAAATCCCGCGATGCATTAAATGAGACCAACACATCTCTTCGTGTTGAGACAGAAACACTGAAGAGCCAACTAAGCGCAGCTGAGGATGGGCTGAAGGCTGCCCGGCGCGAACAAGAAATTGCGATGGACGACCTTGACCGGCGTCAGCGCATCGAACTGGAATCAGTTCGACAGGCAGGTAAGCAAGAAGCCGAGGCATTGAGCAGCCGGCATCAAAATGAGCTTCAGGAACTTAAAAGGAAGTTGGAGAGCGAGATTGAAGATGAAAAAGCGGTGCGCGTCCGTGAACTCGGTAAATTAACGTCGCAATCCGCCTCCGATCTTCAGAAGACGGAATTCGAGCTGAGCAAAAAGCTCCGTGAGATTGCTTCAATGAACAGTCAACTTGACTCCATGAAGACTGAGTTGGACCGCGAGCGAAAACATGTCAATGACCTCCGTCAGAACCTTGATACCGCCAGTACCAACAGCGTCACTCTCGAATCTACGATTCGGGCGCTGAAAGCCCGTATCGAGTTTCTCGAAGGTGGCAGAGAAGAGCAATCTCAGGCTTTCGAGCGCTGCAATCAGGAGATGATGGATGCTTTGCAGGAAACGGAGGCGATCCGAGACAAACTACGCAGGGAAGAAACGTTGCGCCGCAAGCTCCACAACCAGGTGCAGGAACTCAAGGGCAACATTCGTGTATTTTGCCGTGTTCGTCCCTCGCTGAGGAACGAGGGTCCCACGGACATTGCTCCAATGCAATACCCCGACGAGTTCGAGGATGCCAAGGAGATCAACATCGTGGGCCCCGAAGAAAAGAACAGTTTGGGAGCTGTCCTTCGAAAGAACAACAATTTCTCGTTCGATCGAGTCTTTGGCCCCCGTTCAGAGAACGGCGAAGTTTTTGACGAGATCAGTCAACTTGTGCAGAGTGCCCTGGATGGCTACAACGTATGCATCTTCTGCTACGGTCAAACCGGTAGCGGTAAGACACATACCATGTCTTCAACTGATGGTATGATCCCGCGTGCTGTTCACCAGATCTACGAGACCGCCCAGGGCCTGGAAGAGAAGGGATGGCGATACACGATGGAAGGAAACTTTGTGGAGGTCTACAACGAAAACCTGAATGATCTACTCGGCAATCCAGACGAGCTTGATAAAAAGAGGCACGAGATCCGTCATGACCTGCAGCGCGGCAAGACCTTTATCACGGACATTACCACGGTACAATTGGATTCTCCTGAAATGGTGGAATCTATCCTCAAGAAAGCAGACGCCAATCGTTCCGTTGCTGCTACCAAGGCCAACGAGCGTTCTTCCCGGTCTCACTCCGTCTTCATTCTCAAGCTTTTTGGCGAAAACCACATCACTGGAGAGCGCAGTGAGGGTACACTCAACCTGGTCGATCTGGCCGGAAGTGAACGGCTGAGCCACAGTAAAGCGACTGGCGATCGTCTCAGGGAGACTCAGAACATCAACCGCAGTCTTAGCTCCCTAGGTGACGTGATCGCTGCTCTTGGACAAGGAAAGGAAGGTGCTCATATCCCGTACCGCAACAGCAAGGTAAGCTCTCCTCAACCCGGTTATGACTAATCATTTCATTTCAAGCTAACTGACGTATTTTTTTTTTTTTTTTTTTACAATATAGCTGACCTATCTCCTTCAATTCTCCTTGGGTGGCAATTCAAAAACCCTCATGTTTGTCATGGTCAGCCCGCTCCAGGCCCATCTGTCGGAAACCTTGACCAGCTTGAAGTTTGCCACGAAGGTGCACAACACTCACATCGGCACGGCCAAGCGCCAGGCGCGTGTCCGCGACTCTTGAATATCATGATACCTCTTTCCTTTTGCATATAGTTCTAGTTCCTTGTTTGTTTTATGTGTTTTTATGGGTGGGGGTCTTTAACGATCCTGTCCTCTGCCCTGGCGTTTTTCCGGTTGATGATTTTGTCTTGTTACCTGTTCAAGATGATGGTCTCTGAAGGTACTACTAGAAGTGGTTCTGTTTCAGCCCGATGTGTGATTTACTTGAACATGATTTTGCCTTCGATTCTATGCACAGTAGCGGGGTTTTCCATGTCATATTCGCACGTTTTCAACTTGGTCAATACTTATAGTATGCAGCATTCGAGTTTTGTAATATCGGGGTCCGTTCAATTGCTGACGACTACTATCGACTACTACAATGTGCCGTTGTAAACTCTTGCCCTGGAACCTCACATGCAGGGATTGCTCAATCCTGCTTCATAGCGAATCAAAGTATGCCCTGCTATTTTCCCTCACTTCCTGTGCGCACTTTCGAATGGCTGCCGCAGAAACCATCCCTTTTTCACAGATATACCCGTCGATCATTTCGGAGGGTACCCATTCAAAGTAGATATTTTTGACTTGGACATGGCAATTGGCAGTCTTGGGAGGTATGCCTCGAATACCCTCTTCGAGGATGTTCACGCCTCGGACACTGCATTCAATCCATGGAATCATCACTTCCCGATAGTCATTTTCTTCGGGCTCATGCTCGTGCTCTGCACCGGGCTCAGCGACCTTCTCTAACCCACTGAACACCAAGACCTTACAGCTAGGGCTAACATGTTTCGCGCTGAGGACAGCGGGGAGTGATCCAGTCTTATTGCTGACCCAGCCCGATGACGAGAGACGGTCGGCTCCTAGAAGAACAAACTCGACATTTGTTGCGGCCAGCGCGGCAGACGCATCGGTGTACACGGTGAGTCTGAGATGTCGACCCGTCGCTGCCGGAAACTTCGATTCAAATGCCGAGAGCAAAGACGAGGCCATACTGGCTCCTTCAAAGAGCGGACGAGACTCTAGGATGCGCAGGTCCAAATTTGGCATCGGGAGGGATGAAAAGGCATCGAGGATACTATCTCGAATCGTGGAACTCGCAGACAGTGTGAGAATGGACAAGGTCTGTGTATCCCGTGATCCGTTGGCTTGGAGATAGGCGACAAAAGAGTCCTTGATGCATGCTGGCATTTGCCGGCGGACCTCCAGGTGATGGTCAATCCTTCCCAACACGCGATCCATTGCGCATTCGTCGTCCAGGCTGAGGTCTTTCAGGTCATCTATGTCGGCCAAGACACCGAGAAGAGCATTCAAGGTCGCCGAGCCCATGCTTTCTCGTCCGTTTTTCCACAGATGCCATGCTGCCATCCGGGCAGTCTCCCACCATTTGCGATCGCTGCGGAGATGAACGAGTATATCACGGAATGATTTCACGGCAATCGAGGTCAGTTCGTGGGATCCGCTTCGATGATCAGTCTTTAGTTCTTCGAGGCCCGAGCGAAGGGCCCCCGCTGCCGCTGGGTTCATGTCCATTTCGAACCAAACCCGTCGCAGGCTCTCTGACAAACGGGGAACGCCGCCGAATTGCTCGTCGTCGGACACCTCATTAGGGTCGTACCAGCTCCAGCCTTCGTGCTCCCAGTTTATTCGGATCGCGTCGTCTTTTGCGGTGCGGAGGCAGAATCCAAAAGGATAGACCGTCCATTGTCGTCCCACGGAGGAGTCATCGAACGTAAATGGCTTTCCCTGCCGCCAGAGCTCCAGGTGTGAAGTCGTCAACGTTGTCTCTTCCTCGATCTCGCGCCATGCCGCTGCCACTGGCGATTCGTTGTTTTGAATGTGTCCTGCTACCGGTGCTAGACAGTGGCTTCGCGTGGTCAGCATAGGCTCATTCGGATTTCGGGGTTTACTTCAAGAAGCACGAGTTCACCTACTGATAGGTCGAGACTTTGTCGCTGCGTCGAAATAGCGCAACTCGAGGACTGCCGTTGGCGACCGTGAAGATGAAAGAGGAGACCACCGATCTTGTCTGCAGCCCTGCCTGATTCTGTGCGGTCGGCATTGTGTCAATCTGGCAAGTGAGTATCGAGCCAACGAGGGTTCCCAATCCTTATCGGTCGCTGTTTGAAAGCGATGGAGATTTTGTCACCAGCTAGGATGCATTCCCCTGGGTGTCATGGTCACATCACCCCCGCGGCGTACAGCGGCGAATTTCGTGCAGAAAGTCCCTTGCAGAAAACTGAAACAGGTGGCCAAGCTGGTACAACTCGTTTTTGTTCTCAGCCGTTGCGTTTGATGGACGTTGTCAGTTGTTGGTTGAAAGAGCGGAGATGAATCAATGGGTCTATCGGGCCGGTCATAACATAGACTCGGAAGTGTTTGCTGATAGACAACCTACACAATAGTCATATGACCAGTCACCTAATTGGTGATATCGCCACTCCCAATCCTGTATGGTCGGTACAGAGAAAAGTGGATTGCTTGCAAGTTGCACTTGTTGCGAAGTTGCGCTCCTGCAGACTGCTAATGACGTCATTGCATGTATGACCCTGCAACTTGTTCGCAACACTTCTTTTGTACATCCACCAAAGACCAAAATCCCATTCGCAAGATCCATATTACAGCATGCCAGTCTATACGGGATCGTGTATTTGTCGTAAAATCGAGTACGAGCTGAAGCTGGCGTCTCCGGATGATGCTCGGACCTCACTTTGCCACTGTCGAAACTGCAAGGTATACAAACGACCTAGGTAGTAGAACGGGGTTGGAGAAGATCATTCACTGACCGAGGGCATATTTGTTGGACTTAGAAAGCGTTTGGGACCAACTATGGCCTGACTGCAAAGGTTCCGAAAGACGCCTTTTCCTACACACGGGGAAATCCCAAGGAGCATGCTGCGGACAATGGGTCGGGGGCTATTATCTATCGCGAGTTTTGCGATACCTGTGGAAGCTTTATTCTGGAATATGGGGTATTGATCCCTGAAAAGTCTCTCATAATATTTGAAGAATTGCTCACACAATCTCCAGGAAATGGCCAAAGATCAGTTCCGGTATGTTGCTGTTGGGTCCCTCGACGACCCAGAGGCGTTGCCTCCGAAGGGGGAGTTCTTCTGCAAGGCGCGGGCCAGCTGGATGCCGGAGATCCCCAGTGAGTACAATACGAATTACGAGCTTCCAAACTCAAGTCTAATCAAAGCAGACGTGTTTCATAAACAGGAAGTCAAGCAGTAGTGCTGAATTGTATCATCGTATAATTAAAATATTCTATTCCATCTATACTGTGCCATTTGTAGACACGCTTTTGAGCACAAGGTCCGGGATGATTAAGTTTTCCTGAATCGACACCCCATTCAAATAGTCATTACTGTCCACCCGTCGATACCCGTCCTCGATGGTCTTTTCGATGCCTGCCTTCACATGCCTCTTCGCTGTCCGCTCCCGTGCCTCCTGCGGGTCGGTTTCGACGAAAACGCGATAGTCGGCCAATGCGGCGAGATCCCGCCAGTCCGGTTCATTGAGGAGAAGATAATTGCCCTCGACAATGATGATCGAGGCATCAGGGGTAATAGAGATTCCGTCCTCGACGGGGTCTTTGGCTTCGTGGTCGAAGGTCGGTGCTTGGAGAATATCACTGGAAGCCCAGGTGCCGTCCTTGGCGAGAGGTGTGCTATCTGCCCAGTTGCGCAGCTTATGCATGAATGTCACGAATCGGGATACATTAAACGTCCACGGCGCACCTCGGCGGATGTGCGCTTCTTCGGCGTTGGGGAGTTGGTCGAGTTCGCTCCGGGACAGATGAAAGCCATCCATCGAGATAAGGGCAGCACGCCCCCGTGAGTCTGCATTCAGCTGGCTGACCACCGCTTCGGCCGTTGTCGTTTTGCCCGAGCCGGGAATGCCTGCGATGGCTACGATGTAGCGAGGCTTCGGGTGGGTGCTGGCCTGGTGGCGAATTGTGTCCGCCAGGCGGAGGTATTCGGAGTCCATCTATGTAGACAGTTAGCGAACTATTCTGAAAGATATCATCTGGGGAAGGTGAATCCCACTTTCTATCGACTTTTGTATATCGGGCGTGGGGGGTATAGTATAAATGTTTGATATTGGATTACAGAGTAGCCTCAACGGCAATGCTTCTTCAACAGATCATACTGTCCCAAGATCAAATTATGGCTATTGATTGACAGTATGTGATGAGAGTAAATACTTGCCTAGGGTATGGCCATTGCTATGTAGAGTGTGGTGGAGCTACCCCGGCCGACTGTGCTCCACGGACGAGTGTCCTCCGACGGCATGACAGTCGGCGTTGATCCGAATCGGCTGGCCGATGTTACGGGCAATACTCCCTTGACCTGCAGTTGATCCGGTTTACCTTAAAAAAGAAGGGGAAGCTGGCAGTGTGGACGGACGGTCCATCGCCGTTGTTGGTCCATCGCGCCGAGGTGGAGGAGTTGAACTCAATGCCCCCACCATCTTCCCGGTCTCCAGGGAAAAAAACCGGCAGATTCATCAAGGAAGTGGATATGGAAACAGGTTCCCGGTGATGACCCGCGGGGTAGCGGGAGGGGAGAAGGGGAGAAGCAACTGTGGCCTGGTATATTTCATTACAACTTCTAGTGATGCGTCGCTCTCTCGTATGCTTCACTTGGCTCTGATCCATTTTTCCGCCTGGGTACAATCCCGCAACGCCAGCGCGCTATTATTGATATGTTTATTATGAGTCGTCAAACGTCGTGTCGGGTTTTAGCGACAGTGATGTCAGGCCAATTCTGAGTCCTTGGATGTCGCGGTCTGGCTGCTCCCCGCTCGGACGGCACCACTGGTCGCAGCGTCGGCACCGTCGTGTTCTGCTTGGGTTTGGGTTTGCGCTTTACCGCCGGGTCGACGTAAAAGCAGAGGAGTTGTTGCTGGTAGCAGTGGGCGCACTGCGGTCGGGCGTGATCGCACTCGACGTGCCACTCACGACAGGCCTTGCAGTCGTAGGGCTGGCGGGTCGAGCGTGGACTGGGCTGCGAGGGCGCGTCGCACGAATTGCCCCACCAGCCAGGCCACAGCCAGTGAGAGAGTCGTCCACAGATTCCCCGCGAGATCACAACCGGCTGGACCGCCGACGCCGGCGTGGAGGGTTGGGGATCCCCATGGGGTCGCGCGGAGCTGGACGGATCAGCCATAAGGCAAGGACAGAGCGAGCACCAGAGCACCAAGTCTAGGTCGGGCGCTCTCGAAGTCTAGGGGTGCACACGAATAAGGATTTTGGTTATTCGTATTCGTCAATTTTCCTCAACTCATTATTCGTATTCGACTGGCTATTTTCGTGACTTTATTCGTATTCGATTCGTAATTATTCGTAATTTCCGCCAAGACTAACTTACCCATACTGTAATAGAGACCCACCGCCCATCTAACGATGCTCAACGCGTCGCGTGATTGTTTACACTGCAGATACACGACCATAATTTCGTTTTCTACGCACTTCTTTCCTATCAGTCAACTATCAGGACAAATTTCTCGCGCTACGAATGGACGAGTCCACGGAGTCACAGCGCAAACGGCCATACAGGTCTCAGCGAATCAATTACTGTGCGCTCAATGATGGCATCGACGAGGAGGCTCCACCAGAAGACCGCATTATTGAGATCCCTCCTTCGAAAAGGGCACGCAGTAGCGTTGAACCGATTACTCCTGATGACTCTGCAAGCCAATTAAGCCGGGCTCGAAGTCCACTCGTGGCGATCTGCTCCCAAAATGAACTGACTGCGGAGGCGTTGCCTGACGTGGTCAGTATCTCCAATGAATCTGGCCTTTCTCGAAGAAAGATGCAGAATCAAGCTCTCTGGGCACATTTCGACTGTTCCCCGCTACCGGGAAGGATGTGGTGGCCAAAAAGGGGAAAGGGCCCAATCAACGACCGGGAGGTGCGCTGCAAGAGATGCAATTGGAAAACGACAGATTCTACAAGGGCAACATCAACATCCAATATGATGTTCCATCTCTCTAAACATGGTATTATCCTAAGTGGCCCTGAAAACAGTTCGGAGGACGACAGAAGCAGCATAAAACAGCCGTCAGTTAGCAGCTTCTTCCAGAAGCGGACTGAGGAGCAGAGAGCAAAGGTCCTGGAGCAAAACCTGGTTCGGTGGGTGGTTATAGACGACATGGCATTTGACGCCATAGAATCGCCCCCCTTCCAACAGATCTTCCAGGACTTGGGTGTTTCACTCCCTTTCGCATCTCGCATGACAATGGCTCGTCGAATCGATCGTGATTTCGACAATTGTCGGGAGCAGTTGATTGAAGAGCTAGAGCAGACGTGCCAAACGATCTCTCTTTCGCTAGACGCTTGGACGAGCAAGAATTCAAAAGCCATGTTCGGGGTTGTTGGCCACTGGTTGACAGTGGATTTTCAGTACCGAGAGCGGGTTCTTGAATTTACGGAACTCCACGGCATTCATAGCGGAGAGAACATGGCAGAAATTCTTCAGACGCTTCTCACAGAACTTCGAATCGAACACAAGCTCCTCGCGATCACAGCAGACAATGCCACAAGCAATGAGCGCTTGCTATCGGAATTATATCTCAATCTCACCGAGAAATTTCAAGCCATGTACGGAGCCGTGAGTGCTGCAAGAGCCCTACGATTTCAAGGAGTGGATAGTTATATTCGCTGCACTGCGCATGTGCTCAATCTGATTGTCAGCGATATACTCGTCATGTTGCAAGCAGGGGACCACGCGTCGGCGAATGCAGCTTGTGATCTCATGCAGGAAAACAAAGAGATTGGCCCGCAATCACCGTTGGCTCGCCTTCGGATTATGGCGCTTTGGATTGCAAGAACCCCGCAGCGGAAGCAGCAGTGGAAGATCATCTGCCAGAGCAATGGGCTCAAGGACAAGTTCATCGAGTACGACGTGGATACACGGTGGAATTCGACACACCGAATGCTCCGAGACGCCCTGAACGCGAAGCAGCAAATCAAGAAATGGATCCACCATCAGTTAGATTTTCCACCCTTCAGTGCTGAGGATTGGGATCGTCTCCAACAAATTGAGGGCTTCTTAGCCAGGTTTGAGGAGTTCACCCTCACTGTTTCCAAGCGTCAACCGCAAATTACCTTAGCCATCCCCATTTACTATGAACTGCACGATCTGTTGCATGATGCTGCGTCTAGGGAGGGAGAATTCTCGGATCTGCACCTGGAGATTTCTGCTGCTGCTGCTGCGGGCTTGAAAAAGTTCCAAAAATACTACAACCTGATGGATGGACAAGACGCCTATTATGTCGCCCTAGTGCTTGATCCGCGATTTAAAACGCTCTTGCTAGACAGAGATCTAGGCAAGCTCACAGCACCCCAAGTTGTCACGCACATCAAAGAACTACTGCATGATCAATATCCATTGGCAGTCGACTCGTCGGCAAAGCCCTCTAAGGAGCAGCCGAGCCTGAAGAAGAGCATAGAGGCCCGTTTACTTCAGAAGCTGCAACCTAAGAAGAAACATTCATCTGACATTGACCGGTACTTTGAGGATGACGTCGTCACGATAAATGAGTCGATTTCACAGGACAAGAATTGGCTTTTATCGTGGTGGAGAGCACAGAGGAACGAATACCCACAGCTAGCTACTGCTGCACGAGACTATCTGGCCATTCCTGCATCATCAGTGTCGGTGGAGAGACTATTCAACAAGGGACGAGATTTACTGGGTGTCAGGAGAAACACCTTGAGCGCGGAGACTATGCGGCGGTTGATGTTGTTACGAGATATATATCTCTCTGAGGAATATTAATCACACGTGATTTTTACGAATAATTTACGAATAAGACACATTTTATTCGTACGGATATTATATAAGCGACGATGCTTATTCGTATTCGTAAAATTTTACGGTATTCGTACGAATATTCGTAAAGTGATTATTCGTGTGCACCCCTATCGAAGTCGAGATCCCGATCGCGACGAAGATGAAGATGAAGATAGCAAAAAGACTCACCGGGAGGCGACACTCATGGCTGGGCTGTTTGCTGTTTAATGTTCGCTGTCGGTGCGCGGGGAGGTGACAAAGAGAACAGGGTCTCGCCCTGGGGCCCATGGTTTAATTAGTAGGGCTGGACATGTTCAACGGTCTGAACGAGGATGATCAGTCGGTGGAGTCAGATGATTTGGCAAGGGGTCTGCTGGCCTGCTGGTGTCAAGACTGCAGTTGGTGGAGTCGGGACTGACTTCCTCTACATTAATCCGAACGTCATGCAAGTGAGATATCGAGTGTGGCAAGGTCAGGCAGTTTTTGATACTAGATCAGCGCTTCTGGTAAGATGCAGGAGTAGTCGAACGACGTGGACAAAGTGCCCATCAGGCTGGAGTTTGGAGTTCTGGAAGGAAAGATGGAACGCATCTCTCGCAGCATCTGCGTCGATCACCGCCAACTCGCCCTCACCTACCGCCAGCTGGTCGACGCCGCTGACGACGACGAGCTGACCCGCTACCAGAACCAGCTCACCTGGCAGTTGGCCCGCCACGTCGTCGGCGAAGAAGTCGTGCTCTTTCCGGCCCTAGACCAGCATCTTCGCGACGGCGATGCGGCGGGTGACCGACACCAGCATCGGACGCACCGAGTTCTTTGCGCCGACCCGAGCGCATCCCTCGTTCCCTGATCGTCCGCCCTACGAGACCGCCGCCGGGCTCGTTACGGCCCCACTGGATCTACAGGCTTTATTTCGGCGGTGGCCCGATCCTGCACGCAATCCGAGTCCACCGGTAGAGGAGTTCTAAATAATTCGCAGTCGCTTGCAGGAGCACAATCATGGACAATTGAACTCATTGACATGCTCCTCAATATGTACCCGATATACTACTTTGGGAGATTGGTGGGTCCTGCTGGATTACAGCTCCGCAGCACGCTCGTGGTTCCTCCCGTGTGGATTGAGCGCTCGCATGCTGGCTGCCACGCTTGAGGGATTCGGATGTTCATGCGCAGCGTAGACTTCGCGGCGGGGCGTATCCCAGCCCAACTCATTGTTCAATACGTCGGAGGCTTCGTGTTTGGCCTTGTCCGATACACGCGGATTTTTCAACACCCTATCCCATCGTTAGCCATGGCCAGCCAATCGCAAGGGGCTCGCCTACGCCTGATAACTGCGCATCGCGCTCACCCTTTCCTCGGCGTCGACTTCAACTTCGTCATTGGCGGGCGACTGCGACATGGCTCGTTTGCTTGATGGGCTAATTGACAACAATTTTCGGCTGGGGTTGTACCTGCATCGGCGGTACCTCGTAGATCTATTCGGCTAGTAGTTTATTAGTAGCACCGCCAGATTTGCCTCCATCGGTGCTGACTGAAATCTGCGTCATGTCGACGTGAAGTCTCTGGGTATTCCAGATCAGATCCGGGAGTCTGGAACCAGCGACGATGCAGGCAACGACCGCACGTCCATGATTTGATGGGGAGTGTGGTATCCTCTTTGAGGTCTGGAATCCACGTGAATTAAGGTTATCTAAGATATCGGATGAGAGAAGGTCTTTCGTTTGTTTTCATTGTTTTCCGCTAGAAAAGCACGAATCCACAGTGTTTCAAATCGATTCCGACCGACTGCTTTTCCCGCCGCTCAGGCGGTTGAGAGAGGAAATCGCCAGAACGACAAGTCTGGACTTTATTGATGTCACCTTTGCGTGCAGTGGCACTGGTGGCCAATATGAGCAGGCAGATAGTATATAAAGGCCGGAATTCCGGACAAGGGTCCCGATCTCTTTGTCCAGAGTCATCATCGCATCACGATCTACTTGGAAGTCAAATTTCCCCAGGAAACTGGACATCGCCTGCATCGTTACCAATTCCTCCTTGGTCGACCTAGTTTCCAATCTAGCCACTTCGGCGCCATGTCCAACTCTGCCAGTGAGACCATCCTGTTCGAGTCCGTCCCTGACGGTGCAGAGCCCGCCTATGGTCAGGTCATGCAAAACACCTCCCCGGTCGGGACTAATTCCGATCCCGGGGACATGCTTTCTCTTCAGGTGGACGAGCTCGACTTGGAGGACCCGCTGAGCTCGGAGTACCGTTACTATGACGAGCCACTTGGTATGTGTGGAGTGGGAGGCTTTTACGCGGAACGTCACTGATTGGAATTTGTATAGCCCAGGACAAGGGGGATGAGAGCGCCCGCTTGCAGTATACTCGGCCGCTGCCAGTCAATTAGGGGTCAAAGATGACACCGACATCGATGCTACGCTTTAGTTATAGTGTATGGATGGACTGGCTGGTTTTATCTACAGTATCTATTTTGGGTGGAGTGAATTTGAATAGACTTCGAGCTTTCAGTTGATTTGATTCGATCTATCTTCAGTATTTTTAAGGACGACATGGGCCACTATTGTATGAAGCACTGCGGATATATTTCTCCCGTCTGATAAGATGAAATCCGTCTCCCTGACGCGAATTTCTGCAGTGTGACACATGCACTCCACATGTTCGTGTAATTCAACAATGTCTTTTTGACGGCAGATAGAAGATAATTCGCTGACTGACATGTATATCTCATTGTGCTGTAGATGTGATACAATGCATTGTGGCTGTCCCCCTGGGGCAGGTGGAGCCTTAGGGGCGGGTGCCGCCTTCCCGAAAGGTAGGTTTCCCTCCGGTTCCCTTTCAAACCATTCTACTTCTTTCCTCAACACCGGAATGCCCGATCGCACATTGAGGCATTGTCCGATTTTCTGGCGTTCCCTCCATCTCGTTCGCCAATGACGGGGTTTCTTGGCTCCTGGCCACTGCACCACCCACTCGCCGCGGTCTGGGGACTGGAAGACCTGGAGACCGTCGAGGATCGACCGGGTGTGGTCTCGGGATCGACGCGGGCGCGCTCCAGCAACAAAGCCGGAATGTGAGATGAATCATCGTTCATCCATCACTGCAACAACGCCATCGCCACGAGGCCTCGCACAAAGACATGGAGAACCAGAAAATGGCGGGCGAGCTGCCCCCTTTTTCGCCGTTCCTGGGCGTCCTTAGTGGGCTTCTGTTTCACTGGTGGTTTGAGTCGAACAGAGGCGTTTCATGTTGACACCAGCAGCTACTAGGCGCCGGACGGTGTGGCCAGTGACGCCCTCGCCGCGCCCCACAGCCGTGAAGAATGGGCGATCGGCCATGTCGGGTGGACTCCTGCCTGTGGGCTAGACTGCTGGGCACGTCGGTCTGGCGTAGCGACGACGCCGACGACACCACGGCCACCGCAGCCATTTCTAAGGGGGTTGCACTCGCCAGGCACGCGAGGCCGCTGAGTGGTGGACGTCGCAGAGAACACAGTGAATGGCGGGTCCACCGAATTGTGTACAAAATGCCAGCAGCTGCCCGGGCTCGCGCCTGCCTCCCCACGCGTACATTCTTTGCTCCTTGTTGACAATCTGGAATTGTCTGCCTCTCGTTTGTTCCTTTTTGCACCCGTTCGCTATTTTACTTTCTTCCCTTCTTGCCTCCCTGCGTTGAGCCTTTCTACTGGATTGCTTGCCAAAGGCTTTGTTTTTCACACGAGGAAACCATGTTGTCCTCCACTTCGTTCAGCGCTGGTTCGCTTTTTCTCTTGGGCCTGGCTTCCTCTGCGACAGCCGCGTCGAGCTACTCGCTGGTTGAGAACTGGCAGGGCAAGAATTTCTTGGACTACTTCAACTTCCACGTCGGCGATGACCCCACTAATGGCTTCGTGAACTATCTCGATCAGAGTAGCGCCGAGAGCACGGGGCTGGTCAAGGTGCTGGACTCTGGCAGTGTGTATCTTGGTGTCGACCACGAGAAGATTATCTCGACCAGCGCCAAGGGACGTGACTCGGTACGCATCGGCAGCAAGAAATACTACGACCGGTCCCTGATCATCGCGGATATTGCCCACATGCCCGGCGGTGCTTGCGGTTCCTGGCCTGCCTTCTGGTCCACGGGCAAAGAATGGCCTAGCGACGGCGAGATCGATATCATCGAGGGTGTGAATCTCCAGGACCACAACGAGATTGTCATGCATACTGCCGGTACTTGCAGCATCACTGATTCAGGTATGAGTGGAGTCGTCAACGCCACTGGCTGTGGTGAGGACCTGGGCACTATTGGCTGTGTGATCGAGGGCGAGCAAGGCAGCTACGGTACCTCCTTCAACAAGCAGGGCGGTGGTGTTTACGCCATGGAATGGACTGAGGAGTATCTCAAGATCTGGTTCTTCCCTCGCGCGAAGATCCCCGAGTCGATCACAGACGGCAAGCCCGACCCCAGCCAGTTCGGCATCCCGATGGCGCTAGTTCAGGAGGACTGCGACGTTGCCAACAGCTTCAAGCCTCAATCTTTCACCTTTGACGTGACTTTCTGCGGTGACTGGGCAGGTGGTGTGTTTGGAGACTCTGGCTGCCCTGCAACCAGCTCCGACTCCTTCCAGAGCTGCCACAACTACGTTGCCAACCACCCGGCTGCCTTCAAGGAGACCTACTGGGAGATCAACTCGGTCAAAATCTACCAGACCGGCGTTAACGGCATCGCAGAGACCACCACCTCCAAGGCTGTCGCTACCCACGCCACAGCCACCCACCAATCTGTTGCCCACGATACTGCAACTAAGGCCTCCGTCACCGAGGACACTGATACGAAGTCTACTGCCACTCACGTCGCTGCTACTCAGGCTGAGGCCCATTCTTCGGCTGCAGTCGAACCCTCCTCCGCCGAAGAGTCCCACGCCGCTGCTACTCCGGTGACCTCGGAGGCTGTTGGCATCATCGGCGAGCTGACTCCGTCTTCGACTGCTACGCCTGCTCCCACTGCGGACCACACTGCCACCCAGGCGGTTGTTGAGTCTGCGACCAAAGAAACCACTTCGAAGACCACTCGCTATGTGACCCAGTTTGTCACTTCCACTACGACTATCTGTCCGGTTGCCGAGAGCTCGTCGGCCGCCGCCGCCGCCGTCGAGAGCCATGCCACCGTTGCCGCTCCCTCTTCGGATATCGCAGAATCCCCTGCCACTGCCAACACCGCCAGTGCTCATGCTGCCAACTCTTCTCCTGCCGCCGCCCAGTCGGATGTCGCTCAGTCTCCTGCTACGGTTGAGACCGCCAACTCATCTCCCGCTGTGGCCGAATCGGCTCCCACTCAAGCACCCACCGCGACGCAGTCCACCAGCGCAGGTGAGACACAGCAGCAGAACGCCGTTCCGACTCAGGCCGCTCAGACTCCTGCTTCCACCGCTCCCGTGGGTGCGGACGCTGCCTCAGCCTCCCGCGGTTCCCCAAGTGAGCAGGGCTCCTCCACCGAGCGTCCCTTGCCCACCATCATTCCTGCCCCCGGTGTCGACGCCAACTCTGCGAGCGCCATTGCCTCCCACGCCGCGCAAACCTCGAGACCCCTAATCCCGACCTCGACTGGTGCCTCTGCGGCCACCGGCAGCACCTTCCCTGGCACCCCCAGCAGCTCCGGCAACTTTGCCCACTTCACCAGCGGAGCTGACAAGCTGTCGGCCAAGTTCTCCCTGTTTGCCGTCGTCCTCGGATTCGCCATGGCGGCATGAGCGGCTTTGGTCTTCCATTTCTTCTAGCCTCATAAGCGTTCTGCGTTGGAATTTGATGTGACGGTGGCTCTTTTTTTGATTTTGATAAGTTTCTGTAAAATACACCATTCTGCACCATCTTTAGATCGTGATAGTCGAGAATACCATCCAAACATACAAACGATATTCGGTCAAAAAAATAATCAACTCAATCACCTGAACCAGGATCCTGAAAAACAAACGTACTAAAGTTTCACCCTATTGAACGCCGACACGCCGCGCATGAATTGAGTCCAAGTTCCATTCCTATCAACTCCGCATCCATCGGTTGAGCCAGTCTCGCACGTAACAATTTAGAATCCCATCCTCGACCATCCTCAGCCGTCCGTTCCGTAGGGTAATGCTATCTCGCTCGGCCTTGTCCGTCATGAAAATTTTCGGACTCAGTAAGGATTTCTCACCATGCACTGCCTCATAATGATCAATCAGTTTGACGGCAGGGTTGACCAGCTCTTCGCCACGAGCCTCGCTATCTCGAAGCAACTGCATCCATTTTTCAAAACTGACGGTCTCAAATTGGAACCCATTCCTAGCCAATGACAATAGCAATGTCGACCATGCAAACCCGCACGGGTTACACACGTTGTAGATCGAGTCATCGGCAGACTTGGCCGCCGCCGACAGGGCGCCATGTGTGTGACCCTCCGATGTCTTACTTGCACCAGCACCCACTGCCCAGTCAAGATTCGAACATGTCTTGCCTAATTCGACAATTGTAGAAGCGAGCTTATCGACCGGGAGCCAGGAACACTGGCTGTTGAGATCGGGCAGTGCTTTTAAAGTCAACGCTGACCGAATGAGCAGCGGCAGCGCCTCCGAGTCGTTCCACAGGCCCTTCTTTGAGTGACCTGACACCTGGCCGATCCGAAGCGAATAGGCTCGGGCCCCTGATTCGCGTGCAACGCTGACAATGTGTTCGCCGATCAATTTGGACTGTCCATAGCCCATGTAGGCGTCCGTTAGGTTGGCGGGGGATTCGCTAATGCTTGGCGAAGGCGACTGGAGGGTGGTCGAGATTGAGGAACAGAATAGGAGAACAGCTGGTGAAGGTTGGTGGACCGAAAGGGAGAGTTGGATCAGATTGTGTAGGCCTTGGATGTGTGGTTCAAATTCAGAGAGTGGGAGGTTGAAGTTGACGGGCCAGGCTGCGTGAATAATTTGGGTTACGCAGTTTTGCATTTCATGGTAGATGGTTTGGCCCAGACCGAGATTTGGCTGATCAAGCGCACTGTCCAATGCAATAATTCGAGATGCCTGTTCGGCTGTGATATGTAGGTCCTTGTCGATAAGACTGTGCAGAATGGCTTCAAGTGGTGATCTGCGTCGGGTGAGGCAGAAGATAGCAGTGATGGATTCGTCTTGTAGGAGCTCATATAATGTGTGAGCACCGATTGATCCAGTTGAGCCTGTAAGAACCTTGGAATTGTTAGATTTGAGAGCTAGGGGTTGTGAATATTTGAGCTTTGAACATACCACACCCTTTACATCGGAGGAAAAACCGGTCCGAGGAGAATGAGGTGAGAAAGTAGAGTACGTGCCAATCAAATCCGACATCAGATTTTTAGTTTCATCAACTGATGGCTCATGTGTTCCGCATTGAACGCCACAGATATGTGCTGCAAGGCGCGCGATACTTCCAGTCTCATAGACCACGTTCAATCCCAAGCTTTGGGCTCCCAGATCTAGATTTTGTAAAATTAGCCGTCGAAGATGGATTGCCTTTAGACTGTCAATTCCTTCGGCAAAGAAATTTGCGTCCATGTCGGAGAGAGGGACTCGAAGTTCATCATGACAGATATTCATCAAGAACGACTTTGTGCTGGCGAGGCCGAGCTGAAGATTTCCGCTGATCCTCTCGGAATGAGAGTATAGCTCCTCGATGAGTTGAGAGTAGTAAGAATAAACCTGAGCTCGAATCATTGACCCTTTATCTGTTCGGGGAAAGTGCGAACTAAGGGGAAGGACAGCGATCATATCTCGAGATATTTGAGAAAATTGCTCAGCGCGGCAATTGGCTTCCTCGATTATTGACCAAATGGCGCCAAGAAAATCTTTATCTGAAAGATTGAGGTCCTCGGTTTCTTGTGAACGGAAGAGAAGAAGTCCCGGAGTAGCCTTGCCTAGTCCCACAACCACTGCTTCGTGTACCAGAGGATGCTGCTTGATGAGCCCTTCGATGGGAAGTGGAAGGACTTTTTCACCGTTGATAAGCGTGATCCGGTCATCGAGTCTGGACGCGTATTTCCATCGATTGTAGATTGTGGGATGAGGCATGAACACATCTTTCGAATGGAATGAGCCTGGGGGCTCATTTGAGTTTGAGGCCGTCAATGCTGGATGGCCTGCCAGGTAAACGCATTCATATAGCCCACCCCCAATTGGTTTCATCCAAATATAGGGTCTAATGTTGTCGAAAAACTTCAAGTAATTCCAGTAAGGGTCACCTTTCGGCCTTGATATTGATTCAGCGACAAGTCCTGCCTCGGTCCTAGATGAAAGGTCAGAGCAAAAGCATTTCCGAGTATAAAGATGCTCTCTTACAAGCCAAACGAGCCACCAAACTGCACACCCTCGCGCACAAGACGGTCACCGAGCTCATCAGGGCACGGAGCACCACCATATGTGACAAGCTTGCACTCACGAAGGGCCGCAATGCCGCGAGGACTGTCTACCAGGAGCTGCAGCATATATGGCACGGCGGCCACGGACTCTGGTCGGGCTGCCTCCAAGACCGAGGCCACAGATTGTGCCGTTAAAGGCAGTGCAACGTTCCACAAGTACGCCACCTTTCTCATCCACATGGCCTGCAATGCAGTGGAAAGTCCATGCAAATGGTACCATGGAAGCGGGTTGAATGAAGTCAGTCCAGGCCCTCGGAGAGGGTGTGTCATTAAAGCGCGATGGGTGAGGTATAGAGGTTTTGGGGTTCCGGTGGAGCCCGAGGAGTGGAGAATGAGAGCGATCTTGTTCTTTTGTGTTTCAGGATTTCGATTACGATGCAGGACGAGGAATGATGTCTCGGCATCTTCGAGTGAAATAGCTGGCATTGGGCGACATGAGATGAGTTTTCGTTGAAGAATCTCGCCCATGGTAGTGCGGATGCTGGTAGTGTTGCCGTAAATGACATTCTCGCATCGCACTGTGTCCAGCAAGGAAACGCATGCATCCCCTGACAGGCGTGGGGAGAGCATCATGACTGTGTATCCGAGTCGGCTCAACGCAAAGAACGTTACGACCATGTGAATATCGGAAAGGGCCAGAAGAGCCACGGAGCATGCGTCGTTTTTGGGCTGTGCAAGCGAAGTTTTAGCGCTGCTGTAGGTGAATTATCGGACATACTGACTGGGTTGAAACCATGCTTCATGAGTACTGCAGCAGTATGGTCTATCATCTCGTCCAAGTCCCGCCCGGTATAGTAGTTATAGGATGCTGCATCTTTTTCATTTCGAGGATAAGCAAGGATGGGCTGCTGAATGACATCCGCAGCGCGAAGGCGTATGAGATCATCCAGAACATGAAGCTGCCCAAACTTTTGCACCAGTGGATCAGAGACACTAGATGAGCCTGCGGCGGCTGTTCGATCGTCGCGTTGGATACCCATGATTTCGCACAGTTATCCTGAGGAAGAGAAGAATTGTACCTTATGTCGGCGGACGATATCGGCCGACAGGAAATAGCGGGACTTAAGAGCTCCTCATCGTAATTGAAGTCAGTGCTAATTTCAGCTCGGCCCTTAGTGTCGCACACTTGCTGTCGACTGCATTCGGGCCCCGGGAGGATGCTGGTCTTCCGTTTTGGGGAAGGCTATCCGCTCGCACTGTGCAAACCCCCGAAGAACTTTCTCTCGGCCTGCCAACCAAGATTTATTTTGATGTTTTTGCAAATGGTGCCACGCTAGACCGCTATTCCCAGCCATATAACCGAGGCGGTTGGCGATCCTATAGCTGAACTTGATATGCCACCCACAAGCCATTATGTTGGATTGACTGACCAGCGAAAATACACCCTGCTACCTAGTAAGTGACTACTGCTGGCTCGGTCACGTCGCATCGACCACAGACCTATAATCAACGAATAGAAGGCCCTGTCACGCCAATAATGATGTGCCGGCCGTGTGATTCGACGATGGTCCCTAGCAGTCAGTTTCTCAATTGGTGAACCGTTCTCCCGGACCAAGCAGCCAAATCCCAGGATTCAATCTTCGTCTTGCGGGATCGGATTCTCATCGTGTCTGGCGGAAATGGTTACACTACAGGAGAACCCGAACCCACTGATCCAGTCAAGATTGAAATGCCAGCGATCGAGAACAGCCTTCCTTCCGCTGACACAATCCGAGGGGAACAACCTAGTACAATTTTTGCTGAATTCGTCGGTGTCAATTTTTCCCGGCAGAGTTCAGACAGAATGTGCCACGGAAATAATTTTTTTTTCTTTTCCTTTCCTTTCCTTTCCTTTTTTTTTTTTTTTTTTTTTTTTTTTTTGTGGAAAATGCCTTTGCTGCTGTGTCTAGAGACCCAGGTAAGGGTCCCTGGTTTGTTTCCATCAATCCGTTCTTGGTAATAAGTGTTCCAGGCATGCCGTTTCATTTTAAGAGAAGACGATCTTTCCAAGACATCACTATTATCAATCTAAACCCGGTTGGGCTGGGGGTGACGACAATCCTTGAAGGTTTTCGTTAACCTGCCGATGTCTGTTTTCCGGAAACGTACCGGGAGGCGTTTTATACTTCTCTCTGCTTGAGGGTTGCGGATTCTCCAACGAGAAAAAACATATTAGCAATGAATACTTGGGTGGGAAATGGGATATCTCGACCTGTGACAGGGTGAAAACGGCTTCAAGAATGATCCTCCTAGGTGATATCACGGAACATTCAAGGGCTCGCATGACGAACCCTTCCCGGTAATCGATGTCCCCGGCATGGAAGCGTGCTGGACCGTTCTGCATCACCCCGTATCCGCGGAAGCTTTCTTCTCTGGTCCTGCCCCGGGGGGAAGCGATCCGAGGAATCGGAATGCCGGCAGATTCCTCTGACGATCGCTGGAAACGGTCCTGCAGAATCCCTCTGGCGGGGCAAGGTGAATGAGATCGGTTCTCCCGTTTGTCGGGAGGAATGTCGACCGTCCGATCGGGTCTGCGCATTCCAACCTTGTTCAATGTTGTTGTTTCCTGGCCCGGGCCGAGTGGATCGAGGCGCATTCCTCGCGGAACCGCGCAGATCGTCCCGGTGCTGCTGAAAAAGGACGTCGGCGGTGGCCGCGGCGGGTCTGATAGATCATCTTTTCTAGAAACCTTATGCGATCCCGGTTCTCGGTAATCTGCACATTCCTCCCATCTCAAACATCTTAATGATCCCGTCTTCCGGGACACGGATCCGGCTGGCATGTTACTGAAGACAATCTGCTGGGTCAAACGGTATGGGCCCCGGCGGACCCCTCAGGGCCTCCCCGGCAGGGATGGTTTGTGAGGTAGCTGCATCTCGCTCTGTGTCATTCGGAGACGACCGATCGATCTGAGATGAGAATCAAAGGATGAACACTCCATACACCGACACTTCGCTGTTGAAAATTCCCTTCCGGGATATGCTGAGTCAAAAAGCAAAACTTTCTATATTCGGAATGCTATGAAAAGTTAAGACACCAAGTAATGCCCAAATTAGAAAATCCGAATCCAGATCAAACTCTACTACGTGGCTTTGTTCATCCCGTTCGCTGTCAACCGCTCCAGCATTCGTTTCCATGCCTGGCTAGCCCTTGCGGCATGTTCTTCTGGCACCGACGGGTCATCTACCTGCGTCGTTCGCGAGAAGACTTCCATGCTGACCCACCCTGCGTACCCTAAGCCATTTAGACAGGCTTCAGCCACCAACTGAATAGGGAGATATCCGCCCCGCTCTTCTTCACACGGGAACAGACGAGCATTCCGTGACCAGGCAAGCAGCTTGGGCAGCTTTGATTCTTGCAGGAAGGGTGCTTGTGGGTCGACTCGTTCGCCATCTGCCAGTTGCACCATCATCACTCGCTCGGGATCGATTTCTTGAACCAGCCGTTCCATCGAGAGTTGTAGATCCTGGTCGACCTGGGCTGGCCCCCGTCCTGTTGGACTGGTTGGGTTGGCCCACACTCGTGCTGCAATGTTGAAGGTATCCAGACAGATACCGAGGTTGGGTCGGTTGGCCCGCTGGACGATTTCCCAGGAACCTTCCCATGTATTGATATAAGTGCCCCAGGCTAAGGCCTCGTAGGCAACGCGAGTCGGAAATGCCACGTCGGCCGCCTCAGCGAGGTCGGCCACTAGCCGCTCCCGGTCACCAGTGATTTCCGAGGGGTCGAGGAAGGAGGATGGAATGAGAATGAAGAGATCATCCCCGAGAATCTGCGACAGCCGCACCCAGTGCCGGAGTTCGTCGATACGTTGAGCATGCCGCGCCAGATCGCGCAGGCCTTCATAGTGCCTGAACGGCTGCAGCGCTAGCACTTGCATGCCCCGCTCGGCGCATAAATTGCGAATTGCGTGCGCGGCATCGATCTCGTAGTCGCGATCGGAGCGGCCCGTCGTCTCGCATTCATGGCAGCGCAGCGTCTTGGCCAGCTGTGCGAGATCGTCGTGGAATAATTCGAGTCCGCGCTGGCCATTCTGTGCCGCCGCGTCGATTTTGGTGGCGATGGAGTGTAGATGCGCGGCTCCCAGACTCACCGTCGCGATGGCCGGCCTCCAGCGGGCGGCCGAGTCGGACGGCAGAGTGGGCAGGGAATGCATGGGAGTGATGAATTCTACCGCGTAGATGTAGAGTGGAGATTGATTCGATCGATGCGATAACACAACGTCAAGATCTCACTATCCCAAGGTCAAACTCTCAACGGAATCGAAGTGGTCAAGTATAGTCTCGAAAGCCAGTTGAAGCAACGTGCCATCGCCACGCTCCCGCACTTTAAAGGTTTAAATCTTGCAAAATCGATAACGCACCCGCCCTGGCTTGGGAGGACCCGTGTCGATCGCAGCAGGCCAGGGGTGAGCCAATACGTCAAATAAGTGGGCCGGCGCCGTCAAAACGATGGGCGAGACTTCAATCAGCCCAACGAGGTGGCTGCGTGCAACCCCCCACTCCACTCACGCGGCAGACTTCGCCCCGAGAAATTGCAAAGTATATGCTACGATCGGCCGGGACATCCTGGAAATGCATGGCGTGTGCTGTTTTCGGGCAGCGCGGCTGCGAGGTGGTTCCCCGTTGAGCCAGCAAGGAGCCTGTATGGTAATGAGACCCTTTGCTGGGAACAAACCCTCCGAAAAGAGCGCCGCATCCGATGCAACGACGAAGGCACCAGGGCCAGGCACCGTCCTCGTCGTTGCTATAAAATGGCTCCCTTGAGCCCATGAAGGGTGTCTGCATACTGGTTTATTCTTCTGGCTGTACAAGTCAAATCGTGACCGAATCTCGCGGGGGCGGCTTCTTCTCAGTTCCCTCGTCACCATGACGGTCATCACGCCGCTGAACTCGATGATCAACCACCTCCGACAATTGGCGCTGCGAGAGGGCTCGAATCCATCGCCACAGGCGCATCTCGAGTTGCTGCGGATGATCGACCAGCTCAGGCTGCTCGTAGAATCGCCGACAGAAACCGTGTTGCGTCTGATCTACCAGGTACAGTCAAGCTCCACTCAAAAATCTCCTGTTCGTAGATTGTTGAGCTGACCGGCCTCCAAGCCCCCACAAAATGCTGCCTTGCGCGCTGTCGTCGATATGGGAATCTTTCCGTTGCTGGTGGAGAAACAATATCGTGAGACAGGGATCTCGGCGGAGCAACTGGCGGAGTATACTCAGGCAGAAACTGATCTGATAGGTATGAGCCCTCTTTTTTCTTCTACCAAACCCCATTCTCCGCGGCACTGGCGCACTTGGCGGGTTTTGCTGATTCTAGAGACGGTATAGTTCGTCTGATGCGTGTTATGACCTCCTTAGGGTTGTGTTCAACCCTCGCAACAGAGGTGTATCGTGCCAATGAGAAAACTGTGGCCTTGACCCAACCTATTGGTAGAGATGGTGTGCCATGCATGTAGGTCCATGCACTTTGTCATGTTTATCTCGGTCGTGACCGCTGACACGCCTGATAGATATGACCTCACAGTGCCCACCCTGAGCAAATTATCCGAATACCTGCGAGTCCACGACTATTGCAATCCGCAGGAATATGCCCGATCCCCTATGCAGTGGACCGTTGGCCAAAGTCAATTCGAATGGCTGGCGAGCCACAAACGACAGCAAACCTTGTTCAATTCGTACATGGCGAGTCGTCGCCAGGGCCAGCCAATGTGGTTCGATACGTATCCGGTGGAGCGGCTACTGGGCCATGCAATGCCATACGGGGACACGCCTTTCGTGGTTGATATTGGTGGTAATCAAGGCCACGATCTGAGCCGATTTCGACAAAAGTACCCGCATCTGCCAGGAAAGTTGGTTCTGCAGGATCTTCCCAAGGTCGTCGATGGGGTGTCTTGCCGAGACTCGGGGATTGAAGTCATGGGATATTCGTTCTTTGATCCTCAGCCGATTCAAGGCGCACGCGCATACTACTTTCGCTCCATCTTCCACGATTGGCCCGACCACATCTGCCAACAGATCTTGCAGAACACGATCTCTGCGATGGCCCCCGACTATTCCCGCATTCTGATCGTGGACTTCGTATTGTCGGACACGGATGCGTCTCTCATGCAAGCTTCGCTGGATATCCAAATGATGAGCATCGGGGCAGGCGTGGAGCGATCAGTGCGTCAATGGCGAGACTTGCTGACTAGCGTGGGACTGACAATCACCGGAATCTGGAATCAGAATGCGGACATGGAGTCTGTGATTGAAGCAGTGCCGCGGGCGAATGTCGTGGCGGAGAGAAGGTGAAGCTGGGAGGCAGAAGTTGTCTCGTGACCCAACGTGAAATCGCAGTCTGCTGGCTCTTGCCTTAATTTATCTTGAGGGAACATCGGTGCTATGGGAACTCATGGGATTGTGGACTGCATGTTCCTACAAAATTCATTGACTTAGTCTTTTCCTACTCTATTGTACTTCTAATTCTAATTCAATGCCAAACACGTCGCAGCAGCTTCTGCCACATCTTCGACCACGCGGACTTCCCGAAAGCGCAGCCCACGCTGGCCAAGTTGCTGCCGCAGCAGCGCTTGATATTCTTCGTTCTTCATCAACCCTCCTGCCAACACCAGCTCGGATTCCTCGGCGGGTGTGAAAGTGCGGCACTTGCGATCATTGAGACGGTCGAGGGTCTTGTTGAGGAAGCAGGTTATTTGATCTGTCACAATTGCCTTGGCCGCATGATCCTTGACTGCCAGTTTTAGCACCGTCTCTGCGACCCCAGCAATGCGAGCCTTGATATGTGACGTGTGTTGGCGTGAGAGAATATCAGTCAAGAGGTCAATACTTCCATCCTCGGTCACCGGACAGTCCAGCTGCTTGACCACTGCCAGCTCAAGCTCTCCGAGGTCTTGATCACGCAGGCCCAGCGTCCGCTCTTCCAGCACAGTCAGCGTATGCTTGATGGATTCACGGCCAATCGAATAGCCCCCGCCCTCATCACCTAGAAGATGACCCCAGCCGCCGGCGCGAGCGACCCGAACATATCCCTGGCTCTGGTTCCAGGTGTACCTCATAGCCACACTTCCCGTGCCTGCGATGAGGACCACCACAGGTGGGTGTTCCTCCTGCTGGGATGCTGTTCCCGGCAGGAGATCTACATCGCTAGTTAATCGGAAATCGGTCGTGGTATGATCCAGGCCAAACATCTCGCTCAGCTTCGGAGCTAACTCGGCTTGCAGTCCAGCACGATCCAACCCGGCCAGGCCAATCCAGACAGACCGGAAGGAAGTCTGAAGGCATTGCCTCCAGACTGACTCGGTCAGCTCCTCTCCATGCAGATGCTCATTGAGGGCACTCTTGGTGGCATTGATCAGGTTAGCCACCACTCCATCCACGTTAGAGATGCCGTCAGTCCTAACAGATTGGATTAGCCCGGGCCATTCTACGTTCCCTGAAAGGACGTCAACATACAGATTGCTTGGGCCAGAATACCCATGGCTGGTGTTTCCCGACGCATCACAGACTACGGCTGCACATTTGGTGCCTCCACCATCAACGCATAGCACGAGTTTTTTCGTTAGCTTGTTCACCACTGGTCTTGCCGGCTGCGCAACACCATCTAGTGCCTTTGACAGAATGCCTCCTGCGGACTGTAAATGCTTCTTACAGTCCTCAACAGATTTCCCCGTCTCCGCGACGAGAATTGCCAGCTTGACACTGCGATCACACTTGACGAGGAGAGTATCCATTTCAGAATCGGACAGGGCAGCACACACCGTGCTTAGTCGTTTCAAGATGTTCTTCGAACGCTGCTTCAGTTTCAAATTTGACGCTTGCAGATCGACCATCTGTAAAGCAGGTCAGCATATGTGAATTCCGATGTGAATCAGCCAGTGACCAGTACCATATTGCCGTAAGTCTTCCCCGTCCGAATCATCGTCCCCGTGCTAAGCATGTTCAAAACCAACTTGGTCGCTGTGCCGGCCTTGAGTCGGGTACTTCCAGTCACCACCTCTGGGCCAGGAAGAGGCGCAATCAGATAATCCACATTGCCCGATAGACCCATTACCGAGGGCTCTGTGCAGACAACGCCAATGGTCAGGCAGCCCAGACTCTTTCCAAAAGCGAGACACCCCATCACGTAGGGCGTCCGGCCGGAGCTCGCAATGCCGATGATGCTATCGAGTTTGGGATCGAGATTGAGATGCTTCATCTCGTCCCCGCCGGCTTGCTCATTATCCTCGGCACCTTCTTGGGCTTGCCGAATTGCGGCATCTCCGCCCGCAATCAACCCGACGAATTGCTCGCGCGATGCGGCGAACGTCGGAGGAATCTCAGATGCGTCCAAGATGCCAAGTCTGCCGCTCGTACCAGCCCCGACGTAAATCACTCGGCCTCCTCGGCGCACGCGCTGAGCCAGCCCGTCGATGGCACCCGCAATCACGGGCAGACACGGTGCAACACTCTCGGCGACGCAATGGTCATCGGCATTGATGACGCTGCACATCTCCAACGTCGACATCCGGTCAATAGTCACGGTCCGGGGATTGACCCCTTCCGTCTGCAAGTTGGCCAGGCTGCCGAGATCCATCGTGGCGAGGACAAGAGTCGAGTAGTCGAAGCCAGGCAATCCCACGACCCTCAAATGGAGAACTGCGATGTCTGCAGAAATATGCAAAGTGCTACTAATCGCGACATGAACCAGGACTACTCATAATGCCGACGCTAGCCTGCACGCCCACCCGCTGCCCACCATCCAAGCCCTAACCGACATCCGTCCCAAGGCGATGCCCATCTTCTGCGGGGTGCGTTGCCAGCTGGTGTTGCAGCGAAGGCCCCAGGTTACGTCCCTGACACCACATCGGCCTGGGCGCCACTCAGCCGACTCCTCGTTGGCACGTCGTTCTGCATATGTCTTGTGCATTTCTTAATCCAGGATGCGCATCGACGCGGCGGTAGTCTGACAGAAGCGCTCTACTCCATCTCGACCCCCAACCGAGTTCCTTAGGGATTCTACCTGGGAGGGTAGGGTCCTAGTACTCCCACTGCAAACCCTTCATGCCCGGTCGGCACTGCATCTCGACGGCTGTCGCACAAAAATCGACGCTGGGCCGACGTGGTATTCGGCCCCGACCCGCGGTTGGGGCCCCAACACGCGAGGCGTGGAGAAAGCCGTTCCCCAGACAGCCCCCGAGGTGGAGCAGGCGGTTCTCGCCGTCGCGGTGGTTTCTGCACGATCTCCAGACTGGCAGAGGTGCCAGCATGGGCCACGACTAGTCCGGCCTGGCGGGCCTGATTGGCCTCTCCATTCCAGATACCACCGCGTCGCTGGAATCCAGGGATCGGCGTCAACAGGGTCGCAGCCGCACGCCCCCGTCTCATTGCTTGGGTCGCCTTAAGGCCCGCTGGTCGTGTCTATCTTAAAAGACCCTGCGATCGCCGGCCTATCTGAGATCGACCGTTGGAAACCCGTGCTGCACAAATCACCATGGAGGACGGAACGCGCGTTGGGGATGCGACTGGTTCGCCCGTGGTCCAGCAGCGCCAGCGCTCGACGCTGTACACTGTCTACTCGAACTCCTGGTTCCAGATCCTGCTGATCAGTTTCATTTGTTTTTGCTGTCCTGGTGTAAGTTGATGCAGGCCAAATGGCTCTCCGGTGTGACGCGATGCTGACGGCTCTGCTTGGTATAGATGTACAATGCCCTCACAGGATTGGGAGGATCCGGACAGGTCAACCAGGCCGTCGCCGCAAATTCCCAGGTGGCTCTGCTATCTGCAACCGCCGGAACTGCGCTGTTTGTCGTCGGCCCCATCTTCAATCGCGTCGGCCCTCGTGTATGTCTTCTCCTCGGCGGATGGACATATCCCTTGTATTCGGGCAGTCTGCTCTGCTTCAACGGTATATCCACCAAGTTCTCGTATACAGTGTGTCCTGGACTGATCATCGCTAATCTTATCTCATCAGCAACGAACAATGGTGCCTTCGTCATCGCCGCCGGTGCCATCCTCGGTGTCGGCGCATCCTTCCTCTGGGTCGCACAGGGAGCCATCATGACCACCTACGTCCCTGAATCGCAAAAAGGACGCGCCATTGCGACCTTCTGGATTATTTTCAATCTCGGCGGTGGTGTTGGTTCGCTCGCCAGCTTCGGACTCAACTATAACTCGACCAGCGGTACAGTGTCGGACGGCACCTACATTGCCCTGTTGATTCTGATGGCGATTGGGTGGCTGCTGGGCGTCTTCATTTGTCCTCCCTCGTCGGTGCGGGTTCCCCAGCTGGAAGCCACTCCCGAGGAGGAAAAGAACTGGAAGCAGACTCTGCAGGTCTCGGTACATGCCATCGCGGATTGGCGCGTGCTGTGCATGTTGCCCCTGTTCTTCTCAGCGAATGTGTTTTATTCGTACCAGCAGAATGTGGTCAACGGGATGACCTTCAACATCCGCACCCGCTCGCTCAATGGCGCGCTGTACTGGATCGCGCAGATGCTGGGCGGCCTGGTCATCGGCCTGATCCTTGATCTGCCGGGGTTCAGCCGTCCCACACGTGCGCGCGTAGCCTGGGTATTCCTCTTCGTGACGGGCATGGCCACCTGGGGTGGTGGATATGCCTTCCAGCTGTGGTCCGACGATCGCATGGCGCAGGGTATCAAGCAGGATCTTGACTATACTAACTCACCCACCTCCGTCGGGCCCATCTTCCTCTATATCTTCTACGGCGCATACGATGCCTTCTGGCAGTCCTTCTGCTACTGGCTGATGGGCGCCCGATCCAACTCGCCCGCCGTCACGGCCGTCCTCGTCGGCGCCTATAAGACCTTCCAGAGCGCGGGTGGTGCCATGGCCTGGCGCATCAACGCGCTGGGCAAGTCCAACATGACGCAGTTCGCAATGGATTGGGGCCTGTGCATGGGATCGTTAGTGGTCGCCATCCCGGCTGTCCTCGCAGTGACGCTGACCAGCGAGTCGGACGGCCTCGTCGAGCAGCGCATATCGGTTGACGACGAAAAGCCCCAGGCGCAACTGAAAGAGTAAACGCATTTTCTTGTTCCTCTTCGCACTGCTTTCCAGCGTATCTCTACATTAGATACTCCTTCTGAATTAATAATCGCAAAGACTCGTATTCCACACCGGCTGAGGATCACCCAACTCGGTACTTGTTCATTCGTAGACCATTAAGACGCGGGTATGTACAGTCGATTGTCGCAACCACCTATTTCACGCAGTTCTTCAAGATGGCAGTCTCCAGCCACAGCTTAGTGTACTGCTGGTGAAGCCAGGTCAAGACAGGCCCCATGGGGGAAACCTCAGCCTTGCCCTCGCCCTGGTAGAAGCAGCTCTTGAGCTTGAACTCGGCCACGCCCTCCTCCTGCTTGACGATGGCAGACATTTCGAAGAGTCCGTCGGAGGGACGCACATCGCGGTGTCGGGGGTGTCTCCGCAGCGAACGATGATGGTCTCATCGGTCTTTTCAAGGACTTCGAAGTGGTCGGTGATCAGGGTGCCGACCTCGTAGCTGTTTTTGAGGAGGTCCTTGCGTTCCCAGAGGTTGTTGGCGGTCTCGGGGCCTTGGTATTTGCGGGCGAGGTAGGCGCGCTGGGCCATGTAGCCTTTACAACGAGTGCGATGGCAGGTTAGCAGTGTGCGCACGAATGCGATTGTCGATGCGAATGCGGAGCAGTGTCAGCCGACTCACCCATGCCACCCCAGACACCCGCACAAAAGGCCTCGACGAGCTTGCCCTTCTTCTCTAGCAGGGAGGGCTCGATCTTGGAAAGTTCGATGCGACGGACGCACACATCGTGGAGGGTGGGATTGTTGTTGGGATTGAACTTCTTGAAAAACGGCGACTGGAAGATGGGATCGGTGGTGTCCATGGGCTGGAAGACGTCATTGCGCGTCGCGCCGAAGAAGACACCGATCGAGGCGACGGTGCCGGCGGCCGTGACCTTGAGAGTGCGACTGATCAGGCCCATGGTGCAAATGAAGCGGCGGAGGGGATTGAGGGAGCTTGGGGGAGGAGTGGGCGTGGAAGCTGAAGCTGCGGAGACGAATTTCCTGCGGAGCGGAGAACCACTTGGGCAGTTGCCGGCGGGTATTGCACCGGGTATAGCAACCCTCGCAGTTACCACCAGTACCATGACAAAGGAACTGCAACTAGTCCATTGGTGATAGAATTACTTCATATCCATCAGATCAACCCGCGATTATCCAGACACCATATTATGATGATCAGTTGGGCAATACAAATATTCTCGGCATTGTGAAGTCGCGTCCGGAGCATCTCCGACCGAGAGGGCCACTGAGGGCTGAATACGGCAACCAGTCACGGGAGTATCGCACCCAACGGACGGAGTGGCAACTTAAATTGTCTATACCTTGCTTATGGAACAAATATCGGTCCTCGGAAAAATGAACAGACTTTGTATACACAATTGGAATCGTATGATGTGTCTGCTGTTGTTGAGTAAAGATGCGGAGGTATATAACTACAGGAGCACCTCACTTGCCCCCTCCCCACCTCTTTCAACATGTCACAAAAGTCGTTTCGCCCCGAATTTCAATTATTTGTGGCGCTCGAGCGTCCATTATTGATCGCTTGCTGCCCTTGAACCTTCGATGAAGGTCCCCACAGAGATCACAGACCCTGAAAGGACGATAGATCGGGAATCCCGACTGCTCCAATCCCAACAGTCCCGACTTGCACGCTGCTCAGCTGCCAAATGGCCTGGCACACGGCATTCCCGACATTCCCCCGCAGATCACGATAAAATGACATGGAATGAACGAAATCCAATCATGGAACCCAGGCAGGGCGCTCTCTGGATCCTGGCGGAACATGAGGATCTCGCCCATAACGACACGACTGACCGACGATGATCTCCATTCGCGGCAGAAAGTCGGAATTGCCGGACTACACGCGTCGACAACCACCCTTTGCCTCTCCCACCAGGCCCAATCAGGCCCGTCGAGAGCCAATCGTGCGTGCTTCCCCATTCTTTCGACTGTGGGGAAGCTCTCGTCGTGGGTCGAAGAGCCGGGGGTTATTCCAAAATCCTGCCTCGCCCCCCAGTGATCGACTCCTGGATCTCGGGAATCGATTGTCCCATATGACTACCGACCGGTGACGCAGCATGACAGAAATAAAAGAGAATTCGGCTTTTCGAACTACATCCAGTCATCTGGAAAATATGGCGGACGCGGATGAACGAGTCGTCCCATCCGTCAAGGACTTCAAGTCGTCTGAAGAGGAAGACAACCCGAACAACCCCCAGGTGAGGGACATCCGGAGGACCTGATACTCTGTGCATCAAGTCCCGCATCAGGCAAAAGCTAACAGATGAAATGACCAGAATTGGTCCTTGACGGCCAAACTTTGCACCTACCTAACCATCTGCTCCTTTACTTTTTTGGCGAACACCAATTCCAGCAACTTCACTGTTGCAGTCCAGGCCATCGTCGAGGAATTTCACGTTAACCAAACCCAAGCGGGCTCACTCGTCTGCTTCAATGTATTCCTCTTTGGTGTCGGCAATATCTTCTGGGTTCCACTGATGCGGGTGATTGGCAAGCGGCCAGTATACCTGCTCTCCATGCTGATGCTCTGCATGATGAACGTTTGGTCCAGCCGGGCCAGCAGCTATAATGAACTTCTAGCATCCCGCATCGTTTCTGGATTTGCTGCCGCCGCAGCGGATGCCACTGTACCTGCCGTGGTAGCAGACATGGTCGCTGCCAAGGACCGTGGTCATTATATGATGTTTTTCCACCTGGCCATGACTGCCGGTCTGTTTGTGGGTCCCATGATCAATGCATTCCTTGTGCAGCAGGAGGATTGGCGCTGGATGTGCTACTTAATGGCTATAGCAGTCGGCGTGGTTTTCGTGATGTCGATCTTCACCATTCGCGAGACCTCGTACCTCAAGCGCCACCAAGGACAGGGCAAGCGGACTCAACTACAATGGATGTCCATGACCATCGGATATAACCGAGAGGCCTCATTTTTCCAAACTCTGCTAGATATCTTGGCAAACGCCACCTACCCGCCCATCCTCTGGTGTTCATTCACTATCGGTATCTCTGTCGGATGGTAAGTGCTCCCTGCAATATTTTGCACTTAATTCAATGACTAATTGTGACCCAGGAACATCGTAGTCCAACTCACTTGCTCTCGCACTTTTACGAAATCTCCTTACAACTGGGAAATGGGCACCGAAGGAACGTTTCTGCTCTCAGGCTTCATTGGGGCCGTGCTGGCATTCTACCTCGGCGGCCGATTAATCGACATCGTCTCGACTCGGAGTACAATACGACATGGGGGTATTCGCATGCCCGAGTATCGTCTCCCAGCAATTGCCATCCCGGGCGTCATTGGTCCTGCCGGCATTCTGATTTTCGGACTCTGTATTGCACACAAGACGCATTGGGTCGGACCGGCATTTGGATTTGCTATGCAAGCATTTGGCTTGGCTGCAATTTCCAACGTGGCAGTCACTTACTGTCTAGATTCGTATAGACCGGTAAGTTAGTCCAATACCCTTTGATCTTTCATACAATTGACTCGAGATAGGTGACTGGCGAGGCTCTTGTCATCATTTTCGTTATCCGAAACACTATCGGGATGCTTCTGTCCTTGTATACAGCGAACTGGATCGAGAAACAGGGCCCTGCACCTGTCTTTGGTGAGATGACTGCGATTCAAGTTGTCAGTATTCTTTTCGCCATACCACTCTATATATGGGGCCGGCGCTTGCGTGACTTAACCTCCACATATGGGCCTATGAAGCGATTTCAGCATGATTAGACTATTTTTTCAAATTCTACTTTCTTTCAAATTATAATTCTCGTCTTCCACTTCTGAGACAGTCTCTCTTGACGAGAGTCATAATGTAGAATTTTCAAATGTTAGCCTGCGGATTAACGGCGACACTCTCACTTGATTTACGGATAGAAAAAATTCAACAACTCCAATTTTTTTTTATCTTAGTAGTATACAGCCTGCAAAATCCCCGGAAAACAACTCCAACATTAAACGAGTGACAGATCAGAGAAGGTCTCAATGCTAGCACAGCCAGCATACTAACCCAAATTGTGACAAGTCGGCACGTTCATCGGCACGTTCACCCCACCTCAAACCACCCTTAGGCCAGAGGAAAGCCGAGGAAGGACGGACCAGTGGAAGTGGGAATGCCAGAGGACGAGGGAGTAACAGAGGGAGTAGCGGAGGGAGTCACGGGAGTGAAGCTGGGGGTGAAAGATGGAGCATTGGAAGGAGTGGCACTGCCGCTAGGAGTCACTGGGGTGCTGGTGGGAGTAGGAAGAGGAGTGGAAGACAGGCCACGCTTCTGGGAACCGCCCGAGGCGAGGGCAGCAGCAACGGACTGGGCATCGGAAACCAGGGAAGGCAAGTCGGTAGGAAGGGCAAGAGAGTCGTCACGCTTCAGAGCACCAACAGAAGCAAGGGCCGCGGCGACAGACTGGGCATCGCCAGCCAGCGAAGGAAGATCAGTGGGAAGCGAGAGCGAGTCGCCACGCTTCTGGGCGCCGGCGGATGCCAGAGCAGCGCCGATAGACTGAGCATCACCAACCAGCGAGGGCAGATCGGTGGGGATGGACAGGGAGCCGCCGCGCTTCTGAGCACCGGCAGAGGCCAGGGCGCCAGCAACGGCCTGAGCGTCCGAGACCAGAGAAGGAAGGTCGGTTGGGATCGAGAGATCCTCTCCACGCTTACCAACCACGGAACCAGGCTGTTCGCTGGAAGGAGTGAATGTGGGAGGCAGGCTGCTGGAGGAAGCGAATGGGTTGGGAAGGGGAGGATCGCTGGAGACTGTGCCGGCGCTGCTGCTGGGAGTACCATTGGGGGTGGCACTGGGAGTGCGCGAGGGAGTGGGAATTCCGGAGCCGGTGGGATAAGAATGAGTGCCGTTGGAGGAGCTGAAGGGGACAGCCATGGCAGAGCCCCAGAGAGCGAGGGCGATGGTAGCAACGGAGTTCTTCATTGTTAATAAAAGTATAGAATCGAAGTTGTTGTTGTTGTTGTCAAAGAACGATGGATATAGAGAGACTAGTCTTAATCACTGGAGAGTGTTGATCCGTAGAATGATGAGCAGACTGGAAAGATTCGACCCGGGCTTTATATTTCTTTCCTCGGGATATTCGTTATTCTAAGGTCCGCATGTCCTTCGCCGAGTAGCCGGAGCGGCGTTCACCGTTTAGCAGGACGATCCTGCTTTTGGAGCCTCCACATCGTGAGTTGCTTATCGCTGTCGATGGTGTGGGTGCTTCTCTCCAAGGTCCTTGCTCCAATGTGACTGGCCGAGGCGAGGAGATCGTCGGCCTTCAAAATCAGTCGGCTCCAGTGTCGAGAGTGGTCGAGAGCATGGCGCGACCTGGATGGAGACGAATCGATACCCCGATGTAGATCATCTGCCCGACAGGGAAGAGTTCCCCCTTGGGTCAACAAGTGGTACGGAAAGACACCGTGAGTGAGAAGCAGGAGAAAGTCTCTGCGATTTGTTGATTGCCAGTCTCCACAAAGGGCATTTAGGTTTCGTTTCAGATATGACCCCCACAGATTTGCGACGATGCGAGAGTACGGAGTATCGCGGAGTGACGAGTATAGCGCGCATGGTCGAGGGCGTTCACCACGACGGCTGATAAGAGCGACGGACGCATTTGGAATGAGGCCCGGACACGCGAGGGGATATGGGAATTATTATTGGCAGAGAGAGATACAATGTGAAGAGAATTGTGGTTCGTCAGGGACTTCTCAAAGAATTGTCGTCGGTGCCGATCGACGATCCCTGCAGATCGCCGTTGAAAGCACCAAAGAGCGCCGGATTTGTATAAATAACCGATCGACAGCTCTCTGGTCCGCGTATCAGCGCATAAATTCTCCGCTGAAGAACCACGGTCTCCTCGGCTCGTCTCCACATCGGCAAAATGCATTCTGGACGCAGGAACGTAGCAGGGACCAGTGCATTTCGTCTTGTCGGCAATTCATTTCTCGACACCCGGACGTATCACCTCAGGTAAGGCACGAATGGTGCGCATGGTCACGTCACGTTTCAGGTCACGCTATGCAAGGCATCTGTCGCGTCCCTTGGAAACGGCGATCACCGGTGGCGGGTTCCACGAGATCGGCAGCCTCACAGCGTGCATATGGCGTCAAAAGGAATACCCGGCATGATGCCATTTGACTTCAAAAAGTAGATCGGGAATCGGCTTCCTCAGGGATTGGTAGATCATTCGATTGATTTTGAGTCGATCAAGGTGGGACGGCCATCGCGAGTGTGTAGTTTACTCGGCCGACGAAGATTGTCGACTCGGGCCGATATAGACGTCGTTCGGGATCGGCCTCACTCTGGCACCGTCGAGTGGCTGCGCAAAGGATCCCGAGACATTTTATCTGCTGATATATCCTAAAATTTCCAATATGGTGTTCAATCCTCAGTCATATAGTCGTTTCTCCCAGGAATTCTCATAGCGGGACTGCTCAACAATCGTTAACGACAACCTGGAGACCTCGGGGGTTGGACACTGCATCTATAGCAATCTCCACAGCCGGCATCCAGGGATCTTCGCGAACCTCCGCTGCTCCGCAAGACTTGAATAGATCCATCGCAACCAATGGATGCTTGAAGAGCCAACCGCGTGGTCACCAGGACCCGGAACTTGGGATAGTGGCGATTAAATACGGTCGCGAGCCGCTAGCCGAACCAGTCTTCTGCAAATAATGCGGATAGATGCAATGCCGAAGTACCTAGCGACCTCAAAGCTGCACGATCAATCGGGTGAAAGGAGAGCTGGGTAGGTGACTGTTCAGATGACTGTTCAGCTGATCGTTCGAAAGACTGCTTAGGCAACTGCTTCGATGACTGCTATGTAGGGCGGACAGATTAAGGTGCAGATCTCTATAATTCAGGGTCGAGCCCGACTGAAAATGGAAAGTGAGCTGTGGCCGCTATACCATTCCGTAGCTGGGATGTGTGAGCCGACAGAATAACCCAGTTCGATTCTTGTCGTGAACCCTGTCGAGTCGGAACACTGACGGCAACGACGCATCTACTCGAATTCTGCTATTGATAGGTGTGATTGCTTTTCAGGCGGAGATCCAAATTATTCCATTATTCCATTACGGGTGATTATATCGTAATTCGCCATGCTTTGTTCTGACAAGGCTATTTGTCTCCATGACCCAGTGCCAAATCACTGATTCGTAGCCATCATGTCGAGTCATGCAGCGAGTTTAGTTGCCGCGCTTGACCTTCTCCCACTGAGGCTCGAGGTTGTCGCCAATGGCGCGGCGGGCCTCCTTCTCCAGTTCGCGAAGATTGAGGTTGGCACGCTTGGAAATCTTCGACTCCGAGTCCTCACGCGACATCTGGACGTGCAGATACACGGCGGCCTTCTTGCCGGAGAACATGGCGTGGGGCACGTTGGTGCTGCCGTCGCTGTTGGCGTCACCAATAGCGTAAACGCCGAACTCGCTGGTGCGCATGCCGCTCGTATCAACCTTGATCTTAGAGTCGGTCATGTTGAGACCCATGTCGTAGGGCAGATCGGTGCGCTGGGCAGTGGGGTAGTTGGTGATGAAGGCACCACGCTCGACGGGGTCGCCCTCGGTGAAGTGGACCAGGAATTTGTCGTACTGAATACCGGCCGTCTTGTTCTGGTGGGTGCCGCCATCCTGAATACGCTCGATGGATGTGATTGTCCGGTTGTCGATCTTGACATTCCAGGCCTTGAGCTGCTCCTGCCAGTCCTCGTGCGAGGCGGTGGCCTTGGCCTCGCCCTCGGGGGTTTGGGTACCGTTCACAAAGGCAACGATGTCAGAGTAGAGGGTGTTGGTCTCAAGAACGCTGCCGAGCACATCAGACAGAGCGCCCAGGACACCAAGAGGCTGGTCGCGGTGCTAAGTAGAAGTTAGTACTGCCGTCGTACACGAGAATGGAGACTGTGACTAGCACTCACCTCCCAGCCATCGCACCACGGGCACCACCAGATACCCTTGCCAAAAGCCTCCTGCAGACCCGGGACGTCGGGCAGGACATCCTTCAAGCCGGTTCCGAGCACGATCTTGCGAGCGGTATAGTTCTTGCCCTCGCCATCGGTGACTGTGAAGGTAGAGACCTCGTCGTTGCCGGTCGGGGTAATAGACTTGACGGTGCCGTTTCTGAAATGAGCAGACGGGTACTTGGAGATTTGCTCGCGGGCCAGACCACGGAACTCGGCGGGAGGAGTACCTTCATCGGATGTCAGCGGGCGGGACATGTGCTCTGTGGGGAGAACGGATATTTACCATCGTTGCCGATCACGTCGTGCATGTTCCGTGTTGGGCCATTGCGGTAGCGGTTGTCGTCAAACAACAATGCACTGCGACGCACACGCGAGACACCACTCAGGGCGCTGAGGCCGGCGGGGCCACCACCGACGACGATGACATCGTAGTCGGTCTTGGGGATCGTCTCGGCCGAGGCGGCCAGTACGGACAAAGAGAGCGAGAGGAGGGACGCGATTCTCATGGTGGCAACTCGGGAGCAATTGAATATCTCCACGCAGACAAGAAAAAGAATAAAGCTTCTGGGATCAGCTCACTGGGAGCTTTATAGGGGACCGCGATCATCGTTGCCGAGCGACCTACAAATGTAGTGCGTGCGAGAGCTCGGGCAGCTCGCACCCAATGAATCGCGAGGCTGGCGAGTTTGTGGAGGAGAGCAGGGCTTGGCATGCAGCCATCGTTCTTGTCGGAGCTGAAGACGCTGAACACTAGTGCCGCGATCGTCGGGATCGGCAACCCTTGCAGAAACCGCGCAGCGGAGAAGGCAGGCGAGATCAAGGCCCATCTTCTGATCAATGGCAAGTGCAGAGATCATGTGCATATCACGGTAGATTCCCCAATATTTCCCTTGTCGTGTTCGGTCAGTAAAAAGTCGCCGAGATCCATGCCTCTTTTGTGCCAAGGTGAAATGTTCAATGAGCTTCGAACCGCCTTCTGGGCCTTAAGAAATTGGGCGTGAGATTGTGCTGATTCAATCGTTTGAGCGGGTATCGTGAATGTACATGCAGGTATTAAGCACCCCGTGGGACTGTAGTCTGTGTTCGTCTCAACTTCCTTAAAAAGCCCATTAGGTAAGAAAAACCAAGGCAGGAAAGACCGGGGCAGCACCCCAGGGATTCGGAGGATCGGAAGGAGCAGCCCTGTAGCTACTCTAGAATCCGCTGAAGGGATATCGGCCTGCCTCTTCGTCCATAACGGTGAGGAATTTCCGGCATCCTGTGTAGTATTTGTTGTATGTTGATGATATTAAGAGCATCTAGCAACGATATCGGATGAATCCATCGGTGTCAGCTGAGATCGCGATCCCCACATGAGGACCCCCAAATCGAGCCCGGGCGAGTTAGAGTTGGCTGTCAGCTCGATCAGCGGCGAACCTTGACGGAAAGGAGGCCACGCGTTGAATATAGGATGGTGCTGGACGAGCGAGCGAGGTCGAAGTGGAGGTGGAGCGGAAGAACTGCGATCGGCGGCGACGACTTCCGGGCTTGGCGCTCTCACATTCCGCGCCTTCTCCAATCGGGGGATTCTCTGCTCTGCTCGGCTCGTTCCTCCGCCATGCAGCGCGTTACATCGCAGAAATCCCGGCAACATTTCTCCTGCGATGTTTGTGTTGCCAGACATCCTACCATTCTGCTGGATTTTCCTACGAGGAGATCGATCGTCAGCTGGCTCAATAGCGTGGTGGCGCGCAGCCCGCGGTGGATCGTAGTGGCGCCCGCTTGAGTTCGCTGCAGTATGAGATCATGAGATCGTTCCGCAGGCTTTATGGGGTGGAGAGCTGGAAAACAGCGCATGCACTTGTGATGATTCCTCAATTGGCTTCCAGAATTGAATCTGGATCGTGCAGGAGATCTGATCTCGGAGCTACTGAACACTGAACTACCGGCCCATCCACCCCCCATCGACCGTCAACACCTCTCCACTGACATACGCGCTCGCCCGGCTGGCCAGATACACCACTGATCCCTTGAAATCGTCCGGATCGCCCCATCGCCCCGCCGGGATGCGCGCTAGGATGCTAGCGGCCCGCTCCTTGTCCTGAATCAGGGCTGTGTTCATGTCCGTCGCGACGTATCCCGGTGCAATCGCGTTGACATTGATTCCCTTGGATGCCCATTCATTCGAGAGTGCCTTGGTCAGTTGGGCAACGCCGCCTTTGGCGGCCGCGTAGGCGGGCACCGTCAATCCGCCTTGGAAGGAGACCAGTGAGGCAACATTGATGATGCTCCCGCGCTGGCCCGACTTGTTTGGGGCGCGGGTGAGCATGTAGGCTCCAACGTCGCGACAGAGAGTGAAGACCGTGGTGAGGTTGACTTGGAGGACCTGCGGAAATTCGGAATCAGCTACTGCCGACACTTTATGAATGGAAAAGCATTGTCAGACTAACCTCATCCCAGTCTTCGAGTGGGAACTGATGGCTTGGGTGTCGTCGCTGGATGCCAGCGCAATTGAGCAGGATGTCGATATCATGACCGTCCTGCGTCACGGTTGACACCAGCGACAATACGGATGCTTGTGAGGACAGGTCTGCGGTATAGATGGTTGCTTTGCGCCCGAGTTGCTCAATCTGCTGCTTGGTGGCTTGATTGCTGGTGTCTCGCTGCCAGATGTCAGCCCTAAATCTCGGCATGAGATTCAGCTCCTTGTTCGAGATACTCACTTGCACCAATACAATGTCTGCCCCAGCCTCGGCCATCGCAAGGGCCATGGCCTGGCCGATACCGCGGGTCCCGCCCGTCACCAGAGCTGTTCTGCCTGTGAGTGAGAAAAGATCCATGGCTATGCGAGAGTTTGGGGGTCACAGGACGCGGGGGAAAGGCCGACTATATACCTCGTCTCGCGGCATCCTCCTCGGACCCCCACGCCTTCCCCGCATTCAACAACGAGTGGGATTTTTTGGGGGGGGGGGGGGGGTGTGTGTGCATTGTCAAGCTGGCTGTCATGCCATCATGAATGTTTAGCCTTGTATGACTGGGTTGTCGAGCTCTTGAGGTTTACTTGATTTTATCCTCTGCGTCAACGATTGACTGATATCCTACCAGGGTATACCGCTTCTAAATATCGGACTTGTTCCGATCACAGATATCACAGCACCCGGTTCGAACTGCGCTGTTGACAGTGGGAATTGATACAGCCACACAGCTTCTGCCTCAGAACACACCCCCTCTCTGACCTTACAGGTGTCTGCTAGTTCTTCTGTTTGAGTGTCCTGGCTTTACGAGTCGAATAATGAACTTTTTCTGGTCTATGTTGGAGAACTATTCTAGCCCGATCCCATTCATTTTGCATAGCGCATCACACTCTAGAATAGCTATCCCAGACAGCTGATCACGTAGGTGGCTGGGTAGATGACCAGGTAGCCGACCAGATAGGTGGGTGAGCAATGAACCTGGCGGTTATCAATACCATAGTCAAGGTGGTACTCGACGTCGAAATTGCCCAGCACTATGTTGGATGAAGTGTTCTAGTTCCGAGCGAAGCCATGACGGGGGTGGTGTGGTGTTTGAGACAAAACGGGTGTGGAGGCAACAATCTCCTGGACAATAGAGAAAGAGAACTTGTTTAATTGAAATTATATCTATACCTGGAATGTATTACCACTCCCGAATCGACCCGTCCGGCCCGTAGAACTCCTTAGGCAGCCACGGCTCGGTCTCCTTACTGATGCGTCGCACCAAGTCCTCATCAATCTCAATACCCAACCCAGGCTTGGACAGTGCCGGCACATATCCCTCCTCGATCTCAAATACGGTCTTGTCCACCAGATAGCTGTTGAGATCGATATCTCCCGCCTCGACATTGTAGTGCATACCCAGCGACATTTCCTGGATGACAAAGTTGGGCGTCGACAGCGCGACCTGCATGGATGCCGCCAGGGCAATGGGGCCGAGAGGACAGTGAGGTGCGATGGCGACATCATAAGTCTCGGCCAGAGTCGCAATGCGCTTGGTTTCGGAGATTCCACCGGCATGTGCGATGTCGGGCTGCAAGACATCGACGGAGCTGTCCTCGAGGAAACGCTTCACGTCCCACCTGGTGTAGAGACGCTCGCCGAAAGCAATGGGAATGGTGGTGTGGTTGGAAAGCTGCTTGATGGCTTCGGGGTGTTCGCAGAGGAGTGGCTCTTCAATGAATAGAGGCTGGTAGGGCTCGAGAGCTTTGGCAAGCTGCTTGGCCATTGGTCGGTGCAGACGACCGTGGAAATCAAGACCGGCATCCAAGCCGAGTGCCTTGACTTGCTTGAGACGCTCGACACAGGATTGGAGGACGGAGGGGGAGTCGAGCCAGTTCACGTCTTCAGTGGCATTCATCTTGATGCACTTAAGCCCTTGGGCAATACGTGCCTTACTATTTGGTGTTAGAACAGACTTGGTGTATTTTCTTCAGTGATATAGTACTCACGCAGCAGCTTCGACATCGCTTGGCCGGTCGCCACCAATCCATGCATACACCTGCACCTTGTTGCGCACCTTGCCACCCAGCAGCTGGTAGATGGGGACGCCCAGTCGACGACCCTTTAGATCCCACAGCGCGATGTCAATGCCCGACATGGCGGACATGAAAACGGGACCGCCGCGGTAGAATCCCAATCGCCACATCAGCTGCCAGATGTGCTCGATGTCACTGGTTCGGGAGTGTTAGCGAACGACCACAGGTCAGACTTCCGACAACAAGGAGATGCGACTTACTCTGCTTCCAAGCCGATGAGACGCGAGATGATCTCGTCCAGGGCGCCCTCCACAGCCAGTGAGTGGCCCTCGAGAGTGCCTTCACCCCAGCCAAATTTGCCCTCTTCATCTGTGACCTTGACAAATAGCCAGCGCGGCTTGACCCGGAAGTATTCGATAGACTTGATCTTGGCCATGGTGGTTCACGATGGTTTAAAGTGGGAGGATGAGGATGGGAGAGACGCGACCGCGGGGCAGCTGGCCAGTATATGAGTCGCGACACAGCTCTCCTCCATGGCATCCCACTCGCTCAGCTGCATCCCACGCGGGGGCAGCGTGGGAGTTGTTTCGGCTTGGAGACGCGAAGAGCCGTCGCGAAGTTGAGGGGAAATGCGGAGATCCCCCCGGACTTCCCCCGAATCGCCCCACGCGTGTCTTTAGGTGTTATTGGTGGAAGAATCCCCAGGGAGCGACAGGAATGAGGTGGAGAACAGCTAGCCAAGTTGTTGTTATGGGCTGGTGAGCTCCGTGGCATCGTCATCGCGTGGGGGGCGCATTTCACAGGTGTTGAGGTGGAAGTGTATACGATGGAACTATAGGGAGTATACTACTCAGAACAATCGATATGAGCGATATAAATGTTGGACAATCCTTAATTGGAGCGTTCTGCTTGCATCTACTTGCATTGAGCTGAATCAATACAAGTACCGGAAATTCATGTTTTCCTTGTCCGTCAAGTCGCTAAACGCCGTGCGATCGAGCTCGAGCTGCCGCATGTAGTCTGCATCGCCGCCAGGAACAATGTCCTGCATCCGATCACGACGACGGTTCTCCCATGCGAGACACGCCCCGAGGAAGAGAATCAAGCCAATTTCGACAAAGTTCGCAACGATCATGGACCAGATTCCCAGAGAGTAGCCGGGGGCTTGGTCCGCTTTGTAGAAGAAGGGGCCAGCGATGTTGCCAGCGCAGACGCCCAGGAAGATCATGGCGTTGGTGATCACCTTTTTAGTATGACCGGCAATATTACCAGTCAGAATCGATAGAATGATCACGAACGAGGCATTGTATGATCCCGTCAGGTAATAGCAGATCAGTCGGCCGACCTGATTGGATTGGGGCACGTAGCAGAGACCGAAAGACCCGGCTAGATTGGGCAGTAAAAAGACCACGGCCACGATGCACCGATTGTTGCGGGGGAGTCGGTCGTTGATGAAGACGGCTGCCAAAATCATGATTGCAATAAAGGCGCCGTAGGGAATTTGCATGAGCGTGGTAACCACTAGAAGGATTGTCAGCGGCGTTCGGACGTTGAGAGGTTGGGCACGTACAGGTACTGAATCCAAATCCCTTGATGATCAGAGTTCCAAAATTCGAGATCCCTCCATTAGGGATATTTCCCGAAAAGCCCAACAGAAAGAAGGTCCACACCTTCCAGTCCAAAAAGGCCTCGAGGATCTGCCGCGGCTTGAGGGTCCTGTTCTCGATACCGGTTTGGTTGTCACGGAGGCGCTCAACCGCCAGTCGTTTCTCACGGTCGGATAGCTGCGGTGCTGTCACTGGGGAGTCAGGCAGAAAAATGATCATAACAATGCCCCACGCAGAGCAGAGAGCGCCGATGATCAGGAATTCATATTTCCACGAAGCGAGAGCGCCCTTGATCTGCCCAATGCCATAGCCGAGGAGGCCACCGACGGCAATACCGAAGCCATTGGCCGTATACCAGAGGCCAATACGAATGGGCTGCTGGCGACGAGTATACCACATACTCGTAATGAGCATGAACGCAGGGTCGCTATAGACATTCATTAGTATTTTTGTTCTATGCCTTCGAAAAAGTTGAACTTACCTGCATGCTTCGGCAGCACCTGAAATGACGCGAAGGACGGCTAGTTGCGTGAAATTCTTTGCAGCAGCTGGAATTGTTAGAAGGAAGGTAATCAGGAGAGTGGTTTGGAAGGAATCGCGTACCCTGAAGCATCAGAAAGAATCCCCAGAGGAAAATGTTGATACCCAAGTATTTACCGATTGGAAATCGTTGCATGAGGAGATTGGTTGGAAGCGACCAGACGAGGAAGCCAAAGTAGAACACACTCGACAGCCAGGAATATTCGGTACCAGATAGATTCAAATCCTCTTCAATGCCAAATATGGCCGCATAGGAGAGCGTCGTTTTGTCGATCTAGTCATCACAATTGCTTGTTAACTTCCTGCATGACCGAAATAGAAGGCTAACGGTAACATACATAGTAGAATGCATAGCAAACAGCCAGGAAGGGCAAGATCATACAATCGATCTTCCGAACTAGGCGCTTCTCCTCGCCTGGCTCAAAGGACTCGTGCATGTCCTCGAGATTTTCGAACAGCGCCAGCGCCGCGTCGCCATTGTGGATTTTGCCGGTGTCGGTGCCTTCGACATGCATCGCGGCGGGTTTGGGGGCGGCGTTCTGCTGGTCAGTCATTGCATATACTGGGTGAGCGAAATGGTACAGTCTCCCAGTGTGCAGGAGTGTCAAAGTAGGCAATCCGGGGCGAGGAGATATATCAGGCCGCTCCGCTCTTCTCCGCGTGGGGGACTCGGCTTCACCCCGGATTCCCCGCCAGCCCCAGCTGGAGACCGACGATCAGGCTAGAAGTGGATTACAGCTCATCCCAAGCAACCCCAGCGCCTGCAGGGTCGGATTGGGGGTTGTCGGGCGAGAAGTGCACCCCCACGCCTCCACTCGACGCGGGGATCGCCTCGGGCTGGCGCGGTCTAGTACTTTTACAGCGTCATCCGCGTCAAGCAGGACTGCCCAGGACAGAACCACAGACGAGATGGCGGTGACACGCGCTCAGATTCAGCAGCATAACAGCCGCCAGTCCTGCTGGGTTGTCATCCACGGGGCCGTGTACGATGTGACGGGTTCGTCTATCCCATTTCGTGAGATGCGTGGAAGCCCGTGCTAACAGATCCTAGAATTCCTGGACGAGCACCCCGGTGGCGCAAAGGTGATTTTGCGATGCGCTGGAAGAGATGCGACCAGCGATTTCGACTCCGTACACTCGCCCGAGCTGCTCGCAGAGGCACTGCCAGAATCCGCGCTACGTGGGCACATTAATGCGGCTGAGCTGGCAGAGTGTGCGGAAGCAAAAAGCGAGACGAAGACCAGCAATCACCCATCACAGACAGAAAATAATGGTCCGCCACCGCTGAATACGTTGATCAACCTGCACGACTTTGAGCAGGTCGCTCAGCGTTACCTGACCCCCAATGCCTGGGCCTACTATGCCTCAGCTGCCGACGACGAGATAAGCAAGCGGAATAACGCAAAGGCGTACCATAAGGTCTCTCTTCGACCTCGCATCCTCAAAAGTGTTCATAGTGTGGATACTGCGACGTCCATCCTGGGTCATCGAGTCGCCCTGCCTGTGTACATGTCGCCCGTGGGTATCGCCAAGTATGCGCATCCCGACGGCGAATGCGCACTTGCCGCAGCGGCGGGAAAGGAAGGGCTGGCACAGGTACTTGCCAACGGCTCCAGTATGTCGGTCGAAAAGGTTCGAGCGAGTCGCGTTACCGAAGATCAACCACTCTTTTTCCAGCTGTATGTCAATCGGGACATTTCCAAGTCAGTCGAAGCCGTCAAACGAGCAGTCCAAGCCGGTGCCCGAGGTATCTGGATTACGGTGGACTCACCTGTGGTGGGCAAGCGCGAAATGGACGAGAGGATGAACCTCGATGTGGCTGCCACCGATAGCAATGCCCAAGGCGAAGGCGTGGCGAAGATCATGGCCAGCTCGATCTCCCCGTTCATCGATTGGGAGATTCTCTCGTGGCTACGGGATCTGACGGATCTTCCGGTAGTAATTAAGGGGGTTCAATGTGTGGAGGATGCGGTTCTTGCCTATGAGCATGGGGTTCAAGGCATTGTGTTGTCCAACCATGGCGGCCGCTCTCAAGATACGTGAGTGCACGCTTTCTCCACCAGGAGGAATAAGCTACTGACACACACCAGAGCACAATCTCCCCTTCTGACTCTATTGGAGATCCGCAGATTTGCACCACACCTCCTCGACGGGAAGATGCAAATCTTTATCGACGGCGGCATTCGCCGAGGCACCGATGTTCTCAAGGCTCTTGCCCTAGGGGCTACGGCCGTCGGCCTCGGACGGCCATTCCTATACAGCTTGTCGTCGGGGTACGGAGAACACGGTGTACGTCGGATGGTTCAGATTCTACGACAGGAGATCGAGGCCAATATGACCTTTTTGGGCGCCACCAGCTTGAAGGAGCTGCGCCCGGAAATGCTCAATACGAGTCGACTGGAGCGGGATCTTGTTGGAAGTGTGAAGCTGTAACAGATATCTAGGAATACATTTAACATTCGTCATAAAAGTGTTGACATAATTTACCACTACTATATTCTGGTATACTGCTAGTAGTTGGTTACTGCCCTAGTTAAAAACTACCCCCGGGTACTCTATGCAATGCCCCCACGCGGACGAGGGCCGACCCCCGCGGCCCCGCGAGAAGCGGGCGGTGGCGCCGTGGGGTGCTCGCCTGGCGGGGAAGCCGTCGATTAAACCCCGGCGTTCTCATCGTCAATCGTTGCTCTTGATCAAATTCACAGTGACCCTCTCCGGCAGCATGTCAGACCACCAGGTTGATGTTCTTCTGTATGGGCTCGGAGCGTGAGTCAACCCCATCCATCATTTCCGACTGCGCCAGCGGCTTAACACCCCGCGCAGGATCGGCTCCTTCTATGCCTTCATCCTCCATCGCACCGGGCGTGTGAGACTGACGGTGGTCGCGCGATCCAACTACGAGGCCGTGAAGGCGAATGTGAGCTCCGATGGCCTCTCAGCGTGCAAGCACTTCAAAAATACTAAAAATTAGGCAAGGGAATCACCATCAACAGCGAAAATCATGGGCAACACACATTCCGCCCGTATAATGGTAAGAACCGACGCCCATCCGATATGATGAACTGCGCTCAATCTCAATCCCATCAGTGGTGAAATCTCCTGCCGAGGCAGGGCCCGTCGACTACGTCGTGTGCGCACACAAAGCCATTGACCAGGAGGACGTGTCCGCGAAGCTGGCTCCGGTGGTGGATCAGGCCCGGACAACGATTGTCATCATCCAGAATGGCGTTGGGAATGAGGAGGCATTCCGCAAACAGTTCCCAAAGAACTCTATTTTGAGCTGTGTGGTAAGACAAGTACCTCTCCGACGCCAGTTCGATGCAATGGCTAACGCCCTACGCCCTATAGACCTGGGTGGGCGCAATCCAAAATAGCCCCGGTATCGTCAAGCACACCAAGTCGGAAGACATGCAGATTGGCCTTTTCCCAAACCCCCAGGTAGAAAACGCGACCGAGAATCAGCGCCTTTTTACCTTTGTGGAGCTCCTCAAGCAGGGTGAGACCCGATTTACCGTGCTCGAGGACATCCAGCGCCAGCGATGGGAAAAGGTGGTTTGGAACGCGGCCTGGAATTCGCTGACGGCATTAACTATGGTCGACACCCAAACCTGGCTACACTCCTCGCCCGATGCGGAGCCCTATACCCGGCGATTGATGCGCGAGGTAATCCAAATCGCCCGTGGCTGCGGCGTGCCCTTGGCCGATGAGCTGGTGGACCAGTTGATGGATCGCATTAATGCGATGCCTGGCATTGGCAGCAGCATGCAGACGGATTGCAAGAACGGACGGCCGATGGAGATTGATGTCATTCTTGGGTTTCCGGTGCGCAAGTCGCGCGAGCTGGGCATCCCAGCGCCGTACCTGGAGAGTCTATATGTGATTCTGCGCGCGGTCGATGGCCGCATCCGCGCGGCATTGTAGTTCACATGCGATGTACATAGCAACCCCCAACCTGCACATATCCTCGGCCGCATGAATGGAATGTATTTCCACCAATAACCATCTGCTGCAATGCATGATCAACTTGTCGGTTACTGCTTCGAGAGATAGTGAGACTCCCCCACGCCTGGCAATCCCACGCGGCCTTGCAGTGTGCCGGTGAAGGCGCGGAACAGGGGCCGTTTAGCAGCTCGGTCGGTATCTCCCCGGACGATCAACTCCCCCGCCCGGGATCGCTACCCCATACAGTTGTACAGTTGTCTTCTGGGGAATGCTATCATCGCGCCTGAAATATGGTAAGATGGATACTCCGGGGAGAGCGCTGCTGCCCCCACCTGGAAAGCTTGATCTGGTGATCCGATGATGTTTGGCTCGAGACAGGGTAGTGGCGGTATATAAAGCACAGAGCACGTTTTCCTTCTCTGTACTCTTGAATCACCCCGGTTGATCAAAAGTCCACCAAAATACCTGCGATTGACAGAGACACGCTATGGTATACCTAGGGCTCTCGGGGCAAGGCCTTATGACAGGAATTTCCTGTTCTACGGGCATGGGCTTTGTTATCTTCGGTGCGTGTCTGCTCTCGCCAACCCTATACCCAGGTCCACGGGTACCTTTTATGAAAGCTGCTGACACGCTTCAGGATACGACGATGGTGTCATTGGCGGGCTCCTCACAGCCGATGCCTTCAAAGAGACCTTCCACCTCAGTTCCTCGATGGAAGGGACCGTAACCGCCCTTTTTGTCATCGGCTGTTTGTTCGGCTGTCTGGGAACCAGCTTCTGCGGCGGTCGCTGGGGCCGACTCCTCATCGCACAAGTCGGATCGGGAATCCTGAGCATTGGTGCCGTCCTTCAAGCGTCGAGTTATACCACGGCCCAGCTAATTGTCGGGCGAATCGTCGCCGGGGTTGGTCTTGGGTTAATCTCCAGCAACCTGGCCGTGTGGCAGTCCGAGTTGGCAACGCGAAATACCAGAGGTACGCTGATGGCGATATCGCTGACCTTTCTGATTTTGGGCCAGGTGCTGGCGTACTGGATTGACTATGGCCTCTCCACCTATGAGAGTAGCGTTTCCTGGCGCTTTCCCATGGCTTTTCAGGCGTTGTTGGGGATCACGCTGAACGTAATGCTTCTTTTTATGCCAGAATGTAAGAATCCCATCGCTCTCACCTATTATCGGTACGTACTAATACTTACTCGACAATAGCTCCTCGGTGGCTGTTTCAGCATGGCCGACAACAAGAGGGAATTGATATTCTCCGACTTCTTCGCTCGTCAAATGGGAACGTGGATGAGGCCGCCATGACCACCACAGTGGCGGAAATTCAAGATGCTTTGGCTCTCGAAAGCGAGCAAAAGGGGTGGAAAGATCTTCTCAAAGATGATCATGTCCGTTCCAGGCGGAGAGTATTCCTCGCGTGTCTTTTGAATGCTTGTCAAGCATGGAGCGGCAGCACTCCGATCAGCTACTACACAACAGTAATGTAAGAAGTCGCATCCACTACCCGTCAAATCATTCTGACAGACCCAGCTTCGAGAACTCAGTCGGCTTTGATCGTCATTTTGCCCTTCTGATGTCCGGCTTCTTGCAGATCTGGTTTCTCATCGCCTCGTTCGGGACCTGGTACAGCATCGAGAAACTTGGTCGGCGCAGGTCCTTCATTACCTCTGCCATCGGCATGGCGTCTGTGATGGCGATTATGGCGGCAATGCTGGCGATTGATACTCATATCTCGGGCATCGTTGCGGCCGTCATGCTGTTTGCATACCAGGCCTTTTACACCTGGGGGTTCATGGGTGGAATCTGGGTAAGTCTGGCCATGACGACAGGCAGATCTAATGCTAACGTTCAGTGCCTCATCAGTGCTATGGACCTGAGGTCCTGCCGTTGGCACATCGTTCGAAAGGCATTGGCCTGGCCACGGCTTTTCTATGGCTTTCTACTTTCGTTGTCATTGAGATTGTCCCTGTCGCCATTGACAACATTGGATGGCGCACGTACATCATTTTTGCGGTCTTCAACCTCGCTTTCGTGCCCATGATCTATTTCCTCTATCCAGAGACAGCCGGGTTCAGTCTCGAGGCGGTAGATCTGACTTTCATGGATCGTACCAAATCCCCGGTGAAAAAGGCGGATGAGTTATGGAAGTCGATTCGTCGCGGCCAGCAAGTGACGTTGACAGAAGAGGTGGACCAAAAGGCCGAACGCCCGCATGTTACTCACGTTGAAGCTGCTTGAGTGTTTGGGGTTTCCCATGGCTACTTATTCTTGGAAGTATCTGTCCAAATGCGCATTCATCAAGTCATTCTCATTCAAATCTCAGAGAAACTACTCCTACATTTATGGGTAAAAAGAGCAAATCGTGTGCAATACTAGTTCATCAAATTCGTGTTCCTTACTATTTGATACTACCGGTGGTGTTATTCTTCCAATACCCAGCGCCCGATGCAACAAGACACGAAATGAAGACCCGCTTCAGTTGTCGGATGCTGATGCCAATGGTAGTCTCTATCCAAGACGCCAAATGCTATCTAAAATCACTCACAAACGCCAGTCCAAAAAGGTGCCCTTTACAAGTTGTGGTATCCAGTTATCCCAAATCAAGTCCCAAATACAAAAAGAAATTAACAGAAAAATCAGTTCATATCGTCTTCACATGGCACCAACGCAAATGTGTTTTCGGTGCATTAATTTTGCCTTCGTGACTGCAGCCCCGTCAGCTCCCGCAGCTGAATTGATGTAGTCTTGTTGGCCTCTGGCTCAGGCGGGGGTTCAGGCGTGGGCGCTGCTGGATCCGCCGGTTTGGGCTCTTCATCCACTGCAAATCGCCAGCGCCCATCGTGCCCCATGAACATGCGGAATCCGTATCGCTTGTTTAGAACAGCCAGGTGATCTCGGCGTTGCGTGCTATTCCAGTGGTGTGTGTCGCCAAAGTCGCTGAGCATGCGACTATGTGCAATCCAAGGGATGATTGCGCCAATGGACCGTGGCATCCGCGGACCTCGGAAGCGTCCTCGGCGGGTTCCGAAGACAACGAGAACGACCAGCGTGTCAAATGCGATGATGATGAGGGCGATGGCGAGGGATGGCACAGACGGCTGCATGGCCCAAGTACTTCGCATGATAGTGCCATTCGTTGCTTGAACCGGCTCGTAGAGTGGTTCGAGGTACAGATCACGCCAAATGGAGAAGTATGTACAATAGACCCACTGATATACCGTCTGGGTAAGATCGGTCAAGCGAACCGGGTCGAGAGAATTGAAGTCGGGATCGGCGCGCTGATACAGCCGGGCGATCAGGAACCCTGCCCAGTCGTACGAGGAGATGTTGTAGGTCCCATTGTTAGAGGTACTATTGCCCACGTAGCTCTCCGGGATAGCGGCAAACACCTTGTTGAATTGGCCCAAACTGACAGTGGCGTTGTCGAACATAGTGCCGTTGAGAATGGCACTGCCTGCAACCCGGTCATTCCAGTCAACCTGGCCCTTCGAGTCAAATGTGACGGAATAATCCTGCAACCGGACCTGTGGCTCGCAGTGCAAGGCGATGGTGTTGTTGTCGGTGACTGTGCTATTGGGCATGTAGTCCCAACGCCCCACGACGAGAACAGTAGATGTTTGACAGATATCGGATTCACTGACATCGCTCGGCGACAAGAAGTGGATGGAGAGGGATATGCCCTCGTCCTTGCTTTGCAAGTTGGGCATACCGGCGACGCATTCCACCGACTTGTTGTCGAACAATTCGTACTTCCAATAACTGTGGCCGGTTGTCTTATTATGAACCAATCCTTTCTCCGGAGATAGGGTCTGGCACTCTAGGGACGCGCCAACGCCTCTAGTGTTTGCTCCGTACAAGGCATCGGGATCGCGGTTGTGGATGTGGAGGGGCACGAAGGATTCATTGGGACTCGTCCAAGGCAACATGGGAACGCCACTCATGATGCTCGTTTGAATCAGGTCATATTCGGTGAACTCGGCGGCAAAGTCGTTCCGCCAAAAGATGGAGGAACTGTAGTTCATGGTCAAATCCTCGGTCGACATGACCGACGTTGTCATCTCCTGCATGAAAAGACCACCCGCCACGACCGTCAGGACCATGTTGATGACACAGGCCAGAGATACCAGGCCCAATAGGACATGTCGATCTCGAGCAGCCTTGAAGAAAATGGCGAAGGGGCTCTGCGAGGAGTAATTCAACGACAAGGAGGATCGTGCGGACGCCATCCCGCGTTGTAGATGAACCCAAGGCTCCAGGACGCTGAGGTTCCGATGGATCGAGGTACACAAGGAACTCACGGACGAGGCAACCACCGAGGGCAGAAAAGAGAGGACAACTTGCAGCGAGCTCGAGTCAGACTGAGTCAAGTGGCGGAAGCGGCCATCTCGAGCGAGAGATTGAACCACCAGTGCCATGAGGATTATAACAGCCGCCAGGGCGAGAAATTCGACAATAAAGAAGGGAATGACAAGGAAATGAGGCATAGGGTCGTTATGGGTTCGTAGGTTTTCACCGAGCTGGACTGGCGAGCCATCCTCTGCGAGAATCTCCAATCGATCTCCAGATGGACCTGGGCGCCAGTAGCATCGGGCGTTCTTGAAGATGCGTCGCATCTGACGGGTTGAAAACTGATGGAATTCGGCGTGAGGTTCGGAGAGGATGTTATTGGGGTGGAAGATGTCGGCGGCAATACTGCACATGGCACCGATAGAGCCGGGGTCGCTCTGAAGGAAGGTTTCGCGGGAACGGTAGAGAAAAAGAAGGTATACAGCCGTCAGAGCAGCGAGACCCAGGATGAGCTCGGACCAGACGGCCGCGAAGGTGACGATGGCGATGGCGACTTGCGTGGTACTGCGGATAGCCGGAATGATGGTAGGAGCATGATCCGGGTCAAACAAGCGGCCCAGTGTCAGGATAAAAGTCTGCTTCACATCCCGCGTGATCTTCGAAGTGAACTCTGCCCGTGTCATGATCGACGAGGTATCCAGCACCAGCAGTGGTTGCAAGTCACCGAGTTCCTCGCTGATGACAGGCAGTTCAGTCACCGTCCGGCCACCATCCGTGGCATTCTCGCGGATGAAGATCATGTCACTGGTATACGGAGCGCGTTGCGAGAGGAGGGCCTGGAAGTGTTCGGTGTTGAATTCCCTTGCAGTCAACGTGCGAGTCGAGGCATGGTGCAAACGAATTGACTCGATGGAGCTGTTGGCGTGCATGGCGACGCGGGCCTGGGCTTTGTGATAGCTGATATCGCAGGCAAAAGCGATCCCGCTGGCCGAATACTCCTTGTGGGTCGAGTTTTGAGAGGATTGGTTGGTCGCGTTGACGGAAATCAGCATGCCATACAAGTCGTACGGGTCGCAACCATTAGCCGTGAATGCTTTGGTGGTGTTGGGGTACTCGGCTTCGGCAGTCGCATCAATGACGGGCTCCCAGTAGCGGACCTGGAGGTAATCGGTTTCGGGGAAGAAGACGTTATCATAGTGAAAGTCCAGCTCGCACTCCTTCGCACTGCCATACGTGTCTGACAAGTCGATGCCCGAGGCATCCCATGACACTCGGGGAAACCCATCGTCAGGGTCGTCAATGGCCACGGTCAGTTTCTTGTCCACCGCCACATCCTGGCACGAAACCTGCGCCCAGTACAGAGCTTGATCCAGTTTCCACAGCACATCGCCGTCTTGATCGTCCTTGGGAATCTCGACGGGCGCGACCGCATATTCGCTGGAGCGGGACCGGCGCAGTTGTTCGTCAGAAGAGAGCACGGAGTCGACGGTGTTGTTGGCCTGGGTGGACATCCAGTTGGCTTGCGTTTCTAAGTCGACCAGCGTCGGCCAGCTTTTCATATCCTCATGCTGGATCACCTTCACCTCTCGCAACTCCAGGATGGTACTCTGCAGGGCCGGCAGGATCATGCGAATCGAGAGGGTCAGCATGGAGACCCACAGGACGACCCAATGGTGGCGGCGGGCGGCATTGATCGGGGTCAGGATGGTCTGGCCGAAGTTGTAGTTGATGAAGAGCACGCTGGCCGGGGCGCCCCCGGGCATCGACAACTGGAAATAAGGCTCGAGGCGGAGGACATCGAAGTCGGTGACGGACCAGAAAACGAGGAGGATCAGGGCGATGATGATGGGGACGTAGTTGTAAGCGAACGACTGGACGGCGGAGACATCGTCGGTGTCGGCGAAAAAGACCAAGCCGCCCTGCCGGTCGCTATACTGGCGCAGCCCCTCGAGCAGGAGGAGCATAGTCACCATCAAGCAGACCAGGGACGCAAGGTAGGGCGGGCGCAGGGCGAGCGGCCGCCAGCCCTGACGCTGCCGGTTGGCGGGCGCCAGAAAGGGTGCGATGAACGCTGCGAGGGGGGAGGGGGCCGGGTTAGCATGGCGAACCGGACGAACTGGCTACTCTGCCGCATCGGAGAATTCTATTCTGTAGGCTCTTCTGCAGGGCTCGCCGACGAGCGCTAGACTTCACGAAGGGGACTCACCAGCCCATTGAGCGCGGAGACCCAGCCCCCGCCGCTGGTCTCCGTCGACGGACATGCTGACCGGCGGAAGTGGTGCGCGGAGGAAGTGGTCAGGGGCATTGCCGGATCATGAAGATGAAAAGGATAGCAGGGCAGATCGTCGAGGCCAAGAAATCTCGGACGACATGACGTCGGGAGGGAAGTTGCAAGAGCTGAGGGCGAAATTGGGACGCGCGGTCGCGTGGGGCGAGCTGCCGGCTTGGCTGGTCTTGACTTGCACTACACAGAGTATATTGTAGTTTTTAAGGTGACCTGTATTGTGTATTCCTCCCATTATGTGTAATGCAGGTATTATCCTGCTGACTATTCTCCTCCCTGACTACTAACTACTCAAGTATGTACACAAACTACCTGCAGTGCGCGAACCCTGGAAAAACTGGGCAGTGCCTGAACCGCCGATGAAAGGCTTGGCGCTCGCCCGTGGTTTCCTCCCGTCCACCCCATTCTTGTTTCCCGGTACTTCCCTCTCTCTCAACCACACTGCACTACCGCATCTCCTTGTTGTCGCCCACCCGCTCCGTCGTGCTGACCGTCGGCCTCGACTCCGGCTCGCGCGCCTTGGCCGTCTCCAGGTCACCGTGCTCCAATGCCACCGTGCGGCTGGTGATCACCCGTGTCTTCCAGGCCGGCGTGCCCAAGTATTTGAAACCGTTGGGGTCCTCGAACATGGCCTCCGTCTCCTCCAGGGTCTTGCCAGCGGTCTCCGGGAACATGAAGAAGACGTGGATGAACATGGCCGCGTTGAACACTCCAAACAAGACATATGTGCGCCAGGTGATGTTCTCAAAAGCCGGCGGGGTGAAGAGTCCCAGCGCCGTGTTGAAGGCCCAGTTACCGGAAGTCGACATGGACACACCCTTGGATCGCAGACGCAGAGGGTACAGCTCGGGCGGGTAGGTCCAGGACACAGGGCCCCAGGTAGGTGCGTAGGAAGCTACGAACAGATAGGTGCACGCAATCAGTCCCTTCGCCGCGGAGCCCGTCAGACTCATGGACTGCTCGGGTGTCGTCCGCTCATCCATGGGCAGAATGCGGGCATGGGCGCCGAGAATGCCGGCATTGGCGAACATGAAGCAGCACATCAACAACGCACCGACTAGCATAGTGTTGCGGCGACCCCAGCGATCCTGCCAGATCAGGGCGGGGAGAGTCATCACGACGTTAATGATATACTGGATGGACGAAGCGAGCAGATTGGCATTGCCCGAATAGCCCGCCATGCCAAAGACATATCCGATATAGTACACTAGAGACACTGATCAGTACACCACTCACAATATAGTGGAACAGCAGAGAGGCGTGGGGGTACGGACTCATGACATTCATGCCGGTCAGCTGCGACCAAATTTGCGTAAACAGGCCAACCATGGTGCGGTTCAGCATCTTGGGCTTGAAGAGATCCAAGTATCCGGCGTCCTTGAAAGTCCGCTCCAGCTCGCACATCTCACGGATATCCTGCAGCTCGAAGGCGACAAAGGCGTGGTTGCGATCTCCCTTCGCGTGCACCAGAGCCAAGACTTCGTGGGCCTCCTCCCAGCGGTCCTTGCGGGCCAACCAACGGGGCGATTCAGGCAGGAACGTCATGGCGAAGAAGAGGAGGATGGCCGGGATCATCTGCAGACCCCAGGGAACGCGCCAGGAGGCCGCGCTCCAGTTGTCGGAGTCGCGGCCTCCAATGAAGGAGCAACCGTACGAGATACTACGATGGTCAGCCGCTGCCATCTCTCTTTCCGGACCACTGATGGAAAAGATAGAGGACATACTAGTACATGATCAAGATACCCCAGGTAATGGCCCACTGCTGCAGACCCACAAAACGACCACGCTTAGAGGGTGGAGACAATTCCGAGATATAGACAGGGACCTGAGCGGATTCGATACCAACAGCGAGACCGTTGATTATTCGACCGACAATGAGCATACCGATGTTTTGCGAGGCGCAGATGAGGGTGGAGCCGACAATCCTGGCCATCACATATTAGCCTTGAGTCGTGTCGAGTGGTCCGATTCAAGTGTTCTCTCTGGGAGAGGACTTACCAAATCACGCAACCAGTCATGATTGCATACTTACGGCCCAGATGGTCCGACACAAAACCAGAGATCAGGGCCCCCAGCCAGGAGCCTGCGGCCATCGAGGCGGTGATACCACCCTGAACGAGCGAGTGCGGACCACTGCAGTCGGCACCATCGTTGGTGAAGGGCGGGCCATTAGGGCCCTGGTTGAAGTAACAGTTGTAGGAGTTCTCGCTCAGCTGCGCCGACAGGGACGCAATGTCGAAGCCGAACAGACCGCCGCCGACCACAGCGACGGACGCAATCACGTAGATGTTGCCGATGAGCACCATGATGGACCAGAGCAGACCACGGCAGACAGTAGCATGTACCGCATAAGCGAGAACGCGGGATCAAGGGGGGAGGGGGTGGAGGAAGGGCGTGCCGCAGGAGGTTATATACATCGCCGGCCGAGGGGCTGCTGGCCACGATCCGTGTTCCGGAGGGCGTGCGCAACCTCCCGGGGGTCTAGTTTGGAAGCCATGTCGCATCGGCCGCGAGTGGTCGAATGGACGAGGGCGAGCTCGCTGGCCGTCTCCAGTTTTCTGGTGACGAGGCCGGCCAATTGCGCGCGTGGCTCTCGCGTGGCCCCCATGGGGAAATGCGACCCACCCCTCCCCAGACGGCCGCGCGTGGCAGACCCTACGGGTTTCTTCTTTCTATCTGCTCCTTTTCGAGTAAATTGTTGCTCTGGGTCATTTTTATGTGTTCTCGTACTTACATCGCGGCCCGATGTAGTTGCGAGCCATGGCAAAGCTTGGAAAGCTTGGCTGGTGGCGTCCGGCTGCTGGTGCTTCTCCCGTCAGGCAAGACCAACTGGGCGACCCCCTAATCCGCTCACGGCGTAGGACGCATCCACGCGAGGCGGCCAGTGCCCGCTGGACCAGCCGCCAAAGCCTTGCATCCTCCGTGCAGCCCTGGTCTAGCGCCGTGCTGGCTGCCTGTCCTCCAATCCCCGCGGAGGGTGGCGGACGGGTGTGACGCGCGAAAAGCGATCGATCGACGCCCAAAAAAAGTCAGCCGTCGGCATAAATCAGGCCGAGAGCTGCTCGAACCGTGGGTAAACAGAGGCACCCTGCGCCATAGGCTGGCAAGTCAGGATTTTGCCTTGTTGACTCCGCAGCAGCCAGGGGAGAAAGAGTCACCTGTCACGGGGAAAGAGTCATCGACTTCGCGGGGATAGCGGGGAATCGCGATGAACCAATCCGGCTAGGAAGATGCAGGCCGTCGATAGATCGAGAGGAACAGTGCACGCAAGACACCCTCGGAGCTTGCATCCGTCAGCAGGGCCAACACTGGGCATCCCAGCAGAGACTGGCCGGGACCTCCATGCAACCCTGCAATTAACAGGTGGGGCCTGCCATCGGGCTTCTGTCTCAATGTGATTCGGAGTGCTCTGCGATATTTGTCCGATCTGCTCTAGGTTGACAGGTGGTTCCCAGGGTTAGCTCTACAAGGTACCGCGAGGGATATGGCTGTCTCAGAACGTGGACAGACAAGAGGAGAGAGGGTGACAGGAAGGTTTTGCTCAAGGGTCGAGGATCCAGCATGTTCTGAGCAGTTCTGAGCAGGGTTGTTTCCGGACGATGTTCCGGTCTCTCGGTTCGCTTGCAAATTCGGCCGATGCTGGACACGACTCGCTTGGTGCTCTACTCGAATTGACACCACTGGAGAATGGCGATTCAACGCCACAATTACCTCGACAACTCTATCCTAGGGGTGTTCATCGTCTACATTAGCGACTGCAATCAAGTCAGGTGGATCATCACACGGCAGAGGTTCAACTCAGCTGTCGGGGGAGCTGCTGCAAGCCGTGCTGCTGGTGGATTACCGCGGGCATGCAAGGGGTTCTCCCTTTCCCGGCGCTCGACCAGTTCGATCCAGCCTTGGTACATCTAATTCTTGTATTTGGGACGTCTCCATGTTGTGTGCATTGGACCGCACAGCCTTTCAGACCGGTCTAGCGTCGCCTCAAGCCCCGATCGGCCAATCGTGGGCTGTTGTTAGCCTCGGGAGTCTCCAGTGTAGTACCGCGGTGGCTGTTCGCCCGCCCACCGCCATCTGGGGATCGATAGACTGTCGCAGGTGTATATAGAACGCCAATGTATCCTGTTCTGAGTTTTAATACCTTCCCCGGTATGCCGGGTGGATGTGATGGACTTTGCTTTCTCCTGTCTACTACTCGGTCCATAATGTTATTGGCCACATGACATGCCGTCACCTCAACTTTATACTAGGACCCTGCACTATGGCTACTATTCTTTCAGATCAGCGAAGCATGATGCTGCTCGTTGAAGCAGGTATAGCCTCACCTCTCCAGCTCAATGCCAAATACACTCCTCATCGCCTGCTGTGATGGCGCTGTACAGCCGACTCGCATCCGACAGCCGAGGCCCAGCGACGAGTGGATGGATGCAGCTGCGAAGTACAAAGTCCGCGACCCCTCAGCAAACACACCAACCATCTCCCCTCACCTTGGCGATACCCCAGCAATAACGACCACGAAAACACATCGCATCGATTCCATCAGAGGGATTCTCACCATGCAGGCCGTCATTTTCAAAGGACCTCTCCAGGTCGCCCTGGAAGAACGCCCGCGGCCCCAGCTGCAAGAGCCCACCGATGTCATTCTCAAAGTGAGATACACCGCGCTTTGTGGCAGGCAAGTTAGACCTCGTTCACCTCACACGGCACCTTCATCGCGGGGTCCATGGCTGTAGCACTAACTGTAGCATAGTGAGCTGCATGTCTTCCGCGGCCACCAGCCCTCCGGCACCGGCTTCATCATGGGCCACGAATTCACCGGTGAAGTCGTCGAGACCGGCGCCGATGTCAAGTCTTTCAAAGCGGGCGATCGTGTCGTCTCGCCGTTCACAGTGAGCTGCGGATCGTGCTTCTATTGTGAGAGCGGCTTCTCCTCGCGATGCGCCAAGGGCCAGCTCTATGGAAGCGCCATCCTCGATGGCGGACAGGCCGAATACGTGCGGATTCCGCTGGCCGATTCAACACTGTTCCAGGCGCCGGCGGCTATCGATGAAAAGAAGCTCGTATTGATGGCGGACATCTTCCCCACGGGGTACTTTGCGGCCAGCAATGCCTTCCGTTCGCTGGAGCCCAAGGCAATTGCAAACAGTACCGTGCTCCTGTTTGGATGCGGGCCTGTCGGTATTTGCGCACTCGTTAGCGCTTTGGAGTATCGTCCCAAGCATCTGATCGCCATTGACAGTGTCCCGTCACGTCTGCAACTTGCCGAGAGCCTCGGGGCTGAAGCGTGGAACTTTGCGGAGAACGAACAGGGTCTGCGCGATCGAGTCAAGTCCATCACCGACGGCCGCGGTGCGGACGTGGTCATTGAAGTGGTGGGTCATAGCAGTGCGCTCCGCATGGGATTTGAGCTGCTGCGTCCCTGGGGCGTGATGTCGAGTGTAGGAGTTCACAATGGGGAAATTCCCTGGACGGGCAACGAGGCCTATGGCAAGAATCTGCGTCTGCAAATGGGTCGCTGCCCTGTTCGCAGTAAGTGTACCCTGCTATACAAGCATCGGAGGATGAGGGCTGACAATGTACAGGCATCTTTGCGCCGGCCATGGACCTGCTGGCGAAGAAACAGGACACACTCAAGTAGGTTTCTCTCTGCAGCGCCCCGTCTTTTGATCTCTCCCATTTGAGGGTTGTGCTCACAAGGTCCCCAGTTTCATGGCCGAAGACATACGCCCGCTCTCGCAGGCTGTCCAAGCGTAAGTCTAGCCCATTGAGGTTTGGGTTAGCGACTACTGATCCTGAGACGTGCAGGTACGACGACTTTAACCAAATGAAGAGCCAGAAAGTGATTTTCGAGGCGAGTAAATAGGATAACTCTTACTACGGCTGCTATATTGTGAATGAATGACTAAGTTGATGCCATTAAAACATTGTGACATGATCCACCAGTCGTGGATCTATATATCTCAGTAGTCAGCACCACCACACCAGCGGCACCTTGAAATACCGCGGTGCATCATTGCATGTCGATTTGAGTTCAGTGCATCTCGAGTTATGCACAGTATTCCTGGCATGAGCCTGGATGCAATTCCCCACGCAGACTGACCTCACTCCCAATCGCATCGCCCAAATGCGGCCGTCGAGACCGGATGGCGTTCCCACCCAATCGCCGAGTGGATCCTGCGACAATTCCCCATTCAAATTCGAACTTCCCGGTTTGTCGTCCTGTTCCTTTCTACATCCCCTCTCGCACTCAACATAATGTTAGGCAAAGCACTCTTGACACTAGGCACGGCCGCTCTCGCTGCTGCGGAATCATCGGTCGTCTCACTGTTTATTCCCGATGTCGAGGGCACCGCGCTGGTCGCGTCCGTCGTGGCCCAGGTTCGTCCGGACCCCGCTGATCGGCATCGACTCCGCTGACCCTGTGTTTTTGCTGCGATAGAGCGCAGGCATGACAACCTACAGCATCAACTGTCCGTCCGGGACTGATAGCTCGGACTGCGGCGTTGCACCGGGCTTGACCCTGACCTCGGGGTCCAAGACCGTCGAATGGAGCATGAGCGAGCCCGGTGAATTGTACATTGCCCCCTCCATCAGCCCCAGCACTTGAAGTGTGACAATAGATCACAATCAATTGCTAACCCCAAGGGTGTTGGGTTAGCTTTGGTCGCATTGTCTGCGAGATGGGAGGCACCACCACGGCCACCTGCACCGAGACTGACAGCGGGTCGGGGGCCAACTTCCCCGGCACCCACACGATGACTTTCGCCAGCAGCGACATCAGCTCGCTTCCCGTCACCATCACGGCTGGCGCGGCCGCCGGAGCCACCACCGGGGCTTCGGTTGCGACGACGGAGGCCTCGGTCACCTCGGACCGCACGTCGCAGACGTCCACCAACACCGAAGCCACCACCGGGCCCTCCGACTCGGCAAACGATGGCATGTCCTCGGCCACCAGCACGGGAGGCATCGCGCGGATCACCGGGACTCCGGCCCTGGCATTGGGCGGCGCTGCGATCGCACTGGTTGCGGTCGCTCTGTAAGGTGGTATCAATGACCCAAAGGGCTGTTTCGGTCGTCCATATATACTAGTAGTAGGTAATATACTACCGGCATTGTAGAGCATGCTGTAGATAATCATTGCCGAACCCAACAGGGTTTGAATTTCGTACATGCAAATACTTGATCAGATCCATGGATGTAGTGTATCGATTTTATCGTTTCTTGGCGGGCTTGGAATCGGATGCTCGTGAGGTACAATACTGAATTATGCCGTGCAGTGTAGATGTGAGGACGAATTGGCCTCCAAAGTTGACCGTCGACATGCGACTTCGTAGCCTCGCTTACTTACAACATTTACCTTCCTCAAGTTCATCAGCTCGACACATCTGTCGGTCAATACCATGCCCCTCCCCCCTCCGGCCCAATCACTAAAGTCTGGCTGTGCGAGCTAAAAGACCCGCAATCCATAGCATCCCCGGAGCTCCGCCAGCTCGTCGAGGACATTCTCAAGCTGACATCCTCCTACACCAATCCGGAGCCAGGCACCCAAGAGATGTATGCGATATACCCAAGACACCAAACAACCAGCCCAGCTGGTCATGATCACGAGTTACCCCTCGCAAGAGCTCAATACCGAGGCCGTCGGCGTGTACGCCGCGCAGTATCTGCCGCGCATGACTGAATTCGTGAGGTACAAAAGTCCCTGGCAACTCGATCTTGATGTTCGAGATCTGTCTCTCGCAGACACCATTCGCGCGTTCTTTGGAGAGCCGGCAGTTGAATTCGGGCAAGAGAATTGGAAGTTGGGATGTCTGGCCCAGATGGTCCAGGGACAGAAGATAAGAGGCATCGCCGGCGGCGCAGGCGACCAGGAGAGGATCTGGGTGCATTTCGTTGCCTGGCAAGGTCAAAGCGAGGACCATTCGCCGGGGAATGGAGAATTTTGTATCTCAAGAAGTTCATGGGCCGTTGACATGCCTGGTATCGACTGAGGGATGATGTGAGAAGCGTTGCGAAAAAATAAGTCTCGGGGTCTGAGTTTAGTAAAATCATTGTTGAAGTATGCTGTAAATATGATACGAAATAGTTTCGCTGAAATTTGTAAGTTCTTTATTATTCATGAGGGTATCTTGCTCCTGGAGCGGCTCTGAAAGTTCGCGATGCTAGTGACATGTACTCCCGATCATTTCCCATTTTCACAAACAGTATGCTTAAACCAACGACATACGGTGCGGGTTAGCAGTTCCAGCAGTGCCATGCTCCATGATATGACCCTTACTATTCGCCGGCACATTATTGTCGGGCGTGGGGGATGTGGCGCTCTGCGGAGGGCAGGAGTCGGTAAAGGGATTCTGTTTGAACATCATGGAGGATCGCTCTGGGAGGAGGTTGGCGGTAGAGTTGGTTTTGGAATGCGCCAATGGCTCGCTGGACACAGCAGAGGCCTTCAGCAATTCTCTGGCGGCAATCCGTCGCGACTTGGCTCGGTCTCGAGCGCAGTGGATGATGCTGATGCCAAGGAAGAGGGAGATCAGGCAGACACCGAAGATGATGGCGGCGATGTTGCCCTTGTGGTTGTATGCCTTCATCGCCGTGCTCTCCGTGCTGGTCGCAGTTGCGGTGCTGGTGCTCGTGGTCGTGGAGGCAGTACTCGTGGTGGTCGATCCGCTGGTAGTCGACGTGGTAGTCGCAGATGTCGTGGTTGATGATGTGGTAGTTGAAGTGGTAGTCTCTGAAGTGGTCGTTGATGATGTTGTGGACGAAGTGGTTGTCTCCGAAATAGTTGATGTGGTGCTATCAGTGGTAGACATCGTCGAGTCTGTGGTAGTCGCTGTTGTAGCCCGAACAACAATCCTCGCCTTGTCCGAGTCGCTATCGTCCCCATGACGAATTTCCAGGACCTGCAAAATTTCGCCATAGGAACGATCGACCAAGGTCGGGTGGTGGTCGTCCGTCTGCGAGGCCAAATCGGATGGTGGCACCGAATAGGGCTGGCCGAGCACCTGGGCGCATTGTGCGGCCAAAAGGAACAGGATTGACTTTTGCATCCTTGCTATGTCACAGTCGAAACGAATGTTTGTGATGATCTGTAGATAGGGCAAAAGAAGAAAATTTTTCCATTGGAGGGAGGCTCATTATCTAGTGGTTGACTACATGGCGACGACTGAGGGACGCGCCGCCTGCTGGGCAGTAGTCCCACTGTTGGGGTGGCTATTTCCAGACCAGAGGGCCGGACGCTTGTATTGTGCAGGTGCTTCGCCGTATCGCCGGCTAGACGACTGGTTTATTTTTGTAGCACGCGACGCGGACTGGGCCAGTGGTGATCGGTGGGGAGGGCTTTAGTTCGATGGCACACGCAAATGCCGCGCGGCAGGTTCCCACAGGGCTGACTGGTCGAATCACCGAGGGTTGAAGTCTGTGTTCCTTCAGCATCTTGATCGAAGGTTATTTCGATTGCGATTTCTAGGAAGCCAGCTTTGCAACTAGCCAGTCTGCATGACCGTGGTCATCGGGAAGCCGACAAGGCGATGTGGCCGGGATTTGCGGCCAGAAACCTCCTCTCTTTGTCGGCCCCCTGTCGCCGTCGGCCCTGCTGATCGCAATGCAGAGAGCAGGGTCTTGCTGCTAAAGTCATATCCGCAAAAGCCCTCAGCTCTATTGCTATAAACATGGTGGCATGGCAAAGTTTTTTTGGGGAGGGGGGGGGGGGGGGTTGACGATAATGCCAGCAGTCACTAGCGAGAGTCAAGGAGGAGGGAGCCCGCGATGCCTCGGCGAGGGAAAAGTTATTCCCGCCATCGCTCGACATACCCGCGCTCAGCCTCAGTCTTCTTCCTAACACTGTGAAGTCTTCAGTAGCGCCCTGCGTTACTGTGCTATGCACCTCAACGCCCTTCCTGAGGATCGAAATTTGGAAAGACATCACCATTTGGGTTATTGATTGTGGCACTGAATGTTCAGCCTCAACCGCCCCTGAGCCCCACCGGTTGGCGCTTCGCCTGGCTGTCATTGGCTTCACCGTCGTTCGCTAGTCGAGGCGATGGAAATGGAAGGCATCCACCGCAGCTTGGCAGCGAGCTTATTCGTTTTTGGGAGGCTGTCTATCAATCGGCCGTGGCATTTTCAATCCTCAGCGGGCACCTCCCGAGTGATACTAATCAATCATTGGCGCAATGTTTTCATACCTTACTGTTTAATTGTTTTACATGCAATTGGGACTGATATTCAAGGAGGTTACTTACGCCACAGATGACATACTGCAGGGGATCTCCACCGAGAAACGTGAGCAGATATCCTAAGGCACTTCTTAGTCACCTGCCAGTATGGGAGATTTGTGCTACGGCGACAACTCTACTTCAGCGACCTTCAGAGGCATCCCGAGTCAGAAATCAGATGACTGCCAGTTGACCGCTCCGGGGGTGCCACCCATCGCATCGACAAAGATCATCTGGGTCGAATCCTCTGTCCTCTTTTGGCTAGCAGAACTTCAGCAAAACTCCCGAGATCGCTCTCCTGATTGGCGGTTCAATCTATTTGGACAGCAACAGTTTGCACAAATGACGCAATGCGATTCAGGGTAGGTCGGGAGAATGCACCAGTATTTCGTGAGAAGGGGGCGGCTGCGTCACTCCATGATCGATATCTGACGCGGGAGAGGCCAATCGACAGCTCAAGGGCATGATGTTCAGAGGGAGTTCAACATGCAGTCGAGACAGCACGAGTCCGGAGTCCACCGAGCCCCTACATGCCTTTCCACGAGGCACTGACGTCGTGGCGGGCAATTGGACCTGCAAGGCTATCGCGATGGCGGTGCGAGCACCGGCGTAGCTGTTGATGTCAGTTGTACAAGGGGCACTCCCTTCGACGGATCGTGATGTTGTATATAACCAGGCTTGGCGACCAGGTCACGAAGTGATGTTCTCGACTGCACGTTGACAGACGGCGCTACAATATTATTGGCTAAATCTCGATTGCTGAGCAAGTCCTCGTTTTAGTATTCATCCTCTTTCTACCAATTCACCATGCCGATTTTCCACCGCGACTCGATCGCCAGCTCGTCCTCGGGTCGCAGCATCGAGAAACCTCACCAGGCGCACAGCAACCATAAGCTATTTGGCAATCGCTCCTTCCGCTCCTCCGTTTCATCCAGATCCACTCAGTCGTCCAGATCAGGCTCATACAGGCATGGTAGTCGCCGTCATACTAGTCTTCTCCATCGCACACCCGAAGTCCCATCCATCCAGGCGGCCCGCGAACAGGTTTTTTTTCCGAGCAGAAACCGCGGAACAAGAGGCCGACAAGGCCCTGATGGCGTCCAAGATTGCCGTAAAGGAAGCGAGGGATCATGTGAAGAACATTGAGCGTGAAGCGGCCGAGGAGTGTATACCTATGATCTTCAGATGAGGACACCCCCGAGCTGCCAGTGGCCGTGGGTGGGCGATCATATGTCAACGGTCTAGCCGGGTGCCTACCGCAGAGCCTGACTGGCCAAGATCAAACAGGACCAAGCCAAGTCCATCTCGAAGAGAGCCAAGCCACTTGGGCGTAAGCGCTAACCTTGGCTGGGGCAAATCAAAGGCCGCACTGACAGCCGCGTGTACCTAGGTCATCACTAATGCGGGGATGGTCACACATAACCGCCGGGCGGATGGAGTGCATATGATCAACGCGCAATGTCTCGATTCAGTCCATGCCAGTGTCAACCACGTGTATTATACTCTACCCTTATTGTTAAGCTGTGGTTGATCTTGATTAACTGTGGCTTCTGCTTGACTTTGGTTCTTGTGATGATATTTGCGGAGCCTTGCTGAGGTGTCGTCGTCGATTCAAATACACTAAACGGTGATTTATTTTTACTCTATTCAGTCATGCCATGCCCTGACATCATCGAGTTCCTTTCGTATTAAAAAAACTATTCTCATCATTTGCGACATCACGCTCGCAGAATATTCTACGTGCGCGTGGGTTACATTCGGAACGTTACCCCATAACCGGCTGATAGGACGGATTTTCCGCTAGTCTCTGATGTCACGGCAAGGGATCTCGTGCCGTTGCCACTATACAGTGTAGGAGGATCCCGATGGTCGTTGGGCCCCCTCAGCATGCAGTGCCAATGCGTGGGCGGATTCTGTCCGACCTCTGCCTTCACATTCTTCACCGACCTGGGAAAGCGTGATTGCTCATAGGCCCGCAGTCTTTCGGGGCGAGTCTGAACTTTGTCAGGGGCAGGTTTAAGCTCTGACGGACCCCGAGGCATCATTGCGATGACTGTGTGGAGATGCCCAATCATGATATAGGAAACTAGTATGGCTGGTGTGCAGGTGGATATCGTCGATCGAGTTACACTCCGGTGATCATCTGCCTACGGCCATAGTCATTCCCGCCAGATTAAATGGATATGCGATCTCTTTATTAACGGCTCCAATGACCCCTTTTTCCTGAAACCATGTCTCAGCCCTGAGGCAGAGTTACCAGAAATCATCCCCGAAAGTCAAACTATCATGATCATGACGAAGATCCTTGTGGCGTTGGTGTCCTGTCTGGGTATCTTGGCTCATGCTTTGCCGGGGATGGCTGATGGAGGACACTCATCCAAACTAGAAGTGACAAACCGGCTGGTGTTTGCCCATTTCATGGTACGCTTCGTCATGACGGTGTCTTCGTGTATCTGCAGACAGCATGGCTGAATAGACCTACATTTTTAGATCGGAATTACGAGTGACAGACACAGCGCCGCCGACTATGATGATGACATGAAACGTGCCAATGCATTAGGCATCGATGCCTTTGCCTTGAACATTGGAGTCGATCCATATACGGATCAGCAATTGCAGTTCGCATACGACTCGGCGGCGAGAAATTCCATGAAGGTTTTCATCTCGTTCGACTTTAACTGGTGGAACACCGGACAGGCCTGGGCTATCGGCCAGAAGATTGCACAATATGCCGATAAACCGGGCCAACTCATGGTTGACAACAAGGTGTTTGTCTCCTCGTTTGCTGGCGATGGTCTCAATGTGGAATCCTTGCGCGCTGCCGCGGGGAGGCCCATCTTCTTTGCGCCCAACTTTCATCCCTCGGATGGGACTGATATTTCTTCCGTCGACGGTTTGTTGAACTGGATGGCCTGGCCCAACAATGGGCAGAACAAGGCCCCCACGCCGGGGCAGAATGTCACTGTTGCGGATGGTGACAAAGTATACGTGAATGCGCTCGCGGGGAAGGCGTACATCGCACGTGAGTCGGCTCCTCCTATTCTCCGTCCCCCGGATGTCTCTGACACCACAACTCCTCCAGCGGTCTCCCCGTGGTTCTCGACCCATTTCGGCCCCGAGGTCTCCTACAGCAAAAACTGGGTGTTTCCCTCGGACTTGCTGTGGTACGATCGCTGGAACGAGATTCTCCAACTCGGACCCCGCTTCATCGAAATTGTCACATGGAATGACTACGGCGAATCGCACTATATTGGACCGTTAAATTCAATCCATACGGATGACGGTGCATCCAAATGGGTCAATGACATGTGAGAGTTCACCTGGATCTTCTCCTCGAAGGGACCATTTACTAACAGGCCCAGGCCCCATGACGGATGGCTCGACATCTCAAAGCCCTTCATTGCGGCGTTCAAAGACGGGGCAAAGTCTGCGACCAGCTATATTAAGTCCGACGAGCTGGTGTACTGGTATCGGCCAGCTCCTCGCGGTGTGGACTGTGATGCAACCGATACATGCATGGTGCCCGCGAATAATGGCAGTGGGAATTACTTCATAGGTCGTCCAGACGGCTGGCAGTCGATGCAAGACGCGATCTTTGTGGTTTCGCTCCTTCAGTCCCCTGGAACCGTCCAGGTCAACAGCGGTGGTACGTTATATCAATATGAGGCTCCTGCTGGAGCATTCGCCCAGCAGGTACCGATGCAGGTGGGAGTACCTGCTTTCACGGTTCTTCGCAACGGTAGTCCAGTCCTGTCGGGAACAAGTCTGAAACCCATCATCAACGGATGCGTGTGTGGCTTGTACAACTTCAATGCGTATGGTACGTGTATGATGCTGATCTGTTGGGTTAGAATGCTACTGACAAAATTGAATACTAGTCGGGACACTGCCCCTCGAGCTTAGCGATCCTTTGCTGCAAGACGGACTTGCGGCTTTCAATCAAGGCCTTCGCGTACAGACATGTCAACCCAGTCCCTCATTGGGCACAGTGCCTCCCCCATCAACAGCTCCGACTACCACCTCGTTCATCGGACCGACTACTTCGACACCTCCAACAACGCCCCCAACGACCCCTCCTGACACTCCCCCAAGCACCCCACCGACATCGTGTCCCACGACTTGCCCGACCACTAACTGCGGAGGATCAACAGTCACTGTGAGCGTCACGACCACATCTACTACGACGCAGACCGATATTGTGACTGTATCTCAGACCGCTCCAAGCGAGCCCACGGGCGGCGGCGGCGGTGATGGTGGCCGCAATGATTGTACTGCTGGAACAGGCCCAGGGAACTATGTTGGTCTATGTAATTTCTGTTGCAAGTTCGGATATTGCCCTCCTGGTCCTTGCACCTGCACCGGGTATGGCTCACTTGTGCCGGCACCCCCAAGCACAGGGTGGCACGGCATTCCCCTCTCCAGCGAAGACAACTCCTATCTCGGGCTTTGCAGTTTCGCGTGTGACCATGGGTACTGTCCGCCGACGGCCTGTATGATAGTCTAACGCGCAAGTACGAGTGATGGCTAGAATTTGACCAAGGGTCCATTTTTATCTGGTCAGTTGGTGGGGGAATGTTTATATCCTCGAGAGAAAAGATGTATTTGGAAATGTAGTATGAGAACTGAGGTTTACCAATCACATGGCTCACTGTCTTTCAGTTCGCCTCCTTATCATCAGTATACAATCGCCCCTAAATCTCTCCTGCCCCTGCCGGCCTGGCAGCAACCGCATGGTCGAGCTTTTCATTGACCGATACGGAAACTAAGCGGAGATTATTGCGAGGCCACCAAAGGTGATACTGACCAGGAGCACTGCATTAAAGGAGTCGGAGCAAGCAGTCTTGAGAGCTTGATGTGTTTGACATGTTTGGCCATGCTGACGGCCTGAGGTTTGAGTGTCTCACATGATCTTCTGGTCCCCACGTTCTAGAAAACGACGCGTCGAATAAACCAGCTTCGGTGTTGAAATGTCTCTCTCCTCTACCCGATATCATATAGTTCAAGCAATGGCCCTATGAATTGAATCTCGATCCAACTGAGGGAATTTTTTTTTTTTTTTTTTTTTTTCACGGAAGTTTTTAAAAACAGATGACCAGTGTTATTGCCAACAATATGAAGTGCAGCATATTTACCAGGCCAATTTTTCCAACCGACGATATTCTGGCTCTAAGAAGGGCACATCAGCCGCTTATGCTGACAGCAGGACATCGCATGTGCGATACAGGAAGTCTGATTGGACTGAAATTTCTTGGCACCCAATTCTCCAGTAGTTGTCGAAAGGCTCTCAGAAGCTAAGCCTCAAGATATGCAAGGCGCGCAAAATGTGCCCTATTAGGCTTAGCTTATGCGCCAACATGACCTGCCTCGCGCCGCAGACCTGGTGTCAGATTCGTTGCTCGAACGTCGCCCAACGTCGAATTCTGCTTTGGGTCTGATTTTACTGTCTCTGGAACTGATCTTTGGGCGAGAGAAATTTTCCTGGTCCAAGGAAACACGAGAGGCCAGACTGTGATCGTAGTCCTCTGGCCCAAGTCGTCTTGGACTCGTTTCCTCCTGATGGGCGGTGTTCCTGGCCGATCAAAGGCCTGTCGTACCTGCAGGAGGCGGAAAAAAGGCGTACGTTTCACGGCAGTACGGTGCGCGGATCGCGCTGTTATTCGCTCTGGATTGCTGTTACGAATCCTACTAACTGCATTAGTAGTGCGACCTGCAGAAACCAACGTGTGGTCAATGCAGGAAAGCCTGTATCCAGTGTGACGGGTACAAAGATGGTCTTGAATTTTATCAGTACAAAGCTCCCAGTAGCCATCACGGGAATGAATCTGATGCTAAGGCGCCAGTTTCATCGCGCGTATCCAAGGACAACAATATTCAGCGCATCTCAGACATACCGGAAAGAAGTTACTCTCTTTCTCAAAGGGCTTGTCAGGTGGGATTGGAGGCTTTTTTCTGGAGCGCATATATGCCAAATCGACATTCATACCAACTCTTTGATGACACGCAACGCACACTGGGTGGTTCAATCAGCATTCTGCAAGACTTGATTCCACAAAGCAATCTTCTAAGAATCGGGCTTGGGGCAATGGCCATGAGGACCATTATGCTGAATAATGGAGGCCCTCAATGGATGAAAGAAGAGGCTATGAGGTTGCACACCCTGGCCTTGAAAGAATTGGGCAAATCCCTGGCCGCCCCACAGAAAAAGCCTCTTGAGCTTCTTGGGACGACCCGCTTGCTGAGTTTCTATGAGGTATCCGTTAGCAATGAATACCTTTTTGTTCCAATTAACTAACCTGAATCCTCTCAACTAGGCCTTGTATGGGAGCGACTGGGGAGGTTCTTCAACCCAAAATCTCAGGTGGATAGCCCATCACTCGGGTGATCTTGCAGTGACGCTCTCGAAACCCCCATTGTTTTTTGCCACTGGTCAGGCCCACAGACTATTTGTTGATGGAAGATTCAATCATGTAGGCAGTCCCACTGCTTCAGCCTTCTTGGTCTAATATTGTCAGTAGGCTATATGTGCGATGCGTGCCCGAAAACGATGTGTCCTTAGCGATTCTGCCTGGATGACGACACCTTGGACACACCACCCCAAAACGCCCAAGGATTTGCTCATCGATATTCTCGTGGACATACCAAGTCTCTGTGAGAATATTGATATCCTGGCGTGTCAGGTGGATGATCGACTCAAATCAGCCTTTCAAGATACCCTTTGCAAACAGGCTTTGGGAATAGTCGAGCGTTTGGCTGATTGGGAAGCAAAGTTTACGCTCAATACTATGCTCTTATACCCGATTGAACAGCTACCAGAGCATATTTCGAGTGATGATCTCGCCGCTATCCATATGATGACATTATTTTGGGCAATCAGCATCACCGCCTATCGTCAGGTTTCCCTGGTCTTGCCGTGGGGTGAAGCAGAAAGGCTCCGTCCCGGAGAGTGCTGTTGCAGCATTATACGCTCTATTCCATCGCTCATTCATCCATCTGTTGGTATTTTCCGTCAACATCTTGTTCCCTTCCCAGTTGTCACAGCAATTTCGTATATGACAAGTTTCGAATCCCTAGATTTGGAGTCAGCCCGCGGGCGCCTGAATTTCCTGTTGCAAAAGCCTGAGTTTGATGCCATGCGCCCTTTCATGACAAGTATTACTTCACCTGCCTTTTCAGAAAATTCTCGATGAAATGACTGGCTTCTTTTGATGGACACTCCTGAGATAAACTATGTTAATATTTTTGTTTTCTTTTTCTCTTTTGTTTTCGTCTGGTCAGCTTCAACGACCACAACTATTCAATACACTCAGCGGCTCTCTGAAACTCGCCATAAGACGCAAAATTCCACAATGGCCGTAACTAAAAATGACCACGGATTGCCAGCGAAGCTCGCAGCAGGGCCCGGATGCATAGACCCCGGTTCGGGTTAGACATGCTGCCTCAGGCCGCAATAAATTCGGTTTCGGAGCTAATCGGGATCTTAGCGGGGGAGATCGGAATGCATCGGCAATCGGAGCGACTGAATTGCCGATGCTCTCGGTGATCGGTCGGCCGGCCAGGATCTTAATCGGCATAGCGAACACGACACCAGAAACCGCAGCGATCAACACAGATGATTGTTTAGCCGCATAGGAGGCTCTATCCGTTGTCGTCGCACCGGGTCGTCCTGGTGGACACCTCATTAGCGGGCCGCGTGGCAAGAATAGACACTCCAAGGCTCGGCCATTTGGTGCAGCCAAGGGAATTATTGCTTGTTTCAAGACTGGAGACGGCCCATTCTAATGCCGACCAACCAGGCGCGGACGGCAGAGAGAAAACAAATTGTTCTGCTGGACGGCACATCCAGCATCCACTATGTATGTATGTAGTATGTATGCGTCATGTCTACTTCTGCGTCAGATTGCGTATATCCACTTCCTGTAGTGGTCAGCCAATCTGGTCCGTCCATCCGGGTCTGTTGCGATGACTGCATTGCAGGACAAAATTCCATTACTCATGTCCATCCGAGCATTGACTCTTGGCATTTTCGTGCGAAGGTCCAGGTCAGTGAATTAAATTAAATCCTGGCCTTGGCGATGACCCCGGTCGTGGGGAGCTGAGCTGTGACGAGAACTACAGCGCCCAGCAGGAAGGTCAGCCCGCCCCAAATCTGCGCACCGATGTAGCCGTCGGACTTGGCAATTAGTGCGCCACCCAGCGGTGGACCGGTTAGACACGTGAAGCTGACAATGGTGAAGCCCGTCCCGATGCATACTCCGGTCTTGATCAGGTCGGATGTCAAGCTGGACAAGGTGGAGGGCCAAGGTCTTGGACACCGTTTGAAAAGATGCCATAGAGAACGGCGAAGGCATACAGCCTCCCGGTCAAGTGCATGGCGATCCAGCAAAACACCATTAGACTTGCGCCCAACGTCAGTGGGATGGTGTTCAGCGGACCAAAATGAACGATCGGCCAAGTACGCTGGAATGAGTCGACCGACGATTTCTGCTCCGTTTATCACGATAATGAGGGTACTCGAGTCGCCATAGCTCAGGCCGAGGACGCTGTGGTCAAAGGCACCCACATAGTAAAGGCGAAATAGAGGCCCCAAAAATTCCAAAAACGTGCCCAGGTAGAAGAGCAGATAGGTTGGCTCTCGGAACGCCCTCCATTCCACCACCGCGCCTGTTTGACGCAGCAGAAGTCGCGGTTGCAATAGCACCATGGGGGAATACTCGTGCCGAGCATCACAAAGCCCAGGATGCGCAATGTCCACGCGAAGCCCACGGTGGGGATGAGAGTTTTGACCAGGCCCAGAAAGAGCATGCTTCCAGCGCCGCTGCTCATGAGCACAAACGCCGAGGCAAGCACTCGCCGACCGGCGAAGTAGGTGGCCACCAGCCCCGTCACGGGGAAGAACTGGAGGCCATTGCCGAGGCCGGTGCACACGCCCTGCCAGTATTCGGTCGCGAGGGAGGTCAGGAACACCCCGGCCAGTTGCAGGAGCACGCCGGTGTGGAACGTCGCGCGAAAAAACCCGGCGTCGAGGGCGCGACCGGACAAGATGCCGACGAAGAAGATCAGAAACACGTGCACGGACCCAGCCCACGAGATGGTCGTCGGGGATAGCCCCAGGGCCGACTGGTAGTAGGTCTGGAAGACGCCAAAACTCGCGATGAAGCCCCAGGTGTTGAAGGCCACGAGTGGCCCATGGCGACCTGCGTCCACACCTGGAGGCCGCCATCTGGCGGGTTGAGGTTGGGCGGGGGATCGGTCGGGGCCCCGGCCCCTCCAGTGGGCGCTTGCCCCATGATTGTATACGCGGAGTGATAACGACTTGGACTATGGCATATCGTCAATACCCTCGTTCCTGACAGATTCAGAAGAATCCGTAAGCTCAATTCATTAATCATCGTTAGCCGATTCAGATTAACTAACTTAGTAGTTTATGTTTTGACTCATCGGTCGCGGATTCGTCCGACTTGGCAGCAACACTCCTGGTCCATCAGAACAGGCTAAGGTACTTCTGGGCTGAGCAAGCGATTCCATTGTTAAACGGTGCACATTATGTGGTTAAGTAGTACCCTGAATAAGTCATGGTTTCAGTCGGCTCTGCCTCGAGGCAATTGGAACAAGGTTGTGTCCTCAGAGCCGAGGGAGAGAACACCTCTGCAAGGGATGGCAAAGAAGATCAGTTCGGCAGCAACCATGGGACGAAAAACACGAGGGTGTCCAGGCCAGCCCCTGGGAAATTACTCGCACATGCGAGACGGAATCCAACCCACGTCTGGAATAATTTTATCCGTGGTTGCACGACCCGTCCGACCTGAAAGGATCGTGAGCGTTGGGCGGACGCGGTGTTGATCCACCGTTCCTTGGGAGTTCTGACACCGCAACCGCTGCAGCAGGATACATGGTGTATTATATATGCACATCTCCCTCTGCTTCCCACGGCACCATCCGAGGATTTGCATGTCTCTGAGAATCCGGACCATGCAATCATCTGCATGTCGTCGGTAGTCAGAATTTCCCATCTGCATCATCCAGTGGAGACGGGGTGACCCTAATCCAGCAAGTGCAACCATTACCCCTGTCGATCCGATCGGGTACGAAACTCGAGAGCTCAAAAAAAAAAAAATAAATAAATAAATTGGAAATAAATAAAAGCAATTATCGCGTGTACAGCAAGGATCAGCAGAGCTAAAGAGATGGAGAATTGGCTCGCTGCATGTCGCGGCAAGGCAGGTGCAGACCCAGGATCGACACCCGTCAGTGCCGGCGTATACAGACGGGTATAGATTATGAGAACGACGTTGTATACAGTGATATCAACCATGGCAGCTATGGTGTCGTCCAAATAAGGATTTTCTTGGTAGTGCTCTTGGCAGTCAACTTGGCGGACATGGCTAAGAAGTCTTGGAATATCTTGGACAAGGCTTGGGAAAGGCTTGGGAAGGCTTGGGCAAGTCTTGGGTGATGCTTGGGCAAGTCTTGGTATTGCCAAGACATATATCCAACAACACCTCTGCATGCGCAGCACCTGTGCAGTATTCATGAGCGGTCACTTTCGGTCGCTGCATCTGTTTCCGCTACAATCACTGCGCACACCCAGCCTGCGGTGTTCCTGGGATCTACAGGGCCAGATCGGTCGTCGCCGTTGGCTTGTTTAAGGTTGATCGGTGGTGGTGGTGGTGGCGGGGTGGCCACCCCTCGCGGGTCCCTGGCGGTGCTCCTCGCCGTCGTTTGCGCGGTTTGCAAAGGCACGAGTGGCGCTTCCGTACCTGAAGAGTAAATGTGCGGACGATTTCCACGTTGGGTATCTGCCCTATGCGGCAAGTCTGGTAGGGCCTATGGCAGCGAAGGGAGCGCGAGGACCGCCTCGGCCTAGTTCCGTTTTGTGTGTCGGCGTGTTTTGTTGTATGTAATGGATTAGGGCTTTGCCTGGGCTGGTCGGTTTTTGTTTTTCCGGTCCTGGACGACTGGAGCAGGCATGTAAAACATCCCGGTCACTGTATTCCTCTCGGCTTGGACTCGGTGAGCAAGTCCCACGGGTTGGGTGATGAGATGAATTTTGGCGAAGCGACAGGTTGCAGTAGGCGTTGCCACCATCGCCTGTCGACGAGGCGGTCGGACAACAGCAGTCTAGAAGCGATGGATCTCGAAGACATCGCCGATAGTCAGGACCTACCTATTCCGGCGGAGCCAAGGCGTCGGGGAAAAAGTCATTGTGATCGGTGACGTACGGCGGCCAGCGCGCACGACGGCGGGCCATATCCGCCCGCTGCAGCCTCATCATAGGATGGGACGATGACGGGCCTCCGCACACACACACACACACACACACACACAGGCCTATCGTTTAATCTCTTCGTCTCCTTTGGGCGGTAGCGCCAACGGATCCCCAACATCGGAGATTATGTGCGGCGGCCGCGAGTGGCTCCAGAGGCAAAATCTGCGTCGGTACCGGCGTACGATAGGGCGGACTCGAGCGACCGATGGAGTCGGGCCTCACGCCGTGTCCCCGCGGGGAGGTTGCGAGAGGCGCACAATTGGCCCATCGGGCACCCGATATGTGGGGGGTGGTGCGGGTTTGGCGACGAGGTTCACGCAAACCGGCCGTCGGAGTCGGGCTCAGCGCACGTACGGTCGGAGCCAAGACGGGGGAAGAAGGCAACTGAGGCGAGTTTCATGAATAATCTGGCACCATCTGATTCGGCCCTGACCCGGATCGCTTGCACCAAGGTTTGGCCAATTTGACCCAACGAGGACGAATGGACAAATCCCATACCTCTTAGGGTACGTTAGGGCATACGAGGCAGAGAACTGGCAAACCAGAAAAGAATTTTCAGTCTGGTCCACCGACAACCCCCGTTTTTCCCCGTGGAGGGTCGGGCGAGATGCCTGTTGCGGCAGAAGAAAGGTGATCCTCCACCCGCTCCAGGAAAGGATCCACCCCCACGAGGCGAGTGCAACCCCTAGATGGGCGCCTACCCGGCCCGATGGGGAAACAATGTGGCCGCAAGCAGCAGGAGGAAAGTACGGATGCATCCGGTTTAGGCCATGGATGGCGGTTGCGGTGATATCCACCGCAAGCTGCAAATTATTATTATTATTGTCGACGTTATATTCTGTAACAATATTAATTGATAATCGTCAAACTTTATAGGGTCGTCGCGAACGGGTGGCGCATTTTTGCTTAGCGGAGCTTCTTCGCCCTTGGCAACGGGCATCGGCCTCGGCGCCAACCCTTCACCCCAGCCGGAACTTCCATCAGCGTCATCGCCCATTCTTCGCGCTGACTTTCGCGCTCCCCGGCCGCCACGTTCGCACTCCCGCAGCCACCCACATGTTGGTGGCGGCCGAAACCGAAAAAATCTTAGTCCCGTCCGCGTCCCTTTCCATAGGGATGAGGCCGCTGGGTGAAATGGGTCCGCTGGGACACACTATGGCCGATGGGGCGCTTGGCCCTCTCGCCCGCGAGACCTGCCCCACGCTGCACCACGCAACCCACTGTGTGCTCCTCCACCCTTCCACGACCGTCAGTGAGAGGACCTCGGCCCCCACGGCGGGTCGCGCGACCTGCCTATCGCACTCAAGCCGCCGTCGTCATGGCCCAATTTTTCTCTCCTTGGCGCATCACACGCGTGGGGCGGGCCCTGACGCCCGCATCCGACCATCAGGTACAAAATGGTCGCCCATGCCCCCCCAGAGTCCGTGCCGCTCTGCTCCTTGTTTCAGTCCTTCCTTTTCCTCCCTCAAGCAACTAGGTCGAGGAACCGCATAACGGTCTCTCCAAGATGTGGACAACCACCTGTGGCCTCCGGGGCAAGAAGCTCCACTGGGCCATCACCTTCACTTCCGTCGTCGGTTTCTCCCTGTTCGGTTACGATCAGGGTCTGATGTCCGGTATCTTGCAAGGTTCTTCTTTCATCGGCGAATTCCCCGTCCTCGACAAGTCCTTGGGTGATGAGCAACACGTCTCCGTCCTGCAGGGTGCCGTCACCGCCTGCTACGAACTGGGGTGCTTCTTCGGCGCCATCTTCACCCTGTGCTTCGGTCAGCGCACCGGCCGGACTCCCCTGCTGGTTGCTGGTGGACTGCTGATGGTGCTGGGTACCGTCATCTCCACCGCCGCCTTCGGTGAGTCCTGGGGTCTGGGCCAGTTCGTCATCGGTCGTGTCATCTCCGGTCTTGGAAACGGCATGGACACGGCCACCATCCCCGTCTGGCAGTCCGAGTGCTCCCGCGCCCACAACCGTGGATTCCTTGTCTGCTTCGAGGGTGCCATTATTGCTGTCGGTACTTTCATCGCCTACTGGATCGATTTCGGTCTGTCCTACGTCAACTCCTCCGTCCAATGGCGGTTCCCCGTCGCCTTCCAGATCATCTTCGCCGTCATGGTTACTGCTGGTGCCCTGATGCTGCCCGAGTCGCCCCGTTGGTTCATGATGCAGGGTAAGGATGATGAGGCCCTCCAGATCTTGGCCCAGCTGAACGACAGCTCGGTCGACGCCGAGGACACCCTTCGGGACTACAACCTGATGAAGGCCGATATGAGGGCGGCCGAGGCCCAGCAGTCCGGCAGCTGGAAGACCCTCTTCACCTTCGGCAAGACCCAGGAGTTCCAACGTATGATGATTGGTTGCTCCGGTCAGTTCTTCCAGCAATTCACTGGTTGCAACGCTGCCATCTACTACTCCACCCTCCTTTTCGAGAACAACCTGCACATGGAGCACAAGTTGTCCCTGATTCTGGGTGGTGTCTTCGCCACCGTCTACGCTCTCGCCACCATTCCCTCGTTCTTCATGGTTGAGAGGGTTGGTCGCCGCAACCTGTTCCTGATCGGATTCCTCGGTCAGGGTCTGTCGTTCATTATCACCATGGGCTGCTTGATCGACGAGAGCACCCAGAACGCCAAGGGTGCCGCCGTCGGTATCTTCCTGTTCATCTGCTTCTTCGCCTTCACCACCCTCCCGCTGCCCTGGATCTACCCGCCCGAGATCAACCCTCTCCGCACCCGTACCATGGCGGCCTCGGCCTCCACCTGCACCAACTGGATCACCAACTTTGCGGTCGTCATGTTTACTCCCGTGTTCTCCGACGCCAGCCCCTGGGGTATCTACTTGTTCTTCGCCCTCGTCAACTTCGTCGGCATTCCCTTCGCCTACTTCTTTTACGTTGAGACCGCTGGTCGTGATCTCGAGGAGGTCGATATCATCTTCGCCAAGGCTCACGTCGAGAAGAAGTGGCCCTTCCAGATCGCCCAGCAGATGCCCAAGCTCACCGTCGCGCAAATCCACGAGATGCAGTCCGACTTGGGTCTGTCCGTCCCCGATGCGCACCACGCTTCGGAGGCCGAGAAGGTCGAGATGGCCACCAGCAGTGGCGAGAGCGAGGACAAGAACGCCTCCGACTAATTGTGTTAATAAGAGGGGTACCCATGTATAGATGAGATCAAGATGCTGGTTTGGAGGAGAGGATTTGGCAGTGCCAAATCCATGAATCTTCGCCTCTGAAAAAGGAGGTGGGCTGGGCTTTCATGAAGACGCCCGCCCGTTTTTACAATGATATTATTATACCATTATGTTATTTCCTACAATTGAGATTGTTTTCAATCATTCCATGGGGGTTTCACTTGTCAGATCTGTAGACTCGGTGCCGCATGGCAGCCAACGTTCATTAGTTCCTGTCGTGTTTGGATCATCCCGGATAACCCTGTTGGCCATGACCGTCTCGCTAAAAAGGACAGTTAGGGACGGATGACATTTAGCAAGCAGAATTCGGGAATAGTGTTTACCGTGGACTGAACCACCCGGACTTGTCTCGCGACCAATTGGCTGTTTGGCACGGTCCATGGGGCATAAGAACATAAGCTGAGAGACCCATCAAGAGAGTGATAAGACCCTTAAGACTGTGTTAGTCGCTGATCTAGCTGACTTCCAGTGAAATATCCACACGTACCTCGAGCAGAAATAACCAGCGCCAGTCTGATCGTCCTTGAACGCCACGCAAGTGCAATAGTCCAAAAGCCAAGAAGCTCTTGCAATGATATCTGCAATATTCATTACAGTCCAAAAGAATCCTAATCGAAGCGAGAGCTCTTGGTGCTTGTAGAAATACGACGGATACAGAATCACCTAGCAATTTTGTTAGTACGAAAAAAGTCAAGATGACAACCTTGGAAGCCAACTCACATCAGGAATAAAACCACCTTGTAAGATACCAATGAGTGCACGACAGACTAGGAAGGTGTTCTTCCCCTGCAGGCCATATTGGCCCATAGCCACAGCCGACCAGAGGACCATCTGTGTTGGGATCCATCTATCTGGCCCAACCCATGTACTGACACGTTGCGAGGGCAATTCAGCACAAAGAAACGAGAGACAGAAACGGTATTTCCGAGGTTGTAGGTCTACCGTTTATTACCGTGGCCTCTGTATCGCACTGGATTTGATAACAATACCATTCGTGTTCGTGCCAAGGTCGTTTAAGACATTGTCAGTCAGAGCCTGCTGGAGGTTGGATCGATCAAGCTCCAGAGCCGCGAACATAAAGCAAATAAAGACCATAATCCAAAGGTCAATTTTGCGAATTAATTGATGCTCCTCACCCCAAGTCCATCGTGCAGAGGGGTCAAATCGGTGCAAATTCTGCCAATCGGCTCCGGGCTGATATTCCTTTGCGGTATCTGGGTTGTCAAACACTGATGGCCAGGTGGCGATCGCTTCTGAGTTATAACTCTTTCGCACGTTGGATCCAGAATTGCCGCTCGTCACTGGGTGCTCCCAGCGGGGTAAGGTCATCCCCGAACGTGTCAGTCCCATCATGGGCAGAGACCAACTCATTCGGTCCTTTTTTCAAGAGAGACTCTGGAAATAAGATAGCCATGGCTGCTTAAACGGTGGAGGTCGATGCCGCTCGTAAGTATTCGTACACTCTTTTGTACTAGCCGCTCATTCACCTCTGGGTGATCAATAGGAGCAATCTTCCACATTGCCAAGTAAACCATGACAGGCTTATCCACTCGCAACCTTGGAAGCGACCAGTGCTGTTCCTTTATCGTATGCGATCCCACATCTTGGAGGGAAATGGTCAAACTTCCAAGACTAGTGTTATATGGAAAATACATTGTATCGGCTTTTCTGGATAGTGATGGAAATGTGACGGACCCCGGGACTCAGGCTAACCTATGGATGTGATGTAGCATCCTAGGTACTTAGCACCGTAGTCACTAGTGTAGTATATTACGATAAGGGAGGCCCGAGTATATATATTCGACCTTCCCCTGCACATGGCATCACGTGATTTGGTCCAGCATCGTGCGGATGGCGGCTTGATTTGATCAGTCAACCATTTTACAAATGCAGAGGTCTAGCGACAACACGAGTTAATCCAATCTACCGTTGGCAGGATATTGCTGATTACTGTAGCGATTTCGTGGCAACTTGGGAACTGAAACTCAACCCGGTCTACGCCTGGGCAGAACTTGACAGAATCCCTGTCATCCAACCTAAGATTGACGCGTACACCGGGCGGTCTGGCGACGACAGCCCAGGCAACCAGGTACTGCATGTATATGCTCATCAGTTCACCGAAATGTCATCTCATGAAAGTTTAGCCTTGGCCTATGACGGACCCCCGAACCAGGCTGAGCAGGGGCCCGATGATGTTATCGTTAAGGATGTTGGGGCGCTTTCCCTGCCGATCTTACCCGGAAGAGGCTCTGCGCCACGCCCCACAAGGCGATGTGCACCGCCCGACGGCGATTCATGTGTTCAGACAGCCGGACATGATCTGCTTTTTTTCTATTTTCGTCGTCGGGCTAGGCGACAGGATTGAGGCCATCGTGCCACTGCGACCGCCAGCACATATAAAGATGCCGGTAAAGCGATGTCCTAGACTGGACCAACGCATCCAGATCCATCGTTGCCTACAGTACCCAACTACATCAAACTACATCCACCCACCCCGACAAGATGCACTCTACAATCCTTCTTTCCATCAGCCTCCTGGGATCCGCATTCGCTATGCCAGCACAAAACTATTTCTCGAGCTGGGCGCCCTCATCCACGCTTTCCGCCGTCCCAACCCCGGTCTCCGTTAGCCCCGGCTCCTCGGCCAGCCCGTCGGTCCAGGCGGCCGAGTCGAAACTGCTGGCGGACTACTCCAGTTTCCTCCACGCCACCGGCACTGCACAGGGAAGCCTGTATAGCAAATTGAACCCCGATATCCAAGCCATTCAGACCGCCAAAGTGGAAGCGTGGTCTTCGTCCATTCCTCTGGCCACCGAAGCCCCCAGTCGTCACTAAGCGTGCGCCTTGATGGAGACATGAACTGTCCACAAGATGGAAACGTGATGCGAATTTTATGCCTTTTCCTTTGTCCTAATATTAATGTGCATGATTGGCGCGGAAGTCATGAGAAATGACTTTGCCTGGGATAGATACTTAAGAGTCGGATGAACCGAAGAATGTAATTAGCTCTGAGCTAGGAGATTTCTCCAAATTTGGCTCGATGTATGTGAACTCATTGAAAACTTGAATCATTGGTAAATCAGCTTTCAAATCCAAGATAGGAGTGATCGAAAACAGTATGTCCGTAGATCCTTCGCATAAAAACTTCATTATGCGTTCGGTGTCTTCCTTTACAATATCAAATCAAATCTTTTCCCACACGGTTTCAGAGGGCCCGGAGAATTTCCAAGCAGGCAAAATGCAAATCTCTATATTTGGTAAGTCACAAGTCTATGTACGATGGTTATGTTCATGGGTATTAGAGTCCATGCTGGGAGGAGAACCTGCTCCTGCTTCTTCCGTCCGAACCACGCGAGGTAGTTCGTACCCGCCCATCTCGTAATCTTCGTCGCCGGTCAGTTTTTCGTCATAGTCCAGCGCAATGCGCCCGTCGGCTCCACCCCACTCCCCGAATTTGTACCGATGCCCGAGGCACTCGAGGTGCTCTTTCCGCTGCTGTTCGGTCCAGCTGCCTTTGCCCCTAATGTCGTGAAGCATGCGACTGTGGATAACCCAGGGCACGAGAGAGCCGATAGAGCGGGGGGAAAGGAGGCCCCGTGTAATGCCCATGGCGCAGCCAGAAGACAGCCATGAGGACCGAGAGATCGAGGGAAAGGAGAATGATGATAATAACAATTGTTGTATTCGATGGCGTGATCTCCCACACGGCTGACATCACAGTGCCCGGGATGTGGATGTCTTTATGCGGCGTTCCAGTAGGGGTGAGATGGACATCACGCTGGAGACTTAAGTAGCCACTGAAAGTTGCTTGATAGACCAGCTGAACCACACGAACTAAGTGTGCCTGTCCTTGAGCCTCCGTACCAGAGAAACCTTTGTGTCGGTGTTTGCGATCAAGATGGTGGTGGTTGAAATGCGACCGGGAATGGTCCGGTGACTTCGGATGAGAACCGAGGATATCGTAGACTTGAGATGTTAAGAAGGCAGGCCAGGAGTCATCAGCTCCAGAATCGTGCACGAAAGCCTGGTTAAAAGCTGCAAGACTCTTCGAAACGTTGTGAAACATTTGTCCGCCTGCGACAGAGCCCCCAGATACCGACTGATAGTCCTGAATCATACCGTCAGGATCAAAGTGAACCTCAAAATCATCAATAAAGACTTTGGGGCTGCAATGGAAGACGGTTGGACTACCCCCAGAATTGTGGGCATTACTCGTGTCGTTGAAATCTCCATATCGCGCTACCACGAAGGATGTCTGACATGCGAGACTGGAGTTCACCGATGTGCTGAATTCAAGGGATGTGCTGGAGGAATTCATGTCGTTGGACGGTCGATGTACTTCTGCAGTACACGGCATACCCGAGGTATTGACAGCTGGCATATACGTCCAGTATGAAGGATCCGACAGCTCGTCAAATAGGGAATGGTTAAGAAAAGTCTCACTGCAAAGAAGCTCCACCCCGATCCCACGTGTCTGGGCACTGTACATCGTCCAGTCGGTGTATTCCGCATCGGAATCGTTGATTTCCAATGGAAAGAAGGAAAAGTTTGTCGTAGTCCAGGATAAAAGAGAATTACCAGTGAATAAGCCGTCCACTATAAGATTAAAGCCACTCAAACTGGCTCGAATCGTAGGGCTGTCAAAATGAGAGGCGTTGTACGGTGCAGAGAGGGAAGTTGTATGATCTGTCCAGCGATCGACAGATGGCTCGAACATTCCACTACTGACGATTGTTAAGGAAAAGTCAAGTAGACATACAGCCGATAGCATGATGAGAAGTGGAGGCCTGTTCTCACGAAACTGTCTCCAGATGGTTAAAGGCGTGTGGGAGCCATAATTCACCGTGAGGGTAGAGCCGGCCAGGGCCATCCCCTCTCGAAGTCGAACCCAAGGCTCCATGGTCCCGATATGCCGATGTACAGAGACAAAGAGAGAGCTGATCATAGATGCAATGACTGTTGGACCGTATATGAGAAAAAGCGCAAGAATCGTCGTCCCAGCAGAGTAAGAGGTATCAAACTTGTCGAGACGAATGAATTGAAAGGACACTCCAAATGCTCCAAGCACACCTGCCATGAGGAAACACTCAATGAGAAACCAAGGAGGCGTCAAGAAATGGGGCCGGGCGTTATGTCGTATTCTGCGTGGCGCTCGGGATGCCCGGGAGCCAGATGCCGCCACTTGTGTCTCACAGCGACTGATCTCGATGGATTTTCCGTTGGGTCCTTCAACTAACCTGCACCAGAGAGACCGGGAGAAATGGCGAAGCTGTCGAGGAGTCGCGCGATAGAAGTCGATATCAGAGTTTGTCAACAGGTCAAGAGAAGAGAACATGTCTGTGACCAGAGCACATTGTGCCACAATCGAGCCAGGGTCGGACAGAAGAAAATTAGGCCGGAGTGGGTAGAAGAATGCCATCAACAACAGCAGCAGAAAGGCCGACAGAAGCAGAGCCTCTGCAACAAGAGCAGAGTGAGAAGTGACGCTGTATATGATAGTGTCTGTACTGCGTTTTGCTTCAACAGTTGTCGGAGTGGTAGTTGTATTAAAGAATTTGCCCATGGAGACAAGGAAGTGTTGATTCCACAGTCGACTGATGCCATCTTGATACTGGCCAATGCTCATCAGGCTAGAATCGGTAGGTCTGGAAGTGTCATTCGAATTCGTAATTGCAGGATAATCGAAAGATTTGCCGTTGTTCCACAATGCGAGATCATTGGCATGATATCTTCCGTACAGAAGATTTTGAAATGCTGAAATACTGAAATCGGTGGCCGTGAGTGTTGTTGTGTCTGCCGAAAGATTTGTGGCATCGGCTATGGAAGAGTTTTTGGGCAGTGTGATATCCGCAGTTGCGCGCAAATATGTGCTGAGACACCCAAAGGTGGTCGCATTTGCTGTAAGATCCTTCGATGTTGCATCAATATCGACGAGTACGCCGACAACCGAAAAAGTCTGACAACCAGCGCCGTGTAAAGCAATGACGGCCGTGGAATCTTTCCTAAGCCGAGCGGCTCCCAATGTCGTATCTGGAACCATTTTTTGCCAAGTGGGTATGTGCTGTTGAAGGTGACTTCAACAGCACAGTTCGAAGCTGAGCCAGTAGCCGGATTATTATGGACGAGCTCATTTTGAAATTTCCAAGTAAGTCTCGGGGTAGTTGAGTTATTATGAAAGGACGTAGTTGGAATAACGTCCGAGTAAGCTTCCACACAGCTTAAATCAGCCCAGTAAACATCATGACTAAGCTCCCAGGTCGAGGTGGTAGAATGAGAATGCACCGGCCTTGAAATGGGTGGTAATGAGTAATTTAACGTTTGGTAAGAGAAAAAAGTATCGACAATTGATCCTGAGCGGTTTGCGGACTGGAAGGCAGCACGATTGAGCAAAGCGTTCTGCATTTCCACGCCGACTAACTTCGGCCAAGTATTGAGATGTCTTGTGGCGACGATGGTCGGTTCATCCAGATTGACGAGCCCGGAAAGAATAGATGGTAGCATAACTCGGAGAACTAAAGCCATCGAGGCGACGCTTGCAACAACCCAATGGCGGTTTCGTACCGCCATTATCGGCGTCAAGATGCCGTAGAAGAAGCAATAGTTGGTGAATAGAACGGAGCCAGATGCTCCTTCCGGCTTGGCGAGTTGGAAAAAAGGTTCCAGGCGGAGAACATCCAAGGCGCAGATGTTCCAGAGCGCCACCGCTAAGATCGCAAAAGCCGTCGGGACATAGGTGTACACCCCTGATGTGACATTGGCCAGATCCTCGTACGATTTGAGATGGATGACTCCATGATGGCGATTTGAATATTGGCGGAGGAACTCAATGGACAGAGCCATTAACAGAAAAAAAGCCGCCAGAGAGAACAGAAAAGGGCGCTTCAACGAGGTGGGCATCCACGGCTGGGCCTGCCCGGTTGGATTGCTTTGGCCGCCTGCTCCATTTGGAGACGCCGTCATATTCCCCGCCCGGATTATAGAACAGGCAAACTAGAACGTCATTGGGGTCGTTGAACGGTGACACAAAGACATCTGGTATGTTGCGCCTAGGTCGACCCGTTCTCCCATTGCATCGCCTCTGCGTCAGAAAGTAAGATTTGCTGCGAGGCGATGCAGCAGCCACGTGACTGCGGCACGAGTGGGAACTAGACCTCGCCAAACGTGGGTTTGGGTTGGGTTTTCAATTTCTTTACCCGCCCACGGGTAACCCATCGCGGGTTTTGACCTTGGTGAACCCGCCCGTGGGTTCTTGGCGGGTACCCACGGGTTGCCCAAAATACCCAAAAATATGCATAACACATAGGGGCGCATATAATATCTGAATACCATTGCCGTACAGTTTAGATACAGTAGTAGATTTAAAACAAGTAGAATACTATATTGACGTGTCAATATAGTTTAGATACAGTTTTAGATTAAATATAGTATTGAAGACACTACAGTATTAAAGACAAAATACGGTTATGGTCTTCGATACTGTTGTTGCACTAATACGGTTTTGCCGCCTCAATACAGGTTTGCTGCCCTAATACGTTTCGCCCCTCAATACGGTTTGGCAACCCTCTCACAACTGTATCGCAAAACTGATTCGCTTACTCATTATAGAGGTTCCATATCAGGTGACTGTATAGTGTGTTCCACACTTTGTGTAATGATTATATACAGTGCTAGAGTGCCATTCCTCATTACTATATAGCTCTTATTAGTGTAGTATAGTATTGAGATACCAAAGTTTCAGTGCGCGCATTATATAAGGTTATATGATGAGAGAATTATACTACCTATGTATACGATTTAATTTACCACGAGCTAATAATATATTTATGATGTTTCCTGTACTTAGCTTAATTTGGTTGGTTAAGCACTAGCCACCCAATTATTCAGGAGAGTACAGAATAGGAGTGCAAGCTCAGTTGCTATGAGGTCGCCTATGTCTCAGGGCGTTATGTCTTGGTAGGGGATAAAGAAAGTATTACAATAGGGGCAAGAAATTAAATATCTCTAATGTTCCGGATCCTGAATATATCCTCGAGGACTCTCTTTTCCTTGGCATCTAAAGGAGTCTACAGGAAAAGTGGTAATCTCCCAAATATTACATTGATCATCAAAGACGAAGTAATTGACTGAGTAATAATACAGAAAAAAGCATAATCGACAACCCCTCCATCGTCTTTGGAAAACCAAAAAGCAAAATTTAGTACAATCTTGGATAGGCTCTTGTTTAATCAAAAAAAGCACCATTTTCATCATCGACCTCTTCATCTCCGCTGTCATTGACCAACACAGTCGCAGTTTCAACTGCGATCTCAGCAAAATCTTCCCTTTTAATGCTTCTGAGCTTCACACTATGAGGTGCTTTGAAAAAGAATTCTTTAACGATCTTCAGCAGATACCCGGGGGCGGTGTCCCGAATAACCTTTTCACTGGAGTGTAAGAGGTCATAGTGGGCTTTGCAGTAGGATGCTAGGTTGGCAAAAATAGCTATAATTAAAGTCAGATTAGCTTATGCCAGTAGAAAATGACGTGTGGAGATAAGGACCGGGGTTAATATACTCTTGATATAATTTTGTCCTTCTGCAGTTGATCGATCATAGTCTACTATGTCTCTGACCCACGAAAAGACAAGAAAGTAGTCATGAGATGTGAATCTTTCCTTAAAATAGGTGTAAAGATTCTTTCGATTCGTGATGGCCCTGAGGCGCTCTGTGGACCGAGATTCTGAATCAGTGAAGTTGACCCTGTCCCGAACATATGCCTGCGATAATTAGCCATGGGTAACTATAGATAGTCAGGAGGTAGCCTTGGACTATACCTGCATGCTCTTAATCGTATTAGACTTCCAAACCTTAACCAAATTCTGGGCATGGGTGAGGTGTGACCCCCATTCAGGTTGGTTTGGCGTTAAACCAGGCTGTGCTTTCTGCACAAGTTCATCAACATTATTCGCATCCACCCAGAAATATAATAGGTAGTGCCAACGGCAGTAGTAGATAAGTTGCCGCTCGTAGAAGAGGGCCCTCTCTTGCTCAGCTCCCAGTGGGAACTTTGCATGAATATGATATGGTCGAGTGCCTCCTCTTTTTCTTTTTCTGTTTCGCTGCACTTGTCTATTTCCATCCCCCCTGGCATAGAACAAGTATCTTGTTCGAGGGTCGATAAAATGATATCTTCGCTTGTTGGGACATCAGTCGGAATCGGGGTTTCACATGGCTCAGTCGTTCCCTGACTTATGGCTAAGCTAGTAGTGCTTATTGTTGCCTGGGATGATTCTTGTAGGGATGAGCTGCAGGGTTCTTGATCTGTGGTTCGCGGTCGAACTGTCTGTACTTCAGGGAACTGAGGAGGATCTTCGCACTCTGAGATTCTAGCCTATATGATTTTGATTAGTCTCTTGAATCTTGAAGCCAGATTTGGAAGTATGAATAATCACCCTTTTGCTGAGACTTTTGCCCCGTGACTGTGAGGCGACAGAAATTCCTGAAGGCATAGTAGATGTTGGACTGTAGAAATGTTAGCCAGGGGTCCATTATAACAGTCAATTACCATTCCTCACACAGCACCTGTGAGGTTAGGACTAGTGGAGTGACTTACCCACAGAGTTGAGCTTTGCTGAATGATACTGAATTTGGGCCTTGGGGTCCCTTAAAAGGGCAGTGTAGTTGATTTGTTGGACAGACGGAGAGTTGGAGCAGTGATTAAGTCAGGATGGAGGATGTGAGAAGGGTGTTGTGGATGTGTTATGATAGTTGGCGTCGCGTTTTGCGGCAGTCCATAATAGTACAATACAGTATTGTAATCAGCAGTGTACCCGTCATACTCTATAGTACGGTCCATATAGAAGTAGTATGGCTCAAATGTGAATTTCATTATTTTTAAAACCCCAAACAGCTTGCAATCTTTATTTTATATTTTTATCACTTCTAAAAAAATTTTCCTTACTTCTAAAAATGAGGTTTCTAGACGACAGTGCTACGATTTACGTTTTCAATACCGTTCTGGTCCAGTATCTTGTGATACTACCACCAGACACAACACTGCACCATAAATATGGCACTTTAGGCAGGCACGCGTGGGATTTTGCCGCCCACACCTGCTATACACTACAGGGCGCCTTAGTGCCAGGCCAAAACAAATATGTTTACTTACACACGCTCTTCTGTCAACAACAATCCTTTTCATCAGCTCTCCTAGTATCCAGTCCTCTATTTTCGCTGGCATTTCACACGAGCCCCAGAAATTTCCCCATGCCCTAGGTAAGACACACACTGTCCCAGCCTGTGCCAAACGGTTACCGGCTTTGCAGACTGAACTTTCTCAGTGCGATCACTCCATCAGGATTTCAGGGTCCTTTCTCACTCTGCTTATCTCAACAAGTTTCCATACTTAAGCTAACGAGACTTTAGGCCTGACCTCGCCCTGTTATTTATCTTGATTCCACAGCCTCACCAAGTCATCCTCACAATGTCGCGACGCGGACATCGCCGGCCCATTCAGTACCTCCGATACCAAGAAATGCTTGGCCATGCCCCTGAGGAAGGACAGCAATCTCGTAGCCAGAAGCAGCAATATCACCTTCAACAACAGCACGATCCTTCTCAGGGACTTCAGATTCCCCTTCAAGTACACCAGCAGACACTAATGCAGACATCGAACCCTGCTGGGCCCATAGTACCATCTATTGAGCAATATCAAGCTGGTGATGCTGACGTGGATATGCTTGATGTCAGTACGAGTGATGATAACCCATCTATTATTTTAAGCTCGCGGCAACTGAGCTTAAAAGTAAGTTCCTCGACAACACCTGAGTTGAATTACTTACTAACTATATTTTACTAGTCTATCAAGAGCGATCAGGATTCAGTCCCAGCCCAACAACAGCATTCCTCTTCAGAGCAATCAGACGGTAGCCTAAGCCCTGAGCCTGAGAGCGATGTTGGTCATATGGTTGCCCTGAAAGTTCTGGATAGTACCCTGACCAGAGAGAGAATCGCTCAGTTAAATCAGGATGCCCTAGCCTCACCAGAGTCTGAAGAAGAGGAAGGGCCACAGGAGTCAGACACAGAAACTATTACAACACCCATCTCCGCTTCTCTATCAACACCGAAACTATCTATGCCTCCTCCCAAAGGCATATATCACTCAGCCATACCAATATTCCAGGATGTCTCCTTGGATGTTGTTCCTGTTCCTCAGACAAGAACTCCAATGGACGCATTCAGTGCTGCACTCACTTTGCTGATGATTACGATGGCAATATCTCGAGAAAACTTTCAGCTCCTTTGTGAGCTTTTTGAAAGTATTAAGGACCTACCCCAGCTCCCAGAGCTGCCATCAGATCTTGGGACCTTGAAAAGACGTCTCAGGGGTCAATTCAGACAAATTCCACTCTTAGAGAGACAAATCTCAATTATTCCAACGAAACTGCCAACACTCTCAGCAGCAGAGCGACGCCTTGTGAATTCTGAAATGCGAAGTATCTATGTTATGGACCCAATTGCACTTGTGGTTAGGCTTTTGCAATCACCAGAGTTCCTTGGTAAGATCTATCAAGGATTTGCCAAGGTAACCGAGGAGCCGTCTGAACTTTGGGAATCACAAGCTTGGGGAAACTCCATTCGGACAACCTCCGGAAAGTTCGCGATGTTTACAGACAATACGCCAATCTTTCCTGGAGATGTTATTTCATATCAGTCACCTGATATCGTTGACCCATCTCATCTTGAAATAGGACGTGTTCTCTGGATTGGGGCCTACCAGCAGGGCTCCACTGAGGAAATTGTTTTACAAGTTCAACGCACCTATCACTGGGAGGATATCCCAGATGAACAACGAGGGCTGCTAGTACAGCTAGGAGGACCTGAGATTACCCAGTATGAACTTGTCCTACGTGAGAATGAGGATGTCCTGATCTCTCCCCATCAAGTCCTAGGAAGGATTGAGGTTGGCCGTGATTATCAGTTTCAGAATCTCCCAAACAGTCACATCCAGTCACCAAGACTGCCAAATATCTATACAATTGCTCGGATACTCAATGAGCATGAGAATCAACAATTGGTGACACCACTGAGGAACTCTTCTCCTTTACGAGGCGAACTTGAAGTTGATTTTTATGGTCGGCAATATCTGGTAGAACGTCTACATGGAGTGCGATATATTTCCTTTCCGTACCAACTATTTATTGATGGTTTTGGGCTGTATCGAAATATGTATCGGACTCTGATGGGAATCTACTTGATTTGCGCTGCGCTACCGTGTGTAGAGCGTGTTCATTCGGCAAATTGGATAGCTCTCACACTTGGACCATACGGGGCAAACTTTAGTGATACTATTGCATCACTAGATCCCCTCCGCAGACTAGACCATGGTATTGACATTACCTGGACTGATGGCCAGCCGATGAGAATCATTGGCTTTGTTTTTTCTTTGCTTGGAGATTTCCCACAACAACAGCAGGGTGCTGGCTGTAAAGGGCCTATCGCAGAGAAAGGCTGTCGGAGATGTACAGTCTCTAAGTCCCAACGGGGCAATTTAAACTTCGATATACGACGGAAAAGACGAGGACATTATAAGTTACTCCAGCAGCACCTTTATGCATCCCAGATCCGGAATGAAAGTGCCAGGGAAGAATATAGGGCTAAAAAAGGGATCGGTAGCCTGAAAGAGGTTACCCCTCTTTTCAGAATTGCGCCATGTATGAACTTGGTGACATTTTTCCCGATAGACCCCTGTCATTCCGAGTATGGTGGCTTATGCAAAATGGCTCTTGAGCTCTTAATTGAAGGAATCCTCAGTCCCAAAGGCTGTGCAGCGTTTTCTAAAATCCTTGAGACATACCCCTTCCCAGCTGGATGGACACGGATCCAGTCGCCTACGAATCATCTTGCAAATTTTCAACTGCAAGAATATGCAAGAATGAGTGTGATTGTTCCATTCATACTCTCTCAATCAATGGAGAGGAGCTGGATCAATGATAAGTTTTATAACCGCCTCCTCTATGGCCCAGTTGCAGCCCAGGTCTCTTGTGAAGCCAGAATTATCCGTGCTTATGCAGGATTTGCAAAAAGCAATTCAGTGCTGGTATCACCAACAATCTCATCAATGGACCGACAAGAGTTTGATAAGATTGTGAGACTTCCTCGGCTTAAACTACAGAGCCTCCTGAAAGCAGCCTATGGGGCAACTATAGGACGTGGCTTAGTATCTAGATCACCATCAGCATCGCAAATCAGGGCTCCACCTCCTCAACGCCAGACTAGCAAAACCGCTTCACAGCATGGAGCTTCGTCTATCCCTCGAGTCAAAGAAAAGCCAGCAAATTTGACTAAACAAGGGGATAAGTTCTATAATATGTTGTCAAGGCCAAATATGCATATTGCGCTTCACTTTGAAGAAGACTTAGAGGAGTATGCCACTCCTTTCAATAGCAATGTCCTTCCTGGAGAGAACAAACATCGGTAAGAATAACCCCAGTCATATCTAGAGTCTTAGAGCACCTTGACGGCAAGTTCAATTCTGATCTATTTACTAACCTAAATTTTAGGCATCTGAAGAAGCTTGCAGAACAGACCAATCATCAGAATCCAGAAAAGCACCTGCTCTTGAATGAATGCCTTCAAAGGGGTACACAGCTTCGGATGGAAGGAGCCTATGCTATCGATGACCCAGATGGAACTGAAATGGCTCGTAAGGTCGCCCGGACATGTCCTTCTCTAATCAGATCTCGCTACGGTGTTGCTATTCCAGATGATCCTTCCAAAACTGGCTCAAATTCTCGGAAGAAAAAAAGCATATTAGGACAGTCCGAGAATCCAGCTGAAACTCCATTCCACTCCAACATCAGGGCGTGGTCTCCTAACTACCAGGATCATTTTGGGATCCCCAACCAGCTTTCTTTATTACGAATGAAAAGCTCTTTCCTGGACCTTTTACGTCATTCCTATAATGCCGATTATTCGATTCCTCACATTGTGGACCCAGGTCCAGGCTATTTACGCTGGTACAACAAGATAACATTCCAGTACAGGTATATATTAATAAATTTTCCTTGACGCAAGACACTCACTAATAATCTGATTTATAGGGATAAGACATCAACCACAACTCTGTCTACAAACCAGTTCGCCAAGTTCCAGAATGGAAGCTTTGTGCTAATCCTTAACTTTTTTACTCACAAGTTACTGGGGGGAAACTGAGGGCTTTTCTCTACGGGCATCCAGTCCGACCAGTTGTGGGTCCAGGGGCTACAGACCCTGATCTGGGCCTCCCGCGTTACATTCTTGTCCAAGACCAATTTATCGTTGTCGGGCTCCCTGCAATTACAGATGAGCGTCCTTACTTTACAAGGGCTGCAAAAATCACCAACATCCAAGGGCAGCAGATAGGTGACAAGGAGCCAGGACACGTACTGGTTTATTGCACCTGGGAGATCTCGTTCTTCTAGAACAACCAGATAGGGATCGGCGTGCACCAGATTTGGTTTCATTTTCAAAGCCAGAATCTACTTAGCGGCCTTCCTAAGCTTCTCCCTAGGAGCCCCCAGCCCCCACCCCCCTTTTGTCTATTCTATTTCTTTCCTCCACGCTAGAGTAACTGATCGCATATTGAAACAATGTCCAAGTTTTAAAGCAGGGCCTTTATAGGACCCCACAGGATGCTTGCTACAAGTCTAGTCATTTTATTACACAGTGTTCAATGTCAATCTCTTGGTAATCCTTCATATACAGTGCTGATTTCACCTTACTGGTTTTGTTTTATTTTACAGAACTACTTAATTGCTAACTTCATGTAGATCAGAAAAAACCATTCTGACACTACTAAAAGTTTCATAAGAATGGCTATATTGTAGAAGTGAGTACAGAGAGTAAACATAGTCCTGTCGTGGCCTCAAGTATATTCTAAAATTACGAAAATCACCTCTTAAAGAATACTACGCTAGACTGTATCATCGCCTCAGGCGAAAAGCTTACCTTTAGTATATTAGATTATCGGGAGAGTTACGCGTAAGTGTGTTGTTTTTCTTCCCCGGACGCGTGCTCACTCTCTCCCAACTTCACCTCCTCAACACCACTCTCTATGCCCACAACATCACTTCTGCCATTATCCACGAGCCATCTTATTATTTTGTTTATCATATAATGGACATTCCAGTCCAAGGGGAAATGAAATTTTCATATTCCATTCTCTAAGTGGACCATGATGCAGTTTTCCACAAGCTCCCACATGTCTTAGCTCTTAACTAACTTAATGTCTCTACTCTAGAAACCAAACCACTTCACGTTATCCAGTATTGGCCCACCGCTATATACAGAGTTTCTATTGTATATCGATCCAACTCACTGTCTCACTACCTAATATTTCCTTCCTTCGATATATCCGATCGACCAATCCAGCTCAACTTCAGAGCCACAAGAACCCCTGATATGCCTATGTTTTACCCCCGTGGAAGGATAAAACACTAATAGAGCAGAGCCCTTACGTATCTCGACTCTTCAGTTCAACAACTCTCTATTCTCTATCTAGACCTCTCTGGCCCTCTAAAAGGACAGGAAGAGACATGATCCGATCCAGCGACCATATCACCTTGTTCACAGATGATGGGGAACAATAATACCAAATAGGTGGATAAAGTAGGGAGATAGTAGGAATAAGAGCATCTATGGCTCTTCTGGAAGGTGATATAACAGATCTTTGTGTTCTGACAACCTTGGAATCCCTTAAGGTGGATATTTCAGACCACATACTAATAGAGGTTACAGTGATTTGGCAATAGTATTGCCTGAGGTTCCCAATTATATTCATGGCTTTCTATCTAAAGCCCAGCCGGGCCCTATAACGCCACTAGCCCAGGACATTGATTGAAAACCCACAGTAACAGGCCACATTTCAAACAAAAACGCAGAGATAATAATAAATGCTCTCTGAGTCTACGTCACTCTTGGGAATCTTGTACTTAAACAAGGGCACCAAAATCCAAATGATAGCCGCAATGCTAATAATTTCCTCTAGAGGGGCTAAGCGACAGACTGGCAAGAGCAAGATCTATTCTCCTTCTAGCTAATAACAGTGCGATAGCATAAAGGATCTAACAACTCAATTATTGACCCTAAGCTAACATTGATCATTTTAGATATCATAACTTTGCGCATCTGCCATACTCCTACGCACAAGATAAAATCACCCATACTATATTATGGGATCTTGGAGTGTGGTCATAGGGGACTCTTTTTGTGGGTGACTTGCTATCAACTTTGAAGTATCAACGATGGACCCCAGATCAACAACACAACCTTCCAAGTACAGACAGCACCAAGATATTCGAAAGATAAGGATACCCTTATCCTTTCGTGACTTTTTTGTCCAACAAAATTGAATCGAGCTAATTAGCGTTCATCAGGCTCGGATTCTACATCATTCCTTACCAACAGATGTCATACCGACTCATGCTATGGATAACTTCAACATATCCCAATCCGGAAAATCTAGGTTGTATGATCCCAGTGTATCTCCACACACCTAGTGCAGTATTATGATGTGATGGTACAGAACATGCGATGTACTTTCATCTCTCATACAGACAGCAATTATTGCAGGGTACATCCAGGAAAAGTCTGTACATTGTCACGACAGATCCAGTCTTTTTCCAGATTACATCATATTGGCAGTATACTGACCATGATACAGGCATTAGGTTCCAGATTCCTACTGTCACATACGCTGTGCAGTATATACTCTATTGCGATACGACTCCATATTGGTGTAATTTGACTCCAATCCGACTCCAATCCGACTCCAATATCATATTATGAGCATAGGTATCACAAAGCTTTCAGACTGAGCTAGAACAGTGCTACAGTGCACCACCTCTGACAGCAACCCGATTCTAATCCCAGTGATAACTCAGTTATACGAATCCTACAGGATCGCGGTATTGTATTGTGATTGAGGGCATACTGCTTGGTCTAGAGAAGGATAGGGAGAGGCGTGGCGCCAGGGTTAGCCGGGATGAAAGGGGCCGGGATATATGGAGCACCAGAAGGCGTGGGGGCAGGATAGATCTCGTGATCATGTGATGTACAAACACTATTAGTAATAGAGCATTAAAAGCATGAATCACGTGTACAGTCACTCGGGTCAATATCGCCAATACCTTTCTAGCCGCCAATACGTTTTCGACCACCCAATACAGTTTTGGCCCGCCAGTACGTTTTTTGAACCCCAATACTGTTTCACTACAGTCTTGTACGCCAATACAGTTTTTAATCTATAACCGTATCTTTACTTAAATACGGGATTCAGATTTCAATATTATATTAGCTTTTAAACACGTATTAAAACTTCAATACAGTTTTCGCTATCACAACGGTTGCTTAACGAAACTGAATTAGATACTATATTAGAATTCAATACTGTTTTCTAACTGTTATAATACAGTATTTAGATATTATATATTCCCTTATGTGAAATCGTGGATAAACTCGATTAGTCACCTAGTGTAATTTTGGTAATTTATTTCTGTCACGCCTTAAGGTGTGTGTTACGTCGAAACAATGTACGCTGACGGCATGGAAATATATATTTACTGCAAAGGGACCACCTCCTTCATCCCACCACTTCTACATCCCAAGCGATCAGGGGCCACATCCATGAATTCACGAGAATTCAATGAGTTTGAGCTTTATGAGCCACCTCGAAATGATTATTTGGAAATTAATAAATTAAATCGGCGACACACACTTTCTCAGCGTCTATACAAAGTCACGTCCATTTTGGGCTGGGTTGGGTCGGGTTGGGTTTTTGGGTACCCGCGGGTTTAACGCGAAGCGAAAGTTAATAGATCCAAACGCACGACACGACCCCCCAACAAAGTCCATTTCCAAGTTTTCACAATGAGAAAATTTATTCCCAAGCCCGATAGCACGCCTCTTGAATATGGCTTCTTCTTCCTCATCGTCGCGATCATTGCATCAGGCTTTCAGTCCTCTGCTTTCCATTGAGCCGTCATCTGACGCTTTCCTAGACTCTGACATTCAGTCTTCTGTAAGAGAATGGCCCCTCCTGCCCCTGAATATTGCGAGACCACCAACAGGTATGCTGAGACGACCTATAGCCTTTCACTAGATCCCGCAGTAGCTACGATATAATCGCTCGAAGGCCCCCAGGAACGCTGAGGCGTGTGGGGCCCCAACGAAGAAAGAATTGGATTTTGTTCGAATCGAGTCTAGAGAGAGAGTTCCTAGGGTGGTGGGAAAAAACGGAGTACGGTCAAAAGCTGAACGGAGATGGTCAGTCTCAGATAAAATGGTCCACCGAATCGCGGCATGCCGACGTTTGGAAGCACTTCGACCAAGTAGCTGACATCGATACTGGGCGTCCACGAGTCATCTGTCAAGCCTGTCTTACTTTGCTTGATCATCCGCAGCACAAGAAAAATGGTACAAGCGCCATGAGCAGACACCTGAAGTCCAATACTTGTCGCCGGGGGAAAAGAGAGGATCCCATCAAACTTTACTCTCAGATTCGTTGCAAAATCATTCCACTAGTGCATCACTCGCCGCAGACAGGGTCACAACATCTGAACTTGAGGAGCAGCTGCTGAAAACCATCACCTGCCTTCGGCTGCCATTTCAGACTGTGGAGAACCCCGTGTTCCAAAGACTGCTGAACATCTTACACTCTGGTCCGGGGGAACTGGAAATTCCATCAGCGAAAACCCTACGACGGCGACTTCGAGATGCAGTTACAGCTCAACAGGAGTCACAGTTACAAGATCTGCCTGAAGATGCTAAGGTGTCACTTGCCTTGGATTGTTGGACCAGTCCATTCCAGCAGGCCTTCATGGCAATCACGGTATACTTCATTGACAAAGACTGGAACTATCGAGAAATGCTTCTTGGATTTGAACCGCTGCATGGCCCTCACACGGGGAGCAACCTCAGTGATGTTTTGCACCAACTACTGAAGGAACGGAAACTCCTGGATCGCATCTTTAGCATCACTACCGATAACGCGACCAATAACGAAACTCTCATACGAGCCTTGCAGGAAAGACTGATCTCCACCGGCGCGATTGGCTCCAGAGAATCAATAGTTCGAGTTCCTTGTATGGCTCATGTGATTCAACTTTGCCTGAAACAACTTTTGGGGCATATGAAAGCAGCACCCCGGAACAAAGAGATAAAGACGTTTTGGTCTGACACCCAAGCGAATGGGTTGAAAGATTCGGTCAACCATGGAGATGTGGCTCATACTCTAACCAAAGTGAGCATAGATTCTCTCTGATTGGCTGTCAATATAAATGGAGCACTGATAGAACTAGATTCGATCATTTGCTGTTTTTGTCAACGCAAGCCCACAACGGCGAGATGCCTTTCTGTGTCTCCAATCAGGTGGAACTCGGCTGTTCCCGTTGCATGACGTTCAAATACGCTGGAATTCGACGTTTTTGATGCTTCGCCGTGCGCGCCGGCTAAGAAACGTTATCGACAAATACTGCTGCGATCATGAATACTCGCAGTTCAAGGTTACTGATGCTGAATGGAGGCAAATTGACTACCTGGTTCATTTGACTAAACCGTTCTTTCAGTTCACCATGGCTCTGATGAAGACCAGAGACATCACAATTCATAGTGTGTTCCTCGTGTACAGGAAGCTGCTGGAGCATATTGAAAGGTCGAATCGGAAATTGAAAAGAAAGGCAACACCCTGGAAGAAGGACATGTATGGCGCTTTGCTTGTTGCGAGGCAGAAGCTGAAAGAGTACTATGAAAAGACTTACCGCGACCACGGTTTTCTCTATGGCACTGGAACATTACTCGCTCCTCAATATAAATTGAGTGCTTTCGATGATAGAGAGTACTCTACCTGCCACGAAGATACGTCGAAACGGTACTGTGAATACTTGAGAGCATGTTTCACACAGTATCAGCAGCAGAACCCCGAGCTGTTATTCCGCACGGTGCAGCGCTCTTCCACTTTACATAGCTCAGAGCTTGATCGGCTACTTGAACCACCTGATGCATCGATGCTCCACGAAGGGGCAGAGTATGACGAAGTGGACCAGTATCTTAGAGAAGGTACGAGCAACTGGCATACTGTACTAGAACGACTGACTGACTTCTGATAGCAAATGTCCCGGTATCACCGCGGCTTTATTGGAAGGAACACGAATACGAGTTCCCGGTGCTCTCTCGGCTTGCACGAGACTTGCTTTCGGTCCCTGCCACCGGCGCGGGCGTAGAAAGGCTTTTCAATAGTGCACGAGACATTTGTCATTACCGTCGAGGATCTCTTCATGAAGCGACTATTCAAGACTTGATGATGTATATGTGCTCAGAAAAGTTCACACTAGAGGGACAGCAACTGACCCGTCTGGAGAAACCATTGGAGAACGACAGCCAAGAGGCACTTGAAGAGGATGAAGCGCTGAAGGCAATTGAAGAGGATGCAGAGCCGATCAGCGACGATGAAGAAATTGAAGAGAGCGAGGACTTCGAGGGTAATTTTGAGCTCGAGGAGCCATATCAAGCGGAGTGTACGCTGGCAGAGACTGGTCGGAGCACCATGGACAGCCAGACTTACGACCTGGAACAAGAGGAAGAGGGTATGGAGGAAGAGGGTATGGAGGAAGAGGTGGTTGAATCCGAGGAAGCAGATTTACTTCCGCCTCCAATCACGCAGTTGGGTGAGAGAAGCCAGAAGAGATCTTCTGGTCGGGTGACAATGCCCTCGAGCCGACTGCGAGGTTATGAGATATACTAGTCTTTATAGTTAGCCAATCTTATTTTCTTCGTCCATCATATTTGTTCCAAATCTTCTCAGCCGTAGACCAGGAGAACACAATCGATACCATTATGTAATCGAAAATTACTGCATAATTTAATGTAAAGTGATAAGTCAGCTTTTTTTGCCTTTTTGGGTTATCAAGGGTACCCATTTGGGTCTTGGGTTGGGTTGCCCAAATGACAACCCGCCCACGGGTTTGCTGACTAAGACCCAACCCAACCCGTGGGCCGGGTTTTCGTGGGCGGGTTTGGGCCGTGGGCGGGTTTTGGCGAGGCCTAGTGGGAACGCTTTAAAGTTTGACATCCTGTCACGTGGGAGGAAAGCCATTGGCCAATCATTGACCGTAACAATGATATCACGTGATCTACCAACACTGGCGTATAGTGAAGTACGGCAGGCGAAGAGCGACGCGGCAGTGAAGCTACTTTCCTTCCCCTCGCACATTTTTTCAAGACCAGCCATGTGAGATTAGCTAGTGTTTGCATTTCCCGTGACCATTTGACGAGAGGATTGATCTCGAACATCCCTACGAACTTGCATTGTGCCAAGAAGTGTAAAGCACAGTCGTGGGTGGTAAATTTCAACTCCTCCCAGACTGCTCTGCCTTTGGGGACCAGAAGAGAAAGCAGCCAAATGATGAACTGAAGCGTGCATGGAGCCAATTATTCTCAATGGCAATGAAGAAGCTCATTAGGAGCAAGTAGAATATGGCGTCGCTGAAGGAATCCATGGAATCCGGCGTCAAGGTAATCCCAGATCATTAGTGGCAGAGCCCGCTATAAAGACCCCCCACCAACCCTGCGACAGGCCTGCTAAGTCGACGTATGATCCGTACTTTTGTGCGCGAACAATCGACGGAACCAAACAAATAAGTTAACTCCGATAAGATGGAAACCGATCATATAGAGGACTGTAGTAATTCAAAGGAAGATTGCTTATATGCCTTCTGGACAGAAAACTTGAGGGTTTATATACACATGCGACCTCCAGATTGATTTCCAATCAAAGCTGGTAATTCCGTGAGGTTAGGAATTGATTCCGTTACGATACGACATATCACAACAAGGACAAGTACAACTGCTATAGTCTTAATTGCTCGGTACTCAATTCCGCCCAGCTCATCACGTTGTGTTTAAGTCAGGTCAACAAAGGTAGAGTTTCGGCCAATAGTTGGATTCCAGCTCAAGTAAGGCATGCTGTCGACTTCATTGTCCCTGGTTAGAGAGTGGATACTCCCCATCGATGTCCTTTTGCGTGGCTATGCGGCCGACAGAGCTAACGGCTTCAATACACCTTCAATTTCGCAGTCGGTACCACGCGTACTCATGTCAGGAAGTGTGGTACTGGATGGGGCCAGCCCAGACCAGCTTGCCCTCGCCATTGTAGATATACGGGCCGACCTGATACTGCTGGTACTTCTGGGTAGGTGCTTGGGGCGAGATTTGGCCGTACGGCGCGACGAATCAGGATCCGGGGGCCACTCGCTCGCGGTCATTATAGGTGACTTCCCACTTCAAGGCGCGGACTTCGAGGAGCTATACGAATTGCAGATCATTGGCCTCTGGTCAAGACTTGACTTGGCCAAGAAGGTGCGGAAAACAAGGCACCAAGGGGGGCTACCAACCGTCACGAATGACATCAAATCGCCATCTTTGCGCTGTGCGACGGCATTATGCAGGAACAATAGTAACAACGTGGCGGAAAACAACATGATCAAGGAGTGGCTAGGGAAGAGGACGATCTTCCCCGGTACGAAGTAGGGCAGCAGCAAAAATAAACGAGGGCGAACGCAGGGGTGGGAAAAGAGAAGAAGGAGGGGACGCTTCAAGACAGTCCTACAAGACAGCCCAATGACGAACATTCGGACGTCCCGACTGTCAAACGAGAGAAGAGCAGGCCGGGCCAGGGAGGGGAAAAGAGACTCCACGCAGTTTTTTGCCCGCTCAGGTGGCGACGGGCCTCGGGGGAGCGCATGGAATCTGACAATCGCGGCGAAGGCTCTTGGCATTGTTTCGATCGGTGGAACCGCGTGAGAGCAGCAACGCTGAGTGACGCAAAGACGAGCGAGATGCGAGGTCTTGGGAGAGAAGCGGACGCTCGATCCACTCGTATAATTAGCCTAGTCGGTTTCCACAGGCGACACTCCCATGGGGTCGAGTGTTCGGTGTAGTCCTCGCCGACGCGAGGGTGACCCTGACGACCCGGACCGCGACCCGGACCACGCAGATTTTAGGGCCGTAAGGTTAGACCCTGAAATGGGGTCAGGATAGGGCCATAAAATTCGCGAACCTACCCTCAGGGTCGTCAAACAAGGCAAACATTGCCAAGTCACGCGGAGCATATAGATTTTGGCTGTATTTTTGAGTATCTCAATTACAGTATTTAGAGGAGTAGTTTCTTAATTTGGCAATGTAGAATGAATTAAATCAAAACAAATCAAACTAATCAATCAACCGAAAAGAATGCCCGAATCTCGAATTACATATTTGACGTTTCATACCCATCTAGCGTCCTTGAGTGCTTACGGACTCTGCCTGACACTCGGTGCTGTATCTCTGGCAGAGGTATTGCTTCCGACTCTTGACCATCGTCTTCCTCCTCATCATCTCTCACATAGTCAGCTATATTTCTTATACGTCTTTTGCCGAGTGCTTTTGCGGACGGACCCAGGGCAGCCTGCGCGGTTGGTAGGGTCTGCGAGATAGCTCGGGGCTCTGCGAGATAGCTCGGGGCTGGGACCTGGCTTGGAGCTGTGTCGTAGACGCTTCATCCTCTTCATTGTCGCTAATTGGATCAACAGCGAGTTGCTGCTGTGTTCTCTCTTCCATTGCAGCCTGTATCTCCTGAGCCGAAGGATATTCAGAGAGCATTATTCGCTCCTCTTCATGAACCTCAAACCGTGATGTACACATATACATCATAAGATCTGGGATTGTTTGAGGTTGAAGAGGGCCTCGATGATAATGACAGATATCTCGTGCAGAGTTAAAAAGCCGCTCTACTCCTGCACCACTAGCTGGGATAGAGAGCACATCGCGAGCAAGCCTCGCCATCGTAGGGAACTTATCTTGATGATCTCTCCACCAGGTCAGAGGCTGGGCATTTGTGACTATATCTAAAGGACAAGTCAGTAATTGCTCAAATAGAGATCAAGGGATACTTACTGCGAACAAGATACCTTGCAAGCTCGTCTGACTGTGCTGGCTGTGAAATTTGAGACTGCCAAGCTAAATCAAATTCATCCGGTATCGAACTTATAGTCGGAGCACCTAACCTTTGATGGTCCTCGGCAAAACTCTCAGAGTACTTCTCGAGGAAGGACTCAAGGCTCTGGCGATAGGCTGCTCGGTAGTCGACCCCAGATCCTGGGTCTGGATCCCAGTCGGGAGTCGAGAAGAACTTGAGTTTATCCTGTGGAGGAAGGATTGTGCCAACTGCGTAGAGATGACTGTCAATCTTGTCGGTGTCTCTGTAGTAGGCTGAGAGCTTGAATTTTGCTGCTTCGAGGGATATAAGTATCACCTGCTTCCAAGCAACCTTCTTCCGTCGAAGCTGGTTAATCGACTTTTCAAGATGACCAAATAGCTTGTTGTAGACCTTGAAAACCCGATGGATAGTGATATTATTTGTTTTGCACAAAAGCGTTGTGAATCGGTGATGTTTGGATGGAGTGAGCTAAACAGAGTGCAGCTTGCCGAACGTTGTATTCGTAGCTATCTGGCTAACTAAGGAAGGAAGAAGGAAAGGAAGAAGGTGTGTGTGACGGATAAAGGGAAGTGTCAACTCTGAGAGAGGTAAAATACTGTGGATTCTCCACTCCTCTTGGTTATTCAGCATCCACCCACATTGCAATCGTAATTGTATGGTAATTCGGGTCATTCTCGGAAGAACTGTGATGTAATACGCAGTTTATAGCCCCTGGATCATTTTCATCAGATCGGAACACACACACACACTCTCGTTAATCCATCTCATGCATCAATTGGCCGTCCCTCGATACTAGATGATACACGTATCCGACATCCCGACAGGAAGGTATAGCCCGTCACCGCCCAGGTCCCGTGATTTCAGGTAACACCAATTTCACCAACTTTCTGTAAAACATACCACAGCAATTCCTCTTAGATAGAAAAGAGGGCAAGTTTAGTATTACCAAGCCAGAAGACGTATTCAAAGACTTAATTCAAAGAATCACATAGGGGGTGGATGAAAATTAATGGAATCATAGTTAGACATACAGAACAGGTATAAGAAACAGTAACATATAATGATATGTCAGCGAATTTATACATCCTAACCAGGAAAGGCGTAAAAGAATTATGCAATTCAGGGTAGTCAGGGTCGTAGTCAGGGTGACCCTGACGGGATTTTATGACCCTGAGGGTCGGTCCGGGTCATAAGGCTCGAAACCGGAACCATCCAGGTCCGGGTCGCGAGTCGGTAGGAGGGATCCAATATCAGGATCGTGGCGAGGTCTAGTTCGGTGTTGATTGCCCAAAGGCACGGCCACGATCAGATCACAACACGCGCAGAGCATTAGCATTCACATTGATTCAGAGCTGATTGACTCGCACTCGTACTTGTAGTACGCAAGACGCTCTTGACTCGTCACGCGCCTGACAAGGCTATCCGGTAGTACTCCGTAGACCCGGCACAATGGGGGCAAACAGGGATGGACACGAGGCCAGCCGGCTGGAGTGGCGGACACACTCCACGTCCAAAGGGGAAAGTCTTGGCGCTCTAACTGCAGTCGGCGTGATAAGCTCGCCATTCTGCAGACTACGCAGAGCTTTGCCTGCCCGTTCTCTACTTCAGACAACAGCACTCTTCGATTTTCTAGCGTCAGCATCGGCTGGCCCTGGCTAGCCGGTGGAGACGCGGCAAAGGCAATTTGCACAGGCGAAGCCAGGGCTAGCCCAGGGCTAGCCGTGACTACTTCGAGGCTATCACGGTTAGGCATGGTGTCTACGATAGTGTGATTCGGGGGTTTGATGAGGAGACTGGGGTAGAAGGAGGATGGCAGCATTGGAAGCAGAAGTATCAAGTCGAGAATTATCCCAATTAATCCGATTTGCTATCAAGGTTGGCTGCTACACAATATTAACAGCGGCTCAGAAGTAATAGACAAGACTCGCCAAATGCTAAAATGGAAATAAGAGCAATACTCTGTAAATAAGGAATAATGCCTTTTATAATTCATGGTTGATTCATGAATAATTGGTGTGATCGGGTGGAAATACATATATTTTTAACAAAAAGCAAACCAACTGCATCTTCTTGTAAAGGGCCACCATATAATATTTGTGGGGATATGGTGTATTTACACGAAGGGAATGAGCCAACATAGGCGTCCCAGAATGAATGAATTGTTTGTAATTGGGAATGGGATAACCTCTGAACGGAAGAGTACTTTATACTCTTCATCATGAATCATGACGACTAATTGTAATACAATAACAGTAGGAAATAGTCCTCTATAAGAATATACGAATGTAACAGGTCAGTGGGGTGTTTCCGGGAGTTCTCTGCGTAGAACAAGGCAGATTCCTCAACATCGAGCCGTAGCTGACATTTAGTTATAAAAAGTTTTGTATGTATATGGTGTATCGAGATATATGTATACGCACAAAATCAATTTTAGAAAGCCAGGGCAGGTCGCCCATCATCCAACAACCACATAGAAAATAAAAGAGTAATATATCACAGCTCATCTAAACATCAGTGCGCTCCAAATGAGTAGCCTTTTCACCCTCACGCTTCACCATAGCATCGTGCTCAAGCTGGGCAAGGTCACCGACGTTCTCGCCAGCAACATCACGGACATCACTGAAGTGGACGGAAGGTACGAAACCAGGAGACTTCCAAGCCTTGGAGACCTTGGCATAGAGCTCGTCAACCTGCTCAAGGGACAGGCCCTTGGTCTCGTAGACGAAGAAGTAGACGAAGACAAGACAAATGCAACAGAAACCACCCCAGATGAAGAACACTTTAGCCTGGAGGTTGGCGTTACCAGGGCCAGCGTTGACCATGTAAGGAGTCGCGTAGGCGATAGCCCAGTTGAGCAGCCAGTTGGTGGCGGTGGTGATAGACAGACACTTGGCACGGGCCTTAAGGGGAAAAAGCTCTCCAGTGACTACCCAGGCTACGGGGCCCCAGGAACTGGCGAAGAAGAAGATGTAGATACAGACGAAGGCGATCAGAGACTTGTTAGCGTGGGTGTCACCGGGAAGGGCAGTGCCGACACTGGCTACGATCAGTTGGCAGACGGCCATGCCAATGGCACCAAACATGAGCAGGTTGCGACGGCCCCATTTCTCAACCATCCACAGACCAGGGAAGGTGGAGCAGACGTTGATGATGTTGGTGATCAGAGTGATTGTGAAGCCGTTCGAGATGCCGGAGTTCTCGAAGAAGGTGGTACCGTAGTAGACTATGCAACGGTTAGCACCGTATTTTGAATTTGAGTTTAGAAAAGATTTTCAACGTACAGATGAAGTTCACTCCAGCCAGCTGTTGAAGAGCCTGAACAGCGCAACCAGTGGCAAGACGCTTGCCCAAGGTGCCCTGCAAAATGTCAAGATAAGAGGCCTTCCCGAGACGCATTTCGTACTCGTGGTTGGCCTGGATCTCGGACAATTCCTCAATTATAGCAGGATCATTGATATCAAGACGACGGAGACGGGCAAGGGCCTTGGCGGCAGCCTCATGCTTGTCCTGCTTGATCAGGAAACGGGGGTCTCGGGCAGGACCAGCATACCAGCGACCAAGATGATAGCCCAGGCGAACTGAACAGCGACGGGGATACGGTAGGAGCCTGTATCCATCCTGTGCTGTGTGGAATTGTTGACAATGGCAGCCAAGAGAAGACCGATGGTAATGGCCAACTGGTATGCACCGACGATGGTACCACGGATCCACTTGGGTGAAGTCTCCGACTGATACATGGGGATAGTGGCAGAGAGCAGTCCAACGCCCAAACCGGCGAAGAAACGGCCAGCCACGAACAGCGGGATGGCAGTGGCGATAGTCTGCATGATGACACCGATGGTGAATACCCCGGTGTTGAGGATCATAGCGAGGCGACGACCGAAGAAATCAGCCATGGGGGCAGCGAACAGAGCACCGAAGAAGGTACCAGCCGAGAGCAGGGACACGATCATAGAAGATTGAGAGGCAGTTACGTCAGGGTAGTTATCCACGGGGTTGATGTAGCCAGTCGAAAACGTCTTCCGCCAGAATTTCATAGCGAGGATACCGCTAATAGTACCGGTATCATATCCAAAGAGGACACCACCGAAAGCAACGAACAAACCTATAATGATTGCGGGGGCTGCTGAGCCGGCAGTATCATCGAGCTGCTTGATCATGAAACCCATGGTGAGTGAAATGTGGTAGGTCGAAGGATAGAAGAAGAAAAACAAATAAGAAGTCTCCAAGACCAGAAGAGAAGCAGAACTTGCACCGCAGCCTGTCAGAGGAAAGGATAGTAGAAGACAACCACTACTGAGAGGAGGAAGAAAAGAATCAGATCACAGCTGGGGGCTTCAAGCGGCTAAATAAACGGCGAGACCACCAGGAAATTTCATACCAACCACGAGGAAAATACAGTAAAAAAGAGGGGAAAAAACCAAAAAGCAGAAATTTCAAAGGCAATCACCAACCCCGGGTTCGCACTGACCTGGGTACATGACGCCCCGGACCTCCATGTGCGGGCAGGGGAAACATGGAGGAATGGGGATAGGGTTTGACACGGTGCGACGGGTGGGGAAGGCTGTTTGCGGATAGACCAATGTGGTCGCAGAACAGTGTGGATTGTTGGCGCTAGTCCGGAGCACCCATTGTTAAGTGGCGTATATGAAACCTTGCTGGGGGGTTGACTGGTGCGATCGTCGCTGTGTCCAGGCCACTAACCCCAGCTCGAAGGAATATTCATGATAGAAGTGGCCTGAGTATGTTAGAATCAGAAAGATAGGAATTTTGTCAATGATCATGTCATGTGTGGAAAACAACTGAACACGGAGGTCGTCAGGAACAGAGTGGGAATCGCGAATCATGAGCCGCATCATGGAAATACAAATGGGGATGAACGCCACAACATTCATACGACGATTTGGGTGCTACTGTGTAGTATCATTAGCAAGGATAAGTGGCAAGGTACATTCTTACCACAGAGTAGATCGCATTAATCTAGACTCACTCAAAGCCAGTGGGCGTCGCCAATGTACGAGAAACTCTGGTAGTGACAAGAACAGCCAGTCATATTCCAGTTGTGTCATCTCATCTCCAGATCTTCGCCCTCCACACATCCCCAGATCCTGGAGAATCAAACATGTCGACCGACCACCTACTCGAATCACAGCTGATCCTCATATTGTCAAGTTCCGTTATCGCTCACCGGACATGTAACTTTAACGGACCCTGCCCAAGCTCAGCTTCACCGGGCCCAAATTCAGACAGAGACAAGTGGGACGCCGTATTTTCGGGGACCCGGGAAACCTTGCCGGGATTTTTTACTTGAACAATGCATCCACCACAAGCCGAGACGGGATCTACTAATCAAACATCCCGTGTGGCGCGACTATTCCCATGGCGTGGATTGGACGGGTTTTCCGATGACACTCCGATGTTTTCCCGCCGTCGGCGAATCATAAATTATGCTGATCTCGGGATTGGCGTCTCTACCTGCAATCGTGACCTTGAGCCAACCTACCACCTGAGGTTTTGACCTCAAATCTTATATTTTCTTTTACTCACAGGCACGGAGAATAAAAATATACCCTCTAATTACTTCCACCTACCCTGGTTATTGAGTTTTTCGTCTGCAAATTTGGCGGATTCTTGTTAATTCTGCCGTGATACGATGATGGTGGGGCGAGTGTGTGGAGAGACCGCCTTCCCGGATAGGTTATTTTATTGACCCGCGCTAAACCCAAATGGTGGTTAGGGGTTTGGATCGTAACCTGTCGGTTCCGCTTTAGACTCAATCACCTGGACGAATCATAGATACCTTGTCTTCTGCATTGGTTATGTTCGTTCTCACATAGGAAGCAGGTCAGGCCGCACTCCGTGGGAATATATATTTTCCGAGAGTAGATGGTTGATTAGTAAACCATTATGATTGGTCAGGTTGAATACCAACTTCTTGGCAATACCAACCCTTTTCAATCTCCACACCCCCCTCCTCTCCACCAATCGTGAGCCCTCCCAACTCCCGCCTATTTTCATCAAGAACAAATTACAGTCAACTCTCACTTATGGCACACCCCACCATCCAACAGAATTTGCGTGCCATAAGTGAATTGTGCTTATTGTGATCGGATGACTAATTTGGTTATATTGATCGACATATATTAATTCCTAGTTAGGAAGTCATCCAATGGCCTCTGTTTCCTCCCATCCAACTGTAGCCTATTGAATAGACGTTCTAACCCCCCTATTTGACGTATATTTTCCTCAGTAGTGCCCTCTTGATGCTGAGCCCATAGAAGAGCTTTCTGGATACTATTAGTAGCCTCAGCACCAGACGGAAGCTCTGTTGAGATGGGCTACGACGAAGCACTGAATATTGAATAAGGGCCTGCCAGACAAATCGACCTTAATGGAATTGACAGAACTTGAACTTGACTGTATATTGTCTTGTCTACGTACGATTCTGGGGGTATTTATCCCTGAACGGACGGCAAGCCCCTGACAGTAGTAAATCCCTCATAATCGGTCTCGATCGGGGTTCTTCCATGAAGATCTCCCGAATGTAGAATATAATGGTGGCAAGAGAGCTTGAAGCGTAATCAAGCTCAGTGCCTCCGGTTTCCCTGGACAGGCATGCCGACAGAGCTTGGGAATGTGGCATCAATTCGGTGCCTTATCCTGGAACCTCAACAAGCTCTATTGGTGGCCCATATATATATATTCGTCATCCTGGTCATCATCAGTACCACCATCACCACCCTCACCAGATATGTCGGCGATGATATCAGATAAATCAGACTCACCGAAGTCATTTTCATCTGATGGATTTAAGAAATTATCCAATGACATGACTGTATGTGTATCGCTATCCACATCTGCAGGAAACCGGTTGATTACGCTCTGGTATAGAGGCATTAATTCAAGCGGTTCTGGCCTTGGCGCACTTTGTATCTGATCAGTGCAGCGACTAACGATAGTGCTCTTAATAAAGCAGTTCTGTATAGTCTGATCAAGAACATCATTTCGCCAGGCCTGGGTAAGCCAGCGGAGGGTGTAATTGAGGCTCATTTTCTTCTTCGGATCGAGGTTCTGGTCAAGGATATTAATCATCCATATCATCCATTTCCTCCGATAATGGTGCTTTAGATTTTGGATGATTCCTTGATTTAATGGCTGATAAACCGATGTCGCATTTGCTGGGAAAAATACCACCTTGATATTAGATGGTGGCGGTGCATCTTCAAGCGCACATAGAGGTGCGCTAAAATTGTCTAGCAAGAGCAGAACGCGTCGTTGCTTGCCAATATTCTTATAAAACGCGCGAAGCTATTCTCCCATAATACCACTGCGCATTCACGCTTTCCTATTCCAGCGCCAGGTACATCCGATCGCTCGGATATTTACACCCCGGAGTGCGTGGTGTCATTGCTGTACCAATCAGCCATAGAGGCACTCGGTCTGATCCAGTAGAATTCGTCAAAACTACTATAGTGACTCGGGCCTTATCTCTCTTTTGACCAGCATAACCATCTGTTGATAGACCACCGTTTGGCATACGGCGCCAGTAAAGCCCAGTTTCATCCATATTATATATATCCTCTGGTTGATATTGACTGCAGATCGCCTGAATAGGGTTTTATCTCATCGTGTATCGAGGTTGGGGCTGATGCAGATTCACCGTGGAAGGTATGGTAATGGAGGGAATGACGTTGTTTAAACCGAATAAGCCACCCATCAGAGAAAAGGGGCACTGGACGTTCAGCATATTCAGGGGTTTTCCTCCAATACTCAATAGCTTTAAGCCGAAGTAGTGGGCCTGTTATAGGAAAGCCGGCATCCTGATGTCGTTGCTGCCATTCAAAGAGAGCTTGGTCTAATATAGGCCAATGTGATGTCGATGAGCGCATATTTAGACTTGCTGGACCAATATCAAGATGCTGGTATTTGGATGAAAGGATCTTTGAGACAGTGGCCCGATCAATAAGTCGACCAAATTGGGACCGAAACCACTCAACGCAGACTCGCTGAGAAGGCGTAGGCTGTGTTTCGGATGCATAGACGCGTAGAGCCTGCTTCTGAGCGTCAGATATGCCCTTCCTGGCTCGCCTTGTGGTTGGCATTTTGGCCGAAAGTCCGACTGAATTCTGCATTGTGATTGGTCGGTGTATTATGACTAAGCCAAAAAAAGGAGAAAAGATGTGTGCAATAACTGAGATGTGCCATAAGTGGTATATGGTAAAAGGGGAAAAAGTGAGTCCGTCCACGAAAATTCGGGTGCTTTTACCCGATGTGTGTTATTTCTGGGCATGCCATAAGCGAGAGTTGACTGTATTAATCTTCTTTTACTCACATCTTGAACCCATTGACCGCGGGGTGAACAAGTATCCTTCCAAGATCTACATGAAATCCGATTGATCTTGAATGAACGTATGGTTGCTTGGTACAACCTGTATGTCGCTGGTTGTAAAGGATTGAAAGTATCGCTGAATGCAATATGCTGGCGAAGCTCTCTAACTCGTTGCCAGATATCCTCAGTGGCATACGAGTGGACCATTTGCTTTAGCTCAGGGTCTGTATATTCACATATTTTGACTCCTGTGCATTTGTAAGAACTATTTTGAATAGGGATTCTCTGTCCAAGCAGCGAATCACGCTGGGTAAGGCGGTTTCGATAGACTTGCTTCCTCGAGTACTGGATCTGAGAACGTTTAACATATAGTTATTACATTAATAATGTATTGACGTACCCCTTCAATTGATTGTTCAACCGCGAAACGAGACCCGTCAGGCACATTGATCACATATGTAAATCCATCAGGGTCCATACGGGGATACTCTGGTAAGGCTGTAGTATACTCGATAAAAGCGGGTTCGAAGCGGTGCACGATTATCATGTAGGATAGTTTTAAGACATTCCTATACATAATATACTATTAATGCACGGTTAATATATCCCTAGTTTCACATACCGGAGTTGCGTCTGAAGGCTCAGGAGACCGTTGGATAATAGGGGAAACTGCATTTGCCCTACTATTGAGGTCATGCTCGAGCTCTTGCTCAAGTTGCTTCTCTATTATTGCACTGACATCGAGGTTGTTTTCTAGAAAGACTGCCATGGTTGAGTAGTGCGCAATCTAGGATAAAGAAGACCAATTTTCCCCGCCCGACCCATGGCACTGCGCTATTTAATAATGACAAACTGAGGGGGTGGTCAAATACCACTAGGACACTTCGGGATAGGCTTATTCATCGTTCACCCAATCCTCCCTAGTGTGGTTTCATAACAAGCCACAGTTCGATTATAGAGACCCCTGAGATTGCTCAACCGATCTCAACAACCTCCAATCTATCATCTGATTCTATTGGACATCGTCAGTACTAACCAGTACATCAATTTCTCATCCTGACACTATTTCATAGTACATGAGTAATTGTCAGCATTCGCTGGTATGTGATGAGAAGCTGACTGATGCTAAATCATATAACCAGGAATGTGTGAAAGAAGAGTGAGACCTGTCAAAGAGAGAGAACTGTTTGATTAACTAATGATGTAACTAAGTAGATATATATAGACCGAAAATAGAACAAATAGTGCAAACAAAATATGCAAGTGAAAAGGGGCACGAACAGGGGTAGTTCGATACATTAAACGCCATGCATTTAATGTGGCTTCAATATATTTGACGCCACTCATAGGGAAGGTTCAGTATTCAGAACTTCGGATGAACCATCGGCTGTCACTCCCAAGGGCAATCACTTGTGATTTCCCGATAGTAATTTAATAACTATTGTAGTGGGGAGACCCCCTCCCCCTGCTACCTGGGTGCCATCCATGTTATGTGACATAGCCGGCAGTATACGGTGGCCGGATAGCTAGTTCTAGAATACACCTTCTTACACCTCCCCGACCTGACCCCTACATTTGGGGTTCTCGCTATTTCCTGACAGCTACGCTTGTGTTTTGTGGTGGTTTTCTGCTGAATCGACCCGCACGTCTCAGCGCGTGCTGCCATCGAGCGTTCCCCTCTTCACTATCTACTGCGGCGAGGTATTTTAATTCAACGGCAGGGTAGCAGAGTAGGCACGGATTTTCTTGATGTTTTTTACTTTCATAGAAGAGGATTCTCATGGCTCTTTATAGTGACTGGCTAGGCACTAGCTCTGCACTCAGTCACGGAAGAGCGTCCGCCACGCTGTTATACTGTCGTCCAATGAAAGTCACTGCAGAGACACGCTCCTTCAGTAAAGGGGTAAGGCAATGAAATTAACCCTCACTGGGACTGCGGGGTTGTTCTGCTGAGAACGCCGGCTGATAACAGGTCATCGCAATAGTAAACAGCCAACAATGATCCACAGCGAAATCTGTGAGCAAATAGAGTCGTCCCTGAGCGGGTCTCGATATTGAAGATATGGAACTCCGCAATCATGCTCGAGGTATATGCATACTGTATCGCACCTGCTCCATGAAGAAAGTATGTGGTACACTATGTATAGAGTCTGCGCACAAAGTCCATCATCGATTTTCACTTTCATTAGATTAGCGTCTATTTCCTATGCCTTTTCCTACATACGGGTTGGGTGCTATTTGAAAGCGTCACAGGGCGGATTGGATGCGTGGTTTGGTTGGCTGATGGAGCTGACTAAGCGATCCTGATTTAGGACATCTCTATTAACTAGATAAGCGAGAGAATATTGTTTCCATCGGTTGTTTCGTATCCTGCTACATGGTTTGTACATAGTCGACCGTTCTTGCCTTCCATGTCAGAAATATGAGAGGCCCTCTTTCAGACCCTAGTTACATGATAGACTAATCCTTATATGGTTATAGCGTATTTAACGGCCTGTTCGGAGGCTGAAATGTTATAATGCTAAACGAGCAAAAGACCTAGGTATTTGTGGATGTATTGTTACATCTACACAAAATAAAATTAACGTAATCGGTAAGCGAGCCGCGCATGTAAGCCAGTCGCGCACCCACCCCAAAATGCGTCCATGAATTAGCACTTAATTCATTCAACCAACCATGCCACCAATTCGCGCCAGAGGCTCTACAAATCCAACAGAGCAAGAGGGTAGGATATTATTAGCCACCCAGGCTGTTAAAAATCAAGAAATATCCTCCGTTCGCAAAGCTGCGCGCATTTATAATGTTCCTGAAACTACACTTCGCGATCGTCGTCACGGCACCACAAATCGCGCGATTTCTCGCGCAAATTCGCATAAATTAACAGAAATCGAAGAGGAATCACTTCAAAAATGGGTACTCTCTTTAGATGATCGCGGAGCAGCACCCCGGCCGTCTACTGTACGCGAAACTGCGAATCTTCTTCTCGCGGCCCGCGGAACTACACCAGTTCAAACCGTCGGAGAAAAATGGGTTTCTAACTTCGTAAAACGATACCCAAGCCTATCATCCCGATTCTCAAGACGTTATAATTACGAACGTGCGAAGTGCGAAGATCCAAAAATCATTAGGGAGTGGTTTGATCTTGTTCAAAAAACCATTCTTCAATACGGTATCGATCCCGACGACATTTATAACTTCGATGAGACTGGTTTCGCGATGGGATTAACAGCGACCGCGAAGGTTATCTCGAGGGCTGAATACTACGGTCGGCGATCGCTTTTACAGCCCGGAAATCGCGAGTGGGTGACTGTAATCGAGTGTACGAATGCTTCAGGGTGGACGCTCCCTCCGTGTGTGATTTTTAAAGGCAAAGTTTTGATCGAGGGTTGGTTCGATAATCTTCCGATAGACTGGAGATTCGAGGTTAGTCTGAATGGCTGGACGTCCGATGAGATCGGCCTTCGTTGGCTCGAAAATCTCTTTATTCCGTCGACTTCTTCGCGGCTGAAGGGAAGGTATCGACTTTTGATACTCGATGGTCACGGAAGCCATTTGACTCCGAAATTCGATGAACTTTGTGAACAACGATATCATACCAATCTGTACACCTGCGCACTCGTCTCACCTTTTACAGCCACTCGATATCGGCTGTTTTGCGGTGTTAAAGCGCTCGTACGGTCGGATAGTTGAAACGAAAATGCGGAATAGAATCAACCATATCGACAAACTTGATTTCCTCGAGGCTTATCCTTCCGCGCGAAACGAAGCCTTTCGCTCCGATACTATTATAAATACCTTCAGAGCAGCTGGTTTGGTACCTTTTTCACCCGATCAAGTGATCTTAAAGCTTGATATTTGTCTTCGAACCCCGACCCCCCCCTCCAAGCCGGGATAGCGAATCAAGCTAGAATTTTACACCAAAAACCCCTTTTACCGATAAACAAGTACGTCGGCAAGCTTCATCAATCAAATCTTTACTTCGTACGGGGTCTCGAAGTCCACCAAGCCCATCAGATCGAGCGTTAAACCAGCTTATTAAAGGCTGCCAACTTTCGATGCAGAGCGGTATTTTACTAGCGGAGGAAAACAAACGATTATGGGCAGAAAACGAGAAGAAGAAACAAAAACGCACTAGATCTCGCAGGCAGATGCCTTCCACTGAGGGCCTCTCAGTTTTTGAGGCCTCTGCATTAACAATGCAGTCGCAGCAAGCAATTGAACCCGCTCCACCCCCTGGGGATGGAAGGCCTTCGGAGGGTTTACAGCCACCTACGCGGGCCCAGCGAGGATGTGGAATATGTAGGCGCCCGGGACATAGAAAGGAGACATGCCCAGATAGACCAGCAAGTTAGCTGAATTAGATTAATAGCGTTTTTGTTGAAATAAATGCGTTTAAAATTAATAGGTTGCTTAAGGTGCGCGACTGGCTTACATGCGCGGCTCGCTTACCAATTACGTTGGGGTATCGTGATGTCACCATGACGTCGTTTCACTCAAGCGTCCCAACCCAAGTGTCCCCACTCGCTTGAAGCGCTCACGAAATCCCAACCCACCGCTCGATGGCATGGAACCTCGATCCCTGGCAGCGTGTGCACTCCGTCTCAAGTCGCCAAGGTGGAGAAGTATGGTGAGCATTCTGTCACCAATATGCAATACGCAAGGATATGCGAGTGTTCGGCAGTCCCAGTCTCCCCCGATCTCCTCTTCCTGGCTGACTAGCCACGTGGATCAATGGTAGAATGATCACCCCTTTACACAGTATTAATAATCCGC